CTAACACCCTAACACCCCTAACACCCTAACACCCTAACACCCTAACACCTAACACCTAACACCCTAACACCCTAACCTAACCTAACACCTAACACCCTAACACCCTCTAACACCCTAACACCCTAACACCCTAACACCTAACACCCTAACACCCTATACACCCTAACACCCTAAACACCTAACACCCTAACACCCTAACACCTAATCACCCTAACACCCTAACACCCTAACACCCTAACACCCTAAACTAACACCCTAACACCCTAACACCTACCACTACCCTACACCCTAACACCCTAACACCCTAACACCTACACCCTAACACCCTAACACCCTAACACCCTAACACCCTAACACCTAACACCCTAACACCCTACACCCTAACACCCCTAACACCCTAACACCCTAAACCCCTAACACCCTAACACCCTAACACCCTAACCCTAACACCCTAACACCCACCCTAACACCCTAACACCCTAACCTACCCTAACAACCTAACACCCTAACACCCTAACACCTAACACCCTAACTACCCTAACACCCTAACACCCTAACACCCTAACACCCTAACACCCTAACAACCCTAACACCCTAACACCCTAACACCCTAACACCCTAAACCCTAACACCCTATCACCCTAACACCCTAACACCCTAACACCCTAACACCCTAACACCTAACCCTAACACCCTAACACCCTAACACCCTAACACCCTAACACCCTAACACCCTAACACCCTAACACCCTAACACCCTAACACCCTAACACCCTAACACCCTAACACCCTAACACCCTAACACCCTAACACCCTAACACCCTAACACCCTAACACCCTAACACACCCTAACACCCTAACACCTAACACCCTAACACCCAAACACCCTAACACCCTAACACCTAACACCTAACACCCTAACCACACCCTAACACCCTAACACCCTACACCCTAACACCCTAACACCCTAACACCCTAACACCCTAACACCCTAACACCCTAACACCCTAACAACCCCTAACACCCTAACACCACCCCTAACACCCTAACAACACCCTAACACCCTAACACCCTAACACCTAACACCCTAACACCCTAACACCCTAACACCCTAACACCCTAACCAACACCCTAACACCCTAACACCCTAACACCCTAACACCCTAACACCCTAACACCCTAACCTACACCTAACACCCTAACACCCTAACACCCTAACACCCTAAACACCCTAACACCCTAACACCCTAACACCCTAACACCCTAACACCCTAACACCCTAACACCCCTAACACCCTAACACCCTAACAACCCTAACACCCTACACCTAACACCTAACACCCTAACACCCTAACACCCTAACACCCTAACACCCTAACCCTAACACCCTAACACCCTAAACCACACCCTAACACCCTAACACCCTAACACCCTAACACCCTAACACCCTAACACCCTAACACCTACCTAACACCCTAACACCCTAACACCCTAACACCCTAACACCCTAACACCCTAACACCCTAACACCCTAACACCTAACACCCTAACACCTAACACCCTAACACCAAACACCCTAACACCCTAACACACCCTAACACCCTAACACCCTAACACCCTAACACCCTAACACCCTACACCCTAACACCCTAACACCCTAACACCCTAACACCCTAACACCCTAACACCTAACACCTAACACCCTACACCCTAACACCTAACACCCTAACACCCTAACACCCTAACACACCTAACACCCTAACACCCTAACACCCTAACACCCTAACACCTAACCTAACACCCTAACACCCTAACACCCTAACACCCTAACACCCTAACACCCTAACACCCTAACACCCTAACACCCTAACACCCTAACACCCTAACACCCTAACACCCTAACACCCTAACACCCTAAACCCTAACACCTCCCTAACACCCTAACACCCTAAACACCCTAACACCCTAACACCCTAACACCCTAACACCCTAACACCCTAACACCTAACACCCTAACACCCTAACACCCTAACACCCTAACACCCTAACACCTAACACCCTAACACCCCCTAACACCCTAACACCCTAACACCCTAACACCCTAACACCCTAACACCCTACACCTAACAACCTAACACCCTAACACCCTAACACCCTAACACCCTAACACCCTAACACCCTACACCCTAACACCCTAAACACCCTAACACCCTAACACCCTAACACCCTAACCCTAACACCCTAACACCTAACACCCTAACACCCTAACACCCTAACACCCTAACACCCTAACACCCTAAACACCCTAACACCCTAACACCCTAACACCCTAACACCCTAACACCTAACACCCTAACACCCTAACACCCTAACACCCTAACACCTAACCCTAACACCCTAACACCCTAACACCCTAACACCCTAACACCCTAACACCCTAAACCTAACACCCTAACACCCTAACACCCTAACACCCTAACACCCTAACACCACCTAACACCCTAACAACCCTAACACCCTAACACCCTAACACCCTAACACCCTAACACCCTAACACCCTACACACCCTAACACCCTAACACCCTAACACCTCACCTAACACCCTAACACCCTAAATGCAAATATTCTTATAAGCGCAGAGAGACTGTATTTAATTGAATGTGGTGGATCAATCTATGAAAGTGAATTGTCAAATGATACAGTCTGGAGGCGAATTGGAGACTCACTAATTTATTATGATTATTTTGATCAAGTTTATTTGTTATACAATAAAGGAGGAATAAATATAAGGAATATATATTTGCATTTTTTAAGAGTCTAGCCCTTATTTTATTGAATTTTTATATAGGAATAAATATTCTTTATATTTGCTATTGATTTGGATAAAAGCGATTTTTTTGAATTATTTTTCAAAGATACATTAAATTCTTTATTATTAATTTCAATTGGAATTCTCTATCTATACAGAAGTATTCCTTTATATTCTTAAAATAATTTTATATATTCATTACATGGCTGTTCTATTTTAAATATTGAATAAAATTTTCATTAAATTATTAAATTAATGATTAATTTAAAAGGCAATTGCAATTTGATTTTATTGTCATATGCTGGTAAACTTGGTAGGCATTCAAATTTGTAATTTGATGGATTGCCTTCAACAGCACTAGATGACAAAACTAAATATTTTAATGCCTTAACAGACATTGGTTAAGTGACATAGTAGCGTTTTTTTTAGGCTATTGATGCATAATAAAAAAGAAACCCATAACTTGCTCCAAATTTTTTATACTTATTTTTTTAAAAGAGTTGTAATGCCTTTTGAGCCTTTAATATTATATATGTGCCAAAATATTTTAACGTAGGAATTAAATTAATTTTAGCTAAATGATGAGTTAAGATATTACTGAATAAAAAGCTAAATAAGCATCATTTTGGTCAAAGGTTTTAATTCCAACAATATTGTCATTATAATTGTTCCATTGGTCTCCATCCCTTGTAAATGCTGTATAGTGCCCTCCATTTCCATTCTTATAATAGCAAATAACTCCATACAAGCAGTAAGTTTGGCTATTTAATGTTAAAGTCTCTTCTAAAAAATTATAAGGCCTTGGGTTTCCATTTTCTGACCTAGACAAGTAGAAAATTAAGTAATGTGGAGACTCAATACTAGTGATTTCTGTTTTAAAAATTGAAAATTGATTGCATGATTCACATTTCAGTCCTTGACCTTGAATGCTTTTTGGTTCTGTTATTTTATTAAGAAAAGATGTAATACTTGTTTCATGGCTTGGAATAAGAAGTAAATTTTCCTCCCTTATTAGAAGTGATACTTTTCCGCAGTTATCGCAAGGCAGCTTCTCATGGTAGCAAAAAGAGAATAATGATTTTGCTCTTGCATCTAAAGTATGATCAAATAGTGTTACGAGTAGTTCTTTTGCATCCTGTTGCTCTCCATGCAAGAACATCGGAAAGACTGCGTCAATCTCTGATTTTAATGATCTTACTAATGCTTCAAAGCTTCCCATTCGAATAGCTAAAAGAACATTATATAAGGCTATTGACAAGCTATCCTCTTTTGTACCAATAAATTCAAAAAGCGTATTTGTGCTTGCGAAGATTTGCAAAACTGAGTTCAAATAGCAAGTGTTTCCGAGATTGGGAATTCCCTGTTTAATATTAGGAAATATAGAAGTTTTTGATTCTTTCAAATGAGAACTTGCTGAAAGGTCATACTGTTTGAGGGTGTGATCTTTACGAACTAGTTCAGCTTCTGGACAATGAATTGTTGAGATTATGCCTTGATTAAGTTCATCACAGGCTTGATTTATCTTGCTATAAAACTTTTCAAGCTCGGATTGCACTTGCTCTTTGTTTTTCGAAGATAAATTATTATTATACTGCATTAACTTATCATATTCACTTTGGAGCGAGTTATTGCTTTGCTTTTGCTTGTTGAGCTCAGATTCCAATGCTTTATTAGCTTTTTCTAGATTTTCTGCTTCTCTTTCTTTATTATTTAATAGCTGTTTTAAATTAGAAATTTCATTTTTAAGTTTTTCAATTTCAGATTTTTGTTTTGACATTGCACCTGAAGCTTCATTTACTGATTTGTTAAGAGTTTCATTCTCAGCAGTCAATCTTTCTATATCTCTTTCTTGATTCTCAAGTCTCTCCGAATATTTATGTGCTTCTTTATTGAGCGATTTTTTAAGAATATCATTTTCGTTAGTCAATGTCTCTATGTCTCTTGATTTCTCATATCGCTCAGAATAATATGAATGTTCCAATTTTGAAAAAATTGATAGGTTATCCATGCTATTCAAAATCAAAAATTGTTCAGCGTAATTAATATCTTCGTGAAATTGACAATCTTCCGTTCTTATGTACAATAAATACATATCAGGGAGAAAAGTTACCATGCTTTCTTCTCTATTCCCTAACGCAAATCATGAATTTTTCTTAAAATAATACATAATTTTTTCAGAATTAGAAAATGCTAACACCAGCAAGAATTTACCATAGCTATTTTCTAATAAGACTTTAGGCTTATCTGTACTGCTGATACAAGCTAAGTAAGCAGACTTATTTTTCATATATTCCCCTCAGGCTAACTTTCAATAATTTAATGAAGAAATATAAGTTGTATTTTCTTCTCGATAAAAAAGCAAATTTCATAGATAACAACCATCCAAAATAATGTTGAGCCAGCTTCAAATGCTATCTTTTTTCGTTTCAGTATGATCTCACAGCTGTTTTATTGATTCTTCTTTCAAGTTAAATTTTTGAGAATCTTTTAGAGCTTGCTCTATTTGCATTAAACTGCTAATTTGATCTTCATCATTATGAAGATATTCTGATATAGTATTAATTAAGCAAATAGATGCGCATAAATCTCAGTATTTCTGATCCTCAGGAATTTTCATTTCAAATCTACAATTAATTAATAAAATTAACTCCCGTCCATCATTAATTGAATGATCCGATGTCTAATCAAAAATAGAGTCAAAAATTTCTAAAAAAAATGTGTGTAACTTAATTATTTTTAAAAAATTTTCAATATGAAAATTTTACTCTGCAATAATAAGTGATATACTTGGAATATATAGCAAATATGCTAGAAATCGAATTAAAATACTCATAACTCTACTATTCATTATTATCAATAATAGCAGCTGGGCTCGAAGCGAGGCAGAGTAGTGGGTTTGTACTGACCACACGAAGATTGCTTGATCAGGATTCGTTCCATTAGGATGGGATTAAGTAAAAATGGAAAATAAATGATCTAATTTTCTATCTTTATAAATTGTTAAATATTTAAACTAATAATAAGCGAAATAATACTTCGATATATGCTTTGTTACATTAAGTACTAAAAAGGATACTTAAGCTTTTGTGAAGCTTAAGTTATAAGAATATAGTGCTGCTTTGAAAATTTAACAAATCATGCTTATATTAAATAACTTTATTTTAATTAAATGTTAATGACTGAAAATATACTTCAAAGGTGGAAGCATCATTTGAGCTTTATCTTCAACTGAGACTGCAAATAATATGAGACCAACCGACGTTTTACCCTCTGTTTTGTCTCCACTAATTTCTTTGTATAGCTCATAAACTTCTCTTTTAAGTAGCTCATCTTTATTATTATGTACAGATTATTTTGATAAATTCCTTCTGCATGTAAATTCTTTTCACACACATGACTAAAGAAACAAAGCCTAAAATCCTCATCAAAATTTGACAAGCGGAAGGGTGGTACCAAAGCAGTCAATCCTACTTATCTCTTGAATATTGATTAAACAAGCAGAACTTTCCACAGGCAATCTGCAATGGGGAAACCTTGTATTTTTCTTTCAAAGTGTCAACTAGCTCTCCCATTGTGCAAGGCCCATCAATGACAATATCGTCCCATTTGGTAAAGCCGTCATTATATGCCCTCTTGGGAGCAGCTAAAATTTCATCATATTCAACAGATTTAATCACTATTGCAGGCCGAGGTTCTGGGAAAAGGATAAACGGACTCGCCAAGTTCATAAAGCTATCCCTCATTTTTTCTAATTCTAACTCAAGAGTATATTTAATAAATTCAGCTACCCCGATTCCCGCAATAACTGCAGTTGTAGTTGCAAGAGCTGGGATGATTTTTCCAGCAATAACCTTGGTTTTGTGCCTTTCTATAGTTGAAATTTTGTAATTATTTGCCCTCAAATTTGAAGCAGTGTGGATAAAATCAATGTGGAAATTAGTATCATCATCTTTTTCAAATGCAATTGGTGTCATAGGCTTGGCATTTTCTAATGAAAATCCTTCAGTCCAGCTCAGCAATTCTTCTCTTAATTTTATGTCAGTTTCTCCTGTTGGTTGCGGCTGCTGATCCTCGCTATTTTCTAATTGTATATAGACTTTTCTTGGGACAAACTCCCTAACTTGGACCTTAGACACCACTTCTTTTATGTAATTCCTGTCTCTATTCTGTGGAATGTTAAGGTTAAAGGCTACCAAATTTGCATAAGCTTCTATAAATCCTATATGATCTTCTTTTTCTGTGTCAAAAATGCAAGGCTCAGGTAATCTCCTGGTTCCTGACCAAAAATCGCCACCTTCTGACCATTTTGCATCAGGGGGAAATTGATGTAATAATGATCTAATTTCTTCATTAAATAGCTCATTAAGTTTTTGTCTTGCGACAGCAATACAATCGTCAAAGCTGCTTATTTTAGAAAGCTCTAAATATTCTTTTAGCTGCTTTAGCTGGGTAACTTGCATTGCAGCGTTCCTCATGCTTCGTAGTTTTTGCATATAAGCCTCAGGGTTTTCCAAGTACTTATTTAGCTCTCCAGGGCCAGAAGTAAAGTAATCTGACAATTTTTCTCGAGACCACTCAATACAGTGAGAAATTGCATATGGAAAAGACTTTAAAGTACACTCAGGGATTTTCTCTTCAGACATTTGTGGAATATCTGAATATGTTTGAGTTAAAAACGGAATGATTACTTGAGAATTCGCTTTTGTCCCTTCTGTTCCGCTTTCAAAGAGTGGCTTTTTATACCAAACACATTTAGAATCTACATAAACTCGTGCATGTACATTATCCACAGCCCCAAAAACTGCATTTAATTTCCCCCAAAACCTATCGTTAAACAAGTTTTCTGTTTCTGGGCAAACTCTGTTTTTCAAAGCAGTGACGTTAATTTCTGGGTTCATAATTTTCGCTATCCTTGTGGCGCATTCACTTTTGGATTGTCCCACATTAGTCATGTTGAATAAAAACTGTCTCGTCAGATTGGAGACTTCTATGTTATCGTCGTCAGTGACAGTAAGTTCTCCAGACCCACAGCAAATTCCAGACAATGCAAAAAGCTTTAGCAATTCACATCCCAAAGCCCCAGACCCGACCATAAATAAATTGACTGATTTAAGCTTATTGACTCCTTCTTCTCCAATAATGGCTTGGAGATCATGATACCTTGAGTCAACAATGCTTGCAGTTGGCTGGATTAGCTCAAACCAGTCTATATGAAACCACTGCTGGATTGGAGTAAATTTTCCAGTGAATTTTATGACTTCTTGAGCCGCAATTCCTCCAAATATTGAAGTAACTGGAGGAATTTGCAGTCTTGCATACTTCGCGACGTTTTTGATGATGGATTCATCAATTGCATCTATGCCAAACTCTTGTGAAGAAACCTCTCTGATTTCCCTTGCATAAATCACACAGAGATTTGCGTGGTCTTCATTGTGGACTTCAGGGAGAAATCCATGAACTTCTTGGAATTTTCTGATAGCAAGCATAGCTAAATGTAGATGAGGAGGCCTGTTTTCTTTTGAGTAATCAGACTGTATGAAAGGCTTTAATTCTTCAGGATTTTTAATAGAAACTTCATAAGGCCGAAAATCATAATGGAAAGGTTTTCTGACCTCTTCAACGATTCCATATTTTACATAATCTGGGTATTCTGTGGTATCTTCATCTATTGAAAAGCTGTGCTGGTCTATATAAGTCACCATTCGTTCTCTGCCATCATTAAGAGGAGTCATTCCTTCCACTTCTTTGAACCTTACATATTCTCCATTCTGAAGCATTTGCCTTTGCTTCTCATCTATCATTACTACTCCAGGATTGCTTTTGCTTATATTGGTAATCAAATAACTCTTCAGGTCTGTCCCATTTCTATCAGAAACTTCGAAATTGTCCCCAAAATCCACAAAAATGTGCCCAGCTACTCCTCAGGCTTCAACAGACACAAAACCTACTTGAGGACTTAGCTCTCTGCAAATGGAATTCACCCTTCTGAGCGTGGCGCCATCACTTTCTGTAAGAAGCACCAATGAGTGTTGAGAAATAACTTCTTGGGTAATTTCTCCTTTATGGATGTTTACTGAGACGTTTGGGTTGAGTTCTTGGAGTTTGGAGACAACTGATTCAGCTCGGTTTTGGTTTATATGAGACTCGCTTATGTAAAAGTTGGTCCCTAAGTCATAAAGCGAAATTATAGAATCATCATGCAAAGTTACTGTATTGAGACCAGCTAAGATCAAGTTTTTAGCGATTTCTAGACCGACTCCTCGGAGACCAGAAATCAAGACTCGGATGGTGAAAAGCTTTTTTTGAGTCGTCATACCAATAGCAGCGATTGAGCGCGAATAGAGATGATCTTGACTTGACATTATTAACAAAAATGTAGAATCCTTAGTTCTCAGTTAAAAGTGTGAATAAAGATGAAAATATGAGCAACGAGGTAAAGTAAGGATGGGTTTATGGGAAAATCAGCTTACCCCCCTTGTGAGCAAAAAAAAAATTTTGTTCTCTATATATAAATTTATTGTAATTTTTTTCGAAATAAAATCCCAATTCTCAAAAACCGGAAAGCAAATATTAATTTAATTTATTAAATTTGTATTTTAAAATGCAAGCTGTTAATTAAATGGAATTAACTAGAGATTTTATTTTACTAATTATCACTTATATATCACCATTTTTTCATAAAAATAATTTTCAATTAAAAAATTTTTTGTTGGGTGGGTTTTTGGTCAAATAATAGGGATTTTTCTAATGTTTGTTTTACTCACGGAGGGGGAGTTAGGCAAAATTCCTGAGTCCAGAAATATTAAGGGACTTAAGACTAATTTAGCAATTTCTGGATAAATAGAAAAATAGTTAGCGAAAGACATGAAGACTCTATCATATAAGAATGAAGCAATAAAAACACAAGATGCATTTCCTAATTCATTTATTTTAAACTTTTTAATTTCTTTATGGCCCTAATGCAAAAAATTATTATTTATAATTCTACATATATGCAAAAGCTCCAGGCCGATTTCGCAAAATTTTGTGAAGATCCAACTGACGGTTTATTAGTTTATTTAATCAACAATGATTTCTATCACTGAGGTGGGGTACTAATAGGCCCACCAGAAACTCCTTTTGAAGGCGGAAGATTCCAATTTGAGATTCTTTTCCCTCAAGATTTCCCTCAAAGTCCTCCAGAGTTTTACTTCAAAACGATTATTTTCCATCCAAACGTGGACTCGAACGGCAAAGCTTGCACAATGCTGCTTAATTACAAGTGGCAAAGCACAACAACAGTAAAATCGATCCTTGATAGCATTTGTGTGCTGATGAGTGAACCTAGCACTGAGGATGGATACCTTAATGATGCAACTGCAGTCAGAAGCGCTGATAAAGAGGAATATGAAAGAATAGCTAGGATGTGGACGCATATGTATGCAGTTTAATTTATTCTAAAATAATTATTATAGAAAGTAATGCGAAATATACGCTAGAATCATTTCTCCTTTTTTTTAACTTAACTTAAATTTGGTGATTAAGCTGTTCGGATTTCATTCCCTTTTAACAAGGATTATGAAGAACTAGTTACGTCATGGGCCATTCCACCATATAAATACCGTAACACATGGGAGGCCTTCCTTGGCATGCTCCTACCATTTCAAAGCGAAACTTCTCACCCGTTGCTCTTGCCAAAATCAGTTCCTGCGCATATTCCTCTTAAGAATTGCCTTCTCCGGTGTGCTGATTGGAAAAAACCCAAGCCTCTTGAATGCGCTAAGGAGCAGTTTCTCTAGCTTGAATGCGCTAAGGAGCACTTCCTCTAGCCCTATGCGACTAAAGTTAAACCTTTGTTGCTGTGCAGAAGTTCTCCAGCTAAAACCAAATCCCACAAATAAAATTCATGAGGAGAGAAAACTAGTAAAGCTTATTTCTCTAGAACTGAATGCCATTTTATTTATTCAAATTTTTTTAAACAGATGTAGGGATGGGAGCAGCCTTTGTACCAGGAATTGATGGAGGTGCTTTAGAATAAAATGCTAAAAATACTAGGGATGGGTTTATGCTTTTAGCTTCAACGTGCTCATCATTATACTCATTTCAATCAACTCCATCTTTAGTTAATGCAGTATAATGAAAGCTTTCTTCTTGATAATAGCAAATAGCTCCATATAATTCATATCAATTGTTTTTATTAAAATGAATATAAGGTTTTAGAGCCTGAGGAGAAGCTGGAAAATAAAAGATAAGATGTTGTGGGTAGACGGGTAGAGTCGCAGAAATGCTAATATCAGCTTCTTTTTTGCATGGACTGCAAAATGATTTAATCTTTGAAGGATTATTAATTTTGCTGAGGATAAAATTCTCTGGGTATTCTTTATATTGTGGAGGAATTACTAAAAATGAGCTGACATCTGAATAAGCTGATTTGTGCTTTTTACTGCATATTAGGTTTTGCTCAAAAACAATTGAAAAAATATCAAAATTCCTTTGTTCTTCTCCTAATTTGCTTAAAATCATATTCAAAACTTCTTTAGGATCTTGCTGAGTGTAAGCTACAAGCTAAATAACTTTTACAAACGGATAATTTTGCACCAGATTTGATAAAAATAACTTTGTCAAGCCTCCAATAGTCCGAGGGCTGTTGTCCTTTTTCATATTGAGCAAAAGGTCTTTAAGAGATTTTGAAAATGGCTGGGTTAAACTTTGAAGTGCAGCCTCAAAGGCAGGAGTACTCGAAAATATTTGTAAAAGAGAATTCAAATAGCAGGTGTTTCCTAAATTAGGAAGGCCGTGCTTACGATTGGGAGGTAGCTCAATTATTTGACTTTCTTTAAGTTTTCTGCATTCTTCTCTTAATGATTCATTCTCATAAACTAAATCGTGATTTAATTTTTCCAATTGGACTAGTTGGAAATTATGGCCCGCGCTCATTTGTTGTCCTTGATTATGAAGGAGCTGAATGGTGTCATGCATTTCTTTCTTTTCTTTTTCAAGGTTAGCGATTTCCGATTCATATTTATTTTTTATATCTTCTGAGGCTTTTCTTTGCTCCTTAAGCTCATGAATTTCATGTTTCAAAGAATTTATTAGGTTTTGCGATTTCTGATTTGAACCTTCGAGTTTTTTTACATTTTGCTGTAAATTTTTAATTGATAGCTTAAGTTTGCAGACTTGCTCATTGTCAATTTCAGTTTGTAATTCTTGATTTTTTGTATCTTTTACCCCTTTTTCAATAATTTCATTGCTTTCTTTACTTTCATCTATGCTAGCTCTTTGGTTTATTTCAGATGCTTCACTAATATCTAGTAGAGACTCATTTTCGGTATGCGAGTCTCTAAGCAGCGAATATATTTTTTCATAGCATTTAGAGTTTAAAATCCGCTCTATATCATGTAGAGGAGCCTCGCAAAAGTAAAAATAATGCGGTTCATCAGGCATGGACTTATCAAACCCAATTTTGTATCAATCTTCATCTTTCCAATGATAAAGTGCTTTGCCATTTTCTAAAAGCGCTGCGACAAGAAAATAGCTATTTTCATTTTCTTTTATTTTAATTGAGCAAATTCTCGATGGAAGATCTTTTAAAATCATTATTTTATCAGCAGCACAGAAGATCTTTTGTTGTAATGGTAAATCAATAAGATCTTTTTCAATGCATGAAATAGTTCAGCTATTATCTATTAAAACTTGGTCTAGCTCATCTCGTAAAAAGGCTAGCTCCCTTTGATTTTGTTCATCTCATTGTAAGGAATTTAGTACCTGATTTAAGGTTTCAGACAGCAACAGATTGGTTTCGAAATTGATAAATTGTTTAAGGGAATAAGTGAGATTGACTGCGATGCAAAATTTTCAAACTCGTGCGTCAGACATTTTCTATACTTTATTGGATGTCCGATTTAAGAGTTTTTTTAATTATAGTAAAAGCAATGCCTTATTTTCTGGAATTTACTCTTTTGCAATGCAAATATGATGGCACTAATTTAAATTCAATTTATTTACCCTTTTTTCAATAAATATTCACAAATATAAAACCAATATATAAAGAAAATTGATTAGTGGTCTAAAGTCTAAATATGATAAGGAAATAATTATGATTCTATAATTTATTTTAGCATAATATTGCTTTGATTTATGCTTATATTTACATTAAGATTCACTGTCAAATCTGATTTTCTGAAAAGACTTTCTGAACTCTACAAATTTCATTTTAGATAACTTCTCTTGACTAAAGCCCTCAAGAAGCACAGGATTTCTTTCTAAGTCTAAGCTATGGATGCATTTTAAGTGGCTTGCCAATCAGCTTTGATTGATAAAAATTATATATTTTTGAATGATATAGAATCAGTAATTAAATTTAGAATTAGGGTTTAGTTTAGAAATTGTGCCCTTTATAGCATATACAATTATTTGACTTTAGCTGTGCCTGAGAATTGGCTTTAACTTTTAGCTGATGAACGATAGACAATATGAAAATTCCAAATATAGTAGGCATTCGCAAACTTAAGGGACCCAGTATTTGCAACTCCAATTTCTCTAGCTGATTTCAAATTATTAGATTATGCCTAACAAAATAAGAACTTAATCAATATACGGTTTTCTAAAGCAATATATTAAGGAGTAAAAATCTAAATAAGTTTTATTCATTCTTATTATATAGGCCAATTCTAATTACCTTTATCATTGATATAATTAAATTTTGAATATATGATTAAAGATCAGATGCTCATATTTAATATCTTATCCGACCAAGACAAGCAATGCTCTTGCAGAAATATATGTAAATCTTACTATCTGTGCTGGACTCTTTTACTCTAATTTTATAAGTTTAATGCTTTTAGTTAATCACTTATCGTCTTTCAAAACAGTGATACGTTTTGCACTGTATTCGTATTTTGCAATTTATATAACCTTAAGACCTCTTACTAAACATTTTAAAATGATAATTAAAAATTCTTAAGATTTACTAGAATTTATTATCTTAATTGTCCTTTTACCCCATTGCATGCTCAAAAGTCCATCTTCTTGCTTCCCTATTAAAATCTTCTCGATTCTTCAAGCATAATTCTGTGGCAGGTCCTTGGTATCCTGCTCTTGGTTCAGGCTCATTTAATAATCCTACTGCATACGAAATGATGTTTCTAACAGGGACTTTTGGGTTTCAGGCATTTGAAAAGATTTCACAACAAACGTGCCCATCAGATCTAATGTTTGGATGAAAAATTGGCGTCTTAAAAAGAAATTCAGGAGGACTTGTTGGGAAATTTGGTGGAAATGTAATTTCGAACTCGAATAGGCCACCTTCGTATGGGGTTCCATCAGGGCCATTAAGTGTTCCTTTTCAGTTGTAAAATGAGTGATTTATTATGTTTATAGTGATATAAGGTTCTGGTCTGTCTTGCAGATTGATAAACTCGTCCATAAGTCGTTGCATTTTGATTTCTATAAATTTTAATAATGGAACTAGATTTCAATAAATAGTTATATGCTAAACCTTGCGCATGAGTATTTATTTTTCTAATTCGCAAAGGATATATCCTGTTAATTTAAGTTAATTCTTTTATAATTGAAATAAAAGAAAATTTACATTATACGATACAAAATTAACTGAAATTATTTATGGATTTTTTAAGTCCTCGACTTATTTAATAAATAAAAAACTAAATAGCTATTTCCTGCATCATAGCTTTTATCACTTACAGTTGAGTCATTATATAATCTCCAAACATTCCCATCTTTAATATGAGTTGTATAATGCCCAATATTTCCAGAGCCATAGCTTCATATAAAACCATAGAGACTGAATTCATACTCTTCTAACTTCAGTTTTCCCTCAATTTTGGCATTAGGAAAATTTTTATAAGCTGGCAGATAAAAAATTAGCATTTCAGAATAAAATTCTCTTAGTTTTAATACTTATATTCCTCAGAGATTCACAAAATTGACAATGGAGTATATTATCTCCTCTAAAATTCTATACCTTGCATTGAAGTCTCTTAAATGCATCTGATTTGATTTTTGGTTATTTGGAATCGTAAAAAAGCTTTGATTTTCTTGATTATGGTAGGGACTTTATACAACTCATGCATATAGACTCTTGAATTGGAGTGATATTTGACAAACTTACGCTAGAAAGCTCTTCTAATGTTGATAAAAGGCACACTAAAAACTCTTTTGAATCTTGGTGGCCAAATGTATCAAGCTGCATAGAGCTTACGAATGAAAATTTTTGGTTAGCTTGATCTTTAAAAATCCTTAAATTCTGCTCGATATCTCTTTTTCTCTCATAATATTATAAACTCCATATAAAGCCACTGCAAAAGAGTGGCTGTCTATGCTCCTCACGAAATTTGTAAACCTATCATTGCTTTCTAAGGCTTGCGTCGTTAAAATACCCTGCATCAGGTTAGGGCTCTCTTAGCAAAACGCATATAGAATTCAAGATGCTGCTTATTGATATATTTGGCCTCAAAGTGAATTTGAGAACTTGTGTGCATGCTTTCCCGTCAGAGTCCACATTTGGGTGGAAAGTTCTTGTTTTGAAGAAAAATTCGGAAGAGAAGTTGGAGAATTGGAATAGAAAATTAGCTTGAATCGAAATTTGCCAACTTCAAAGGAGTTTCTAAGGCCTATCAGCAGTCCATTCCAATGGAAAAACTTGTCCTATATTAACTCGATTCCTTTATGTAGTTCGTTTGAGCTTATTAAATTCTTGCGCTATATGAATCATTTTATTAAGGATATTTTTATACATTCTACAATTATCACTTTATTTTAAAATAATAAATAGGTAAAGATTTGAAGAAAGTTTGTAGTGTTTAAATGAGAAATTTAGCTAAAATAAAATAATATCTATTTTATTAGGGGGCATTTAAGTTAGTAGCATGCCAAATTGCATACAAGGTAAAAAGTTAAATACATTATATATTTAGCTTGCTATGTCTTTTTGTAAAATAACATATAAGCATGCTCAAAATCAGGTGATGAGTAGCTAATATGGTCATCATTATATTGCATTCACTCTGCATTATCTAATGTATATGCAATATAATGCCTACACCCACTATTATAATAGCATATTACCCCATATAGCTCAAATTTATCACCACAATAAAAGAAATTATAAGCTCCTTGAGCTCTTTTGCCCAACACATTCCCAATATAAAATACAAAAATGTTTGGTATATTTATGCCAAAGGTGCTCATTACCATTTCCCTGTTTGCCGAGCAATTTTCACAATACAATAAATTTCCCCCTTTATACTCTTTTTCTTCTTCGAGATTTTTTAATTTCTCTTCAATTTCTTTTTTTGATGGATTTTTTAGAATGCAAAAGAGAGATGGCTCTTCTAAATTTGAAAAATTGTGGCATAGTTTGCATAGAATTTTCTTATATAAAATTATAGAGAAATCGCTTGAATCTGGCAAAAGGCCCATTAATGATAAGTAAAGCTCTTTTGGGTCATTTTCTGAGTGCTCGTTAAACTACGTATTTATTACCATGCGGAATTCTTGAAATAAATATAGCTGAAGCTTTTTTATTTCAGCGAAAATTGAAAGTCTGCCTTTCTGTTGGACTCATGATATAACTCTTGACAGTGAAACACATATTTTTGAATTTGAAGGTAATTTTTGAACAAAATCTGGAGTGCTTGATAATACTTGTAGAAGAGCATTTAAATAACAGGTATTCCCAACATTAGGGAGTCCCTGTTTATGAGATTTTATGCCATCTGGCTGGGATGCTCAAATAGGAAATACTAGCTTTTTTTCAGGAACAATACTTAGAGTTGGTAAATTTTGTATACTTATTATAGGCCTTGGAGAATCGAAAAAGTAGCCAAAAATCTTCCTAAGAAAATTTAATATCATCATTCTCTATGTTTTTCATACTTGAATTTGTAGAATTAAATTTTAAATATTTTATGCTTGAGGCCAACAAATATCTAGAATAAATTTTATATTTTCTTTTAATAATTGCAAAGAAAGTTATTACTTTATTCTGATGCATATTTACAGTAGCTTAATCTATAAAAGATCATCAGTATTTGCTTTTATCAAGATGAATTTGAAATAGAGGACGAATTTTCTTAGCATATTCAGTTTAAGACTTGGAAGATCAAAAATTCTTCTAAAATCTTTCTAAACATTTAAACTATCTTTTAGCGTTGAAAAATATGTTAAATTTATAGAATCAAATTTACTACTGATTAAATCACTGACAATAGATATGATCTTAGCTGGTGTAACCTCAAACTAATGAAAAAGAATTTGAATTAATCAGTTATGCTAAAGTTGAGCATAATCTAAAAAAATTATCAGCAGTTTCTATATTAAAATTTAGGTAGAATAGCACATCAAATTACTTGAAGCTCAGAGTTCCTTTATACCTTGATCCCTTGTATTGGCAGCACAGATAGTCTAAGTGAATTTTAGGCTATCATATTAAAAGAGCACATTTGTATTAGAAGGATATTTATTTAGCTAAAAGCATAAAGCTAGTGATCAATTATATAATAATTCATATTAATGACTTGGAGATATTTAAATCTATAATTTTATTTTGAAAAGCAAAGTTGAAATTTGATTTGATAAATATTCACAAAGTAATTTTAGACTTAGTTTACTAGATATAATTTTTTATCTTATTGATATAAGCCTAATTACAATAAATAGAAACATTCATACTGGTTAGTCGTTATCATATTTTATATGTTAAATAAATAACAGTTATCATTAGGTATGTTTTATTCAGTATAATAAGGCATAAAATAATTGCTTCAATAGTTATAGGAATTATTCTAATTAAATCTTGTAACTTATTTTTCCGGTAACCTTAATTTATAGAAATGAGAAAATTTCCAGGTCCGGTCAAAGGCAATCATAATTATTTGAATGCTGATATTCCAAGAAGACCAATTAATCCAAAAACCCAATCTATAACAGAGAAAAAAATAAATGAAGGTGAAGCAAGAAGTATCTCATATAGCAACAAATTGTCAACTAATGCAAACTTAAGAAATTCAAGCAATACTGGTTTAGGCAAGCCTGAAAGTCGAAGTGGAAATTTAAGTAAAAGTTTAATTTTAAATGAATTACTCTTGGATGCAGTCTCCTCGCTTGAGGTCCAACTTGTTTAACAGCTCTGAACAACGGTAGGTGGACCGGCCTAGCCGTTGAACAGTTAAAGTTAGCAAGTCCGTTAAGACTTCTCTAGTCAGTGTCAGACTCAGCACTGACCTCTCCACTCTCTTAAAAGAGACTAAAGAGGTACGGCCTCTATCACTAAGCTCGAAAATAGGTCCCTACCTGCGGAGGTGTCTAGGACCTATCTCTAACTGACATTTTTAATATTGTGTGAAGTGGAAATAACAGAGTTTTAAGCACGCCACCAAAACCGCAAGAACTAAGTCAAAGTTCAGGGAAAAAAGGAAATGAAGATAAAGCAAGAAGTATCATCTATAGCAATAAATTGTCATCTAATGCAAACTCAAGAAATTCTAGCAATGCTGGCGTAAGCAAGCCTGAAAGTCGAAGTGGAATTAGCAAAGTTGTAAGCACGCCATCAAAGCCACAAGAACCAAAACAAAGTTCTGGATCTTCAAAGACTATTCAAGCACCTCAACAAAAGCCAAACCAGAACGAAGAAAAATTAAAAATTACAAACCAAAATATTAAGATCAATTCAAGGGTCACCCGAGATGTAGCGCTAAAAGATACTAATTTAAATGTTCATTATACAGAATCATATTGCTTAATTAAGCTGAGCTTCAAAGCGCAGGTCGACTTGATGCCTTTTGTTGTTATTGCACGTAGATCGAGCCTCCAATTATTATTCGATCCAGTTAGTTTCCATGAAGCCATTCGTCTTGTACTTAAATAGGATTATTGAAAAGCTCCCTGTGATACCTCTTAAGGGTATTTATCTCCACCTTGCTTCGCAACTGCCTGCCGTCTATCTATTAGCTATGCTCCTCCAGAAAATGCTAGAGGCTTGGCTCATTGTATCACTCTACCTGACTCCTCCAGCGCCTGCTAAGCTTAAGGGTCTTGATTTTATATCAGCTGAAGCATTTAAAACGTGATACACAAAGGATGCGAAATTAGAATATAATCCTTGTTATTTTCTATCTATTGTGCAGAAGTCCAGTTATAAAACTACCCTATAAAAAAATAATGGTTGGGCGAGAGAAAAGGGAATCATAAACAGAATTGCTTTTAGCCAAATCCTTTTTATAATTTATAAATTCTTATTATACAGATAAAAGACATTATGACGTAAGTTATACATTTGGAAATAAAACCCAAGATCAAGATGAGAGACAAAGCCGTAATCTTAATAGAGTACCAAAGAGCGAAAATCAAAACTTCGATCATGTAAAGAATCCTCAGAATTCTCAGTATGATGCTATCTATAGTATTTACAAAAGTCCTAGCCCAGTTCAAGATAATTGGGGAAGAAATAAGGACCTGCATTACCGAGAAGACAAATATCAGAACTCTCAAGCAAATCCTGTGCCTGCTTGAAGTTTACAAAATTTCCAAGCTTCAAAAGAGAATAAGACGGAGAGTATTGTCCAAAAGTCGATTGGGAGCAATATTGAAGAGATTAAAAATGGTTATTTATATAATGACCCTACCAAAATTGCAGGCTATCAGCCAAACGGGAACGATTTCAAGTCAAATTCTTATCAAATAACGCAGCCAAAGGAAGCGACATAAAAATCCTTCCAAATCAAAGGAATGCGAGCTCAATTGATAACTCAAATTATAGACAAACTAAAGAAAATAATTCAGAGAATAAGTATGATCTCCAAAGTAGATACAATACTTCTGAAAAGCAGTCCATAAGCAACTCAAGTGCCAGCATGCAAGCTTCATTGCCGAGCAATATTAGCGAAATCGGAAATGAGAGAAGTCGAAGAAATCGCTTTGAAGATGATAGAAAAAACATAGTTCACCCCTATAATGCGGCATATGATATCAAAAGAACTGATAATTCTTACGCATATGGCATCGTGTGTACCCCAAAACCTAAATCTCTGGCGAACTGCAATAGCGGCCTACCTAATATTGGAAATACTTGCTATATGAATTCTGTATTGCAAATTCTAGTTAGCACTGAAGGTTTTGAAGGTATAGTAGCCTGGATAAATCAACCTTTTTTCACATATCTTTCTAATATCTTTAAGCTAATGAAATCAAAATCAGGCAATTTAGCCTCTGCTATTTCCCAATTCAAAAATGAATTAAGCTCAGAATTCTCAATGGTAGCCTTTATTTAGTTCCAAGGATGCACCCAAAATGACTCTAAAGAGCTTTTCCAAATTATCATCTCAAAAGTCGCTGACGAAAAGCCTAATTTCGACTTGTTTTTGATAAAAAGAGTTAAAAGGTTTATTTGTAGAGGGCATGATGCAGGCTCTCCAGAAGAAAGCTCCTCGTTTTTTGTGGTACCTACAAATAGGATAAGGAGTATCCAAAGCTATATAGATGGATTAAAGAATCCAGAGAGATTTCAAGGTGCGAATGCTCTTTATTGTGACAAATGTGACTGCTTGAGAGATATGACAATTGAGACAACTTCTATTGAGACCCGAGCTAATTTAGTTTTCTATTTGACTCCGGCACCAACCTCTTTTATTCCAGAAGACAATATAACAATTGAAAACAACAATTATAGACTTTATGGAGTTATCTGTCATATTGGGACCAATTTGTCTGGGCACTATTTTGCTTATACTTATTGTGAGGCTGAAAATTCATGAGTTGAGTATAACGATTCGATGGTTTCTTTTGCTGATAAGCCGAATTTTAGATGCGCTTATATGCTTTTCTATAAAAATAAAAATTAATTTTGGATTTTTAAATTGGATTTGGTTAGGAAATTTATCATTAAGCAAATAATGAATTATTATGTCTTTGCAAAGTTTGTTTAAATTCTTGGAAAATGATTATTGAGTTTAAGATAAAACTTCAGCAGGAAAATATTACAATTTCTAAAAATGCAATGTAGTCCTATTTAGAAAATTTTTTTATTATTAAAAATAATTTTTATAAAATCCTTAAAAATATACTTCTATTATAAGCTTTTTCTTCTTAAGATAAGGAGGATCGAACACTCAGTAGCCATAGATGTATATCCTGGCCTATTATACAAATAAGCATGAGTTGAATCTTGGACATACCCTGCATCAGAATTAGGATTGGCCAGCAGATCAAATACATAAGCAATAATAATTCTAGCTGGGATATTTCTATTATAAGAAATATTTAGAACCCTCACACAAGTTTCTCCGTTGACTTCGTATATATTGGGATGAAAAATCTTTGTTTTGAAAAAAATCAGGAGGTGATGCAGGGTAATTTTGAGGAAAACAATTTCGAACCTAAATTTTCCATTTTGGTAAGGAGTGTCTTGAGGCCCTTGAAGAGTGCCTTTCCAGTGGAAAAAATTGTTATTAACTATTTCAAAGAGTATTCTGAATGACTTTCCAATTGAATTGCGTTAAGCTCAGCTTGAAGTCTTTCCATTTCTACAGATGTTATTAAATTATTAAAATATCTAATTTTGAGATTTTATTATATTTTCTTAATAAGCTTACAATGAGAACCCAAAATTTCATTGAAGATCTATCTTTTATTTCCAAAATATTTATATAAAGTGATAAAATACATATAAGATTATATGGATATGAAAGGTAATTTCTATAAAGAAAAAATTTATATTCATTGCTGCTTTAAGCAATTTATAAATTTTAGGCATTTTCTAATCTAGCTTTTTATTTGAATTTTGTAATTAAATAATAATCATGAAGAAATTATTCTTGTTTTATGAAATAAGTATTTAAATCTGATGCATCATATACTTGCAGTAGTTTAAAAAATTAAGTCGAAAATATGAAATATTTTATTTCTCTAATAAAGAAATTTATTCAGGTTAAAAATATGATATTTTGAAGATATTTTTAGCCATAAATGATAATGCTGAAGAGCTTAGATTATAAATTATAGCTAACTCCCCCCCTCCGTGAGTGAACAAAAAAATTTTGTTCACTCACGGAGGGGGTTAATTTTTTTTTTAAAAAATTAACATATATAAATTTTATAAACAATATTTTTTTCCGAAATTTAAAAAAATCCTAATTCGCAAAAATTGGAAAGCAAATATTGCAAAATTTATGTTTTAAAAATCAATTTGTTTAAAATTAAACAGATTTAGCTCTATATTTCATTATACTAATTATCATTTATATATTAAAATTTTTTTCCATAAAAAAAATTTTTGTTCACTCACGGAGGGTGGGTTTTTAGGCAAAAAATAGCGATTTTTCTAATGGTTTTTTTCACTCATGGAGGGTGGGAGTAAGCCACTATAAACTCAATCATTTACCAAAACTTGAATTAGCAGTTGATAGCGAGCTATATCGTATGCTAATTATATTATTTGAAATTTAAACCTGCAAGAGTAATTTGGCAAATTCTCTATATTTATTTATTCAAGACAAATTGTTCTCTGCACTCTACAGGTTATGCGAAAAGATAAATATTTCCACTTAAAGTAGAAGAAATAATCAAGATAGCAAATAAAAATCCCTCATTCAGGATATAATATATATAAAAATTCATTACATCTCTTGAGATAGCAAAATTTAACAAGAAATTAGATATAAATTACTACATTCTCTTCCAGTTTGTGATCTTTGCAAGCTGCTATAAAATTCTAATTAACAGATCTCCTTATTAGGTCTAAAATTTTTATAATAAAATATATAAAAAGCAAAATTTCATATTTAATAAAAATTTATAGATTTAGCGATAAAATGTCCATAAGGATTAGAATTCATGTAATTGGAGGAGAAAACTTTGTAGTTAAAGCCTCAGCCAGTATGATATTTTTTGAGCTCTATTACAATATACAAGCTGCCCTTTCCCTGACTAATGATCTCAAAATCCTCACTAATCTCAAAAATGCAACCTACCTCAATTTCAACCTTGATGGCGAAAAATCTCTCTTTGATTTAAAATCATGAACAGCAGCTGCTTAGAGGTCAAAATTATCCCTGATTTGCATATCTCTGTAGTATATGGAGATAGAAGAAATTTCTTGAAATAAGAAGTAGCAATATGAAGCTTTCTGAGTTCACTAATTTAATGAAAACTAAATTTAAAATTAACCAAGACATCGAATTTAGAAAGAAGAAACTATCAGAGATTACAAAAAGAGACTAGATTTGGCAACACAAGGAAATTTTTCTTTAAAAGCTTTAGATTTACTAGTTCGGCTACTCTGAGAGTGCTTAAGGATGAAATAAGAATTATGTTTGATTTAATGAAGAAGTTCGTGTTTTTGATACCAAAAAGACTGATACTTTTTAAAAGTTAGAGAGAGGCATTCGTAATAAGCTTGGAATAAGAAAAATAGACTGTATGCTTGGGTCAAAAATTTCTTAATACATGAAATTAAATAAGAAAACAATTAAAATATATGTTTTTGGCATATTTTTGAGACTCAGCATGAATTTTATAAGAAATATATCAGAAAATTACTAAAAGTTTAATCATTATTCAATTCGACTCTCTTTTCATTTAATTTGGTGCTTTATAATAATTGATTCGTTTTGCACAATAAAGACCTCCACGCTCAAATTTCAAGATATTCAAACTTTCATTGTGCTTTATTTTTAAATCTCTCAGCGTTTTATAATAATTGTTTTCAAAATTCAAATAAACGGATTTCACCATAACAGAAGCTTCTCTATTATTTAATAGACGTAATCCAGTCCTGGTTTCAAGCATTTGGCAGACATCAAAACATTTTGATAAAGGGTTTACCATAACACTAAATTTTGATGAGTTTATCAAATTTTCAACGCGAACTGATATATCTGGACAGCCTTTTTTTGCATGCATTATTTTTACTACTTTTTCGCCCTCAAATCCTAAGTCACGAAGTTTTTCGCTTTGATGATCTACCAACCTTAAAAGTGTTCCATTATTCAGAGCGAGACTTTGATTATCTGCTTCATATTCGTTTAATAGAGGTCTTGCCAATAAAGAGAAGGTTCAATTAAGATTTATCTCTTTTTCTGCTGGCCGACCATCGATGTCGATTAAAGTTATAGTTACCATTGAGTTGTCGTTGCCCTGCATATTCTATAAATTATAGATGGATAATATGTCATAAATAAATTTTTGATTTAATTGAATAAATAATTTTTAATTTCATTAAAGGTTTTATTTGTTATTATTTAATTTGCATTTATAAAGTAATATCTCGCATTTTGTAATTTTTATAAATTCTCAATTATTTATATCATTTCAACAGCTGAATCAAAATTTTAAAAGCTTTTTCTTCTTGCTGCATTTTTATATATTCAATAGGGCGAAATTTATAGAATTATGAATTTTAACTAATTATTTGTGTCTCTATAGACAGAGGGAGCTGCTATTGAATAGCTCTGTCATTCGATCACAGAAATAACCAAAATTTCCAGAAAATTAATAAAGAAGAAAATAAGAAGTCTCAAGGTTTTCTTCATAATCGTTCATGCTGCATATTATTTTTTGGTATTTAGCAATCCTAAAGAAATTCTCTGCATCTGAATTTTCTTCTGCAAGAGTTTCAATCAAAGAATTGTAGAGCTCTTTACAATAATTCTAGATATCTATAATTTATATAATGAAATAAAATAAAATCAATCTATCATAGCACAAAACCTCAAAAAATTATAGAATCTTAATAATTAAAAATGGACAGCGCAACCGAAAGACTTATGAGAGACTTGAATGAGATGAGATCTGATCCTTTACCTTATGCGACAGCTGATATTGATGGAAACAATTTCAGACTTTGGAAGGGAACTCTCAATGGCCCGCCTGGAACTCCATATGAAGGAGGACTTTTCGAATTTCAGCTAAATTTCCCTGCTGATTATCCAACTAACCCTCCTACGTGCAAATTTATTACTCCTATTTTTCATCCAAATGTTTATTCAGACAGTGGAAATGGAAATGGAAATGTTTGCTTGCCGATTTTTCGTGGTGGCGTGGGCGGTGGGTGGAATAGTAGATTTACTCCAAAGACCATTATAAGCTATATAATTGCTTTATTAAATGACCCAAATGCAGCTGGTGGGTATGCCCATGACCCAACCACTGTCCTTAAAAGAAGTAAAGATGAATTTATAGCGAAGGCAAGAGAGCATACGTATAGACACGCTATGGGATAAACTTATAAATCTATTGAATGCAAATTGACTTATAAATAAAATTTTGATTAGTTGTAGCCAAGCTTAGAGTTATTAGGGCTAAGTTAATGATATACAAATGGGCCTTTAATCCAGAATAAACTATAAAATAAACTTTAAATTTAGCCATAATACGTAGTTGCTATATTGATATTTAAAAGTTGGATAAAATCGCCATGCTTTTCTATGGTGACAACTTATAAATAAGAGTTCAGGCTTGTGTAATCATGATTATTACTTTTACTAAGAGATTCTATAGAATGGATATATGCAAGGAGGAAAAATGATATAGCATTTTTCTTTTAATTGATCAGAATAATATAAACCATACCTGAACTAAGTTTTTGGAAGGTAATCCTAAGCTTCTTGCCTGTGAGCATACATCAAGGAAATAACTATCTATAAGCAGAAATTTTTAAGCTATAAAATATACTTTAGAGCAAGGAATGGGGTAATTTATAATTATAGTTTAACGAAAATTTAAAAGATTACTTTTTTACTTCTTTAAAGCTATTAACTTTTGTAGAATTACAATTTATAAGCTTGATATGGCAGCGTTGCAACGACTTATGACTGAACTGAATGATTTGCAAGCAAATCCTCAGCCTTTTGTTTCTGTGAATACTCACCAGGGAGACTACTATGAATGACTCGGAAATCTCAATGGGCCTGAAGGCACTGCTTTTGAAGGCGGTCTTTTTGAATTTTTAATAAAATTTTCCAAAAAATACCCAAGCAAGCCTCCCAAAGTATATTTTCAGACACCCATATTCCATCCAAATATTTTCCCTAGCAATGGAAGAGTTTGTCATTCTCTGCTTAACCATATGTGAAACCCAAACTGCCATCCCAGGGTTATCATTGACTATCTCATCGAATTACTGAACAGGCCTGAGCCAGAGCATGGATTTATGTGTGAGGCAGCTGATATTTGCTTAATAAGCAGAGAAGAATGATTCAATATAGCAAGAGAAAGAACATTTAGAGATGCATTTGGATAAAAACATTTAGGAAACAAGATTTACTATTAATAATTAATAAAGCTCCAATATTTGGACAATGCTCGCTTAAATATACATATGCAGCAGTGCTTTTAGTAAGAAACCAAAGAATTCAGCAAATAAAAAACTAAATAAACCCTAGGAATTCCATTCTGAAAATCAATATTTGCATATGCTTATCATTATAATGTATTGATGAGTAATTTTCTTTTGTGTATGTTGTATAATGCCCAGAAGACCCATGAACTGTATAAGACACAACTCAAACAGAGAGCACCGATTTCTTCAAAATCCAAACTTTTAGGAAGTCTGACTATAGCATCTATGCCTTGAAATGACAATATCAAGTAAGTTGGCTTGTTTATAAGGACTCATTCATCATGGAAATCGAATTTGAGCCGCATAAGTTACATTTTAATAAATCATTGCTTCTGAATATTGCTGGGTTTTGTAGCTTCGAAGGTATTCTTCAATATTGCTATAAAAATTTGGAGGGATTACTAAAAATTTGTCTGAGTCATTAAGTATGCTGCAGTGGTGAAGCGTTCAGATATAATATATTTGGAGCGATATTCTATTATGGAAACCATTTTATAGCGTTTGCTAAAGATGATAAAAAAGGCTTATGGTAGGAATTTAACGATTAAGTGGTCAATTGATGAAGTCCTGATTGGAATCTCCTTTATTTGGTGTCTTACAGAAATATAAACTAATTTTTAATAATAATTTTTGATTAGATAGAAACACATTTATTCCTATGAATTGAAATTTGGCTTAGTTTCTATATTTCAGTAACGAGTTTATTACAATTGAACTTTAAGCAGCTGAGTAGTTAAAATATGCTATTAGTAAAACTAGCCAAATTCGCTTATAAGTTACTAATTTTTTTGAAATTCCGCAAATAGCTTTCTTAAAACTCTTAAATTTATGAATTTTATTAATTTTCCATTGTGCATGTTTCTATAAAATATGTCAAATCTTACTTTAAGAATCGAAGATGCTACCGGAACAACAAAAATTCTGCAAGGCAAGAGTGATTGGCAATATTCTGAGCTTCTTAGACATCTGCAGACTATGTTTGGTGGAACCGAACTCACAGTCATGTATGGAAATAAATACATCGGTCCGAACTCCCAAAACCTCACACTGCAGCAACTAAATATCACCAATAATTCAGTTATCCGCGTTGTTAGTGTTCAAAGGCCTCAAAACCCCAACCCACCTGCTCCTGAACAGCCTCCAGTGCAAGCTCCTCAGCAAATTTCTATAGTCATTGAAGACAATGAAGGAACTAAAAGGACAATTCAAGTTCCTCCAAATCTGCAATTTAAGCACCTCTATGAAAGATTCTTGCAGATTTTTGGAAACCAAGAATTGACAATTATAAAAGGAAATAAGTACCTTTCTCTAACCAGCAATGGTGAAATAGACCTGCAAACATTAGGAATTGGTAATAACTCTACCATTAAAGTTATGAAGCAAATGGTTGGAGGTTTTATAAAATCCGAAAATTAACTAAAATATAAATTTCTTTATAATTCATATCAAAAGAGCTTTTGCTAACTTAAGCTATTAAAAGTTTTGAATCTACAAATAAAAATGAAAGCACATAACGATCAATATTGGAATTTTAAGTCTAATCTCTACTTTTTCCACAATTTAAACAAGGAATACTCATTTTTACAAAAAATTTCATCAACCTGTAATTGGATGATTGCTTTGCAAAATTTATTTAAGGAATTAGATGAGGGAAATCAGGATAATGAAATTTTTAAGAAAATGTTTTTTAAATATTTTAACTTGCGATTGTTTGATTGATTTAGCTATTTGAAGCATTTTATAAAGATTTTTTTTACGAGCAGCGGACAGATTGAAGATATTGCTAAATTATGAGTTTGCCTCCCTGATGATTCTTATAAGCAAGAGGAAGAAATAAAGAAAGACATCAATAAAAAATATGATCTCTTATTCATCTCATCTAAAAAATCCCAGCTAAGCATCAAAAATGAAATCACTATTCAGAATTATCAATATTCTTTGGTGTCTGCAATATCATTTCCTTCAAAAAAGCTTTTTTTCAAAGACAAGGGCAACTGATCTCAATTAAATTGTTCACTTAACATAAGTAAACTTGAAAAATTTCCCCCAGAACTTCAAGTGTCGTTTTTATGTTTTAAGTATGAGAGCGAAATCAAAGAAAAAGTACCAAAAAAACGAGCTAATGAAGAATATTCTTCAGAAGAAAAAATTAGAAAAAGAAGACCATTAGGATATTTTTCAAAAATTGGAATCCCGAATATCGGAAACACTTGCTACTTGAATTCTGTTCTACAAATTTTAGCTTCAACTCCAGGGTTTTCAGAAAATCTTTCACTGCAAACCTCTCTAGAAATATCTCTCAACAAATTATTAAATTCAATAAAATACCGTTCAGCCAATAGCGTTGAGAGAAATGCAGAAACTTTTAAAACTGATCTTGGGCAGAATTTTCCTATGGTAATTTATATGCAGTTTTTAGGATACGGGCAAAATGATGCAAAGGAGCTATTCGTCCAAATTATTTCATTTTGTAATGAATTAAACCCTCAAAATCATTTTTTTGAAGTCTATATTGATCAAATGTTCGAATGCCATAACACTCATCTTCATAAGAGCTATAATTGCGAAACAGAGCTGTTTATGACTGTTCCTCCGCATTATTTAAACATTAAAAAATACTTTGATGATAAAAGGTTGCCTAAGAAATATATCAATCAAAATCAGCTTTACTGCCAAAACTGTGAGAGATTAGCAGATACGACATTAAATGTTTTGGAGATAAAATGCCACTTAAATTTAGCATTTTATATGCCAAAAAGAACTAGCAGCTTGATGAGCATAAGGAGGGAATTTAAGGAATTTAGGGAAATAGAGCTCAATAATGTAAGTTATTGCTTGTATGGCATAATTTGCTATTATGGAGTGAGCACTTATGGCCATTATATTGCATATACAATAAATACAGAAGGAGAATGAGAAAAATATAATGATATATCAGTATCATATGAAGACCCTGACTTTGATAACGCTTATATGCTATTTTATAAAAGAAATTAGGTAATAATAACTCTATAAATTTAACTACTTATATTGAATTCACAGGTTTTCCGTCCCAATGCTTTTTTAAATAATATATTAACTTTTTTTATCAGATTTTAAAATTCTCAGAATAGATTAATTATTATTTGAATTAATCAGCTAGCAGAAAGGTGGCTTTATAAAACAACAGGTAAGCAAAATCAAGCCTTGGCGCTTCATAAGTAACAGTTTCATCATCGAATTTTATCCAGTTATTTTCGATCAAAACATAACTAAAATAATGAAGAATATAAGGATTGTACGCAATGACTCCATAAAGGAGATATAGATTATCTTCTTGAATAAAACTCGTCTTAATATTTTCATTCCTCGATTCTGATGGCGGCACATAAATTGCCAAATTCGATGGAAAGTCTATTTTATTAGTCGAAATTCTAGCTCTTTTTAAGGTATTTGAGCGTTTACACCTTAAAGAATTTTCCCCTTCAAATCATTGATCTTCTCCTAGCCTTATAAAATAGCTTTCAACATCACCATATGGTACACATAAAAACAGGAATTTCTCGGTTATTTCTTCTGCATGGTCAATGCTATATCTCTCATTATGATGGCAATGCAGAGTTTTATGCACTACTATACAAAAGAGATTTGTGATATTTTCTTCTATTTCGCCAATAAGAACTGTAAATAACTCTTTAGCATCATGGTTTTTTTTTATATGAAACTATTTAAAAATTACATCTTTAAAGGTTTTGTTTAAGCTGGAAATTAAAGTTCTCAAGGGATTCTCTATGCCTTGAGTGGTGTTCATAATAGACAGAACAGCAAATAATTGTGGAATTGGGGGGGTTCTAGATAATTGAATCAATGACGCGAACCCTTCTGTTCATTTTAGGATATGTAGGACTGAGTTTAGGTAGCAAGTGTTTCCTAAATTTGGAAGTCCTTTATAATTTGGGTTAATGGGTGTATTGGGAAGGTTTAGAGATAGAGTTCTTGGAGAATGGCTTTGCATAATTTCCTTTGATTCTTCATTGAATTGCTGCTGACTTGCCTGAGAATTTATTCGCCAAAAACAATAAATATATCCAGGATGTGATTTTTGATAAAATTTCCATTCAGTAACTTCTTTAACTCCTTGAGTGTAATCTATCATTGTTGTCTCACTAACGTTAATTGAAAAAGTCAAGCAAAAGCCCAAATTTTCATAATGATCTTTATCAATACTTGGACTCCGTTGATCATAAATAATAACTATGTCATTATTTTTATTAAATATTTCCTCCTCACGAATAAATGAAATATTACGAGAAAAATAGACTTTTTCAGCAACTAAAGAGTCTTTTGATAATAATAGGAACTTTAAAGCTTCAAAAATATTTGGACTGTTTCCATCTTTAGGAAGACTATCACTCAAAATTGTCAGGTTTCTGTCATTTATATCTGAATTCACTATCTTATAAAACAGGCTTGTTTTATTGTTGGCTAAATCCTATCCTTTTAAAATTGGAACAACATATCTGCAAACTTTCCATTTTATTGGTACATTAAACCCCCTTTATTTCTAATTTTTCTATTGTAAATTTTATAGGTGAAAATAATAACTAATTTTGATTGATTTCAAGGATGAAGTGCAATTGAAATATATTTAAACGGTTTTAGCACTGAATTAATTTTTGAGTTAATTCTTTATAAAACTAAATTAAAATTCCCATTATTATCATTATTAAAAGTAAAAAAGAAAAATTGCATAATTTCCAAAAGCATCAACACTTCCTCTCTTACAAAAATTTTTATATGGGATTCATGTTTCTTTTTATGATTGACTGATTCCATATTTCTTTAATAAATAATTCCAATAAAATTCCAATTTTATTATCTCTTTAATTTCTTCTTCATAATAAGTTTCTCTTATAGTTTTTAATACTTAAAACCAAACATTCAATGAATGCTACATTGTTTCTATCTTCAAATTTCAATTCATTGCAGGCAGTATTAAACGAAGTAGTTTTTAACAAAAAATGCGATTCATTTCCTGATCCTGAAATTTTCTGTTATGCTCATTCTATGTTTTATATTTTTTTTACAAACTTTTATAATTATTTTAGCATATAAATTTTTAAAAATAATTAGCACCGTTTAAAATTTGAATAGAATTTTTTTCCGACTCAAAGCGTGGGAGTAAGCAATTATATTGATTAAGAATCTTTAATGCACTGCATGCAAGTGATAATATATTTTTTGAATAGCTCAAATTGTAGTTTTTGCTCATTATATTTCTATAAATATGTCATTGAGTTATTATCTAATTAATTTATTATTTATTAGAAAATAAGAAATTTATTAAATAAGCATTTATCTCTATTGATAATAAATTCTCGCAATGCCTACAATCAAGAATTATATTGCATATAATCTTGTCCACTCAGCAGCCATAGATGTATATCCTGGCCTATTATACAAATAAGCATGAGTTGAGTCTTGGACATACCCTGCATCAGGATTAGGATTCGCCAGCAGATCAAATACATAAGCAATAATAATTCTAACTGGGATATTTCTATTATAAGAAATATTTAGAACCCTCACACAAGTTTCTCCGTTGACTTCGTATATATTGGGATGAAAAATCTTTGTTTTGAAAAAAAATTCAGGAGGTGATGCGGGGTAACTTTGAGGGAAAACAATTTCGAACCTAAATTTTCCATTTTGGTAAGGAGTGTCTTGAGGTCCTTGAAGAGTGCCTTTCCAGTGGAAAAAATTGTTATTGACTATTTCAACAGAGTATTCTGGATGACTTTCTGATTGAATTGCGTTAAACTCAGCTTGAAGTCTTTCCATTTCTACAGATTGTTATTAAAATATTAAAATATTTAATCTTGAGATTTTATTATATTTTCTTAATAGGCTTACAATGAGAACCCAAAATTCATTGAAGATCTATCTTTTATTTCTAAAATAAATATAAAGGCATAAAATCCATATAAGATTATATGGATATGAAAGGTAATTTCTATAAAGTGGGGAAATAATCAAGATAGTAAATAAGAATCCCTCATTCAGGATATAATATATAAAAAAAATCATTACATCTCTTGAGATAGTAAATTTTGCAAGAAATTAGATGGTTTATCTTATAACTTCCACATACTCTTCCAGTTTTTGATCTTTGCAAGCTTCTATAAGTTATCATTAATTTCAAATTAACAGATCTCCTTATTAGGTTCGATCTCAACTAAAATTTTATAAAAACCATATTAAAAGCACAATTTCATAGTTAATAAAAATTTATAGATTCCATTGATAAAATGTCTTTAAGGATTATAATTCAGGTAATTGGAGGAGAAAACTTTGTAGTTGAAGCCTCAGCTGATATGAAATTTTCTGAGCTCTATCAAAATATCCAAGCTGCCCTTTCCCTGACTAATGATCTCAAAATCCTCAAAAATCCAAACTACCTCAATTTCAACCGTGATGGCGAAAAATCTCTCCTTGAATTAAAAATTATGAACAACAGCTGCTTAGATATTGAAATTATCCCTGATTTGTATATCTCTGTAGAATATGGAGATAGAAAAGAGGTTCTTGAAATAAGAAGCAGCGATATGAAGCTTTCTGAGTTCACCAATTTAGTGAAAGCTAAATTTAACATTAGCCAAGACATCGAAATGCATAAAGAAGTTATTATCAGAAATTACAAAAAGAGACTTGATTTGGCAACAGAAGAAAACTATTCCTTAAAAGATTTAGATTTTACTAGTTCAACTTCTGTGAGAGTGAGTAAAGATGAAATAAGAATTATGATTGAGTTTGAAGACGGATTTATTATTTTTAATACCAAAAAGACTGACACTTTTGAAACGTTGGAGAGAAATATTCGCGATAAGCTTGGAAAGAGGGGAATAGTCTGTATACTTGGGTCAAAAACACTTCGAGTTCCTGAGAACGGGAGTTCAACACTAGAAGCACTAGGAATTTCAGCTAATTCTAAGCTGATAGTGTTAGACTGTTTTAATGGAGGCTTTATTTTTTGTAGCACATCATTTGCCAAAATATTTTTTTCATCTTGCATTTGCTCGGCTAAGACCACTATTGCTCGGCTGGACTATCTGAAGAGAAAAAAAGTTTCGAATAAATTGCGCCGGATAAATGCATGAAAGAGAAAATATCTAAAGGAAAAGACATCGGCTTTTTATTTTGCTTAAATTATAGTTATTATGGTTATTTTGCCTCATTAAGATTTTAAATTTAATCTTATGTCTGAAAAGTTGCATATTTTTTATCTAATTTAAAAAAAGACTATTATAAAAAAATTACTATGGGCCGAGATCCCTCCCCTTTAAATACTAAAAAATGTTCCAATTTAAAAGGTTTAATTTTCTAAATTATTAGTAGCTTTTAATGAATTCCAGCTTTCTTATCTGACAATTTTTTATGAGTTTTGCAATGCTCTTAACTGCAAATTGGAGAATTCTTAGAGAGGATTAATGATTTAATGTCACTATTTAACGCCATCCCCCAAATTACAAACTTGGTTTAACACTTGCAAAATTTCCTTCTTTTTGATGATTTATTATCAAAAATTTCCAAAAATTATTTATTTTTGATTGCATACTTTTATTAAATTATCTAAAATTATTTTATAATTTCTCTGCATGTCTATAAAACGCCATATAAGTATAATAATAATCAGGCTTCTTTTCAGTCACTGATATATCATTATACTCTCTCCATATTCCACCATCTAACGTAAAAGCTATATAATGTCGGTAAGACGGATAAAAAGAAATTATTCCATAAAGTTCATATTCTTTATCTTTAAATGTCTCAGATTCCTTAATATTCCTTTTCTTCGGATTTTCACCAGGAAAATAAAAAACTAAAAATTTTGGCAGCTTATATTTTGAGGTAATACTAGCGTCCTTTAAACTGTTGCAGGTGCTGCAGTATAACTTATTTTCCCCACTAAAATCGCTTTTCTGCTCTAAAATATCTATAAAGCCACTAATATCTTTATTGAAATTTTGAGGGATTAATAAAAGTGTTTCCACCTCTTCTTTTTTTTCTATATGTCCATTTTCACAAATAATTGTTTCATCTTTTCTAATAAAAAATAAATCCTTCAAATTTTCATTAATTTCTGAGCATTTATCGATTATAATTACAAATATTTCTTTACTGTCATTTTGTCTGCCTAAAGTAAACTATTTAGAAAATACGTCTGAATATGATTGCTGAATGATCTTTAAAAGGCTGTTTATTTCTGGCTGAAAATTAGTGTCTGAGTATTTATTTATCATTTTGATAATGGTTAATAAAGTTCCTGAAAGCTCAAAATCTGGATTTAAGCATTTAGAAAATTCTGGGGTGCTTGCTAAAATTTGTAAAACTGAGTTCAAGTAGCAAGTGTTCCCAAAATTCGGGATTCCTAATTTTCTGGAATAATTTTCTTTTATTCCGGGGTAATTTACGATTTCCTCTTGGCTGAAATAGTTTGGATTTTCTATTTGGTTATCTCATTCAAACTTTTTATGATCCCTAATCTTGCAGCATATTAGTCATATTATGAAATCGCATATCCCTTCGCAATATCTGGCTATTGCACCATAAATCAAGCTGCAATAGCTGCCCAGTTGTGATAATATGTATAAGAGATATAAATAAAATTTAAAACTGCGATTTTGACTTCTTTCGCCTTCTTTTTCTTCTTGCTGCATTTTTATATATTCTATAGGGCAAATTTATAGAATTATGAAATTTTAACTGATTATTTGTGTCTCTATAGGCAGAGGGAACTGCTATTGCAATAACCCTGCCATTTGATCACAGAAATAGTCAAAATACTAGATAATTAATTATCCGAGTTAACAAATCTACATAAATTTAAATAAATAATTATTTTATAAATAATTAAAAATGCAGCGCTATCACTTATTTTTTGCAAATATACGATAATTTTTCTTATAATCAAAGCCCCTGCTTTCAACTTAAAATCATCACATTTATCCAAACTCCTTGAGAAAATGCTTACCCAGATATTGCTTATAATTGTTTCTTTATCCATAGCAAATAATAGGATACAGCAAATATTCAACTCCAAGAATTTCTAATAATTAATGATAACTATAATTAACTCTCATATTTTCTTTTACTCTTAATTATAAAAATACCAAGCCAAAAGTAACTCAAAAACGTCTTCATTTTACACATATCTAACTCCCCCCCCCTCCGTGAGCGAACAAAAAAATTTTGTTCGCTCACGGAGGGGGGTTAATTTTTTTTTTTAAAAAAAAAATTTATATATAAATTTTATAAAAAATATTTTTTTCGAAATTTAAAAAAAATCCTAATTTGCAAAAATTGGGAAGCAAATATTAATTTAATTTGCAAAATTTATGTTTTAAAACGCAATTTGTTTAAATTTAAACAGAATTAGCTCTAGATTTCATTATACTAATTATCACTTATATATCAAAATTTTTTTCCATTAAAATTTTTTTCTATTAAAAAAATTTTTGTTCACTCACGGAGGGTGGGTTTTTGGTCAAAAAATGGCGATTTTTCTAATGGTTTTGTTCGCTCACGGAGGGGGGGGGGGAGTAAGCCTTAAAATGAGTTTTATTAAAGAAAAATAAATATGTTTCTAACTATTTGCTTTTAACCCTATAAAACAGCATATAAGCATTCTTCATATCTGGGCATTTCTCTGTAGCAAAAGCATCGTTATACTCTCTCCACTTGCCATCTTCATCTAGTGTGCATGCTATATAATGGCTAGAATATTTATGCTCAAAATAGCAAATTACTCCATAGAGCTCATAATATTTTCCTTCAAAATTAATACTTTCTACTGATTTTATGCTTTTAAATGGTTTCCCTGGTAAATAGACTGCCAATATTTGTGGCAGCTCTAAAGAAACGATCTTAATTGTTGTAGCTCTTAAGCAATTGCATTTTTCGCAAAATAAAGGATTATTCTCATTAAATTCATCTGCTTTATCTTTTAAGTCTTTTAAATATGAGCCTAAGCTCGAATTAGCGCTTTTTGGATAAAGAAGAAAATAAGAAGTCTCAGGTTTTTCTTGATTATGGTTCATGCTGCATATTATTTTTTGGTATTTAACAATCTTAAAGAAATTCTCTGCATCTGAGTTTTCTTTTGCAAGAGTTTCAATAAGAATATTGTAGAGCTCTTTACAATCATTTTGCTTTCCCAAAGAAAACTGAACTAAAATTACCATTTCGTGCTCCTTGCTTAGCTTTAATAAGAAATTCTGTATTTTAGGCTCAAAATCATGATTTGGAGATCTCAAATCGTCAAAAATATCTGATAGCCCAAAACAATTTTTTATTGAACTAGCAAACTCATTCGTACTAGACAATATCTGTATTATTGAATTTAAATAGCAGGTGCTTCCATAATTTGGAATCCCTTGTTTCCTATATTGCTCGGGCATGCTGTAAGAATTTTGATTTTTTCTTTTTGCTTTTCTTTTACATCTAAAACAAGAAAATAAGCATCCTATAAAGATCATTACATAATGTGGAAATTTTTTAAAAGCCAAATGTAAGAGCCTATAAAATATTTCTCATAAGCAATAAAGATATCATACACAAGTCGCAATCAGCCAGAATAAGCATGCTAGATAGAAACTCAAAAATGTTTCAGCTGCTTTTTTAATATTGACTTCCATTTCTATAAATTTATAGTGGTAATGCAGTTCTTAAAGATTATTTGCTCTTCTAAATAATTTTATTTTTAAATTATATTACTTAAGGATAAAATAAAAGCGAAGATTAAGATTCTACAGAATTGATTTTATTTATAATTATTTAACTTACAACTAAATGAATTATTTATAGTCTAATTTAATCTATGATTTAAGCTAAATTCTAAATAAGCACATATTTTGAATATATGATAAATTGAAACAGGTGAGTGAATATTTATTGCTATAGTGGAATGTGCAGCTATTATTATAGGGAGCATCCAAAGAAGATGGATTAAATATAATTATGCTTTTGTGGATGAGACTAAAAAAGTTTGGCTAAGTTATTTAAATATAAATATAGCCAAAGGGCCTATATAGATCGTTCTGCTAAATAACTCACTCCTCGAGCTGATTCTCCAGCTCAAATTGGTAAACAACTTGAGGAATTTGCAAATGCGCCGATATGAGGGATTTGCCAATTCCCCGAGTTGGTTCGTCGGCTTGAATTGTCAAATCAACATGGGAAATTCTCAACTACTCCCAGCCTAAGACGGTCTATATTAGTTTCTTAGTTATAAAATTTTAAGCTATTTATTATTATGATAATCAACTAGTTTACTTAGAAATCTTTATCTTATAAATTTAATAATTAGACTTATAGAACAAAAGATATGCATTTTTTTCGGGTAAACTATTTGACTCACTTGTACGATCATCATTATATTTGCGCCAAGATTTTTCTGAGATTCTTGTATATGCATAATAATGTCGAGGCCATGAGTTATAGCATATAACAGCATAAAGTATGTACGATTTCTGCTCTAAAATAACTTCATTAAGGCATTTAGTATTATTTTTTGAATTTCCATCCTTTGGAGTGTAAAGGACTAAAATCTCTGGTAATTCAATTCTTTCTGTTTTCATAGTTATATCTTTAGTTTTTTTGCATTTTTCACAATAGAGTTGGTTATCTCCTCAGAACTTCTTTTCACTATCCATATTTTTCAGGTGATTTTCAATGCTAGCTCCTTTTGGAATAATAATTAAATTTGATTTTTCTTCAGAATAAGCAATATGGTTCTTTTCTTCACACTTAAATGATCTTTTGAAAACTATATTGAATGGGTTTGTTACCGTTTCCTCTTCACCTAGAATGGATAATATAATGGCAAATAATTCTTTTGCGTCATTTTCTCTAGACCCTTGAAACTATTTTATAATTACAATTGGATGTGCTTGAGAAATTTGATTTTTAAAATCATTGGCCAAAATTGATAAGCTTGATGAGGGATATCTTAATTTCACTCCTTGTATAAAATTTTTCAAAGCAATTAACTCAGCTTGTTTGACACTATCCAAATTTGCTAAAAAGTTCGGAGTCGCTGCTAATACTTGAATGACAGAATTCATGTAGCAAGTATTTCCAATATTTGGAATTCCTTTTTGCTGTTCGCTTTGATGATCATTTCTGCCAAGACAGGGACCCATATTTATTGGAATCTACATATTTATGTTTTTATCATTAATTATTGAGAATAATTACTTTTTTGATGCAAGGTTTGAATATCAAAATGTATTGCTAAATGTATCCTTACTATATAGAAGGTAATCTATATAGTTGATATTAATTTAATTTAATTAAAAAGGAAAATCGTATATATTAAGAAGAGAACAGAAGATCAGAACACCTGTTGAATGTATATTTGCGTTTTTTAAGGGCTATCTTAAACCTGGTCTTTAATTTATTGAATTCTTATATATAAATAAATAGTCTTTATATTTACTATTGATTTGGTGAGGATTATGATTTCCATAAGAGTGATAGAAATTTTTATAATTTTTTTCCAAAAATGCATTCTTCAAATAATTTTATATTAGAATTTTAGATCTAGAGAAAATATTCCTTTATAATCTTAAAATAATTTTATATATTGATCGCAAGAAATAAATTTTTTATTATATTATTGAATAATGATTTAATTTAACTTAGCAGCGCCATAAACTTCTTCAATTAGCTCTGCCTAGTTCATAATTGTATTCAGAATTAATTTTTACAGAAAAATAAAATCATTTATGAAGAATTAAGGTCAAAACTAAAATTTCTTAATAAACTTTAATCATGAACTACAATATTTGTAGCTTCCCATCATGCGATGGAAAACCTAAGTACATGTGCGACTGACAAGATCAAAAGTTAGTATTTTGCAAACTACATAAAAAATCTCACTCCGCCTCTAACTCTTTAACTCATAGGTTTGAATATCTATATCGTAAACCTGCTAAGCCCACAATAATAAGTATTCTGAAATCTTTTCAAGAAGAAAAATCAAAACTCCAAAATATTAAATTACAATTCTCCTCAGAGGTTTCTACAAATATGAAAAACCTCGAAGAAATCAATAAAAATGGGTTAAAATCGTTAGACTCAGGAATCAGAATAATTGACAAATATATAAGAAAAATTATAACAACAAAAGAAATAAGGACAAATGAAGAAGACGCATTGCTAAAAATCCTGTTGCTTAATGATCCTAACGATGTCCAAATACAGCTTGAAAGCTTTATAAGTGAATATATTAATTACGGGGATATTGCCAATAGCTGTGTGCTGAGCGGGCTAAATTTAGGAAATGAGAGGACAGTAGAAATTAATAGTGGAAATAATGCCAAAATAAAAGACTTAGAAAAAAACGTAGCTGAGTTAAAACATGAGGTAAGAAGACTCAGTCAAATTATTGAAAATTCAAGGCAAGTAAGCAGAAATGAGGAGCCTGTTGCAAGTAATTTAAATTTATCAAGAAGTGCTTATTATGAGCCAGCAAGGAATTATTATACCTTTCAACCTGAAAATCAGCACCTCAACTCAAGCCAAGCTTACCTAACTGTAGGAAATGGTAGTTTATTTACCTCAATGATTTCACTTCTTCCTGACCAAAAACATGGATTTTCTGATATAAATGATAATTCCTACCTCACTTCGGCGTTACAGATTCTTGCCAGCACATCTTTATTTATTGAATTATCAAAAAGTATAATAGACCCAACACTAGTGAGCTTAAACATTTTATTTCACACTATGAAAAGGTCAAATTTCCAAAATTTCGTTGATAATTTACTATCAGATTTTAACATAACTTTAATACAGAACTCTTATTATGTAAATTTTATATAGACTAACTTTGAAAAAGACCCTAAAAATGTGATAAACTGGCTTATAAATAAGCTTTATGAATATTATCCAAATCAAAAATTATTTTCAACTATATAGCATAAGACCTAATTTAGATCCTTTAGAACAATAACTCTCCAAAAAAAGGCTAAAAACTGCTCTATTAAATATTACTGAAATAGTTCTCAAATTCTAATTTCAGAAATGTTCTTTTTCATAGAATAATCCTTTTTGAAGCATTTTTCACTTGAATTCTCTAAAAGAGAGCCTACACTATATTGACAACAAGAGTTAACTGTGAAGTTGGGCATGAGCATATAAAACTGGACTATATAAATGTTATTGAATTCATGAATTTTGCAAATAAACCAATTCATGAAGAAATCGATCAAAATATAAAAACAAGTACCTGAAATGAAGATTTTTGTAGTATTTGCAATCAAACTAAATTGATGAGCAATACAGTAGAATCCATTGAAGTGGGATCATTTTTAATATTAGAATTGCCAATAGGAAATCAATATATTCTCCCTGAAGAATTTAATTATATGGGATCAAAATATGAAATATATGGAGCAATCAAATGCCTTTACCAGATAGAAAACACGAAGAAATATGCCGCATATACAAAAGATGGATGCACATGGAGAGAATATTTATACTTTTCAATATAAGGTCTATATCGGTAATTTTCATAGCTTATTATATAAATACAGAGTAAACGTATTAATTTGATATAGAATAGATAATAACTCGAAGATTTGGCAGCCAGATTTCAGTTCGTGCTATCTTGCATTTTTTATAAGCTCATAGGCCATAGTAGTTTAAATTTAAATATAAAAAGATAAAGTTTTAATGATGCAGTTTGAGAAATTGTGTGGATTTTCGTAAATAAAATTTCATTATTCAGAGCATATTTTATATTGTCTAAGCGGATTTAGATTAGCTAGGCATAGGTTAGCCCTGTCTATGAAAAAGTAATGAAGCTCTCCTGAGCAGTCTCAATATGCATAATTAATAAATCAGTCTGTAGTTGGCAAGTATGTGCTATTAGCCTTATTTTTAACTTCTTGAGCTGACAAACCAAATCAGGAAGTTATAACGCCTTATTTTTGCATATCCCTTTCTATAAGCGAGTAAAAATTTTTTGCTGCCTACAGGGCATGCAGTTAATTTAATATTTCAGCTCGAATAGATTTTACAGTGAACTAAATATAAAACAACGACATATATTTTAGCATAGAATTGGTATAAGAAATTTTACTATAGCATTTTACTCAATACAAGATAAGAAAACCTAAAACTAAGCCCTCTCAAAAATCATTTATGATCCTAGATAAGCATTAAGGAAAATATAAAAAAGCTCTATATTCAAAGGTAACTTCTACTCATATATAATGCTACAAATTAATTTGAAATGGAATAGAAAAAAAGGTGACTAAGGAATGCCACATTATCAAAAAGTTTCGATTAAAGGAAAACTAGCCAAAATAAAATATAATGATATAGCCAGATTAGTAAAAAGAAATTACCTCTGCTTATCTTCTGGAATTTTTTCCTACAATTTATAACTCCTTAGATGCATTAATATTTATGAATATTATTTTCCTTAAATAACTATTATTCTTATTTGGGATTTCCTGCCCTTGCATAAAAGGCTAAATATCCATTTGCCACATCAATGCTGCGGCTGCAGCGATTTGCTGTCTTGCTATCATTATATTCAGTCCAATTGTTAGTATCCCATGTATATGCCAAATAATGCCCAGATCATGAATCCCCATAATGGCATATTAATCCGTACCATCTATAAATAGTTCCTTCAATATCTAATTCTTTATTAATTCTAATTCTGCCATTCTTTGAGGATAAATAAAAGGTAACTGTAGATGGCCATATAATTTCTTCATATTCAACCGTCATATCTTGCTGCTTATTGCATTTTTCGCAATATAATTGGCTTCCATCACCAATGAATTTTTTTGGCTTTTTTATATCCGTTATAAATTCTTGTATAGAACTGAATTTGTTAATGGGAACTGTAATAAAAGTGTTTGTTTCAGTCGCCTTTGCTTTATAATTGCAATCATGGCAATTTAATATCGCATACCCTCGTGGTTGCTCGCCATTAAGTACCCCCTCCCCATGTAACCCGCCCCTGACGGTTCTGAAAATTTTAAATGTTAAAATATTATTTGACAGTCTCCCTCAAATATTTTAACTTGTCAAATTAATATTTAGTATTTTAAAATATTTGGGACCGTTAGGGGGTGGGTGACATGGGGAGGGGGGTACTCAAGGCCGATCCAAAACTTGGCGTAAGCTATATCTGTTTATATGAAATTATAAACAAAGGTTCAATATTAGTAAAATCTGATAATCTCCCTATTAGCATTAGCAACACTTCTTTAGAATCTTGCTGGGTTAAATCGCCAAGCTATATAAAGATTACCCATGGAAATTCATCATTAAATCTACTTTTAAAAGCCATCACGAACTCTCAGATTGTATTAGTTGTGGGATCTCTAATACTCACTAATAGTGATGACAAAGTAGAGAATAATTCATATGTTAGTGGTCGAATTTTCTCACAAAATTCATTATTGCTTGCAAACACTTGTAAGAGTGAATTAAGATAGCATGTATTCCCGATATTAGGAATCCCTGCTTTTTTTCTGTCAAAAATTAATGGATAATTTAGGATCTTATTTTCTCTTACTGCCCCCTCCGTGAGCAAACAAAACGTTTATTTTTTGGTTGTATGAGAGAACAAAAATTTTTTAATAGAAAAATTTTTAATGGGAAAAAATTTTGATATATAAGTGATAATTATTATAATGAAATCTCTAGCTAATTCTGTTTAATTTTAAACAAATTGCGTTTTAAAACATAAATTTTACAAATTAAATTAATATTTGCTTTCTAATTTTTGCGAATTAGGATTTTTTTAAATTTCAAAAAACTAAAATTTTCTAAAATTTTATATATAATTTTTTTTTAAAATAAATTACCCCTCATGAGCGAACAAGTTTTTTTGTTCGCTCACGGAGGGGGGAGTTAGCTTTTTTATTTCTTCAGTTAATGATTTTAGTTGAGTTTTATAAGTTTGGTTTTCTTGATTTAAGACTTCATTTTGAGCTTTATAAGTTTCTTTTTCTTGATTTAAGACTTCATTCTGAGCTTTATAAGTTTGGTTTTCTTGATTTAAAAATTCATTTTGAGCTTTATAAATTTCTTTTTCTTGATTTAAGACTTCATTCTGAGCTTTATATGTTTGATTTTCTTTCTCTAGTAATTCAGCTTTGTTTTCGTAGTTTATGCATCTTTTCTCTAGAATTTCGTTTTCAAATATCAATTCTTTAAGAGTTATTAATTTCCATTGTAATTTTCGCTGAATCCTATTATCTTTTTGCATTTTTTCACCATTTTCATCTTTTTCAGCCATTAATTCTTTTCGATTATTTGTTATTTCTTGATTATTCAATCTCTCTAGCTGATAATTATTTATAATATCTTCGCTATTTTGGATTTTTTGCTGAATTTCAATATTTTTCAATTTTTCAATTTCAATTTTTTTGGTTTTTTCTGTGGATTTATATATCTCTGGCAATTTTTTTTGTTTATATTTCCTTCTTTCCCATTCAAGCGAAAGTTGCTTACTAACTTTATCTTTTTCAAAATCTTTTTTATTTATTTTTATATAAAAATATGCAGCTCCTTCACTGAATATTATTTTTTCTTTGTTTTTTGGATTTATACTGATGTTTATCCATTGATTGCAGGAATTGCAATAAATTCATTTCTGTTCATTTTCAGTAAAAATTGCTGCCAAATAATAAGCAGTTGCCTCATTTTTTTCAAAATAAGCATATGGTTTCTCTTTGCTTAATCTATTGAATTTAATAAAAGGCGCCACTTTATATATTATTTGCTCCCAAAAACACTTTTCTTCATCTTTTTCTGGAAGAGGTGCTATGCTGAGAAAACGATACTCACCTTTTTCCTTGAAATTTAAGGCTTGCTCATTTGTAATTGCAAATAATGAATCTATTTCAGTAAATTCTGAAAGTCTGCCTATTAACTCCATCATTAATTCTTTGCATTCTTGCTGGGTGAAATTTTCAATCTATATAAAAAATTACTCAAGGGAATTCAGCTTTTAATTGATTTTTAAGTAAGTTTGTAAGCTTATAAATTTTATAATGTGGCTTAGATTCTTTAATAGCTAGCAATACTGATGATAAACCAAAAAATAATGGGTACTTCACTGTCTGGATTTTTTGGTAAAATTTATCATTGTATACAAGTGTTTTTAGAAGAGAATTAAGGTAGCAAGAGCTTCATAATTTTTGGTTATCAGAGATCAGTAGATAATTTATTTCTTTTCTGCTCTTGATCTCACTGCTTTTAATAGGAATTTGTAAAATTGAGCATTTCTGATTGAGCACCTCAGAATTTATGTACCCAGAAACATATAAATCTTCATTGCTCTCACCAAATTTATAGAAGTATTCTTGCTCTGAATTATTTCTTTTGACAGTAAATTTTTGGGTATTTTTATGTTTAAAAAATAAACATTTGTAGGTTTTGCCTTTAATATTTCAGTCAGTTTTGCATAGACGCTTGCCAACTATAAAGAAAATATCATTAAGTTCTCTGTCTTCCAAAAATTTATTCAATCATTTATATTTTTTATAAAAAATAAAGACCGAATCATTTTCTTGGGATATTTGATTTTGTGGATTTACTGAATTTCAGATTAAGATTAACAGCTCAATAAATGAATATGGGATTGCTTTGACTGGGATGCTGCTTGTAAGTTCATTTAGAAGGTCATTATCTAAATTTTCATCAGAATTTTGCCTTATTAACTTATCGTGCAAAGGAGTAGAACCTTCTTCTAGTATATTGCAATGCCCTTGAATTGCTCGGAGCGCATGAATTACTTGAGCTAAGGTATAGGTTTCAACATCTTGTCTTTGCACCATTTATTAATATGGAATCTATAAATTTTTATATATTCTTTTATTTTAAATTAGGAGTAAATTCATCTTACATCAATAAGAAAATTAAATAGTATTAATATTATCAATACATTGTAGTGGGACATAAAAAGCATTGAAATAAAGTTTACCGCATTTTTTAAATGAAAATTGAGCCTTTAAGGATTTAGAGAAACTAGTTAGCAAATAAAAGTCTATCTGTTCTTAGACTTGAAGAAATCAGTCATAAAAGGAATGAACCTAGCACCCTATCATTTTACAAAGTCAAATAATATAAAATATAGCCCAAGTACGATTTTAGATCGTTCTAGGCTCTGAAATGCTGGGCAACTCCCCGGGATGATTCTCAAATTCAAGTTGAGAAATCAACGAGGGAAGTTGATAAACTAACTGAAATTCGACAAACTAACTAGGAAGTCAAGAATTACACCTGATATGAGGTATTGGTTAGCTCCACGAGTTGTCTCGTCAACTTAGGCTCAAGAACTTCTCGGGATATGCCAAGTATTTGCCCAGCCTAGGTTGATCTAAGGATATAATATGTATTATGATTTTAAAGTACTTTACTTCTCACTGAGATAAAGATAGATAGGACTGGATTATTAAAGATAGGTGCTAGCCATATTGATGAGACCGTCACAAAAACCTCCCATATAGGAGGTTAATCCACTTTGCGGCAAATTGACAAGTCTGTCTAGCCAAAGTAGGTACAGTTATCTCCTTTTTTGTCTTTAGGCTTCAGTTTTGAGCAAACGGCTTATGTATTTTAACGGTCCTTTGAGGACGATTGAAAGTAGCTTGATTCCAGAAATTAGCTCATCGGACTCGTATTTGGTAGTGCTTCTTTAGAAACCACAGGAAAAAGACTTTTCCCTGTCACAAGGGCTGAAACCTATAGCTTCTCTTTTGAGGATGCCCAAGGGTCCGAAGGACATTTATGGGCCCTCCATATCCAACCATAGGTAAGAGGCTAAAAATTACGTGGATACACCTTTGTGAGCCTGCATTTCCTTTGGATTGGAGTCTGTTTCAGTTCGTCGTGGCCTTAAGGTATGGTCTGTTGTGCCAAGAGGGAGGCTGACATATGTGGCTATTTCAATTTATATAAATAAAGATAAGAAATTTATTAATTTATTATAACTAAAATAAATAAAACGCCTAAAACACTATATATAATGTTCCCCCCTAACTAGCATCTGACCAAGCCTATAGCTAATAATATTCAGCATGAAGCCTTGTATTATTTTCCTTATAAAATTAATAGTGCAGATATAAATGTAAGAGAAGAAATATATAGGCATTCGCCTATATTGCCCGATATGGGCCGAAAGTTGAGAGCACTTTGGCCAAACCAACCAGAGAGTTTAGAGAGTTTCCCTCTCATGTTGGTTTACTTCCAACCTAAGTTGGTCAAACCAACTTGAGAGGAAGTGCTCTCAACTTTCGGCCCATATGGGCAATATAGGCGAAATGCCTATAGCTTAAGCATTTCTTAATTTTTAATTGCCAAAAATATTATTGATAAGAATTAATTCTAAATTTTAAAATTTTGATTTCACAAAAGTTATAGAACATCTCAAGCAAAATCAATTGTTTTCATTACTTTATAGCATTATTAAATAAGATTTCCCATTGTTTAATAGATAAAATTATTATACCCAAGGCAAAATTATTAAACATCAAAATAAAATAAAACTCAGCATAATTTCAGATAAAATTTCTGACTCCCTTAGCTTTAAATTACATTATTTTTATTTTTTTAAATTTAAAACGTTTAAATTAAATTATATTAGATTTTCGGAAGCTAAATTTTATAAATTGCAATTGGATTTTTTAAAATCTAAAATTAATGAGAACTTTTATAAAATATCAACCCCTCAAGCGAGAAAAAAAAATTTTCTAATTAATCAAGGGGATTAAAAATAATATTTTCTATCATATATGCAACGTAATTAAAGAATATCCTTGCAGTTTTCTTTCTTTAAATCTCATTTTAATAGCTATTTTATCATTTCATTATTTACTTTATAAAATCACCTGAGAATCTACACAAATTTCCATTTCTTATAATTATAAATGTCGAACTTGACGATAAGAGTAGAGGATATGAACGGGCAACAACGCACATTGCAAGTAAACAGCTCGTGAACTTATGCTCAGCTTCACAACCAATTTCAACAGATGTTTGGCCAAGGTGAATTAAGTGTGATTTTTGGGAATAAGTATTTAAGTATAGGCACTCAAGGAGCTGCTACTTTGGAACAATTAAGATTGACTAATAACTGCGTCATTCGTGTGCTCCAGCAGATGAAAGGAGGGTTTTAAGCTAAATTTATGTTTAAAATTAAAATAATTGGATTTGTGAATAAAAATCTATAAATTTTTGAACTCTATTATTGTATTTAGTCTGAATATTTGATAAATTGCCTTATTAAGTCAATTCTAGCAGGACAAACAAAGTTTTAATTTAAAATTAATAATAATCATGTCAAATTAAATATTTTAGGCAAGATTTTTATGAGAAAGACTAGCTCCAAATTACTTTGGGAATTATCTTGGCTGCTAGTCTGAGGTATCAGTTTCAAAACAAGTGCAACCATCAAATGGGGATTGTCAAGCAAAATCAATTTAAGCAAACAATCAGCCTCTTCTGACAGTAAAACTTATGCTGAAAATCCTAAATCCCAAAATTGGCTACTAGACCGATCTATCAGGCTAAAAGGTTCTATTTCTAATTTCCCCCTTTATAGCAAGTAAGCATCAAAAAAGTCATTTTTTAACATCTAAAGTTTTTCAAACTCAAAAAATATATATAAATATTTATATAATTCTTAAAAATATTTCTATTAGTGAATTAGTTATTATTGCTTGCTATAAAGAGATAAAATTTTCCTATGAAAAGCGCCATTTGGCCATGAATTGGCCAAGTCATGGGGTTGCTTTCTTTTTTTATGGTCCGACCAAATAATCATGGTCAGGCCAGATTAAAATTTTTAATCGATTTTAGTCTGACTAGGATTAAATTAATTATTGGCGTACTATTTCATCTTCAATATTTTGGATTTCAAAGAAATGCTTGTATTTGCTGTTTTCTCTGCTAGTTCGCAATTTATCATCAATACTTCTTAGTGTGATCTTTGTTAAAAAGTCAATCTTTTCTCATTTTTCTTCACCTAATTCTTCTAAAAATTTTAATTCTGTAGCATCTGAAATAAGTCAATTGTATATGCTTGTATTGTTAATATATCTGCCTATCATATCTTGTAATCTTTGTATAAATTTGATTCTTTCGTTTTTATATTTTATGCATTCGTTAAGAATATGTTTATCTGTTTCCTTGACTTTACATAATTCACATAAATTCGAAGTGTTATCTTGATTATTTCTGTTTCTCAATAGAACTAATACTTTAGATGGACCAGCACCATATCTTCAAGCAGCCTTTATTCTTGTTTCAGTAATTAGGTTTTTATTCAGTATTCAGAATTTTGGGAGTTTATTCGTGGTAAAAGTTTGATTCTTTAATTCTTTAAACATCTTTATGTTACTTTTTTATTTATTATGCTCATGTTTTCGTTTCTTCAATAGATTTTGAGTTTATCTTTGACATTTCCTTTTCAATTTTTGTCATTTCAGCTAATCATGTTGTTATTAAAATCGAATGGTTTTGTAAAATTATATTTTTGAAGCAACTCTTGGTAGATTTTCATTGTCGGTGTAATTGCATTATCGAAATTTCTTACTCCCCCCCCCCCCTCCGTGAGCGCGAACAAAACCATTAGAAAAATCACCATTTTTTGACCAAAAACCCACCCTCCGTGAGCGAACAAAAATTTTTTTAATAGAAAAAATTTTAATGGAAAAAAATTTTGATATATAAGTGATAATTAGTATAATGAAATCTAGAGCTAATTCTGTTTAATTTTAAACAAATTGCGTTTTTAAAACATAATTTTGCAAATTAAATTAATATTTGCTTCCCAATTTTTGCAAATTAGGATTTTTTTTAAATTTCGAAAAAAAAATTTTTTATATAAATTTATATATATAAATTTTTTTTAAAAAAAAAAATTAACCCCCCCTCCGTGAGTGAACAAAATTTTTTTGTTCGCTCACGGAGGGGGGGGGGGGGAGTTAGGAAATGGGTTGCAATCTCAGATATATGTGTTAATTCAAAAATTTTTTGTAAAAATATCAATAATTTTTGGTCAATATATTGTTGTATTGTTGGAATATTTAAATCAAGTAATATGGGCTCAATAGGTGTTTTGTCATAAACATGGCAACATTCTCTTATAATCTTATTGAATGATCTTTGAATTTGTTTAATTGCAGTTTTGCATTTAATTCTTGAGCATATTTCAAGACCATATGTGCATCTTGGTAAGAATATTGCTTTGAAGCAGTTTATAAGAGTTTTACTTGGGATGTTAAGCATTCTTCTAATCATAGGGATTAGAGAGCAAGTAGATATTTTTGCTTTATCTTTGAGGTATTTATAATGCGCTTGGTCGAATCCTGTACCTCTTATATTTCCATTCATTATTTTGCCTAAATATTTATATTTTTCAACAACTGGTATTTCATGATTTTGGTATGATATTTTAGGTAGTTTACTTATAATATTTTTCCTATTTTTTGTTATGATTGGCATTATTGCTGTTTTTTCCGGTCCTATATTCAAGTTCATATCATTATCTTTTGATCATTTATCAAGTTTATTTAAAATGTTTTCAATGTCTTTTCAATCTTCTATTACAAAAGCTGTATCATCCGCATATTGAAAATTGATTTTTGATTTTAATTGGTGATTGGGGAGGAGTTCTATATTGATGTCATTATTTTCCTTTTCTATATCATCTATATATATATTAAATAACAATGGTGATATTGCACTTCCTTGTCTCACACCTCTTGTTATGTTTATTTTTTCTGTTTCAATCCCATTTATGACAAGTGTAGTTTGTTCACCTTTTAGCATTTGCGAGATTATTTTTCAGCTATCATTTTTTATATTTTTTGCTTTAATTTTCTCTAATAGTCTAATTCTATTAACTGAGTCATAAGCTTTTGAGAAATCAACAAATAATATATATGAGTCTCTACCTTTTCCAATCCTGTAATACTTACGATATTCCAGTGTAGATTTTAAGAGAAAAATCTGAGTCATGCATGACTTTCCTTTTGTGAATCCATGTTGTCTTTCTGAGATATTAACCGTATTTTCAATTCTTTTTAGTTCTGCTTTGTCAAGAATCTTCATAAAATTATTCATTAAGGTTATGTGTCTATAGCTATTAAGTTCCTTCGGATTACCTTTTCCTTTGTATATAAGGATTGTTTTTGCTTCATTGGCTTTGTCTGGGATTCCATTTAATTTGCAACTATTAAGGAAATGTGTAATTGCTTCTGCCATTATATCTCCACCTTTCTTTATTATTTCATTTCTTATATTGTCTGGTCCAGGAGCTTTTTTGTTTGGTAATTTTTTAATGATTTTCTGGATATCTTGGAAATCTCATAGTTCTTCTTTTGAGCATCCCTTTTGTGGTATGAATTCTATTTTACTTTTAAATTGATTTTCAAATTCTGTTGCTCAAGCTTTAATCTCTTCTGTGTTTAATGATAATGCGATTCTATTTTTATTCATCTGACGTTTTATTTTGTTTCAGGCTCCATATGGATCTTGCATACATTCTTTCAATCTGCTTTCACTGATTTTTTCATAGTTAGATAGTCTTTTTAGTTTATTTATTCATGCCTTTTTTACCTTTTGTAGTTTGTTAGCAAGTTCTCTATTATTTTGCGTTCAGCAAAATTTTATTCATTTCCTCGAGTCATTTATTCTATTTAATAAGATTTTCATTTCTGGGGTTCTAAAATGGTCTGGTTTTAAATGTTTTAGTAGGTATTTTGATTCTTCATCAATTGTTGATTTGATGTTATTAAATATTGCTAAAGGATCAAGAGTTTTGTAGATTCCTTTATTCTGGAAATTGATTCAGATTCTGTGTTGGAACGCTTCTAATTCCTTGCCTTCTAATTTATATCATGGAATCACGGATATTTGCTTTGGTATTATCTGGACACTTTTTATATGAGATAGTAATAATACGTGATTGGTGTTTAATTGTGGAACTTCTATGTATTTAATCTTTGATAGGGTTTCTGAAATAATATAATCGATAATAGTGTGTCTATTATTTCCTCTGAAAGTTGATATAGAAGTTTCATTTATATATGTGTAAAAACCATTGTCTCTAACAAATTTGATAAATATTTTTCCAGCTAAATCATTTATATCTGATAAGTAACCTTCTATGTGTGCATTGAAGTCTCCAAGTAATATACATTGATTAGCATCATTTTTGTTTGCTTGAATTATTTCTTGAACATTCATGATGCAGTTCATATATTCGTTAATTGATTTTTCATTTCCGTGGTTTGCAAGTACTGGTGCATATATGCATATTATCAAAAAATCTTCTATCTTTGCTGCAGTTATTCTATGGTTATTAGTTTCAATTCAAGTTATTTCATTTGCCAGTGAATTATGAATTAATAAGCCAGTTCCACCTGATCCTCTGTAGCCTACTATAGGTCCATTATTACCTATTCACACAAAACCATCAATATAAACTTTATCTTTTAATCAAGTTTCAGCTATTCCTAAGATAGTAATATCGTTTTCGATCATAACATTTCTTAATTGTCTTCGTGATAGATCGTCTTTTCCAATTCCTGAAATGTTGATGAATCCAAAATTTTTTCTTATTATTTTTTCGCACAATCTTCTTGGATTTGGAATTATAATTTCTCTTCAACTTGAGCGGGTAGGACATTATTTTTTCTTAACTCCCCCCCCCCCCTCCGTGAGCGAACAAAACCATTAGAAAAATCGCCATTTTTTGACCAAAAACCCACCCTCCGTGAGTGAACAAAAATTTTTTTAATAGAAAAAATTTTAATGGAAAAAAATTTTTGATATATAAGTGATAATTAGTATAATGAAATCTAGAGCTAATTCTGTTTAATTTTAAACAAATTGCGTTTTAAAAACATAAATTTTGCAAATTAAATTAATATTTGCTTCCCAATTTTTGCAAATTAGGATTTTTTTAAATTTCGAAAAAAATATTTTTTATAAAATTTATATATAAATTTTTTTTAAAAAAAAAAAAATTACCCCCTCCGTGAGCGAACAAAATTTTTTTGTTCGCTCACGGAGGGGGGGGGGGGGAGTAAGTAAGGGAGAATGGGTTATTTTCAATCATTTTTTTGGATCTGTGAAATTATCAGATGCTTCAATAAAGAGAATTGTGCATAGAGGTCTAATCATATCTTGGAACATTCTGCTCTCTAGTATTTGTATCTTTTTATTTTTGTAAATTTCTTTTTCATCTTTATTGATGAAAGGATTTTCAAACTTTTTCTTATTTTGGGTGTTATAAATTGAAATCAAGGGTTCAACTGTCAGTTTTTCTTTCTTTTCTTTTTTATGTAAGAATGGGTTTTCGATTTTAGAAACGTTTATTTCAGGAAAATCTGTCATCAAAGTGGATGAATTTATTTCTGATGATGGAGAAAGTTTTGGAGATTTGGAAGCAGTTTCATTATAGGATTGCGAAGATTCCTTAATAAGCTTTCAATTTACATCTTCTCTATCTGGTTCATTTTTCCTTATTGCTGGAGTCTTTTTAATTATAAAAATTTTTTTGATTGTATTTTTGTGATTTTCTTTTAGAATAGTTCTTCCTATGATTTCTATCGGCTTTATGATGCTCTTCTTTAGAGGAATATATGTCTTGATATCATAGTTGTAGGCATTAACTGGTTCATTATTCTGAGTTTTAACAGGAGGATGAATGTTTTTTTTGGGTGGCTTAATTGTTGAGATCTTGCGTGTTTTTAAGTTGTTTTCATATTTATTATCAGAGACTAAGTATTTTTGATCGATTAAATTTAAATTTCTTGAACCTTTCTTGACTTTCTTAGATTGCTTAATTCTTTTTCTTTTTTCTCTGATTTCAATAATTTTATCGTGGTTTGATTCAAGGTGTCCGATTTCGTTACAAGTGTTGCACTGCATTGTTCCTGCGTGATTTAATCATATTTAGTTATTTCCTATTTTCAATATATCTGTGAGATCTAATGCTTGCTCTAGTGAATTAAATTCAGCATATATTGTGTATTTTGCTTCTGGTATAAAATTAAGACTGTGAAACTTGCCTTCATTTTGTATTGTGTTATTCATAATTATTTCTTTTATATTGCAGATTTGCTTTAATGATTTAATTGTTTCCTCAATCGATATTCCAGGAGGTAATGTAAAATTAATCCGATACCTATTGTAGTTGATTTCACCACCTAGTCATAAGATTCCGATTGGTATCATGATCTCTCTTCCTTTGTATTTTAATTCATATGTGATTTGATTCAGTAAATCTTGTTGTATTGATTTTTCTTTAGGAATCAGGATAGCATCTCCTGAAGGTAATCTATGACATCTTAGGATTGATTCTGGGGGAAATTTTTGGTTAACTGAGATGCAGAATGCTGAAAAGAGCTCTTTTTTCTTGTTTTGGTTGCAGTCTTTGAGAAATTTAGACAAATAAAATTTCACTGACAATTCTAAAAATTTGTTTTCTTCAAGCTCTGGTAGGAAATGAGTTGAGGAAGAGAAGCTGCAGATAACTTTGTCTTCTCCAAGACCAATGACAAGTTTTTCTTGTCCATTAGACAGAGAAGAGGGTGAGTTTGTATATACTTGCATATTCTTCCATTTTTAAAAATTTAGTCTGACTAAGATTATTTGATTTGACCAAAAAAGCAACCTCGTGGCCAATTCATGCCAAATATCTATTCATGGGAAAATTTATATATTAAAAAAATTTTTTGTTCACTTATGGGAGGGTGGGTTTTTTGGCGAAAAATAGAGATTTTTCTCTTGGTTATGTTCACTCGCGAAGGGGGGAGTAAGACCCTTTAGTGGGTGATGGAATTAGACCCTTAAACACTTTAATTCATGCAATGAATAAATATTTTACTATTTTTATTTCCCCAATTTTTACTTTGATTATTTATTTTATTTTAATTCTACAAATTCGCAAATTTTTTCCTTTTAATTACAAAGTAAATTTGGAGATAAGAATAAGCAAAACCCAGTTCGATATAATAGTAATATATTATAACTCCCCCTTCGTGAGCGAACAAAACCATTAGAAAAATCCTTATTTTTTGCCCAAAAACCCACCCTCCATTAGCGAACAAAAATTTTGATATATAAGTGAATATTAGTATAATGAAATCTCTAGCTAATTTCTTTAATTTTAAACAAATTGCGTTTTAAAAATAAATTTTACAAATTAAATTAATATTTGCTTTCCAATTTTTGCGAATTAGGATGTTTTTAATTTTTAAAAAAAAGATTTCTATAAATTTATATATAAAATGTTTTAAAAAAAAAATTAACTTCCCTCCGTGATCAACAAGACTTTGTTGTTCGCTCACGAAGGGGAGGGAGTAAGAAGCTTTAATCTAAATTGACTCAAAAAGTTATGATTTAGGCTATAATTGTCTTGCTTGCAATATTATCCAGGTCATGCCATGATTAAAGGCACTTTTCCGTCACAATTCTGATCCGCAGCGTTTTGCTAAGGGTGAACATAAAGAAGCTTGAACATAATTAACTCGTTAACTATAATTTTTGAACATAAAGCAATAAAATTTTAAACTTTATCTCCAATTTCTTATGCCTATTTAGAAAATTAACATTGAAAGCCTGCCAAATAAGCAAATTATATTAAAGCAAGGATTTTGTAATTACTTTTAAACGATATTTAATTTAAACTTTATAAAAGCCTAATAAATATGTAAAAGTGATGATGTCAGACCACCCTACCTCTGACCCTTTTTCTTCAACACATAGACAATCGCCTAGTGTGAAGGGAAAGGGCAGAAGAAGCTGGTAATCCTTTGTGTATAGTTTGGTCTTTCTTGAGGCCTAGGGAGCTAAACCTTGGGACTTTGAGTTTTCCCCCCTCCGAGACCACAACATTGGAAAGGGCATGATTAGCAAAGCTCCGATTGGACGATAAATTTTTCTAACAGGACTTAAGAGGTGACATTTGCTTAAGAAGAAACTGGGAGGTTCAACCCGGGAGATAGACCTATAATCTCCAAGAGTCATGGAAATCAAGATCGTGTGCTAATTCCTTGCCTGCGGCCAAGAAGGGCATCTGCCCACGTCCTCGGGAACGATGAGCTCTAGGGATAGAAATAACTGGCCCTGTCGAGGATGAAGAGCTAACCTAATAATAAAAACCTAATAAAGCGGCTTGGAGTTTTTAACTAGCATATATATAAACTTAAAATATTGGTCTTAATGACTAATAGATTACTATATCTAGATATGGAGGATTTAATTTGATTTTCACAAATTTACTGCTCAGATAAAATCTATGATTATTAATTTTTAACAGAGTGTAATATATAAGCGGACGCATTCTTCTTTCAGAATATTGAGTTTATTAAGTTGAAATATTATTATTAAGGGTCAAATGAAGGGCAGCTTGGCTGGGAAAATCCAGGAGGCGCATAAATCCCCTGTTGGGGCTGATTTTGAAATCTCTGCTGAGTTGGTGGCATCATGGTAGGCTGCGAATACACTCCAGGCTGGACATAAGCCTGCTGCTGAGGATAGCCTTGTTGCATTGGATATCCAGGCTGCATAGGATATCCTTGCTGCATAGGATAGCCATTCTGCATAGGATAACCATTCTGCATAGGATACCCAAATTGTGGCCCAGAAAATTGAGTAGGAGGAGGAATACCTTGAATTATAATTCTTTCATTATGATGTCCATGATGGTGCCTATGATGCCCATGATGTCCATGCCGTCCTTCTTCTATAATAATTACTTCCTGCTGAGGACGTCCATATCCCCCAACCTGCTCTATTATAACTTCAGGAGCATGATGCCTATGATGACCCTCTTCTATAAGAATCACCTGCGGTTGAGGCGGAATAATAGGCCTAGGCATCGGGGCAGTTTGGTATTGTGGCATTCCAGGCTGCATCATTTCAGGTTTAAAAGTCGCCTTTACCCTTACTCGTCCAACATCGTGGCCGTTGTGGAATAATTGGATCCACTCTTCGAAAACTCCCATTGTTTTGGCATTATATAGACTTACTTGGGCATTGCCGATCTCTTCGTCGCCAAGCAACTGGCGCCGGTCCCAGACACCAATTATGAATACTTGTTCGTTGAAAATTCTGAAATTTAAGTGATCTTTTCAATTGGGGAATTTTCCTTGATTTCGGGCAACTGTTGTTTTCTCGATAGCGGGGCCAACCCCAACAACACAATAAGGGTCCATTTTCCCGAAGGATTCGACATTTCTTCTAACTCCCCCACATCCTTGATCGAACGACTCGCCATCGTTCGATCAAGGATGGGGGTTAAAAAAAATATATATATTTTTTTTTTATTTACTTTTAAATAAGAGGGTTAAGAGTATTTAATAATTATTTTTACACAAAAAATTGAATTAATTTCATAAAAATACCAATTTTTAATATTTTGATTTATTAGTCACACCTTTAAACTGTATAAATTTTAATTTATTCATTATTGAATTAAAATTTTTTTTTAAAAATTTTAAAGAATCTCTATTTTATTAGATTATTGAGTTTTTAAGTCTAGGTTGATGTCTAAACCACTTCGAATAGTTGATTCCGAGGCTTTCTATCGTCTCAAAGTCTCTGAAAGCAACTTCATTATGCACATCTTCCCAAGCTTTTGATAAATATATATTTTTATATATATAAAATTTTGCATGATATGAAAATCGTTCGATCAAGGATGGGGGTTAATTTTCCCAATTTTTAGGATTTTTTACAGTCAATCGTTCGATCAAGGATGGGGGGGAGTAAGCTCTGCGCATATCGGATGGATTGTAAGGAGACCTGGGCTTGCCATTGCAAATATTATTTATTAAAGATGTGTCAGCATTAAAATTTATCTATTTTGGTAAATCTTATTATAGAAATATGGATATTTAAAATAGCTTGTGAAAATAAAATTTGGCAGAATAGAATATAATAATTATTGAAAATCTTCAATAAATCAAGTGTATATGTCCGATTAAATTAGATAATATCAATCTGTACTTAAAAAAGAGGGAAAATTTATAAATTGATATAATTTCTTTACAAATATTGAAAATCCATGACTTATTTTCTTCAAATAACTATTTTTAGGTAATTTTAAGAATAAGTAATTAAACTAAGAATGAACAAAACTGAAAAATAGTTTTTCATCTTCTTCATTATCAAATGGCCCTCCTACAAGCTCAACTTCTTTAATTTCTTCAAACCCTTCCCTCAGCTCAGGCCTTTGGAAGTCTTTATAAAACTTATGGATTGGCATACTCCCAACCCTTCCAGACAAATGATTTCTATGCTTATTAACAAGTCTCAAAGTATCTAAATGGAAAGCCATCTCTTTTGGCATAGAAAATAAAAAGCACCTGACAGGGACATTGAATTCTTTTGCAATATTTATGTAATTTGCCCTGACTTCAGCAGTAGGATTTGTATTATCAATTACACATGATTTTCCTGCATTAAGGGCATCCCTCATAGTCTTCATGCATTTTTCCTTGGTTTTAAGTGTATCATTATTAACCCTCACATACCTCGATAAATTATTTTTCCAAAAAGTCGATTTTCCAGACCCAGGAGACCCTACAAAAATAATTGCTTCCTGATGGTCTTTCATTAATGTTGAATTATCAGTCTCTCCTTTCAACACAGGCCCCTCTATATTAATTTTACCTTTTTTGATAAGTTTTGGGTTTATTTCGACTTCTGGGATATTTTCATGTGCTCCTAAAAAGAACTGTTCAGGAGTCTGGAAGGTAACCCCAATGTTTAGCGCAAATTTTAAGTCAGTGTCATTGAAATCTTTTTTCCTGCCTCCACTCGCAGGTCTTCCTGCTGCATCTCCAATATAGAAAGACTGCTCCATATCTGGAGCAACCCCTCCATTTAAGTTTTTAACAAAGTAATCCCACATGCCTGGGCATGGTTTTCTAAACTCATCGTCGTCTATTGCGGCAAGGACTAAAGTTGGGACCTCAAGAGCAGAGACCACAGCTTCTATTTTTCTCTGAAGAGCGCTTTTGTCTTGCTTTCCAGCTTTGACGCCTCCTTGATTTGTGAAGATCACAATGCGGTAGCCGTCACTACTATACTTTTTCAGGGTTTCTGGGATTTGGTCATATAAGAGTCTCCAGTCATTTTCGTTGACTGCGAAGGTTTTGCCTGATTTTGTGCAGATTAGGGTGCTGTCCATGTCGAAACCTAGCTCCCCCCCCTCGAAGTTCGACCAAGATTTTTTTGGTCGAACTTCGAGGGGGGTTAAGAAAAATTTTTTTAAAAAAAATTATATAGAATTTTGTTTATATAATTTAGTAGTTAAAAAAAAAAAATATTTATCATATTCTTTTGTATGGTTGAGAGGGTGTAAGGGTTAGAAAAAATAGTGCAAGATGGTTTTGTAACGCTTTTTTAGAACCTGAATACAAAAATCGCAAGCTCACCCCACATATTTTAAAAATTTTTGAAAAATTGCTTAAATTTATATAGGTCTTGATCGAACTTTGAGGGGGGTTAATTTTCCAAAAAAATAGGAATTTTTCCCTATATCTTGGTCGAACTTCGAGGGGGGGAGTAAGACTTTGTCTGATGGGGAACTAGAAATGTTTATTGTCATTAGCCCGCCTGAATAGGAATTACTGATTTCTCTCCAAGTGTCAGTTGAGCTGACGGTGCTTTCGTCTTGTTTCATTCTTTTTTGAGGCGAAGGGGCTGGGTTTGAGTCTGATTCTGAGGTATTCCGGTTCCTTGAGTTTCTTTTCATTTATTAATAAAATGGAAAATTAAACTTTAGATGTCAGCAAGATTATTAGAAAATTTAATAGAAATTGAGAGATGCTTATTTCATTAAACTTCTTACTTTTTGCCTAATGCAAACGCTTTTTAGAGTTTTTGCAATTTTCATACTCAATTTATTCAGTTATAAATAGGCTAATCTTATAACTATTAAATTCAATTTCAGTCTCAAATCTTGAGATAAATTAGAGCTTTGGCATGAAGAAAGCTTCTAACCATGATTGAATGAGAATTATCTTATGAAATTAATAAGAAAAGCATATATAGTCCTTATTTGTAGTACTAAGTTTGATTGTTAATGCTAATTTTTATACTTATTTTGGTGATTTTTTTAGTAATAGATTTGTGCGCTTTTGGAGTAATTATATTAGGGTTTATATTATTTATGGATACTCAGCTATTAAGAATATTATGGCCCAATTTATTAGAATCCTTGATGCTTAAAATAAAAATGCTATTTTTATTAATTATAGATATAAATTTGAGTTTTAGTCATTTATTTGTAGATTTTAAATATTTTTTACTATTTCAGAAGTATATGTAGTTTATAGATTCTTTGGATTTTTGAGCCAGGCTTGGAATGATATTGTCTCTCCAACTCAATTTGCTATTTTAAATATAGACTGGCGAACTAACTGAAAGATGGCAAAATTGGCAAATACAGTAAAATTTGACAATTCTAGAGAGTCATCAGAATAGATCGATGAACTAATAGGCGAGCTATAAGAAAGACATATTTTGAGAGTCTTTATAAGATTTATAAATCGGTATACTCCAAATGCTTCCAGAAAATATTTTCTAGACTACTTAATCAGCCTCGATGTGCCAATTATATTTCAATATCTATGCTTTTGCCATAACTTTAGCTATAGGATTTGTGCCATTACTACCCTCTATGTGAGCGAACAACCATTGGAAAAATCCTTATTTTTTTGGGATAAGTTTGAAATCGTGAACAAAAAATATTTTTTTAATATAAAATTTTATATAAGTGAAAATTTTTATAATGAATTCTCCAGCTAGTTCTTTTAAAATTCAAACAGCTTGTATTTTAAAAACATGAATTTTATAAATCAACTCTGCCCCCTTTAAATTAGGACAAAATATCGGTAAATTTCAAACTTATGTACTTTAAATTGGAATAAAATTTCTCCGCAATAGGAAATTATGGGTGAAAATACTAATTTTTATAAATTAGTTTTGACTTAATTTAATTGATGAATCATTTTTTGTTTTCTCACAAGGGGGAGTGGGTTATTATCCTTTATAGTCTTTTTATATTTCCTTTACTTGAAGCGTTAACCTCATATATGATAAAAATTCTTCTAAAAGTTAAATTTTCAGAATAGCCTTTAAAATGATGTTGCTTTTATTAGATTTGTATTATCTGTCTCTCATTTTAATCAACTCCTTCTGCACGCTTTTACCTTTTTTTAATTATAGGATCATTTCGGTTTTTCGTATCTTAATTATTCCTAAAATGAACTTTTGCTACGATAAAGCCGAGTTTAAAGTAATATTTAAAAAAGAAAATTAATAAAATTTTGAATTCAAACATGAAAAAATATAAAAATTGGCAGAGCATGAAAATAAATCTGCTCACTTATGAAACGAGTAGTAAGTAATCCATAATAAATTTTATTAAAATTTAAATAACTATAATAGAATTATCAATCTATTGTTTGCGAAAATAAAATTTATTATTTTTTGAGCATACAAATGCCTTTTAAAAACTTTGCAATTCAAAAATGTTAACTGCCGATGTTAAAAAAATCAAATTAAGTCATCTTCATTAAGGAGCAAAAATTTTTTGGTGTTAACTACATTTTAATATAATCTCAAAAAATTGCATTAAATTTTTTACATTTTAAAAATAATTTCTTAAATCAAATTAAAAAAATTAACAATTAGTCCGTTCTTGCTTTTTGTGTGCTGGTAAACTGGTCTACTGGTCGCAACTATCTTCCTATTTCCCACCCAGAATAGGAGGCTGACAACTAGTAGACCAGTTTGCTGGTCGCAAAAAAATCACAACGACTAAAAATTCAATAGCGATTAATTTTTTTTTCTTCCAACGTGAGAGGAGTAATCAAATTATTAAGTTTCATATTAATCTATTTATCTCTGATAATTAAATTTCTAATTCGTTATAATAATTGTAAAATGGAATACCCAGGTGTGCATCTTGAGGTCAATGATCCAAACTTCGATATAAAAGAAGCTCCTATTCGTGACGACTCATTAACTCCCACCCCTCCGTGAGTGAACAAAACCATTAGAAAAATCACTATTTTTTGCCAAAAAACCCACACTCCGTGAGTGAACAAAAACTTTTTTAATAGAGAAATTTTTTTATGGAAAAAAATTTTGATATACAAATGATAATAAGTATAATGAAATCTAGAGCTAATTTTGTTTAATTTTGAACAAATTGCTTTTTAAAGTATAAATTTTATAAATTAAATTAATATTTGCCTTCTAATTTTCTGCGAATTAGATTTTTTTTTAATTTCGAAAAAAAAATTTTTATAAAAATTATATATAAATATTTTTTTTTTAAAAAAAAATAAATTAACCCCCCTCGTGAGTGAACAAAATTTTTTTGTTCACTCACGGAGGGGGGGGAGTAAGTATTTTCTAGGCAGATTTTATTAGAAAAGTATATGGCATCATGAGTGCGCAGCTCTTATTCACCTCTTGTGAATGAGAAAATATTAGAAAGTTTTTAATTTAGTGCAAAACTCATGAGCAAAGAATTTTTTTTAAAATACTTGTATATTATAATGAAATCTCTAGCAAATTACTCTTTAAATAAACTGCAAATTAGATTCCCAATATTTTTTGAATGAAATTTGGAAACACCAAAATTTTAATATAATTTATTCCAGAGTTTTCAGTAAAAAAACAAATAATTAAAATTTGCTAGAATGAAGAGGAGGTAGAGTCAGTAACTGCCATAGTTAGTGCCATTGTCATGTCAAATCCTATTTATTCCGAGTTTGTTCAAGAAAATTATGTCTTCGCTATCTTAGCTGCATTTTGCGCTATAGCCTTATATATTCTTCTGAATGTTGCAAAAATATATCTTGTGCAGTTCCTACAAATTATTTTGTTTTGCTCTTATTTGTGAAAATTATTTAGACTTTATGCGAAAGCTATATGGTGGCTACTTGCTGTTCTTTGTGTGACCCTTCTACAGTTATTACAGCAGCAGTTATGACTTTAAGCGTGACTCTTATCCTCACTGGCTATTCATGCATTGTAAAGCATATGTAGGAAAAATATGATTTTGAAATAATGAAGGGGTTTGTGGTGCTATTGATCAGCTCTACTTCTATAATGATTTTTTTTATGTTTTATTCAGGTGGTTTTTTAGAAGTTGTAGGCTTTATTTAGATTTATTGCACTATTGGTGTGCTAATTTATGGGGGCTATCTTATTATTGATGTTCAACTTATTCTTGATAGTAGTATATATCAATTAAGTACTGATGATTATATAGTTGGGGCAATTTTAATCTACTTAGATGTTATTGTCCTGTTTATTAGGTTTATGGAACTGATTCAGATGTTTAAAAAGTAAATAAGTACTTTTTTTAATCTTTGATATAATTAAAGATGTATTAATTTTAGTTATATATTTATCTACATTCTTAGTAAACACTACTCGTAGTTTTAGAATTTTAGATAATATAGGAAAACAATTGATAGAGAAATTAATGAGTTTTTTAGCTTTGATCTTAGATTTACCATTCTCAACGAATTGATTTATGATTATTAGCATTTTTTTGCAATGTAAATATTTTATCAGGCAATAAACCCAGCCTCTTCAAACACAAACTGTCTAGTTTTGGATAAAAAGAAATATAAGAGGCAGTGCATTATACTCGCTCCGAAACTATTTGCACATTATTTTAACATATTTGCTAATATAATTAAACACAAATGAAATGCTGAGGCTACCAACACATCCTTTCTTGCAGCCTGTTGAGAAAAGCTAGCTACTCAACAAATCACCTATTCTGAATAGGAAATAGGTAACTGGTTGGGACTAGCAGACCAACATAATGGTCCAAAAAAAAATCAATGGAGTATGAGTTTGTTAATAATTTGGGGAACTTGTTGCAGCCTGAAGTAAAATGACTAGGGAATAGAATCTACAAGTACAGTGCATTCGGGTTACATCCATTGCCCGATAATCAGACTTTGTGTATTTCCGACGGGCATTTAGGAAAAAGAATGATGAAGTCATAATTTACTGTACTCCTTAGGGAGGTTACCCATAGTTGGAACTTCAGTCACTGAAGCAGCTGCTACTTCCTTAAACTGTGTGTTAAAGGTTCTGAGGCAGCATCAAGACCGAAAACCAGAACAGAGCTAGCTCTCTAACCCTGTGAATTCGACCCCAGCAGCCATAGATATGACGCTATAAGAGATCCATAATCTTTAATCCTAATCCTGATATATTCTTTATTTCATATCCCTCGTGCATGCATAATTTTTATATGGAAAATATTAATGCCAACAAATAATAGAGTTAATAAAGAACTACGTTAAAATTTCAATTTATTATCTCATTTTATAAGTTAATCCAGCAGAATTCAGCCTTAAAATCGATAGAAGCAAATGAGTCAGTTCAAGCATAATTATGTCTATATCTCATTAACTTAATACAAAAAAGTGAACCAAGCATGCTAATATATTTAAATTTTTCTAATATATATTGTATTTTAAGGCTTAAGAATAAGAGTATTTAGCATGCTGAAAATTGCGTTGGAATGGTCAATAAAAGGCCGTGATTATTAAATTTTTTTGACCAAGACTAGCATACTTTTGGAAAGAGGAGATAGATGGGGAGATAGGGTGGGCTTCATGATTGACCATTAGCCTAGTTTATAGCGAAAATTATTTCAATTTATTAATTTTAAGGCGAAACGAATTTAATGCTAACTTATAATTATTTAATGCAGTATCCAGGTGTTAACCTCGAAATCAATGATCCAAATTTCGACTTGAAAAAAGCTCCGGAAACTGACAAATTAGGTAGCTTCTATACAGGATTTATAAGGAAAGTCTACGGAATTCTAAGTTCCCAGCTTTTACTCACAGTTATATTCTGCGGGATTGTTATGTCTAATGAGACTTTAACAGAATTCGTTCAAAATGATATCGCAGTCTTCGTTATTTCTATTATAGTTGCTATAGCTTTAATGCTCGTATTAATATTCTCAAAAGACAAAGCTCGCAAGGTTCCTACCAATTATATCTTGCTAACTTTACAATATAAGACTGGAAAAGCATAGGAAAATTCTTAAATTAACCTCTTTTTTTAAGGAAAAAAACATTTTCATAGTAAATTTTTAATATAAATTACTTTTAGATTAAATAAGAAATTTATAATGAAAACTTATAATTAAATTTTATTAATTATTTTTTATAATTTTTTTAAACAAAAAAATAACCCTTCTATGGGGTTAGCATAAATCTTGCTTACTCTTGAGGAGGAGAGTAATAATTTTTGTGACGATTACTTAGACACTTTGCGAAAGCTACATGGTCTCAACTGCCTACACATTTTATGACGCTTACACTGTCATTGCAGCAGCGTTAATGACTTTAGGCGTTACTTTAGTTTTGACAGTCTATGCCTTTTTAGTAACAAATATTTACTCTCCATCTTTAAATTGGAGCAAAACAATCTGTCTCAATTTGAAAGAGATTTAATATTTTTTCTATAAAATTTATCGATTTAAAGCTCAAAATTTGTTTAAAAATAGCATTCAACATTTAAAAAACAAACTTTGAGCAGGATTTGATTATCGAAAAACTAAATTGGGTATCAAACTAACTATATAAAATAAAATTTTATTCTAATTTAATAGGAGTAATTTATCTAAAACGTAAATTTTACCGATATTTGTTCTAACTTAAAGGGGAAGTTAGACAAAAAAAGAATTTAGACATCCTGTAGGAGTCTCTCTTAGTTTTATATCTTCAATCATTTTGCTAATGATTTTTGCATTTTACAATGTAGGAAACCATTATTCAGTGGTAGATTATATATAGATTTGGTGCTTTGTGGGGGTGAATTTTTATGGGATTTATATTATTTATGATACCCAGCTTATAGTGAATGGGAGTAAGTATGGAATAACCACAGACGACTATGTGGTTGGTGCGATGATTCTATATATTGACATTATTGGCCTATTTCTTAAAATCATGGCCCTAATTGGTAAAGTTAAAAAATAAGTATCTCTTAATAATCTCTTATAAAATAAAATTTCAGGAAATGCATTTAATTTATGAATCAGTCCCTTTAAGCTCTACTGCTTTCTTCTTCTTTTTCTTCATATTTTTCTGCTTTCTGGCTTTTTCCACTTCTATTTTCAATTTATCTATCTGTATCTCATTTTCCTGAATTAATTTCCTAAGATTTCCAGCTCTATCTTCTTGACCTTCTGTAGTTTCTGACTTATTATCCTTCAGCCTATTTTGAATCTCAATTTCATGGTCTCTATCTTCTAGCATTTTTATCTGTTTTTCTGCCAATTTAAGCTCACTTTCTTTAAACTCCAGTTCTTTTTTCATATCATTATGGTCATTTAATACTTTTTGGTACTCAAGTTTGGCATTTTCTATCCTTGCCAGCATTTTTTCTTCGCCTTTGCTTTTCCTTTTTACCTTTGCCTTTGTGTCAACCGGCCCTGACATTTCTTCTATCTGTCTTATTAGTCTTACATGCTCGTCTTGGATCTGTGCAAGGTTATTTCTGAGTTGGCCTATTTCATTTCTATCTCTTTCAGAAGAAGATATTATACCAGAAAGGTCATTATCTAAGTCATTCTGCAGCTTATCCCGATTTGCCATTTCTTCTTGCACCTTGTTCATTTTTTCTTTAGTTTGTTGAAAATTGTCAATTAAAGTATCTCTTTGTTCATTTAGCTGCTTTATAACATCATTTAGCCGGCTTAGCTCTTGGTCTTTTTCCAGCTTTAATTTCTCGTATTTCTCAGCCAAAATCTTACCCTCCCAGCAAGATTTTTTGCTTTTTTTAAGGCTAATTTTCCCAAAAATTAGGATTTTTTTGACATTTCCAAAGAGGAATTTAGCATTTTGCTTATTTTTATTTTTTGACTGATTTTCTTCTTCTACCTTGGCAATCACTTCTTGTCTTATCTGTTGCACCGCTATCAAGTTTTGTTCTTGTTTTTCAACAACCTGTGCTTCCTTGGATTTCTGATAGCAATTGCTGCAGATCCTTTCCAGCTTAAGCGTTTCAGGATGCATCACTTGTTTTGGTGAGCATTTCAAACAGACTCCTTTATAGCAGAACTTGCAGCAGTATTTTTTAAAATTCACCAGGCCGACTTTACCGAATTTTGTTTTGCAGACGGTACATTTTTTATCTTTTTTGTAGTGGTCTCTGTCCTGAGGTAAATCGAAGTTGAATTCTAGAATGCTTCGGGAGTTGTCTAGTAAAGAACTGTTGGCACTTGTATCTGAGGCTTCTTCAACATCTTCCATTTTATATTTAATTTTAGGCATATTAATTATTCCTATTTACTACAAAATTACTATATAAAAATAAGGTAAATTTAGTTGTAATTCAGAAAAATAAGGATATATCTTTACTCCTGGGAACTCAGCTCTGATATTGGCAAGATTTTGGGCTACTGAAGGAGATGGCTTAGTAATGAAATTAACTGTAGGCTTCCAAGGGGCTTGGGAGCTTGGAGATTTTCGCTGAGGGTAGGTTAGAGGGTTTGACATATGCTCCGGGTACTTATCAAAGCAGGCCTCTAAAATGTTTTTCTTGGTTGGGCTGGCTGGGAAGAAAGGTCGATCATGTTTAAGGACATTCATTTTGTATTTTGGGGATTTTATTTTTAAAGGAATTTTTGAGTCTTCCAAAGCAGTTTTAAAGTCGCTAAAAGTATAGCCAGATGGAGAACTTGGCTTAAATGGCCTATCTTGGAGTTTAGCCTTATCAGCAGCGGCTTTTTGTCTATTTAGTTCTTTGACCCTATCATAAGGGTCAGGAATATAGTCAATCTTTTTGTCAAAAGTAACACCAGGTGTACAGTTAGCTGCCCCTGCCTTAGGAGGTGACGTAAAAAAGTTTCTCGGCTCCAGCTTAACTGACCCATCAGGCTCTCTTTGTCTATAGTGGAAAGTTTGAGTTGGCATGTTTTCGTATCCTTTAGGCTCCTCTACTGGCCCAGCTGGTCGGAAGGGCACGTCATGGCTTTTTTTCATTTTTTCTGCTCTTTCTTTTTCATTTAGCTGTGGCTTTATAGGATCTCTATAGAGATCTCCATTAAGGAACTCAGGCTTCGAAAAATAAACGTCAGGCCCTTTCCCTGTCCTTGTTGGGCTTGTCGAGAAGTTTTTTGGGCCGGTTTTGACAGTTCCATCTGGTAGTTTTTTTGAAGCAGTTTTGTAATATCCTGCATCATCAGATATCGCAAGTGTCCCTGTGAAGGAAAAAAGACCATACCGCGACTTGGTGGAGTTTTCTTTGGACTCTTTTAGAAACTCGTCTCGTTTGACTGCTTTTTCAGCTTCTTTTTCAACTGGGTTCTCAAGCAACCTAGTAGTCATATTTAATATTGATATACTTTGGGCACGCGTAGCGTGCCATATAAGACAAAACTGGTGTATAAATTATCAATTTAGCTTGAAAGTACTATTATTCTCTTGATTTTTGTGGCATTTGCACGCTATAAGCATGCCCAAGCTATAAAAGTTATAAATTATTTTCCATTGAAGCATTCAGCGCGTGAGGAGAAGTGCTTCGGTTAGGTTCTTCATCTGTAATCCCTTTAGCAGCCTTAGGATATAATGACAGAGGTGTCTGAGTAGCTTGATCATGAACTCGCTTCCCTGCAAGATTATAATACGTCCTGAGCCCAATAGGAGCCTTTTTAGGTGGAGGAGGGGCATCCTGGACTTTGCATTGGTGCCCAGGCTGCATTTCTTCGCCACATTTTTTGCATTTTTGTTTTGGGATCCTTCTGGTAAATGTCTTAGGCTGGTTTATTTTTTTCTTATTTTTTTCTTTTTTCTTTGTAGGGGCTGAATAAGACAATGGGACTAAATTCCTGAGCTCTTCAATTTCTAAATTGTCCTCTGAAGGGTCAGAATCTGAGCCACTTGAGTCTTCTCCGTCCTCTCCATTATGTAAAATATCTTCTTTTTGCATCATTTCGTTTAAAATCTCATCATAATCAACCCCAAATAGCTTAAAAGGCTCTATCATTGCCTTATTTTCTGCTTTTTTGGGAGTTTTTTCAGGTAATTTTCCTTTTTTAATTCTGCTTTTCGCTAGAGGCATTGGCTGTCTTTTCCCTTTGGAAACAGGAGACTGAATTATTGGCTGATTTTGCCCAAAAACAATTAAAGTCCTGCACAAGTCCCTCCCAATCCCAGCTAGGATTTGTCCAGTAAAATGCATCCCCATGTACTGCCCGAAGTCGGCTCCGCAGAAAGACGATTCCATTGTATAAATTTGAGGGATTTTCAGGTCCTTAAACATCGTGACCCTCATTGTGGATTCTTTTGACTTTTGTACCCCAAATCTTGAGTACTGATAACTAAAAATTGGGGAAAGTTTTGACAAAATAAAAGGGGAAAATTTTGGGTTATCAGTGAAAAAACAGGGTAGGCTTTTTTTTTTTCTGTTGGTTTTTTACTGTAGGTTTTTTACTTTATTTAAAGGAAAAGACTCCAATGTTTTTTTAAGACAAAAACATACTTTTTTTTCCCGAGTTTACAGAAAAAAAAAATTATTGTAAAGAATTTTATCGGGATCTAGTTATTTTTAGTATGAGATTTAGTCTTAAAGATCTAATATAAAGAATTGTGCAATCTTAATTCTTAAACCTAAAAATGTAAGCCAGATTAAAGAAAGAAATTGCATTGTATCTTAGCCAGTATGTTTTTTGGACGTCAAATTTTTTTTATACAGAAATCGGCAGCAAAAACACTCATAAAAATTGAAAAATTTACTTATCAGCTACAATTAACAAACTCTAAAAATAAATAATATTTCAAGTTTAGACTTCTTATTTTTTATGGATAAAATTTGTAGATAATTAACTAATAGTGAATATCTGCGATGAAAATATTGATTCAAAATGATACAAAAACTCGGGATTTTTTATGTCGTATTTTGCTCTAAAATATCGTCAATAATTAGATTCAGAAAAATGCTTCACAAAAAGGGGGTTTTTCCTTTAAAAATCGAGGAAAAACAAGGTAGGCTTTCAGGTTTACTTTTTTGAAAACTATTTGAGTTTTTTCCTCTAAAAAGGTAAAAACTCTCCGTAATTTTTGACGGAAAAAAGGCAGATGAAAAAATCTCCCAGGATTTTTTCCTGATGACCAGAAAAATTTTGCAAGCTTGAGGGGAATCAGGGACATTGCAGCCATATATAAACACATTTTTCTTCCTAGAATGTCCATGCAGGTCACATATAAGTTCTATATCGTAGTTCCCAGCCATAGATTTAATTAATCGTTTGAGACTAAAAATAGTTGGGTGGAGGACGCTGATAGGATTTTTTCACCTCCTGTTCAGGTCAGCTCCTACCAACCCACATCTGTAATTTCCATTAATAACACCATCAGGATTTAGCATTGGGACCACTTTAAATACATATCTATCCCTCAGCGCAGAGGCTTCTGGGTCATCACTGGTCAAGAAATCCAAAACTCCATGCATCATTCATGACCCAACTGTTTCCCCCGGATGCACCCTGGCTGACAGTACAACTCCTCTTTTATTCCTTATTTCCTCTAGTGTCCCTTTATTAGTGATCGTCAAATAATCACAATTATTCCCCCCAATAGTCCTGCACAGGGTTTTTCTCGCAAAATACTTGTTCCTCGCTGGATCTCTTTCATAGTTATCCAGCATCTGCTGCAGTTGTGTATATGTATACGGCAGTGAGTAGGCAAAAAACACAGAATCCCCTGTATATTTAAACTGATAAGTGAAGCTCAAGTTATAGTACGTTTTTGTCTTCTTGGGATCTTTCAAAATCCCATTAGGATAATACTGTATATCTTCCCCGCCTCTTGTCCAGCCTTTTTCATATCTTTCATAGTACTTGCAAGAGTACACTAGCACCCTCATGCCGTCATTAAACAGTGAATCTGCCTTGGCGAAGTTCACAATGTTAAATTTTACCCTCATATTTGCCTTGGTATTTTCCACCCTAAAGAAAAACCATTGTGTGTGCCCTTTAGAGTTGATATCATTTGACATTAACAGATTATACTCGTTTTCCCCTATTTTTGCAGCCATTGCGAGGTTCCCGCACTCAAACCTGGACTCGAATACTAACGTATTATCAGTGCTATCAGCAGGCTGATAATACATAGGCAACTCAGCTTGTAACAACTCGTTTTGATAGAGTCTTTGTCCCTTGGTCTCAAGGGAGCGTTTTTTTAATATGAGACACTTGATGTCGCACAAATTCGCATTGAAATAGCCAGCGTCAACACTGTCGTCATATATAGATTTAGACCTCAGGTAGACTATTGATTGACTTTCAAATAAACTCCGCAATGAAGTCTCTGGAGGATAAGGCGCTGGAAATGCAGTCCTATCAGCTGATAAGCCTTGCTCGGCTTGTTCTTCATCGCCGTAGAAAGGTTCCAGAGCTCTGAATAAGAGTTACATAAACGGGATTTTCTGTGCTTGAAAAGCAGGCTCAGATGGCATCAAAGTTTTGGGCAGCAGCGGGTTGGGAGGAGGGAGCAGCTCGTTGACTGAAAACTTGCCGTCACGAATTTCTTCTTTGAGTTTGGCTTCAACATCGCCAATTTCTTCACTGTTTTCTTCGTCAGAGAACAAAACTGACCTTTGGATGTCAAATTCTTCCATAATTTGAAGTATGAAAGTGAGTTTAATAGAGCCTAGGCAATCTTTTATATGCCTTAAAACATATCAGACATCGAAATCTGCTTACTGGCAGGCCAAGTTAAATAATGAAGCAACCATTCGATTTATCTTATCCAGCTTAAGATTTGACTATCCCAATAAATTAATGGGGACTCTAATGTATTCATAAGATATAGTTAATCATTAATTACTTTCTAGATGTATAAGACATCTGCACCCTCTGCTTTATTGCTACTGGCACTCGGTCAGTTCTCAGCTTTTCCACTGACGTCACTCTTTGCAAGTTGTTAGAAGACCGGGAGTTCGAAATCATCTTATAAAGAGGCTGCTCTTCCCCTCTTTTCCTTGAGTTTGTAGAAGGGATTGGAGAAATTGACTTCTGCTTTTTGACAGGCGCTTTCTCATAAATCTGTAATCGTTTCAGCTTGTTTTGGATTTGGGCTGCCTCTAGGCATTTTTCTTCATATTTTCGCTTATAATAGTCGGTAAGCTTCTGCTCCTCTTCTAGAGTAGGCTCATTCACAGAAGTCAAGGCTTCTTGCAGCTTATCTAGCTCCACCACATGCTTTTGGTACTCTTTTTGTTTTTCAGCTAAGGTCCCTTTTAACCGTTTTCACTCCTGTTGGAGCCGAGAATTCCTTTGCTCATGTTCTGCAGACTTTTCTTCTCTTTTTGCCATTGTCCTTGACATTGGCCTATCTGTAGTTGGTAGCTTAATTTTGCCTGAGCTTGACATTTTCAAATCTTGGACTTCTTTTTTCCTTAACTCAATTAGCTCTTTTAAGGTCTCAGTGTCCTGTCTGAGCTGATCCACGACTTTGTTATTGCTTTGGGTCAGTCCTTTTTGTTTTTTCTCTGATTTTTCAAGCTTCTCTGTCATTGAATCAATATAAAGCTTCATTTGTTGCTCGATTTTTATATGATTGCGGACTTCGTTCTCAAGCTTTTGGAGGGCTCTTTGGTAAGTTTCGTTGTCTAGGAACTGTTGGTACTCAGGCGTGCCTCTGGCTTGTTTTTTGATGTCTAAAAGACCGTCTGTGATATTCATAATGCTTGCGAGGGCTTGAAAACTGTCCATGTGGATAACTTCGGTGATTCCTACGCCGAATGGGTTTTCTTCGCCCATAGTCCCGAATTCTGTGTGTATTAAGACACAGAGGTCTTGGATTGATTTCTCCAAATTCCGTTGGTCTTCTTCTCCCATTATGCTTACCCCATTTAAGAGTGAGAAAATATTGAGATTATTAATGAAATTTTTATTATATAAATGTTTTTATATATTATAAAAAATTTAATAGCTTGAATTTTAGACATAAATTTTATAAATTAGATTTTCCTTATAAATGGAATTTTTAAATCCAAAACAATTATTTAAATGTTTCCCTTAAATTTAACTAAGATTTTTTTTAGCTATTAAATGGGTAAGTTAGAAGCTTAAGTTAATAATTTAATTTGCAGTAAGAGTATTAGCACTTAATACTTAAAAATAATCAAAAATGTTTTATAAATTTCCTTATGGTTCGTTCAAATTAAACTGGGAAATAATTAATAAATAAGAGGAATGGCAAGGAAAAATGCACCTGATCCTAAAGTGGCTGCAGATTTAGCTGGATATGAAAGATTGAATAAGAGTTCTGCATCAGTTGGAGTAGACAGATTTAGCAAAAGCTATTCCCTAATTGAAGATCTTAACAGGACCTCTACATCAATTGGAGAAAGTTATGCAAAGCCTAAACAAAAGCCAAAGAGCGACGTCAAGAAATATAGCAAAGTGAAAACGATGCTGGTTTATGGCCAATCTGCAGTTATTCTTTTGCTTTTCCTCGCTGCGTTGTATTTGCAATATAAAATTTCGTTCCTAAAAAAGACTAGCCATGCTAATAATCCTTAATCCTATCTATTCTATATAGCTTGTGCCTAATTATTGACCAGGTTACGTAGCAAAGTCTGATTCGTCAGCTGCAGGTTTGGGGGAAGATTGGAATCCAATGGCTTTGACAAACTTAATTAAAATAAACCCAATCTATAATAGGGAATAGGATATATTATTATATTTATTATAATTTTTATTCAGAGATCTAGAATGCTTATTGTTACTTATTAATTATTTTCGCTTAATATAACATTTTATTAATGAATTATACTACAGAATATAACCGAGGATACATAGGAGTAGTCCACCCACAGCTAAACTCAGTATTAATTACTTAGGAGCCAGGAGAATTCAGATTTGGCCGAAAAAGGTTCGATGTTGATAAAAACGCCCAAAGCTCTCATATTGTGTACAATGTCAGGAAGCCAGTTATAACGTCTGAGGAGCCTAGAAACAGGGAACAGTATATAGAAGACCTGCCTTCTAATCCCCAGAAAGACTACGAGCAGCCTACACAGTCTAGCTATCAGCCACGATCTAGCTCTATTCCTAAAAATTACAGTCAACTATATGATGAAAAACTTCCTAATTATAAACCAAAAGCAGGGACTGTCAGGAATAATGACTATCAATACGAAGACCAGTCACCTGGCTATACAAAACAGCAAGGCTTCGATAGATCTTTTCAAGAAGAAGCCACACAATATATCGACCCTGCTATAGAAAAACCTCACCAAGAGCCAGCTCCTTTAAGTTTAGCTGAAAAATACACAAGAGAGCTAGAAATTCTTAAAGAGCAGCTGCGGCAAAAAGACGAAATCCTCCAGAGCTTCCAGCAGAGAAAAAGCCCAGCCCCAAATATATCTCAAGAAGAAGCATATAATAGACTGAATAAAGGGATTTATGATAAAGTACGAATGGAAGAGCAGAGAAAAGAAACAACCAGCAACCTAGATTTTCAGCTCAGCTTAAAAGAGCAACAAAAGCAAATCCAGATTTTAGAAAGGGAAAAAGAACAAGCTAGAAGGCTAGAAGAGCTGAAAAAGCTGAGAGATGACGAAGCTTATGAAAGGGAACAGAAAATAAGAAGGGCAAAACAGTATAGAGAAAACCTAGAAGTCCAAGAATTGCTGAAAAATCAGCTGAAAGGAAATGGATCTGTAAATAAATCATATGTTGAGGAAGTCTCACAATTTGAGATAAACCGATCAGACCAGTCACTCTCAAAAATAGAAAGCCCTTCATTCCCGAGATACGCTAAAAAGAACCCTAGGACTATCACTTTTGACCCAATAACAGGAGCTTTAAGAGATACAAAGTCAATGCCAAGCCCTTTCCGACCCAAACAGCACTCTGAGCCTCCAAAGTCACGACAAATTCCTTCTGAATTTATCTCCCACCCAGCGTTTAACGATGTAAAATTCACCAAGGCTTCTCCAAAATTCATTCCCAGCTTCCCTGTGACTGGCACTCCTAATGCCATTCTATACAAGCCTGAGTTTCAAGAAGACGCCAATAAGTTCTTCGGAATAGAAGAAAGAGGAAAATCAAGGCAGGACAAGTCCCTCGCTGACTATGGAAATATGGTCCTCGGGAGATACCCAAGATAATTTTTGTCTAAATTAATTTAAGGACTGAAAAACCACTTCTTGAACTCCTCCATGTCTTGTTCGAAATGAGCTTCATAGTGTACATTCATGCAGAATTTGCCTTTATTTGCAAGGGAAATCATTTTTGGGGCTCCGTTTCTAACTCCCCTCGAGTGAACAAAAAAAATTCTGTTCGTTTATGAGGGGAGTTCATTTTTTAAAAAAATTATAATTGGAAAGCAATATATTAATTTAATTTGTAAAATTTATGTTTTAAAATGCAAGCTATTTAAAGTTAAACAAATTTCCTAGAGATTCAATGTAGTAATTATCACTTATATATCAAAATTTTTTTTGGGGAAAAATAAGGATTTTTCAATGGTTTTTTTTGCTAGAGAGAGGGAGTAAGCAACTCAATCTTTTCCCACAATGACAGCCTAAGAGGCCCAACCAAAGAGGCAAGTGCAGTAGAGGCGAGTTCTAGCTGCTGGAACTCATAAATTTTTACCTCTATTTCTTCATATACGCTGATTTCTTTACTTAGTAATAAATGCAAAAAATCGTGGATTTCTTTGTATCTTTGAAAAATATAGGCTAAATCTAGGTCTCCAATGTGCTTTACTAGTGGCCTTTCATCAGGGACTAAATTTAAGGAGTCCATATGGTCGATATACTGTTTTCCAAATGTATTAGGAGATAATGCCCGAAGTTTATTGAAGTCTACATAAGGAGTTCTTATTCTAGGCTTCTCTTGGAGAATTTTGGCTCCTACAGGATGGGCTTGCATCCTCTTTTTGATTCCTTGAAGTGCATAATATGATGAGCATTCCCCAAATGTACTGAGATACTCCCCATTTTCTGGATATAAAAGCCCATTGACTGCATTAGTAAAAATCTTGTAAACTCTGTCAGTCTCTGACGAAAGCGGTGAAAAGTTCTCTAGAATGTCATTACAGGTGTGTGCTTTTCTTATTAAATTCCTTATCATTTATATTAATAAAGTTGCTTAAATTCAATATTTACTATATGAAATATTTCCATAATATTTACACGTGTAAATGGTAATTTGGCTGCTTATTCCAGCTCTTACTCTTGCATTTAACTTTGGCAATCCTAACTTCCCTATTCCGTTAAAAAATTCTATAAATAAAATATTTTCTATATAAATATACCCAAAAAAATCAGCTTTCTAATATTGGAAGAGTAAAGAAAAGCCCTCAATGGAAGAAGCCTTACGAATAGTCTCTGAAATCAAAGACGACGTGTCCACCGACATCACAGAAAAGAACTTCGATGAACTCATCCGAAATTCAAAAGACCCATGGTTTGTCTATTTCTATCACCCAGAGAGCGTAAAGTGCACCTTTTATTCTCCACAGTGGAAATTCTTCTCAGAAGAAGTCAAAGAAAAAGGCTATAAACTTAACACTGGAAAAGTCAACATGGAAAAGAATATGCGACTAGTTGTCAGACTTGAGGTTCAAAACTATCCTGCTTTCTTGTATTTTGTAGATGGGCAGTATTATAACTACACAGGACCAAACGATGATATGACGCTGCCTTCAGTGCATCTAGAAAAATTATATTTGCAGTATGATCATAAGCCTATACCATTTAGAGCACCAAAGGAAAAGCCTATTTTAGATAAAGTAAAAGACTTTGTGCTTGGAAATACAGTTTATGTTGCAATAGGTGGGGCTGTGGTACTTTTTGTAGCAGTTTTCGGACTTTTGAAAGCATTTAGAAAGAATAAGCCAAAGACAGAATAATATCATTAAGCTTTTTTTATTTATTTACCAAAATTAATAAATTACACTCGTGTTGCTTCTTCCTGAGCGGGTGGAGCCACTTGGGCTTGAATAGCGGGTTTTAAGGACTGAGAAAACTCGATGGGCTGGCTCAGCTTTTTGAGGCTTGGGACTAATTGAATGGGCGTTTATGCTCATGAAAATGTTGGATTTCCTTCTTTTATTCTCAGCAGGGCTAGAAAATGAGACCAAAGAAGACTGAGAGCAGTTTGAAAAGCCTGAGGCTGAGCTATAAAGCTCGTCTTTTACTGATTGCCAAGTAAGCTCGCCTGCAGTTCTTCTTTTTGGCGACTGCTCCCTAGATGCTGGGTTTGAGTCACTTTTCCCATAAAATTTGTTAAGCTTGCTGTAGAAATTCTGGTTCCTAAAGGCTAAATTGATAACTTTGGGCTCAAAAACGCCTGAGCCTCCTGAAGGTCTCTCACTTTTGCTTCTTAAATGAGATTTAGTCTGCAAAAAAGAATTTCTGTATTGGGTTCCTCCGTCGTTGGCTATTATAGATTTTCGCTTTTCGACAATTGACTGTAAATTTTCAGTGCTGATTTTGTCTTTTGGTCTTGGCCTGTTTTTTAGGGTATTCGGCTTTGAAGCTGACCCGAGGCGGTCTAAGATCTTTTCTTTGGTGTTTTGGATGATAGAAATTACTTTATCGCTTCTACTATTGATGGAACTCTTTTCTTGGATACTGGAAGAGCTTGAAATGAAAGAGTTTTCCCTTTTCTTTGACTCGTTGTTATATTTAAGCTCTTGATAAAAGTTCTTAAGCTGATAATTAATATCGCTATCTTCTTGAAATCCTGAAATTGAGTCATCAAATCTCACTGATCTGCATGACTTGGTTGGAGATTTCGATCTCTTCAGTATCGAAGGACTTTTAGGGCTTCCAGGTAATTGAGAGTTTTGCTTTTTCTGGTGATTATTCGAAGAAAAAGAAGAGTTAGATCTCCGCATTCAGTTGGAATATTTTTACAATAATTAATGCTTCACCATAGCTAGTAGGAAATTAAATTTCAATGGATAAATGATATGGCAAAAACATCAAAAAGAAATTATTATAAAGAAAGGAAAATAACTTCTTTAATTTATAACTGTGGAAATTCTTGTTTATCTCAATAAAGATACGGCATTATAATTCTTAAAAAAATCTGAAATTAAAGCTCATTGATATGCAAAGGAATGCATTCAATTTAATGTATGTAGAAAATCATAGGCTAAGTTATCTATTTTTGGCATCATGCATACAATAAAATTAAGAATTTTGAAATGGCCATTTGAGCACATATTTAATTATAGGAAGATTTTAAATAGTTTAAATTACTTACTATTTTAGTCAAATCTAATTATATTTAAGCTACTAATCTGATAATTGACACTTTTCTTTGTCCAACACTACTTCTTAGTATGGCACAATTGGCAACCTCAATTCTTGGCCATAGGTTTGAATTATTTCTTTGATATTTGCAATAAAATTTAGGTGATCTGAGGCAAGAGATTTGTTTAAAATAAAACTCTTGGTCTATGAAGTGGATTTTATCATCATAAATAGTCCTAATCATGCTTCTAATTGTCTAAACGATGCCCAGCCTTGATTAAGGCTTTTCTTCTTTAGCTTATTGAGCTGTAAAATCCATATACAATTCAGTTTCTAAGGTCGTCATATTTTTATTGCCATAATTTTAAAAACTGAATTTTAATGTTTTATGCATGATTTTTTTAGAATTATTTGGCTTGCCTCATTTTCTTTAGCATTGCCTATAGTTAATTTTATCAGTCCGTTATTTTATTCTCAGAGTTACGCAGTATATACAATGAACTGATTATCTATAAAATTGAGCCTGCAGAGTTGGCTTATAGATCTATAAATATAAATGGAAGAAAAAACAATAATCCCGAACACACTTTTTGCCAGCATCAAAGGAAATCAAAACATCAAAGATGCAATTACTCAAGAAATCGAGAAATTTCTTAAGAATGCAAAGGCTACAACACTTCTTTTTCCTCCAGATACAGCTCCAAATGTAAGAAAATTTGCTCATCAAATTGCTGAAGCTCATGGACTCATTCATGAATCTCGTGACTCAGAAAACGGCAGAGAGCTATGTATAAGTAAAAAATCCATTCAACAGCTACCAGCAGACCCCATCATTTCCTTGGTAAAAACAAATAAAAACTCAGTCACTGTCAATATCAGCTGAAATTCAGGCGGGATTTATTCAGTCGAAAATCTCTGCATTAAGACAACTGGAGCTGCTGAAAAAGAAATAGAAGCCTCTCTAAGTCCTGATGGAAGCTGAACTATCCCTGAAGAAGCTAAATTGCTTGACTACTCTGACTGTCATCTAAAATTGCAGACCAGCCAAGAAACCCTTAATTTGACTATAAGAAATCTCACTGAGACTAAACAAGTCACAATAGAGTTTTCTGATTTGCAATTTAGCACCAAATATAACTTGACAGTGCATACTTTCAACCAGAACTATAAATCTGAGGACTTTCCCTTTATATTTTGTACATTGCCAAACGCTGAAGGGAAACTTTACACTTGGGGTAATAATGAAGATGCAAGACAAGGCATTGAGCAGACAAAAATTTTTATGACCCCAATTCCTCATCCTGCTGTAGAATCCTCATTTGTAGAGGTCGCTACCAATTATGGCTCAAACTTAGGCATTAATACAGAAGGAAGTTTATATGTATGGGGAGCAATCCTTAACGAAAATCGCCAAGAATTCATTAGTTTACCGTTTATATTGGAGCCGAAAATAAGCTTTTATAAAATAGCCTGTGGTTATAGATTTTTTGGAGCTATAAGTTTAGAAGGAGACATTTATACTTGGGGAAATGGAGAATATGGAGAGCTTGGACTTGGCTCAGTCAGGTTTTCAAGCGTTCCTCTACGTATAGAGTCTTTTAATGATGAAAGAACTTCTCATAGATTTTTCACTGATATTTCGTGCTCTGATTATTCTTATCTAGCATGCAATGATGAAGGACTTTTATACGAGTGGGGAGCCTGCTTTAACCGGTATGCATAAAAATATTGATCAATTATTTATGATAAGTTTTTTTTTTTTAATTTATTTATTAGAGTTTTTATGTTTACAGCTTTAATCCTTTATCAGGGGTAAAAGCTATGCTTGACAAGCCTCATATAAATAAATCAGTCTCCTCACACAAGATAGCCCAGGTAAGCTGTGGGGTCGGATACTATGGAGTTGTAACTCAAGAAAAAGTCTTGCTTATGTGGGGAGAAAACCTAGACAACCAGGTTGGCTTTGATGACTGCAGGATATTAGCTATTCCTAGACCTTTAGACATAGAAAACGTGGTGCAGGTCTCGTGTGGGATTTCTCATACTGGATGTGTAACTGCTGATGGAGATGTTTGGCTATGGGGAAAAGGAAAATTAGGGCAGCTTGGTGGAAATTATGAGGATTCAAGCGTCCCAAGAAAATTAGAAGAAATAAAAGGAAAAAAAGTCAGCGTAAATGGAAAATGCACAATTGTCCTGGGAGTAGATGGAAGACTCTATTCTTTTGGAGAAGGAAAAAACGGCTGCTTAGGGATTGGAGTAGGAGGAAAGTCAGCTAAGCCTAGAAAAGTGAAAATAACAAACAGAGCAATATCTGTGAGTCTAGGAATAGCTCACTCAATAGCATTAGTAGAGTAATCGTTATCGTAAGATAATAATTTTTACAAAAAATTGAAGAATAGGCTGATAATAAAACCATTTTTTAAATTAATTATTAACGTTTCTAGTAATTAATTTCATGAAAAGTAAAAGGATTATCTCGCCTGTATTTTCTACTTATTCCCCCTCCATAAGCGAGCAAAATCACTGGTAAATACCTATTTTTTACAATCTGTGAGCAAGTAAAAAATTTTATAAACGAATATTTTGAAATATAATATAATGAAATCTAATTAATTCTAAACAGCTTGTATTTTAAATCATAAATTTACAAATTAAATTAATTTTTGCGTATTAGAATTTTTTGAAAATTTATAATAAATTTATATGTAAAATCTTGAAATCATTTAACCCCTACAAAAGCATAAATATTTTGTTTCGCTCATACAGGGGGTTAGGAAAAAGCTGGTTATGTAGCCAATCTCAGTAACATTTACAATAGAAATCAGCGACAACCAAATTCTCACTGGAGATGTCCAAGACATTATTTCAAATTTAGAAAAAGATTCAGAAGACGAAAAACTAGAGGACGAGGAGTAAGGCTTACTCAGGATCATATCGTCACTGACTGAAAAAATCAATAAAAAACGTTTGCTTAAGCTTAAAGAAAAATTCAATCAAGCAGACACAGATCAAGGTGGAGCTCTAGAGCTTGAAGAATTTGTGGCTGCCTTCGGCAGCGTCCTTGGTAAAAACCTCACAAAAAGAGAGTTAGTTCAGCTCTTTATGAGAATTGATACAAACTCTGATGGCTCAATTGACTGGGACGAGTTCATGAATTTCATCATTCTAGAAAATGAGAATTTGGCCCATATGAGGGCTGAGCATTGTGAGTATTATAACCCAAAAATCCCAGACCCTACAGCATCTCAGAAAACTAATCTGCATAATGATATGATTTCGAAACTCCTTATCATAAATTCAGGTGAAGCTACTGATACTTGTAGATATGTGACTGGGAGCTATGATGGGAGATCAATAATTTATTTACTACAAAAATAATGGTGAATGTTTTTAGAAAAAAATTATTAGAATTTACATGAATGCCCTCACCATCAATGATGGGACTGTAAAAATATGGAACCCTTCCACTCTTACACCTATTACCAGCATTCAGGTTTCTGAAAACTGGGTCACTTCTCTAGCTTATCTTAAAAACTATGAAAGACTGGCAGCTGGAAGCACAGACAGAAGCATTTCGTTTTATGACCTAAATAAATCAAACGAGTCAATTTCCAACCCTTTATCAAGAATTAACGACCTTCGAGGCATTCCTCTCTGTATGGAATACATTGAAGACGACAGCATGTTTATAGCAGGCGATGACCAAGGCTACATTTATCTCTACAAGCTCTATGATGGCTGGCATATCTGTAACACCCGTATGCCCTGCCACAAGACAGATCTAATTTCCACTCAAAACAGCCAGCTTTCCAACCACGAAAAAAATATTTCCAAACAAAAACAAGAAGCTCCTATAAAAGGTGTCAAATTTAAGACCCATTTTATGGAAAATATCGAAATAATGGAAAAAAATATTCATTCTTCCTGGATTACCAAGGTAGAATATATCCCTGACTTAGACTCCTTAATGACCTGCTCCCTTGACAAAACAATCACACAGTTTGACTTAGAAAGGCATCAGGTAAAAAGTACTTATAATTACCACAAAAAAGGGGTTTTAAGCTTCGTGTGGTGCCCTGATTTTAAATTTGTGGCAAGCTGCGGCGAAGAAAGGGTGATTACCTTATGAAACCCTTATAACAAAAAAGGGGCCAAAACGCTACTGCAAGGGCATAATTCAGCGATAATTGATATTGCGCTGAATCAGGATAAGTTTCAGTTGGTATCATTAGGGACTGATAAGGTTGTAAAAGTATGGGATATCAGGACTTATAAATGTGTGCAGACTATTGTCGACAAGACTATTTATAGACCAGAAAACAGACTGACTGGAGTTTATTTTAACCCAAACATAAACTCATTGCTGCTTACCAGTAAGAAAATTAATGTCTGGCCATTCAAAGCCCAAGAAGAGCTCCCAACAAGCCATGAATCAATAGTAACCTGCGCTATTTTTAATAGGAATTTTAACTGCATCATTTCTGGTGACGAAGAGTCTAATATTCACATATGGAACCTAAAAGATGGAAAATTACTATTTAAGTTTTCAGAAGCCCATGGGAGAAATAGGATCACAGCGATGTCCCTTGATTCTTCCCACAGGAGACTTATTACAGGTGGCCACGATGGCTCCATAAAGATGTGGAATTTTAACAATGGTCACTGTTTAAGAGAATTTAACTATGACCAAGAACCAAAAGAAGTCTCCAAAATCATGTTTATAGGTAATGAAAATTCAAGCAAGCTGCAGCATATCGTATCAGTAGGCTGGGATAAACATGTATATGTATGGCCTGATGAAAACGACCAAGTCGTCTCCTGGATAAAATGTTTGCCTAAATCAGGGCGGCTCGTTTGGCTTTTGAGAGATACGGGCTGCATACAATATAAGAAACCAATATGTAATTAAAAGAAAAGAGCCAGTGTTTCACATCAATAAGATATCATTATGTACTATAAGTAACTTATAATAAGGAGCAAAAAAACCATTAAATTTGACGGTAAATTTTTTTTTTTTTATGTCTTAATGAAAAAAGCTTGTTGGCTATATAAACTATGATACTGTTAAGTCTATTAAATAAGCAACTTATATGTACTAGAAATAAGATCTGACAGTTTCATATAATAGCAAACTGACTTTATACCTTGTTTGCAATTCCATTCTGAATATATTAAAAAATCAATAAACGCTTCTCTTAATAAAAAAATAAATCATTATGTCACTAAATTGGGTTTAAGTCATCAGTAAAAAACGAATTTCATCTCTCTTTCTCAAGAGATAACGGTTTATTAGGTGCTGCAAAAACCCGCTTAAAAAGACCGTTATATTTGCGCAAAAATTAATACAATTTCTGCATCGATTTGCGTTGCAACACACATTAATATAGTGAAACGATGCTTTATTTTGAGCCTTATTTATATTATATTTTATGTCTTATATAAGAGAATTCAATATGATCTAATATTTCGAAAACTATCAGCTCATGAAAATGTGAAATCGTTTGCTTACTCCCCCCCCCCCCCTCCGTGAGCGAACAAAACCCATTAGAAAAATCGCCATTTTTTGACCAAAAACCCACCCTCCGTGAGCGAACAAAAATTTTTTTAATAGAAAAAATTTTAATGGAAAAAAATTTTGATATATAAGTGATAATTAGTATAATGAAATCTAGAGCTAATTCTGTTTAATTTTAAACAAATTGCGTTTTAAAACATAAATTTTGCAAATTAAAATTAATATTTGCTTCCCAATTTTTGCAAATTAGGATTTTTTTAAATTTCGAAAAAAAATATTTTTTTATAAAATTTTATATATAAATTTTTTTTAAAAAAAAAATTAACCCCCCTCCGTGAGTGAACAAAATTTTTTTGTTCGCTCACGGAGGGGGGGGGGGGGAGTTAGTGAAAAAAAATTTAAACAGAGCTCCTTAAAATAGAAATTAATTTTTTTAAGGAAAATAAATTAAAATTTTGTTATTAGATACTTTTAGAGCAAGCTTTGCTTATTTATTGCGCTTTTTTTTATAAATAATAACAATATTTAAGGTAAATCATACTTATTTCAGTTCTAAGTGTGCCTCTCTCAGTGGCTATTAAATATATTAAAATTATTAAATAATATATAAAACCGTTTTTCAAGACATATTCTTTCAAAATATATCAAAACGATGACCAAAATTTGCAATATTTTTTTGAGTTAATTTCCTTAAAAAAGGTTTTTTATAAGTTTTTTAATAATTTTAATATATTTAATAGCCACTGAGAGAGGCACACTTAGAACTGAAATAAGTATGATTTACCTTAAATATTGTTATTATTTATAAAAAAAAGCGCAATAAATAAGCAAAGCTTGCTCTAAAAGTATCTAATAACAAAATTTTAATTTATTTTCCTTAAAAAAATTAAATTTCTATTTTAAGGAGCTCTGTTTAATTTTTTTTCACTAACTCCCCCCCCCCCTCCGTGAGCGAACAAAAAAATTTTGTTCACTCACGGAGGGGGGTTAATTTTTTTTTTTTAAAAACAATTTATATATAAATTTTATAAAAAATATTTTTTTCGAAATTTAAAAAAATCCTAATTTGCAAAAATTGGGAAGCAAATATTAATTTAATTTGCAAAATTTATGTTTTAAAACGCAATTTGTTTAAAATTAAACAGAATTAGCTCTAGATTTCATTATACTAAATTATCACTTATATATCAAAATTTTTTTCCATTAAAATTTTTTCTATTAAAAAAATTTTGTTCACTCACGGAGGGTGGGTTTTTGGTCAAAAAAATGGCGATTTTTCTAATGGTTTTGTTCGCTCACGGAGGGGGGGGGGGGAGTAAGCAAACGATTTCACATTTTCATGAGCTGATAGTTTCGAAATATTAGATCATATTGAATTCTCTTATATAAGACATAAAATATATTATATAAATAAGGCTCAAAATAAAGCATCGTTTCACTATATTAATGTGTGTTGCAACGCAAATCGATGCAGAAATTGTATTAATTTTTGCGCAAATATAACGGTCTTTTTAAGCGGGTTTTTGCAGCACCTAATAAACCGTTATCTCTTGAGAAAAAGAGATGGATTTCGTTTTTATTTAACTGGATGAACTTTGACTTATAAACATAACAATTCCGTTTTTTATTGAAGCAAGCGTTTATCGAAATTTTTTTTATTTTCATTAGACTCTCGCAAATTATCTAGGCCGTTAGGTTGCATTGATGATTGCTGGTATCGTCTATTTTGCTTAGTTACTAGGTCTTTTTTATTAAGGACTCAACTGTTTCCATTTTTGTGGAGATTTAGAATCTTCTATTTTTGTGATATAAAAAATATTTTTTACAGTCAAATTTAATGGTTTTTTTGCTCCTTATTATGAGTTACCTGAAGGACATAACGTTTTCTTTATTGATAAGAGATACTGACTCTTTTCTTTTAATTACATATTGGTTCTTCATTTTATGGACATCCCGTATCTCTCAAAAGCCAAACGAGCCAATCAGGGCAACTTGGGCATACTGATGATATTCTGTCTTTGGCTTATTCGCCTAAAGACAGGTTTGTGATCACTGGAGGACAGTCTGGACAGATTATAGCTTGACATTTTGAGACTGGGTTCCCTCGGGCTTATCTTCATGAAATTGATAGTACGCTGCTGCCTAGCCCTGAAAGGCCTTCAAAAGCAGTTGAAGAGCTCATATATGCTACAAATAAAGAAAAATTGCTGTCTATAAGTGCTGACTGTTTACTAAGGTTTTGGGATTTACGTGAAATGAGACCTAGTAAAACAGTTGATATTACCCATTGTGACAATGATTTAATTACCTGTGCCTATTTAAGTTCTAACGAAATCACATTAGTGACAGGTGATGAGTCAGGGAACGTGAAAATATGAAACGTGCTGGATAATTTGGAGGTCGAGGCCTTGCTTTATTTTAATGCTCACCAAGGGGCAATATCAAGCCTTCAGCTATTTTCTGTAGAAGATTGTATTTCTAATTTATTATTAACTACAGGGCTGGATAGGAATGTTAAGCTGTTTACTGAAGAAGGGTATTATTTAGGGTACTTTGGACAGGCAAAGACGTGGAATTTAGAATATCCATCGACTGATTCACCACCAAAATCGCCCAAGCAGAATAGACAGGTGTTTGTGAACTCTGGGTCGCCAAGGTCAGCAAAGTTTCATATAGAAGAAGAGGCAAAAGAATCCCCGAAGCCAATTAAGTATATCAGTATTGACAGGCCGAAAACAAATAAAATTGATACTACGTCTTCTGACGTGTTTAGAAGGATAAATATTGAGAAGTTTAAGATTGAGCAGATTCCGAGTTCGTGGGAAGAAAGCTATAGGTCGAAGACAGGCAAGAATTTAAACTTATCTGTAACGATGGAGAAAAAACGTTAAGAAAATAATGCATTATTATACTGCTGTTTATGAAGGAAATGATAATTATTTAAAAAATATTGAAATTAATCAGAGGGATATATTAATTTTATTTGCTATATGAGAATTTGATTTCCATTGGTTAAGTGCTTTGAAGCAAAATGCTATTTTGGTTTATCAGTTTGGGAGTCAAAATATTAGAACACTCTTTTGGCTTCGGCTTTCCGAACTTTCCCGGTGCAAAGAGGATAATTAATTAAATCAGCTTGTGCTGGCCCCCAAATGGCAAAGCCACTTAATGCGGGGTTCTTGCCATTTGTGGAGTTGGTTAACCAGCGTAAATTGGTTAACCAACTTCCCTCTTTCCTGTTAGAAAGATCAGAAATCGAGCCAAAGGGGAGTGCTTGAGCTATGCACACTAAAAAATTATTGTAGACTGTATTTAAAGCCTAGCAATTGTATTATAAAAAGTTGATCATTTAAAATATCTAATGAAGGAATAAAACTCTTTTATAAAAGCTCAATTATTACTTTTGAGCCTATACTTTTGTTTATATATTTAATTTGCTAGCTGCTAACCATTTTCTGCATAAATAATATTTAGATATAATAAATGAATAGTTGAAAAAGGAGCTAAGATATGGAGACATTCAAGTTATAATAAATGAATAGTTGAAAAAGGGCTAGATATGGAGGCATTCAAACCTTGATAAAATAAATTATACTTTTAAATAATTATAAAAAAATTATTATAAACACCTCAATTTGAATTGCTCCCAAAATATAAATCTTATAAGAAGCTTTTTCAGTCTATACAAAAAAATATGATATGAATAAAAATGACAAAAGTCTTACACGATAATAGCTTGAGGTAATTAATATCCAGTCTGCCTTCCTATTCCAAATATTTCCAAATTTTGCAGCCCATATCTACTCATAGCTCATACATCGAAGATTTAGAGTTCTCAGAATAGCATTAAACTAGATTATTGAGAAGCTCCCGTAGTACCCGCAGGTGCGTTTTTCCACCTTGCCTCATTGGGCCGCCTGCGGCCGCTTCACCACAGGTTAAGTGCTCTCCGCCTGAAGCTCGGGTCGAACGGAGAGTGAAGTGGGTAAGTACCATGCCTTAAACCAGATGAGGGTTGCCGTACAAAATTCCAAAAAATGGAACTCTCGGCAAAAAGGTAAAACTTGTAGCCCAGAGTAATTCCTGCTTTCATGCTAGGGAGCTGCCCGATAGACTTAGAAGGCTTTGCTGGGCTTCCCCTTTCCAACTCCAAGATTTCCTTTCCTTACTCCCCCCCCCTCTCCGTGAGCGAACAAAAAAATTTTGTTCGCTCACGGAGGGGGGTTAATTTTTTTTTTTAAAAAAAATTTATATATAAATTTTATAAAAAATATGTTTTTCGAAATTTAAAAAAATCCTAATTTGCAAAAATTGGGAAGCAAATATTAATTTAATTTGCAAAATTTATGTTTTAAAACGCAATTTGTTTAAAATTAAACAGAATTAGCTCTAGATTTCATTATACTAATTATCACTTTATATATCAAAATTTTTTTCCATTAAAATTTTTTCTATTAAAAAAATTTTTGTTCACTCACGGAGGGTGGGTTTTTGGTCAAAAAATGGCGATTTTTCTAATGGTTTTGTTCGCTCACGGAGGGGGGGGGGGGAGTTAGAGATAAAAAAACAAGCTTAAAAATATTAGGATTACTTACAGAGCTGGCAAAACCTTGCCGGATATAATTAAAAAATGTGTTTAAGCTCCATAGTCAGGCTCAGACGCTATATTTTAATTATTAGAGTTCTCAGACAAAGTCATTTTACCAAAATCCGTAGGTTTTGAGCTTCTCAGGCTAAAACTCCCTATCCCATATCTTTTTATTCTTACTCCACAAAGGCGTATAAATTCCTTTGTCTACTGTAGCCCATTAGAATTTACAGCTGAAGAAGACGAAATTTACCTGCCAAACTGAGTATTCCAAGAGCTGGGTTACAAAATTGCATTTAAAAATGATAAAAAGCCACTTAAAGCTGGCTACGGAATTAATCTGCACTCTCTCCCTGTAAAACGCTATTTAAATCGCCCAGTCTACACAATTCCTATTTGCTCTGAAATAATTGTGTCCTTAACAAAAAGCCTGGATGCTGAAATAATAAAAAGGAAATTGTCAAATTATTCAATCTTAATTGAAGGAAAAAAGTTAGAAATTAAAGAAAAAAACGAAATTTGGACACTGGTTATCAGCAGATTGGGTCCTTCTAATATTTGTATTAATAGAGGAAACTACCAGCTGGATATTATTGATAGCTCAATTAAGCATTTTGAGTACGAAATTGACAAAGAAGACAGTGAAAAATCCAGTGAAGAAAAATACGATAATTTTCCAGAGAATTCAGATCCATTTGGTTTATAGCCCCTGAAATTATTTAGATCATTATTGGCCATCCATTTTAATTTCAAAAATTAATTTGCACTTGCCAGCTTTTTTGAAAAGTAAAAACGAAAATGACAAGTCTCCGTTTATGGTTTTAAGATACCTAATCAGACTTATACTGTATAAGGCAGGCGCCCTGTACCATATTTTTTCTGGTCAGTATTCTGCTGGGTATAGAGATCTATTAAGGTGCATGAGCTATACCTACAAATGAGGGTGTCAAGCTGCCCAAATTTTTGTATGAAATCATGAGAAAAGGGAAAAAAACTGAAAAAAGACCTAAAAATGAAAATGTTAAAATTTTGAGAAATTCTTTTGGTCTAGAGTCCTTTACACTTTTAGCGAAAAAAAGAAGCAAGTCAAGTTTTCATCATCGCAAAGGTTTTTCATACCACAATAAAAATAACTCTCTCAATGAGGAAGTATCAGTAAGACTGTCATCTGATTTTAGCGCAGATTCATATCAGCCGAACCAAAGTATAGCAATGCAGAATACCATTGAGGAAGAAAATCCTAATGAATCATTTGACAGAAAATGGCCAAAAAATCATAAAAATATAACTCTGGCAGCACTTTTAAATAAGCCTGCTTATTTGGAAATTAGTTTGCCTTCTGTTACTGCCCAAAACAGAAAAAGCAATGACAAAGCGCTGGCTTTGATAAATGAGAAGAAAAGAAAGAAAACCCCGAATTTGAGCAATCGGTATGCTACCTCATTATCATTAAGGCCGCCTACCATAAATGGTTTTGAAGATTTTAATCCGCTTATTCTTAGCTCTCTGTCTCCGGTAAAGAAAAAGTCTATTTTATTCAATTATTAATTATGATATAACCACTTCTTATCATGTGGATTATATATACACATGGAATAATAATAAGTTAATAATTTTGATGTATGGAAAACTAAAAGAAGCAAGTCCAAGCAGAAATAAAAATTTAAGACAAGATGAAGCAGCTGTTATAAAAGCTATTCAGAAACATATTTTAACAGTTTTAGCCAATGAAGAAATCGCAGCAAAGCTAGAAAATTTAGAAATCAGACTAAAACTGCATTTAGAATTAATTGAAAAGAAAAGGCTTGAGTCATACCAAGAAATGAGCATCAAAAAATTCCTTGAACTGATTTCCCTTAACTGGCCTGAAACTCTAAAATCCCAAATAAAAGATTGCCTTAGCCAAAAAATCAAAGAAATTATTTTAAAAAATAAAGCCAAAGATATCAATGTAGCCATAATTGACTGTTTAAATGCCCAGCAGTCTCACATTTCAAGAATTCGGACACAATGCGAAATCATGAATGAGAGATGCAAAGCAAATTGGCAAAAACGACTAAAAGAGCAGTCACCTATAGTCCAGGCTAAAGCGAAAATTATGAAAAATGTAAGCAATAAGCATGCCAAGAAGTCAAATTCGGTTAAAAGATTGAGATTTGAGCTCCCTGAGCAGCTTGAAGACGTCAGAGATATAGAAATCAAATTGCAGGACTCGATAAAGGAAAATAAAATTTTAAAAGAAAAATTACTGGAATTTCAGAGGAAAAATATAGAAAACGTACAGATAGCTGAGGATGAGTTTAAAAAACTGAAAAGTGAATTATTTTTATCTAGAAATAAGCAGAAAGAACTAGAAGATATAATAGATTTCCAACAGAGAGAATTAGAATTGATAAAAGAATCAATAGAAGATTCAAAAATAGAAAATATGAGCTATAAGACAATATGTGAAGATTTAAACAAAAAAGCAGAAAAATTCAGAAATTTGAAGCTTTTGCACAGATTTTTTATGCTATTCTCTTCTAGATGCAGATTTTTAAAAAATGTGTCGATATTTAAATCATTTATTGAGATTAAAAGAGAAAAAGAAACATGTAAAGTTGCCTTGTCTGGCTGAAAATGGATTCATAAGTTTGAGAGAATGCTGAGCTATGGAAAACAAAAAAAAAGCAGAAAAATTGTTAGGAATTTATTTAGAAACTGAAGGCGGTATACCGATATATCCTTGATTATTAAAGGAGCTGGTATTAAGCGCAGCCAAGATTTACAACAAAAAACTATAAATGCTTGAAAAATATATTCTGAAAAAAGATATGTATCAAATGAAAAGAAAATTAAAGCAGAGACTGCAAATCAATTTAGATTAAAATGGAATTTATTTGAAAAATGGAAGAAAGCACATGATCATGCAGAATTTGATAAAAAATCTGATAAGGTAGATGATATAGAAAAAATTTATTGTAATAAATTATGCAAAAAATCACTGCTAGGGTTAAGAGTTTGATATTATGATATAAGACTTCCAGAAATCATGCAGAAAATGAAGACGAATTCATTTTATGAGAGGAATCTTATAAAAAAGTCTTTTAAAGGGATGAAATTATTATGTTGGAATAAAAGCCATTATAATTCGATATTATATCAAATGAAAGCAAAAAATTCTTCAAAAATTACTAACTCCCCCCCCCCCCCCCGTGAGCGAACAAAACCATTAGAAAAATCGCCATTTTTTGACCAAAAACCCACCCTCCGTGAGTGAACAAAAATTTTTTTAATAGAAAAAATTTTAAATGGAAAAAAATTTTGATATATAAGTGATAATTAGTATAATGAAATCTAGAGCTAATTCTGTTTAATTTTAAACAAATTGCGTTTTAAAACATAAATTTTGCAAATTAAATTAATATTTGCTTCCCAATTTTTGCAAATTAGGATTTTTTTAAAATTTCGAAAAAAATATTTTTTATAAAATTTATATATAAATTTTTTTTTAAAAAAAAAAATTAACCCCCCTCCGTGAGCGAACAAAATTTTTTTGTTCGCTCACGGAGGGGGGGGGGGGGGGGGAGTAAAGTATATTTTAGTGCATGAAAAAAGTCAATAAAAGAAGAAAAGCTTACCTACCTCTTAAGAGTGAGCAAAACCAATGGAAAAACCCTATTTTGGGAAGATCAACCTTTTTAAGAGTGAGCAAAAATATTTTTTTTATAAATAAATTATTAAATTTTAAATAGTTTACATTCTTAAATATAAATTTTATAAATTAAATTAATTTCTCTTTTTAAACTTTTACAAAACTTTAAAAAAAATTAAGCCCCATTTAAAAGCAAGCGCTCATTCTTAAAAGGGAGTTAAGAAAAATTTATGATTATTATTAAAGCAGCATATTCAAAAGAAATTTTTAAACAAATGATTATTTGAATACTCAAAAAAACAAAAACTAAACTCACTAAAAATTACTTCACATCAACGCTACTCAAATAGTATAGCTCGAAGATATTTTAATATCTGGAGAACATATTTGCAAAAGCTGCAAACAATAAGAATCCTTAATAAATACATCTTAAACAAAAAAAATCGCAATTTAATGAGAACCGTCTTTTTTGAATGAATAAAGAAAAAAATGAGTTCATCACTCCAAGATGTTTCTCGGCTTAAAAAAGAGCTTGAAGACTCAGCTTCAATAAACCAATCACAGCTGGAATTAAAGACCTCTAAGTTTCTAAAAAATATCAATGAAAAAGATAAGCATATCCAGCTTATCCAAGCACAATTATCCAAAATGAAAGAAAAATACCACTCAGAGTCAAAAGAGCTATTTGAGCTAAAACTGAAAATTAACGAACTAGATAAAAGTTACCAAACGAAAATCAATGAAATTGCAGTCGCCAATGAAGAAATAGTCAACAATTTAGAAAAAAAAATCCGAAAATATGAACTGCAAATTAAGCATCTGTCCTCACAAGTTGAAAAACTTGAATATGAAAACAGCTATTGCATAGGGCAGAATAGGAACTTAAAAGAAGAAGTAAACAAGCTGAAAACTATAAAAACTCAGCTAGAACTAGAAATACAACTTTTGCATCAAGAAAATGAGTCAAAAATAATTCTTTCACCAATCCGTGAAAGCTTTTCAAAAGGGTTTGAAACTGGTGGTTTTGATTCAAAATTCATTCAAAGTCCAAATAATTCCAATATTAAACCCAGGCAAATTTTTTCCCTGCCAGTCTCCTACACGTCTTCTCCGCAAGGCGAAATAGAAGAAGAGCTGACATTTCGGCCAGCTAGAAACAAATCTTCAATAGAAAAAGAGCTTGAAGAAAGAATCCAAAGTTTAAAATCACTATAGCTTATGCCTCCTTATGGATCAGGCCTGGAAACTGATTAGTTTCTGGCTACTTTAGTCATCCCAAGCCTACAGATGATAAAATAATTTTTTTCCTATCCATATCCAAGCGTAAGCTATAACCAGTGAGCGAAACCATCAAAAATCCAGTGTAACATACCAAGAGCTTACCAACAGAATCATGAATTTAGAAGAAAAAATCAATCTTTCCGCAGAAAAGCTTAAAGCAAAAAACACTCTTTTGCTATAAAAAAACACTTTAAATTATTTTTCTTTTTTTGATTTAGTTGTGCTTACCTTCTTTTTAACAACCACTTTTTTCTTTTTTTTCTTTTTCTTGCCGTTATCCTCTTCAATTACTACATCTTCGACTATTTCTTCAACCTCTTCTTCTTCAGTCCCTGGGAATAAAATATCAAGTTCCTCTATAGCCATTCTCACTTTAATTTGGTCAGGGTCACAGAAATCCAAAATCGCGTCACAAAAATCATGCCCAACTTCTTGAAGATGTTCAGGGTTAAAATGGAAATCTGCATGCTTCCCATAATTTGCCCCACAAAAAGAAGATTCTAAGGTAAAGGAATTGATAATCCCCATTTCTCTATAAATTACTATTCTGGCTGTGGATTCTTTGGTTTTTTGCATCCCGAACACACAGTCGCTGAAGCTGAAAATTTCTGAGGTTTTTTCCATTAGTTTTGGGAAGATTTTTTCTTTATTTCCATTTTTGCCTACACAGCCATACATAAAGATGTTTTTCTTCCTGGAATGTCCATGGAAATCGCAGGTCAGTACAACTTCTGCTTCACTACAAAATTGCTTTAGCATAGCTTTTGCGTTAAAAATAGTGGGGTGTAGTTTTCTAGACGGCTCAGCCCAGCATCTATTTAAATCAACCCCAGCCAGCCCACATCTATACGATCCATTAATAACTCCATCAGGATTCAGCATAGGGATAATTTTAAAAATAAAATTATCCCGCAAAATTTTGGCATCTAGGGTTGGTCCTGTTAAATAATCAATAAGTCCTTTCATCATTCAGGACGAGTTTGTTTCTCCAGGGTGCACTCTTGCAAAGAGCGCTATACCTTTTCTAGCCCTAAACGACTCAGCCTCAGTCAAAAAGCTAGTAATAGTCAAAACGTCACAGGAATTTCCAGCCACAGTCTGACACAATGTTTTTCTCCTTATTCTGTTTCGTTTTTTAGGGTCAGCTAATAGTAAATTAAGATATTTATTAAGGTCTGAATAAGTATAAGGATAACAATGCGCAATATAGACTGTATCTTTTTCATTAGTCACAGTAATAGCAAACGTCAGTGTATAGTAATACCCACCTATTTTCTTTTTCATGTTATTCTGATAATAGCAAATATACTTTGGGCAGGCTTTAGCCTGCCCTTTGGTTACAAAAATTCTAAGAATCCCTTTTCTAGACAAGCTTACTCTTTAAATTTATCAGATCTTTTTGCTGTCAAAGACTTTTCTAAAGCTAAAAGCCTGCCCAATCTATATCAAACCCATCCCTTCTCCAGCCCTTATGAAAATTTTCTGCATCCTTAGTCGAGTACACACAAGTTTTCATGCCTGCATTATAAAGAGAATCTGGCTTCATCATATTGATGATATTAAACCTGTAGGTTTGGTTCGCTTTGGTGTTGGAAATTGAGAAATAATATCATTGGGTGTTTCCTCGTGTATTGTAATCGGATTTTAATATTAAATCATACTCAAACTCGTAGATTTGGATAGCTCGCCTCAGGTTTCCAGACTCAAATCGGGACTCAAATACTAAAGTTGTGTCTGCAGGGTCAACTGGGTAGTAAAAAGGCTTTAAATCGCCGTTGGCAGGTGGCTCTTTGTCTTGATTAAATGGGCTAGGGTCTATACAGTCGTATACGACCTTATTTAATAAAGTTTCTTGATAAGCCAATCTCTCTGTTTCTCGCCGTATACAGTCTTCTAATATAGATTCCCGAGGGACTGCAACTGCTTCATAAGGCTCCACGTCAGGAATAAACTCAGGAGAGTTGTTTAACATAGGCAGACCAGTCCCGGTTTTGGCTGCGCTGGGATCTTGGACTTTGCGCTGCTCATAGTAGCTGATTAAGGGCAAAGGAGAAGGAAAACTATCACCTTTGCCGTCTTCGTCTAGGATTTGTGTTTGTGGGTTTACGCCTCCTTTGCTGTTGTAGCTGATAAGGTCTGTGGCTTTGGTGGCATCTCCCTCCATATCTAGTTTAAGTTAATGTAATTAGAATTTTTAATAAAGTAGCTGATATGACACTTATTAAAGTTTAGGTTGAAATTTGGATAATTAGACTTGGGAAACCTGCTTTTTTGTATATTAATAAACTCCAGTAGGTCTAAATAGTGTTTTTTATTGAAAATTTTGGCTTATTATTGTTATTATCTTGCTATTCTAGCTGTGATGCCGGCCTTAAACTATTATTTTAGATTAGAGTTTAATCGGACATGAAATGCCACGAACTCTTTGTCTAGCATTTATTTCTCCCGATATTATTGCTGCAAACTTAAAATATTCCAAGCATATTGGTGAATTTTACTGCACATTCGATGAAAATAGGTAAAAGAGCGTTTTAATGATGTTTTGATACATTTATAACTTCTTTTCACCAAAGCTCTTAGTGGGAGAGTTACTCTTGATATTTTTATACTTATTTTGAAGTCCTAATATCTGTTATAAAAATTATAATATAAAATCATATTCAGTTTCATTCCATGCTTTATCTGAAATTATTTAAAATTCCTCTGTCTTCCTACCATTATTATAAACCCGGTCCCTACTTGGATAGGGCTTTAATGACAGTGGAAACGTCAGATGGGGAGTTGACAAACAAACTTTTGCCCAGCAAAGTCAACTCCCCAGATGGCAAATCCTCTTGCTATTGGAAATCTGTCATCTTTAAGTTGGTTTTGCCAGAAATTGCTTGCTCGCCAACTCCCCATCTAACGTCTCCAGATTTCAATCAAGCCCAATAAAGCATGGATTTGGCTATAGACTATTGAATATCTGAGAGAATTAATTTAATTTTATTAAAATATTTATAATCGCTTTATCCTATTAGCCGAAAGTGTAAAGCTATAACGTTCTTATAGCATCGCTTAAAGTTCTCTAATTTTGTTTCCTGATCTTTATCAAAAGCTAAATAGCTTTAATTCAAGAGGATGCTATAAGTACGCTCTAGCTATAATAAAAAATCAAAAAGTGCCATAAAAATTCTCTGATTTATTAAAGATGTAACTCCATTTTTATATATTTATAATTATAAAATGAGCCTGACCGAAGCTGAGAAAAACAAAGACTTAGGTGGATTTTTCGCAGTCCACCCCAAGTATGACTGCCCACATCTAACTGACGAAAATTTTAACCGAGACATATCATTCTATTCAGAAGTCACCATAAAATCACCTTGTGCAGACTGCTCAAATGTCGGCGAAAACTGGGTATGCTTGAAATGTGGACAAGTAAAGTGTTCTCGTTATGTTCAAGAGCATATGCTTATGCATGCAATTGAAACCTCTCATGGGATTTCTCTAAATCCTCTTCTGAGAGATTAAAAAAAAATTCGGCTAAGAAATGGGCTATTATTTTTTAAAGTAACTTTTTTATTTCAAAATTTAATTTTAGCTCATAAACCCTTTATGGACCGACCTTATTGAAAATGTAGCTGGTCTAATGGAATTCACATCTTTTATATATCTTAGGCCAGAACTCTCACTATTTAGAAAATAATCCAGACTAGTTTTAAACTAGTTAAATATTGTTTTATATAATTTTTTTTATAATTTTGAAAATATTTCTAATGATTAGCATAAAGCTTGGCAAAATAAAACCAACTCTTATTTTTTAATTAAAATGGCTCTCCTCTCTTCATGTTTGAAAAAATGGCAATTTCGCGGCAAAATGACTTGGCCCAAATATGGGAATAAAAATAACTAGTAAAAAAAATTGGCAAGTGAAAACCATTTTGACAATAATGAAATTCAAGATAGGACACCATAAGGCAATATAACTAATAAAATAAAAAAAATATATTCAATTGTTTAGAAAGTGGAAATTAAAGCTACAAATGATTGCTATTATTACTTAAAATATGAAGTTTCAGTTAGAACGCATAAGGTAAAATAAGAATTTCAATTTTTATCATGGCTAGGAAAATCAGATGGCGATATAACGAGCAGAAAAATAAAAAAATCAAATGTGCGCTCATCCTAAAAGAGGAAATTAAAGCTATACAGAATTGCTATTATTTTGAGAGAATTCTTAAATTAATAATTAATTTTTATTAAAAGCCCACTTTTAAAAATTAGCTTGTTTAATTATCAAAATGGTTCACACTTGTCAAGTTTGTTTTAATTCCCAAATTCGGGCCAAGCCATTTTGCTGTGAAATTGCCACTTTTCAAGCATAAAGAGAGAAAAGCTTTTTAAATTGTAAATTACGTCTTGGCCTTGATTTACCGAGCCTCATGCAAATTATTCGAAATCTTTTCAAAATTATCAAAAACGCAATTATATATAAAAATTATATTGAACTAGTTTAAAGCTAGGGCATTTTTATTTTTCTGAATTATTCTCTAAGTAGTGAGAGGTCTAGTTACATTTTCAATGAGGTCGATCCATAAAGGTTCACTAGCTATAATGTTTTAGAAAAAATTGTGAATATTTAATAAAAATTATATATCAAAAACCCTTTTTCGCTCGCTGAGGGATCATTTTTTTTAAAAAATAAGGTTTTTACAATTATATAATTGCTCATTACGAAAGTTGTAAGTTTTTCAGATCTTTCCTTTTGGTGTTATAAATGTGATTCTTATATTTCAAGCCCAGAATTAAAAGAAATTTTAAAGGCTTTTCAGACAAAAAAATTTTACTCACACTCAGGAGCTATTCAAGAAAATGTAAAAGAAGAAGAGGAAGAAGAAGAAGAAGATGAAGAGGCCAAAAAAGAAGAAGCAAAAGAAGAAAAGAAGCAAGAAGAATCAAAAGAAGAAAAGCAGCAAGAAGAAACAAAAAATGAAGTCGAAAAGCTTGAAAAAGGCTTAGAAGAGCTAAAAATTGCAGAAGTCACAAAAGATTTTAACAGAAAAACACTTGAAGAATTCGCAGAAAAATTACGTGCAGGTGTTTTCAAAAAAATTGCTATTATGGCAGGGGCAGGCATCAGTGTAAACGCAGGAATCCCTGATTTCCGTTCCCCAGGTGGTTTTTACAGTAAAGTTGAAAAACTCGGTTTGCCCTACCCCGAAGCAGTTTTCCACATCCAGTACTTCCGAGAACAGCCAGAACTCTTTTATTCTCTATCTGGCGACCTAATCCCTGAAAACCTTAAACCTACTCCAACCCACTATTTCTTAAAGCTTCTAGAAGACAAAAATCAGCTAATGATGTGCTACACACAAAATATCGACGGACTTGAAAAAGATGCTGGACTTTCCCCATTAAAACTCTTACAAGCCCACGGCCATTTTGACAGTGCTCACTGTATTGGCTGCAAAAAGGAATATGATATTAACGACCTTAAAACCCACATAAAAGAATCAACTGTAGCCTATTGTGATAAATGCGGAAAACCAGCCAAGCCTGATGTAGTATTTTTTGGAGAGCCACTTCCCGCAAGATTTCAATCCTGTGCTTTTATGATGGAAGAGGCAGATCTTCTGATTGTAATTGGGACTTCTCTGGTAGTTTTCCCATTTGCAAGCTTAGCAGAAATGGTGAGTAAAAATGTGCCTAGAGTTGTGATAAATAAAAACCTCGGGGATTCTGAGGTCTGGAAAGGGCTGAAATTTAAAGACCCTAATGATAAAAGAGACGTTGCATTTGTAGGGGATTGTGATGAAATTATTAGGGAGCTAGTAAATCTGTGTGGGTGGCAAGAAGAATTTGAAGCGCTAATGAAAACAAATTAAGCTTTATTAATTCAGAGGAGTTTATAAGAAAAAACGTTAAAAAATGAAAATTTATATATCATTATAAATAAGGCAATTTTATACGGTTCCTTATAAATATTTTCTGCTTGAGTTTAGAAGTATCCAAATCTCCTGGAGTTCTATCATGAGACAGTGTAAGTTGCGACATATCAACCCCCGGCTGAAATGGCGCGAATTTTCGCTTGACAATTCTGTTCATTTTGCTATCAGGCTGAGGAGTTTTGCTTAATACTTTGATTCTGGATTTTTGGGTCGCAACTAGCCTGTTCTGCAGCTTTGGTATCGGAGACAAAGAATGGACAGCCCATTTTGTGGAAAAATCAAACCCAGGGTGCTGAGTATCAGCGTTTACCTTATTGTTTAATGGTTCAAGGAACTTTTTTGAGCTGTCTTTTTTGCCAATATACACATACTTGACATTAATCGCCATTGAGTATCATATGTCTAGAAGATTGTCAGGCCCAATATCCATATTCCAGCCAAGCCTGGCAGCATGGTTTCTAAGCCAAGCATGCATGAAGGTTTTTCATCTGTTCATTACTAAATGGTGCTTATGTTTTATTGTTCTTAATGGGAATTTTTGGATGGTGTTGGCGAGCTCATATATGCTTTTAGACTCAAACATCCCGATAACAGCATTTTTCTGAGGCTCATACATGTCAGTGCCTAGTAGTCCCCTTAAGTAGATTGAAATTTCATCATTTTCGCCATTTTCGAGCCTTCTTTTAATGACACCTTCCCATAGTTTTTTCCCTGATTCATTATCAATAGTTTTAAGTCCTTGTTTTTGGGCTTCAATCTGATACTCTATTTCATAGTTTTTCGCTGCATCAGTAGTTTTACTTGTAGCCTCCTTAACTCACTTATAATATTCTTCATCAAAACCTTCTTCTTTATTTATAGATTTATATTTCTTTAAGCTCTCCACACAGAATTCTTTATCAAAATCTGCAGAGTCTTCATTTCTCTGTGTTTTATATAGCTTTTTTTCTTATAATTCCTTTATATTTTCCTACTATTTATAAACCATTATTATAGTAAACTCCTATAACTTTTTCTGGCTTAGATTTTTTCAGCAGAGATTTTATAATTTTGCTATAGGCATTAGAAAAATCATTTAGCTGAGACTCCACGTCAGTTTGTGTAAAACTTGTCTCTCTTTTCTCAAAATAGCTCTTTAAAAGCCTTACAATTAAAGTTTGTACCTTAACGCCATTATCTATTTCAAGAAGCAATAATTCTCGTAAAGGGATAGAATAGGTGTATTTTTGGCCTAATTTTGCATTGTTTAAGAGGAGGCTGAAAAGCATGTCTTTGAAGCTTCTAACTTCGTCAGGAGTTTTTAGCCTTGGGGGCTGTTGGGGTACTAAGAGCTGTGAGGAAGATTCTAGCATCCTGGATCTTGTGTCAATTGAGGCAGGAGCTGTACTTGTATAGTCCTCAGTTTCGCTTTCTTCAGAACAGGAAGAGCAGGAAGGATCGTCCATAGCTCCTTCTGAGCAGTTTTGGCCGTCAGTGAAATTTAGAATATTGGTGAACTCTGAAGGCTTGTTATCGAGCTCTCGAGGAGTAAAATTTTTGTTGTCTGATATTTGGGTTTGGAGGGTTTCTTGAGGAATTTGGTCTATTGAGAACTCAGAGCCGATTGGGTCTGTGTTTACTTCACTGTCTCTTTGGGAGCTTCGGTGGCTCATGCCGTGGAAACTTGCTTTATAATTTTTTTTGGCTTGAGCGTAATCTTGGTTTTCTATTGGTTTTTCATTGATAACTTCTGGTATATTTCAAAATAATGAATTAGGATACTTTATTATAGAGTATAATTAATTATAGAAAATAGTATACAATTACTTCGTTTACTACTTCTTTTATTTCTTCCTTTATTTCTTCCTGCTCTGGAGTCTCATTTCTATTATAATTTTCGATTTGGCTTAATATTTGTGCATAATCAAAATCCAATGATTCATTTTTAGCTTCTTCGTCTATATTTTCAAGCACGTTTTTGAGGTCAAGTGAGGAGTATTCAAGGGACAATGAATCTTCGTCTCTGTCTAAGCTTTTTTCTGACCCTTCTTCTTCAGTTTCTATTTTTTTCGCTGATATTTTTGGGGAAGATTTATTGCTTTTTGAATTTTTCATTTCAGAAGCTACTGAAGTGGTGGATTTAGGTGTCTTTAGCGGCTTTATGTCAGATTTTGAAGACGGAGAGTCTAATTTAAGCGGCTGCTTTAAGTCAGATTTTGATTCTTTAATATCTGTTTTAGATTCTTTTGCGTCGATTCTTGGTGTTTTGTTTTCAACGTTCTTTTTCATAGTATTTTTCTTTGTGATTTTTTTGTTTTTCTTTTCGTTTGCAGCCTGAATTAGTTGCAGCTGGGCCATAGCGGCATCATAGCTTTTCTTTTCAGAGTCTTGTAAAATTTCATCAACATTTAATTCTCCTAGCAGTTTTCCAACCCTCTGTTTTGTCATAGCGTCAGTAGTAGTCAATGAGACTATCGTCAAAGATTCTTTTATGTCATAAAATTTTTTTAAAATAATTTCTTGGGTCGTGCTTTCAGGGAATTTTCCTTTTGTTAATTTTGATGCTAATTTTTCAAATTTTGCAGTGGCAACTAATTCCCTAGATTTTTCTCTATGCAGGTCTAATAGTCTTGACTTGTCAACGAGCCATAAAAATGACTCAATTAATTTTTCATTATTAAACCTCATTCCGGTGAACTTCTCATTAAGATCTCGATTTTTTTCCATCACAATCCTTATCTTATTATCTAGTCCTTTAATAATTTTATCAGCCTGCACCAATTTTTTTTCCAAAATTTTCCTTGCAGCTAGCAACTGCTTAATTTTCTTTAAAGCTGATGGGAAATCGGTGATGGGTTCTTCTTTTTCAGCATTTGCCAATAATGCTTCTTCTTTTATGTAATTTTCGTATTGTATCGAATACTCGTCTTGGAGCGTCATTTTTATCCTGTCCACTTCTTCTCTATTTTTCGTTCAGGTATTTTCGATATATTTTTCTAATTTTTGAATTTTCAGCCCTGCTCTTTCTTTCATTCACATAAGCTTATAGAAATATTTCGAGTCCATTTGATTATATTTTCTTTCATAGATCATCATTTCTTCTTTAAGCAGCCTTTCTACTTCTACATGTTTATTCCACGTATCGTGGCTTATATCGCGAATATCTAGGAAAAATTCTGGCTCGTAGCCTCCCATTTCGGTTAAAAGTCCGACAAGTTTTTCGCTCTGAAAACGTTTGACGACTGTAGCGTCAATTTTTTCTTTGATTTCTTTGTCAGAAATTATGGCGACTCTCTTAAATAGCTTTTTCAGTAAAATTAAGCTTTTTTAGTTATTTTTTTAAAATATTTCTGGAGTATCCGAAATTATTGAATTTATTTGTGCGTCTTTGTCGAGCATTTCTGCGAGATTTTTTACTTGGTGCTGAATTTGTGTGTAGTTATTGATAAAACTTTCATACTGGGTAGGAGGCATTCCTTTGGTGATAAATACGGAGTCTGGCTTATAATTGCTGCTATCTGGACTGTTTTCAGCAGTTTGTTTTCTTTTTTCTTGTATGATATGATTTGTTACAATTGGGTACATCTTAAGAAGAGCGTCAAGGATTATTTTTTGTGAGGGTTTCTCGTGGATTATTTTTCTAGCGAACTGTTTTCTTTGGTCTTTTGTGAAATCGCTTTCTTCAGGGACTTTGCTGAGGATAAAGGAAATAAAATACTCAGTTATATTTTCCTTTAGTTCTTCCATTTATCTCTTAAATTAGAAAGTGATTAATTTGTAATTAGTATTATTTATACAAATTTGATTAGATATATTTAGGAAGTTTAACTGATATTGATTAAATTTAATTTAATCTTTCTGTTAGTGATTATGCTATTAAAATTACTATCTGTATAAATTATATTTTATTGAAGTAAATTTTCAGAAGATTAATTATCTGTGATAAAGACTGAATAAGCATCGTTTATATTTATTTTATATTTCTATATAATTTTTCAAAGAAGAAAATTTAGTCTACATTTAACTGCAATCCAGAGCTTTAAGTTTCTCTTCAGTAATCTAATGTTTTAAATAGAATTTGGCTTACTTATAATGATAGCTTTGACTCTTAATTTAGATAGCAATATTTTCATATGATAATATAAAATTATTCTTACTAACCTCTTATTTCACAATTCATTGTAGATAAAAACATCACTAAAATTTTCTCAACAATTAACAATTTTTTTAATCCTATAGCACTTCTGAATCTACAACCTTGCTCGAAATTCGAATAACTAAGGGCTATGCCCATATTTTATTATATTCTCATGGTCTGAATAAAATATTTTGCAAATTAAACAATATTCTAGGTTTTTAATTCTGCATCTATTACAAACATCATGTCCTTGGCATTTAATAGTATATTCATCGGAAGCCTTTCATTGTGAGCAGACTCAACATTGAGCTACTTTGCTAAGAGTTCCTGGAATTTGTGGCTTGTTTTGAAGTTTTTCTGGCAATTTTCCAGATTGCTCTTCTAATTCTATAAGGTTAATTGCCTCATCAATTATATTACTCAAAGACGGATCCTGACTTTTTTGGCTAGGCTTTGAATAACCTGAAAATTCTTCTTTCGATTGTTTACCTTCACTTAAAAGTGTTTTTTTATCTTTAGATAGCAAAGTTTGTCTACTTGAATCCCAAAATGTATTAATATTTTCACATAGGTAATTACTTAACTCTTCTGCGATTGCCATAATTTCTTCCATTGCATTTTTAATTTCAGATGCTCTCACTTCGAGATCATGCTCTATAAATCATCTAAAGATATCCAAAGCATCAAGAGGGTCTAAATTTAAGCATTGTAAATAACGATCTTTTTCTAACTTACACAGCTTTGTGGTATTCGTGATATTTGTTAAAATTTTATTGATATTGTGCTCTGCGTCTATAATGCTTTTTTCTAGTATATTTTCGAAAGCTGCAAATATTCGTGAAACATACTCAATGAGCTTTTTGTTGTTATTTCTTAACTGTTCAAGAACATAATTAGTTTCTATAAGAAGAGTATTCTTTGTTTCTGGGTTTGGCAAGGTAAATAGTGGCTCAATCGAATGAGGCTTTTTGGGTAATTTCTTATGCTCTGATACATGATTCTTGCAAAATGGAGCTGAGTTGCAGTCGCAGCTATACTTAGCCCTGTTTTTGCAGGATGAGAAAGTACATAAATATTGATCCATGATATTTGTAGAATTAAAAAGCTATAAATTAATGAAGACTTAAGGTCGAGTCCCAGCATTTAAGTTAGGAGAGCATCCCAAAAATTTCTAACATTTAGACTTACCTTACAGTAATTTCAATATTTACAAATTTGCATTTTTATATAATGAAACTTAAAAAAAAATCTATTACAAAATGCAAGCCAAGAGTTGCTCTTAGTTATAGATTGTTTAATTGTTGTCAAGCATTTATTAAGATTCAATTCTGTGCTAATTACAACTCTTTTGACTAAATTTTCTAAATTAGAAATCATATTGGACACATACTCAAAAAGCTTTGCTTTATTTAATTTTTTAAATAAGAATAGTCTTTGTTTCTGGATTTGGTGTATAAAATAAAGGCTCGATTGAGTGAGGCTAACTATACAGTTGTTATGCTCAGGTATATGAATTTTACAAAATCGGGTTAAATTGCAGTCACAAATATATTTTGCCGGTTTTTCCAAGCAGCGAAGGTGCAAAAAAGCAAAAAATCTCTTCCATTTAAATTATACCTTTTATAAAACGCTCATTTAAACATATAGAATCATTAATTATCTCAAGATTTCTATAATATATAAAGGCTACTTAATATCACGCCTAATTATTTAAGTGAATCACAAATAGCATTAAGAATTGCAGTGTCATTATCAGAATAGCCTCTCTCACAATCAATAAATTGGGTTACATCCTGGACCCTGAAATATTACAAGTCTTATGATTAGGGCAATCAATAGAAAAATCATCAGGAAACCTAATTTTCTCACATTGGTAACACTCAATTCCTGGCTTTGGGGCATTTCGCACTCCACCTTGAGGATTTCCAGTATTTCCTTTGCCTACGAGAGATGGAGTTTCTTCGTCAATATGTGAATCAACAGATTGGTTATAAATTGGAGGCTTCAGCTGCATTGCGCTTAATTTAGGAGGAGCTTGATTCATTTGTGGAGGAAAATTGCCTGGTGAAGGCTTCATTTGTGAAGGAAACTGGCTTTCAGGCTGCATATTTTCTCCTTTCGGAATTCCTGAGCTGTCCCCTCCAACTTGTCCAGCCCTTAAAAGGTTTTCTAAATTTTTCTCAGCTCTTGAGCTTATTTTTTGCCCATGCTTACAAGTGGCTATTGTATTTTTCGCTTTGGCTTGGTCGAGTACTTCTTTTAAGCAATAAGCACAATGGTCGTACCCACACAAAAGCATATAAAGCAGCAGTGGATGGCCGCATTTTTGCCTGCTCACTTGTGCTGGCTCAGGTGGTTTTAGTCGATTTAAATTGGCTTTTAGCCTGGCATAATCATTATTGTCTAATGAGGAGTCAAATGCAGCACCGTCGTTAAGTAATTTTAATAAAATCTTGTCATAGTAATTTCAAATATTCGTAAAAATGACTGTAGACATATGGGAAATTAACTGTTTATAAATATTGTCCTTTGTTGGAGAACTAGGCTCAGGTTTTTTAAGTGAAATTATATGTATTGATGGAAGATTGACTATTGAGGGTTTTTTTATTTTATTTGATGACACCTTTAGAGAATCTTGAATTTTTCTAAAATATTCTGCTTCTTCTTCAATTTTTTTTCCAATTTCAAAAATTTGGGTTAGTTTAAGCTCAAGCTCTGGCTCCAATATTTGTCTGAGATTTCCTATAGCTTCTTTTGATTCTAATGTTAATAAATTTAAAATCGGGCTTTTTTCTAATCTAGAAACTTTCTTAGCTTGTTTAATTGCCGTCAAGCTGTTATTAAAATTCCATTCTGTGCTAATCACAACTCTTTTTACTAAATTTTCTAAATTAGAGATCATATGAGAAACAGATTCAAAAAGTTTTGCTTTATTTTCGTTTAATTTAGTTCCAGCCTTTGTTATTTCTTTAATAAGAATAGCCTTTGTTTCTGGATTTGGTGTATAAAATAAAGGCTCGATTGAGTGAGGCTGGCTAGATAATTTTTTATGCTCAGGTAGATGGATTTTACAAAATTGTGCCGAATTGCAGTCACAAATGTATTTTGCTGGGTTTTTGCAAGCAGCGAAGGTGCAAAAAGGCTCTTCCATTTAAATTATATCATTTCTCAATCATTCATTTAATTTAGATAATTATATAGAATCAAAAATTATTTTCAAAAAATTAATAATATATAAAGGAAACTTAATATCAAAACTTAATTATTAAAGTAAAGCACGAATTGCACTAAGAGTTCAGATTCATTATCAGAATAGCCTCTCTCACAATTAATACATTTGGTTACATCCTGGACCCTGCAAATATTGCAAGTTGTATGGCTAGGGCAATCAATAGAAAAATCATCAAAAGACATAATTTGCTCACATTGGTAGCACTGAATTCCTGAATTTGGGGCATTTAGCACTCCACCTTGAGGATTTCCTGTATATCCTTGGCCTGTGAGGAATGGAACTGAATAAGAAGGAGTTCATTGCTGGTTTTGGGGTAGCTGTAACTGTGGCGGATTCATAAAAAAGGCAGAGTTTCTGTTCTGTGGTACTGAATTTGTGGGAAATTGGGATTGATTAGTAGGATTATACGTTCCAGACTGAGAATAATTTGGTGAAATATTTCAATTCACATACTGTATTTGAGGGCCTGGTTGCATACTTGGGTTTGGTTGCATATTTGGGCCCGGTTGAATATTTTGGTTTGGTTGCATATTTGAGTTTGGTTGCATATTTTGGCCACGTTGCATATTTTGGCCCGTTTGCATATTTTGGCCTGGTTGAATACTTTGGCCTGATTGCATAATTGAGCTTGGTTGCATGATTGATCTTAGCTGCATACTTGAGCTTGATTGCATACTTGGTCTTGGCTGCATACTTGAGCCTGGCTGCATGCTTGGGCCTGATAGTATACTTGGGCCTTGATAAGCTGGAGGCTTCTGTTGCATTGCGCTTAATTTAGGAGGTGCTTGATTCATTTGTGGAGAAAAATTGTTTGAATAATTACCTTGTGGAGGCTTCATTTGTGAAGGAGCCAGACTGCAAGGATACATTTTTTCTCCTTTCGGAATTCCTGTATTGTCTCCTCCAACTTGTTCAGTCCTTAAAAGGCTTTCTAAGCCTTTCACTTCTCATGGACTTATTTTTTGTCCATGCTCGCAATTAGCTATTGTATTTTTCACTTTGGCATGGTCTATTATTACTTTTAAGCAATGAGCACAATGGTCGTACCCACACGAAGGCTTACAGAGCAGCAGTTGATGGCCGCATTTTTTACTGCCCCCTTTTGCTGGCTCAGGTTTTTTTAGTCTATTTAAATTAGCTTTTAGCCTGGCATAATCATTAATGTCTAATGAGGAGTCAAATGCAGCGCCGTCGTTAAGTAATTTTAATAAAACCTCGTCATAGTAATTTGGAATATTCGTAAAAATGATTGCAGACATATGGGAAATTAACTGCTTATAAATATTGTCCTTAGTTTGAGAACTAGGCTCAGATTTTCTATCCTCTGGCGCGGGTTTTACTTTGTCTGGTGAAGTGCAGTGTCGTTTTTCCTCGACCGCAGGCTCATATCCAACGCAAGGTATTACTCTGAGGAAGATGGAACTTGGAAGATGGAAAAATATCCCAGTAAGTTAGAAGCCTCTGTTTTCCAATCAGAAAATTATCCAGCACGATATCGGAACTTGGGTCCTGGGCTATAAATTTCATCTGGGCAATAGCCTGATAAGAAAATTCGATTTTGGAATTTTTTCCAAAAAGGCAACCTTGCTGACATAATGCATGTGCCCGGATATCAACACAAGCTTTGGCTGTGGAGTCAGATTAGTGAGCAAGGGCTTAGTGCTAAACAAATATCTTTTTCAAATTTGCTGAAGCTTCTCTATAATAATTTAATTCATAAATTAATGATTTTTTCTGACTTCAAGTTGCAGGAAAGATATAACTCAAGAGCAGTCTAACTTCGAGTAAACGGTATAGGTGAAATTATATCCATTGATGGTCGAAAATATTCTGCTTCTTCTTCAATTTTTTTCGCAATTTCTAAAATTTGGGCCAGTTTAAGCTCAAACTCAGACTCTAAAATGAGTCTGAGATTCCCCATAGCTTCTTTTGAATCATGTGTTAATAAATTTAAAATAGGATTTTTTTCTAATCTAGAAACTTTCTTAGTCCCCTTTGAGTGTGAGCAGTATATTGTAAAATAATAATTTTGGAAAACTAGTTCCTCATAGACTATTTTTTTTTAATTTTGCTTATATAATATTTTAAATAGCCATAGAACCATAAAGTTAAAATATTTCCATAGCAGATAGTAATATTATGTATCTATGTTTGACAGCTACGTACAATTTCATTAACAAAATTTTTTATCGTTTGAGGAATTACAGCTAAGTATTGCTTATAGCTGGCCTTAAGCTCATTTATGCCATATAACTGATAGAGAAACATTACCTAACTGTAATTTCACTATCTACAAATTTGCATTTTATATCAAGAAACTGGCAGAGAATCTATAACAAAATGCAAGCTAATAGCGGCTCTTAGTTATAGCTTGTTTAATCGTCGTCAAGCTTTTATTAAGATTCAATTCTGTGCTAATCACCACGCTTTTGACTAAATTTTCTAAATTAGAAATCATATGAGAAAGAGACTCAAAAAGCTTTGCTTCATTTTCGTTTAATTTAGTTTCAGCCTTTATTATCTCTTTAATAATAATAGCCTTTGTTTCAGGATTTGGTGCATAAAATAAAGGCTCAATTGAGTGAGGCTGACTAGACAATTTTTTATGCTCAGGTATATGGATTTTACAAAATTGTGCTGAATTGCAGTCACAAATGTATTTTGCTGGATTTTTGCAAGAAGCGAAGGTGCAACAAAGCTCTTCCATTTAAATTATACCATTTCTCAATCGTCCATTTTAATATATAGAATAATTAACTATTTCAAGGTTTCCATTTATATATAAAGCAACATAATAAACTTAATATTAAACCTAATTATTTAAAGTGAATCACGAATAGCATTAAGAATTGCAGTGTCATTATCAGAATAGCCTCTCCCACAATTAATACATTGGGTTACATCCTGGACTCTGCAAATATTACAAGTCTTATGATTAGGGCAATCAATAGAAAAATCATCAGGAGACCTAATTTGCTCACATTGGTAACACTCAATTCCTGGCTTTGGGGCATTTCGCACTCCACCTTGAGGATTTCCAGTATATCCTTGGCCTAAAAGACTTGGAGCTGGCTGAACACCCTGATAAGGAGGAATTCTTTGCTGGTTTTGAGGTTGCTGTAGCTGAGCTTGATTCATAGCAGGGGAAGAGTTTCTGTTTTGTGGTACTGGATTTGTGGCGAATTGGGATTGATTAGTAGGATTATGCATTCCAGACTGAGGATAATTTGGTGATGCATTTCCAGTCCTACACTGCGCTTGAGAGCCCGGCTGTATATTTTGTATATTAGTATTAGCTCCAGTTTTTCTAAAAACCACTGGGATTGAGACTTCGTCCTCCATATATGAATCAGCAGGCTGGTTATAAGCTGGAGGCTTCTGCTGCATTGCGCTTAATTTAGGAGGAGCTTGATTCATTTGGGAAGGTAAATTGCTTTGATAATTGCCTGATGAAGGCTTCATTTGTGGAGGAAATTGGCTCCTAGGCTGCATATTTTCTCCTTTCGGAATTCCTGGGCTGTCCCCTCCAGCTTGTCCAGTCCTCAAAAGGTTTTCTAGATCTTTCGCAACTTTTGGACTTATCTTTTGTCCATGCTCACAATTGGCTATTGTACTTCTCGCTTTGGCTTGGTCGATTATTTCTTTTAAACAATAAGCACAATGGTCGCTCCCGCACAAAGGCTTATAAAGCAGCAGCTGATGTCCGCATTGCTGCCTGCCCACTTGTGCTGGCTCAGATGGTTTTAGTCTATTTAAATTAGCTTTTAGCCTGGCATAATCATTATTGTCTAATGATGAGTCAAATGCAGCGCCGTCGTTAACCCCCCCTCCTTAAGCGAACCAAAAATTTTTATTGAAAATTTATTTTTTTCGAAATTTAAAAAAATCCACTTCAAAAAAATTAATTTAATTGGTAAAATTTATGTTTTTAAAACGTAATTATTTTTAAAAAAAGAATTAGCACGAGGTTTTTTTTATACTAATTATCACTTATATATCAAGATTTTTTTTCTATAAAAAATTTTTCTATTAAATTTTTTGTTCGCTTACGGAGGGTTTTTTCTAATGGTTTTATTAGCTCACGGGGGATTAAGCAATTTTAATAAAATCTCGTCATTGTAATTTGGAATATTCGTAAAAATGACTGTAGACATATGAGAAATCAACTGCTTATAAATATTGTCCTTTGCCGGAGAACTAGGCTCAGATTTTCTCTCCTCTTGAGGGGATAAAGGAGAAATAGGAGGTTCTCGATTGACTGGGGGTTGATTCACTTTTGCAGGTGGCTGAGAAACTTGAGGAGTTTGAGTAGAATTAAGTTTAGGAGCTGCTTTTGGGTTATAGAAAAAGGGGAATTTTTCCAAGCTGTCAGTCATCGGAGTTCCTATGTCTACCATAGTGCTTTCTCTATGATAAAGCACACTGAAGACTCCATCCCCTTCCATAAAAAGCGTCACAAGTGGGGCATTGTTCCTATCATCTCTAATCATATATTGGTGGCTCGACATCATCACGATCAATACATTTACTCTTAACTTATTACAAAAATGTTGCAAATAATACTCATTCCCTCTCAGCACGTATGGCTTGGTTAAAATATCGTTATATTGATGATCTTTATCAACGATCACACAAAAAAGCAGCCTCATTCCGATATCTAAAGCGTCACAAGCGTTTTGGTGGTTTAGGTTGAGCAATTGTCTAATATTTTTTAAAGCTGTAAACTTATACTATTATGGGTGGAATTTTTTATTAAAAAATAAAAAATACAAATAGGTAAAAAAGGATTTTTCTAGGTAAAATTGTATAGGTTTTTTAATGAAAACTTCTGCGACAATGTATTTGAATTTGTCCCAAATTGGAATGTAATCAGGAATTTGTTTAACAAATTCATTAGTTTGCTTGATATATGATTCGATTGCTGCTCAAGATGGAGTGGACATATTGGAGTCCCTGATTCTGATCAGAGATTGGAAAAAAGCAGTGGCAATTGCTAAATATGAAGACCTTACTGGTGGTTCAATTTTACTTTTGCCCTTAAACTCCGCAAAATCGCCAGGGAGCATAAGTTCTTCAGGACTTAAAAGTTTGAATTGAGGTGTCGCCATTACTAAGGATTTATAGAATCATACTAATATTGTTTGTGAATTAAGATGAGTAAATGAATACTCCACCAGTTTAAAAAATATAAATATTTTCTGCAATAACAGATTTATATTTAGATTTTAAGTTTGAGTAAGAGCCAAAAGGGGCTTGAGCCATATAATCTATTATTTCAGGGCATGTCTTCTAATTTCTGCTATTTTAAACTGAATGAAATCGATAATTTTAAAATAAATTTAATTAATGAATAGCAAAATTCAATAATTTTTGATTGATTTACTTATCAATATAATATTAAACTAAACATTACAGTATAATGGGTTTTACTTGGGGAAGTTAGTGCTTTTAGAAGGAAGCTACTCTTATTTAATGCTATTTTGAATAAGGGAAATATTTAAGGGAAAACTTTTTTATAGAGAAAATAAAATCTGTCATTTTCTAACTTATATGCTATAAGAAAAGTATTAATCGCCTTAATTGACAAAAATATTTTAAACTCCGTTAGTTTTCTTTCACCTATATTTAAATTATAATGGATTTCTACACTATTTATTAACAAAAATTACAATAGGAAATTTTATTTTAAGTAAACTTTAACATATATTGCACAAACAAAAATTCGGAACTTTTTTAGCTACAAATGACCTTTTCCTACTGATTTCGGCTTCCTTAACTTCCATTGAGCTTGAAAACACAGTTGGCTCGACCCTCAGCCCTCTTATTGGTAAGCTATCTAGTACCCTAATCAATGAGTCTGCTCCCATAAAACTTGGCTGGAAATCAATCCCATAGGTGCTCCTATCTTTTTTTGTTTTATTCAGAAAGCACATTGCATATCTATCTAAATAGTCAAAAACTGTTGAGACCTCTTTATCTCCATCTACCTTTATATAGCCTGAGACTCCTTTGGCTTAGGCTATCCCGATGTCTCCGATATCAATCGGGTAGTTGGATTTACCAACATTTTTTGATAAAAAAAGCCCTTATGACAAAGGAGTGGATTTGCCATTTGGGTAGTTGGTTTTATCAACAAATATTGGGAAACCCAACTCCCTGATCGATTTCGTGAGATATCGGAATAGCTTGGACTAAAAGGAGGCTGTGGCTATAAGTTTCTTTAAAATTTCGCTCCCATCTAGGACAGGAGCTGTCAGGTCTTGTGATAGGCTTTCTTTATCAACAGGAATTTTGTTAAATTCAATATCATTTTCGTCATAATTTGCCCTTAAGCTTTTAGCTCTTAATAATTTGTTAGCAATTTCGACTAAGGATAGTTTGAGTTTGTCAATCGTCAAGTTTAAGTTTACTTTGACTTCAAATTGTACACGTAAATTGATTTTCTGCAAAATTACGAAAAATAATAACAAAATAAATAATAAAATAAAAAATAAATAATGCCTAAATTGAAATTAATTGACTCAATCCTTACATCAATTCACATATCCTGCGAGGTAATGTCACAAGATATATGATCTCCACTTTTTGTGAATTCTCCACAGGTCCCTTCCTATATATTTGATACTTTTGGCAGCGAAACTTTATTGCTTGTCAAGTTATAAGCTGTGAGATTGCTCACTCTTCCATCCGTGACAAACAACTAAAATTTTGTTCTTAATTTTTTTTTTAAAATTTAAAAAAAATCCTAATATTGAAGAAAATATTAATGTAATTTGTAAAATTATATTTTTTAAATGCAAGATGTTTAAATTCAACAGAATTGCTGGATATTTCATTATACTAATATTAATTATATATCAAATTTTTTTTTTATAAAAATTGTGTTCCTTATATAAGTGAGTTTTACCCAAAAATAGGGATTTTTCCAAAAATTTTGTTCGCTCACTGGGGAAGTCAGACCTGAAAATGTGGGATATTTTTCCATTGTTTCACCGATTCGAAATCGGAGATAGCCTAATGACTCATTTGCATTGCAAGTAAGCAAAATGCATTTATTAGGGAGCAAGTTTCAATGAATATTCAGTTCGATTCTCAATTGAGGATTCCCAAATTTGTCAAGGAAAATGTAATTCTCATCTTCTTCGTCAAGATCTTTAAGTTCTTCTAACTCCCCCCCCCCTCCGTGAGTGAACAAAACCATTAGAAAAATCGCCATTTTTTGACCAAAAACCCACCCTCTGTGAGTGAACAAAAATTTTTTTAATAGAAAAATTTTTTATGGAAAAAAATTTTAATATATAAATGATAATTAGTATAATGAAATCTAGAGCTAATTCTATTTAATTTTGAACGAATTGCTTTTTAAAACATAAATTTTATAAATTAAATTAATATTCGCTTTCAATTTTTGCGAATTAGGATTTTTTTAAATTTCGAAAAAAAAAATATTTTTTATAAAATTTATATATAAATTTAAAAAAAAAAAAATATTAACCCCCCTCCGTGAGTGAACAAAATTTTTTTGTTCACTCACGGAGGGGGGGGGGGGTGTAATAAATCAGCCATAATGATATCTAAATTATTTAATAATTTTGGCCTATATTTTCTAATATTTTCAGAAAATCCTATTAATATTGCCAAATATATCTCTAAAGTCATTAGATAAAATAATTATCTTTTAATTTACCTATTTTCAATCTTGATTAATAAATCATATTAAAATTCTCTAAATAAATCTTGCTCTGAAACTTGTTCTGAAGGATCAATAAATTCACACCAAGACTGTATCACTTGCAGCTGAGTCGAATTCGGGACTATCAAAGGTGGCGCAGTCCTAAGAAACTGATGATCTAGCACCTCATTTGAGCTATTATGTCCTAGCCTCAAGCTTAAATCTGGGTTCAGCAGTTTCCTAATAAAATCACAAGCAATTTCTGGGACTTCTGTCATATCAACATAATCCAGTCCTCTCAAAATGTGTGGGAATAAATCTTCTCCATATAGTCCAAAGGGTGGGCTGCTCTTTAGGAGCTCATAAGTTAATATTCCAAGTGCCCACCAGTCTATTTCATAGCTATATCCAGATGGCTCAGTCCCATCTATTAGATGCTTAAACATTTCAGGACTCATTGCATGCCTAGTACCCGTTACTGTATAAGCTCTAAATATGTGTTTACTTTTCGTTGTTTATTTTTTTGCATAAACCAAGGTCAACAAATACCACTTTGCCTGTGTCGTCTAATAATACGTTAGATAATCTTGAATAAATGAATTTTCATTTTTTTTAAAAAAAATATATATATATATACATTATTAAAAGAAAAAGTATAATTTTAAGTCACGATAAATATAGCCTTCAGCGTGAATATATGCCAAAGTATTTGCAATTTGTAAAGCAATTGACTGAACCTGCTCAATTGGAAATCTCCGCTGCTGCTTTAAGATATGGCTTAGTGGTGCACCTTTGGCAAGCTCTAATAGGAAATAAATGTTTGTGTGGTCTTTAAAAGTAGTGATGAGCTTAATAATATTTGGATGCTTAAGACTGCTCAATGCTTGTTTTTCTTCGAATAAATGTCTGACCTCTATTTCAGAAAGACCAGCTTTGGCGACTTCTTTGAGGGCGTAGAAGGTGTGTCTGTGCTCTACAAGTCATACTCTTGAGCGGTGGCCGAAATCTATAACTAACTTCTTTTCAAGAGATTCTAAGGTGATATCACTTTCTGTTGTGGTTTTTATCATTATTATTAAAATTTGTGTGATAAATTGGATAAAAGTGGTTTTTTTAGTTTTAAGTTTAAAGGTATTCCGCTTTCTCATTATTTATTTTTTATTAAGGCTAAACTTGATATAAATATCCAGATATTTTTCAATTAAAATATGATTATTGGTTATTAATTATATCATTATTTTTCGATATTATATGATTAATTATTAGCTTTATATAGAATATCAATAAAATTTATAAAGAATAGCTATAGAAAATAGTTGCAAAAATAAATTATTATAACTTATCTCACATATGTGGTTTAAGCCTTAAACATCTCATCGGATTTTCCATCTATATATATTTTACAATTTCTCACATCAACATCTCTACTTCCAGTTCCAAAAGAAACTGATCTTGTCTTAGCATAACTAAACTGGCGTTTCAGCGCTTCGCGATCGGCTAGACCTTCCTACAAGCACATATTTAATTATATCCGGAAAAATTTTTGCCGCCACAAAAAATGGTTAAGCAATTCTTGACGTCCAGAGCCTAGCCCAACTCCGCTTTCAAGGATGGATTTTACCTCAAGGGAGGGTGGCACAGATTTGGAAAAGGGTCGCCTGACAATATCTACAGGGATGCCTAGACCAATCAGGCACTTCACCAACGTGAAACCAGGAGTTACACCATGGGCTATGTGTTTTCCCTTTTTGCTGAGATTCGACCAGAAATTCCAATTTTTGGTATTTTTCTGCATCCAACAATTTTAAGCAAGACTGCACAAGTCCGAAGACCGCCAACTCAACACTGCAGCCGAAAGGCAAGTATTAGACACTGCCATCCTTTGGTAGAATGCATGGTTCATAAAGCGGTTGAATTTCCCATATCGAAGGTCCTCGGTGATTGTGAAAAATTAGGAGGAGAGCCTGTCTGTTAATAAAGATAAGGTAAGATCTTGTCTTAGCATGCAGCCCAGCTTTAAAATAAGTCCCAGGGCCAGGTGATTCTCTTTTCACTAAAATATCCTTTACTTTCATAGGCATCTCTGCCAACCTTGGATATATAAGCCTTTTTTACTATTTTTGTATCACTAACATTATATTTCGCAGGCCCAGGACTGATTTTTCCTTTCATATATCTTTCATAGTTTTTCAGGTATATTTTATCCGGGGAATATGTATAATAATTGCGCTGAATATTATTTTTCTATAATATTTATCAAAATATACCAAAACTTATATAAAAAATAATACCTTTCATAGTAATATATGAAGATCTCGGCCTCAATACAGGCGTATATGCATTTGGTCCCGGATTTCTTGACGGTGTCACATCCCTTGACGCCCTGGAGAACGAGCTCCCTATATGTACATCTTGATTCATATCAGTCTTATACCCATAAATTGGCCCAGGAGACCTGTCTCTATGAGTTTCAATAAATTGCAAATCTCTTTGTTTCGCAGTCCCAATTTTAACCGAAGCCTCATTTTTTTCTGTAAATGACAAATTAGGGTTATAGGCTGTAAGCGGCGGCGAATGCGTCCCATAAAACTCTTTGCTGAGAGATCGGCAGTAATAAACCTTGCTTTCTTTAGCTGCTTTTGGGATTGTTGGTTTAGGAGAATTTCTGTACCTGCATGACTGGTATCCTATAATAGTCGGAATATTATAGCTACCTGGCCCAGCTTCATTATCAGTTCCATAGGACCAACTTCATTTAGTAGGAGAAGTAATTAAACTCTGTGTAGAATGAGAGTTATCCATTTTAATGCTAACTTATTACAAAATTACCATCCCTCTTTGAACTCCCCATAGTAGTTCTTTATTTTGATTTGTGGGTACTGGTTGCTTAATTCTCAGAGCCTTGAGTCATTTACTTTGTTGCATTGGGAGAGGTAAAGAGTCAGGAGAGAAAAATAAATTTTGTAAGGCTTGTCGATAGGGAAAGCGTTCTCGGTGATGCATTTTTGTCCGGTTAAGTCGAAATTTCGAAGGGATTCGCAACCGTTGATGATTGAGATGATGCCGAGATCTGTAATAAAATCGGATCAGGTGATAATAAGTGTATGCAAGTTTGGGCAGTTTTCTCCAATTAGGATACAAACTTTGTCTGAGATTGCTGAGCATTCGGCTAATTCAAGATATTCTAAATTATTAAGCCTTTGTGAAAATATTTCAGAAAACCCGTTCTCTGTCAAATTGATTCCTTTTTTAATTTTTAAATATTCCCACGTTGTTTTGATCAAATAATAAAGCATTTCATCCTGCATTTCATTGGCAAAGCCTATGCTGAATTTCTTAATAAGCAAAACATTGCTTAAAAGTGTGCAGACTTGATATGAAGAGTAATTTTCTCCATCAATCCCAAACTCATCCATCCTATCCCCATATGCTGTGACATAGGGCAGAATATTTTCATATTCCAAGTTTTCGCAGCCTTCAAATCATAGTGCTTCTAGTGGCTTTTGGCATGTTAAAAACGGTTTCCCTACCAAAGATGTGTTGTTATTCACATTAAGGTACTTTAAGGTACCAATTTTTAAGATTCATTCTAAGCATTCATCACGTAGTCTTGCATCACAAATTGTCAATTTTTCCAGAATTATGCTGTTTTTATTAGAAATTGTCTGATAAAAGCTCTGCTTTAAATGAAAAAATGATAAATCTAAGGAGATCAAGGAGTTTGCACAAGAATCAATTAATAATATGACTTCAGTTCTTTTGTAGTTTGACCCGCCGATTATTAATTCTTTTGTTTTGTGGTTGACGGCCTTTCGAAGTGTTCATTCAAAAGGAGGGGCTATTGAGTTGTGGGTAGAAAATACATCAATGACTTGAAAAAGGCAATTTTGCGACTCAGATGATAATATGAGGTTTCAATATTTGCAAACTTGTTCACAAAAAGATAAAGATGTAAGATCAAGATAAGAAAACACCAAAATCAGTAATTCTTCTGGGATGACATCCATTCTTTAAAGCAGAGTTATTCACTACTAAATGTTTTATATACATTTTTTAAGTAAACTAATCATAATTTTATTAGTTATATTATGTGTTTTATAGATCTGCAAGTTTTTTTGGTAAAATTAATTAAATTAGAAACTTGAATATTAATTTAGAGAAAAATTATCAAATTTTAATAGTTTAATTGTAAGCACTTATTTTTATTATAAAATATATCCTAATAAACTATAATAAATGGCATCAATTTACGAGCTAATTGCTGAAGGAGGTAGACTTCCAGAAATAACAAGAAAGGTTTTTAATGAGCTTGATACTAATCAATCTGGGCAGATTGAATGGGATGAACTATCTGAAGCACTTAACAGAATTTATGCTGAGTGTGGACTTAATCCTCCAACAGCTGAAGATGTAGAACGTAAAATGAAAGAGCTTGATACCGATAAAAGTGGCACTATCAGTGCTGAAGAGCTTGAAAAATACGTTAGAGAGCTCCTAGGAGACTATTAAGTTACTTAACTAACTATCATCTTACTATATTTTACTGCGTATAAAAATTCTCCTTATTTTCATCTCCCAATGAAACTTATATTTTTTCAGTAATCTTTTAAGGCGATAATTTACTCCTCTTATAGTTGACTAGGCAATATTCATGGCTTCCCATCAAGCATTTTAGTTTCAGAGTTATTCGTTTTATTTCAGTCTTAAATAAATGATTAGAAATGAAAAAACCATGATAAAGATTTTTATATTAATGCTCCGGGCATAAGTATTTTGATATAAAATTCTAATTAATAAATATTGTGAAATCATAAAATAATTTATCTTTTTGGCTTAAATATGCATAATAAAACCGATCATGTCTCAAAGTCTGGCCAAGCTTCAATACTCACATCTACCTATCAACAATACATCTAAATCAAGAAAAATAAGCCCAAGCCATAAATACGAATTTACAAAAAACTATGTAATTTCAACCAAAGCAGCAAACCATCGTCTTAAGACCATGGAAAGGAACACAAAAGGAAAAGATAATGCTAATAGAAGTGTAGAGATAAAGCCAAAGCAAAGAAATTTATCATTTGACCCAATAAAAATTAATCACGATGAAAGATTCAGCAAATTAGACGCCCTAAACACAAAGAGTCTTTTGGCAAGATCAGGACTTTTGTCATTGCAGCAAAGACTGCTTCAGATTGAGCTCTCCAAAGCTATGAAAAATTTGGATAACTCATTTGCTGAGGAATTAAGCTCTTTTACTCAAGGGAATACATTTGAGAAGCCACTTGATAATTTATATGAAAAGTATTTAAGCTATGGGAACAGCATTGGGATTAGATTAAGTTAGAATTAAATGCATGGCCTGTATTAATAAACGATAATTGATATTTGCTTTAAATTTATTGTTTAAGTCCTTTATGCAATACGTTTCTAGAATAGTTTGATAAATGGGGAATTTTATACATTTTATGCATAAATTTAATATAAAATAGACTTGCAATTAAAGTAAAGAAATTAATATTTAATATTCTAATAATAATGTTTTATTTCTTAATCTATTTTCTATAAATTATGCCATAAATTAATATACCTTATGCGTAAACCAATTTAAACAATAAATAATAATTTTTACTTATCTATTATTTCTTTGTCTCAGCAATATCTGAGCAGTCTGGTATTCCGGCGAATTAGGGCTATAATCAATAATCTCCGCATCAATTTTCTTATACATTTCTATAACTGGTGCAAAATAAGGATGAGACAATGCATCAGTTGATGTAATTCTTTCAGCCTAAATAATCTTTACATGGTCATAAACTAAGCATTTATCAAGAAAATCCAAGGCTTCTTGGCTGACTAAATGCTGATTTTCCAACGTGACGAAGCTTGACCATTTCTTCTTGGGGTAATTTTTGAATCTTCCATTATAATGGTCATCTAATTCTAGCTCATATTTGTCTAGATATTCCATCAACTTATCAACCCCAAGGATTTTTGCGATTTTAATAAGTTGGTCATAATTATCGTCACCATGGAAGAAAGGCTCTTTCTTAAATATCTAAATATCTTTTACAATTGCGGCAATTGTAGCCCCTAGGCTTCACATGTCAAGGGTATAGCCATAATATTGGTCGTTTACTAGCAACTCTGGGCCTTTGTAGTATCTTGATGCGACTCTTACATTGTATTCGCGTCCAGGATAGTAAAACTCAGCAAGTCCCCAGTCAATGACCCTTAGTTTTCTTGTAGTATGGTCAATCATCACATTATGAGGTTTTATGTCTCTATGGATGATCCCTTGAGAATGGCAATAATCAATAGCGTCCCTACAAATTTTTCCTATTTTTTTATATAAAATTTTAAAAAACATTTAAAAAAATCCTATCAAGAGCTCTGACAATTTCATACATGTAATACCTGACCTCAAAATCGACCAAAGTTGGGAAAAAAACTTTGAAATCCACGTTGTTTATGTGCTCAAAAATCAGTGATGGGGTTTTTGATATAGGATCTCTTACAATGTCCAGGAGTTTTACAATATTTGGCCCGTCTTGTAAGACTTGGAGGATTTTTACCTCGCGGAAGATTTTTTTCTTTTTTACAGGCTTGAGGATTTTTACTACACAAGGCTGATGAGTTTGTGAGTGGAAGCCTGCATAAACCTCTGAATATTTCCCTCGGCCGATTTTTTTAGTAACTTCGTAGTCGTCTTGGTTGCCCCATTGAATTCTTAACTTGTCGTAGTCACTGTGATCTCTGGGAAGCTCTAAGTTCACATTTGCATAGTATTTTGGGACCTCGAAATCCATGTTTATTTTGATATTGGAAAAGTTGACTGAATTTTTTAGAAATGATTTTTTATTAAATTGGGAGTGAATTTAGGGAAAAGAGAGGAGGAGCAATTAAAGGAAACGGAAATTATTAAATTGGAAGTTGAGGCTTTTAAGAGATAAAAATTAGTGATAATTTTAAAAGTTTGGAAAACAGAATCCTTAAGGTGTATGAGAAATAAAATGGTGATGTGACGGAATTTGTCAATGAGGCGGATTCTTGTGGAGCAGGTAGACACATATTGGTAAAGCTGAAAGCAGGGCTTCTGTTCCTTTATGAAGAATGCATTCAGGTTTGGGGAAGCATTGCTGAAGAGGGGAGTTTATTTCTCTACCCGAAGGTTTTCCTGTCCCTGCCAGATGGACGAGACAGGCTTTGCATTTTGCATACACTCGATGGCTCTAACTGGGGAGCTGATTCTTACGCCCTCTCCGTGAGCGAACAAAATTTTTTGTTCACTCACGGAGGGAGGAGTTAGGCTAGGTAAGTCTCCGAAAATTTTCAAGAGGTCTTACACCAATTTGAACTCTGATGTATGCGTACAGAATCTTTAAGGTCTATCTGATAAGAATTTATATCAGAAACTTAAAAATTGATAATTTTATATATAAGAGAAATTTCTGACTATCCTCTACAATAAATGGCAAATAAAGGAAAAATAAATTTTTTTGTCCTTATGAACAGTATGAAATATTTATCGACTAAATTTATATTATTAATTTGCTTACTCCCCTCCGTAATAGAACAAAAAAGTTTGTTCGCTAATGGGTGGGGGTTAATTTCAAAAATTGGAAAGCTAAATTAATTTAATTAGTAATTTAAGTTTAAAATTATAAGCTATTTAAAATTTAACAGAATTAGCTCGATATTTCATAATAATTATCATTTATATATGAAAATTTTATATTTAAGTTTTTTGTTCGCTCATAGAGCGTGTTTTGTGTTCAAAAAATAGCAATTTTCCAATGATTTTGGAAGGGGATTAGCAATAATTTTTTATATAAAATAGCTTTTGAGTCTAAAATAAAATCGAAAATTAAAAATTAGGAATACATCCCCAAGAATTGAGGAGTAGGTGATTATATCAAAAATTAAAATTTTCTTTTAAAATTGATGATTTCTTATAATTTCTAAGCTTATCTGGCTTTACAAAAGACTACCATCCTAATTAAGCAATTTCCGAATATCACAATCCATTTAACCAATGACGATTTTATTCGTAAACTAATTGGCGAAAAATAAATAATGGAAGTTCAATCAGCAACAGGTGTAAGAATTCACACATACGGTGACTTAGACTCAATAGCGGTTGAACAAATCCCTATCCCCGATCTTGGCGAGACCCAAATCTTAATCAGAGTTGAATGCGCCCCAATCAATGTCAGTGACCTCATGCAAGCATTAGGCCACTATGCAAGAGATCCTCTTCCTCATACTCTCGGAAAAGAAGGCAGTGGAACAGTCATAAAAAGCGGAACCCACCCATATGCCCAATCTCTTGTCGGAAAAAGAGTTTCCTTTGCTGCTAGCGTTGAAGGCTTTGGTACCTATTCAGACTATCTAGTCACTTCAGCGTTTATGGCTTTTCCTTTGAAAGATTCTGTGACTTTTGAACAGGCAGCAAGCTTAATAGTAAACCCAATGACAGTTGCCCTGATGGTTGAGAGGCTAAAAGAAGGAAATCATAAATCAGTAGTTATCAATGCAGCAGCGTCAGCTTTAGGGAAAATGCTTATAAGATGGTGCAAGTTGTTGAATATTACAACAGTCAATTTGGTTAGAAGGCAAGAACAAGCTGATATTTTGGCCTCAATAGGAGCTGAACATGTTTTTAACACCTCTGATGCGGGTTGGAAAGATGCAGCTAAAGCTTTGACAACTCAGCATGGAACTAAAATTGGTTTTGATGCAATTGCAGGCAGCAGTACTCAAGATATGCTGGATTTATTGGTAGAAGAAGGAGTTGTGCACGTTTATGGGGGACTTTCAGGCCAACCAGCTCAAGCAGGACCTATGAGTCTTATTGGAGGTGATAAGACTGTTAGGGGACTCTGGCTGACAAAATGGTTAAGAATTTTATCAAATGAGAAAAAGGCAGAAATCGGAAGTCAGGTTCAAGATTTGATTGGAGATGTTTTGAAGACTGAATACCATTCAGAAGTCACTCTTGACGGTGTTAAAGATGCTTTAAAGCAATATTCAGATAAAAAGACTGACTCCAAGTTCTTAGTAAGGCCAAGAAGAGCTTAATCATAACTAATTATTTTAATAAATGCTTTGCAAATAAATAACTAATATATTGAGGTGCTTTATATTTATTTACTAAATTAATTTTGAATTATAAATTAAATATATAGAAAACGAAATAGATATCCATTATATGAGAGATCATACGCGTGACTAATACAAAAAGACATAAACATAAAATCGTAGGAAATAAAATTTGATTATTTATAATAAACAATTAAATTAATACCATTTTATAATTTTGACTATTAATTATAATATAATTTTACTTAATTAAAAATCAATAAGATTAGAGATTTATTACAAATTTTTGCACTTTATTAGAAAAAATTGAAAAAGATTAATAGTTTTAACCGAATAATAAGTGAATCAAATCGAATTTTATTAAAGAAGGATACAGGCTTTATAATTATTAACAGTTGAATACTCCGGGGCAATTTTCGATATAATAGCAGGGCAGGGAAGTAAGTTTGAATCATTTAATCAAAAGATAATTTTATTAATAAATCCATTGGAGATAATAATATGGAGGCCCAGTCAATTAGAGGTGTAAGAGTTCACGCTTATAATGATTTAGACTCAATAACAATTGATCAGGTGCCAATTCCTGATCTTAAAGACGACCAAATATTAGTGAGAATTGAATATGCTCCTATCAACATTATCGACCTCATGCAAGCCTTAGGCTACTATAATAGGCGTGCCAAGTTTCATTCTCATAGGAAAATTCTAATCAATATTTAAATTTTTATGATTTCTTCTCAAAATAATAAGAATCTATACTAAAAAGAAATTTACTATTAAAAAAATTGCATGCCTATAATAGGCAACCCCTTCCTCACTTTTTCGGCAAAGAAGGCAGCGGAACTGTAGTAAAAACTGGAAACCACCCTTATGCTAGGTTTCTTCTAGGAAAAAGAGTCTCAGTTGACTCTAATGTTCCTGGTTTTGGAACTTATGCAGACTATTTAGTTGCATATGCCTCTGACGCTTATCCTCTAAGAGATTCTGTAACTTTTGAACAAGCGGCAAGCTTAATAGTAAACCCTATGACTGTTGCTTATATGGTAGAAAAACTGAAACAAGGAAACCATACATCTGCATTAATTAATGCAGCAGCTTCAGGAATAGGAAAAATGCTTATAAAATGGTGTAAGTTATTGAATATCACAACAGTAAATTTTGTAAGGAGACAAGATCAAGCTGATATATTAGCTTCAATAGGAGCTGAACATATATTTAATACGTCTAATGATGGCTGAAAAGAATCCGCTAAAGCTTTAACGACTCAACTTGGGACAAAAATAGGTTTTGATGCAATTTCAGGTAGCGCAACTCAAGATATGCTGGATTTATTGGAAAATGATGGAATTGCATATATCTATGGAGCACTCTCTGGAGAGCCAGCTCATGTGAGCCCTATGAGTCTTATTGGAGGTGATAAAACTGTTAAAGGACTTTTATTGACTACGTGGCTAGCAAGGATGACAAATGAGAAAAGGGTAGAAGTAGGATATCAAATTCAAGATTTGATTGGAAGCGCTTTGAAGACTGATTATATAAGCGAAGTGACTATTGGCGAGGTTAAAGACGCGCTCAAGCAATATGCAGCTAAAAAAACTGACTCAAAATTCGTGGTAAAAATCAGGAGAGGCTAATCTAAAAAAAATTAAATAAAAAATATAATCAAAAGACAAAAATATGATTTTACGTTTGTATGCAAGTTTTATTAATTTTTTAAATTTTAAATAATTTAGCTATCTAATGCTAAATATAAATTATAAGGTTTTTGTTCAAATATGATATTATTTATATTCGAGTGCATTTATAAATAAATTTAATGAATCACAGTTACATTAAAATACCCAATGCTGATTCTTCATTCTAAGAATACACACAATTTTCCAAAAAAGTAAAAAATTAATATAAATAAATGATTCTAAAAATAGCTTACTCCTCTTCCATGAGCGAACAAAACAATTTTTTCACTCACTGAAGGGGTTAATTTCTTTTTTTAATAAAATTTGTATATAAATTTTATAAAATTTGTTTTTCGAAATTTTTAAAAAAAATTCAAATTCGCAAACATTGGAAATCAAATATTAATTTATTTTGTAAAATTTATGTTTTAAAATAAAATTTGTTTAAAATTAAATAGATAAGCTACAAATTTGATTATATAATTATCACTTATATATCAAAATTTTTTTTTTTATAAAACATTTTTGTTCGCTCACCGGGGTGATTTTTAGGCAAAAAATAGGGATTTTTCTAATGTTTTTGTTCGCTTACAGGGGAGGAGTTAATGCAAAGCTTTAACTAATTATCATCTAAAAGAAAATAAAATTAGACATATATTAGCTAACAAATTTAGTTGAATAGGCGATTTTTTAAGCTAAATTCTTTCCATCTTTATGTTTAAGCTTACCTTTCTTAAACATTACTAGAGGACTAGAATTGCATTGAATAAATAAAATTATTTCATTGACTAGATATAGATTGACGCCGATTTACATTTATTTATAGTCCAAGGCCGTTTATGGATCATCCTGAAAGAAATTCGTAGCAGTCCCTAAGTATTATCCATTAAGATTAGGAAGTTAGCTATGAAGGCAGCCAAGCTTCCTTATTTATTTTTCCTTAATTTTAATTAAGGTTTTGAAATCGGTTTGAGCATTTAGTCATTGATAATTTTAGTAAAATTTCTTGGAGAAAATAAAATGGAAATTCAATCTGCCACATGTGTAAGAATTCATTCATATGGCGATTTAGACTCAATAATAGTTGAGCAAGTCCCAATTCCCGAACTTGAAGACACTCAAATATTAGTAAGAATTGAATGCGCTCCAATCAATGTTAGTGATCTCTCCAGAGCTTTTGGCCACTATAATAGGCAATCTCTTCCTCATATGTTGGGGATAGAAGGAAGTGGGACTGTTGTAAAAAGCGGAAGCCATCCTTATGCTCAGTCTCTTCTTGGCAAAAGAGTTTCATTTGACTCTACTGTCCTTGGCTTTGGAACTTATTCAGATTACTCAGTTGTTTCTGCATTCAATGCTTTTCCATTAAGAGATTCAGTAACTTTTGAGCAAGCAGCAAGTTTAATAATAAACCCAATGACTGTTGCTTTAATGGTCGAAAAATTAAAAAAAAGAAATTATACATCAGTCGTCCTAAATGCTGCGGCTTCAGCTTTAGGAAAAATGCTTATAAGATGATGTAAATTGCTTAATATAAAAACAGTGGGTTTAGTACGAAGGCAAGAACAAGTTGATATATTGTCTTCAATTGGAGCTGACTATGTATTCAATACTTCTGATGAAGGATGGCAAGATGCTGCTAAAGCTTTAACAACTCAGCTTGGGACAAAAATTGGCTTTGATGCAATTTGTGGAAGCGCAACTCAAGAGATGCTGGACTTATTAGAAGATAAAGGAGTTTTGTATATTTATGGCGGACTTTCAGGGCAGCTAATCCAAGTTAGTCCTTTAAGTTTTGTTGTAGGTGATAAGGCAATTAAAGGAGTTTTCCTTCATGCATGAATCAATAATATGCCTATAGAGAAAAAGGCAGAATTCGGGTATCAAATACAAGATTTGATTGGAGATGCATTGAAGACTGACTATCAATCTGAAGTGACGCTAGATGGTGTAAAAGATGCACTTAAGCAATATGCAGGCAAAAAGACTGATAGCAAATTCTTAGTGAGGCCAAAAAGAGATTAACTTTAACTAATTCTTTAGAAATATAAATCACAAAATTGAGCTGTTTAAGTTTTAATTACTTCGGTTTCTCAAAAAAAAGAAGTTTATAATAGGAAATATATGAGTTTAAAAAATGAGCGACTTCTCTCTTCATATCTTTATACTTTAATAATTAATACTAAAACTAGATAGATGTTTAAATTTTAAAAGAATTTTACTATCAAATATAAGATTCGATTTGAATTCAATTAGCAGTTTTTAATTCTAAAAATTTTTGCTCTGATGATAATATTTTCAACTGAAATAATCTAGATAGTAAACTTATATCGTCATTTTTTTCTTATATATAAATAGCTTTAAGGATATTATAATTATAAAGTTCTTAAAGGCATTATAATTATTTTTACCCCCCTTTTTAAATTGTAACCACGCATAGGTAAAATTTCTTTAAACTGGAACAAATTTGATTTTTATAGGTAAAAATACTAACTTTTATAAAATTAATTTTGACCTAATTTAATAGGAAAGTGCTAGTATACTATTATTAAACAGTTTTCACACTGAATCAATTAATTCTTCACAAAATAAATTAAAAACTCAAAAATATTTGAATTGATTTTTAAAAATTTATAATTCTATATATAAAAAATTAATCCCTTTAAATGAGAACTGGAGTTTTATTCAATTTAAAGAGGGGGAAGTTAATATAAAGCTTCTCCTTGATAAATAAGATATATAATTTTATTATAAATTACCTTAATTACTCAGAATGTTCTTTATCTTGACTTAAAAGTAATATATATCCAAAAAGAATGTAATAAATAGCACAAAAGATAAATTTATCCAATTTTATGTATTTTAATATAATAGTAATAATTTTACGTTTTATCACACATAAGGTGTCTTGATTTTTTATTTTTAGTAATTAATTTGATGAATTCTTTAACATGAACGTCAATTTCATCAATCTGACTTCGTTTTATTTGTAGCCAACTTTTTTCCACTAATATTCATCAATGTTTAATATATCTAATAAAATACTAATAATTTTGAGTTTAAAACATACTTTTGATTATTAAATAAGAAAAGAGGTTAGGTTATACTATTAAAGCTAAGCATTAGCCATATTGGTGAGGCATTCACCAAAGACCTCCCATGCGGAAGGTTCCACCGCTTTTCGACTCCAGCCAGAGGGTCTATCCCTCATATGAGTGCCCTTCCGGTACTTCTATCTCCTTGCCTTGCGACTTCAGTCTTGAGTGGGCGGCTTATGGGTTTCTGCTGCTACGGACAATGGGAGTAGCTTTATTTCAAGGATCCTTGAATTCTCTCGGGTGCTGAAGTCCTCCCTTCGACAGCTACAGGAAAAAGATGACTCCCTATGGCCTGGGCCAAAACCCTCAGTAAATAAGAAAAGAGATCTTAAAATATCGGGTTTTTGCAAATTTCATGTGCAATTGGCATCTTTAATAAAGTTTGGAGAAATTGTTCAACCATTTATTAAAGATAATTTTATTCATAAATCCATTGGAAATAATAAAATGGAAGCTGATACAATAACAGGAATAAGAGTTCATGCATATGAAGATTTAGACTCACTAACAGTTGACCAAGCCCCAATTCCAGAGCTAGAAGACACTCAAATTTTAGTCAGAGTCGAATATGCCCCAATCAACATTATCGACCTCATGCAAGCTTTAGGTCACTATCGCAGACAACCTCTTCCCCACTTTATCGGAAACGAAGGCAGTGGAACCGTCATAAAAAGCGGAGCCCACCCATATGCTCAATCTCTTGTCGGAAAAAGAGTTTCATTTGAAGCTAGTGTCCAAGGCTTTGGGGCTTATGCAGACTATTTAGTTACTTCCGCATTTAATGCTTTTCCTTTAAAAGATTCAGTGACTTTTGAACAAGCCGCAAGCTTAATAATAAACCCTATGACTGTGGCTTTAATGGTCGAAAAGCTAAAAGAAGGAAACCATAAATCCGTAATTATTAATGCGGCAGCTTCAGCTATAGGGAAAATGCTTATAAGATGGTGCAAATTATTGAATATCACAACAATTAATTTGGTAAGAAGACAAGAACAAGCTGATATATTGATTTCAATAGGAGCTGAACATGTTTTTAATACGTCTAATGATGGGTGGAAAGACACTGTTAAAGCTTTAACGACACAACTTGGGACAAAAATTGGATTTGACGCAATTGCGGGAAGTGCAACTCAGGATATGATAGATTTGTTGAATGAAGGTGGTGTTTTGTATGCGTATGGAATACTTTCTGGACAGCCAGCACAATTTATGCCGCCGAGTCTGGCTGGAGATAAGAGCATAAAAGGCCTTTTTCTTGCACCTTGGCTAAGAAGTTTGACGGTTGAGAAAAGGGTTGAAGTTGGGTATCAAGTTCAAGATTTAATTGGGTATGCATTGAAGACTGATTATGTAGCTGAAGTGACGCTTGATGGGGTTAAAGATGCGCTGAAACAATATGCTGATAAGAAAACTGATTCCAAGTTCTTAGTCAGAACAAGAAGATCTTAATATTGACTAATTATTTAATTGAGATTATTGCATATATACGGAATTTGATAAATTCTTGATAATATTCAAACCAATTGAAAATTAATCTTTTAACATTTAAATTACGAAATAAGTACAATAGAAGGGGTTAAAGGTCGGTCTGTTATCATATTTGAAGTTTATTTTAATTATGCAATATGGCTTTTATTAACCAATTATGAGATTTAATTTAATTAAAGCCTCGTCAATTTTTTTAGATTTAAATCAAACTTGTAATATCTTTGGTCCAAGTCTGTTGCGATATAAATTGCGCCTTTATTATAAGTATAATAAACTTGAAGAGGAGAAATATTGATTATCGATTTCCCTATTACTCTCCAAGCCAGTTCGCCACTCAAATCGCTTCCATATTCGTCTATATAATAGCTTTCATATATATGCCCATCATCACACTCAATTAAATACAACTTCCCTACATTGATAAGGATTTTTCTTTTATCCGCTGCAAATTTATGAGGCATTACTGTAAAAGAGTTATTATCAATTGAATAATGCAAAAGATGTCTATTGCGTAATCCAGAAATCAAAATATTTCTATTGACTATTATACTATGGCAAGATTGATCAGGTTCTGGCAATGGAGTTAATCCAATTCATTTATTTCTATCTAAATCAAATTTAAGAGATGTTGTACGACATAAACCATGGACGTAACCTCCAAAGAAGTAGATATTTCTGTTAAAATATATAGCTGATGAGTAGCAGTAGATTTCAGGACCTGAAGGCAGATTGCTAGCTTCATAGTTATGATCTGTCATAAGATCTAGGAAGTAATGTCTATCTAATAATTTGCTGTTTGGAACTAAAGTTAGGCAGCCTGTTTCATCTATAGATAAATTTTCCAAAATTTCTACATGCTCATTTTCATTTTCAGTGTCATAAATGATCAAATTAGCGTTGTGTTTAATTATACCCTTTGAGGTGTTTGAATATTATTTTGAGTCTCAGACGAATTGATTAGGTAAAATAGCTATAACTTAGATCCTTAAGAGCATATCTTAATCAGATAAAGAGATGTGTTTTGATGATAAGCATTGATATATTCCTGGTAAGCTTGGCTTATCATTGGGCTATAGTTTGAATAAAGACTCTGATACTTGCAAGTCTTTCTGAACTCTTGCTCTATTTCTTGACTATTTTTAGTTCTGCTTAAAATTTCAGATTTTTTAGCCTGCAATTCTTGAAGAATTAATAATTGATGTGAAATGTTTTGATTTATCTGGCTCTTTAATTGATTCATTTCAGTCTCAGTCTTTCTAATTAAACTTAAAGCAGAATTCAGTTGAGTTTGAATAGATTCAATCTGGATTTGATGATTTTCTTGATTTAAATTTTCAATTATTTTTTTATTCTTTTTACTTTCAAATACCAGTTCTAAAATAGAATGATTCACATTTTCTATCTTTTCATTATTTTTTTTATCACTTTCGCCTAGTCTTTTTTCTAAATTGGATAATTTTTTATCCAAAAGTGCTTCAAATTTATTTTTGATGTAATTTTCAATTATTTTCTCGATTTCTTTATTAAGACTGCAAAAATACTTAACGTTGTTATATGTTTCTGATTCTGCTGGAATCATTTCTTTAACTTTTTCAGAAGCTAAGCCAGGCTCTAAAGTCAGTAGCTGTAAAAGCGGGTCTTCATCGAATTTTGATATTTTTTGAGTTTGAGAAATTTTTTCAATTCAGCTAGAAATTTCATATAAATCAGAATCTAACTTTCTTAGGCTTTCTTCAAGACTGTTTTCTGATACGAAGAGATTTTGGGAGAAGGATGATGCAATCTTTGCTTTTAATTTTTCTTTTTTGAGTTTTTCTTTTAGAAGAAAGCCAAGGACTGCATCTTTTGTCTCTGTGCAAGGCTCGAGATAAACAGAAACAATGTTATGGGTCCTTTTAGGCACTTTAAGATGCTCTCCGATATGGAATTCACACGAGTAAATTTCAGGAGACAAACATAGGCATGCATAATGAACTTCCAGCCCACAGCTTTGCACAAAACATCGCTTAGTAGCCATTTATAGAGCTAGAGAATGAGCTATTTTATGTGCATAATTATGAGATTAATTTTCATCTACAAAAATATTTTCGGACTCAAAGCAATTAATGTAAGATATCAAAAATTAATCATGCTGAAAAAGAAAAGCCCTAACTTTTTAGGAAAAAAATATATTAATATTGAGGATTTTCTCGCAAAATTGTTGCTTTCTGGACAAAGTAGAAACAATTGGATTCGATTAAGTGCAAATACTAGCATTTTGCCAATAAAGTTTAATTAAAAGTGCATCGAACCTTATGATAGTTGCTTGTATGATCGAAAAGCTAAAAGAAGGTCGCCATGCTTCTGTAGTAATCAATGCATGCAGCTTCTTCTTTACAGTTTTTGAGGATGGCTAAAAAACCATATTATATTTATCCTCGCCCCATTTTACAAAAATTACAAATTTAGCTCCAATGCAATATCAATTAAAAATTCAAATTAAATACAATCATACCAAAATTTTACAAAATATAATGCCCAACACTTTTCATAACTTATCACAATTAACTTAAATTTTCATTAAATTTATTCTCTTTTCCTTTGCTGTTCTTGGCGTTTCATCATCAGCATTTCATCCACCGTTAATGGCCTCCTCCCATTCCCCACTTTTTCTTTCTGCTGCACAATCTGTGGAGGATTATTTTCCTTGACCGGCGCTGACTGTGTGGGTATCCTCAACTGGACATTTCTGCTACTTTTTTCATTTTTTACTATAGATAAAGCTTGAGACACTGACTGGAATAAGCCCTGCATTTCTTGAAGCAGCTGATTTGGTGGAATGCTATTCCCTCTAACCCCTTCATAAATTTCTTCTATATACTTTAGTACGTCATTTTCCAAAATCCCACTTATTGCTTGTTTTTCTGCCAAATACCTTTCATTACTAGCCTGCAAAGACGTCAAATTTGCCTGCACATCTCTTGATTTCGGCTCTACAGGCTGCTTATAGGCATTAATACTCCCAATAAGCCTGTCAATTTCTCCTTTTTGGTTTTCTATAATTTGGGTCAATTCAGCAATTTTTTCTTCACTTGTCAGCATTTGTAAAGGCAGGAAGCTTTCATTGTCCAAAGTGACTGTATCAGTAGAATAAGGCGGGTATCTTTTAGGTTCTTTATAATGGTTGGATTCAGGGATTTCAGCAGTCGGTACATTCATGCCATGATTTTTCAATAAATCTTCTAGCTGTTGACATCTGGCTGTTTGGTATTCTAAATTTTCTTCAGTCTCTCTATGGATTCTATCATAAGCGTCTAGCTCCTCTTGTAGCTGTATAATGGTATCATCTCTTTCATTAAGCCTAGCAGTCAGCGCTATCATAATATCCCTTTGCCTTAACAATAACTGTTTATACCTATCAATCTGCGCTTTATCTTCTTCAATTTGTTGCCGCTCCTGCTCTATTTCTTGCAGCCTCCCTTCATATTCTTTTCTTATGGCTTTTTGTTTTTCTTCTAACGCAATAATAAACTGTGGGGTTTCTTCAAGTTTTTTGCCTCCTACGAGCAGCTGGGAATTCATCATTTTGATCCTTTCTTCAAGCTTTCTTTTTTCTTCTTTTTCTATTAAAAATTCTTTTGACCTCATTTCTAAAGCTTCTATGGCGGCTTCTTTGTCTGCTTCAGCTTGCTTGCGCTGGTCTTCAAGCTCAATGACTTTTTCCATATCATACATGCTACGGTTTTTGGCATCTAATTCGTGACGAAGCTTGGCGAGCTCTACTTCATATTTCCTTATAAGGGTTTTTTGGTCCACATCTTCATTGATTCGAGGGGCATTTTTGATGTTTTTGGCACGATTAGCGAATTTTACAGTAGATAAAGATTCACCAAAAGAGTCGTTGGAAGGGGAAATCATGGCCATCATGGTAGTTATGCAGTTCCCACCTAAAGAGTCTTCTAATAGACGGGTCAGCTTGGAGTCTCTATAAGGGATATGAGTCCTTGGCTTGGTGTCTGTAAGAGCTGCAATCACATTTCCAAGTGCTGATAAGCTTTGGTTGATTTTTTTAGATTCTTCTAGACGTTTTCCAGTAGCTCCAGTCAGCCTAACTCTTTCACTCCCAGCAAGATCGACAAGGTTAAGTTTCCCAACTTTAATGTCTTTAGAAATGTCATCAGACCCTTCCAGCTCAGTCGTCATCATATGCTCCACAATTATTCTATTTTTTTTTTAATAAAATATTTTCATTATAAAAGTTAAAAATTTTTCAAAATCATTATAAAAATATATATATAATAAAAACCGCATGGCTGCGGCTGCTCAAATCATTCATTTTCGTAGAAGCCGTCGCCCTCGTCATTTCTCCTTTCTGCATAAGTGAACAAATATCAGTCGCCGACCTCACGGCCCATTCACTCAGTCCTTCCACAAACACCCCTCGTCTTTTTTCTTCTCTTATCTGTAATGTCCCTCGTTCCGGTTTCAGCAGATCTGATATAAATTCATTATAAATTTGTAAATAGCTCGCCCTCACCATAAATGTAACATTTTGGCTCTGTGAAGATTCAATGATTTTGAAAATTTCTTCACTTGCACGAGGAACAATCCCACGTTGTGGGTCAGTCGAGTTATATTTAAAGCCTTCCATTGTATAAGTTTTCCCTGTACCTGTTTGTCCGTAGGCTAATAAAGTTGCGTTGTAGCCTTCTAGAACTGATAAAACTGCCTGTCTGGCAGTTCTATCATATACTTGGACCTGTGTGGAGTCTTGGTCATAGACATAGTCAAAGGTAAAATGATGGAAAGTGGCGAGTCCGGGGTTTTCGGAGATGTCGAGTTCTCTTTCTTCATCATTGGCGGCTGCACCTAGGTATTCTTGTAGGGTTATTCGCTTATTGTCAGGAGAAACTTCAATTATGCTGCGGAAACCGTGGACTGGGTCGATTTCTCTTGGCAAAGGTGGCCGGACTCTTATTACAACTTTAAAATTACCTCGGGCGTCATTTGAGTGTAGAGGGTAGGATTGATAGGAACTTCCGGATAAAGAGCCAGAAGTACTGGGTGGGCGCTTTTCATAGGGAAAGGACTCGCCTCTGAACATTTAATTTAATATGTAAAAGTTATTGAAATTTATCGTAATTATGATAATGAAGAAATTAATAGATTTGGGATTTTTTTGAGGGTGCGTTTATGATGCATTTGATTAAAAAGTTTTAAAAAAAAATAATATATGATTATATTATTGTGGAAATTATAATAATAGAGTAAAAAAAAATATCAAGAAAAAACGCTATATATGAATTAGATTTGGATATATTCAGAGGGCTGGGCATTTGATGAATATACGAATTTAATAAGAGTTTCAAGTACTTAAGAAAAATCTGGTTTTTAAGAGAACTAAACAATAGAAAATTAATTATAATAATGTGCTGCATATATCCGATTTATTATGACTTAAATAATATCTCTTGATTTATTTCTTTTTTTTATTTGTTGCCAACTTCTTCTTCGTTTGATTTCGTTTATTGAATGATAAATAAGCACACTAAAAGGCCGTATCTTGAACTTTTCTAATAATCTATAATTTATAGCAAAGCTTTCCTGTCTTATTTTTGTTTCTTACATACAGTTAACTGAGATTTTTCAATTAAAAATCTATATCTTCACACAATCCTATTAGGCAGTCCTAGAGCTTAAGCCACCCTAGGAAAATCCATTAAACATAATTTAAAAGTGATAGCATCAGCTTAATCTTTTGTAAGAGCTCATAGAGAAGTTAAGAGTGTCTCGATAATTGCTATAGTCTTCAATTTTTCATCTAAACTCAAATGATAAAACATTAAAATTTAATATTTTAATCTTAGGGAAAGCAGAAATCAGCGTAAAGAGTCATTGAAGCACTATATTATTTATTTAATGTTTAAAAAAAATTTAATATAGTGATTAAATTTGAATTTCTTGACAATAATTAGCTGTTTTAGCTAAATTGTTAATTCTTTTGCCATTGATTGTTAAGAACAATTATAGCCAAATTTTTATTAAAATTCGAAAGAGCTCATTTTATAAAAATGAACCTTATTCACCCCAGAATAAGCAATTCTTTTTATTTTTTTAAGTTTTTTTGCCAAAAGTTATTTTTGATTAGCAAACAAATTTGTTTATTATTAGGGGATTTTCAGATAATAAGCGAGAAATTCAAATTTTGGGTATTCAACCCAATAATAGCAAATTTGATCTATTTATTTTAATTTACTATTTGAAAATTTTATGATAAAGCCATAAAAATCAAGAATTTGCTTAATACAGAGGGAGTTGGTAGATACGTCATATCACTCATTTCAGATTTTAACCTTATAAAGTAAAATTACTTTAATATAGATTGAGAAACTTATAGTGGCATCCGAATTGCACTTGAATCTCTTAATAATCGAAATATTCATGTGCAAGACCTAGATATTTAAATTAGCCTTACATGATAAAATTAACTTCGCGTTATTTTGTATATGAAAAGTAAAGGAATTAATACAAAATAAAGCAGGAGAGCTTAAAAAGCCAATTGCTGGGTTTGGAAGTCCAAAATACTCAGTTATCATAGCCTTTTAATTCTCAAAATTCCAGATAATTAACTTGGCATAATATTGTGATTCTTCTCAAAAACTAACCACTAATTACTGGTAAATTTCTTAGAAATACATCTGAATTAATTTTTCCAATTAATTCATCTGATTTTTTCAATAACTCAGAGTCATAGTCCCTGCATTAGTTAAAATTATAATTTAGTTTCAATGTAAATTCTCTATAAACTTAGTGATAGTATCAGCTAGTCAAAAATGAGGATTAATTCTAATATTTTCAAATTTCTTTTCTAAATCCTTTAAGACTGCTTATAATAATAATAAATTATGCTTTATCGCACCCGAGGTGCCTTTAGTTTTTATTTCTCATAATTAAAATCAATAAGTCTTTTGCAGTATCATCAATGTAGCGGCAACAACATCAACGATTCCAGGAAAAAACACAAGCATTACTGCAGCATTAGATCCAGCTACAACTCTAGCATCAACTCAATTGACAATTTAGGTATCTTCAAGGTTCACTAAAATTTTATTTTCTTCAGTTTAACATTTTTTAACATTTTGGATCATCATGTGCTGTCTCCATGCCATCGTCCATTGCACCATGCTTCCATCTTCGCTTCAACTCCTACACTCCATGGATTCAGCACCGAAGAGACTACCGCTGACGCAAAATCTCCTCTCATACTGCAACTCCTTTCAGAATTGACAGGATAAGCACTTCCAAATTTTGGCGCAAAAGCACCATTATGTGCGGGAAATGTTTATTTTTTAAGACTGCTTATAATCTAATTATAAAAATGAAATTGATACTATGAAGTTTGTGGTCTCTAAAGAAAGCTTTAGTCAAAATTACAAATTTTTCTTAACTAAGATTAAGATTAATCAGAATTTTAAAATGATGCTCTCTTCAACAGGGAGTAATACCAGAGTCTCCTTTTTAACTCTCTCAATCGAAGAGTTCAGCAGATATTTTGCCCAGCAAGCATTCTAAACAACTCCACCAAAAGGGCTAGAAAGTCTTCCTCGATTGCGTCTTTTATGGGGAAGGGCTTGCTGCCGAGAGAAAACTGCCAGTTGTGGCTCTTTGGGGTTGTTGGTCTCTTTTGGGATCGGAGTTGTGGGACTTGTGGAAGCTCAGATGATGGGGGAGTTGTGGGTAACCCCAGAGATTTTGAAAGGGCCTGAAAACGCAAACAAGCCAAAAAAAAAAAAAGGAAAAAAAAAAAGGCTGAATGGGCACACTGGTGTGTCGCTGTTGTTATGCTTTTGCTTTTCTTGTTTTTTGTGTTTGCTTTCGCGTGTGCTTTTGCTAATTGGAGTAGGGTAGGGTTATATAAAAACTTTTTCTTCTTCTTCTTCGATCGCGTTAAAAACTTGCTCCAGGCTTGACTCTGTATGTGTTCAGCCTAAGTATCACCCTACTTGGATGTGCCAAGCGGAAAAACCCCTATGCGTCCTAATACCCTTGGCCAAGTGATTTACTCTATGCGATAAGCCATATTTGGCATTATGGATAAAGGCGTATCAAATAAACCAAACCCTATAATAATAAAATTGCAGAGGAGGAAAGGTTTACGGGTAAAAACCATTTCCGTACGTATCCATTTTATTATTATTTTCAAATTTTCTTAACAAGCTTTTTTTTCCTTTTTGTAATGAAAAATAGTTCCATAGAATTTAAAATTTATTGACTCCTTTAAGCTCAAATTTCAAAATTATCATTTTAGATTAAGTTTATTAAAGTATTTTATTATAATCCATTCAAAATTTTTATTAGCCCATCTATTATTATATTTCGCTTTAATTTTATCTACTTCTTTTTAAATTGCATCAGAGTTTAATAAATTATAAGTTACATTTCTTCCGACATATAATAAATGGAAACAGGAAGCTCGCAGCTATTACCAGGATTTCCTGAATGTAAAAGTAAAGAAGTCCTTGTGTTTTATTTATGCTACACACTAGCCAAAATTATCAGCATCGCTATTATACTAATTTTGCTTCCCTCAGACTGTGGAGAAACAATAGATTTATTCTTAATTATATACTCCATTATCGAAGCTATTGAATTTATATTTTTATGTTCCTTACTTATCCGCAAATGTTTCCGCCATGCTGGCCGCTTATCTCCTTACTTCGTGCGTTCTATACAGCTCAGTTATGAAAGGTAAAATTTATATAGCTTCAGATTTATTATGGTCATCGCTTTGTCTGCAGGCTTAACAGGCAATTCAAGCTGTTGGGATAAACCAACAGGAATTTTGGGGACAATTTTGATAAATATATACCTCTTTAAATTGTAATTGGAAATTATAGAAAAAAAATTTGACAGAAAATTAAATTTAATATTAAATGATATAGGCTACATAAAAGTCCTTGCTGGGCTGATCTATACAGCCATGTATTTCAAGGAATTAAGAAATCTAATGTCAAATCCAGCCCCACCTACTTATGTTGTAACTTTTTATTTAGCTAACTGCTGAACAGTTAGAAACCTATATGAAAATCCCTCAAAAAGAAGGCTTATGTTCTATTTGTTTAGATGAGATTAAAGCTGACGTAAAATGCATAGTGCTCCCATGCGAACATAATTTTCACGTAAAATGCTTAAAAGATTGGGTTTCAGTAAAAGGGATATGTCCTATGTGTAGGATGCGATTAAATTAATTTTCTTTGGACTTTAATAGGTTTTTTGAATAATTTTTTATGTTGAAATTAATGCTGAAATTATTGAATATTTTTATATTTATTTATGATGAAATTGTAATATCTTTTGGTTCATTTGTTACCCCGTGGAATTGAGTTTCTGAAGATGGTGTCTGTTGAGGCGGGCTATCAATCGGCAGTAGAAAATAAAAACAAGTATTTGCTATCCGAATCGCGTCTTTGTTTTCTAAATCAACAGGTGGAGATTCTAAGTCTACTTTCCGCTTGTTAACTCTTAAAGAATTTTTGCTTAACTCCCCCCCCCCCCCTCCGTGAGCGAACAAAAAAATTTTGTTCGCTCACGGAGGGGGGTTAATTTTTTTTTTTTAAAAAAATTTATATATAAATTTTATAAAAAAATATTTTTTTCGAAATTTAAAAAAATCCCTAATTTGCAAAAATTGGGAAGCAAATATTAATTTAATTTGCAAAATTTATGTTTTAAAACGCAATTTGTTTAAAATTAAACAGAATTAGCTCTAGATTTCATTATACTAATTATCACTTATATATCAAAATTTTTTTCCATTAAAATTTTTTCTATTAAAAAAATTTTTGTTCACTCACGGAGGGTGGGTTTTTGGTCAAAAAATGGCGATTTTTCTAATGGTTTTGTTCGCTCACGGAGGGGGGGGGGGGGGGGAGTAAGCATTTTATTTGAAATTTTCTTTTTTCTTGGGATCAGGATATCTCTGCATGCTCTTTTGAGATTTTTTTATGGTCGCCTATGTGTAAGACGCCTTTACCACTTTGTTTTCTCCCTAAAGTAACTTTAAGTTCTTGAATGTAAGCTTGGACTTCTGGGCCTTCAAGCTTAGCATATGCTTCAATATCCCCCATTTCTGAATTAAGATTATGAAATTTCTATTATAAGGTGGAGATCATACTTTTTTTAAATTTTTTTTATGATATTTTATATAAAATTAAGAAAAATTTGAAACAAGGTAGAGAATAAAATAAAAATTTAGATAGCTTTTTTTATTTGGTTAATAGATGCTTAAGCTTTGGTTATTATTAAAAAAGCAGGTTATTTTATAAATAAATTTAAAACTTTTTATTGCTGACCTATACTAACACTGGGCTGGGTATCTGAATCAGGTTTTAGCAGCATATCGTTTAAAAGCTGCTTTAACACCAACATTTCAACCTTCAAGTTTGGTCAGCCCGAACTCAACGTCGTCTTTTCCTTCATTACAGACTTGACAAGTTTAAAGGTTTCATTTAATTCGTGATTTCCCTGGAAATGTATGATTTCTCCCTTTCAAAAATTTTATCGCCGTGCTGGAATCTTTCCTTGCTAAAATAAAATCCTGGTACACTGGCCACGGTGGTCTTTTTGCAGGAGTTGGGTCAATGGGTTTTGATACGACTTGGGGTAAGGCTAAGAAGTTTTATTCAATGCTCTTTGAAATTACTTATAGAGAGTCCGAATTGTATATGAAATCGGTTATGTTGCCATATCTATAAATATTTCTATAAATTTAACTCCAGCTAAATGAAAAGTGGTTAATTTATGAATAAAATTTATTTATTTTAAGATCTTCTGACTCTGACTAGATATTTTGAATCAGTTTTTTTAGCAGCATATTGTTTCAAAGCATCTTTAATCTAATTTTTACTTAATTACTTATTGTTTAATGCCCCAGATTATTCAGCGAGTGATTTAGGCATGCATGACTCACCCTTTATATCCTGATTAGTGACAAGTGATATATTGGGCAATTCTGCGTTACCGATTTATCATGTGGAGACATTCCAAAACTTCTAGAATCTTGATCAGAGCTACACATGATGTTTGCCTCACACTAGCATTACTCCTGAGTGTGTTTCGCCTAATTGTCACTCTCCTTGGAAGTGTCAAGCGATAAAACCCCACACTTCCTAAAACCATTATCAGGCGCTCCAGACTATACGCTGGGGTTAATGCTGATATAACTGCGTAAGGTGCACTAGGAAAACCGAATCCCAATAATAAAATCACTAGAGAAAGAAAAGTCCTCGGAACTTATTCCGATAATTCCATTTTATTATTATAAAAGCTCTTTAGGCATCATCTAGTGCCACCTCAGACTGATAATCAGTCTTCAATGCATCTCCAATTAAGTCTTGAATCTCATTTCCGATTTCAAGCTTTTGCTCTATAGACAAGCCTTTGAACATTCTGCCATACATGAGTCCTTTAATTGATTTATCTCCTCCAGCTAGAGTCATTGGGTTGCCTTCAGCTGGCTGTCCAGAAAGTACCCCATATACATATACAACTCCTTTTTCTGTTAGCAATTGCAGCATATCTTCTGTCGCACTCCCTGCGATTGCATCAAAACCTATTTTGGTTCCTAATTGGTTAGTCAGAGATTGCGCTTCCTCCTTCCAGCCAGGCACTGAAGTGTTAAATATATGGAATATTTATTAAATTTTCATTTAAAATATATTTATTACACATAATTAAATAAATTTTTTATTAAAAAAATAATTTTTATATCCAATATATGCTTAGCACCAATACCAGCTAAAGTGTCGACCTGTTCTTGTCTTCTAACTAAATTAATTGTTGCAACATTTAATAGATCGCACCATCTAATAAGCATTTTCCCTAAAGCTGAAGCTGCAGCATTGATAATTACAGAAGTATGGTTTCCTTCTTTAATTTTTTTAACCATATATGCAACAGTCACAGGGTTTATGACTAAACTGGCTCCTTGTTCAAAGGTAATATGATCTTTTAAGGGAAATGCAGAAAAAGCAGAAGTGACTAGCTCCGCCCCTAGGTATAGAGCAAAAAGTCTTGGAAAATATATCTTATTTTTCAATATATAACGTTTTATTATTGAGCAAAATAAATTTTTTGTGCAAAATAATTTGGTTTATTATTACTAATATAGGGGAGGGAGGAGGCTACTTAACTGGGGCCGGCAATCCGACCCCTCCAACTCGCCCTTATTGGTGATGTTAATAATAATATAATAAGATCTCCAACTCATAATAAAAATTTTAATATTTCACCCTAATTTTTTATATAAAATCTGAATACAAATCACTCCCACATAAGTAATCTAAAAAGTAGAGTAAATAATCCGCAAAAGTGCCGAATCTTGGCACAGAAGCTGTAACTGCGACCCTTTTTGCGACAAGAGATTGGGAGTACTCATCGATTCCGCTTTTAACTACAGTCCCACTTCCTTCAATGCCAAGTATACAATTTGGCTGAGTAGTCGAATAATTTCCCATTGCTTTTAAGATGTCACTGACATTGATAGGGGCACATTCCATCCTGACTAAAATTTGGGAGTCTTCAAGATGGGGCACTGGAACTTGTTCAATTACAATGGAGTCAAGATCGCCGAGTTTGTGAATTACCGCTCCGGTTATTGAGTTAATTTCCATTTATAATTCTCCAATGAATTTATGATTAAATATCATTTTTATCAATATAAAGAATGGTATAAAATGGACTGTAATTTATTTATCAGAAACAGTCTTACTTTGAGAATTCAATTTTTGAACTTTTTAGTTATTAAAAATAAATGATGTTTTAATTTTTTATTGTATTAGCCTATTTTTAGTCGTCAGCGTTATAACTAAGCTCATTCTGGAAACTATATTGTGAATATAAGAGATAATGACTCCCTTGGGAGTTTTAGCTTGAATTAAATTAAATTTTCCTATAGTAGATGCACAAGAAACAGGTAAGATCTAATGCTTGAAAATTAGCTAGCGAGCTTTTACAAATAATTCCATATAAATAGTAATAATTTTACTATTATAATTTTAAAAAAATGATATTTGGCTTTCTCATTATCAGTGGAAAGGTATAACTCATCTAAATTTCTTAATTTAATTTACGTTATTTAGTCATCATAAATATTGCTATCCTTCCCCAAATCTCGCATTCCCAAATCCATGCTGTCCTTCATCATACCCATAAGGCTTTTTCTGTTCTCTATACCCAAAATATCTATCTTCCTGCCCACTTCCCTCTCTAAACGAAAATCCTCTAAAAAATGACGGTAATCCACCCTCTTCTCTATCAAAATCCATAAAAGGTCTCATAAACCTCTGCATCATATTTTCCATTTCCTTAAAAATTTCATCTTCTACTTCATACCCCCCTTTAAAACCTTCATTATAAGGCAGTTCTTCATAGTCTTCTTCGACTCAGGAACCATTTTCATCACTTCCTTTTGTTGTTGTGCATTTTGTGCATCTCATTTGGCCTTCCTGATCTGGCTTGCATATAATTTTAGATGATTTTACAGACGATTGAAATGTCGGCTGCTGACTGACGCTTTCTTGTTCGTCGAATGTTCTAGTAAAATAGTCCCAAAAACCCATTTATTTATAATTTCGATGAGAATTCTGTAAATAAATGAATAGATTGAAAAGAAATAAGCCAGGAACGAGGACTAAGGAGATGTGGGCGTGGAAGCTCGATGATTTTTGTAATATGTCTGGGCCTTTTTCTGTGCAGGAATATATATGCTTTTATTAATTAAGTTTAGGTATAATATAAATAAATAAAAACCCCCAATTTTTAGATAAAATTGCATACAAGATCTAATCAGAAATAATCCTGGTGACGTCGAAAGAATATGTGACCCACCTCATGATATTGATTTAGCTGTGTGACAATATGAGCATATAAGGCAGTTTATTGTAGAGCTAAACAGACTTATAGTGAATTTGCAAGGGATTTGTGTTCCTGATATGTGCCCGAATATGAGGGGAGGAGAAGATACAATGTATTTATGCGCTTCACATAAGAAGCCTAAAGAATGTTCTGCAATAGATTATATGACTCATACTCTAGATAACGCGACCTCAATTTTACAGTCAAGCAGAAATTTTAATACCCGTATAAGCATCCCTATAAACTCAACCAAACTTTTAGTAAATATTGTAAGAAGGCTTTATAGACTTTTTGCACACACTTATTTTTTCCATAGGGAAATTTTTATGGAATATGAAAACCAGACGCATTTGTGCTATAGATTTACTGAATTTGTGCAGAAATTTGGGATGATGCCGGCAAAGTTTTTTAGTATTCCAACACATGCTTATAAAAATGATTGATAATAAAATTATAAATTATCTACGATTTAGTTTGAATTTTTTTTGAATTTTATATAAATTAGATAAGGATCCCCCCCCTCATTTGTCCAATTTTCTAGTCTTTTTTTTTATAAGAATTTTTTTTTTCAGGACCTCATTTGTCCCAAAATCTAGTCAAAATTGATTTGCCCATTTTCTAGTCTTTTTTGGATTTTTTCGAATGTCCTAAATTTTAGTTTTTACTTTAAAAAAATGAGACAATTAAGGTTGAAAATTTTTTTTTCTATCAAAACTTTGACTAGAAAATTGGATAAATGAAAATTTTTTTCTCCTATAAAAAAAACTAGAAAAATGGGCAGACTAGAAAATTTGACAAATGAAGGGGGGGTATCCTTATGTGTTTTGAGCTTATCAAAATAGTTTTGTTGCAGTGCTTTTATAATAATCGTTTTTTTTGCTCTCTTCACGTATGGAATATTATGTGCTTCAGTTATGAGTGAATAATGCCAAGATTGAGATAAAAATTAAGCAAAAGACAGATTTTCACAATAGTTATTGTCAAATCCTAAATACTTCCTGAGAAGGATGCTTAATAGCTTTGAAATCACTAACAAATCTCTAGAAAGCAGGCACAATAAAGCGCACTTATAGTTTACATGAGAAGCCTAAAAATGCTCTGCGATATATTATATGTCTCATAAACCAGATAATGCAATCTAACTTTTACAAAAAGTAGAATTTTAATACCCAGAAAGCATCCTTATAAGTTCAATCAAAATTTTAATATATAGCAAGATTTTTTGTACACTTATTATTTCATAATGGAAATGCTAGACGCATTTATGCCATAGATTTACTTAATTTATGCAGAAATTCGATTAACTCAGGCGACATTTTATATCCACATAAATAAAATTATTAAATTATCTGCGATTTGGCTTGAATTTATTTAATCTGTTTGAATATTTGGAGCCTTGATAGGAATGCTCAGTTTCTTCAGTTATTGAGGGTTTATAAGAAGATAAAGATGAAAATTTCCCATGTGATTGGTTTTTCATTCGTGTTAGATTTGATGTTAAATTAGATATGTGTTTTTGAATTTTATCAAAATATTCATCAAATGATTTGGTTGCAGTGCTTTTATAAGTTTCTGCATAATAATCGTACCTCTTTTGCTCTGTTTCGTTTTTAGAGCTTCTATATGCCTTTTGCTCTGCTTCATTTATGGAACTTCTATATGTATTTTCATAATCCCTATCCTGTGTAGAGCCTTCTAAGTCTTTCACATTGACACTAAAATCAGTGCTTGGCTTTTTAACAATCGAACTTTCTTCTTCTTTACTTTTCACACTGATAGTAGGTGTAGAACTTTGCTTTGAAATTTGCTTAATTTCAGTTTGGGTTCCTTGATTTTCAAATATATTTTTCACTGGAGTACTATAGCACTTTTCACTATTTATTACTTTATAAGCTATTTCATGCAAATTCTTTATAAGAATATTAAGAATTTCTCTTTATCCTATAAATTATAAAAATTTGCCTTATAAATACTATTTTGCATTCAATCTTATTTATATTAATTTATTTTTTTGATTTCCTCAATTTCCCTTTCTAATGCTTTCAATTTTTCATCCATAACCAACTGAGACTGCTTAGCTTTCACCAACTCATCTGATCTCCCATGAGCCAGCTTTTTTCAATGCTCTATATGCTGTTTCACAGTTTCCAATTCGCTATCTTTAAGACTTATAGTAACTTTTAAATCCTCAATTTCTTTTGTCATAGGGTCATATATTGATTTTAATTCTTCTATTTCAGCTCTAAATTGTTTTTCTTTATCTAAAATCAGAAATTTCGCTTGATCTGAGCTATGAGATAATTTTTTATTATCTTCCAATAATAAAGAAATCTGATTATTTAATCTTTCTACCTCAGATCTATGCGTTGCTTCTAAATGTTCATAATTTGATATTTTCAGCTGCCCTAAATACTGGATTTCTTCTATATTTTGTTCTCTTACTTTTTTAAGCTCCTGTATCAGCTCCTTTTTTTCATTTTCCAAAGTCATTATTTTTAGAGTCATTTCATTAGTTTGCTTTACATTAGCATTTTGCAGATCATTGATTTTTCTTGATAGTTCTTCAATTTTTGTGTCTTTTTCTGCAATTATATCTTTTGTTTTATTTATTTCATTTTTATATTTGTTTTGCTTTTTTTGCAAAATTTCTTTAAGTTCTTCACACTGGTTTGATTTTGATTCTGCTTCGAATTTTAGCACGTTAATTTGTCGAGTAATTTCGTCTAATTGGTTTGACAGCTCTTGTATGACTTTTTCGTATTCTAAATTTTTTATATTTATTTAAGCTGAATAGTGTACCCTTTTGTATTACTTTATAATTATATAGCCCATGCCCCTATATAGATTTCCATATCGAGCAAGTTGTAAATATATCTTGACGCATTCTATATCTCTATTATATGAAAGATTGAAAATTGAGATGTCAAAAAATAGTTGACAAGTGTAGACCAAGTTGGCAAGAAACGTGCCAATTTTTAAAATGGCCTTATTATTAAAATTAATTTTTAAATTAAGATACCTTTTTAGACTAGAATTGATAAGTATCTTACTTAATTTTTTTCTATTCCTGTTTAAGCAAGTAAATGCAGTGTCGTTAAGAATTATAAAATGATTTTTTTTAAGAAGCCTCTTAAAAATCAAACTTGTCAATATGCATTTTAGTAAAAGGATCAAGTTTATAAAATTAATGCCAATTTGCTGATGAAGATTGAAAACTTATTTTAAAGTCTGTACTAAAGAAAGAGGAGCGTTTAGCAAAAATTAAATATGGCTTAACAAGTAAGGACCAAAAAAATGTTAGCCAATGTGCATTTTAGTGGAAGGATAGAACTCTTAGTTGTAAGTCTCTATTAAAGGAAGTTAATTGTATATGAAGTTGCTATTTTTTAATTATATCCGGCAAGGTTTTACCATTCTAGAGATGGACGGCAATACTAGGTAAGCAATTCTGGTGGTGCTCAGAGCCTAGTCCTAGTCTATTCTCAGGGGTGGATTTTTCCTCGTGGGGAAGGAGGGCACGGAGTTGGGAAGGGGAAGCTCAGCAGAGTCCGTTAGGACCAATCGGGCAACTCCCTAGCGTGAAACTGGGCGTTACGTCCCAGGCTACGTGTTTTTCCTTTTTTGCCGATAGCGACCAGAAAAATCCATTTTTTTTTTTCGGAAAAGCAACCCATGTATCAAGCAAGTAGCTCATCCATGAGCCGTCGAAGCCGGAACACTCTCCCGAGAAGCACCCTGGTGATCGAAGCAGGCCATCCCCAGCGACCTGTGGGCCCGATGCGACGCAAGGCGAGCGATAGTGCCTGGGGATGTCACCCTGTAGTGGACGTTAAGCGTTATAAATTCTATAAGAAGTTGCTAAAGCTCAGTAAATGTGTTTAGCAAAAGTTAAATAAGGGTTAATAAGTAAAAATTAATACTCATCAGTCAATATCCATTTTAGCGGGAGGATAGATTTTTATAAAAAAACAGATGAAATAATAACCCCCCTTTGTAAAATCTATAGTCAAGAAAGTTTATTTAATACAAATTTTTAAAAGCTCATAAGACAAAATTTTAATCATTTTTGAATTCTTTTGCCATAAAGCATACAGTGAATTTCCTTTAATGCTGACTTTACAAATAAGAGTTCCAATCTTCATCACCAGCTTGATATTATTTTAAATTCTATCTTTCTGCTAAAACCCACATTGACTGACAAATTTTTGATTTTTACTTATTGAGAAATGTTTAATTTAGCAAAGCACTCCTCATGCGAGCCTTTAAGAACTTCGTATACAATGAACTTTCTTTAGATTTTAGAAATAAGAGCTCCAATCTTCATCAACAAATTAGCTGTGTTTTTATAAAATTCTATCCTGCCTCTAAAACACACGTTGGCTGACAATTTTTATTTTTAATTATATTTTTTAAAATATGGAAATATTCTTTGAGGCTTTTTCAAAAAGGATTTCAATTTAACAATGAATTTTATAGCAAGGCCAATTTAAAATTTGGCGCATTTACTTGCCAACTTGGTTCATACTTATCAACCATTTTTTGACATGCCACTTTTTAATCCTTCATACCATAGAGATCTAGCTCATCCCTTCGATAGAATCCGTGAAGGTCTACTTTAACTTTCTCGATATGGAAATCTATATAGGTGTATGATCTATAGATCAATAATTATAAATTAATATACATTTTCGTTGGCTTTTGCTTGGTTTTCAGATCCCGAGCTTTCTTTTGAAATATTTTGTTTTTCAATAAAAGCTTGTGTAACATTTTTATATGCCGCATCTAAATCAGCGATTTCTTCATCTCTCTCCTGTATTATTTGCAAATTAAAGTTAAAATCCTCCTGTATTTTACTCATCTGATATTCAAGATCCTGTATTATGTTATCTTTATATTTAAGTTCTTCTTGTAGCTGATTTATCCTAATTTTTGCCAAATTTTGCAGCTCTTTTTCTTTTTTAAGCAGTAAACCTGTCAAGGTTTCTTCAGAAAGATTTTCATCCATTTAGCTTTAAATAATAAAGTTGCATGGTAATAAAAGTCAAGAAGAAAAACAGTTGTAGGAAAAGAAAGCATGATATCACAGCTGAAGAAATGGGAATTCTAGAAAAAGAATTAAATAAAGCATGGAAAACTTATGAGATACCTCAATGCCACCAAAAATTATTTTGGAAGAAAATTGGTTCGTTAAGTAAAAATGAGCAGGCTTTAAAAATTGCGAAAGAAATAGATAGTATTGAAAAAGAAGAAGCAATAATTATAGAACTTTTAGCTACGATTGAAAGAAGAGAACTTTTATTAGAAAGGCTTACTGAGGAAGATTCAAAATTATATGAGTCAACAAATGAAGCGGAAAAATGGGAATGCACAAAACTGATTAAAGATATTAGAAATGTGACTCTTGATACTATAGAAAACATTTTGATATGAAAAGAAAGCTTTGGAGAAAATTCAGCGGATTTTGTGTGAAAAAATATAAATTATTTAGAAAAAATCGCAAGTGACACAAATTATCTAAAATTCTCAAATATGTCAAAATATTTTGATTTTCAAGATAATGACCCTTTATTTGTGAATTTAATGCCAGAAAATTCCTTTTCATTTTCCACTACTTATTCATTTTCTCAAAAGAAAAAAACTCATAGAAGAAACTCCTATAGTGTCCCCATAGCTTTTTCTCTTCAATCCCGAGTCAAAGCTGCTGATAATTTTTTAAAGTCTCTTATATCTCCAAAAAATATTTTTAAAACTGAAATAGAAGAAACTGTTGAATATTTACGATCAGCAAAACAAATTGAGGATGAAGAAGACGAAATATATGAAACTTTATTCACAGAAAAATTAAATATTTCAGTAACTCCAGAAAATTATATTGAAATAGATGTGAAAGAATTTTCTGAAGAATATGTGAGGAGAATGATAGAAAGAGAAGTGGATATAAATATTGGAATATTTATTAAGGAAAGTTGCAACGAAATAGTTAATGCAAGCTTATCATTATATTCCAATAATATTTTGAATGAAATAATCACAGGCGTTCTTAGTGAAATAACCCCTCTTGTCGCAAAAGAAGCACAGGTTGAAGTAATTAATTCTGAATACGTGGATATAAGAAATTTAATTATTACAGAAGCAATGGAAGAATTGCTGCTTTCTACCTGCCAATCGAAAGCTTTAGATTTATTAGCATATTTTACTGAAGAATTTATGTTAGATTCATTTCGTATTGATAGCTACGTCAAGCAGTCAATAAAAGAAGAAATAAATCAAAACCAAAAAATTGTGGTTATTGTATATGATGAAGTATTAAATGATTTTTTAAATTTGGATTGGCTAGAAGAATTAATAGAAGAAGAAGTCGTAATGATGAAGATTGATGATGTAAGAAAAACATTGCCAATTAACATACAAAAAGAAATTTTTATAAGAGACAAGAAAATGATATTTGCAAAAGTTGCTGAACTTATTTATTTTGACATTTTGAATGACTATATTGGTGGGGTGTGGACGTATGGTATTGTTAGATCAGTTTTCCATAAAAACCCTGCGGAAACTGAACTTTCAGATAGTGAAATTTTTCCAACAAATACAAAATCATTATCTATAAGAAACCCTAGAAGATATCAAACTTTGATAAATAGTCCCTATAGTCCTTAATCAAAGTAGCATGCTCCTGTAATGTGAATTTATTTTGTTAAATAAGTTTTAGTGTTTCTTAAATGCCATACGAAGATGCATAAGATCTTTTGATATTAATCGTTCATAGCTATTAAGATTTCAAAAAAATTGTAAAGCTATACATAATATTTCTATTATTTGAACTTAATTTATAAGAAAATATCTTAGCCCCCTTTCCATTTTTCATTTAAACTTATCATTATGTTTGCTTTGGCATTGATGGTAGGCTATCTTATATATACTTCACATTTTAAGCAATTTTTATTTTACATTATTTTAGAGTGCCCAATTAAAGCACTTTTCTATGAGTATACAAGCTGTCTTATAATAAATGATACTCGAAGTCCACTGCTTATAAATAAGCCCTAAATAATTTTTAATAGCCAGTATAATAATATCAGCTTTTTTTTATTAATATATATAAAATTGATAATTCATAATTCAATATTTAAATAAGATGACACAACTTTTATCTGCTCCAGCTACATCAAGATGAAAACGAGAGCTTCTATCAGAAACAACCACAAAATTTAATTTAGCTAATCATAGAAGGCTCAGTCAAATGGTATCAACTCAAGACGCTTCACGATTTTTCAGCGGATCAGTCACGCCTTTTGACGAAACTGAAAAAGTATCAAAATTCGAAGAATTAAGAGAAATTTCTTCCCAGCTTGGAATATTAAGAAATCGCCATGACTATACAAGAGCAAGAAACAGCTTTCATGAGAAAAATCTTGAATCCTTACAAAATGAACTTGACATTGTTAACAAGATGGGAACTAGAACTGGCGTAAAACTTGAAAACATGCGAGAAGAAGCAGAAAAAATGGAAAAATTGCTAAATGATATAAAAAAACAACAAGATGACGCCCTTATTGCGAGAAAAGCCTGCGAGCATATGATTGAGCGCATGAAAATGACCAAAATTCATTTAGAAAAAAGAAATTTAAGTTTAGCCAAGTCTCTTAGAGAAAAGCAGCAAACTTTAAAAGAAGAACTCGACAAGCAGCGCCGCACAAGAGAAGGGCGAATCCAAACAAGAGGCGCCTTAAAAAGTCTAGAAGGTTACATAAACCGTGAAACTCGTGAAAAGGTCGACCGTCTCCAAGCAATAGAAAAAGATGTAAAGCAAAAGAAAGAAGTCTCAATAAAACGAGAAGAAAGAATTTCCCGACAAATGGAAATTGCTGAAGCAGCCGCTAATGAAGACAGAAATTTAAAAGCTATAAGGATGAGAGAAGGACTTTTAATACATAAGATGTGAAATTCATTTTTACAAAAAAAGATGGAAGTAGAAATGGAGAAAAATACAGGAATTGACCTTGCTTTTCAAAGGATTCGAAGAGTAGCAGGGCTAAATGATGTAGGAGAAATGATTGAAAAATTTTTAACAAGAGAGCAGCTCTATGCAGAATTAATGGAGAGGCTGAATGATGTAAATAAAAGAATTGAGGACTATAATCAGAAAAATTTAGAAATGGAAGAAAAAATACATGGGCTGGAAATATTTTTAATTATTGTATATATCAAATTAATGTGTTTTTAATAAAAAAAATAAAAGAAATTTGTATATAATGGTATAGCTAAAAAAGAAAATAATAATCCTACTCACAATCTTTCACTTGTTGTGTATAGAGGATCAAAAGAAACTGCAAGGATGAAAATTCGATTAAAAGAAATGGTCACTATTAAAGAAAATATTCAAGTTTGGGGGAAAAAATTTATCAAAAATTTTGATGTAAATTTTAAAATTACTGATAAAAAACTTGATGGACTTATCAAAACAATTCATAGGTTGGTATCAGAAAAGCTTAAAAAGATTAAAGAAAATGTAAGTTTTAGATAGAAAATGACATTAATTGATACGAAAAATACTTATGCAAGTATAAATAATTTAAATTATAATGAATAATATAAAATTTTACTAATTCTATAAAAGAATCCTCTTCAATTCCAATACAACTTACTGCCTACTATTGGGCAGTTAAATGGAAAATGCTTTTTTCTTCCAATTGGCATTTTTTTCTTCAGTTCTCTACAAGGAATTTAAATTTCTATTAAAGTTCGTTATTAGATTAATCTCTATGACGTCTCATGACCTCTATAAATTCGTTAAACTCAATCACCCCATTTTTATTAGCATCCGCTTCTCTTATCATATCTCTGATCTCTTCTTCTGGAATTCTTTCTCCTGAAACTTGGCTCATAACAGCTTGAAGTTCAGTCGCTTCAATAGTGCCGTTCCCATTTAAATCAAATAATCTAAACAAATCATGAAGCTTGCTGTCATCTCTATGATCATAAAACTCAGACATCAGCTTCGTTACCCTTTCAAGCTCTTCTTGGCTAAGTTGTAAATGTCTGGCCATTTATAAATATGCTAAGAAGGCCGGCTTCTCTTATTTTCAGATATTTTTCAGACGAAGTTATCTCACAGCATGTCTTAGCTCAAAAAGCGTCTGAATTATTCCCAAAGCAAGGCAGAGTATTCAAAGTCCGCAAAGAAAAAGAAGGTGATAAAGAAACATTTGACTCCTTTGAAGAGTTCAGACAAGAAGTCTTAAACCGGCAAAGCAAGGAGCAGAAGGTCTATAGAAAAAAAATCGACCTAAATGAAGAAGAAAAAATGCAAGCAAAATTCCTAAAAACAGAAAAAGATACTTTAGAATCAATAAAAAATTATTTAAAGAATGACAATATGGACCTCGACCCTCTCAATCTTGAAAAAATCGAAAAATCAAAGCGTATGATCCGAGCCATGCGCATAAAAAGCACGTTTGACTACGTAAGAGAAAAAGACGACACGTCACTGAATGCTGAATACAATAATTACTCAAAATACAAGAACAATTACGCTTACTTTGAAGAAGCTAAGCTCAGTGACCCAATAGACAATGGAAAATATGACACCAACAGACGTCTAAACCATTATATAGAGTCTTTGTCTACAGGAAGCTCTCAAAATATGAAAGTGGACAGAGCAAAAAAGGCAGAATTAAAAGGAAGCACAGTCTCAGTCTCACTTTATGAAAAGGCTATGGAAGATATGCTTGAAGAAGAACCACAGCTGGATAATGATCATGAATTAGAGGAAGTATTTGAAGCTGCCTTGTGTGCAAGGCTGTCTCCGCAAGCAAAAGAAGCTATTTATAACCTATACAATGAAGGATGGACTGCTAATGCTAACATTAACTTATAGAAAAGCTCGACGCAACTCCTGAAGGACTACCTCCACATTTAACGCTCTTTCGCTTGCTTACCAATCGTCACGACCTTATAAATTTGCTTCTTCTTGGACGAGGGCTTGCACCCGTGCCCCGGTAGTTGCTTGATAGCGTCAATGTGCTGTACGTCAGCAGGTTTCCCGCCATTGAAAATCCAAAGGGTTGAATTGTCTGGCCGATTCTTAGCCAAAATAGAAATCTGTAGACCAGGGTGTAACTTTTTGTATTTCAAGCTGGGGAATAATCCCGATTGGCCAAAATGAACGCATTTGGCTTTGCTGGAAGATCCCTCCGGACGAGGCAAAAACTTTTGCATTGGAGTAAGCTTGTGTCGGCCACCCGACATTGCGCTTCACCAAAACAAGATAAACCTAGCCGTACACAAAGTCCTGAACGCCATCCCTACTTCCTCAAGATCCCCAACACCCTGTAGGATGCCAGTTACAGGAGTTAAGAGAGTGGGTTGTTTCACCACACCATTTTAATGTATAAAGGATGGAGTGTAAAAGACCTGAGCTTTAAATATGGAATTTTACCTGACAGAGTCAAAGCTGTAGTATGGTGCAAAAGATATTTCTATGAAGAAGTGGCGCCAAATGTAGACAGGACTACATGGAGATTGGGGCTAGAAAAAGAGTTCTTATATGCAAGTAAATACCCTTTCCAGGACTATGGGATTGATATTAACTATATGGCTGCTTTAGAACGAGGCTATCCTGTGGTCAGAATGCATATGACACAAAAAGATCTCAATCCTAATCGATTACAAATTTTAAGCTTTCTTGGGAAAACGAGAGAAATTGAGCCTTATGTATAGCTGATTAATTTGATTTAGGCATGATAACAAAATTTTGAAAAATAAATGATTGGAGTTTTCGGAATGGATTTTAAGAAAAAATAAGGAAATTGGTATAGTTGACTGGTACGAAATTGAAAAAAAAGAAATTTTAAAGGGAAACAAGAAATATAAGCTTAAAGATTTGGTGATAAATAGAGGAAGTGGAAGGCTAGATGTTAGCGACATGTTTAAGAAAATTATTTATAGCCCTGGACGTGTATAGATCGGCCTGAGATATCTGCTACTTGAAGCTCAAACTCTGCCAGTTGATAAATGCCGGTTTGAGGAGTTGGTTTGGCAACTTTTGGTGCCAAATAGCTCAAACAATTTTGGGCTTGAAGTGATAGCTTAGGGAGATCTATAATACGTCCTGAGATATATTGGAGCTATGATAGAGAGCACTGGCTTCCTCCTAAGGTTTTAGCAAAATTAGACAAAGGACCAAGAATAGCTTCTGCTGGGTCGAGGATGGGAGGAAAACCAGAATATTTCAAGAAATACCGACTGAACAGGGTAAAATATTGGTAAATAAAAAATTTACAATTATTTTATTTTTAAAAATATAAATTCTTTACTCCCTTATGATTAATGAGAATTATTAGAAAATCCCTCTTGATCGCGCATAAAACACATATTTTTTGAAAATTTTTTGGTGAAACTATTTTAAAATATAGCTTGTTATTAAAAATAATAAGATCTAAAGCAAATTATATTAAATATTAGGCAAAATTCAAAAGTATAGATTTTATAAATTAATTTAGATATTGATTTCAAATATACAAACTTGATTTTATTAAAAAAATTGTTTTACATAGTTTTAATCTAAAAACAATAACCCTTTTTTCTCATTAACCAATGTGGGAGATAACAAAACCTCAATTTTACCATTTATTAAGCTTTTTCGATATAAGGATTTTGTTAGCTTATAATCTTCTTCCTCTTCTTCCACCAGCTCTTCTTGTGCTATCTGTAGGGATTGGTGTCACATCCTCAATTCTTCCAATAAGCATTCCATTTCTAGCCAAAGCTCTTAAAGCTGCTTGAGCTCCAGGTCCTGGTGTTTTGCTTTCCGTGCCTCCTCTAGCTCTGATTTTAATATGAAGGGAGTTGATGCCTAGTTTTTTAAGACGATTGCAGACTTCAACGGCAGCGAGCATATACCTTTCTATCATTTTTTTTCAAAAATAAATATTTATAATAAAAACACTGGAATTTAATAGAGTTTAAAATAGCTGCGTATGGGGAACTTTCTTCTCTGTCAGCCTTAACCATCATTCCACCAGTCACTCTTGCAAGTGTTTCTCTGCCAGAGAGATCGGTAACGTGAATAAATGTGTCGTTGAAGGTCGCTAAGAGATGGCAAACTGCAAAGATCTTTTCTCCAGTCAGATTTGGACCTAACATGGCTTGTTCTGGCTCTTCTACCTTCTCTGCTTTACGTCCTTTTTGTTTTGACATATTTTATCCACTAATATTTATTAATTCAAGCATTCATCAAGATCTCAACATTAAGAAATGATAATTCTGAATCTGGGCAGTATCTTATTGATGAAAATTATATTAAATCCAAGTCTTTGATAATAAAGATTTTTAAAATCCTCAAAATGTCCTAAAATCTATTAACTTATTAATCAGCTACTATGCATTGAATTTTTCATATTTTTGTGCAACTTCGTCAATATCACTTACATTTAAAGTTCTCCCTCTAAATTCAGGAACTAATGCTGAAAGAACTGCAGCTTTAGCGACAGAATCTACATGTTGACTTTTGCTAGGAACAAAGGTTTCTGATACCCAATTTAAGCCTGCCCATTTCAAAGGACCATCTCCCCAGTTCAGCATATTGATGCCTGTTGCTAATAAATTTTTGGTAGAGTCTTGGCTGTCAAACATAAAGCCTGGCCTAAGTACCACGCTTGGAATTTTGTCTCTGTTTGCGGCTAAATAGTCTTCTACTTGTCTTTTTGTTTGCAGATATCTTGGTGAGAACCACATACCTCTTTCAGCACTGAGAAATACAAAAGTTTTGTCTTTTCCTTCTAGAAGTTCGCAGATTTTTAATGCTGTATCTCGATTCATATACCTATTTATTATGAATTTTCTATTGTTTTTTATATAAAAAACCCCTCATCATTTACAATAAATAGATATATGCTCATAGCTTCCTTGGTATGTTTTTGAAATATTCAGAGGAGTTCTTGAATCAATTAAGACACCAATAGAATGTATCACACCTGATGCCTTCGGGATTAGATTTATATAGGAGCTTTGATCTAAAGCATCTCCATGAATATACTCCACATTGGTCTGCCATGGTTCTGGATGCCTAGGTTTCCCACTTCTCGAAATGCTCATGCATTTAATTCCTTGGGACACAGCGTACTTTAATATAGCTGACCCTACAAATCCGCTGCCTCCAAACACTAAAAGGCTCTTTTCCATATTTAGTAAGTCTACATCAGCCAATCAATTATTTTTAGCCTTAAATATTATTGAGAGTATTGATATCCTTCCCTTATTTTCAAATTCGCTTCTTGAATATTTACGCTTTCTTGCTGCAAGGCGGTCATTCCTCTTAAAATTGCATTTTCATATAGGACTTTTAGATTATTTTTAGCGACAGTCTCATTTTTTAAGTCCAAAATTAAATCTTCTGCGTATTTTCTTAAAGTCGCTAATTCTTGGTTTGTCCCTTGAATTGCATTTTCAATAGCAGCTTGGATTCTGGCTTCGCATTTTTTGTTCGATTTTTCACGATGGGTGTTATCGATTTCTATACATTTTTTGGATTGTTTTTATAAGAAAATGATGGGAAAAATTAGTTTTGGGAAAAAAAATAGGAAAAAAATCATATATTGTAGAAGAAAAAGTGCCATTAAAGGTGATATTTTTCCAATCACGGAAAAGCTTCCTCATCAGGTTACGTTTATAAAAGTTGTGGGTGTACCTAATGTTTCTTTTCTTTTTCCTCTGAAGAGAAATATAATATTTCCAATGGTCAAACACTTCGCGGAGTGATTTATCGCCTAACCCTCGATTGCAGAAAATAAAAGCCCACCTGTTTGCTTGTGATTTTTCTTGCTTGATCCTAAAAAGCTCATTTTCTAGTTCTTTGCGCTCTTGGTTGTTAGAATTGATGATGGTATGAAGGTGATTTTTCATATTGTTAAGGTTCTCGTTCATGACTTGCTTTTTTCTTTCTAGTACTTCTTCCATGTCTTTGTAGACCATGTATCTGAATTCTTCAAATCTTCTTTTTAAAATTTGATCTAACTCCTGGTTGCTCACCTCCATAATTATAATTTGAAATATAAGAATATTTATTTCAGAGTATTTTGAAAGTATTTTCTTAAAAATTGAGAATATTTATTTAAAGTCATGGAAGCTTCTTTAAATCTGGCTCAAAAAAAGACAACTGACTGTCTTGATCTAAAATACCCAGACCTCCAAGGAAAAACCATAATCCTCACAGGAGGCTCAAGCGGGATAGGAAGAGAAGCTGCTAAAATTCTCCTCAAATCAGGTGCCAATCTAATTTTAATCGGTCGACGAACCCAGCTCCTTGATCAGCTCGACCAAATTCCTAAGAAAAAAGGCACATTAACAGTCCATGCCTGTGACTTAGAACGTCCAAACGAAATAAAATCAGTCATAAGCCGCATTGTAATGGACAACCAAGGAAAAATTGACGGTGTCGTAAACTGTGCAGGGATAATCGAAAGCAAAGATTTTAGCGAAACCACTTTACAAGAATGGGACATGGTCATGAATATAAATTTGCGAGCTCCGATGCAGATTATTTCTATGCTTATTCCTTTTATGAAATTTACTGGTGGGTCTATAGTCAATGTGTCAGCCTCGCCTGTGCCTAGACCTAAACAGACCATTTTTAGTGTGTCTAAAGCATGCTTGGATAGCTTGACTCAGTGTGCAGCATTAGAATTAGGAGGGTTTGGGATTAGGGTTAATGGAGTCGCACCTGGGATAACGGATACTTCGTTGAGAATGCATCAGGTAGAACAGAGAATCACGCAGGCGCAGAATGATAATTTAATGAAAGCGGCAGGTTCGGAAACACCAATGAAAACAATAAATACAGCGAAAAATATAGCAGATTCCATTGTGTGGCTGCTTAGTGAACAGTCATCGTATTCTTGGGATCATTAAATAGTTTTCATTTAAGATAAATCTTCAAATTCACCTCAGCTTGGACCACAGCTCTCGATAACGGTAGGCTGGACTAACCGTCGACCTGCTTTATCCCTAAGCCCCTTAGGATCTCTCTGATCTACACCAGACTCACTGCAGACCCGTTTTTTAGCCAAGACTCTCAAGAAATCGTGGACTTCTCTCACTGAGCTCGGATATAGGACTGAGTCCTATCCTTGTCATTTTTAATTGTCATTATTAAATAGAAGAAATTATTTTTTTAAAAAAAAATTAAAAAAATTAGCCGAAAAGGTATATGTAAATGGAGAAATTATTTGTGTTGATGGTGGAGCTTCCATAAAAACAGCTACAAGTGAAATTGCTTGGCATCTTCCAGAGCCTGTTGTGACTGAATCTCTGCTCTCTCAAGGCATGAAAGCTTTAAATCTCGGCAAGTTCTTTGCTCAAAAATAAACTAATTTCAATCAGCGTAAACTTTTTCATAAATAAAATGGGAGATTATGAAGAAATTACCCAAGAAGACCAATTTCATATAAAAATTAAACTATCTGATGGAGCAAGCAAAGATACCCTTGTTAAAAATTCTGACTGCATTTATAAGATAAATCAAAATAAAGAGACCAAATACTGTTTTTATTATTATTAAAAAATAAATTATCTATAAAAAATGGGGAATTAATTATTATTGATATTTTTTTCCTATTTAAATTATATAAAACAGCAAGAATTTCCCTCTGAATTGAAAGCAGAAAAGCAGGTCAGATTTATTTTCCAAGGAAAGTTTATGCCTGACGAATCACTAGTATCAAGCCACAGTACATTTCATATAGAATTACAAGAAGGCAGCTATATCCATGCAATTATTTCTGAACGAAAAAGGCAAGAATTGATAATAGAAAGAACGCATGAGGATTCTGATTCATTTGAAATTCCTATTGATATTCAAATAGAAGCACGAGTAGAAGGACATCATATAGAAGAGGGAACAACCAGTGATTTAATATGGGGAATTATTTTTGGATATTTATTACATATATTAATGCTTTTATGCGTAAAAATTATATATACTTTTTCTGTTGATAAAAATTTTTAATATTTTTTTTTATTTATTTTTTTATTAATTTAATTAATTAAGTATAGATTTTGACTGGAAGACTGAACAGAAAACAAAGAATTGGCGTCTTAATAGGAGTCACTTTATCATTTTGGACACTATTAAATAGCAAAGAAATAAAATAATGACAAAAATATAAAAAATATAAAAAAGACTCCTATTGAAATTGGTTTCATCCTAAAATTGCTTAAGTTATTGTAGTTGTGACTTAAATTTCCCCAAAATTTCATCAGCTTTTGGCACATCTAGTCTTAAATCTCCCAAATTTTGTTCAATTCTTTCTATTCCTTGCTGAACTTGTGTCTCTAAAATAACCCCTTCTCTTTTCAAAGCCAAAATCAGCTGCAAAACTTCTTCTTGGTCTTGCTCACTTTTGTCCATAACTAATTTTATTGATTTCCTTACAAATTCATGCATATAATGAGGGCAGCACAATTCTTTTAAGCATTCTTTAGCATTTCTATGGTCTTTACTATCTAAAAATTCTCTAATTATGGTGTCAAATTGCCTTTGATAGTCGTTTAAGTTTTCTACTTGTGGGCCCCATACACTTTGTAGCGTTGTATACGCTTCTCTGTGGTTAATTAGCCTTTGAGCTTGGAGAAGAACGGTAAGTTCTATTGAGTTTTCTTCAATTGTCGATAATTCTGAGTCAATGATGTAATTTGCAGGCAAGCAGTCGTCAGCCATAGCTCGGGCTATGAATTTTGCTATGAGCTCTGGGGCTGATGGGACATCAATAGAGGTTTCTCTGATATTCCTGAGGGTGTCGTCAAATGCCTCCACAAAGGTGTTAGGCTGGCAGATTCCTGAAATTTCTCCTAATAAGCGGCTGCAGAGTTCTTTTTCGCGGTTATCTCTTTCGATGGCGAGCTCTATAGCTTTTCTTATTACGAAAGGACCGTATAAGATATTGAGATCTCGTTTTAAGTAGTCCTTGACTCCTTCATTGACTCCTGTAGCGAAGTATTCTTTTAGAATATCAATAATTAAGAGTTTTGCCTCTTGCAAAGTTTCTACTAACTCCCAGCCTTAATTAATCATTTATAAAAAAAAACTGTTTTCTATTTTTTTAAATTAATTTTCCAATAGGCTAAGTCTCCTAAAACTTGATTTTTTTCTTTTATCTCCCTCAATACATAAGACCCACTTCCCAGGTTATAAAAGCTAAGCGGGATTCTCAAAATTACCGAGCTCGGAATCAGTCCTCCAATAATCGATCTAACAAGAAAATCCAGCACAACTTCTGGCCCATTCGGGACGTCTACAACTATATCTGAAACTTGTGAATAAATCTTATCAAACCCACGCCTGATTTCTTTTTGCGTAAAAATTTTAGCTGAATGCAATAATTCAATGAGTCCCCAGATGATTTCTCTATCACTATCAGGCTTGTCTAAACTGACCTGTAATATTCTAGCAAAAATTACACTGTGTAGTTTCGGTCTTCTGAGCTGTTTTACTCAGTCCACAAAAACAGCATAACTCTGTTGTGTCAAAACCTCTTGGACTTTTGTCCTAGTTTCCACCTTTACCTCTAAAGTGTCAAAAACCCAATATTCTGGCTCATGTGAAATAAAAGTGCTTTTTGTGGGCGAAGGCGTCTGGGCATGGGCGTATTCAGTATATTCCACGTCTTCTTCACTGTCAGGGATATCGCCCTGTTCTTCATGCATGTGCTTTAAGTCAGTAGGGTTTCCCCAATTATATAACCCGCTTCCACCTTTCTTCACGTCGCCAGGCTTCATATTATTTAATGGATGATTTATTAATTCCTTACAAACTATTAATCAGTGCTTTCACCTGTTCGGTAAGGTGGGATTCTGCAATGGTATGCCCCCTTTGCAGCTCGATGATTTGGTTTATTATCAAAATGAATTTTCGATGCAAATTGTCAGTTAGTTCTTCAATGGATCGGGATATAAGTGGCCCTCTTTCATAGACTTCCATGTTAAATTTTTTCATGACTTCTAAGATTCGTTGATGCTTAGAATTGATGTCTTGAAGAATTTGGTTGGATAAGACCATTGAGTACTTTATGCAGTCTTTTACAACTTTGTCAGGGTCTTCTTGGTCTTCTTTTACTTGTGAATAAATGACTTGGGCGCTTAAACTGTTGATCTTTTGCATACCTTTTTTGATAGCTTGGACTAATAAGTAGTCTACAAGTTTTACTTGAAATAAATTATCTATTGATTGAATATCTAGATTATTCAGCTGAGACTGTTTCAAAATTTGTTTAAAAGTATCATTAAAGTCCAATAAAGAGTAATCAACTTCAAATTCTATTGGCAAATGCTGCGAAACTTCGATGCGGACACACACTTTATTTTTCTTTTTCTTAAAATCAAAGAGAATATTAGTTATCTTGGAATAAAGCGACTGAGCCTGGCCACTTGGGGTGCGCAGTAGCCCAGCTATGCCTTTTGCACTATCAGATAAATCCATTTATAAGATATAAATTAATTTTTACGAGCTGTATAACGCTGGAGCAGGGAAAAAGTAAGGCTGCCTTCTTTAGCAATATCAAATAAAGTGAGCCCATTCATTGAAGGGATATTGACATCTGCCCCTGCGTCTAATAAGATTTTTACCATTTCAGGGAAATCAAGTTTTGCTGCTAAGAAGACTGGGCTTCGACGTGATATGTCGACTTCATTGATTTTTGCACCATTCACAATTAAGAGCTGGGCCATTGCTTTGTCATTTCTTTTGACAGCTCAATGAAGAGGGGTTTCTCCGACCGAGTCTACTATATGCACAAGCTTTTTATTAGACGTAAAAAGCTTCTGGACGTCCATGACCCTCCCTGCTTTGACTGCTTTTATAAAATCTTCAGACTGTGGAACTGCATATGGTGAAAAATTCGTAAAATTTTTTCAGCTTTCTCCAGGGGACTGTACAGACGATTTTATATGTGAAATTGCATCAAATAAATCTTTTCGGATATTTTCTGTCTGTGGACTTATCTTTAAATAATCAAAGTTTGGCTTCTCTGAAATCTTGTTGGTCAGTTCAAGACGAAATGTGTCTTCATCTTTAGGCTCTTCTTTGCTTAAATAGAAATAATGGCGAGGTCTTTTTACTTGCTCGAAGGATTTGATAGGGACTTGGATAGAGTCAAATTGTTCCCAAATGTTGAAATTTGAGTTGATTTTTCTCTTCATTTTTTTAGTTGCATTTTGGTCAATTAAGTCTTGGATGTTTAAGTTTGATTTGGATAAGTCAACTTGGGACTTGGTATTTAAAACAGCAATTTGTTCAGGGATGTGGACTATCACATCGGTTGGGCATCCAAATCGGGTTTCTATGATTATTAAATTATTTTTATTTAAATAAGAAAAAAAAATTTTAATTTAATCCAAATCGCAAAAAATTAACAGGGCTTCTATTTGTTCGAGGTCCTGTTAGTTTTGAATCTGAACTGAACGAATTCTTTGGAGATGTGCGCCTTGTTGAAAATTTAGGACTTAAAATCAGCTGCTCGTAAACCTTGTTTTTTTCTTTTACTCGTCTCATATATAATGACAGAAAAAATGAATTTTAAATTGTTTATTGTGCGAGCTGATAAAAATACTAACTCTCCCCGCCCCATCCTTGATCGAACGACCCGCCATCGTTAGATTAAGGATTAAAAAAAAATTTTTTGGGAAAAAAAATTATATATAAAATAAAAATATATATATATATATATATATATATTTTTATTTTTACTTTTAAAAAAGAGGGTTAAGAGTATTTAATAATTATTTTTTTACAGCAAAAAATTGAATTAATTTCATAAAAATACCAATTTTTTATATTTTTTAATTTATTATTTACCCCTTTAAACTGTATAAATTTTAATTTGTTCTTATTAAATTAAATTTTTTTTTAAATTTTTAAAGAATCTCTATTTTATTAGATTATTGAGTTTTTAAGCCTAGGTTGATGAATAAATCACTTCGAATGGTTGATCCCGAAGCTTTCTGTCGTCTCAAAGTCTCTGAAAACAACTTCATTATGTACATCTTCCCAAACTTTTGATAATTATTATATTTTTATATATATAAAAATTTGCATGATATGAAAATCGTTCGATCAAGGATGGGGGTTAATTTCCCCAATTTTTAGGAATTTTTACAGTCAATCGTTCGATCAAGGATGGGGGGGGAGTAAAATAATTTAGAATATATTTTGGATTCTAATAAATTATTGTGTGAAAAATAATAGTATTGCTTGCATTGGCAGATATATGAAATAACCTCTAATTGAATAATTTTTTAATTCCATTTTATTTGATATTATAAAATTATTAACTCTTAAACCAGCCTCTTGGAGCTGTGCTTGGTCTCATCAGCCCTCTTTTCTTATCGCTAAACGCAGGGATACTAAAAACATGTGAACTTAATCCATGTGTATTTAACAAATTTGAAGAGCTTGCGCTTGATTTTACTCTCTTCGAAGACATATTAGTATTAGGTCTTTCTCTCGTTTGTGGGAAAATCCTGTCATGAAACAACGCTAATACTTCTTCATTACAAACAAGCATTTCTAAGACTTTTCTTTTGTCGCAGTCTTTAAATTGGTCTAATTTAATTTCTTCAGAGACCTCAATAGATTTTGCTGACCTCAAAGATTTTGAGCTGGTGGTATTGGGCATTTTATTTCTTGCGTGAAGTAACGATAGACTTCTTCTTTTCGTTATTTCTTTTTTGACTTCTTCAATACACTGAATAAAGAAATCTTCAAGCTCTCCTTTTTCTAATACATAATTAGATTGAGCGGATTTTTGGGCGTGGAGGCTTTTTTTAAGTATGTCTATTTGGTTTTTTAAGTGTTTTATAGTCTCATTGTATCTTTCTTCAACTTTTTTTAGATCTTGCATGGTAATAAATGGTGCAGCACTCATATATTTTTTGTAGTCTTTAGATTCTCTTCCAGCATCTAAACTGTCACCTCTTTCTATAGCTAGAGGGTCCATATCTTCACTTCGTGGGCTTGAAAGGGTAAAATCAGGAGGATGAGACATATTGCTTTCTAAATTCTCACGCAAATGTAAATTTTGGGAGGAGAGATATTTTTAAAAAAATAAATATTTTTTAATAGTAAAATGACCCAAAACTACTATTAAGAAATTTCTATACAATGCCATAAATTTTTGTTTTTTTTTGTTGATAGCACTTGTTCTTCCATAAATTTTCTATCCTCCTCTAATGTCTGGGCTTTGTTTTTCCACATTTCCATGCTCCGCTTATATTCCTTGCATATTTTATCTAACCTTAAAGCTTCATTTCGAAACCAATCTCTTTCCGTTTCCAAAACCCGTAACTCTTCATCTCTTCTACGCTTGATTTCTTCTTCGCTGACTTTTTCTTTTAAAATTCTCATTTCTTTTTGAATCATATACATATGGTGAAAATTTTTTTTAAAGAAAAACCCTATTGAAATATTAATTTTAATAATTATTTCGGAAAATTAAATTAAATGACCTTAAGCCTACATATGTCCTTTATACACATTTAAAATATACATAAAATGGCGGGACGGCGACCGACCCACCCTCTCAGTGGTGGTTACCCATGTATATCCGGGCATGGTTTTTGGAGCCAGGAGTTAGCCCAACAACGTCTGGGACCTCGAAGCGAGAGGCCTAAGCGTAAAAGCCGCTGTTTTTGTAACCAGACCCATGGGCAGTTACTCGTGACTTCTTTTTGCCAGCAGCGCTCAGCCCAGTGAGTGCCCGAAATGAGGCAGGGCGACTTACCTGCCTAAAGCTGCTTTTGTGGCTCGCCCCGAATGGCGAAAGCTGTTGAGTTCTTTCTCAGGATGACCGGAAAAGAGGGGAAGGCGAGTTATATACGACTAAACGGGGTCTCTCTCCAGTTAAAAGGTGCCCTTCAATGGGCAGATCTGGCGGAAGACGCGGCAGTGTTGGCGTAAACTTAGGCGACGATCCAAGTTGGAAATGGAGGCGGTCAGCAAAGCCGGTATGAGACAGCCCTTGACATTGCCTCTACCGAGAAACCGGGGTTTTCGGCCCGGGCTTGGTGAACGCTCTGCCACCATACGGGAAACCGTAGAATGCTTCCTCGGACGTAGTGGGGACCTTAAATACCTAGCGTTAATCTAATCCTTTATACACATTTAAAAAGTCGGCTTCATGCTTTTGAAGGACTTTTCCTACTTGATTATCAAGGCCCTGAAGTTATTGTTACCGAAATGCAGCTGTTTATTTGAGAATATAGTGAATTAATTGCATCAGAATTTGGGATTGTAGGGTCTAGTTCGTGTTTAGTTCTAGGAATTGACGTTAAAAAGGTATGCTCGTCTTTAGGAAGTTGATAAGACGTTTGAGAATTATTGCCATATGAGTTATCCATCTTTATTCTATTTTTATTAATTTTGCTTTAATATTGTCAATTTTTAGCCTATTCTAGTTATAATACAATTTTAGCCTGTGCTCAATTTATATTAAAATCATATTATTAAGGATTATATAGTATTTCAGTCAGTTAGTTAGAGATTTTGAGAAAATTAAGAAAAAGAAAGATCAGATATAATCGAAATATAGGAGAAAACACAATGGCGTGCATTATTAAATGTATAAATTTTCAATTAAAGAAGATAGATAATGTTGGTGAAAAAATTAATAAGAAAATAAAAATTGAGACTTCCAAAAACATAAAAGGAAATGAAATTAGTGATGTCATCTTATTAATCCAAGGTGACAAAATTATTTGTTCAACAAAGTAATTTAATATAACTAAAAGATTAGTTTACGTAAACGAATGATTCGCTCAGGGTTGGCAAATATTCTTTTTTTGTTGTGTGATTCTTGCGTTTCTGATATAATTGATTTTGTGTAATTTTAAGTGTAATTGTGTGTGCCCTTGTGGGGGTTTTGGAAAGCACCGCTTTCCTTTTAGTCTCAGATAATTAATATGGTGGCGGCGACGGAATATATCCTTACGGAGGTCGCACTACTCTGGCGCCAAAATGGTTTATAGCCTAAACCAAGGCAAGAAACCCATTAATTATAACCCTTAGCATTGCCTAGAGCGTGCAGTATGGGGTGGATAGTTCTTGGGAGTAAGCTGGTGCCATTTCAGCCCGAAGTATTAATTATCTGGATGGTTTTTGACTCCGAGTCTTTTCCTCCCGGCTTCTGGTGGCCGTAGCTCTTTTTCCTGGGTGCCATCTTTCCTAAAGGTGGCCGACAGGAGGTATCGGGCTGACCTTTACTTCAAAACACCCTAATGACGTGAAGCACGGGAGTCTTCCTAACCAATTGAGACTCAGGGTAGGCTGTGTAAGCCCAGCTCCGAGAGAAGACACACGTTCCACAGGTTACTGATGGGTACAGCAAGCAGGTGTCAGCTGTCGAAAGTGTGCAGAGGTATCAAACCTGGAAGACTTTAAGCCCTTTAATCTTAATCTTTAGACTCAGGTGCTGAGTTAGGCACCTGAATGCAATCACTTACTGTGCTAAATGATTGCTTGCAGCAGTTTATGCCCATTTTAAATATAATAAATTACAAAACAGAACAGAAATTCACTGTTGAATTAAAAATTAGGCAGCAATATGGTATTTAAATAAGTTACCAAGCATTTAAAATATAAAGTATGAACTTAAAAATCTTAATTTTATGTAAGTATAGCTGATAATTCACTTCAGAATAAAGATAATATCCCGCTTAGCACAATTGATAGAAAATTTAAAATTCATGACATACCAGTTTTAAACTAATCGCCATTGTAGGCCTAGGTATTTCACCTTATCCCTATTTTTCTTTGCCCAATTTAAGGGATTTAAAAGCTGAGTTTTTAGGATTTTTTCGTAATCTTTCAATAAAAAATGTCATTGTTGATTGCAAAAATGCTTTCTTTAAATATAGAAAATGATCATTTATATAAGCTTTACTAAAGATTATATGCAGAATCATAGAAAGGACTCAAATGTAAGGTATATAGCACAAAACACTTGGATAAAAATTTTACAACTAAAAGAGGCTTAACAATATATCTACAATATAGCAGCCAGTTGGGGCGGGCTTCAAACATTGCTTTCATATTGCAGACTAGATATTGTTACACAAATAGTGTCAATTAAAAGATACCAAAATCGATAATGTGCATGCCGCTTGCTTAGACTGAAATTCATCTAATAAAAATAAAATCTTTATTATGAAGAAAAGAAAAGTTGATACGATAATTTGTGAAGTTAGTGAACTAAATTTATAAAAATTAAGGCTGTGCTTTTCTTGAAGATCTTAAGATCTTTAACTAATAAGAAACTTGCAAAAAAAAGTTTTTAATCCACATTAGTAAATTTTCCATTTAAAAATAATTAAGTATTAAATATAATATTAATATCTTAAAGCAGCATATTATAAAGCAACTGCTTAAAGGATCTTTATATCTCCTTTAGTCATATATATAAAACTTAGAACTCTAGCTCTAATTTCCACATCATCATCATCATCATCATCATCATCATCATCATCATCATCATCATCATCATCATCATCATCATCATCATCATCATCATCATCATCATCATCATCATCATCATCATCATCATCATCATCATCATCATCATCATCATCATCATCATCATCATCATCATCATCATCATCATCATCATCATCATCATCATTATTAGATTTATAACGTTTAAACGTCCTTACGGGGTCGACTGTCCCAGATCTTCCGCTCGCCTTTCGTCGCATCGGGCCCACAGACCGCTGGGTCGTCCTGCTTCGTTGCTCCAAGGTGCGTCTAGGGCAAGTGTTGCCGGCTTCGACGACTCATGAGTGAGCTACTTCTTGTGACATGGGTTGCCTTTCCGAAAACCCAAAAAATGGATTTTCTGGGTCAGCTGTCGGCAAAAGGAAAAATACGTAGCCTGGGACGTAACGCCCAGTTTCACGCTAGGGAGTTGCCCGATTGGTCCTAACGGACTTTGCTGGGCTTCCCTTTTCCAACTTCCGTGCCCTCCTTCCCCACGAGGAAAAAACCACCTCTGAAATTGAACTTGGGCTAGGCTCTGTACACAACCAGAAATTGCTTAACTAGCATTGCTATCCATCTCTGAAATGGCAAAACTTGCCCGGATATAATTAAAATATGAGTAGAGGCTGCATGGCCGGGAGGCCATGCCCAGACGAGCACGCCATATTTTAATTATCTAATTTCCACATCAGATATTATTTATATATATTTTTCTCACTGCATATATCGCATTTAATGTAATTTAAATCCATTTTAAATCCTGCATTAATTATTCCATGAAAGAAATAAAAAGCCTCTTTTTAGCTTTATTGAAAAAAGATAGCTCCAAATCTAATCAAAGCTTAACCGAAGAAGACACGAAATCTACAACCAACCCTCAGACCAGCATTTCTCGAGTTTTCGACTCTGAAATCGACGATTCTTTCTTCGGATCCATAAGTGAAGGTAACGAGTCGGTTCTTGTCCAAAAAATCCCAAGACGAAGCTCCCAGCCTGCCTCAGCTATTCCTCTGACACACTCCAACTCAATGAACGAAGCACTTTGGCAAGCTGCTCTGCAAAATAAGGCCGAACTATGCCGAGAATTGTTACAAAAATCCTTCTATGGTGATGCAGTGGCTGATGTAAACTTTAAAGGTGACAATAATGACACTTCCTTGCACGTCGCTGCCCAAGAAGGCTTCCTCAGGGTTTGTGAGATCTTATTAGACTATGGGGAGAGAACTGATATTGATGCCAAAAATTCCCAGGGAAGAACCGCTCTTCACATTGCCTGCATGAATGGCTACTTGCAGCTTGCCCAGCTTTTGGTAAGATCAGGAGCAGAAATAGATGTCACAGATAACGATGGAAACACTCCTTTGCACTTGGCGTCTCAAAACTCTCACAATGGCCTGCTTATTTGGCTTTTATCAAAAAAGCCAAGCTTATTTATAGAAAACAACCAAGACAAAACGGCAGCTGAAGTGGCAGGCTCAGAGGAGACTGACAAAATCTTCCAAAAATACATAAATAAATCAGGCTCCCAGACTCCGTCTTCTGGGTCTAGGGTGGAAACTCAAAGGGTTAGTATATTATACATGTCGACTGCTGAAGAGCCACAAAATCCTGAAAAAGTGAGTCCTTTTGACTTCGAGCTATTGCAAGAGCTTGGGAAAGGCAGTTTTGGCGAAGTCTACCTCGTAAGGAAAACAGCCACACAAAACCTTTACGCCATGAAAGTTTTAAGAAAAGACAGAATCATGGCACAAAATTTGATAAAATACGCTCTGACTGAAAGAAATGTAATGAGCTACGTGAAGCATCCTTTTATTGTATCTTTAAACTATGCATTCCAAACCCCAGAAAAACTTTTTTTAATATTAGACTACTGCCCAGGAGGGGATTTAGGATTAATGCTTACAAAAGAGAAAAGGTTTTCTGAAGAAAAAGCAAAAATTTATCTGGCAGAAGTAACGCTTGCTTTAGAAGAACTGCATAAAAAAGGGATCATTTTTAGAGATCTTAAGCCAGATAATGTCGTAATTGATGAAGAAGGCCATGCTCTTTTGACTGATTTTGGATTATCAAAAGAAGGAGTCCATGATAATTATGTCACAAAAAGCTTCTGTGGATCCCTTGCATATCTGGCTCCAGAGATGATAAGAAGGCAAGGACATGGGAAATCTGTAGACTGGTATTTACTTGGGGTTTTGTTATATGAAATGCTGGTGGGCATACCACCTTATTTTTCAGCAAACCGAGAAGAATTAATTTCAAATATACAAAAAGGAAAACTGAGGCTGCCGTCAAGCTTGAGCACAGAAGCAAAATGTTTGATTAAAAATGTAAGGGATATTTAGCTGCTTCAGAGGGATCCGAATATTAGGCTTGGGGCGAGAAAAGATGCAGAAGAAATCAAAAGCCATGAATTTTTCAGAGGAATTGACTGGCAAAGCGCCTTAAGGAGAGAGTTAAGGCCGCCGATCCCTGAAAGAAAAGAACTCAAGCAAGAAAATATTGACCCGATAAAAGTGTATGGAGATCTGAGTATTGGAGAACAAGGAAACGCGATTTCAGGGTGGTCTTTTGTATCTTGCTAGTGTGAATAATAAATAAAGTTAATTAAGAAAATATTCTCTGATTAAGATTTATTCTTTTTCATCATGTTTTATCCTTATTTCTCGGTTTCTTCATTTTCTATATTTATTTAATTAATATTTCACAATATAAATACTATCCATTGTCAATATTTTAAAAAATTAGTTATTCCCATATTTTTTATATTAAAAATTCACTATATAAAATATACTAAATTTTTGTCATTTGTTGCTCTTGTCTTCTGTGGATCTTTATAACTTTGATCACTAGTTATATTTCTTTTTTTCATAAAATAAATTATGGAACCTCTATGCTTTTCAATGAAGTTTCCTATTCTCTCCTCAATCAATGGCCAAATTTGCCTTAAAAACTGATCTGAAGTTTTATTAGTCCTTACAAAGCTAGAGTAAACCACACCTAATGAATGATCATCATAATCAAACCAAAAAAAGCAATCCTGTAGAATTTCCCATAATTCCTTGCTCCCATAATTCCTTTTAGAAAATGAGTGGACAACTTTTATATACTCAACTCGTTCCAGGAATGGGTGATATTTAATATAAAATTTTTCTGTTTTTTCTAAAATAATATGATCGTTTTGCACTGCAGTAAACTGAATTGCGTCAAGGATTGATAAAATCTCTTCTGGGCTTTTCTCAATAAAAGGTGTATTGTTAATGAGAAAATACAAAAGATCTGAAGAACGCTCAGTTATTATTTTTGAAAACGCAAATATAAGCTGTCCTCTGTCGTCACTGTTAAAAGTATATTTTCGAGAAACCACTAAATCTTCAAATTTTGTAAAAATCGTCATTTTTTGCAAAAATGTGAGATGTGACTTTGCAATAGAGAAGAGAAATAAAGAAATATGCTTTGAGGAGTCTGCTTCATCTTTTATATGAAGGACAGCATCAACTAATTTTAATAAAGCTTCTTCAGTAAGAACGTAGTCGAGTTTGCTAAACAATTTGATTAAATTAGAGCAGGCTATTGAATCAGTCAAATTCATAAATAAAATTCTCTCTTCAAAATAATTCAGGAGGGATATATAAGGATCTTTTTTCTTTAGCATAGAAGTCAAAACCATGCCCATGCAGTATTCGTTACATCATCTCATATCTTCAGTTCGGAGATACTTTCTTAAATGATGATCTGAAAACTGAGGATCAAGTAAGGTATTTATAAAGGAATTTAGCTGTTTTCTTGCTACCTGAGATATAAGTTCAGTAGCAAATCTTCTTGTTTGGAACGTTTGAGCGAATTTGTGTGTTGTTAAGCCTGCAGCCAATCTGAAATTTTTGCTTAGGCAATTTCTAAAAGGCAGATGGCAAAAATACATATTATATGGGATCTATTAAACTAATAATTTTTAATATCACTAATAAAACAATTTAATTATTTTAGTACCTATCTTTCTAGCATCCTCAAAAAGTCATCAAAAGAATTCAGCACTTTATTATTCCCTCCCACCAGTCCTTCAGGCTCTTCATCATATCATTCAATTCTAGCCCTTTCGTTCTCTCTCCTTTGGCACCTAATTATATTCATTTCATCCCCAATCTTCAAGAGTTCTTGTTTAAACATTTCTTTCATCACTTGAAACTCCAACTGCATTTTTTCAATAGCCAATTTATTTTCTTTGCACCCTTCTACCATTTTGAGACTATGATAAACAGCTTCATCTTCAAGATGCTCCTTTAGGATTTTCCTTTCAATTTTTACAGTGCAGCCAAACTCCTTATAAGGACACTCAATAATTTTTAAAGGGCATAAAATTGAATGATTATCTATATCTTTTCTTAATATAAGCTCTTGGCAATTGTTAGGACAATGGATTTGTTTAAACCGGCAAATATTGTTGTGGCTGAGGAATAGTCTTTTTGAAAATTTTTCGTAGCAGCCGCTGTTAGGACACTGGGATTTTTTGAATTCGCAGATTAAACGATGATCCTCTAGCTCTTCTCTCATACAAATTACAGTACAAGATTGGCTATCTGTGTCAATAAGGTTACATTTTATGTATGTGTAAGGGCAAACCTGAGAAATATGCATGTCAGTTTCGCCTCTTTGAATTAGTGTCCCGCATTTTTGAGGACAATTTATGATAAAATTTAAGCATTCCTCTTCTATATGTTTTTCAATGTCAGAATACGGTAGTATTTTTCCACATTCTAAAGAACATAGCACTGGCCGGTACGAGCATTCATCTTTTAAATGCTTTTCTATGTCTTTTCTCAACACTTCGCCACACAAAAAGCTATTTTGACAAGGAACAAGGGCCATTTCACATGTTTTTTCATGATTAATTAAATCAGCTTTTCTAATAATGACTTCACATCTTGCATGTCTGCATTTTACAGCTAAGTCTTCCATAAGTCTTCTTATAGGAATATTAGGCTGGCACTGCCCCAGATTTTGGCTGCATAATGGGCATTTTCTGATATTAATTACACATTTTTCGCAAAAAAGATTATGACAGCATGGAGTTTCCACTGGGTCTTCTAATAATTCTAGTTCTCCAGCAATCTTATAGTTTGACCTGATTAATATCATTTTTTATTAATCATAAATTTTATTTTAATTTTTTTTAAATAAAATATTTTATGCATTATTAACTATAGAGTATGCATATATAACAAAAATATAAAATTGCACAGGATTGATTATAAAGGATAATCTTTAATATTTATTACTATCAAAGATAGGTAGTTAAATTTGAGGTAGGGTGCTTGAGAATATCTATATCTTTCAATCAAGATAGGGTAAATTTCCATTTTAGTAAATTTTCATAGAATTTCTATCAAGAATAATTGTGGGTAAGCAAACAGGACACATCCAGCGCTCATCACGAACAGTGCTTGAGTGCAAATTATTTGATACGCTGCTAGAAAAATTTTTGACATCTTCACTTATACCACTGAGCACGCTAATTTCGACTTGGATTTCTTCTTTAATTTCCTCGTCTCCATCAAACCCAAAAAAGCCATTCATTTCTTGGAACCTTACATCTTCTTCTGAGATGATGATTTCATCAATTCCATTTCACAAATCAAATTCTAAAGGTCTTGGATGGTATATTTCGTTGTCTTCTTTTTCATCTTCAATTATAATGTGCTGCTCGCTGCTCATATTGAAGGAATAACTTGAATGATTATTTCTGCTTGAAATTGGGGGCAGGGGGAAATTTCCATATAATTTTGCTTCTTCTGATGCCATATCAGTTAATTATTGGGAATTAAAATTGATTGAAGAGGGCTAGAAGGCTTATTTGAAATAGAAGAGCTTAACAGGATAATTTATTTATAATTACAAAAATTAAAGAAGAAGGCATTCATGCTTTTTATTGTGTCCTGAGCTCTGAAGGCAAGAGTAGCATAGTCATCTTTTTCTTATCCCATTACTTTCTAATTTTCCCTTTAAATTGGAAAATATAGGTAAAGTTTTCATTTTCGGATGCATTCACCCCTTTAAATTCGAACAAATTTTAATTTTAAATTTTATAGGTAAAAATACTAATTTTATATTACAAGTTTTAACCTAATTTAGTAGAGTACTATTTAAAGCGTTTCACTCCGATTCAATAAATTTTTAATTAATTCTTCATAATTGCCTTCATTTTATTTTTTTTAAAATTTTTTTTTTTAACCTCCTTTGAATTAAAAACAGGATTTTTGTTCAATTTTAGAGTAAAGATATTGCCTGGTTATTATATCGAAAGATTTTGCTAGGGTTATACAGCGCTTCTATAGGCTCTCTTTGCACTTTCATGCTTGGCAAAGGGTTTCTTATAACAATCTCCTCATCCCCTCTTTCTTCTGACTCGTCTTCATCTAATGTGAAATTAGAAATTTCTTGTGTGAAAACTTGATTAAAATCTGCTTCATTATCAAACGAGACCTTAAAGCTATTTTCTATGGTTTCTATATTATTGGGGAACCCGTCTGGGTTCATCTCATAAGATCTATCCATAAAGCTTCCTTTATAACCTTCTGAAGATGATTCAAAATCCGAAAAGAGCCCTGAGCCAAAAGAGCTTTCTACCTTTAAATTAGAGTCTCTATTCTCTTGTAAATCGTTCTCTGAAGTCATAGGGATCTCTTTGTTACAATGTATTTCAGCAGCGCCTTCCATTGCTTTTTAAAAATTTACCTGCTCGATTTATCTTGTAAGATATTTAAACAGTCAATAATAATACTTTTCCTGATTAAAAATATTGATTGATCAGCAAGCTTTTGAGTTCAGAAAATTGCATAATTTGACTTCCTCATCGGAAGATTGATTTTTAGCTCAATGGAAAGAGTGGCTTTCTACGCTCGAAGAACACCTAAAGATAAATTGGCCAAATAAATTTACGATTATTATTTATAAAATGCTAGCTTATTGTGCTTTAAATCAGCTGAAAAGTAGCTTAACTCCCCCCAGTGACAAAAAAAATTTTTTTGTGGTTAATTTTATTTTTTTATAATTATAATATATAGTGAATTTTTTTGATGTTAGCAATTTGTAAAATTTATTTTTTAAAGTGTCTAAAAATTTCAAAAGAACTAGCTAGAGATTTCCTTATAATAATTCTCATTTATATATTAAAAAATTTTTGTATACTCACGGAGGCGGGTTTTTATTATGCCTTGACATAATTTTGGGATGGATTCCATCTCGGAGTATTTTCTCAAGAGTGAAACACAAATCCATATGTGGGTTCCCACACCTGAGTGATTGCACATGTGTATTTGTGTCTGACACCTAGGAAAATGTCCCGAAGTTAGGACCCATCCCAAAATAATGCCAATAGATAATACCAAAAAAATAGGGATTTTTCCATGATTATTTTTTGCTCACAGAGAGGGGGAGTAAGAGCTCTTTACACTCGGAAGTTCAGTTTCATTGGCCAAGAAATTTGGTATCCTTCTTCAAGAAGTGAGCTTGACTTAATTGATAAATCTTATGAAGACTGTGTATCAAGGCTTGGAGCCTCATATCCAGGGTATGATGACTCTAGCTATATGAAGTGACTCAAAAATACAAGAAATATAGATCAATCAGTAGATGCTGATGTGACAGATATAGTGTATCCTAGTGACACTTATCAGACTTGGAAAATTCTTTATGCAAGATTGAGAGAGCTTCATTTAGAGTGTGCATGTGAGGAGCATAAAGAGAATCTTAATATCCCAGAATTAAATATGAATAATATTTATTATATGACTAACACTATCTAGAACAGGGTTTTTTTGTTTTTGACACTATCAAAAAAGCCCTGTTTTATAATAATGTAAGTCACTATAATAAATATTCTTTCTGGATGATGACCGATCATCATTTAATTAGAAAATAAATATGCTTTTTGGTCTTAATTAATTAAATTCATTAAATATTTAGCACAATATTAGGCTCTTTTTCCAATTTAATCAGAATTGTTTTTTATTTAGGAGGTTTTCATAAAATCAACGAATGTTAGGTGTTTAATTTATTTTAATCAGAAGAGTTAGAGAGCTTGAACAACTTGGGATTTACTCTCCTGAAAAGATTCCGCAGTTTTCTCTCGTAAACAAGTATCTCAATTATAAAACAGGTTTCAAGCTTGTACCATGCGGAGGAATGATAAATCCAAGGTCATTTTTATACGGTCTTGCGTATAAAATCTTTTACAGTTCTCGATATATCAGACACCAATCTGCAGTCTTTTACTCTCCAGAGCCAGATGTAGCCCACGAGCTAATGGGGCATGTGCCTCTTTTTGCAAATAATGATTTTGCTGAGCTTTCCCAATCAATTGGACTAACTTTCCACCACTGGATCAAAATAATTTTGTTAGCTAATGGATAGGGGAGTTAATTATTATTTTTATAATAAATTTTATAGTAATTTTAAAGCAAATATTAATTTAATTTGTCAAATTTATCTTTTAAAATGCAAGATGTTTAAATTTAAACAGAGTTATCTAGAGATTTCATTATACTAACTATCATTTATATATCAAGATATATTTTTTATATGATTTTTTTTTTCCGCATAGAGGGTGGGTTTTTACTATAAAAATAGGGATTTTTCTAAGCCCACGGAGAGGAGGGGAGTAAGATCTCTTGGAGCTACTGAAGAAGAGATTGAAAAGCTTGCAAAAATTTATTTTTATTCAGTTGAATTTGGGATTGTTGGAAATCAAATTTTGGGTGCTGGGATACTGGGATCTTGTGATGAAATAGCACTTATAAAAAATAAAAAGGTAGAAATTAAGGAATGGGATTTGGAGAAAGTCCTGAAAAGTGAATTTACTTTGTCAGATTATCAGCCTGGGTACTATTCAGCTGAAAGTCTATTGGAAATGAAAAGGCTAATAAAAGAGGGGATTGACTTTATAAGGCCTATGCAGCCATTAAAGCGTATTCCTGTTTATTTATAAGTAATTTGCGTTTTTAGAATTCAGGCTTTAATAAAGTAAAATCTATAATAATTATTTTAATCTTTTCTTGACTTCCCCAACATTTCCATTCTTTCTTCATAGGAGTAGCAAGGCTCTAAATAATTAATATCAATTGAGGGAGAAACAGGTAACAGTCTTAAACTTAAATTAATTATAGAGAATACCCTTGTAGGTCCAAACTACTACTAAATATTTGCATCCACTCCATCACTTGCCAGTCCGGACTTAGCGTTCCGGGGGCTGCATTTGCTGTCTGAGAGTTAGAGATACTGGATCATCATGCTGTCCATTATCAACAGGGCATGCTCCAGAAAAAATTGTAAAAACGAATTTTCTGTTCGTTTTTACCACCAGAAGTGCAGGTGAGAAAAAAAAGTCACACAGCAGGCAGAAAACACACTACTGTTCACATGCATTTACCCAGATTTCACGCCAACTGCTTGAGCGAGACCCAAAAAATGCACATATAAGCACTTCGAAGAGCACACAGCACACACTACTTACACTACTGCCAAATCAATAACACACTATATTAACACTATTTTACGCTGACTTCACGCTGATTCTAAAAAATAGCTAGGTAGCCAATTTACACTAAAAACCATTATCTCGCTTTCTCCTGATCAAAGAAAATTTTAAATAATTATGAAATTAAATAATTTAATAATAGTGAGAATCTATCGAAACCTCTAGACTACAGTTCTCAAGAATCCATAATGGTCACAACACCATTTTAATGTAAAAGCAGGTAAAAGCCACATTCAAGAGTTTTTCCCTAAGACTTCGCTTAAGCATTTTATAACTGAATGAGGAATTCCATACCTATCTTGATAGCTTTCCACCGTCGTCTGATTATCTAAAACTAATTGCAGCTGCTCTCTCAGAAAATCTCCAGTAAATATCAAAAATATAATCGCTTCAAACCCAACCAAAACAGTAAAAAAACATTTCATCACGTCAAATCTGACACTTCCTTCATAACAAAGGTACTCATAAATAGTCATTCCAATAATAATCAGCGTCAATAAAGATGCAAATGAAATATAAAACAAGAAAAGAATAAAATATTTTTGGTTATTGACTGCTATACAATTGTTAACCCAAGGACAATGATGATCCATCTTATGGTAGCAGATTTTACAAGTCCTACAATGATGGGTCCTTGGGGGTTTCCATTGTTCACAGTCAGCACAATATTTGACGTTCTCAAGAGGAATATCCCCAGGGACAGGATATTTTGGTGTTTTTCCAGGGTCGGTAAACATACATTTAAAATGAGATATCACAGAAAGAGACACCGACAGTTGATAAAGTAAAAATATAAAGAGCCCAAGTGGCGATAACCCAAGTGAGCCAAATTTACTAGGATATCATGTAAAAATCAAAGAATAACTGACTATTAAATCAGCTACAAGAATTAATGCCAAAGTCTATGAATAGTCATTACTAGCAAGCTCATTAGCCTCCCTGCTAACCTTTTGTTCATATTTTTATTAAGACTAATGGTTTAATTATAAGAATTCCTTAAGTTTCGCTTTAACTCTGTCCTTATGCTCAGCAAGTATTGCATATGAGCTGTTAAAGCAGTCTTCAAAACATTTCACATTTTCAGGAATCTCCTCTTCTCCAAATTTATAAGCGCAACCTTTGGTACAGTTTTTAAATGAGGAATTCACGTGATTTATGGTTCCTTCTAGCTCTGTCTGAGCCTTTGCAAGGGTTAAAGAACATTTTCTTGAACAGAGATTGCAGTCTTGGAATGGGGCATCACTTTTATAGCAGTTTGACATGCAAGCAAAGGATTTGGCGGAAATCAGTTTTAGTTCAGGCTCAAACTCTTCAGAATATTCATGTTCAGCGTCTAGAAGTTTAATGCCAAGCTTGCGAGCAATTGACTCCATGTTTATGTGTTTATATCATTATTTGGATCAGTGATTAAAATATTAATTACCCCTCTGAGGAGCAAAAAAATTTTTCGGCTTTTTTTATAGTAAATTTGTTTTAGAAATTTTGAAAATTCAAGGGAGGGTCTCTTAGAAGGCGAAAGCAATTTAATGTAATTCTCTACTTCTTAATACCAAAAATTTGAAAGCAAAATAAATTTAATTTGTAAAATTTATGTTTTTAATGTAAGATGTTTTAGAATTCAACAAAATTGCCTAGAGATTTCATTATAATGATTATTATTTATATATTAATATTTTTTTATAAAAATTGTTTTACTCGCTTATTGAGGAGAGGATTAAAGATTTTTCCTTAATTAGCTTTTACTTATTAATTTTCAATTTTAACTTATGACGACAACTGATGGGGGGATAAATAAAATGGTGTTTTAGCCCGGCCATTGCTTCCCGATGCAGCCTCAAGCACATTTTATTTATATTGGCAAGTTTTGCCAACCAGAAATGGACAGTTTTGATAGTAAGCAATTCTGGTAATGCACAGAGATTAGCTCTAGTCCGCTTTCGGGATTAGATTTTACCTCGAGGGAAAGGAGGATTCATAGTTGGAAAGGAGAAGCGTAGCAAAGTCTACAGTCAATACCTAGACTAAATCGGGAACCCCTAGCGTAAAATTGAGTTACGCGCTGGGCTTTGTGGAAAACCCCTAGCGTAAAACTGAGTAACGCGTTGGGCTTTGAATTTTTCCTTTTTGCAGAGAGTCAACCAGAAATCCCCATTTTTTGGGATTTTGGCGTGGGCAGCCTTCGTGTGCACAAGCAGCAAGCCGCAGAAGTCCTTAGTTTTCCCTCTTAGCACTGGAGCTGACAAGGCAAGAAGGAGATGAAGACACTACTTCACAGGTGTCATGGCGTCAGACGGTGAAGAAGAGGAAGGGTGGTGCTCGGCACTATTCTCGCCAGATTATTTATTCAAACTCAGAAAAGTTCTCCTGTTGATTTTGCAAAGAGGGTATCCCCTAGGAGATCCTTGGTGACTGCATAACCAATAGGCAAGCAAGCCAAGACCACTAAATTAAGTTTAACGACAATTGATGAGAAAAAGGTGAATAGTAAACTAATTAATATTATGGGAGTATCACACACAAAAGCAAGCGAAATTCCACAGCTAAGGGCAAAGTGTCTAATAGTTGGGCAGCAGCAAGTTGGAAAAACTTGCTTTGTCCAAAGATACAACAATGAAGAATTCAACAACGACTACAGTCCTACATTAGGCTGCAACCTAAAGACCTTTTCAATTGACTATTACGGTTTACTAGTTCAGCTTCTAGTCATGGACTCTTTATCTGACATGGACTTGCAGCTCGAATGCCGTCTAAAATCAATCAAAAACGCTGACTCCATTGCATTAGCCTTTGATCTCTCCAATTTTGCCTCCTGCCAAGACATTTCTTCTAAAATCGATTTATTCAAAAAAAACGAATACAGAAACAAAGAATTACTTTTAATAGGCACTAAAGCAGACAAAGAAAATCTTGAAGTCAGCTCTGATGACATACAAAAAATTATTGATACAGAAAACGAAATTAAAATTTCTTATATTGAGACCTCAGCGAAAAATGGCTTAAATATTGCAGCTGCATTTATGAAGGTCGTCGAAATTAGTGTGGGAATGCAAACTTTGAATTGGGAAAGGCGGAAGAATTTTTTGTGAATTGCGAAAAAAATAATGCCACCGACTGATGAAGAAGACGGAGGGAGAAATCTTTATTGGGCAAACCTCTGTGAAGCGATACCTAATATGATTTCGAAGAAGGGCAAAAAAAGAGAGCTGCCACTTTATAGGATTCCTCCAGAGTTAATTCCTAAAATTGCAGAATATTTGTAATAGATAAAACTATATTCAATTAGCTTGGCTTTAAAATAGACCATTGATCTAGTCTTGGAGCAGGCTCATCTTGGTCTAGCCTCCCAAACATTTTTTCTAAAGATTGCTCTTTAGGGATTCTTCTTATTGGCTTTACAGGAGGAGCTGGGACTGCTCTTACCATTAATCCTCCTCAATCTATTTCTTGAAAAAACGGGTGTTCTTTAATTTCTTCAGCATCTCGTTTGCCAGCGCCCAATCTTTTATTTGGGTCTCTAATTATAAGCCTTTTTATTAAGTCTTTTGCTTCTTCTGATAAGCTTTTGGGGATTTTTAAGACTCCTCTTTGGATATTATTGAACAGTTGTTCACGGTTATTTGAGTAATATGGAGGCGTCCCCACGATCATTTCATATAGTAAAACTCCTAATAAATACCAATCAACTGACCTTGTGTGGCCTGCTCGTCTCAGCATTTCTGGGGCTAAGTATGCGACTGAGCCACAAAAGGATTTATTGAGCTCTCCTTCGTGCACACCTTCTTTTGAAAGCCCGAAGTCAGTTAATCTGGCATGCCCGTCTTTGTCTAAAACGACGTTTTCAGGCTTTAGGTCTCTAAAAATAATATCATGCATATGAAGCTCTTGTAGAGCTAGTAGGACCTCGGAAATGTAAAATCTGGCTTTGTGCTCGTCAAATTTCTTTTCTCTGGCTAAGTGTGTCCCTAAGTCGCCATTTGGGCAAAAGTCCATGACCAAAACAAGTTTTTCTGGAGTTTGAAAGGCATATCATTATAATACAAGGATTATTTATAAAAAGCAGCTAAATTTTTAATTTTTATAAAAAAATATCAAAAATAATTATAATTTTTCCTATAAAATGTTTTTTTCCTCAGATAAATCAACTTAACCCAAAGGCATAATTCAATTTAACAATATATGGATGCGATATTTTCATCAAAATATTTCTTTCCGTAAAAGCGTATCTCACCAAGTTATTTTCAAAGACCTTGTCTTTCCTTAACACCTTCAGCGCAAATTGTTCACCACTATCAATTTTTTCAACCAAATAAACTTCTCCAAAGCTTCCTCTCCCAAGCTGGAGAATTCCTTTAAAATCTTTCGGACCTACTTTACAAGGAGGCAGCACATCTTTGAGCTGCCCCAGCATTTCAGCTTTCTTTTTACTGAGAGCTGGCCTCTCTTTAAAAGCCTGCAAATCCTTAGCACTTGGCATATGTTTGCATTTCATTAAAATTTTGTTTATTGAGTCAGTCCTTGAGTTATGCAGCATAACCGTATGAAATGGTGTGCGGGCATATAACGACTCGGGCATTACAAGTTTTTCCTTTTGACAATGCTCAGTAAATGCATTGAAGACTTGCATATTCAATGCAACAGCCCAAGCTGTAATTCCTAAATGGTTTTTTATGCCAATATCAGGCTCTTTTCTCAACAAATATTTTACTATAGTAAGATGCCCTTGTAAAGACGCGTAATAAAGCGGAGTGCTTCTTTCAATGTCAATAGCATTAATATCAGCCCCTTGGCTCACTAAAAGTTTGACAACTGGCAAGTGTCCGTGGATGCAAGCTAAATGTAAAGGAGTCCTCAACATTGAGGTTTTTGCATCAATATCTGTGCTTTCCCCATTTTGAATCAAAATTTCGCAGGCATCTCGAAAGCCATCTGAGGCTGCCAAATGAAGAGCAGTTCAGTCGTCAAGGCCTTTGGTATTGGTTTGAGCAATTAAATCTCCAAAGGTGTCTCTATCCAAAAGCTCTTTGATTCTGTTGATGTCATTTCTCTGAACTGCTTCCCACAGAGAGGAATTTATTTTTCGTTTCCGTTTGTAAATGTCTTCAATTTCTTCAAAATCTTCGACTACTAGCAGTTTGGCGAATTTAGCTGTGAAAGAGTCCCTATTTTCATCTCTTATGTTTTAACTTATCTTAAATAGGATTTATTATGTTTCACTACCCGCAGACTTTTAATTTCTTCCTTTATTGTGTGAATTGTGACAAACAGCCGTTTGAAGGTTTTAGCAAGACTTTACTTACCAAACGCCTATAGCCTTGCAGGAAGGATTGACCTTGTCTCCTTTGTGTATTTCACTTAAGTCTCTCTCTGTCAAAGAGAAGTCTGGAAAACTTATTACCCAAGGTTCCAGGGGCTTATCCTCCTCAGAGTTGTAGCCTAGTATAGTTGGATTGGTTGACTGGTAATATAATAAATTGCTCTATAACTTATTCTGATAACACAATTTTATTATTACCCATCTCTTATGTCAACTTCTTCACCAGTGTCAAGGTTTTTTACTTTAAATACTTCTTCAGGAAGGTCTTCATGGACTTTGTCGGAATGAGCAGGATCTGCGGTGGAAAGGTCTAACTCGTCATTAAAATTTGGATGAGGATCAACAAACAGGACTGAGTATTCAACGGATTTCTGATCTGGAGATTCAAGATTTCCATCTAAATGCGCTTCAATTTTGATTTTATGGTTGTTGGCTTCATTAGTTCCAGGGCTTTTTTTGGAGTTTTTATTCAGGTTCTGTTTTGAACTCATAAATTATAACTGGCTTTCAGTAATTAATATATTATTTCTGGTCCTACTTATAATGTAGCCTCTTTGTAATAAATAAGCAGAAAATAAATTCCTCATAAATTTAATTTCTCAAAAAAATACCAATCATACCTTACTCATATAAGCAAATTCCAGCAAAAGAGTCTATATAATATATTAAAATTCAAATATTTTTTAAAACTAAAATAATGAATTAATTTTATAATACTGTAATAATTAATCAGTCCTTAATATATCAAATGACTCCTCATCAAAATCCAAACATATAAAATAAACAACCATAAATATGTCAATTCTAGAGGATTATGAAGAAATTGATTTTTCTGTTTATGATGTTTCAACAGATATTGCCACTACACAAGCTTCACCAAAGGCAAAAAAGATTCTTAGCAAGCCAAAAATCCCACTACTGAATAAAGACACAACTGATTCAAATACTTATGATTATGAGCGCCTGTTAAAGCAATACAAAGCAAGCTCACCGACCAATTTTCGTAAAAGCCCAAGTCCTAAATCTAACGAGGTAGTAGAAAGGCTTCTTTTTAGTGCAGATTTTATAAAAAATTACTAAAACCCTTTATTATCTTTTTTGGTTCCACACTTGGAATGATTTATCTACGTGTAAAACCTAATAAGAAATATCAAAAAAGATTATATGACCTCGGAAATAATAATGGAGCCTCTTTTTAAGCATCAACTCTCTCAAAACCGAATAAAATTTCAACAACAAGAGCAAGAATACAAAGAAAAAGAAAAATGTCCGTTTGCTCCTCAAGTCTCGCCCTCCAGGTCTGTAAGATGCCTTAAACAGTTCTTGCAAGATCAAATTAACTATGAGACTAATAAGCAGCAAAAGCTTGAAAAACAAAGATTTATTCATGAGCAGATTAAAGAAGCTGAAGAAGAAAAAGCAAGGAAAAAAATTAATTTAAGTCCTGGCACACAAAGAATTTTGTCAAAGAAGGGGAAAATGTCACCGGTTCATGAGAGACTTTATAGTGGAAGCAAAATGATGTGAGTCACCAGTGAGAAAAAGCTGGAAACTTTGACCAGAAAGCCAATTAAACGTAAAAGCTTGAAAATGGAAAGTGATAATTATAGTGAGGAAAACCTGGCTATATCACAAGGGAAATCATTTGACAGTAAAAGGGTCTTGAAAAAGCCTCCATTATCAAAGCCAGGCTTGAGCAACAAATGCCATCTCAGTAAGGTATCTATAAAATAATTGGTAATTTTTGCATATTAATTTCTTATATATTTATAATTTTTATCCATAGTTATTTTATTTTCTTATTTGATATATGCTAAACTATGGAGAGTGCTAATAATAAAGCAGCTCCTGGGCAAAGAAAGTCTAAAAAATCTAAATGAAAAAAGACAAGCTTTGAGTTTGGGGCATCTGTTAGCTCTAATCAACCAGAAACTCCAGAAAATGTAAAAATAGCAGAACAGAATAGTGATGCTCTCAATAATGCCTTACCCATAAATAAATCTGAAAATGCTATTAATCAGCGCCAGATACCAGAAAAAATAAAAGCTGAAGTTGATAGATGTTTAAATATAGCAAAAAAGTATCTTGAAAAAAGGGAATTTGATAGAGCACTTATTTTTTCTAATAAAGCGCTACAACTGAATCCTTCTCCTGAAAGCTTATCATTGCTAAATGAAATACAGATGAAAAAAGAAGAAGTAATCAAAAAACTGCTTGAAGATGAAACTGAAAAATTAAAAAAACAAAAAATTATTGAGGCAAATGAAAATTTATGCAAGCAAATTATTAATCCTTCTAGTTTAAATGAAACCTTAGGAGTTGATGATAGCGGGTACAGGCCCAATAGTTGTGTGATTTTGATATCATTTCATCGAAGAAATTTTGGTCGAAATTTTTAAATAGTGTAACATTTGGCCGAAATTTAACAGTTTTTTCGATCAAATGAGATTTTCCAGATCAAAAGTGTGCAGTCATTTGACATGGAGCTGATGAGAGCTCTTCAGATGAAGACATTATTAGGACAATCAAAAAATTCTTAATTCCACCCTCCTTGGTTAGCGAGCGAAACCATTAGAAAAACGCCTATAAAAATTTTTAAAATCCGAAATAAATTTTTTTATAAACAAAATTAGCCCTATTCCATTAGCGAGCAAAAAAATACTGCTCACGCTAATCAAGGAAAGTTAAGGATTTTACATCCAGATAAAAATCTTGCACCAAGCGCACAAGAAGCTACTCAAATTTTGATATCTCTCAAAGATACATTAGAAAAGAAACAAGAGACAACAGAAAATCTAGTTGAAGAAGAGCAAAAAGAAGAGACGAAGGAAGAGGAGACTGTTTTGAAAAAATATGAAAAACCAGAAGAAAGTGATATCTCAGATGATAGTTATAGCTCTGATGAAGATATTGATATCAACACGAGAAATACACAAAGAATTCCAAAAAGCGCCCGCTTTCATGGGTCGTGCATAATAAAAAATGAGGCCCAAGCATCTGAAAAATCTCCATATGAAGAAGATGTTAATGTCTATGAAGAACTTGAAGACTATATTTTACAATTTTCTAATAGTGAATTCTTTAGGAGTCCAACCTCTGAAGAGATACCAAATGAATTTATAGACGCTAATGATTATATAGCTAAGCTTAAGGCTGCTTATTTTGTAGAACTCCATGAAATCATTCTTAAAGCAATCAATGGACTGTTCACTGGAAAAGAATACTTTGTTAATTTTGTGCTTACTGATGATTATTTTGTGCTTTCACCAGAGTGCACAAGATTCACTGTAGAAGAATTTTCTTTACTTCCCCCCGTTCGTGAACAAAAAATCTTGTTCGCTCACGGAGGGAGTTAATTTTTTTTTTAAAAAAAAATTTTAAGAATTTAAAAAAATCCCAATTCTCGAAAATTGGAAGGCAAATATTAATTTAAATTATAAAATTTATGTTTTAAAACGCAATTTGTTTAAAATTAAATAGAGTTAGCTCGAGATTTCATAATACTAGTTATCACTTATATATAAAAATTTTTTCCCATAAAAAAAATTTTTTCTATTAAAATATTTTTGTTAGTTCACGGAGGGTGGGTTTTTGGGCAAAAAATAGGGAATTTTCTAATGGTTTTGTTCGCTCACGGAGGGGGGAAGTTAGAAATACAAGCGAACGATCTTCTATTTATATGTGATATTGAAGATTATAGTTATATAGAAAATCAATATGATTTAAAACAATCATCATTTAACCTAGGCATTGCGAAAAAGAACCCAAATGATAATAATGTTAAAATATTGTCATTGCTTGAGGATGATCCAAATATTCAATATTGTGTTATTAGCATCGGAAATTTAACGACATTAAGAAGAGAATTTTTAACGTTTACAAAAATAAAAGATGCGCTACTTCTAGATCATATTTTAAGCCCAAAGCCTCCAAATATTTGTAATACAATTGTTTCTAACTCTATGTTCTATTTATATCGAAAATTTTTATCGTTATTAATTTGGCAAACAAAATAATTTTTGAATCATAAAAAATGCCATGAATTTAAAAGATTTAAGCTGAAAAAATTAAATAAATAGAGAATTGCATTAAAACTTTTATTTATAATTACAAAAAAAAATGGTTAAAATTGAAAATTGCTATTAAACAAATTAAAATCTAATTATCAACAAGATAAAAACTGAAAGCAAAAATTTTAATAAAATTTTTCCTATTAAAAGGGAGTGAGAGATTTTTGAATGTGATTAAAAAAAAATTTAACCAAGGACAGTATGAGGCTTTATTAAATGCTTTTAGTATAAAAGAAGGCATACTGCTTATTCAAGGCCCTCCAGGAACAGGAAAAACATCTACAATAATGGGGCTTATATCTGGATATTGATCTTCAAACTCACTAACAAAACCAAAAATTTTGGTTTGCGCTCCAAGCAATGCTGCTATTGATGAAATAGCATCTCATAATTAAAATATGGCGTCTTCGTCTGGGCATGGCCTCCCGGCCATGCAGCCTCGACTCATATTTTAATTATATCCGGCAAGGTTTTACCATTTCAGAGATGGACAGCAATGCTAGGTAAGCAATTCTGTTAGCTTTCAGAGCCTGGCCCTAGTCTAATCTCAGGAGTGGATTTTTCCTCATGGGGAAGGAGGATCCGGAGTAGGAAAGGGGAAGCTCAGCAAAGTCCTTTGGACCATTCGGGCAACTCCCTAGCGTGAAACTGGGCGTTACGTCCCAGGCTACGTATTTTTCCTTTTTGCCGACAGCTGACCAGAAAATCCATTTTTTTGGGTTTTCGGAAAAGCAACCCATGTACAAGCAAGTAGCTCATCCATGAGCCGTCGAAGCCGGCAACACTTGCCCTAGGAGCACCTTGGTGATCGAAGCAGGTTATCCCCAGCAACTTGCGGACCCGATGCGACGAAGGTGAGCGGTAGACTTGGGGACGTCGACCCCGTAGTGGACCTTAAGCGTTATAAATTTTATGTAATGAAATAGCATCTCGCGCCAATAAAAATCAGATTTTTGATGAAGATGGTAATCCTGTATCTAAAATAAATCTATTAAGAATTGGGCAAAAAAGATTTAAAAACGAATTAGGAATTATTGAGGATATTAATGTCAAAGATATCCCCACAAATGTCAAGAAAATTTCTCTAAATTATTTAAGTGAAAAAGATCTAAATGATATTGGGTTTCATGACCAAGCAAAAAAAATTAAAGAAAAAGTCAAAGAAGAGCAAAAATTAGCAGAAGAACTAGAAAATATGCTGAAAAAGGGAACTGCTGACATAAAAAAATACGAGAAATTAGTCAAAAAGCGAGAAGACGTTCTTGAAGATATAGAGTACTTAAAAGAAGAGCAAAAAGACTATCACGAAAACAAAAAGAAAAGCAGAAAAGATTTGATACAGGCTGCAGATGTCATCTTTTGTACAACGAGCACTGCTGGGTCAGCAGACATGCTTTCTGCATTTTCAAACTCTAAAAATAGAATATCTCCACGACGGTTTGACTATTTAATTATAGATGAAGCTTGCCAATGCATTGAGCTGAACATGCTAATCCCATTTTTATATGACACTTCTACAGTGATCTTATTTGGTGATCATAAACAATTACCAGCAACCACATTTTCAGAAACCTCAAAGGTAAATAAATACAATCGGTCAATGTTTGAAAGATTCATTGACTGCAGAATTTCTCCTCAAATTTTAAAAGTACAGTATAGGATGAGCAAAGAATTATGCCAATACCCCAGCATGTATTTTTATGATCATTTATTAAAATCTCATCCTTCAGTAGACTCACGACAAGCTCCACTAGGTATCAGGCCGCTTGGTCTTCTTTTTATTAACCTTACAAGATCTCAAGAAATAAGTAATCAGCACGATTATAGCTATTATAATGAAATTGAAGCTAAATATATTGTAAAAAAAATAATTGGAGAATATGCAAAAAATGTAGGCATAATTACTCCTTATAGGAAACAGGTTGAATATTTGACAAAACTCCTTGATGAAAAATTTCAGGATGACTGAAGGGAGAGAATTGAAGTAGACTCTGTTGATGGATACCAAGGAAGAGAAAAAGATTTTATTATTTTGTCGCTGGTTAGGTCAGATTTAGTTACTGGGAATATTGGATTTCTTAAAGATATAAGGAGAATGAATGTAGCAATAACAAGGGCTAAGTTTGGGCTTCATATTGTGGGGAATGCTTTAAGTTTGAAGAAAAATGATGATTGGGATAATTTTATTGAGTTTTGTGATAGCAAAAATAAGCTTATTCATTCGGATTATGATGGAAAACAATCGTATTGGAATCAATTAGAGCTTGAAAATAAAATTTCGATTGATAGGAATCGTAAAAGAATTGAGTTTAATATAAGTGGTGAAAATCAATTATTAAAGGAAAAATTAATTAATTAATTAATTGCTGACTTATCACAGGACGGGCAAGGGATTTGTACGCACAAATGCGCATCGTCCCTGAGGGATCCCAGGCAGGTATCCTTCCCTCTGTCACAGGAGAGTCTTGCAAAACTCATAAGGACTGATTCCTCGGGACACAACTCCAGTATTGTGTTAGGCGGGCTCCATGTCAAATGATAGTGCATTTTGTGGAGGTACATTTGGTCGAAAATTAACGGGTTTTTTGGGTCAAATGTCTCACTATCGAAAAGTTTCATCCAATTTTCGACCAAAAGTACTTCGGTGAAATGGTAACTATCAAAAGTGCACGATCATTGGACCTGCACCCACCTTAGGTGCATAGTGTCTTGGAGTCTGTTGGAAGTCTTATTGCTCCTCCCATCTTGATCTTTGCTGACCGTGCCCTTTCCAAAAATTTCTAGAGATAAAAAACTAATGCCCCAGGGATTCGCTTTCTGAGACACGAGAAAAATCTATGCCATGCAGGGAACACCCAGGTGGGTAAATCAAGCTGAGAAACAGAAAATTGCACAAGGAGGTCGGGGTTAGTATCCTCCTCCGTATTAATGTATACAAAGGAAGGATATAATAATATTGAAGAGAAAACAGAGTCTTCTATCGGAAGTTCAGGCAAAAGAAAAAAATTTGGTTAATAATTTATTTCTTATGTAGTCCAAGAGTCAAGCATTCAAAAATCAAGAGAGTTAGCTAAAGAGTAGTAAAAATATTGAATTAGCTTTGCGTTTAAATTAAGAATATCAGACTGTTTTAAAATATAATTATTTAACGTTTATTCTTCTAATGATTATTATCTTAAGAGAATATGTTGCTTTTAGATGAGTTCAGACCGCATTACTGCGGACTTAAATTAGTGATCTATCTTTTTATATAAATTAGGTTTATTTTTTATGCACATTCTAATGAGATGAAGATAAAATTGCTAATCTACAATTTACATTTATCAGGAATTTCGGGAAAAATGAGAACTTTACAATTTCGGCTAAATGTCAAAAAGCAAACATGAAAATATTAAAGAAGAGACTGAGGGTAATAGCGACTTAATCCCCATTTGGCAACGAACAAAATTGTCAATTTTTTCCAGATGTTTTTTCTTCGGCGTCATTTAATAATGTGCAAAGCTTTATTATAAAATATTTTTTAATGTCTAAAAGCAAAAAATTGTTTTTTATATATCTTTAAGTGCTTCTACTTATATATTATTCTTATTTTCAATTTAATGACGAACAAATAAAATGCTCAATATCATGGTAAGGTTAGAATTCTCTGGAAGCAGGATTAATATGAAAAAAAATCAAGTTTTTGAAAGCAGAGAAAATATTGAAAATAATGGCTCTTTTAATATAGAAGCCGAAAGTAGTCTTTCCGAAAAAGATGCCATTGAGCTTCAAAGATGCATTGATATTGCCAATAAATCTTTAGAAAACCATGAATTTGGGAAATCTATATCTTTCCTAGTCAAAGTTTGCAATATTCAACCATCATCTACACACTTTCAGTTGTTAAACAATGCAAAAGATAGAAAAGAAGAGCACGAGCGTAAAATAAGAGAAAAAGAAGAGCTGGCAAAAAAGAAAGCAGAAGATAAAAGAAAGCTTGATGAAGAAAGGCAAAATATATGTCGGCGAATATTAAAAGCTAAAAATATTTATGAAGCTTTAAATATTGGGGCTGAAGAGTCAGATAAAAAAGTTAAAAAAATTACGAGAGAGATTCTTTTAAAAATAGACCCAAATAAAATAAGCGTTTTGAATCCTGGCGATTTTAAAGCAGCAGTCCAGAAGTTGAATAGATTTAAAGAAGGCTTTGAAAGAAGAATAAAAATCAAATTTGTTGAGATAAACTCTCAGAATGAACGAGAAAACCAGCCACTAGCTATAGAAGATGAAAAATCAGAAGAAAGCATTGATGAATTCAGTAATTCAGATGATTCTGGATGAGCTGAAGAAGAAAGGGAATTTAAATTTGAAGAAGTTCAGAAAAAGAAAAAGGGGAAAAAAATAAATTTTTTTGAGTCTCAACCATATCAAGAGTTAGATGACTTTATTTTGAATTTTAATCAATATAATCTTGAAGCTCCTCCTCAAATAAAAAAAATTTCAGATGAATTTGATAATTTTGATCAGTATAAAGAAGAGTTTAAAGCAGCTTTTTTTTTAGAAGTGCAAGAAATTATTAAAAAACAAATTAAAGATATAAACAAATTCAAGGTATACGATTTTATTTTGGAAGAAGAAAGGTGAGGCTATAAAGTTTCGCATTCAAATGAGAGTGTTTTAACTAAAAATTTTTATGATGAAATACAGGCAAATGATTTGCTGCTACTACTCCCTGATAGTGGATTTGGGTTTCAAATGTCAGATGAGATATTAATTTCAAATTATTGATTAGGAATTGCAAGGAAAGACAACAAAAGTGGTTCGATTTCAATAAAAGCGCAGCAATGTGGCAATTCTCAACTGAAATTTAATATAGTGAGCCTGGGAAACTTAACCACACTCAGAAGAGAATTTTTGATTTTTAGCAAGACTGGAGATTCTTTGCTATTGGATTATATATTATTTCCTAAACCTCCAAGAATATTATCAAATCCAATTGTCTCAGAGCGTTTTCTTAATACCATCAAGAATAAATTTAATCAATCACAATTTGAAGTCCTTTATTATTCATTTTGCATGAATGAAGGGATTTCGTTAGTTCAAGGCCCCCCAGGAACAGGAAAAACTTCAGTAATTCTTGGTCTGATTTCAGGATATTTGTCAATCGATCGTTATTCAAGGCCAAAAATTTTAGTTTGTGCTCCCAGCAATGCAGCCATTGACGAAATCGCCTCTAGAGCTCATAACAATGGACTATTTGATGAAAATGGAGATCAGCTGCAAGATATTCCAATGCTTAGAATTGGCCAAAAAAGATTTAAAAATGAGTTAGGAATAGTGGAAAATGTTAATACAAAAGAAATCCCTGTAAGTGTTAAAGAAATCTCATTAAATTACATAATAGAAGTAGCGTTGAATGAAGAAGGATTGAGAGACCCCACAAATGAAATTAAAGAAACACTAATAGAATTCGACAGTTTGCGTGGTGAACTAGAGGAAATGGCTAAAAAAGGAAATGTGAAGGGTGAAAAATTTAGAAACTTAAAATGAAGCCTTAGCCTTTTGGAAGATAATCTGAATCAGCTATATGATGAAAAGAATAGATATATTGAGCGTCAAAAATCATTGAAGAAAAAATATATCGGAGAATCGGATATTATTTTTTGCACATCAAGCACGGCTGGTTCTCTAGATATGCTGTCTGCATTCGCAGTTGATGATAATGGAATTTCAATAAGAAAATTTGACTTTCTTATTATTGATGAAGCATGCCAATCTGTTGAGCTTAACATTTTAATCCCTTTTCTGTATGATACTTCGACTGTTATTTTATTTGGAGATCCAAAGCAGCTTCCGGCAACAACTTTTGCAGATGCCTCAAAAACAAACGGATATAACCGATCACTATTTGAAAGGATGGAAGATTGCAAGTTTGAACCTTTGATGCTTAAAACACAGTATAGAATGATATCTGAGCTTTGTGAGTATCCTGCTACATATTTTTATGATAACAAACTAAAATCTGATCCTAGTGTTGATAGGAGACAAATGCCACCTGGCATAAAGAACCCAGGCTTACGATTTTTTAACTTAGTAAATTCAATTGAAACTCAGGCAAGTGATGGGCATAGCTTTTACAACGAATATGAAGCAAATTATATCGTTTATGAATTGCTTAGGGCGAGAGGATTATCGATAGGTATAATAACACCTTATAGAGCGCAAGCTGAGCATATAAAGAAATTGCTTGGGAATAGATTTGGTGATAGCTGAAGGCACAGAATTGAAGTGGACTCTGTTGATGGATACCAAGGAAGGGAAAAAGACTATATCATACTTTCTTTAGTAAGATCTGAAAATATTGGATTTTTGAGTGATAGAAGAAGAATGAACGTAGCTATTACCAGAGCTAGGTTTGCATTGAGTATTTTAGGAAATGCTCGTTGTTTAAGGCAAAATAATGATTGAGATGACTTAATAGACTACTACGATGGCAAAAGCAAACTGATAACTATTGACTATGATCCACATTGGGGAAACCCAAGAGATGGAGTATAGAGCTTTACCCGGAGTAGCCCTATAAGGGCAGATAATTCCCGATGGAATCATCGAGTTTGTCAACCAAAAAGTGAGTTGGTCCACCAACGCACTAAGTTGGTTGGACAAATTCGATGACTCCACCGGGAATCATCCATCCTTACGGGGCTATACAGGGTAAAACCCTATATATCATTATTATAGTGATTTTTTTGAAAGAATCAATGAGGAGCAAAAAATAAATACGACAATTCCTCAAGCTTATGGAAATAAAATTCTTGAGGAAAAGAAATCAAGCAATATAGAGAAGGTGGAGGCTCCAAAATTAGGATATAAAGAAGTAAGTATTGACGTTGACGTAACTCGTAGAAGAAAAGAAGAAAGAAAACGCATAGAAGAAGCTAAAATACCTCCAAAAGCAACAAATACTAACACTATCGCAATTAATAAGCAAAAAGAAGAAAGAAAAAAAGCAGAAGAAGCTAAAAATATTCCAAGAGTAGATAAGCAAGCTTCAGCAAAGAGCAATACATTGCCGAAGAAGATCCCAAAAATGACAAATGCAAATATAGGTGGAGGATTTTGGAATAGGCGTAAATAAATAAATTAATTGTTTAATGAATAGCAACTTATTATATATTTTTACAGATATGATAAAAAAATCATAAAATCTGATATTAAAACCCTTGGGCTGCCTCTATAGCTTATGCTCCAAGGTATATTATATCATATTACTTTTAATATTTAAATTTATTACCAAATATTTAAGCATTATAATGATTATTTTAGAGTCTAATTTCATTGGCTTTCTCCTTAAACAAATCCCCTGGCTGCAATCCTGGGAATATCTTAGGATCTAGATCATTTTGCTGAGCTCTTTGACTCTTAAGATTTTCAATTTCCCTCGGACTACAAATACTGAGAGCCCTTGAATAAAGCCTCCCAAAGCTGCTAAAAGCTCTATCTGAAAGTATAATAGCTAGGTACATATAAATTGGCCAAGTAACGCCAGTAATAGCGAGATACTCTAGAGAAGTCCAAAATGATCCATATAAATCTACATAAATTTTACAATAGGTGTAAATTCACGCAATAACTTGAAGGAAAAGTGTGAAAAGAAACATGAGAACCATCCCATATACTATTTTCGTTGACGCAACTGTATCACTTGCATTTAACTTGACTGAAGAAGACATTAAAACTTTTTTTCTTTCTTTTTCTGCAATCTAGCTCAAAATTGCACCCATAAGAAGAGAAATTGTTAGTCAGAAAATTAAATACAATTTGGTTAATAATTTATATCTTATTCAGTCCAAGAGTCAAGCATTCAAAAATCAAGAGAATTACTAAAAAGTTATAAAAATTATTGAATTAACTTTGCGTTTAAATTAAGTATCTCAGGCTGTTTTAAAATTATAACGATTTAAAGCCAATTCATCTAATGATTATTTTCTTAAGTGAATATATTGCTTATAGATGAGTTCAAGTTTTGCACGGCTGCAGATTTAACTTAGTGAGTCTATCTTTTCATATAAATTAGGTTTTATTATTTATGCAGATTCAAATAAAATAGCATAATACTGTTGCTCTACGATTTGCATTTGCCAAGAATTTCTGGAAAAATGAGAAATCTGAAAAATTTACAATTTTGGTTAAATGTCAAAAAGCGAGCATGAAAATATTAACGAAGAGGATGAGCGTAAAATCGACTTAGAATTGTCTGGAGACAGGATTAATTTGAATGAAAATCAAGTTTTTGAAAGCACAGAAAATGCTGAAAATAATGGCTCTGAAAATAGAGAACCCGAAAATAGCCTTTCCGAAAAAGATGCCATTGAGCTTCAAAGATGCATTGATATTGCCAATAAATATTTAAAAAACCATGAATTTGCGAAATCTATAACTTTCCTGACCAAAGCTTGCAATATTCAACCATCATCTGAAAATTTTCAATTGTTAAATAGTGTAAAAGAAAGAAAGGAAGAGCACGAGCGGAAAATAAGAGAAAGTGAAGAGTTGGCAAAAAAGAAAGCAGAAGATAAAAGAAAACTTGATGAAGAAAGGCAAAATATATGCCAGCGAATATTAAAAGCTAATGATATTTATGAAGCTTTAAATATTGAAGCTGAAGAGCCAGACGAAAATGTTAAAAAAATTGCAAATAGGATTCTTTTAAAAATACACCCAGATAAAATAAAAGTTTCGAATCCTGATGACTTTAAAACAGCAGCCCAAATATTGAATAACTTTAAAGGAGAAATTGAAAATAGAATAAGAAATAAATTTGTTGAAATAAACTCTGAAGGCCAGAACCAGCCATTAGCTATAGAAGATGAAAAATCAGAAGAAAGCGTTGATGAATTCAGTAATTCAGATGATTCTGGATGAACAGAAGAAGAAAGTGAATCTGAATTTGAAGAAGTTCAGTCTAGGAAAAGAAGAAAAATAATAAATTTGTTTGAGACTCAACCATATCAAGAGCTAGATTACTTTATTTTGCATTTTAATGATGTTGATTTTGTAACTCCTCCTCCAGCAAAAAAGATTTCAGATGAATTTGATAATTTTGATCAGTATCAAGAAGAGTTTAAGGCAGCTTTTTTTTTAGAGGTGAAAGAAATTATTAAGAAGCAAATTAAAGATATAAACAAATTCAAAGTTTTCAATTTAATTTTGGAAGAAGATACGGGAGGCTATAAAGTTTCGCATTCAAATGAAAGTGCTTTTATTAAAACATTTTATGATGAAATACAGGCAAATGACTTGCTTCTACTACTCCCTCATAGTGGATCTGGTATTCAAATGTCAGATGAGATATTAAGTTCAAAATATTGATTAGGAATTGCAAGGAAAGAGCACAGAGGTGGTTTGATTTCAATAAAAGCGCAGCAATGTGGCGATTTCGAGCAGAATTTTAGATAGTGAGCCTTGGAAACTTAACCACACTCAGAAGAGAATTTTTGACTTTTAGCAAGATTGAAGATTCTTTGTTATTGGATTATATATTATTTCCTAAACCACCTAGAATATCATCAAATCCAATTGTTTCAGAGCGTTTTCTTAAAACAATCAAAAATAAATTTAATCAATCGCAGTATGATGTCCTTAATTACTCATTTCGTGTTAATGAAGGGATTTTGTTAGTTCAAGGCCCCCCAGGAACAGGAAAAACTTCAGTAATTCTTGGTCTGATTTCAGGATATTTGTCAATCGATCGTTATTTAAGGCCAAAAATTTTAGTTTGTGCTCCCAGCAATGCAGCCATTGACGAAATCGCCTCTAGAGCTCATAACCATGGACTATTTGATGAAAATGGAGATCAGCTGCAAGGCATCCCAATGCTTAGAATTGGCCAAAAAAGATTAAAAAATGAGTTAGGAATAGTGGAAAATGTTAATACAAAAGAAATCCCTGTAAGCGTTAAAGAAATATCATTAAATTACTTGATAGAAGTAGCTATGGAAGAAGAAGGATTGAGAGACCCTACAGATGAAATTAAAAAACTGCGAATAAAATTAGACAGATTGAGCGGTGAACGAGATCAAATGACCAAAAAAGGAAATAAGAATGTTGAACAATATGAAAACTTAAATAGAAATATTAAGCTTTTGTTAGATGAGTTGAACCAGCTATATGATGAAAAGAATATATATATTGAGCGCCAAAAATCCCTGAAGAAAGAGTATATTGATGAATCAGATATTATTTTTTGCACAGCAAGCACAGCTGGCTCTCTGGATATTCTGGCTGCGTTTACAGCTGATGATAATGGAATTTCAATAAGAAAATTTGACTATCTTATTATTGATGAAGCATGTCAATCCATTGAACTTAGCATTTTAATTCCTTTTCTATATGACACTTCGACTGCTATTTTATTTGGTGATCCAAAGCAGCTCCCTGCAACAACTTTTGCAGATGCCTCGAAAACTAACCTATATAACCGATCACTATTTGAAAGGATGGAAGATTGCAAGCTTGAGCCTTTGATGCTTAAAACACAGTATAGAATGATATCTGAGCTTTGTGAGTATCCTGCTATGTATTTTTATGATCACAAACTAAAATCTGATCCTAGTGTTGATAGGAGACAAATGCCACCTGGCATAAAGAACCCTGGTTTATGATTTTTTAACTTAGTAAATTCAACTGAAATTCAGGCAAGTGATGGGCATAGCTTTTACAACGAATGTGAAGCAAATTATATCGTTTATGAATTGCTTGGGGAGAGAGGATCATCGATAGGTATAGTAACACCTTATAGAGCGCAAGCTGAGTATATAAAGAAATTGCTTGGAAAAAGATTTGGAGGTAGCTGAAGGAAAAGAATTGAAGTGGACTCTGTTGATGGATACCAAGGAAGAGAAAAGGACTATATCATACTTTCTTTAGTAAGATCTGAAAATATTGGATTTTTGAGTGATAGAAGAAGAATGAATGTAGCTATTACCAGAGCTAGATTTGCATTGAGTATAGTAGGAAATGCTCGTTGTTTAAGGAAAAATGATGATTGAGATGACTTCATAGACTACTGCAATGACAAAAGAAAATTGATAACTATTGACTATGATCCACATTGGGGAAACCCAGGAGATGGAGGATATCATTATTATAGTGATTTTTTTGAAAGAAACAATGAAGAGCAAAAAATAAATACGACAATTCCTCAAGGTTATCAAAATAGAATCCCTGATGAAAAGAAATCAAGCAATATAGAAAAAGTGGAGGCTCCAAAATTAGGATATAAAGAAGTAAGTATTGACGCTAACGCGACTCGTAGAAGAAAAGAAGAAAGAAAACACATAGAAGAAGCTAAAATACCTCCAAAAGCAACAAATTCTAACGCTATCGCCATTAATAAGCAAAAAGAAGAAAGAAAAAAAGCAGAAGAAGCTAAAAATATTACAAGAGTAGATAAGCAAGCTTCAGAAAAGAGCAATACATTACCAAAGAAGGCTCCAAAAATGGCAAATGCAAATATAGGTGGAGGATTTTGGAATAGGCGCAAATAAAATAAAGTTATTATTTAATAAATAAGTAGCAGTTTATTATAGGCATATCCTAAGATAGCCCGATATGGGCAAGGGAAAGACTTCAAAACTCCCCACTTGGTCGGCCAACTCAGGTTGGTAAATAAGTGGTAAGTGGCGATAGAGCCTCCTTCCACTTGGTTCGACCCAACCCGAGTTGGCCAGACCAAGTGGAAAGTTTTTGCCTCTTTCCCTTGCCCATATCGGGCTATCTTAGGGATATGCCTATATATTTTTAACAGACATAATAAATAAATTATAAATTCTGATATAGAAATTTCCCATAGATGGCGCTGTTTGCCCTTGATTTGCCTATGAAAAAAATTTTTTGGTTTGGCCGGACCATACGTAACTGGTCGAACCAAAAAATTCCCCAGTGGGCAAATCAAGGGCAAACAGCGCCATCTATGGGAAATTTCTATATTATAACCCTTGGGCTACTTCAATAGCTAATTTATGCACCAAGATGTATTATATCATATTACTTTTAATACTTAAATTTATTACCAAATATTTAAGCATCATAATGATTATTTTAGAGTCCAATTTCATTCAATAAATTAAAAGCTCCATTCAGCATATCATCCAGATCATTGGCCTTCTCCTTAAACAAATCCCCTGGCTGCAATCCTGGGAATATCTTAGGACCATGCTCATTTACTAGCTTAACCACATGCTCTTTTAGCTGAGCTCTTTGACTCTTAAGATTCTCAATTTCCCTCGGACTACAAATACTGAGAGCCCTTGAATAAAGCCTCCCAAAGCTGCTAAAAGCTCTATCTGAAAGTATAATAGCTAGGTACATATAAATTGGCCATGCAACGCCAGTAATAGCGAGATACTCTAGAGAAGTCCAAAATGATCCATATAAATCTACATAAATTTTACAATAGGTGTAAATAAAAGCAACAATCTGAAGGAAAAGTGTGAAAAGAAACATGAGAACCATCCCATATACTATTTTCGTTGACGCAACTGTATCACTTGCATTTAACTTGACTGAAGAAGACATCAAAGCTTTTTTTCTTTCTTTTTCTGCAATATAGTTCAAAATTGCACCCATAAGTCCTGCAATTACCCACCCAGGAAGAGAAATTGTTAGTCCACCCAAAATCCTTATCAAGGTTATCAAAGTATAAGCAATCATCTTTACTTTAGAAAATTCCCACCATCATGGCAGATGGTGGAACCTCTGCTGTAGGAGCGACAAAATCGTAAGAATTGAGGGGTGGGAAGCGGGCTTGGCTAAATGGGACTATTCCACGACCCTCAGACGAGAAGTCCGACGATGCAACACCAATAGGGCACTTCTTGAGGAGCATTATGCTGCCTGTAAATGATAGTTCCAGAAGGAGATTTGGACGATTCTCTTGTACTCTGGCACTACTAGGAGCGAAGAGAGTCCTTTCCTGCAATTTTTGGTCTAAGCAGGCTCAGGTGAATCTTCCCCGAAAGATGTCGACGTCACCATTTTTGATGACGTCGACAGAAAATTGCGTAAGCTGGGATTAGTGCTTAACGTTATTGGAGCGCGAAGCTAATCCGTGTAAGAGCAGGGGCTGTAATCCTTAGCGATCCCTCTAATCTAATCTCTCTTTACTTTAGAGAAATTCGACAGCCTTAACTGGTAATCTTGCAGCCCAATTTTCTTCAAATTATTTGAATAAGCTTCAACAATTTGCACTAGATTCTTAAAGTCAGGCAAATCTGAGTACTTTTCTTTTAGCTCTTTATATCCTTTTGCAAATTTTATATTCATTTCCATATCTAAAGCTGGGTTTTCTCTAAGATGGTCAGGCTTGTAAACTCTTCTTGCCATAAATACATGAGAAAGCTCATCATAAGTCGGCGCTGTGACCCAAACTTCTCCAAGTCTCTAAATATCTTTTACATTTTCAATTTGTTTTAGTAAGATTTCTACAGCCCTTTTGCGATCTCGCAAATAGAGCGATGCAAGCTCTCTAGGAATCGCATAAGGAACTCCAAAATTGACGACTGCTTTAGATCTGAATCTGTGCCCTTGATAATAATCCAAGACATGTAATTAAATATGGAGTCTCAGCGCTTCACAGTTGGATACGCCGACTTCTTTCAAACACATAATTAACTATATCCGGTTAGCTTTGGCCCATCCCAGAAATGGACAGCAATACTAGGTTAGCAATTCTTTATATATCAGAGCCTAGCCCAAGTCCGCTTTCAAGGATCAAGGGAAGGGTGACACAGAGTTGGAAAGGGGTCACCAGCATTGACTAGACCAATCATGCACTTCATCAGCGTGAATTCAGGAGTTACACCCTGAGCTACGTGCTTTCCCTTTTTGCCGAGAGTTGACCAGAAATTCCATTTTTTAGAATTTTTGTATGGACAACTCTTGTTCCCTACTCTTCAGCCTCAAGCAAGGCTGCACAATTCCGAAGGCTGCCCACTGAATACTGAAGCCGAAAGACAAGGAGGAGACTCTGCCTTCCCTGATGGAAGAAACAGTCGCAAATGGTTGAATCTTTTGTATGAAGATCCTCGGATATTTCGTAAAAATTAAGCCATTGCCCCACACCGGGAATCGAACCCACGTTTGGGGCCATTTTTGGTGTGTGGCCAACATCGATTTACACGCACCAAAAATGGCCCCACACGTGGGTTCGATTCCCGGTGTGGGGCCATTTTTTGGATTGCCCGAGGATGGCGCAAGATAGCGCCATCCTCGGGCAATTCCTATATCTATTAATAAATTAATAAGATATAATTCAAGCCAACACATTGAATTGTGACTGTGATATTATACCTTGACATGGCTCCTAATGCCATTAAACATACTCCAGCCTTTAGTGGCAATAAATTTGGCCTGTCATGGGAGCCTCCTTCTGGGAATATCCCAATGCACCCTCCTTTTCTGAGCTCAGTCTGCACAGCTTCATATATATCATGCTGGTCTATTTTAGGCATGATCTTAAACTGCATGTCTTTAATCCCTATAGCTGGACCCATAGGGACAACAACAGTGTCGTTTTCAACAGATTTTACAGTGATCATGACTTTTTCACACTTAAGGGCGTCCCCTGGGTGCACTTCAGTCACAAATTTGGTCCCAGTTCCTATGATTCTTTTAAGATCGTCATCATAAGTAATTGTTCCAGTCCCTTTTGTAACATAATCTTGAGGCCTTTTCACAGGGATTACATGGAACAGTCTGGCAAGCGACCCTACAACTTTCTTTTTCATTGACTAAATAAATCTTACACTGGCAGCCATCAGGAACGATGGTTGTCTTTTGCATTGGCTAATGATCAAGACTGGGTCCACAAATTGATTTGAGTGGTTTCCACACAAAATAACAGGCCCAGTCGAAGGAGTCAAGTGCCGCCCAACTGTTTCTACTTCTTGGAAGAAAAAAGCAGCTAAAAGTCTGAGTTAGAATTACTTCAAATAATAGCGTGCCAAGGTGAAAAGCATTTTTATTAGGAAAATAGAGAAAAGATGTTTAATTAGGAATATTCGAAAATAATAGCGGGGGCTTTAAATATAAAAATTAATATGAAGGTGGAAGGAAAAGGTGCGAAAGGAATCAAAGGCAAGGGGAAAGGCAAAGGATTAGGGAAGATTGGGGGAAAACAAAAGAGACGGCATGTTATCAGGGAAAATATACAAGGAATCACCAAGCCGGCAATTAGACGTTTGGCCCGTAGAGGTGGAGTGAAAAGACTGAGTGGGCTGGTGTATGATGAAACGAGAAATGTCCTGAAATCGTTCTTAGAAAATGTTGTAAGAGATGCGGTTACATATACTGAGCATGCAAGGAGAAAAACAGTAACGGCACTTGATGTGGTTTATGCGTTGAAACGCCAAGGAAGAACGCTTTATGGATTTGGAGGCTAAAGACTTTTAATAAATCTAAAAATGGCTTATTATAAATTCATATAAATTAGAGTTGAATAAAGTTTAGAAACATTATAGAAATTATTTAGTCAATCTCGTTAGTTTAGATATAATTGAAATTTGTTTTATTGTTTTTAAAAGATAAAAGTGGTTAATAATTTGCCGTGGTGACTGTAAGGTAAGAAGTTAATTGAAGCCTAATTAATTTTATTTATATAAGGCGATGAAATATTTCGAATCAGTTATGTTTTATTAATTTAAAAGAGGTATGATTTTTTTACTAATAAATGAAGACAAAAGTATTTATTTCATTTACAATCGCAAGAATTTAAATTTTAAGCCTTGGAGTAAAGAGATTCTAAATAGTTTATTGGCATTTCGTCTGACTTATGATGGCTTATAGCATACATTTAAATCAGAATCAAAGGAAATTTTGATTAGGGATTAATAGTGTGATTATAAAATGAAAGAAGATATAGGCTTAGGTTATGGAATTCCACATTTTTGAGCTAATATATCAATATAAGTTATTAAAATTCCAAGAAAATTAGTTATTCAAGCAGTCATATGCATTTGAACTATTAAAGTTATTTTAGTAAGAGTGATAAGAATTTTTAAAATCAATTACTTTCAGGAAATCAATTTTCTCCCATAATATTTAGACAAATAATAATTAATTTATAAGTATCTATAAAACTTCTTGGGTGGATTTTTTTAAAACGCTTAAGGCTAGTAAACAAGGCTCTTCTAAATTTTTCTGGTTTTCATCTTCTTCAAATCTTGACCTTTCTGTCCTAAACAGAGACTGAGCTTGCTGCGGGGATGGAGAGTGACTCATATCAGTAGATCCATCTATTATTAGCTGTGTTGCAAATGATCCAGAGTTTCTAAAATTATTTGATCTTCTTTTAGAAAATCAAGTTTCCAACTTAGTGATATTTTTATTTAAATGCATTGTCTTATGAGACAATTTTGTTTGATATTGGCAATAAGCTGATTTTATATTTGTCATTGAAGAAGCTCTTCCAGTGTGCTTGAATTTATGTTTTTCCATTATTTTAGCTTAGTTTATTAAATAAAACTAGTGTTTAAAATAACTGTGATTGCTACGGAAATTTTATTTGAGAATTAATATATCTAGCTTATAATAAATACTTCTAGAAAAATGAAAAAACAATTTTTTAGATTTTTCTGGTTTTTATGCCTTAATTGAACTTAATATAAAAATGTTATATTAATAATTCTATTATCCTGATAACTCTAGCCTTTAAGTAAGAAATAAAAGAATCATTTCTGGTTCTCTTTCAATGGTATAAAGAAAAATATTAATTGTAAGGGAAACCTTATATTATAAAATAATTAATATGGAGATGGGACTGGATATGTCCTTGACTAAGACACACTACTCTAGTCGCAATAGTCACTTATACTAAACTAAGGTTTAGCCTTGCTTATTGGGAGGTAGAAATTTGTGGGATTGGTAAATCTAGAAGTCAGCTGGCAAACTCCATGATCAAGTATTGATTATTAGATTTTTTTTTGCCGCTGCCTTCCAGTTCTAGAGGGGGGGGATTCTTTTTCCTGTACCAACTCTCCCAAAGATGGCCAGCAGAGAGGTATCGGTAACCTTTACCTCCATAGCAGCCGATGGTTTACTGACAAAAATTGGGAATAGCAGTGCAAACCCTGCTCATAGAGGACACCACTGTTCCAAATAGCGGCTGAATTACAGCCTGGCAAGCAGTTGGCGTTGGTTGTAAGTGTGTAGAGGTATCAAATTTGAAATACTTTAAAACTCTTTAATCTAATTTATTTATATTATAAGAAATACAATCATCTGATTTAGAGACCAATTAATGAAGGTTAATTATTATTGCTGTTCTGCTTTGATTTTTTCTAAATCTTGTCTAAGCTGATTAATATCATGCTTAGCATTTCTAGATATCGCAGACTCAATTCTGATTTCCAAATCACTCATTTTTGACTGAAGTCTAAACTGGTCTTCAACATTCCTTATCAATGCCGCATAGCTTTCTCTTAAATCTACCAAAAGTTTATAAATAACTTTGGCAGCTGAATTTTTCTTCGCTTCTTGAAACACTAAATCCTCAGTTGCAGCATCAGTCCTTTTCAATGCTTCTCTAGTTAATTCCACGCTCTTCTGCATCTGTGTTATATCTTTCACAATTTTCGTCATATCTTTTTTCTGTCTTTTTAATTTTTCCACAATTTCTGTGATCCTTTTAACATAAGTATTTCTATTAATGCTTGACGTTCCTTTTGCTTCTTCCTGCTTCAGAATTTCTAACAACTCTTCTTTATCTTCTGCTTCTTCTGCCATTTCTCTCATTTCTTCTTTCATCTGTTTAATTTCTTCGATTTTATCACTGTAGCTTTCTTTCAGCTTTTCAGTCTGGATTTCTTTTTCTTTAATTTCTTCCAAAATCGGCTCTTTGTACTCGTTTCATTCTTTTTCCATTAATTCAAGCTTACCTTCTAGATCTTTTATTTCTTCTTCAAGCTTTGTAGAGTTTCCTTCTGTAAGTGCTGTGCTCCAATCATTTGATAAGATTTTTACTCATGTGGCATTTCTTTGAATTTGGTTTTAGCTTTTCCATAGGGCAATTGCTCGAAAAAAAAGTTAAAATTTTATCAAATTTATTATGAGTAAAAAATTTCACCAAAAATACCCAAAGCTCACATCAGGAAAATGCTCATATCAAATTGCACAAAGCCAAGTGCTGTAGCCATCCTATGCTTTTGCTCAAGGTCTTTCTTTAAGTTTTCATTATCAGTTTTAAGTTGCTTTAAACTCTGCGACGTTGCTGTTATATTTGCTTTTGCTGTAGAAATTGACGCTTCAATTTGATCATTTTCTTCCGAAATTTCTTTAAGTTTTTCTTCAAGCTCTTGGATTTCTTTTTCTTTTTGTTCCATTGAGTCAGCTGATTTAGGAGGAGGGGTGCCTTCAATGATGCCGCTTTGAAGCAGTTCATCTTCTTCTAGATTTTGAGTGTCAATAGCAAAAACACTGCCAATATCTTCTGTGACTTGAGAGGTCAAATTTGGGCGTTCCAGTACGTGGAGGAGGGATGGGAGGGATTTTTCTGAAAGGTCAGATTTAATTAAAATTGAGGAAGTTTTATTTGAAGATCTCCCTATTGAAAAATCGAGGTCTTTGCTTTTATTTATTTTTGATTGAGTTAAATAGACTTGAGTGGTATAGAGAGCTGAAGGATTGCCTTTCGCGAGCCTTTTTTGCCAGTAAATTTTGGAGTTTTTATAGGTTTCCCATGCTGGTTTTAGCTCTTCAGAAATTTCGGCACCATCATGAAGCTCGACTATTCCACGAAAAGTTAACTTATGAGTTTTATCAAATGGAGGCTGCCATTTCTTTTGAGTCCACTTACTATCTTTTTTTAAAAAAAAATTTATTTTTAAGAAAAAATCATTAAATTTTAAATTAATTATTATAAATATGCACGTAGTTAGAAACCTTCTCTTTAATCCTTCTTTGAAATGCTTGCTGAGGAGTATCATCAATAGCGACTGCCTTTGCCTCTTCTTTGTGACATTAAAATGGCGTGGTGAATTCACGAACCCTCTATCTCCTCAAGCCATGAGGTAGCGAGTATAGGCTTTTGTCTAGAAGGAATAGCCTTCGCGATGCCGTGAAATGCTGGAAAGAGGTCCCTTAGGAATTACATATACTTTTCGATAATAAAATAGCATTAATTCCTCTTCTTTTGGAACTTTATCCATCATGAATCCCACAACTTTTCTGATGTCCTTTATATCTGGATACAGAAAAGTGTTAAAATTAAGATCTCCTGTATACCCTAGAGTTTTTATTTTTTCGCTAAACTGCATGCACATCTTGTATTTTGATGAAAGGGTTGTAGGGTATTCAGTGAAAACTTTTCCTAATATAATGTTTAGAAGGCCCATAGTGACTGGAAGAAGAACATCAGGGTTTTGCAAGTTTTCAAGGGATTTTATGCCTTGACATGCTGGGATTGACATCTGCTGGAGAGATAAAATCAATAGGTCGTCTACGTCTTCCATAATTATTTATATGTTTTAAGATGGATCCTTAAAGGAAATTATTTCTCTAATTTCATATCTAATTATTATTTATCTCTCTAAATAATTAAATATGAGTCCCTTTTGAGCCTGGCGCAGCTTTGAGCATATATTTAAGCTGGCAATGTTTACCAACCCAGAAATGGACAGCAATTCTATTTTTGAGGATGGATTTACCTCTTGGACGATGAGGACGAGAATATGAAATGGTGCCCAGCAAAATTTAGTAAACCACTAGGCCATTCTAGAACTTGTTCCTGTGCGATACCAGACATTGAATCAGGACTTCGAGTTGTCCAGAGATTCATATTTTAATAATCTGAATCCGACACTAATAAATAATTTGACAAGAATATCTCATCTAAAATTTCCTTGAGATCCTCAATTATATCTTCTATAACAGGCCTATTTTCTGGTAAAATCGATCAAGTATCTCTAATCAAAGACACAAGCTTTGGATATTTTTCTTCAATTCTTCTATCCAGCATAGGCTTCCTTCTATTAAACTCAATAGAATCGCTCAAAAACTTAAAACTAAAATCTTCGCTGTCCCTTAGATAGTCAAAAGGAATCCTTTTAGCTAGCATCCAATAGAGTATCATCCCAAACGATCAGATATCAGCAGCTGCCTCAACTTCTCTATTTGCAAGCACTTCAGGAGCGCAGAAAAACGCTGCAAACTCTGCCTTTGCAATTCTAAGTCTCCCTAAGACAATTTTTGATTGACAGTTAATAAAAATATTTTCTGGCGTCAAGCAGCCACATATAAAATTTTGGTCATGGATATACTTTACCCCTTCAGCAATTTCTAGACCAATCTTTACAACTTTTTGGACGCTTATATTTTCTTCTAAAGTACTTTTCAAACTTTTGCATTCTTCCACAATCAGAGAACAGAAATTCTTTGTGTCATGCAGCCCATAAACTTTTAATATATTTTTATGGCTTAAATCTTTGAGGGTTTTAAGCTCATAATAATAATCTATATATAACTGTGAATTTTTTTTGGGTGTAATTCATGATTGTACTTGGTTTCCTTTATATAACCCTGATATGGCAATTTCTGAAGCGCGGTTGAAATCAGAAGGTGTTAATTCATAATGCAAACTTTTTATAAAACGGATTTCTTTTGCATAAGGTTTGAGCCATTCCTCAATAACACCTCTATACCTTTCTAAGTCTATACTTGAGTTTATTTTTGCTATCTTGCTTATATTATGTGGAATCATTCTGATTTTTGTTTCTTGCTGCATCGAGATTTCTATCAATTCTCCTGGAAATCTCAAAAACTCGACTCCTCTTTCAGCAATCTTGACTATCACTTCACCAATTTTTTTTAAAATTTCTTTTGCCAAGCATGACTTAAAATCAAGCTCTTTGAAGCTGCAAAATTTTTCGTCTTTTTCCCATTTGTCTTTTAAGGACGCATAAATATTTGAGTTTAAGCTATTTGATCTTTTTTCAATGGTTTCTGTGTGCCATCATACAGAGTACTCTTCTCTTTGCAAATCAGCTGATGAGGTGTCTGCAGTGGATGATCTAGATAAAAAAGCATCATCATCTTTTAATTTCATATAATCGGTTAAACTAATTGTCTTGTCTGAATCATTGATCAATTCACTTATATTTTTATGTGGCTTGTCTGACAATGACAAGTCAAGAGTTGTGTCTGTGCCCTTGAAATTGCTCCCAGGGTGCCTATCTAAACGATTTAAGGTATTTGGGTCAAAAATAAACTCTACACCACAGATTGCTTTAGCTGGCTTGAAAGGGGTGAGTCCAAAAATTTTTGCGAGGTCATAGTTCTTCAAAATGTATTCGACTATTGTTTTTTCATTTTCTATCAAAATTTGGACCAACTCAGTCATCTAATAATTATATTTGTAGATTCAAAAGGGTTAAATTTAAGATAAACATGATTATTTGCATAGTAAATAGCGATTTATACTTAATTATAGTGAATTGCCTTGATTTTTATAATGCTTTTGCTAATAGAAAGCAAAATGTGATAGAAAGATATATATTATGGATAGAAAATAATGGGATTTTAAAATTAAATAGCGTCTCTTATGGTATGGTATTTTCTAATGCTCCTACTTAATTCTCTTGCTATGCAAGATGATTTATAGCTCATCTGACTTGACAAGCTAAATGACGAGTTTTTCTTTTGATTACTAAACCTATTGTTTGTTGGGAAAAGCAGATCAGTGGGGCTTTGCTTTGTAAGAATTTCTGATGGTGACCCAATTTTTATAACGGAGCCCTTATCCATCACTATTATTTTATCATAATCCTTTAAATTTGCAAGCCTATGAGAAATGGCTAAAATTGTAGACGATTTGAATTTTTCCCTTATAATTTCTTGAATAAATTTATCTGACTCTTGGTCTACATAAGCTGTGGCCTCATCGGTGATTAATATTTTATTTTTTGTAATGATTGCTCTGGCTAAGCATAAAAGCTGCTTTTCTCCGGTAGATAGAGATAATGCTGGAGACAAGTGAGTATTAAGACCATTGAGGGCTTGGAAATGGTCGTAAAGCTTGACTGCTTTTAGTGCTTCTTTTATGTCGTCGTCTGTGTATTGGTTTAAAGCGTCAATGTTATTTCGTAGAGTTGTGGTAAAAATGAATGGGACTTGAGGAATTATGGCTCAATGCCAAATAATGTGTAAACTTTGATGGTGCGACAGTTTCTAGGGGAAAATTGTTGGAATTTTTTTTGATAGTGATATTAGACAGAAAAAACCATTAAATTTTGATCAAATTGACTTCGATGAATGCAAAATGTAAGATCATTGGGCCTTCGCCCAGAATTATTGACATTTGCTTCCTGAGGTTATGCAGACCGATTGTGTAGATATCTTGGCCATCGATAAAAATATTTCCAGAGCTAATAGGATACATTCGAAACAAAACTTGAAAAATTGTGCTTTTACCACAGCCAGTTCTTCCTACTATTCCTACTTTGCTGCCCCCTTCGATTTGAAAATTTACATTTTTCAGCACAAAATCCAAGCTATCGTCATATCGCATGTCAACGCCTGCAAACTCCACAGACCCTTTTCTAATTTTCCAATTTTCGCTTGTAGTGTCTCCTTCTGGCTGGACATTAATAAAATTAGAAACTCTTTCAACATTAGTCATAGTGATTTCAGTCTCTGTCATAGTTCTAATGAGTAACGGAACATAAGACATTATGGATGCTGTGAAGCTTAAGCTCATACTTATGTGAGGTTAAGTAAAGCTTACTGTATTTTTTCTATAGTGACTTACACTATCTAGAACGGGACTTTTTTGTTTGTTGACACTATCAAAAAACGCCCCGTTCTAGATGGTGTAAGTCACTATAATTTTTTTTTATATCAATAGTACCGTTTACAATTTTTTGATATAAAAGAGCCTTTTGAACTTTTTATAAGAAAATGGGGTGAAAATTTTAGTGTGTTTTATTTAACCTCACCCTCATACTCGCTAAAGTGGCATCGTCTTTAGATAAAATAAGTACTATCATTAATGAGCTCATACCCAGTGCAAAACTTATGCCCAAAGAGCATGCTAAATTGTAGAATCTTAAACAAGTGATAAAATTAAACGAAATTCGTGCAGCAATTGACGCTTTTTCGGTCAGTTTTTCTTTAAAAATGTTCTTCATCCCATAGCATCTTATAGCTTCTATTCCTTCAATGGTTTCAGAAAAAAGCCCATAAACAGGGTTGCGGCTGGTAAGGTCTTTTCGCTTAAGAATTCGTATTTTATGGGCTATTAGACGGTGAAGATAATATACATAAATTCCATATGCAAAAATAATTATGGCGTCATAAGGGAGAACGATTATGATTGCTATGAAATAGGAAAAAATGATAAGGACATACATGATTGAGTCTGTAAAATTTGTGATCAAATTATTGTCCATTGAATATGTGTCTCGTGAAAACACGTTGAGAAGTTTTCCTTCAGAATTTTTGTCTAAAAACTTTGAATGGGCAAGAACTGTCCTTGAAAAAGAATTGTTATGGATTTGCCTCGCTGATATATAAAACGCTTTAAGCATGCACAAGTTTCTGATATAAGTAGTAACAAGTACAGTTAATGAAATTATTGCCAAAACGACTGGATATAGCCAGTTTTTTTGTTCTGAGCTATTTCTGGAGCTTCAATAAGCGTTTCAGTATGACATACCTATATAAAGAGACTGTGTCGCTATACACATTAATGCAAATAAAAGCATCACAATTATTGATTTAAATCCGAATTTCAAAAACATGTAATAAACTTTGAATTTTACTGAAGCTTTGTGTACTTCGTCGTCACAAGAATCTTGAACTGGAGCATTTTCTGTTGAGCTGGGCTCATTTTTATCATTTTCTTCATGGTTAATTTCTTTAATTTCTTCTTTTTCAGCGTTATTCTTTATATAGGAAAATCCTTGAGCCTTAATAATTAATATGTGTTGGCGACAAAATATGTCCTTAGTGATGACGCACCATTTTGGAAGCCAAAATGGCTTTATAGCCTAAACAAAGGTTCAGACCCTTTAATCTTAACTCTCAGCTGCCTAGAACGGAGTATGGGGTGGGTAAACTTTGGGAGTAAGCTACTGGCCCTCAGGATCCGGCAGGGAAAGAACCTTGGCCTAAAAAGCATCATCTGATAACTAATATTAAACTGAAATGGCCGTGGTTCTTTTTTCCCAGGCGTCACCTCTCCTAAAGGTGGCTGAAAGGAGGTAGCGGGTAACCTTTACCAACATAGCACCCGAGGGAGTACTGACAGGACGTCTTCCTAACTTGTCAAGACTCTTGGAGGATCACAGTGCAATCACTGCTCTAGAGAAGATCACTGTTCAAAATAGCAAATAAATTTTCAAGCAGGTTGACGTTAATCGAAAGTGTGTAGAGGCATAAATTTTGAAGTCGTTAAGACTCTTAATTTAATTGAATTTGAGCCTTAAACTCTTCATAATTTCCTTGAAAATGTACTTTTCCTCCTTCAATGAATATTATTTTATCACACATTGGCAAAAACTCTTGCTGATTTGTAATTAAAATTCTTGTTTTTTCTTTCAAAAGGCCATTAACGCAGTTGCTGAACAACATTTCAGCCACTTTTGAGTCAACTGAGCTAAATGGATCATCAAGTAAATAAATATCCCTTTGTGCATACGCCGCTCTTGCTAATGCAATTCTTGCCCTTTGCCCTCCACTTAAATTGCAGCCTTTTACTCCTACTTGAGTATAATCTCCATGCTTCATTTCACTGATATCTTCTTTTAGACAGCAGCACTTAAGCACATCTTCATAGTAATTTTGGTCATAGCCATCCCCCATAATGATATTTTCTTTAATTGTTCCTGACATAATTCAAGGCTGCTGCTCTAAATAGGCAATAGATCCTTTGATTTTTATTTCTCCGCTGATTAAAGAAGTTTCTTCTAAAATTGTTTTGGCTATTGTTGATTTTCCAGACCCAATTGCCCCGATTAAGGCACATAACTCACCTTTAGCGACCTTAAAAGAGATGCCTCTTAGTACTATTGCAGGGGTTTCTGGACAAGTCAGTAAGGAGCCAGATGTCGTTAATTCTTTTTCTTCTAGTTGGACTTTATTTCAAGAGGCGATGACGTCAATTAATTCAAGTTCTCCTGTTATGTCTGCAGGACTGAGCTGTTGGAAATTGATTGAAGATGAAAGTAAAAATTGCCCAATTCTTCTTGATGTTGAGAATAAATTAGAAAAATATAATAATCCATTTGCAAAAATTCCTGAAACACTAAAATGGGCAGTCATCAATATACTTACGCCACAAAACACATTGCTCAGCTTTAGCACGCCGCCTGTTTCTACATAAATCCAAAAAGTTGCAACTATTATCAATCCTTGCCCACTTATTAATATGGCATTAATTATTAGCTTTAGCACTGCACTTTGAAAATAAAATGAAATTTCACTCTCCCTCAATTTTCCAACAATCTTCGAAAAAGAAATTTCCCATGTATAAAATTTGATTATTCTGATACCATCTAAAATATTTCCTATTAAATTCACCCTTGAGTCAATATATTGGCTTATTTTATTCCTTAAGCCTATATTTTTCTTTGATAAAAATATCTGTAATGGCACTGTACATATGATTAAAAATAATCCAACAAGCCCAGGCCATCCAAGATATATATATAAAGCAACAGCAGCTCCTATCAGATAGATAGGAACAGTCCATACAGGAGCTGCTAAGCTTATCATTCTGAATCCTTCGTTATCTGTAGATATTATGCTCAAAATTTGCCCAGAAATTTCAGGCTGACTTAAAGATTTATATGGCATATTTAATACTTTTTCGTAGGCTAAACCATATATAGAGGACTCTATCGAGACTCCAACGAGCATGAAATCGAAATATCCTCTTTCATTCTGAATAAAATAAAGTAAACTAACAAATAAAAGCAGGAGAGAATATAAAATCGGCTTCCACTGGGATTCTGAGTCATCCTCAAAGTAACCGATAATAAGGTTTATCAAAATTGCTATTGTTATACTTAAATATTGAGTAAGTATAAAAGGAATGCTCCCTGTGAAAAACCTCCACCCAAAAGCTTTGAAAAGGGCACGGATAAAACTGGGATTTCTTGAACATGCTTCGAGTGTCCAAGTGCCTTTTAATTTTTTAAAATTTTCTTCTGTTTCCAAAGATTTGGGCAGGATTTCAAGGTTCTTGTCGTAGTAGCAGTCAGTTTTGGAGAGCTTTCTGATTGTTGGAAATATCCAGAGCATAAGGAAACGACTGATATAGCTCGCTTGGTCTAGTCTACAAAAATCAGCCATTAAAAATTGATTACGTTTATCCCATTGAAAATTTTGAGAAGATAGTTAAAAGAGAGGCTAATTAAATAAGGAAATTAGAATTATAATTTTATGAATTTGTTATGGAAGAAAAAATGAAGCAATTAATTTTTGATAAAAAAGGCTTAAAATTTTTAGATACTTATGGTGAAAATTGAGAAGGAGGCATTTTCGATTTTAAATTAGAGATAAGTGCTAAAAAAATAATTTTCGGGTGTTGGCTATTAAATGTATTGCGAAAACTTTTAGATAATCAATAAAAAGCAAAAGTGCTCTAGGTAAATACTTAATTTATATATATTGAATTAGAAGATCTTCAAATAAATGCTTATTCTGTCCTATAAATAAAGTCACTAAAGTAGAGATCAATTATGTGTGATTTTCTGCTTTTCAAATTTAGGCTTTCCTAGGATTTTAATTTTATTTCAAATTATTAATTTTTGCATTGAAAAACAAATTTTGTGCAAAATCTTTTTGCTGGTGAATTTTTCATTATATGAGGTTTGAAGTCATCAATGTAAATTTTAGTCTCTATTTAAATCTATTTTCCTAATATTAATGCGTAAGTGATCTGCCTATTATTTATTATCTTTCTATTTATCAAATAGCCTTCTGCTTTTTCTCAAGCGTTCAAGCTTGCTTTGCAGGAAAATCATGCTTAGAATAATTATTAAGGGTATCGGACTATATTTTCGAATTCCAAGCTCTCTTTATAAGGCCATAGATTTTTAATTATAATGGAAGCTGAGCAGATTTAAACTTTCATTTAATCTAATAAAAATTTGGCCCAGCAAAGCTCAAGCAAATCTCTTTTCTGAAAAATAAATTTCCTATATGATATATATTTAATTTAGTAAGCTATCAGCATGCAATTTATTATGGTAAATATCTATATTTTTATAAATTAAGTTAAAATTATTTTTATTAAAAATTAAAAGATACCCCTTTTGGCAGAATTTAAAAATTTTCAATAAATTATGATGACTCTCATGTAATATTTAATTGAATAAAGTGATTTCAATATCTAATTATTTGCTTTTCATAGTCAATAATAGATTAAAATAAATCTAGGTAATTTAGATTTAAATTTGCGATTAAGCAAAATAATCTTCTCTTAAAGATGAACGAAAAAAATAAATAAAATAATCGTCAAAATAAAGCTTATAAGAACCCAAAATTGTTTAGTAGTAAAAACTAATTAAAATATATTCTGTAGAAGAAGCAAATTTCTATTGATCAGAAAGTATGAACAAAGCACTATTTTATTACTCGGAATAATAAGTCAAAATATAAAATATTAGAAACATTTATTTTTGTTACAAAGTAAAAATTAATTATTAATAAATTCATATTTCTGAATGCACAATTTATTGGTCTCCTTACTTCTAAATAAAGATGAAAATTTTAATTAAAATTTTACTTATTGCTTATTAATAATCATGCGCAAGCTAACATTCGAGAACAACCCGCGCCTGAGTATCAGAAATCATCTAGATAATTACGAAAAGTTAGAAAAAATTGGAGAAGGTACCTACAGCAGCGTATACAAGGCAATTGATACTAATTCTGATCAATTCGTTGCCTTGAAAAAAATCCGCCTATCAGATGGTGAAGAAGGAATACCTAGCACAACAATTCGTGAAATTTCCCTTTTGAAAGATTTAATTCATCCCAATATAGTAAAGTAATTATTATAAAGGCTGCTTGATGTAATTCATGATAATCACAAACTTTACCTAGTTTTTGAGTATGTTGACCACGACTTAAAAATGATACTTGATACATATTTAGGTCAGGGATTTGACCTTTTTGAAGCTAAATCATATTTGTATCAACTTTTAAAAGGACTTGCTGCTTGTCATGCCGATAAAATTCTGCATAGAGATCTTAAGCCACAAAATATTTTAATAAACAACGAAGGAGTATTAAAATTGGCAGATTTCGGGCTAGCAAGGACTTTTGGGATTCCTTATAGTACTTAAAGAAATAACATGTTGGCGTTGACGAAAAGTGAGCTCTGAGGCGCACTCTTTATGGAATAGGTAGGATCCATCCTGATGAAGTTGAAAACAGGATCTCTGCCCTTTTCCAAGTAAGCCTTCAGGTTTAGGGATGCCTAGCAGAAAAGGGAAGTTTTGTTTCTCCCCCAAGGATTTCCTATCCCTGCCTGCCAGGTGGGCTAGATAGGTTTCCTATCGCATGGTCTTCTCTTATCGGGACCATCGGGCACACACGATGGCTCTGCCCAGCAGAGCAGATCCCCTGGATAGGTGGCTCTGTATGAAATCCAAAAGGGCGACCTGTTGGCGCCAAGGTAAGCAACTGCTAGTGGCTAGATCCAGCATAATCGTTTAAAATATAGTACTTATTCTCAAGATGTAGTCACATTGTGATATCGGCCACCTGATATTTTGATGGGCAACAAAAAATACACCACAACAATTGATATGTGGTCAGTTGGGTGCATTTTTGCTGAAATGCTGAGAGGAAAACCTTTATTTGCTGGAAATACCAATAACGACCAATTAAAAAAAATTTTCATGGTCTTTGGGACTCCAAATGAAAATACTTGGCCAGGAGTCAGTAGATTTCCAGAGTTCCGTAAAAGTTTTCCAAAATATCAAGGAATTGATTTGAGGTCTTTAGTGCCTAAAATTGATGATAATGGCTTTGAGCTGCTTACAGCAATGCTCCAGATGATCCCATCAAATAGGATTACTTCGCAGCAGGCACTTTCTCATCCATTTTTCAATGATATTCCATCTGAGTTGAGAAATATGAGACAACGCCAATCATTCAATTAACAGTAAAATCAAATTATTTTATTACATTATAAATTTCGTAGGATAAAAATACTATTTATTATATTAAAAGTAAAATGGGCTCAATAATCTCACAAATTTGTGAATTTTTTGAAAAAATCTGGCAATATTTTTTTGGAACAATAGAAAAGCGCATCTTAATTGTTGGGCTTGATGCAAGTGGGAAAACCACAACTCTTTATTGGCTTAAGGAGGGTGTGTGTGCATCAACAATTCCAACGATAGGGTTTAATTTCGAAACTGTCAGATATAAAAACACTAACTTTAGCATATGAGATGTTGGAGGATTACCTGAAATCCAAAGCTTATGAAGGCATTATTATCAAGGCACAGAAGGGTTGATTTTTGTTGTTGACTCATATGATAAAGAAAGGCTTGGGGAAGCATCTGATGCGCTCTTTAAAGTTTTGAGTAGTGAAGAACTAATTAAAGTCCCTTTGCTGGTTTTAGCTAATAAGCAAGACTTGCCCAATCCGATTAAGGTTTCAGAAATTGTAGATAAGCTAAATCTTCATTCAATTAAAGATAGAGAATGGTTCATTCAAGCAACATCTGGAATTACAGGAGAAGGACTTTTTGAAGGACTAGAATGGCTCAGAACTGTTTTAAACTCATAACTCAACTCCCATGAGAGATCAAGACCATTGAAAAAATCCCTATTTTTGGATAAACTTCAGCAAGCAAAAAAATTTTTTATGAAAAGGATTTTGATATAGAAGCGATGATTAGTATAATGAAATCTCTAGCTAATTCTATTTACTTTTAAATAAAATTTTTAAATTAAATTAATATTTGCTTTAAAATTATTTCGAATTTTCTAATTTCAAAAAAAAATATGATCATCTGTTGCACATATTTCTTACTGTGCAAGGCATATGGAAAAAATATTACAAATATGAAGCCTGCATTTATCTAACTCCCCCCCTCCCGTGAGTGACAAGACCATTAGAAAAATCCCTATTTTTTGCCCAAAAACCCACCTCCGTGAGTGAACAAAAATTTTTTTAATAGAAAAAATTTTGATATATAAGTGATAATTAGCATAATGAAATCTAGAGCTAATTCTGCTTAATTTTAAACAAATTGCGTTTTAAAACATAAATTTATATAAATAAATTAATATTTGCTTTCAAATTTTTGCGAATTAGGATTTTTTTAAATTTCGAAAAAAAAAATTTTTTATAAAATTTATATATAAATTTTTTAAAAAAAACATTGACCCCCCTCCGTGAGTGAACAAATTTTTCTGTTAACTCACGGAGGGGGGGAGTAAGACTCTACATATGAAAATTTTTTGGCATGCGAGGAAATTTCTCATGTGCCTTTCACAGTAAGAAATATGCGCAGCAGATTATATAAAATTTACATATAAATTTTTAAAAACAATAAATCAACCTCCTCCATGAGCAAATAGCAAAAGTTTTGCTCGCTAATAGAGAGGGGAATAAAAAAAAATAACTATTCGAAAGTTACACAGATTAATTAAATTTTTAGATACCTCTAATTTTTAGTTATCCATTTGATGTTCTGGTAATGAAGAAAAGCTTTTAAATAAATAGATATTTTAAATATGAAAACAGCAATGCAAAGTTCTCCCAATAAACTAATGATTATTTAATTACAATTAATATTTTTGCTATATATAATAAAAAATCAATGAATAGTTTGAGTTCATATATCGCCAATAAAACATTTATTGGGATCATTATTTGACTCAGCTCAATTTATGGATTTGCAATTTTAGGCATTGGAGAATTGTAAATTTAATGTAGATTCGTCATTCTGAGTGGGATAATTTTCATTTTCTTTAATTTAGGAGAAAGAAAAGGAGTAAGTGCTTATAGTGTTTTTAATGATGGATGTAAAAAAATACTTGGGACTTCCTCAGCCAGTGATTTAATAAATCAGCAAACCGGCCAAAGAAAATCAACTTCAAAGCCCGAAGACTACGTTGAGCCATCTTTTATCGTTCGAAATCAAAGATTAAGAAACAAGCCATGCCCCTGTGGATCTGGTAAAAAACACAAAAAATGCTGCCTCTATGCTCCTGAACAGTAACTGCCATATAGAGATCCTGAAGACTAATAAACCTAATTATCATTCAAATTAATTACGATATCTGTCCAGTAATTTTGACACCTAATTTCATATAGTCTAACCTAACAATCATGGCTTATTGGTAATTTCCTTATACTTTTATTATCCTTCTGCAGATTTTTTTACACAGAATTTTGAAACTCCTCTCCACTATTTCTTTTAATTAAAAATCAGCCCACTTTCATATATGTTTTTATACCTAAAATATTTAAAAAAGGCAAGGTTTAATAACCATATAGGTAATAATATTGCTTTAAGACCAAAAGTTAAATGGAATCGCCAGCACAGTCGCTGATTCAAGCTCGCTACCAAGAACTTAAAAACTCAATAACTCACGGATACGTCCAGTTTTATACGTCGGAAACCCATATCAAGACCTTTTATGAGTTAGGGCCAAGAATCGATGGAAATAAGCCTCATCGCTTTTCTCAAGTGCGTCTCTTCACCCACAGACAGCTCCATGCAAAAAGAGCAGTAAAATCATATTCTTTAAGCGACGCGACCTTAACAAGAGACAGAAATGACATAATGTTTCCAAGCAAGCAAGGCCTTTTATTTTCGAACATCATAAATGAAATATCAGCACTTTCAAAACTGCATCATCCAAATATAATCAAAATTTTTGAAGTATTTCTGGAGCCGAGATACATCCACTTGGTCATGGAATTTTGCAAAGGTGATACTGTTTTTGAGCTGTTACGACAAATTCGGTGTGTGCCTGATAATAAAGGCATTATGTTTACTGCACAAATTTTAGACGCAATAAGACACATTCATAGTCTTCGAATTTGCCATAGAGGTCTATGGGTTGAAAATATCATGTTTTCTGATAGAGAAAGAACCCAGATAAAAATCATAGGCTTTGGAAGTTCTGTAAAACTAGCTAATGGAAATTTAACTGAAAAATGCGGAAACCTTTACTATACAGCACCTGAAATTTTTTCAGGGTCATATAATGAAAAATGCGATGTATGGTCACTTGGGGTGACAATTTATACCATGCTAGTCGGATCGCAGCCTTTTCAAGGTGAAACATATGGAGAAATAGTCAAAAGCATTATGAAGGCAAATATTTTAAGACCTTCTCAGTTTAAAAACCTGCCTGGAGAGACTCGACACTTTATAAAAGGAATGCTTAAAAAAGATAATCGCCCAAGTGCAAGTGAGCTGCTTGACTCTGCAGTTCTTTATACTTATAATTTCTCACAAAAATCATTAATTTTGCAAAAAATTCTCCATGCAGTTCTTAACCCAGAAGAAGACAGAATGCTTGAAAAAAAGCGTTTACTTGGAAACAAACTTAAATATGTTATATCAAAAATATTGGCATCAGCAAATATGCTGCCTGATGTCCCAATAATAGAAAAATTATGGAAGGATCTTGACTCGAACAGGAATGGAGAGCTCAGAACTGATGAGTTCCACGAAGGTTTAGCCAGATTTCTAAAAAATCAAGAAGATCCTGAAGAAAAAGCCAAAATAATAGTAAAAAGAATGGACATTACTAGAAATCACAGCATCACTCATGATGTGTTTGTAAATCTTGTCCATGAGATTCCAGATGTCCATTGTCTTTATCATGCTTTTAATAGAATCGACTCAGACAGTGATGGTTTGATCTTAAATCTTAATTAGCAGATGGTCTTGGCCATAGGTTTACACAGTTCCCTGGGACACATAAGGTTTTATCCGCTTTGCGAAATACACTGTCGAACACTTTGTTGGCTCAGATGACTTGGCTGGCAAGCTGCCTCAGACACCATCTTCCTCCTTTTCTGGGCCCTGATGCCATCAGCTCCTGGAGGATTGTCTGCTGAGGACCCCTCCTCCTTGCTTTAAGGACTTCAGTTTTGTGTCGGAGAATTATGGATTTCTGCTGCCCTGTAATTGGGTCTTTTTTTATTATCAGTATAATAGCTTACTGACCATATCTGGTCTCCTATTTTCCAGTCAGAAAACTGCCATAATAGAAGACTGGCTACAGTCAGTAAAGCCAGTACACTGGCAACCAAAAAGGCCCAATGAATAATCCATGAAAAATACTTAATCCCTTGACCAGGCCGCAACCCCTTATATCGTGATAAAGTCCAACTTAAGGGCTCCGAAAAGGAAATTGCTACGTTACTTATTTTCAACCACAATAACTTAGTCAAAACCTATGCATATATACATAATCGCAAATCAGACCTGATTCTCTACTGGTTTTCACTCAATTTACCTAGCCATGAGGCTGAAAAATTGCATCAAGAGGTAGGCTTACTTAGGCCACAATTTTATATATATGTGATGGTTTGATCAACGCTGAAGATATTGCGATGTATATAGAGGACGAAAGAGTTGACAGACTTTACCGTCTGGCCGCTGAAGTGCTTGGCAAGGAAATGCTGAGCTTCGAAGACTTCTACATCTTAATAAGGAAATTTGCAATATAAATGCAAAATTAATCGTGTTTAATAAATATTATTATATTATAATCAGAATTTAGATAAAAAATACAGAATTAAATAATATAAATATAATTCAGATATAGAAATAAATGTTTTAGAGATAAAACATAAAGCTTTTAAGCTTAATTACACTTTTGAGTGTGATTGGGTTTTGTTGAAAATGTTTAGTATTCATATAAATGAGATTGACTATTGATTTAGGAGAAAGGAAAAAAAATTGAATGAATTAGTAAATAATATTGCAGAAAAACATAGAGATTGAATTAACTATGAGAAAATCTGTGTAAAGCCCGCTGCTTGGAGGATTTAGTATAATTCATTATTTGTAATCTATAAGAGAGGGGACAATTTAAACATTTAGGATCTATAATTGTTCAATCAGCGCTTAGCTTAATTGATATTCTATAGAGCAGGATTACTTAGAGCTCTAGTTATTTTTGAAGCATAACTTTACACTTTGCAAAACTTAAATCATCAAAAATCAAATAAATTTAGTCAAAAGATAGTGCAAAAGAACAGCGAAGCTTATTTTGAAGTGTGGATAAAGCTTAATTTACAAACCATAGGCTTTTTCCATAAATTTATATGCATAAGCTAAATTTATCAAGTGTGTTTTTAATATCATAGCTAAATCAGCAATATCTCAATTGGCAAATTTAGCAAAATTAACTTTATTTAAATATTAATTATCTTTTAACAGGAATTTTCTGAACTCGTCAAAACTGATCATCCCATCTTTATTGACATCAGCTTCCTCAAAAAATTTGCTTCATTCTGAGTGTTCAATCCCCGGTACCGCCTCTTTAAGTTCATTGAAACTTAGCTTCCCATCTCCACTTGTGTCATACACTTCAAAAGCATTTCTTAATTTTCTTATTTGTGCAGCAGTGTTTCAATTCGTTGCAGCAACAATAAATTCCGAATACTCAATACATCCACTTTGATCTATATCACAATTTTTCAATATTTCTTCAACCTCAGCAATATCTTCTAATGCCAAAATTTTGCAGCCTTCAATAAGTTCAGCTTTATTTATGACCCCATCATCATTAGTGTCAAGGGATTTAAAGATTTTTATATATTCTTTTTCTCCAGCAATATCTGTGAACTGTGAAATAATAAATGTCAAAATTGATGTTTTTATGATTGATTTTGCCTAAATATTTTATACTTGGAATCTGGCGATACGAGTTAAAACTTCTTCGTTTCCACTTGATTTATTAAGATTTTCTCGGTTGACAATTCAAGGATGATTAAGCGCCTCAACTGCTGTAATTCTATTCTTATAATTGATATTTAACATTTTGCTTAATAAATCTTTTATCTCTTCTGAGTATAATGAAAAAAGCTCTGACGTTAAAAGAAAATTTTCATTAATTCTTCTTGTAATTTCATTGATTGATAGTCCAGTAAAAGGAGGCCTTCCTATCATAATTATATATAAAACTACTCCTAAGCTTCATATATCACTTGCAGTTTGGTTATGGTCTCCCTTCCTTACTTCTGGAGCCAAGTAGTCAAGCTATGTAATAAATACAAAATCGGTTTGTATTGGAACTTGGCAAATCCCAGGAGACAGCTCAAAATTCATTAATTTTAAGACAGAATCATCTTCAGTAGATTCAAAGACTATATTTTCTGGCCTTATATTTCTATTAATAATTCCCTTGCTATGAAAATATTGCATACAAGTTAAAATGTCACGCATATAGCAACTTGCATGATATTCACTAATTCTATTTTGCAAAATCCTATCAAAAAGATTCCCTCCCTTTAAATACTCAAAAATAAAATAAATTTTGTCGCTTGATTGGCGGATTTCTACAACTTTACCTATATTTGGGTGATCCTATATATATTTTACAAGTTCAACAAGTTTATATACTTCTTCCCAACCTTTTTCTTCCATTTCAGGGTTTATAAGTGATTTATTGATTTCTTTTATTTCTCGTTGCAAGTTATTTCGATTGTCAACTGCAAGTTTGACATCACCATATATTCCAGCTTGAAGCTTTTTAATAACAGTAAAATTTTTGCGAATAGTGCCTGAACTAGTCTTAATAAATTTAGCACGAGTAAGCCCTGTGCCCTTTTTTTCTAATGAAGGGTTGGATTGAGAAGCTGAAGCGTTAGTTTGAGTTGAGTTTCTGCTTTTAAGCTTAATTGATGACTTTTTAGTGTTTTTTTGGGAATTTTGTTTTGAGTTAGGCTCTTCTCTTGAAGCACAGCAGCCCATATTTAATTTTATGTATAAATTATTAATCATTTGAAACGAAAAATGTCTCATAAGTCTTAAATTCAAAAGAAAAGTAAAAAAGGATAATGAAGAGCAGATAAACTAGAAATAAAATCAAAAACCCTTTAAAAATATTAGTATTAATTGCTTATTGTTTGAATAAGCATTATTACAAAATTAATTTTTTCAAACTGAATTTATTCTAGAACCATTTGCATGATATTTATATTTAACAAGATTAGAGAAAATGCAAAAGGCAAATAAATATTTTTTTAAAATTTGGCCTATTATTAAATTGTACAGCTGTAATTGTAGATGATTCATTTAATTAGCGAAACAATAAAAATACTAAAGCATTTCATATCTAGCAAAATCCAACACTTATAAGATGCTGATACCTCATGAAAAATTATTTTTAAAGGATAATGTTCAATATATAGTCTCTTAAAGCCCAAAAAGGGATAACTTTTGTAGGAATGGACTATTATTCAATAATCAATCTTTTAGACTGCTTTTTATATCTTTATTACTTGAATCACATCAGAAATGAAACATCTAATGGATATGATAAACTACTATCCATCGAATTATTATACCTCTAGAAGCTAAGGGGTCTTCCAGGCTATATAAGTTTTCAATTATTTTCTCATCATAAAGCAGCAGGAATAAGCTTAAAATTCATACTTATTTTTATAAAATAACAAATTTTAAACAGATTTTACCTTTTAGTTAATTGTCATATTTTTCACAAAATGATCCATTTAGCATATTTTCTTTAATAAATTTTCCCAATTTTATTTCTCAAGAAACTAACTGGTTACTTATATCATTTAAATTATTAGCTTGAGCCATGCGATTCATTTTAAAAGTAATCTTTTCTGATCCAGATAAATGGAGATATCTGGCTTTTATCCCTTCAAGCAAGTCATTGGAGAAATGGCGTGCTTTGAAGGAGAAATCCAAAATAATCAAAACTCTTTTGGAAATAATAAAAAAATTGGCCATGAAGAGATTAAAGTCCAATCAATGACTCCAAAAAAGGAAGAAGCTATGCTGTTAAAGGATAAGCCAAGATGAACTGCAGAAGAGGATCAGTTGCTATTAGAGTTATATTCTAATTATGGAGCAAAGTGACATCAAATTTCTTTGTATTTTAATCATAGACCATCATCAAGCGTAAAGAACCATTTCTATAGGCTGAGAAGCATGATGACTGCAGACCAGAGGACTGAAATTAAGGAAGCCCTTAGGACAAACAAAGCTAAATCATCAGAAATCATACACAACCAAGTAAATTCTCTTTGCCCAGAAGATGCAATTAAAAACAATCTCGAAGTATCTTTAACCGATAGCATTACGATTAATGATACTCTAATTCAAAATTTAGGAGGAAGCTTGAATATCTGCACAAAAATTAATGAAATTGGTGACAAACGTTCAAAACTAAAAATGCTCCGTCACTGGGAATCAATACTCAGTAATTTAGTTGAAATAAAGAAAACTGAAATAGGACTTGACAATAAAACTTCATAAATAAGCTTGCAAATTTTGATAATAATTAATAAAAAAATGAATATAAAATCCTTTTTCTATAGCATATAAAACTCTCAATATTTTTTTTCACTAAATATTTTGAATAAAATTTTGCTTCAAAAATAATATCCGCTAATTATTATTTTACAATATCTTTGTATTAAAAAATGGATTAAACTTAAGACTTATTCGTTTAAATACGTTATAATAAGCAAAAATTAGAATGATTTATTTATGATCTTTCAATATTATGCACTTCATCCGTGCTGACAAGGAGTAGTAAATAATGCGATAAAAATTTTATTGATTTCTTTTAAGGTTTCAGAAATTAAAATGCTTTTTCAACATTTTTTCAAAATTAAAATGATTAAATATATAATACTTCTAAAATTAATATAAATTTGCCTTTATATATTATAAGTAATTAAAATATGATGAGCTATAAATATAAATTATAATCATAGTAAAGCATCTTTATATTTTAGGTTTAAGACTTAATTGAAAATAATGCTTTATGCTTGCATTTGCCTTATGAAAATGTACAGCAATATTATCATTGATTTTTTTTATAAATTTGCATGTTTATATCCATTATCTTATTAGCATTTATGTATTTTTCAAATTAAATTTTACAAATTTTTGTTGACTATTGAGTTTGTAAACCTACCTTTTCAATATTTAATAAAATTATAATAATTAAAAAGCTGAGACCTCAGTTATATTTTTATTAAATAATGCTTTAAAAAGATTGCTATTGCTTAATTGAGCAAAAAAAAATCACTGTAATAATAAATGGAGCCCGAACTTATCAACAATTACAAGAAAAAGATTCTTAATATGAAAGAAGAAGTCATAAAGCTCAATAGGCAGATAGCCCAAGCTGAAAGTATCGATGAGACTCAATCTGGAGATCGTGACGAATCCCTCAAAAAGCAATCTCTCCTTAGACACTGCCAAGGAGAAATCGATGAGCTAACTGATCAACTTAGTAAGCTGCAAGAAACTAACTCTGAACTATCAGAAAGCTGTGAAGAATTAAAAAATCGAATAGACCCTCTACCAATTTCTGATAGTCAGCTTGAAGAGCTTAATGAACAAATCGCAAATTTAGAGAAAGAAAATGAAGACTTAAAGAGGCAAAATGAAGAAATCGGAGATTCTGGGCTCCAAGAATGGGAAAACTTATCCCCAACTGCTGCTAATGAGTTTTTTGTGAACCTCCAGAAAAAGCTTTCTCAATTGGAGCAAGAAAATGCAGCTCTCTCAGCTAAATATAAAAAATCGGAAGCAGAAACTAAAAGGCTTAAAGAAAACTGTGAAAAAGCTGCAGCTAGGTTTAAAAATAATGAAGACACTAGAAGCAGACTGCAGCAGCTAGAAGATGACTACCAGAACTGTGTAGAAACTGAAAAGGAGCTGAAAGAAGAAATTGAAGATGTCGAAAGACAAATCATGCAGAAATCTGCAAGCACTGAAGGTCAAGATATAAGAAGTTTACAACATATGATTAGTGAACTAAATGAAAAAATTAGTCAAGAGAAAGCACAATGTGCAAGACTAGAAAAGCAGCTACAGGATAAGCAGCAAGAGCTAAGGACTATAAAAATTACATCAAATCTAACAGTCAGTAAAACTTCGACTAAGCTTAGCAATGAGCTGGATTTACTTGGAAAAGTGCTAGCCGATAAATTGAAGACGGTAAGAGAAAAAGATAAAGATATCGCTGAAATTTCATTGAAGTATGAAGAGGCAAAACTCCAGCTTAATGGGCCAGAAAAGATATCTACCAATTAAAGTTATTTATAAGGATTAAAATCATATTATTAAAATTTTATTGTAGCTGGATGAGAGCCTATTATAATTTTACTTTCTTGAGATATGCTGTCAATTATTTTTAAAACCAAAATTTAAATTTATAAGCCTAGTTAAGAGAGCAAAATTATAAAAATGCTTTTTTAGATCTTTATTGGATTTAGAAAATTATTTAAGCATATCTTAACTTGGAATTAATATTGAAATTACTGGATTTTTAGCTGGAAATTCATTCATGCTATAGAATACATAAAATATTATTTCATCTAGATGCTTAGGCTATATATTAAAATAACTCATCTCTTCATGCTCGGCCATCATTTTAAATTCTTACAATTTCTTTACTTGGATCCAGATAAGTTCTGAGCTGATGATGAATTGATAAAATTTGATTTTTCAGCTCATTACTTGGGACTATTGCTCTATTATTTAAAATATATTCATAAGCACGTCTATAACTTCAGTCTCTGCTCGCCATATAATAAGCAATTACAATGGTAGCACTTCTGTTCTTGCCGAATTTACAATGAACCAAGACTTTTTCTCCCCTAGAAATTGCTTGATCTATAAACCTCAAGCTTTCTTGAACAACTGGCAAAATACTAAAATTTTTTCCTCTTGGCAAAGGCAGCACACAATAATTATACAAATGCTCTTTTCTAGGGACTTCATAAAGTTGCAAAATATTTTTTATTCCACATAATTGCAATTCTTTATCATTTTGGACACTATATTGGTCTCCTAAGTAAATAAAATCATCTATTTTATGCATATGATTTTTCAAACTTGTTCTCGATTTAATAGACCCATTCGGACCCATTTTTAATTTTACCCAATAAAAAATTATCATTTCTTTAGTCCATAATGCTAACCAGACCAGATCAGCATTATTATGCTGGAATTCAGAATTAAGATATTAAAATCGCCAAATTTACGTTTTAATTAATAGGTTAATAAATTTTAAAAATCGATGGGCAATATTTGCAACAAAGATTCAACTCCAGCACCTTCTATTCCCAGACTCCGCCGTAAAAAGAGCCGACTGCCCACCTATAACTGTGACATTACAACACAATATGAAATCGGTAAAGTTATTGGAATGGGAAACTTTGGAGCGGTTAGAATTGGGTACCCGAAAAAAAATCCTACTCACAAAGTTGCAATAAAATCTATAGATAAAGCTCGAGTCCGCTGTATTAGCCAATTGCATTTAGAAGTTGAAATTCTTTCAAGTTTGGATCACCCAAATATAATAAAGCTCCATGAAATTTATGAAGGGAAAAGATTCTATCACATTGTAATGGAATATTGTACAGGCGGAGATTTGATGGATAAAATGTTAAAAAAAGTAAATTTTACAGAAAAAGAAGCAGGGGAAATCATGAAAAAAATTTTAGGAATTGTTAATCATTTACATAAAGTAAATATTTGCCATAGAGACTTGAAATGTGAAAATTTCATGTACGAAGATGATGAGCCAAATTCCGAGCTCAAATTAATTGACTTTGGGCTGTCAAAAAAATTCAGAAACTCCTCTAATAAAATGAGCTCAATTGTAGGAACTCCATATTATGTAGCTCCTGAAGTCCTTAAAGGGGTCTATGGCCCTGAATGTGATTTATGGAGTGCTGGAGTTATCATGTATGCCCTTTTGTGTGGAAATTTCCCCTTTTATGGCGAAAACAAAGTTAAAATTTTTAAACAAATCATGGATGGGAATTTTGAGTTTACAGATAGCATTTGAAAAGAAATCAGTGGACTGGCAAAGGACTTAATCCATCAACTATTAACAGTTGATGTAAGTAATAGAATTACCGCAGAAAATGCCTTACATCATCCATGGTTCAAGTACTTAGAAATGAACCATTCTCAGAGGATTAATCCAAAAATCATCGATAGTTTTCGCAGATTTCGGGTTAAAAGTACTTTTCAAAGAGAAGCTATGGGCTTTTTAGTAAGAGATCTAGAGTCATATCAGATTGCAGATCTAAAAGAAGCCTTTTTATCATTAGATAAAAATAATGAAGGATTTTTGACGCTTCAGGATATTGAAGATGCGTTGAAAGATGACAATTATAACAATATTAATAAAGAGCTGGAGATTTGTTTTCTAAATGCAGATGGAAATGGAGATGGGAGATTAAGCTATTCTGAGTTTTTAGCAGCTACCTTAGCAGCTAAAGATATAAACCTTTATGGCTAATTACATAAGCACGAATAAATTATTTTTAATTTTTTTTTAGATAGTAAAATTGAGATTTAAAAGCTAATTTAGTAAAAAATTATAGTGGATGAAGACCTCTTGTTAAGAATTTTTAAGCATTTTGATGTCAAGGGCAATGGAAAAATCACAGCAGAGTCCTTTGAAGAAGCCATTAAAAGAAGTGGCAGAAAAGGAATTGATGGAGAAAAAGCGATTGCAGAAGTCGATTCTAAAGACAAAGGATATATTAGTTTTGATGAATTCAAAGAAATTCTCAAAATTGAGTCATTAAATTAACTGCAAAATATTAAAATTTATTCTTGAGTCAATTTTCATAGACTTGTTTCAATATTTTAAACTTCTATTAATCATATAGCATAATTAAAAAATTAAAATTAATATGGTATGGTATGGTTATATTTAATTGTTTGATCTAAGTGGGAGATCAATTGAATTATCTAATGGCAGTCTATTCCTTCTGGTGTACTTCTTGTAGAGAATTCTCAGTCCAATTAAAAGTACTCCACACAATATCATCCCTCCAGCTACGAGTAGAAGTCTCACTATTCTCGAGCTTTCTTCTCCTGACACATCTTCATTTACAGACTCAGCAAATCCGACCCTTCTATTATCCATATCATAAATCGTATAATATTTCCTCAAAAATACATCACCAAGCACCCACATATAAGAATCTCCCATTGTAGCCATTAAAAGCAAGCAATTTCTGCCACTTTTCATAAAATAATGATGTGGGCTCAAGGTAAACTTTACATTATCAGAGAATACAAATCCAAGATCTGGGTAATCAGATAATGAATGGGAATTTCCGCAGTCACAAATTAGATTGGAGTTGGATAAGCTGCAGCCAAAACTCCGTTGAAGATAACTGTAGATTTGGTTTACCTCAGTGGTAGGGCCTATGAGGAATGATGTTCCTGTATCGACTATAGCTAGACTTGATGCTAAAACAATGGGTGTTGAATCTATAAAGATCCTTGACAACCTAACTGTCCAATATCCAGGATAAGTTATGACAGGCAAATAAGTAATTTCTTTTTCTTTACTCCCTTATTTGGCTAGCTAGCAAGATTTGTTTGATAAGGGATAAAAAAAAATTAAATAAAAATTTACTTATAATAGGTTTTTGTGATTTTGAAAAATTCAATTTTTAATATACTTGAAATGAAAAGAATTAAATTATGTTTAAACGAACATTTATTAGTAACCATATTAATAAAATATCAAATTATTATTTGTAAAAAATGTTTTTGCCCCACTTGACAAGAGACTTAATTTCCCAAAGATATGTATTTTTTAATGGCTTATTCACTGATCAAGGAAGTGTTGTTAGCATATTTGTCTAAATCATAGCCTCCTATAATAACCATAGACTGAAGATTTGTATTTGACTTCCCATATCCATTATCACTCAAAAACACAGAAAAAGTCGCGTTCTCTATAATACTGCTTTCTTTCATGTTTTGAATTAATGGCGGAATACTGTCACTCAGCCCATCAAATCCCATTCCTAATATCCCATCCGCCTGCATCCCACTAAAATCTTTATCTTTGGAGACCAAAATAAAATCCTGCATAACAGGGTTAAGCGTACCTTTATCCCCAATAAATACAAGATCAGACGATATATTTCCTGCACAAGCCCCTTTTCCATAAATCAGTGTTTTTGGTATTTCTCTATCAACAAATGTAGCTGATTTCTTCTTGTTGAAAGAATTAGTGACTGAGTGGCATTTATCACAGTCTTTGGAAACAACCCAAAGTCACTAAATAAAGCTTACTGAGCTCCCAGTGTCGAAAATCACTTTAAACTTCTGAGGTGGTGAGCCTATTTGGATTTGGCCTTTATATTGCATCTAAATAGAAAATACGTTTTGAAGATTGGATAACTGCGCTGTTGTATTTGCAGAAAGAGATAAAAATCCAGAAGTGTCGAAATCTTTATAAAGCTTACCAAAGGTGATTTCTTCTTCTTTTTCGATAGGGAAATAGATCACGGCAGCGCTAGTCGCGAATAAAATGAAGAAAAACATTATAATTAGACATAATTATCATAAGAAAATTATGTGGATTATCAACATGAGAAATATAGGAATTAGGCTTGCTTTGGGACAATATATATAAGCAAAATGGGTCAGCTTTATTATGTTTAAGCTATTTTTTATTATAAATTTATATAAAACATTATAAATTTATTATTTTGTGTGTATTCAATGTAGTTATTATTTGCTCTTCTTTGTTATTATTTGTACCAGAAGAAGAGTTAGATTCTGTGCTTTCACCTGCTTGCATTTTTTGGGCCTCTATAGGTGATGATTCAGGGTTGCTTGAAGCTTGATAACTTTGAAGACATTTGCATTGCTTTAAAACTAATATAATAATAATGCTGGCTAATAAGCAACCAGCCATAACAAAAAATGTGCCTTGATAGCCTATTAAGATTAAGATTAAGATTACGCTGGGTATTTAAGGTCCCTACTACGTCCGAGGTCGCATGCCACGGTCTCCCGTGTGGTGGCAGAGCGTTCACCAAGCCCGGGCCGAAACCCCCGGTTTCTCGGTAGAGGTATTGTCAAGGGCCGTCTCATACCGGCTTTGCTGACCACCTCCATTTCCAAACTTGGATCGTCGCCTAAGTTTACGCCAACTCCGCTTCGTCGTCCGCCAGATCTGCCCATTGAAGGGCACCTTTTCAACTGGAGAGACCCCCGTTTTGGTGTCTAACTCGCCTCCCCTCTTTTCCGGTCATCCCGAGAAAGAACTCAACAGCTTTCGCCATTCGGGGCGAGCCACTAAAGCAGCTTAGGCAGGTAATTCACCCTGCCTCATTTCGGGCACTCACTGGGCTGAGCGCTGCTGGCAAAAAGAAGTCACGAGTAACTGCCCATGGGTCTGGTCGCAAAAACAGCGGTTCTCGCGCTTGGGCCTCTCGCCTCGAGGTCCCAGACGTTGTTGGGCTAATTCCTGGCTCCAAAAACCATGCCCGGATATACATGGGTAACCACCACTGAGAGGGTGGGTCGGTCGCCATACGCCATTTTATGTATATGCCTTGATAGCCTATAATCTATAGAAATTGCCCGATGATGGCGCTCAATGCGCCATCATCGGACAACCTCTTATAAGGGTCCACACGGGAAATGGGGTCCACATGTGGAGCCCTTTTTGGCGTGTGGAAGTGAGGATTTTCCACGTGTTAAAAAGGGCTCCAACGTGGAATCTATATATGAAATACAGGGAAAACTAGTAACTGGTAGGCATAAAGCGATCCAATTAATAATGTAAATCCAGTGTTCGAATATGATAAAATTCAATCATCATGGGGATAAATTGCTTTGCATGTCATTACTAGAACAAGGCCAGTACAGCTAACGAATATAAAGCCTATCAAAACTCAGACTGCATATAAAACTTCACTTACAACAATATAATAAATAGACAAACTTATACATATTTGAATTGATGCTGAAGTTAAAGCTACCTTTCATCATAAAAACTTATCAAGAAAATACCCACAAAGCAGGCGCGACATCCCACCCAATAAAAATCCAATCGCTCCAATGCATGTAAAAAATAAGTCATCGTTTATCTGGGTTGTCCCAAACTCTTTATATTCTGATAATAAGTACACATAAAAAATATAGAAAAAATAAAACAGCATCGTCAGAAGCCAAAATCTTTTTTGTTTAATTACCTCAATAAGTTTCATCGAGGTTTTATTTTCTTTTTCTTCTGATTTTTCATGTTTTTTATTGCAAATCATACAAATCCCGAATATAGCTGTAATAAAATAAGCTAACGAAACTCATCTGATAGCACCTGGAACATTATTATTTACATACGAGGCAAAATATTGGTCATTTTTATTATTATTTTTGATGCTTTCATTATTTGGATTTATTAATCAAGCTCACAAAAACCCAAATACTGTTGGGCCGATACTTTTCCCAGCAAGTCCAATGCTTGATATCAGACCAATCCTTTTAGAATAAAATCCTCAGCAAGCCCAAATGGCAGGCATACTGATCATCCCTGACGCAATCCCTGCATTTAGCCCATAAAGTAAACAAAATGCATAATACTTGGTCATAAAAGAGCTCAAAAACAAAAAGAAAGCTGCAAATATCGCTCCTAATAGTGCCACCCATTTGCAGCCTATCTTTCGGCAAAGATAAGAGGCAAGAACTGTATATTATTTACTCAGCGTAAGTGAATCAAACAAATATGATACTGATAAGCCCAAATACATCTTAGACTGTGTGACTGAACTGTCTAGTGAATGGAAATAAGAAGTAAAATATAGGCTGATAATGCCTCAAATATTTAGTGTTCCTGAAACCTTACTTGGCATTACCATATTTGAGACAAAGCATCCTGTAAGGGCTATTATCCCTTGGTATTTTTTAGAAACTTTCATAAATAAGGAAAAATATAATATATTAAATTTGGTCAGACATTTTATCTGATGGCAAGAAATCGTGATTTGTATGGATTATTTTTTAAAGATATTTTTAATTTTTAAAATGGATGTTTTGGAAGAATTTAAGCTTAATTTTTAATTTGGATCTTGAGTATTTTTGACTGGAGTTTTAGATAGTAAAATAGATGTGTTTTTTATATTCAAGAAATTTATTTCTATTTATTTAATTTAGCATTTCAAGATATTTAAGTAAAGAAACCTACAGGAAAGTATTAAAATATAACTAAGCTTAATTTGATTTAAAATACTCATACGTTATAATTGCATACTTCTTTTATTAATGATACATTATAGGCTATAATTAATAATTTTTTTAAGTAGTATGGCAAAACCCCATCTTTCGAAAAATACCAAACTCCCTGCAAGCACATTTAACGTAATAACAAGAAAAGACGAACCCGCTATTTGCTGCCTTTCTCATCAGTTCAAAGTTATATTAGAGCCAGAAAAATCAGAAAGAGAATTATCACAGTCCATAAAGCTTTCACCAAAACAACTATCCCAGTCCCTCAAGCTAGATGAGATAAAGCAGTTTTCCTTCCAAGGTCAAATATTCAATCAATTTGATTTTAAGCCCGGAAAACCCAGAGCCAAGCAAACCCTTGTTTTTCCCAAGCCTAAAACTCCTTTTTCTCTAAGTATTTATGACATCGACGCAAGAAATAAATCAAAAAACAGAAGAAGCATTGAAAATGTGGTTGAGCCTCCTAAACCTAAGCCAGAATCTCAGCCTTATGATGGTCGTGTAAGGATATTTCAAGACTTTTCAAGGCTAGACGAGCTTACTAATAAAAACCTTTTTCTTAAAAGAGAAATCAAGAAATTTGGAAATTATTTCTCAAGACCTCAGCCTAAAACAGCAGGCATCATAAACGCTTATTCATCATGCCCAGCATTGCCTTCAATTAGTTCTATTACTCAATCAGCTTTTATAACTCCAAAGTCATGAAAAGAAAACACCCAGCCTAAGTTTATGAGAGCCAAAAAAAGAGTAAAAACGTTTAACCCAACTTCTAAAAAGGAGAGAAAAGGGAAAATGACTGATTTATTCATGTAATTAGATATTTATAAGTTAAGATATAATCTTAGCACAGTACATTTTTAGACGCCTAGTCGCATCTAAATATTTTCTTGTTCCACCAATACCTAGTTCTATTAGTCTTTTTCGATCAATTGGGGAGCTTGGATTATAGGTGGGGTTATAAGTGTAGCTTTGATTTAAATTCATTTCTGGGGTAATTTTTTTCCGTGACCTCATTTTTGGTATTGGAGTTTTTCGATACCCTGTGTTTAGCCTTGAAATATTATCAAGAATTTCAGGTTTCCTTGATTTTAGAGATGGAGTAAGACTGTGGGAAATGACTCTGCTTAGTTCTCGCTTATTCTGACGAGTTTGTTGAAAAACATTAAATGCTCCATATCGCTTACTTGACTGCATCAAGCTATTAAACAGATTTTCAGTCAATTGGTTGCTTGGGCCTAAATGTTTTAATGCAAAATCATAGCCTTTTTGATATAGCCTGGGACAGATTATTCTCTCATCCTAGCTGCCAATTGGAGGGATAGCTTGTGGAGTAGCTTGACATAAAACCAAATCAACTCCATATGTTGAAAAATGGCAATTACAGGCACATTTTCAACTCGTGGAGTTGGCTTTGCAACATTTATTGTGGAACCAACTACGAGTTGGACTCAAATTGGCGACATGTGCGAGAAATAATCTGTCTGTGGCTGTAATGCTCTAAAGCATGATCAAATTTTTGAAGGTATTCATTTTCTACTCCTACATTATAGTGAGCAACAATCAATGTCGTTACAGCATTTTCAGCTAAATTTTCGTCACTATTTTCTATATCTTTAACTCCCAACCTGCTCCGTAAGTGAACAAAAAATTTTTTTTTCGCTCATAGGGGTTAATTTTTTTAAAACAAAAATTATATAAATTCTATATTTTTTTCTAATAATCTATTTTGTAAAATTTATATTTTAAAATGAAATTCAACTGAATTAGTTAGAGATTTCATTATACTAATTATCATTTATATATCAATATATATTTTCATAAATTAAAACATTTGTTGTTCATGGAGGGTTGGTATTCGGTCAAATAATAGGGATTTTTCCAATAGCTTTGTACGCTCACGAAAGTAGAGAGTAAGCAAGCTTAAGGCTTGAATTGCATAATTCAGCGCAATATCATGTTTGCCAAGCTGTGAATTTATGGCACAGATATTGAGCTGAGTTGATGCAATTGCTGCAGGATCTGAATATGTTTGGACTTCAAGCTTAAAAGCTTGTTTTAGGTAAAATAAAGCTACATTTGGCTGCTTGGTTCGTTTATAATAGCAGCCAAAATTATTGAATGTAATAGAAGTTAATTTCAATCGGTTTTGCATATTGGATATTTCAGGATTTGCCCCGTCAAGCAAAATCTTTTCAGCTTCCTGCAAAAACTGAAGCGACTCTTTAGGGGAATCTAAATTTGTCATGGCCTTCTTGTTGAGCTCTAAAATATATGACTCAAGCTCTGAAATATTATTTTCAGAGCTATCTTTGATATCTGTATTTTCGTCCATGCTTATTTGGAATTAAAAGAGAGAAACTTTAAATATCTAATGATACTTTTCAACTAACCCCCCTTCCATGAGCAAACATACCATTGGAAAAATCCCTAATTTTTTAGCCCAAAAACCATTCTTATGAAAAATAGTTTAATATATAAGTGATAATTTAGTATGATTAGATCTCTAGCTAAACTCTGTTTAATTTTAAATAGATTGCATTTTAAAACATAAATTTTAAAAATTAAATTAATATTTGCTTTCTAATTTTTTAAAAAAACATTTACTATAAATTTATAAATAAATTTTTAAAAAGAAAAATTAACCCAACAAAATTTTTTTGCTCGCTTGGGGAAGTAAGAGATATTACTAGAAAATAAAATTCATTTGTAAGAAAAATATTTGGCTTATTTTTTAATTATTTTCACTTTCTTTTTTCTTTTGTTCATCTGCATAAGCCTTTCTGAATTCTCTGAATTTCATATATCCCTGATATTGCTTATAATTTTTTTTCAATAGATTCAATTCGCTATTCATTTTTTTGCTAGCTTTCTGTCTATTATAAAAAATTTTTTAAAAATAATAAATTATGTTATGAATAAAATGTAAGCAAGAGTAAGTATCATAACACCTTGAACCATCCCACAGCAAATAACGCAAACAATAAAATTTAGTAAAAATACGCTTACTCCCCCCCCTCCGTGAGTGAACAAAAAAATTTGTTCACTCACGGAGGGGGGCTAATTTTTTTTTAAAAAAAATTTATATATAAATTTATAAAAAATATTTTTTTTTCGAAATTTAAAAAAATCCTAATTCGCAAAAATTGGAAGGCAAATATTAATTCAATTTGCAAAATTTATGTTTTAAAAAGCAATTCGTTTAAAATTAAACAGAATTAGCTCTATATTTCATTATACTAATTATCATTTATATATTAAAACTTTTTTCCATAAAAAATTTTTCTATTAAAAAAATTTTTGTTTCACTCACGGAGGGTGGGTTTTTGGGGATTTTTCTAATGGTTTTGTTCACTCACGGAGGGGGGGGAGTTAATACTTTGGTATCATCTTCAAGTCCATCATCATCTTCCCCTGAGCCATCATTGCTCAGTTGCATTAAATCTCTATATATTACATACTGGTAGGTTGGCCGCTAAATTTTAATATTCTTGGCTCTGATAAGGCTTGAAGAAATTTTTTGTTTCCATCTGTATCAGTACTATATTGTTTAGATTCTAAAGTTACACACCCTAGAACAAGCAAAGCAAAAACTAACTCCTCCTTTGTGAGCGAACAAAAAATTTTGTTCGCTTACGGAGGGGTTAGTTTTTTTTAATATAATTTTTTTTTTCGAAATTTAAAAAATCCAATTCGCAAAAATTATATAAAGCAATTATTTATTTAATTCGTAAAATTTTATGCTTTGAAATGCAAGCTGTCTAAAATTAAACAGATTTAGCTAGAGGTCTCATTATACTAATTATCAAGTATATATCAAATTATTTTCATAAAATTTTTACATTAAAAATTTTTTCATTCGTATGGAGGGTTTTTAGGCAAAAGATAGTGATTTTTCCAATAGTTTTGTTAGTAGGGAGTAAGTATCTTCTCATTGTATATTGTAAAACGGATACCTTTATAAAATTAATTATTTTAATGTGCAAAGAAATTATTGTTTTTCGATTTTCTCACAATTAATTAATTGCTTTATTATTTGTAATAATTGTGACTTGATTTGGGTGTGGCCCATTCTTTAGAAAAAAAATTATCATCGTTAATGTAATCATCGTCGAAAGGATTTGTAGATCTACGGGCTGTGCTGTAATGGGATATAGGGGTTTCCCCTAGATAGCCCTGCATGGCTGTGTGGATTCTGTTCGGAATCCTTTGGTTGGTGGAACCAACTCAGTACGTTGGTCGGGCCAACTCGCTTGTTGGTTCCACCAACCAAAGGATTCTGGACAGAATCCACAGCCTGTAAGGACTATCTAGGGGAAACCCCTATATACTGCTTCTTGTTGACAGTGGAAAAAATATATCCGTTGGAGTTTCATTATTTTCAGAAAGTCCGAGAAGATCTATTGTCTTCACACTGGATGAAGGCTGCAGTTTTTTGGCTCCAAAAGTTGAATGATTTTTATTATAAGTAGTGGCTTTTACTTCCCACTGTGAATTGTATTCGTCTCATGTGGTTTCGGTTTTTGCATACGTGCTGAATTGCCCATAATCATTTATAGGGAATTCCCTAGAATCGCCTGGTAAGTAGCGATTTGAGAGTTAGCAAATGAGCCTCTCTGCAAATAGTTTTACCAGCCTGATATAGCTCAACCAACTGGAGAGTTTTCCTCTCCAATCCCTGCCTTACCTGCGATTCTAGGGAATTCCCTATATTTCCTCTTTCAAATATTTTCTTGGCCCGCAGTTATTCTTGTAAAATGCTTCGTGTAATTCAGCATTTGTCTTTTTAGCTGCTGGACGATACTCATTAACCTGATTTTGGCCTTCAATTTCTATTTCTGAAGACGATAATCTTCCCTGCCCAGTAGATGCAAATGAACTCCTTTCTAGTTCTTTTGAATATAAATCTGCAGAATCTCAATTAGAAGGAGAATTATCATAAATTGCCTTATCATATTTAATGTCAAATCTTGAGTAATGATATTCATAGATTTGAAAGTTGCAGTTATCAAGAATAAAATTATACACATTTTCCAAGACACAGCTGGGCTTATATGTTTCTATTTCTTTATTCCCATTGATAATCAAGGTCCTTCTTCCAGAATACTTGCTTGAGAAAAGTATGATATCATAAGCTTTTGAGTTAAAATTGAAAGTCCATCTGAAGCGCTTTTTTGAGCTTTTAAAATGTTTTCCAACGTTTGTTATTTCACTTTCAACGCGCGTTAGCTGTTGCAGAGGAGCATAGGTTCGTTTTTGGGCTTGATCAGCCATATAACTTCTATTATTCTATTCTCAAGCATTTTTTCCTTACTCCTCATCCATAGCTAAAAAAATTTTTTTGCTCACAAAGGCTAATTTTTTTTTTAAAAATTATATTTTATAGAATTTTTTTTTAGAGTATATAAAAATACCTAATTCGCGAAAAATGGAAAACAAAAATTAATTAATTTATTATATTAAAATTTATTGAGATTTCGTTATATATTAATTATACTTATTTATTAAAACAAATTTTTCGCTGACTGAAGGTCGGTTCTTGGCTAAAAAATAGGGATTTTTTTCCAATGGTTTTGCTCTCTCACGGAGGGGGAGTATATATTCAGCTAATTATATCGATATCAAGATGAATTCTAATAAGATAGCTATCTAAATTTATATATTTCGATGAGAGCCGAGATTTTATATATTTCGATGAGAACCGAGATTAATGTTCATCATCTTTTAAAATTGATTATGGCTGCTACTGAAATGCATCAATTGAAAATAATCCCTGACCAGCTGATGAAAATTAATTAAAATTCAATTAGAAAAATTATACTTAATTTGTTAATTACAGGCATCTAATCTCATTTTATTCTGCATATTGACAAAATATTCCAAATTCAATAGACTCTGCCAGTTGTAAATTAAATGGCCAAATTCGATCATGTTCCAGTAGATGTTCTCAGGCATCATATAATTCCTTTTCTAAATGACTCCTCAACCGTCATTCAGCTTGGAGGAGTCAATTCAAGGCTTCGAGAATCTTGGCTTCAATGCAAAGAAGATGTAATCCAGCTCGCAAGCCAAAGAATCCCTCAGTTGAAAGAAGAAATCAAAGTTTTCGAAACTGAATCCCAAAAAGATGAGACCCCAGGACTATCTAAAGAGCTTTACTTTGCTGCGAGAGAAGTAAACTCATTCAATTTCAATGAAGTAAACTGGGACGACGAAAAATTTGTCCAGCTCTGCAGCCTTTTCTTATTATGCTATACAAACACTGAAATTACGGATAAAGACGAAATCATGACTCACTTAAATAAAGAATTCGCTATCAAGTACTGTGAAAAACTAGACGTCAAAAAAGCAACTGAAGAAGTAAAAGACTCGATTTTGAGCCAGATCAGAAGTGAAAAGTTCAAGGAAATAGAGCAGGAATACGAAAAAAGCAAAGAAAATGTCATTGTCCAATGGATTAAAACCTATGCAAAATATATCACCAAAATGTTTAAGGTCAAAAAGCTCTATGAACAATATGAAGAAGCACTTGTGAATAAGCGAGGGTTTGAAAGAGCAGTAGCCAATAGAGAAAATATTTGGCATTAATTATGATAATAGGTTTAAGCTTATAAATGTCAGACAAAATTAAGCTGGATTCATCATTATTTTATATTGATAATGACCCACCAACAGTTGAAAACACCCAAAAAGCCAGCATAACTGACGATTTTTCCAGAAATACAAGGTACTTCGACGACCCAGACCCCTGCATCAAATGTTTCCGATGCTCTCAATTTGGGCACATGTCTTTTAAGTGCCCAAATGAAGCAAAGCGGCCACCGTGCATTTTTTGTACAAAATCTACACATCAGTTTTCTCAATGTGAACAAATGATTTGCTACAAGTGCCAAGGAGTTGGGCATTTCTCTAGAGACTGCCGAACCAAATTCAATAAGGTCTGCAACAATTGTGGAAGGGAAGGACACTCAGTGTCTTTTTGTTTAACAAAACCTGAGCCTATCAGAGAAAAAGACGAAAAAAAATACCAGTGTATATATTGCAACGAAAAAGGTCACATAAATTGCTACACAATAGAAAAAGCCAAAAAAGCCATCAGCAGTTTCAGCTGCAATAAATGCGGATCAAAAGGCCATAACGCCAAATTATGCCCTGGGGTAGGAAAATCTCCTGAGAAGCGTGACTTATTTAAGCAGCATGTAAAAGAAGCTAAGCAAGAAATCCCAGAGACACACAAAGGAATGAACAGAAAAGAAAAACACTACTGAAAAAAAGTGGAGCAAAAAGCGTTTAAAATGCTGCTTAAAAGAGCCAAATGCAAAAAGCGTAATAAAACTAAAAAAAGCAGTTAATCTTCTTATAATGGATACTTTTAATTCTAATTCTATAAGTGACAGCCAGCTTGAATCTGACGTTCAAAAGCTGAATGAAGCTAAACAAATGAGGAAACAAGTGGAAGAGGATGCAAGACTTCTTGCAAATAGAATCGCTCTATTAAAAGCTGAAGAAGCTAAAGCTCAACGACACATTGAAGAAACTCGTAAAAGGGCTAAAGATATCATAAACAGCCGCATAAGAAACCAAGAGTTCCAAAAAAAGAAAGAAGAAGAGCAACGAGCGAAGTCAATGGAAACCAAGCAAAGAGCAATCGAAAACTATAAAAGGAAACAAAATATACTGATTAATAAAAATCCACTATTTTATAAATATCTATATATTAATAAACGCATTTAAATAAAATGGCATATTCTAAAAGCTCAACAAATCATGAAAAACCAAGTTTTAATCCAAAAACAAATGGAAGGAAAATCAGTAAGGGAAGCCAAAGCCCACTATAAAATTCAGCTGGAAAGAAAATTAGAAGAAGAATTTACCAGAAATTGAACCATAAAAGAGCAGCTGAAAAAGGAAAAAGAAGTGTCAGTTCAAAGAAGAAAAGAACAGTTAGAACAGAAGAAATTAAAAGTTAGAAATCAGCTAAACAACCGAATGGAGAATGAAAGCAAAATAAGAGAACTAAAAGAAGGAGAAATTGCCAGAATGGAACAAGAAGAACTCGAGCTCATACAAAGGCTCCAAAATACACAGTTTCTGCAGAGATCAGCTTATGAAGATTTAGAAAACGCACTTAATGGAGGCAACAAGATGTATTCAAGATAATTATGAAATTATAATGATTTAAAGAGCTTTTAATCTTTCTAAAAGTGGCGGGTGCGAAAAGTTAATTGCAGAATATAATGGGTCTGGGTAAATGTTGCCACTATTTTGGGTATGGATCTTAATCAATGCTGTCTTAAGCAGATCTCCATAGTCATTTTTCTTAGCGAAAGCGTCTGCTTGGAATTCTTGGCGTCTTGATCTAAAAGTCAAAATAATTGACAGGACTACATTGACTGGAGCATAAATATACGAAAACAGCATAAGTCCTATAAAACTGTTTTGCTTTGAAAATCCGAACTGTCTATAAAGTTCTTGAGTGTACATAACTTTTCCAAAGAGATAAAACATCACCAAAATTTGCAGCTCCAAAATCAAAATCCCTTTCAAAAAGTGGCTCAATTTCCAATGGCCTAGTTCATGTGCTAAAATGGCAATAATTTCATCTTCACTGATATTTTTTTCTTTTTTCAGCAAAGTGTTAAACAAGACAATTCTTTTGTTTTTCCAGAATCCAAAGAAGTACGCATTAGAGTGTTCTGATCGTCTGTCTCCATCAACTACATATATGTTTTTCAAAGGAAACTTAAGCCTTTTTGCAAGCTCATTTATAGCTGTCTTTAATGTCCCATCTTCAAGCTCTGTAAATGTGTTATAAAGCTGGGCAATCCAGTCATGGTAAATGTGTGAAATCACCAAAATCACGACAGTCAGAAATCCCCAGACATATAAATAGAAATATTCTCCACCCCAATCAATGATCCATAATAAAATAGGAAGCACAACCCCTGTAATCGCAGCTGTCACCAATGTATTTTTGAGGATATCTTTTATAAACTCTTTCATCGTGGTCTTGTTGAACCCATATCTTTCTTCTATCGCAAAAGTTGAGTACAAGCTAAATGGCAAGTCATCAAATATTCCGATAAGCATCAATACATAGCTATAAGCCAAAGCTTGGTAAATTTCTCCTTCAAGCCCAAAGCATAACAAAAAATCGTGGCTTTTTTCCCAAATATAAGGAATTACATTAAAATAAAGGATTAAAATTGTCTCTAGGGTTGACACATAAGTTTTGACCATGCTGAACGAAATTTTGTCAAATCCATAATTTTGTGACTTTATAAATTCTTCTTCTGTGGCTACTGCTTTGAGCTCGTCTGGAAGAGTTTTGATTTTATAGCGTTTCCATTGGCGGAGGTTTACGTAAAGGCTAAATAAGTATTCTGCGAGCGTGAAGCAAATGACGAGGTTGACGATCCACATTTATTATTAAAATCATTAATTTTCTTTACTTATTTCTTCCTGCATAATATTGACATTGGAGGTTAAATAGTCTCTAGCTTTGTCGACTTGTCCAGAAGCCATGTAGAGCTCTGCAAGGTTGTGACGGATTGCAAGAGTTTCTGGGTGAGATTCGCCGTGCCAGTTTTCACGTAGCTGTAGAGCTCTATTTATAAATTACTCTTTTAAGTATTTTTCAGCAAGCTCATATTCTTTATTTGCTTTGCAAACTAATCCCATTGCGTTTAGTGAGTTGACAGACATCACATTTCCTTTTCCAAATCTTTCTTCAATAATATCTAAAGCTTCTTTTATATAAGTTTTCGCTTTTTCTAAGTTCCCAATGTCTTTGTAGCATGATCCCAAAATATTTAAGCTACTGACTAAATCAGATGTATTTTCACTATTTCTCCTCATCTCGATTATTTTTTCTAATAGAGGGATCGCTTTGTCAGGCTCGCCTCTTGCTTTATGTGTGGCAGCAATATTATGTACAATTGTGACAGTGTTTTTGTGTGTTTCTCCTAGAATATTCGTATATGACTTATAAGCGTTTTCATATAAGTTTAATGCATTTTCATATCGGCCTACAGTTTTGTACATCAGCGCCAAATTGCTGCATGCTGTGATGTGCATTTGGTTATATTCCCCTAGCTCTTTGCTTTCTTCATAAGCTTGCTCAGCAATGCTAAGGGCTTCTTGGTAATCTCCTAACGAGTAGCACTGGCTTAGTTTTCTATTAAGCTCTTTAATAGCATTTTCAGAAGTCGCAAAAACCCTCAGCAAGCCTTTTAAAAGCATAATAAATAAAATGGTAAAACAAATAGAGTGCCCAAATGACCCAACTTCACACAACTTGGCAGAAATAGGCGATTTATTGAATGGCAAAGAAGGAGAAAAGCTGCAGCAGTTTGCGAATGATTATAAAAAGATCAGGGAAGATTTGCTTCTTTCATGTGATAGCCATGATTCGATTTATGATTCTATTCTGGAGTATGTCAAGAAAAATCCTTATACTACAAGAAGAAAAGATAAGAAAAAATCGCGAATGCAATTTTTGTTTGAAGAAAGCCATTATCCACATCAGAGACCAGTGCATGGACCTGATCACCCAGTTAATGTTAGGGACACAAAGCAGCCTTGGAATATGAATCCAGGCAGGCTGTTTATACCGAAATACGTAGGAGACAGAATGAGAGAAGTTCAATGGGCACAACAAGCAATTCAAGCTCAGCAAGCTCAAATTGCCCAGCAACAGCAAAATAAATAAGCATGGTTATAATAATTTGTTAAATTAAAGCGCATTCAAATCTTGATGCTGCTTCAGCTGCTCATTAAACTGTTCTTGCATATCCCACCAAGGTGACATATTTTGAGGTTTTTCGCCAGAGTAAATTTGAGGCCATACACTTGGCGCTTTCCACTTCTGGATCTTAATTTCAAGTCTCCCGGTTAAAATTTCATTAGTTTCTGTATACCTTGTATCAATAACTTCATAAAATGGCAAATTAAGCTCAAATTGCAGCTTTTGTTTAGAATAAATGCATTTAGCTGAAAATTCAAGATGGTCCTTTTTCACTTTTATAATTTTATCATATACATGAGTGCATCCTGCAGAGTCAAATCTATGTGAGAACTTTATGTCAAGATATATATGAGTTAATGACTGTGCCCATCTGAAGCTTGGTTTAACTATTTGCGGCTCATTTTCTACATCAAATAAGCTTGTTAAGCTTGCTATAGATCTTTTATAGCTTAATAGTAAATTCATAACTGAATTCAAGTCAACTTTTGAACTGCCAGCTTTAGAAATCAAATATTCAGCTTCTTCATAAGCTCCTTTTTTAATATATGAGGAAATACATCTAAATTAAGATTACTGAGCACTGAGATGTTCAGGGACAATTTGTTGGGCTATGATGTCTTTAAGGTCGTAAGCTTGCTCAAACATATCTTCACAGAGAAGCCCAAAACTTACGTGTAGCAATGTTAAGAAAAACATAATAATATGGCTAAACAAATTAATTAAATAGATATTTTGGAGCCTCTGTCACTCAAATTTTGGTCTCTAGAAGACGTAGAGCCTGTTGACTCGAAAAATTTTCTTCTAGGCTCATAAGATGGAGAAATTTTTACTTCAATTCCTTCGTCTGGAGGTGAGTCCTGTCTGACTTTGCTTAGAGGTGGGCTCATAACGAGCTTGATGCTACCTATTTGTTCATCTTTTATAGGGATTGATGAAGATGCTTTTGGAATGTTTGAAGCTTTTCCTTCAATTGATGGGGCCTCATCCACACTGAACCTATTTTCCATATTCCAAATCACTCCATCTCCTATTGGTTTTCCTGTTACCCCTGTCATAGGGAGTAGCCATATCCAAGGATTTTGCCCAAAAACCTGAATTCAGTTCCTTTCCCTTCCTTTGTCATATAGCCCTGTCCTCTGATTTGCTTTCTTATCCATCTGTTCTATCGTCGTTGTGTTGCCTAATATAAGCTTTATATGAAATTTTGCAAAAAGCGTAAGCACAACTGCCAATAATGCAGCAAATAAAAATGCGCCTATTAAAACTACTTCTGAATAAGCATGCAGATCTCTTGTGTTTACGATATAAAGAGCGTTATCATAAGCAGGCTTTGCCATCACAGCTACTGACATATATAAACAAATCAATACATAAAATAATACCAAGATAAAATATTTTCTGTTGAAAAAGCCTACACAGTTGTTAATCCATGGGCAGTGGTGGTCCATATTAAGCACACAGCGATTACATGCAGAGCAGTGATGACAACGTTCAGGCTTAAAAACGTGGCACATTAGGCAATATCTTCTTCTTTTTATTTCTGCATCTCCCATATAAAAGCCTCATAAAGGAGGAACCATTCCTGGGTCTGTAAGCATTGCTTTAAAAAAGCTTCAAAGAAACATAAAGATAATGATGTGGAAAATTGCGAGGAATATGAGCAGTTTGAGACATAAATTAGACCGGTCTTGAAGGGAGGGGAGATATAGTCGGATTACGTTGGAGTATATAAAGGAGACTACTAAAAACACAAAAAGGACGAAAAAATTGCCGAGCAGCTTGGTACAGTTTGTAAATGTGCATCTGCCCATTTTTATCTTGAAATGTATAAATATATTTGGAAGAATTAAAATTTAAAATAGCTTAAGATCTACTCAAAAAATAATCCATAAATAAGCGATATATCAGTGTTGGAAACAAATATTGATAAATAAATTATAATCTTATTATAAATTTACGAGTTTTCTTATTCTTTATATAAATTAAGTAGCTAAAATGCAGTATAAAAATAAGTATATGGAAAACTGCCATAGTCATTCAGTATTTTATTTCAATATACCTGTTTGCCAAGAATAGCCCACTAAGGAGCATTTTTTGGTTCGCCATTCTTTAATTTTGGTTAGCCAGAAAATATGGCCAACGAATTTGGCAAGCAGCTATTGTCCAGCCAACCAAAAAAATGCCCCTTAGTGGGCTATTCTCGATAAATAAGTATATCTATTATCACACATTTATAAAAAAACTATTACATAAAATCCAAAAATGTTTAAAAGACTAAAACATTTTTCACTTGAATTCAAAAGCTTAGACGAGAATTTAAAGCCAAAATTCATCTTAAACAAGATCGAAAAGCGTGAACCTTTTAAAGTAGACAAATATTTTTCAAGATTAAACTGTCATCACAATGATGATGACGACCCAAAGCCAGTTACCTCGAGGAGTTCACTGCCAGATATCCAGCATTTAAAATCCCAGAGCGCTATTTCTCTTAATGAGTTGGGTTCACCCAAAAAGAGAAGACGATCAAAGTGATGCTTTGATAGCTGGGAATTTAATGTATGGTCACGGCCTCGGAATGACACAAAACCAAGAAGAAATATCCAAGTTCTCAAAAGAATAAAAAATATGGAAACATATGCACCTGGAAAAACATTTGGCCCGAAGCGACCTGAAAGATTAGAAAAATTGTTGGACCAACTTTCGCAGACCCAGAATAAAAAATAGATATAAATTTATAATTAAAAATTGGAAAACCACGATATTTTTCGAATTCCAAATCTTTTATTGGAGAATCCCTGAAAATCTACTCAATTAGAACATTCAAAAAAAATAAACGGCCCAAATAACAGAAGAAGTAATAAAACTATGACTAATAAACATTTTAAATATATATAGAATTTTCCCATGGATGGCGCTGTTTAGCCTTGATTTTCCCACTGGGAAAACTTTTTGGTTGGCCAAGCCATATGGCACTGGTCAACCAAAAAATTTTCCAATTGGAAAATCAAGGCTAAACAGCGCCATCCATGGGAAAATTCTATATATAACAATTTAATAATTGCTAAATACCTATTGTATAGGCAAATACTGATTCAACCTTGGATCTGATGAGTCCTTTTTTAAAGACCTTCTTGGCAGCATTGGGCTATCTAGCAATGGCGAATTCTGCATCACAATTTCTTGAAATGCTTCATAATCAAACTCTTTATTTGCTGCTTTAAACTGGTTTATCATGTCATCTACTTCGCCTTGGGTGACCTCAATTCCAGAACGTAAGAAATTATCATATAAATCTTGTGGAGTAATTGTGGCTTGTGTTCCCTACATTATTTTTACATTGGTCAGCGAGTAAAACACATCTTTTAAAATATCTTCATTAAGCACTTTCTTTTTATCAAGAGTTGCAATTATAAAATCGCTATAGTAGAAATCTCCATTTTCCAAGTATAGAAAATTCCCTTTTAAATAGCCCTATCAGTGGGTGAATTGACTGCTGAGTTCACAATTTGGTCTGACTAAACTAATAATTTTGGTAACCAAATTGTAATTGTAGCGGGCAATTCACCCACTTATAGGGCTATTAAAGGGAATTACGTATATTTTATTTCTCTCTAACAATTTTTCCAACTTTTCTACAGCTTTTGGCTGTTTTGCATTTTTAAGAGCTTGAACCACATCAAAAGCATTGACGACTCCAGTTTTATTTGTATCGAGAGCCCTAAAAATTTCGTCAAGTTCTTTGATTTCGTTATAGCTCATATTTTTTATGATAAGTTTCATAAGATATTTTCTAAGCTTGTCAGGAGCATGATATTTCATCAAAGTCTCAATTACATTTAAAGGTACGCTCTTAAGCTTGTTTTTTCTATATCTCTTAAACCACGAATGCTTTAAAACCTGAGGCAGCTTTATCCTATTTGTCGTACTTTTTGTAAGCATTTGGCTCAACAAGTCTTTTGCGTCATTAGAAATAAGTTCTCATCTTTCGTGACGAAAAACCAATTCTTCATGCAAAATTTTATCAAAAACTTCATGATGGTTATCTCCAGTAAACGGGACATAGCCTCCTAATAATAAATACATCATAATTCCAATACTCCATACATCGCATTCGACTCCATAGTTTTTATTGATCACTTCAGGAGCTAAATAATAAGGCGTCCCAACTACAGAATGAAGTTCTTTTTGGTCTTCAGAAAATTTTGTTGATAATCCAAAATCTATCATTTTTAGCTCTGCATCTGGCAGTCTTGTTGTCAATAGAAAATTTTCGGGTTTGATATCCCGATGACAAATATGCAAGTTGTGTAGATAAGTTACAGCTGAACAGATTTTTTCTAGCCATTTCGCGGCTGTTTCTTCATCTAAAACTCCTTTTCGAAGAAAATCTTCTAAAAGGTCGCCGCCTGTGCACAATTCCATGACAAGATGGACATAGTTGGAGTCTTCATAGCATTGAAACAGTTTTATTATGTTGGGGTGGTCAGCTTGCTGAAGGATTTCTAGTTCATTTTTGAGGACGTCAATTGAGTGGATTTTTGAAATGGGGATTGATTTAATTGCGTATTTTTGCTGCCTGGTAGATTGGTGAAGTCTGATTGCTTCTCTGACTGTTCCGAAATGGCCGTGGCCTAATATTTTAATAAATTTATAATGTTCTCTTATGTCTATATAGTGAGTACTTTCACGGATGACCCCTCGCAGATGTGATGTAGCGACAAATTCGCCGATTGTTGGATATCGCCCTCGGTTGTGTTGAGGTGCATTATTACTGCAGCAAACTCCCATTTTATGTTAAAAATTATCAGTGGGTGTTTGAATTAGTAAAGAAAAATTATAGTGTTCTAGGAAATAATGGTTTTGAGCTTAAAATGAAAATCCAACATGTGCTATTTATGAAGGAATATCAGTGTCGATTTTGAGAATATCGATTAAAATAGTCAATAAAACTCTAATCATTTATATTATTTTTTTTAACTCCCCCATCCTTGATCAAACGATTCACTGTAAAAATTCCAAAAAATTGGGAAAATTAACCCTATTCATGATCGAATGATTTTCATATCATGCAAATTTTTATATATAATATTAGTTATCATTGTTCACTCACGGAGGGGGTTAATTTTTTTTTTTAAAAACATTTATATATAAATTTTATAAAAAAATATTGTTTTTCGAAATTTAAAAAAATCTAATTCGCAAAAATTGGAAAGCAAATATTAATTTAATTTATAAAAATTTATGTTTTAAAAAAACAATTTGTTTGAAATTAAACAGAATTAGCTCTAGATTTCATTATACTAATTATCATTTATATATCAAAATTTTTTCCATAAAAATTTTTTCTATTAAAAAAATTTTTATTCACTCACGGAGGGTGGGTTTTTGAGCAAAAAATAGGGATTTTTCTAATGGTTTTGTTCACTTACGGAGGGGGGGGGGAGTTAGTAAAATTCCATTATTTGGGTTGAGGGATTGCAAGAATAGAATAATTTATACAGTTTAAAGGGTAACCAAAAAATTAAAATATTAAAATTTTGTATTAACTCAATTTTTTGCTGTAAAAATAATTATTAAATACTCTTAATCCTCTTATTTAAAACTTTTATTTTAATGGAAGATTCGGAAAGTAATGTTTCCTATTCTTCTTCCTTTTGTGAAGAAAACGGAGCTTTACAGGATGAATTTTTCGAACTTTTACTATTAAATGAACTTATTGATACAGGATTACTTGATAATTCTGAATCAGAGTATGAATGAAATGATAGTGATACAGAAAATGTTGATACAGATGACAAAATATTGGAGTTTTTTAAGTCGTTTAGATGGAAAAATACTAGATGAAATAGATCCTATTCAGGAAACCTTCAAATATAGGAAGACTGAGGTGATCATTGATGATAAGAAGACAATCGATAAGAAAATCCTGAAACACCAGAAAAATAAAAATTAGATCAGATTCAAATTTTATCAGAAAAATAAAATTGATATCAGAATCAAACATTATCAGGAAAATAAAATTTAGATCAGATTCAAATTTCATCAGATATAGAAAATTCATATCAGACTCAGAAATCGAAAAAATCGCGGATTGCGTGGGTTCAGAAAATTTTACTAAAATTTTATCCAAAGATTTTAGGAAAAGAAGAAAGTTAAAAAATTTTTAATCGGGACATGGCCCTGAAATAAAGGCCTTTAAGTAATAAAGATTTCTCTCTCTCTCTCTTATTTAAAAAGTTTTGGGAAAAAAATTTTATATATAAAATTTTTTTCCCAAAACTTTTTTTTAACCCATCCTTAATCGAACGATGGAGAGCCATTCGGGCGGGAGTAAGGACTTTAAATTTATATAAGTAGTTATAAACTTATAAAGTATTGCGCCATTTCGCGTTAGATTCATTTACTCACTCTTGGTTATGATCAAAATAACGATATTAATATTTTTAAAAGTTTTATAAAAAAAAATATAATTTGGGAAATCCAAATTTTTAAAATTATTTGCTAACCAAGTGGAGTTAGAAAAGTGTCTCTAGGTGAAAAATGACTTACTCACCCCTCCGTGAGTGAGCAAAAATATCTTGTTCGCTCACGGAGGGGGGTTAATTTATTTTTTAAAAAAAATTATATATAAATTTATATAGAAATTTTGTTTTGTTGAAACTTTAAAAAAAATCCTAATTCGCAAAAATTGGAAAGCAAATATAATTTATTTTATAAAATTTATGTTTTTAAAGCGCAATTTGTTTAAAAATTAAGCAGAATTAGCTATAGATTTCATTATACTAGTTATCATTTATATATCAAATTTGTTTTTTCATAAAAAAAATTTTGTTAGCTTATGGAGGGTGAGTTTTTGGGCAAAAAATAGGGATTTTTCTAATGGTTTTGCTCACTCACGGAGGTGGGAGCTAGAAAATGGGAAATTTTGTAGGTAAGCCAGAAATAAAATAGCAAACTATTTTTTATTTATAAATTTTGTTTATGGTTAGGGCAGAAAAAACGTAATTGCTAGAATATCTCGCACAGAATCTAAATAAGAGCCAGCATTATAGCTAGAATCAAATTATATACAGTAAAAAAATAGAACACTCTGAAGCAATAGAGAAAATTTAAATAATCAGAGATATGGCATTAAATAATTTCAGTTATTAGATCTAACTTTTGCATACTCCAAATGACATAGAAAGCAATTTTTAGGTCACATAAAACGAGTTTAGCCAGAAATATAACTTAATAGTTCACTTTTTTTTGTATAATTTTATTTGGGTAAGTCCAAAGTGATTAAAATTTTAAATAAATAATATTTTTATTGTAAATTGGTATTATAATTCATATTTAAATATTTTTTATTTATATGATATATAATTAGTTTCATACTTTTATTCTAGATCATCTGCTATTTAATTAATTATCCGATCATCTTACATAACTATCCATTTATAATGCTGTTCTAATAGTGAAGAGGATAATCAGAATACTCTAAATAAAATTAATAATAATGATAATAATTTTAAAATTAGAGACTAGGCTAATATAAAATTTAGTTCCTATTATTTTATGTGGCCATTATAATACCTCAAAAATTTATCTTATTCCATTTGATTTTTCTTTCCATTTAATTTTCTTTATGGTCCAATTATATTTTAATAAGTCAGAATCTAATATGAGTAATAATTTCCAATGCAATTTTCAGGCAAAAATTTACCCAAGTCATTCCATTTATCAAAAAAATATAAAAGATGTCAGAAAGATCATCTCTTACAAATATAAATCTATTGGTTTCGTCCTCGCTTGAATGTCCTATATGCGCTGAATTTTTTACAATCCCTATTTTTCAGTGTGATCGAGGACATTCTATATGTGACCGATGCTCAGAAAAAATACCTAAATTTCCTCTAATTATAAAAACAAATATCAAAAAAATAAAATTAAATTTTATATTAAAATTGTTTTTTCGATCTTTAGAGGTAAATGCCCATTTTGTAAGTCAAACATTGGTCGGAAATTGCGAAATTATAGCCTAGAACAACAGCTTTCGCTGATTGATATTTCTTGCCATTTTAAAGGATGCACCACAACAATGAAACTTTCATCAAGAATTTCTCATGAAATTGATTGCAGGTTTAATCCTTCTGGCTTAAAATGTTTAATGCCTAGTTGTAGATGAGCTGGAACCCATAAATCTGTTTTTTCTCATTTAAACATGAAACATAAAATTCCCCATTATGATGTTATGGGAGATACTGCTGAATTTTCTTCGAGACTAAGATCAAATTTACTTCCTCCAATTGCTGGCTGTGTTAAATTATTGCATACATTTCATTATAAAGACGGAAACACCATAACAATCTTGACTTATATTTTTATGGATTCAACAAAAAATTTGTTTTATCCACAGTTTAGGACTTTGGAGAATTTTTCGAGTAAATTCACATTGAAGATTTGGAATATCCAATCAAATCAATGTGATGAATTAACTATTGCAGGTAAAGCTTTGACTATTAGGCATCGATTAGACGAAGAAAGAGAAAAAAGTTTATGCTTGAAATTAGATCTTGAGAGTGTTATAGATAAATTCTCATATGAAGATATAGTAGAAAGAGACCAAAGGCTATTGCATTATAGATTATCAATAAATGGTAAGGTCACTTAATGATAATATTATTAAATAAAACTTTTAAAAATATTTTCTATTTATTTATTGGGCAAAGCAAAAGATAATTATCTGTCGCACTTCCAATAATAAGTGTGTCATCATTAATAGCAGCAACAGAAGCAAAGGTTTTATCTTGCATAATTATCTCTTCAACAGTCCAATTTCCATTGTCATTACTCATTCTACTGACTCCTCCAGCTATAGCTGACCTTTCCTTCCCACTATGAAATTCCTCTAAAATGATCATAAATTCAATCATCCTCTTAATTCCAGTTGCCAAAAACGTCCCATCTCTTTGTTTAAGAATATTATCAATATGATGAGAAAAATTCACGACTGCATTGAAGGAAAGACTGAAATTTTCTTTTATGTCATAAATTTTTATCTTTCTTTCAATAGATTCAACAGCAAAAAGTTGGTTGTTTGATATGTAAACTCCGTTGAAGCTTCTCTCAGTGTCTTGAATTACACAATATGGACTTTGCCCTTTAATTTCTTTGCTTACTTAACTTACTTAATTATCTGGTGTTTAAGGTGTCTAGTGCCGCAGCCCAAAAGGGCCTATGGCAAAACTGATGACGTAGGCGAGCCATCTTGGCACGGGTCAGCCCCGTCCAAGCCTTCTAACAACTCCTGCTTCACCAGCCCTGCTGCACGTCTCACCCGGCGCGTTGCCGTCGCCCTTGTCGCTCGACTCAGCTCCTGCGCGTGTTCCGCCTAAGGGTCATCCTCCCGTGGGGATGTGCTGAGAGGTAAAAGCCCGAAATCTTGAGTGGACTGAGGAGTGGTTCCTCTGGTTATCCCCAGAGTTAAACCGCTATTGCTGTCCAGAAGTTCTCGAGTGAAAACCTAACCCTATAAATAAAATTCCATGAGGGAGAGAAAATTAGCAAAGCTAATTTCTCTCGAACCGAATGCCATTTTATTTATATTTAATTTCTTTGCAGTAATAAAGATTTGTATTTTTCCCCATCATATAAAAGTTTCTTTTAAGAGTTGTCCATACAGAAACATCTCTTCCTTCAGGTGTGTCTGGAGTAGGAATCCACTCAGTCACATAGAAATGCCCATCCTTTATAACAGCTATATCATTTAGCTTTCCTAGAAACTCATTGGGAAATACAATAGATCTTACGTATTTTGCCCTGATTCTTTCTGGTTTGGATTCCATTAGGTAAAAAATTTCAATTCTTTCTCCATAATCGCCATAAGCATGGTTCAGGACATATAGAGTAGAATTATCGAATAAATAAATTCCATGAGGATGAAAAGGGAGATCAGCAGGGAACTTAGAAAGCTTAATAAATCCATATGTTTTGGCTTCGGAGTCAAAATAAAGTAGCGAGCCTTTAATCTGATCTTTTACATCAAAATGTTTTCGATCAGCTATCCCTGATATTAAAAGATTTCCATATATCTCGAAGTCTTCAGCTGCTAGAGGAATAGCGAATGCTTTACAATTTTCATGGTCATGCAATTGTGTAACAACAAAAATATCAAGAACGTCAATAAAATAGTAGGAAAGCCAGCTTATAACAATCACAAAAATGCTAAAAATGATCTTAGTAATCATTATAATTTCTAAGCAAATTATTCCATAGTGAAAATATTTAGATTAATTAAGATGCTAAAATATCAAGCTGAATTATTCCTTTAATGAGCAGACTAAGAGAAATGTATCAACCATTGAGCTGATAATTAAAGTTTTCCTATCTACAAGAATAGCTGATGACGCTCCAATTTTATCTTGCATAATGATCTCTTCCACAGACATTTCCCGTCATTTTTTGTTATCCTGCTCACAGCAGATGTAATTGGCTCACTTTCTTTCCCTGATTTAATTTTTTCAGTTGAGTCCATAAACTGAAAATTTTTTTTGATCCCACTCACTAATAATGATCCATTATTCTGTTTTATAATATTATCCATATGATGCTGGAATTTAATAGTTTCGACCTTCATGAGACTATAATCGTTTTGGATATTATAAATATTTACAACATCCCCCAGAGTATCTGAAGCAAAAAGCTGGTTATTTAAAATAGTAACTCCATATAACTATAATCTTGGCGAGTGCATTCAGGAGCTTTGTCTGTAGCTTCTTTGCAATACATAACACTTGAATATTTCCTATGATACTCCATATCATATTTTTTATTGAAGGCCAAAATGAATGATCTCTACCTTCAGGCGTATCTGGGTAAAAAATTTCTTCTGAAACATAAAAATGGCCTTCTTTAAGGACAGCGATATCATTTAGCTTGCCAAGCCAATTATTTCCAAAAATTATTGATCTCAAGTAGTGGGCTTGTATTCCTTCTTTTGAGTCAGATAGAGAAAAGACTTCAATTCTTTCTCCAAAGTCCCCAAATGCTGTATTAATTGCATAAAGAGTTTTGTTGTTATAAATATCGAATCCAATTGGATTAAATGGCAAATTTTCAGGATAATTTATCATAGAGATATAACCCCAAGATTTAGAAATAGGGTCGATATAGATTAGAGATCCTTTCTGGATTTGTTTTGCTGCTAAATGCTTGTAAAAGCTTGCTTTAAGGTCGCTCATCCCTGAAATTATAACATTTCCATATCATGCTAAATCTTCAGCTTCTAGAGGAAGCATAATTTTTTCGCAATCTTCATCATGATGGAGCTTTACATTGACAAATAAATCTAACTCCCTTGGTTGGTGAATAAAAGCCATTAGAAAAATCCCTATTTTGGAAAGCCCCTCAACAAAAATTTGTTTTTAATATAGATGCTCAAAGTATAACATATTAATATAAAATTAATTATCATAATAATGAAATCTCCAGCATATAAAATTTTAAATTAATTTTATAAATTAAATTGAAAGTATTTTACAGATTCTTATTTTTTAAATCTCGAAAAAAAATTATAACTAATATTTTAAAAATTAAAATTAGAATGAGTGTAAGCAATTTATTACGAAATAAACAAGTCAGCTTACTACTATAATAAGCACAATAGGTATTATCTTCATTTTTATTTGAGAGCTATAAATATACATTAGTGATTTATGATTGTTTACTTTGAATTATTAGATTTCCATATCCAGCTAAAGATTTTTCGCCCTGGAAGCGGTTGAGTTTTTCATCTGAATGAAAAATATTTTTGGAATCCTCTCTAAATGGTGAAATCATTGCTCCTGGAAAGCCAGCAATTGGGTAACTGATTTGAGGCTTAGGGCTTTGCTTGGTATATCTAGTATTAATATCATAATTAATCGTGTTTGCCTTTGAAGGTATAATATTTGTTTTGGATTTATTTTGAATCAAGTTATAAGTATCTCTAAGAGATTCTGATAGTGAACTATCCATTGCAAATTTTTCCTTGGCACTTAAAGGCGAACCCTCCATAATTGCAGAATCAGTTATAGCTTTTTGAGGGTTTTCATAGCTGCGATTTTGCTTTGCATTATATGGACTATCTTCATCAAATTGATGAAGTTCTTTATAAGCATTTTTTTCATACTCTTTTTTTCGTTTGAGCTCTTCAATTTTTCTTGCAATTCTAGATTCTTTCTCTATAAGTTCTTGCCTTACTCTTTCATATTGAAATGCTTGATTTTTCAGAGCTTCTTCTCTTTGCTTTATCTTTTCGTTTATTTCGAATTTTTCTGCTAGGTCTTTATTGATATTATTATATATTTGAAGTGCATATGCTGCTTTTTTCTCTATTGGAACAGGACTCAAACTTTGGCTCTGAGAAAATTTAATTGGTGCTAAAATAGTGTCGTTTTCTTTTTTAATCTCTGGATTTATTTTTTGTGGGGCTGCTTCAATGCTATTTTTATCACTATCTTCAATTTCTCTATGAACTGTAGATTTTGGTAAAGATTTGGCTGAAAAATCATAGCTTAGATGAGGACTCATCGACTCATACGCAAGGCCATAAGTTTGCTGGTTTTTATTAACGTTAAATAATCTTCTTCCAGATCTAAAACTTTTGCTAGCAAGAGTAGGCATTCAGAGCTGCGCTAGTTCGTTTGTTTGAGACAGCTTGTATTGAGATCTTGAATTTGGCTTCATTTTCAATAAAGGTTATAATGAAGAAAATATTCGCTATTTCTGAATTAGTTCAAGAGAAAATTTGTTCAAATATTTAATAGTAGGATATTATCTCTGGAATTTTAACGCTAATTTTCAAGAAACTGTGATATTTTCATAAAATTTCGACTAAACTTTTTAGAGTAATTTCCGCACTGTCAAAAATTCTGATCAAATGTATGTAGCCGTCCTAAATTATGCGTTAAACTAATTAATGAGTTTAGGAAATTATTTATATTGAATCAATTTCTGTCGTTTGATAGGAATCCATTAACGTTTTGGAGATCCTAATTTTGGTACCGGTTTCCGCATGCTGCTTGTTGTAGCATGGCTCGCACATACCTTTTGCATATAGCTTTCTTTTAGTGTGCTCACAAAGTCACGCATATGTCTCCCTGCCATATCTATGATAGCAGGAATTACACATACCTCTTGCATAGTGTTTTTTATCTTGATGTTGACAGGCTGTTATTTTTTGAGTCTTTCGGCGTCTTTTAGCTTTCAGAGACTGTACAGGAGATTGTGGAGGCATTTCTATATCTTCTTCAGGTTTTGTATCAATAAGGCTCTTGATAGGAGGCAGTGTCAAAGATGTTGGAAACAGGTCTGGAAAGGATTTGGAATTCATGTCTGAAAGCATCGATGATAAAAGAGTTAAATCTATGTTTGGTGATGGGCCAGATTGCATTTAATGAACAATGATCTCTATTTAGAAAATTTTAATAATACAATAATCTTTAAAAAATTGTTCTATTATATAATTTCCTTACCTCCTCCTAGAAAATCATAATTTTTATCTCACGTGCTTGTCTTGCTTATTTTAATGGCTAACTAGTTAGTATTGGATATAGACTGTGAAAGAAAAATGAATCCAGTCTGACTTCTAAAAGTACTTCCCAGTTAAATATTTTCGAGTCTGTTTTTCGATTATAACTTACTTATTTTACAAATTATCTCTTAATTATTTGAACCCAAAATCCACTGATGAGCTCACAAACTGAACCGGAAGCTTAAGCATGCCTGAAGGTGGTACGCAGCATTTTTTGCTTTTGCAAGAAGGCGTTCCTTTTTGGTTGAGCATTTCTAAAATTTCTTTAGAAAGCACCTCCCCTGTCTGAAGTTTGGCTATTTCGCTTTGGATAAATTTAAACTTTTTTACATAAGCTCTTAATAACCCTACCTTATCGTTTTTATGTTCTTCGAAATTAAAGCCAAATTTTCTCCCAAATCTGAGCTGAAGTAAATAGTCATCTAATGATTTCTTTGAAATTCCTACTTGTAAAGCAGCTTCTTCAAGGGTGTGTCTAACGATCTCTCCATTTGAATTTGGAGCTCCATTGTATAAATTTCGCCATTTTGCCACTTTGTCAATAATGAAGCCGATTTTTCTTTCTTTTGTTCGTCTAGAGCCTTGGCCTTTTTCAGAATTATTGTCTTCTTCAATTATATTGGCTGAAATTATTACTTCAGTTTGGTTAGTGAGGCGCGATTTTAGTTGTAAAATAGGGAAATCGTGCACGTCTGCTATAGGAATGGCCAAATCCGAGGGTAAAGGATCATGCCCTAAGTAGATGTAAAGGTTTCTTTCGCGAGATAAATATGATATCATAGAGTTTGCGACAGGGTACCCGAGGTCTCTTAAATATTTTAATATAGGATAAAGCAATAGCTCACCCGAAAAATTAATTTGGATAGAGGATTGGTCAATATTTTTTATTGTGTCATGTTCATAGTGGCCTAAACAGCCAAACTGCAGTTCGATTTCCAAGTTTTTCAGTCCATTCTGTACATTTCTAGGCAATTCACTATATGTTCTGATCGGATTTGACATATTATTCTAATTTACCAGGTAACCATTTTCTCATTAGTAATAAAATGGAACAACAGTTTCGTAAATATATTCATACTATTTTTGATATTCACAAAAATTAGTGTTAAATATTCCATTAAGATATTTTTAATAGTTTTTTAATATAGATTGTAGATAATAAAATTTCGGATAAACCGATTAATTTAAAGATTTAATATCTCAGATTGTTTCAATTAAAGGTAAACAGTTAGCTAGTATTAATGAAAAATTGGATAAAAATTATTTAATTTTACTTAACAGGTATTCAGCCTCATTTTTTCCAGTGCAATTGATCATTTTTCTAAACTTTGAGCTTTCGTCTTCTGCCAGCTCTGCTGGATTTCCAAACTCTCCTACCCTACCATTATCCATCAATATAATTAAATCTGAATCAATTACTGTCCTCAGCCTATGAGCTACGATTAGCAGTGTGCAGTCAATGAATTTTTCTCTTATAGTACTCTGTATAAATTGATCGGTATCAGGATCTACATTTGCGGTAGCTTCATCCATCATAATAACTTTATTATTTCTAATAATTGCCCTTGCCATACATAACAGCTGCTTTTGCCCAACTGATAAAGTAAAATTGGCTGTTTTCAGCTCTGTATATAAACCATTTGGCAAATTTGCCAGAATTCCTTGAAGATTAACTTGGGTCAAAGCATCAAAAACTTCTTCATCAGAATGATTATGCAAAGGATCTAAATTATCTCTAATTGTGGCGGAGAATAAAAATGGGGATTGAGGGATAACCGAAATTTGTTTGCGAAGCTGATGTAGACCAGTATAAGCAATATTTTGGTCATCAATTAAAATTTCTCCAGAATACAAATTGCTGACTCATCCCCCTTAAATTGTAACAAAAAATCCTCTTCAAATTTAAAAGGGAGTTAATTTTTTTTTTAAAAAAAAAAATTATATTAAATGTTCATTATAAAAAAAATAAAATAAAATCTATATTTTTGAATTTTAATTAATTTTTATGGAGAATTATATCAAAAATTTACGTGAATTCTATTTAAATAATATTCTACTTGATTTTTTTTCTGTTAAATAGGTTAAAACTCATTTTATAAAAAAATTTAGTATAAAACTTTCCTATTAAAAAAAAATTGTTCCAATTTAAAGAGGGATTAAATTATTCAAAAAAATAGAAATTCCGCACATGTCTTATTCCAATTTAAAAGGGGGAGTAAGTCTGAATATTGCTTGCATTAAAGAAGATTTTCCTGCTCCTGTCCTTCCAACTATTCCAACTTTTGATGAAGGGGGGATTATGAAGCTTACATCTCTTAAAGACGGCTCCAAAAATTCTCTATACTTCATTACAACATTTTTAAACTCCATTTTCCCTCTACTAATTACAAATGCATTATCTGATTCATAGGCTCCTTCAGCTGGTAATAAATCGTATTCATAAACTCTTTGAGTGCTTGCCATATAATTATCAAGGTCAACGATCATTCTGCAAAGGACAGTTATAACAGTTAGCAAACTAATATTCAACGCTAAACTGACCGCAGCCCCTTCTGAACTAACCCATCCTCTCAGCAAAACGATGACTAGTGCATTCATAGAGAGCATGAATGAGGAGACAATATCAGAATATAGCTGGAAAAATCTTACATGAGTTTGGAATTGAAAAAGAGCTCTTATATTTGTGTCAATAGCTTTGCTAAGTTGGCTTCTCAAATGTTTCTGCAAATCATATGCCCTGATGCTTGCAAGCCCACTAATTGCATTGGTAAAAAAATTAAAAACAGGACTTCTGCTAATTAGTTCAAGCCTTTTAAAGTTTCTTGCAGATGGTACTACTTTTTTGAATAAAAATATCAACAGAATTGCTAAAACGAAAACAAAAGCTATGTTTACAGGGTTTACAATCATGATAACTATAAGATTGGCAAAGATAACACAAGAGTATTGAAATACATACGGGAAATAGAAAGTTTGAGGCTCATCCATAACTGCTATGTCTTTCGAAAACCTGTTGATTATCCTCCCAGATGGATTTGAATCGAAATAATGAGAATTTGTCTGTAGTAAAGTCTTCAATGAATTATTGTGGTAGATTTCGTTAGAATTATATATACATTCATATAACACAAAAATTCTGCCAACACCAAAAAAATAGAAAACTACCACCATTATTGCCATTATTACTGGATAAAAGCAGCTTGATTGGTCATTCTGGTTAGATCAATATGCGATTCAATAAGTAATGATTAGCAAAATTACTTGTATCGCTGCAAAACTCAGTAAGAAAAGAAAGCTAGTAAGTAAGATAACTCTTTAATAATTTGTCTTCTGTTTTCTGAAGCCTTTTACGTGAGATAAGACTTCCACTTTGATCAACAGATCGGTGACTACTTGACTGTTAGAATTTCATTCGACCCCAAATTCAAAGAGCACTCTTCTTCACTGCCTAGTGCCAGTAGATAGCGTCTCTATAGGTAAACTCTCAGAAGAACCGAAGTTCCCCTTTAATGAGCTCAAAGTAAAGGAACTACCCTTTACTATAGCACCTCAATTTTAATTATGTGAGAAAATAAAGAATAAGGCTGAAGAATTTCTGAACCCAGTCTGCAAATACTTCCAGTAAAATGAAATTGGTACTGATCCTTCAGCTTTTTCTTCTTCCTGAATAGTTTGAGTATCCTTTGTTTCTTTCTTCTCACTCCCCCCTCCGTGAGTGAACAAAACCATTAGAAAAATCGCCATTTTTTGCCCCCCCTCTTGTGTGATCAAAAATTTTTTTAATAGAAAAATTTTTTATGGAAAAAAATTTTGATATATAAATGATAATTAGTGTAATGAAATCTAGAGCGAATTCTGTTTAATTTTAAACGAATTGCTTTTTAAAACATAAAATTTTATAAATTAATTAATATTTGCTTTCCTGCGAAATTAGGATTTTTTTAACTTTCGAAAAAAAAATGTTTTATAAAATTTAATATAGTCAACTAGGTTGACTGGAACGGGTCCTTTTTTGCTCGGCAAAAGTGAAACACGTGCCACATCAGAGCTTCATAATTTAAGAACCAATATCCAATCTTGACTGTGCTGCATTAAGATGCCATTAATTTATTAAAAAAATCTGTATGATAAACAGCTTCTACTTGTACTGAATGCTTAGATGCAAGTCATATGACATTGAGCGGTGGAGTGTGCACCTGCAAAGATGCAAACGCAACCTTCGACTCAGCTACAAGTGTATCAATAATTGCAGTCAAACTTCACTATGACGGTCTTGAGAGCTTGACACATTCTTTACCTTTTGTGCTCAACTATAATTTCTATCGATAATTCAGCATATAAACTTATTAAATCATTTATTATCTATCATACTTAAAGCCATCATAAATATTTAATATAAGTTATTGTCTCTAAAGGCCAAATTTGAATTCTTCTAACCATTGGTGTTTCCCCTGTAAAAGGCAGCATCAGAGGAGACTGATCAGAAAATTCCATATGATATATTTTATCATAGATTAAAATTCTTTCAGTTAACATTAGAAGGTGAAATTTCGAGAACCATGAGACTTGATTCAGATCGAAATTTATTTGTTTGAAGCACGATGTAACACACATGACACATCATCATGACACAAACCTTCATCTTTATTGCAAAATAAAATTTGCTTTAATAGTAAATTTTTAGATACTTGCTAGACAACAATAGCGACTGGCCATGCATCAGAAAAAATTAATTTACATTAGACATTAAAAAATTTTATAAACCATTTCATTTGTACTTGCTAAAAAAAAAATGGTCAAAACAAAAAAAAAGAGGAAGCAAACCATTTTTCAGAATCAAATGATTTTTGTATTTCTTCTTGTTCCATGCTCATTTTGGGGTTAGCCAAATTATTTTGGCAAGGCCATTTTTAAATGAACAGAAATCATCTAAAAAATTCTGGTCAAAAAATGGTTATTTTGATGAATTTCGGTTTGCCGGTATAAATGGGAATTTTTGACAAATTCAGTGAAATTTATTTATGAAATAGATAAGTTGGCGTGCTGTTCAAAATTCTTATTATAATAGCTTCAGCTCATATTTTGCAATACTTTACTGCTAAAATTGAAGTTATCTTTAAAACTTGCAATTAATTTATTTTAAAAGGGAAAAAAGTTCAAACTTCTTGCATACTTGAAGCTTATTCTGAAGTTGGCTAGCTTGCACTTTTACAACCTGTAATGATGTGTCCTGTATTGGAGGATCTAGTATAGCAGACTGAATCTGCTTTTCAGTTTGTTCTGCCATCACATGCAGTGACATTGCTTGATCTGGTGCTGTGTATAGTGTTGTGGACTGTGTATGCATAGTTCATGGTCTAGAGTGATCCAACGTCACCTGTGGTGGCATGGCTCATCATTGCTCATCTTGCAGTACATGCTGTGCCTGATCATCTTACGTTGATACTCCATGGTGCAGCATTTCCTGTAACGACATCACCTGCGATGGTGGCGTTAGTTCAAGGGTGTCCTGTGCTGCCCCAGTCTGTTGCGGCATGTCTTGTAATGAATCAGCTTGTAATGACTTAGATTTTTTTAATAAATTAATGGCATCTTAATGCAGCACAGTCAAGATTGGATATTGGTTCTTAAATTTATGAAGCTCTGATGTGACACGTGTTTCACTTTTGCCGAGCAAAAAAAGGACCCGTTCCAGTCAACCTAGTTGACTATATAAATTTTTTAAAAAAAATATTTAACCCCCCTGTGAGTAAACAAAATGTTTTTGTTCACTCACGGAGGGGGGGAGCCAGTATTTTCTTCTTCAGAATCAGACTCCTGAGGCTTACTTTTTTTCTTTTTTGATTCAAAAAGTTCTCCATAGGCTTCTTTCATGTCTTCTCTTGTGAGAAGTTCACTATATGTCCCATAAAATAATACACTTTTACCTTTAAACTACATGCTTATACTTATAAAAATTTTTGATTTAAATCTCAAGGGACAATTCATAGGAATTTTCTATACATTACCTTCATCAAGTATAAGTATTTTATCAGCCTCAGGAAGCACATAAATTTGGTGAGTCACCAATATCCTTGTTTTTCCTTCCAAAATTCCTTTTATACAATTTTTAAATAATTTTTGCGAAACTTCACTATCTACAGCTGAGAGCGGATCGTCAAGCAAATAAACATCTCTTTGAGAATACACAGCTCTTGCCAATGTAATTCTTGCTGTTTGTCCTCCGCTTAGCGTAACTCCTTTTTCTCCGACCATAGTTTCACTCCCATGTTTAAAAGTCTTAATATCTTCATCAAGGCAACATGATTTTAGCACAGAATTATACAGTTCTTCATCATAATCTTTTCCCATTAATATATTTTCTTTTATTGTTTCTGAAATTACCCAAGATTCTTGGTCTGTATATGCAAGAGTTCCATTGATCCCTATAAATCCGTTAGTCTTGTTAAGCTCATTTAAAATGCTCATAAGAAAAGAGGTTTTACTGGCTCCCACTTTTCCAGCAACAATAACAAGTTCTCCATAATTAATGCCTATGGTGATATTTCTCAGAACAGAGCTTGTATCAGTTTCCAGTAAGCAGCTCTGAGTTTCTAGCGGTATAGGGATTGGGTTGTCTTGCCAAGAAAATGAAGCATCTTCGAATTTTATGGCTAAATTTTCAGGGGCTGGATAAATTTGGGTGTTTATGGTTTTTAGCTTTAGTGATTGAGTTAGTCTGCGGCAGACTGCTAGTAGTAAATAAATATATTCAATCGCAAGAGACAAATTTTGAGTAATTATATTATGAGTCACCAGCAGTAAACTAATGGCAGCAAAAGCACTGCTCAGATGAATATCATTACCAAGCGCAACATGAACAGAAAAAGTGACTAATAGCACAAGTCCTTGGCCACAAACTGTGCTGCTTTTAGTTAAAGTCTGAAATCGTGCTTTAATCCTATACTGTTGGATTTCTTTAGCTCTGTATCCTTTAGTGATATCAATAAAAGGGAATTCTCAGCCATAAAGTTTAATTACTCTGATCCCTTCAATCAGATTTGAGATCAGCTTTATTCTTGAATCTGAGAACTTGCCGATTGTCATTCTATATTTCGTCACAAAAGCTCCTACCCAGAAATTCAATGGTATATACAGAAGTGATACAAGAATTCCAAATATTCCTGCAATTCCTAATAAAAAATATATCAAAATTATTGATCCTATTATAAATAAAGGGCCTGTTGATAAAAACCCAAAAACTGCTAGACTTTCTAAAAGCTCCAGATCTGATCCAACATTATTTAGCAGCTTGCCAGCTGCTAATCCTGAATTAATAGAGCTTTGAGCAAGTTTGAGAGTATGATTATAAATCATTAATGAACAAGCACCTTTGGTGCGACCTGCAAATAGTGATAGAAAAAACAGTCCTCTTGCAAGCTGGGTTGACATAATAATGCTTATGACGCCGAAAACAATTGCATAGACAACGCCTTTTCATAGTTCGATACTTGAGTCTTGTAAAAATTCGAGCATCCATTTTATAAGAACTGCTTGAAGTAAATATAGGATTTTCCCTAGATAGCCCTGTAAGGGCCTCTGATAGTGGGCGATATCTTTCAGTTGGTGGAACCAACTCAGTACGTTTGTCTGACCAACTCACTTGTTGGTTCAACCAACCAAGAATTCCACCCAGTATCATAGCCCTTACAGGGCTCTCTAGGGAAATCCCTATATCCGAGAGTACTTATGCAAATTGGGACAATAGCCTTAATCATATCCATCCCGTTAGCTTTAAGCATGACTTTTAGCAGACTGGGAGACTTTTGAGTTTTTAGTTCTTGATCTCATAAGTTCTCCAACTTTTTAAAGAGCTTTGTGAAACTAATAACATTTGGGATTTCGTCTAAAGTTTCAAACGTAGGGTTGGTCTTTGAAGATTTTCTTATGAGAGAGTAAGCCCAAAGCATGAAGCTTTGAGAAATAAAAGAAGCTTGGTCAACCTTTGACATTTATAAGCAATTATTATTCTATATGCTAGGTATAAATTTTGAGAGAAATTCTGATTTATAATAGTTATGAGATAAAAGCAGTTTTGTTATGCCAAATAAAAGGCATTTATAATAGCTAAAATGAGAGGCTAAAATGCAAATGCCAAAAATTGATAAATAATTATTTATTAATAAGGAATTATTAAATATTTATGTGTGGATTTCTAAAAAAACATTTTAATTTAGAATTTAATATGAATTCACTAGACTAGATTTTTGTAAATTCACAAAATAAAAAATATCAGCTTTTTAATCTTAAAAATTAATTATCATCTGAATTATTATATTAAAGAATTTATTTTAATTACTAAGCCTACTAATAATTCTGTGAATGTCCCTAAGTAGATGCCGAGTGGCCAACATAGAAGACAGCAAAATCCAAAATCAATTTAGATAATTAAGGACCCCCCCCCTCATTTGTCCAATTTTCTAGTCTTTTATCATTTGTCCATTTTTCTAGTTTTTTTTATAGGAAAAAAAAAATTTTTTTAGGACCTCATTTGTCCAATTTTCTAGTCAAAATTTTTGATAGAGAAAAAAAAATTTTCAGGATCTCAATTGTCTCATTTTCTAGTTTTTTTAAAGTAAAAAACTAGAATTTAGGGCATTCGAAAAAATGCAAAAAAGACTAGAAAATTGGACAAATCATTTTTGACTAGATTTTGGGACAAATGAGGTCCTGAAAAAAAAAATTCTTATAAAAAAAAAAGACTAGAAAATTCGACAAATGAGGGGGGGGGTCCTTATGATGATTAGAATTTTTATAAAATTATTACTTATTTAATATGTTATAAAGCCAAATCGCTACTTTAAAATAAAATATTTTAAGAACTAATATTTCAAACAGCAAAAATAGGCCCTTAAAAAGAGTTTCTCCTTAACTATCGACTAAAAAACAAAGCACACTTAAATCTTATAACCAAAATTAAATAAAATAATTGAAAATAAAATTATATTCGAGGTTTTTTAACAACTCAATCTTAATTACATTAATTCTTAAGTTTTATCAATAAAACAAGACATAATCATACTTTAAAAAAGTAGAAGCTAAATAGGGATAAAATATGGAATCAAGTTTTGATTGTCCCATTTGTTTTGACACCTATACTTCTGAGCTCAAGCCTCTTATTCTACCATGTGGTCATAATGTTTGCATTAATTGCTTATCAAGATTATCTAAAGAATCTCTATGCAAATGTCCCACATGTAGAAAAAGTCACTTTAGAATTAATCCAAGTAATCTTACAATTAATTATGCCTTAATCCAATCTCCAAATTCAAATTCCCCAAACCGGAATAATAATAGAGGAAATCCTAACGTGTTAAAAGACATTCAGTACTATTATCAATACCAAGCTTTCCTCACTCAGATTTCTAAAGAAATTAAAAGTGAATATGAAAGATCTCAAGGGCTAAATAAAAATTGTAGAGATTCATATAATGGCTCTATTGATTTCCTAATCAATTCACTTCAAAATCTCCAAAATAAATGAAATAAGAGCATTGATGAAGCTGAAAAGAAAAATATGGACAATTATAATGAAATAAAAGAGCAAATTAATAAAACTTCAACCAAAAATGATCAGCTTTTGGAAGTCCTGAATGAAGCATATAAAAATAATGCAGCCATTGATGCAAACTCTGAAATTGTTTTAGCTTCTGATAAGGAGGCCTTGATATTTGATGTTTCATTTGGACATTTTAATAATGAAGCAAATCTTGATACGGCGTTTTCTCATATTTTGCATGAGATAGGAGGTTCACTTGTATATGAGAATGCTAACATTTCTAAAAGCTATGAAAAAGAGCCTAAAGATCAGAGCTCTCCTGGGAACTTAAATAGCAAAGCTTCACCTGCTGAATCCCCAATTAAGTGGTCAGATCTTCGCAATCCTCCGAAATTTAATCCTTGAATGGAAGAAGATTATCACCGTAAAGAACAAGGAAAACCAATTACAATAAAAAATCGGTTCAGATGGTTTACTCAAGCTGATTTTGGAGCGCATGAAGCACTGCCTGATTGGGCAAACTCTAAAATAAATGAAGAGTATTCAAAAGGAAATAAAACAGCTTTTATATATACTATTTTTTATAATTAATTTATAATTTTACTAACAGCCTTTTGCTTTAAATTAAATAATTTTAAGGAAATAAATGTTTTTCAATTTAAATTGTAATGCAATTAGGTATATGATTTCAAGAAGAGACTGCAATTTAAAATAGATTTCAATCAGATGGAGTGTTTTAGATATAATTTCAAAACTCAAGAATTTGGAAAAGCAAGAAAATTAGTTCCTCTTAATTAAAATTTAAATTATTTATGCGCTTAACTATGCCTTTAAGAAGTCGTTGAATTCGGCAGATACTTTTGTACTGGCTGCATTATGAATATCAAAGATATTTATTTATTTTAACATACATTTATTTTAACTCCCCTCTTCCTATAAGTTTGAAACGAAAAATCTGATCCAATTTAAAGGGATTTAATATTTTTTGATTATATAATTAATATAAAAATTTCAAATATTGTGCATAGATATTATCATTTTCATCCATAAAATTTTAAAATATTGTCTATTAAAAGTAGTATACATTTACCCAAAAAACCAAAAAAAAAAATTATTAAATGGTCCTTGGGCATTTTGGAACCAGTAAACCAGATTCCTGGTCCCAAAAAAGGCACAACGCGTGATATTTATTCCATTCTAAAGAGAGGAGAAATAAGAAAATAAAACAAAAGATAAAATTCTAGAATATAAATTTTTTAACATATATTAATTTTTTATTTTGCATTCAAAGCTATAGGAAAATAAGGCAGTTATTTGGTATATTTACAATAACATAACAGTAACAAATAAACAAAATGGTCATGATAAAATTATTGAAAATTATTTTAGAAAATAAATCCCATATCTTTATTCTTTTCTTGCATAAAATAAAATAAATATTTATTTTTCAAAGATATCTTTGCCAAATTAATTGCGAAGCTCAGCAAGATCGCACAATAAATAGCAAGAAGTCTTACTCGAAAAGTTTAATTTTAGAATATTCAAATAATATCATTAAATGAATAAATAATTTGTTCGAGCAAAATTTTGTTAACTATTAAGCAACGCAGCTGATCTAATATAACAAAATGGAAGTCAACTATGAATGTCCTATTTGTTTCGAAGAATACACTTCAGAGTTCAAACCGCTTATTCTTCCATGTGGTCACAGTGCTTGCCAAGAATGTTTAACTAACATTAGACTGAATGGAGATATTACCTGTCCCACATGTAGGGTTAATCATCAAAGAATAGATATAAAGAAACTCACAATAAATTATGCTCTCATTCCTTCATCTTCCTCAAACAAGTCCAAGGTCCAAGAATCGATAAAACAAGGAAATCCTGAATATCTCCAAAATATCCAAAAAATTCAACAGCAGATTCAAAATGCAAATATCTCATTAAAACAAATTTCTAACGAATACGAACAAGCTGCAGGCTTAAACCAACGATGCAGAGAAGACTGCAAACAAGCAATAGAAATGCTATTAACCGCTCTTCAGAATTTAAGCAATAAGTGGACTGCAAATATTGATGAAGCTGAAAGGAAAAATAATGCAGATTATGCTCATATAAATGAACAGTTCACAAAGTATATAGAGCAGAAAAATAATATTTTAGCGATTTTTCAAGAAGCATATACAACTGGAAAAGAATTAGGTCCTTCAGCTCAAATTGCGATGGCTTCACAGGTGGACATGCCTGAATTCGATGTAAATCCAGCTTATTATGTACATGATGCACAGCCTGATATGGCCTTTGTAAATGTGCTACATGGACTAGGAGGAAGCATTGTCAAAGGCAATTTGTCATCCCCAAAGCAATTTGATTCCCAAATGACAACACCTGGAGGAAATTCTAGTCTCTATGAGAGCTCAAATTCAGAAGATTTCTACCAGAGAAGAGGAAGAGGAGGGAGAGGAGGAAGAGGAGGGAGAGGCTTTCCAAACTTTAGAAGCGACGGATCCTTTAGGGGAGACGGATCCTTTAGGGGCAGAGGAAGAGGATTTCAAAATCCTCCAGATTTTAGGCAAAGTGATATAAATTACCAAAACCAATATGAAGAAAGAAAGCGAGAAGAAAGATTTGATTGGGATCAAAGACAAAACGAACAAAATCCGCATGAGAGAAAAAAATATGAAAGAGTAGACCAGAGACCGATTGAAAAAAATAATGAAGGAGCAAAGCAAACTTGGAGCATAAAAAGAAGATTAGGCTACTCAGCGTTACCTCCATGGGCTTGTGCCAAAATAGCAGAATCGAGAACTCAAGGAATAATGAATTTTGACATTGTTGGCAATGATGGGAGTATTTGCTGAAGAGTTGATCTTCAGGGCATGACTATTCTCAAGTATAACCAAAGAAGAAATAAATGGGGAAAACCGAAATTCTTAGTTTTAAATTAATACGGTTATATGATCGTTCAAATGATCAAGAATTTATTTAACTCCCTATATCTTACAATTTACATAATTTAATTAAAAATTCTCGATACTATATTTTACTTACTTTATCTTAACTTAAAAAATTAATATTTCTAGTTAATAAAGAATCCTAGCTCCCCCCTTTTAAATTGCGCAAAAATCCTCTTCCATTTTTTAAGAAAAATTAATCAATTTAGTGTGAGTCTGTTTAAATAACATTCTATTTGCACTATATTAATTAAATTAGGTCAAAACTAAATTTTATAAAATTAGTATTTTTAAAACTATAAAATTTTCCTATAAATACAAATTTCGAGGGGACAAAATACTAAAAAAATTGAAATTTTGCCCATGCTTTTGTTTTAATTAAAAAGGGGGTGTGAGAGGCTTTTTATTTATCGAGATTAAGTATTATTGAATATTTTGATTTCTCCAGTCTAATCGTGGATTCGCCAAGTGATCATCGATATCAACAATGTTTTCATGACCAATTAAGAAATCTGTTAAGCTCATTTTGTTAAAACTCGCGTCAAATGTCTGTTTTGTAAAATTTGTCCCTTTATTATCAAGTCTAAACAATGCCATAATATTTGATTCATTCCAATCGCTTTCAATGCAAAGCACAAAAACAGAAGCTGCCCCTTTATTCTTGAGGGCTTGGCAAAGCTGTGTAATATATCTGCTTGGCTCTAATTCTTCATTAGCTCCTCTGATTCGGCTTTCATAGAAGCCAATGATATTAAATTGACTGAGCATTAAAAGAGCGACTTCTGTAGCAGCAGTCGTAGGTCTGGTATGGAATAAAGGAATTGCATCATTAACTTTGCTATCACCAACAAGAGCTCCGTAGACATCTCTTCCTGGGTGTCTTGCGCAATGGATAGCAGATTTTTTAAGAGCTAGAGTAGCTATAAATTTATCTTCTTCCATTATAGCCTGTGAAGGCTTTTGGATTATAAAACAATTCTATTGGATTCCTAGTTGCTTCAGCTATCTAAAAGCCTTCACAGACTATATAATCCTTTATTCATATAATTTAAAGGAAAATTAAAATAGTTAACTCAAAAACTGTTTAAATGGGGTGCATGCTTTTCCTCTGGACGAAATTTTTTTGTTTTTGTCAGAGGAAAAATTTTGAATAAATTTCCTGAAGAAATATCTCACCAGCAAAAAGTCTCAATTAAATGACAGGGAGCCGTTTAAAATTGTGATTAAAGCTATTACCAGATATGGCTGCATAAATTAAATATAAAAAATAAATTCAAATTATGTCACTGCTTCTAAAGCAAATTTCAAAACACAAAAAATCCTACACACAGCTAGCCACTGATCTGGACAAACTGCGGATCCGTCGTTTTCTTAAATTTTGAATCCATTTTTACGAAGACTGCAAGCGTAACCTGCTTCACTTACCAAAAATATTTCCCAATATAATCAATAATATGAGCCTTTTTGGGTTTACACTTGACGAATGTAGCGCCGATATCGATAACTGGATGTCAGAAATCAAGGAAAACCTTGATAATATCACAAATAAGCAAGCCACAGACTACGAATTCGACTTTGCCAACGAACTTCCACAAATAAAAACACAGCGTTTTCAATGGGAAGAAATCCAGGAAGGAATTAAGCCTTCGTGTGGGTTTTATTCATCTTTCAGGAACTCTTATGCTAGATCAAGTATCTCTACCATGCCGTCTTTAGACGCTGACCAAGTTGAAGAAATTCCGAAGATACTTGATTTAAACATGAGGGTTTCACTGGACAGCGAAAATTTCGGTGATTTCTCTTTGAAAAATCAAAAATCTTTATAATTTAGTTCACAATTTTGGTTTAAGGTAACTAAGATTTTTAAGTTTGATTTGTAAATTGTGGAGGATGTGTAAAGTGCGCCATATTCATATACGATAAAGACAATGTTTACGACAGATTAAATCATGAAGAACCGCGAAGCTGGGATTTTAGGGAATTAGAGATGATGAAGCTTGAATATAAGATTTAAGAGGTAGTGAGAATATTTGAGACAAATTTGAACTTAAAAATGACGTCTTGATAGAGGAGTAATCATGGAATAATTTTGGGAATATTTATGAAATTACCAAGCTGTCGGCCATGGAGGGAATTCAAGATAAAGTCAGAAATTGCTAACTTTCCTTACACCCCCACTCCGTGAGCGAACAAAATTTTTTTCGTTCGCTCGCGGATTTATTTTTTTAAAATGCGAACTGTTTAAAATTATTCAGAATTAGCAAGAGTATTCATTATACTAATTAGCATTTACATCAAAATTTTTTATAAAAAATTTTTTTATTAAAAACATTTTGTTTGCTCAGTGAGGGTGGTTTTTGGGCAAAAAATGGGATTTTTCCAATGGTTTTATTCGCTCACGGAGGTGGGGATTAGTAAGCAAGAAAAAAATATTAGAAAAATCTCTTTAATAAAATTAATTCTTAAATAGCAGATTCTATAAAATTTTTATAATTTGATGTATATTTTTCATGATCCTGAAGAAATCTCCAGCAAATTCTATTAAATTTTAGACAGCTTATCTAAAAAATAAATTTTATTAATTAAATTTAATTTTCTCTTTCAAAATGAGTTCACCAAGTAGGGAAAGTAAGCCCTTTCAATGAAACTAAAATCCTGTGTTTTAAATGAAGAAAATTAAGCTGATTCAAGTTTTTGAGTTTTAAAGACCACAAAATATAAAAATTCTAAATAGATGATAAATTTTAGCAAGCCTTCTTGATTTAATGCCAATTATAATAAAATTTGAGTTCAGTTTCTTAAACTATTTGCCTTGCATATAATAGTTATAAATTTACATTCCACTCCGTTCCTCTTTTAATTTTTGATTTTCTATTAATTAAACTGTTTCTTCTTTTGAATTTCAACTTGGCATCAAAGTAATCATTTCCTAACTCCAGTTGAATCGATTAAAAATTTTTTAAGGTTTAATATAGATTTTAATGTTTTATTAAATTTTTTTATAATTTTTTTAGAATTAAAAAATATTATGGATGCAGGCTAGAGATAATTATAGTAAATATTATTCATATATTAAAATATTCTTATTTACAATAAATAAAAAATAGCTCCAGTTAATCGTTATCTTATTTTCAAATATAAAATAAGATAACAGCTAATCACTATTGATGTTTTTATTGATTATAATTAGTTTATTTTTTATTATAAAATGCTCGGCTTGCTCAATAGGTTTAATCTTTCAATAAAATTTAGAATTTTCCATTTCTCTCAAGGAGGGGAGTGTGCAAATAGGCAAGTAATGGTCATTTTATATCCATAGCTTTTTAAAATAAGTATCTCTAAATATCTATGGCAGTATTTATACAAGCAAATGGATATTATTCTAGAATTAACTAAACCAACCATTCAAATGCAATTCTCTTCCAGCTCAAATTAACTAATTATCATCAAATAATGCAAGTTAATTCAAATATGCTGTAAAATTGATTTTTTTAGAATTTACTTAATTAAAGATCTATTAAATATGCTTACTCTACCTATTTTTATCTTTATTATTGAACGATTTATTGAAAATTAGGAAATTAATTCCCATTCTTGATTAAACAATTTTTATATGATAAATTATGAAAACCCATTTCCATACTTCTCGAATCTAATTACCTGTTTTTTAATAGTAATAAATCTTAGAAGTTATGCTGTATAATCACTCAAAAATAAATTTAATGTGATTTTTTAGCATATTTGATAATTTATCTCCTCACAATGCTCTATATGGAAAATTTTTTTAAATTAAGTTTTAGACCCATCCTTGATAGAACTGTTCTATCAACGATGTAGGAGACTTAGACATCTGATTCGATTCTCTTCTACTTGCTTTCCTCAAAAGCCAGGGGACTCAGTAATCCGCAAGCTTGCCTTAATTCCAGGTGATGGTATAGGCCCTGAGATCTGCTCAGCCGCTACAGATGTCTTATCAGCTATCCACGCTCCAGTAGTATTTGACACAATTTCCAATCTCAATGTCAATGATGATGAAGTCATCAAGAAGATTAAGTCATATCCAGCCGCTTTAAAAGGAACCATAGGTCACTTAATAGGAGAAGGAGCTGGCTCCCCCAATGTACTTTTAAGGAAGAAGCTAGACGTATATGCCCATGTATGTCATGCATTTTCACTTAAAGGTATCAAAACTAGACATGACAATATTAACGTCATCGTCATCAGAGAAAACCTAGAAGGAGAATACAGTGGCCTTGAGCACGAAGTATACCCAGGCGTCGTAGAATCCATCAAAGTCATCACATATGCGGGATCCTTAAAAATCGCAAAATACGCCTTCGAGTTGGCTTACTTAAATAACCGCAAAAAAGTCACAGCAATTCATAAAGCGAATATCATGAAAAAAGCAGATGGAGAGTTCTTAAAAGCTGTGAGACAAGTAGCTAAAGAATACCCAACGATACAATATCAAGAAATGATCATTGATAATGCATCAATGCAAATGACATCAAATCCATGGCAATTTGATGTGGTCGTCCTGCCAAATTTGTATGGGTCAATTATAGGGAATATTGTATCGTTTCTGGTCGGAGGTCCAGGGATCACCCCAGGGGTTAACATAGGGAATGATTTTGCACTATTTGAGCCTGGGACAAGACATATAGCTAAGGATATTGCAGGAAAAGGTCTTGCGAACCCGACTGGGATTTTGTTATCAAGTGCTATGATGCTAACTCCCCCCCCCCCTCCGTGAGCGAACAAAAAAAAATTTTGTTCGCTCACGGAGGGGGGTTAATTTTTTTTTTTAAAAAAAATTTTATATATAAATTTTATAAAAAATATTTTTTTCGAAATTTAAAAAAATCCTAATTTGCAAAAATTGGGAAGCAAATATTAATTTAATTCGCAAAATTTATGTTTTAAAACGCAATTTGTTTAAAATTAAACAGAATTAGCTCTAGATTTCATTATACTAATTATCACTTATATATCAAAATTTTTTTCCATTAAAATTTTTTTCTATTAAAAAAAAATTTTTGTTCACTCACGGAGGGTGGGTTTTTGGTCAAAAAATGGCGATTTTTCTAATGGTTTTGTTCGCTCACGGAGGGGGGGGGGGGAGTAAGACATTTAAATCTTCCACATTTCGCAGAAAGGCTTCAAGATGGACTCTTCCAAACCATTAGTGAAGGAAAAGTTTTAACTCAAGATATTGGAGGATCTGCGACTACATATGAGTTCACAAGAGAAATAATAAAAAATATCCAAAAATAATACAAATAATTAGGATTCTATATTTATGGTAGAGGTAGGAAAACGAAAAGAGCAAGGCAATACATTTTTTAAAGAAAACAAATTTGATGATGCAATAAGATTATACTCAGAAGCAGCAGATTGCGAAGACGCGACGAAGGAGCTAAAAGCTGTATGCTACGGAAATATAAGTCTCTGCTACCTACGATTAAATAATCCTACGAAATCTCTAGAATATTGCGATTATGCGCTAGGTCTGAAGCCAGATTATCAAAAAGTAAGAGAAAGAAAAATTGGTTTGCTCCTGGACGCCAAAAGAATACCTGAAGCAAGACTTGAAATGGGTAAAGGGGAAGTTAGCGATGATTTGAAAGCAAAAGTTGAAGAAGCTGAAAAGGAAGAAAATGATAAAATTTTGGAAGATGAAAAAGCAATGGAAAGAGAAGCAGACCTTGAGACTGAGGCTAGAGAGAAAGAAAAGCAAGAGAAGAAAAAAAATTTAAATGAAATGACAACTGCTATGAAAGAGCTTGCAAATGATGTACTGGAAAAGTTTGGGATGAGCCTGGACTGTTTCAAAGTGAAGAAATCAAAAGAGGGGAAATATTGTGTTGATTTCTCATAGATCTTAATTATAATTCATTAATAATTTTCAATAGCTGGTGTATTATTTCAGCTAGGTGTTAAGAATGAGATTAAATTTGCCTTAAATCTTTAAAGTAATTATATAAAACCATATATAATTATTATTTTTCTATCTGATTAAGAGCAGTATATTAATTTATAACAACTAATGTACCCCCAAACTCAACTTCTGTAAGCCAAAGAAAACTACAATAACAGTGATGTCGTCCACAGAATTATTGTGAACGTGCTTTCATCTTCTTGCTGCTTCATTAATTAGTGCATCACAGCAAGCTTCTCTTTTATCTTTATCTAATACTTTTCCTACGATTTTAACTGCTTCTTCACTAGAAATGACATCCCATATTCCATCTGAAGCAACGATTAAAAATTTATCATTTTCAGTCAAATGGTGTCTGGTAAATTCAGGTTCTGAGCTTACTCCAAATCCATGGGCAATTGTGTCTCCAATTGAACGAGACATAGCATTAATATTATGATATTATTGAAAAGCTTCCCATTAGTATCCGCGAGTGCGTATCTCCACCTTGATTCGTTGTTGGCCGCCTGCCACCGCCTCTAGAGGTAAAATCCTCGTCGCCTGGGGCTCGCATCAAACGGCGAGGGAAGTGAGCCGGGTTACCATGCCGTACGCCAGACTTGGGTGCCCTTCCAGAAGATTCAAAAAACGAATTTTCTGGTTAAATTGCCGACCTAGATAGAATTCATCGTCCAGGACGCAACTCCTGGTATCGAGCTTGAAAAGTTGCCCGATTGGTCACGCAAATTTTGCTGGGCTTTCTCTTTCCCAATACCGATCAAATATCCACCAAGAGGTAAAACCTTGATCCGGAATAAGTGGAGTCGGCCTAATCCGACATTGCACTCCACCCAAACCCAGTAAAAACCTGGCTGGATGTTCATCACCGAACGCCATCCTCTCTTCCACAAGGTCTCTGGTTATCCCCAGCTACAGGTGCTAAGAGGGTGGGTTGATTCATCACGCCATTTTAATGCATGAACAGGCATAGCAAGTCCATGATTATTTACGGATTGCCAGACCCTTAAAGGTCCAATTCCTTTTCCAATTGGACTATGCACTTGGTCTAAAATCCCATTAGACTGTATTATTCGGTTTTTCTCGTCTTCTTCTGTAGGCTTATGGTCTCTTGACAAATCTTTAGATTTCCAGCTATTACATAAACTCCCTAAAACTGCTCTTGAGTCTCCAATATTTGCACATATTAGCTTATTTCCATTGATCAGTACACAATTCATAGTACTCCCTGAGCTTTCAGTCGGCATTTTGCTTTCATCAATTTGGTCAGTTAACTTTTTTATAGATTTATTAAGCGCATCTTCTAAATCATTAAGAGTTGAAGATCTATGCTTAAGTTTAGCCTCAACAAGACGTGGAAACATTTCTCTGATATAATGAGAAACCTCATGACCTGATGGGCCATGCCCATCACAAACTGTGAAAAGGTAAAACTCATTGACTTGGTGGAATAATGGCTTAGCAATGTACGTATCTTGGTTGCATTTTTTATATATCCCATTGGATTCTCCTATTTTTGATTTATAATTGTATGAAATTACACTAGCTTTTTTGTTGCGAACAGATAAAGGATGCTTAAAATTTAGGACACTTTGACTTTTTAGCCTCAAAATTTGGCCGTCGTCTGCAGCTGCTTCTGGGCTTTTAAGGGTTAAAGCCAAATTTTCTTCAATTGGAAAATTCATGCAAGGAATACAAGTTCGGCGTTTAAACTGTGTTCGCCGTCTACTTGTCTCAATAGCAGTTGATCTTGATGAAAAAACATCTGGTAAACAAGTTTTTGGAGGCTTGTTGAAAATGTTCAGCTCAGACGACATATCGTTAGAAATCAAAAAATCTATTGGATCTTTGAAAATAGTCCTTGAAGACAATGAAGGAGTCTGTAATGTATTCATTCTTGGCCTAGTCCTTTGCTTGTTGAGCATATTTTTATTATAATAATAGTGGAGCAATCTTTTTTTTCTGATAATGAAAAATGAATGTAGGAAATTCTCCTAATAAGCAAAGTATTATTTTTTTGAAAATAAATTTTATAGAAATATATATAAAATCAGATAGAATTTGAAAAAAGCATACAAAAAAGCTGATACAATTTTAGATATGACTTATTTAGTATTATAAAATGGAATCCAAGCCACACTGCTTGATCACTATGGGTATGGCCGGCTCAGGCAAAACTACTTTTGTAAGAAAGTTGTATTCAATTCTCAAAGTTAAAGGCTTTAATGTCTACACAATAAACCTGGATCCAGCTATCCGCAAGCTTTCATTTCCAGCAAATCTTGACATATGTGACGCAATAAATTTCAAAAAACTCATGCAAGAGTACTCCTTGGGCCCAAATGGAGCCATTATCACAGCTCTTAACCTTTTTGCCACAAAATTCCACGAAGTCATTGACCTGATTTCAACCAAAACAGATATTCACTACATCCTTATAGACACTCCAGGACAAATTGAAGCATTTTCATGGTCAGCATCAGGGACAATAATCACAGACTCATTGGCATCAGTTTTCCCTACAAGTATGCTATATGTTGTTGACACTCCTCGATGCACAAATCCCAATTCATTCATGTCAAACATGCTATATGCGTCTTCAATTTACTATAAAACCAAACTTCCGATCATGATTGTTTTCAATAAAACTGATGTAGAAGCTTGGGAATTTGCCCATGAATGGATGACAGACTTTGAAAGCTTTATGCAGAGCATAGATGAAATCAGCAATGAAAGTTATTTGGCAAGCATGAACAGGTCACTTGCATTGGTACTTGATGAGTTTTATAATGAACTTCCTGCAGTAGGGTTAAGCTCTTTTACAGGCTTCGGGTTTGATATTTTTGTTCCTTTGCTGGAGACTAGTAAAAGAGAGTATATGAACTCGTATAGCAACTGAAATATTTTAGATCATTATTGGCCATCATTTTAATTTTCAATATTAATTTATACTTGTCAGCTTTTTTGAAAAGTTAAAAAGAATATGGCAAGTCTCCGCTTATAGTTTTAAGATCCCTAATCAGGCTTAGACGGTATAAGCAGGTGGCCTTTACCATATTTTTTCTGGTCGGCATTCTGCTGGGGTATAGCGATCTATTATGGTGCATAAATTATATTTGCCTGAATTAGAGGCAAAAAGAAAGGCGGTTGAGGAAAAGCGTGTGAGCAATAATTTGGCAAGGATGGAAGAAGATGGAGAAGACATGGCACCAATTAATGAGTTGCTAGATCAACTGAAGGTAAATGATAAAAAATAAAGGGTTTGATAATATTGGTAATTCAACAATCTAGAATAAGTGAATATAGAATATAATGCTAAAAATTAACAATACATTTTCTATTAATACTTGTTTCAGCGCTTTAATTATAAATTTATTGTTGAACATCTTTAGCATTTTTGAGAAAATTAGCTCTAACTCTCCCCACCCCGTGAGTGAATTGGGAAAAAAACCTACGTGAATGGACAATTTTTTTTTTTAATATAAATGTTTTTACTCAAAAATAAGTTATCATGGAGGGGTGTAAATTTTCAGCTATTTTTCATGATTTTTGAAAATGAAAAGTCTTATTCTCAAACAATTTAGAAATAAATTAAATAATAATTTTAAAAATAGATAATATCATATCAACAGGAAAGCTTGAGTTTTTAAATGCTTTTAGAAATCAAAAATATTAATCAATTGGCATTAGAATTTGGTCTATTACTATATATAAAGAAGCAAAGAGAAATAATCCGATTAAGTTTTATAGATTTGTCCTAAACGTTTTTAATCTACTTTCTTATCCTACAATATTCTGCATACACTTAAATTGAATTATAATCCCTGATTTAAACTTCTGGGTTTTCCTTCAGATGTAAACGGCCTTGCTTTACTAAATTCAAACTTCTGGGAGCCAGCTGCAGTGATAGGCCTCACTGAGCCAGGTGTAGTGGTATTCACATTTATCAAATCAAAGCTAATAGACCTCGGAATTCTTCCAGCATTTTCCGAAAGCTTAAGCGATAAATATTGGCTATGATCAAATTCTCTTTTCCATTTCTTAATTGAATATACAGATTTTGCTGTCTGAAGTCTTTTCAATATTTTTTTGTTTTCATCAGTTATTTTTGTAAGCTCGACAATTCGTGAATTCTTATTCAAGGAAAAGTTTTGAAGTCCACCTTTTGGTGGTAAAATTAATTGCTATACGGTTATAAGTGAGATAGCAACTAGACGTTACACATCTTGGCTCCAAAAGGAAGCTCTTTTGGATTTCCGGCCTGATTCGCCCTGTCCAAGGAATTAGCTCCCTAGGGCAGAGCCACTGTCTGCGAGGTGTCCTAATGTCCTGATAAGAAGAACCATGTGATAGGCAAAATCTGTCTAACCCAACTGGTAGGGACAGGAAAGTCTTAAAGGAGAAATAAAACACCCTTTTTTTGCAGGACTCCATTGGGATGGGTCTATTTTACTCATGAAGAGCCCACTTTTCTACCATCACGCGAGGTCCATCGCTCTATAGGAGGTGTCACTCTCGGATTCTATTTTTTTCAGCATCAACATTTTATTCCTTTAGGTGGTAAGGAATTTGGAGTCAAAGGAGAAGGTTTCATGTCAATCTCAAGCATTTTTTGGAGGAGAAGCTTATTTTGTTGATCGATTACAGCTCCTCTGTCATTTTTGATTCGTTCTTGCTTGGCTCGACTTTGGAGATGAGGCATTGCTTTTGGGGGAAGATTATCTATACGAGGTCTCATGTTACGGATCTTTATTTGATGTAGGGTATGCTCTCTCAAGATTTCTCGATCTGTGCAGCGTTTGTTCGCACCCATAATGTTCCACATTGAAATTTTTTAATAGAGAGTTACATTTGAAGAGATAATTATCAATTGAATGATAAATTAAGAAGATAAAGGTGATATGAAGAAAACAGAAATCAAATAATTTGTTTTATATATTAACATTAGCTTGAATGGTATCTTTTAATCTTTGGAATTTTCTTTAAGTATATAGATAGACTGGAATTTTTGAGCACAATAGAAGATATTATCTTTTTTTGCTCCTTGTATCATTAGAGCTTAGTGATAGTAAAAAATGTAAGTGGCTTTCAAATATTTATAATAAGTTTTTCTATCTTAGAAATATAATTATATAAGCTCATTTTTAATCTTAATCTTAATTATACTTATGGTGTTATATCGAAGGACTATATCTACCCCTTACTTATGCTTCCCTCCCGGCTAGAATAGTTCGAGTTTGATAACATTCCGACGCTTTCTCCTGTCAAGCGAGGACTTGCAATTTCCACCAGTATTGGATGAGTTATGTCACCTCACTGAGCGTCAATATTCAAAATGGTTGAATTTTCTGGCTGACTTTTGATAAAAACAGAATCCGAAGCCCAGGGCTAAATCCTCATTTCAAGGTGGAATAGTCCCAATTGGCCAGGAAAATAACTGCTGCTCTGCTTGGAGACCCCTTTCCTATTCTCGAAGTCATTTCCTTCTAAGACAAAAAACTGATTAGGACTAAACAGCAGTCGGCTAGATTCAGCATTGTGCTTCACCAAGCCAGGTTATAAACATTTCCAAACGCCATCACCTCTTCCTGAAGATCTCTGAATTCCCTTGCGGAGAGTTAGTTAAGTATTAAGAGGGTAAGTTGGTTCGCCATGCCATTTAATATATGCTCATTTTAATCAACAAACTGCTTTTTTGTTGAGATAATAAGGTTATAATAATTATAAATTTTTTAACCCTTACTCCTTTGGGGGTAAATAAAGTGATAATCTATTTTTCAAGAGCTAGGTGAAAAAATTATATGTAAAGAATTTTATATAAGTATATTGATATTAAATTTAAAATACTCAGCTAATTCTAATAATTTATTATGGCTTGTATTTTAAGGGTGGATTTTACATTAAATTAGAGATTTCTTCCAATTGATTTAAAATCCAAATTTGAAAAAAATAAGGATGATTAAACTTTTGTATATTTTTTTAAGCCTGCAAGTAGAAAATTTCTTTAATCTTGTATGAGGGATAGAGTATGAGCATAGTTTAGCTACATAATGCTTTATCTTCCATACTTTAAATTTGATTTATCTTCTGTCAGTTATAGTTAATTTATCTGTTGAATATTAGAAGAATCAGATTATTTGAAATTAAGTAGAATTTTAAGCTCAGCATAGCATTGAATTTATTAACCCAATTTGTCGACTAATTTAGTATAATATAAAAATTCAATCTATCTAAATAAAACCCCTTTTATTAAAAAATCTCCAGATCTTTATATATCTAGTTTTTAATACTTAAATCCTTCTCAAAGCTTTAATTTGAAAAATTTAATGTTTAATGACATCATTGAATTTTTTCACCAATTTAAAAATATATTGTAAAAAATGTTGTTGAATATAAATGGATCTTAAAAGGATTATCATCTTTAGCTCTGTAGCTTTGCTTTTCAGCTGGGTTGTTTACTTCATGATAAATCTTCTAGATATTTTTGTCGTGACCAATAAGCATCACCACGAGACTTGTGAAGTTCTTGACTTGCCGCTAGCTCCTGAAGATATAGAAATCTACGGAAGCGTCATTATAGCAGCTTTAGATGATAGAATTCCTCATATGTTTAGGCACCAAGACATGAAAAGCGCTAAGCAAGGTCTTCTAGTCTGGATTGATCCTAAGACTAAGAAATGGGCTGAAATCCCTATATCAAATTTCCCATCTGGATTACCATTTCACCCTCATGGGACTTTCCTATACAAAAACTCAACTTTGTATATGGTAAATCATGCTCTTGGGCAGTATGGAGAAAGAATTGAAGTGTTTTCTTTAGTAGAAGATGGAGACAGGAACATCAAGGCAACTTACTTAAGATCTGCCGTGTTTCCTGACAATTGGCATGGGATAATTAATGATGTCGTCGTCTACAAAGAGGGACATTTTTATGCAACCCAATGGATGCCAATTCCAGACACTCCAGAAGGCCGCGATCATTCTTTCTTGACATCTTTCATCAGAACTGCCAAAATGTTCTTCTATAAAAACTCCTACGTTTATTCTTGCTTTGAAAAAGATGGAAAAGCTGAATGCACACCTCAGCACATTGCCTATATAAATAACGGAGCAAATCTGATAGGAAACCAGCTTCTAGTAGCAGATACATATCCAAGCGTCGTGAATATTTATGATATTCAAAGTGATATGAGCTTGAAATATGTAGAGTCTGTGAAATTCCCTCATCATTTAGATAACATTAGCATTGAACCTAATGGATCAGCTTTGGTGGTAGGAATTACAAGAATGGTTGAATTTGTGATTTTAACTGAAAATCTAAAGGCTGGAAAACCAAAAAGTGTAATGGGAAGTGGAGTGAGCAGAATGAGTAAGGTTAATGGCAAGTGGGAAGTCAAAGAACTGCTAATGCAGGATACACTTTTTGCGAGTGCAGCAATTATTTTGGATGATACAATACTTATTGGAAGTATTATTGATAATGCTGCCTTGGTTTGCAAAGTAAAATCATAATTAATGATCGATTAAGGAAAAATTATTTTTTTAATTTTTAATTATAAGTAAACTCATTGAATGAATCTTATAGTGATTTCTTACTAATTCATCCTAGTGAGTAAAGCAATTGAAGACACTAATTTTTGGAAAAAATCAATCGCCATTCTTGAGCGAACAAAATGCTTATTTATATAACCATTTTATATTAAATAATTTGATATTTTATTAATAATAACTATCCAGATTATTTATAAATTTATTTTGAAGCAATAAATTTATAAATTAAATTAGAATTTTTTTGGTCTTAAAAATATTTTAAAAGTTATCAAGCAAAAATTCTAACATATTTACAGAGCGAAAGTTATTTTTATGCATTCTTTGAAATTTTACGAAATTTATTTTGATTGCATTCTATAACTTTTCTCTATTACTTACTTAGTCATAGCTTGGTAATATAAGAATTGAGAAATGGGCATAGAATTAATTATGGGCTACATCAAACCATTGGAATGCAAATTTAAGAGACAGCACTCTCAACCCACTGTAAGAAGTGGATTCGAGATAATGAAAAATTTCAACGGAAATTACCATCAAGAAATTTTCTCAAGATACAATACTTGAAATTATTTATAATTAAAGATCTTTTGCTCAGCAGTCTGTCAGAGACTCTAGATTAATATTCCTAATAAATAACGTCTAATTATTTTCTCCAATCATTTTAAAAATAAACTTGACATGAATTTTCTGATTATTCCTTTTTATCAATGGAAGCTCCTAAAAACTCATCAGGCGATGAAAGCGAGAATTCTTATGCCGATATCTCACGATCTATTGAATGCAAATCTCCTGCACAAGTAGTTCCTTTTCCTCCTATGTCTATAGCATCTCATGGCTCTACCATTATAAGATCACCCTCACAAGGCTTATTCAATGAGTCTGGCCGTAGCAGTATTGAGCCACCTTCAGAGGTGGCTATCAAACTAGAAAACGTCCACAAGACATATTTAATAGGAACTGAAGGGGTGGCAGCACTTAGAGGTGTCTCTTTTATAGTTAAAAAAGGAGAATTTGTGTGTATATTAGGGACATCAGGAGGAGGTAAAACGACTTTATTGAATATTATGGGAACTATAGATAAACCTACCAAAGGGCATGTCTGGATCTTTGGGTCAAGAATTAAAGCAAACACTCGTGATAGTTTTCTTGCTGATTTAAGAACGAAACGCTTAGCTTTTGTCTTCCAAACCTTCAACTTAATTGCGTCTATGACTGCAATAGAAAACGTTGAGCTTCCAATGCTACTTTATGGAAAGCTGTCTCCAAGCGAAATAAAGACCAGGGCAAGAGAATTATTGGCAAAAGTGGGTTTAGAAGAGCGCACAGACCATTTTCCAAACCAATTGTCAGGAGGTGAGCAGCAAAGAGTCACAATAGCCAGAGCTCTTGCAAATGACCCTGAGATCTTATTATTGGATGAGCCAACGGGTGATCTTGATACAAAAAACACTGATATTGTGATGAAAATTCTGCTTGATTTAAATAGAGAAGGGAAAACTCTAATTATGGTGACTCATGATGTAAGCTTGAAAAGCTATGCCCACAAAGTGGTAAGAGTAATGGATGGCAAATTAATTAGACAAGAAGAAATCACTGAAGAAGAAAGATCTTCTATGATTGAAAGGCATAGTGAAGGAAAAGCTGCATTGAGGACTGGAACCAACGTGCAGCTAACTAGTGATATGCCTAGAACCACATACCGAAAGCCAGCTGATTACCCAGCCTTGCAGCCTAGAGTATCATAAATTAAGTAAATTTTATTTATAAATGCTAAATAAAGGAAATGCCCAGACACCTGTTAAAGCAGCTAATATGGTAAGCAAAACTAATTCGCAACGAAATAGCCCAGCACCAGACCATTACAATGATAAAAGGCACATTTATAACAAATCTGTATCACCAGGACGATTTGATTATTCTTCGTTTGAGATTCCTTATAAACGATATAAAGAAAAAACCAAAAAACAGAAAATTATTCTTGATATTTCTAATTATTTTTTTAGCGGGAAATGGAGGACTTTGTGCAAGAAGATTTTGAAGAATTTCTTTATGAGAAGTGACAGCAAAATCACTGAGATGTGGTCAGATGAAGAAGACGCTAAGTACTATGATGATTATATAGAAAATTATAAACCTAGTGCTGAGGATTGTTATGGTAGTGATTATGGTAATTATGAAAACTATGAAGATTACGAAGATTATGAACATTATGAAGATTATAAAGATTATGAAGATTATGAAGACTGTGAGTATTGCGAATCAGAAAAAGAAATTTGTGCGAAATACGCATGGGCATTGCATCAAGAGAAAGAGGCGTTAGATGATGGAAGCCATTCTAAGGTTTGTGAAAGTGTGATGACTAGTGAAAATAGAGTAAACAGAGATGGAGGTAAAGATAGAACTGAAGACTGTATTGATGAAGTGGTAACTAGAGAGAAGCGTATTCACAAAAAATTGCCCGCGAGAAAATGGAGAAATGGGAAAAATGGCGGTAGATTTGACGAGCCATTGAAGGAGGAAGTCGTTAACATGTTGAGGCTATTTGAAATTAAGAACGGAGTTTTTTGCAGGGAAATTGAAGAAATTTGAAGAAACGTGAAGGAAGTGGAAAAGATTGAAGAAAAGGAAGAAGGTTGAAGAAAATTTGTGTTTTTGAAAATAGTTGAAGATGATGGAGATAATTGGTCCTGTAACCGTAATAAATAAATAAATAAAAATTCTTGATATTTCTAATGAAGACGCCAGAATGAAAGAAATTTTTACTACAGAAAGTAAATTCAGTGCTTTGGCATCTCACATTATAACTCCCAAAAAGCAGACAAATAATATTTCGTTAGATAACAAGCCTTTTAATCGAAGAAAAACTGATTTAATGATACAGACAAACAATTATAATGGAGATGCAGAAAGGAAAAGAGCGACTGCAGCATTTTTTGGGGATGAAACTGATGGGATTCATAAAATTTCGAATCAGTTAATAATAAGATTTGCGAAAAATCAATTAAAATCAATGATTCATGACCCTATTACTGGAGAAGTTAAAGAATTCAGGGCTGATAGAGAAAAACTTTTGCCACTTGGAGAGCATAGACAAGAGAATGTGGCGACGAAAATTTGTGAGTCTCCTCCACCATCTATAAGGTACGAGCTGCCAAAATTTGGCAAAAAAGTGCCGAGAAATACAATTTTCAATCCTCTGACTGGTGAAATAAAAGAAGTTGATAAAATGCAAAATTTATCAAGTGATGGAATGAACAAGAGTATGATACCGAGCTTTGATTGGCCTTCTGTGAAGTCTAATATAATTTATTAAGTAAAATAGCATATTTTATCAACTATCTTTGCAGAATGATACTCAAAGAGGCTTCATAACTGTATGAGCTATTATTAACTAATTGCATACCTAGTTTAAGTTCTGCTAGTAAGCAAAATTGTCCAGAAAAGTTGCGATATAAGTAAATTATTTATTAATAAAAATTCAGTTTTATGCAACTGACGCTAGAAACTGATCAAACCTGAACTCCATTAAATTAATAATTAATGGAAAAACCTCCTGCTTATTGGATCGCCAAATTTCAAAACAAAAGCTCTACTAGTCGCTGCCTAATTCATTTGCTAGGACAAAACGTTACCCGTGAAATCATTTCATACTTGACTCTCGAAGAATTCATCAACTTTACAATGACTTGCAAGAAGTTATGAAGGTTTGCCCAAGACCCATGTGTTCGTATTAACGGATCAAACCCTGGAAGCTCTGCTTTAAAATATGTTCTATATCAAGACGAAACTATAGGAGGTCAAAACTTTTCTGAAATTATGATAAAACGAAATTATTCTATCCATAACTCCCCAAAAATTGGACTTCAATGAACTAATACTCCACAAAAGATTTTCCACTTTGTAAATATCAAAGGTGAAAACTATTTTATTGCTTTTAAAGATACTTTTATCAACGTTTATGAAATTCCAACATTTAAGAATGAACTTATAAAGAGGGAGTCATGGTTTTGTAAGCACGAAATCATTGATGCTGCTGGATTTAAGAATAAAATAGTTGTTTCATATGAAGGAGGGCTAGGATTATTTGTGTATGGAAGATGTGAAGATTTAGAATATTTCGAAGATATAAATTGCTCAAAATTGGCAGTGGAAATTGCTCCACGCCATAGATTGACTGATTTGAAGTGGTTTGAAAATGGGCATCTGATAATTGCTAAGTCTCGAAGGGCAATACAGCTATATCGAAGTGATCTGGAGTTAATTCATGAAATTTCAGTTGAAGAAAAAATGCTTGAATATCATGTGCCTAGTATAAAGACCAATGATTTTGTTGTTTATTATGATAACGTGATTAAAGCTTACAAGTCAGCACTTCAAACTCATGTAAAAATATCTTACAAAGAGATAATTAAGGTAGTATCCTCAACTCAGTATAAAGTATTTGATCGCGTTGAGCATGCCTTAATAGTACAATCCAATAGCAATCATCTCTATAAAAACCATGAAGCTCTTCCAGTCTTCGCTAGAAGTTTTAAAGTCGATCGAGAATTTTTATTATTCATTGATGAAACATCACATCTGACTATATATGATATGAGAAATATGTGCTTTTTGCAAGATGTAATAGAAATGAGAAATTCTCTAAATTGGGCATTATTGACTTATATTTCATTTTATAAGAGTATTTATCTCACGAAGAATGATAAATATGAAATAAATGTTTACCATTACAAAGAAGCTGCTCCATTGATTTTCAAAACTCCATTCAATAAGATAGTTAATCAGTTCTATATTCATCCATTTTTATGCCTTTCAGGTACAAGATATGGGCATTTCGGAATAATGATTTTAAACCTTTATTCATATATCCATCACGAGGTCTATGAGGATATTTTCAACTATGAACTTCCACCAAAAAGAAATAAAAATGTAAAAATACCTTTAAAAAAGCAAGATGAAGATAATGAAGAAAAGAAAGAAGAAAGAGTAGAGTATCGCAGAGGAAATTTAATTAGATATAAAGAAAAGGAAAAAGAAGAAGGCACAGCAAAAGCAAAAAACGATAAGAAAGAGAAAAAAGATAAGCATAAAAAGCATCATTAAAGAATTAAAATGAATTAAATTATAAATCTAAAATATGTTTTCAAAAATTATATATAATTTTGAATTAGACTTTAATCATTTGATAAAAACTTCTAAATGCACCTTTATTAATTAAATCGCTGAAATTAAAACATATACCCTATCACAAATATACGCATTTCTTTATATAATCATAACTTCACCAAAACCCTTCTCAAAACAGTCTAAACACCCAATTTTTTTACTTTTCTCTATCTCTTCTTCCATTCTATTTCTTAACCTTATTGCTAAACCATAAATAAATGGCTGATACACCTGTGATCACAGTTTACGACGCACAAAGCTCAGGAGAAGTCAAGGAAAGCGTTGCCCTCCCAGCAGTTTTTACCGCCCCAATCAGGTTAGATATAGTTCGTTTTGTGCACGACAACCTTAACAAGAACCATCGCCAGCCATACGCAGTCTCCCTTTGGGCAGGCCACCAACACTCAGCCGAGTCCTGGGGTACTGGAAGAGCAGTTTCCAGAATTCCAAGAGTTTCTGGCTCAGGAACCGGCAGAGCCGCTCAAGGTGCTTTCGGCAACATGTGTAGATCCGGAAGGATGTTCGCTCCAACCAAGATATGGAGAAGATGGCACAGAAGAGTCAACATCAAGCAAAAGAGACACGCTGTTGCCTCTGCAATTGCAGCTACTGGAGTTCCTTCTCTTGTTATGGCAAGAGGCCACCAAATTGAGAACGTCAATGAAGTCCCATTGGTCTTAGACGGAATTGAAAAAGTTGAAAGGACCAAAGAGCTCCTTGACATCCTCACAAAATATGGAGCTAAAGACGACTTAGAAAGAGTTGAGAAGAGCGTCCACTTGAGAGCTGGAAAAGGAAAATACAGAAACAGAAGATACACATTAAAGAAAGGGCCTTTGATCATCTACGAAGATAAGAACTGTGCTTTGAGAAGAGCTTATAGAAACATCCCTGGAGTTGATGCAGTTTCAGTCCACGAATTAAACATCCTTAAGCTTGCACCTGGTGGAACCTTAGGAAGATTCGTAATTTGGTCAGCAGCAGCTTTCAAAGCTCTTGACAACATCTTTGGAACTTACTCAACACCTGGAGTTGAAAAGAAAGGATACACCTTACAAAGACATATGATGACTCAAGCAGACGTCTCAGCTATTGCTAAGTCTGACGCTGTCCAAGGTGTCTTAAGACCAATCAAGATTGATGAAGACGAGCACCACCCTAAGAAACAAAATCCTTACAGAAGCAAGAGAGCAATGGAAAAACTCAACCCATTCTTCAAGCTCAAGAAAAGATTTGAAATTCTTAAAAACCGCAGAGGACATTAAGTAATCTCTTCCATCATAATTTTGCCTTTATATTAGAAAGAATCCAATTATTAAGCTATAACGATTATTCCAGTTCCTTGAACCTTCATTAGGGCTGCACCAATGTAGAACCCAAACATTTTCCATTGTTTAGTTTCGTAGGCTTGGACTGCATCATAAAAGTCTTTATGAAGGTCAACCCCATTTACCAAAATTTGGCCATCATTGAAGCTGAAAGTCATAGGATTTTCAAAGATGTTTAGGACATGGAAAACCCTGGAGGAGTCTCTTAATGAGTCACCACAGTCTGAAAGAACCTTTGGGAGGGTGTTCAAGGCTGCTTTTATTTCTTTAAGAGCTTCGGAAGCTGAAGTAAGTGTGCGGAGCTTGAGAAGAGAAACAGCTTTTAAGAAACTTTCTTTGATTGCGAGGGTATCTTTGATGCAGTCTTGAATGTCATTGATGTCTGAATCTAAAGCAATTCCTTGTAAAACACCTTCAATTATAAGGAAGACTTCGTCTCCTTCTGAGAGAGGCTTTGGAGTTTGCCTTACGAAATTGGTGGAGTCGCGTGGGAAGTATAATCTTGCGAGTGATAAGCTAAGCAAGCATAATATTAATGCAACTTTCATATTTATTAAATTCAACAAAAATAGATTTGCCTATAAATCTTAAGATTATGCTAACTTTAATGGAAAGAATGAATTATTTAAATATATATTATTCAAGTTACTATCCTTTATTGAATTTTTTTAAATTGAAGTTAAATAAATTAAGATTCCGCTTCCAACTTTCTTAAATGCGCAATAACTGTATCTTGAATCAAAGCCACTGTTTTCTGCTTAAGATTTTCTGAGAGATAATTATATTCATTCAAAATCCTATCACGGTCTTTTGTGGTCTTCATTAAATCTACTTCCAAATCGTTAATCTGACTTGCCAAATTTTCTCTAGTGTTTTCCATTTGCTTTCTTTCAGCAGTCTGTTCTTGTAGAAGTGTCTCAAGCTGCTTCATATGGGCTTCTTTTCTTTCATTCAATGTTTCGCTCAGCTCATCATTTTCGCCTCTAGATCTCTCTAAATTGGTATTCAGCATATAAATGTCTCCTCTTAAGCTTTCAATTGTAGCATTAGCCTTGGTAAGCTGCCTTTGAAGTTCCGCTCTTTCTTCTCTAAGCTGGCCTATTGTAGACTCTAATGCATTAGCTTGCTCAGAAGCTCTTTTTTCGTTTTGAATGATTTCACGCTGCAAATCTTGGTTTCTTTTGTTTAAATTTTCTCTTGAATCTTCAATTGATCTCATTCTGATTTCAAGGCCTTTTAATGTGCTGTTAAATTTAGTAGTTTCTTCTTCTCTGATTTTGAAATCTTGATCAGTCAAAGCTTCTTGATGGGAAGATTTTAACTGAGCTATTTGTCCTCTAAGATTTTTAGTTTCATTATCTAGTGCTTCTCTCGCTGCTCTTAAATTTCTGATATTTTCTTCTGCTTCCTCAAGCTTATTAGTGTAATCTCTATTAATTTCAAAGACCTCTTGTAAATGCTCTTTTTTAGTCCTATCCAAATTATTTCTGCTGGTTTCTTCTAATTGTTTATAAAGTCTGTCCTGCTGAGTGATCTTTTCATCATAAGCTCTATATCTTTCCATAGCCGAGCTTTGCAATTTTTGGAACTGCTCTTGGAGATTTTCTAACTCTTGACTTAAAATTCCTTTTTCATTGTTAGATCTGCTCAGTTTGGTTTCTAAATCTTGGATAATTCTTCTATCTTCCATTTCTCTTTTAAAAGATTCCTCTTTTTGTATCATAACTGCTTCTTCAGCCATCGTCCTTTTGGCTTTTTCATTTTCCAGTTCTCCTAAAAAGTCATTTCTCATTTCAGTGCTTCTTCTGGCTTCTTGATCTAACAGAAGCTCTAATTCATTAATTTTTGATTCACTTCTTGCATTGGCTAGTATTTGAGCTTCTAGTTTTTGATGGATGTCATCAGAAAAATCTCTAGAAGCTGTCCTTTCCATGCTCCTTGAAAGGCTTTTAGGACTGCTATATCGTGATCTGTTTTGAGGCTGATCAGTTCCTTTTATAGCTTGCTCAACCTGCTGCAAAAGCTCTTCTGGAATCTTATTTCCTGATAAATCGAGCACTTGGATTGCGTGTGGCTTTCTTAAAGCTGATATAATTGCTCTTGCTCCATTTGAACCAATATCATTCCATCTTAAATCGATTTTTGTAATAGACTTATTGGTTTCTAACAAATCAGCAATATACCCAGCTCCTTCAGGTCCAATTCTGTTATTTCTTAGATCTAAAGTTTGGACGGACTCATTATAAGCCAGTGCATCAGTTAAAGACTTTAGGCTGTTTCCTAGATTATTCCACTCTAGTGATATGTTGCGGACAAAAGTTTGCCCTCTAAGAGCTGAGGCTAAGAGCCTGAGACCTTCGCCAGTTATATTGTTGCCGCGAAGCTCCACACTGTGAACTCCAATATTATCTTTTAAAAATTGCGCAACTAAGCCACAACCTTCATCTCCAATAAACGCATCGCCAAGGTTTAAGGATGAGCTTCCTACCTGAGCTGAAAGTTTGTTTTCGATTTTGCTTAATGAGAGCTCGTTTAAGAAAATCGGTCTATCTGAATCTTGAGATCTTCTTCTATCAGGAGTTGAGGCTCCGTAACTTGACATCCAATAAATATTATGGAACTTTTTAAATGATTTAGGAATAGAAACAAAATATTTAACCAAAAGAAAGAATAGGCTGCGATAATAGGAAAAGAAAAATAATGAGTATATTTAAAAGAACTTAGAATTAAAATAATTTAGCTTCAGCAATTTTAGAGGCAATTTTTTATTATTCTGAATCTTGAATCAGTTAATTAGTTTTTTTAAATACAAAAAGATTACGGGTTTTTATATATATATAATTGTAAAGGTCCACGAATATTTCAAACCAAATTCTGCTATTTGATACTTTGAGAGCTATGCAAGGCAGTATCATTTAATTGAGAGTTAATATATATTTTTCAAGTTCTCATACTTAAAAAGCACTTAATCACTGGCAACATCGATAATATATATAATTAGCATATTTATGTGTTGGCAAGTGATCTTTCATCTCATAATCGAATAGACTCAGGCTATTTGAGTTTAATCATATTAAACGCTAGCGTAAATACATTCAACTGATTTTAATTTAACTTTATTTAGTTCTGGTTTGTTTGAAGCTGGACGAGCGATAGACAAAGGTTACCGCGGCCATCGCTTCACTTTTTACTTTTTGTCAGCTGGAGATTTTCAACCTAAAGAGCTTGAAAAGTGCCAATGACAATTAGGTGTATTCAATAAGTGATTCTGATCGCCATTAATTATTTATTATAACAATCAAAAATGAATAAAAATTTTTCAATGATTCCTAAATGTTGCCCGTCGAGACGTGGACATTTGCCCTAGAAGCACCTTGGCGATCGAAGCGAGTTTGTCTCCAGCAGGCTGGTGGGCCCGATGCGACGAAAGGCGAGTGATAAACCTGGAGTTGTAACCCCGTAGTGGACGTTAAGCGATATAAATTCCATAAGATAAGATTCCTAATGTTGCAACTTTAATTTATTGATAAAAATTTTTATTATCCCCAAATAATCATAAAAAACAGTAATATCCTATTTTCTGGCAGTAATTACAATAAATTTAAATAATAAAATTAAATTTTACTACCAAAAAATGATTTCACAAAAAATAATCGCAAAATTATATCATGTCCGGATGCCCATTCTTCACCCTCGCTCCCTCAAAAGGAACAATAAAATCTCCTTTCGCAATTAATAAAACCCATAGAGTCGATGACCCTAGCTGTTTTCAATTCACTCAAGACTACTCCAAGCCTTATATATCTCCGTATATTGATGCATTCGCACGTTACAAACCAGAAAAATTCCCTTGCTTCTACAACCTTCCTTTTTATCTTCAAAATTCTTTATTCCATCACACCTTTATATCTCGACACAGGAAAACAGAATTTACAAACAAAGTAATGATCGCTAATGAGCTTCGAGAGTCAGGGAATAAAAACTTCCACAAAGGCCACTATTTTAAAGCATTTTTATGCTATGACCATTGCTTAGGACTATTTTCGTGGATTGAGATGGAAAGTCAAGAAGATGATGAAAATTTGAAAATTATCCAAAATCCAGAAGAGGACCAATTAAATGAAAAATCAAGAATTGGCATGATTTCACAGGTTTTATTGAATATGGCTGCTGCACTTATAAAATTAAGGAATTTTAAAGAAGCTTTAGATGTCTTAAAAGAAGCCATTTTAATCAGCCCTAAAAATCAAAAAAACAATGGAATGAGAGCTATATGCCGCGCTGCAAATAAAGAATCTGACATTTCCGCTTTACAGTTAGCACTTGATGATGCAAATAAAGCTGCTGGAAAGTTTGCTGAATACCGAACTGTAATAGACTATATAAATGAGATTTTACGAGAAAAGTACCAAGAAGAGTGCCAGTTTTACAAAAATTTTTTCAAAAATGTCAAAGAATACTCAGGGACTCGTCCAAACACAGACTATGAGTTTGAGCATACAGTAATAAAAAAACTTGAGTGCAAATATCAAAATATGCTAATATATTATAGAGAATCTGATATATTAGGAAAAGTAGAAGATGAGCACAGAGAGGTGGTTAAAGTTTGCTCCAAAATGAATTGGATATCGAATCTTTCGTTAAATAGCCCAAGTGTTCTGATGTCTAAGCACGCAGAGGCTGTTGGGCTTGATATTTCTGATATTTCTATTGATAATGCTTTTGAAGGTGTGAAAAGACTTGAGATCGTAAAATCATTTAAAGAAGGAAAATACAACCAACGCCTTCTATATCAAAGCATTCAAGAAACAATGGAAGAGTTTGAAAGAAATCCTAAAAAAGAAGAAATTGAAGAAGATGAAGGTTGTTTCACCTGGGAAAAAGGTTTAATTATGTTTCTCATCTGTGCAATATTGATTTACATTTTTTCAACCCCAAGCAAATCTATCACTAGATTCAGCAATAACTTCTAGTGTTTTATATAATCAATTTATTATAAAATATACTGAAATAAATATAAATGAAAGCAAATATAAATATTAAGCACGAATCCTGCTAATTTCTTATAAAATTTGATATTAAATAGCCTTAATTAGTGTATATACGTCATAAATAAATGCTGGAGATCATTTTCGTTTTGATATCTGTAGTCTCTTCTAAAATCTTGATTAATAGTCCTGATGATCTCCGTAGAGAGTTCCAAGAAAAATATCCAAAAGATCCTATCCCATCATCCAGAGCTAACTTTGGACTTCCACCTATTGGATCTCTTATTACAGGAAGAGTTTTTATTCCTAAAAGCGATTCTGAAAAAAGAGGATGTGGTCCACTAAGCCCTATCAGCTGGATAGATCCAGACCCCTCTCACACACCAATTTTATTACTCGAACGAGGTGGATGCAGCTTTATCTCCAAGGTCAGAAATGCACAAAATATTGGAGCCTCAGCCGTTCTCGTTTTTGATAATGTTGATGAGGATGTCACCAAACACGCTATAATTGATGGTTGCTTCATAAGATACCTATCCATAAAGGCTTTTTAGGTTATTGTTTTGTCTATTTTTTTGGACTTTTTTGATATCAAAAATATTTTTCTGTCGAAAGCAATAAATGGACTAAAGTATTTATAAAATTATCTCAAAATAATTAATGAGGAATTACTTTTAAAGCAATTAGACACAAAATAGGTTTAAAAACAATTAACAAAAAAATAGGGCAAAACAAAATGGCTAAAAAAAGAGATTAAAAACGGCCAAGATATATTCAAAAAGAAATTAGGCCATAAGAAGTCTCTTATTCAAGACGTCGTGCAATGCTACTAATTGATGATGGAACTGGAGCAAACATATATATTCCTTCACTTTTAATCAGCAAAGAAGATGGTGAAATAATAAAACGCAAAATAGTTGAAAATCATGGGAAAAATAGCAATGCCAACTATGTGTCTATTACTATTTCATTTGAAGTGCTAAACCCTGATGATCTAGTCGAGTATGAGATTTGGATGTCAAGTGAAAATGACGTAGTAAGAAGCTTTTTACATGATTTTGCTCCATACGCAAAGCGATTTGACGAAGACATGGTGCAATTTACTCCCCATTATGTGCTTTGGCACTGCTCCGTATGCAAAGTTCATAATTGAACTGATGATAATCCTGACTGTGTAAGTGGAGGTAGATATTGTGCACCTGATCCTGACTATGATGGCCCAAGGAACGGAAGGGAAATCGTGATGGAGGACTTAAGACAAATATGCATAAACAAAATAGCTCAACAAGATAAAAACCAAAAACTCTGGTGGAACTATATTAAAGCTTTCAATGAAACTTGCTCAAATAATAACTTTGCCAAAAGATGCTCAGAGCAAGCCATGAAAATAGCAAAAATCGACCCAGATGATGTCGACGAATGCGTAGAAAACAGCTTTGAAAAGAATAACAAAACACTTGACAATGAAATTCTGAAAAATGAAAAAGAAAAGTTTGCACGAGCAGGGTTCTTTTTTTATCCAACTGTAGTCATAAATAACCAGACATATAAAGGTGACTTGAAACCTGAATTCATAATGACCACACTTTGTGAAGGCTTCAAGGATGAACCCAAGGTGTGTAAAGATTTTAGACAGGGAAATAAAACTGATAATAATAATTCTCAAGGGACTGGAATACGGGTTTCTACTTTGATCCTTATCGTCTTATTTTCAGCTGTAGTGCTTGGAGTGATTTTGTTCTTCTATAGGAGATGGATTAGGAGCGAGCTTAATTATGAAATGAAGATGCAGGTAAACTCAGCTGTGAATCAATACATTGCTTTGAGTGAGAGAAATAACCCGAGAAACTAAATATTTTACAAAATTTTAGCCTAATTTTAATCAAGGGTTAGTTATAGACCATATACTTATTCGTCGCTGAAAACTTGGCATATCCCTTGATCACTTTTTCGATCGCATCTAATAAATCTTTTTCTGAAATGCTCTTTCTTCTTTGTCTTATAGCAAACATTCCAGCTTCTGTGCACACAGATCTGATGTCAGCTCCCGTTGTGTTTGGACAAAGTCTTGAGAGTAGCTCAAACCTGATGCCTTTGTCCATGTTCATGATTTTTGCATTAATTTTGAAAATTTGTGCCCTTCCTTCTAAGTCTGGCAAGCCAAACTCAATTTTTCTATCCAGTCTGCCAGGTCTTAGCAAGGCAGGATCAAGAGTATCAGGCCTATTTGTTGCCATCAGGACTTTGACGTTTCCTCTATTATCAAATCCATCTAATTGATTGACAATTTCCAGCATAGTCCTTTGCACTTCGCTGTCACCTCCATGCCCATCATCAAACCTGGCACCACCTACAGCATCAACTTCATCAATAAAGACAATGCAAGCCTTCTTACTTTTAGCCATTTGGAAAATCTCTCTGACCATTCTTGCTCCTTCTCCTACATATCTTTGAACTAGCTCACTTCCAATGACTCTTATAAAGCAAGCATCGGTTCTATTCGCAACCGCTCTCGCAGCAAGGGTTTTTCCAGTGCCTGGAGGGCCATATAGTAAAACTCCTTTTGGCGGGTCAATGCCGAGGTTGATGAATTTTTCAGGATGCAGCAGAGGCATTTCGACAACTTCTCTGAGCCTTTCAATCTGTTCTTTGCAGCCTCCAAGGTCATTATAAGTTACGTCAGGCTTTTCTTCTAAAGTCATCATAGTGACAGTAGGGTCTATTTTGGGAGGAAGAGGAATTTGAATGAAATATTTGGTTCTGTCAACGCCAACACGCATACCTTCTTCTATATCAGTGGCAGCAACTTTTTCGCCGAGTCCTACAACAAACTTGGCGAGCTGCTTAATAGAGATCATATATTTAGCTTCGTTTGTCCCGGGGTTGATGATTTTTGTGCATCTCGCGACTTGAAGAGGCTGCTCCATCTGCATGATCATTTTGTCTCCTTCTAAATCCCAATAAGAAGGCTGAGAAAGTCCGGTGTCTGATTCTTTTACACCAGTGGTAGCTGCAATTTCTTTAAGCTTGGTACTGATATCGGCTTCAATAGTTTGGATAACTTTTGCATAGGGGCCAGAGCCGTATCTCATCATGAGACTGATATCAGCTTCGTCTAGAGGCTTAATGGGTTTACTTTCTTCATTCTTCTTATCGTCAGACATTTTATTATAGCTATTTAAATATACCTATTGGGATAAATAAATGCGTTAATGATGACTATTAGTTTTATATTTGTATTATGAGTTTTATTATTATAAAAACCAAGATGTCTTAATGGGCATAGTGATTTTCATAAGAAATCTTTGTTATTTAAGCTTTCTTCTCTTCTGTCTTTTGAGCTTGAGCCTCAGCCAAATGTCTTTCATGTAAGACATTGTTCAAAAGAACGTTGTATTTCTTTGCAGCCTCTTTAGCTCTCTGCCATCTTTCCTTCTTCTGAGCCTTTTCTTTTGTCTTTCTTCTTACTCTTCCCTAATCCTTGATCGAGCCAACCGCTACCGTTCTATCAAAGGTAGTTTAAAGAACCATATCAAATTTTATTTCAATATAAATATTTTTCCTCTCTCCCACAAGAAATAGAGGATACAATATATTTATCTAGTATCCTATTAATCAATTATAATTGCTTAGGATGGATAATTCAATATAATCTCTAAGATTCATAATTATTAAAGATAGGTAGATAGATTTAAGATGAATTATGCGAGTGGGCTTCATTTTTGATTAATAAAAATCACTATATCAAGGATTTTTTTTCCAATTTAAGGATTTCGTTCAATCAAAGATAGAAGCAGGTTAGTCTTTCAGCTGTGATGAGTCTTTGGATTTTAGGAGCTTTGAAATAAGGCTTTTTCCCTTCTCTCTTGATTTCTCTTTTTACGACGTATTTCCTTACATCGTCTCTTTCTTCAGCTTTCACAGACTTCCTGTCTACTCCTTTGTCCAATGCAAACAATTTTCTGATTCTGGAAGCTCTTTTAGGGCCGAGTCTTCTAGGAATTGGGCTATCTGTGATACCAGGGAGCTCGCCAGGACCTTTCTTGGTGACAACTAAGTGGAGAACAGCGATATCGTGACCAACAATGCAGCCTCTGACTGATTTGCGCTTCCTTTCACCCTTTTTGCGAGGACGGTAGTTAGTGTGACCTGCTGAAAGCAGCAAGCGGACTCTTTTGTTTTCAAGAACTCCTTGTTTCATTGAAAAACCTTGTTTGTCGTTGCCACCTGCAATGCGGAAGATGTAACCTTTGAACTCCTCTCCTAAGGCTTCTCCATCGATTTCTTGTCCCATTCTACGATCGTAAAAGAGTCTGACTTTGCGCTCATCGTCGATATCGATACATTTTTGCTGTCCTGTTTCAGGGAAAGAGATGTTAAACTTCATCTTTCAACCACTCTATTATAAGCATAGGAAAATGGCTTAAAATGAACAAAAGACCATATTTAGCACTGATTCAGTCCTGATAATTTGTAAGTTCATATGAGAAAAATGTGAAGGAATAACTAATATAATGAGATATAAAGATTTTTAATAGTAATTATAGCTTGATAATCTGGCTTTGATAAGGCAGTCTGACTTGAAATTGCAAATATTCCTTATAATAAATGGAAAACTTGCACGGACCTGGATACTGCCAATGCCACGCTGTTTCTCAAGACGCAGACCCATTTGGTTCTGACCTTCTTTCTTCGATTCATTTAGAAGCAGTCACTTGTTTAAATGAGCAAACCCCTCATTCAGGAAGGCTTGTATTCAAAACAAAAGAAAATAAGCTTGATCGCACTGAGTCACTAAAGAGCAATGAAGGTGACCAAGAGCTGCTTTTGTATATTCCTTTTGTGTGTCCTGTAAAAGTGTTATCTATGTGTATTATAGGAGGTGGAGGAGGAACGTCGCCACAACTCGTGAGGGTTTTTAAGAACAACGATCATCTAGATTTCTCAAACGTAGCACAGATGGCGCCAGTGCAAACCTTTGAATTGCTAGAAAACCCACTTGGGGAACTAGAGTATATGACAAGATTAAGATTACAATTAAGAATTTTAATTTTTTTCCCAGATTTGATGTTCCGCACGCTTTCGAACAACGCCAACCTGCTTGCCGGGCGGAAATTCAGCCGCTATTTTGAACAGTGATCTTCTCTAGGAGTAGGGCTTGCACTATGATCCCCAAGGTCTCGACGGGTTAGGAGGAAGGCCCTGTCAGTAAGCCATCGGGTGCTATGGAGGTAAAGGTTAGCCTGATACCTCCTGTCGGCCACCTTCGGGGTCGATGACACCCTGGAAAAAAGAACTACGGCCACCCGGAACCGGGAGGAAAAGACCCGTTGTCCAAAACCATCCGGATAATTAACACTTCGGACTGGAATGGCCACCAGCTGACTCCCAAGGCCACCCTCCCCATACGGCAGTTCTATGCATACTAAGGGTTAGAATTAAAGGGTCCCAACCTTGATTTAGGCTATAAAGCCATTTTGGCGCCCGTAGTGATGCGACCTCCGTAAGGACATATTTCGTCGCCACCACCATATTAATTATGTATATGGCAAGGGTTTCAAAGTGAACAAATACAAACTCTTTGTATATGCATTTCCCACAAAGTACAGGAGAAAATTACACTGAGATTACTTATATTGGAATTAAAGGGGAAAGTTCGAACTATAAGAGGCAGGCTGTTATTTCTGTGTATGAAAGCAGGGCAATGAAGAAAGATCATAAGACGTGGGATGAAGCTATGGGAGATGAAGGGATCAGGTAATAAAATAAACATTGAATAGCATATTAAATGTGAAAAATAAAGCTTTCTTAGCTTAGGATAATAGAAAATATTTATAACTATTTTATTGAATAGATTATATACCTTATCTTAAGGATTATTCGGCTTCCTTGTCATGTCTGTGTTTCTTATGACGCTTTTCAGGTAGCTCGATTCCCTCAGTTATTATTTCACGAGTCGTTGCAGGAATGTACCCATTTGAGATTTGATGCTCTTCCATCTCCCAAAATACTTGATCTTCAAAAAGATCAGTAGGTCCTTTAAAGCACCCCAGCTTTAAAATGCAGCCTGTGATTATTCCAGTAACTATGGCAATTCCCAAGGTAATTCCTAAGCCTGCCATTTGGAGTCCTCCTTGCTCTGAAGCAGTTCTTCCTTCAAATCTATCTTCTACTCTAAATCCTAATGTATCTTCTGTTAATGCCCCTATAAATATATATACTGTTTTAAATTATTATTGCCACTATTATTTTATAATATATTCTTTTGCAAAAATAATTTAATAGATATAGCTGAAAAAATCCCTCCAAAAACTCCAGGCATCCCATGCAAATTGTTAATTCCACAAGTATCATAAAGTCCTACTTTTCTTTGCAGGAAGCCTGATAGCCTTTCAAAGCCAATACAAGATATAAATCCTGCAAAATACCCAACAAATAAAGCAGCAAAAGGATATACAATTTGGTCAGCACTTGAACCCACGCAGACACCTCCAGCCAAAGTCGCGTTAAGCACATCTTCCATGTTAAGCTTGCCTTTTTTAAAGAAAGAAGATGTTATGAAAACAGCAGTAGTAGACCCAGTAAGGGCTAAAAGTGTGTTTATGACAGATCTAATTCTGTCCTCTGGGTTTAAAGCTAGAAAACAGTTGAAGGATGGCCAATACATCCACAAGAACAAAGTTCCAATCATAGCGAATAAATTTGAGTTGTAGTTTGAGCTATTCTTAGGATGGCCTTTGGTCTGCTTTGGCGAAATTATAAATGCTACTGACAGTCCAAAGTAAGCACCAAATGTGTGAATGGTGATGCTCCCGCCGATGTCCTCTATGTGAATTTTCTCAAACACGATGGCTTCGTTCAATGAGTAAAAACAAGCCTCAATAAAAGCCATAACTAAAAGCTGGAATAAATTAAGTTTGCCAATGACTCCTCCAAAGCTGATTAAAATAGATGCGCAGCAATAAAAAGCTGTGACCAATGTTTCGATTCCTACCTGAATCTTGAGGTCCCAGTGGTCGTCAGAAACACATCTTGACCAAAATCCAGAATAAAGAATGTACATCTGAAAAACGACTACTGTCAAAATAAAATTAAAACCCACGGCAGACCAGCTGTGGGTTCTAAGAAAAGTCATGAGAAATCCAAAACCTACGAACATCATGACTGATATATCTTGCAGAACAGGATAGCCCGTCACAAATTCGGTTTGTGGCTCTTCAGTCCATGGGAGATTTGGGTCCACTGGATCATAGTGAAACTCAACGAAAATGCCATAAAGAATTACGATAGTGACCTCCAGCAAGATGAAAAATATTTGGAACATAGGATTCTTTTGTGATTCTGATTGATGACCATCTGGGCGATCAGTCTCCATCTTATGGTTAAAGTATAAATGAAACCTAATGAGGGAATTTTAATGGTCTTTTAACTAATTGTCAGCAAATCAGTGAATAGTAAAATAGATGAGCGAAAAGCGTAAAATTAACATAGAATGAAAATCTAATAGGGACGCCAATTATGTGTTGACGTTAATCTTGTGGCTAAATAAGATTAAAAAAATTCGAAAATTTTGTTACACTTGGTTTCAGGATATATTCGAAAAGAAAGATTGCAATTTATTTTTTATTAAATTTGCATGCAATCGAGTAATATGACCGTATGAAATCATTGATCGAATTAGTTCTTGAAAATGGACATAATTATGGTTTCTGAAATTCTCATTTTTCTTTTGGAATTAATTATAACGTAATTGTTCTAAAAAGAAGGTAATAAAAGTAGCTTATTATTTGTTCAAGGTTTTATAAATTATGCTATCTCTATGAATATACTTTCTATTTCTGAACTATTCCTTAATTTTTTTAAATTATTTATAGTTAGTAAGCTCAGTATTATTGAGTTAAAAACATTAAATCTTTTCGAAATAAAAATTAGTTTATAAAAGTAAAAACCCGAATATCAATAATAAACATAAAATGGTCAAGAAAGGAGGCAAGATTATTAGAATCTTGGCGCTGCTATAATGCAATTTGACCTCTTTGAGACGTCTCGATTAGGCTTGATCGAAAGAAATGATGATTTGACGAGAGAGTACTCTCACAAAAACTTTATTTTCCTTTCCTAGCCATATAATGCAAGAGTGAACTAAAGGAATGTTTCTTCCTTGCTTTGTGAGCTTCAGTGCTGAGTGAGCAACTATGGACTTCTGAATCTGATTCGGCTAATTGGTAGAACTTTAACCAAGGAGAAACTTTGGTATAGAGGCTGCCCGATGATGGCGCATCGAGCAACTTCTATATCTTATAAGTGCCAAAATGTGTTCCTCAAGGAGCTACAAGATCATTGTGGCTCAGGCCGATTACATTTAGTTTCTAAAGAATATATCCTCTACCCAGAGAATGCAGCAAGTTCATTCCATTTACAACTATAGGAACTTAGCAAGGCTTAACCGGATGCACATTAATTCTCAAGTTCACCTTGACCATAAGATTGAGAAAATTGTGTCAAGAAGTCAATTCCACTTGTGTCCATTATATGTATGTGAGGCAAGATGATTCAATGGATTAATTACAGAGTCAGAGTCACTCTGACTGATGGTCGTCAAATGGTAGGCAATTTTCTAGCCTTTGATAAACACATGAACGCAGTGCTATCAGATACTGAAGAATTTCGTAAAGTAAAACCTAAAAGATCTGGGGAATTAGAAAAAGAGCAAAAAAGAATGCTTGGAATGATACTGATTAGAGGCGAAAACATTGTAAGCATCACTGCAGAAGCTCCTCCTCCACCACAAGCAAGAAAACCTGGAGAAGGTCTTGTAATTGGAAGAGCCAAGCCAGTTGAAAAAGGAATTGTGGGAGGAACTTTTGATAAAGCACCACCAGGACTTGCAGGACCAAGCGTGTTGGGAGGACCTCCACCACCTCCAGTTTCAGTGATGTTAAATGCGCCAGGAAGGGCTCCACCTTCAAGACCACCTCCACCTGCATTTAATCCTTAAAATAGTTTATCTTATTTATATGACTTTTATCCTTACATAAATTTCACAATTTTAGCTGCACTATTGGAAACAATAAAAAGATTATTTAATATCTATTTCAATTAAATGGAAAATTTGATTTATTTCAACTCTGTTGGTGAGTACAGCCTAAGCTATATCGAACAAGAATTTTCCTGTATCAAGTCTCTGATTCCCAACAAAAAATTGAAGGATATAGAATGAAGGAATATTCATATTCCAATCTTTAAATCAAGTGAGTATTTATTGTCGTATAAAAAATTTGAAATTGAAAGTAAGCATCTTGAAAATTTATTTTACGCAGAAAAAAGCTTTGGCTTTGAAAATTATAAATCATCAGAAATCATATCAATTCAAAGCTTTAGAGTGTTGAAAAAGAAGCAGACTGAGATTTTATTATATTTTGAAGAGATAAAAAATGAGAATAATTTAAATGTTGAGCATTGCGATATAAATTATATTCAAACAGATGAAAGATGCATTGATATTTTAGTTGATGAAAAGCATGATAAAAAAAAGAATCAATGGCCTTTGCAAAACTATGTGATAGAATTTTTTCAAATTGCAAAGCCAGAAGTTAATTTATATAGCCAAACACTCACAGTCCAGCCTTTCTTTCTAGAAATCAAGAATCCACAATTATTTTACTCATTATCACTTTCACTCTATTCTTGCTCTCAAAAGTCACTTTCATATCCTATAGAAATTTTACGCTATGAGAATGCTTCTCTACAAAAGCCTTTAATCCAAATATTTCAATGCAGCTTGAGAATTTATCATTGTGAAATTAAGCCGAAACTGCTTTGTTACATAGAAACGAAGACCATAGTTCCAAAACTTTGTATAGACAATTCCACTTTCACTTCATCTCCAAGATTGCAATTTTCTGAATGCGATTCAATAGAAATCCAAGATAAATCTTACTCCAAAGAAGACTCCATTTCAAAATTTGATACAAAAACAATTGAGCAGAAAGTTATTTCTATTCAAAGGTGATGGAAAGGAATAAAGACTTCAAATAAATATTTAAATAAAAAACCATCAACTCCTAAATTCAATGGAAATATTGCAAAACTGTTTGTCACTGAAACATTTTGGCATTCAGTCATCCCTGAAACTAAAACTAAACACTCAAAAAGCCAAGACCTCAATATATCTTCAATATCAGTAACATCAACACACAGTATTGAAAGCACAAAAGGTAGACGTTGCAAGTTCAATAAAGCTTATGTGAGGAATATAAATGCACTTATTCCTGCTCTCCAAAAACTTATAAATAAACACAATAAGATGGGTTTTTGGAAGTTGCAAAGCACGATGCCTAAATATTTAAGAAGAAGATATTATTCTATACAAAAAGGAATTAAAGCAATTATAGGAATTTGCATCACAAAGCCTTCAAATGAAGCTTTTGAAATACTAAAATATGTACTCTATGTTAATACTGCTACACCTCATCATAGACTTGTAAAATTCAAGCCTGAATTGTTTGAAAAATATCTCCATACTAAAAATATTCAAAGGGTTGCGAAAAGCTATTTAAAAAGGAAACAATATTTATTATGGAGCACAGCTCAAACAAGCAATGAAGCAGATTTGTCTTCATCAGCATATGAATCAGCTATTTTAAATCAATCTTTTCTATATAAAAAACAAAATAATTCAATGCAGGAATTTGTAAACAAATCAAGGGCTTATAGACTAGGAAAAACTTTTAATAAAATTATCTTGAGAAAAAGAAAAGATTTTATGTCTTCATTGTTTAAGTTTTCCAACATCACAAAAAAAATCAGTTTTTATAAGATACAAAAAGGCCTGACTCTCTCTTTTTAAGCGAACAAAAAAATTTTGTTTTCCAAGGAGGGGGTCAATTTTTTTAAATAAATTTTATAGTAAAATTTGCTCTTCAAAACTGAAAAAAAAAACCAACTCACTAAAATTTATGCTTTAAAAATGCAAAGCTGTTTTATATTAAAAAAAAATTAGCTCAGTTGACTTTTCTCAAAATTCAATGGTTTTGTTCACTTACAGAATGGGGGAGTGAAAATAATTGGGAAATATATATCGATTACATTATCAGATTCGCTTGTCAATATAAAAACCAAAGTTTGAGCTTAAGCAAAGAATCTTTTAATCGAGCCGAATTCGAAATTAGTTAAGCTTCCAAAGCATTTTTTTGAAATTAATTCAAATAGTTCATATTAATGATTTTATAATTCAACTCTTAATTTAATTTCTTTATAGTCATTTTTATATAGATGCCGATTAGATAAATAATTTATTTAGATTAACTAATGAATTCACATTACTTTATATAAAAATATGTCAATCCTTGAGACTGGATTGGATGATCTGCTCTGTTTCAATGAGCGCAATGTGACTGAGGATCCTGACTGGGCGGCTCTTGCATCTTTTAAGTTCGACAGCATTACTATTCCAATTAAGGAATTCAATAAAGAAGAAGGCTCCGGAGGTCCTCTAGACAAGTACTTCTCCTTACTCCCCCCCCCCTCCGTGAGTGAGCAAAAAATTTTGTTCACTCACGGAGGGGGGTTAATTTTTTTTTTGTTAAAAAAATTTATATATAAAATTTATATAGAAAATATTTTTTTTCGAAATTCAAAAAAATCCTAATTCGCAAAAATTGGAAAACAAAATATTTATTTAATTTATAAAATTTATGTTTTAAAAAGCAATTTGTTTAAAATTAAACAGAATTAGCTCTAGATTTCATTATAATAATTATCACTTATATATCAAAAATTTTTCCATAAACAATTTTTCTATTAAAAAAATTTTTGTTCACTCACGGAGGTGGGTTTTTGGGCAAAAAATAGCGATTTTTCTAATAGTTTTATTCACTCACGGAGGGGGGGAGTTAGTTACTTTTCAGCCAGAAGTTTACAGCCACGCTAAAGAGCTTTCTATACTCGAATGGCAAAAACAGCTGGACTCTCTTACTCAAGATACTCACTCAGAAATTTCCTTATTCTATTCACGCTTGCTCAACCTTTACGGAACAATTAGCAATGAATCTCAGCTCATTAGAGGAAATGTCCACTCTAAGCCAACTGATGACGAATTTGTTGATCTGACCAAAGGTATCGCAATGCAACCATGGCAAACCAGCAGCTTGCCGGGTACTGATCCTTCATCATGGCCATATGGCTTGCCAGAACTTCTAGAAAAGCTAAAACAGCTCCCGCCACTCGCTTTGTGGCTTGAACCTTTTGATCTTAGCATGAAATTTATCGAAAAAGCTAAAGCATTTATTCAGAAATACCATGAAGACGCAAAGCTTGTCAATATGGCTCTGCAGGCCTTATTAATTTTCGGATTTTTATCAGGAAATGGCACAAGGCTGGCAAGCTCTCTATTTGAGGTCTGGAGTTATTGCTCGACCCATGAAACCAGTGAGGAATTTGTAGGGGCTTTATCAGAAGCAATTGCTCCTCATATAAGTATGATTAAAGCAATTTTAAACTATGAAAAACCTGTTCATGGCGTCAAACCAGGATCAATGATGGGCAGATTTTCAGCTGCTCACAACTCAGTGTTTCAGAAAAACCAAAATTGCTGGAATACGTCAATAACCACTGATGGAGAATATATATATCTATTTATTGGCACCCAAGGAGGTGGGAAATTCAAAATAGGCACAGGTGAAAATGGAACTGTGTGTGGAAAAGTTTATCTTTACCAGGCATCTGAAAGACCTGAAGAAGCTTTGTGGGTCTATTGCAAAGGAAAACTTTATATGAGATCAAGCTTCAAAGAAACTGGAGTGCTGCAAATTATATGTCCAAATACTTTTAAAATTGAAGGATTGCTGCAGCTATTTTGCACTGATATTTTTGGAAATGCTTCTAAACAGGCTTTTAATAAATATTATCCTTTGCTTTCTGACGGAGAATCTTTATTTGTAGTTGGAATGAAATTTGAGACTATAGCTAAGCCAGAAGAAGAGGAAAAGAAAGATGATGCCAAGAAAAAAGATGACCCTAATATATGCAAATTTGTACTTTATAAGTTTGATGTCTCTCATTTGCAATCTTATACGAAGCCTCAACAAGAGCCTAGTGAACTTGCTAAAGAACTGCATGAAGGGTTTTCTGGGTATTTTTCTATATATGAATGTCAAAGAGCTTTAGCGATCCATAATGATGATATTGAAAGCGCTGCTAATTGGCTTGTGGAAAATGGAGATAACGAAAGAGGCAAAAAAATCGTGACAAGCACTCAAAGCACGCTTTTATGTGAAGCTGATGTTATTTCTTATACTATTGGGAAAATGCAAAAACCTGAAGTTTCATTAAAATCTGATACAATTTTGACTCCTGATTTAGTGTCTAGAGGCAACTGGACTATGAGCAAGGAACAAATCGCCCTTCATTTCCTTAACCCAGATGGTGGTTCTGCAACCTCACGTATATTTTCTGTTTCTCCTAATGATGTAAAACTTCTCCCAACTGATGCTCACATATTGCCTAATACAACCAATCAAGTAGCTGAACTTAAACAAGACGAAAACTTCTGGAACAGATACAAGAACCAAGAAAAACCTTTGCATACCCACAAAGGATCTCATATCATTAATAAAGACTGTGATAAAGCATTTGCTATGGACACTGCTACTTGCTATGATACTATCAACCAAAAATTCTATACATCTGTTCTTAACTATGCCAATGGGGTGCATTTTATTGCTTATGCAGACCAAACCTCTTTAAAAGAAAGAATTTTGCTGAAAAACTACGATTTAGGAGGAAGGCCATATGAAGCTTTTGTTGCTGAAGGGCTTCAAATTATTCAAGAATGTGAAGCTAATAGGTTTACTTTACCGTGGAAATGGCTGAGATGGACGACTATGTATTCGAGAATCATCAGTAAATATACCAAATATTTAAGAGGATTAACAGACAATGAAAAAATTTCTGCTGCCCAAAAAATCATTGAAAAAATGCAAATGAGACTAGAAAAGCTTAAAGCTGTTGAAGAAATGGCAATTGCGAGAAGTTTGGGGTTAAAGCCTATCAATGAAAATACCAAAAGGAAAAAAGGAGAGACCTTCATGATTTTGTTGAATGATAAGATGAAAAACTTGTGTATTGAGTAAGCATAATAGCTATGGCGTATCGGCCAGGCATCATCAACATATATTTAATTGCATCCGGCAAGGTTGACAATCTAGAAATTGGCAGCAATGCTAGGTAAGCATATTAGGAAGCGATCTAAGGCTAGCCCAAATCCATTTTCAGGATTGGATTTTACCTCATGGAAATGAAATGCTAGGAATTAGAAAGGGAAAGCTCAGCTGTGTCTTTTGACAATTCGGACAATTCATCAGGGTGAAACTAGACCGACAGTCGGCCTGAAATTCCATTTTTTGGGAATTTTTCTGCAAGCAACCCATGTCAAGGCTTGAGAACTCTGGAAGAATAGCTGTGAACATCGTTCTTGTGTATTGGAGCAAGCAAAAGATAAGCCAACAGTTGTCATCGATAATAGTAAAGAGGCTTTATTTTGTCTAGAAAGTTCTTCAATTACTCTTGAATTTTTGCTAAATGTTATAGAATCTGAAGGAAAAGCTACAAATGCAGCATTGCATTTATTATTTTTATGGGTAAGCCATTCCAGACCTTCACTAATAAAACCTGAAATAGTTGCAAGGCTAGAAAATGTTATCATCAGTGCTTTATCCCGTGGAGACCAAGAATTCCAGCATCTTGCATGGAAGATTCTAATTATTGGTTGGGAGCTTATATGCTCATCTAAAGAAAAAGAGATCCAATGGTTTAAAAACATCTTAGAAGCTTCGTGGCTTGGTCAAACCCAGCTCGGTCTATCTGGCTCTATTTGCAGACTGGCAGTCCGGCAGCCCAATAGTTCTGCGGTTAGACTCTATCTAGCTCTACCTACTAGCTCTATCTGGTAGCTTGAAAGTATGGCTCTATCTAGCAGTCTCGCCCTACCTGGGAGTCTGGCTCGTCCTGGCAGTATGGCAGTCCAGCTCTTCCTGGCAGTCTGGCTCTACCTTAAGCTCTATATTCGATATTAATAGTGTTTTGTTGTAATATTCATTTAATATTAAATCAAAAATATTATCTTTAGCTAAAATTATTTATTTACTTGCTTATGCATTGTTTTTATAAATTTCTCCATAATTTTATAATAAATAATCTTAATAGTAGTAGAGGTTAGCTTAGGTTGTTAAAGTTAGGCGTTAGCCATATTGACTCCCGTACGCGAGGTTCTACCGCTTTTCGACTCCAGCCCAGAAGGTCTATCCCTCATATAAGTGCCCTTTCGGTACCTTCTGTCTCCTCCTTACCTTGCGGCTTCAGTTTTGAGTGGGTGGCTTATGGATTTCTGCAGCCTTGTTACGGGCGAATGAAGTAACTTGATTCCAAGGATCGCTTCTTGGAGTCTATCAGGTTCCTAAGTGCCTTCCTTCGACAGCTATATGAAAAAAGACTACTCTCGTGTGGCCTGGGCCGGAAGCCCCAGTTTTTGGTAGAGGAATGCCTATAGGTCCCATTTTAATGCATGTTTTAGGTTAGGCTAGGTTATAAGCAGTGGAGGTATATAGAGAATAAATGATATAAATAAAAGGGGAATTTTAATTATCAATTTACGTCTCTTTTACACTTAGAAACAAATATCGATGCACAAAAACTAAATTATATGCTGAAAACCAATATAAATGCTAAAAAAACCTAATAGAGAAATTTTCGGATGATCTGATATATTTATTGCTCAATTTGTCATTAATAAATAAATCCATTAAAATTCTTATTTTAAATTTTATTATAAAGTTTATCTTTAAAATAATTTGTTTAGTATAGGGGGTATATGTGATGGTAAACCTCTCAAATAATTTTTCGACTAATATTTTACAAGACTCTATTTTTTAACGTTAATTCAGTTGACATTTAATATTATTTACTAATTATGATATTAAAACAAATTCAATCTTTTTCTCTTATTTCCCATTTAGATTTTATCTTTCTATTTTTAGCTATATTAGTAATTTTGTGAGCTAAATAGTAGCATGCTAGTTTAATTAAAGTTTTTTATAATATATAAAATTCTATATAAATGAATTTCTCAGAAAATATTAAAATTGATGACATTTTAAAGAAGCAGTGCATGCTTTACTTAGAGCATAAGAGATTTAAATTAATTGAGCTTTTAATTAATAGAATCAAAGTTATTTAAAGTGTTTACGAATACTTAAATTGCTTTAAAAAATTTTTACTATTGTAAGAATTAATTAAATTTAAGCTCAAAATGCGAAATAAGCCTCTTCTTTTGCACGTCTATAATTTCTTTCTAAGCATTTATATCTTTATTTTAAATATAATTTTAAAAGTATTTAACAAAATATATTATTTTAAACATTTTAAAATGCATTTGATGATAAAATAACTTTTATTTTATGATTAAAGTTTTTGATGGAATCATAGTAATTTATTATGATTTTGTTCACTATTATGATAATAATACGTTATTTTTGAGAGTTAAATCCTCTTTCACAATTTACTAGCAGTTTGTTCCTTTATAAATCACTGAATTGCGTTGTAGACTTTACAAAATTATATATTGACAGTAATGCAATATAGATATAGGTCTTTCAAAATATAATTTTCTGAAATATTTTCTATCACAGTCCATTATATTTTTATCTAATATATCATTAGCACAATTAATTAAATTATTACTTCAAAACCTAGGAAATTTATTTTGATAGAGCCAGGAGAACCAGGTAGGGCCGGAGCTAGAGCCAGACTGCCAGATAGAGCCAGGCTGCCAATAGAGCTAGATAGAACTCGCCAGGTTTGACCAGTGGCTTGCTTCACCTCCTGCTCCTGTTTTATTCCGCAAAGATTCTTTCTTATACAATGTTAAGCAAATCTCAAAAACAATTAGCAGCTCAATGCTTTATAACAGCTGTGAGGATCCATTGATTTTATGGTACTTGAAAAATGTTTATGGTCCCTCGTCATTCATCATAGAAAAATCTTACAATTCTTTATTTAAAGAGAATATCACTGTTCTAGTAGATAAACAAGGAAATGAATCAAATTTGGCAACTGCTTCTTGTGTTTCTTTCCAGACTGGAGATGCAATTATTCCAGAAGTTAAAAGAGGAACTTTAGGGCACTTGCTGGAAAGCATTTGGGGACTGTTTGAAAAAGGGCTAATGAGTTCAATATCAGATCCTTCCTCAGTGGAGACACAAGTTTTATTTGAAATACTTCTCTATCTTGTAAAAGATGCAACTGCAGACAATATAAATTACGCTGAGCAGCTTTCAAAATTAATTAACGTTGTGCTTGATAAATTCATTTCAATTATTGGTGACAGAATAACTACACTATACACTAAATGGCTTAACTGGATCCGGATTCTCATAGTATCTTGCATCAATCTTGCTTACAAGAACCAATCACAGCATATTCTCAGAAACCTCATCCAAATAATTGCCAAAGTAAAAAAGCTTTTCTTAGTCGAGGAAACAAACCTTTTAACATCCCTCTGTAATAGCTTCTATGTTGGCGCTGATATTGCCCAAGAAAAAATCTTCGAGACGAGTCATCCATATCAAAGAGGAAAACAACAAATAAATGAGACCATCAGTTTCCCAGGTGCTATAGCAATCTGCATTGAACTAGACCCTAGAAGCCAAACTGATAACTTGCATGATTGTTTATGGCTCAGCTGCCCTGAAAATTATGCTGGATTTAACAATTTCAATGGTGAAATTTTTTCTACTTCATTTAAACTGTCAGGAAAAATCAATATAAGCCATCAGCTGTATTTACAAGGAGACCAAGTGCATATAGAATTTAACGCAGCTGGACAGCATAGAGAAGAATCAAATAGCTCTAGGTGGGGATTTAGGATAAGAATTAAGCCGATCTATGGAGAGCCATGGCTTTTTGTAAACGATAACAACAGTTTGTCATTATTAAGCAAGATTGCGATAAAATTCGGAGGAGAAACTGCTTTAATCCAATGGGTTTCGTTATTAAATTTATTGTCTGCTGCAGTTTCAACAAGCATTGAAGACTATTTTACCAAAATACAAGATATCCAAGAGTCAGAGCTGTTAAAATGGCAAATATTCAAAGGTGGACTTGCAGATATTAATATTGATGAATATTTATCAAAAGAAAATGGAATCTGGGTTTATGAGCCAAAAGATGTAAAAGAAAACGAAATGAATGAATTAAATATTGAGAGCCTAATGAAAACTCTTCCAGCTGCTCATTCTGATGAGCTAAAAGCTTTAAATGATGGGAACAGTTTTATTTATAGCTTGCTAGACAAAGTAAGAAAACTCCAAGCTCGGCCTATTACTTATAATGCAGAAAAGCACAGAAAATCTTTTACAGCCCAAATAGAATTTTATTGGAAACAAATTGAAGCTCTTACTCTTTATACAATGCTGTATCATACTCAGCATTTAAATAGCATGAAAGAATGGATAGAAAATCCTTCAGATTTTTCACTAAGGCATGATGAAGGCTACATTCAAGAGCAGCTGAAAGCTTATGGAAAAAGACTTAATGAATTTTTGACTTGGCTATTAAAAACTCTCCAGCAGGAAAAGGAAAAGCAGCAAGCTTTAGATGAAATTAGAACTAAAAAAGCAGAAAAGCTAGAGGAAAAAATGCAGAAACAGCAGCAGCAAGAATTGATGGAAGAAGAGAAGAAGGTGCAGGCGCCTCCCAAAAAGAAAAAAGGCAAAAAACCGAACGTGAAAAGACTTTCTTTATCTAAACCTCAAAAGGTTACCAAAAAAGAAATAAAGCCAGTTGCTAAGCCAGAAATAAAATTAGATGAAAGCGACAAAGAGCAAATTTATAAAGCATTTGCTGATAGATTTTTAGGCAATGCTGAGCTGATTAAGGCTTTATGCAAATCTCTTTTAATACAATTTACAGAAGATCAAAAATGTTTAAGAGAAATTTATGATAAGCTTTATGACAAACAAGAAAATTTCCCAAACCCATATATGGATTTAGCTGAAAAAGTTCATATCAGACTTTTGATATTGCTTAGATTTGCATCCTTCCAAGCCGAAACAAATGATTCTGAAGTCGCCTTACTCTCTCTTTAATAACGTCAACTTCTTATATGCTACCCAATGAAAATTGATTTTTATATTGTGAAAAATTTAGAAGATAAAACTAAAATTAATCTTTTTTGATTAATTTATTTAATAAAAAAACTTAAGGGATTTCTATAAAAACAAATTTATTTTCTTTAAATGATGCTAATAAAATATAATTTAATTACAAATCTAAAATATTTACTGTGAAATAGGGTTAGAAGAAATGCCACATCTGAAGAGAGCTGCGACTTCTTATTCTCATGAAGATGAAATGAAAATCGAAGAAATGAGAAAATGGGTCAATTCCTACAAAAAGTGGAAGCTTTGGCAGCAGCCAGGAGAAACCGAAGGCAACTTCCACTCCCCAGAAAGTTCTCCTCTCCAAGCAATCTGTGTGTTTATCACAAGCTCATCAATTCCTAACGATTTCTTATCTCAAGCTAAGCAGCATTTTATAAGAGCTGCGAAAAGATTGATAGGCATGCAATATTTATCAGAATTTCTATCAGCAACCAGAAGAACTCCATTTTTGAGAATGAGTCTTGGCCTAATGTGCACACCAAATCTCTTTATAGGAGCTGAATGCTGCGGAAGAGCTTTAGCAGGACACTTAAATGAACAAGGAAATAAAGTTTTTGGATTAATGTCTCAAGCCTTAAGCTACGTCACAGAAAGTGTTAAAATTACTAGAGATCCATCAAAGCGATTTTCAACAAACCTGAAAAAAGAGTCAAAATTCATATCCCCGCAATTCCAATACAGTGAACACTACATAAACCAGCAAATGAGACTGTTGGCTTCATTATTGCATGACTGCTATTTATTGACGAAATATAATGATTCTCGAGACACTATACTAAAAAGCACTTCTTATGATGTTTTATTGATTTCTTTGCTAGAGTCTATGCTGGTTGCAAGCAGTATTTCTCATAATCGGTTTGCTCGCGTCGTTGTGTCAGGCTCTAAGTTAACATTATTCAGTTTAATAAAAGCTTCTAAAGACTCTCCGTCATATGAGATAAAGCATGCTCTCCAGCAAGACTTAATATCAATAATTCTTCAATATCTCCAAAAAGAAATCCAATCAGAACCTTCTAATGAAAACTCTTTAAGACTAGAAATTTTATTACTCCCCCCCTCCGTGAGTGAACAAAACCATTAGAAAAATCGCTATTTTTTGCCCAAAAACCCCACCCTCCGTGAGTGAACAAAAATTTTTTTAATAGAAAAATTTTTATGGAAAAAAGTTTTAATATATAAATGATAATTAGTATAATGAAATATAGAGCTAATTCTGTTTAATTTTAAACAAATTGCTTTTTAAAACATAAATTTTGCAAATTGAATTAATATTTGCTTTCCAATTTTTGCGAAATTAGGATTTTTTTAAATTTCGAAAAAAAAATTTTTTATAAAATTTATATATAAATTTTTTTTAAAAAAAAAAATTAAACCCCCCTCCGTGAGTGAACAAAATTTTTTTTTGCTCACTCACGGAGGGGGGGGAGTTAGGAATCACCTATGAAATTATATCAACCTGTGGGATTCACAAATCAGAGGACAAAATCAAGCTTTCAAGGTGTCTTTCTGAGATGCTTCTAAAGCAATCTATACCAACTCTTATAAGAATGGCTTCTAGAATAGCAAAACAGATATGACTTGATGTAGATCCAGCTGAAATTAATAGTAACTTTGTTGAAGAATTACTCAGAGTAATCGGATCTTATTCATCACTTCATCTAAAAGAAGAGAAAAACCAAGATCTCAAATATGCCGTCCTTTTGCATACCTCTACAGGTGAAGAAGACCTTGGATTTTTATTCCAGGTTTTATTAGACTGGGAAGAAAAATACCCAACTTATAAATACCTTAATTCACAAGGTGATGACGAAAACGCAGTTTTAGCTGAAAATGAAGCAAGCATGCTTGAAGAATTTGTAAATCCATCATATCTTGGAATACCTCAAGAAATAGAAAAAGGAAAGGATGTGCCAATGTATTACAGATTTTTAAGTGCTGATAGTGGAAGGGGTGCAAGAAGAAAAGCTGGAAAAAGAGGAGGCAAAAATCAACCTGCAAAAAAGGCGGCAGGAAAAAGAACTGTTGGGTCAGGGCTGTCGTTATCAAAGATGGAAAAAGTTTTTGATGAAGCTAATAAAGCATTTGAAGATGTAAAGGAAAATGATACTCCAGAAGAGAGAGAAAGAAAAATAAAAGAAAAAGCATTTATTAAGAAAATCAAGTACTTCTTGAAAGAAGCTCAACAAGTAGCTGCTGGGCTATTAGCTAAAGGAGTAAGCCAAATTGGAGAGCCAATCTCATTAGAACAAGCTCAAGAGCTAGTAAATATTATTCAAGAGCATCAAATAAACATGTTTGTCGATACCAAAACAAAACTCCCTATCCTTCCTATAAATCCTCATGCCAAAGTTCCTACAGAAAAGCCAGAAAGAGAAGAATTTAAGCCAAAGCGCCAAATTTTAGCCTCAATCTGTGATGCCTACGTTGCTCAAAAAATTGATTTTGTGATGGAATCAGGATCTTCATTGCCTGCTCTCAAATCTTCAGAAAAATTGACTGGGATTGTAACTGGTGCTTATTCTCATACTTTACTGCAAAAACCAATCAAGCCAGGCGGTTCTTACTCTCTCTGCATTTTAGAGCTCATTGATCTTCTTTATTCATTATTAGAAGTTAAATCATGGAAAAATAGCTTAAAATCAAAAGTGCTAGAAGTCGTTATGCAGCTAAAAGACACTCATATGATAAATGATTTTGTATTGGGTGGCTTAGTTGTGGCTGGAGGATGGAACGATTATAGAACTTTCTCTTCAATAGCGCGATAAGGCGCATTCCTAGGTTTTACCGGAGGGTCTTGGACATACGAAAACCTGCTATTCCTTATTCATGGGGGAGACAAACAGCCTAAATAAAGAATTGTGCCTTATTAATCTCGAGAACTTGAAGAGAGGCTGTGTGGAAAATTTATATTTTGGTTCGTCAAATGGATCTGACGAGCCAATTCTGGCCAGTACTTGAAATAAAAAATGATAGTTATTTTATTAATTTTCTGATGAAGAGCATGATCAGAATTTTAATAATTCCTTTTGACAATAAAATTCAAAATTCAAACTTTTAATAGAAGATTTGAAGAGATAATTAAATCGTTAAAATAAGGTAATGAATACTCTTTACTGCCTTAGGGAGAAGATGCCAGTAATGATTTTTAAATTTTGACTTTTTTCATAGTGACTTAACCATCTTAATAATTTTTTAATTTTTTAAAAAAATCCAAACTTTTAATAGAAGATTTGAAGAGATAATTAAAGCATAAAGTAACGTAATGAATACTCTTTACTGCCTTTAGGGAGACGATGCCAGTAATGATTTTTATAATTTGACTTTTTTCATAGTGACTTAACCATCTTAATAATATTTTAATTTTTTAAAAATCCAAACTTTTAATAGAAGATTTGAAGAGATAATTAAAGCATAAAGTAAATGTTATGAGTACTGTTTACTGCCTTAGGGAGACGATGCCAGTAATGATTTTTAAATTTTGACTTTTTCATAGTGATTTAACCATCTTAATAATTTTTTAATTTTTTAAAAATTGAAACTTTTAATAGAAGATTTAAAGAGATAATTAAAGCATAAAGTAAACGTAATGATTACTCTTTACTGCCTAAGGGAGACGATGTAGTAATGATTTTTATAATTTGAATTTTTCATATTGACTTAATTAATTACTTGATCCTGTGCCATTTATTAAAAATTCTGGTCATACTCTTCATCAGAAAATTAATAAAATAACTATCATTTTTTATTTCAAGTACTGGCCAGAATTGGCTCGTCAGATCCATTTGACGAACCAAAATATAAATTTTCCACACAGCCTCTCTTCAAGTTCTCGAGATTAATAAGGCACAATTCTTTATTTAGGCTGTTTGCCTCCCCCATGAATAAGGAATAGCAGGTTTTCGTATGTCCAAGACCCTCCGGTAAACCCTAGGGAATGCGCCTTATCGCTCTATTGAAGAGAAAGTTCTATATATTAGACCAGGAACTGTGGTGCTAGCAGATATGAATAATACTAAAGTCCGTGGCGTTGTGCTGCAAGGAGGATATGACAGCGGATTTAAGAGTTCTGCAGTGATTTTCGAAGATGACAGCCATTTCCAGGTTCATTATTTGTCGCTGAGTGAAATACAATCAGCAAGACTTATTCCAGAGCCAGAAAAGCTTGGTTTAACTCCTAAAATGCTTGCTCAAGCTTTGATTGACTTTCAAGGCAATTCTGCATGGCATTTGACAGCCAAACGACAAATTTTGAAGATTTGTTGCGAGGTTGACTGAAGCAGCTGGATTCAATCTGATGACCAACAAGTTCCTGAATTCATGAAAATCATCAGTGAATTATCCAAAGACTGCCCAACAGATAAACCTTCATATTTCTGGGAAAGGAAATTCTTGCAAGCTTGGGAAGTTCTGTCTACAAGTGATCCAGTTTTATTCACAACCCCAATCAGAGAAACTGAGGAGCTTTCATCTGAGGCATTTCTGTTGAAAAATGAAAACGAAGCTGATGATGGTATCTCTGGCTACACCCTACCAATTTCTTCTAATTTAATGTTCCAGCCACATCTAGCAGGATACACAACAGACCAAACTAACTTTAAAATGATGAAATATTGGGAAAAATACATCATTGCAAGGATTCAAGATTATGTGAGGTCTTCATTCAAAGCGTTTGAAATGGAATTTTATTTTGAGCAGCTAAGACAACCACTCAGACTTGGCAATCAACATCATGCTTCAGAAATTGCTTATGTTCTATGCGATCAGCGTTTACCGTCTGGAATTGTTCTACCTGACCCTAAACATGACTGGAGCTCACTTATGTTCGACGAAACTTCTGTTGGAAAATGGGGAATTGCCAAAATCAAAGAGAAAACCTTACAACAAGTTGATAATACTCTTATAAGAAGAATGTTCGAGCAAGGAATAACTCAATTCCCAGTCATTATTCGAGCTGTAGATATAAGAGCTGCTTGCCTATTAGTAGAATTTATTGATATTGAAAGACTTGAGCTCCATATGTGCTGGCTTCCGGTTTCTGTTATCTATCCACCTGAAGTCAATGTATCCCCTATCCCTAGCGCCAAAAAACTTCAAGATGTTTTCAATGACTATAACTCAAAACTAACTGGAATTGCAGCTAGAGAAACCCTATTGAAATGTATGAGTGGGATTGAAAAAGGACTGATTGGAATCATTGATATGATAAAATTAGCTGTCTGGGAAGAACTAAGTGAAGACCGAATTGAAGGCTGGAAACTGTATAGGCCTGACTTTGTATTGCCGAATACCATAAAATCCAGCCATCATTTTAACCAGTATGATAAACGACAGCATTTGCCTCATCTTTATTATATAGAAGAGAAATTAATCCCAAATAAAGAGCCAGACCTTGTAGAATGGGCTGTCATCACTTGGCATCAACTCTCAGAACTTATTTCAGAAACCTCTAGAAATGTGGATATTGTAGAAGTTGCAACTGCAATAATGGGAAATCAGCAGCCACTTCCAAGTACCCCTGAAAATATTCTTGCAGAAGGCAGTTTAGAGAAGAAATTATTCCCTCTTCATTCTAGTGAGACCAATTTTGCTGGGCTTGTTTTGTGTTTCCGCCAAGAAACTTTCTTATGCTCTAACTCTGCAATTCTCTTTTATTCTGATCCACAAGGCACTGACTTAATTTATGAGATAAGAGCTGGAAGACAAGGAATGAATAATATTCCTCCTATTGTTTTCAAAACAGGAAAGGTATGGTGCACTTATTTCACTTTCATTGATATAAAATGCTCTCCATTTACAAGCAGCTTCTCGGGGCCAAGTATCGTAAAATGCAAGGTTTATGGAATCCCAGTCGAATGGACATCAGTGTCATGGATAACTGAAACAGTTTCTGCAAGCCTCTGTCAGAGCCCTAATCCAGATAATATTTCTTTAATGCATTCTTTGGTAGATGCTATGTGCGAGTTTTTAACTTATTCACGATCGCCAAGTTCTCTAAGACAAATCATTTTCAGAATGCTTATAAGACTCCTGGCTCTCCTCTCCGTTAGCGAATAAAGAATTTTGTTCGCTCACAGAGGGCTAATTTCTTTTTTTTTAAAAATTTATATAATTTTTTTTTCTAAATGCAAAAATTGGAAGAAAAAATATTTATTTAATGATAAAATTTATGTTTTAAAATGCAAGCTATTTAAAATTAAACAGAATAAGCAAGAGATTTCATTATACTAATTCTCACGGAGGGTGAGTTTTTTGGCAAAATGTAGGGATTTTTCTAATGGTTTGTTCACTCACAGAGTGAGGGAGTGAGAAGGCTCAGATATATGAACAGCATACACCCACAAGGCCTTGGAATTAAAGAAGACTGGCTAATAAGTTTGAATGAAGAGATGAAAATGTGGAAAAGCAAAGAAAACAGTTCAGGAGCTCTTTATTCATCATATATCCAAGATGGTGTCGAGCTTATAAATTCAGCATTGCTCCCATGGGATGTAAAAGAGCAAGTCCATAATAAGCTGTTTGTAGAAACTCCAGACTGAATGCAAGCTATGTTTAAATCGATGATTTTCCTGCACTATTTCAGACATGAAGGAAGCCTCATTTCTGAGTTGGAAGAAGAAGCAAAATCTCTTTTATCTCACAATCAATGGGAAACTATAATTATTTTGGACAATCTGGCTGAAGAAAAGCGATCAAAAGTCTATGATATTTTAAGCCAATATAAGCTTAGAATCATAAATAAAGACCTTGATGTACAATTTGTCGAAAATAAATGCGTCATTTTTGCTGATGGATATAATCTACAATATTATCAAGAAACCGAATTTGGTGAAGAAGAGAAAAAAGACGTCCCTGAAGAAGACGCAAAAGAGCCTGAAACCTATCAGTGCAGCCAATGCACCTTTGAAAATCCTATTAGCAACACTGTCTGTGAAATTTGTGGAAATCCTAAGCCAGCTGCCACAAGTGGTGATGACCAAGTGGATTCAGTCCAGACTAATATCAAAGAAATTGAACGAAAATTGAATGCAAACAAGCGTGAATCGATTAATGAACTTTGCAAAGCAATAAATGGAGCTACAGACTGTACAAGCAAAATCTATGAAGGTACTGAAGATGACCAAAAAGTAATAGAAATTGCTCTTAACAAAAGAATGCTAAACGAAGATGGAACACTTAATGAGCAAACTAATAAAGCTTTTGAAGAAATCTGGGTTTATTTGAAAGGCTGGCTAGGAGATTAGATTAGATTAGATTAATTAACTATAGCGGGTCATGGAGGTTTATTTCAGCCTCTACCCAGCACTGCCAGCTTCAAGCTCGCGCCCTAAGCACTGGCTCTGTAGCTCACTCCATTTTTCTGTCGACGTCACCAAAAAATGGTGACGTCGCCAGATAACAGGGAGGCTCACCTAGGTACTCCTTGATCAGGGGTCTAGTGACCCGGTGCCGTCCTTTCCGGGGAGGGAGAAAAGTAGCCTCCCGGAGTCTCCTTCAGGTCCCCGAAGCTCCCCACATAAAGATCTTCCTCACTTCCCTTCTGATCCTGAAGTTTGACTCCTGATGCATCGGCTCTGGTCTTCTCGCCTTTAGAGAGGTAAAAAACCTTTGTCGTGGTGTCCCGACCAAGGTAAAAAAACCCACCCTGGATACAATACCCAGGCCCCGTTTACTTCTTAGTCCCATAGTCCCTGAGGGTACAGGAGAAGGACGGGTCGGGTGGCTCGCCATTTTAATTGTGTAGGCTAGGAGAAGACATGCATGTAGTCAAGACTGCCTTTATTGAACTTGCGAAAAAATCACCTTTTGAACTTTATAAGAACCTTGAGCAGAAAGGGATTGATTTGTGGCTGCAAAATGGGCTAAGTGTTGTAGCAACTCCTCTTCCACTAAAGCAGCTTGAAGCTATTGTTGAATTTGCTGAGTATAAAATCTGCCAAGAAACGAGGGCTGCACTCTACATTCCGCCAGCTTTTATTAGATTCCCAATCGAAAAAGTCATTAGTATCAACTATCAACAAGAATACCCTTCAAAAGAAATACGTGACTTGCCATTAGCTGTTATTCGTTATAACTGGGCTATCATCAAAGTATTCAACCAATATATTTCTGAAGCTATTAGGCTAAGCAATTTGAGTGAGCATACTTTATTACCTAAAAACTCTTTGACTTTATCACTATCAAGCGCTCTTACAGAACTTCGATCTTTGATTATGCTTCCCGTGAAAATCGAAATGCAGCAAAATGTATTTGATAAAACTGCTGTACAGCGAGAAACAGCTCCAAAAGTGCAGCTAGAAAGACTTAAACTTATAGACCAGCCTAAAAAAGCCTCAAACTTCTATAAATCTTTAGACCAGCTTAAAGATATCAATGCAGCACTTCTTAGACCTCCAAAGCCTCAAGGAAGCGATCCTTTCATAGCTTTTGAAGTTGTCCTTAAAGGTGAGCTGGTAGTAGGAGAAGCTGGACCTTATCGTCAATTTTTCGCTGATGTCTCCAAAGAAATCCAAAATCCTATTTCAGAACTATTATGCCCATCTCCAAACAACAAAGAGCATTTCGGTGAAGGAACAGATAAATATGTAATCAGGCCATCATCAAATTCAGCTACCCACCTTCAAATGTATGAATTTTTAGGACTGCTTATGGGCTGTTGCGCTAGGACTGGGACTCGCATGACTTTAGATCTTCCTTCATTCTTTTGGAAACCTCTTGTAGGCGAAAACCTGAGGGTTGAAGATTTAGCATTAATTGATACACCTGTCTATGAGATGCTTAAACTGATGGAAAATGCAAGCCAAGAGCTATTTGAAGAGTCATTTGAAAATTTCTGTACAAGACTGTCAGATGGCTCTGTTATAGATCTCAAGCCAAACGGACATAATATTCCAGTCACTTATGAGACTAAAGATGAGTTTATAGCGTTAGTGCTTAATGCAAGATTTAATGAATCCTCCAAGCAATCACAAGCTATAAGAACTGGGCTAGCTAAACTTGTCCCATTAGGCCTGCTAAATCTTGTAACATGGAGACAATTAGAAGAATGGGTATGTGGAAAGCCTCACGTAGATATAGAATTGCTCAAAAGACATACTCGCTACAGTGGAGGACTCACTGACACTTCTCCTCGAGTAATTTGGTTTTGGGAGTCCATGAAAGAGTTTTCACCTGAAGAGCGTCTCAAATTCATCAAATTCAGCTGGGGACAAGAAAGGCTGCCGTGCAATGACGAAGACTTCGAGAGGACCAACACCAGGCTTATGATCAAGCCAGCTATGAACGCTGAGCACAAAGATGGATCTTTGCCAAAAGCTGACACTTGTTTCTTCAACTTAGAAATTCCTGACTACTCATCAAAAGAAATCTTAAAAGAAAGACTCAGATATGCCATATTAACTGACTGTGAAAGCATGAATGCAGACAACCCTGTAAGTGAGCAGCATGAAGCAGGAATGAACAGAGAGGAACATTTTTCAGGAGACGAAGAATAAAAATAAAATTATTTAGCTTTAGGTATAAGTTTCTGGAAAATAATATAGAAAAGAATACTTGAAAACATCAGAGTCATAGGATAAGTCTTGATCACGTACAGGCCTGTAAAAACCTCACCTGTGTTGATTGTTTTGGCTTTTGATTGGTGATATGGGGAATTGCTTTCTTCGATTTCTTGTTTGTTTTGGTAAAGCTGCTTGTAATGCTTTATTCTTTTGTCTTGCTCGTAGTAGTCAGTGTCTTGTAGAATTCCTTTAAATAGCATAATCCCTGAGACCTTTGGGTTAGATCTTGTTTTATTGAAATTTATTATGCTCAAATAGAATGAATTTTTAAAAATTTTAGTATAGATATTCATCATATATAATGAGCTTGCTGGTTAAAATTTATAATAATAGAACATAAAATTTTATCATTTTCAACTGCACTTAATAAAGGTGTATTATAACTTGCACTTACACAATGTTAGATTATAGAAAAACTCCCTGTCAGGATCTGAAGATCCTTATTCCCTTCCATAACGCTCCACTCGTCTGCTTCACCGACAATCTTCTCACGAACTTCAAAATTTTGCTCCTACCAGGCATGGGCCTGAATGCTGGTAGTTGAAAAGTTTGGGACGCCAGCTTCCAGAAAAATTCGAGAAAAAAAATTCTGGTCACATATCGGCCAGATGAAAACTCGGAGTCCAGGACGCAACGCCTGATATCGTGCTTGGGAAGTTCCAGATCGGCAAGGAGGAACCTTACTGGTATTGTTGGGAAATCTCTTTCCAGCTCCGAACTCCATCTTCCTCCGAGGTAAGACTTTGACCTGGATGTGAGATTGCTGTGTGCCAACTCAGACATTGCGCTCCACAAACCAAGTAAAATCTATCCGGATACACATACCGAACGCTAAAACTCTTTCCCACAAGTCCCTTAGTCTCCCAAGCTATAGATGTTAGGAGGTTGGGTTGGTTCGCTACGCCATTTTTATATATATAGGAGTATTATACCAATATATTTTGTCCTCTGTAACTGTTATTGGAATAAAAATATCATAAGCAGCTGAATCCTTGACATTGTCATAGATATCAAGAGCATAAATAACAACATTTGAGCCCAAAGCAATGTTAAATTGCCTCTTAATGTTCGCTTCAGAGAACTCTGCAAATTTAAGAATGATAATGTAACTTCCAGGGGCTGGGAGAGGAATTCTATAGCTAAAGTTGTCAGTCGAGTATCTTTCAGTTTGGTAAATAGTTGGATCTTTTGTGTATTTTACATACTTATTTTTGCCTGGACTTATGGCAACTCCTCCTTTGTAATCTTGGTCTTTTAACCACAATACACCTGAGCTATCAATATACTCTTCACCGCCACAGTTAACAGCATATATTGATTGCCCAAATGATGGAATAAAGGAAATCCCTAATATGATAAGAAATTTCATACTCATATTTGTAATAATCATAGCCAGGCAGCTAAGCATTAAAAAACAGTTAGACTTGCTCCCCACTTTAAATCGAAACAAAATATAGATACGATCCCCAATTTTTGAGTACTTTAATCCCCTTAAATTAAAACAATTTTTTTTCAATAGGACTATAGGCAAAAATGCTAATTTTGATAAAATTAATTTTGACCTAATTTAATTGGAAAAATGCAATTAGAAGAACATTATTTAAAAAATTTTTACACTAAATCGATTATTTTTGAATTAATTCTTCATAAATTCAAAATATTGTAAATTTTTTTTTTAAACAAAAAATAAGCACTTAAATTGGAACAGTATTTTTTTTGTTTTAATTTAAAGGGGGAAGTCAGGATATATTTTTATAAGTTAGTGTTGCAAGATGTGAGGAAACAACATAAATATTTGAAAAATTATTGAATAGAAATAAAGGACCAAACTGCAAGAATAAGCTTGGATTTCAGATGAGCATCCAGCCTATTCATATGTAGGGGTGATTTTTTGTTTTTATCATAATCAATTCTTAGGTAAATTAGTTAAAATTGATACATGCATATTAAAAGAAGTTCATTATTTAGCTAGATGGTTGTGGTTCTTCTTCCTTCTTTGTTTCTTTCTGCTCTTGTTTTGCAGCTACTTTAGGTTTGGCTTTGCCGACTAAGTATTGTTTGTATCTAGGATCAGACACCAGGTATAGCATTTATTATAATATGGCTTAAAAACTCTTTCCATAAAGCCACACTTGTTTATAAAATTCCTTTTTCTTTAATTTTATGTTAAAAATAAATTATTCATCAACTAACTCACTATTGAGTTTGCAGGCACTTTGCAAGGCCTGCTCCCATCTATTTCTTTCTTCCATCAGCTGCTCTCTTTGTTTCTAAATAAATCTTACAGTAATCATGAATTTTTCTTCGTCCATTCTATGAGCAGTATCTGAAACTAAGTGTCTTTGCTCCTCAATTTCTTGCTGCTTTAATTCTAATTTAGAAAACTCTTCTTGAAGAAATCGGTTTGCTTTTTCAATTTCCGTATCAGCAGCCACCTTTAGCCTTGAAGCTGTATAGCCAATATTATCAGGAGCTCTTGATCTGCTCCCAAGAATCGCATTTTGCATGATATTTTCTTGATTTTTCAATAAAATCCTATAATTTTCTAAATATGCTTTACTCAATAGTTCTTTTAAATCTGCAATGCATTTGATTTTTTGCAGCTCTTCATCGCCTTCTCCATCTACATTTAGAGCTGCTTCATCAGCTTTGTCCATAAACTCTCTAAAAACCCTCATGTTTTCTTGGAAAGCTTTTATGACATTTTCACTTATCCCTTGGAAAGGTAAATTCATGACTTCAGGCTTTACTGGCTTCTGTTGGAATTCAGCAAAATCAGGGCATAAATCGCCTAGTTCTTCCGCATATCTTTTGTGGAAAGCTTCTCTTCTTTGTTTCATCATGTCTTGCAATTCATTTTGCAACAATAAAAAGGCGCTCCTTAATTCTTGATTTTCAGCTAGTAAGGCATTTTGATTTTCCTCATAGCCTCTGCTAATTAAATACGAGAACTCCGAGTCACCATTTCTTGCGAAGAGCGATACTCCATTTGTATGCAAAGGAGATGTCAACTCAACTTGATTTCTTATAGGAAGGTCTTTTTCTCCTAATGACTTTCTAAGCTGCTCTTGCAGTTTTGCATAAGCTGCGTCTTTCTTTTTTAACTCGTGCTGACTTTGTGTTTCCTTGTGAGTCAATTTATTATTTTCTCTTTTAAGTTCATCTCTTTCTAATAAAATTTTATCTTTTTCTTCTTTATTTTTAATTGTCATAGTTTTTATTTGATTTTTTAGCTTTGCAAGCTCACTTTCCAAATTTGATTTTTCAGTATTTAATCGTTCATTATTCTGTGCAAGCTTTGATTTTTCATTTTCAAGGCTGCGATTTTTATCAATTAAATCACTACGAAAGGCAGCATCGCGCTGTCTTGACTGCATAAGAGCATAGATAGAATTTACTGTTTTTGAGACTTCTTGAAAATCAGTACTAAATAAATTCCCGGGCGGCGGCAATCCTTGGGTAACTAAGGTAGAAGTGATATGCTTTATAGAATTTGTTAAGGATTGACTTGGCTGCTCTGGAGGCTCTTCAGGGAGATTTCCAAATTGATTGAAGTCTAGACATAATTAAAGTATGGCGTCTTCATCTGGGCATGGCCTCCCGGCCATGCAGCCTCGACTCATATTTTAATTATATCTGCAAGGTTTTGCAGTTCAGAAAGGGACAGCAATGCTAGGTAAGCAATTCTGGTGGAGCTCAGAGCCTAGCCCAAGTCTATTTTCAGCGATGCTTTTTCCTCATGGGGAAGGAGGCACGCGAGTTGGAAAGGGGAAGCTCAGCAGAGTCCGTTAGGACCAATCGGGCAACTCCCTAGCGTGAAACTGGGCGTTACGTCCCAGGCTTCGTGTTTTCCTTTTTGCCGAAAGCCTACCAGAAAATCCATTTTTTATGGATTTTCGGAATGGCAACCATGTCCTCAAGCGAAGTAGCTCAATCATGAGCCGAAGTCGGCAACACCTGCAACTACGTGCACCTTGGCGAAACAAAGCTGATCGACCCAGAGGCCAGTGGGCCCGATGCGCCATAGCAGGCGGAAGCTCTGGGATGGGCAACCCCGTAAGGGACGTTAAGCGTATAAATTTAATAGATAGATTGAAGTCTAGACGATTATCAGATCCTAGATAATTTTCAAGTGGATTTCTATGATACGACATTTAAATTATGAAAGCTCTGATTTTTAATATGCAAGATATGAGTTATTTAAATGCTCCACCCAGACAATAGTCTGATAATTTTTCCAATATCTTCTCCTTGCGCTTCAAAATCGCCGTATTGCATTCTTATAATGAAATCTTCAAAGGTCAAGTTTATAGTGTTATAATTAACTCCATAGTGAACCAATAGCTGCGAAAATCCTTTTTGAGTATCCAAACTTTGGATAAGGTCAATTAGCGTTTGAAATGCGCATAAGTCATAGCTTGCTGTAAATTTGTTGATGAAGTCGTTCAGATTGTAGATAGTGTTACAAATTTTGGTTAATGCGATGCTGAAGTTATCAATGCAAGTTGTGAGTGCTGTATTTGCAGTTGCTATGGAGGTGGCACATGTGGAGGTTTTAGTTGGGTCTTTTTGAAGACCTTTTATTAAGCCTGACATGAAATCATTGACTGAGCTTTTGAGGTTTGATATTTGAGCATCATCTTCAATGGTGAAGAAATTGGATTCTGATAGTAATTGAGCAAGATTGGATATCAGTGAAACTGCACACTCTATAGAATTAGGATCTGTGCATGAGGTTTCTGAAGGAGTTAGGCTGAAGAATTTATTTTGAAAGTCTTCTGAAGCGGAAATGAGAGATGAGCAAAGTAAAATCACAAAAAGCTTGGAAATCATCTTTATTAAAAAGGTGTAAAATCTGAATTTTATTAAGACAAATAATATTTTTGATATACAGTTAATAAAATAAGCATAATTTTTAATTAAAGCATTGATATCAAGTTTTCAATTTAATTATTCTAAAATCATATCAATATTGCTCTTTCTTTGAGGTACCTTTTCTTCTTCTTCTTCTACTCTCTCTCTTACTATATTTTTCAAAGGAAGCTTGGTCGTTGGTGGTGTTTCGATTTGTAATTCTATCGCGTCTAGCTTCTCAAGTTCATCTAATAACTCTTGTTGCTCTACAGGATTCGTTGCTGATAGTGCATTAGAAACTTCTCTCTGCTCATCATATAAATCTTTGTTTTTTTCCATTAAATCTTCGACTTCATTTATATTTAATCTTTGATTTTCTTGAGTAATAGTAGCTTCTCTCATAGCATGATATATTGCAACTGTATCTTGGCTCGTTTCTATGCTGAATAATTGCTGCTCACAGTTATTTCTATTGCTATGGAGTTCTTCGATTTTCTTCTCTATCATTTTCTTCCTTATCAAATAAGGCTTAGCTCCAAGCTTATCTCCTTTTCTGATTTTGGCTAAAACCATTTCGTTCATTTTTTCTTTATTCAATTCAAGTTTAGACACTTTTGAGTCAATCTCTTGGATAATTTCAGATAATGCTAGGCACGCAGTATCCTTTTCTTTTATTTTTAGCTCATCGTCTTCATTGATCTTGACTTTTACTATGTCGCTCATTTTCCCACATACTGGAACTTTACTCCCCCCCCATCCTTGATCGAACGACTCGCCATCGTTCGATCAAGGATGGGGGTTAAAAAAAAATTTTTTTGGGAAAAAAATTTTATATATTATTATTATTATTATTTAAGTTAAAACTTAAAAGCGTGCATGATTCTAGGGTTTTCTTACTTTCAAGTTTTCAGAATTTTTCCTCTATTTTCCTTTTAAGATTTCCATAGTTTCATCTATTTCTAATAAATTTATATATATAAATTTTTTTTTATTTATTTTTAAATAAGAGTGTCAAGAGTATTTAATAATTATTTTTACAGCAAAAAAAATTGAATTAATTTCATAAAAAATACCAATTTTTTATATTTTAATTTATTAGTTACCCCTTTAAAACCGTATCTTCACACGACGACTATTTCATAACGACTATTTTTTTTTGGCCTATTTTTTTTTGGCCTATTTTTTTTTGGCCTATTTTTTTTTGGCATATTTTTTTTTGGCCTATTTTTTTTTGGCCTATTTTTTTTTGGCCTATTTTTTTTTCACCTATATTTTTTTTTACCTCTTTTTTTTTGGCCTATTTTTTTTTGGGCTATTTTTTTTTGGCCTATTTTTTTTTGGCCTATTTTTTTTTTTCACCTATTTTTTTTGGCCTATTTTTTTTTGGCCTATTTTTTTTTGGCCTATTTTTTTTTTGGCCTATTTTTTTTTGGCCTATTTTTTTTTTGGCCTATTTTTTTTTGCCTATTTTTTTTTGGCCTATTTTTTTTTTGGCCTATTTTTTTTTGGCCTATTTTTTTTTGGCCTATTTTTTTTTGGCCTATTTTTTGACAATTTTTTAACTATTTTTTACTAATATTTTGCATAATTCCATACTAATTGTTTTAATATAATTTTTAATGTGTTTTAAACGATTTAACCAACAAAAAATGCACCCTTAACAGATTTCGTACTCCATGAATACTAATTCATTGTTTTTAAATTCGAAAATTTTAGATTTAATTAGGAGTTTGTTACTTAATTTACTCAATATAATCGCGTAAGAAAAAAATCTCTCTGTTTCTCAATAAGGTTCTACCCCTCTCAGCAGCTTCATGAATGAGGCTAGGTAAAAAAAAATAGGCTAAAAAAAATAGGCCAAAAAAATAGGCCAAAAAAAAATAGGCCAAAAAAAAATAGGCCAAAAAAAAATAGTCGTTATGAAATAGTCGTCGTGTGAAGGAACCCTTTAAACTGTATAGATTTTAATTGTTACTTATTAAATTAAAATTTGTTTTTAAAAATTTAAAAATCTCTCTATTTTATTAGATTATTGAGTTTTTAAAGCCCATGCTGATAACTAAATTACTTTGAATGGTTGATTTCACAGCTTTCTATCGTCTCAAAGTCTCTGAAAACAACTTCATTAGGTACATCTTCCCAAGCTTTTGATAACTATTATATTTTTATATATATAAAAATTTGCATGATATGAAAATCGTTCGATCAAGGATGGGGGTTAATTTCCCCAATTTTTAGGAATTTTTACAGTCAATCGTTCGATCGAGGATGGGGGGGGGAGTTAGTACTGTAAGCTAGGGCTTCTATATAGAGATAGTCTAGGATTAATTTTACATCTTCTTCATCATGAATGTGGAAAAACTCCTGAAGATAATCAGAAATTTCAGTGAGCTTATATATTGTTCTTTTGCTATTTCTAGCTCATTTGATAAGATCTCTTGATATTTTTTGCATTTTGCTTCTGCACACAAATATATTCGTAGGCTGTGGCTTTGCACCTAAGCCTCCAAGGAGCTTTTTACCTATCCAAGAACCCCATGATAGCTCTTTATCATTTTTTTCTTGGACTTTTACTCTGATGGTATCTATATCAATCAAGTCTCCTCTCTGCTCAAGTGCTTTGCAAATTGCACTAAGACCTAATGGTTTTCTGCCTTTTCTGTCAAATAGAACTCTAACTCCTCGCTAAATTGGAATAAAATATCGGCAAAATTTCCATTTTATTGGGCACTTTAACCCCTCTAAATTGGAAGAAAATTTTTTTTGTGAAAATACTATTTTGTTATAAAAAATTATTTTTGACTAATTAATGCAAAAAGTGCAACTCGAATACTATTTAAAAAGTTTTCATACTTAATCGATTAATTTTTGGATTAATTCTTATATTTTAAATTAAAAAACGCTACGTTCAATTTATATTTTTTTAATATTTATAATGTTTTTATAGAGAAAAATTTAATATAAATGTTTTCTAAAAAAATCCTGCTTTAAATTGGAACAGTATTTTTTGTCTAATTTAAAGGGGAGTAAGCTCATCTATTGTTGATCGTAATGATTGGATATAGTTGTTAAAGACCTTATCGATTGCCCGTTTCCAAAATTCTAGCATAAATTCTTCACTCTCATCGCCGTCATATTCACAAAATAAAGCATGCATTTGAGAATCATATTCCCATTCAGGAAGCTCGTTTAGGACATGTGACAAATGTTTACTCTGATCCATTTTAAAAATAAAAATATTTCACTTGCTTTGCTTTGAGCAGATTTTTATGATATCTAATATTATAAGTAATAATATTTTAATTAAAATAACTCTACACAAAAATGACTTTAATTCATCAATAATAAAGCATTCTTATAAAATAATGTCTAATTAATTAAATACTTCCAATCAATTATTACTTATCAATTATTTCCCAAAAGCACCACAAACCCGCATTATTTTCCAATTATTTTAATCATAAGATTCTTTCTAACATTTACCTTAATTTCCCTCAAATGAAAATCTTTCCATTAACCAACAAAAAAATGGTTGGAAGGTTATTCGATTTTTTCACTCGTGCATTTGTTCCTCAGCCTGTTCATTGTGCTGGCCCACCTGCAAAGCATGGTGAAGACAAGGTTTTCTGGAAAGCGACTCTCAGTGGTGGCATCACAGGAGGTATTGAAGCTTGCATAACCTATCCTACTGAATTCATTAAGACAATGCAACAACTCTACCCTGAAAAGCGTTCAGGAATAATCCAAGTCGGAAAAGATACAGTTAACGCTCATGGCTTTCGAGGATTATATAGAGGACTTTCCTGTTTGCTCTTCTTCTCAATCCCAAAGACAGGCACCAGGTTTGGATCTAAGGAAGTGTACGATAAGTACATCTTTACCACTCCTGGAAAACTCAACACTTTCTTGTCAGGAGCATGTGCTGGAGCTACTGAAGCAGTTTTTGTGGTTACTCCTATGGAAACTTTGAAGGTCAAACTAATCCATGATAGGATGAGCCCTACTCCTAAATACAGAGGTCTTTTCCACGGAATTTCTACTATTTATAAAGCTGAAGGGTTCCCTGGAGTCTACAGAGGAGTGGTCCCAACCTTAATTAGACAAAGCTCAAACCAGGCTATTAGATTCTTAGTATATGGAGAATGCAAGAAATTTATTGAGACGACTTTCCCTAACAGTCCATTGACTTTACAAACTGCTTTGTCAGGAGCTATAGCTGGAGCAGCATCTGTGCTAGGTAACAACCCTATTGACGTCGTAAAAACTATTATGCAAGGATTGGAAGCTAAGAAATACAATGGATCACTCCATTGCTTCTTTGCAATCGCTAAAAGAGACGGAATAAGAGGATTCTATAAAGGAGCTGGTGCAAGACTTACTAGAGTAGTTTTAGATGTGGCGATTACCTTCACTCTCGTTGAGCATATTCGCAATGGTCTTGATTATTTCTTCCCAACTAAAAAATAAGAAATTAAGCATTATTAATTCTTATAAGTGTCCATCAATTCTGTCCTCACCCCTTGTGGGCCTCCTAAAGTTTTTGCTTCGTTCAGTCGATAAATATTTTCTATCACAGAAATTTCAGTCGACGTTGTATCGAGGCCACAAAATGCGCTCCAATCATTAGCTACAAGACCAGCTGCTAGCACATCGCTTCCTCTATTAACAGTGCCAGCACATAATGGAATTTGTAATAATGAACTTAATTCGTCTAGCTCTTCTACAGCTATCATCGGATGTATCAATCCACCTAAGTTTGTAAGGACACAATAGCTCCCTACTAGCACATTTCCTGCTACCATGGTACGGAAAACTTCGACTTTTAAGGTATCAGCGATTATTTCTTCAGTCTCTTTATCTAAATCTGGGTGAATTATAGCAACATAGTCATTGCAAGCTATGCAATTCCCTAGTGCTGACAGTCTTTCATCAATTCTTTCGACTTTGATTTTATCTGGGAGAGAATTTCGAATGGTTTGTAGCTCTACATCAGTTGTGATGCTTGGAAGCAAAAGACCATTAGAATTACCACAAGAGACTCGACCTACTATACGAGTTCCTGCTATAGTGGAGTGAATTACTGGAATGTGCCCACCTAACTCACTTTCAAAGACACTGTAAAAGTTTTCATTGCTACCTATTGGGACTAAGCAGTATGCGTTGGTAAGTTTGCAAAATACTCCGATTTCGTTTGAGTTTTCGAATTGTGTGCGAGTTGCCATTTTAATTCTTATATGATCTGACAATATGAGAATTTATCCAAATTTTTTTAGATTCGAATTAGTAAATGATAAAAAGATTAATGATATTGGTCTTCATAAATTTTAAGAAATATAAATTAATTGGTTCTATTAGAAATGATACAAAAAGTCTTATTAAAAAAACTTATATCTTAGCCTCATATTAAAACTTACTCTTTTTATCTATGCAACAAATTGTATAATAGAGTGACTTAATAACTCCCCCCCCCCCCTCGTGAGCGAACAAAAAAATTTTGTTCGCTCACGGAGGGGGGTTAATTTGTTTTTTTTTAAAAAAATTTATATATAAATTTTATAAAAAATATTTTTTTCGAAATTTAAAAAAATCCTAATTTGCAAAAATTGGGAAGCAAATATTAATTTAATTTGCAAAATTTATGTTTTAAACGCAATTTGTTTAAAATTAAACAGAATTAGCTCTAGATTTCATTATACTAATTATCACTTATATATCAAAATTTTTTTCCATTAAAATTTTTTCTATTAAAAAAATTTTTGTTCACTCACGGGTGGGTTTTTGGTCAAAAAAATGGCGATTTTTCTAATGGTTTTGTTCGCTCACGGAGGGGGGGGGGGGGGTAAGTAAAAAATAACGAGAAACATGCGTAATCATACAACTATATATAATGAGTTCATTGATAACGCTGCTATAACTGAGTGCATACAGCAAGGTTTAGATCCAAGTATATTGTCCGCGCTAGATAAGAATGCTGTTTTCTACATAGCAACCATTGCAGCAAGAGTATGCTATGCGACCAGAGGTATAACAATACTTGATGTAATAGGTAAATCTATCAGAGATGTGCAGCTCCTATTGTCATACGAAGCTAGTGAGGTTTATGGGCGAGGGATCAAAGCAGATGAATTAAAGGACTTTCATACTAAAGAATTGCATTTATTAATGACAGTAGCTGCGCGAGCATGGTATCATGCACACAGTAATGAAGAAATACGAAGCTTTATCAGGAAGTCGTATGAAATAAAACTACAAACTCTATTACATCATTATATAGCCGAACATTTGAACAATGACACAGATTTTATACATTCAGCATCGAATATAAGTATCAAAGTAATGGAAATACTACTGTCTGATACTGCAATGAGTAAGTATGCTGCACAAAGACTGCAAATCAACGAATTAATCAACTTGGAACCAGAGCAAATTCAGTGTGCAATCGAACTCGTTGGCGATACCAGTCACATCGATTTATAAAAAATATTAAACTGTAGAGTCTGTAATAGAATTTGTGTAAGTTGCAAAAGGCTCTGGCTTTTTATGTGTGTAAATTCTAAAATAAGCACTTAAATTCTAACCTCAAATGTACTAGTCAAGACTTAACTTATATACAACATAATCTAACAAGCAATATTATCGCTAAAATTCTGACTATTTTGTTCAAGCTTATATTCAAGGTATAAATTTCATTATTCTTTTCAAGAGCAAGTTTTTTACTATCTTCAAAAGTTTGCGTAGGGCTTTTACCATAACAATATTTACCTGAATGAGGTCTTTCATAATTATAATGCAAAAGCCATTCGTCAAGATCATTTTGTAGCAAATCAATAGAATTATAAATCTTCTGACCTCTGGCTACGTCAAAAAACTCTTCCTTCATAGTTTTATGAAATCTTTCACAAATGCCGTTCGTTTGAGGAGAATAAGCTTTTGTAGTAGTATGCTCTATGCTTTCTATACTTAAAAATAGTTCAAATGCATGATATTCTATATTACCCTTATATTCACCACCCCTATCGGTAAATATTCGAAGTATAGGTATACCTTCTTTTTCATAAAAGGTAATATCCAATCATTTAGCATATCGGCAGAAGTAATAGCTATTTTCTCGTTATAGAGTTTAAAATCGGCTACTCTTGAATAAGTATCGATATAAGTTTGAGTATATACTTTACCTATGCCTTTGAAAGTGCCTACATAGTATACATCCTGTGAGCCAAGATAACCTGGATGCTCAGTTTCAATCTCACCGTAAGCTTCTTTTTCAGATTTACATTTTTCTAAAGTGCGTAATTACGCTTCGGTAAGAATGATGCCATCTTGAGCCATTTTCGTCTCTAATGCTACTAAAGTAGGATCAACTCTGTTAGATATTATCGGTTTTCTACGACTAATCTCGTTTAAAGCTTCTTCACCACCTACTTCATATAGTTCTTTAAATATATAATAGCTATCTCTGTTATATTCCATAGCTTTACATGCAGATGATATAATTCGCAAAATGACAGAAAGAGATTAAGTGACATCTATCGATTTAATAATAAAATGGCATTCGGTTCGAGAGAAATTAGCTTTGCTAATTTTCTCTCCCTCATGGAATTTTATTATTAGGGTTAGGTTTTCACTCGTGAACTTCTGGACAGCAATAGCGGTTTAACTTTGGGGATAACCAGAGGAACCACTCCTCAGTCCACTCAAGATCTCGGGCTTTTACCTCTCAGCACATCCCCACGGGAGGATGACCCTTAGGCGGAACACGCGCAGGAGCTGAGTCGAGCGACAAGGGCTACGGCAACGCGCCGGGTGAGACGTGCAGCAAGGCCGGTGAAGCAGGAGTTGTTAGAAGGCTTGGACGGGGCTGACCCGTGCCAAGATGGCTCGCCTACGTCATCAGTTTTGCCATAGGCCCCTTTTGGGCTGCGGCACTAGACACCTTAAACACCAGATAATTAAGTAAGAAATAAGTAAGACATCTATCGATTTACATTATGCGACAAGTCTCAGGGTTCTTAGTGTTTGTGGAAAATATTTAGCACATTCTGCAACATTTGTGTTTGATGCAGTGCTAAATGATGTGCGTACTGTGTTTAATATCTCCGATGGTGCCTGCTTACATGCAGCTGCTAATTTAGCTTGTTCAGAGTTTATTACTATGTTGCTGCACCTCTTCTGGTTTTACCAAACTGATTTCTGGAGTCTTGCTCTCTTCGCTTCCTATGCTCATGTTCATTTGCTGTTCAATTCCCGCTTCTACCCAGTGTTTTGGTCGCAGACGAGAGTGGTCTGCAGTTAAAATTAAATCTCGTGTTTATAAACCCCAGTACGTTTATTCGCTATTGCGCCCTGCACCTTGATATTTCTTTGATCATTTTGATTTAATAGGTCCTCCAACGATGCTTCACTTTTTCTCAATTCTCTGATAATAATAGATAATATGCCTTTTCTTTCTTGCCTAAACGATGCTCTGAGGGATATGGTTCCGTTAGAGTTATAGTTGCTCCTCGAGAGTCCAATGTCCTTGCTCGTGTTTTAGCATGTTTTGCCCCTATCACCAGCATTCGTTGTCCTTCTGGATGTTGTTGCATATCTTTTATTATATTATCTAACATTGTTTTGTTACGTTCGCGTAAGATTCTATTCTTTAATTCTTCTAGTTGCTGTTCTGTATTGAGCGTACCCGTCTCGTCTATTTTCTTATTCCATTTCATTACCAACTGTTGAATTTTTCCATTGGCAGTTCCACTTCTTGTTTCAGCTCTAGTGCTCAATTTATCAGTATGAATAGCCTACTAACCCCCCCCCTCCGTGAGTGAACAAAACCATTAGAAAAATCGCTATTTTTTTCCCAAAAACCCACCTCCGTGGGTGAACAAAAATTTTTTTAATAGAAAAATTTTTTATGGAAATAATTTTTGATATATAAAATGATAATTAGTATAATGAAATCTAGAGCTAATTCTGTTTAATTTTAAACAAATTGCGTTTTAAAACATAAATTTTATAAATTGCTTTCCAATTTTTGCGAATTAGGATTTTTTTAAATTTCAAAAAAAAATCTTTTCTATAAAATTTATATATAAATTTTTTAAAAAAAAAAAAATTAACCCTACTCCATGAGTGAACAAAATTTTTTTGTTCACTCACGGAGGGGGGGAGTAAGAAACATTTTTGGCTATATTTTAAATTAGTTAGCAAAAATCTGGGTTGCCAATCAATTTGGCAAGCCAATTAGTACACGGCTAATCAAAAAATGCCCCTTAATGGCTTATTCATGCTAAACTAGATATATTTCAAGCATATAAAAAAATTTTTCTTTTCTAGAAGCTTTATGATATTATCTTTTGTAATTATTACTGATCGGCTCCCACGAGCCAAAAATGTGTTTCCACGTGGAATTTCTGGATTTTCACGTGTGAAATCCATCTTTGGTTCGTTGGAGCCGATCAGAAATTAGAGCAACTGACTATATAATTATCAACTCGAAGGACTTTCAAGTAATTATCGATGTTTTGATAAATAAAAAGTCATTAAAGAGTGCTGATCACTATAAATTATTTCAATTTAAGTTTAAACTAATGAAATTTGATTCCATTTACTCTAAAACTTGCTAAAGCACTGCTGGTAATCGCAATTCTTCATTCTTAGGCTGTATTTATAGTTAGTTGGGCTCTTTATAATGTGGACCTTTTAATAAATTTCTTGCATGCCATCTTTAATCATTTTATATAAAAATGTAGAAATGGTTACAAAGATTAATGATTAACATTTATTTTAAGATAATAATCATAAAAATGAACGACTGTGATGCAAAGGTATTCTCCGAGGTCAAATCTAAAGGCAGTGCTTTCAGAGTTAAACTTGATGCAGCCAACCAAAATAGCATCCAGAAAACTCATATCTTGTTTGGCGCTACAGGAAGTGGGAAAACGACTCTTTTGCATCTTTTAAATGAAGATCAACTAATTGTTCAAGACGGAGATAGAGGCCCTATTCTAAAAATTCGTGATAATTCGATAATCCCAGGAATTATTGGTCATAGTGTGAACTCAGAAACCTCTGAGCCAAATTTGTATTACAATCAAAGAACAAGAATTCTATATATTGATTGTCCTGGACAAGAAGATACTCACGGATGGGGTCAAGACCTCGCCAATGCATTTTATTGCTTAAATGTATTCTCCTTATGCCGAAGCAAAATTCTGCTATATATAGTCAGCGAGTATGAGATACAGAGCAGAGCAGTGGGCTTTCGTAATTCATTGAAACAATTACTTAATTCTTCAATCTTGATGTAAAACATTATATTATTTCTGCTAATAATTAATTAAATTAAACAATATAAGCAAGATTTAATACAAGCTATGCTCAAGAAATGTTTGGCATTAAGATAATAAAGTAATTTTTAATTTAAAGGAATAAAGAAGACTGCCGAGTTAGACTCTTTGAAAATCATACCGAAGAACTTAACTACCCCCCCTCCATGAGTGAACAAAAACATTAGAAAAATCCCTATTTTTGCCCAAAAGCCCACCCGTGAGTGAACAAAAATTTTTTAATACAAAATGTTTTATATAAAAAATTTTTGATATATTAATGATAATTAGTATAATGAAATCTAGAGCTAATTCTGTTTAATTTTAAACGAATTGCTTTTTAAAACATAAATTTTATAAATTAAATTAATATTTGCTTTCCAATTTTTGCGAATTAGGATTTTTTTAAATTTCGAAAAAAATTAACCCCCCTCCGTGAGTGAACAATTTTTTGTTCACTCACGGAGGGGGGGAGTAAGAACAATTGTTATTTGATATTTACTATGAAAATTTATATCCAAGATTTTTCATTAGCTATAAAAGATATCAACCTCGATCCAATTTGCATGGAGTTTTTAACATTATCATTGCCAATAATAGAATAATCCATTTCCCTCACCCTTTCGGAATTAAAATGGTGGCTTTGACGAATTAGTGACTCGGGGTGAGCCTAGATATTACTTTTCAGGCAATTAGACCAATTCAATGGAAGCCTTCCAAAACCGGGTATCTGATTTCCCATAAAGATTTTCCAGCTCTTGCTAAAAAAGCTTGACAGGTTTTCCTACCACAAAGTCTTAATTACTTGACTGTCTCAGCACAGGATAGCTCTCATCTAGGGAATTTCTATGAATCATCTAGCGGGTCTTACCAGAAAGTATAAAAGGGTGAAATCTTAATTGTGCTGTAGATCATTTGCATACAGTTGTATATATCAAGCATAGTTTGCTTTTTCTAGAGATGAGGTACAGACATGTCAGTGGTTTACCGCTTATGGCTGAATCTTAATCTTAATCCTCATCCTTGTAAATTTTATGAAAGACAAGCCATTGATGGAGATATCGTCTCTGAAATCTACAAAAATGAAATCTTAGCCAAAATAGCAGAATTACCAGGTATGGGCGAGCTAAACAACTTGAATGTCTCAGTTTCTAATGAAACCTTACTTCCCTCTCCTCGAACAAACAGCTTTCATTTTAAAATATAAATTTTAGTAATTTTTTGACTTTCCGGTTTTTTATGAATTGAGATTTTTTTAATTTTCAAAAAAAAAGTTATTTGAAAACATTATATATATTTTTTATATAAAAAATTAACCCCCTTTTGATCGAACAAAAATTTTTTGTCCTCTCACAGAGGAGGGAGTTAGTAAAGCTAGAGTATCCAGAAGAATACATTAAGAGAGAGTTTTATGGTTATGTAAATGAACAAATAAAATCTGAAATTGAAAGAAAAGCAAATGAAAATGTGATGCAAGGCCAAAGGTGCGGTATGAGAGCTGTAGATGTGAGTAATCAGCTATTAGTATACGCCAATAGTTTAGACCCTATCAGCCAATCGCCAGATTATGGTAGTTTTATAGAGTCAATTATTAATTTTTGCAATAGATATGCAATAGCAATAAATTCACCAAAACTCAAAGAAATCTTAAATTTTATAACCCTATTTCGCAAAATAAAACCTCAATCTTTTCCTATTCCGAGCTTCATTCAAGCCATTTCTCAAGCTATCGGTTCAATCAAGGCAAAAATTACTGCAATTTCAAATTATTCTACAAGTTATAGCACTGATATAGAAAAACGTAAAAGATCTGATTTATTAAAGGACCAATCACATTCATCCAATCATATGGAAGGGATATTCACGAGAACAACGAAGGCTCATTTCAATTATTATCGAGTATATGATAACTATCATAGACAAGTAATGAGATATATATTCACTTTATCAAATAATCAGAGAGTTGAATTTACTGAATATGGGTCATGGCAATGTGTCGGAGAAGCATCAAGGGAGTATGATCACTCGGATTGGATTTTTACGAGTAGAGATAACTGCATTAGTAGTATTTTTTAAGTCTAAAAATTCAGAAAAATCTATAAAATATGAGCTTAAAGTCTTCTGCAGCATTAAATTTAAAGAAGTTAACTCATCAAAAATTAATAGTGTTGACTTTCAATCTGTCTAAATATTATTAAATCTTTATTATATAGCAATGTGCTTACCAGTTCTACAGCCGGGAGAACATTTGATGCATTTATTGCAACAATTATAGTAAGCATCTTCGCCACATCCTTTACAACTATAATATTTCATTTTCCCTGGATGATAGAAGCATTCACCATCTCTATTCTGTTTTGGCACAAATTCCTTTTTACAGTTTTTGCATCTATGATTGCTTTTTTCTTCTTCAAATGCAATTCCAATGTCATTTCTCAATTTTTGGTTAACTTCTTTAGATCTTTTATTCTCAATTTCTAGGTTATAGATTTCTCTTTCCAAATTCATGATAAATTCAGTAATCTCATTATTTACTCCTTCTTGGCTTGTTCTTTCAAAAATTTGATTAGCATATTGCCTGTACATTTCAGCTCTACCTGCACTTAATGCTAAATCTCTACCATGATTTAGAGCTGTTTCTAGTATATTAATTTGTTCATTGCAAGACTCCAACTCCGTCTTAACCTTTTGATACTTAATATTTATTTTTTCTTGGCCTTCTGAAAGGATGACATCTCTTGTTGATTCATATTGAAGTTTTGTGTGAAGTTCGTCATTGTCCTTCCTTAATTGTTCGAGTTCATCTGTAAAGATTCCCAAAGCGCTTTGAAAGGATTGTACCATGTTTTGAACTTCATCTTGGGACATATAAGTCGGAGCCTCGTCTATAAGGGTGTCACGATCCATTTATTATGAGTAAAGAATTTTTATAAGAAAAGCCCAGTAAAAAGAATTTAATTAGAATTCTTAGAGGTAAAAAACTGAAGATTGAGGAAGGTAATCGATATAAAAGAAATAAAATCAAGAAGAGAGAGATAAGGGTGAATGGTGAAGTGGTATCACATCTGCTTTGCAAGCAGAAGGCCCCGAGTTCAATCCTCGGTTCATCCATTTTTGATTTTGGTTTGATATAATATGGATCATCACTTATAAATGATAATCCTAAGCAAATTTTGATAATAATTCATACATCAAGTTTAATTAAGTATATTTTCATCAGGATTTAAAAATATTATGGAAGGGGTAATAACAGTTGATAAATTTTGGATAAAAGAACTTCGACATGCAAATATGCTAAAATGGCTTATTGAGGCTAACGAAAATATGTATCACATAAATGCATAATTAATAAAGTAAACTAATTTTATTTTGATTTTAAAGTTTTTAACTAAACTAATTTAATATTTTTTTAATCGATAAAATATTTAAATTTATTACCTTTTTATTACTATTAGAATTTAACTTTGTTTTCATATAATTTGCTCAATAGACAACTTTAAGTAGCTTTGATATGGTAATCCCTTATCTCTTTTATAAAAGTAAAAATGTCTGGTAAAAGACAAAGAGAAGAAAGCCCAGAAGATGTTGGATTCACAATCAACAAAAAGTTCGCAGAATCATTTGAAAGACGCAAAAGGCGAGAAGAAATAATAAAAGCTAAAGAGAAAGCCAAAGCTTTAAAAATTAATCCAGAATCGGAATCTGAAGAAAGCGATTCAGAAAGCGAAGACTCAGATGCAGAGCTTCTAACTAAAAAGGCAAATGCAAAATTCATGAAAGCTATATATATGATTAGAAAAAAAGACCCAAAGCTGAAAGACCCAAACTATAAAATTTTCAGTGATTCAGATTTTGATACTTCCTCAGAGAAATCTAAAGATGAAGAAAAGCCAATCCGCTATAAAGAATTAATTTCCCAGGAAATCAAAAAAGGAAAAATAATTGATGAAGACGAAATCCGGCCTGAAACCAAGATTGAGGAACAAAAAAGGCTAAAAGATGAATTTAAGGCCGCAGCAAACAGTTGGAAAGTAAATGATAGCGATGAAATTCTAAGCTTAAGGAAAAAAACAGCCCAAGAAATCAAAGATGAAGAAGCAAAGTTCCAGGAGTTTGTGGAAGAACATACAAAATTTGAGAAAAAAGAAAAGAAAGATCTAAATGAACTCAAAGAATTTTGGCTCTCTAAAAAAGACAAAGATGAAGAATTCTTAAAAAATTTCGTAATTAACCGCATGTGGAAAGATGAAGCAGAAACCTTAAAAACTTATGACGAAATTGTAGATGTCGAAGATGAAAAAAACTATGAAGAAGCCGAAAAATTCGAACATGTTTATAACTACAGATTTGAAGAAGAAGGTGCTGAAAAAATTATAAGTAATTTCTAAATAGCCCACTCAAGACAGGTTGAAGGAAGCGTCAGACTTAAAGATAACAAAAGAAAAGAACAAAGAGAAAATTTGAAGGAAAGAAAAATGAAAGAAAAAATAAGAAAGGAAGAAGAAATCAAAAGGTTAAAAAATCTGAAAAGGCAAGAATTGCAAGACAAACTGAAATTGATTAAAAAAATGGGAGGGATTGACCCAAATTTGAATAAAAAAGAACTTGAGGAAGATTTTGATCCTGATAAATACGACAAATTAATGGACTCTATGTATGGAGAAGATTATTATGAGGAAGAAGAAGAAAACTATTCTGATTTAGAAATAGAGGATATTGAGAAAAATATAGAAAATGCTGAAGAAAACGCTGAAGAAGCTATGAACATTGAAAAAGATCCACAAGAGAAGTCAGTGCAAGATATACTAAAAGAGTTAAAGGCTTTAGATTATGAAGATATGATTGGCGATATGCCTTGCAAGTTTAAATATCGCCAAGTGGATGCTGAAGACTATGGCCTTAATGATGATGACATTCTCAATTGGGATGATGCAAAGTTAAACCAATTAGTCAGTCTCAAAAAACTAGCTCCATATAGAGAAGACCAAGGAAAAGTCAATAAATCCAAAATCAAAAAGAAAAAGAAATTCTTGGAAAAAGCACACAAGTCCTCCAAAAAAGAAAAGCACCACAAAAAGCACCATAAGCATGAAAAACAGGATCGGTTTGATTCCTACAAGTTACAAGACTAATAATATTAATAATTTATGACACAAGAGCACTTCTTCCTAAGGATGGAAACCTTGATTGCGTTGATTGAGTCGGAGATTCTGAGTCCTTTGAAAATGTAGATCCTGGGCATTTGTATCTGGAAAGATTAAAATAAGCCCTCTCCTCATTGTTATGTTTTGCTGTTATACATTTAAACATAGCATTTTTTGTTTTTAAGTAGCTTTCTATTGTTTGACGGGTTTTAAATGGTGCAGAAATCTTAAGAGTTCTTGAAATTTTTTCTGGTAATATTGATATTGGAGATAAATGATCTCCGCTAATGTTATTTCCAATGCTTTTTTGTCTGCAATGCCTTATATGTACTGATGGCTGAGGAGTTCCATAGTGTTTTTCATTATGTATCTGGTGCTTTGATTTCAATTCTTCTTGAATTATTCATAAATATTCAATAACTTCTTGCAAATCTTCTATTTCTTTTAAATTTTTACTTTTATCTTGTTTTTCTTTGCAAAGATCTATTGGCGTTTGAGATTTCTTATTTTTAACCGATACAGGGATTTTTAATTCTTCTACGTATATTTGGATAAATCTTAATTTCGCATTAGCAGCAGAAATATGCAAAACCGTATTTCCATAGTGATCTCTTGCTGAAATATTAGCTCTGCGTGACACTAAAACTCTTAAAATTTCTTCATTTCCAACTGCTGATGCAACAAGAATTGCTGATCGCCCATAAGAATCAATAGCATTTATCTGTGCCCCGAGTGATATTAATGACTTTATTACTTCAATCAGTTGATATTCAATAGCCATAATCAAAGGGTAGGTGTGCCCTAATAAGTAATTTCCATTTGTGTCTCGAAATCGTATCATAAAATTTGGAGGAAAACCTGATTTTAGTATGTCAATCAAGCCGCTTTCGTTTTGGGTTTCTAAAGCAGCTTCAAATTCGGGTATAGGTCCAATGATCGTGCTGTACATTTTATCGAAGAAATTTGGTCGAAAATTTCTAAATAGTGAAATTTAATGGTTTTTTAGGCCAAACGTCTCACTATTAAAAATGCTTCGAACAAATTTTACCCTAGGAAATATCACAAGATCAAAAATACATGGTCATTTGGCATGGAGCCTTAAATTCAGCTTCCCAGGCATTCATTGAATTAGTGTTTTAATTATTATATGTAACTTATAAGCAAAAGGGAAATTATTTTGGGAATTGATTAATTAATAAATCTTACACAGCAGCATCTTCAGCTAGCATAAATGGATTTCCTATTGTCTTCATTTTGTCAAGTAAATTAGGTAAGGGTAATTGGTCAAGATCTATTTTTTGTGTCAAGCTTTTTTTATTTTTTCTTACTTTCATTTCTCCCAGCACAAGTTGTGAGGGCACTGGGCTGACATTAACTCTAGTAAGAAGGTGGGAACTGTTTTTCTTGGAAGCTTTTAATCTGTTTTTATGTGTATTTCTATATGGCCTCGATGCAATTTTAAAGCCTGCCTTATGGATTTTTAAACCTAACTTATCGTGCTCGATAGGTGACAAAGTGAGTTGATTATTAGAGTCACTAAAAATGTTTGTTTCAGACTTTATTTTTTGCATGATCCCTTTGCTATTTGCTTTAGGCGTCAAATAATCTTCATATAGTCCTTTCTTTCGTAGTTTTGCTCGAAGCTCTGGGTATTTACTGAGCTCTAAATACAATGCTAATTTTTTTTTAGCTTCTAGCCTTTTTGCGTTCTGGATAAGCTCATGATTGATTTTTCTTTCAGATTTAGGAGTATTCGCGCTATGCTCTTTTGCTAAAGCTTCTTTTCGGATCTCTTCCGAATAAATATTGTTGTCAGGTGTACCAGATCTTTTAAACTCATCTGGCCGTAATATTTTTATTGGGATATTTAAGTTGCTTTCTTTATTTCTCAAATGCCCTCTTTTATTTACATATCTTTCATCCTCCTCATCCAACGATTTCGAATCATCAAAATTAATTAAATTTCTCCCTAAAATGTATTTTGGATGTTTTTTTAATGGAATTGTTCATAAGTCTGATGGGTCCTTTATTGTTTTTGTCAAGCAAACTTCTGGTTTTGCAATTTGTATTTCTTTGGCAAAAGCTAGCCAAATATTTTTATCAATATCTTCAATGAATTCCATTTTCGCCATCATTGGGCGAATGTCCATTGTCCCAACAGAAGAAAAAGAAACCAGATTCTGAGGCTGAGCACAAAAATCTCGGACTCAGAGGGCCACGGAGTTGGATGAAGGCGACTTTTCCGGGTGGGCGGCGGCTTGGGCTGACTGGGCCTCCCCTCGACCCACAGACGAGAAGACCGACGGCGCAATGCCAATCAGGCACTTCTGGAGGAGCATTATGCTGCCTGTAAATGGCGGAGGTAGTTCCAGAAGGAGGCTTTGGACGTTTCCCTCATACCCTGAGCACTACCAGGGGTTAAGAGAGTCCTTTGCTGAAAATTTTGGCCCAAGCAGGTTCGGGTGAGTCTCCCCGAAAGATGTCGACGTCACCATTTTTGATGACGTCGACAGAAAAGGGCGTTAGGTGGCTTTAGTGCTTAGTGCCACATGAAGCACGAAGCTGAAGTCCGACTGGCTAGGGGCTGAAAGAATACCCGCTTAACCTCTCTAACTAATCTCTCTCTCTCAATGAATTCCAGCTCTAGAATCATGACTCTTTTGAATTCAGATTTTTCAACTAAAGTCAAAATGGTTAATGCAAAATCACAGACAATATTGAAAATTTGAGGGTCATTTTCTTTAACCGTTTTATCTGAAAAAATCTTATTAAGCGAGCTCACATAGCCTTGTTGTGTATATTCAATTCTGAAGTTATAAATAACCTCATATATGTCTGAGTTTGGCCTTGCTGGTTGAATGTAATGTATAACCTGCGCAGTTGTAACCCCCGATATTATATCTTTTAAATCTCTTTCATATATCTTTCTTCTCTCATTTTTTGATATGAAATAGCAGACAAGTGACCCAGAATTTCTAATTTTTTGACGTCAGAGGAATTCTTTATACATTTTATTGAAAAATTCTAAAATTGTCTGTGTGTGCTGAAATGAAACCCCCAATCCATAACTATTATCTCTAAAATGAATTGATGAAGGTTTTGAGTCAGCGATTAAAATGGTTTCTAGGATTTTTAAGCTTGTAGAATTGCCCGATAATAATTTAAGAAGCCAGTGATAAGGTTTTTTTTCCATAATTTAATTTTTATAAGTCAATTCTGTTAGGTTATTTAACCTGAAATGGCAATAAATTCACATAAGCTTTTTATAATAATTGCCAAAAAATCTAATAATAAATAATTAATGGCCACCTATCGTTTAGTTCTTGTTCGTCATGGCGAGTCCACCTGGAATAAAGAAAATCGCTTTACAGGCTGGACTGATGTTCCATTGACCCAACATGGAGTTGACGAAGCCAAAGAAGGTGGAGAAATGCTCAGACGTCAAGGCCTTACCTTTGATGTAGTCCATACTTCAGTCCTCAAGCGAGCAATTCAAACAATGAATCTCGTTCTTTCAGAAATTGACCAAGAATACTTACCAGTAAATAAGCACTGGAGGTTAAACGAAAGGCACTATGGAAGCCTCCAAGGACTCAACAAATCAGAGACTGCTGCTTTGCACGGGGAAGAACAAGTCTTGATATGGAGAAGATCTTATGATATCCCACCCCCAAGCCTTGAAGAATCTGACGAAAGACATCCAGCTCATGACAAAAGATATGGAAAACTGCCTAAAGACTGCATGCCAAGAACTGAGTGCTTAAAGGATTGCATCCAAAGGGTTCTTCCTTATTGGTATGATGCAATTGCACCAGATATTTTGAATGGGAAAAATGTCTTGATTGTAGCTCATGGGAATTCTTTGAGAGGACTTGTGAAACACTTGGATAACATGAGTGAAGAAGATATCTTGAAGCTGAATATACCAACTGGAATTCCATTGGTTTATGAACTCAATGAAAGACTGCAACCTATAAGGCATTACTATTTAGCTGATGAAGAGGAAGTCAGAAGAAGAATTGAGGCTGTGGCTAACCAAGGTAAAGCTAAATAAAAAGCATTAGACATTAATTGATAAAAAATGTAGGTTTCGGACTCTGTCATTAAAGAGTCATTAAGTTGATATTAACTCCCCCCCCTCCGTGAGTGAACAAAAAAATTTTGTTCACTCACGGAGGGGGGTTAATTTTTTTTTAAAAACAATTTATATATAAATTTTATAAAAAATATTTTTTTTCGAAATTTAAAAAAATCCTAATTCGCAAAAATTGGAAAGCAAATATTAAGTCAATTTGCAAAATTTATGTTTTAAAAAGCAATTCGTTTAAAAATAAACAGAATTAGCTCTAGATTTCATTATAATAATTATCATTTATATATCAATTTTTTTTTCCATAAAACATTTTTGTATTAAAAACATTTTTGTTCACTCACGGAGGGTGGGTTTTTGGGCAAAAAATAGGGATTTTTCTAATGGTTTTGCTCACTCACGGAGGGGGGGGGAGTAAGAAGTATCTTTTCTATCATCCATGTAGAATCTATTTAATCAAAAGCAAATTTTCCTTTTTATTAATGCTGAAAAATACTCTAATTATAATTTTAATCTTAGCTTTTTAGGTCTTCAATTTTCTTTTGCATTTTTCTGACCAAATCATTATTTTCTCCATATAAATTAATGAAAAATTGTATGCCTTTTGTATAATTTTCGATAGCACTTTTCTTATCTCCTTTCATCTCATAGACTTCTCCAAGTAAAATATATCCTCCTCCATAATAGGTATGCTGATTTCCATACAACTGCAAATAAATTTGGCTTGCTTTTTCATGGAATTCTATAGCTTTGTCCCAATCTTTTAAAGCTCTATAGTCAAAGGCAAGATTATTATATGACAATGCGACCATGAAATTTTTTTCTCCGACAGATTCTTTTCTGATTTCAAGTGCTGTATTGTGCTCTCTAAGAGCGTCTTCAACCTGACCTGATTTTCTATAGGCATCTCCTAATAAATCAATATAAGTAGATGTAGATGCATGCTTTCTTCCTACTGTTTTTTCATTAATTTCTATAATATACATAAAATGGCCGGTGATGAGAAGCCCGTCCTCCCTGAGGCGGCGCCCTAATAAATATTCGGATATGGTTTTTAGGGCAAGGAACTGCAAGGATTAGGCTAGCCTTGAAGAAAGAGGCCCAACAATATTTTCGCTGATTAGTGGTCTGGCTCGATTGGCAGTTTTTTACATTTTTTGTCAGCAGTACCCCGGGGCTCAGAAAGGGTATCCGATAGAGGCAGGGACGACTTAACTGCCCTAAGCTGCTTTTGTGGCCTGTCACAAATCTGCGAAAGCACATTAAGTTTTTTTCCTCCGAGATGATCCAAAGAAAAGGGAAGACAAACTAAACAAGTAACTCAGCGCTAGTCTCTCCAGCTGAAAAGGGTCCCGAAAATGGATTGTTGCCTGAGCTATGAGGGGTAATTCTGACACCTAGGTTTAAAAATGGAGATTCCCTGCAAAATCTGGTTTTTTTAGATATGGAGGGAAAATGCCTCTACAAAGAAACCGGGGGTTTAGGCCTGATCTCAAACTGCCTTTAGGGAGCCACCCCGCAGGCGTTCACCTGCTGAACGCATGAACTTCAGGAAGTGGGACTATACATGCCAAGCGTTAATCTAATCTAATCATTTCTATAGCCTTTTTGAATGCCTCTACAGCCTCTGGTATTTTGTCCCATTTTTCATATGAAATTCCTATATGCGCATAAGTGTTAGCGGTAGCTGGATGAAGCTCTCCTAGATTTTTGACTTTTAATTCAATTGTTTTTTGATGGGATTCTATCGATTCAGGATATTTTTCTTGGTCTCTATATAAAAGCCCTAGTGTTGTATAGATGGAATCTAATATAGATTGATCGATATTTGTTGACTCTTCTGCTATAGATTTCGCTTGCATTAAGTACGACTCAGCTTCTTTAAGATCCCCTTTAGCATGATAAATTGACCCAAGCCCAGCATAAGAATAGGCCATCTCCTGCTTGCCGACTTTAGCATTTCTCTTTATTTCAAGAGATCTATGCCCATATTCAATAGCATTATCAAATTCTTTGTTAGTATACGCAAATTGTGATAAGTTTTCATAGCAAAGAGACATTTCTTTTGTGTTTTCCTGAGGAATATTTTTCAATATTTCTAAGGACTTATCAAAGAATGGCTTGGAAAATCTCTTATCGCCAAGCAGTCTGAAATTGTTCCCAATATCATTATAATAGTAAGCTAAAGATGAGCTATTCTCCCCACGCGAGCCTTTTACAATGGTTGCTCCTCTTTCAAAGGCTTCGTTAGAATCCTTTATATTTTTCATATCTTTCAAGAGAAATCCCAATTTTTTATATAGCTCAATCAAATTAGCATCAAGGAGCCTTAAAGTTTCTCTGATGTTTATTGAATTTTGTAAGTGCCTTTTAGCATCCTCAAACTTTCCAGCATTCCAGTGAACATATGCGATATGGGTTTCAACATCAGCAACATCAGCTGAGTTTGGTCCTGTAACTCTTTCAAATATTTTCCTACCCTTTTGATAATAATCAATAGACTCAGCAACTTTTGACTTTAATGAAGCGACATAGCCAAAATTAAGAAAATAGATAGCCACGTCTGGATCATTGCCGTCGACTTGCTGCTGCATGTAGGGTAAAGCTAGTTTTAAGTATTCTTCAGCTTTTTCAAGATTTCCATCATACTTATAGAGGTTTGCGATATTATTAAGAGTCAATGCGACTTCTTTGCTGTTTTCGCCAAATTTTGCCTTTTCTATGTTCAGTGCTTTTTCATAGTATAAAATAGCTGCTTTGATATTTCCTATTTCCCTAAATATATGACCTAAAGTACTGAACCCAATGGTAAGCTCTTGATGATCACCTCCAAGCTCTTTCTCAGCTATTCTTAATGATTTCTCAATATAAATAGCAGCTTTCGGCAAATCTCCTTTTTCTCGAAACGCTACGCCTAGCTTGTTATAAGGGACAATAAGTTTTATGCTATCTTCGCCGTGCTCTTTTTCAGCTCTTTGAACCTCGTATTGAAGTGCTTCAATCGAGTTTTGTTGGGTTGCAAAATATCTGATAGAATTAAAATTGGTGAATCTCACTGGTAAAGGTTTAGAATATCTAATGGTAGGCTTAAAAGATAAGGCTCTTGTCAACCTACATAGAGATCTAAAAACCATTTTATTATTATAATTCGCGATAATAAAATTTTGAAGATTCAAGTGATACTTATATTAATTACATAAATTTTTCTGTAAATTTTACATTTCCTATTAAGATAAAAGGTACATTTACTTGCTATTTTTTGCAGAATTAATTCCTTTATATTAAATCAAAAATATTTTTACTCAATTATTTATTCTAACAGATTAATGGATTCTGAATTCCCACTCGTTTTCGACAAATCGAATCGATACAACCATTCATTACTAATGAAACTGTCCGAAGCAGTAAAATCTATTTAGGAAATAAAAAACAGTGAACTAACTGCCGCATGCTTAGCTAGAGATTCTGAGATTTTGAGGCTGGAAAATAAAATTTATGAATTATCCTCTACTCTCAGAAATTCAGAGCACCAGAAGTCTTCTCAATTAATTTCAATATTGACTCAAACTGAAGAACTACCCAACGTTCCGAAAAATGAAAACATAGAAAATTTCGAGAACGAAAAGAAATCGCTTTTATTAAAGATAAAAAACTTAGAAAAATCACTTGAGAATTCTGAATCCAAGTGCACAGAATTAGAGGGGCATTTAAAATCAAAAGAAAAAGAAATTTTAAAATTAAAAGTGCAAATCAAAGAGCAAGATTCAACTAATGAGTCTATGTCTTTTATCAAAGGGAACTATACAGATAGATCTATGAGAAATAATAATGATTTCAAAGATGGGGCCTCGCCAAGGTCGTTTTCACATGAAATCAAGGGGAAATCAAAAAGCTCAAAAAAATTATCAGTGCCAAAATTGTCTCTTATAACAATTATCAATGCAAATAATTCAAATATTAATGTGCTTAAAGAATCACCAGCTAGTGAAAGAAAGCAGGCATACTATTCCTCAATTTATAAAACTATGAGAAATTCACCAGTGAAATGCTTACAAAAGAATTTTCTAAGCAATTTCTCATAATCAATATTAACTGTTTATGAATTTATAATAACTCAATATAAATAATCTATTAATTTATTATCAAAATTCAATAAGCTTACTTTAACTTTAAAATTGATTAATTTACTATGAATTTATTTCTGCATATTCATGTGCGAAGATAATTAATCATCCTAATTTAAGAGTCAAAAACTAAAATTAAGTTTATCATTTATATCTCTATAGTAATTCCATATAATAAATATCAAGAGAATGATGCTGGTAAGCTCTAATTAGCAACCTCAAATTTTGCTTTTGCGTGAAGGCACAGACACTTCTCAAGGCCGCGGCCAAATTTTATCAAACATAGGAGCCTGCACTGCCATTGTGGAGTGTGTCAAGTCAACTTTAGGTCCTCGAGGTATGGACAAGCTGATTCATGTAGGAGATAAAGCGACAATCACAAATGATGGAGCAACAATCATTAACCTTCTTGATATTGTGCATCCAGCTGCCAAGTCTCTCGCAGATATCGCGACCGCACAAGATAATGAAATTGGTGACGGCACAACATCTGTCGTTGTTCTGGCTGGCGAGTTTCTTAAAGAAGCAAGAGAACTTCTTGAAGATGGGATGCATCCACGAGTAATCATCAGAGGCTTCAGAGAAGCTTCTCAAAAAGCTATCGGGAAAATCAGAGATATCGAACACAAAGTCAATTCCGCAGATACAAAAGAATTCAGAGAGCTGCTGATAAACTGCGCCAAAACTGCGTTGAACTCCAAGCTCGTCAGCTCTTATAAAGAATTCTTCGCTGAAATGGTTGTCGATGCTATATTAAAGCTGGATGCAGATTTAGATAAAAGCATGATTGGGATTAAGCACGTAAAAGGTGGAAGTGTGACTAATTCCTTTTTAGTTGATGGAGTCGCCTTTAAGAAGACTTTTTCATATGCAGGATTTGAGCAGCAGCCTAAAAAGTTCGAAAATCCGAAAATCATTATGCTGAACTTGGAGCTGGAGCTGAAGAGCGAAAAAGAAAATGCAGAAATCAGAATTGAGAACCCTGAACAATATCAAAGCATTGTGGATGCTGAATGGGAGATTATTTATCAAAAATTAGATAAAATCGTCCAGTCTGGCGCTCAAGTTGTACTGTCTAAGCTGCCAATTGGAGATTTAGCTACACAATATTTTGCTGATAGACAGCTGTTCTGTGCAGGAAGAGTTCCTATTGAAGATTTGCAAAGAATTTCAAAGGCCTCTGGCGGGCAGATTTTGACTACAGTTACCAATATCCCAGCCGAAGCTTTAGGTTCTTGTGCCAATTTTGAAGAAGTCCAGCTAGGAGGCGAAAGATATAACATTTTCAGAGGGTGTCCAAGCTCTCACTCCGCAACCATTGTTCTTAGAGGAGGATCTGAACAATATATTGAAGAAGCTGAAAGATCATTAAACGACTCTATTATGATTGTTAAAAGATCTATAAAAAACTCAAACGTCGTTGCTGGAGGAGGAGCTATTGAAATGGAATTAAGCAGATTTTTAAGAGATTACAGTAGATCTATTAGTGGCAAACAGCAGCTTGTCATTAATTTATACGCAAAAGCTTTGGAAGTGATACCAAGGACTCTTGCAGAAAATGCAGGTTTTGATGCTATAGAAGTTTTGAATAAGCTTAGGCAAAAACATTCTGTAGGTGGCTTAGAAGGCAGGTGGTTTGGAGTTGACATCAAAAATGGAGGGATCTGCAATACTTTTGATAATTTTATTTGGGAGCCATCTCTCGTAAAAATTAATGCAATTTCTGCAGCAACTGAGGCAGCGTGTTTAGTTTTGAGTGTTGATGAAACTGTCAAGGCACCTAAAAATGAGCAAGAAGTGACTGCAGCCGAAAAAGCATTAGCAGCAAGAGGCAGAGGCAGAGGAAGAAGATTCTAAAAATAAGATAGAATTTAGTATTAAAAAACATGGCTTTGAGAGGAATTGTTACACCCATAACTCGAAATATAGGGTCCGAGAATGCTACGAAAGGAATATATGATGGATTTCAAAAAATAAAGGAAATTACTGATAAGCCATTGGACATTGAAAGGGTTTCCAAAGTAATCGACACTAGCTTAGACCCAAAAATAGTGAGGTTTCATACAATTATAGGGCTAATTTTAAGTGCGAGAACAAATAATGTAAACACAACTAAAGCGATAACAAAACTCTTAAGTAAAGGATTAACTGTTGAAAAAATAGTGGAGACCCCTGCTGAAGAAATTGCTAATGATATTTACGGAGTGAGTTTTCATAATAATAAAGCCAAATATATCAAAAATGCTGCGAAAATGATACTTGAAAAATATGATGGGGATATCCCGAATGATTTTAAAAAAGTTATTGCTTTGCCTGGAATTGGCCAAAAATCAGCTAATTTCTTTTTGCAAATAAGATATGGCAACATAAATGCAATGGCAATAGATGCACATGGGCATAGGATAGCAAATCGGCTTGGATGGGTGAAAACGAAAAGTGTTGCTGAAACGGTTAAAAGTCTTCAAGAAATTTTTCCAAAGGACAAATGAGATGAAGTAGGCTATGCCCTCGTTGATTTCGGAATGGGAATTTGCTCTTCTCAAAAGCCAAAATGTGAGAAGTGTAATTTGCAAAGCTTTTGCGCATTCTATAAATCAAACTCTAAAGTCAATTAAATAAACCCAGCAGTAATCTAGCAATTAAAAATTATTATGAAAGCAAAAATCTATATGGGAACTATATAGCAAAATAAAATAAATTAAAAATTTATAATTATTGGACCTGTGATGAAATAAGCAAAATTTAAGAATAATGAAAAATTCATATCATTATAATCATCTAAAAATATCGTTACTTTTTTATTGTAACTGTTAAAATGGTGAAAAAGATCAAAGGACCAGTGGGTTCCTCAAAAGTCAAAGAGCAATGAAGAGAAGTCTATGACAAGATAGCCAAAATGAGAGAGACTATTCAAGCTCCAGTAGATGTGGATGGTGCAATCGCTACTTTTGATAATTCTATTGATCCAAAGTTAGCACGTTTCCAAACTTTAATCGGAATCCTTTTAAGTGCTCAAACAAAAGATGCTACAACTGCTCGCGTTGTTGAAAATCTTAAAGCTAATGGTTTAACTCCACAAAGAATGGCAGAGATCTCTCTTAAAGATTTATCTGAAGAAATCCATGGGGTTCGCTTTCAAAACAATAAAGCAAAGCACATTAAAGAAACTGCTCAAATTTTATTAGAAAAATATGATGGTGATGTTCCTAATGATTTTAAAACAATAGTATCTTTGCCTGGGGTAGGCCTGAAGATGGCTCATATGTTTCTGCAAGTTTGCTATGGCAGTGTGGAAGGTATCGCTGTAGATACTCATGTCCATAGAGTTGCAAATAGACTTGGTTGGGCTAAGTCCAAAAAACCTGATGATACTATGGAGCAATTGCAAGATCTTTTGCCAAGAGAATTGTGGGATCAGGCCAATACAATTTTGGTAGGTTTCGGACAAGTAATTTGTACCAAAAAGAACCCAAAATGTGAAGAATGCGAAGTAAAGAATCTTTGTGAATTTTATAATGCAAAGAAGAGGAAATAATTATAATTGCTTTATTTAAGTTTTTAAATAAAATGTCAAAGCCAGTTTCTGATTGTGGAGCAGCACACATAATTCCGACTTTAAGATTTTCAGAGTTTGTTAAAAACCCTACACGATACAATGAATAGGTTTCTCCATCCAAAGAATAAAAGATTTCAAAGGATTTATGCTTCATAATAAGCTTGAAGTGGACAACTTGAGTTGGATCAAAATTTCCTAAAGAAATTACTGACCAATCAGAATAATCTCTTGTGACTACAGCACTGACGTTTGCAATTCCATTTACATACTCAATTCCAGCTTTTACTCAGTTTTCTTCGTTTTCTCTGATCATCAATCCTCCATGATCATACAAGTCTGCATATCTTCCTTCAATATCCAAAAGGACTTCAAAGTCACCTGACACGTTTTGGTATAGAAAATGTCCTTTATCACTTATACAGCCATTATGCGACTTTCTTCAAAAATCCGTGTGGGGGTTTACATGAACCGTTAAAAGTCTAATAGAATTGATATAATTTTCTTCTTGGGAATATTCAACTGTCCAAATTGAAGGCGGATTTAGCCATTCCATTTGAGATTGACTATTAGCTCCCCTCCCTTTAAATTGGAACAAAATATCGGTACAATCAATTTTTGGCACTTTAATCCCCTTTAAATTGGATCAATTTTTTTTATTCAATAGGAAAATTTTATAGGTAAAAATATAAAATTTTATAAAATAAGTTTGACTAATCAATTTGAAAAATTGATTATTTTAAACAGTTTTTCACACTAAATCGATTAACTTTTTGGATTAATTCTGTATAAAAATAAATTAACTGCTTTCAATTTATGTCTTGCTATTTTTTAAAATTTATAATTTTTTTTTTTTTAAAAAATTAACCCCTCTTTAAATTGGAGCAGATGTTTTGTTTCAATTAAAAGAGAGGTGATTAAGATTAATTTTGCTTTGATCTGAATCATGGCTTATAATAATGGCTTCTCTGCAATACGTCAACTCTAAAGCTGAAATCCTAACTCCGTGAGCGAACAAAAGCTGCTTCACTATAATTGAATCCTTAGCTGATTCTATTAATTTTTAAACGAATTGCATTTTAAGACATAAATTTTACAAATTTTTTGGTAATAGAATTAAACTTCGAATAAGCGATTTAACTATATAATTTTTTTAAATACTATAATAATTCTTTTGTGAATAAGGAAAAATATATTTTTTTGCTCAAAGAGGGGGACTAAGGAAAGCTCAAGCCCTTAACCTCAATATCTCAGCCTCCAAAGGCCTTCAAGAAGTTCTCAGAAGTAATCTTGGACCAAAAGGCACAATAAAAATGCTTGTCGGTGGAGCAGGACAAATCAAGCTTACCAAAGATGGTAATGTTTTGCTAAAGGAAATGCAAATTCAGCACCCAACTGCAGCCATGATTGCAAGAGCTGCGACCGCACAAGACGAAATTGTTGGGGATGGGACAACTTCGAATGTGCTTTTTATTGGAGAACTGATGAGACAGGCTGAAAGATTCATCGGGGAAGGAGTTCACCCAAGAGTCATCGTCGATGGTTTCGATCAGGCCAGAACTTTTGCTTTGCAATGCCTGGATGAGATCAAAGAAGAGGTCGAAATTGACAGAGAGCTATTAATCAGTGCTGCAAGGACCAGCTTAAATACAAAACTCCACCCAGTTTTGGCAGCTCAGCTGACAGAAATCGTTACTGATGCAGTTCTTGCAATTAGAAGGGACAACAAAATTGACCTGCATATGATTGAGATTATGCATATGCCTCATAAAATGGCCACTGAAACTAAGCTGATCAGAGGGTTATATCTCTAGAGTATAAGTTGTTTATTATATTTTAATTCCATTAATTATTAATCACTGTTTGCATATTTATTCTTAAAGTATATAGTATTAGACCACGGAGCAAGACACCCTGATATGCCTACCAGGCTTAAAAACTGCTATATTTTATGCTGCAACATCAACTTAGAGTACGAAAAAACTGAAGTAAACTCTCAGTTCTTCTACAGCAATGCCGAGCAAAGAGAAAAACTCCAAGCCTCTGAAAGAGTTCTAATCGACGAAAAAGTCGAAAAAATTTTGGACCTAAAAAGAAGACTCTGCCATGAAAATGACAAAAACTTCGTCGTCATCAACCAAAAAGGAATAGACCCAGTCTCCTTAGACATGTTTGCTAAAGAGGGCGTTATTGCTTTGAGAAGAGCCAAAAGAAGAAACATGGAAAGAATTCCATTAGCCTGTGGAGGAAACGCTATAAACGCAGTAGAAGATTTAAACGAAGCTGACTTAGGATGGGCTGGATTAGTTTATGAGCATCAAATAGGTGACGAAAAATACACATTTTTGGACGAGGTGCCAAATACCTTTTCTTGCACTGTGCTGATCAAAGGACAGAATGAACATACTATTAACCAAATTAAAGACGCTGTCAGAGATGGCTTGAGAGCTGTTGCCAACACTATCCAGGATAAATGCATTGTTCCAGGCGCTGGAGCCTTTGAAATCGCTACTTCAGTCAAACTTAAAGCTCACTTAAAGAACATTGAAGGCAAGTCTAGACTTGGTGCTGAAGCTTTTGCGGAAGCTTTACTTATTATCCCTCGAGTCCTTGCAGAAAACTCTGGCCTTGACAGCCAAGAAACTCTTCTTAAACTTGTGTCAGAATACGAGCGAAATGGAACCATAGTAGGCTTAGATGTCACCACCGGCAACCCAATCAGTCCTAAAGCTGAAGGAATTATTGATAACTACTGTGTAAAGCGCCATTTCTTACAACTAGCCCCAGTACTTGCCCAACAACTGCTTTTAGTTGATGAAGTCATGAGAGCCGGCAAACAGATGGGAGGAGGCCAATAAGATAATTTAGTTTAGTATAATTATAAATCAAAAAAAAATTATAAAAATCATGCAGCATTCTCTCTATTCAATTCCTACCCCAGAAACAATTAGCCTTGATCTAGCGAACTCTTCAGCGTGCTTGTTATTTTTCAACTATGAAACTCGTTACTTTATTAAAGCCATCCCAGACGAAATCTTGATGAAACTGACGCTCATTTTTGTGGGGCAGGATTATATCCCACTGCAGCAGTGAAAGCAAGCAGAATCCTTCCCTTATCAAATACAATGATCTGGGCCACAAGGAATAAGCTGTCCGCTATGTACTGATTTAGGGATAAAAGAATTCCCGACTTACATTGCTTGCATTGCAAGCGAAATTGTGTATTTTTCAAAAGAAACCCCAACACTCAGATTTTTAAATGAATTTGAAACTGGGAATGTAAAAAATCGTGTAGAAGAGATATGCAAAAGTTTAACATTACAAATCATTGAAGATGTAACTTCTATATGTAACCTAGACATCGAGCCTCCTATCCAAGAACAATCATATGCTGATACCATCTCCCTTCTACAAACAGAAATAGTGAATTACCAAGGCTTGTGCCAGCAACAGAAATTAATTATTGAAGCTTTAAGAGAAGAGCTTGAAGACAAAAATAAAAAATTAAAAAGCTTGACTGATATTGTGTAACTTCTATGTAGAAATAGCCAATCTGTGTTAGCAGAACAGTACCAAAGAGTGCAACAAAATATCCAGTTTGAAAAGTTTTACCAAGGAAACAAAGATGTGAAGCCTCCACCTATTAAAGATGCTGATTTTTGGAGGGTTCAAGCTGATGAAGAACTTGAAGCAGATAATACTTATGGGATGAAGTTTGAAGACATTGCATCAACAAAAGGCTTGTGGATACTCAACATGGAGAACGATAAGCCAATTAAAATAAACGAGCCTATAGCGCCTATGCTAAGCATAGAATCGCCACAGCCACCTAAGGCAGAAAAAAAGAAAAATAATTTCCTTGACCAAAGAGATAAGCACTTAAAAATGCTTCAAGAAAAACAGCCTGTTGGAAGAGATGGCATCAAAATTCCAATACCACTAGCGAGAAGCTATAATAGAAAATCCAGCACATCCCTTAAAAGCACGTCTTCAAACTTGAAGAGAACTGGCGAATTAATTTCATCTCAAAAGAACTTAAAAGGTATTTTCAATTAATCTAACGAGAGTAATAGATAATTTTACTTTAAAGAAATGGAAGAATCTAATAATGACCGCTTTTCAGAAAGAACTAAAAATTTCCAGAAAACTCCTGATGAAGATGAATCTAGCAAGCGCCGCTATAATTTATCTGTAAAGCTAAGACGTAAAAAACGAACTTTAGACTCAGCTAAAAAAAGAGCATGCAAAACAGGAACAATTCAGGCATCAGGATTAGATGGGCAAGAAATCTTAGTAATCTTATTATCTTATCTTATGGTATTTATATCGCTTAACGTCCACTACGGGGTTACAACTCCAGGTTTATCACTCGCCTTTCGTCGCATCGGGCCCACCAGTCTGCTGGAGACAAACTCGCTTCGATCGCCAGGGTGCTTCCAGGGCAAATGTCCACGCCTTCGACGGCTCATGGATGAGCTACTTGCTTGTACATGGGTTGCTTTTCCGAAAAACCCAAAAAAAATGGATTTTTTCTGGTCGGCTATCGGCAAAAAGGAAAAATGCAAAGCCTGGGACGTAACGCCCAGTTTCACGCTAGGGAGTTGCCCGAATGGTCCGAAGGACTTTGCTGGGCTTCCCCTTTCCAACCTTGCACCCTCCTTCCCCACGAGGAAAAATCCACCCCTGAGATTAGACTAGGGCTAGGCTCTGAAAGCTACCAGAATTGCTTACCTAGCATTGATAATCAAAATATGGCGTCTTCGTCTGGGCATGGCCTCCCGGCCATGCAGCCTCGACTCATATTTTAATTATATCCGGCAAGGTTTTACCATTTCAGAGATGGACGGCAATGCTAGGTAAGCAATTCTGGTAGCTTTCAGAGCCTAGCCCTAGTCTATTCTCAGGGGTGGATTTTTTCCTCGTGGGGAAGGAGGGTGCAAGGTTGGAAAGGGGAAGCCCAGCAAAGTCCTCTGGACCATTCGGGCAACTCCCTAGCGTGAAACTGGGCGTTACGTCCCAGGCTTTGCATTTTTCCTTTTTGCCGATAGCCGACCAGAAAAATCCATTTTTTGGGTTTTTCGGAAAAGCAACCCATGTACAAGCAAGTAGCTCATCCATGAGCCGTCGAAGACGTGGACATTTGCCCTAGAAGCACCCTTGGTGATCGAAGCAAGTTTGTCTCCAGCAGACTGGTGGGCCCGATGCGACGAAAGGCGAGTGATAAACCTGGAGTTGTAACCCCGTAGTGGACGTTAAGCGATATAAATTCTAATGTAATGTAATGCTTACCTAGCATTGCTGTCCATCTCTGAAATGGTAAAACCTTGCCGGATATAATTAAAATATGAGTCGAGGCTGCATGGCCGGGGAGGCCATGCCCAGACGAAGACGCCATATTTTAATTATGAAATCTTAGTAATCAATGAAATTCCTACACAATTAGTCGAACTGCGGCCAGAACTAGCAAGCACTGAAATTTCTGATATAGAAAAGCTTAAAATACTCAAAGAAATTGCAGAGGGTAATCCTCCAATAAACATCCTTTCTATTATCTTAGCTACTTTTAGATCAATGCTTGCAATAGAGCAAGCAGCTCCAATAGGAATTTTTTCCAACCTTGGAATAGGAGATTTATTAGTGAGATGCTTAGGAATTGAGTATGGCGATATCATACAAAAAGAAGCTGCATGGATCATTTGTAATTTATTATCGGGGCCTCATGATTATGTCGAAATGCTATTAAAAAAAGATCTTGTAAATCATCTTGCAAACGCTATAGTTTTCAGTGCAAATGAAGTCAAAGAGCATTGCATATGGGCTCTATCAAATATTGCAGGCGATTGTATGCAGTATCAAATTTCATTAGTGAATTATGGGCTTGTAGATCTGCTTATTTCTGTTATTACCAATGTTCCAAATGCTTCTCTAGATTTAAAGAACATTGTTTCACATTGCCTTTGCATTTTATCAGGATGTTCAAATTATATTACATGTGATGATACACAAAAGATAATTCAATGTGTATCGCTATTAATTGATATAGATAATGACGAAATTCATGCCAATTGTTTGAGAACATTAGGGCATATAAGTAAAAAAGAGAATGCAAAGGTACAGCAAGTGATCGATTCTGGGTTATTTACTTATGTAATAAAAGGATTAGAGTATAATAGAAATGTGATTGTTGAGCCATGCATAAGGATTGTAGGAAATATTAGTTCAGGATCTCCAGCACAAACCCAGTGACTGCTTGAAAAGGATATATTGAGCGTTTTAATGAATATACTTGACAATGAAGATATAAAAATATTGAAAGATATTTTTTGGACTATCAGTAATATTGCAGCTGGCACCCCACTGCAGTCGGAAATTCTCGTAAATCACGAAATTTTCCCAAAAGTTACAGAAAGCTTGATTTACCCGAACTCAATAATTAGGAAAGAAGGCAGCTTTATTATAAAGAATTTATTCTCCTTACCCCCTCCGTGAGTGAACAAAAAAATTTTGTTCGCTCACGGAGGGGGGTTAATTATTTATTTTAAAAACATTTATGTTTTAAAATGCAAATTTTTAAAATTAAAAGAGATTTCATTATACTAATTATCACTTATGTATCAATTTTTTTTTTTCATAAAACATTTTTCTATTAAAAAATTTTTGATCGCTAGGTTTTTGGGCAAAAAATAATGATTTTTCTATGATTTTGTTCACTCATGGAGGGGGGGAGTTAGGTAAAAATGAAGTAAAACTCAAAATGATTCAAATGAACATCATTCCTCTGATTACAGTAGCACTTAAAGAAATTGATGCAGAGATGGTGATGAACTTATTGCAGGCTTGTGACTCAATATTAAGATTAGGCCTAAATGGAGATGAAGATACTAGTGCTTTTGTATATTTATTTGAAAGCTCAGGGTGCCTTAACCAATTAGAAATATTACAAAATCATATAAACGAAGAAGTTTCGAAATGCGCAGCTTGCATTGTCGACACATATTTTGGAGCAGCTCCTAATAGTGATTTACAAATTAATTATAATTCAGAAGCATTTCAATTTTCACAGTTTATTAATTAGTTTAAATATGCAAGTACTTATATATTCTGTTATGGGAAAAATTATCTGTATATATGCTTATTAACGTTAGACTCATAACTGAAAATCTACTCCAGCTTGAAGTTGAACCGCATACTACTATGAAGCAACTTAAGTATCTGATAGGAGCTTCTCAAGGTTGTCCACCAGAAGACATCGTATTTGTTTTTATGGGCAGAGCTCCTGATAATGCCACCATTGAAAGCCTCGGTATCAATCAATATTCATTAGTTAGGTTTGGCATTTATTGTCATGATCTTAAAGAAGCAGATTGGAAATAAATCGTAAGACTTAAAAAATTAAAACAATTAAACGAATCTCTTAATTCTTAGCTTCTTCAATTTTTGGGCTCTTGTCAATCTTTTTGGGTGTCAAAATTTGATTTTGTTGAGATTTTTTATTGCTCTCTTCTACTTGTCTGAAAAGACGTTGCGGAATGCTTGAATTTAAAGCTTCTTTCCAAGGCATCCCGCTTGCTTTTTTATGTAATATTTCTACTACTGTGTTGATATTTAAAACAACTCGTATTTTCTATATAAAGTTTACTTGTGTTATTTCTTCCTGTATTGGCAGTCTATAAGCCCTAAAATTCTTTTGTACTGCTTTGTTTAAGGTTATGGAATTTTTTCGGGTTCGATCTACAAGTCCTCCTATGACATAGACAGAATTTTCTAGATCTACGTCAATTAAAGGATCTGGAGCGTCAGGTGACATCATAATTATTTGTTTTCCTGACAATTCAGGCAAAGCATCAATGTCTTCTTCCCTTAATTGTAGATTTCAGTTCTTTCCACTTCTTTTTTCCAATTTTTCTTTAACTTCTCCAGAAACACTGCAGCAAATCAACTTGAAAAATTGCTTTTCGTTTTTACGCAAAAAGCCTATTGAATGGGCAATCTGGGTGATTAAAGAATTTATTTCTAACTCATTCATAAGACTGCAAAATGATAAATCAAAGATTAAGGGCGTCCCTTCATTGATAACTCTAAGCCATTCAGCCTCTAAGATTTGATTTGAAGATTTTTCATTAGCTATAAACTCTGCTCTTTGTTCATCTGCCATTGATGCTAACATTTCAGCTCTTTTCTCTTTTTTGGCTTTATTGTTCTTTTTCTTTTGATTTTGTTTTAGCTCTTTTGATTTTTGGTATTTGAGCAGCTTCTTTTCCTTTTTAGATAATCTTGGGTTTTCCATATTGAGAAAGCTATATAAAAGATTAGCTCAGTATAATTAAAGAATAATTAAATTTGACTTTATTGATATGACACAAAATAGGAAAGTGAAATACTCTTCTTTATTAGTGTAAAAAAATTTTTATTCTCATACGTTTACGTTTATTAAATTTATAGAGGAGCTTGAAAGAACTATCTCAAAACCTACTCCATTTCGGACGAGGGTGGCACTCGCACCTGTAGTTGGATGACTTGCTTCCCAATGTAGTATGCCAAAAAAATTGCCCGTCAAGGAAAGCTCAAAAGTGTTGAATTTTATGGTCTCGGCCAAAATGAATCCGAAGCCCAGGGCGCAATTTTTAGCTTGACGTTGAGATATAGTCCTAATTTATTAGCCATTGGCTGCTGGCGCTGCTGGGAAACCACTTTCCATCTCTCGGCTCCATTCCATCTGTGGCAAAAACGTTGATCTTGTATAACTTTTTGGTCATCTAAATCTAACATTGGCTCTACCAAATCAAGGAAAAACCTGGCCAATATACGTCCTGAGGGCCAGCTTCCTTCCCGTAGTCCCAAGCATGATACAAGAACGAAACCAGTTCCCTGTGACAAGAGAGTAGGTTTGGTTGCCACGCCATTTAAATGTATCCCTTAATTCTCATATATTTAAATAATTAAAATTTTTAGAATTTAAATAAAATGACAGAGGAAAAACTTTATCTTTATATAAGAAAAATTAAACCAGATCAATAACTTGTTTGGGTTCAAATCCAATGATAGTGCCTTTTTGATATTGTGCATTTCACCATGCACTTTTGGTTGGAAATTTTTTTAAATATGTGTACTATTTAGCCGAAATTTAACGGTTTTTTCGGTCAAGTGTCTCACTATTAAAAATAATTCGTACGAATTTCCCCCTAGGAGATGTCACACTATCCAATTTCCACAGTCATTTGGCATGGATCCGACTTGTTTACTTGTTTTTACTAATTTAATAAAATAATTTCCATATTGATGCATAGAGCAATTCCACGAAATTTCAGACTTTTAGATGAGCTTGAAAGAGGCGAAAAAGGTCTTAGAGACCCCAATATCAGTTATAGCCTTGAAAGAGCTGATGATAATACATTAAGTAACTGAAGAGGCATGATAATCGGCCCATCAGGGAGTGTTCACGAAGATAGATTTTACTCATTGCATTTCCATTGCAGTGAAAACTATCCACAAGAAGCTCCACAAGTAAGATTTCTGACAAAAATAAACATGAATTGTATTAATAAGTGTAATGGCTCAATTGACCCGTCACAATTTCGAATTCTCGGAAATTGGAATTCTTCCTATACAATTGAATCAATACTCATTGAATTATATAAAGAAATGAAAAATATCTGTAATAAGAATCTGCCTCAGCCTCCTGAAGGTGAATTCTTTTAATTTAATTATTTTGTAGCAATCTATCTTAGCTTGATAAGTATGAAGTTTTTTTTCTTTGCTTATAAGGCTTAATATTTGGACATATTTGCATTGTAATTTTAATAAAATTTTATTAAATCTTAATTATTCATGATTGTCTTCATTTTAATGAATAGTATGGCATCATGGTTTCTGTCTTTGCTTTTCGATTCCTTATCCACTATCATCTTGATATGTTGATTTTTAATAGCCTATAATCTTCAAGTGTTCAGATTTTTAAAGCTCCTCTAAGGCGCTTAAATTTTTGAGGTAATCCTTTATTTCTCAAGCGCACCAACTAGATACATCAGGCCTGAAGAATCCTAGTCTCTATCGGATTGAAATGGTTACTCCCTTATAAGAGGAATCCTGTGCTGCCAATCAGAAGCTCTTGCTTTCCTGCCATAGCTGGGATAAATTCATTGTGAGCTAAAATAACAATTAGAATTGGCGAAAGAAAGATTTCCAATCCGAGAGAAAAGAAATTTCTATACGTTATTTTTTTATATTATAAGTTTAGTGAAGAATATGATATCTATTTATTGGGATATATAGTGTTATAATATCTTTCATATTGCAACATCTTGATGAGGTATATTCAGAAGTTCGATCTTTAAATTTTTCAATAAAGTTTAGTATATTTTTAAAGACTGACAGATATAAAACAATTCAAATCCAAGCACTTTGCTATATAATTATTAAGAATAAATACTTTAATTATAAACTTATAAAATTAAAAACATCTTTTAAATAAATTTATCTGCAGTCTGAATAAGCGATTGCTTTCCTAATCAGCATATTTTAATTTATTGCAATCCATATTAAGATATTTAATATAATTTCCACAAAATTCTAAATTCTTGCTTCCTGTCTCTGTTAGCGAAAAAAATTTTACTTGCTCACAGAGGGTAATTTTTTTCTTCGAAAATTAGAAAAAATCTAATTCGCAAATTCCATTATAATAATTATAATTTATATGTCATAACAAAATTTTTTTATTCATTTCAGAGGGTAGTGTTTTACCCAAAAAATAGTGAATTCAAATCATTTTGTTCGCTTGCAGCAGCAGAGTTAATTTCTAATAAAAATGACTACACCTGGGAAGCCTCAACCTGCCTCAGCTCCTCCTCAATTTTTTGTCGACAACAAAAAAAGCGAAGTAAATGAGCTTCGTACACTTCTGAAAGGCATAATGAACGAACGTAACGTCAATAAGCGTCGTGAAGTAATCAAAAAAGTGATTGCATATATGACATTAGGTATAGATGTGTCCAAACTATTCACAGACATGGTCTTGATTTCATCAACGAATGACATTGTGCAGAAAAAAATGATTTATCTATATCTGGTTTCCTACGTAGAAGCTAACCAAGATCAAGCACTAATGGCAATCAATACATTTTCAAAAGACTGCAGAAGAACCAATCCTGATGCCAAAATAAGAGGCCTAGCCTTAAGAACGCTGTGCTCATTAAGATTCCCAGGAGCAGTTGAATATATCCAAGGAGCCATTACAGAAGGGCTGGGAGACCCAGACCCATATGTCAGGCGAACAGCTATCATAGGGCTTATAAAATTGCATCGCCATTCTAAAGATCAAGGAACAGAAAATTCTTTTATAAATACCCTTTACGAACTTATAAGAGATCCAGACCCAACAGTCTCTTCTAATGCAATCATAGCGTTGAATGAAATATTGGAAAATGAAGGAGGAATTGCGATTAATCGAAAAATGTGTATTGGTTTTCCCCTAGATATCCTGTAAGGGCTGTGGATTCTGGGCGGAATCTTTCAGTTGGTCTGACCAACTCACTTATTAGTTCCACCAACCAAAGGATTCTGCCCAAAATTCGCAGCCCTTGCAGGGCTATCTAGGGAAAACCCCTATATTTATTTATTAAATAGGATTCACCAATTCAATGAGTTTGGACAAAGCACAATTTTTGATATCATTGCAAGATATGTGCCTCAGGATGATGAAGAAATGCTGGATATTTTAAATATTTTAGAAGACAAACTAAGACATGCATCAAGCAGTGTTGTGCTAGGCTGCATCAAAGTCTTTATGAACCTCACCAAGGATAACCCAGCGCTGCTAAAACAGGTGTTTTCTAGAGTTCAAGCACCTCTTATCACACTTTTTGTAGGAGGAGAGGTGGCTGAAGCTTATGAATTATCATATTGTGTGCTTGCTCATATAAACTTGATTATATCCAGAGGAGCTGCAGAAGTCTTTGAAAATGACTATAAAAATTTCTTCTGCAAATATGATGAGCCTACATATATCAAATTTTTAAAAATCGACATATTAAAGATGATTGCCACTGAAAATAATTTGAATGACATTGTAAATGAACTTTGTGCTTATGTCACTGACGTCAATATAGAAATGAGTAAACAATCAATCAGAGGCATTGCAACTATCGCTATGAGAATTCAGTCATCAAGCACTGCAGTTATTAGACAACTCATTGGATTTCTAAGCTGCGGAATTGACTATGTTATTACTGAAACATTGGTGAGCATGAAAGATTTATTAAGAAAGTATAGAAATTTAAGCTCAGAAATCATCAACCAGCTTGCAAGCTCTTTAGAAATAGTGAATAATGATGAAGGAAAAGCAGCAATAATATGGATGATTGGTGAGTTTGGAAACGAAATTGAAGACGCTCCTTATATTTTGCAAGGGATTGTTGATAATACTAATCCTAGTGAAAATTTGCAAATAACATATGCGCTATTAACTGCTAGCGTGAAACTCTTTTTGAAGCGTGCGCCTGAAATGCAGAATACATTATCAACTCTTTTTAAGCTGCTTTTTAATGATTGTGACAACCCTGATATTCATGATAGAGCAGGCTTTTATTATAAGCTTCTTCAAAGTGACCCAGATATTGCAGATCAAATAATAAATTGTGATAAGCACCCCATACAAGTTTTCTATGAAGATGATCGCACCCAACTTACAGAAACCTTATGCCAAGAATTCAACCAGTTGAGTGTTATCTACCAGAAACCTTCTAAAGCCATCCTAAAGCCTGCCGCCCAACTAGTTGCTGACGAAGGAGAAGGACATATAATAAACTCCTCAAGCAATCACATGGAGCCACAAGCCACAGACTTATTATCATTAGACTTATTGGACCAAAATTTAGGAGATATAACGTCATCATCTTTTTCGCTTGAAGTAAATCCTTCGATGGAGTCTGATGAGTTTCAGAATTTATGGGCAACTGCAACAGATCAGCAGTTTATTAATGAAAGATTATCTAGACCAGCTGGACTTGATGAGGTAGAAAATAATTTTGCAAGGCTGAACATTTTGTGCATGGCAAGTGGAGAAGATAGTGGGCTTTTGAAATTATATTTTTACGCAAGAGAAGCCAGCAGTGGAAGTCCATTTTTAATTGAGTTGAATGTCTTTAATAGGACTGGAGAGGTGCAGCTAACTGTTCCAGTCATTTGATAGGAACTTTTTTCTTTGTATGACATTTTCTTGGAAATTTCACCGATGAGAACTAGTTTCCAATCATTTCCTCGGATGCAATTTGATCTTATGACATTGCGATCCTAGAGAAAATTTTTGATGAAATTGTATCCGAGGAAATGTCACAAGAGACTAGTCCACATTCATATGCTACTGATCTTGTGTCTTACTATTAAAATCCCTAAAAAATTTTCAGAGGCAGTATAAGGGAAATGTCTCACGCGTAAATTGCATACTCGCAAATGTCTTCTATCAAAAAATTTTAGGTAAATTTTTAGTTGAGCATATCTTTCTAATGGATCCATTCAAATAGCGCAGAGCCCAGCTAACGGCTAAAGCACAGAATGGAAGGTGGATGCAAGACTTTTTAGGAGTTGTTTATCAAGCTCTAATGCCTATAATTAATAGAAGTCAATAGATAGGATAAAAAGAAATATCTGAGGTGGTGTAGAGGTAGCATCTTCGGCTTTCATCCGAAAGACCCAGGTTCGATCCCTGGCCCCAGACTATTTTACAGCTTTTTACTAACTCTGTTTAAAATACTCAACATATTTTTATTTCGAAAACAGAAATTGACTCCCATATTTGATTTAAAGCAGCCTAATAAGTGTGTTTAGTATATTTTTGGCTAACATAGAATCTGACATAGAAGTACTCGTTTTGTAGGCACCATTTTAATCTGAGGTAGTGTAGTGGTTATCATACTCGGCCCACGCCCGAGTAACCCAGGTTCAATCCCTGGCCTCGACTTTTTCTAGTGTTCTTTCTTATTCTTATAAAGTTGAATCATAAAATGATTCTTACAGCTTAATGCCTCTTTTTGATTGAGACTCAATTTCCCGCAATAATTATAAATATATAAAATATTTCATGAGCTTATCTTTGTTTTGATATGATTTAAGCTTAAAAATAGAAAACTTTGTTTTTCATTTTGGCTTCATTTATTTATGCTTTGAAAAATGGTCACGTAGGATTCTTAATGCTTATCAAGCTTTATGACAATCAAAAATAATATGATATTCAAATGCTCTAAAATAATATATGCTAATTTTGCTTGAGATTTTTATCAATTTCATCTTTTAAGCAGAATCTAATAATAAATCAAATCCCACACTTTCATTTACCCAACCAAAAATCCAAACAATCTTAAACTCTCATCTTCTTTTTCTAATTCCGCTTTCCATTTATTTTAAATTATTTTTCACTCAACACTATCTCCACATCTCGCTTTTTCCTTAAAAGCTTCCCAATAACTCTCAAAATTCCTAAAAATCTCTTCACTCTCACATACTCATAAATTTCTAAAAATATGGCACAGAGTGGATGGGAAGAGACGACTGCTCAACAGGAGACACCTGTCGAAGCTCAACAACCAGAAGCTCGCGAATTCGAAGAAGAAGTCAAACTCTTTGGCAAGTGGACTTACTCTGATCTTGAAGTCCGTGACACCTCTCTCACCGACTACATCAGCATTTTCAACTCCAGAGCCAAAACCTTCGTCCCACATACTGCTGGAAGATGGCAGAAAAAGAGATTCCGCAAGGCCGCTTGTCCAATCATTGAAAGACTTGTAAATTCTTTGATGATGCACGGGAGAAACACAGGCAAGAAACTTATGGCTGTTAGGATTGTGAAGCATACTTTAGAAATCATTCACTTGCTCACAGGAGAAAATCCAATCCAAGTCGTTATTAACGCTGTAAGCAACGCTGGACCAAGAGAAGACTCCACAAGAATTGGAACTGGTGGTGTGGCAAGACGTCAAGCTGTTGATGTGTCACCTCTTAGAAGAGTCAACACAGGAATTTACTTGATCTGCGCAGGAGCAAGAGCTTCAGCTTTTAGAAACATCAAAACAATTGCAGAATGCTTGGCTGATGAAATCATGAACGCTGCTAAAGGATCAGCTAATAGCTACGCAATTAAGAAGAAAGACGAAATTGAGAGAATTGCTAAGGGTAATCGTTAACTTAATCAGGTTAAGATTTTATATGGAGGCGTTTATAGAAAGATTCTTAATTAGTTTGTCTTGACTTTATGCCACAGAGAAGAGTTTTAGCTTGCTCCCAATGTGAGACTTCTGCGCTTGTTTTCCTTTCGCTTTGGGCGATATATCTTGTTAAGGTTAACAATAAGTGGAATTCTTCTTCAGAAATGCTTGAGCTTTGTCTTTGGTTTACAAAGTAATTTTGCGCAGTTTTTATGATTTCATCTGACATAGCTACAGCAATTTTTGAGCATCCTTTGATATAATCGGCATGAGTAGTGGTAAAAATCACTGCAGCAGGGCTTGCAGATTCTCTTACAGCTATGAATAAAGGCAGTTTCAATAGAGATCTTCCGCTTGAGATGCTGATGATTTTTTATCTTAACTTAACTTATTAACATGCAGGCTCTCACACTAATTTTAATGAAATAGCCAAGGATCTCCATACCGGAGATTCAACCGCTTTGTGACTGTTGTTTCTTCCACAAGATATGGCAGTGCCTCCTCCTTGCCTTTCGGCTCAGTGTTGAGTAGGCAGTCTTCGGATTTGTGCGGCCTTGCCTGATGCTAGTGTGTGAGGGGGACAGGGTTGTCCACACAAAAATCTCAAAAAATGGAATTTTTAGTCAACCTTCGGCAAAAAGGAAAACAATAGCTAGGACGTAACTCCTGGTTTCACACTGGTGAAATACTCGATTGGTCTAGGCATTTCCCTTGAGCTAAAATCCATCCTTGAAAGCGGACTTGGGGTAGGTTCCGATACATCAAGAATTGCTTACCTAGCATTGCTGTCTATTACAGAGATGGCAAAACCTTGCAGATAAAATTAAAATATGTGCTCGAAGAGGTCGTGATAACCGACAGCGAAGCTCTAAGACGCCATATTTGATTATGATGATTTTTATATCAGTCTGAAACTCTGACTGGTAATATTTGAAATCATAAGATATCTGCTGCCTCTCGATAAGATGTGCTAATGTTTGTAAGTTCTTTATTCCTTGCTCATTTAGCTGTCCAGATGAGAGTTGGGTTTCATCTAATATTAGCAATGAATTATCAGGAATTTGCAAGGGGGAAGCTTCAAGCTCATCATTTTCGTAGTTTTTGGTTGGGGTAAAGTTCTGAGTTGATAGAGAATTTATTGTAAGAGGCAAGGAAACTGTCCGAATTAATGATGATATGGAAGAAATAAATATTTGAGGATCTGAGAGGTTGATAAGGTTTATAGGAAGTATCCCAACCATTGATCGCCGCTCTTGAACTTTTGATAAAAGATTGTACAAGACAAGTTCGGCTGCTAATAAGTCTCCACCTAAACTCTGAGAAATTCCTGACAAAACTTCAGATCTTCCATCAGGTATTTCTATAACTTCAGGCTCATTAATGAGTTTTATCATATGGAATTCTCCTTCAATGAAAATTCCAAAGCCGTCAATAATTGTGTTTAATTTTATGGTTTCTCCAGATTCATCATATAAAAAGACCCTAGGAACTTCTCCACAATTTCTCTCGCCAGGGACTGAAATTACTTTTATTGGATATCTCTGTATTATAATTGAATCTATTAGAGAAGATGACTCTTTTGGGACTCTACCAAATTTAGTGGAGTAAATCTTGTCTTCTTCTATAAAGAAGCCAACCAACATTTCTGGCTCTGATTGGTTTTGGACCATACCTCGTAGACGGCAATAGGAAATCTCTGATGTTTCATGCCAAAAAGTTTGTGTGTCTGGAAGATTTATTGTTGGATGCCAAGATTTTAAAGCTTCGCAAGACTATATAAAAGATACATTTAAGTTCAGAGGAAGTGAGAGTTGGCTGTCCCTTATAAAAGCCCAAAGAGATTCCGCTATTGCGTCCAAGACTTCCATATATTAATGCTATTTGAATAGGATATTGAGAGTTTTGGTTTGTTTTCAAAGTTCACTAAAGTATAAGGTTTTATGGTTTAAATTACTCATTTATGAATGGAGATTTACATTTCCTTTAGAAGTTCTGAAATTCATGGGTGTCAGTATATGGAGACAGTTTGAGCCTTTTTCTAGTTATAGGCTTTACATTTCTTTAACAATATATATATTTTGGGGGAAATTTTACGGATCATAATGACTTTCTTTTATTATAGATTTTCAAAATCTGAATATAGAATTTTCTCAGTGGCCAAATCAAGGGCAAACAGCGCCATCTATGGGAAAAATTCTATATTATTTTATAAAATTTAGAAACCTCAAAAAACATTTTTGCTAATATATAAGAGGCAAGAATAAAATTAGCAAGAAATCTTCATCAATATTTTCTTATAAGCCTCTTTTAGGGACTTCAAACTCATTTAACTGTAAAATAATTTTTAATTAAAAAATTATATTTTTTATTGATTGTTCAATTTTTGTATTTTCGTTATATTTTATTTCTTTAATTTTCTTATTAAACCCCCATATTGATTAAATGGAAACTATTCATTCTTCTAGCTCAAAACAACCTTCTCAAGATTTAAAAACCCAATACCAATACTCTGATGATGGAAAAGTTTTAAATATCAATGAAATCAACTCTAATCCTCAAACTAGCTATAAATTCATTAAATCTAAATATTTATCAGTACCTGTAAGAGTAAAATTAAAACAAACTGAAGAGCTTGATAAATCAGTTGAAGAAACCAAATTTGAAAGCCTAGAAGATAAGTTTCCTCGTAAAAGGCTAAGAAAGCATAAATTTTCGAATAAAAAGCCAAAAAATGATGATTCACAAATTCTGAAAAACAGAAAAAACTCTCAAAGCAATGAATGCTCCTCTGAAAGCGAGTCTTCTTTCGACTCAGAGAGCTCTCAATCTTTGTTTGCTACAGAATCTTCCAGTGAATCTCAAGAAGAAGTTATTGAAAAAGACACATATTGCGCTCTTGAAAAAAACCATGAAAACATTATTATGCTAATTGATGAGCTCCATACAAACCCAAGCAAGGGGGCAAAAATTTTAAATGCATTTGATAGCATTTTTGATCCATTTGACCAAGAATCGATGAAAATAATTTCGGATACAAATCTGATCAAAATCTTGAAATCCTATGGATGAAAAGGTGATCTTTATGAGATTGCTCAAAAATTGATTAAAAAATGAAAAAACAGCAAATATTTATTGCTGTACCCAGGAGAAGATTGAGAAAGAATACATGAAAGTTTAGGCAAAAACTTTGTGAATAATGCAGCAAAGCAGGTTTCAGCTGATCTTAGAAGAATTGCTGATAATTTTCCAGAAAAATTAAATAAAACATTGATAAAATGAATGAGTCCTTTAATAGAAGTTGTTCAAAAAATTGCTGCAGGAAGCGAAGGAGAAATAAAAATTAAGGCGCAGAGTATTATGAAAGTTTGGAATCAGAAAAAGGAAGAAATTTTAAAAAAAGTCCCAGAAAAGTCTTTAAGAGAACAGATGGATGAAAAATTAAATCAATATAAAAGCCTTAATAAGCCTATTGTAGAAGAAAAAGAAATTGATAAAAAAGCCATTAATGTTGATCTAAATGCAGTTGTAATTAAAAGGAGAAGGAGAACAGTAAAGCCTAAGCCTAATAAATAGTGGTAATAACGTAATCAAAATATAATCAATTATATTTTATTCTAGAGATTCTGGTAAAAACTCAAGCTTTATTTATATTTACTCCCACTCAATACCAAGAAAGACTATTTTTTATTAAGCTATCATATTTTACTTATTGATCCAAGCTAATATAGGCTAATTTTTGAAATTTTCTTACTTCGCTTACTTTCAATTTAGCCCATCAAAGATGAAAATATTGAATCCAAAGATTATTTCAAAGGGAGGCTACTAATTTCTGTATCAAAAAAGAAGAAAAAAAACTGCTCAAGCTAATTTATTAAGGCTAGCTATAGGTTTATTTATAGATATAGTAATAATTAATTATTTCTTATTATTTTTCCTAATATATTAGCTGGACTTTCCTAAGTAATATTGTGAAGATAACTCATTAGAAATAAACTATTTTACTCTTTTTTAATCTATTAAGCAAATAATTTATTTTATTTTCACATATTCAATATTCATGCTAAAAAAATCTTCAAAAATTAGAGTTAAGTTCTCTCGATTCTTGCAATATTTTATTTTAGAAGATTTTCTAATGATATTAATTCCTGAATTTTATTTAATCCCAAAATCTTATTCTCTATATTGAAGAATGTCCAACTTCCCTAAAAATTATTTTATAATACAGTCTTATAAGATTAAGGTTATTTAAAGCTGTTAAGAAAATCATCAGGATTAAGATCATCGTTTTGTAATAAACCATCGCAGAATCTCTCGATTTTTTCTATTTCAGGATCATGCTTTTCTTCTCTGATAGTATTGTTAAAAGCTACTGCTTTATCAGATTTTTCGATTTTTATTATTTTCCTTGGTTCTTGTGGATGTTTTATAGGATTCTCCTTCTTAGCCTTTTTAATTAGCTTTGAATTTTTGTGTGTCTTATCGTTGTCTTCGCTAGAGTCTTCTTTAATCTTTAAAATTTCTTTTCCCTTCCTTTCTGCATATGGTATTGCACTTAGTAATATCACATCAACATAATAGTTGTAGCTCAACGTTCCGTAATCAATTTCTGCACCTTTAAACTTTTTTAAGTAGTTAAATTTACTGTTAATTTCTTTAAGCTCAATATCAAATTTATCTTCATATTGCTGATGCCATTGCTTAAAATTTTTTTGAAAGCCATCAATTTTTGCCATTAAATAAACTTTGATTGGTTTAATGCTATTCCCATTTAAATATAATTTCGCCTTATAGGCCGAAAATAATAAAACCTGTTCAGAGAAAGTATCAAACTTTTTCCAAACTATATTTTCTAAATAAATTGCCCAGAGCGCTATTTCGATCTCACTCATCATAAGCTCATCGATTATTCCCGACAAGTTAACGTAAAGCGGTTTTATTTGGAAGTCTCGAGAGATGCTTTCGCTCATCATGATTCGCCTGAGCATTCTTTCTGTGAGCTCTGGTCTTCCAATAAGTTTAAATTGGTGATTCATTGAGTTGTAGATCTTAAATAAGCCAGCAATTTTGCTATCTTTCAAAGAGTTATTCATTCTATTTGAGTTTTCAAAAAAATCTGAGAGCGGGTGACAAACCGTTGAAAATTCCGCTTGATTCATTGTTAAATATACTTAATGAACTAATTTATTAATGATTTAAAAATGGTCATTAAGCGCATTTAATTTGGAATTAATTAGACATTATGTTTTTAGACGTAATTTTATTGAAATTGAAGTATTTTATATATTAAAATACAAATAGCTTTAAGAATTAGCGTTTTATATACGACAGTGACTCGTGGATTGATCTAAAAAATAATTAAAGCTGCTATAAGTTAAAGAAATGTGGCTAAAAAATTATAGCAGGATATTTAAAGATTAGATATAGCCTAGTTGATTATGCCTTATATTGAACATTTCAATTAAAATTAAAATAAATGTAAAAAAAACCAAAAATAATCTTATAAATTCTTATGTAATTTTTTGTCTAGTTTAGAATAAAATCTTGGATTTATTCATTTATTAACTCAAAATCGCTTTAAAACTCTTCTAGCTTGCTTTAGATATTAATAGTTTGAATATGATAAGTTTAGAGATACTGCCTACAGTATAGAACAATGGCTGATAAAATCCAAAATTTTTGTAATTAATTTATTTAACGTTAAAAATAAGCTTTAGACAAACTATAATCATATTCTTAGCTTATTTTCTTATTTCATGAATTTATCTAGCATAATTTTTGATGCAGCAAATAAATTCTCCAAAATATATTATTATAATTATTTAAAGTTTTTACTATTAAATTTGCACATTTTATTTTAAAAAAATTGACAAAGTATTTAATAAAGAATGATTATTTTACTTAATATTTGGTAAAACACTTCAGGATTCAGGGCATTGTAATCTATCAAACCATCACTAATTTATATGCAGGATCTATATTGTTTATGGATTATTTTCAATCTTTATTTCTTTTTACTTAGCTTTAGTTTTCTTTCAATAATTCTATTTTTTGTTTTGTTTTTTAGCAATTTTATCTTTATTTTTTCTGCAAATTTTAGCATAGCTACTTGATCAACTCTATCTGTATATAATATCGAAGACAATAAAATAGACCAATGCAATAATTATAATTTAAAAAAAATAAAGCTCTCACTTCTTTGACTACTTTCAACATATTCAATTTCTCGATTTTAAATCTAGCTTAAATCCATCCATCTTAATATTTTAGAACTCATTGGAAATGCAACTCGTTGAGTAGACTTGCTATTTTACATTTTATATCATACTCAAATTTTAAATAAACTTTCATGTATTTTAAATTAATTTAATCATTGCTTCACTTCAATTTTTTATAATCATGATGAATAGCATTAAGCTTGGCAAAATAAAGTAAATTAATCTAAAAATTAGCTTTCACAATTACTATAAAAGGGCTCTGTTAATAATATTTCCATGTTTATATTCATATAAAATGATCAATTCATAAGCAATTTGGAAAATAAAGAATCGAAGTGAGAGAAAGCACAGAAGTGCTGGCTTAAGTTAGTTCCTTTAAGTGACTAATCAAATATATTAAAAATTCTAAGGAATATTCTTTCAAGCATATCAAAACTTGAATACTTTAAATAATTAAGAAAATGATTGGATACCTCATTAAAGATAAATTTGAGATTGCAAATTTTCTAATATAAAAAATACTCTAGAAGAGTGCAATAAAACTATAAAACCAGCTAAAAAGAGTATAAAAAGGCCATAGGTTTCAAAAATGATGAGTTAGCAACGACAAGGACTCTATTTTAACATTAATAAACGAGAATACAGAGAGCTAAAATACTGGAGGAAAAAGAGTAAGCTCAAATCAGAAAGTGAAGCCCCATGATTAATAATAAAATAATTAGCATGTCTTGAGAGCTAATCAAAAATAATGAAGCTGTAAAAACCCAAAAGATCGTTAAAGAATTAAGAGACAAGAGATCTGAAGTTTTAAATAAGCCAATTGACCCAGAATTAGAGAAAGACTTTAGAAGAATCTGCACAATCTACGGAAAAGATGCCTGCATTTATGATCCACTTCTTCAGCAAGCTTATCAAGATTATGTTAATGCTTATCACAAAAAAGCATCTCTTTATACTATTGTAGATGATAATTACAGGACTAATTTGATTATTTATGATACAGAAAATCAAACTGAAGAATTAAAGATTATAGAGACTCCTGAGCCGCTAAACCTATTCACATGCATTGCTCAACTGCCGAATGGTAATTTATTTTGTTTTGGCAATGGCTCTTGCTCTGGGATTTCATTAATAATCGATGAGAATTCTAGAGTTCGGCAGCTGCCATCTGGAACTCAATGCTATAGTTCATCAACTATCTATTTCGATCATAATATTTACTGCTTTGGAGGATATAATGAATGTGGTGAAGCTTTAACTCTATCAGAGAGATTTGATTTGAATGAAAACCGATGAATCAAATTAAGCCCACTTCCGCAACATGATTACTGATGTCATAGTATAATATTTAATAGGAATATTTTGATTTCTGGATGGAATAATAAAAATGTTTTGATATATTCAATTGATATTGAGTCTTTCTCCACAATTCCTTATGACTTTGAAGCATATAAAATAAAAATCCTAATTAATTCAGAGAGAATGTATTTAACTGAAATAAATGGATCAGTCTATGAAAGCGAAGTTTCAAATGAGTTTGTCTGGAGACGAATATCAAAATCAATAATAAATTTTAGTCTTTATCAAGTTTATCTGACATACAACAAAGGAGAAATAAACATTGCGGGTATTAGTGGCGATACCAAAATTTGTCGTTACAAGTTTAATTTGAACCAAAAGTCATTTATTGAGCTGCCTTAATTAAGTGGTTTAATAAATAAGTCTCATTAAATCTCTTGAGCTACTAATCATAAAAAATTAAATAGGTACATTTATGAGGAATCAGTTTTATATTAGAGATAATGATTTATTAAATAACCTAAATTTTCAATGAAAAATATATGATTCAAGATATAAATTGCAATTCGCTTTTATACACAGTGACATACTTGATTTAATCGAAAATATTTTTATTAAGCATTGAAATGTGGAGAAAAAAGGAAATTTCTTCTATAAAGAGCTCTGTTTAGTGCGAATTTGTACTGTGAATACAGTTTCACATTTTCAGGACCTACAAAAATGCATTTTTTGGTGAAATTTTTATAATATTTTGATATTGGTTAATAAATAATATTTTTCAAAAAATCACTTCTTCTTTTAATTAACAAACATTTCGAGAATTATAATTCAAATTATAATAATCAAATTTTTTTCTATTAAGAAAATCAGCAATATTATATCAGCTAATAGCTATGTCTTGTATTATTTCTTTATTCTAGTAGTTTATCAAGCACAATTTTAATGGAACAAATAAATTCTGTAAAAATTTAGTCTCAGATATTTTTGAGTCCAGCATTAAAATTGATCAAACGGATAATTACAAAGAAAATTCAAAGCATAAAAATAAGAAAAATCGAATAAAGAATGAATTAATCTTAATAGCTTTAATTATATAATCCTAATAATTTATTTAAAATCATCAGGGTTCAGGTCATTGTAATCTATCAAACCATCACAGAACTTTTCAATTTTTGCTATATCAGGATCATTTTCTGTATAATTTATGCTGCTTATAGAATCTTTTTCAATTTTCTTCTTTTTCATATTTATCTTTTCAGTTTGTATTTTCATTGGTGTTTGCCTTTTAGTTTTTTTATCCATAAGTTCTTCGTTTTTTCTTCTTTCAACAGGCTTTAATATAGCTCTTTGCTCTCCTCTATCTGCATAAGGAACTGCCTTCAATAAAATCACGTCAACATAATAGTTATAATCTAGCGAGCAATAATCGCTTTCAGCATCTTTGACTATTTTTAGCATATTCAATTTTTCATTAATCATTCTTAAATTTACTTTAAATCCATCCTCATATTTTATGAGCCAAGATTTAAAATTTTCTTCAAAATTCCCTATCTTTGCCTTGAGATACATAAGATACGGCTCAACGCTATTTCCGTTGAAATACTGTTTTGCCTTGTATGCTGAAAATAAAAGAAGCTGCTCTGTGTAAGTATCAAGGTTTTTCCATACTAAATTTTCTAAGTAAATTGCTCACAGAGCAATCTCTAATTCAGTTAGCATAAGCTCATCAATAATTCCTGATAAGTTAATATATAAAGGTCTTGCTTGAAAGTCCTTTGGAATATAATCACATTTTGTGATACGCCGAATCATTCGCTCTGTTAATTCTGACCTTCCTAGCACCTTAAATTGGTGGTTCAATGCATAGTAGATTTTTAAAGAATTTATTGTGTCTTCTTCAGGATGAGTTTCTTGAGCTGCAATTGAGTTTTTAAGTGGCGTTAATAAAAGATTATTATAATTTGAGAGGCTGCTGTAGCTCATTTCTTTTATCTTGATCTTTTATTTTTATAATCTGGTTATAACTATTCAAAATGGTAAAATAATGGAATTATCAGGATTTAAAAGCAAATAAAAATTAAGTGATTAACAGATATTTAGATAAAAAATTACTTTTAAATAAGTAAATATTTGTAACTTCCTGCTAGAACCACGAATTAAAATTTGTATAGAATAATTCATTAGTTTAAGCAACAAAAGTGTCCTTTTGATAAGGCAGATCGAAGTCTAATTGCTAAGAATTACTTTAATAATTTATAACTTTGAAATGCTTGCTTTTCTTCTAATGATTATATAATAGTCTCTTTTGGCTCTTTATTAAATACCTATTTGTTCCATTTTATTAGCAATGCATATTTCATCAATATTCAAATTTTACTGTGATCAATTGAGATTATCGCTTATTGTTCATAACAATCAAAACGCTCTTCTAATATCTTATCTTAATTTTATTCTATATTAAATCTTGACGTAATGCGAACATGAAGAATTTTGTAGTAATTCTTATTTAAAAATAAAACTTAGCATTTATTGATCAAATATTATCAATCGATTTTTAAGTCAAGAATTATTAATATTTTAATGAAAATTTTGAAATTCATATTCAGGAAAATTATACAGCTATTTTATAAAATTAATTATTTGCATTTTATCCATCTATCAAAAATTAAGATATCATTCTAATTTAATACTGACATAATTCTTTTCAAAAATAGCTTAATCAAATATTTTTTTAATAATAAGTAATTGAATTCTTCTTAGTTATTTTTTGAAACTTTGTTAAGCATAAAATGCAGATTGCTAATTTTTTTAAGATTTAAAATAAAATATATCATTATGATGCATTTTTACATACTTAAAAATTAGATAATAAAATCCAAAAAAATTAATTTAATTCTTCTAAAATTATTTGACTATAGCTTCCATATACCGCCCGATAAAATCTAAATTTTAAGAAATAAATTTGAAATTAATTAAATTCTTCTTAATAAAACCTTGGAATCATACTTGAACATAATAAAATTAATTTATTGTAAAAACTCCATAATAATTAATCTCACTCTTATGTAATTCTCAATATTTATAATTTTTTGATATTTAATCATGATTGTATTAAATTCCTTGATTTAACACTTTTATTTCTTCCTCCTTTGATTTTGAACAATAAAACTTCTTTTTCTTCTTTTATTTGCTTTATAACTTCAAGAACAAAAACCTGGCCTTCAATTTCAAAATAATATTTTTCTTCATATTGATTTGGTTCTATATCTTGTTGAATTTTATGCCTTTTCGAGGACATGGAACTTGCTAAGTATTCTTTTATTTTATATCTCGCATACTCATTCTCATTGAGATAAGCTATAAGATTAGGAAAAGTTGTTAGACTTGAAGTAAGAATCAGCTCTTTATAGGCATCGCCTATACAGTTTATATTGATATTATCTGGAAAACTTTCATCAATATAGGCAGTATTTGCAAGCTTTTTGAATTTATCATTTATTTCATTAGATGTGTAAACCAAGATCTTTTTATTTGCTAAAGCCCATCTTAAATATTTATTTTTGAATTCAGGTCTTTTCTGTGCCAAAAATGGAAAATATGGCTGTATATCATCAACTAACTCTGATTTTGCTTTAAAAACCGAAAATATAAGTAACTCTTCTTCAATTTTATTTAATTTTCTAAATGGCAATTTTTCTAAATAAAGTGCCCAGAGCGCTAATTCAAACGCATTTATCATTAAATCTTTTACTATTCTGTTAAATTCGCTTTGTATACAATGGCTTTCGGATCTTGAAGAAGCAATTATTTTTCGTAATATCTGATTTATCATTCGCTCTAAAACCTGAGTCCTTCCATTAATTTCTATTAATGACGCTTTAGATTTTTTAAACTAGCTTTTAGTTGGAAACTCGAAATTAGTGAGTTCTGTAGGGCCTTTGCGAGTAAAATTATTTAGAAATTATAGACATCCACATTATGCAAAGCGCTCAATCATTTCTATGATAATTCAAAAAAATATCGGCTTCCTACAATAAATTCACAAAAATAATTGACTGGAAGACAAAGATTGAAGTGAGTGAATTTCTAGAAGTCCTACAGTACTACTGAAAGTAGAATATCCATGCTATTAAGAGTCTACATTATGCAAAGCGCTCAGTCATTTCTTTGAAGATTTCCATTGTTGTATTTATACTAATCTATTTTATAAGCGATTTAGATTTGATAGGTTCTGACTTATGTTAACTGCTTCGTGATTTCATAATGACTACAGATAAAAGTTCATGAGCCTATTATGTATCGCTCAAGCTGGGATTGGACTCTGAAGTCTAATAGCACAAAATCTAATACGCTATGCACTATGCATAATGCAGAACACAAGACTTATCGAAAATTCTAGAAGCTCTTGGAATTTCCCTCATTATCTTCAAGTGACTTATTTTTATGAATTTATTGTAGAATCCGATATATTGAAATCGTCATAGAAATAACAGAGCATTTTCTGTAATTTAAAGACACAAGAGTTAGTAGTATTTATAATCTCGAGATTTTTGAAGCAATTCAAGCAATTTCACTCACTTCAAATTCCAAATCGCTTATAAATTAGATTATTATAGAAATTAACTAAGCACTTGCATAATGTATATCTATGAGCTATCGGTATTTCTATTTTTAGTAGCCTGCAGCACTTTAGCAATTTTACTCACTTCTTCAAAGCTACTCATAAACTAGATTATTTATGTGAATATAAAGATGGAAATCTTATTAGGAGATTCTTAAAATAGAATACCCTTTTATATATGACAACTGAAATTGATATTATTTTCATGCTTGAAACTGCATTCTACAGAAAACAGTAAAAAATAAGTAAGATATTTATCTATGCCAGTCTAAAGGGTATCTTAATTTAAAAATTAAAAATATATGCGCTTGCTTGCTAACTTGGTTCACACTTAAACCATTTTTTGGCATTATAATCCTTCATGACCATGAGATCCAGCTCGTCGATTAATAGAGTCCATCAAGATCCATCCTCCGTCTAATTTAGCTTGCTTGATAGAGAAATTCATTTAGGGGTATGGGCTATAATTTTGTATTGAGAATTCAACTTTTCATAAGTAGATTCTTTCTTTTGGTGTTCAAATCTCTTGAATTTTATCTTTGTTTGAAGAAACCATTTTAATTCAGTATATTTTTATAATCAGCATTTTTTTCTGATATCATTTTGGAAATGAACATATTTTCCAAGACTAATATGAACCTAATAATCAAATATAAATTAAATCTGCTTTTTAACTTTAAATATGATCTTTAAACAATTAGAGGTATTATCTTATAAATTATAAATTGAAATAAGTTTAAACCATGATAATTTCTTCTATCATATTATGAAGCCTTATAAAATGATTTTCTAATAATCGTAAATTTTATTCAGGTTTGCTATAGCATAGAAGCTCCTATAAGACTTTTCATAATTTCTAAAGTAAAGTATACTACTAGAATTTATAAACCATACAAGCTAGCTTGAAATTTACGAATAATATAATTATTCGCTTACTCTGCCCTCCGTTAGCAAACAAAACCATAGAAAAAATTCCTAATTTTTTGCCCAAAAAACTCACCCTCCACAGCGAATAAAAATGTTTTATAAAAAAATATAAGTGATAATTATTTATAATGAAATCTCTAGCTGATTCTGCTTAATTTTTAACACTTGCATTTTAAAACATAAATTTTGTAAATTAAATTAATTTTACGAATTGGAATTTTTTCAAATTTTGAAAATTTATATATGAATTTTAAAAAAAAATTAACTGCCTGTGAGCACACAAATTTATTTGTCGCTCACGGAGGGGAGTTAGTATATGATTGGAACTAGAAGGCTTTAATAATTTATATAATATTAAAAATCTCTTTATTTAAATTATATTTTCTTGAGAATATAATTTAAAAGTTATCCTTTTTCGATACAGAATGATCCCAATCTAAATGTGAGTTTCTATAAAGCAACTCAGAATCATTGTCTTCACTTGAAGATGTGCTCCCTTCAATGCTTGACGATCTTCTGAAGCTAGTTAAATCTACTGATTCTTCAATTTCATCATTGATTTTTATGTATTTTTTAGCTGAGCATGATTGGAAATCAAAACCGCTTCTATTTTCGATATCTTCATTGGATTCTGCTTCATCTTCGAAATTAAACTCAGGAGGTCTCATAATATACTCTGAGAAAAATGCGAAATTTATAGCTTCTAGTTCTTTGTCCAGATCGGCTATTGCTGTAAGCTCTTTGAATTTATTATTCATATCTGATATACTAGCAGCAAAGATATTTTTATTTTTTTGAGTTCATTTCTGGTATCTTAGTTTAAAATTTGGGTATTTTTGAGATAAGTGTGTGAAATATGGTTCTGCATTATCGAGCTCTAGTTTTGCTTTAAATGCTGCAAACCTTAAAATGTCTTCATTGCAATTTTTTGCCCTCTTTCATGATATATTTTCTAAGTAAATAGTCCATAAGGCAAATTCGAGTTCATCAAACATGAATTCGTCTATTATTTTGCTTATTATCAAATGAAGAGGCCTATTAATTCCTGCAGGAACAACCTTCTTTATTAGCAATCTTAGTATCATTCTATTGAGTAGCTCGTTGTTTTTATTTGTCTTAAATTCAGTATTTAATTCTTTGTATTGCTCTATAGATATATTGGATAATACTTGAGTGCTTATTGAGTTAAATGATAAGAGCTCTGAGCTTGATTCTTCGATTCTCATATATTAGAAAATTATTGCAGAATTTTTCCTTATTCAATATGGCTTTAATCTGCATGCAGTCTTTTCTTAGTGGGACAAAATAAGGCTCCAATAATTAAGTATAATACAGAAAGGATATATTATATGAACAAAATTAATATAGAGGACTAGAAAGAAATTAGTAGAGGCGCTATTAATTAATTCATAATAGTTTATTTGAGCCGAACCCTCTTTAGAGAAGCTAAATTAGTGATAATTTTAAGATGCCATAGTAATCATGCTTCTTGAACATTGGATATGAAATAAGCAACGAGGAGATAGTCTTTAAACTGGAGAGTAAAGCTAGGTTATTACTTTAACTACTCCAAGTCTAAAATCTGCTATTAAAAATGTTTTCAAAATTGAAGAAATAATAGTAGCAATAAATTTTAAATTTAAATATTTTATATTAAAAGAATGATGACTATAAACACAAGAATCTTTAGTAAACTGCAAAGATATTCATTCACTATTCAAAAATTAAAGCTAATTTTTATGCTATAAACATGGAACCTCAGCCAAGGGTAGAAAGCGAGCAAAGTGATTATCAAAACTCAGAAGAGACTAACTCCCTCCGTGAGCGAACAAAAAATTTTTGTTGCTCAAGAAGGGGTTAATTTTGTTTTAAATGTATATTTGAATTTTATAGTAAATTATTTAGGAGCCCAAATTGGAAAGCAAATATTATTAAATTTACAAAATTTATCAAGTTGTTTAAAATTAAACAGAATTAACTATAGATTTCATTAAACTAATTATCACTTACATATCACAATATTTTTTCATAAAAAATGTTTGTTTCTCTCACTTAGAGCAAAAAATAGGGATTTTTCCAATGGTTTTTTCGCTCACAGAGAGGAGTAAAGAAATCAAAGCAGCTCGCTCACTCGAACTTGAACAGTCATTAAGGAATTTTTCTGGATCAACTCGATTCGGACAAACAGAAATCGGAAAACCAAAAGTTGGCTTTCCCTCCTACAAAGTAGTAGTCCCGCTTTCTCTCTCCACAAGTTTGGTATTTGATTTATTCAAAAATGCCTGCAATAAGCATAAATTCCAAATTTCAGAGCAAACTCAGTCATCAATTACAGCTGAGCAGCAACCATCATCATCAATAAGAAATTTGTTTTCTTGTATAGTTCCTATAAGTGAAGAAAGAAAGTCTCGAAACACCTCAGAAGTAAAATTACTTATAGCAGTCAATGAAAGAGCTTGTACACGAGTTGTTATAGCTAAAGGAAGCTCTGGTGTACCTAACAAAATTCTCCCAATAATTCAAACATTTAGAGATGCTTTAGAAAAAGCAATAATGAAGGAGCAGCCTTCACCATTAGAAAGGAGCAGCAGAATGCCGAGTGAATGAGAAGAAATTGAGCCAGTTTTGACGAGCAAATTAGAAAGCAGCTCTTACTACCAATTTTCAAAAGTTTTGAGCAGCCAGCAATATGGAGTTGGAAAATTAGTAGCAGAATTTATTGAAAAATTCAATGATGACTATGAAGACTTGGTAGAAGGCGCTGCCTTAGTTCCAAAACCTTTAGAAGACGTAAAAAAAATCATTGAAGAAACCGTTGAAGCCTTATTTACACATTTCAATCTAAGCAACACTTCAAGTCAAAAAGTCATGCAATTCTGCCGGCCTGCAGTTGAGCGATATATATATTCTAAACTCATCAAGCAATTACTATCAATGTACGGGCTAAAATACCAGTCCATAAATCAGCGTTTCCAAGATCGTAGAGATTTTTTCCATACAAAGATTTCACAAGAATTAATGCAAAGTTTAGAAGTACATTCTATTTAGCTTAAACAAAAATACCGGTTAAATTCGAGTGAGCCGCCTTATATCCAAGCTATCGAAACTTTAAATTCGATAGGGATCCAGCATACTCCATTAGGGAAAATTAACTGTTTATTGCAAACAGCAACTCTGATGAAAACGGCAGTCGTTGATTACTGGAAAGGTAAAGAAGAGTTGGAAACAATGGATGATCAATTGCCTGTGATCATTTATATCGTTTCACAGACAACTGTTCAAGATTTACCATCAGATTTAAATTTCTTACAAGATTATATACATTTAGGATTTGGGTTTGACAATGAGCAGCGACTATTAATTAATTTTGATGGCGCTGTAAAATATATTGCCGATGAATGGAATTTCTAGATATTTGTAACTCCCCCCCCTCCGTGAGTGAACAAAAAAATTTTGTTCACTCACGGAGGGGGTTAATTTTTTTTTTTAAAAAAATTTATATATAAATTTTATAAAAAATATTTTTTTCGAAATTTAAAAAAATCCTAATTCGCAAAAATTGGAAAGCAAACATTAATTCAATTTGCAAAATTTATGTTTTTAAAAAGCAATTCGTTTAAAAATAAACAGAATTAGCTCTAGATTTCATTATAATAATAATTATCATTTATATATCAAATTTTTTTTCCATAAAAAAATGTTTTCTATTAAAAAAATTTTTTGTTCACTCACAGAGGGTGGGTTTTTGGGCAAAAAATAGCGATTTTTCTAATGGTTTTGTTCACTCACGGAGGGGGGAGTAAGTAATAAAATCTTATTTATTTTTCTTTTCAATAATCAAAAATATCAGTCTGCATCCATTTTGGCTTTGTCCTTCAATAGCACTGGATAAAATTATGCCTTTCTATTTCACATTTGCTCCCATCTTCTAACTCCCCCCCCCCCCTCCGTGAGCGAACAAAAAAATTTTTGTTCGCTCACGGAGGGGGGTTAATTTTTTTTTTTAAAAACAATTTATATATAAATTTTATAAAAAATATTTTTTTCGAAATTTAAAAAAATCCTAATTTGCAAAAATTGGGAAGCAAATATTAATTTAATTTGCAAAATTTATGTTTTAAAACGCAATTTGTTTAAAATTAAACAGAATTAGCTCTAGATTTCATTATACTAATTATCACTTATATATCAAAATTTTTTTCCATTAAAATTTTTTCTATTAAAAAAATTTTTGTTCACTCACGGAGGGTGGGTTTTTGGTCAAAAAATGGCGATTTTTCTAATGGTTTTGTTCGCTCACGGAGGGGGGGGGGGGAGTAAGCAGTTTTCAAAGATATTAATTTCGTTTTCGCAAAGCCTGTTTAGGTCATCTATCCACTCATCAGTCGCATTTATGCATTTTTCCATGTCATTTGTGATTTCTTTGCATTCATTTTCATAGACTCCTTGACATTTATTTGCCTTTTGAAGCTTGGAACAGAATTTCTCCTCATCTAGAGTATATCCATATCCTAAGCTGCCTTCTCTAGCTTCTTTGGGAAGGTGAAAATTCATCCCAGCTAAGAAAAACAGCATTTAATTTATAAGAAATGTTAAAATTTTACATTAATAAGCAAGATTCATGTCTTCTGGATCTTCTAAATGAATTATTAAAGGATGGAAAACTTATAGGAAGCTGTGAGCTCAAATCGCGAAGGATTGAATATATTTGATCTTTGTTTGCGCCGATTCTGGGGTATGGGACAAGCATGTAAACGTAGTAATTTATTCAATTTTCGATATCTTGGATAATAGACGCAATTTTATTTGGAGGAATGACAGGATAGGACCTCGAATCTATCGAAAAATTTGAAAATTTGACTTGAATAGAAATATTTTCCCCTTTCAGCTTAATGAGTGGCCGAATTTCTCTTATAGGATCACATGGGAAATATATATGCAAATTGTACCCATTATAAGTGAAATACACGACATAGCTAGAAGTTATTCCGATCCCTACTGTATCTTTTGTGCCAAATCTTGGCCCATAGGCTATACTTTTGTCATTGTGAAGTATATTTCCTGTATTTCCATGGTATTCTATTCCAGTCCCATCAATCCCTATTTTTATATCTTCGCTCCAGCCTGCTGATTTTATTTCAATTTCATAATAAAAAATTGTTATATTTTACAAAATTAGCTTCCCCTTCATGAAAATATTAAAATAGAGACCACAGTCTTAGAATTTTCTCATATATATAAGCTACATTTAATTTAGCACAGTATATCGGATTAATATCATCATTATAGATAATAATTTCTGTAGTGCTCGTTATATTAATTTCCTCTGACACGTCATCGCTTGAAAAATTGTATTTATTTTGAGTCCCATGTGAAGCGAAAAGCATTAAGATTAAGATTAAGATTACGATAACTCTTTGTAGACCCCCACTTAGCTTAGGATCAATCTAAACAAGCTCTTCCTTCATGAATTCCATCCACTAGCTAACAGCTCTGAACAACGGTAGGTGGAATCGGTCTAACCGTCGAACCGTTACAGTTGCCTATGGCCTGGAAGAGTCTCTCTTCATGTCTTGAATGTGATTCAAGCACACTTGTGGCTGCCGGAGCAGTCCCAACCCTGATTTTCCTTCAGAAAGGTTGAACTTCCCTCACAAGGACAAGTATAGGGGACGAGACCCCTAACTCATACATTCCATATTTAATTGTGCGAAAAGCATTAAATTTGTGTATTCTTTAAGCTCACATAATACAGAAGGGTAAATGATATGGTCATGACTATTAGAACAGCTGCACATTGATTTAGATGGCTGAGGGTATAAAATATATTTCATTATGTGGTTTTTATATGTAGAGGCATGAAACCTTGAACAGGTTAAGCAAAATTGTTTTTGACACTCTGAGCATGTAACTATTAAAGGGAATGAGTTATATTGATAGTCAGTAGCTGAAAGTTTGCAGCATTCACCGTCATTTTCTTGGTACTGGATATTGAAAAGCTTACAGCATTCTCCACTTCGGTTGATTTCTTGGTCTTGCTTGCTTTTAAATAATATTTCATAAATAATTTCTAATGAAGACTGAAGGCAACTGTGAAAATCTAAATGCAGAGTTGGGACCTCTACCATCGGATTCATAATGCTTTGGACTAAGTCCAATAAAAACTCTGGCCGCTGCCGTTTAAAATGGATAGGGATATTTGCCAGAGCTTGGATTTTATTGTTTTCTCCTTCAATCACTTTGAAATCAAAATGCAATTTTATTTTTTTTACCTCACAGAGTGAAAGCAAAGGGATGAGTGAATTTGACTCTTTTAAGTATTGAGGGTACAATAGCTCTCTTATGACCCCTTTCTTTTTAGCCAAAATCAGCCCAGTTAGTGTATTTTCTTTGCAGATCAATATTAAAAAATTGATGATCTCTTTTCTAATCTTCCCATTGGAAATTCCTACTTTGTCCTTGAGTAGCCTATAGATTCCTAAGGACCCAGCCTTCTGTTTTATTCAGCTGTGAGTGATAATTAAGCCGTTTAAAGTAGATAGTGCATTATTGTAAATATAATGGTTTGAATCATGATCTTCATAGTTTGAAAAAATTTTAATCGCTTTGCTTATTACTTCTACTCTGTGCGGTGATGCGTTAAACATCCTAACTGTCTCATTTTCTCTTGAAAAAAGTGCTTCAAAGCCTTTGTTCCTGGCGCTTTTATCCTCAAAATAAAAACTTGCAAATAAAGCTTTGACTTCAAATTGATCAGGAAGAGTTAAACATGTGTCACTTAATAAAAAATCTCAAGTTTTTGTTAAATTGTGGAATAATTTTTCATATTGTGGATTATGGCGGTTTTTGCAGAGCATTTCAACTATCAGTTCACTTATCCCGGGCTGATAATTTGATTCCATTATTACGTTGCTTCTATCGCTTTGATCCATGATTGCAAAAAATGGGACTTCATCAATCAGTAAGGAATCCTTACTCCCCTTCCCTCCCCTATGTTTTAAGTAAAAACCCATCCTAGGTGAGTGAGCAAAACTTTTAAATATAAAAGTTTTATGATAAAAGAAATTTAATATATAATTTTTTTGAATAACTGCTTATATTTTAAAGCATAAACTTTACAAATTAAATTAATTTTTGTTTCCCATTTTTGCGAATTAGGATTATTTTGAATTTCAAAAAAATAATTTTCTATAAAATTTATATATACATTTTATAAAAAAAAATTAACCTTCTCCATGAGCGAACAAAATTGTTTTGTTCTCTCACGGATAGGAATTTAGCACAATATAAGCATACTCCAGCTCCTCACAGATCTAAAATATCTTTATACTCATATGGGAAAATATTTGGGAACTTCAAGTATTCTTGTGTTAAAAAACTTTTATTAATCATATCAATTTTAACTTCTATCCCTCTTTCTCCTAACATAACAATCGGGTTTTGTGGATTCTTCACTAATTCGAAGCACATAGTCTCTGGCGAAATATTCCCGATCCCCAGCCCAATCTTTTTAGCATAAAATAGGTTTTTCCCTAATTCACGTGTGATTTTTACAATTGTTTCCAATGCCAACTTAGCTTGATCTCTTATCGCTTTAGGGATTTCTAGGCAAGATTTAAAAAAATTGAATTCATCTAGGGTGATTCTAATATCTGCCTTTGTAGCTATGACAAAAGAGCTTTGGAAAACTCCATAAGATTTAGTGACTCCAAATCTTTGAATTAGTCCTGTTAATTCAATAAATCTTCGCTCATATGCTGAAATATCAGAAAGTGAAGCAGGGATGCATTCAATGAAATATTCTTCATCATGGTCATCTTTTGCTAGAAATAAAAGTTCATCAGTGCTACTCTGTTTTTCTAATAAATAGCTGTGATTGTTGATATAAATATTTTGTGGGAGCGAAATCTGTTTATAAGAATTTTTCTTAATCTCTGATATAGCTTCTAAGTAATTAAGTATTGTTACCCTACTCATATATAAATGAAATATAAAAATACAAAAATGAATCAAATATAAATATCTATTTCTTATATCTAAATAGAAAATCCCATGCATAGCAAATCTTAAATTTAATCATGGCTAATAATAATTCCCCACAATGTCAGGATCCAATAAGTTTGGCCATATCCAACTTGCACCTCCAGACCCTATTCTTGGGACTGCGGTGGCTTACAACAAAGACCCGCACCCAAATAAAGTCAACCTTGGTGTTGGTGCTTACCGAACCAATGAAGGAAAACCTCTCATTTTCCAAGCTGTCAGAGAAGCCGAAAGAGCCCTCATTGAAGATCCAGCAGTCAACCACGAGTACTTAGGCATTGATGGTCATGAAGGATTTGTTAGGCTTGCCCGTGAACTCCTCTTGGGAGCAGATTCTCCAGCTATTGCTGAGCATAGAGTTGCTTCATCTCAAGGAATTTCGGGAACCGGAAGCTTGCGCATTGGAGCTGAGTTTTTGTCAGTATATCTTCATCCTCCATGCGTTTTAATTTCCGAACCAACATGGGGAAACCATATTACAATCTTCGAAAAAGTCAATGTTCCAGTCAAAAAGTACCCATACTGGAAACTAGAAACTCGTGGAATCGATCTTGATGGTATGCTTGCAGCTCTTAATGAAGCTCCAGCAGGCTCTGTTGTCCTTCTTCACTCATGTGCCCACAACCCAACAGGAGTTGACCCTACCCACGAGCAATGGGAAAGAATCTTCGAAGTCATCCTCGCAAGAGATTTATTGGCCTTCTTCGATTCAGCTTACCAAGGATTTGCCACAGGAGATTTAGAAGCCGACGCATGGGCAATCAGATCTTTCATTAGCAGAGGAGGCCAATGCTTAGTCTCTCAGAGCTTTGCTAAGAATGCAGGGCTATATGGAGAAAGAATTGGAGCTTTACATATTGTGTGCACTGACAGTGATACTACAGAAAGAGTTTTGAGCCAATTGAAGATTGTGGTAAGAGCTATGTACTCAAATCCACCACTTCATGGAGCTTTGATTATGGCAAAAATACTTGGAGACCCAGCCTTAAGAGAAAATTGGCAAAATGAATTGAGAGGCGTTGCCCACAGAATCATTGACATGAGAAGAGCACTTTATGAAGGACTTATTAAGTTGGGAATAGCTTAACTTAACTTAACTTAATGTCTGGTATTTAAGGTGTCTAGTGCCGCACCCCATAAAAATGAAGTTATAGCGAAAAATTGATGACGTCGCCGGGCCATCTTGGAATCGCGATGGTTAGCCCACCGGCCAAGCCTTCATCTGCACTTCGCCCATCTTCGCCGCACATCTCACCCGGCGCGTTGCCGTCGCCCTTGCCCCGACTCAGCTCCTGCGCGTGCTCCGCCTAAGGGTTATCCTCCCGTGGGGATGTGCTGAGAGGTAAAACTCCGAAATCTTGAGTGCACTGAGGGGCTGTTCCTTTGGTTATCCCCAAAGTTAAACAGCTATTGCTGTGCAGAAGTTCTCGAGAGAAAACCCAAGTTGGGAATAGCAGGAGATTGGACTCATATCACATCACAAATTGGGATGTTCAGCTACACTGGATTAACTCCTGCACAGTGTGAGGTTATGATTAATAAATGGCACTGCTATATGTTGAAGAACGGAAGAATTTCTATGACAGGAATCAACACTCATAACGTTGAGTACGTAGCAGCTGCTATCAAGGACTCTTTGGAAAGCGCTTAATTAAAGTTATGAGCTTTAAATTTAAATAGAGTCTTATGATAAATAGCATTCTGCTTTTAGAGCGTTCGGCTAATAAATAGAATATTAACTTCATCATTTCTTCATGGTTTTATCTTATGTATTTATAGTGAATTAATCATAATTACTTACGTTATTTTTATAAAAAGAAGAGTAATTTGAGGCCACTTTTCGATTTTTGTCAATTTTATCCAGCATCACATTAAGCATAATGCTTTCAGCCTCGCTTGGGAAAACATCGCTTAAATCAGTTATGAATGATTTTTCAGGAGACTGACTCCCCCCCCCCTTTTAAATTGAAACAAAAAATTTTGTTTCAATTTAAAGGGGGGTTAAGAAAATTTTTTTATAAAAAAATTTATATATAAAAATTTTTTTCAGAGATAAAATTTTATAGAAAATAAATTATATAAATTTAAAGAGACAATAAATTGAGTAAATTATATTTAATAACATTATAATTTTATGACAATGCCTATGTTTGAAGCATATTAAATAGGGTATTAACGTATTTACATATAAAATAATGATTTTTACCTATAAAATTTTCTATTATAATAAAATTTTGTTTCAATTTAAAGGGGGGTAATTTCCCAAAAAAAAGTAGGAATTTTACCTATATTTTGTTTCAATTTAAAGGGGGGGGGGAGTGAATACTTTTGTCAGATGTCGGTGTTTTTTGTATGGATTTATCAAGTCTCATAAGTCTCTCATCAAATGAGTCATCGATTTCATCATTTTTCAAAACTTCACCTTTATATCTTTCATACTGATTCTGCTTGATGCTGCCAAATTCCTCTGGCTTTTTAGGGATTTTTATTGGATTATTTTTGATCATTGAGCTATCCCTTGATTTTCCTTGAAAAGTGCTTTGGTTAGTTTTATAAAAAGATTTTGGATCAAATGTATTTCTTTGTTTTGATGTATCAAATTTTTCATTTGTAGATGCTGGATCTTTATATTCAATCATAAAGCTGTCTTTAATGTTTGAAATTTCTTTGAAGACTTTGTGATTTAGAATATGCATGCTTTTTTCAAGCTCATTAATAGAGTACAAAATAGATTTATTAGCATGATTGTATTCTTCTGCAGTCCTTAAATTTTCATCTAATCTTGATAGCTTGCTTTTTAATTCTGCTTGCAAATTTTGAGTTAATTCTTTGATTTTTGAAAGTTTTTTCTCGTTGTTTTCTAATGTCAAAAGTCTTCGTTTTACATCTTTATTGAACTTTTCTTGTTCGACATAGTCAAATGCTCCATATTTGATTTCTGCCTCAAGTTTTGAAATTTCTTCATTTATTGTGCTTTCATCACTACTGTTAGTTTTAACATTTTCTTTGGTTGAAATTCTAAGCTTGGTCGGAGGTTTGAATGGCTTAATAATTTTATTTTCAGAGGATTTTTGTGTACGAGAACTCACAGGTTGTTGGTATTCTTCATTTTTTTGCTGAGAAATTAGCTCAGACTGAACTCTGGTTACCTTTGTAATTTTCTGAGATAGAAGATTTAGGGATTTGTCAATTTCAGCTTTGGTCGCAGAGAATTTTTTCTGCTCTGCTTCTATTTCTGTAATTCTTTCAGTCAGCGCATTTATTGCTTTATCATTTTTAGTTCGTGTTTTTATAAATTCTTTCTTTTTATCAGAAATTTCTGCGATTTTTTGAGAAATTTCAGCAATCTCTTGGCTTTTTTCATTTTTGTTCAAGACGACCTCGTTCTGTAAGCTATTCACTGCAATTTCTATTCTGTTTACCCTAGTTGACAAATCTTCTAATTTTCCATCAAATTTTTCAATGGCTTGAATAATGTTTTGAAAATTCTCCATTATTTGGTCTCCTTTTAAGCCATCAGAAGCATATGGACTTTGGCTATTTATTATGTGAGACTTTTCTGAAATATAGGATCTATTCTCAGCTTTGGGTGTAGTGATAATTGATGATTGTGGCGTTTCTTCAGTTATTATAGTTTTCTGTATCATCTCATTAATTGGCTTAACTTCATTGAGCAAGCTTACTCTTTCTAGCTTTTTTCTGCATAAGTCGTTTACAATGCTTTCATCATCGCTTAAATCAATATCGAAATTAATTTTCCCTTGTGATAAGGAAAATTGGGGGGTTTCAGGCATTTTCTTTGCAGACTCCTCTTCTATTCTTACATAATCTGAGCTGTTGGAATCGTAGTAAGAAATAGTTTCTCCATTTCTTAGCCGCAATACCTCTAAAAATCTAAATAAATCCTGGTGCTGACTCCTCCTCTCCGTGAACGAACAAAACCATTCGAAAAATCCTATTTTTTGGGAACATAATATTTGTGAGCAAAACAAAAACTTTTTTAATAATAAAAATTTATATATAAGTGATTATTAGTATAATAAAATCTCTAGATATTTGTGTTTAATTTTAAACAACTTAGCAATTTAAAACATAAATTTTGCAAATTAATTTTGCTTTTCAACTTTTGCGAAAATGGATATTTTAAATTCAAAAAACAAAATTTATATAAAATTTTGTTTAAAAAATAAGCAAGCAAAATTTTTTGGTTTTTTTAAGGAGGGGAAGTGAGGATTTTTTATATATTTGGGTAAATAAAAATCTTTATTAATTCTGGTATTAGCTTTCAGTGCTCGGAAAATTCTTATGAGAGGACTTCCCGGAGGCAATTTTAGCCAGTTTATAGATTCTGAAACTATTGCTGTAAGAAAATGATTGTATTTAACAAGAGTGCATTCCAGCTCTTCTAAAGCCAGAATGTCCATAGGGTCAATATCAATCCCAACTATAGATAATCCACTATATCTCAAAACATTTGCCAGCTGAAAAATTAATGCTTCATGCATTGTCAAAAATCCATGGTGATTTTCTTTTATAGGTGCTGGGTCACTTAAATCGACCCCATTGATCCCTAAATATTTCAAAGCTTTGTTATTAATTAGCATGTCTAAAATGCAGGCTATGCAGTCAAATGTTAGTGGGTTGTAACTAATAGAGAACTCCTCAATAAATTCATTTATAGACAGCCCTTGCCATATTTCAGAATCTTTTATTTCATTGCTATCTAAAATGAGCGCCTTAAGTCGTATATCTTTAGCTATATTTGACAGCTCAAAGATAGAACCGTCATGTAGATTGTTGTCTGATAAATCTAAAACTTCAATTGTTGTGTTTTCCAGTAATAAAAAATTTATATAAGTCATTGAGTTGGTATTCAAATTGAAATTTGAATTTAAATTCAAATGCATAATATTCAGGTTCTCTTTTAATCCCAAGTACAAAAATTTGCATGCATCAACAGAAAGGTTTTGATTATGAATTTCAATGCTTTTTAAAAATCCTAAATCAGAGCTTTGTAGAAGTGTTTCACTAACTCCACCCATTTAATAAACGAGCAAATATTTGATCCTTAATTCACATTTGTGAAAGTTTTATCAATTAAAATTAAAAATAATTTTTTATATAAATAATTTTATAAATTGCCTAATTGATAAGTTCGTTATTAAATGAGGAGAATAAGACAATAGAAATCTTTATCTTTCTAATTAGGCTTTACAAGCAATCGATTCGTGGTGATACTTATAGTTTTTTCGCGGGAAATCAACGCGTCATTTATTTCTTTGATTTCTTGAACATTATTAGCCTTGCAGATATCCTAATTAGAAAATACTTTATAGCTGGACTCTTCCATTGTTTAGAATATAAAAATCATTAAAATGTCTGATTTATCGGGAAGTGAAGTAAACATTAAGGAGCTGGGCGAAATGTATGCAGAAATAACTATACAAATCGAAATAATCCCACCAAAAGTTCCTGAAGTTAAAGAAATTATCCCAGATGTGCCATAAATAAAATATGGCGTCTTCGTCTGGGCATGGCCTCCCGGTCATGCATACTCAACTTATATTTTATTTATATCCTGTAAGGTTTTACTACTTCAGAAATGGACAGCAATGCTAGGTAAGCAATTCTGGTTATGTTCAGAGCCTAGCCCAGTCTAAATTCAGAGGTGGTTTTTTCCTCGTGGGGAGATGAGCACGGAGGTTGGAAAGGGGAAGCCCAGCAGAGTCCTCTGGACCAATCGGGCAACTCCCTAGCGTGAAACTGGGCGTTACGTCCCAGGCTTTCGAATTCTACCTTCTACCGACAGTCGACAAGAAAATCCATTTTTTATGGATTTTCGGAAAGACAACCCACGCTGTGCGAATCCCTTGTTTGAGGCAACAAGGAGGGTGTCCGCCGAGGCCTCACCATAGGCGAAGAGCGTGAAGGGGTGCAAATCCCCGGCCCTGCAAGTGCGAACGGCTAATCTTAATCTTAATCCCAGATGTGCCAAGTCCTACGTATAATGAAAGAAGAAAAGCATATCATTATCAAAAAATTATAAAGGAATACGAAAACGCAGCACTAGAAGGGGCCAATTCTAGCTTCCTCCCACTTAAATTGGAACCAAAATTTCCATTTTTTGAGTACTTTACCCCATTTAAATTGGAACAAATTTTATTTCAATAGGAAATTTTATAGTGAAAATACTAATTTTAATATAATTATTTTTGACCAAATTTAGTTGAAAAAGTACAAGTAGAATATATTTAAATAGTTTTAACACTGTATCGATTAATTTTTAAATTAATACTTCATAAAGTAAATTAAAAATTCAAATTATTGTCTCAATTTATGTCTTTTATAATTTGAACAGATTTTTTTTCCAATTTAAAGAGGGATTAAGAGAAATAATCATAGATAAATATTATTTTTTATATAATAAGACAGAAATTCAAGTAAATGAGAAATTTAATTGAATTTATAGTAAACCAGCTAGCCAGATTTCTACTCTGAAGAAGATTTTGCATTGAATTTAAAAGATAGAAATAAATTATCAGCTATGCAAAATATCGTTAACTTAGTTTAGCCTTAATAACGCGTTAGAAATAGGGCAATTTTAATTTCATTTTAACTCAGGCATCATATTCAATAAAACAGAAGCCTATAGCTCCAACATTTAAAGCAATGATCATTGCCAGTAGTTATACTCCTATGTGCTCTCCACAATTGACCAATCTATTTATTCAGAGTTTAAAAGAGATTGGACTGTTTAAAATACTAAAAGTATGAATAATTTTTATATAATAAGTTTTTAAAAGATGGGAAAATCATAGAAAATAAAATCAATCATACTTCGTAAAATTATGTTTAAATTATTATTAAATAATTATTATTAATATTTAAATTGATTTTCTTCTGAAAAAACTATTACGTAATCTTTATTAATGCTTCCATCAAATTTTTGACTCTGTTTAATATCATTCATATATTTATTTATATCATTCCAAGCTTAAATTGCGTTTAAATGAGAAGTCAAGTCATAATTAAGACTCCACATGTAGAATTTTTCCACGTTTGAAGCGCGATAAATAGCTACACCAAAAATAATATATTAATTCAGTTCAAAAAGTTAAATAATCATTTTATAACTAGTTTAACTAAATTCTTATTGATTTTATACATTTAAAGTGCAACAATTAAAATTAAATGTAAAGGAGAATAGATTGGTTTTCCTTTCTTATAACTTAATTATCTTTAGAAATTAGTGATATTATTTATTATAACCATTTTAGCCATGCTTTGGGTGCTTTTAAGCTTAGCAATTGCAGTATCCGGGTCCAAAATTCTTGTGCTGCTTGATAGCTGGGACATTAAAGACACTCATGCCAAATATTTCAATTTTCTCGAATCTCAAGGCAACCAACTTACATTCAGAATGGCAGATTCAGCAGGAATCAAGATAGAAAAGTATGGAGAAGCTTTATATCAGGCCATCCTTCTCGCTGCACCTTCAGTAGAAGACTTGGGTGGGAAAACCACTGTTGATGACCTACTATCTTTCTTTGACACCTATGAAGGATGCACCATGCCTTTTGATTGTGATTTTCCCCCCAACAGAATCTTCTCAATTCAATAGACATTTAAGTGGCAAAAACCCGCTATTTTCGACCAATGTCTGACAAGAAAAAAATTCGACCAAATATCCCAGGCTATGTCTGCAACGAAAATGTCCCCGAGGAGAAAAGTTTCACCATGAAGGAAGCATCATTATGTTTGCTGATACCGATGCTGGGCTTTTATACAGGAAATTAGCCAACAATTTTGGGTACGATTTTTATGAGCAAGGGGCTAGAGTTTATAATGCTGATAAAGACACTGTTGTAAAAACCACTAATGTGACAGCACCAGAAATAATCGCGGCTAAGGCAGCCAAGCCAATTCATTTGTCTGGTGTGCCTTTTTATATGAAAAAAGAGACCTCGCTATCTGTATCAACACTTGTGGCATCCAGCAAGGCTTTTGTTCAAAATGACTTGAAATTCAAAGACAAGTACTCTGACTCCGGCTCAGAAATAATCCTTGGTGCTGCTACACAAGGCAGAAATAATGCAAGATTCGTCATTCTTGGGTCTTTAGATATATGTAAAAATGAATTTTACGATGACTCAACCAAAGGCAACAAAGATTTTTGCCAACAAATTTCTGATTGGGCTTTGAAAAATAAAGGAGTTTTAAGATACTCAGGAATAACTAACTACAGAGTTAGTCAACACACTAAACCAGGGACAGTAGAAAAGGGCTATTTAGAGAAGGAGTATACAGTGAAAGATAAGGTTTATTACTCAATTGATATTGAAGAGTACGACGGAAAGACGAAGACATGGAAGCCTTTTACTTCAAGCAAGGTTTATGTGGATTTCATTATGCTTGATCCAAAGATCAGAAAATATTTGTCAAACAATAATGGACTGTTTTATACTGAGTTTGTTGCTCCTGATGTACATGGAGTCTATCAGTTTAAGGTTCATTTTAACCAGCCTGGATACACGTGGATCAATACGGCAACTGAAGCGTCGGTAAGACCCTATAGACATAACCAATATGAAAGATTCTTGATTTGTGCTTATCCTTATTATCTTACTCCCCCCTCCGTGAGTGAACAAAACCATTAGAAAAATCGCTATTTTTTGCCCAAAAACCCACCCTCCGTGAGTGAACAAAAATTTTTTTAATAGAAAAATATTTTATGGGAAAAAAGTTTTAATATATAAATGATAATTAGTATAATGAAATATAGAGCTAATTCTGTTTAATTTTTAAACAAATTGCTTTTTAAAACATAAATTTTGCAAATTGAATTAATGTTTGCTTTCCAATTTTTGCATATTAGGATTTTTTTAAATTTCGAAAAAAAATATTTTTTATAAAATTTATATATATAATTTTTTTTAAAAAAAAAAAATTAACCCCCCCTCCGTGAGTGAACAAAATTTTTTTGTTCACTCACGGAGGGCGGGGGAGTTAGCGTTTTCAGCACAATCGTTGGGTTTTTAGTGTTCAGCTTTTATTTCCTTTATCATAAAGATACTTAATCAATCATTTAGAAAATCCTTCCTATATTTAGCTTTATATCTTTAATAAATGGCTTCAATAAAAGAGATTTATCAAAGATCACTTGATGATAAATCGCTAAAAAACTTCGACAATTTATAAAAAGCCTTTTCTAATGCCATAAACAGTCGAGTTATACGCGTAAATATCTTAAGATAATTTATTTAGACAATTTAATTGCTCGATCTTATTAGCTCTTATAACTCCCAATTTGTAAATGCCATTTGATAAAAAGTTGTTTTAAGAAAAGCATGACAACGCATAAATGTATCTGCAAGACCTGTGGACGTGGTATCACCTTCTCAGATGCAAGCGTTCAAACTGAAATGCTTTCTGAGATGCAAAGCTTCGTCGATTTTACAGAAAAAATGTGCGTTCCAGGAGCACCTTTCAAAAAAAGTGCTGTAACTTAAGTTATAAGGCTATAATAGGATAGGCCACTGCCTGCCTATCTGGCGTATGCCCACCTAACCTAAGGATTAGCTTCCTAGGTTAGAGTTCCCTCTTGCGGATGCACAGTTAGTCCCGATTAGCAAAGACTAAGTGGGAGGCAAAACCTGCCTATAGATTGGCAGGGACATGGAAAACCTTCATGAGAAATAGGTCTTCCTCTTCGAAAGGTATCTCAAACCATTAGGCCTACTTCAAGAAGTGATAGAGATATTATTTTCAGCTTCATCGGGACGGGTTCTACCTTCGCCATAGGGAGTGTGTCTCGAAGTCCATCTTCAGTCGATGCCACCATTTTATTTCCAAAGTTCTGTAAGGAATCAAATAATGATGGTCAGACCAAGACGGCTTAAAGGAGATTCCGGTAAAGAAGTGGAAGAGCCATCATCTATGATAAACTCAGAAATTTCAGAAAAGACACAGAAACCTATTTTTCTCAGCCCGAATGATCATTTCAAAATCGAAATCAACAAGCAAAGTGAGGATTCTTCAAGCGCAAAAGACCTCGATTTAATGATGACTGGACTGAAAGAGTCATTAACAAGCACAGCACAAACTGAAAAATATATAGAAAACAATGTGAAATTTAACATCCCAAGCAGTAAAAATAAAGAACGCAGGAAGAGCTCTAAGCCCAGCCAGGGGATAACTCCTATTAATACTTTAGCAAAGTCTCAAGCTCTCCCTTTATGCAAAATACTCGGAGGAAAATTCGATCCTATATCGGTGCCAATTAAATGCACAACGCCAATGGTCAGTTTAAAAAGCGAAAAAACGTCCAAAAAGAACGCTAAATCAAATAAAAAACACCGGAAAAACTGAAAATTAAAGGAAAACGCAAGCACAAGCAAAGAGCTGTCAGATGAAAGCACTAATCAGCTATCACAAAACTATGGGCTGATTTTTGATAAGCATACAAATTTGGATCCAAATGGCAGAGAAACGTTTAAACATCTTGTGAAGTTGGAGAAGCTTGGATTGAAGGAACAATTTTCAACGAAAAACTTCAAATACGCGGAAAGAAAGAAGATTGAGACAGAAGAGTCTGCAAGTATTGATTTGAGCAATAGCTTGAACATGGATCAAATTCAAGAGTTTTTAGAGAATTAAGGCGCTAATATAATTATATCTAACTTATATAATAAGTACAGATTTGAGCGGCATAAACTTGAAATGCTATAATCAGCCATTGTGGGTATAAAATATGAATGAATAAACATATTTGAATGAACATTCCAAATAAGCTTGGAAAACTCCCAAGCAAAGCTTACAGAAAAAAATCAGCTTCAACAAGAATTGATAGTCAAAATAAAGATACAAGTTTTGTATTAAATAAAAAGCCAACCCTTTTAAACTTTACATCTCTACAAGCAGCAAGAAATCAAGTAAAGCTTAAAAAAAACTATTCATTTTCTTCTCTTCAAGAGGCAAGATACAAGTTTAAGGCACATAAGACTGCGAGTATATCGCAAACAACGTGGGAAAATATTGGGGTTCTAGCAAATCTAGATTCTCATGAGGATTATCAAAGAAATAGTGCAAATGTAATAAAATGTTCGGGGAAAGAATGCCTAATATCTCATCAGAGCAGCATCTCTAAAAGTAAAAGCTTGTCATCTTTGGAAATGGAAAATTTAGAAACGGACTCAGATATACTAATTGCCCGAGAATGGCGCTATTTGCGCCATTCTCTGGCAATACGGAAAATCGGCTCCAAACGGGAACGATTTTCCACGTATCGAGCCATTTTTTTCACACGTGGAATTCAGGATTCTCACTGTGAAAAAATGGCTTCACATGTGAAAAATCTTTCCCGTGTGGAGCCGATTTTCGATTGCGCGAGGATGGCGCAAATAGCACCATCCTCGGGAAATTTCTATACTTCCTTTTGCCTGACTCCACCAATTAGTTATGAAAATAGTGAAGGAGGTGATTTTATGGATTTTTATAGCGAAATAACTTTTCGCAGCTCGACAAGCCAAGTAAACTCCCCTGCAAACAATTCAGAAAACGTTTCAAGCAATAAAAAAACTAGTTTGAATGCAAACTATGCTGAAGACAAGGCAAGCCTTATAAAACCGCAGAGTCATGAATATCAAGCATCATTAAATATAGAAAATTCCTGGGGATAGCGCGGAATACGCTATCCCCAGGACCAACCGGGATCGGATCCCACATGGAACGAGGGTTCCATGTGTGGATCCATTTTTTTCACACGTGAAAGTAAATATCTCACATTTAAAAAATGGATCCACACATGGAACTCCCGTTCCATGTGTGAATCCGATCCCGGTTGGTCCTGGGGATAGCGTATTCCGCGCTATCCCCAGGAATTATCTATATGAAGAGCGCCATTAAAATCGATAGGCATTCAATAGAGCTGTATTCTAATTGCAAAGACAATCTTAAAAGAAAAAATAATGACGATTCCGAAGTCAATTGCAGATCAAAGAGATTCAAATTTTCATCTAGTGAATTTGCACACAATAATGATTTATACAGAATTGATGGCACAAACTAAGCAAATTCGTTTCAAATGAACTTTTCGAATTTTTGGGTCAAAGCTAGGAAATTAATTTATTAACAGATCTAAAGTAGTTGATTGGTAAAACAAGTTTGTTTAAATGCCAAAAATCTTGAAACAAAACTTGCTTAGTATATTCTTAAAAATCTTTGAATTTAAAAATGGAGTTTCAAAACCGACTGATCTCCCCTTAATTTGTGCGTTTCTATTACTTTTCAAACTCCAATGGTTTCAAAGCTCTTTAAAAAACACAGTTCTTATATGTGATAAAACTAAATTATTTATGAAGATTATTTGAATCCCTTTCTGAAAGCAACTTCTCGATATTCCTGGCATGCAGCACAAGGGCCACAGAAGCAATGAGTGCAGCAATCTCCGATACATCCTCCTTCTATTGTGAATTTTCCTCTCACAGTTCCACGGTTGATGGCAGCTCCAATGCATCCCAAGCAGATTGCGAGTAGGCATGGGACGAAACAGCCTTGAGTTCCATCAGTTGCTTTTTCGATTGCTTTCCCTTGCATGCACTGAGCACCACAAGGTATGCAGCAACCCCATAAGCAGACACCGCAGTCCTTTGTGCATCCGAAGAGTGATTCGGTGAAATGTGGTTCACTTCCACTTGCCATTTTAACTTTTATTAAGGTTGCCAAATACCTCTCTTCTTTTGACTGAAAAATGAGGCTTTTTATTAAATTTTTGAACTATGAAAAATAAAAAGCAATAAGTTAATGTGCACAAAAGTATTTTTTATTAAAAAAATAGACTGGATCTTCCTTATTATAAGGGTTTTAATAATTTTTGTTTGCTGTATATATGGCAATTAATAAGAAAGAATTTCATTTCACAAAAAACAGTTTTCTTTGGTTTCTAAGGTATTTTTTAGAAAGGTCTTAATATTTTTAATTGAATTTTATTTAAGTTCTTTTAGTTTGATTCCTCCATTGTACTTCACGGTACATTTGGCATGAGACACAAGGTAGACAGAACCAGCTAATCAGCAAATCTACAATGAAGTTCCCATCAATCCTGTAACGATTACGAATATTCCCACGGTTGATTGCTGAGCCAATACAGCCTAAAAATGCAGCCAGGAGACATGGGACGAAACAGCTTTCTGATCCTGCGCTTGCCTCGTTGATTGCCATTCCTTGGACACACTGGGAACCACATGGAACACACCATGAGATTAAACAGCTCTTCATATCTTTTGTGCACCCGCACAAAGGTTCTTCAAATCCATTTGCTTCCGCCATCAAATTTTTATTAGAGTTTATTGGATAAAAGTTGATAAGAAAATATGTCACAAGTTTTATTATCTAAATATTTAACTCAGGGGAGAAAGAAAGAAATCCACAATTAGCTTGCTAGAAAATTGAAGTAAATAAGTAAACAAATAAAAAAAATTATTAGGTAAAACTGCACAGATTTTAAAAAAAAAATTCCAGTGGAAAGCCTTAATAAGGCAGCAAATTGATTAGGAAAATTAGCTTTATTATCAGTTTCTGATATTTATAAAAATTTTTCTTTAAATACCGACTCTTTTATTTCCATTAATTTATGTTTTAACATTTAGAAAACTAAATGTTTTTTATGGAAATCTAATCTGGAATATAAAGCTTTGTATAAAATCTTGTTTAAAGTAATTCTCTTGACAAATATTCATTAAATTTAGAATTCATAATTCTGCACCTCTCCCTTTCATAGAGTCTCGTAGCATTAATTAGCCAAGGATACAGGCGTTGAGGGGTTGTAGGATTGTCTCACCGAATTTAATGAATATATGAATATTTGCATTTTATTTAATTTTGGTCAAAATCGACATTTTTAAAGTTATATAAAAATATTCACACTATTTAATGGATTTATTTAGGATTTACTTTGGGTCACTGAAAGCTATACATAAATATGATAATAATTTAAATGCATAGATCTAATTGTTTTTTAGATGAAAGTTTTTTGGAATTAGATGAAGAATGACCACTAAAGCAGTTTTATTTATATCAATACATTCACTCTATAAATAAACAAATTAAATATTCGGCAATTCTAAACCAAAAATATTTGATAGAAGTGTTGAATACGAAAAATGAAAATTAATTATCACTAGAGATACCAAAACTGAATTGTAATACTTAGATTAAAATGAATCATATAATTAACCATTTTAATTAATTTTAAATTTAGTTCAGTAATGTCATCTTACAGAATTCTCGCATATTCAAAAATTGCTGACACTTTCAAGTGCTTTCTTGATGGAAACCAAATTCCTGCATTTACTGTGCAAGAATCTGATATAAATCGCTACTTTTCGGTGGTTAGAATCTTGTCAGGTTCACTTGAGCCAGCTAAGTATTCATCTCTTAACTGGGACCATATGGGTTACTTAGAAAATGAAAAGTTAAGGAGCTGAATGAAACACATAGGCTATCATTCTTTTACTATTGAAAATACTATTTATGTCCCACTACCAAATATCGAATTGAACGGGGATATCCCACGAGAATTTTTGAATTATGAAATCATGCTAGAAAGGTACAACTTAGCAATTTCTAACAACTTCATCGACAAGGAATTCAGCTTAAGTGCTGCTACATATAACCCAGTTGCATTTCACGAAAATCCAGATTTTTTGCTATTTCACATGCAAGACTATCTACCATGGCCTGGGATCAGTGAATCCTTATATGGTGGGTTTTTTATTAAAGGAACAGAAAAATGGAATCATTATTTCATCCCACAAAACAACTTACCACCACTAGGAAATCTCTCAAATCTTAAAGGAATTTTAATTACAGGAGCAAAATATTGCTCATATGATTCAAGCTTGCCTTGGGTTGATCCTCTACTGGATCTACTCAGAAGTATTCATGAGCATTATCCTCACGTAAAATTCGTAGGAATTTGCCTTGGCCACCAAATCCTTGCTAGAGCATTTGGGGGAGAAACCGGGAGAAACCCCTCAAATAAATTCATATACCATCTTGAAGAGTTCTCTGCATTAGAAGAGTTCGAAGGGCTTCCAAACAAACTAAAAGTATCTGAATCACATGGTGACTGTGTGCTAGAAATTTCTCCAGAGTCTAGGATAATTTACACATCTCCATCTACTCGTGTAGAAATGCTAAGATATGGGAATTGGGGAGTCTCAGTGCAAGGCCACCCAGAGTTTACTTCAATGTTCATGAAGAATTTTCACTCAAAATTCTGCCACCGTAGATTACCATATGAAAATATGCAAGAAATTTTGAATACCTATACATACGAAAGGACTGATTCCGACTTGATTATTGAAGCTTTTAACAGATTCATAAGGAAAAATTAATTTAGAGTCCTTTTAAGCATTTTATATATAAATTTCTAGTTTAATGGCTTCTTTTAAAGTTATTGCTTATGGAAAAGAAGGTGAAGCTTTCAAGTGTCTATTGAACGAAGATAAAAGCGTCCCGGAATTTACCCTGAAAGATTCAGATGTGAATAGATATTTCGGTGCTATAAGGGTAATATCAACAAGGCTAGGATTTAGGCTTTTCACAGACTCTGAATGGGAAAATCTAGCCTTTTACCATGACAATCAGCTCAGAAAATTGATGAAACAAGTAATCGCTCATGGATTTACTGTAGGAAATGTCATGTATGTGCCAATTCCAAATGCAAATATGTTTGATAATGTCCCTGAAAATTACATTGATTCTCCTTTGATGTCTGAAAGGTTCCGTTTAGCCTCAATTCACAACTACATGAGCCCTGACTATATGTTCGATGAAGCTAATTTTGAATCATCCCAAATCCATGAAAATCCAGAATATTTGCTACTGCATATGCAAGACTATTTACCTTGGTCGGGACTAAATGAAGCTTTATATGGAGGATTTTTCATCCAGGGCACAGAAAAATGAAATCATTATTATATCCCAAAAAATGATTTTCCTAGTCTCGATATACTAAGCTCATTAAAGGGAATTATGCTGCATTAGATAAATTAATGTCAATATATTTCGAAATTATTTTAAATAATAGAAATTAGCCTTACATAATGTCAGTTTATATTTAACTTAGCGCAATATATGATTACAGGTGCAAAATATTCTGCTTTTGATGATACTTTGCCTTGGCTAGCGCCTTTAATAGGGTTTTTTAGAATTATCATTGACAATTATCCTAGTGTCAAAATTGTGGGAATATGTCTTGGCCATCAAATCTTAGGAAGGGTCTTCGGAGGAGAGGCTGCAAGAAATCCTGATGGAGGCTTTGTTTACAAAACTGAAGAACTTACAGCATTGGAAGAATTTGAAGGCCTTCCAAGCAAACTTTATTTGTCCCAGTGCCATGGAGATTGCGTTTCCGTAGTGCCTCCAAGTGGAAATATCATTTATACTTCGCCAAGTTGCACTGCTGAAATTGTAAGATACGGAAATAGAGCAATTAGTTCTCAAGGCCACCCAGAGTTTACCACTCATTTCGTTGTGAATTTTTACACACAGTATATGCTTTCCAAAGGAGGAATATCTGACGAGCAAGCAAAAACTGCTTTAGAACTCTGCTCGAGGATAAAAACTGACTCAGAGATCCTCATTGATGCATTCAACAAATTTTTAAGAAGAGATAATTAAAAAACTTTATATAATGAATATCGATATCATAAAATCTAGTAAAGAATACCTACACAAGCCAGAAACCTTATTCGAAATTCACCGAATTTCCAACTGTTCCAGAATCCAACGGTCAGGAGAAAGACTTACATTACCAGATGAAGAGCTTTATCTTACAATGAGGGCTTCTCCAAATTCCAGTATAGCAATTCATACTCCCCAAACCCGTCCTCACTCCAGTTATATGCATAAACCAAGTACGCCTCCTAATTATTTTCAGAAGAAAACAAGACATGAAGGCTATTTTGAAAGCGAAATGTTCATTTCGCATATTCATCTAGAGGAGAGACAGGTAAGACCTAAATCACGGGATTATTTAACTCCAAAATTCTTTGATAAAATAGGAAGCAGAACTCCAAGTCCAGAACCAGCAAAAATGAATGAGACTTTAAAATTTTCGTATGATTGCTGTGACAAACTAAATATTGATGATAGTTGTATTAATACAGAAATATGTCGAAGATCTGGGAGAATTATAAAGTTTCAAGATAAGAAGAAACTGTTTTCAAGGAAATATCAACAAATGCTTTACCAGCAAAGTCCAATAAATGCCAAACTCTTTACAAAACATAGAATTAAAAGAAACGCCAGGTCAAGCAGAGAAATCATTCCTCAAACAAGAGCAATGTCTACAGAGCCAAAAAGAAGGTTTACGAGGAAACTGATGGTAAGTGGGACTGTCAAAGAATATGCTACCAGAATACACAGCGATAGAAATAAATCAAGCCAGTCCATTAAAAAAATATTGGCTGTTGTTCCTAGCCCAACATCTGGAGAAGTTTTCAGAGTTCAAATAAAATCTGTTTCTACTCATACATAACTGACTTATTTAATTCAATTTTTAATTAATTAAGTTTAGCTAATTCTCACTCCCCCCCCTTTAAATTGGAACAAAATATCGGTAAAATTTCCACTTTTTTGGTAAATTAACCCCCCTTTAAATTGGAACAAAATTTAATTTTATAATAAAAAATTATATATAATTTTTACCTAAAAAGTTTTTTGATATAAGTTAAATGTTTCTTCTTAACTAAAATTAAAAATTTATTTATATCTTGCTCATGTTTAAAGAAAAAAGTATAAAGAGCATCTTATTTAAATAAATTTATTATTCTTAATTGGTAAATTTTAAAAAAAAATTAATTTGTTTTTTTAAAAATTTCAAAAAAAATTTTTGTTTTTTTTGATAAAAATGATATTTTTTATTTGGATAGTTTTGATATAAATTCAATAGGAATTCTTTATAAAATTTTCAAAATTTACTTATTTCTTGCTTTATTTTAAAGAATAGAGTATAAATAACATCTTATTTAAACAAAATTAGCACTTTGATCGATAAATTTTTCAAAATTTTTGTTTTTTTTAATTTTTTTCTTTTATCAATAAAAATAAATAATTTTTGTGTAAATAATTTTGATACCAATTAATAGTGGCGTATTAACTAATAATGAAAATTTAGTTATATCTTGCTTTGTTTTAAAGGATAAAGAGTAAATAGCGTTTTATTAAACAAATTTATTGATCTAATTCGATAAGTTTTTGAAATTGTTTTTTTTAAATTTTTATATATTTTTATAAAAACTTTTATATTGATATTTGTTTTAAAAAAAAAAATTAAACCCCCCTTTAAATTGGAACAAAATTTTTAGTTCCAATTTAAAGGGGGGGGGAGTCAGGCTCTTGAATAAATGTATTTCAGCTTAAAATTAGAAGCCATAAACCATAATTGAAATAAGAAGAAAGCTCTATTTGAAGTTATGGCGCGTTGAAATTTATAAATTATAATTGCATCAGTGTATTTATTAAAATAGTCTTTATACCGTTATTCCAAGATGTCGAATCTATCCCCCTGTTTTTTGGATAGTAGTTTTATAAAAAGTTTTAATGATAAGTGAAGTCAACTCTATAGTTTCTTGAATTAAAGAGGAAATCCATATAATAAGCCTTCCGAAAATTGACTGCACACATCATAAATTAAGAAATGACTAGGAACATTATGCGAAATCGCAAATTTATGTTTTTTATTAAATTAATTTAGACCAAAAAGCTCTCTAAAAAATAAAGACAGGAGAATTCACGAAAAATAAGTAAAGAGATATATAATTCCAGTTTTAAAATAAAAAATGTCTAGTATTCTTGAAAGTCTGAACTCTTATAGGCATGAGATGCTAAAGCACCGACAAAAAAACAATAATTTGATTTCTAGCTCTAAAGGATCACTTTTCTACAAGAGTCCTGGAGTTTTGAACAGTAAAAGAAAAAATAATTGGTCTCCTGTTATAAAAGACCACAACGCCTGAAAATCTAAATTGGGCATTGCACTCTCTTTAAGCAAAAATGAAAGGAGGGATCAAGAAAGTCCAAATAAAATTAAGTTCTCAGTGGATTCTGAAGGGCTTAATAGCCACAGAAGTTCCAAATCTCTTGGTATCTGGAGATTCTGCTCACCAAAAAAAAGAATAAAAACATATAGAGTTGATTCAGCAAAATTGCTATATGATAGAGTCACAGCTTATCTAGAAAAACATTTCAAGAGTGGTAAGTCCGGTAGCCCTCTAGAACCTTATAAGCTCCCTCTAAGAACTGATACTTATCTATCTAAAAAACAAAGACTCGAAAACATAAAAATAAATTTAGAAAAAAAATTCCAAGAACGCGAAGAAAAGCTGAAAGCAAAGCAATCCGATTATGATAATTAGGTATTTATGGAGTACGTTGCATGCTCCCAGTATCATGCCTTGCAAAAAGTGTGGATTGTGCAAAGAGTATAAAGGGTTAAGCACGACTGATGACGCCACGGGCCATTCTGGCTCTTAAAAATGTGCAGACATTTCATCGTGCCCGTTCTTCTTTCAAATCACACTTCTCATCCGCGTGTTGCCGTCGCTCTTGTTAAGCTCAGCTCCTGCACGTATTCTGTCTAAGGGTCTCCCTCCTCGTGTGTGCGGAGTGGAAAACCCTAGGCCTCTTGAATGCACAGGGAAGCAGTTCCTCTAGTCTTATCTGACCAAAGCTAAACCGCTGCGGCTGTGCAGAAGTTCTCCAAATAAAACAAAACTCCATGAAATATAAATCCATGAGGGAGAAAATTGTCAAAGCTAAACTACCTCGAACTGAATGCCATTTTTATTTATGAAAGTAAATTAATCCAATGAAGATAAAACCTTATTTTTTACTCCACAAAAGTATAGCGAAATAGAACTTAGTCAGAGCCCTGAAGAATTAAACGAAATTCTTGATATTCAGCTTTCAGTTGAAAACAAAGCCAGGCTAAACGAAACTTTTAATTCAAATATTTTAACCCCAAGAGAATATGAATCTGCTCAGCTTGAAGATGGGTTTTTAGACAAATTATCTTCTGATAGCATTAGTCTCGCTCCTCCATCATCATGCTCAAGCCGATTTGATAAAGAGAAAAATATTGATAGTGGTTGCATGGCTTCAATGCCATATGAAAAATTAATTGGGATGGAAATCATCTGTAGATATTGCTTCAAAGTAATAATTCAAGCTTTTGATGGCTTCAAAAACTCTTACAGCTTTGAAGAAGACGATGATTTTTTTGAATACTTTATTTTTGATAAGCCACTGCTGGATTATGATTATTTAGAAGAGCCTAATTACTATGATGAAGAAGCAAATATTGAAACTATTGCCATTTATAAGTCAGAGCTAGATGAGCATCCAGCAAGTCAGACTATTAATAAGCTTACTGAAGATTATGCTTTGTATGAAGATAAAAGCTACAAACAAAATGATGAAATATTCGAATATAGAGCTGCCAAAAAACAAGCCTCTAGCTATAATTATTTAGAAGAGTCCAATGATATTAATAAAGAAATTGAATACTCTATTATGACTAAATAAAATGGCAATTTCTTTGAGAGAAATTAGCTCTCGAACTAAATGCCATTTTATTTATGTGGTTCGGTTTTCTCTCGAGAACTTCTGCACAGTGGCAGCGGTTTAACTTTGGGGGTAGCCAGAGGAACTGCTCCAGGGTGTTACTAAGAGGCTAAGAGTTTTGCCTCTCAGCAGATCCGAGGAGGGTTAACCTTTTGGCTGAATTCGGGCAGGAGCTGAGTGAGGCAAGAGCGAGTCATCGCCCTTGGTGAGAAGGGCTGGCCAGGATGGCAGGCTGCTGATTTGGGATAGTCTGACCTTTAGGACCCGGAATGCTCTTGACTCACCATTTTGGCTTTGTCCCTTTAATGGGGGTGCAGAGTTAGACGCCTTAAATACTCTAATTATTTTAATGAATACTCAATTATGAATAAACAAAAATCAGGCTATAATTATTTAGAGGCATCAATTGACATAAATAAAGAATTTGAATATTCAGTTTTAATTAAGCCAAAATCAGATTATGATTGTTTATCAGAATGTGATTCTAGTCAGATTGAAATTGAATATTCCAAGGGTTTTTATAATAGTACAATCACATATTCTATTATCAATCCCCCATTAGCTGACTACAGCTATTTGAAAGATCTCAAATTCTATGGCTGCGAAAAAAAATTGACATACCATATTATCAATAAGCCAATAGCTGACTGTAACTACATGGAAGATTGCAGATATGAGAAAACTCTAGGATATCAACTCACAAATAAGACAATTGCAGACTACAACTATTTGAAGGATTATTCATCATTCGAACAAATTTTATCCAAAGTGTTCAATAAATCATCTTTTCATTACAATAGTCTCAAAGTAAAATATTGGTCTAAATTTTCAAGTTGCAGAGTTATTTCATATTTTGTACTTAATAAGCCCCGCTCATATTTCAATATCCTAAAAGATGATGCATTTTATCAGCAAACCTTATCTCAAGCTTTAAATAAACTGAATTCCCATTACCACTTCATCAAGAAAAAGTATTGAAGCCAATGATTATGCTCTTATATTTTTACTTTGTCTAGCTTATCTAGTGAAAATGAATTGACAGACATTTCTATGCACAAAGAAACAATATCAAAGGCACTTAATAATTTCAATGCTTATTACGCTTTTCTTAATTCGAAGTATTGGGAGAAATGGGCTATTTTTGCTAAAAATTCAATGCTCAAAGAAAAATCCATCAGAAAAATTGCAAGATCAATATACAAATCACAAGGGAAATTGAAATTTTCTTTTTTCCTTAAATTGTTATCATATGTAGAAAAAAGAAAGTATGCTCTTTGTGTATTTAAAACACTTTTTCACAAGAGAGAAAAACAAATCATTGATTTCTGGCGTCAAATTTCTTCAAAAACTCCAATTGTAAATAATGAGCTTCTATTTATTGAAGAACTCAATCTGAGTACATCACATATTGATAGCGAAGCAGTTGATAATTTCTATAAGCCTCTTGAGTTTATTTACAAATCAAGGCTTCGGACTGGCTTTTCATCTTTTTTGTCTCTTTTTAATAAGATCCAAAAGCCTCCTGTCAACTTATCAAATATCTCTATCTACAAGTATCGGCTGATCAAAGAAAAAATAGAAAAATTTTTGGCATGCTTACTCCCCCCTCCGTGAGCTAACAAAATCATTAGAAAAATCCCTATTTTTTGCCCAAAAACCCACCCTCCGTGAGCGAACAAAATTTTTTTATGAAAAAAAAAATTGATATATAAGTGATAATTATTATCATGAATCTCTAGCTAATTCTGTTTAATTTTAAACAAATCACGTTTTAAAACATAAATTTTACAAATTAAATTAATATTTGCTTTCTAATTTTTGCGAATTAGGGATTTTTTTAAATTTCGAAAAAAAAAATCTATATAATTTTTATATATAAATTTTTTAAAAAAAAATTAACTCCCTCCGTGAGCAAATAAAATTTTTTTGTTCGCTTACGGAGGGGGAGCTAGAGAACAAGGCTTCAAAAACTTCAAATATATATTTCTACAAGTGGAAAAGTCTTTAATTAACACTCCTTATATATAAAATTTAATAAAAATGGAAGATAGATATGAACTTGCAGTGCTAAAGCCTCCAGAAAATACCTATTTTCTCTGGGTGAAGTTTTTATCCGAGCCTTATCGCCGCGAGCATGTATGGTTAACATAGATAAATGACTGCCCAAAAGAGCTATTTGCAAGTGCCTTATATCACACCCATCCCAACGGAGCAATCAATCCCAACACAAAAAAGCTTAAAGTGTTAGAAGAAATTATTACTGACCTTTTGGTCCACAGCTCTACAGACTTATTAGAAGAATTCGAATCCCAAGAGCTTCCTTTGGAATACAAAATCAATTTGATGAAAAAAGCAAGGGATAAAGGGGACAATATCCTTTATTATCGATTTGTGATTAGGACTTTGATCACTGATTACAAGTTTGCTAGAGAAGTGCTGCATTTAGATAGAGATGAAGAGTTAGAAGCAATCCACCACCTTTCGAAAGTCCGCACTACAAACCCACAAATTTTATATGAGTTGGGCTTGTGAAAAGCTTTACTCCTCCTCTGTCTTTAAATTAGAGCAAAAATTTCTGTTCCAATTAAAAGAGGATTTAATTTTATTTTAAAAAAATAAATAAATTTTCACAATATCTTTTTATAAATATTTTAAAAAAATAAAATTCATATTGAATGCAATATTTTTTAATTTTAATAGATTTTTATGAAGAATTTTCATTCAAAAAATTAGGTATTCAAAATGCTAACTGTTTGCATAGCATTTTTGAATCGCTCATTAAATAAGATTAAAGCTATTTATGCAAAAACTAGGATTTTCACCATAAAATTAAAATTTTGTTCCAATTTAAAAGGGATTAATTTATTCAAAAAATGTCAATTTTAACAATATTTTGTTCTAATTTAAAGGTGAGAGAAGTTAGAAGAAAATTATGCAGAAGCAGCATATGCCTTTCAGTATTAATTTAGAAAATGTTATTTTATAATAATAATAAAATCTTAATAAATGTAATCCAATATACCATTTTACTGAACTATATAAGAGCCTTCCTGCAGATTATGTGCCAACAGCGAATCCCAATAAAATCACCACTCTAACTGTTGACAAGCTAAAAGGGTATCTTGGAATCATCCCTGAAACGATGGAAATAGAAAAAGACGAGTCTTATGCAAGAGAGCTATTTCATTACAGTAGAGAGCTAGAAGGCAAAAGAAGAGTACAAAGAGACCAACAAGAGTAAAAGTAACATAGAAATATTCAAGTAGATTTAGAACAGATGGCCCAAAACATAGACATCATAAAATCAAAAATTGAAGTCGATAATCTAACAGAACAGTTTGCTGTAGCCAGAAAGTACTTAAAATATGCTCTATTTGAAAATAAAGGATACAGCTCTTTGTCAAGGAAAATATTTGAAGATGTTTTAAGCAGAATTACAGAGTCTGAGCTTTACTTGTGAACAGATTGTGTGTATTATTGTGCAGTCATAACTCCATTAGAAGAGTCCCCTCCAGAAAAATACTTCGACACATTAAAAGAAATTATTGAAAAATTCGGCCCACCAAATTTGAAGCAATGGACATATATTTTAGCACTGATATTGCAATCTCCTTACCTTGGAAGTTTCTCTACAAGAGTTAAATCATTGCTCTCTGAAGAGTTACTGAATGTGCTTAATTTCGTTGAAAAAGTTCAAGTCTTGATAGCCCAACCCGAGCCTTGCTCGAGTGACTTTTTATCAGACGTTTATTTGAATTTTTTAGATGTCATAGAAAAAATTGATATAAAAATCCTGATAATTTTTGTAGAAAGCATTCAAATTCCGCTTGTTGTTAAACAAATTTCAAGATGGCTGTTTACTGCTGTTAGAGTTCTTAAATTTATCCATAAAGAGCGGCAGACTGAAGCAGACCAGCTTTATTCATATTTTGAGCTTATTAGCTTTGAAAATGACTTTATGATTGATGTCCCTACTGATATTGATTATAAGATGTAAGAATTATATAGAAAAACAGGAGTTCACGACTTCTCAAAACTGACAAGGCTAACAAAGGTCGCAATTGGTAAAACAAAGAAATTAAGCCCCGGAGGATACAATGATTATTTTTCAGGGAATATGTTTTTATTAGAAGAAAAGTTCCATTTGGCTGTGAAAGATTATTTAAAAGCTGCCAGAGTGATTGAGTATCCGAAGTTCTATAAAAGACTCGCATATTCAGTTATGAAAGTGGGTGCTCTTCTAGAAGGGATTATTTTATATCAATTAACAGACCCAGACTTTTCTGCTTCAAAAGTTAAACCTATTTTGCAGACCGTTCCTCTCCAAAAATTCCTCCTTCCATTTATATGCGATGTTGAGTTGTTAGAATTGATGATAGAACAAAACCGAAATAGAGATGAAATCGTTGAAGATTTATCAAAATTAATTGATTCCCCAGAAAGGCATCAGTCTGGAAATGGCTCGAGGATGAAAAAAATTCTTCTTGACCAATTTTTGGATCTTCTGCATTTCACAGCCCAAAACTTTCGAAAAAATAAACAAGAATAATTAGTAGATTAACTTTAATAAATGTCTGAATGAACTCCAAATGCGAATTTAAAAGACATCGAAAATGCTATTCAGTACCAAATAAAGCAAGCAGCAGAGTTTCTTCGGAAGGATGATTACAATCACTCGCTTTATCTTTTAAATAGCGCTTTAGATCAATCATCGAATATTAAACAAATGGAAGTTAGAAACAAGCTCTGTTCAATTGCTATGAACCACTATGGAACTTATTATAAGAAACTTAAAAACAATGAAAAAGCGCTTGAGTGCTTTTTTAAAGCTGCAGAAATTGGAAAATCCAAAGGCGAAGAGGTAAGCATACTTGCACAATCACATTTAAATATATGTGCAATTTTGTCGGAAAAGCAAGAGCATGAAAGAGCACTAACTCCTACCCTTTAAATTGAAACAAAATATAGGTAAAATTTAAAATTTTTGGGTGAGAAAACCCCCAATATGAACAAATTTTTGTTTTCAATTCGCAAATTATAGCTGAAAATACGAATTTATAAAATTAATTATAATCTAATTTAATCGAAAAAATGTGAATAAAATATTATAAAACAGTTTTTATATTGAATACATTAATCTATAAATTAATTCTTCATAAAATAAGTTAAAAATTATAAATATCCTTTTCAATTTATATTTGCTATAGAGAAAAATTTAATTTAAATTTTTTTTTAAAATATTAGCCCTCCTTTCATTGAATAGGATTTTTTGTTCCAATTTTAAGAGGGGAGATAAGGCACTCTTTGAAGTCTCTTTATTTATTGAGGAATAATTTCAATGAAAATCCAGGCTTAGCTAGTCATTTGGGAATTGCTTATCATAATGTAGGGGTTGAGTATGAATTTTTAAATCAAATGACCGATGCGTTATAGCTCGGCATGCTATTAGCGAGCCTAAGAGCTTAACAGAAGCAGAAGCTAAGTTTTTGACTTTTCTGCTCCATTCTGATGAGCCAAATTCGATTATGCAAACACATCCACAATTGCTACGGTTTGCCAAATTGAGTTTGGCTTGCTAGAATAGAGCGGAAAAGCCTGCAATCTTGGCTTCTACTCCAGCCTGTTCTAAAAGCGCACTAATAGCGTTCTTGAGTTATAGACTGCTATAAGAAAGGATATGACTTATGTAGAGAAAATATAGGAGAAAATCATGAGATAACTAAAAAGCTAAAAAATCATTATGCGATGTGCGAAAGAGAAATAAAAGGCCCTGAAATCCCTTCAGTGCCGTTATTGAAGCATAAAATTGAACTTACCAAAGTTGACAATTCCTTTTGAAAAAGAGGAAAAAGCAGAGAGGCCAGCAGAAAGGCTATAAAACTTCCTGATAATATATCAGGAAATAAGCCTTACAGAAATAAATCCCATCTCAGACTAAAAATTGAAAAAAGTTCTCACCCAAATCATAACAGTTTACAAAGGTTAGGCTACGTCAGTAAGCCTTCAAGTGCAAATGTGAGAAGATCATCTTCAGCAGCAAAAATTCTCAGAACAAAATCTCCACCGATTAATAATGTCAAACTAAGAGAGGCTAGCCCATTTATGAATCTAAGCTGAAAATCCAACCGTAAAAGAGCTCTTAAGCTAAAGGGGTCAAGAAAGTCAATTCCAACTCCCATTCCTATTAGAAGAAAAAGAATTGATATAGAGGAATTTAGAGCTAGAGAAAACCTTGCTGCTACAATCATTCAGGCTTGGTGAAAAGGATGCATAGAACGCATGCGCTTTAAACAGAAAAGAGTTTTGAGTGCTAAAAAAAGATTTTTAAAAGATGCAGAAATTTTGAAAGACATTATTAATCAGAGATCTGCAAAAAAGATTAAGCAAAAAAATATTAAAATTAAGCTAATTCCAAGGAAAAATGATGTAAAAACCTTTGAAGAGCAAATAGTAAAAATCCAAGCGTTTTTTAGAATGCTTTTATGTAGGGTTCGATATTGAAAAATAAAAAAAGCATGCTTAGCAATTCAAAAATCAGCTAAAATGTGGCAGTGCAGGAAAATTTATAAGAAAATTAGAAACGCCGCAATATTTATACAAAGAGAGTACAGAAAGCGTATTTCATGAAGTTTCGATGTAAAGTCAGTAAACAACAAAATTCTGGATGAATAATTTAAATATCATTGTAAATTACTAAGATTCTTTAACAAAAATAATTCTAAAGAAAAATAATTCATAAATGTCTCTACTTTCTCATTTTCTTAAATCAGCATATTCATTCATTTATTTTTTAAATGCTGCAGATGCTGTTTAGCTAATCCAGCCTTAGCTCAGGTATATATATAGAGAGAGATTTTGTATATCTCTATTAATTATCAGCTCGATATTGATGTTTGATCAATGGTTTTTAATAATCTATATGCAAATTTAAGGATATAGACAGATAATGGCTAAACATAAAAATTGAAAAAAAAAGCGATGTGAAGCAATAGTGATAAAGTCGATAAGCGGCTATTGATCAATTTATATCCACCTTTCATAACAAATAAAAATGAATAATCCATGCAGGAAATAATTTACGAATACATTTTTATGAAAATCATTAAAATTAGGTTTCAATGGCTACATAATAGCAGAAAATAACTACAAATATAACTACTATTTTAGGCATGCAGCAAATCAAGAAAGTTTTTAAATAATAGCAAGAAGCAAAATCAGTTTCATTCTCAACGATTTGTAAAATCCTTAAGCTCTCATTAGAAAATAAGTCGGAGTTAATAATTAAAGTTAGATTTTTATATCTACCTGATTGGTCTTTCTTCATCTTTTCTAGCATGAGTCATGGGACAACGACCCAAAACGAAAGATCTGAGAATTTTCACCCTGAAACACCATATAAGAGTCTGATATGTCTAAATGTGCTTTGATATCTTAAGAAAACTGTTCCAACCGCATTTTACTAATTTCTCAGTGTCCAGAAGAAGGGTTTACATTTATTGGTGAATATAATGAATAAGTTTGACGAAGCTCAGCCCAAGAAGACTGAAGCTGCTTGCTGTGGTGGGAATAAGCTGCTTTTCCTCAGAGTCAATAAACCTAAGCAAGCTTTGTCCTATCTCCTCTACTTCCTTTCCATGGGAATTTTCTATCTTCTAAATCACTGATTTATCAGTCTTCAAATGCTGCAATACAACGCTATTGAAGCGGAAAATGCAACCCACGTCCTTGTATGCACCAAAGATGGCATCAAAGAAATCATCCAGATCCGATCAATTGCAATCCCTCTTTCGTCCCTAGGGATCTCCAGCTCTGAACACATAGTAAATCTTGAAGTAAAGTATAAATAGATATTCGATTTCAGGCATAGTCGATATTATTACTCCAAAGAGATGCGCTGCTTCGTTGCTTTGCAATTTCCTTACACTCAAACTTATTCTCAACTCCATGAAAAATTTGGAAAAGGCTTGACTTCAGACTCTCAATATCGAGGAAGACTCTCTTTATTTGGCCATTGCATGATAGATGTTCCGATGCCTGGTGTACTTAAGCTCTTAGTAACAGATGTAATGCACCCTTTCTTTATTTTTCAGATTTTTAGTATTGGCCTATGACTATGGGAAGAGTACTATTATTATTCTGTTGCCATTTTTGTATGTTCAATTGCAGCTCTCTGTGCAAGCTTAATAGAGACTAGAAGCAGTATCAAGGCTGTGAGAGAATTGGCAATGTATGAGTGCTCAATGACAGTTTTTAGAAATGGGTGCTGAAGCGAGCAGAAAAGCCACAGTGTAGTACCTGGAGACTTGGTGAAAATTCCATTAAATATCCAGCTGCCTTGCGATATTGTGCTAACAAAAGGAATATGCTTAGTTGATGAATGTATGCTTACTGGAGAGTCCCAACCAGAGCTAAAAGACGCTCTCCCAGTTTCAAATCAGCTTATTTATATAAATGATAAAAGGTATACTTTGAGTTCAGGAACTGTTCCTTTAACACTTAGAGGTGACCCAGAAGGAATTGTAATTGCGACTGGTTTTTCAACAGCAAAAGGAGAGCTTGTGAAGTCTATTTTATTCCCAAAGCCGAATCGTTTCAAGTTTTATACTGATTCTTTCAAGTTTATTGGACTTATGTCATTATTCGGTCTATTTGGGTTTTTATGATATTTAGGAAACTACATACAAGATGGAGAAAGCTTGGTAGATACGCTGATGAGCTGTTTTGACTTACTCCCCCTTCGTGAGCGAATAAAAAAATATTATTTACTCAACTCATGGAGAGGGTTAACTTTTTTTTAAAAATCCCAATGAGAAATATTGGAAAGAAAATATTTATTTAATTTGTAAAATTTATGATTTAAAATGCAAGCTCTTTAAAATTAAACAGAATTAGCTGGAGATTTCATTATACTAAATATCACTTATATATCAAAAATTTTTAGATTAAATAATATTTTGTCGCTCACGGAGGGTGGGCTTTGGAGGAGGGGAGCTAGTGACAACTATAGTTCCTCCAGCGTTACCATTAGCTATGAGTGTGGGAATGGCCTTTGCTGTGGTGAGATTGAAGGAAAAGAAGATAATGTGTATTTCTCCACCATCTGTTAACGCAGCTGGAAGAGTTTCTATTATTTGTTTTGATAAAACTGGAACTCTTACTGAAGATTCAATGACACTTAAAGGAGTTTGGGAGCCATCAAATCAAGAAATCCATGAAGACTTGACCACCTGCCCTTATGAGCTGCAAGAAAGCATGGCTTCATGCCATTCTTTGATAATTCTTGATGATCATCTCGTGGGTGATCCACAAGAAGTCGCGATTTTCAACAGGTTGAACTGAAAATGAACTGAAAGCGAAGAATACAGATTTGTAGTTACCAATGGGCAACATGAAGCAAAGGTTAAGCATTTGTATCACTTTACTTCACTTTTAAAGCGAATGGGCGTAATCATTGAGCACAATTGCCACCTAAAGCTGCATATGAAAGGTGCTCCTGAAGTCATAATTCCACTGTGCATTAATGTTCCTGATAATTTAAGCAAACAAATTTTCCATTATACCAAGCAAGGATTAAGGGTATTAGCTTGTGCTACAAAAACTCTTCAGACCTTTGATAGCCATCAAAGTCTTAGTGAAATTGAAAATGGGCTGACTTTTCTAGGGCTGCTAATCTTGCAGAATCATTTGAAGCCTGAATCAAAAGAAACTATACAAACTCTGCTAAAAGCTGAAGTAAAATGCGTTATATCAACTGGAGATGCACTGCTGACTGGGCTATCAGTGGCGAAGGAATGCGGGCTTGTGCCTGAAGGAAACAAAGTTCTTATTGGAGACCTGATTAATGAAAAGCCTCACTGGGAAGATGATGAAGGAAATACCTGCGAGCTGACAAATGAAAAAGGAACATCATTAGCGCTTACAGGCAATTTATTGCAGCACTATATTTCTTACATGGATCCTATAGTATCAATCTTCAAGGATCAAGCTGTCATTTTTGGAAGAATGTCACCACAGCAGAAAATTTTGGTTATAGAGCAGCTTCAATATTCTGATCTACTTGTTGCCATGGTGGGAGATGGTGCCAATGACTGTGGAGCCTTAAAAGCAGCAGACGTAGGACTAAGCTTGAGTGAAGCTGAAGCATCAATTGCTGCCCCTTTTACTGGGAAGAAGCTAAACAGCATTATAGAAGTGCTAAAAGAAGGAAGGGCTTCCTTGGTTACTTCTTTTCAAGCCTTTAAGTTTATAGCCTTCTACAGCATGATTGAATTTGTCTTAGAAAACATATATATTAATATGGTTTGGGATACAACCCACCCTCTTAATTCCTGTAGATAACACCCCACAGGTGCGCAGGGACCCTGAGGAAGGGACAATAACGTTAGGGAATTTGTATCCGGCCAGTTTTTAGTTTGATGAAGCGCAATGCTGGGTAGCTGGTCGCATGCTTTACAATAATACATAGTTATTTCCTCAGTGTGAAAGTTGGAAAGGGATTCTCACAGTAGAGTTAAGAGTACCTTTGGCGAATTGAGACTGCTTCCCAACGGGAATCAGAAGCTATGCACTGGGCTTAGAATTTCCATTTTGGCCGAGAGTCAACCAGAAAATTTGACATTTTGAATTTTCCATAGCGGACAACCTTTGTTGATGCACGACACGCTGACACAATTATCCAATTACAGGGTAGCAAGCGCTAGCCCTTGTCCTTGGAGTATTCTTTGCAAGATCGTTTACGAGCGGGGGAGCAGGAGAAGGGGCACGAGCAGCCCTTCAGGAACTATAGTGAGCTTCTCTATAAGTTTAATAAATCTAAAGGCAAGTTCTTAGAAAACGTTCTTTTTATTCACCAAAACAATATGCTAGACAGACAGTTTATGTACATTGATTTAGTTTTGATACTCATTTTAGCGATCACTATGTCATATACTCGTGCATATGATAAATTAGCGACTGAGTTGCCCCCAGGAGTCTTGTTTTCCCTTGAAATTACAGTTCCCATCTTTATGCAAGCTTGCATTTTGATGGGAATCCAATGGGCTGCTTATTACAGTTTGCAGTATCAGAGCTGATATAGTGTTCCCAAAGATACCTCCGTAGTGTGGGCAAGCGAGGTCCCTGACAATACAGTCCTTTTTCTTACTGGAGCAGCTGAAGTTTTATTTACATGCATCGCTCTAAACGATGGTCCTCCCTTCCGCATGCCATTTAGAAGTAACTATTGGTTCACTGGCTTTGCTATTTTCTTTTCCTTCATGCAGGTTTATATGACATTAGTAGCAGATGAAGTAACAAGAGAAATTTTCCAAATGGTCTATCTTGAGCTCGACTATAAGCTTCAGCTAGAAGCTATACTTTTAGGAGGCTTTGCTATCATTTTTATATTTGAAAGATATATTGTGCCAATCTTGAGCAGAAAACTAAGAACTATCAATTGCAAGAGAAAGGTAATTTAATTATTTTTGTAAATTTGGTGGAAATTAATATGGTTATATTAGCATTAATAGTATGTAATATTAATGAGTAATAAAAAAATATTCAAAAATGTTCCTCCAAATCCAGAATTTAAGCTTTTCCCAATAGTAGCTGATTCTGTATTTGTGGAGACCTTTCAGAGAATAGTCAGTATAGAGAAGCAGCCTCTTTCTTGTAGTTCCGCCTAGCTTTAAGTTGTGGAGAGCCACTAAGTTGCTAGTTCTGATTATGAACAATAAATCAGGAGGAAGAACCTGCATAAGCCTCGTTATCTTTTCAAACGTAATATCATTGGATTTGTGCAGCTTCTGTTTGTCTTCCTGGCTAATGATTTCTCCAATCTGCTTTCTGCTATCTATAGTCCTATAGGTTAAAATCAAAGGCAAATATTTGTAGTATTCTCCGATGCCTATTTTGTCACAAATTCTTTTGACTTCAGTATAGTCAAAGTAAAGCATGGCTTTTCAGATCTTGCAAAAATCAACTCTAAAGTTTTTGTCCATCGACCTGTAAAAGCCATGGTCTAGAAGGATAAGCTGAGGATCCCCATCTTGAGCTGCTCTGATGAGAAGATTCCCAGGATGAGGGTCACAGTGCACATGGCCTTCAATGAAAATCATCCTAGCAAAGGTGTTCATGAGGATATCAGATACTTTATTTAAATTAAACCCAGCAGCAGTCATCCCATTTGTATCATTGATTTTTACACCTGACACAAATTCCATTGTAAGTATCCTTTTCCCGCTCAGTTCTCTATAAATTTTAGGCACATACACCCTTTTATCATTTTCAAATATCTTTTTGGTCTTTTCAGCGTTTTCTCTTTCGTAATTAAAATCAATCTCCTTAGTACACATATCATGGAAGGTTTTCCACAACTTCAATAAATCCATTCCTTCATAATCATAATATTTCAAAAGCCAATTGCACACAGCAGTTATATTTCTCAGCACTCTAAAATCAGACTTTGTCTGTGACTGAAGAAAAGGATACTGTAATTTCACAGCAACTTTTTCTCCAGTCTTTAAGTGGGCTACATGTACTTGTGCTAATGAAGCTGCGGCGATTGCGTTTTCCTCAAAACTTAAAAACCCATCTTGATACCTGGGGAGATCTGTTTCCATTACTATTTTAATTTCATCATAGCTGAGAGGTGGAGCGCTATCTTGGAGCACATGCAAGACTTCGGTAAACTCTCTAGGCATGATTCTTTCTAAGCTTCCAAGATATTGGCCTGCTTTAAAGTAAATACCACGACTACTTACACTTAGAGAGAGAATTCTGTTGGCTACTCGATAGTGAATTTTGGATCTCGCCTCGTGATATTCTGGACTTACATATTCAAGACCTCTTAGATTATAGTAGTAATCTCATACTGATAAGGCTAGTATTTTACTTGCTCGACAAGCGTTGATTGAGCTTTTAAAAAGACCTTTCAGGTCTTGCTTGTGTTGATTGTCAGCTATCCCGTAATAAGCTGCAAGTATTGATGTACCGACAAGAGTTGATTTCCCTAAAAATCGCAATGCCATTTGCCTGTGATTTTATAAATAAAATAAGGATTGGAAAATGAAAAAATAATAGAAAACACAAAAGATTTATTAAATTTTTCAAAGTATTCTCACTAAAAATTTTGGAAAAAAATATTTGTTGTGCATCAGCATAATGTTAAGATTAAGATTAAGATTACGCTGGATATTTAAGGTCCCTACTACGTCCGAGGTCGCATGCCACGGTTTCCCGTGTGGTGGCAGAGCGTTCACCAAGCCCGGGCCGAAACCCCCGGGTTTCTCGGTAGAGGTATTGTCAAGGCCCGTCTCATACCGGCTTTGCTGACCACCTCCATTTCCAACTTGGATCGTCGCCTAAGTTTACGCCAACTCCGCTTCGTCGTCCGCCAGATCTGCCATTGAAGGGCACCTTTAAACTGGAGAGACCCCCGTTTTTGTCGTCTAACTCGCCTCCCCTCTTTTCGGTCATCCCGATAAAGAACTCAACAGCTTTCGCCATTCGGGGCGAGCCACAAAAGCAGCTTAGGCAGGTAAGTCGCCCTGCCTCATTTCGGGCACTCATTGGGCTGAGCGCTGCTGGCAAAAAGAAGTCACGAGTAACTGCCCATGGGTCTGGCGGCAAAAACAGCGGTTCTCGCGCTTAGGCCTCTCGCTTCAAGGTCCCAGACGTTGTTGGGCTAACTCCTGGCTCCAAAAACCATGCCCGGATATACATGGGTTACCACCACTGAGAGGGTGGGTCGGTCGCCATACGCCATTTTATGTATATATCAGCATAATGTTAAATTTAATTGCTTAAATTATTACCTAGATCACTGTGTGTATATACACTGTGCATATCATTGTCTATACAAATTAAAGTTTATCTCTGCCCATATCCCATTCCTCTGCTTGGAGATTCTACTGTAGGCTTCGAGGTTTTCACAATAGAACTTTCAAAAATCGACCAAAACCTCAAAGTTTCGTCTGCTCCAGCTGAAACAACCATCGAGCCTTCCGGGTTTTGCGCGAGGCAGAGGATTCTTGCAGAGTGTCCCATAAAATCATTAATTTTCTTCATGTCCGGGTATCTTCATAGCGTTAATTGGTTTCTTGAGTATCCATGAGCGCTCAGCAGTTCTTTATCATGCTGGTTCCACTCTAACCCGCAAACTTGGCTTTCTGAGTCAATAGATTTGATGCAGCTTCCCGTCACAGAGTTTCACAACTTAATTTGTTTATCAGCTGTTCCCCCGCCAGTTGCTAATAAATTAGCCTTCCATGGGCATCATGCCAAAGCTTTTACAGCTGCAGTGTGCTCATTAGCTGTGAACTGAGGAGTAGTCGAACTTAATTCTCACAGACAAAGCTTATTATCATTTCCGCCAGAAGCCAATTGTGTGCCTTCAGGATTTCATTTCAGCCCACACACTTCTTGGGTATGTGCTTGATTTTTCACAAAGTAATTTTGGATCCTTAAATCATGCTGGATTATAGACGCATCCCTACTTCCTGAGCTTAAAACATAACCGTTTCATGCTAAAGAAGAAACACGATCTGCATGTGCTGAAATGCTTCGGATTTCTGACGATTTGTCAATATCGAACAGCTTTATTGTGTGTCCTGAGTCGCCAACAGCCAAACAAGAGCCGCCCTTCATCCATGAGACTGATGTGATAATATCTGCAGGATATTCCAGCAATTGGCTGACGCTTCCGTTAGCAGCATTTCAGAGGTAAAGCCTGTTTCGCAAGGCCACAGCTAATAGATTAGAATCTGACCAGGCCAAAACATTCAAGTAGTAGTCGTCAAGGATATCTGGAGCATCCAAAATTCGGGATGCCTGGGTTGGCAAAGCTCGATAGGAGGCAGAAGGGATGCAGGTTGTAGAAGTGCTTCGAAATAGCGGGGCGTCGTTGGAAGTAAGTGTGGAATCTGAATAGCACAAGTGGCTGTAAAGACTTGAAGACTCGTTATCAGCATATGCAGATGTGCTGATGTTAAATCCTGGAACATAGTCGATCTTGCGAGAATTGAGATATCGATCAGTCTAAATAACAGTTACTTTGTTGCTGTTGTGTGTGGATGAACTACGGCTGCTACGGGCTACAGATTGGCTTGGAGTGCTGTAGCTTGGAGTGTGTTCGTATTTTCTCTTATGCATGTTATCGTTAACTTTTTTTAAATATGGGGGAAGTAAGCATTTAGAACAAATAATTAATTAAGCACAATTCCTTACTCACTCGTTTAATAGTGAATTTTTTTGTCTATTATTAATTGTGATATGACTTTAGAGGAAAATATTTTATATAAATGAAATTTTTCAGAATAAAAGAAGGAGGGAGTAAACAAGAAAATGAAGATTTTGTTCTCTATTAAATAGGAGAATTAGATATTTGAAATTTAATCGTATTTATTCTTGGTATTTGCTTCAATAATTTTGAAATTATTTTTTATTCTCATAATTCAAAAAATAATGACTTATATTTCTCTACTGATTTTTAAAGAATTAGGACTGGTCTGCTTATATTCGCTTATTAGCATTTCGGAGCATGATAATTTAATATAAATTTTCGAAACAAATACTCAAATTTATTTTGCTTTGAGTTGAAGGTGTTTAAGTGAAAACTGATTCATATTAAATAGGAAAAAATTAAAATTGTATGCATGGAAAATCTAATAAAATGAAATAAGCATAATTAGTTTTATATTCCATAATTATAATTTTTTTAGGATACTATTAGGTAAAACATTACAATAATCCGGCCAGGCTTTAATAAACACTTTAATGCTATTTTTACAGCTGCTTCAATAATTATTTGGGAATATTATAAAATTAACTACAAATAGAAATATGAGCATACGCCAAAAATGTTTATTTGAGGCGACCTGCAAGTGCAGATGTAAGGATATAAATCTTTGCATAAAACACTATAATGAGCATATAGAGAGTGAAGCCGGAAGCCATATGAAAGAAGAATTTTTTGATGAAATTAATATTGAATCAAAATCCTTAATACTCAATAAGCTAGATTCTCTTAAAATAGAAATTCAAACATTTCTTGCTAAAGAGAGAACTTTTATTGCTCAAAAAAGTAATTCTTGATCTCTAACTCTTCCCTCATGAGCGATAAAAAAAAATTTTTGGCCCACGAAGGGGTTAATTTTTTTATATAAATTTTATAAAAAAAAATTTTTAAAAACCCCAATTGGAAAGCAAATATATAATTAATTTATAAATTTATGTTTTAAAATGCAGTTTATTTAAAATTAAACAGAATTAGCCGAGACTTCATTATATTAACTACCACTTTATATCAAAATACTTTTTCATAGGCAAATTTTTGCTCACTCATGGAGGGTGGGTTTCTTGGCAAAAAATAGGCATTTTTCTAATGATTTTGTCGCTCCATTAGAGGGTAGTAAGTGAAATGCAAATTCTAATTAAAAGTTCTTCAGAAACAATTCAATTGATAAATAGTATCTATTTATACATTTTGAAAACTGAAAAAATTCAGAAACAGCCATGCCCAAGTGTTGCTGATTTTTATTTAATTCAAACTCCTGAAGTTACTTCAAAATATATTAAAGTTCTGAAAATAGATCTAGAAAATAGCACCTTATTGGATGAAACGAATGCAATTAAAAAAAAATTAGTAAACTTTAATTTTTTTAGTTTTAGCGAGCATTATACATTTGGCATCACCAATACTAACATCAAAAATGAAAAGAATTTATCCGATGCTTTTTATCGAATGGGATTTGAATTTCTATGCAATAGAGAATATGAAATGGCAGAAATGACTTTTTCAAGATGCAAATATATTTATGATTTAGAAAAGACTGATGATAAACTTGATATTATTAGGCAGGAACTATATTCATCAATTTTTCCATTTCTCAAAGCCAAAGACTATACACATTTTGCAAAAGCAGTTAGGAAAGCCAAAGCATTTTTTAAGGAAAAAGATAGAGCAGCATTATATTTTGAACTTGCCCAACTATATACTGCGATTTCGCTCCAAAGAAAAGCAATAAAATGCTATAAAAGAGCTATTAAAAAGATAGACAAATCAAATCCTCACTCCCCCCCATCCTTGATCGAACGACTCGCCATCGTTCGATCAAGGATGGGGGTTTAAAATTTTTTTTGGAAAAAAAAAATTATATATAAAATAAAATATATATATATTGGTTTTTATTTACTTTTAAATAAGAGGGTTAAGAGTATTTAATAATTATTTTTCCAGTAAAAAATTGAATTAATTTCATAAGAATACCAATTTTTAATATTTTGATTTATTAGTTACCCGTTTCAACTGTATAAATTTTAATTTGTTCCTTATTGAATTAAATTTTTTTTTTTTAATTTTAAAGAATCTCTATTTTTTAGATTATTGAGTTTTTAAGCCTAGGTTGATGAATAAATCACTTCGAATTGTTGATTCCACAGCTTTCTGTCGTCTCAAAGCTCTGAAAACAATTTCATTAGATACATCTTCCTAGGCTTTTGATAACTAATATATTTTTATATATATAAAAATTTACATGATATGAAAATCGTTCGATCAAGGATGGGGGTTAATTTCCCCAATTTTTTTAGGAATTTTTACAGTCAATCGTTGGATCAAGGATGGGGGGGGAGTCAGAAATTTTGGCTGTTTTTAAGACTTGGAATTCTCTTGAAAGATGTAGGGAAAAGGGAAGAAGCAATGAAGTTCTATAAAATGGGATTAAAATTTGGGAAAAATATTCAGCATAAAGATATTTTTAAAGCTTATAATCTCATTGCACTGCTGTATTTAATAAGCTCAAATTTTAAAAAAGCAGAGACATACTTTTGCATAGCTAAAAGAATGCTTGAGGCAGCAAATAGTAATGGTGAAGATTATGCAATTTTTCTTTTTAGCTATAGCACCATGTATTTACTCCCCTCCTCCGTTAGTGAACCAAAAAATTTTGTTCGCTCACAGAGGGGTTAATTTTTTTTTTTAAAAAAAATTATGTATGGAATTCCATACATTTTTTTTTAAAAAAATTCCGGTTCGTAAAATTGAGAAGCAAAAAATTAATTTAATTTATTAAATTTATGTTTAAAAATGCTAGCTGCTTAAAATAAACAGAATTAGCTAGAGATTTCGCTATAATAATTACACTTATATATCAGAATTTTTTTCATAAAAAATTTTTGTTCGCTCACGGAGGGTAAGTTTTTAGGCAAAAAATAGGGATTTTTCCAATGGTTTTGTTCGCTCACGGAGGGGAAGTTAAGGAAAAACCAGATATCAGATGGTTTGGTTTTACTCAAACTGGTAAAACAAATTTTTAAAAATAAAATTGTTGATGAAGGGAGTCTTGCTGGAATCTATATGAATATAAATTAATTAAACGATTAAACTGGCCATAAGCTAGCAAATCCATTAGCCTTCGCCTTTTCTTAGTTGCAAAATAGCCACCTCCGCGTCCAGTGAGACAAAGAAGCTTTCATTTTGGATTTCCAGTCTGAATTATCCCTTCAAGAATTAGCTCCCTGGGCATAGCAACCGTCTGTAGAGCACTCCGATGATCCAAGTAAGGGAAGACCTTGCGGTAGGCAAAAACCTGTCTCGCCCATCTTGCAGAGCCTGGCAAACCTTGGGTAGAACAAAAAAAAACTTCCCTCTACTGCAGGCTTCCCCAAACCTGAAGGCCTTCTGTTTTCAGTTTCATCAGCATGGATCCTACCCTGATCTATAGGGAGTGTTCCTCGAAGTCCAATTTCCGTCAACGTCAACATTATATTTCTTATATCAATATAGGAATTGCTTATAGAAAAGTTAAAAATTACAAAAAAGCGCACAAAGCCTTTAGAAAAGCAAGAAATATCTACGAAAAATATTTGCCACAAAAGCATCCAGCTATTGGAGATGTCTATCTAAATATTGCTAACACAGAATTGGATATAGGAGATATTCGAAGAGGAATTGCTCTACTAAAGCAATCAGCTGATATTTGTAAAATATATAATAATTTGGGAAAGCTCGCAGATGCTTATTTAATTTTAGCAGGTGCATACTACGATAAACAAGAATACCCTGAATCTGAAGAATATCTAACGAAAGCTTATCCGGTTTTTGAGAAGCTTGGGCAAAATGAAAAATTATTTCAATTTTATCTTTTTAGAGCCAGATTTTACAGAACAATAAGAAATTATCATAAAGCTGAAGAAAATATTTCTTATGCTTCCAAATTTTTAACTGGAGAAAAGAAGGATGAAGCTGATTTTAATTTCGAGGTTGCTTGCCTGTGTGCTGATTTAGGAAATAATAATGAAGCTCATAACAGGTTTATGAAATGCAAAGAGTTGAGAGAAAATATTTTAAAAGATGAAGAAGATTTAAGCACTCTATATCTTATAATGTCAGTTTTCTACAGAGGGCTTGGGCATATGAATTTAGCTGAAAATCTTTCAGTTAATAATTTAAATATAGCCAAAAGAATTTATCCTCCCTATCATGTAGAGTTAGCAAGGGCATATATGGAATATGGCACCTTATGCTCAAAATTAAATAGGGTTGAGGAAGCAGAAAAATATTTAATGGATGCTTTAACAATTTTTCAAGGGAAAGACCCTTATCATCTTCCAGACCTTGCGACACTTTTTATGAACATAGGAAATTTAAAGAATCAAAATCACAAAGTGGATGAAGCCAAGGCTTATTATCAAAAATGCCAGGAGTTTAAGTACCCGGCGGCGTCTAGGGGTCTTTGCTGGAACAGATCAACACTTTGTCCTCCCGACATTAGGCCGATGGAACAAAAGCCGTATGGCCAAAACCCAGTAACTAAGTGGCTTTTCTACGGGATGTACGTGGGCTTCTCGTCCCCACCCTACGGACAATTGATTATATCGTTAAGTTTAAGCGGCTAGTCTAACTAATTAATTATAACGTTTAACGTCCACTACGGGGTAGACTATCCCAGACCCGCCACTTGCCTTTCGCCGCATCGGGCCCACGAGTTGCTGGGCCAACCCGTCTCGATCACCAAGGTGCGCCTAGGGCAAATGTCACCGGCTTCGACGGCTTAAGCGGCTAGTCAGTTCCAGATTCAGAGTCTCTTATCGGATCGCTATTCCTCACTAATGGACTGCAATTGGTCTCTTTCTTTACTCTAGTTGTTTACCTAAAGCCCCGTCAGAATCGCCACACCTGCCATTTTTATTTTTAAATACCAGGAAACTTTGCAAAGATGTGGGATGGGCCACACAGTTAATATGGGTGACGTAAGTCTCAATTTAGGGGCTTTATATTATAATCTTAAGGACTGAAGCTCTGCCGAATCTCACTGTTTAAATGCTATAAATATTTATGAAAAGTTGTTAGATCCTTATAGCAAGAATTTATTAGCTGTATACTGAAATATTGGAAATACTTATTTTAATATGAAGATAAGAGATAAAGCCATACATTTCTACCTAAAATGCAAGCTCATTATTGAAAAATCAGAACCAAATGAATATCCAGGAAAAATTTTTAATGAATTGCAGATCAAGCTAAAAAAGCTTGAATTAGGATCAAATAGCATGTAATTTAATAATATTTTAAACATTAACACAGTAGCATTTTATTCACTCGCTAACTCGAAAAAAAGTTTATTTATTATCACAGAATTTATTCTAGATTGTATTTATTAATATAAAAGCCGGTGGTAGTTGCTCTTAATTGCTAACTCCACCCCCGTGAGTGAAAAATCTTGTTCGCTCACGGAGGGGGTTAATTTTTTTCAATAAATTTATATATAAGTTTTATAGAAAATTGTTTTTTCGAAATTTAAAAAAATCCTCACTTCGCAAAAATTTGAAAGCAAATATTAATTTAATTTGCAAAATTTATATTTAAAAACGCAATTTGTTTAAAATTAAACAGAATTAGCTAGAGATTTAATTATACTAATTATCGTTTATATATAAAAAGATTTTTTCATAAAAAATTTTACTATGAAAAAAATTTTTGTTCGCTCACTGAGGGGGGAGCAAGATCATTAAACCAATGGCATTTTTATTTATAAGATAGACTATTAAATAATAAAATTACTATATTTTTTTGTATTATTATTATTATTAATTTACTTTCGAATAGATAAAAGCAATAAAAAATAATAAAAATTAGGCTCTTTTAAAAATAGAAAATACAGAAAATTTATAAAACACGAGCTTGAGACTCTTATGGAATAAAAATTTGATATGTTTCAGGGGTAATAATCAATCATTATTAAAAAATACTGATTCTATAAAGTATTTGTTTCACAATTAAAATGGAGAATGGCATTCTTATTTTCGATTTAGTGAACACCTTGGTGAAAGCTCCCTCTTGTGAAGCAAGAAAAAAATTAAACCAATTAAATGCTTCTACTTATGCAAAATCTGATTCTGATTCGCTGAAAGAAGACAAAAAAGAATCAACCTTAATCGATATATCAGGCTACAGACTTTGAAAAGATACCATGAAAGTGCTAAAATTGCTAACTCCCCCCTCCGTGAGTGAACAAAAAAATTTTGTTCACTCACGGAGCGGGGTTAATTTTTTTTTTTAAAAAATTTATATATAAATTATATAGAAAAAAAAATTTTTTTCGAAATTTTAAAAAAATCCTAATTTGCAAAAATTGGAAATCAAATATTAATTTTAATTTGTAAAATTTATGTTTTAAAACGCAATTTGTTTAAAATTAAACAGAATTAGCTCTAGATTTCATTATACTAATTATCACTTATATATCAATTTTTTTTTTCCATAAAAAATTTTTTATTAAAAAAATTTTTGTTCACTCATGGAGGGTGGGTTTTTGGGCAAAAAATAGCGATTTTTCTAATGGTTTTGTTCACTCACGGAGGGGGGAGTAAAGAATAAAGGATATTGCATGATTCTAGCAATAAATTCTTCTAATATTCCAAAAACGAACAAAATAATAGATGAATTAGGAGATGAAACTCAAAAGCTAACTCCCCCCCCCTCCCTGAGTGAACAAAACCATTAGAAACATCACTATTTTTTGCCCAAAAACCCACCCTCCATGAATGAACAAAAATTTTTTATGGAAAAAAATTTTGATATATAAATGATAATTCGTATAATGAAATCTAGAGCTAATTCTGTTTAATTTTAAACGAATTGTTTTTTAAAACATAAATTTTATAAATTAAATTAATATTTGCTTTCCAATTTTTGCAAATTAGGATATTTTAAATTTCGAAAAAAAAATATTTTTTATAAAATTTATATATAAATTTTTTTAAAAAAAAAAAAATTAACCCCCTCCGTGAGTGAACAAAATTTTTTTGTTCACTCACGGGGGGGGGGGAGTAAGGGATATTTTTCACAGAGTTTTTATATCTGGGGAGCTTGGTATAAAGAAGCCTGATCCCAATTTTATTCACACGATTATATCTATTTTAGGTGAAAACGCATCTGCTGTGCTTGATAAAACTTATATAATTGGTGATATGCTTGATAAGGATATTGCTTGTGGAATTAATGCTGGAATCAAGTCAATTTGATTAGACATTTCGGCTTCAGACCAGGTAAAACTTATTTAGGAAAGAAACATTGAAGCTATTAACTCTGGGAGAATCAAATACCCAAGAACAATATCTTCTTTAAGTCTACTGGAAAGCGCTATTGAATTTTATGAGCCTCTTGGAATAAAGGCTGGATATATTATCCCAACAGCGAAAAAAAGAGAAATCATTGGGATGAAAGGGTGTTTTGCAAGCAGCAACAAAGTTTGATATAACTTTATTGACCCTTATGCGGATTTTTCTCAAATTGGATCTTATGATGTCATTGTTCACAAGGCTGTTGATCTCTTGTCGATGAAGGTAAAATCTAGCTAGAAAGCACATGCTTTAAGCAGCCTTAGGCTCTTTATAGATCAGCACCCAGATATCAAAATCATAGATAGCTTAGAATGCATAGAATATTTACTGAAAAGAGGAGATATGTATAAAAAGCTACAAGAAACAATCGGTTCTGGTATTTTCATAAATGAAATGAGACTAAGGCTTCCTTGGCAAATAGATATTTTACAGCCGAGCCCCGATTCAATACCTTTTGTGAGAAATGAAATGGAAAGTCATAGCATAAACTTCCCACTTTTAGTGAAAACAGACCAATCATCAGTCTCAGATTTGTCACATTTCATGTGCGTGGTTTTTGATTTTGAAGGCCTTATTACAGCATTCACAAATTTCCAAGAAAAATTATAGGCACTGCCCTTGATTGCCGGCAAAGGCTTAGAGCTCTCTCCAATTGGTTGGGCCAGCTCAAGCTAGTCAAACCAACTGGAAAAGTTGGCAAATGAGCCTCTTATTGTTCAATTGCCAGCTCTCCAATCGGTTCGACAACCTATGTTTAGCCAATCAACTGGAGAGAGGGGCTCTCCATCCCAGAGCCCTTCACAGGCACTTCAAGGGCATTGCCTATAATTCTGCAAGAATATATTAATCATGACAAAACAGTTTACAAGGTATATGCATTAGGAGAAGATATTCGATACTTTTCTCGACCTTCTTGCAGTAATTTAGTTTCGGGACAAGGAGTAGTTTCTTTTAGAAGCGATCAGCCGTGGCCACAAAGTCTTAAATCAGAAGACAAGCAAATAATCAGAGATCTAAGTATGGAAATCGTCAGATTGGGAGCTCAAATAATTACAAATTCCCTTAAGATCACTATTTTTGGCTATGATATCCTGGTCCAATCCCATACAAATGATTATATTATTGTGGATCTAAACGTATTCCCAGGCTTCAAAGAATACTCCAATCTCTCAGAGGTGATGGATCAGCATATAATTAATACTCTCAAAAACTAATTTAATTATTTTAAATGTCTTTAAAAGGAATCGTTGAAGTGGCAATTCATGTGGAAAGTTTCCGGAACATAGATTTATTCCATCAAGGGCTTTATTTCCTCAAGTTCTCAGTCTATACAGCAACTCCAGCTAGCGTTACCCCAGCTCATCCTTATAATGTGATTAGCACTTATGTTGTAAGGAGCAAAAGGACACAGAAGCACGACCCTCACCATGTAATGCCAGCTGGTAAAGATGAGTCTACCAAAATCTACTATACCAGAGCCTTTTTGATCAGATATTGTGAAGAAGAAGTCGAACTGAACGACATTGGCTATTTTAGAACTGAAATTGGCAAGAGAGAGGATAATAATAAAATGGCTTTGGATGGAAAGGTATTCGCTCCTCGAATTCCTTTAGACTCATCCAACTTTTTATATGATAGGTTAGGCTTTTGAACGAGGATTCTACACAAGAGGAGAAAATGGTCATGAATTTTATACTTCTTCCATTTACCCTTAGTCCGAGCACACACTGGGGAAAAAACGAATAGAATGAGGCAACTCTCCAGTTCGCTATTATTTCAAGAACTTCTAGATTTCAAAGCCTTCATGGAACTAGAAGAAGCAGCTCGGACTTCTAGGCCATACATAAATTTGAGATAAGCGACAAGATAGATGGAGAAAATAATGTCTCGTAACCTATGCAGCTAGAGTTAGTTAAATTAATTCATTGATTGAATTGACGAAGAACTAAATATTTTGAAAAAAGAAATCTTTATTGATGTTGAACTAATGTTCAGCGACCTTGGAGGAGAAGTCACTCCTGAGAAAGCTTATGAAATGGTTGAGGAGCATCAGCTGGAATTCAAAAGTGTCGCAAAATCGAAATTGACCTTAAGCGCGGGAGCATCAGGAATGCACGAATTCTATCCACTTGTGTTCAGTGAAAATTATTTTTCGATAGCCAACCTTATGGTGCATACTTCCTTGCTTGATTTTAGGTACCGCGTGCTACCACAAATATCGTCACCGAAAAATTCAAAGCAAAAACTTGGATACACTAGTTTTGCAGAGTATCTATTTAAGGATAGCAAGGGAAAGCCAAAATCCTATGTAGGTGCTGTGAATGTCTTTCATTGGGATATTATCCCTTGCAACCATTTTCTTGGTACTATTTGATCGAAAAATTTATCTCTCAGCTATTTGGTCAAAAAATAAATTTTTTTTACGAGCAAATATGTCTGACAAGGAAAAAGTTTTAACAAAATGGTGCCCTGGAAAAATCACGGCCCACTGTAGGTGCTGAGGAAACTGACAAGATTTATCACAAATATATTGAAATGATGGCGAATTCCTATGAAAAATTAAGAAACTGCTTTTTATTATTTACAGGAAAATGCTTGAATCAAAGGGAAAAAGAGTCACTTGGACCGATCTGCTTGCCACCTCATTTAACACTTCCAGGCAGTCAAGTGCAAGTCTCATATCCCCTGAATCGTAAAAACTTTATAGACTCCATGAATGAGTCATCCGCAGCGCTAGATTATATTGATGAAAACAAAGAAGACAGACCAGAAATTTCTTTAAGTAGTATTTCAGGCCTTGAAGAAGAAAGGCAGGGATCAGGCTCAAGGTTTAGTGAAAGAGTAGCATCACATGATCCAACAAAAATTGCAGGGATGCTGCTGACTGATATCAATCTTATGGCAGGGCAACTTCTTCAGCTATGGCACAGACTTCTTGATTTACTCCACTGATCTGTGATCAGTAAAATCCATTTGATCGCTGCTAAGGGAGATAAATTTATATAGTAAATTTGTCTTTCAAAATTAAAAAAATCCTTCTAAAATTAGGAAGTATATAATTTAATTGTAAAATTATTTTAAGAATGAAATTAAATAAAATCAGCGAGTGATTTTATTATAATAATTATCCTTAAAAGGCAAAATAATTTTTATAAAAAACTTTTGTTCACTCATGGAGGTTGGTTTTTTCTTAAAAAATAGAGATTTTTCCTATTGTTTAAATTGCTAATGGAGAGAGTTAGTAAAACTAGCTCCAAGACCACTTTCGACTCTCCTTCAAGAAAATTTCAGCGAAAAATTTAAAGAAAGATGAAGTGAAAGCATTATTAGAAATGTTATAAAGACTAAAGATTTTAATTTATCCTCACTCCCCCAATAATAAGCAAATTCTTGCTTATTTGTGGCGGTTTTAGCATAAAATTTTCAAATAGTATATTTCATATGAATACATTATTCTAGGATGGAAAATGCATTTTTTGAAATTTTATCTGAAAACCCCAATGATCTATTCATATAAAAAATGCAATTTAAAAATTTTGTATAAGGAAGATTTTGCTATTATTGGAGGGGAGTTAGATGAAAATATAGGGGTCACACATGACATAGTTGCTCAGCAGCGTAGACAAGATAGAGTCTATCGAACTCCAGAGCCTATGCCAATAGAAGAAGAAGGCATGCTTCCAAGCCCAGAAATCCACCCAATCTTATTTGAAGATATCTGTATAAGAGAAATTAATAGCGCCATTAATTCAATGCATCCATTATCACAAAGTACTGGCGACAGTTTTGAAAACTTCGATAGCGAAATTTCTTTTAAGCAAAATACGCTATATAGAGGAGTACACTTAATTGTATTAGTCCATGGGTTTCAAGGAAACCATTTTGATATGCGATTAATGAAAAATAATATTGCCACTGTTCACCCAGAAGCTTTATTTTTGTGCTCCAATTCTAATGAAGACTCAACTGAAGGGGATATAGGAGAAATGGGAGTTAGGCTAGCTCAGGAGGTCATGAATTTTATATCTGAGTGGTGTCCTAATAAATCTCTGGGCAGACTTTCTTTTATAGGCCATTCTTTAGGAGGACTTATAATTAGGTCAGCACTGCCATACTTAGAGCAATACTCATCACGAATGCACCTGTATATGTCTTTTTCAAGTCCCCACCTAGGCTACATGTACAATTCATCAAGGATCATTGATGCTGGCATGTGGCTTCTTAAAAAGTGAAGGAAATCAAGGTGTCTACAGCAGCTTACTATGGGCGACAACAGAAACATGAGACAAACTTTCATGTATGAGCTATCCACCAAAAAGGGTCTAGGCTGGTTCAAACAAGTCGCATTAGTCAGTAGCTTCCAAGACCAATATGTCCCATATGACTCAGCAAGAATGGAAGTTTCTCAGCGTGCTGCAAATGACCCAGATAAAGGCGAAATCTACATGGAAATGGCAAGCAACCTCCTTTCTCTTATGAGTGTTGATACTCTTTACCGCCTTGACATAAATTTCAAAATCGCCGAGAAATCTTTGGACTCGTTTATAGGTAGAGCTGCCCACATCCAGTTCTTAGAAAACCAAACCTTGATGAAGATGATTATATATAGATATCCTGAACTATTATCTTAATAATTAAAATGGCTGTAAGAGGGCTTTTTATTGTCGTTGAGGGCATCGATCGATCAGGAAAATCTACTTTTGTGCGTGCTCTAGCTGCGAGACTGGGTAATTCTGAAATAATGTCATTTCCTAACAGGCAAACTCAAATTGGTTCTATGATAAATAGCTATTTAACTAATTCAATACACATGAGTGATGAAGCAATCCACTTGTTGTTTTCTGCAAACAGATGGGAGTGCAAAGGCCTCATTGAACAGACATTAAATGCTGGAAAAAACGTTATCCTTGACAGATACGCTTATTCTGGAGTTGTTTATTCTGCCGCCAAAGGGCTAGATTTGGAATGATGCATGGCTTCAGATATAGGACTTCTAAAGCCTGATATTGTGCTCTACTTAAAGCTTGACCCAAGAGAAGCTCAATTAAGAGGAAACTTTGGAGAAGAGAGATATGAGTACTTGGATTTGCAGAAGAAAGTTAGTGATAATTATGATATGTTGATGGGGAAGATAAATAACTGTAAAGTACTTGATGCAGCACTGCCAACTGAGTCTTTATTGGAGTTGGCAGAATTAGGAAGTGTAGATACGACTAAAGCATTAGAAAAATTATGGTAATTAATAGCATTAAAGCTCAGAAAAGCTTTCTTCGGCTAGTTGGTTCTCACCAAATATATAGAAAATTCCTGGGGATAGCGCGGAATACGCTATCCCCAGGACCAACCGGGATCGGATCCCACATGGAACGAGGGTTCCATGTGTGGATCCATTTTTCACACGTGAAAGTAAATATCTCACATGTAAAAAATGGATCCACACATGGAACTCCCGTTCCATGTGTGAATCCGATCCCGGGTTGGTCCTGGGGATAGCGTATTCCGCGCTATCCCCAGGAATTATCTATATCTTCAAACGCAGCTGCCTCACATTGTAAGAATCCAATTAAGTCGCAATTCTGAGCAGTGCCTTCTATCATCGAAATTTTCTCTTTAAGCTCTGCTATAATAAGGATGCTTTGAGCAAGATCTTCTCTATATTGTTCTTTTTCGGCCAACGCCCGATGCTTCTCGGATTTTTGTTGCTCAAGACTTGTCTTTAATCTTTCCAACTCTTTTGTCTCGTTTAATTGCTGGTCCAGTCTTCGCTTAAGTTTTTCTTCAGAGTCTCTAAAGGAGAAAACATTATGGACATGCTTAGGCGATACTAAAACATCGTCAGAAAGCTGGTTTCTTACGCTGAAAAGCTCATCAGAGACCTCTTTGATTTTATATTCCACTTCTCTGTTGTTGCTATCTAAACGGAACATAACTTCAAGCAGCCCTTTTACCTCTTCAAGTGTATGCGCTCGCTGCTCAACTTCATAATTTAGCCTATCCCTTAGCGTTTGTTTATCTGCCTGCAGGTTTTGTAGCATTTCTTCATAATTCTCTATAAGCTTCATACAATTGTCTCCGAAAACCTGCTTAATTATAGTGCTTGAAGAGGAATCTAGCGATGATGCCTTATCTTTTGATAAAATTATATAGGAAAGCTGCTGCAAGGTCTGCTGAGAAACATTTTCGTCTACTTTGGCTTCATGGTTCTGTTCAGTCTCATATATTTCGATTTTTTCTTTAAGGTTTTCAATTTCTTCCAAATGATGTTTTTCTTTATTTTCCAAATTTTTTATTGTTTCTTTAAGTGAATGATTAAGTTTTTCAAGTGACAGTAATTCTTCTGTTGATTGGTCTATTTTAGAAATATCTTTCCCATTCAAGCTCAAACTTTTTTTTAGGAAGGAGATCTCTTTTTCATAGCTTTGTATCGTTGCACTCATTTCACTTATGGCGGTATCTTTTACCTGCAGCTGATTTTGCAGTTCTCTTTTTTCGATTTTTGATTCCAAAATTTCACTCTCAATTTTAGTTTTGCTGTCCAAAAGACTGAGAAATCTTTCTCGGGAATTTGCGAGATCTGACTCAAATTGTTCAATGCTTGCTTTGTATCGATTTTCTAGCTTCTTCAGCTCATTTTCATAGTCAGACTTTTTAGCTCTTAATTCATCCAATTCCACTAATATGCTTTTTGATTGATAATCTCTATCACTTGACTGTCTAACTCCCTCGTACTTGATCAAATCTATCCCATCGATCATTGATGGGTAAAATTTTTGATAAAAAGTAAATTTTATTAACATAAAAATTTTTTATCAAATTTTTTCCCGAATAAAAGTATTTATGCAAAAGATAGAGTATAAATATTAGCAAATACACTAGAAATCGTATTGCAATTGCCCATATGCTATTATACATAGCAGTTAAATTTGAGATGGGTAGAGGAATGGTTTCAATCTTGACTATATGAAAATTGTTTGATCAAGATTTGGGCTAATTTTCAATTTTTAAGGAAATTTTAAATGGTGTTGCTAATCAAGCATATGGGGAGTGAGAATTTGTGATGAAAGCGAATTAAAATCATTTCTTGTTTCTTGAAGTTTGGCTCTAAGAGCAGCAAGTTCTTCTTCTTGCCTGTCGCATTTATCTGATTTTTCTTTTAGCTGCTCAGAAGTCGCCCTATAAAGCTCCTGTGTTTCTTGAAGAGCCCTTTTTAATTTTTTAAATTCAATTTCATCTTGTATAATAATTTCTCGATCAAGCAAATTCGGCTGCTTTACACTAGAAAAATCAATTATTTTTTTCCCAACTGGCTGATGAATGATTTGGGCTGTTCATTCTTCGCTGACATCTTCTTCATCTAAATTTATACTATCCGCCAAATCAGAAATCATGCTAATTTTTCCTTGTGAAGGCTTAAAATTCTTAAAAAGTGCCAGCTCAGCGACATATTTACTCACTAAATTGTCTTTTTCCACCAATAAAGTCGTCAAAGATCGATTTGTCCTCTCCAAGTCTTCACAGCGGTCTTTATAAACCTGCAGCTGACTTTCAATTTCATAGTTTTTTTTCCTTTCCAGACTTAAAGCTGACGTAATATCTTGTATTTCTTCTTGACCAAGATGCAGCATCATGCGCAATTCTTCTACAGGTGCATCTTTTTGAGAAATTTTTATCGAGCCATACCTTGATTTTTCTTGTGAATTTTTTGAAGAAAAATTAATTTTTTGTAAGGCCAGCTGCTTTGAGTGCTCTTGGAGTTCTTGCTGCCTTTTAGCCCAATGATGTACTATTCTATTCAACTGAGTACCTCAAAAAAACAAGGATTTTATATTAGGGGGATATAAGCAATCATTATCCTCAAGCATATGCATCAAATGACATGAATATAAATTAAATTATAAATGGAAGAATCTCGCGATACCAGCACTCTCAATATAAATTTACGCGGCAAAGAAGTCAGAGTTCTTTTGCCTGCCAGATTTGACTACATCCACGGAGGTCACGCTAAACTTATCACCGAAATCCAAAATAAATTCAAAAAAGTGCATCTGGTCCTTGGCTTGATTGTTGAAGACACAAATACCTCGCTTCTTTCTCTGACTGAAAAAGTAGAAACCCTAAAGCACTTCAAAGGAATCGACGAAATCAGAACACTTAAAGGAGAGGTAACGGCTGAAACCTTAAAAGCGCTGAAGGTAGATTACGTTGCAACTGCAACCGCATCTGAGATCTCGGTTGATATACCAGAAAAGGTCCTTGAGTTCCCTAAAGAGCTTGATATAGACACAGATGAAATTATCATTAGGGCAATTCGAAATTATGACACTCTAGTAGGGAAGCTATTGAATGAAGGATATGATCCACATGAAATTGGGGTCTCCAAAGCAAAGGTCATGCAGATTAAGCTGAAGAAAAAATTGAGAAAGTTGGCAAGGGTCATGAAGACGAAAGGGGTGGAATATGGAAGGAAGGCCGAAGAGATTGTTGATTACACAAGGACAAGCTTAAGGGAGTTTGTTACAGATTTGACTGAAAAAAGCGAAAATGCTGTTGCAAAGTGGGCTTCAAAGTGTGGAAATCGCGTGAAAAACTTAATTACGCTTGCAAAAGAAGGGTGGGAAAGGCTAGATTAGTCTGGTGCAATTAAAGATATTATAATTAGTTATATCAAAATTGAGAAGGATTATTAAAATTTTTATCAAAGCTTCTAGATAGAGTTTTTTACGATAACTCCCCCCAAACTTTGGCAACCAATTTTTATGGCTGTGCATAATTATTTTTACTCCCCCTCCCCTATCCTTGATCGAACGATTAAATGTAAAAATTCCTAAAAATTTGGGGAAATTAAACCCCATCCTTGATCGAACGATTTTCATATCATGCAAATTTTTATATATATAAAAAATATATTAATTATCAAAAGCTTGGGAAGATGTACCTAATGAAGTTGTTTTCAGAGCTTTAAGACGACACAGAAAGCTGTGGAATCACCTATCCGAAGTGATTTAGCCATCAACCTAGGCTTAAAAACTTTAATAATCTAAAATAAAGAGATTCTTTAAAATTTAAAAAACAAAAAATTTAATTCAATAAGGAACAAATTAAAATTTATACACTTTAAAAGGTAACTAATAAATCAAAATATTAAAAATTGGTATTTTATGAAATTAATTCAATTTGTTGCTGTAAAACTAATTATTAAATGCTCTTAGCCCTCTTATTTAAAAGTAAATAAAAAAAATATATATATATATTTTTTTATTTTATATATAAATTTTGTTTCCAAAAAATTTTTTTAACCCCCCATCCTTGATCGAACGATGGCGAGTCGTTCGATCAATGATGGGGGGGGAGTTAGAAATTTTCAAAAATATAAAATATGCGTATAGAAGAAAGAAAATAAAATTAGCATGATAATAAATATTACATATATTTTATATAGAAACATTTTTATTAAAATATTATGTTGTCTTCAAAGAGGGTTATTTCTAAAATAATTTTTGCTGACGCAAAGGGGTAGCTTCTCTATTAATATTCATGATCTTGCTCGCATCCTATTAATAGAAATAATTAATATGATGGCGGCAACAAAATATGTCCTACCGACAACGTATACTTTGGGCGCTCAAATCCATATGGTCACCAAGGTTCAGGCCTTTGATTCTAACCCAAGCTTACTGATGGCATGGCGGCCGTATGGGGTGGGTGACCTTGGGAGTCAACTGGCGGCCATTCCAGTCCAGGTATTGATTATCCAAATGGCTTTTGGGCCACAGATTCTTTCTCTGTCATTCCCAGAGCAGTGATTCTTTTTTCCTGGGCGTCACCCTTTCTCAAGGTGCCGACAGGAGGCATCGGCTGACCTTTGCCTCATAGCACCCTTGAGATGTTCATCACGAGGGGTTTTTCTGGCCCGTAAAAACTTAGGGACGTAGTGAAATCACTTAGTTCTGGGAGAAGTCTGCTGCTAAGTGCAACTCAATCAGCTAATGCTAACCCTAACCAGCAAGGGCTAGTTGTCGAAATAGTGCGAAAGCATCAAATCTGGAAGACCTTAAGCCGTTTAATTTAATTTATTAATAGAAATTTCAGGAATATGGAACTCGACACAATTGAAAACTTGAATGATGACCCAGACACAGAAATTTTCTACAACTCTTGCCAAAACAGCTTTGTATTCAAAAACAAAGACATCTTAAGAATCAGATCCATTTACTCAGAAAAAGATGATTCCCTTATAATTATTGAACAGCTAAGGTACTGATTATCTAGTAATAAGAAACTCATAAGTATGAATTTATCTTCTGACCAAAAGCTTGTAGCCTATCAAGAAGCCCCTGACAGGCTGGTAAATTTCATATAGGAGTTTATCAACTTAGAACTCCAGCAAGATTTTTCAATAACCTGTTCCAAAAAGAACACAATATTAGGCTTTCATTGGACCAAAGGAATCACTCCGCTATGTGATTTCTTTATGATCGCTACCAACAGCATAGAGTTTTATAAGCTTTCTGATAAACAGTTTAAACTTGTCAGCATAAGAAGCTATCAGCATGAAGTTTCTCATTATTGGGTCGAACCTAGCGAATTTGTGGTCATTGCTGCTGCCTCTGTGCCGAACCAAGGGAAGTTTTACACTTATTTCTTGAATCAGACCAAAAGCACTAAATTCCAAGGGTATAAGTTTTATATTGATGTTGGGAAAATAAATGACAGCCTCTGAATTAATATCCCAGCTAATTCATCAAATTTGAGGCATTATTACAACTCGGCAAGCCAAGAGTCTCCTCATCAAGTGAGCTTGCTTAAGCTGTATGACTCATAATAATAAAATGGCTACATATGGAAATAGTTTACTCCGTAAATCTTTCCTCTCCACAATTTTTATTATGGGGTTGGTTTATCTTGTGCACCTTTATCCACAATACTAAATAAGGCTTATTGCATAGGGTAAGTCTTTTGGCTCAGGATTTTAGGCTTTATAGGAGTTTTACCGTCTGGTGCACCCGAGGAGGGTGACCCTTAGGTGGAGCACACGCGGGACTTATGTTATGGAGCAAGGAAAATGCTTCTCGAGTGTGTTTTCTGGCCAGCCATATGGGATTGCTGTTTAGGAATGCCTTTACCATTTTGTTGATATCGGCGATTGTGACTTTGACACCATTTTAGCGTTGGGATTGCCCTCAAGTCCTAGGCTGGAGTTAAAAAGATGGGCTGCCTAAATCATCCTGCGGAAAAAGCTGGCACGTTAAACACTGAGCAATTAATGTAAAGTAATAAAGCTGTATGACTCAATTTATTTTCTGCATATGGATTGTGCAAAAGGAAGGCTGGCATTTTATAGGCTGGAGTATGAGAAGACTCCTCAGCAGTCGTTTGAAATTGAGGTACTTAAATAAAAATGGATTAGGCTCGCGAAAAGCTTTTCCAAAATTTTAAATGCTATTAAGTATCATACAGAGGTATAATTCAGCCTGGAAAGTACGGAATCCGTTCTTCTGACAATATCCTAATCCTGCAAAACTACAATTTACAGGAAAGCTATATCTTCGATATTAAGAGTGAGACTTATTTCATTCATCCTTTTGCTACTGTCTGGCATGGAATGCCTCCAAGAGTAGGTGAAATCTCAATATTTATGAATTTGGACAATCTTGATGAGAACGGAAATTTTAACACTATGTTTTTATATGATGGAATTATCATTCCCAGCGAAAGACCATCTTCATTTGAAGTGCTAGACAATGAATCTCAATACATCGACAGCTTAATGCTTCTAGAAAAAGAGCTGAAATACATTGATCATGATATCGGCTTTGATTTAAGCTCCAAAAAGCTAGTTCAGCTCATAATTCACCCAGAAACTCTAGTGAAAGACCACCACGATCAAGTCGAAGCAATTTTATTTTTACTGCGCAGAAATGGCTTTAAAGCTTATTCCTTTGAATACTTGAAAGACTGTTTAAGAAAAAGAATCGAGCTATATAAAATCTCTTCTTTATTCACAACTTTTAACAAAGTTTATAAGATCGCAGCACTTGAAAGGAAGAAAAACCCGAATAAAGACGAAATGAGGAAAAGCTTAATCCAAACACCTATCAAAAAGAGAGGGAAAATAATAGAGCCAGAACTAAAATTGGACTCAGGTATAAGCGTAATTCTACAATCTGATATGTATGGGTCAGTCTTTTCATCCTTGTTCAAAGAGCATATAAATTCCAAATACCTCACAGACGTGATCTTGCTATACCATAAGTCTTTAATCGAAGAGGACATTCAGGTCCATCAGCAGCTGCAAATATTACTAGCAAGAGTTCTGATTAGAAGCAGAAACTTCTCAATGCTCCACCAATTTGTGCATTTCAACGTATTTAACGACAGCTTAGAGTTTGCCACATTGATGATCGCTTTGTCAGCCTCAACAAATTCGCTATGCTATCCACCTGGCTTGCAAATAGGAATTGACATGCTTTACAGATTAGAAGCGTTTAATGCACTTGCAGAAGCACTGGTGAACAATGGAATGATTTATGAAGCACTTAAAGTGCTGGAATCTCATCCAAGCAAAGAGTTTGATAGTTGTTTGCTGCTAGCACAGGTGCACAATTCTGGCGATACAAGGTTAATGAATTTAGTCACTCAGTTTATTAATGAAAAATTGCTTTAAGCAGAGCTCCTCATTCTCATATCTTTAAAAGTAAATAAATTCTTATTAAACTAATTAATTTTTCCTATGAGTGCTCTTCACTCTTGCTAAACAGCTAATGAATTCTTCAATTGACAATTTGCCGTCTCCATTTTTGTCGACGTTTTTGAACAATCTTGCCCATTTTTCTGAATCCACGCTTGGCATTCTTTGGATCACGTTATATAAGCTCAAGTAGTTTTTGTCATTTTTTAGGCAAATTTTTAGAGCAGTAGTTACCCTATCCTTGTGTACCTGTAAATTTCAGTCTGTCATTGCAGTTTCCAGCTCTGAGAATTTAATTTGAGTTTCATCTAGAAGATCCATTTGTTGAAGATCATAGTCAATTTCTTTATAGTGCTTAGGTTTAGTGCGTCTTATAAAATCCATAAGATCGTTTTTGTGTATAAAGCCGCTGTGGTCTTTGTTAAGCCTTTTAAAGAGTTTGATATAGTCTCTTTCTTCATTAGCATTAGGGATTTGAGAATTTGTGAAAATTAAGACAGCTTTTTCGATTTCATTACGATTCTATATAATTCTCACATAAAACTGAGGGATTCTTGCTATTTGCTGATAGTTATATTTAAATGAGGACTCTTTTTGATATCCAAACTCCTTAATTCAAGGATGATTAACTCCCTCCATGTTTAGCAAGTAATTTTTTTTTTCGTTAAATAAATTTAATAGAATTAGCCCTCAATCATCGTTAAATGTAAATAATTATTTAAATAAAGTTTTTATATATTAAAAAATTGTTTTACTAGTAAAAATAGCCATTATTTTTAATGGTTTCCTCATTACTAAAGAGTAGTAAGAATTTCGATTGCAGAAATTCTTTTATTTGGATCAAAAATAAGTATTTTTTTCAACAAATCTCGTATGTGTTCTGAATATAGCGTTAAGATATCTTGGTTAAGAATCAAGCCATATTCCATACTCTTATATACGTCATCTGAATCTACTCCAGAGAATGGCACTTTTCCGAATATCATTCGATATAGAAGTACCCCAATGCTTCATATATCGCTTGCCCTAGTTGCTCCAGATCCATTTATGATTTCAGGAGCCAAATATTCTACCTAAATATTCTTTACGAGCTCCCCTTTCAAATAGCCTCTGGGGATCTTCCAGTCGAACTCAAATCCAGTCAGCTTCAATACTTCATCATCTGTTTTTGATTCAAAAAGGATATTCTCTGGTCTTATATTCTTATGAATAATTCCAGAGTTGTGGCAATAAATTACAGCTTCTACAATACTTCTTATATAATAACCTGCTTCTTGTTCAGTAATGTACCCAAATGAGAACTTGCTTGCAAGATTCCCACCCATAAGATACTCTAGCACAAAGTAGTAGCTATCTTCTGAGTCAATGATTTCATACATCTTTATTGTATTTGGGTGATCCTAAATGGATTTTACAAGCTCTTTGAGGCTTTCGACTTCTTTTAGGAATTGGCTCACTGAAGTGTCTTTTAGAAACTTCTTCTTGATTTCTTTAGTGACTCTTAGTAAGCCTGTCCTTTTGTCTTTTGCCAAAATGATTTCGCCTAATTCGCCATGAAAAAGAGTTTTCACAGTTTCATAATTAACACGGATTGCTTGTGGGACGCTAATCACAAAAGAGCCACGACTGGCAACTGTTGTCCGTCTTCTGTTATTTCTTCTTATATGAAGAGATGGAGTTTGTGCTCGATTGGGCTCATAGCTGATGTGTTTATTTACTGATGGAGTAGCTGCCCTTATGGCAATTGGGTCTATATCTAGAGTAGAGCATTGGGTGTCTATATATCTTCCATTCAAGGGTCTATTTGTAAGTTGGTCTCCAGACAGTGTTTTATGCTTTCTTGTTCTTCTCTTGATAAACTGCGGCTCCCGTAGCATTGATTTCTTTCTGCTATCTATTTTTGACTGCTCTTCTCTAGAGTCACAGCATCCCATTTTGAATTTTTGGTTTATAATGGCATTACTGAATAATGTGGATATGAGATAAATGAAGAAAGATAACTAATAATAAGATATTACCATAGAAATAATCAAATATATATACTATTAGTTGTTTGTTAGATCGTTTTTGATAATTAAAATATTATAAACTAATTTATAAATTATTTTTATCGAGCACCAGTTAAAAACAGAATGGCTTTTTATTTGCTCAATTTTTATTTTTAATAAATATCTTTTTGCATTCAGTTATTTTTATTAAAGAATCGAATAAAAATCACAGAAAAGCAATGCTAATCTAGTTCCTTCAAGATTAGCAATATTACAATTAAAATAGTTTTTCTCTCAGTTTAATTAGATGAGATGAAGTAAGTTATAATATATATATTTCATCCTCAAACTCTAAACTTTTACTTGGTGCTAAGGTACAAAGTTTAAAATATATCTGGGTATAAAAGTTACTTGAGCTTATTAGAAGAGCCTTAATAGCAGCAAATAAAAATTGTGAAAGACCAATTTTATTATAAAATAAAAGTATAAAGTATATCGTCAAAATTCAGCCTCTTATAAATAAATATTTATTAATTTAAATAGATCTTCCTATATTTCAATTAAAAGAAATAGATTAAAATATATAATTAATAATAAAAATTTTTTAAGTATTTTGAGCCCAATTCATCTTTTTTTATTAAGGTTATAAAAATGAGTTTCAGGTTAATTTTTCAAGTTTCGTTTTTAATTACTTTGGCAAACGCAAGGGTCAGAAGTCATCACTCAGATAGTACCAAATGATCAACAAGGGACTGACTCATTTTTGGTGTTATTGTGGGAGTTTGCACAATCGTAGGCATCATAGTTGGAGTGTGAAGATGATATCGCGCAAGAAAAATAAAAAGGCAAACAAATTTATCAGCTATACCTCAAATTACTCCCCAACAAGATTTTCAGCAAGGTATTTTAGATCCAAATGTAGTTGTGCAGATTGGGGCAGTAAATTATGTTCCAGGTTATCCTATGAACCCACAATTTCCCCAGTCAGGGAACTATCCTCCAGGCTTGGTTTATACTCAGCCAGGAAACTATCCTCCAGGTTCAGTTTATACGCAACCAGAAAAGTATCCTCCTGGTTTAATCTATCCTCAACCTAATTCTTCCTCTGTAGTATTGGAATCAAATCAAGTAGAAATGAATAACCCACCTGTCCAACCTCACCAAATTACAAATTGCTTACAGTCAGAACATAACTATCCTAGCCCACTGCAAAATTCAATCCAAGAAAGCCAGTAACCATATAAAATAAAAATAGAAAATTCGCCATAAATTGTAATTTGATCTAATGAATCTATCAGTTTAATAAACTATCAATGGCTATGAACAACTTAAAAATTTTATGATTTTTTCGATTATATTTAATCTATTAATTTGTCATGTTAGTTCGTCTGAACAGTAGATTTTTATAGTTTAAATTCCATTTACTTTAAAAACTTGAATAGAAAATAATTATGAAAAGTTATTTAATTTTGAAGTAAGAAATTCCTAATTATTAAGTTTTATTATAAATGCTATGCTAATTGCAAAAAATTTTACTTCTTTAGAGATTTTATTATTAAATATATACTTTTTCTCTATAAAATTATATTTTTAATATTTTTGCTTGTTTCTATGTGTTCTAGAGTAACAAATATAAATTTTTTATAGCCAGGCAACACACCTTTTGGTAAGCATTCTTCATAAAAGGGGTGTTTCAGACTCTATAATTGTGTATATTTTAAAGTTTAAAAGACAAGGTGTTTTCAATTTTCTAATAAGTGGCATGACTAGATTATTAATTACCTTTCTCACTATTTTAGCTTTGTGCTAAACTCAAAAAAAGGTTTATTAAATATTATCAAAAATAATATTATTTTTGAAATTTTTAACTTTTAAGGCTCAATTAGTTAATTAAATAAATTTCTTTATTTTGCTAGAGCATACCAGGGACCATTTAATTTTTAATTATGCAGTTTTAAACTAAGTGTTTATGTTCTAATAGCATAAATCTATCAAAGTATCAAAATTAATAAAAGAAATAGGGAGATTAGAGAAATTTGTTTTCAATAGCTTTAAAATACTCACGTAATTTAAAGTATGTTGAATTAATTATAGCTACTATAATAGAAATAAATGAGCATTAAGAAAAATGACTATACGGCCAATTCTTCATTTTTTCCAAATCATACAGCTTTGATCAAAGAAAAATACGAAGACCTTATAAATCATATAAATTCAATCGATTTTTCAATCCAAATCCTTGTTAAACTAAATAGCACAATAGAATTTGCAAACCAACTCATCGAACGCAATCAAAATGGCATATGCTTATTTAGCCAAAATCAATCATGCGCAAGCAAAAAATTAATCTTAAACTTTTACAAGAATAAAAACTCGTCAATTGTAAGTCAAGCTAAGCTAGACCTAGATGTAGCTAATTTTTTCAGGACAAAACTCTCTCTATGGATTCAAGATTATGACTTGCTAAAAATGAGCTTTCTAAACAAAGTGAAACTTTTACAAAATGATACTTTTTGTTCAAATTTAAAGCAAATATTAACAAATGAAGACAAGGAAATGCTATATCAAATTGCCCTTCTATCTCGAAAATTAGACGACATTGAAATAGCTGCTTCAAATGCCATATCTATTCTAAATCTATCAGGCCATAACTTTCATAATAAAGACCTTCATGGGATAAAAATTCCAGGAGCAAATTTATCAAGATCTTATTTATACAATACAAACTTTGAGGGAAGCAATTTAACTGGAGTGGATTTTGATTTTTCAGTTATAGAGCACAGTAACTTTAAAAACTGCAATTTAAAAAATTGTGAGTTTGGCTTAAAATTCATGGTTAAGACTCTTCTTGAACCTTGGATGTTTTCCCCCAGCAAAAATTTCTTAATGTGCAGATCTAGATATTGTGACCAGAGGCGTTTAGAAATTTGGCATGTAGAAAAGCAGCAAAGAATTATTAATTTATCTTTTGGTGGCTGAGCTATATTTTCACCTTTTGATATAGAGGTTTCCTCTATATAGCGCTAAAAGCGCAGACATTTTCCCAGGAGCTTTCCAAGTTCGTCGGACCAAATCGCTTTTTTGGTCCGACCAAGGCATTGATTTGGTGCAACCTACCGATAAATTCCGATCAGAATTTATCGGCCTTACAGCGCCAAACATAGGAAACTTCTATAATTATTTTGGTTATACTACCTCAAAAGATGGGCTAATAATACAAAATCTAAATACAAGCGAAATAATAGAAATTTTAGATTCAAATGAATTCACATTTTCAAAAGATGAGAAATATATAGCCCCTGAAATATTTTAGATCATTATGGCAATCCATTTTAATTTTCAAATTTAATCTGTACTTGTCAGCTTTTTTGAAAGTAAAAACGAAATTGACAAATCTCCGTTTATGGTTTTAAGGTACCTAATCAGACTTATACTGTATAAGGCAGGTGCCCTGTACATATTTTTTCTGGTCAGTATTCTGCTGGGATATAGAGATCTATTAAGGTGCATGAGCTATATAGCATACAGCTCAGAAAATGATATTTGAATTTTTAGCCTAAAAGAAAAAACAAGGGATCTCTTCTTAAAATCAGCTGGAATCGATCAGAAAATTATTCTATGATCCCCATGCAGCAAATTTTCCCTATTGCACAGAGGCGAAACTGTTGAGCTATGAGACTTAACATCAAAATCATTCATAAAAACGAAAGAGCATATAGATGGCCACGTTTTTTCATGAAATAGCAGATATTTAGTTTCTTATAGTTGTAATTTCTACCCAAAAAATTCAATTATATCAATTGATGTCCTGAGTGATGGCCTTTCCTACGACATAGAAATAAAAAATGATCATATTGAATCTCTAGAATTTTCTAAAACTGTTGAAAAATTATTATTGATTAGCCTTTCAAACTCTTGCATGCTATGAAATGCAGAAACTTTTGAATCTATATATCAAATCCCTTCATTTATTTATCTCATGAAATGCGAATTTTTGAAATCTTCAAATCATATTATTTGTCATACACATCGTGAAGCTATAATTCTAAACATTTTGAATCAAAAAAGCACTGGATTTTTTGGGTTTAAAGGTCACGTAATATATAATCAATATTCAGTGACTCAAAAACACACCAAATTTTTTTTCCATGATATTTTAAAACACACTGAGCGGCTTGAAGACCATATCAATTTAAATGCTCTTTCAGCATGCTACTCGACATGTGGAAAATATATTGCAATAGTATACGATACAGGAAAAGTAATGAGATGAGAAACAGCAAGCTATTATGCTGTAAAAATATTGCCAGCTTCTTTACACGAAATTAAGGAAATATTACTGTTCTCTGGTCACATTCTTTGAGCAAAGAGTCAAAATGGATTCTTTTTATGAGATTATGAAGAAAATACAAATATAAAATATTGAAATGAGAATTTCAAGTTTTTTGCTTTCTCTTCATGTGGAAATTATTTTTCATTAGGCCATAATCAGGAGTTTCAAATAATCAAAGTAAGCAATTTTAAAACGAAGTGCATCATAAATCCATCTTTAGACAGCAGCTGCATCATCAGTTCGTTTTTCATTGATAAAAACCGATTCGCTTACTCAAAAGACAATGGGCAAATTGATATTATTTCTTTAGAAACATTGAGAATATTAAAAACTCTTAATTTGGAATGCAATAACATTAAATTACTTGAATTCTCACCGACAAAAAATTTACTAGCATCATCATTAAAAAACAATATAGCAGTATGAAGTTTCAAAGAAGAAAATGTCTTCCTAGAAAACTCTATTTTTTTAACGAGCTCTGAAGCATTGATCAAGTTTTCTCCTTGCGGACTTTATATTTCAATTCTTAAAAATAAAAGCTGATCATTCCTTGTCTATGATTCAAGCTTGCAAAAATTGATTTTTAAATGTCCAAGGCAGAAAGAGAAAATAGCTTTGGCATTATGGCATCCTTATTTAATAAAAGTTATTTCAATTGGAGAATCTGGAGGTAAAGTATGAAATTTTCAAAATATTGCCTTAAAGAGTAAAAGTAGAAAAAGGAAAAATTTAAATTTATGCAGGGAGTGATGTGTATTGAAAAATGAACTTTTTATAAAAGACTGCGATTTTGAAGGAGCAGTTTTAAGTAGAGAAAATTTAAGCACAATAAAAAATTTTGGATAATTTAAAAAATTTTACTCACTATATAATAAATTTTATGATAATAAAAATTATTCGCGATTAAATCATTTATCTAATTTATTCATTTGTTTAAAATAATCAAAAAATAAAATTGATTATAAAACAAAAATAATAATTTTATTTTTATTTAAGATTATAAGGTTAGAAAGTCTAATCTGATTATCTATAAGATTTTTATTCTATTTTGGTATTTCTAAAGAATTAATTTAATTTTTTTTATAAGGAAATTTTTAGATAAAATTATCAAATCAATAATACCTTATAAAATATAATTTTAGTCCATATTAATTTAAATTTATTTTTTAATTAAAAAAAGTTGCTTACTCCCCCCCTTCTAAAACTATTGGAAAAATCTCTATTTTTTGACCAAAAACCCATCCTCCATGAGAGAACAAAATTTTTTTAATAGAATGAAAAAAATGTTGTTATATATACGTGATAATTAGTATAATGAAATCTCTAGCTAATTCTATAGGCATTTTAAAACATAAATTTTACAGATTAAACTAATTTTTACAAAAATAATTTTTTTTTAAATTTTGAAAAATTTTTTTTACTAGTTCCAAGAGCAGATACCAAACAATAGATTATTAATTAAAGAATAACTGTTGCTTTATATCAGTGCAATAAAAGAATAATATTTCATTCAATTACACGTTTGTTGGGATATTTAATTAATGCAAAAAATTATTGAAGTTAATAATTAATATTGACTTGATCTTCAATTAATCTTAATTTATATATTTAGTACCGCATTATCGGGAATTATCCATAGAGCTATAATCTATTATAGATCTAATTTTTAATATATCCTTTCTAGTCACAGATTGGCATGCTAAAAAATCATAATCGCATAAACATTTTTAAAGTTTTAATTATCAGCCTCCTAATTGCTTGGAGTTTTATAAACCTAATTACTTCGATGATTTGACGATGTTACTTAATCATCATTACTAATAAAGGTGGATTTATCAAAAATAGTCTTAAATAATAATAAATAATTTTTTGAATAAATCATAACTCCTTTCCGTGAGCTGACAAAATCATCATTGGAAAAAATCCCTATTTTTTAGCCTAAAATCCACCTTTCGTGAGCGAGCTTATTTGATATAATTTTTTTTGACATAAGTGATTTTTAGTATAATAAAATCTCAAACTAATTCTGTTTTTATTTTGGAAAAATTGCATTTTAAAACATAATTTTTTACAGCTTAAATATATATTTGCTTTCCAATTTTCGCAAATTGGGATTTTTAATTTCAAAAAATCACATTTTACAAAAAAATTTATATATAAAATTTGTCCATCGCTCACAGATGGGGGGTAAGTATTTAAATCTCTTTTATGTAAAAACAATTAATTATAGGATGTAATTGTAACAATATTTGTATCCTAGTCAGTAATAAAAACTTTTAGGATCAAGATAGCAGGAAACTGCTATTTTTATTTATTTTGATATGTTCCTCAGCATTAATAGGGAAAGCACCCTCTTTAAAATTTGAACTCAAAATAGATACAGTCAGAATATTTTTTAAAATAGTGATGCTAGCTCAATAAAAAAACTCTCAAAACTCCTTTCGCCTACTTAATTTTTATAATCTTCATTTTAAGATATATTTTAAAAAATGGCTAGCGGTTAATTACTGATAAGATTATTTTGGCACCAGGTAAGTGGACCCATACTTTTAGAAAGTCCGGGGTGGGTTTTTAATTGTCGGTACTAGCAACAGACTTTTTCCTTAAATCGCAGACGACAGACCGGTTTGCAAAGTGAGCTCGCACTTATGGGGAGAAATATACATCCAGTAAGAACAGGTAGTACTGCACAAGGAAGAGGGATTAGGTACTTCTCCTATACCCTGAACACTGATAGAGGTTAAGGATTTGGTGTTGCAAATCGAGAGACAGGTATAGTTGGGTGAGTCTTCCCAGAAACCTCTGAAATCATCATTTTGGTGAAATTTCTGCCATCATGGTATGCAAAAGTCAAAACCCCAGAATTCGAGATCTAATAAAAAATGGTCGCGAGGGATCACGGGGTCGCAGGTGGCAGTGATTCCGGGTTCTGGTGCAGACTTGGGCTTACTGGGCCTCATCCGACCCACCTACAAGAGGGCCGACGGCGCAACACCAATCAGGGCCCTTAGAGGAGCATTATGCTGCCTTAAATGGCAGAGGTAGTTCCAGAAGGAGGTATTGGACTCTTCCCTCATACCCTAAGCACTACCAGGGGTTAAGAGAGTCCTATGCTGCAATTTTTGGTCCAAACAGGCTCGGTGAGTCTCCTCGTTAAACTGACGACGTCACAATTTTTTGGTGGCCCAGAAGGAAAAGGGCTTTAGGTGGCTTTAATTGAAAAACCACTAAATATATAGAACTCTGTTGGGGGGAGAGAACTGAGGCCCGGTCTGCCCATGTATCTAATTGGAGCAAATGAAATGTGCTGAGCTACTGGTACAATTTTTGGAGCTTAGGGCTGGTTCCAATTTCACAAATGGGTGTAAATTCATCAGGCATCTGGCTGAATCACCAGAATGCCGATATTGTGGTGCTGAAGTTGAAGATGAAATTCATGTAATTGAATCATGCAATGCTTATGGAGAAAGTAGAGTTAAGATTGTCAAGTATTTAGAAGAACTGTTAATGAAAGATTTCTCTCAGATGACTCTGAGTGAGATATCTTGTGTAGTTGGAAATTTGAGATTGATTGATTGATTGATTACGATTAAAGAGGGTTAAAGCAGGGATTATTTCAGCCCCTGATCCAATCGGGCTTCAGCTTCACGCTCATGTGGCGCTAAGCACTAAAGCCACCTAACGCCCTTTTCTGATGTCGTCACCAAAAATGATGACGTCGACATCTTTTGGGGAGACTCACCCGAACTTGCTTGGACCAAAAAACTTCAGCAAAGGACTTTCTTAACCCCTGGTAGTGCTCAGGGTATGAGGAAACCGTCTGATGCCTCCTTCTGGAACTACCTCTGCCATTTGCAGGCAACATAATGCTCCTCCAGAAGTCTCCGATTGGTACTGCGCCGTCGGTTTTTCTTGTCTGTGGGTTGAGGGAAGGCCAGTTAGCCCAGACCGCACCCACCCCGGAATTAAGCCACCTGCGACCTCGTGGTCTTTCTGCCAGTTTTTTAAATTTCTGGCAAAAATTTTGAGTTCTTTCTGTCGCTACTAGGCATGCCATGATGGCATTAAATTGGAAATTTGAGAAGATTGTGAAGCTGAAACATAGGGAAAAGATTAGATTAGATTAGATTATGTGTTGGGTATTTATAGTCCCCACTTCCAGAGCACTCGCGTTCCGCAGCGGTATCGCTACGGGGTGGACTCCCCCAAGGCAGCTTAGGCCCGGGCCGAAACCCCCGGTTTCTCGGTAGTGGCATTTCCCTCCTGATCCTATTCATACGGATTTTGCCGGGAACCACCATTTCCAACCTAAGTGCCAGCATCGCCCAACTCTGCTTTGGTCCGGCCAGATCACCCCTTTACCGGACCCTTTTAACTGGAGAGACTTTATGCCCTTGAAGTCTGAGTCGAGCTTGGCCTTCCCCTCTTTTCCGGATTATCTCCGAGAAAGAACTCAACAACTTACGGGATTCGGGGCGAAGCCACCAATTAGCTTAGGCAGATAGTTCACCCTGCCTCTTTCGGACACTGAGTCTGGGCCTCAGCGCTACTGGCAAAAAGAATGCGAAAAACTGCCGCTCTGGTCAAGTCCCAAAATCAGCGGAAATTGGGCTGGGCCTCTCGCCTCGAGGCTAACTCTCCCCTCGAGCAGCTCTCCGCATCCAAAAACCACGTCTGGTATACATAAGGACACCCGCCACGGAAGGACGGGTCGCTCGTCTCCGGCCATTTTATGCATATAACATAGGGAAAAATTGGAGAAATTAATTGAAGGATTAGACTTTTCATTCGAGAAGTTGTAAAGACTAGGAAATTATTAGGGGATAAATTTGGTCCGAATTAAACTCATGATAAATCGTAAACTATGTTAGCTAGCTAGGTGGTTTTAGTGCTTATCGCTGCATGAAGCGTAAGGCTGAAGCCTGACTGGCTAGGGGCTGAAATAATTCCCGTTTAACCCCTCTAACTTATTCTCTCTCATTTTGGTGGCATCAAAAATAAAAGGTACCATATGACACGGATGCTTAGGAAAACCTAAACTTGATGCAGGTGGTAGGACAGTGAGTAAAATAATCCCGAAGACACTCTACAATTTAATCTAACTAATCTTTTTAAGATTTTTTGGGAAAAAATATACCAACGCGATCTTGCGAAATTAAATGATAACCATTTTTTATTTAAATTTAAAACTTATAGGCTTGCTCGAAATTAATTCAAATAAGCTATTTCGAATTCTCTTACTCGCCTCCATCAGTGAGTAAAAAAAAAATATTTATTTGCTCGGAATTAGCTAGAGATTTTATATTAAAAATATTTTTTCACTTATGGATTTTTTTTCACTCATGGAGATGCGGTGAGTTAATATTAAGTTAATTTAAGTTTTATATATTGAAAATGGATAATAAAATGGAAGGTCGTAATGATGATCAAGCGGCTCAAAACATCAACCTTGAAAATAATACAGCTAGAGAAGAATTAGAAAGCTCTAGCAATTTTATTCAACAAAGCAACAAACAAAAAACAGCTACTTCAAATAAAAACTTAAACGGCCAACTAAGAGCCTTAGACTTAGGAGAAGAATCCAAAGCAAGATGAACGAATGAGGAAAACTTTGTCCTAGTGAGGCTTTATAAAGTTTATGGAGCGAGATGAAGCACCATCTCTGGATTTTTCAACGACAGAAGCGAATTTTCAGTGAAAAATCATTTTTACTATTTAAAAAAAAGAATGCCGGTAAACGAGCAAATTAAAATCAGTCAAGAACTTAAACATAATAGAGAAAAGCGGTTTCTTTTATTGCCCAACAAGCAAGCAGTAAACTGTGAAGAAAAAATGGATGAAGAGGCAATTGTAGACAGCTTTTTTGCTGATTATTTGGATTGTAAGATAAGCAAAAAAATACATGGAAAACGAGAAGAAATTAGCATGAGCACCTGTGAAAGTGACAAAAATATTGATTTTCAGCAAGACAGACTATCCATGCTTAAAAGATTCAGTGAAATTATAGAGGACCAGCTTGCCATTAAGAAAGCGAAAGTGTCAGAGAATTTAAGCTAAAATAATGGTAGCTAATGTTAAAATCTCGGTGTTTGAGTATAATTTCGAATGAATATGTTTTAAATATGAATTAATTCCAAGAATATTTTCCCATTATATTTTTAAATATTCATCATATATAAAATTTAATAAATTCAATTTTAATTGACTGACATGACATATTTATTTTTTTATTCTGAATGGCTAAATAATTAATATCGAAAATGATAATATTTTAATGGCAAATGCTTGAAAATAAATGTTTAATCTAAAATAAATTCAAATGCAACTTCAAAGAGTATAAATTGTTAGTTTTATCTCATGAGCGACAACTTTTAAAATTTAAAGTCTCATATCATCTGATGCTTATTTTGAAATGGAAATTTTTTTTATCAATTCGAAGATATTTTAGTGTAAAAAAATAACAAATAGTTTCCTTTGAGCAAATTAAATATATTTTAAAATAAAATAATTTAATAGCTCTTAGATTTATATAATGATCAGATTTTTTTTACTTCAAACACAATGATCTCAAAATGTTCATCCTTATCTTCTTGTCTTTATTCTACTGATGACGCAAAACTAAATGAAATTCCTCTATTCAGAACGAAAAGGCTTATTAAAGCTTAAGGATATATTAGTTGCTTCCCATTAATACTTTTCTGGAGATTAATTTATATTTCTGCTGTTAAATTTTATATGAAAAAGTTGAATTCGATTCTATTGTAAGCAATTTTCTTCTGATATGGTTTTAAAATCACAAACTTGTTTGATTACCACTATAATTAATTAATTATTCATCTGGTACTCATTTCAATGTTAAGAATTTTCCATATATAGTGCTAATTAATTTATTATTTTAAAAATGCATTCGCTATTTTTATAATGGCTGCTTCAGCAAATTTTCTTCCTTAATTTCAGTTACGTTTGCTTGAAAATTTGGATTGGCATTGGGTTCATTATACCCTTGAGCTACTCCATACAAATTTTGGGGAGGATAAGCTCCTGGATTATTATATCCTTGTGGAGGTGGACTTGGAACTGGATATGAGTAAGCCGATGAATTATTTATCTCTGTTTGAGCTGCTCCAGAATTTCCAGGGTATGAGTTAGGCTGAGGATAAATATAACCAGGAGGATAATTTCCTGGTTGTACGAATTGCTGATTAATTGGGTACATAGGAGCAACAGGAGCTCCAAATCCAGCCTTTGCAGCCTCATTTGGATTTTGAAATACTGGCTGAAAATTTTGTTGAGGAGGAATTTGACCAAATCCCACTTGCACAACTTCATTTGATTTTGATATCCTAGCTGAAAATTTTGTTGAGGAGGAATTTGAGGAAGCATTGCTAGGTTCGCTTCAACTTGTCTTCTTAATTTCCTTAAACGATATCTTTTGTATAAATAGCAGCTATTATAACTATCATAAAAAAGACAAATAATAGCACCGCTATAATAATTGAGCCTGCTGTAGATAAGCTGCTCTTGCTGTTTGAGCTGGATCCTGAACTGTGGCCCGTTTTACTTGCATTTGCTAAGCAATTTTCTTCTGCTATTGTTTTAAAATCACAAACTTGCTTGATTATCACTATAATTAATTAATAATTCATCTGGTACTTATTTTCAGTGTTAAGAATTTTCCATATATAGTGCTATTAATTTATTATTTTAAAAATGCATTCGCTATTTTATGATGGTTGCTTCGGCAAATTTTCTTCCATAATATCAGTTGCGTTTACTTGAAAATTTGGATTGGCATTGGGTTCATTATACCCTTGAGTTACACCATACAATTGTTGAGGAGGATAAGCTCCAGGATTATTGTATCCTTGTAAAGGTTGGCTTAGAACTGGATATGAGTAAGCCGATGAATTATTTATCCCTACTTGAGCTGCTCCAGAATTTCCAGGGTATGAGTTAGGTTGAGGATAAGTATAGCCAGGAGGATAATTTCCTGGTTGTACGAATTGCTGATTAATTGGGTACATAGGAGCAACAGGAGCTCCAAATCCAGCCTTTGCAGCCTCATTTGGATTTTGAAATACTGGCTGAAAATTTTGTTGAGGAGGAATTTGACCAAATCCCACTTGCACAACTCCATTTGGATTTTGATATCCTAGCTGAAAATTTTGTTGAGGAGGAATTTGAGGAAGCGTTGCTAGGTTCGCTTCTATTTGTCGTCTTAGTTTCCTTAAACGATATCTTTTGTACAAAACAGAAGCTATTATAACTATCATAAAAAAGACAAATAATAGCACCGCTAAAATAATTGAGGCCGATGTAGATAAGCCACTACTGCTGCTTGAACTGGATCCTGAGCTGTGACCCGTTCTTCTTGCATTTGCTAAGATAATTGAAAGTGAAATTTGAAATATCACACCCATTTATTAAATATCTGTTACATAAATCAATGGCATTTAAAACTACAGCAAAAATGCTTGCAAACGAAAATTAAAATCCATTTACATATTTGATTTATTTATCACGCTTATTATTAAATTCTCAAAATTAAAAAATCAGCAGAATAATTCTCTTAGAGATTTTCCCCAGAGTTTTCACTCTTGGAGGGGGAGTGCATATCCCAAGCAATTAACTTTAAAAAAATTTTGAACTTTATAATAAAAATAGTAGCTTATTCATAATTTATTAATAAATGAATTTAATAATAAGCATCATATATCTCTTATAGACTCAAGACAAATGCTCAGAAATTCTATGAAATGCAATATTAAATAAATTATAGTAAAACTAACTGAAAAATAATACGAAAATAAAATATCAAATTTTAAAGCAAATCAGAGTTACAAGTTTATATAAAAATTTCTTGGGTTGCTAGCCTTAAAGTTTCAATAACTTTTTTATCTTCTTCATTCTTCACTTCAATAGGAATAAACGAAGAATTCGCTCTTTCCTTGAGTTTAACTAACGGAATCTGAAAAACTTCTAAAACTTCTTTAATAAATAGAGAATCCGGTATAAATTCAATGAATTTATAAAAATCAATCGTTGTGATTGGAGTTATTCTCCTTCCAAAAATACTTGCAAGAAGCTCATTGACTATACTAAATATCTTTTACCGCAAACACTCATAATATATAGGTGACCCTACAGGAAGTGCTTCTAGCATATTGTAAGCTTCATCAGCCGTAATTACTCCATCTCCTCTTGCGTCATATATATGAAAGCTAAAACCCCTCAAAAAATAATCATTATTTATATTCAGTAATAAATGAACAGCATTTAAAAACCTCGATTTTGTCACATCCTCATACTTTGGTCCAGCTAAAAAATGATAAATTCTTTCAGCGACATAATCGCATTTAGCACCAAATAGCTCCGGTCATTTTTCTTTCATAGATGTTTTTGAAATTGTTTTCAAACTTTTCATATCTTTACATCTTAGAATTTCAAATTTTTCTAATAAATCGTAAAGTTGGGTTCCAGAAAACAAGCTCATGGCTTCTTCAAGCTCCGCTAACTCTCCCCCCCCCCTCCGTGAGCGAACAAAACCATTAGAAAAATCGCCATTTTTTGACCAAAAAACCCACCCTCCGTGAGTGAACAAAAATATTTTAATAGAAAAAAATTTAAATAGAAAAAAATTTTGCTATATAAGTGATAATTAGTATAATGAAATCTAGAGCTAATTCTGTTTAATTTTAAACAAATTGCGTTTTAAAACATAAATTTTGCAAATTAAATTAGTATTTGCTTCCCAATTTTTGCAAATTAGGATTTTTTTTAAATTTCGAAAAAAATATTTTTTTAAAATTTATATATAAATTGTTTTTTAAAAAAAAAAAATTAACCCCCCTCCGTGAGTGAACAAAATTTTTTTGTTCGCTCACGGAGGGGGGGGGGGGAGTAAGTAGGAAAAATTAGGATCTTGCCGAACACTTTCTAAGAGACCAGGATTTTGTGAGATATCAACAATCAAATCCTCGCTGTTTTTCCTAGTCATATTTGGAGGCGTTGTCGGAAACACAGGCAAAATAGTGTAATTAAATTCACAGCTGTGCCTCAAAAAATCAATAAAAATTTGTGGCTTCCCTTGGAAATCAATTTTACAGAAATCTTCAAAAGTCAAGGCTTCAGGCTTTTCAAGGTTATAATGCGGGATTTTTGATTTTTTTTTATTTTCTTCCTCATCTTCCTCGTCTGTATTTTCACTCGTAGCACTACTAAAAACGCTTTTTCTTCTTTTACTTCTGCGCGATTCTTTTTTAGTAGGAATTTTTCTTTGTTTTTTTAGATCAAACATTTTGTTTATCTTTATTATATCATTATCATAATAATCTTGCTCTCTTAGTTTCATAGCAAGGTACGCATCTTGATAGCAAATATATTTATCTTTATTGAAATCAAAAATATCAAAGCAAAATGCTAAATGCTTTTCGTCAGAGCTTCCAATAAACTTGTCCATTTCTGTGCAAAATTCTTCTAATGTACCATTTTTGAAGTCAAAATGTTTAGCCATTGATTCAGATATTTCAGTAGGGTATCGTTTATTTAAATGCTGGGTGAAGCCTTGAATTGAAAGTCTACACAGTCTTAAAGAAAGTTTTGGAGTTCCGCATATTTCTTGATATAGACGGATAAGGCTTGGCTTATTTCTATCAAGAAATTTCCTTTTGCCCAATCGTCTCATTTTGCTTGTAGGCCGACTACTTCTCCTGCTCTCTGCCCTAGAAAATGTTGTTCTTGATAAAGTGGGATATCGGCCACTATCTGGGAATTTTATCAAATCTTTGAGTAAATTTCTTTCATTTATGCTAAACCCAAGAGGAGAGGAGTTTACTACCCGCTTTACTTCTAAATCTGGAGTTTTTCTAGAAACTGTTGGGACAGGAGTTTGTGATAGTGATCGGTATTTTTTACTATTTTGAATGTGGATGAATTTATAATAATACTCGGTGCTACTGTAAATCGGAATTGATAATATAAGCTTTTTTTTAGCTTCGTTAAGGAAGTGATCATAAATTTGAGGGTTTTCTTTGAGCTTGCTTAAAAATCGTTGAAAGAATGCAATTTTTTCATTATTGCTACCCTCCTCCCTCCGTGAGCGAACAAAAAAATTTTGCTCGAAGGACGTGTTTTTAATTAATTTTTTTAAATTTATTAATTATTTTTTCCGAAATTTAAAATTAAATATATTTTTTATAAAAATTTTTTGTTTGCTTACAGAAGGGTGTTTTCAATCAAAAATACCGATTTTTTCAATGCTTTTATTAGCTCATGGAGGGATGGGGAAGAGTAAGGGGAGGGAGTTCGGTATATTTTCGGAAATGCTTTTTCATAAAAGGCAATTTTTTAGTCAGATTTGATTTTTTGGAAAGGTTTATTGTATAATCTAAATAAGCTTCTGAGTCATTGCTCATTGATCCAACTTCTTCAACTTCTTGGATCTTCGATAAGCCGCTAATTGAAGCAAAAAACGAATTACTTAATTCGGTATTTTGTGCCTTTTTCTCGGATTTCAGCCCAAATTCATCCGCTAGGTGTGGGAGTTTAGGCCGAGTTTTTAAATAATCCATAAATCCCTTAAATATAAAATATGTTAAGGAAAATTATGTTTTGAAGCTATGACTTACAGTATATTTTAAAACTAGATTTTTTATCTAATTTTAAATGAATATTCAATTAGCATCTGGTCAAGCACAAGTAGCAACCCTACAGCCCCACCCCCCTAAAAGTGGTACCCCCACCCCCCCTTTTCACAGATGGCACCCCCACCCCCCTAAAAGTGGTACCCCCACCCCCCCCTTTCACAGATGGCACCCCCACCCCCATCCCCCATAATATAGCATAAAATATATGAAAAATGCCAATTTAGAGCAGACGTAATAAATAAATTATTATTTTAAATATTCAAAATTACTGATTTATGCAATATCCACATAGCGTAGCACAATCGATTAAGGAGTAGATGGAATGGGGTGAGAATTTCATATAACTAGTAAGCTCACCAAATCTGAAAAAATTTGTTAGCAAGCATAATAATGATCTTTGGTATTAATTAGCAATATATCCTGCATATATTTATGAACTTTGTGGAACAATGGCTAAAAAGTCGAATTAGAGATCCAAAAGTAAAACTGACAATAGCAAATACTATTTTTATTACCACTATTGAATCCTGCTACCAATTCAGTCCTGCAATCCTTGTACAATTGTCATTAGATTAGCTTTAATTTATGAATCAATAAATTTAAAGCAAGTTATTGTATTATCCTTGGTTAATTTAATAATTAATGCCATTATCTATATCTTTGGCATTATATCTATAAATATAAAAAGCAAATTTAATATATTTTCTAATTAATTGCTAATTAATTTAAATTTATTAATTAATCATAAATATAAAGTAATTTGTGGACTTAATTTAAAAATATATAGTGTTTTAATTGGGTTATGTTTAATTTATTCTGCTTATTTCCTATCAAATACTTCTATAGGAAACCCGAGAGGGGGGGTGGTGCCATCTGTGAAAGGGGGGTGGGGGTACCATTTTTAGGGGGAGGATGGGGGGTTCCCTTATTGGGGGGGGGGGGGTGTCTGGTTGTGACCTATGCTTGACCAAGCGTCTTTCATATTAGTCAAGAAAGCTCGGAAAATATTTTCTCTAATTGAATATAGTTAACTACACTGACTGGCACGGGGTGCTTTTGGCTCGAAGCTGAGCCAAAAGCACCCCGTGCCAGTCAGTGTAGTTCACTATAATTATATATGCAAAGAAATATGAATTAAATATAATGAACTCTACATACGACACAAAAGCAAATTTGCTCATCGCAATGCAAATTCTAGATCTCTCTACCTTTTCATCTACTTTATCAGATATTGGGACAGATATAACTATGTTTATTGATTCAGAAGGATATAATATATTTCACGATCTTGCAAATTCCAACATCCCCGAAAGCAAAGTTATGGATTTCCAATTAGAAATAGAAAACTGCGTCAAAGAAAATTTCGGCGATGAAAACTTTGATAAAGAAGTCGAAAAAATGTTGAATGCACAAGATTTTAAAGAGAAAAACACACCTTTGCATTTCGCCATCAGAAAGAAAAGAAGCAAGCTCTGTGCCAGGTTTTTACAGTTACGAGCTGATATTTTCATGAAAAATGCGCAGGGGCATGGAGTTGTGCACTTGGCAGCTCAATCCGGGATGATTCAGTTTATAATGAATGCAGTGGTGAATTTTAAAATGAGGTTTAATGAACCAGATATTTATGGAAGAACCCCAATGCATTTGGCAGCCGAAAATAGTCACGAGTTTGTTGTAGCTTTATTGCTTTCACTAGGGCAAAATGTTAATGTAAAAGATAATAAAGGGAACACAGCACTACATTTAGCTGCAACTTCTCAAAGCTATACAGTTTCAAGAGTCCTCATTATGAATTACGCAGATAGGAATATTACAAATAAAACTGGCCATACAGCTTTGGACATTGCTAATCACTATAATGCAGTTGAGCTTTATAAAATCCTGAAGAAGCCATTCCCTTTGAAAAAATTGAATCCCTTCGGAACATCTTTAGAGCCATCAAGATACAACTACAAAGCATTTATTCTGTATATTGCTGCATTATTTGTACGCTATATTTTATGATTTATTTATATGAGAGACATTTCAGTGTCATTTGATATAGTTTCAGGGGTTATTTTTATCTTTACATTTATTCTCTTTTCTATGGTCCATTATTTTGACCCGGGTTATATTAAGCCTAAGCCTGGACAAGATCTAATTGTAAGTGATATATAGAAACTCTATGAAAATTATCACCCAGAATATGTTTGCCCATTTTGCAAGGTTAAAAAATCGCAGTCAGCAAGGCATTGTCAGCATTGTGGGAAATGTGTAAAGAAGTATGATCATCACTGTCCATGGATTAGGAATTGTGTAGGGAAAAAGAATTTTGTGCTATTTTATACATTTATTGTCTTTTGTATAGGACTTTCCCAAGAATTACCCCCAAAAAGAATTAAATCTGCTAGTACTGGCAGAGATAAGAATAAATTGATACTATTGATTTTTTATATCAATTCTCAGTCTGTTTGGCAATTTTTGCATTAAATGAAAATGGTGAGGCAAACATTTTGGACCTTGACGATTATGCAAATATGCGTGATGCCTGCATTGTGAACTGAGTGTTTAGCTTGATAGGGCTTGTTTTGTCAACTCCTGTACTATATATACAAAGCTTAAATATCATACAAGGAAGAACCACAAGAGAAAGATTTGGGTTCAAAACTGCAGCAAGGCTGTCAGAAATTCAAACAGAAGACCCAAGATACACTATGACCTTGAGTGATGCAGCTGCTGAATCTCTGCTAATGCCTGATCTTGATAGAAGAACTCCAAATTATAAAGATGTAAAAGAAGAAAATAAACTTTGCTGCTTTTCTTTTGAGAGAGAAGGAACGAGTTTGGTAAAGCTTAATGAAACAAATTAAATTATTTAATTTTTACTAGAATTCATTATGCCTTAATTTATTTTACTGATTGCAATCATTATGCCTTAATTTATTTTACTGATTGCAATGAATTAAGTAAATTCGTGACCACACAAAGACTGAATGAGAAATTTTGCACTTAATTAAAAATAAATCCGAATTATTTTCTTGAATCCTGAGTTTGGTTAATTCCATTTTTAAACAATTAAATCTATGTCAATAATTATTTAATCCCATTTGTTTTCTTTCCAGTTACTATCATGAAAACTTCCTCAAGAGTGGTATGAGATAAGCCCCAATCCTCAATCAAATCCTTCAAAACGCTGAGCTCCCCTATCTCTTCTCCTTCCATGATTCTTACGAATTCTCCAATCTCTTTTACATCTTTGACTGAAATTCCTAAGACTAAGCTCCCCCCACTAGAATCAATAATTTTTGCATTGGGCATCACTATGCGAACAATAGGCACTACTCTTTCTACTTCTTTTGATATAATATTAACTCTATACCCATCTCCAAACTGGTTTTTCAAGTAAAGAGAAGTTCCTATGCATTTCAATCTTCCATCCACAACGACACAAACTCTATCGCTAAGGACATCTGCTTCTTCCATTGAATGAGTGGTTAAAATCATTATTCTTTTTTCCTTGAGCTTTTTAATAAACTTTCATGCCTGCCTTCTGTTAATTGGGTCCATCCCTGTAGTAGGCTCATCTAAAATAATCACCTTAGGATCCCCAATTCCAGATATAGCCAATGAAAGCCTCCTTTTCATGCCCCCGCTGAAAGTTCCAGCCAATAAATCTGCTTCGTCACTTAAATTGACTTCTTTTAGCCTCTCATTGACTTCTTCATATACTTTATCATAGCTTTCTCCTTTAAGTCTTCCAAATAGAATTAAATGTTCTTTAGCTGTAAGCTCGTCCCATAGAATATCATGCTGTGGGCAGACTCCTAACACTTTTCTAATTTCGCTCATGTTTTCTCTAATATCAAATCCGCAGATTTTTGCTGAGCCTGATGTAGGTTTACAAAGGCCAGTCAGCATATTAATTAATGTAGACTTTCCAGCCCCATTGTGGCCCAACAAAGCTAAAAGTTCTCCTCTTTTAGCATGCAAATAGATATTATTAACAGCATGAATGTCTTCTGAAGTCTTATAAAGATTTTTCTGGAAAATCTTATGAATCCCAAGTATTCTGATGCTGCTTGAAGAGTCTTCTAGGTCAATAACTTTGCGTTTTTCAAAAGAGACTGAATCTGCTACTTCTTCATTGGTATCTTCTACAGTTGATTGGATTTTTTGAATTTTTTTATTGAAGCCCCAATATTTGGGAGTCAAGAAAAAATAAACTGGATCAGAGTTTCCACGATTGCTAGGTAAAACATGATCAAAATACCAGGCAAGAATGCACAAAAGTAGAGAATCTGCAAGCAAATACAAAAGAGATTCTAAAGCTGATGGAATAATCCTTCTGTTTCTTGAAGCAAACCTATTCCAAGAGTAATATTCGCCAGGAACATGCTTATGCTCCCAGTGAGAATAATGGACTGACGCTTTTCGTGCAATATCCCCGAAGCATTTAGAAAAATTAAACGGAGGATAAAGTGTAAAGATGGCTCTGACTATTGCTACCCAGTCAGGTGCTTCTTCTGACCATAATGCGTAAATAATATTTATATCTGACAAAAGCAGCTGAAACACAAGACCTACTAAAATGAAAACATAAGAAGCTGCGTATGCACTTTTGGTGGTCCTTAAGAAAGTTGACAACAAGAAGGCTAGACATGTCATTGATATCGAAAAAAATCCAAACATCATTAAAAGTATCAAATAAGGGGTGTTCAAAAAGATGTCAAAGTTGCATAGCTTGCCACTGATAATTACACTATTGCTTGTAAATATAGTAAATATAAAAGCTGTTATAAACCATGAGTGCCAATAAGGACTGTGGCTCATCCCCATCATGCTAAGCCCACTCCTCAAATGAAACTCTTTTTCTCTCACAAGTTCGATCAAGACAACAACAAAAGTTACAATTGGCGGGATAAAAAAATAAAAAGGCCCAGAGTTTTTGATGATGCTTACATGGTTTGAATGCCTGTTTTTGGGTTCTGGGTAGCCTTGAGTGCTGACTTTAATATCGATTTTTTGATCTTTCGATTGATAAGAAATCAATGCTTCATCTAAGGCTGACTTCACTGCGATTGCTGGGTAATTTACTGGCATAGGAGAGTTCATTTCTGATATCAGCATGCTTACTAGTGAAGAGGAGTTGAAAACTATATTGTACATTCTTACTGTATAATTTTCACTGCTTCCTAAGCAGTCAAAAGTTCCGTTATAAAATCTGTTTGGAGGCAAGACAAATGGGCCAGTGCATAAAATTACAGCTGTCTGAGTTTGATTGTCATGCTTATCTATATAATCAAACAATTGCATGGGATCATTTTTGGCTAAAATTTTATACTTGTGATATTTTTATATATGCATCTCAGTTTTGAAAAAATTATTTGTTCATTCCCCCCCCCCCAATCCTTGATCGAACGACTCGCCATCGCTCGATCAAGGATGGGGGTTAAAAAAATTTTTTTGGGAAAAAAATTTTATATATAAAATAAAATATATATATAAATTGTTTTTTATTTACTTTTAAATAAGAGGGTTAAGAGTATTTAATAATTATTTTTACAGCAAAAAATTGAATTATTTTTCATAAAAATACCAATTTTTTATATTTTAATTTATTAGTTACCCCTTTAAACTGTATAAATTTTAATTTGTTACTTATTAAATTAAAATTTGTTTTTTAAAAATTTTAAAAATCTCTATTTTATTAGATTATTGAGTTTTTAAGCCCATGTTGATGACTAAATTACTTTGAATGGTTGATTCCAAAACTTTCTGTCGTCTCAAAGTCTCATCTTCCCAAGCTTTTGATAACTAATATATATTTATATATATATAAAAATTTGCATGATATGAAAATCGTTCGATCAAGGATGGGGGTTAATTTCCCCAATTCTTAGGAATTTTTACAGTCAATCGTTCGATCAAGGATGGGGGGGGGAGTCAGCAAAAATTTATTTTCGATATAGAATTTATATACGATAATTTTTCTAATAGAAATTTATCTTTCGAAAAATTCTTTTTTCGCTATAATATCTTTTCCAATCTTCAAATGATGTTTTTCTGAAATATATTTAATGATATAGTCTGAGAACTCATTTTCTCCATTTGTTAATCCAATGCCAAGGGTAATGCAGTCATTTCCGTAGCATTTTGGGATTTTTCACAAATCAATTGTATCTGGATTTTTAGTTACCATATTATCAAATACATAATTTGCTGTGAATTGTATTAACAGCAAGTATAAACAGACTGCAAGAGGAGTTAAAATTTGGAATAGAGTTGATTTTAAATTTCTCTTGAAGACAAGATACTGCTTCCACAATAAAAGTTTTAGCTGAAGCTTATACATTGATGGCATATTTTTATTTGAGGAGGATTCAGAATCTTGCTCTGGATTGATTTCTTCTGTGAAATTATAATAATTGGGACGGTCTTTAATCTTTTCCTCAGACATTTTATTTGGCTATTAAAAAAATTTATAAAAGGCTAAATTTCCAGTCAGTTTTAAAACCTGGCTAAATAAGATATACCTTCAGAATAGGTATGGCTCGACCTGAAACTCCCCTCCCCTCCCCCCCCCCCCACCCCCTGACGGTTTCAATTTGAACGACATTGTTAATTCAAAATGACAAATCCCTCACTAAGGATTTGACAAGCCAAATTTAATTTGTAGATTTCAATAAAGTTGAAACTGTTAGGGTGTGGGGGAGGAAGGGGGTTCTCAGGTCGATCTATAACCGTGCTCACGGTATAACTGGAAATCCAGTAGCGATAATAATTGAATTTTAAATATAATAATTAATTCTGAGAAATTAACTCACATTTTGAATAAATTGCCTCAAAGGCTCATGCACTTCTCTGACAGCAGGAATGCTATCAATTTCTCCATACCATTTTCTGACAGATTTGTAAGGACCGAAATCGAAATTTTCCATTTCTAGCTGAGACAAATAGCTAAATAGCAAGATATCAGCAATTGTCGGGCTGCTTGTTCTTGCGATATACACTCCACTTTCAAAGATTGTATCGATCCTTCTTAAGAAGGCATCTAAATTTGCAGTAACTTCAGCCTCCTTTTCAACTGTTATTTGAGGTCTTCCAAAGAATCTTGGCCCTACTATTTTCTCGAAAAGATAAGGTGTTAGAGCTTTCATAGTATTTGTATGATGCCAGTGGAGTGAAGAATTAATAATTGCTCGAAGCTGAGGATTTGAAGGAAACCATTGAGAGTCAGTATGAAAAGCTTCAGCTAAATAATAAATAATTGCGCCGCATTCTCCTAGACTGAAGCTACCATGAGTTATTGCTGGAACTTGACCATAAGGATTTATAGCTAAAAATTCTGGAGACTTATGCTCTCCTTTTGTTAGGTCAACAACGACAAGCTCATAAGGGATATTGTGGAGCTTGCAAAATATCATTACTATTCTGCAAGGAGGCGAAAGATTAAGCCCATGAATCCTAATAGGATGATCTGTCATGTTTTATTGATAAATTTATAGGCTATTTTAAAACAGAATATCGCTCAAATTTTGAAACTCATATTTACTTGAAATAAAACTGAATGAGTAATTACAAATATTATTGTAAGATTGATTTAAAGAAAATTTCCAGCCAGTCTCACGAGTTGGTTAATAAAATGACTCTATATAGCAAGTTGATTTTTCTTTCTTTAATAATTTTTAAACCTCTTAGTTCCACAGAGCAATAGCTTGTCTCATCTCTAACAGCTTCAATTTTTCCAAGCTCTTCTCTCCACTCAAAGAATTGGCATAGCTGCTAATCAAAGTTTCCCATCTCCATTTCACTCAAATAGTAATACAGCATAATATCTTCTATTGTGGGATTTCTCGCTCTTGCAATATAAATTCCGCTGGTAAAAAAAGAGATCAATTGGTCTAAAAAGCCATCTAAATCTCCTATAGTTTATCCTTCTCTTTCAGGCGCCAAAGGAGGGATTCCGCAGAATTTCGACAATATAATTTTTTATAGATATAAGGATTAATGGATTTTACTCAGCTAAATACAAAGAATGGTTAAGTTTTCGCCTAAACTGAAATTTTCATGGGTAATTTCTGTAAATTGGCCATAAGAATTTATTGATAAAATTCTGATGATTTTTGCTCTTATTTATCTAAGTTAAATTTGACAAAATATACTCCAGTGAATCATATATGGATTGATTTTTATTAAATGCTACAAAGCAACCAATTTCAAATAAAATCTGAGGAAAACAGACTTTACAAATTACTATAAAATTTTTCTGTTAGGAAACTCCTTTTTGAGCATTTTCATAAAAATGGGTGTTTCCTAGCTATAAAAATTGAATAATTGATTATACATTGCCAATTAGGAATACTTAGCGGCTATGAAAGCTCTTTAATAATGATAAGGATATTTTCATGGGCGTGACTGTAACTAAATAACTCATCTCTTACGAAGACTATTGAGCGTCATAATTATTTAATTTCGCCAACTCATCTTAATTTTGATTAAAAATTTCAATGAGATGTATTTACATTGAAATCCTTAAAGCACAAAAATTATGTTTATTTTTCGAAATAAGGATGAGGTGTTGCTAAAAAGCAACAAAATATAGATATTCAACTTAAAATATAGCATGATTATTAAAATAATAGCACATTCCTATATTTTTACTTATTGCCTAAGCTTTGTTTTAGATTGTATCTTCTTCCTCTATTAAGATTCCACTTCTTCAATTCCTTCTTAATTCCTCTTTACTCCCAAAAGAAAAACTTCCTGCCTTAATTCCTTTAATAAATCTGAGCTTTTCTTCCTTATTAGACTGTTCTATTTCATGCTGTAAACTCTTAATCATTGTAAAATTTGATACTTTATTCGTTTTTTCTAACTCAAAATTTTTTCTCTTCAGATCTTCTATAGCTATTTTGTCATTTTTCGAGTTATCATACGCATTTGCCAATAATTGATTATATTCTTCACTACGTTTTTTCATAGTATCATTGAGCTCAAGAATCTTTTCTTTTTGGGTTTTGTTTTCATTTTCACATAAAAGTTGGGAATTTTTTAATTTTTCAACTTCTTGAGAAAGGGATAGAATGGACTGTTGAAGAGCTTCAGATTTTGCTTCATAAAGTTTGGCTTGATCTGAGAGAGCTAAAATGGTGTGTTCAAGGGATTTTTTCTCAAGCTTCAATGCAGTCAATTCTTCTTCGAGAAGATTTGTGGAAGTCTGAGTATCTGAAGTAAATCGAGCATCTTTAGTAGTTTCTAGGGTAGATGCAAACGAATAAAAAGTAGGGAGGTTAGTAGACTCTTCTTCAGTTTGGGCGGATTTTGATTCGACAACTTTGTGCTCTCTAGTCTCTACACAACCCATTTTTGTTTAAATTTTTGTGGAAAATTAATTTTGCAATAAAATCTTAATCCCCTGTTTTATAAAAGCGTTCAAATAAATTATAATAAAAATTATTCAATTGATTCTCTGCGCATTTAGTTAGAAAATTATCAATGATATGAAAATGAATTTTAATATATAGTAAAGTTTTATCATTATTTCGCGTGAATCATTTTGACTAGATTTTTAGATATATGCATAAATATTTATAACAAGCTTTAAAGTTCAGCCAACAATCGTTTATTCAATCTCCTTTGCTGATATTTAGTATAAAATTATTGCTTTCTAAAGCCATTTACTCCTATAACAATTCTGCTAAATACAAATTTTAACTAAAATGTCTTTTCCGTTAGAACTTGACACTACACAGCTTATTATAGCCTTAGACTCCATATCACATCGATTATCTTCTCCATATCTAAGCAGAAGAAATCTAATAGATCTCAGCCAGGTAGACATAGCTGAAGAACTAAAATATACAATCCAAGAGCTTATAGATCGTGAAAAAGAGTTTTTAGCCTGCATAGGTATTGCCAAAGAACTTATCAAAAGCAATGAAAATCTTAAAGCACAAATAAATCAAATAGTCGAGAAAAAACGAAAATATAAGTGTCTTAACAGCCAACTTTATATAGAGATCGAACGGTATAAGTCTGAAATTCACAGTTATGAAGAAAAATATACCCAAGCCAACAACGCACTTCAGAGTTGTGAAGAAGAATTGCTAGTTCTTACTGCTGAGAATTCACAAGTTTTAGTTGAAAGTGAAAAACTTAAAAAATTGCCTGATTTTCTAACTCTCTGAAAGGAATTAAATTTTCACCAATAAATATTTTAAATTTTACTATGAATAGTGAATATAATCTCTAATTTTAAAGCATAATTTATTAATTTAATCTAAATTTCAACTAAGTTTATTTAAATAAAGCAAATTGATCAGAAAGCCAATAAAAAAATTTATAAATATTATATAAAATAAATTATCAACGAAAACTCATCGTGTCTAAGTAAGAAAATTAATAGTTGACTATGAAAATCGGATCGAAACGCAAAAGGAAATTTTAATCAAACAAATAAGCTCAATAGAAGAATCCAAGCTTGAAAAAGAGAAAACTTATAAGAAAAAGATAAGAGATATGGAGGAGCAAATGCATATGCTGAAAACACAACAAACAATAGCAAAGAGCATTGAGCAAAAATATCTAAAATCAATAGAGCAAATTAATTTTCTTGAAAAAGAATTAGAGGATACAAAAAATAATTATAAAAAATACTCAAAAGTCAACAATGAATTAATAAAAAGTGTAGAGTTACTCAAAGTAAAAAATGAAAAATTGCAAGAAGAGCTTGAAGTCAATAAAAATACTTGCCCAGTTACTAAGCAGGATTGAAATAAAGAAACTAGTCTATTTAATGAGATACAATATTTAGATGAACAAGAAAACCTTTGAACTGATGTTTCCGACGAAGAAAACAACCATTCTCCAAGCCTCTCCAAAAATGCCTTACTCCCCCTCCGTGAGTGAACAAAAAAATTAGAAAAATCGCTACTTTTTGCCCAAAAAACCCACCCTCGTGAGTGAAAAACATTTTGATATATAAGTGATAATTATTATTACGAAATTTATAGCTAATTCTGTTTAATTTAAAACAAATTGCGTTTTAAAACATAAATTTTATAAATTGAATTAATATTTGTTTCCAATTTTTTTGCGAATTAGTTTCTTTTTTTAAAATTTCGAGAAAAAAAAATTAACTCCCCCTCCGTGAACGAACAAGATTTTTTTGTTCACTCACGGAGGGGGGAGTTAAGAGATTCTACAAACTCATTTCTTTTATGCTCTCCAATTATATCGAAAACAAGAAGAAGCTATTCCCTTAGGTATTCTAATGATAATTTTTCCTGAACAAGCTGTAAAAAGCCTCGATATTTAGCAAATCCAATAAGAAAAGACCCCGGAGAAGAGTATTTTATTCTAGCAACACAAGCTATAAAAATGAACTTGCCGTTTATGCATGAAATCTGTAGGTTTCCTGCAAATGAATTATATAAGAAAGCAGTTGCTGAAGACGTTCCGTTTAATAAATGACACACTTGGATCGAAAATCAATTAACGCTAGCGTATTACAAAATTGTACAAAGTAATATTAAATAATTCCCAATGGTTTTTAATCCTCATAAAATAATTAATTTATATTGAATGAAAATATTTAAGCAATCAATAAATATTTATAATAAGCTAAAACATAGACTACACAGACAATTTTAAGGGCATTATACCGCAAATTCATAAAGTAATTAAACGAAAATGGGTGAAAAAGACTTAAAAAATCCAAACTTCCAGAAAGCAAGCCAAAATAGCCTCATTCAAAGCAGACCTATAAGCAGTAATAACACAAGCGAAAATATAAAGGTTATTGAAGTACTCCAAAAAAAGCAGTTTATAAGAAAAGAATTTTTAGTTGGAGAGCCAGTATTAGACTGCACACCTCAACATCGTAAAAGAAACCTATTTCAAGCAATCACAGAGTTTTCCTCAGCAGATTTAAGCATAAGTTTTAAAGACTTATATGACCAGAAAATAATGCCCTCAAAATTTTTAGCAACGCCTATTCCGGTTATTAGAAATCTGACCCAAAAAGTTTATGAAAAATCAAAGCCAATTCCATTTCCCTTAAACCTTTCTTTTATAGAGAAGTCTAAGAAAAGAAATGAAATTACTGAAGAAAAGCTAACTCCACCTCTGCAAACTAACTCTCTAGCAGAGAGCAATTATTGTTCCTTACTCCCCCCCCCCTCCATGAGTGAACAAAAAAATTTTGTTCACTCACGGAGGGGGGTTATTTTTTTTTTTTCCATAAAAAATTTTTGTATTAAAAAAATTTTTGTTCACTCACGGAGGGTGGGTTTTTGGGCAAAAAATGGCGATTTTTCTAATGGTTTTGTTCACTCACGGAGGGGGGGGAGTTAGACTTTTTGGAAACAATTATACTGCCCATACTGATGCCCAATTTCGTATTTTCCAAGTCTGAGATACAAGCTGGCCCTCCAGTATGGACAGTATACTTATGCTCAAGGGAATTATCCAAAAAATAATTAGAGTAAAAATTGTATAAAATTTATGTTTTAGAATGTAGCTGTTTAAGGCCCAGTCCTTTGGATGTTTTAGAGGCTTAAGGTTTAGGGTTTCACTGCTCAGCATCTAGAGCAAATGAACTTTCGGAGAAACACTCGGAGGAGCTATACTAAATTTCTGGGGATAGCGCGGAATACGCTATCCCCAGGACCAACCGGGATCGGATCCACACATGGAACGGGGTTCCATGTGTGGATCCATTTTTTGACATGTGAGATATTTACTTTCACGTGTCAAAAATGGATCCACACATGGAACCCTCGTTCCATGTGGGATCCGATCCCGGTTGGTCCTGGGGATAGCGTATTCCGCGCTATCCCCAGGAATTTTCTATAGGTTGCTCACGGCAGCAAAGCGCTGAGTTAGGAATGCTGTCGAGTAGGAGCATGAAGAAATCTCTACCCATTTGGCTTTCCATTTTATTTAAAAAACTTTTGACTGGCTCATTGAGGATTATTTTTTAAAAAAATAGCATTTTTCTAATGTTTTTGCTTTTACGAGGAAATAAGAAAATTAAATTCATTTAATTCAAAGCCGAAAAAATTATCAAAGTCATCTATAGACCTTTTTCAGAAAAATTCGATTAAAAACCCTCCTTTGAAAGTTTGCGAGAATGTCACAAAAATCTGTAGTAACCTACTTAAGCAAAATAAACGTTGTAAAAGCGTTGTGTTGAAAAAAACAAAGCAGCTATACAAAGGACTTATAAAATGCGAAGAATTCGCAGAAAAAATAAACAAAAGCAATCAGCGTGCTAATTTTTATTTTTTGCATCATAAAAATATTCATGATGAAATTACAAATTCATTGCTAAAAATTAAACTGGCCTAGTTGCCAAGTCTAGATTATCTTAATGTAGTTTATTTATTATTTGATTAGAGGTTTATGTAAAATATAATTAAAAATTATGTACTCCATTTTATGGCATCTCATTTTTATTAACTCACCCTTCGTGAGCTTGCCAAAAAAATTTTTTTCGTACACATTATTTTTTCTTTTAAAAACAAAATTAATTTATAAAATTTATGTTTTAAAATGAAGCTATTTGAAATTTAACAGAATTAGCTCAAGACTTTTTATATTAATTAACACTTTTATATAATTTCTTTCATAAAAAAAATTATATTAAAAAATCTTTGTTCACTCTTGGAGGGTTTTGTCAGGATTTTTCAATGGTTTGCTCGCTCACAGATATTGGAGTAAGCATAATTATCTTCTTCAGAATCTTCATGCTTCTCTTCTTCTGGCTTAGGCTTGAAGCAGGGCGCTGAAGAATAAAGCCACTCTTTATAAATAGACTTAACCTTGTCCTGTTGTTCTTTCTTGGCAATTGAAAGACTCTTATTTCTAAGAAAAACTCTTCTATAAGTATCAATTAATAATGCTAAAAATGCAGAGAAAAGGAAAAATACTATTGCAAAGAAATAAACATATAAGAAACCAACTGTCCAAGTGGGAGCAAGCTTTATTAAATCATCAATAGATCCTAGCCCAAGCAAGAACATGATATCAGAGAGTATATTCCAGCTGAAAGTTCTTCAGTAATAATTATTTGCTCCATATATGTTATAAGTCACCATTAGAAGACCCAACAAGATTGGCCCTAAAATGAAAATCAAACAAATCACATTTCTTGCAGCCATTTGCATGGTTAGCAAATATGTTCCAACTTTTTTAGTGATATTCAAAAATGAGAGCATTCTCACTCCCCCCCATCCTTGATCAAACGGCTCGCCATCGTTCGATCAAGGATGGGAGTTAAAAAGGAAAAAAAAAGATATATAAAATAAAATATATATATGTTATTTTTTATTTACTTTTAAATAAGAGGGTTAAGAGTATTTAATAATTATTTTTACAGCAAAAAAATTGAATTAATTTCATAAGAATACAATATTTTTTAATATTTTGATTTATTAGTTTCCCTTTAAACTGTATAAATTTTAATTTGAATTAAATTGTTTTTTTTTTTTTTAAATTTAAAAGAATCTCTATTTTTTAGATTATTGAGTTTTTAAACCAGGTTAATGACTAAAGCACTTCGAACAGTTGATTCCGTAGCTTCCTGTCGTCTCAAAGTCTCTGAAAACAACTTCATTAGACACATCTTCCCAAGCTTTTAATAACTAATATTTTTATATATATATAAAAATTTGCATGATATGAAAATCGTTCGATAAAGGATGGGGTTAATTTTCCCAATTTTTAGGAATTTTTGCAGTCAATCGTTCGATCAAGGATGGGGGGAGTCAGCATAAATAAAAGAATAAGCCACGCATTCAGAGTAATATAAGTATTATAATCTTCAGCCGACTGTTGCAAATCTGTGTACTTTTCCCTCAAAATATGGCTTTTCTTTATATCGTGTTTAAAATTAAAAGCAAAAGCAGATACAATCAGACAAAAAATAATTAAATCCCCAACTCCTCTTGTAGTAAACAAATACTGGTAGTTTCTAGAGTCATCAGTTTTCCTCATAACCATTCTTACTGTGATATATAGAAGATAAAACCCAAGAATAAATCGGACTATTTCGAGAATCAGCATTGAATCATCTTTAGAAGTCCCTTCATGAAAAAGCTTGAATACAGAAGAATGAAAATAAGTAGGAAATACAAGGCCAGTTGTGCTTATCTCCATAACCATACATACAGAAATAAATTTTTCATAAGTAGGAGCATATAAATTAAAACTTAAAAATAAGCCCCGGGTTTCAAGCCAGATTCAGTTCGCCGCTTTCAATGCCATATAACTATTAATGAACTGTTCTTTAGTCGTGTTAGAAGGCCATGAATCATAAATATAGCCAGAGCCATCGTAGCTAGAAAATTCACCATCAAAATTCCAATCGATCCCAGTTTCTGAGGCGCTTTGATAGACATTTCAGGAATCGGTTTTGCCTTCGATATTCTCTGTATATTTTGTGCTTGATGTATAGGCTTGATGATAGCAGGTAAGGAAAAATTACAAAAAGGTGCAAAAATCGAAAAAAACAAATTTTTTTCGCGAAAACTAGTGCAAAAAGGCAAAAGAGAAAAAATTAATGAAATTTTTGCAAAATTTTTTAAAATTTTTTTTTTTCATATTTGCATCATTTTCAAATCCTCTTTGCAGGTAAAATTTGAAGATATATCCCAGTTTGAAGCTTCAGGACAATCCATTTCTTTAGTTCTAACTTGTCGAATTCTAACTGGGCCAACCAAGTAATATCTTCTTATAAAATTATTTTGATAGAGATATTGACTGTTAAATACATTTGGCGCTAATACGTTTATTACAAATTTATCGACATCATCAAACGTACTTATTGCCCAGTAATTTTTTTGGTCAGAAAAATCTACTAATAAGCCTTGGTTTATGCCTTTCTGGAGCCAATAGTCTGAATTTACGTTTCTTCTCACGATCTCCATAGACGGCGCAACACCAATCGAGCACTTCTAGGAGCATTATGCTGCCTGCAAATTGCAGAAGCAGCTCCAGAATATGAATTGGACGTTTCCTTCATACCCTAGCACACCAGGGGTCAAAGAGTCCTGTACTGTCCAAGTTCAGTTGAATCTCTCTGTAAGGCTGACGACATCACGATTTTGAGTGGCCTAGAAGGAAAAGGGCTTTAGATGGCTTTAGTACTTAGCGCGCATGAAGCTGAAGCCCGAATAGTTAGGGGCTGAAATAAAACCCCGTTTAACCCCCTCTAACTAACTCTCTCTCACGATATTCAAAGCTGCAGAAATTGCAAGACAAACTAGAATGATAATCATTGTGTTGAAACTTGCATAAGACCCTTGGGTTTTCTCCTTAAGAATAGCGTCATCATTTAGCTCCCCCTCTATGAATTATAGGCAATATATCTCTGTTAGCAATAAGAGCTTTACTATTTAAAAAAAATTATATTATATTCTAAAATACAAGCAATTTAAAATTTTGTAAGATAAATAATGATTTCATATTATCATTGCTATTTATAAAATATTTTTTATATGAATTACCTACTCGTGCACTGAAACATAATTTATGATTTTATCAACGATTTCGCTTGCTCAGATTTGGAGAGTAAGTCTTAAGATTAATCTTAATTATACTTATCGAAAAGTTCATTGAAATTCCCAAAAGACTACTTCCGCCTCTACCACTTTCCCTCCCTGATCCAAAGTTCGTATTTCAGGAAATAGTAAATTTTGATTCTGCCATTCGAAGCTTGGGCTAGCTAGCCTGTAGTTAGATAAGGGTGCAGGTCCAATAATCTTGCATTTTTAACAGTTTGCATTTGAAAACTTTTTGATAGTGAGATATTTTACCGAAAAACCCGTTAGATTTCGACCAAATGTCACGCTATTTAAAAATTTTCGAACAAATGTATTTCGAGGAAATGCACACTATCAAAAATCCACTTTTATTTGACATGCCACCATAATATACAGGTCAAAAAAGATTTCTACCACAGAAAATTCAAAATGATTGTCTTCCGGCCAAAATGTAAATTCATAGTTCAGGGTGTAATCCTGGAGAAATAGTCCCGTTTGGCAAGGAAAATAACATTTCGCTCTGATGCTTTACCCCTTTTTATTTTTTGGATCCACTTCCCTTTGAGGCAAAACCTTGATTTGGAGCAGAGCATATGATCGACTTACCCAGCATTTTGCTTCGTCGATCCAAGTAGACCTGCCCTAATACGTATTCCTAGCTGCCATCCGCTCTGCACTCCACTAGACTGAGATCACTATAGGAGTCACGAGGGTAAGTCTGCTTCGCCATTTTAATATATATTCAAGAGTAAGTCAATATCGACCCGTTTAAAAGATTCTAGCCCCTTGTACATTTCAGATAGTTTTTTGAAGTTATTCATATGCTGCCTATCCGAAAGTCCTCTTGCTCTTCCTGCAAATCTCCTTTTTACTGAGCCAACTTTAAACTGACTTATAATAGAAGGGTCTAAAAAGCAATCATTCAAAGTGGTAAAGCTGCTTTTTGCTTGATTGTCAATCGAAAACAGCCAAAATTCAGGAGGAATTCTTTCGTTTATGATACATTCCTGGACGTTTTCATCCATAAATAAGCCAAGAAGTGCAAAATTGTTAGCTCGGAAACCTACAGAATCGGGATCTTTGATTTGCTATATAAAAAATACTCAGAATTCGCATGCAGTCGCTTTCAAGTCATGAAAAGTCGTGGTTTTATTTATTTTGAATAAAGCTTCATGTGGGTCCATTTTCTCGAATTTTTCAAAGTCACCATCGCGCAAGCCAGGGACAAAGCGAATATAGACTGAGGTAATTATTAGTGGAACTTCGCTTTCGTACTCTTGAAGGCGGGTTCTTTTATCTTTACCTTCACTTTCATCATCAGTTTTTATTAAATCAATCAGCTTATATTTGACCCATTCTTCAAGCTCTTTCTCGCGTCTTTCTGCATCTCCACCAGTGAAGCTTGATTTTATTTCAATTGTTTCGTCTTCTTTTCCTTGCTTATAGGCAAGCTCTTTTTTCTTATCTTCTATCTTTTGTTCGTAGTTTTCCAGCTGCTCAGCTAAGATCTCGTTTTCATCAATAATTCGATCTTTTTTCTTGTTTAGGTTGGCGAGCTCAATCCTTTTGCGCTTGAGAATGTCACTATAGCTTGCATCATCAAACATTTTATAATATAAATATTTAGCTGCTATTTAAATAGTCAAGAACTTAATGTCTTAAAGATGCATAAAGGTAATCATATATTTTGACAGTCATGGAAGCATGGATATATATAAGATTATTCGTTTTTTAGATTTGAAAGTTATTAATTTCTAAAAGTGAAAAATTAACTTAGGTTTATAAATTCACTTAGGATGCTCAAACACTCAAATATTTATAATATATGCTAAAGAGCATAATTTATTAATAGTTAAATCTAAGGTATATGAAGTTCTTAAGCATGATAAATAGATAAGGATTTAGGCCAAATTTCAGTATCTACAATAGGGTATGCACTTAATTTTAAGCACTTTTAATAACTTTTGTTGATTATTTTAATATGCTTGCAACTCAAATTAATAATTGAGAGGATAAACGAAATACTTTGCTCTTGCTTTTAGTAGCAAATAATATGTCTGGACTTAAAACTGTTTTATTTCTTACTCACACAAACAAAAAAAAAAAATGTTATAAATAAATACTCACAAATAATAAAACGTTGTTAATAAATAAGCAGCTGCAACGCTAGTATTTTAGCACTTTCTTTTTCAGAGTCCAATCTCTCATCTTTGGGTGGAGTCGACATGTGTCCTCCTTGTGTCCAATTTGGCAAAGATGAGCTTCTAACTCTTTACAACTATGTAAACAACCACGCAATTCCAAACTCCTGCGATGATATCTGTGGTATTCTAAAAGCCAAGCTGCCAGTTGAAATCTGTGGATTTTTATGTCTCAGTGTAGGAGTCAAAGTTTTTACAGAAGATATTAAAAAAGACGCTCCAGATCCAATCTATTTTTGTGAAGATCTTAAGCAGTGTCCTGCAGTCAAAGGAGGAGCAGCCAATATCACTAATACTTATGTGACCCCATCAACAGCTGCTCAGTTCTCAACCTTCAACATCCAAGTGCTTTTTCAAGTGACCAAAGAAACAGGAACAGGTGAAGTCGCCTTAACATTGAAAACTCCTGATAAAAGCGTCCTCACCCAGAGCTATCTTAATGAAGGATTCCCAATTGGGGCATACTCAGCTAAGTTCCAAGTGGTCACAGATGGAGGATATCCTGCTGGAAATTACACTGGGCAAGTAGCTGTTTGCACAGGCACTTGTGGATCTGCCTCTCCTATTAGTGTAACTCTTGCAACAACTAACGTAAAATTTACGGTAACTCAACAAGCTTAATTAAGCAAAGTAGTTTTTAACTATTATAGCCTAAATAGCTTAATTAGTTTAAATTTGCCATAAAAGGTGTAGGTATGGAAAAAGTTATTAATCAGTTAATTAGCTTGATATGACCGTCTGAGCAAATCAACTTTGGATTTTATGCTTTCTTTGAGCCTTATAATATCTCTTTTTGGTGATAATTGCTTCAGCTTTGCTGGTCTTGATAAACTTGAAGACAAATGTAGCACTCTAGTTTGCTTAAATAAAATTGGCGTGCTTTGATGAAAGCTTGCTATTACGATAGGCTGTGTTTTTGTCATTTCATGTTTATGATGATCAACGTTCGCTAGTAGCCTTGGATTTATAGGAGATAAACTTCTGGATCTTTCTGGCTTTAAGCATTCATTTGCTAAGAGTTTTAGCTTCTCTGATATAAAGGGTGCTGGCTTGTAAATTTTATTTGCATCTTTTTCAGGAATAAAGTCACTTTTATATATGATTTCTCTATCAGTGTTTCTTCGATTCATAAACCGTTTTCTTTTAACTTCAAGAAATGAACCATGTCTTTGAGTCATTCTCATTGTTGTTTCGAGTTCTCCAACATTATCACAAAATTCATTTAATATGCCAGCATCACGCTCCTTTTCAATTTGGACTGGCTTTAATAAAGGGTGACTTGGGAGTTTTTCACCTTTTATGGCTGAGTAAATTTGATAAGGTAATAAAGGCGGCTTGGAATGGAGAGAATTTAGGTCAATTGGCATTTCCATAATGCAAATTTATAAAATTCCTTCTTTATTATTAGGTTATAATGCTATTGGATGAATATATACGTAAATATATTGTTCTTACTCACCCCTTCCCTCCTTGAGCAAAATAAAAGTCTGAATATTAATTTTTTTGGAAATTTAGATTAACAATTTTTTTCAAAAACTTGAAAGAAAAAAATTAATTTAATTTGGAAAATTTAACCGAATTAGCTCAAGATTTCACTATCATAATTATTACTTACTCCTTCCCTTTTAAAATGGAACAAAAATTCTGTTTCAATTTAAAGGGGGTTAATTTTTTTTTATTTAAATTTTTCTATATAAAAATCTTTAAACTAAAAAATATAAATTGAGCACAATTTGAATTTTAATTGTTTTTATGAAGAAAAATTTACAAAATTGATCGATTCAATGTGGAAAATGTTTAAATCACATTCTACTTGCACTTCTTTTATTAAATTAGGCTAAAATTAATTTAAGTTCATCTTTAATTTTTTTCTTTAAAATTTTTAAAAATATACGTTGAGCATTAATTTATTTTCTGAAAAATTAAACAAAAAATTGAATCGAATTAGTGCAAAAACTGTTTAAATAGCATTTTACTTGAGCTTTATCTATTAAACTTTATAAAAATTAGATTAATTGTTTTTAATATATAAGTTGAGCACAACTTTAATTTTAAACATTTTTTATAAAAAAATAAAATAAAAATTAATAGATTCAGTGTGAAAATTGTTTAAATAATATTTTATTTGTATTTTTTTCCTATTAAATTAAGCCAAAAAAAGTAAATTTGATCATTTCATTTTTTACTTTTTATTTTTAATGGATTTCAAGTCAAAGCTTAAGCTAACAGGAACAGCCCGCATGGGATTGTGTGAACGTTTTGCAAGCTTAATTTCAGAAATTCCAGATGAGTTATTTAACGAACTAGTTGATGCAGGGAAGCTTGATGATCTCTTCGACGATTTCTCGGAATGTGATGATGAAGATTCAATGAATGGGGACTATGGCGATAGTGACTTGAGCTTTTCGGGAGAAGAAATTGGAAAAGAAGATGATATGAAGAAATCAGACAACTACTAGCAGTTCAGGGTGGCAAGGTCCTTGATGATGGAGAGGTGATATTGTCCACACAATCCATACATTCAGTCTCAAAGGAAATCACAAGCAAATTAAGAGGTGAGGACTCGCATGAATGTGAAGCTGTAGAAAGAAAGAAGGATGAAAAAGACTGTGGAAACAAAAAAGGTACAGAGTGCAAAAAAGGCGAAATTGGTCAAAAAAGGGCAAAAAGGGAAAAATTGGTAAAATTGGCAAAAAAGCCGGAAAAGCCGGAAAAGAAAAAGCAGGTAGAAAAATCAAAAAAGACAAAAAAAACAAAAAATTCAAAGGAGGCAAAAGTTCAGAAGGAAATTGACGACTTGGATAAGGCGAAGGCAATTGTCAAGGGGGAAAACACCAAAAGCGGTGTAAAATCCTGGAAAAAGAGGAAAAAAACTCAAACAGTTAGGTATAAATCGCTGATTATTGGGGAAAAAACCCATAAGGGTTTTCGGCGGGCTCTGCCCGCTATAATTAATAGATAGATAGATAGATAGATAGATAGATAGATAGATAGATAGATAGATAGATAGATAGATAGATAGATAGATAGATAGATAGATAGATAGATAGATATAGATAGATAGATAGATAGATAGATAGATAGATAGATAGATAGATAGATAGATAGATAGATAGATAGATAGATAGATAGATAGATAGATAGATAGATAGATAGATAGATAGATAGATAGATAGATAGATAGATAGATAGATAGATAGATAGATAGATAGATAGATAGATAGATAGATAGATAGATAGATAGATAGATAGATAGATATAGATAGATAGATAGATAGATAGATAGATAGATAGATAGATAGATAGATAGATAGATAGATAGATAGATAGATAGATAGATAGATAGATAGATAGATAGATAGATAGATAGATAGATAGATAGATAGATAGATAGATAGATAGATAGATAGATAGATAGATAGATAGATAGATAGATAGATAGATAGATAGATAGATAGATAGATAGATAGATAGATAGATAGATAGATAGATAGATAGATAGAGATAGATAGATAGATAGATAGATAGATAGATAGATAGATATAGATAGATAGATCATTTCATTTTTTTTAATAATATCAATTGGCACAATACTTTGAATTTTAATTTATTGACTAAAAAATTGAATGATTCAGGTCAAAAACATTCTATTTAAACTTTTTCTATTAAATTAGGCCAAAACTAATTATAAAAATTAATATTTTCATCGTAAAAATTTTCCTATTAAAACAATTTTGTTCTATTTTAAAGTTAAGTACCCAATAAATCAAATTTATGGATATTTTTTCCAATTTAAAGGGAGTTATTATGTATTAAAAATTTTTTTCATAAAATTTTATATTAAATTTTTTTTTACCCAAAAAAAATTAATTTTTTCAATGGTTTTATTCGCTCATTGAGGGAGGAGGAAACTGAAGCTCAGTCTAATTATCAAAAATTTCAGCACAAGCCTAAATAAAAATTATTATTAGGTTTTTGCAAACTCGAATATATACAGGTTAAGATTTATTAAACATAAAGATTATGTTTATTTTTTATTGGTAAGTTTCTCGTACATCGTTTTTACCATCTTTTTCATATCAAATTTCAGCCTATGTCCCCAGTCTCTTTCAGCAGCACTCCAATCAGTTCCATCAGGCCAGCTTTTTACAATCGGATCTCTATAATCAGGCTTATACTCAACTTCCCCATTAGTCCATCTTAACACTTCGTTGCAATAATCACTTGCACTAACTCCACAAGAGGCCATCGTGTAAGTCCTTGCAGTAAGTCTTTCATTTGGAGCTTGCATAAACTGGCTAACTCCATCTATTAAGTCATCTAGATACATTAAAGGCATTTTTGTATCAGGAGACACTGGAATTATAGTTTTTCCAGTGCTTAAAAGATCATAGAACATTGTTACTGTAAATGCAGCAGACCCTCCACCTGGCGCTCCTTCAGAAGTAATGACAGGGATCCTAAGACTACGAAAATCGACTCCATGTTTCATATTGTAGTATTCCCCAATAAGTTCCAGATGCACTTTCGTGATCCCATAGATTGTGGATGGTCTCTGAATTTCAAGATTTCCAGGGATTTTGGGAGTTGATGACCCAAAAGCAGCTAATGATGAGGCCACAAAAATTTGTGAATTGTGGATGCGGGCTTGTTCTAAGATATTGTGGAGACCTTGGATATTAACTTTAAGTGCAAGCTGAGGATTTAATTCACTTGGTGCACTTAGAGTTGAAGCTAAATGATAAATGATTGTAGGCCTATACGATGAAAATAGCTCTTCAATACGAGAGTTGTTTAAGACATCAAGCTGCTCGAACCGAGTGTTCTTTTCCCACCCTGACGGAGGCTGTTTTAAATCAGTTGCTAGAACATTTTCGATTCCATAGGTCTGTTGAGCCCTTGTCAAAAGCTTACTGCCAATTTGGCCTGCAGCTCCAGTGAAAATTACTCTTGCACTAGAAAATTTTCTTAAAACTGCTTTCAGAGCCATTAATATCTAGGTGAAATTATTAATAATCCTATATTGATTTTCCCAAATGCAATTTGGTAAAAGATTATTTCACAAAACTTTCATTTTATTAAATTCATCACTTTTCTTGAAAGGCAAGCTAACTAAGCAGACTGTAATGACACAAGAAATAATAAAAATTTAATTTTATATGAATGAGGAAAGAGCTAATTTAATAAAAGATTTAGATTTAAGTAATTGGAGATAATTAATCCCAATTCATCATAATCAAGCCTATAAGTGCAAGCCAACTGAAGCTCAAGCTCACTGACCCAGACTTGCTTTCACACTGATCAGTCTCCAAGCTGAACTTGTCATTCTTTGAAGTACAAGAGCAAGTTCCATCGTTATTATTAGTCATAGCTCCACTATCCTGACAAGTAATGCATACATTAGCTGCAGAACAAATAGCACAGGTTGCGTCACAAGCCTTGCAGGTATTTGACTGTGCCTCTAAGTAGTAGCCGTTCTTGCATACACACATCTCTTCTTCAGTACTGAAAATTTTATCTGGATCTATACATGTGCATACGCCATTGTTCAAGGCTGAATTTTCTTGATCAAAACAAATTTTGCATGAATTGGTGTCGGTGCAAGAAGAGCAGCCGGCATCGCATGCAGTACAGACATTAGTCTGGCTGTTATAATATCCTGGATTACAGGAACACATAGTACTTCCAGGGTAAATTGAAGCGTTTTTATCATTGCATTTGCAGATTCCATTGACTACAGCTGCATTCTGGGTGTCATAGCAGCTAGTGCATGAAGTTGAATCTCCACAGGAGCTGCAGCCATTTCCGCAAGAAGAGCAAGAGTTTCCATTCAAATAGTAGCCTGACTTACAGCCACAGATTTCATTGGCAGTATTAAATTGAGCATTCGGATCACTGCATACACAAACACCAGCACTTATTACAGTATGTGAAGGATCAAAGCAGGTCGTACATGCAAATTGGCTGCTGCAGGTTTTGCAGACTAAAGGACAGCTAATACATGCTCCTCCACTATTCCAGAATCCATCATCACAAACACATTTTTGTTGGCTTGCGTCAAAGTTAGCATCAGAATCATCGCAATGGCAGGAACCATCAGACCAAATAGTGGTGTGGATTTGATCAAAGCAAGTTTGGCAATTCGTGGGACTTGTACAGGTTTGGCATCCTAATGAGCAAGATTGACAACCAGAAGAGGTTTTATAGTATCCAGGCTGACATTGGCAAACGTTAGCAGTTGGGTTGAATTGAGCTTTATTATCGATACATGAGCAAGTTCCAGTCTGGAGGTTAACCATATTATTTGCATCATAACATTGAGAGCATTTATTAGCAGCTGAACAGATTGCGCAGCCAACAGAGCATAGCAAGCATTTCCCTGCTCCATTATTATAGAACCCATTATTGCACACACAAGTATTAGAATTCGTGCTAAAAGTAGCATTAGGGTCTGTGCATGTACATTGCCCGTTCGAAAGTGTCATGTGAGTTGAATCAAAGCAAGCTGTGCAGAAAGTAGATTGATTAACACATTGTGAGCATGGAGCACTGCAGGCTGAACAGACAGAATTTGAGCTATAATAGTAGCCTTGGTTACAGACACAGCTTGCTTGAGTTAACGTCGAGTATTGAGGACAAGCACACTGAGGAGCAGCTGTCATATGAACATTGTCAACGCAGGTAAGACAGTTAGCTGCACTTGTTACACATGTGGAGCACTGAGTATTGCAAGCGGAACAAACGGTGTTGCTGCTATAATAATATCCAGTATTGCACACACAACTGCCTCCAGTTAAAGCACTGTTTGTTGGGCACGAGCATGAAGGAGCTGCTGACATATGTGTGGTGTCTACACAAGTTAAGCAATTTGATTGTGAAGTGACGCAGGTTGAACATTGTGAAGAACAGGCAGAACAAATTGTATTGCTTGAAAAATAGTATCCAGAATTGCATACGCAGTTTCCAGCTGTTAGAAGTGAGTTAGCTGGACAGTTGCATTGAGGAGCAGCTGACATATGAACATTGTCAATACAGGTTAAGCAATTGGTAGTCGATGTTTGGCAAGTGCTACATTGTGAAGAGCAAGGCGAACACTGAGTGTTTGAGCTGTAATAGAAACCTGTATTACAGACGCATAAATTGTTGACTAAAGTGCTTTGTGCTGGACAAATACATTGGGGAGCAGCTGACATATGGACTGAGTCTACACATGCTTGACAATTTAAAGCAGAGTTCACACAAGATTGGCAGTTATTAGCGCACTGGCTACATTCAGTATTAGTACTATAGAAATAGCCAGTATTGCAAACGCAAGCATTATTGGTAAAAACTGAGTTTGCAGGGCAAGCACATGTTGGAGGGCCATTTGAGTGAGTTGAATCTGTACAGGCTGTGCAAGCAGTTGGAGAAGTATTGCAAGTCTGACATAGTGAGTTGCATGGAGAGCAGACAGTATTGCTTGAATAATAGTAACCATTATTGCATACGCAGTTTCCGTTAACCAAAGACGAATTGGGTGGGCAAGCACAGTTAGGAGCAGCTGTCATATGAGTTGGATCAGAGCAGGCTTGGCAATTACCTTGAGTATTCACGCAGGTTGAGCAATTTGGAGAGCACGGGGAACATACTGTACTTGAGCTGTAAAAATAGCCATTATTACACACACAGGTAGTGCCAACAAGAGTGGATGAAGTTGGGCAGTTGCATGCTGGGGTAGGTGACATATGAACTGTATCTACACAAGTATTGCAATTGGTTGAAGATTGAGAGCAGGTAGAGCATTGTGATGAGCATGCAGAACAATCTGTGGCTGAGCTGAAATAATAGCCTGCTGCACAAGTACAAGAGCCAGCTACCAGGGTAGATTCGGCAGGACATTGACAAGCTGGGGCCTGGCTCATATGGGTAGGGTCAATACAAGTATCGCAAACTGCAGGATTAGTAGCACATGTAGCACATTCTATAGAACAAGGAGAGCAAACTGAGTTGCTGGAATAATAGTACCCAGGGTTGCATTGGCAAGTATTTCCAACTAAAGCTGAATTAGCAGGACATGCACATGCTGGAGCAGCTGACATATGAACTGTATCTACACATGAAACGCAATTTGTGGCTGAATTTGTGCATGAAACACAATTGATGCTGCATGCACTGCATAAAGCGTTTGTACTCCAGTAATATCCTGTATTACATACACAGTTATTTCCAACAAGAGTGCTGAGAGTTGGACAAAGACATTGGGGAGCTTTTGGCATATGAACTGTATCTATGCAGACATTGCAATTTGTGGATGAGATTGAGCAAGATTGGCAGTTGGAAGCACATGCAGAACATACAGTAGGTGTAGTGGAGCTATAGAAATAGCCTGTATTGCAAATGCATGAACCTGTAGTAAGTGTAGAGTATTGAGGGCAGCTACAGCTAGGAGCACCATTCATATGAGTGGGATCTATACAAGTGTCACAGGTGTTAGGGTTGGTATCACATGTAGCGCAATTTACTTGGCAAGGTGAGCACGTGGTAGCGCTGCTATAATAATATCCTGTATTACAAACACAAGAATTCCCGACTAAAGATGAGTTCGCTGGGCAAGCACACGAAGGCGCAGCTGCTGCATGAACAGTATCCACACAAGCAGAGCAGGTTGTTGAAGATCCGCTACAGGCTGAACACTGAGTAGCACACTGAGTGCAAACAGTGGCTGTGCTAAAGAAGTAGCCTGCATTACAGACACAGTTACCAGCAGTCAAGACAGAGTTGCTTGGGCATGAACATGTAGGAGGGTTAGACATATGGACATGGTCCACACAGGTAGAACACGAAGTGTTGCTTATGCTGCAGGTCGCACACTGTGAAGCGCATGGTGAACAAACACCGTTTGAGCTAAAGTAATAGCCAGTATTACATATACACTTTCCGTTAGAAATAGCTGAGTTTGTCGGGCAGGCACAAGCAGGAGCAGCAGTCATGTGAACTGTATCTGTGCAGGAATCGCAATTAGTTGCTGAATTTGAGCACGTCAAGCATTGAGGCTGGCACTGGGTGCAGGTTGTAGCTGTGCTATAGAAGTACCCTTGGCTGCATGTGCAGGTTCCTCCGATTAGTATTGAATTTGATGGACATGCACAAGTAGGAGCAGCTGTCATGTGAGTTGTATCAATACAAGTATTGCAATTTGTGTTAGTATTGCTGCAAGTAGCGCACTGGCTCGCACATGCAGAACATTGGGTTACTGAGCTATAAAAATATCCTGTGTTGCAGACACAAGCGTTCTGGACTATAGCTGAATTGGCTGGACAAGCACAAGCAGGCGCACCAGTCATATGAGTAGTATCAACGCATGCTAAGCAATTATCAGCTGATCCACTACATGTTGCACATTGATCTTGGCACTCAGAGCAAACAGTATTAGAGCTGAAATAATAACCTGCATTGCAAACACATGCTCCTTGCACCACTGTAGATGCGCCAGGGCAGTTACAAATAGGGGCATCACCCATATGAACAGAATCTGTGCATGAAGTGCAAGTAGTGGCAGAGGTTGAACAAGTTTTACAGTTTCCTTGGCATGGCGAACAGGTTAAATTATCTGAGAAGTAATACCCAGCATTGCAGACACAGGCGTTTCCTTGTAGTGATGAATTTGCTGGACACTGGCAGTTTGGAGCCGCAGTCATGTGGGTTGTATCTACGCATGTCAAGCAAGCGTTTCCTGTATTACAAGTTGCGCAGTTAGATGAGCAAACAGAGCATAGAGAGTTTGAGGAGAAATAAAAGCCATTATTGCATACACAAGAGTTTCCAGATAAAATCGAGTTTGCAGGACAATAGCATCCAGGAGGACTTGTCATATGAACAGAGTCAACACATGTATCACAGATAGTTGGCTGGGTGCTGCAAGTTAAGCAATTGGTAGAGCATGCTGAGCAGACAGTTGAAGAACTATAATAATATCCTTGATTGCAGACACAGCTAGACACAAAGAGGCTCGAATTTGCTGGGCATACACAAGCTGGAGCTGGTGTCATGTGAGTGGAGTCAGAGCAGGCGACACAAGTAGTTGCAGATGTAGAGCAAGTCGAACAGTGAGGGTCACATTGAGAGCATTGAGTAGTTGAACTATAGAAATATCCAGAATTGCAAGTGCAGGCATTCCCAACAAGTGTAGAATATGAAGGACAGCTGCATGTAGGAGCTGCTGACATATGGGTAGGATCTTCGCAGGTAAGACAATTTGTTGCACTGGTAACGCAATTTACACATGGAGCTTGGCAAAGGGAACAGGTAGATCCATTTAGATAATATCCGTTAGGGCAAGCAGTGCAAGTAGTCCCTGATGTTGAGCATGCTGTGCATGGGGCTATACAAGCAGTGCAAGTTCCAACGCTGTTCCAGAATCCTGTATTACAAACACAAGTCGCTGATTGGGTGTTAAATGATGCATTTGGATCTTTACAAGTGCATGTCCCTGCATTGTTTATCATATTATTGGAATCATCGCAAGTAGTACAGAACGTAGAAGTTCCAGAGCACTCAAAGCAAGGAGGCTGGCAAGTTAAGCATACATTTCCATGCAAATAGTACCCATCAATGCATCCTGTGCAGGTAGTTGCACTTCCACTGCATTGAGCGCAAGGTGTAGTACAAGCCGCGCAAACAGTATTTGAGCTAAAATAATATCCACTATTGCAGACACAGCTTGTTCCAGACAAAACGCCATTTGTTGGACAGCTGCAAGCTGGAGCTGCTGTCATATGAGTTGGATCTGAACAGGTCTGACAATTGGTATTTGTTGTTGAGCATGTAGCACATTGACCGGCACAAGCAACACAAGAAGTAGCTGTTGAATAGAAGAAACCATTTGGACACACACAAGCTCCATTAGTTAGAACTGAATTTGATGGGCAGGTACACACTGGGGCAGCTGACATATGAGTGGCGTCAGAACAAGTCAAGCAATTCCCAGCGGTCGTGCTACATGTAGCACAGTTGCTGTTGCACGAAGAACAAACAGTGCTCGAGCTAAAGAAATATCCAGTATTGCATATGCATGTAGACCCTTGAAGTGCCCCGTTGGCTGGGCATGAACAGGCTGGAATTGGTGACATATGAACTGTATCACTGCATTGAGTGCACTGAGTTAGAGCAGAGCAAGTTGAGCATTGAGGGGCGCAGGCAGAGCAAACTGTGCTAGAGCTGTAAAAGAATCCATTATTGCAAACACAGCTGGATCCAATTTGAGCAGAATTAGAAGGGCATGCACAAGCTGGAGGAGATGTCATATGGATCGTGTCTTGGCATAGCTGGCAATTTGCTGCAGAATTACTACAAGTTGCACAATTAATAGTGCAGGCAGTGCAAGAATTAGCAGCCCCGAAGTAACCTGGGCTACATTGGCAAGCTGTATTTTGAGCATTAAACGAGGCATGTTGGTCTGTGCAGCTACATACTCCGCCGTTAAGAGTCGTATCTGTAGGATCATCGCAAGTTAGACAGTTTGTTGCGCTATTAGAACAAGTAGCGCAAGGAGCTTGGCAAAGGGAGCAGGTAGATCCATTTAGATAATATCCGTTAGGGCAGGCAGTGCAAGTAGTCCCCGATGTTGAGCATGCTGTGCATGGGGCTGTACAAGCAGTGCAAGTTCCAGCACTGTTCCAGTATCCTGTATTACAAACACAAGTAGCCGATTGGGTGCTAAAAGAAGCATTTGGATCTTTACAAGTGCATGTCCCTGCATTGTTTATCATATTATTGGAATCATCGCAAGTAGTACAAAACGTAGAAGTTCCAGAGCACTCAAAGCAAGGAGGCTGGCAAGTTAAGCATACATTTCCATGCAAATAGTACCCATCAACGCATCCTGTACAGGTAGTTGCACTTCCACTGCATTGAGCGCAAGGTGTAGTACAAGCCGCGCAAACAGTATTTGAGCTAAAATAATATCCACTATTGCAGACACAGCTTGTTCCAGACAAAACGCCATTTGTTGGACAGCTGCAAGCTGGAGCTGCTGTCATATGAGTTGGATCTGAACAGGTCTGACAATTGGTATTTGTTGTTGAGCATGTAGCACATTGACCGGCACAAGCAACACAAGAAGTAGCTGTTGAATAGAAGAAACCATTTGGACACACACAAGCTCCATTAGTTAGAACTGAATTTGTTTGGCAGGAAATACATCAAAATGGCATGCCGAATCAGTCATCTTAGGCTCTTCAGCTAGAGCCCCCACGATCTTGTGAAAGGGAGGATAGCGTTTCTGTAAGGTGCATCAGGCTAAAGTTTACTTAGTTTGATGGAACGAAATGCTGGACTAGGACAATAATATGTTCACTACAGATTAATGTTACCTGTGAAGATGACGCTCAAGGAGGAAAGGGAAGTTCCAGCGACATCTGTTAGGAGCAACACACAATCGGCCAAAGAGACTGGCAAACTAGGAGAGATTAGTTATGGAGATAAGCTCGCCCGGCGAATACCTACTGAGCTTTCTATAATCTTTATTAAATTAAGTTAAGAATTTGCTGGGCAGGTGCAGGCTGGAGCAGCTGACATATGAGTGGCGTCAGAACAAGTTAAGCAATTTCCAGCAGAACTTGTACACGTGACACAATTGCTTGAGCATGAAGAGCAAACAGTGTTTGTGCTAAAAAAATATCCAGCGTTGCAAACACAAGTACTTCCTTGAAGTGCCCCATTAGCTGGGCATGAGCAAGTAGGAGCTGGCCCCATGTGAATTAGATCGCTGCATTGAGTGCATTGAGTTAGCGCAGAGCAAGTTGAGCATTGAGGAGCGCAGCTTGAGCAAACTGTATTCGTGCTGAAATAATATCCGTTATTGCAAATGCAGGCAGAGTCAACTTGTGCTGAGTTTAATGGACAGGCGCAAGCTGGAGCTGCTGTCATGTGAGTGGTATCTTCACAAGTTGAACAAGCTGTGGAAGTTCCAGTACAAGTTGCACAATTACTTGCACAGGCAGTGCAAGAATTAGGAGCTCCAAAATAGCCTGGGTTACATTGGCAAACTAAACTTTGAGTATTGAATGAAGCGTTTTGATCTATGCAGCTGCACACTCCGCCATTTAGAGAGGTATGCTGAGAATCGTCACAGGTAAGGCAAAAAGTGGCGCTATTAGAACAAGTAGCGCAAGGAGCTTGGCAAAGGGAGCAGGTAGATCCATTTAGATAATATCCGTTAGGGCAAGCAGTGCAAGTAGTCCCTGATGTTGAGCATGCTGTGCATGGGGCTGTACAAGCAGTGCAAGTTCCAGCACTGTTCCAGTATCCTGTATTACAAGCACAAGTAGCCGATTGGGTGCTAAAAGAAGCATTTGGATCTTTACAAGTGCATGTCCCTGCATTGTTTATCATATTATTGGAATCATCGCAAGTAGTACAGAACGTAGAAGTTCCAGAGCACTCAAAGCAAGGAGGCTGGCAAGTTAAGCATACATTTCCATGCAAATAGTACCCATCAACGCATCCTGTACAGGTAGTTGCACTTCCACTGCATTGAGCGCAAGGTGTAGTACAAGCCGCGCAAACAGTATTTGAGCTAAAATAATATCCACTATTGCAGACACAGCTTGTTCCAGACAAAACGCCATTTGTTGGACAGCTGCAAGCTGGAGCTGCTGTCATATGAGTTGGATCTGAACATACTTGGCAATTTCCAGCAGTATTTGTGCAAGTTGAGCACTGAGGAGAGCAAGCAGTGCAAGCATTAGGAGATCCAAAATATCCTGCATTGCATTGACATAGTAGAGTTTGAGTATTAAAATATGCATTTTGATCAGTGCAAGTGCAGACGTCTCCATTTTGAGTCATATGAGCGCTGTCATCGCATGTCACGCAAGCACTAGCTGATGTAGAGCAAGTTGCACATGGGCCCACACAAGGAAAGCAATTAATACCATTTAGCCAATATCCTGCTACACATGACGAGCATGTAGTTCCTGATGTCGTGCAGCTTGAGCATGGCGATTGACAAGCTGTGCAGCTGCCAGGAGTGCCCCAATATCCTGAATTGCAGGCACATTTAGTTGTTACTGTATTGAATGATGCATTTGGATCTTTGCAAGTGCAGGTATTGGTGTTGGTATTAAGGTTCATATTACTTGAATCATCACAACTTGTGCAGGCTGTAGAGCTAGTTGAGCAGGTTAAGCATGGAGCTTGGCAGGTAAGACATAGACTTACATGGAGATAGTAACCTGCTACGCATGCTGTACATGTTGTTGCGCTGCCGCTGCAGGCTGAACAAGGATTTTGGCAAGCTTGGCAGGAATTAGTACCTTGATAATACCCTGTTTTGCATTGGCAAAGTAAACTTTGAGTATTAAATAAAGCGTTTGGATCATTACAGGTGCAAGCATTATTAGATAATGTCATAGCTCCAGTGTCATCACAGGATAGACAAGTTGTAGCAGTGGTTTGGCAACTAGCACAAGGAGCCTGGCACGCTGAACAGACGCTTCCGCTTAAATAGTAGCCAGTATTGCATGCGGTGCAGACTGTTCCAGTGTTATCACAAGTACTGCAAGATGCAGGACAAGCTCCGAGGATTTCTCTCTGCTTTTCAAGCTCTTTTTCCAATTCTTCCAATATCTTGACCTTTTCTTCAAAGCTATTTTGGAAAATCCCTTGAATAATTGCTACACTTAATAAATTTATCTTCGAAAGTTTATCATGCCCTTTATAGAATTTCGCATCTATTTCAATATCTATACTTATCATCCTATTGTCATCTGACACTTTGCAAATCCTAAAACTTGATGAATTTTGGCCTAAGTTGTTGTTCATTGTAAAAAATACGGCTAAATCTGCATCAATGCCTTTATATTTTGAGGGATTTCTGATATGGGTGGAATTGCAATGATTATTTTCTCCAAGCTTGATCGGCTGTCTAGAAGGATGAACAAGTAGGAAATGTGATAAGATTTCAGATGCTCTACTAGCTGAGCTCTCGAAGTCCTCTAGCAAAGCATCATTATCTTGAGATCCTGAATTAACTTCCGAGTAGATGCGGATTGGCTTATACTTTCCTTGGAATTCAGCTGTTTCTGCCAATTTCTTAGGTAGGAACTGTGGGAAGTCATGGCTTTTTTGCAAGGAAAATATAGGAGAAGCTGAAGAAAAGCAAACAAATAAGAGAAAAAAGACCGCAATTTCTGTTTTCTTCATCTTATTTATTATTACCACACGTTTTAATAAGCGTAATGTGGCGATTAATATTGCTTAAAGCATCTAAAAGCCAGAGAAGAAAGAATTTAGATTAGAGAAGTAATTTATAAAATAAAGAAAACTACAATTAAAAATGTAGTTTCTTAGCTAAATAGGACTTATTATGGATAAATTGTATATAATAATAAAAGCTCTAGGGTATTAAGATGCATAATTTTTGAGTTATAAAGCCTTCTTAATAGTTATCCTGCTCTTTGAAGTGCTTAGATGTATTAAGGGAGCATATTCATATTTAGGTAATCATATCGATAAGGTGTATATTTTAGGCGTATATGGAAGGAAAAGAAAGATGAAGTGTTTTTTAAGATGCAAAGATTAAGTTTTAAAGATATCATGTCCTTCAGAAATCCAAATTCTATTTAATGTAAACTACACTTTATGATAGACTTCATGCATCGGCTCGACTCATTTGATCGGGACTTTACTAGTAAAATATTATCAATTTTCATAGGCAAGTGGCTCTACAAAGATCTAATTCTTAAGTTTTTAAAAAATAATAAGCATGAGTATAAATTTTTCCCATTTGCAAGTTTGCCTCAATAATGAAGAATCTAAATTGGGCCTAATTATCATATATGCGAATGATCAAAAGATATCCAGTTTTTTTCATTCATACTTATGCATTCTTCAGGAAGTTGTGTAATAACTTTATTAATTTAATACATCTATGGCATCAAGTGCGATTCTAGTTGTTGGTGCAAGCAAAGGTATAGGTAAAGCTTTAGTCATCCTCCTTGCAAAAACCTATCCATCGCATCAAGTCTTTGCCTTCTCACGCGCAATTTCTTCTCAGCAATCAGAATTCAGCTCGATTTCATCAAATATTCAATGCATAGATGCAGATTCTTCTACAACAGAAGGTGTAAATACAATCCTTCAGGCAGTTACTCAAAGAGTTAAGTTTCTCGTCTATGGTGCAGCTGATGTTGGCCCTAAATGGGATGAAAATATCACCCCAGAAGATTTTGATAGGAACATGAACGTAAATGCAAGAGGGGCATTCTTTATAACTCGTGGTCTTCAGCACCAATTTGAAGAAAATGCGAAAATATTATTTATCACTACTGGCTGTGGAAGATTTTATGCCATTCCAACTCCTCTCTACTCAATCTCCAAAGCTGCATTTAATATGATCGCTGAGATCATGAAAAAAGAAATCCACGGAGCATCTGTAGGACTTGTTGAGCCTGGCTTGGCAAGGACAAATATGTACCGCATGGCTTCAGAAAAAGCTCCAGGGCTAGGTAGCCTTGCTACCATAAGTCCAGAAATAGTAGGGAAGTTTCTGTCATTTTTGTTAAGTGATAGAGTCAACGGAGAGGAGTTTTCTTCACATATATGGGATATTTATGATACCCAACATCATAGCAGATGGCACGAAGCTGGAGATGAGGAGTTAATAAGTCCATTTTAAAAACAATTTATCTGAATCTATCAATTATACACAGTTAAATATATAATTACAAGCTCAACTTTCTCAGCCTAAGTAACTGTTGAAGCACCATTTGAGGATTCTTAAATGTCGGATAAATTTCTAAGATTTCGGTTAATTGTTCAGATTTTGCATCATTTGTGCTATCGCACAAAATTTTTTCGGTATAAGAGACGTCAGGCGTTATTGGGCTTTCTTCTAATTTTTTAGTTTTTTTACGTTTACGTTTGCCTTCGCTTTCCGAAACTGAAAGTTCATGATGATCAATCCATTCGATATTTCCATTTAAACTAATCCTTTCTCTTGATGCAACAGTCAGAATCAGTCCTTTTATATAAGTATAGTCAGGGTCTTCTTCAAAGTTCAGGGATTTGCAGTAAATCATAAATCTTATAAATTCTTCAGGATATCCAGCAAAGAGATTTCCAACAGAAGTTGTTAATTTCCTTTCCATGATTTTTAAATATTTTTCTTTTTTCGATTTCCCGTCAAGTTCTTGCCAAGGCAGTTTTCCTATCATAAAATAGCTCAATAAATACCCGATGCTCTCTAAATCGTCCCGCCTACTTATTTCGATTCCCATATGCGTATTTATAGAAGCAAAACGTGCAGTTCCTGTTAAGCTTCTACCTTCTTTATATGGGATATGCTTTTTTGACTTTGGGTCCCTATACTTTTTTGATAGCCCATAATCAATCAAATACAGCGTATTTATGTTTTCTCCTAGGCCCATAAGAAAATTTGCAGGCTTTATGTCTCGATGGATAATACTTTTATTATGGACAAACTCTATCCTTTGTATCATCTGATATGCAAGGATTAAAATGGTTTTCAACGAAAATCGTCTCCTGCAAGAAGAAAAATGATTATAAAGAGATGGGCCAAGAAGCTCAATCACGATGTAATTTGATTTCTCATCAGAGCCCTGAGAAAAAAGCTTACTCTCCCCTTCGGCGAGCGAACAAAACCATAAGAAAAATCCCTATTTTTGAGTTAAAACACGCTGTGTGAGAGAACAAAAAATTTTTTATGAAAAATACTTTGATATATAAGTGATAATTAGTATAATGAAAACTCTAGCTAATTCTGCTTTAATTTTAAAAATAAATTTTATATTATTTGCTTTCCAATCTTGGAAAAATATTTTATTATAAAAATTATATATAAATTAAAAAAAATTAGCACTCTCCGTGAGAGAGCAAATTATTTTGTTCGCTCACAAGAGGGGGAGTTAGGAATTCCTTTTCCGTTTTTTAGAATGGAGAGAGTTTTGGCCTCAGATAAAATTTGAGAACTGTGAGTCTCTGTTTTAGAAATTTTTATAGCAACTTGTTTATTAGTTATTGTATCAGTGCCTAAACGAACTTCTCCAAAGGAGCCAGAACCGATGACATGGCTGACTTGGAATCTGTCATCAAGAAGTTGATTATTTTCCATTATTTATAAGAACAGAAATTTAAGATTTTACCATTAATGATAGCTAATTTTCATTGATATTAAATTGTGAAACGCTAAAGATATTGCAATAAAGATTTAGAAAATTATTTATTTTTTATGACAGTTACAAAATTCTCCTCTTATAAGAAATTATAATTTTTGTTTAAGTGGATTTTTTTTTCTTGTTAGACTTTAATTGTTTTAAATTTGGTGCAACTCATCTATTTATTATTTTACATATATAAGTAAATTACTTTTTTCAACAGAAATCGAGAACACTTTTTGCTTTTATTAAATAGATTTACTCATTTTGAATTATTATTCTAATACAGATAATGAATGCATTCAAGGCAATATTTGATATATTTTACCTCTCCCCTGCGTGAGCGAACAAAGCCATTAGAAAAGTCCATATTTTTTTACCCAAAAACCCACTTTCCGCGAGCGAACAAATATTTTTTTAATTGAACAATTTTTTTAGGAAAAAAAATTAATATATAAATGATAATTATTATAATAAAATCTCTAACTAATTCTGTTTAATTTACTTATTGGAAATTTTTAAAATTTTGAAAAAAAATTGTTTATTGATTTACATATCAAATTTTTTAAAAAACAATAATCTCCTTTTTAAGCAAACAAAATTTTTTGTTCACCCATGGAGGGGGAGTTAACAAATTGCTACTTACGAGTGAGTTTTATTATTAAATCAGTATTATAAAACTTCGTTTAATTAAAATTCTCCTTTTTGCATCAACCTGAAAAATGATCTTCTTAAAAATTTTCGCATATTATCACTATTGTACTTTGAAAAATTAAGCTTGGAAGACTTCAGTTATTACTACAAGTATTTAATGAACCCAAATGATTTTATTTGGCTTATTTTCAAGCTTAACTCATTTGCTATAATTCTCAATCTCCATACAAAAATTATTATAATTAAATTAATTATTAAGATAGAAAATTTCCAATAATTCATTGATAATGAATATTTTGCTTCCGAAATCTTTAAATATGTCGGCAATAGCTCAAGGCCTCTCTCGAGAAGAAACAGGGCGAGCTTTGAGCTTAGTCAGATACCTCGAAGAGCAGCCTGAATCCTTAAACTTTTCAGTCCCAGTCGACTATAAACTGCTTCAGCTTCATGATTACCCTCATATAATCAAACAACCTATGGATTTATCAACAGTCAAGAAGAAAATCAAGACAGCCCAGTACATGAATTTTGACGACATGTTGTGTGACCTAATTCTCATCTGGGATAATTGCCGAACCTATAACATGATTGAATCGCCTATAGTCCAGCAAGCAGACGCAATGGAAAGATGCATGCTCAGATATTGCAATCAGCATGGGATCTCCCTTGAGTCTGCAATGCACAGACCAAGAATCGAAGAGCACCCTGAAGTAGTCAGTTTTCAAGCGAAAACTGCTCTTGCAGAAAGGTTTAAAACAGTCCCGCCAGACAAATTGGCAGAAATTGTACAAATAATAGAACGTGAATGTCCATATGCAATATTGAAAATCACAGACGAAAGGTCTCAGTTGCGAATTGATGCAATTGACAAAAAAGTTTTTCAGAGGATTAATAGGTAAAGTTTATGCAGGATGCTTGATAGCGAAGACAGAGAAAACTCGTCTCCTATAAAGAAAGTGAAGTATGAAGCCTAAATAAAATTGATAACTAATCTCGTCTTTTTATTTTGAAATGCTTTTTAAAAGATCTTAAATTGTAAAAGAGTTTATTTTATTACTCTTTATCATAGAATAAAACTAGTCTAGCCTTTCAAAGCTCTTTCTTCTTGGATTGGCATCATTAAAGGATGCATTACAGTTTGCCTGGAGGCGACTTTCCCTCCCCCTCCTTGAATTGTCTTTCTGATATTTCCAATAGATATTGAATATCTATGAGATCTATCATTCATTTCATTGCTCATTGTTTGGACCTGATTTAATGCTTCAGCAAGCTTAGCCTTTTCAATAGCCAAGGACTCCTCCAGTTTTTTATTTTTATCAGTTATTCTTGCTATCTTCTTCTCAGTAATTTTGCTTTCAACACTCATCTTCGATTTTTCACTGACTAATTGATGATACATCAAGGTTAATTGTTCAAGGTTTCTTTCTAAAGTATCAGTCTTCTTCTTAAGCTCCTTTTCTCCTATTGACAAATTGCTTTCAATGTTCCTATTGACTTCTCTGAGCTCGTCTAGCTGGATTTCTAAATCAATTACTTGCTTAACCCTTGTCTGAAGATCTTTCATTATGGTTCTTTTTTCTGCATTCCATCGTTCTCTTTCTTTTAATGTCACTTCTTCAATAATTTCATTGCGAAGTTTGTCCATCTTTGGAAGGCCTACTGAAATAGTTTCATCTAGCCTTCTCTGAACTAATTTTAGCTCATTGGTCAAAGCTTGGTTTTTTTCCTTTTCCCATTGAGTTTTGCCTCTTTCCTCTTCCAGTTCTGCTTTTAATTTGGAAAATTCGTCTTCAGACGATACTTGCCTTTCTAGCGTGCTTTGTCTTATCAACTGTTCATTTTCAGTTGTTTTTTCTGAAATTTTTTGGGAGAGTTTAAGCACTTTATCATTGAGTGCTTCGATTTCTGATTCTAATGATGCATTCATATCGGTAAGTGCGTCAATTCTTTCCTCTTTTATTGTTAAAGTGTCTTCAAGTAGCTTATATCTTGCCTCAAAACTCTGGACTTCTTCATTTAAGTTTTCATTTTGCTCTTTTAAGTCTTCAATTTCTTCATCTTTTTTCAGAATTTCTGCTTTCAGTTTTAATGAGTTTTCAACTTCTTCCGAGAGCCGGAGTTTTGTGTCTTCAAGCTCTTGGATCATTTCTTTGTTTTCTATGTATTGAATTTCTGGCTCTTTTTTTTCCTCTTCTTCAGAGCTTGATTCATTTTTTTGCTCTTCTTCTGCTGCCTCTGGTGGCTGATCTTTTCCTGAGGCTGATGGAGGTATTGCTGCACCAAGAGTTTTTAGACTGCCTTCTAGCTGCAAAATACGCTTATCTTTAATTACCATTTCTTCTTTTGCTTTATCAAGCATAAGTTTTAGCTCAGCAACTGTATATTCTCTATTGACTCTTGGCTTGTTTTTTATAGATTTTGCACGAATTCCAAACCTGAGGGTGCTAATAGTTTCAGCTTCATTATAAGGAGAGGGTGAACAAGTTATAATTAAAGCAGTCTTCGAGTTTCCTCCTAAAGAATCTTGCAAGACTCTTGTCAGCTTAGAGTCTCTATATGGGACATGTGTGGATTTCCCATCTGTAAGTGCCGTGATAACCTGCCCTAAGCTTGTTAAAGATTTATTAATATTTTTGGCTTCTTCAAGTCTTTTGCCTTCAGCTCCAGTTTTTCCAACTTTTTCACTTCCAGCTAGATCCACCAAATATAATTTTCCAGTCTTTGATGATAAATCTTTTTTATTTGTCATATTTAACGTCAAACAAAATAGTGAGTGCGATCTGGAGCTTCCAGCATTCATATGTGTATACCCAACTTCTCTATTACTAGTCCCAAAGGCCATTAAGTCATACACTTCTTCCATGCTGCCTACATATTTTTCGGTTAAATCAGCTATATAAACTCCTCTCGCTTTATCCTCATGGACCTTTAAATTCGTTTTGCTTGGATCCAACAAATCTTTAATCTTCTCCATGTAAATTTCACAGTACGCAACTTTTACCTGGAATTCCAAATGTTCATCAGCGTTTACAATGTTTTCAAAAACAGTGCTTACCATACGAGGGATAATCCCCATAAGCTCTTCATCGTAAAGATCTGGCCCTGTCATTGAAAATGTTTTCCCTGAAGATGTTTGTCCATAGGCAAAAATTGTCCCATTAAATCCTTGTATTATGGCTTCAACTGTCGGCTTTGCGGCAATTTCGTAGACTTGTCGCTGAGTTGCAAGAGGTGTAAAAACGTAGTCAAAATTGAATTTGGTGGGCTCACCACCTTCAGAGGTGCGAACTAAGACAGTTTTGTTGTCCGGGCTGAAATTCACGCAAACCTGCATGGAGATAGCTTTTTCTTTTTCGTTTAGAGGGCGGAATCTGCACACAACACGAACATTGCCAGTCCCTGTGTCTTCGTCTTCCATTTAATATGAAATTATAGTTATTAGTAGAAAGGCAATATTGAAATGTACTTCTTGTGGAAGCCTTGCTTGGATTAATAAATCTTATCAATAAATTTAAAATTTAGGTTTATTTTAGAAATTTTGATACTTTGGCTGACATTATTATATTTGAGAATCACATTTTGCAACTGTTATTATTTCGATTTATATAGAGCTTCAGCACATTTGAATTTGTTTATATATATGGCCTAGGGCCCTACTTTTGATCGCCCTGGGCTACTTGTTGCCGCCTCAGCCTGTATGCTTGACTCGGGCAGCATCAGTTGTTAAGTTATCCCAGCAAGTTGGCAAGTGTCAATATATTTTTCACTTGTCAATAACTTGGAAACTGATTTTGCCCGAGTTATTCTATAGGCTGATGCGATAATGTGTAGCTCAGGGTGATCCAAAGCAGGCCCTGGCTATAATTTTTTCCTCTTTACTTTTTGAGATCTACTTCTTTATTAAAGTTTGGCACTGAATGAAATCTCTTCTTCACCAAATTAGAAGGGCTTATTATAGCTTGATGTTTGGTACTTTACACAATGTAATATTTATAATTTCAAAATTCAGTGTATTATAACTGAATTTTAAATTTCTGTTAGCTTTAAATTTCATTTAAGTTTTTTTGCATTTAAATTTCAGGAATTTTCTGCAGAGTCTTTTCTTTATTGTTATAAAGGATTTTGTTTTGTGATTTATCGCCAAAGCAATTGCATGATATGCTTCTTTATAGTTATTAATATTGCAAGAGACTAGTTTTTTATTTTCACTTTCAAATCGAAAGCACTTATATCTACACAAAAATTTCCATGTTTAATATTTTTAATACAAAGAATTTTATATGCACATTTTCTATAATAAAGATTTCAGAAATCAATTTAATTATTATGAGACTATCTCTTGAGGGTTGGTAATAATGGCGACTCCACCTTTATCATAGTAAATAAACAAATTAATTATATAAATATGGAATTTGAGAAAACTGAGAGCAAGCCTGAACATCCTTTTGTAAGGCGAATGCGAAACTATTTGAGTATCGTATCAAGTCCTCCAATGAATGTAAAAGACAAAGATCAGCCTTATAAAGGTGAAATTTTCCAGAAAACGAGTCAAAGGCTAAAGATGGATATTTTTTCATTTCATTAAGTCTTAATGAATAAGCATACCCAATTAAGCTATTAAAATATTTTTTTGCTATTTATCATCTCATTTGTTTAAAACTAAAGTATTGCCTATAATCTATGAAATAGTTAATTCCATTTTGCATTTTTTTTTAAAGCAAAGTCTTAATTTATTATATTAAGCTTTTAGTAAGACAATTTTTTAAATTTTTATTATGATAAGTAGTAATCATAATAACTAATAAAGTGAAATTAAAAGAAAGGCTTACTCCCCCCCTCATCCTTGATCGAACGATTGACTGTAAAAATTCCTAAAAATTTGGGAAATTAACCCCCATCCTTGATCGAACGATTTTCATATCATGACAATTTTATATATATAAAAATATAATAGTTATCAAAAGCTTGGGAAGATGCACATAATGAAGTTGTTTTCAGAAACTTTAAGACGACAAGAAGCTTCGGAATCAACCATTCGAAGTGATTTAGTCATCAACCTAGGCTTAAAAACTCAATAATCTAATAAAATAGAGATTTTTAAAATTTTTAAAAAAAAAATTAATTTAATAAGGAACAAATTAAAAATTTATACAGTTTAAAGGGGTAACTCATAAATCAAAATATTAAAAATTGGTATTTTTATGAAATTAATTCAATTTTTTTGCTGTAAAAATAATTATTAAATACTCTTAACCCTCTTATTTAAAAGAAATAAAAACAATATATATATGTTTTTTTTTTTTATATATAAAATTTTTTTCCCAAAAATTGTTTTTTAACCCCCATCCTTGATCGAACGATGGCGAGTCGTTCGATCAAGGATGGGGGGGGGAGTTAGAAAAATATTCGAAAAGCATTACTGCATCAAAATGCCAATAAATTGTAACAGAGTCAATAGTTGTATCCCCTGTATGAATAAAATTTTTTCGACTCTCAAAAGTTTAAGCATTATTTTAGAATTGAAAATTTATTGTTTTTGTTTTATTCGAAAGTCATAGTTGAAATTTGAATAAAGTAAAATAAAATTTAATATCTAAAATCACCATACAAATAAAATATATAGTTTATGAAAATACTAAACCACAATAAATGTTAATCTCCGCAAAAAATCATAATTTTATTTCTATCAAAGTAAAATTATTTCTCATTTACTGCTTTCTAAACTTAATCGTTTAATTTCATATTTCCTGAATTTGTTAAGCTTTATAAGAACTTTATTCCTTCTTTAATCCTCTTCCAAAGCCTCCGGTTCTTCTAGGTCTGTCGTCATCCCTTGGCTTCTTAACTGCAGGTGCCTTATAAATATCAGGTCTAATGTTCGAAGGTAATCCAAGATATTCACACATAGCTAAAATTCCTTTTTCATTTAAGTAATAATAGAACCACTGCCAATTGAATTTTTCTTCAATGAGTCCTCTTGATTTCAAGCTTTTGCAGATCATCATGATCTTTAGATTTGGAACAGCGATATCTTGGTGTCTTGGAAGCCCAGCGTCTTTTCTTACGACAAGAGTACCTTCTTTCAATAAGTATTGGTAAATTTGTCTCTTCTCACTTTTAGAAACAAGCACCATTTATAAGCCACTCTTTACTAGGAAAGCTAAGGAATTGGAAGATAAAAGGGGAAATTTTATGAGTTCTTTGAAAGTTTGCTGGAAAATGGATGATATTTAAAGGATTTTATTACACTTAGGTTGAAAACCAGAGGAAAAAAATTATTTAATGATTAAAGAATATAAAAATCGAAATATAATATTTTTTGAAAGCCCGATTTTAGGCCTGGTATCTCGAATATACAAGGAAATTATAAGATAATTACTTGCAAACATCTGATTTGAAAAAATCACACTTATCTCAAGTATTTCAAAATATGATTTTCATATTTATATCATGATTAAGCAGGGATTAAAAGCAATATTCATACAATCTAAAGCTATTTCTTTAATTTAAAGGATATTTATTAAGATTATTTTTATTAATATCCTAATTTATTATGTCAAAGGCATTAAAAAAAATAAGTCAAAATTTTCTATTTGCTTTCAATTGAATTTTGATCAAGAATAATCTTATTTTATTTTGCATAATACAATTCATTCGAGCTAAAATTATATAAACTCAGATGGCAAAATATTAGTCATTTTGTTAATTGCCTGCTGCTTAAAAGAATTTTAAATTGATTTCTAATTAATATTCGATCAGTAATCTGATGTTTCAAAAGGATTTTAAGATTCTCTTAATTAATATGGAAGATTTATTTGCTGTTTTTAAGCATGTGACATGAAACCGATGAGGGTATTATTAAATGAAATAATTAATTTGTAACAGTTGATCCTTAAGCATAATTAAGATGAGGTAACCTATTATATTTCCAAATTTGATTAATGATAAAAAATTTAATTTGCTGATGAATCAATTGAGCAAAGCACATATTAGAAGAACTTCTTCAATCTATGCCTTGACTTAATTAATATCAATTTTTAATAATAAAAATTTAAAATAAGGTTTCTTGCAACTTCCATAATAAATCAACTAATAGGGTAATTATAATTTATTATAATTTTTCCTAATCAATTTGATAAAATTCATATACAGATATAAAAATTCTATCCGGACTCGATTGCTTTCCTTTTCTGCATATCTTTAATTCCTGTTTTTGTTTAGAAATTCTGTGTGAATATAACGTATATAATAAAATTAATATGGAATTCGAAAAGTCAAAATCTACAGGGAGAAAGCCAGAACATCCACTGGTAACTCGATCAAGAAACCAAGAGGGCATTCTATTTAGTCCTCCCATGGTAATTAGGGATAAGGAGCAACCTTATCAAGGTGTGATATTCCCAAATAAAGACAAAAAATCTATGCCAGAAGTATTTACTTTTTACGCAAACTAGACGAAATTTATAACATAATGCAAACTTAATTTTCATTAAATTAGTTCAAAAGTTAAAACCTAAAAGCTTCAATATTTTTTCTTAATAAATTTTGTTTTTTCTTGACTGACAAAACTTCTCCTTAATCTAAGGATTTAAGCAGCAATTAATACGTAAAATATTCTCGGCTGCTAAAAATAATCTGAAATAACCAAAGAAAATTAAGAGGCGAAATTCCAGTAACTTATAATTTAGATATTATGGCTGATGCGCAATTAGAAATTCCAATAGTGTATGACAGTGAAGAATGGATCGATTCCTGCAAAGTTATTACTGATATTAGTGAAGGTTCAGCTACAAACTGCAATGATCTGAGAGATTTAATAGAAGAGCTACAAGGAATCAATTGGAAGTGTGAACACGAACTTTCTGGTATTACTCAAGTATTGGACACTCAAGGGTGCCGACTTTTTGGATTTGATAATTTATATAGTGAAGTTTTACCTTGGCTTGCGTCGAAAATTCTTCAGATTCCGAAGCTTTTCCCATCAGGTATCCCAATGCTTCGGCAATCAAAAAGCCAATTTTTATTCTTTTTAATGAAATTAAGCCTATAGCTAACTTATATAAAATTTTTTGTAGGGTTCTCCGGATTATTCTACTCTAGAATACTTTTTTCACGCGAACAATGCGTTGCTTTGTTGGGTGCACTATTTTTAGCAGCAACCAAATATAACCATATGGCACTATACGTAACTTTTATATAGGAAGATTCGTACACAACAACTTCTCAGCAGTGCAAATTACTTTCCTTTGTGAATTATTTCACAATGATGCATGAACAACCGCCTGAATATCTAACATCTACCTTTATATCCTTTGAAAGAATTTCTTCAGAGATTAAACCCTTATCACATTGGTCATGTCTTAAGGACAAGCTAAGCCAAGTCACAATTTCAGGTAATCTTAGCATTGAAGATAGCCCAGACCCTTGCTTGCGTATAGATTTTGCTAACAAATTCATAGGAGGTGGCACATTATTGCATGGAAACGTCCAAGAAGAAATTGCTTTCACCATTCACCCAGAGATGATAATTTCTATGATGATTTCTGATGTAATGTTAGATAACGAAGCGATAATTATTGTAGGAGCACAAAGAACTACCTTGCATAGAGGATATGGGAGTAACTGTTCGTATGTCGAAAGATTTCATGATAGAAGACCTTTAGATAATTTGAATAGAATTGATACCCATGAAGCTGCAATTGATGCATTAGAGCTTATGCTTGATCCTGAGAGTCAATATCAAGATTTGCTGCTAGAAAGAGAAATTAATAAAGCTTATATAGGTTTTTTAGGAGATTCTCATGAAAGAAAAGAGTTTGTAGAAAAAGAATTAAACAGAGCCTTTGAAGCGAGAAATAAAGAAAAGAGTGGTGAAGAAGAGAAAAAGGAAGAAAAGCTTAGACCTATTGCAACTGGGAAATGGGGATGTGGAATGTTTGGTGGAGATCCTGAATTAAAACTAATTATACAATGGATAGCAGCAACTAAAGCAAGAAGGGATATGATTTTTATGACTTTTAACGATGAAAATTTGAAGAGAAAATCGGAAAGATTGATTGAAAAATATAAAAATGTGAATATTGAAAAGTTGATGACAGATTTAAGAAAAGTTTTAAATGAAAAAAGAAATGATAATCAGGGATCGGTAATTGAATTAATGCTTGAATTAATTGAAAGCAGCTAATACTAATTATCTATTAATTTCATTTTTTAGTATACTTCAATTTTAATTCATAAAGTTCACTTGAGCATATATCAGATTATGGATTAAGCTCTAACCAAATTTCTCATTTCATTGGCTGATTTGTTGGCTAGATGTGCAAACCAACAAAACTAGCAAGCTTAGCTAATATAAGCTGAATTACTATCTTCCAGTTAGTTTAGCAGATTGAATAATCAATTTGCTGGAATTAAAATGTTTCTAAGTGTGAGCATAGTCTTTATTGTTATACATGTAATATTTTCGAATATTAATATAAAATATATTTTTAATGTGCGGATTAGCAGCCTCTTAAATATTAGCAATAAATAATTTTTATTCTCACTATTCTGAGAGAAGGGATTAAATTTTCCTTGAATTTCTAATATATAACTATCAAGCCAATTTCAAATTCATCAATTAGAAAAATTTTTAAAAGTCTGCAAGTTTTGACTTTATTAAAATTCTCAATATTGAAGATCATCGTTTTAAAAGTTTTTTATCATCATATTCTTTCCTTTAAGCCTCATCCTTATCATGATTTAATTTCATTGAAAATTTGATTGCCTCTAAACCGTATATATGCCCATAAAAATTCTGTCTTAAAAAATTTTTCTGAGATATTTATTTATTGAGAGATGCTTAAATTTTTAAAAAATAGCATATTTTATTTTGCTAATGGTATTATTCTTAGATTAAATAAAAAAATTATAAGATAAACCGATAAATGCATAGACCTAGCTTTGCTATCAGAAAATCATAAAATACCATTTCTAGAATAATCTCCATATTTAAAGAACTTACTAGAATAAGCTATGCTTAAGGTTTCTTAAATAGAAAATAGGCTTGAATGGCATTTTTCTATATGCGCTTGCAATGAATACTTGTTATATATAATTTGCTTGCAAATCTCGCACACCACACGTGTTGATTTTTCATGAACTTGCTTTACGTGAAAAACCATCGCGTATTTGTTTTTAAAATATTTTCCGCACGATTTGCAAAGCGATTTTTTTCTAATGCTGATATGCATTTTAGCGATATGCTGCTCTAACCCTTTGAGGCTTTTGAGCATTTTTGAGCATTTCGGGCATTTCATTTTTCCTTCAGCTTTATCCTTTTTATCCTTGCATTGAGCAACTACTTCGAATTGATTTACAGGTTTGCTATGCTCTTCTTCATTACCTTCACACTCAAGGAAGTTATCTGCGTCTCTTCCAAACTCTTGCTCAGCTCTAAAGTGTGCCTTGAGCTGCTCACAGGTCTCAAATCTAGTGAAACATAAGTTACATTCAAAAGAATGAAGAGAGCTTCTTTTTTTGAAATAGGTAAGAAACTCGATTTCTCCTAATTTCACTTCTCTAGTTAAGATTTTCGGTATAGACATGATATTTATTACTTACCGATATCGAAATTACTGAACTATAAATACATATTTACTTTTGTTTTATTCTTAAGGGACTGACAAAATAAGCCATTTTTAGTAGAAGAGTTTTTCGAGAAAAATTTTTTATTAAGGAGATTGTAATATTTATTTAGTAGTGTATCTGACTAGGTTTACTTTTACAGTTGCAGCGGCGATGCTGAGCTGATCAGCCAATGTTCAATTATTCCTCATGGGAAATTGGATATGAAGCTTGGAAGAGTTTTCCCAGCAGAGTTAGAGAATGCTTCTTGGCCAATCCGAATAATTTCCAGCGTGATACTTACGTTGAGTCCTGGCTTTCAAGTTTCCATTTTTTTCCTTCAGAAAACCAAAAATCTATCTTTAAGTTTTCTATAAAAGGCAACCCTGCTGATATGCAGCATGGTGATAAAACTTTCTGAATTCCAGACTCTCATCCAAGAATTCACCTCCAGTAAGTGAGCAGAACAATTTTCTCACTAATACAGAAGGGAATAAGAATTTCTTCTAATTAAAATAATGATTTAGAATATTAATGCTGACTTTGTTCAACCATAATTATAGCAATGGGGAAGCAATGATATCTTAGTGGATAGTATTGAAGTTAGCAAAATTATTTAGATGATATATTATCGTATTAATAATGATTATTTCTTTTTATTAGGAGAAATCAAAAATATTCCTCTGCATAATATAATACAAAAACTAAGTTATCATAAAAAGCACACTTTAATAATTTTAGCTTTCAAGTGATATCTGCAAATCTGTAAGGTATAATATAATATTTCAAACTTGAAGGATAGACTCCTCAAGGTAATAAAGATTTGGTTATTGGAATATGAAAATTTCATATACTTGTTCATGATTAAAAATATATTTTAAGTAGTTCAAAGAAAAATATACTTACTAAAAGATTGCATAATTTACGATTTTTTATATACTTCTATAATATTAAATCTCATAAGAAAATTGTAATAAAGATTATTTCTCTTTATGCCATATAAATACTTTATTAAACTATTTTCCAATAAACTATCAGTCGATAAAAAATTTACTTGAAATTATAATAATATAAAGAAAGCTTATCGAGATAGAAATAAAAAAATAGAGAATTAATATTGAATTTCTGTCGGAATAGATTTAAATTAGCTAGTGCTATTTTATTTATTTATTAAGGCATAATTTAAAAGAAAAGTTCCAATTTACTATTTTAATTTAAAAAATAAAACTAATAAATTATGAAACATTCTTAGTATTGTTTACCAGAGTAGGGGTATGGGCTATCTTCTTTATTAAAGTGTCTTTCAAAAATTGATCAGATTTTTCTTGTTATTGTAATTTTAATTTTTTAAAGCATAAACTATTCATTTCGCTTACATTTTTTCATAAACTTCAAAGCTATAAAGAGAACTCCATAAAGCTGAAAAATTGAAAATTTATTTTAGGAATGCAATTTATTTGGCTAATATTTCAAATTATTTATTTATCTGAATAATGTAATTGATATAATATTATTAGAAATCATATTTTTGAATTCTAAATTATCAATGGTAAAAAATGCAGAGTTTTATAATTGATAATAATTTTTTTACAGGCATTTTCAATTAATTCTACTTATATTAGAATGCATTCATTAAATTTATCTATGATTTCCTAACAAATAATAGCAATATTAACAGAATTTCTTGATTTGTAACATTATTGCAACTCGGATATTTAAATATATATACTACACACTTTTATTTTAGCAACTGAATTATTCTAAAAGATTGCTGAATCTACAAAATTTATAATAGTTACTTAAAGCCTACAAAATAGACAAATTGCAAGCAAAATTCCATCATTAAAACTTTACGCATAAATTACAGCTTAATACTTATATTTTTAATATCTCCTTTATTTATTTCTGTTTTGCTAATAATCATCACTTTCTAAATAAATAATCAATCTAGCTGTTCCAAAAAAGAAACCTTTAATTAAAATGAGCTAAAATATTCGAATTTCCTATTCTGGCTGATAATCTTAAAATAAAGATTTTTTATTACAGAAAGCATATTAATGCATAGTTATTAACAATAAATATTATCATTGTAGCGTATTCTAAATGTTTTAATTAAGACATAATTTAATCTTAATCTGCTATCCTCAGTTTCTCATAATATTCAAAATTTTTCTAGATAAAACCAACCTGAGCAAACTTATCAGTTACAAGTTTTGCAAATAAGTATATACTTTAAAAGCCAAGCCATTCTAAATTAAATTCTATTTTCTATGATAATTAATTAAATTTTTAGCCATTATGTGCTCAATAACAGAATAGTGAATTCCCTCATGGTAAATATTCATGCGTATATCCATCTTCCCGAGATATTGGATCTATTTATGGGTTTTATATCATTAATATAGTAAAATCTAAATTCTTTTAGCACTGCATCTAGAAAAATCAATGAAATTATTAAAATAGCTATTAAAGCCCTTCAATATTATCACCCTAAAGAAGGCTGCATCTATTCATCGATATACTATAACTACAATCTGGCACGCTCAAAAATCCGCAATTAGACTCAGCAACTCGAGTTTCAACTACGCTAAAAGGCTCGATGCTATGCTTATCATGATTTTCGTAATATTCTTCAAAAACAAGTTTGCTTAAATTGTCTTTTTTATTCCTAATTTTTTCTTCGTTCCCTATCTCTTCATCAATTTCTATATCATTATTAATGACTTTATACGTCTTGCTTATTCTTCTTCGTCTTTTAATTTCCTTTTCGTCTTTTGTTTCTTTTTCTTTTTCCTTTTTGGTTACTTGATCTTCTTCAACTTCAATTATTTTTTCCTCAACTAATAGTTCCTCATCTTCTCTGGCTGTTTCTAGCAGAGTTTCTACTTTGATGTCATTATTCATAGAAATTTCTCCCATGTCAACAATAACGTCTTCCTTGTCAATTATTTCTGTTTGTGCTCTCTTTTTGTCTTTTCTTTTCTTTTTAATATTAATATCAGGTTCATCATATGTATCTTCTTTTAAAGTTTCGTCATATGGAGAAATAGGACCTGGAGGAAATGTAGGTGGCCAAAAACTAGTCACATTTGGCGCTGTTCCTCCATACTTTCGCTCAACTTGACTTAAATTGCAGTGATTAAACAATGGCCTGGGTATTGAGTCTTTTAAGACGTTCATCTTGTGCAAGGTAACTTCATCTAAAAATGGTTTAACAAAATTTCACATAATAACAGCAGTTGAAGGTGGATTTATGACGTAATTTATTCCTAAGCGGCATTTGAAGTTAGCTTGAATTATTTTAGAAAGCTTACGAAGCGAACTAATTGGAAGTTGAGTCATCCCCCAATGCCCCATATCAGCAATATTCACCCAGGTTTCGACATGCCCGGGAAGTAAAATATTTTGTGTTACATATTCAAAGAAGAAGCATAAAAATCTTATATAAGTCTCATCAGGAATCTGTGTAAATATTACTTTTTTGAATTGAAATTTCGTACAATTCATTATAAGAATTGGCCTATAGAAATGATCCCGACCGTGAACATAAAAGGCTCCTAATGTCTATTGTAAAATTTACCAGTAATTCAGCTACTTCTGGATACACGGATAAGTATCCGCGTGGGAATGTCTCTCGCCTTCATTTTAGGTGGTTCTGGAATTCTTTAAGAGCTTTCCTTGTTTTCCAGCCTGTTCCGAAGCAAAATCTCAGCAGCTCATTTTTGTCCCAGTTTTCAGGAATTTGGATTTTTAATTTTTTCACTTCTTCCTCAAGTCTTGCCAATTTTTTAGCTTCGAGTTCAGTGAGAATCTGATTCTTAAATATGTGCCTTTGGATATGTTTTCCTTTGCCGGATGCAATCATGTCTCCTTCGGGCTTATATAAATAAGCCCCAGGAGGAGGATTGACACTTTGTGGAATCAATGTCTCTATTTGACCATTCATCTCTGAAATTTGTTTATTACGAATTTTATATTGGAGAAAATTCATATAAGTTTGCAATAAAGTCTTATGGATATTAACTTATTAGTTTTTAAATAGTTGTAAAATTTTAGGGTATAACTAAAAGTAACTCTTTCAATATAATCAGATAAGAAAATATGCCATTTATAAGAATTCAATAACCTGACTCCCCACCTAAAAATGAAAATATAAAAAATTTTGTAGGATTTTTAATATTTTTTTCTAAAACTTGCAATTTTAATTCAAAATGTTTTGAAAATAAAGTTAAAAAAATATTAAATTTTTATGTGGTTTGAGGTTAGTATTCCAAATTTTTATGTTTGTTTGTCCTAGAACTTGAAAAGAGAGATCAAATAATTTCATAATTTAGTAAAATCTTAACTCCCCCCCCCCCCCCCCTCCGTGAGCGAACAAAACCATTAGAAAAATCGCCATTTTTTGACCAAAAACCCACCCTCCGTGAGTGAACAAAAATTTTTTTAATAGAAAAAATTTTAATGGAAAAAAATTTTGATATATAAGTGATAATTAGTATAATGAAATCTAGAGCTAATTCTGTTTAATTTTAAACAAATTGCGTTTTAAAATATAAATTTTGCAAATTAAATTTAATATTTGCTTCCCAATTTTTGCAAATTAGGATTTTTTTAATTTCGAAAAAAATATTTTTTATAAAATTTATATATAAATTTTTTTTAAAAAAAAAAATTAACCCCCCTCCGTGAGCGAACAAAATTTTTTTGTTCGCTCACGGAGGGGGGGGGGGGGAGTAAGAGCTATATATATTTAAAAATTTTTTGACTACAAATCAAATTTAAACTTTGAAATTATAGAAGTTTCCTATGTTTGGCGCTGTAAGGCCGATAAATTCTGATCGGAATTTATCGGTTAGTTGCACCAAATCAATGCCTTGGTCGGACCAAAAAGCGATTTGGTCCGACGAACTTGGAAAGCTCCTGGGAAAATGTCTGCGCTTTCAGCGCTATATAGAGGAAACCTCTATATATGTAGCAAGTTAAGTTATTAAGGATCCGGCCATAAGCGCTCCCGCAGGCGCTGACCATCTGCCCCGTCTCGGCTCCAAAATGGTATCCGAGGACGCCATCTTGGATTTCCGGCCTGAATCAACTGTTCAGGAGATTATCTGCCCTGGACAGAGCCGCTCTTAGATAGCGCCCCGATGGTCCTGATGATGAAAGACCATGTGGTAGGCAAAACCTATCTAACCCATCTGGCAGGTACTGGGAAAACCTTTGGGGGAGAAATAAAACTTCCCTTTTCGACAAGCCATCCCCAAGCCTGGAGGCCTACTTTCACGGGTACAGAAGTCCTACTTTCAGCACATCATGATGGGTCCTACCTGCTCCATAGGGAGTGTACCTTGGAGTCAAAGTTCCGTCAACGTTACGTTCTATATGTAACAAAAAATTGATTATTTTACTAATGAAATAAATGTTTTGTGAAGCCTGGCTCAACATAATTTATTATTAATAGCAATTGATAGATCCTATCTGCTATGGCTAAGTTTCTTCTATGATATAGTATTTTTAGCAAATGTTCTCGATCATTTGCCCACTAAGATCTAAGGCCAGCGATGAAATAATTGTATTTTTGGTTTATGATACGCTTTTTCAATTAACTGTTAGGTCTTTTCAACCAGAGCACCATATTAAAACAATTGACCCTTTTTCCAACCATTTTAATAGTAATTTTATTGCTGGATTTAATATTAGTTCAAAGGAAATTTTACTATTTAATGTTTAGGTTAAAAATACTTTTGGTATCTTTAGCTGTCCTTCAAATTCAAGGATTCCATCAATAATGACTTAAAATTAATCAATTTTTGATGTAGAAATATAATTCTGATTCTTAATTTCAATAATAAGCGTGGAGACTATTATTATTGTAGTTACATTGCTTTTCAATATTATTTTCCTAGCAAAAATTTTTGGGTTTGCCAAACAATTGTTTCAAGATAAAAGCTTGCATTTACTTTTATTTATCCTTATTTATGATTTCTTACAAATTAAAAAATAAAAGCAAAAAACTATATAGTCATCTATCAGAAAAGACGATCAATTAGCATTTAAGCTTGCTTTCTTAATAAACATTAATTACTTCTAAAAAAATTGTAGCCTTGATAAAGCGTTTTTACAAAATTGATGATTGTGGATCCAAATCCCATAGAAAATGCCAGTGCAATAATTGCTCCTATAAATATCAAAGGATATAAAATTACTGGGGATCGAAGTACCCATAATATCTCATTCCATCCTAGCAAAAGTAAAATAAGTCAAAATCAAGTAGGAATATGTGTCCTACTATACCCAAACTCTTTCAAATGCACTGCTTCTTTATATGCTATTTCAGCATCTTTCACAAAACTGTCATTTATCATTCTAAATCTATCTTCGTTCAACAATTCTTCATAGTTAACATCATCAAGAGCATAGTCCCAATCAGGTAGCAGCTGGAAAAATCTAAAATTTTCAAGGACTTTTACTGTTTTTGCTTTAGAGACTGCGTAAATTTCTTGGATATTTTCACGATCCCAAGTCCTTGGAACCCCATTTTCATCTTTCAAAAATAATTGATTAAAATGCCTTACCAAGTGATCGACCAAATGGTCGCAATATTTGTTTATCTTTGATTTCATTGACTCATAAAATTGGACTTTTATGTTTAAAATATGCTGCTCAATTTGGTTATCTGTGAAACCAAGACCTTCAAGTACAGCTTTACAGTGTTTTTCTAAGGATTCCATATGCTCTCTTTGAATATTCTTCAAATTTTCCCACATTGTTTCTTCATTCATTTGTTCAAGAGCTCTGCTTATTTGGTTTGAAAATTTTCCACCAGTAAGTTGCAAATTTACTTCTTTTTCCAACAAGGCAAGTTCTTTCTCTTTTTCAAAAGCACATTTTTCATTCATAAAATCAGAAAGAGAGCTTCGATATTCATCTATATCTCAGTCGCTATTTTGAAGTAAACTTGATTCGGTGTCTATGTTAAATCCATCAAAAATTTCTTTGTATATATCAGCAATTATTTCATTGAAGTTTTCAATTGTTTTATTTTTTTGGATTTTCTTTTCTAAAAGGACTTTGAATTTCTTTTGATATGATTCTAATATAAATTTCATTTGCAGCCTAAAAAGATCTTTTGATTGCTCAAGAGCTAAGCCAATCAACTCTTCTCTAAATCTTCTATAGACTACTTCATAATAATTAGCAGCTTTTTCATCATATTTATCAATCCCTTTTTTTAGAAATTTTGCTATTTCTTTTCCAAAATCTTTGACGATTTCTCTTCCAACTTGCTTTGCAAAAGAACTCATGCTATTTTTAAACCATTCATAAGCTTCTATCTTAAGTTCATTGCATCTTAAATTCGCAAGCATTTCTTTCTGTGAAGGAATATTAATTTCTTTATCGTTTTTAACTACATCCCAAATTGTCTGATAATAGAGGGGAACTCCATCAATTGGTATATCAGTGTTTTTCATCCTAAACAAATAATCAAACTTTTCTTCATCCCTAAATCTTTCCTTTAGTTCATCAATATCTGCTTTGAATTCTTTTGGCTTAAAATCTTTGGTAGAAATTGTTTTGAAATCAAAATCAAAATAATCAAAAATATAGTTATGAAATAACTTTTCATATAAAAAGACATTTATGTATTTTTGAAAGCAAGTCTTATGCTGGAAAATCTATTAAATAATCGCAATTCAGGATTTTCGATTAAATATCACTAACTCAAAAACATGGCTCATTGCATATTCACTAGGTTTATGTATTTGCTCTCAGACTTCTTCTACTGTTTTACTCATTTGCTGCTTTAAGACGAATAAATTATCTTTTTTGTCATTAAAGTCGCGAAGCAAAAAGAGAATCCTTTTTTTCCTTTCCTGAGAGAAAAGGCGTAAGTTAGCTTCAAAAATCGTTTTTAGAAGCCCAATGCTGGCAGCTTTGTAGCGGCCTATTTCACTTGTTCACATGTTCACCATTAGGATATCAGACACAGATAAAGCAAATAAAGCTGCCATAGCCTCAAAGGCAGCGCCATCTTCACCTCGTGCAAGACTGTCTGTACCTTCTATATCAATAATAAGGGTTTTAAAGTCAAGGTTGATGCCTAGATGAATACCTTTGGTAGTTTGGTTGCGTTCTCGCATCGGATCAAGAGTATCAAAGTCTGTACCAAATACCAGATTGAGAAGAGTACTTTTTCCTGTGCTTTGACTGCCTACTATTGAGACTGTGTGATAATTTGTAGAGGTTAAGCCTGAGTAACTCAGAAAATTCTTTATGTGCTGGCTGAATAGAAATTACGTGAATTCACCTTCATATGTAATTATTTGTACAGATTGCAAGGACATTTATATCCCGCTATTTAAAAAGCATAAAAGGAAATGCATTAATGTTTATGTGAATTCACTAGATGTGCTTCAAAAAGGTTTTTTTTAGCCCTATTAATGCCTACAATTTTGGCCCTTTTTTTGGCCCTTTTTGGCCTGTTTTTTGCCTATTTTTTGAGGCTTATTATCTAATTTTTTTTTGGGGTTTAATTTTCTAAAAAATAAGTCTTTATATGTAGGTGTTGTTTGAAGTAGCCTAATATTTATGCCTTATACTTTTCTTTATAATTTATGTTATCAATAATGTCTTATTTTATAACTCAGATAAAGATATTGGAATATCAGCTATTAAGTATCTTACATCCATAATTGCTTTAAGAATGGCTTATTACATAAGCATTAATATAAAAGGGCTATAATCTTCAATTCTAAAAGTTTTATTATTTTTTATTCCCATAGGCATAATTAAATACATTAATTGACTCTAACTCCCCCCCCTCTGTGAGTGAACAAAACCATTAGAAAAATCGCTATTTTTTGCTCAAAAACCACCCTCCCATGAGTGAACAAAAATTTTTAATGGAAAAAAAATTTGATATATAAAGTGATAATTAGTATAATGAAATCTAGAGCTAATTCTGTTAAATTTTAAACAAATTGCTTTTTAAAACATAAATTTTATATAATTAAAATTAATATTTGCTTTCCAATTTTTTGGAATTAGGGATTTTTAAAATTTTCTAAAAAACAATTCTTTCTATAAAATTTCTATAGAAATTTTTTTTAAAAAAAAAATTTAACCCCTCCGTGAGTGAACAAAATTTTCTTTTTCACTCACGGAGGGGGAGGAGTAAGGAGTTTTGAAGGAATGACAAACTAATCTTATTGAATTTTCAGTAAAATATGAGGGTATTTGCTCTCTTTTTGTAGCTCAGTGCTTAATATATGTTTGCTATATTTCAGGATTATAAAGTACAAAGATAATTAATTGCATTAAATATCAATCCCATTTCTAATTTACTAATAGTGAAATTAAAAGGACATAAATGAAAGTTAATCAGATTTTACTGATATTCATCACTTTAGTATTACTGCCTTGCTCTCCAATAAAAAAGCTCGAAGTTATGCAAAAATGCCCTATCTTTAACCTTAAAAGCAGAGTTTCAATATTAAGTAACGGATTATTTTTACCAAAAAAGGATAAAAATATATTTAAACTGTTCTTGGATTATGATTTTATATATAATCTCATAACCCCATTCCTTCCAGAAGCTGATACTTGTGAACTATCAAAAACTAAAGATTTTTCTTTAATGTTTCCTTCAGCTTTTTGAGTTCAAGAAAAAAACCTTTTTCTTACAGTAGTTAGGGTCAATGTTAATAAAAATAGGAGTTTTTTATATACAAGCTGATTTGATTCTGATTGAAACGAGGTATTTATTGAAGAAACCGTAGGATCTACTTCAGTTCCTGGAGTAATTCCAATAGAAATCCCCGATTGGGACCAAGAAAATGCTGGACCAGAAGACCCACGCATTTTTAAAGCACTAAAAAACGAAATTTTTATTGCTTTTAATATGCTTGATCACGATAGAAACAGAAAGATGTGGCTTTATAGCTTTAAAAGCGGATGATATTGGCCTTTATCAATTTCTCAGCATAATGCTGCAGACCATTTTATTGAAAAAAATTGAATACCGTTGATTACAGACACTGAGCATTTATATTTCATTTATAGTCATAAAAACCTCCAAATTATAGATTGTACAGAAATGAATAAACCTTGCATTTGGATAAGAGGAAAATATGATACTTTTCCTAACTCCTTAAGAGGAGGGACTCCATATATGCGATTTCGAAGTAGCGATTTTTATGTTTCTATTGGCTATAGCCATATTTTATACAAGCTTAAAGATAGCCAATGCCATGCATATAGGCCAACATTAACAATTATCTATGTGACTGATAGATCTCCGTTTTATGAGCTGATTTATGCAAGTGAGCCTTTAGATTTTGAAGGGAAATTGTTTTTGAAGCCTGCTTTGAATGTCGATTCGGCTGAAGGAATTAAATTTTGCCAAAACGCGAGAATCATGATGGCACTTTCAATTCCTAAATGGGATTATGGCCGAGATATTGTTGATATTACTTTAAGCATAAATGATACTGCTCCAGTCGCTATCAAGGCTTCTGGCTTAACTGGAATTGTGGAAGAAGTTATAGAATTATATGAGGAGCAAAAATTACCAAAAGAGGACGAATGTGCTGAAAAATTGGCTTATTGATACTATAACATCCCTGATTTCAAGAGGAGAATCATTGATATAACTCGGTTAGCTACATATCAAGAAGATTTATTAAATGGGCGAGTTCTCGATTATTTTTAGAGTACCATCAATTTTATTAATTGAATTTAAATTATTATCTTTAAATTGCTTTTTTTAAAATATAAAACTATAAAAATGGAAACCATTCTTTTAGTATTTTGAATCCTTATCAATTGCTTATTAGCATACCGAGAGCTTCGAGTTATTAAAGAGTGCCCATTTTTTATGCTAAATGATCATATATCTATACTAGAAACAGGCTCTTTTCAGCCATGACTTTCTTCAAATGCCACATCAATTTCAAAATTATTTTCAGACTCTGAATTTATTTATAATCTTATAGCACCTCACCTTCGAGATGAAGAAAAATGCGCTCTTCAAGATCAAGAAAAGCTTCAAATAATGTTTCCATCAGCAATCTGGTTGCCGGAAAAAGAAAAATTCCTTACGATTGTAAGAAGAAGTATAATAGTGGCGTTGACAGTAGACACACTTCGAGGTGCACTCCCTTTGTATAGACAGTTAGGACTTTTTCAGCACCAGTACACTGGCTAACTGCTTCCAACTAGTAATATATTCTGATAACCTTCTAATTGGATAATAGGCTACTGGTTGAGAACAATTAGCCAGTGTACTTGAAGCTCAAAAATCTTAACATATTATAACAAGGAAGACCCATCCCTATGTCCTTAAAGCTGAGTGTCTATGCCACTATGAATAAGCAATAAGGTCTGCGTATAATTTGTCAAAAATGGAAGTTTTGTTTTCTTCCGAATGTTTCCTATTCCTGTAATATGACTAGCCAAATTTCGCCTTTTTCATAGTCTTTGTCTATATGGATAGCAGGGCATCCTGATAGAGGATTCCTCTGATATAGGAAAGCTGATACTTAGGTAGGTAAGCTTTGACAGAAAATTCAGAGGTAAAATTTTGATTGGGTCGTGCATATGCATCCAATGCAGACTACTCTTCCTGTAATAGAAGCGGTCTGCAAGTGACTATCCACTTATGGTCGCGCAAAATCTTTATATTTACTTATAATTGTAAGACTTCGGATTAACCAAAGAATAAGTGTTTTATATGCCAGTTTCTACGATTCTGATTGAAATGAAGTCAATACTGAAGAAATGATAGGAGTTACACTGGTGCCTGGAATTTTGATTATTGAAATTCCAGAATCAGAAATCTGAAATTCAGGACCAGAAGATCCTAGAATTTTTAAGGCTGGGAATTTTTTTTTATGTTTATTAGATTACTCACCTTCTTCTTCGATTTAGATTTTTTTGGTCTTAGCTTGAACAGGTAGCTCTGATTAACGGTAGTTAAGACTGGCATAACCGCCGACCTACCAGCTACCAAGTACCTTAGGACCTCTCTATCCACACCATCCTCAGTGTAGATCTTCTTATCTTGAAGCCAAAACCCTCAAGAAGTCATGAACCTCTCTCACTGAGTACAGTATGTCGAACCGTAATCCTACCCCTAATTGCCATATTAAATTGTGGGGTTGGGAATGAAATTTATGTTGCTTATAATATGCTGGATATTGATAGGAAAAGAAAAATGTGGCTTTATAAATTTTCCAATGGATTTTCTTACCCATTGTCAATGAAAATACATAAAGTGTTGAAGTTTTATAATGAAAAAAATTGAACACCGTTTATGATGACAAGACAAATCTCGATTAACTCTTTTAGTCCCTTCTTCTTCAAGCCTACGTCAGCTCTGAACAACAAGTAGGCGTTACACGACCATTAAAAATTCCTTCACTCCAGCCCAATCAGGACTCTCTATCAAGCTACCCAGCACAACTGGATATTCTTTTATTGCCTAGGACCCTCAAGGAATTACGGTTTATTTCACTGAGTTGAGAATAAGGGAACTGCTCTATCTTGGACCTACCATTTTATTGTGATGTTACCGTTTATAATTGACAATGAGCATCTTTATTTTATTTACAACTATAAAAATTTTCAAGTAATCGACTGCACTGATTTAACACAGCCATGCACAGAAATTTCAGGCAAATATTTCAGATTTCCTGGTGGCTTAAGAGGTGGATCTCCCTATACACAATTTCGATCCACAAATTATTATATTTCTTTCGCTTACACACATATAGAATACTCCAAATCCTCTCATCATTGTAGCATTTATCGCCCAGCTCTGACAATTTCCAAAGTTTCCAAAAATCCTTTAAAGTTTGACTTAGTCTATACAAGTGAGCCCCTGGATTTCAAAGGAAAGTTATTTATAGAGCCAATTACACGTATAAAGAGTTTTGAAGATATCAATCTTTGTGGAGATGGAAGAATTATGATGGCTCTTTCAATTTCTAGGTGAAATTATAATAAAGATATATACCCTACAAATATCAGTATTCTTTCGATTTACCATTATATTGGTATTTTAGCTTATTAATTGTTTAAGGCAATAGTAGACATCACATTTAGCTTGAATGATACAATTTCTGTTGCTGCGGAGGTTTCAGGATTGACGAAGCTAGTAGATGAAATTATTTGATGGTATGAGTATAAGAGGCTACCAAAAGATAATAAATGTGCAGAGAGGCTAGCGTATATACATTTTGGCATACCAAACCCTGAAAGAGATGGGGATAAAGTAGAGTATGTAGATTCATATTTTATTGTTGATTGGGAATAATTAATGACAAAAATATGATAAAATTAAGTTAATGAAAGTCTAAAATCAAGAATTATATAACTTTGCAAATTTATCATAGAGAAATCTTATTTTCACTTCTATCTACTTAATTATTAAAGAGAGAAAATATAGCATTTTATTGAATCTAAGAGGCATCAAAAATACAGATTTTGAGAGATAATTAGCAAAATTCGATAGGTATACGGCCTAGACTTAAACTAATCTTATAAATATTCAAAATAAAAAATGCCTTTATGCATTAAAATTAAGGTTAATAGTTTATTTATCCTAATTTCATTTTAATTTCAATATTAAAGCTTAACTTAAATCATTACTTCGCAATGCCATACCAAAACATCACTACTCCCATAAAGGCGATTCCTGACATGAAAACCATTACAAACCTGCAGAGTAGCAAATCTGCACTATACCAAGAGCTTCCTGGGTGGGCTTTTACATAAAACAAGCATGGTAAAATATAGCTAATGACAGGGTTTGTTAAAGACCCTACAAGGCTAAGCACAGAAATAATATTAGGCGCAACCCAAGAAAGTCCAAGACCTCCAAATACCAAAATCGTTGCAAGTCCTAAAAACTCCGTCCTTGGTGCTGGCTTGTCTTTAAAAATGAGCGATAAAGTTGCATTCCTGCATGGATGAAGCAGCATTGGGCATCCACACAATAATGTAATAAACATTGTGATTGTTCCTACAATGACTCCAGCACTTCCTTCTCTATAATTTGCGCTTAAAATAATTTTTGGGAAATTCTCATAACCTCCGTTTTCGTCATAAAAAGTCAAATACCCGAAAACTCCGACTAAGACGTAAATTATCATAACTGTCAATAGGCCTCTCCAGAGGAATTTGTGTCCTCTAACTGTGGTCCTTCTATTCAACCCTGCATAAATCATTAAAACGCTAGGATGGCATGTATAAGCGAAAAATATCAAAGGGCACATCATAAAGATCCTATATGGGTCTGGTCAAGCACAGGTAGCAACCCTACACCCCCCCACCCCCCCCTAAACGTGGTACCCCCACCCCCCCCCCCCCCCCCCCTTTTTTAATGGTACCCCCACCCCCCCTTTTAGTGCACCCCCCCCCCCCCCCCTTTTTCACAGATGGCACCCCACCCCCCCCCTTAATATAGTATAGATATATCACAAATGCTAATTTAGAGCAGGCGTAATAAAAAAATTATTATTTTAGATATTAAAAAAATTACTGATTTATACAATATCATATAGCGTAGCGCAATCGATTAAGGAGTAGTGAAAATTTCCTATAACTACTAAGAACCCCACATCTGAAGAAATTTGCTGACAAGCATAATGATCTTTGGTATTAATTAGCAGTATATCCCTGTATATATTTATGAACTTTGTGGAACAATGGCTAAAGAGTCCATTTAGAGATCTAAAAGTAAAACTGACAATAGCAAATACTATTTTTATTAGCACATTGCTTTTCAAATGAAAGAGATGCTCTATATAAGTTAGGCAATAGAGAATAAGATATGGAATGCTATAAATAAGCTATCAGAGTTGATCCAAATTATGCTGATGCATACAATAGCATAGGAGTTATCTTCTATAAAGAAAAGAGCTATGAAAAAACACTAAAACATTGTAACGATGCAATTAAAAAATCCAAACTGTGGAGTATTATTATTATTATAATAAAGGAAATGCTCTTACTCCCCCCTCTTTAAATTGGAACAAAATATAGGTAAAATTTCCACTTTTTTGGTAAATTAACCCCCTTTAAATTGAAACAAAATTTAATTTTATAATAAAAAATTATAATAATTTTTATGTAAAAGGTTTTGATATAAGTTAAATGTTTCTTCTTTACTAAAATCAAAAATTTAGTTATATCTTGTTCTTGTTTAAAGAAGAGAGTATAAAGATCATCTTATTTAAATAAATTTATTATCCTTAATTGCTAAATTTTAAAAAAAAAATTAATTTTTTTTCAAAAATTTTTATTCTTTTTTGATAAAAATGATATTTTTTATTTAAATAGTTTCGATATAAAATTCAATAAGGATTCATTATAAATTTTAAAAATTTTTACTAATTTCTTGCTTTATTTTAAAGAATAGAGTATAAATAGCATATTATTTAAACAAAATTAGCACTTTGATCGATAAATTTTCTAAAATTTTTTGTTTTTTAAATTTTTGTTTTTATCAATAAAAATAATAATTTTTGTGTAAATAATTTTGATACCAATTAATAGTGGCGTATTAACTAATAATGAAAATTTAGTTATATCTTGCTTTGTTTTAAAAGATAAAGAGTAAATAGCATTTTATTAAACAAATTTATTAATCTAATTCGATAAGTTTTTGAATTTTTATATAAATTTTTTTTATAAAAAAATTTTATATGATATTTTTTTAAAAAAAAAAATTAACCCCCCTTTAAATTGGAACAAAATTTTTTGTTCCAATTTAAATGGGGGAGTTAGATAATTAGGAAGAAGAGAAGAAGTTTTGGAATGCTATAAAAAACAATCAAAAAGAATAATGGCAACTCAAGATGTGATATAGGCATGGTATGTAAGAAAATATGAATATAGTTAATACTTGAATTCGCAAAAATTTTATTTTATGAATTGATTTACTTTTAAACCTACTATTTAAGCTAATTATCCATCTTCTGCATATCCTGCATTAGCTCATATTACATCCATCTTGAAGTTACCTACACTGTATTCATCTTCGCTGCACTCTGTAGTTATTGTATTGTGCTTGATTCATTTAATAATTACTGACATTATCAATATCTTTGGCATTGTATTTATAAATATAAAAAAAACAAATTTAATATATTTCCTAATTAATTTTTAATTAATTTGAATTTATTAATTAATCGCAATTATTAAAGCAATTTATAGACTTCATTTATCAATATAGCGCTTTAATTGGATTATATTTAAAATATTCTTTTTGAGGGGGGGTGGGGGTGCCATCTGTGAAGGGGGGGTGGGGGGTGCCATTTTTAGGGGGGGGGTGGGGGGGGTGCCATTTTTAGGGGGGGGTGGGGGTTCCCTTATTGGGGGGGGTGGGGGTGTAGGGTTGCTACCTATGCTTGACCATGGGTCTATCTCAGCAACTGGTGCTTCTGTGAATCTGTCGAGGGTTTCTCCATCTTTCATAACGAAAAACTCATATGTAACTAAAATGGCCAAATATGCACACGCAGCAGTACTCAGCGCTGAAGTATATCTTAATGCTGAAATCTTTTTGGCGATCGTCAAAGGATACACTATAAAGACAGCCATAATTCCTCCCCAGAGGTACTGGTTTTTCAGTATTGAGTTGTCGATTCCCATAAGGTGAAAAACGTGTGGGCCGAGACCCATAAGAATGACTAAGTAAGCTACATATATCCCAAAGTTGTTGATAATGATAATTACCTCGCAAAATGTACGCATTTTGGGACCGTATAAAGTTTCACCAAGGCCTTCGTAGGAAGCTACAGTAGTCCAGTCTGAAGATGTGATAAGTAATCTCGATGTATAAAGGCTTGCCAAAAATCCTGCAATGAGGATAAAGAAACCTAGGTATAGCCCAACAAGATTTACAGCATAAGGCAGAGTAAGAATGCCTGCCCCGATTGTAGCAGCTAGGATATTGAAAACACTACCTTTTAATGAGCCAGGGCTAAATCGTTCTTCAAGCAGCCGAGATGGGTGGCGGAAGTATAATTTTATTAGCTCCCAAGTGATTTTTTGAGGCTGTTGGTTTGCATTTTCTGCAGGTTCTGTCTGATTGGTATTTGAATTGTCGACTTTATCGTCTTTGAGGAGATGATAATCACCCATCTTTATAAACTTTAACTGATTAGTTTATCGATTTTTGGATATTTTGTAAATTTCAGAGAAAATTTATAGTATATTCATAGAAAGATTGTTAAGAAAATTGATAAAAAATTTTAGATAGCTGAATATATAAGGAGCTCATAAGAAACGAAACGATTTTTTATTTTTATAATATGAATTCGATTTTAATGAAAGTAAGAAGAGGTTTCAAGTAATTTCTGCTAGTTAGAGTTGACTTCTGATAAGAAAATATGACTTTGAAGCGAAAGTTAATCAGAAAATGCGAAAATGGATATCATTATTTAATGGTTTTTACATTTAGATATCGTAAGTCGTCAGATCTCCACATTCTAAAATCGTTTTGGCTTATGAAAGCAAAGCGAAATTGATACTATATATTTAAACAACTTGAATTAGCTAAGTTAGTTAATCTTACGCAAATTTAAACATTTTTTGGTGCTCATTTCTATAGCTGATTCTATAAAAGTTGATTTAATATTTTATTTTACTATAATAAGCATTTAATTTTCATTTTTAATCGGCAATAAAATAAATTTCAGGAATTTTATTAATTTTTAAACAATAAAAACACTAAATATTTTGATTTTTCAAAATATCCTATTTTAAAATTGGCATCTTAATTTAATAATTTTATTATTGGGAACATAAATATGAAATTAACTCACCTCTTTCTCTTGATGTTTTTATCATCTCCTACACAGAGTGATTATGCAACTTGTGTATCTGAATTAAAATCATGGGTCAAAGGAATTCCTGGAGGTTATACAGGAAGCGATGATAAGTATTCTCAAATGGTTGCTTATTCAGGGAAAGGTTTAAATGATCTCGGACTATACTATGAGTGCACAGACTTAGAAGGGGCAAATTATGTGATTTTTCAATTAAGCCAGATTCCAGCATTAGTTTTTGGTTTTTGTTTTCCTGAAGAATGCACAATTGATGATTACTGAGAAATCATCAATGAAATTCCTAAAAACACTACATCAGCTGAGCTGCTGCCTTACATTTCTCAATATTTTCCTCACAGTGAATCGACTCATAAAAGAATTTTGGCTGATCAGGGATTTGAAATAAACTTATCTATCCATTTCCCTGAAAATTCAGTTAAAACTCTTTCAGATTTTACTGCAGGCTCATCATTGATGCTAATTTTTGTAATTCTATTATTAGCTGCATGCATTTCAGCTACTTCTATAGAAATCTACAGGATTTTGCACGTAAAAAAACAAGACTTAGCCTCAACTATTATATCAGAAAACTCTATATTAAAATATGACCCTGAAAGAATCTCATTTTCTTCGTTTATCCATAAAGAAAGCGAATTTAATAACACAAAAGCAATGGAAATTTTACTATGCTTCTCATGATATTCAAATATACCTAAGCTGCTATCTGTAAAAACTAAAGAAAAGAAAAGCGTTTTGGATACTTTTAATGCTTTAAGAGTGTTTTCTATATTATGAATTATTCTTGGGCATACAGAGTTATATAGGCTATATGATAGCGTTGATATTAATATTGATAGAGTCCAAGTTTATTTTAAAAAAACTGTTTATACACTATTATTTTCAGCGCCATATGCTGTAGATACCTTTTTTTGAATAGCTGGATTTTTGCAGTCGTATGTAATGATTAATTACTTGATTTCTAAGCCAAAAGTGAACTGGTTTATGATTTTTATGCATCGATATATTAGGATCTTCCCGTTTTATATTTTTATTATTTGCATAGGATGGACATTTAGCCAATATATAGGGGATGGACCTAAATGATACAATGCTGAAGAAATCTTGCATAGGGACTGTAAAGATTGGTTTTGGACAGTTATTATTTTTATCAATAATTTTTATATGCCCACTCACGGCAGTATGGACTGCTTAGTGGGGGAGTGATATATTGCTAACGATATGCAATTTTTCCTTATTTCTCTACCAATTATTTACCTTTATACAAAGATAAGCAGAATTTTTGGCTGAGTAATAAATATTTTTTTAACAGTAATGAGCTTTATAGCATCGTTTGCTATTGCTTTTGATGAAAATTTTAACACAGTGCTTTTTTCTGATCAAAATAAGAGATATATGGAAGATTTATATTATAAGCCTTATTGCAGAATAGCTCCATATGCTATTGGAATGATAACTGGATTTATTTACTATACCTCAAAAAATGATACTGATGGCAGCTTTGATTATTGAGCGTATAGAATTTCTTTTAAAATAAAAAAAAATAAATGAATTAGATATATCCTTTATTTTTTCGGAGCATTTCTAATGAATTTTTATATCTGGATACAATATGATGCCTTTCAAGATATGGAAAAATGAAGCCGAGTTCAAAATTCGCTATATTTAAGTACCAATAGAATAGCATGGGGCTTATCCTTAACTTTAGTCATGCTGCCAATCCTTCTGGGACATAATAAGGCAGTATCCTCTATATTAAGCTCCAATTTCTGAGCTCCATTAGGCAAGTTAGCATTTGGCGTATTTCTATGTCACATGATTATTGGAAGAATCATATTTTTTTCTCAAGGGAATTCTTATTACTTGGGTCAGCTGAATTTTTTTATAGATGCTATTGTTATCACAGTTTTAGCATTTTTATTAAATTTTATATTAAGCTTACTTGTAGAAATACCTGTATTGAATCTTGAAAGAGTGATATTGAAGACTAAGGATTAAATTATATATTTATATAATAATAATTTTGTAGTGATAAGCTCAAAATTATAAAATATTATTATCTTAACTGTTAGAATTTCAAATAGCAAATGCAGTATTTTTGATATTTATTCAATTAATATATTAAACTCCAACTTTTTGCCGAATCTTTGCATTTTTATACTCAGCAATTTCTAAATCATCCACTTTCGACTCTAAATTTCTCATATTTTCATTGATTTTTTTGATATCATCAGAAAATTGGTCCTTCAGAACTAAAACTAGCTGGCTTTCTTCTCTTACTTTTAAAGATTTTAAGGAATCTGATAAATTATCGCTTTCTCTGCTATTTCTTTCAATTGTCCCTATTTTTGCTTTAATCGAATCAAAATCAGTTCCAATTTTCATAAATTTTTCATAATTTTTTTCGTTTTCTATCAAAAATTTATTAAACACTTCCACTTTTAGCGTATAGACTTCTTTTTGCATCTCTTTAATATCATCTGTATTATCTTTTTTCATTTTTACTGTTTCTTTTAAAGTTCTCAAATCTCTGTGAATAGCAATAAGGTTTTCATTTAATTTCTCTTGCATTTCTTCTAATTTTTTATTATCTTCATTTATTTTTCACATTGTCTGGATCATGCTGCTTCAATTCATAGATAATTCTTGGACTTTCTGATCTTGCTTATCAAAATTTTCTTCTATTTTAGTCTGAAATTGTTTAATATATCAATTTTCGCATTCTAACTTGCTAAGCCTTTCTTCAAGATTTTTAAGTTTTTCGTCGATTTTTCTTTCTAAAGTCATTAAAGAAGCTTTATTAGATTGATTTATATTTTCTAGTGCTGAAGAGAAGTTATTTTGGAATGAAGATGAGAGCTCTTCAAAAAGAACTGCACGAACTTCATAAGCGATATGCACTTTTTGTTGGTGCAAAGAATTTTGAAATAGTTCAACCATATGATTTATTTGGGATAAATCTGAGCTTTTTGCTGAATTTGCCGGAGCTTTTGAAAATATGCTGATCTCATCCATATTTTCTAATTAAATATGCTGAATGCATTAATTTGGGTATTTATATTATTTTAAATATAAATATTAATAAATTCTAAATATAGAGGTTCAAGCACACATAAATATTTTATAAAGCTTATTTAAATAGTTTAGTGTTCTACCCCATAAACTATAGAAATAAATTAACAAAACATGAATATTAATTCTCATATAATGCACTTATTTTATGGGTATTCTTTAACATCTGATCTCCAAATATAGAAAAAATAGTTTGCAAAACTCTCTATGCATAACTAATAAAATGCCTTTTGGCTGCTTATAATGAGCCTCAGGTTTTAAATTAGGCTTTTGGAGCTCAAATTTATGACTAATTAAAACAGTCTTGAAAAAGGAATTAAAATTAATAAGACACTGCGATCCGGTATTGTGTCAAATATAGTGTGCTTTTGATGGTGCGACATTTCTTACTCCCCCCCCCCCTCCGTGAGCGAACAAAAAATTTTGTTCGCTCACGGAGGGGGGTTAATTTTTTTTTTTTAAAAAATTTTTATATATAAATTTTATAAAAAATATTTTTTTTCGAAATTTAAAAAAATCCTAATTTGCAAAAATTGGGAAGCAAATATTAATTTAATTTGCAAAATTTATATTTTAAAAACGCAATTTTGTTTAAAATTAAACAGAATTAGCTCTAGATTTCATTATACTAATTATCACTTATATATCAAAATTTTTTTCCATTAAAATTTTTTTCTATTAAAAAAATTTTTGTTCACTCACGGAGGGTGGGTTTTTGGTCAAAAAATGGCGATTTTTCTAATGGTTTTTCGTTCGCTCACGGAGGGGGGGGGGGGGAGTTAGGGGAAATTTCTTCGAAAATTTTTGATAGTAAGGGCATTGTACAGAAAAAACTATTTAAAATTTTTGGAAATATTCTTTGATTAAATGAATAATATCAAAAGTGCATGATTATTGGGCTTTCACACCCCTGCAATCCCGCTTTATTTTAAAACTTTATCCGCGGAATTTATGCATTTATTCTTAAATTCAAAAATTATCGAATTCACCTTCTGATTTTTACTTGTTGTAGAATCAAAATGGTTTTCTTTAATAATATAAAGATAGATTAAGATTACATATGTTTTATGAATTTTCTAATTAAAATTCATCTAATTCAACTTCTCTAACCTTTGTTATACTTTTATTCTCCAAATTAAAGCGAAAATACGAATATAGCCATACATCTTTTTCTATATTTATAACTGATGCCAAAAAAATATTTTGGTCATCATTTGTCTTGTAAACATAATCAAATATATCTATTTTACACACTCCAATAATTTTTAATGTATATTGATTTCCAATATCGCTTTCATATATACTACCTTGACCTTCAAAAACATAAACTCGCATATTGCCAGTTGCCAAAGTATTACCAAAAACACTTCTAATTACAGTAGTCTTAAAGAGAAGAGAATAAGATTCAATAAACATATCAAACTGCCAGATACAGGTATCTTTTTTTTCTAGAATTAAAATTGAATTATTAAACTGTATACTGTCAAATTGGGAGTGTTGAGCAGGATTTTCTAGTAAAACACTTCATTTCATCAAATTCAAATCCAACTTTTTGTAAAAAGGTAAATAGCAATTATTAACAAATGAAAATTTCGAACCAAAAAAATAAAGTCAGCCTTCATAGAAAGCTGGTTTTTGAGTAAAACCTTCGATCCAATTGATTTTATTTTCTATAGCATAACTCTGAAGATTAAATATGCAAGCTGAGCTATACTAATTACCAGAGAATGCCGCTATTTGCGCCATTCTCTGGAAATGCGGAAAATCGGCTCCACACGGGAACCATTTTCCACGTGTGGAGCGATTTTTTCACACGTGGAAGTCAGGATTCTCACGTATGGAAAAATGGCTCCACACGTGGAAAATGGTTCTCGTGTGGAGCCGATCCTCGGGCAATTTCTATACTTCCTTGGCGATATGAATTTTCATATATCAGTAGCTTTGAGTTTAAAATCGGCAAAGAGTCATACAATCTAAGTGGGTCTATTTTAAAATTAGTAGGTGTATATTTAAGTTGGCTTGTTTCCGTATCCAACTCCATTAGTTCTAAACTGCCATTTCAGAGCTTCCTTATCGTGAAAAGAGTTTTACTGCAACAACACTGGGGCTCTAAATTTTTTTGGTATAGTTTTATGCTCAGAGTGTTATTTCCAAAATCCATTACTATTATTTCTAAATCTTACAATTTTTATCATTTATTTCTTTAAATATGAAAGTCGAATTTAAGCAGATTGATAGCCCGGAATTAGATAATTAAATATAAATTGAATTAAATAATATTTATAATTTGATACTAGCCTTAAACTTTGGATACTAGCCTTATCGTAGCATTAATGGATTAAGATTTAGAATTTAAATTGTTCTAAAATCATTTCTTCAATTTTCTCTAGATTTTTTTCTCTAAATCAAAGCGAAAATATTAATATAGCTTTTTTGAGAATTATCTTTTTCAATGCATGAGACTAAATAAACACTTTCGCTATTATATGTCTTGCGCATCTGATTAAATATTATTATGCACAATCCAAGGTTTTTTTCCATACATACTCATTTCCAATAATAAGATTGCATATTATCTTAAGAATTAAAAATTCATGCTTTATACTAATATGCTAATGCCAACTTGCTAGCAGTCCCCTTTCCAATTTGAAAATGCTTTCTTAATTGAGCTTTAAAAGATTTACGCTGTTAAAAGTAGCTTTTAAGGTATTTCAGCTTCCTTTAAAGAAGATATGTCCCTGACTTTTATAAAACATAAACTCTTATGTTTGCACGGTGCTAAAGTTTTAGCATTTCTAAATTTTAAAATAATGTCTACCAGCAAAGAATTGGATTCTATAGCTTTTTCCTCTATTATTTTTTTGTTTTAACAAAGAGGTTAATGTCGCTTTTAAAAATTAAAATAAATTTAAATTAAGCATATTCTTTAAATTTAAATATAATGAGCCTTTAATTCAACTATTAATATGTTTAAAAAACAAGTTATAAGGATTTAAAACAATTGTTGATTTCTTATAATTTAACTGTATATATCATAATTTTCATTTCTCTGAGGGCGAGTAAGTGTATTAAATTGCCAGATATGGATATCTGCAATCAAAATGTTTTCTTAAATAGGGTGTCTCAGAACGAGAAAGTATTTCAGAGCTTTTAGGCCATGCACATCATTTCATTAAATTCAAATCAAGCTTCTTGTATGAAGAATAGCAATTAAAGACGCTAAGAAGAAGTTTGATCCAAAAAAATAGACTGAGTCTTGATAGAAACTGATTTTGGAGAAGAGTCCTCAAGCCAGGTTATTTTCTTTTATATATATAGCTTCGAGATCAAGTATGCAAGCTGAATGCCTCTCTTGGATATATGAATTTTCATATTAAAAGTTTAGAATCTAAAAGTTGCACATAGTCAAGCATGATTAGCTTAAAAGTTAGTGGGACATATTTAAGTTGCTGTGTGCTTTTATATTAAATTCTATGAGTTGCAAATTACTGTTTTAATTCTTTCTTACATTAAAAAGATCTCTGCTGTTACATTGATCAAATTGCTATTCTTTTGACCTATTCTTATCCTTGGTATTTTAATTTCATTTTCACAATCCATCATTATTATTCTAATTTTTTCAATTTTATATAAATTATTGCTTTTTGAAAGTGAATTGGTCCTAGCTTGATAGCAATGGATTAATCTCCCAAACCCCCTATTTATATAACAACCATATTAATTTATGCTGAAGAATTTAGGATCTTTCTTTTGCTGCAAAAGATCACGAGGCAAGTCTGAAGTTCAGCCTCCAACAAAGAAAATCAAAACCCTTTCGGAGTGCCCAATATGCCATGAAAGTATTGTTTCAGCTTCACTTACATCTTGTGGTCATACTTTTTGCGAGTTTTGCATCCTAAATCATCTCTTGTACAAATCTGTAATTTTTACTTGCATAATAATAAAATGGCTGCTTACGGAAGTTATTGTCTTAGATAATCTTTCCTCCTTCGTGAAATTTTATTATAATAGGGCTTAGTTTCCACGTGAATCTTTATCCAAAATGCCAATATGAAATTGCCGCATAGGGTAATTCATTGGCCCACGAAATAAGGAGACATATTGTTTCACTTCCTGAACACAGAGTAGGATAACCCTTAGGCAAAACACACGCTGGAGTCAGGTTTGGGCAAGGCCAAGTGCGACCTGTGAAGACCTTTTAGCGCTTTTACCATCTTGCCGAATTCTTAATAGACAAGATAGTTACTGATCATACCACTTGAGAGTTTAAAGTGTGGATTTCTCATCTTGCTGAAGATGGAAGCACGCTAAAATCTAAATAACTAGTAGATAATTTTTACTTACTCCTCCTTTCAAAAAATATTTTTCAGAAAATAGAAAAATTTTTATAAAAGAATTATCATAAAAACAAATATTATTTTACAAGTAAAAACTAGGATTGCCCTGTGTGTAGAAAAGAAATCACTAAAAGCTCACTTTACCCATGCTTCCAGTTCGACCAAGCGACAAAAGCAAATCTGGACCCAGAAGAATTGGAAAATTGATATAAAAGAGAAATTGAATTAAAAAACTGGAAAAATTTAAGCAAATTAAAAAAAGCGAAGCCTGGAATGAAGGTCGATGTCTTAAATGAAGCTGGAGAATGATGCTCAGGGGAAGTAAAAATGAAAATTGACTATGGAGATGAATACCCGATGCTTGTTATTCATTATGAAGACAAAGAAGACATTGATGACGAAATCATATCACAAAGCTCAGATAGACTTGCTCCTGCTGGATTTTATACCAAAAATGCAAAAAAAATTATATAACGATAATTAGGTGATTATAAACGGCTTAAAATAATTCATAATAAAATCCTAATATCGCATTAGCAAGATATATACCTTCAGAGCAGGTATTACTCGACCTGAAACTCCCCCCTCCCCTCCACCCCCTGGCAGTTTCAGCTTGAACGAAAATGTTAATTCAAAATGGCAAGTCCTCACTAAGGATTTGCCAAGTCAAATTCAATTTGTAGATTTCAATAAAGCTGAAACCGTCAAGGGATGGGGGAGGGAGAAGGAGTTCTCAGGTCGATCTAAAACCGTTCTCACGGTATATTGTTAAGCTCTTAAAGCATTTCATATTATTGATTACTAAAATCTCTTACAATCTTTAATTTTGTATACAAAGATTAAAAACTTTGTTTTAAATAACTCCCCTTCAACTTATGTCATTATCTCATTGATAAAAGGCATTTATCTCCACTCTTTTAATGCACTCAAATAGCATTACTGTACAGTATTTCATTTAACTTTCCATAATTAAAATAATCATATTTATAATTCTTAAAATAATGGGAAAAGATTCTTTTTACAATTTTTACATGAAATAAAAAAGAGCCAAAAAAATTTGATGGAAAAGAAGTTGGGGATGACTTGGATTTAGCTCTAAATTATAGGTGGTCTACTACTTATTAGCTTCACCAATAACGAGCAAAAATGCTTCCTATGGGGAGGTTTTGGTACAAAATTATAAATAGTATATTTATATATTATATTGAATTTGCTATTTATTGAAGGATAAATATCAAAAATTAATGCTAATTAAAATTATATAATAAGCTTCCTGAGATCTCAAAAAGTTATTTCTCTCCGCCTTGCTTCATGACTGTCTGCTGTCTACCTACAGGCCATGCTCCTACAGAAATGGGCTCCACACTAGATGGAGCACAGAGGAATGGATCTCAGTCCCGCACATCTATTTTGGGTTGCGCTTCCAGAAAAATCGAAAAACGAATTTTCAACCAAATGGAACTCGTAGTCAGGGTGCAACTCCCGATATCGCGCTAGGAAATTGACTGAATAGCCCAAAGGACACTGCTGGGCTTTCAAATTTATCGAAAATTATTGATAAATTATAATTTTAACATCTTGATAAAACGGCTGATGAGAAAAAAATTGATTAAGAATGTGCAATAACATAAAATTGCGTAACAAAATAATTTACTTTTATGCCTGCTATGGCAAATTTAGTTCTTCTTCGACAGGGAGGTTTAGAGCTTCTATTCATTATAATCGGTCAAATTTGTTCTGACTTTGCTTTAAAAAAATATGAAGTCTACAATAAAAAGCAAGATTCTAACAAAAATTCTAGGCTTGCAGATTCTCTAATAAGTATGATCTTTCATATGCCCGTCTTCTTAATCATAATCTTAGATTTAATAATTTTGAATATCTGCATAGGAATAATAAGAAAAAAATTGCATTTTTAGATCAAAAAGGATTTTCATATTAAAATAATGCCGCAAATTTTATTACTGATTAATAAATATGTTAGTTAGTTAGTTAGTAAGATAACCCATAAATAACTCGTCTTCTGTTTTCTAAGCCTTTTATGTGAGATACGACTTCCACTCTGAGCAACGGATCAGCAGTTACACCACCATTAGAACTTCTACTCGCCTCCCGTTTCAAAGAACACTCTCTCCTGTAATCCAGTGCCAGTGAACTGACGTCTCCATAGACAAAGCTCTCAGAAAAACCGAAGTTTCCCTTCACTGAGCCCAAAGTAAGGAAACTGACCATACCAGAGCACCTCCATTTCAATTGTATAAAAATGTTAATCGATTGGAATACAGATGCAGTGATACTTGCTCTGCTTGGCGGGTCCTTAATATCTCTTGCAACTATTCTAAATCTTCTTTTTATGGGTAGGGTCACAGGAATAAGCGGAATGGTCTTTACAGTCGTAAAATTAAATACAAGGGAAGGGCTATTTTGGAAAATTAGTTTTCTTCTAGGTTTAGTAAGCGCAGTATTATTTTTCAAGAATTTTGTTGGCGATGCTATATGAAATATTAAAATTTTTGACGGAAAAGAAGCAGAATTAGGAATTACAATGAATGAATGGATTATAGGCTCTCTATTAGTAGGAATAGGGACACAATGGGGAAATGGCTGTACAAGTGGCCATGCAGTTTGTGGAATTCCAAGGCTTTCACCTCGTTCGATAATCGCTACTTTAATTTTCATGTTTTTTGGCGTTGTCACCGCAACCTTAAAGCAGAATAAACCCTTTCAAAGAGAAGAATTTATTTTAGAGCCAAAAATGTTTGAAATTATAGTAAAAGTCTCCCAACTTATCTTTATTACCTTATATGGGGTTTATTTTTTTGCAGTCTTTATTTATACTATTTTTAATCAGATTTTCCTAATTAAATTTTCATGGATAATACAGATATTCATTATAAATAAGGATATTCAATATCTTCAAGACCTATCAAAAATAAATTCGAGCCTGTTTTTTCATTTATAATTGGAAATGTTTTTGGGTCGGGGCTAGTTTTAGCTGGGATGTGCAGAAGGACAAAAATTTTAGGATTCTTAGCTTTAAAAGATGGATGGGATCCAAGTTTATTGTTTGTTATGGGAGCTGCTGTCGGAATAAATTTGATAGCTTTTAATATCGTTTTAAGAGAGCCGAAGCCTTTGATGATAGAAAAGTGGTCAGTACCAACTAGAAAAGATATAGATGTAGGAGTTATTGTTGGACCTGCTCTTTTTGGAGTTGGATGGGGTATTACAGGAATGTGCCCAGGGCCTGCTGTGACAAATTTAGTACTGCTGCCACAAGCTATTCTAATGGTGATTTTTATAGGAATTGGACAAGTAACAATTAGAGCAATTTTAGATGCTTACCCGCCTGCTGCAGATAAGGTTCATAAAGGATAATAATAAATGCTTGAACTATAATAAGGATAATTCTTATAAGAATTTCATTATTTAATCTAGGAAGCTAAGTCTTCAAAGGAAACCAAATTAATGACAGAAAATAACAATAAAGACTATTGCTTCAATTGCAAACTTTTGAAATTATCGAGATCAGTCTTTCATCGCTTTTATTAAATTCTAAAACACTAAATCACTTCAAACAAAGCAATTCATGCCTTCTCTTATGATATTATCTATTATTCTAATATAGTATTATACAGAGCTGACTTAATTTGCTATTAAAAGCTGCGACAAAATATTTTATCATTAATTCTAATCAATTCTTTTCCACCAATAAAAATAGTAATTTATCAGAATTATTAGAAAAAATGAGCACCCGAAAACCACAAAATAAGAAAGAGCCAAAAGAAGAGCCTAAAGAGGACACAGAATCTGAAGAAGAGGAAGAAGAATCTACTGCTGATAGATGGTTTAAAGGTGATCCAAATCTCCAAATGCCCCCTCCCAAAAGAAATAAAAGTGCATATCTATTCTACACTCTTGAAAGAAGACCAGAAATCATGGAAAAATATCCAGGGATAAGTGGCCGTGACATTCTCATAAAACTCGGAAAAATGTGAAGAAAGACTTCATATGATGAAAGAGAGCCCTATCAAAAAATGTACGAAATGGATAAAGAAAGATTTGAAAGACAAATAAAAGAATACGAAGAAACAGGAAAATATTATGACGATGAAGGAAATATTGACAGGTCTCAATTTTTCTCTCGAAGTCCAACATCGCAAAGCGTCCAAGCCAAAGCAAAAAGAAAAGTCTCGTTCGAAGAGGCGCAGGCCAAAAAATCTGAAAAAATTAGTAAACCAATGCACAAGGAGCATTATAGAGATCAAGATGTCCAGCTCCCTCCTCCAAGGAGAAATCTCAGTGCTTATACTTTTTGGACCTTAGATAAAAGACCTGAAATTATGGAAAAGCATCCAGGAATAAGTGGGCGAGATATCTTGATAGAACTTGGAGAATTATGGCATAAAACGAGTGAAAAAGAAAAAGAGCCGTATTATCAAAAATATGAAGATGATAGAAAAAGATATGAAAGACAATCGCTGGAGTATGAAAAGAGAGGGAAATATTTTGACGAGGAAGGGAATCTTGATAGGTCAAGAATGTTTGCCAGAAGAAAAATTAGTTCGAGAAGTGTAGGAGCGATGGCAAAAAGGAAGGCGCAGATAGGATATTAGATAAAATGAAATATTTATTTTTATTATTAAATAGCAAAATATGTCAGATAATTAGCTCACTATTATCTTCAGCAATGATCAATATATCTATAGCATATTCATATGCATTATTCCAAATTTTTTTCCTACTTGCTGAGAAAATTGGATAACTATTTCATACCATTTGTTAATTTGGGATTTTTTTCATGTGTGCATTTTTAATATAGTTTTTATTAGATCATAATCTTTTAATTTTCTATGTATTTAATGATAGCAATTCAGCTGGGGGTATAAATAAATAGCAAGATTTATGGGTATATCAAATGCTACTATTATTATGTCTATTAAAAATACAATCCATGCATTCTTTTAAATTTAGCTAAAATATTATTTTTAATAGCTGATGTTATTAGGCTTTGGTATTGAATGCTCTTGTCAATGAGCAGACAAATTCTTGAATTTCGATTTTTCGATTCTTGTTTAAATCTGCTAACTTGAAATACTCCCTCATTTCATTTTCTTGGACTCCTGGTATTGCTTTAGCCATTATATTACATTAATTACTCAGGTATTTAAAGTGTTTCCCTCTTCAGCAGGATGATTTAGGCATGCATAAGCCCACCATTTTAACTCCCAACTGGTGACGTCAGTGACCATCTTGTCTAGCAAGCATTCCAGAAGACATTCCCGTCAGGCCAGAAGGTCTTCATTGGTCGGGCTTACCTCGCCCATACTTGACTCCTGCGCGTGTTCCGCATAAGGGTCACCCTCCTCGGGTGTGCCAAGCAGAAAAATCTATGTCTCTTAATACCCTGGACAAAAAAAATACCTTATGCAGTATTCCATATTGGTGTTGAGGATAAAAGTCCACGTGGAAAACTGAACCCCATAATAATAAAAGCGAAGAATGGAATAGTTCTCGGAGAGAACTAATTCCGCACTGAGCCATTTTATTATTATGGTATTGCTTTAACCAGTTCCTTAAAACTCAAACTTCCACTATTATCTAAATCATATACTTGGAACATTTTTTCTAACTTTTTAATTTCTTCAGGAGAATTTCAGTTAGTAAAGCCTGCGAGAAAAATTGAAAAATTCATTTCCTCATTCTCGTTAAGATTAAATTTTTGGAAAATTTCTTTTATTTCGTTTGGATCATCAAAGCCAAATAGTTTATATCCATCAATGCACTCTTTAATCTGGATCGTTCCGCTATGATCCTTATCAAGAGCTTCAAATAAAGTTCTCAGCTCCATTTCATCAGATAAATCTGATACTTGACTTATACATGACGATAGCATTATTTTTTGGATTCTATTTTTAGACTGTATAAAAATTACATGAAAATGAGAAAACCATGCCATTGACTCTTTAGTCAATTTTATAGTAGGAAGTTGATCATCTTTTAGCGTGATCCAAGGATGATTAAGCGCATCTGATGTAGAAATTCGCTGCTGAGGGTCTAGTGTAAGCATTTTTATCAATAAGTCTTGGACTTCTTTTGAGTTACTGAAAAACAGATACTCTTCCAAATTAAATCCCTTCTGAATTCTATCAATTAGCTTTTCTGTGTTTTCTGCAGTAAATGGTAGAGCTTTTGTTAGCATCATATATAAAATAACTCCAAGACTTCAAATGTCGCTTGAAGGGCTATTGGCTTTACCTTGCAAAATTTCAGGAGCTGCGTAATGCATCTATATAGAAAATACTGAATTTAATTTGCTTGATTTTGAAATTTTATTCCATGAAAACCCAAAGTCGTTAAGTTTGAGTATAGCTCATGCACCTTAATAGATCTCTATACCCCAGCAGAATACCGACCAGAAAAAAAATATGTACAGGGCACCTGCCTTATACAGTATAAGTCTGATTAGGTACCTTAAACCCATAAACGGAGATTTGTCTATTTCGTTTTTACTTTTCAAAAAAACTGGCAAGTACAAATTAATTTTGGAAATTAAAATGGATGGCCAATAATGATCTAAAATAATTCAGGGGCCATACTGAGTTTTTATTTTTTCCATCAAATAGTATATTTGTCGGAGTCAGGTTCCCATGAACTATTCCTTTATTATGGCAATAATTCAAAGTACTCAAAATTGTTTTTATGCAAGTTCTTGCCTTGTCTTCTTCAATAAAATGACCGTGCTGGATTTTCATTTCTAGGCTGTCTCCATCAAGATATTCTGTAACTATGTAAACTGCATTAAAGTGCTTTATGAATTCGTAAACTTTTATGATATTTGGATGATCCTATATATCTTTTACCAATTCTTTTAATTTTTCTAGCTCTTTTAATACTGCTTCATTTCTTTTTTTGCCAAGGGTTGCTAAATCGATTTCAGAAATCACCCTTTTAAATCCTCCATTTACAAGTATTGCAAGTCAGACATCGCCAAATTTACCATTATGGATAACCTTTTTTATTTGATATTTCTCTTCAATTTCTCCTTCATTGACTTGTATATAATCTCCTCGATTAATTTCTAGGGCAGGCTCTGCTTTAAAGGTTGTCTTTCTTGTCGATCCAGGAGTTCTCAAATTTGTTCTACGAGGCTTACGCGTTCTTTCTGCTTTCTTATTATTTGGCGATTTTTGGGTAGTAGAGGCTAATTTTGTATCCTCAGCATAGTCACCTTTAGAGTCACAGCAACCCATTTTTTTCACTTTATTAGCCTATGTCCGTTTTACCTTATAAATAAGCAATAAATAAGAAATAAATAATTTACAGCATTTATGATATTTATGATATTTATTTTAGCTACGCTATTCATAATTATCAGTTAATACACTAATAAAAGAAGCAATAATTTAGCAGAGTATATTGTGATTTTATTCATATAATTAAAAATATCTGCTTTTCTCTTATTCAACAAAAACAATACTGTTTTATTAGGTAATGTTTAATATAAAATTAAATTATTCGTTCTATATCAAATAAACCATAAATTATAAAATAAACTAGTGATAAAATCTCTTAAAACTGTTTTTAAATAAATATTCAAATATTATTCTAATTTTAATGAATAAATTTATTCTAATAGCGTGGGCATAAAATTTCGTTATATTTGTGGACTTATATTTTCTGAAAATAATTAGAGCTATGTTAAGATTTTAATTTTCATATAATGGAGCTATTAATTAATAAAATGTAACTAAGTTTTTTGTACTAAAATTAATTGGCTTTTAAAGATTTCATTAGCTAGTACTCAATTAAGCTAATATTTACTTATTTTAGCAAAACTTCTTTTAACTGATCAATATTAACAAATGAACCTTCAACGTTACCAACGATCCTATAAAACTGTTCCCATTCTTTATTATCCGCTGCTGGTATTTTTCTTTTAATATAATTTACATCAATCCTTCTTGTATTATTTTGTGATAAACTTTTTAGAGCACTTTCTAATTTATTTCGAGAGGCAGCTGAATTCCAGTCAGCTAGGGCTGCCATGAACATAGTGAAGCTAAAGCTATAATCCTCTTCCATATCAATCCCTAATAATATCTCCTCCATTTCTTGAGGATCTTCAAATATTTTTCCTTTTCAAATTTCCTTGAGCTCTTGCTTGTCAACTAAGCCATCATAATTTTTGTCTAGAAATTTAAAAAGCTTGATATGCCGCTTTTCTTCGTTGAAATCCGAATATAAAGAAGCAACGTAGGTAAGTAAATATTGCTCTATTTTATTTCTTGTTAAAAATTTTGAAATAATTGCCACAGTTTGCTCGTTTAAAAGATTTTGAGGAGAAGGATAAACAATTTGGAGTCATGGATGGTTTAGAGCTTCAATTGCAGAAAATCGCTCTTTATAGTCAGGCGCGAGCATTTTGCTGAGAAAGTCTTTCATTTCAGCTGAATAAATTAGAAACATATCATTACTCCAATCAATCCCTCTTTTAACATCCATTGCAGTATTAAAAGGAAATCGGCCAATAAGCATGACATATAGCGCAATTCCAAGGCTCCAGATATCGCTTTTATCATTATATATCCCTTCAAAGGTTTCTGGTGCCAAATATTTTAGCTCCGACTCATCTTTAGTAAATTCATTACTTTGCGTTTGCTTCATATTCTTCCTCCAAGTAAAGCCAAAATCATTCAATTTGATTGACGTATCTTCCTTCTTCGAGACAAATAGCATATTTTCTAAACTAATATTTCTATGAAGAATTCCTATATTATGGCAATATTCCAAACCTTCTAATAAATTTTTTGTATAATTTGCTGCAAGTTGCTCATTTATATATTTACGCTTTAATCTTTTAAATAAATTTTCTCCAGCCATGAATTCAAATACAAGATAAAAAGTGTCACTTGAAATGACTAATTCATGAAATTTTACAATATTAGGATGATCCTATATAAAGCTTACAAGCTCTTTCAGCTTTTCTACTTCTTCTAAAAAGAGATCTTGAGCGGAGGATTCTAAAGTATTTTTCTTGATTTCTTTGATGGCCTTTTGAATGTTTGTTCTCTTATCTAGCTCCCCCCATCCTTGGTCGAACGATTCACTGTAAAAATTCCTAAAAATTGGGGAAATCAACCCCACTTTGGTCGAACGGTTTTCATATCATGCAAATTTTATATATATAAAATATATTTAGTTATCAAAAGCTTGGGAAGATGTGCCTAGTGAAGTTGTTGTCAGAGGCTTTGAGACGACAAAAAGCTACGGAATCAGCCATCCGAAGTGCTTTAGTCATCAATCTCTTAAAAACTCAATAATCTGAAAAATAGAGATTCTTCCCAAAAAATTTTTTTCAACCCCCATCCTTGATCGAACGATGGCGAGCTGTTCGATCAAGGATGGGGGAGTAAGGCAAGTCATATGCTTCCACTTCTTGCTTTATAGATGTTTTTAACTTTTTGGTAAAAATCAAAGATGCTGCCTTGTGTGTTTTCTACTTTATTTAAACAAGGAGTTACTCTTCGGCTAAGAGATCGCTTGTGAGTTTCTGATGATTTATCTAGATCACTTTTTTTGCTCGCTTTTGTTTTTTTTCTTCCTACGGACCGCTTTAATGTCACTTTTCGCTTCTCTGTTTTTTCAGGAGGTCTAGACGCACAACATCCCATGATTATTAATTTAAAATTTGCAATAGTAAGACATATTTATTATAATAACGGATAAGGCTTATTTGCTAATTTAAATAATTTAAATATTAATTGAATTTGCTAATAAATATTATAAAATAGAATATTATGAATCCCACCATTTATGAGTCAATGCGATAACAATTTTATATATTATTTATGTTTAGACTTTAAGAAAAGAACTGACATATTTCTTATTTCAATTTGAATCAATCAGTTGATACAAAAAATATAATATGATTAAAAAACACTTAATTCGAATTTCGTGTAAAATGTAAGCAAACCTATTCATTATGCTTTAGGCTTGCTTATGTAATTAAGTGTTCCTAGTTTAAAATTATTAGAACTACCCATGCTAATATGCTGCCAAATGTATTCTTCCTACCATTAAAGTAGACGAGACTCAATGCTTAAATTTGTTAAAAAAATTCTGGTCAGTATCCTGATCTGAACGATCTAGTTCACCTGAGGACGTCAAATAGACATCTCAGCTTCTGCTAGACTGAATACGATTTCATCCTACAGATTCTCTCCAAATATTAGTTGGGATTCCTCTCCTCATTATCTCAGCATAAACTGAATCTGCTTCAGTCGCTTTGTCTTGACCCTCAGAAAGATACCAGTAGCCAGTATTTGCAACAGGGAAGCCCTTTGGGGAGCAAAACCCCACCTAAAGAGGGAGCTTCCTGCCATCATCATCAGCAGGTATTTTCTATTTTATCATCTTATTTCTAAAACCATATCAAAACTTACTAATTAGTAAAAATGAACGAGCAATACATCTCCCACCTTGAATCATTAAGCAACTTACTCTACACAGCACAGAACGAACAAGTAAACATCATTTAGGAAAGATCTAACGCAGGCCAAGCTCTCTGCAATGTTTTAGAGTCTTCAGAAAATTTCAAGAATTTGATCCCAATCCTAAACATCTCGCAAAACTCAAATTTAATTTTTCTGACAGTTCGAGCAATAACAAAAGTCCTTCCATCAGAGTGAAAGATGCTTTCTAAAGAAGAAAAAAACATCCTTTATCAAGAAATTTCCAATATGCTTTTTGATCAGCAGCCCAGACAAAGTTTTGTTATAACAGGACTAGCCAAAGCACTAGCAAGAATAAGCAGATTAGGATGGCTTGAGTCAGATTCCATAAAAAATGTGGTCGGCTCTGTACAGCAAATCATTGAACAAAATTTGTTTTTCGCTGAGCGGGGCTTTAAATTCTTCGGGGAAATCCTCAATGAGATGTCAGAACCAATTAAAAACCGGCCTTTATCAGTCAATAGAAGAACTGCAATTAGCTTTAGAGATGAAGCAATGGAGAAGATCTTTGCAATGTGTGTGTATTTTTTGTCAAAAGTACAAGAAATCCCGAATAGCTTGATTATGGAAGTTCTTAATGTTTTAATACTTTCTATGACTTTTGATTTTTTAGCTATTTGCTCAGATGAAACTAATGAAGATTCTTTGTGCTTGCAAATTCCTTTAACATGGAAAGGACACTTTGAAAATCCTGTGTCGTTGGATTATTTAGAATTTCTGATTATTAATGGAAATAATGAAGTTGAATCTTTAGCAATGAGAGCCTTTAATCATATGGGAGCAATCAGGAAAAGCATTTTTGCAAATAATCAGGAAGGGAAATTTAATTATGAACAAAAATATTTAAAGATTTTGGCTGATATAGAGAAATAGGCATTTTATATTATATTTTGTAAATGAAAATTAAAATTTATGCAAAAAAAAAAATTTCAGATTTTTGCAAATTAAATTTGTCCTTGGGAGAAAAATGTTTAATGAGGAGTATCATAACAAATAAAAATATAAGCGGTGACACAAAATTCGAATACATGACCACATGCAAGCGATTTTTTTCAAATTTCAACTTAAAAGAATGCTGCGAGCAGATAGCTTTTAACAACTGAATCAATGCGCTGGCAAATTTTTCTGCTGGATTGTTCTCCAATAGAGAATCAATATATTCTGGATATGAGAGCTCATTTCATATTTGAAGCTATCTAGCTTATGAAGCCCATCATCAACTTCCTCAAGGAAACCAAATAGAGCTCTTCCTTCCAAAGCTGTTTGATTTGTTTTTGCAATCGACCTTAAACAATGCAGCTCCAGATCTACTTAATTTCCCCTTCAAGGTGAGTAAAAAAATTAATAAAATGCCTAATTTGAAAAAAATTATCCTCCTTTAAGAATATAAATAAAATGGCAGGTGGTGAGTGACCGGCTCTCCGTGGCGGGGGTCCTTATCTGTATCCGGATGCAGTTTTTGGTGCAAAGAGCTTCCCAAGGGTTGGGCTAGCCTCGAAACGAGAGGCCTCGCATTATTTCTGGTGGTTAGTGGCCTGGCTCGTGTGGGAGTTTTTTACGTAATTTTTTCTAGGATGCCCAAGCCCAGGTGGGTGTCTGATAAAGACAGGAAAACTTAGCTGCCTAGGCTGCTTCATGGCCTGCCCCAAATCGTGTAAGCGGTGAGCTAATCATTTGGTAATGAATCAGGGAAAAAGAGAAAACGGGCCAGAAAGACTCTCAAAAGCTACAGTCTCCTACTTTAAAGGGTCCCGTGAAAGGGGTGATCTGACCCAAGCAAGCAGGGTTGATTAAGCTGATTTCTTGAGTTGGAAATGAGATTCCCGGCAAAGCCCGTATGACATGGGATTACGGAGGGAACATGCCTCTACCGAAAAGCCGGGGTTTCTGCCCGTGCTCAAGTTAACTATGGAACACCCTCCCACAGCTCACGCCGTTGAGTCCATGATGCTCATGAAGTGAGGACTATAAAGACACATTTTAATCTAATAATAATCCCCTTTAAGAGAAAGAAATAATTTTTTGCATAGCATATTTGTATATTTAGTTAATGATTACTATAATAAGACACCAAGCTAATATTACGAAATTTTAAACATTTTTCATTCTTAAGAATAAGTTTAAAATGTTAAATTGATTATTTTTTCAAATTAGGATTTTAAAAACTGAAAATATACCCTTTTAAGGGGAAGCTAGTGAAGAGTTTGAAAATGAATTTAAAGACCAATTAACACAAATAGGACAATTCTGCCAATACTATTATCCACAATTTGTTGTTTTGGTAGAAAGAAATTACTCTGCAGCTCTAAATTCATATGATTCAGCTAGATCTCAAGGCCTAAGCCTAGAAGCTTCCGAAGTAAAATTAGCTTGGCTAACTTTTATTGCTTCATCTTTAATTTCTTTAAGAGAAAAGAAGGTAAACCAATCTGAAGAGCATCTAGATGGCCCAATGATTAATTTTGTGTTACAACTAGCAGCACAAACTAGTTTGTACAATCCATTAGAATGCTTAGAAGCATCAATCGTTCATTTTATGACAGCCTTGACGAAATCATATATAAATTCCCCTCATGAGACTATATGAATTTTCTATGAAAAATCAAGAGGTGTAGATGATGGAGCTGCACAGATTATTGCTGAAGAAACATTGAAATTCGTTATAAAATCATTGCTCAATAAATTAATACATAATTTGGCAAGATACTCTGAAGGCAGAATAGTGAGATGGACGTTAGAATTGTTTGAATGGCTAGCCAAAGGCTTCTATAGCAGTAAAATTTTGGTTAAAATTGATATAATCCAAAATTTGATGATTCAGTATGAGACTTACCAATTATGCACCACAAATGCTAAATACCGTGAAAGACTGTATTTTGCCTTAGCCAACCTATGGACAAATGAAGAGGTTCAAGAGCCCTTAACTCATTTCTTGAGGCCTATTGGCTCTCAAATCCAACGATTATTGATGACTCCTAACGAGACCGAGCTGCTATTTTTATATAAAGAGCTGAAAGGGATTTGTGGGGTGCTTTTCAATGCAAAGCTATATAATGAATTTTTCGAATGGTTTTATGAAGGAAATATTTCAATTATTTTTACTACTGTCCAAAACTACATGTATAACAACAATCTCATTAATTCTTTATTAGGATTTCTTACTGAGCTCGCATTTTCTAGAAATACAAGAATAGCATTTGATGTTGCATGTGCTTATGGTATTATTATTTTCAAAAATTTAAGCCACATTTTGGCATCTTGCTGTAAGTCTTTGATAGAGCAGCAAATTACTCAAGAAAATTATAATATCTTTTATAAAAGGATAAAAAATATATTGAAGCTTGTAGTGAAGCTTTTAAGTGGAAATTATGTGAATTTCGGAGTTTTTGAAGTGTATGGAGATACGTGCTTCCTTGAGACAATAAGCTTGTGCTTCTCAGTGCTTGATAAAATCCCAAAATCTGAAGCAATTGTATTTTTTATTTAGACATTCAGCAAGCTAGTTGACAACATTTATGAATTCCTTGAACTAGTGACAAAATCCCATTTGAAGACTGTATTCACTCAGCTTCAAAGTTCATGCTATTCTACAATAATTTTTTATGTTCTCCAAGGCTTAAACTCAACCAGTGATTTTCATTTAGACATGAAAAATTGTTTATCTGCTTCAAATGCTACAACTTTTATTTGTGATTATATAATACGAATTGGAGCTAAAAACACACAAGAAACTGAAGCTGTAAAAAGAATCTTAAATGAGTTCCCCTCAAGCTTAACTGATTTGCTAAGTCAGGTAATGGACATTATCTTAACTGAAGACAGCAATTATATGTGAACTCTTAGTAAGCCACTATTAGGACTTCTCATTATTAATGAAAATTCATTTGAGCAAATTAAAAATTTTTCAATTACAAAAGCTACAAATAATCCCCAGTCTCAACAAATTTTAAATGAAGCTTTATCGAAGCTAATGAATGGTATAGCTAGGAGTATGGACTCAAGAAATCGTGACCGTTTTGCTAAAAATTTCAATGACCTAAGATCAGCTTTAAATTTGGTTAACTAATCATACATTCATGAAATTATTTAGCCTTTATATTGCCGTAATAAAATATTCATCATAAAATAACAGATTTTACTATGCTTTTTTGAGATTAGTAGTTAAATAATATCATAAAATAGCTTTTTACCCTTCTTCACTCTTTGATACATATGATATCATTTTAAAGTTAAATTTAATTAAAGTCAATATAAATATGACTGATTAAGATTACTAAAATACCCACATAAAATCATTTATTATTATTTCTTTCAAAAGTATTTTATTAGAACTTTTAATCAAAAAATAGGCCTACTTATTTTACTGATTTCATTACACATCCCTAGACTATTTTTTTATCATAATTCAATATTTATGATAAAAACCAATGGACTTACAAAGAAACAGAATCAAGCATAATACACGTCTCCCATCAGTAGCTAAAAGAAAGACATCTCCAAATCGTAAATGCATGACCAAAGATTTGCATTTACCTGTACTGAGTACAAGAAGAAGTGCTTCTCCTTATGCCCGAACCATAATTCCTACTCCTGTTCCCAAGCCAAAAATCAAAAATCCAAGCCTAGGCCACCGAAGACTCTTAAACATAAAATTTATTACAAAGCTTGCAAAATTGAGTGGAGCTACATCCTCAACGGCTGATACTATTGTTGAAGATTTAGAAAATCCTATTAAAGAGCCTGATACTCCCAAGCTTGCAGATTTAAATTCTTCCACAAAAGCGAACACCCCTATATATAGAATTGACCCAAGCTTACAAGTTTATCTTGATTCAGACTTGACTTCTGAATTAAATCGTGATCCTAACTCCTCCGCCTCCGTGAGCGAACAAAAAAAATTTGTTCACTCTCGGAGGGGGTTTAATTTTTTTTAAAAAAAATCTTAATTTGCAAAATTGGGAAGCAAATATTAATTTAATTTATAAAATTTATGTTTTAAAAAGCAATTTGTTTAAAATTAACCAGAATTAGCTCGAGATTTCATTATACTAATTATCACTTATATATCAATTTTTTTTTTCATAAAAAATTTTTTCTATTCAAAAAACTTTTGTTCACTCACGAAGGGGGGAGTAAGACACAATTTAGAGAGCCAATTGAGATCAAAAGAGGAAGGATAATTAAATTAGAATACAATGATTTAGTCATTGAAGATACACATTTGATGCCTTTAGATTCAGAAAGTCCAAAGTTTTCAAGGCGAGGAAATTTCAGTTCCCCTTTTGATTTGGATGAAGTTCAAGAAAACTCTAGATGGATTTCACCTGTTCCACCTAGACCTGAAACAAGAATAACAATGTCAAAGCCTCCAAATTATTTGAGGCATTTTCGATCTAATTCTAACGTAATCATGTAAGCTTAGATTTAAGTAACTTTGGAAATGAAAAAAGTGGGATTTTATATAAAAATAATTAACTATAAAAATCAGATTTATGAGATGTTGTGAAATATAATTTTAAAAGTTTAGCTTTTTGATGCTGATAAGCGATGCTAATTCCTATGCTCAATAGGGAGTCTCTTCTTTAACGTTGTAAAGTCCCTACATGATATAACTCCAGTCCTATTTTTGCTTGTTTAAGAGCAATATTGTTGCCTATTGAATAGGCCACAAAAATGTCAATTTTTCTGGCAAGTACAATTTAAAATTGACAAATGCAAATTATAGCTTATATTTGTCAATTTTTAATTAGCCCTTTTCATAGAAATTGGCACTTTGTGGTCTATTAAATAGTCATAGGCATTACTGCTAAAGAATCTATAAGTGGTCTTAAGCCATAAAATTTAAGGCTTTTTAGAATTCATCATGTTCTTACTTGGCCCATTAACTATTTTCTGTTGGCTTTTAATTTCTATTATCCATGAATTTACTTTAGAGCATTCAAGAATTTAAATAAAATTTAGCTAATATTATTAGCCATTTTCTCAATAATATTTAAATTTTCTTACCATTTGAATTATTTCATTTATTTCGTCCAAATTAAGCAATTTTCTGAAGCTCTTTTTATTGTTAAGCTAGCTTTTATTAAATATAAATATTGTTATGGAATCACATAGACCTGATACATGGGGAGTCAAAGAAGTCGGAGACTGGCTCGTTTCTCTTGAGCTTGGGCAATATAAGCAAAAATTCGAAGGTCTGTCAATCGATGGGATGCTTCTTTTTGAAATGACTGACACAGATCTTATGAATGACTTAGAAGTGCCTGTTAGACTTCATAGATTCAAAATTTTAGAAAATATTAAAAAACTTAAAGATCGCTGTCTTGCAGACCCAAGAGAGCCAGAGCAAGAAGACAACTCTCAGCAGCAAGCAAATTCGCGTGCTGTTGTTCCTGAAGTTGAAGAAGTCAAATGGGAAATGGGCCCGGAAGTTGGAATGAGTCTCCTAGAAAATCCAATGGCGTTCTTCTTGTTAATGAGCACTATTCCCAGCTAAAGCCAGGAGTTACACTCTGGGCTACAGATTTCCATTTTGGTCTAGAGTCGACCAGAAATTCCACCCTTTTGAATTTTAATGGCCGAAAACCCTGTTGGCGCACGGCACGGCAATGCGACTCACTCAAATACCTGCAAGTGCACATCCTCGGCCGCTAAATAGCAACCTTTGTAAGGTCGTATACGAACTGGCGAGCAGGCTTACTAGTGGAGATGGTCCTTGTAAAATTACAACGAGCTCTTCAATAAGTCTTAATAACTATTTAGCTTGTTTTAAAAGCAGTTGAAGGACAGCTCTTAAACAATACTTTTCTTATCGGCGCCGAAGGCGCCTCTATCGGAAGAAATTCTGCATCTAACGATATCGTTATAGGTGAAAGTTTTGTGAGTCGAAAACACTGTGAAATTAGATTTAACCAGCAAACGAACCAGTTTTTACTAACAGATACAGGCAGCACAACAGGGACTTTTCTGATGGTAAGGCAGCCTTTACATCTTGATCTCGGCATGATGTTCCAAATGGGCTTGAGTGAATTTAAGGTAAATAACGTCAGATATAACCCTTATGGAAAAGTCACAGCCCTTGAGCTTGCTATATATGAAGGACCCGCAAGGCAAAATACCATAAATGTAAACTCTGAAGGACTGACTATTGGAAGGGACACTGCAAATACGTATTGTATAAGAGATTAGATTAGATTAAAAGTTAGAATAGGTCTCGGGGGTTATTTCAGCTCCTTTCTGCCTTCACCGACTTAAGACTCCTCGTCCTAGGCATCGGGCTGCACTTACAAAATAAGGTGACTTCAGTATCTTCTAGGAGGCACATCCAGGTACTTCCTTGGACAACTCCTAGCAACCGGCATCATCATCTACCTGGAGATAGAAGGAAGCGACTCCGAATCCTTCTTCTGGTCTCCATTAACCTCCTCCACATCCAAAAGTGTGGAGTTGTCATATGAACTCTGGTTTCCTTGTCTAGGGTGCGGGGTAAAACCCTGTCGTATCGTCCTGACAAGGGATAAAACTCACCCCAGTCATAATTTCCAGCCCCTTCTCTCTTAAAATCCACGAAAGCCCTGAGGGTATGGGAGAAGGACGGATCGGATAAGTTATCATTTTATTTGTGTATTGCATAAGAGAAGATTCTCAAATGAGCTCATTCCATGGGAAAATTACGTTTGATAATGGGACTTTCTACTTAGCAGATGTAGGATCAACTAACAGAACATGGAGAAGATTGAGCGGTGAAGGACAAAAAAGTGAGCCCTATCCACTACTTGTAGGAGACGTTATTAAAATTGGGTCAACTGTACTTGTAGTCCAGCTTCCTGATAGCTCGCAATTGTCAGCGGTAATGAATCCTGCTGAAAAAGAGCCTACTGAGCCAGTCCCTGAGGAGTCTGCATGCAAAATATGCTTTTCAAGAGAATTAAACGTAGCTTGCTATCCTTGTGGACACATGTTTTGCAGCTTCTGTGTATCAAAATGCAATACCTGCCCTATTTGCAGAAAGAATATACAAGATCTAGTTAAACTGTACAAATAAAGCTTACAGGTTGATGACTTTTAAGATTAAAAAATTTCATTTGAGCAAGTTTTAAATGATAATAAATGAATCTCTATTTAAATAATAGCATAAAATAAGCAATTTTAGCAAGATGATAAATCGATTCTGTGTTATTTCTTTATGACAACCCCAATTCTAATAATATATACCGAGTATCTATGGTTTTCTCTAATAATTTAGTACAATAATATTTTATTATAATTTTGACCAGAATTTTATTAAAAATGTGAGAATTTAATTATTTATCATATGAGTGATGAAAACAAAAGCGAAAATGAAAAGCCGGATAACTTTATAGAAATTCATGACTTCAACTTAAAAATTCCTGACTCAATTAAACAAATACAATTATCAGAATCTGAGCTTCAAGCTATTGAAAATAAAATAAATAGAGCTGAAAAAGATTTTGAAGAGTCTTTAACAAGTAAGCCGATAAATGTAAGACATATCTATAAATCTGTTACTGTTTCATTTTTATTTATATTTTTATGTATATACACAAATAGTATAGAAAGGATTTCATGAATGAGTACTCTTATGCAAAATCATTTTGAGCGTCAGCCTTTAATTGGCTCAACTGCAAAATCTTTTGAAGACATACAAACTCACTTTGATTTAGAAAATTATATAAGATCAGTATTCTTACCGGGTGCTTTTAATCATAAATATATAGACATTTATAACTATGTGATTGGAGTTCGCTTTACGTTAAAAATTGCAAAAGTTGTCAGAAATCCGTTTGAAGAATACAAAGAAGCAGTCTGGATGGTAAGAGAAAACCCAGACATAAGCCCTTATCAAAGTAGCTCAGGAGAGTCAGATAAAGAGCTATTTCCATGAAGACTTAAACTTTAATCTTAAGCTAAATTATCGAAAAGCTCACTGTGATACCCGAATGAGTATTTATCTCCACCTTGCTTCGTGGGTTACCTGCCGACGACCCACATTGGGTTTGCTTCTCTCCACCTGATACTCGTGCCGAACGCAGAGTAAAGTAGGCTGGGCCACCGTGCCGTACGCCAGAAGAGAGCCTCCTTGAAAATTTTAAAAAAATAGAACTCTTGGAAAAAAGGAAACTTTTAGCCCAAGGCATAACTCCTAATTTGACGCTAGGGAGGTGTGCAATAGGCCTAAGCTTCCCATTTCGAACTCCAAGTCCTCCTTTCATTTGAAGTAAAATCCCAACCCCTTAAAGCTGGCTTAGGCTAGGCCTTGAGTGATACTTGTACATTCCTGGGCTGGTAAAACCTTGCCGGGTATAATTAAAATATATGCTTGAAGCTGCATGGCCGGGAGGCCATGCTGGATTGAGACACCATATTTTAATTATATTCCATGAAGACTTACAGATGACGGGGGGTTTAATAAGGCTGGAGGATATGTATCGTATTTTTTAAATATGGATTTGGATCAAGCTATGTTAAAATGGAGACAAATAAAGCCAGGGTGATTTGGAAGCCCAGAGTTTAATAGCTTAGTCGCTGAGGTTTTAATCCACAATACAAACTTAGAAACAACTCTTAATTACTATCAGGTTTTCGAAGCTAAAAGTTCTGGATATTTATCTGTTAGTTCTGGAGTGTTAAGTTAAGTTAAGGGTTATAGGCCATAGCCTGCCTATCTGGCGCAAACCCACCTAATCTAAGAATTAGCTTCCACCTCTTGCGGATGCACTGTTAGTACTTATAAGCAAAGACTAAATGAGACGCAAAACCTTAGGGGAGATCCAAAACTTCCCTTTTTTGCAAGTACCCCAAACCAAATTTACTTCAAAAAGTGACAGAGGCACTATCTTTAGCTTTATCGGGACTTTCCTTCCTACCCAATAGAAAAAATTATGCTTATCCCTACCCTACTATTGTTATATGCATCTGCATAGTCTGTTTCAAGTTTAATTGCTTCGTCATAAAATCCCAATGTTTTATTGTGCTCAAGGCACACCTGCCCAATAGGAAGTGAGTTTCGGAGTCCATCTCCGTTGACATCATTTTTTATCTCTCCTGGGGTGTTAGGAATTTTCCCAGAAATGTATGAAACTTGGTCAAAATTTAAAATAGCTATTGTCTTAATAGGCTCTATTTATGTTGCAGGGCTGATTTGACAGATTTATGAAGTGCTAGACTATCTCCATTGGATTTCTATAAGATTGTGAGTAAGGTTAAAATGAGAGTTATCATGAAGTGGTTTTATGAATATTTTATCTATTTGTTTGGCTACTACAGCAGTATCATTATTTATTAAAATTGTTTTATGTAATATTGGCCATTATAAGCTTCCTATAACAAATGAAGACGATTTCGATTCATTAGCAGAATATGCAGCATCATATAGAGCCTTATTAAGAGTTATTTCAATAACTGTACTTTTGACCTGCTTCAAGGTATTTATTGCATGTGAAGAAAAATTCCCATCATTTGGTATTCTGTTCGATACAATTTCAGCAGCAAAGCATGATATTCTTTATTTCTGAATTCTGACAAGTTTTATTATCATATCTATCAGTTTAATGGGAAACTTAGGATTTGGGCTAGAATTATCAGACTTTTCAACCCTAGGATATTCAGCTCTATCCCTAATTAATTTAGCCTTTGGAAAATATGATATAAAACAGCTTTCAATTGCAAATATAAAACTTTATAGCGTTTTTGTTATTATTTTTGTGTTTTACATAATATTTATTCTAATAAACAACTTTTTAGCAATTTTGTTGAGCACTTATATCAATTTAAGGAAGAAAAATTATTTGTTGGTGGAAGCTAAAGCTATGCTTTTAAAGCAAAACAGCAAAATATTTCTTGATAAAATTTTGAGTTTAATCCTTTTTAGGTATAAATCAACTATTGTAGAAGATTCTATTGAGTACTTAAGATTGTCTTCAATAGTAACTTCAGATGCAAATCAGCAAAACGAAATCAATGCGAAATTGAAAAACCTTGAAAATTTTATTCTCAAGCAAAATAAAGTTGATTTTTTGCAAGTTTTTAAATATAATATAATTCAGCTTTCCATGCTAAGAAAAGGCACATCACTGCTTACTCGTGAGAAATATCTTAAAAATATTAAAAACTGCGCAAGAATTATATTAACCAATAAAAAGAAAAAAGAAAAGCTTAAAAGCCATTTAGAAAATCTTGTTAATTACAATTTCTACCTTTTGCTAAACGTAGTGATTGCCGTTATTTATATAGCTATATTTCTTGCTATGGTTGGCTCACGATTGAAAATATCTGAATCTTATTATCTTAGTAGAGCTCAGTACAATAGCATCAGTAATCAAAAATTTGTTTACAAAAACTTAAACCAGACGTTTAAAGCTATAAAAAATGAAGACTCAGCTTATGCTTTTCTTCAGCAAGTTATTTTGCCGTTATTTAATAGCGAATCAGTTGCGAGCCAAAACTTTTGGATAGGAGAATCTATAGCAAGAATTACCTTAACGAGATATGACTATAGCATTAATGACAATGATTTTTCTCGAAAAGCAGTCCCATTTTATTTGCCTTTGGATTTACCAGTATACAAAACAGATTTCATAGGTAACAGCACTGGAATCATCTATAAATACTTATTCCACCCCTCCTTTAGCGAACAAAAAATATTGCTCCCCACGGGGGGTTAATTTTTTTTAAATCCCAATTCTCAAAAATTGGAAAGCAAATATTAATTTAATTCTTAAAATTTATATTTTAAAACGCAATTTGTTTAAAATTAGCTAGTATTAGCTAGAGATTTCATTATATTAATTATCACTTATATATAATTGTTTTTTTTCATAAAAATTTTTGTTTGCTCACGGAAGGTGGGTTTTTGAGCAAAAATCGGGATTTCTCCAATGGTTTTGTTCGCTCATGGAGGGGAGAGGTAGAGCCAGAAGATTCAAATACTTTCTCTGGTATCGGAGGTTATAAAATCGACTTCATTAAAGGCTCCAATTTTACTGATCTTTTTCTCCAAATCCAGAATGACCAACTAATAGGTAAAAATACAAATAAATTCATAATTGAATGAATCCTCTACAACACAAATGCCAACATTTTTCTTTTAAACTACCTAACATTTCAAAATACAGTATCAGGATTATTAAGTATAAGCTTCTCCTCAAATCCAATTGAAATGGACATTTATGAATCATCTAGCTTAACATTTGGGACTGAGATTGCTTTTTATTTAATAAGTCTTTACTATTTACTACGGGTTGGATTTCAATGATATAGAATATTGAGGGAATTAAATCAGGATAGAAAAGATTATTACAATGGAAAATATGCAGTTAAACGTGTATTAAAAATAATAAATGGAGAGATTTCTTCAGAAGGGCCATTTGAATATGTTATTCGCTTTCTTGCAAGAAAAGCTAATCTAATTAAATTATGGCCGTAAGATCTTAAAGTCTGGCCTTTTTAAAAAGTTTCCAATTGCTCCTGTACTTAATCGCTAATATCTTTCGAGTTTCTGATTAAAAAAGAAAAGCTAGGAATCTATTTTATTGGATACACTCTATAGCCTTTCAGCTGTTTAGAGCTTGAGTTGTGTATATGAAACAAATTAAATTAAAGTTAAAATGCTATAAGCGGGCGAGCATACTAGCCTTTGCCTCATCTCCAAAATAGCTTCTTCTTGCTGACGAGACAAAAAAGGGAAAGAAAGGCTGCCATTTTGAATTTTCGACCTGAAACACCTATCAAAGGGATTAGCTCCCTTGGGAGAGCCACCGTCTGCAGAGTGCCTCGGCGGTCCCGCAATGGAAAACTATGTGGTAGGCAAAACTGTGCAGCCTGTCTCGCATGGACAGGAAAACCTTTTTGAGAATCAAAACTTCCCTCTTCGGCAAGCCTGAAAGCCTACTTAAAATGGCAGAAGTCATTTTTTATTTCATCAGGATGGATCCTAACTGCTGCATAGGGAACGCGCCTTAAGTCCAATTTCCGTTACCGCCACCATTTTATTTTCTATGAAACAAGGAATTTTTAAAGCTATGGAATTGGTTTCAGTTATCTTGTCTATTATTATGCGTTATTATGTTTTCAGAATTTATACTAATGAATATATTTCTAATTTTAAACTCCCTGCAGAAGATGTAAATTATTATAATGGCTTCGAAGAGATAAGCACCCATCTGAATAACTATAGGATAATTGTGGCTGTCAACGCTATTTTCATTTTTTGTAAAATAATTGAATTTGGCAAATTCACAAAGCATTTTGGTCATTTCATTGATGTGATAAACTCAGCAAAGCTTGATTTAGGATTTTATTTAGTTATCTTTTGAGTTATACTGCTATCATACTCACTGACATCTTATTTGCTTGTTGGCCATATGGTGCCTGAATTTTCAAGCTTTTCAATGTCGCTTTTTTCAAGTTATATTATATTAATAGGACAGTTTAACAGCTTTAGTATGCTATCAGCGGATTACTATTACTATTAAATTTAAATTTCTGATTAGAATAATAGTCGGTATACCGATCAGATAGTCAAGTTCATCTAGAACGTCCCAGCTACTTAAGGACTTGCTGTATGGATCTGATCCTCCAGCTTCCAGTGTCCTCCTCTCCGTTAGTTATTCCCAGACGACGCGGACAGCTCGCGCAATTAGAATGCGTAGGTTTGGGATTTGCTCACCATTTGTTTCATCTCAACTCACTAATTCTGCTCTAGTCGCTTTGTCTTGACTCTCGGCAGGACAACTGCAGCCAGGTGTTGCGACAGGTAAAAACTCTTATAGTAGGGCAAAACCCACTTTCGGAGTGAGTATGCTATCAGCAGATAGTATTTGTGGTTGCATAGTATTTCTATCAATGATTTTAATATTCAATCTACTCTTATTAAACATTTTTATAGCAATTATTGCCGCACATTACAGCACTCTAAAACACAGAAATGATAAAGAAAATAAAAGTTTTTTTAGCAAAATAATTTTTGTAATCCACTCAAGGATTAAAGGGAAAAAATACATGGACTGGCAAATAATGGAAAATAAAGATTCAAAAATCAATGATATTGAGACTGAAAAAATCTTAAGTAATGTAGAAAGTGAAATAAACAGCAAGCAATACAGCCTCGAAGAAATCCCAAAAAGAGTAAATTATTTATCGACAAGCTATTTATCATATTTAGAAGAAATGGTTAAGTTTTCATCTATTAAATGTGATTTGATAGAACATAATAACATAATAATCGAGCCAGCGACCTTGCAAGAAGTGTCTATTTTATCAGACGAAGAATGGCTGAATGCGTGCATTTATGAAAAATTGAGAATTTGGAAGAGGCTATTAATTTCTCATAATGTTCCAGAAATCATGATAAACACCCAAGAAATAAATCGAGATTTTGAATTATCACCTCAATTAATCAATTTATGGCAAAAAACTTCTATAAAAGATAAGCTATCGATGTGGATCGGAATTTTTCAGTTTGACGAACAAGAAAAAATAATGCTTTGAAATACAATGATATTTACTACAGGATGCTGATGAACTAATAATGAAGAGCAAAATAAAGAAAATCAGGACAAATTTTGAAGCAATTTAACTCATGCTGAAAAGAAAAAAATAATTCATGAAACTGTAAGTCCTTTGGAAAAATATATAGAGCGCTATAAAGCAGCCAAAGATCCAATAGAGGTTTTATTGAAAAAAGAAAAAATATTAAAAGACGAAAAACTTTTGTTTTGATTTAGCTTGTGGAGAGATGAATTTTATAAGTTTAGCATGTTTATGAATCAAAATAGCTCAAAAGAAGCAGAAATTATAGGGTATTTAATGCAAGAAGAAAGGATTGGGAGTGTTTTTAGTTTAGATAAAGCAGATGTTATGCTTGAAAATATGATGGATAAAAAGATTTATGATTTTATATGTGAAAGTGCTGTCTATCAAGCTGAATCAGTTGGGAGAAATTCATCAAAAGACAGGATTAAAGAAACAAGACAGCAAATAAAAAATTTAAAAAAATACTCAGCTCAACTGAATCATCAAATACCTGCTTTAAAGAAAGAAAATAAAGAAATGAAGAAGTTTATAGAAGAAAATAAAGAAAATGATTATTAAATAATTATTATTTAGTAGATTTACTAATAAATACTGGCTTGAATGTACACATACTCATTTCTCCATTTATTTTCATTTCCTTCATTTTTTTAATTTTATCTTCTTTTAATTTAGAAGCACTCATTAATCTTTCATAAAGATCTTGAGGCCTTGCCTTTTCATTTTTTCTAATGATTCTTTCTGATCCTGAGCAAACAAGTGATTTCCTCTCGGTGTTATTTTGGTAAATTTTTGAGTCTCTTTTCAAAATATAAGATTTTTCTTCAACTGTCATAGCTTTCATGAAATGCTCAAGTTTTACAATAAACTTTTGGAAATCAAGAATCTCTTTGTTTATTTCTAAATCATTAAAAAATGCTGATAAGCTTTGTGCTGTTTTTGGGTCTAAACTGTCTTTATATATATTGCTACCTGAAATTAATCCATCTTTATCAGAATCCAGGATATTAAATAATTTTTCGTATTGTTTTTCTTTAAATATTTCATATATAACATTGGAATTTTCGCTTGATTTTGGTGTCATTGCTGTTGCTTTTCAAAATTCGTCATTTAATTCATTTGTTTTTTCAATTATTGATGCCTGCTTGTCCTTCTGGGAATATAAATGCTCTCAAATCGGTATATCTAAATCTTCTCGATCTTTAGATAAAATTTGTGGATGAAAAAAATCTTGGCCAGTAGATTTATCTACAAGGACATCAGAATTGTGCCGCAAATGCTCCATTTTAGTTTGAAAAGCAAATTTTGTGTTATAAAGCCTGCTAAAAACTTCATTACTATTGCTAGGTGTGGTTTTGTTAGTCGTTCTTGGACTGTTCAATGAAGTAATTGATTTCTCTGAATTTATGCTGCTTCTTGCTCGCCTTATCTCAGCATCTTTATATAAATAATCTTTTTCAACGATTCTGCTTTTGGTTCTAGGAGTTTCTATAATTTTTGGAGTAAAAGAGCATTCTTTAAGCTCTTCCTTAATTAGAACTTCTTTAAGATCTTTTAGCTTTTGTTCATAATCTTTAGCTTTATCTATCAGTAAATCTTCAGTTCTTTCAAAACTCCTTCTTACCATCAAAGTAGACGCTGGGTTGACTTTTGGCTTGAAAGGATTTTCACTTATTTTGTCTTCATCTCGTGTTTTTATTTCTTCGGCACTTTTTTTAAGTTCTTCCTTCTTACGAATTCCATTTGCATAAAGCCATTCTCCATGATTAATAGATGAAGGTCTTGTTTTTTGCTCAGTCTCTGGTGATGGAGATTGCAGAGGAGTTTTTTTATTCCGCTTGTATAGTCTAGTATAAACATCTTGATTATTCAGCCTTTTTGCAATTTCCCTAGAATTTTTGTCGATTTGTGGGGTGTGTTCTTTATTTATAATATTTTTTAAATCAGTTTCATTTTGAGGCGATTTAGTTGGCGTTGATAAAAGTTCTTCTAACTTAATCATGTCAGGTGAAGTGGATATTGCACGATTTTCTATCAATTCTTTATTTGATTTAATTAATTTTGTTAATGATTTCTCTACAGTTTCGTTTAAACAATTTTTCTTTGCGAATTTTTTGGCTATAGTTGAAGGATCGTCATTTGAATGGATAATTAACTTTTCTTTTTTATCATTTCCTATCTCAATTGTGAGTACAAAAAGTTCTGACTCCCCCACCCATCCTTGATCGAACGGCTCGCCATCGTTTGATCAAGGATGGGGGTTAAAAAAAATTTTTATATATAAAATAAAAAATATAAATATATGTTTTTTATTTACTTTTAAATAAGAGGGTTAAGAATATTTAATAATTTATTTTACAGCAAAAATTTGAATTAATTTCATAAAAATACCAATTTTTTTAATATTTTGATTTATTAGTCACCCCTTTAAACTTTATAAATTTTAATTTGTTCCTTATTGAATTAAATTTTTTTTTTTTAATTTTAAAGAATCTCTATTTTTTAGATTATTGAGTTTTAAGCCCAGTTTGATGAATAAATCACTTTGAATGATTGATTTCGTAGCTTTTTGTCGTCTTAAAACTCTGAAAACAACTTCATTATGTACGTCTTCCCAAGCTTTTGATAACTAATATTTTTTTATATATATAAAAATTTGCATGATATGAAAATCGTTCGATCAAGGATGGGGGTTAATTTCCCCAATTTTTAGGAATTTTTACAGTCAATCGTTCGATTAAGGATGGGGGGAGTGAGTTTTTTTGATTCTTACTAGTAATTGGAGATTGATCTGAAATAGTAAAATCAATAACATCTGATAAGTCAATGCGTTGCTCCATAGTAGATTATAATTAATAATTATTTTATAATGATTTATTATATTCTTGGGCAATTTTAAAAAGTATGAGGCTTATGCCAAGTTCTTTAGAACTATTTTAAGTTTTCATCTTTTCAAATTTAAGCTTTTAGGCAACCTATATATGCATTAAACTTGCTGTAAGGATTGAGCATGACTTATATAACCGAATGGATAATAAGGATGCTTTTTGTAAAAAATTCAACCAAAAGTACTGTAATTACAGGGACAAAAGCAGTTTTAATAAAGACCTAAACTCCTTCAGTTTTATAATCCTCTTAATTTTGAAAGTTTGAAATTGAATTGAAAACTGAGATGATCTGAGTTTTTTTTTTGAAAGCCTTAATATATATGGGAAGATTAAACTCATAAGGAAACAATTTTTATATAGCTCTCTTTTCTATTCCTAAAAAAGCTGATATAGCTTGCTTAACTCTGTTTAAAAATTGAAGTTTTTAATAATTGATCATTTACATTCACTTGAAGAAAATACAAAAACTTAAAAGCTGAAAATTAATAAAATTTTGCTATTAGATTAGATTATGCAAAATGATGAAATAATTTTATCCATTTTACCTTTATTTAGCTAAGTATGCATTACACATTTTTATGAGGTCTAGCATCAATTCTACTACTCATCAACTTTGCTCTGGGAGTTAAAAAGCCTATACCATACAATGGATGCCCTACTTTTGATCTCAAAAATCGAATATCTATTATCGAAAAATCTTCTATTTCAGGTTTCTCATTGCAAAAAAACCTATCAGCCTTTAATCTTTTTACAGACACACAATTTATTTTCAATTTGTTAAGGCTGCATATATCTAAAGTAGCTTTATGTCATTTATCGAAACATTTTCCTCATGCAATATTTCAGTCAATTTTTTTTCCCTAGAGAGATATGTGATAGAATTTTAAGGGCTCTCCGAGTAAATCTTACGAGGAAAGCTTTGACCAAAAATCTTCAAGGAAATGCTACATAGGAAAATACTCTGATCAAATATTTTCTATTGATCTGAAGAAGAATTCTGTGAGCTACAGTCATCAGCGAATATCATGATGATGTTTCCAGCAGCAATCTGACTTTCTGAGAAAAGCATGTTTCTTACAGTTGTCAGGCTGAGCTATTCTAGAAAGGCATTTCTTACCCCAAATAGTTAGCATTGAAAATCGGAAAAAAAAGTTTTTTTTTTTAGGTAAGCAAACATTTGTCTTGGAAATTTATTTTGCGTAATATTTTGGTATATAGTTAATGATTATAATGAGATCACAGTTTGCGTGCAAAACATAAATTTTTATGAATTAAATTATATTTTTCTTTTCAAATATAAAAATTTGGATTTTTTAAAAAATAAATAATCTACCTCAGTTAGCGAATTTAATTAGATTATTATAAGGAAGGCGAGCCATAAGGCAACACTCATCTCACTTTTGTGTTTTACCTTGCTAGCCAGTCCGAGCACAATCTTTAACTGTGCTACTCCTCTCGGACGAGTACTTGCACTTGCTATCTCGGAGTAAGAGGCACTTGGTCGCCGTGCCGCATACCAACGCTTTCTAAAATCCGAATAATGAATCTTTTGACCTGATTGTTTGTCAAGATGAAGCTCATAGCCCAGGACATTGGTTAGTTCCCACTAGATTGCCCTATTGACTAAGTTAATATCTATGGTCTTGCCGGGCAACCCTTTCTAACTCCAAAATTATATCTCCCACAAGGTAAAAAGCTGATCTGGACAAGAGCTTGTGGATAGCTCATTCCGTGATTACGCTCCACCAAACAACAAAAGCCGTCGACACACTCACTGTCCTTCTATAAGGTCGCAGCTACAGATGTTAAGAGGTCCATCATTTTATGTATTAAGTTAACGAAGTATCCAAGTCGAAGTTAAGAGTTTTTTATACACAAGTTTATTTGACTCTAACTGAAACGAAGTAATAACAGAAGAACTGATTGGAATGACTCAAGTTCCTGGAATCATCCCAATTGATGTATATGATTACAGCATAGAAAACTCAGGACCTGAAGACCCTCGCATATTTTGATTTTCAAACGAAATCTACATTATTTTTAACATGATTGATATAGATCTAAAGAGAAAAATGTTTCTTTATAATTTCTCAACAGGTGAATCTTGGGCTCTAAGAATTATTGACCATCTCTTCTGACACCGCTATGCAGAGAAAAACTGGACCCCTTTAATTATTGATGATAAAAGTATGTATTTCGTGTACAACTATAAGAATTTTCAAATTTTAGATTGCACTGATAGAAATAATTACTGTATAAAAAGCTCTGGAGAGTTTAATACTGTTCCTTCTGGATTGAGAGGTGGATCACCTTATGTGAGATTTCAGAAAACAAATTACTTTATTTCATATGGATACACACATATTGATTACAGAAAGGATGAGGAGTTTTGTGTTGTGTATAGACCAGCAATTACGATTGTTTTCATTGAAGAAAATCCACTGTCATTTAGGCTGATTTATCAAAGCGAGCCAATTGAATTTCAAGAGAAATTATTTATTCAGCCAATTATGAACTATACTGAAGGAAGCCAGGCTGAGATCTGCGAAGATAGACGAATTATGATGGTGGTGTCAATAGCTAAGTGAGACTATGATAAAGATATAGTAGATATCACGATCAACCTAAATGACACAATTCCTCTAGCTATTCAGATTTCTGGACTCACAAGTCTAATCAATGATGTTATCAAAATGCATGAGAATCGTGCATTTCTTGAAGAAACCAATTGCGCTGAAAGACTTGCTTGGAAACACTTTGAACTTGAAGATATAGAGGGTACGAAGTTTAGCCCAAGGAAGAAAAGAATGGCAGGAGTAAAAAATGATAAAACAGATCTGGATCTAACAAAGGTGGTATTTCAAAATCTTCAATTCTAAATATTTTAAAATTTTTGCTATGCATATTCGTTTTAACTTTATAGTATATCAGCGCTATTGTTTCTATTTCATGTGATTTAAATAAATGATTATGAAAAACTAATAGCTGATACAATTTTATCTTTGCTTCAACTATTTTAAAATGGCCTTGCTTTTTAGAATCAGGTTTAAATATTAGTTAGTGGTTACAAAAATATTGAAAAAATATTCCTGCCTTTTAAAGCCTCTTAGGACAGAAGATGCTTTGTAATAATTATTTTAATACTTGAAAAGCCTAAAAACAAGCAATACTATATAGCTGCATGTTTATCCTTTTAATTCTTAGTTAAAAGGGAAAATTCTAATTTAAACGAATCCGAAAATAAAGAAAAGTCTTTATAGTAGCCTGAGTGATCTAGAATATATTTCGATTAGCATTCCGAATGCTTGATATTGTATTTAACCAGTATAGCTCATGCATTGATATGGATTGCCATCGTTGAAAATGTAACAGGTCTATTGGGCTTATATCTTGTACTTTAGACCAGATAATTCACTATTCAAAGATTATAAATAAAATATATCTAGTTTTAAATTATTTTATGTTTTATATAAGTTATTTTTAAATAATTAGTATAAGGCTAGGCAAATAATTATGATAATAAATTTCAAAATAATTTTTTATAGGAACTCGCGTCCAATAAGTAACTTTTTGTGACTTACTAACCCTATCTATAAGAAAACAAAAAATTTTGAATGAAAAATTATTTCGATATATAAGTAATAGTTAGTATAATTAAATTCAAGCTTTGTTTAATTTCGAACTGCTCGCATTTTTAAACATAAATTTAACAGATTAAATTATGAAAAATTATTTTGCGGTTTATTTACGGACCTTAATGATTTGAATGAATTTTTATTTGGCTAATGGAAATTAGTTGAATTCTCTTGAATCCTTATGATTTCGAATTTGCATCCCGTTTTTCCTGACTCCCCCCCCTCAGTGAGTTAACAATATCATTGAAAATCCCTATTTTTCGCTAAAAACCCCACCTGTGTGAGCGAACAATAATTTTTTAATAGCAAATTTTTTATGGAAAAAATTTTGATATATAAGTGATAATTTTTATAATGAAAATCTCTATCTAATTCTGTTTAATTTTGAATAAATTGCATTTTATAGCATAAACTTTACAAAGTAAATAAATATTTGCTTTTGAATTTTTGTGAATTGGGATTTTTTTAAATTTCGAAAAAAATATAATGGTTTTAAAAAACAATTAATCCCCCCCTCCTTGAGTGAACACATTTTTTTGTTAGCTCACGGAGAGGGGAGTAAAGTCTATTAGAACGATTCTTTTCAGTGATGACGATCTATACGGTGCATGAGCTATAATCATAAATACTGAAAATTTGAATCAGTCTAATTTTTCAGTAACAATTTTTTTAAAAATCCAGTTTTAATAAATAATCGCACATGATAAGGCTAATATGGAATTTAATGATTTAAGTACTTAGTTTTAAACGTTTTAATTCAAAGAATTGAGGCTTGGTAGGATAAATAAATCTAAAATGGATAGTAAAATGAATTTCAAATAGTTTCACTTTATTTTCAATGTCGAGATAACCCAATAATGGCAATTACTATGTCTAATTAATAAATAATTATAGATGAATTTCAAGCTATCATTAGGTCTAATTGCAATTCTACTACTTATAAAATGCACATTAGGCGACCATAAGCCTGTGTCTTTTAAAGGATGCCCTGTATTTGACATCAATAAGCGGGTCTATGTGATGCAGAACTCTAGACTATCTTGGCCTCCATTCATAGGAGGCATTGCTGCTCACAAAATATTCACAGATACAGAATTCATTTATAGCATGCTGAGATTACATTTATCAGAAGAAGAATCTTGTAGCTTGCAATCAGCTAATGGCCTCAACTTGATGTTCCCTGCAGCTATATGGCTCCCAGAAAAAAAGATGTACCTTGTTGTAGTTCGACTATTTCTAAATCTAACAAAAAGCTATTTATACACAAGTTTCTTTGATTCTGACTGAAGAGAAGTAATAACAGAGGATATGGTGGGTGCTACACAAGTTCCTGGGATACTTCCTATTGAGGTTTATGATTATAATGTAGAGTGCTCTGGACCAGAAGACCCGAGGATTTTTAGGTTTGGCAAAGAAATCTATGTTATTTATAACATGATCGATGTTGACCTTAGGAGGAAAATGTTTCTTTATCGGTTTGAAACGGGCGAAACCTGGCCTTTAGAAATTGTTGAGCACACTTGGGGAACAGCTTATGCAGAGAAGAATTGGACTCCTTTGATAGTAGATGATGAACATCTTTATTTTGTGTATAATCTTTATCTTTATACTCTCTAGTGGTATCACTTCACAAGTCAGTCTATCTCCTTCACCACTTCCAGTTCACCTGCTTCTATTCATCGCTCCACCAGCACTTCATACTTCCACGGCTTCTTTGCTCTTTTCTTCAGTAACCAGGCCCATCTCTTCTTTCTCCATCACTTCCAAATCTTTGCTGTAGCTTTTTCCACTTTTGTTTCTTTCACCATTCTCATTGCTTTCATCGCCTTCACTTTTTCATTTCTTTCATGCTGCTTTCATCACCTTCATTGCTTTCATTACTTTCATCGCTTCCATTGCTTTAATTGCTTTCATTGTTTTCATTGCTTTCATTGCTTTCATTGTTTTCATTGCTTTCATTGCTTTCGTTGCTTTCATTGCTTTCAATCCTTTCATTGCTTTCATTGCTTTCATTGCTTTCATTATTTTCATTGCTTTCATTGCTTTCATTGATTTCACTCCTTTCATTGTTTTCATTGCTTTCATTGCTTTCATTGATTTCACTGCTATCATTTCTTCCATTGCTTTCATTGCTACTTGAGCCTTCTCTGTTCCTTCAGTCTTCTCGGTTTGCTTCCTTTCTATATAGCTGATTTCGTTGGGTATTGGCCTAGACGAATGAGTGGCCAAAATTAACCCTCGTCATCTAGCACAACCCTGTTTTGCTTTAGCTAGTCAGATCCACAGTTCGTCCTTTGCAACGCCAATTTCTTCTTCTCCATCATCAACATCACTCTCCTCTTCCATATCCTCTTCGATCCCCTCATCTGCAAGCTCATTTTCTAATGCTCTTATCTCATCTTCAAGAAACTCAATTTCCTCCAAAACCATATCAGAATATTCGGAGTGCTCTGCATTAGAGGCGTTACTGGTACTGCACAATCTCTGGCTCAAGGCTAGAGCAGCTTCTTCCAGATCTGCCTTCTTATTAAGAAATCCTCCATTACCAAAAATAAAAAGTATTTTGTGTATAATCATAAAAATTTTCAAATATTGGATTGCACTAATAGCCGAAAAGAGCTATGCAACAGAGTATCTGGAGAGCCATATAGTTTACCTGCCGGCTTAAGGGGCGGCTCACCTTATGTAAGGTTCGGTTCCTCAAACTATTTTGTATCCCTAGGATATTCACATTTAAAGTACAAAAAAGGTATTGACTGCTGCGTTTTTTACAGACCAACTCTTACAATTGCGGCAATTAGCAAAAATCCAGATAAATTTGATTTAATTTTTCAAAGCGAACCTATTGATTTCCAAAGCCTCTTATTCCTATTTAAAATAAATATAAACACTTTTATAGCAGAAGTCTCCTATTTTCATATAGAAAATAGGAAACGGTTAATGATAATAGCAATTTTGATTTATTGTGAATAGGAATAATTGAGCCATTTACTCAATACAATTCAACTGAGCATATCAAGATCTGTGATGCAGGAAGAATTATGATGGCTCTTTCAATTGCTAACTGGGATTATGAAGAGGACGTGGTAGATATCACTTTAAATCTAAATGACGCAGTAGCGCTGGCTGCTAAAGTTACTGGGCTCACTGATTTGGCTTTGGATGTGATTAGCATGCATGAAAATGGCTCTTTATATGGTGGGGATGATTGTGTGGAAAAACTTGTGTATAGACATTTTGATTTTGAAGACCCAGAAATAAGCGCAAGAAACAGCTTAAGAAGAAGGAGGATGAAGAAAACAGCAGTAGATAATAACTAACTTATATAACTGAACTTAAGCCTTTTTTAATATAAATAATTTTTTTATATTCGAATGAGTTTATTAATTCCTCATGTATTTTAATAATTAAGCTGATTTATTTAATCTGATATTTACCTCTAAAGAATTCTTCTATTATCTAAAAGCTTTTTGATATAATAAGCTTGCCAAGCACTTACTGCAATGACTCCCAAACTTTCTAAAATGCTAAAAATGAACACATTTCTATTAGAATCAGCCATAGTTCTATAATGTGACTCTTGTCTCAACTGAGCAAACTGATTGTCGACTTGGAAATCTTTGATCTCTTTCTGTATATCCACCAGCTGCTTTTCTAGTGGAGTTAAATGCTCAGTTTTCAGCACCTCATCAGTAGAATTTCCACAATTTAATGCAAAAGTCACTACATGTTTCTGAATAACTTTTGTGTTTTTGAATTTAAATGTGTATATCCCTACCTGCTCTGCATCAAAATAAAAAAGTGCCTCAGATTTTTTCTTTTTTTCGAAAATCACCTTCATGTTTGGATTCATGATGGAAAATTCAATATCGCGGGATTCCTTGCTTGTAATGAACCACGCACCTCTAATTTTTGAAGGAATTACGTCAATTGTTTCAAAGAAAATCTCTTCTCCTCTCGCTGGAAGCTCAAAAGTGACCATATCTGATGGGACGAAGCCTACCATATGTTCGTCCCATTCTTTCATTAGCTGAGATCTCTCATCTTCTGCATTGATTTCAACTGATTCTTCTTGAGGAACCCTTCTCTTATCCTGTGCAAATGCAAATGCGAAAGCTAATATAAATGCTAATTTCATTTGCAATTAATTTATGATTCATTGATTGGTGCAGGCCCAATGATCATGCACTTTTAATAGTGTCATTTAATAGTGTACTATTTGACTGAAATTTAATGGCTTCTTAGGCTAAATGTTTCGAGCAAATTTTCCATTAGAAAATGTCGCACTAGCAAAAATATAAGGTCATTTGGCATGGAGCCAATTGATTTCCTTAATTGCTTGCGTATTTATAAATGGAATCCTGGTATTCAAGTGCGTCAATAGAGGAAGTTAGAAGAATGGCCTTAAGTGGTCATTTAAGACACCGCTTTATAGCATGGCAAGTTATGCTCGGCATATTTTATGGGTCTGTTGACAACTGGGTGCTGATAACTCATAAGCACAGGCTGGATTATAATAGAAAAAAGGCTGAATTGATTCCAAAGAAAATTTTAGGCCAAGACATAATACTTGATAACCCTCTTTCAAATAATGCCCAAGTAATCTCTAACTAGACAGAGCCCCTGGTATACTCATTTTAAGAACCAAGAAATGCGAGTTTGAGAATGAAGACAAAAAATAAAAAAATATATGAAATGCTGAAATTTAGCATTAAAATTAATAAATAAGATGAGAACCAAGAAATCCGAAGAATTATCAGAATTGATGTGGATAGGACTTTCCAAAAATACCAATTTTTCCAGCAAGAAAGAAACAAAGCATACCTAGAAAACACTTTATTCGTTTGAAGCATGACCCACACCTTAGGATATAACCAAGGCTTCAATGAGCTAATGGCTGTTATATTATATGCAGGCCTTTCCGATGAAGAAACCCCAGATAATTTAATTAGCCATGAAAACATCGAAGCAGACTGTTATACAATATTTTCTAAATTAATGGATACAGGCATTGCTAATATGTTTATACAAAAACTCTCAAGGCCAAAACTCAGGGATAATGCGCTAGATGAAATCGCAACTGTCGATAGATCATCAGAGAATGATTTATCAGAAATGATCAGAAGATGCCACTACGTATTTCACAGAGTTTTGCAGGCAACTGATCCAGAGCTATATCATCATATATTGAAATATAAATATGAGCCTCAGCTGTTTTTGGTAAGATGACTGAGATGCATGCTGAGTCGAGAATTTTCACTGAACCAAACTCTTATTGTTTGGGACACGATTTTTGCGTGCCATGACTTGAAAAGTAGGGATTTTGAGTTGCTTAATTATATATGTGCAGCTATGCTTTCCTCAGATAGAGAATGCTGTAAATGATATTTAGTGCTGAGCAAAAGGGATTCTGATTTATTGCAAGAATTAATGAATCCAGTTCCTATTGAAGATATTAAAGGAATACTACAAATTGCTATGAGATATCTTACTCCCCCCCAGTGAAAAAAAAAATTTGTTCATTCATGGAGGGGGTTAATTTTTTTTTAAAAAAATAATATATAAATTTTATAAAAAATATTTTTTTTCAAAATTTAAAAAAATCCTAATTAGCAAAAATTGGAACGCAAATAGTTACTTAATTTATAAAATTTATGTTTTAAAAAGCAATTCGTTTAAAATTAAACAGAATTAGCTCTAGATTTCATTATAATAATTATCATTTATATATCAAAAATTTTTTCTATAAAAAATTTTTCTATTAAAAAAATTTTTTTGTTGACTCACGGAGGGTGGGTTTTTGGGCAAAAAATGCCGATTTTTCTAATGGTTTTGTTCACTCACGGAGGGGGGGAGTTAGAGAGAAGCCTGATAATAAAGTCAGCTATACTCCACATCAAGGATCCAATATTTTTACTTCTTCATTAAAAATGCTATATGATTTGGTGACAACGAGAATTGGGCCTCCGATTGCACCAGTTGTTAAAATTACAGAAATTCCTAAAAATGAAAAAGAAATTACTCTGGAAAGTATGCTAAAAATTACAAAGCAGGTCAAGGCTATGATTAAAAAACAAAAAACAGAGTAAGGCTTATTTACTTCCCACCTTAAATTTTAAAAAAAATTCTGTCCAAACTCATTTATTAATTTTTTAAATTTTCCTTTATAAAAAAAAATTTATAAATATTAAATAAAATATTTTTGTATTTTAATTTATTTTATGAAGAATTAATTTAAAATATAAATCAATTCAACGTGAAAACTGCTTATATAATATTCTACTTGTACTTTTTCCTTCAAATTAGGTTAAAACTAATTTTATAAAAATCAGTATTAATTTTTCTATTGCAATTTAAAGGGATTAAAGTATCCAAAAAATGGAAATTTTACCTATATTTTTTCCTTTTTAAAAGTGAGGAGTTAGAAAAGAAATAGACGAAAATGAGATACGAAAAGCCATTAGATTACTAAAAATCATGCTTGACTATAATGAAGATTAATGTAAAGATTCATTAAATTGCTATCTATAAAAAATTAAATAATTAATAAAGTATAGCAAATCAATTTTCAGGTATGTTGAACTCAATAGGTAAATTAAAATATAGTATAATGATTTATAAAATTTATAGCTTTCGCTAGATTTAACGGTTCAAGATAAATTAAGATCAGTATATACTCGTTTTTAGAAAAATATTCAAATTCAAAGCTATGCAAATATGCCTACTTAAAATTATAGTTTAAACTGTGAAATAAATTATTATGTATAGACTTAATAGACATGCCGGAGCCTTTCTTTGAAATCCCCATTGTCAATGTTTTTTTGAAGTTCTCTTAAGCCTCCAAAATAAGTCCCGCCAATGAAAATGTAAGGAGTGGATTTCCTTGACGTCATATTTTGTAAAGCATCATAAATCTGGCTATTGTCATTCATATGATCCAATTCAAAATATTCAAAATTTACGGAATTCTTCCTAACTCCGATAGCTAAAGAGCAAATATTTTTGCTCGTTAAAGGAGGTAAATTAATATAAAAAATATTGTTTTAGATTAAATTATTAAATATTTGAAATAAAAAATCTAATGTAATTTATAAAATTTATATTTTAGGACTTTAGAATAATTATATTTAAAAAATATAGTTTATACAAAAAAAATTATATTAAAAAATTCTTGGTACTAGCTAATGAAAGCCTCAAAATAAGGTTTTTTTAATGTTTTTGCTCGCTAATCAATAAGTAAAGTAAGTAAAGACTTTGTTACCATAGATTGCTCACATAATGATCGGGAATATACTAAAACAGGATATTCTTTTGCTTGGTTTTTTACAACTTCAGTAAAGGGTTCAATAAAGTCAATTCTGGCTTCTGCATGCTTATCATATTTAGAGCATTGGCATCCCATTTTTTTTAAGAATTGTATAAAATATAGCTTTTGATATTATAATTAAATCCCTATAAAAGCTAGCTACTATAAAACTTTTGATAAAAAAGGAAAATATTAATGAGAAATTGTATTTAATTAATAAAAATTGAAATATTAATATATAGTTATTTATAGTGAATGTAAAAATTCCTATTTATTGTCATCCTATTTTTAAATTTAAATAGAATAGCGTCTAATCACTAGGAGTGCCTTTATGATTGTAATATATTATTTAAACTGTGTGCAATGGGACCATTTGTAAATTTTGCAGTATAGAGTACACAATTTTATGTAAACGGTTAACTCCCCCCCCCCCCTCCGTGAGTGAACAAAAAAATTTTGTTCACTCACGGAGGGGGATTAATTTTTTTTTTTTTTTTAAAAATTTATATATAAATTTTATAAAAAATATTTTTTTTCGAAATTTAAAAAATCCTAATTCGCAAAAATTGGAAAGCAAAAATTTATTTAATTTATAAAATTTATGTTTTAAAAAGCAATTCGTTTAAAAATTAAACAGAATTAGCTCTAGATTTCATTATAATAATTATCATTTATATATCAAAAATTTTTTCCATAAAAAAATTTTTCTATTAAAAAAATTTTTGTTCACTCACGGAGGGTGGGTTTTTGGGCAAAAAATAGCGATTTTTCTAATGGTTTTGTTCACTCACGGAGGGGGGGGGGAGTAAGTTCTTTTTTCTCTTTAGCTATTAATTTTCTTTCTTTCATCTGTTCTGATTTTATTTTATTAAGCTTTTCATTCCCTTCTTCAAGCTTTTCTTTAATTTGCTTGATATGCTCCCTTTCGCTGCTTATTCTCTCTTTTTCTCTTTCTAATTCTATTTTTTCATCTTTTAATATTTCAAAATAATCTTTAGAGTCAGGAATTTTATTGAGGAGTTCTTGGAAATATCTATCATCATCTGTAAATTGATTTTCTTTCTGATCAAGATAGTCCGAATTTTTATCTAATTTGCCCCTTATTAATAGTAAATAAAATCTGAAGAGGAGAAAATAATGATTAACATAATTGCAAAAATTTAAATATCTTTCAGAAATATAATAAATCCATATTTCCGTTTAAAAATCTATAATCATGATAAAACAGATTAATATTACTATTTTATATGATTACTGAATTAAAAAGATTTGTTTTTGCTACTGATTGGAATGGGTTAAGGATAATAAATTTGGGTCTTGAGGCATCAGAATATCTGAATAATTAGTTGAAAGCTGCTCAGGGCTCTCAGTTGTTGAGCATCTCTCAGGCGAATTCTCTTGAATTGGAAATAAAAACGCTTGTGCCCTAGGAGTTTCAAGTTTTCTTGTTCTGCTATACTGGCTCATCATAATTTTCGAAGCAATGCCGTATTTTTTGTATATTTGCTGAATTAAATCTTTTCTTTTTTTCTCTTTATTGTCAGATTCTTTTTCCATAGCTCTGACCATATGAGCTAGTGATCTTACCTGCTTCTTTGATTCTTAAATGGCACGCTTAAAATGGTGTGGAGAAATAGCATGCCCTCTTAACGCCTGTAGTTAGAAGGTGGCCTGGAGACCTTCTAGAAGGAAGAGGAGGGTTGAGTGAGGGTATCCTGCTGGTTTTACTTGGCTTGGTGGAGCGTACTATCGGTCTGACCGACTGCAGACTGACACCTAGGGCAAACTTGGAACTTGTAAATGTAGCCAGCAAGGCTAGAGGGCATTCACTTGGCCATCGGGCAATTTCCCAGCACTATACCAGGAGCTGCGCCCAGGCTACGAATTTCACTCTAGCCAATAGCCTGATGGGAAATTTCACTTTTTGAATTTTTGGAAAGGATTGAAGTATGGCACATGACCCAGCGTCCTTACTCTCAGGTAGCGATGCATGTCCTCGTCTGAGAGAAGCAAGAGGGTAGAGTGATCAAAGGCCTTAAAAGCCGAAATGGCTATCGGGAACTACTCTATAATACTCTAAGTTAAGATTCATAAATGGCTTTTTCTCCTCTTAAATTTGATATTTTATTTTTAACGTTATCAATTTTCAATTCAATTTTATCAGGATCCCCAGTGGTTTCTGAATATTCTTTTATTTTTGATTCAAGCTCTTCAAGACGTCCCTGAAGCCCTATAACTTGTTTAAATCTATATGAAGGTGTTCGGGTCTTTGTAGAGCTTGACACAAAACTATCATCAATAGAAAAATCAAAATCAACTTCTTTTGATAATAATTGTTGAGAGCTTACACTTAAATCTTGATATCCATAATTTTTAAAAAACATTTCTAAGTGCCTCTTTAATTTGTAAGTTTCTTGCTCCTGAATCCTCATTTGATCTCTTCATATCTGCTTTTCTCTTTCATATGAGGATTTAGCTGATTTAAGCTCATTTTCCCTTTTCACTAGCATTGATTTTTGTTCATTTAATTCCCTAATTCTCATCAGATAGTGGGCTTTTAATTCACCTAGTTCTTCTTGTTGTGAATTTAAATACTCTTGTGCCAATTCTGATTGTGGGTCTTTGTTTAATGCATATTTCATTTCAATTTCTGAGGTAATTTCTTCTCTTATCCTATCTATTCCCATTTCATTAAAATTAAAATTAATTAGGCACAATATCATATTTATTTACATTCTATTAAATATGGCATATACTAATAGAATTTTCCCTTCAGCTTTTTTCATATGACTTCTTTGATTTTTCCAAGGAATTTTTATTCATCCCGCCATGAAAATTTTCACACAAAATTTGAGCGTCTTTCAACTCGTCGATTTCATTCTCCAATTCTCTTATATAGCCTTCCAAATATTCTTTGGTCCTATACTCCTCTGATCTTTCTTTCGCAATATCCTGATACGAGAGGACTTCATATTGAATGTCTAAATTCAACACAACGTCTCCAAAAGGAATTTCCACAGACTGATCCGACTTATTGTCAAGGATGCGATTAAAAATCCTGATATTATTAAAGACGTCTATATTTGTGCATGAAACTCTTAAATGTTTTGGATTTTCGGATATTCTCATTTCAAAAGCGCTAAAATCCTCAATTATCATCTGGTAGCGGTCAAGCTGAATTAGCAAGTCTTCAAGTTTTTGTTCAAAATCGTCTTGGATATAGAAGGAGTCATATACTTGGAGTTGCTCTTCTAGCCGGAGACTGTCATATTCTACTTCTTCTGCTGTTAGGATAGAACCTATTGATTTCATGATATCAGAATTCTCAACTCGTATTGGGGAACGGTTTTCAATCTCATTTAAAGCTTCTTCTAAAGCAGCATTTATTCTGTCTATTTGGCTTTCTAGAAATATAGGATTTTCTTTTTCACTAACTTATCCCCTCAGTGAGCAAGCAAAACCATTGAAAGTTATAGCTTTTTGTGTGAAGGTCCATAAGAGAGAAAAATAGAGACTTTTTCAATTTAATTATATATAAGTGATGCTTTTCTTTCCAATTTCATCAATAAGAATTAATTTCGCCTTCTAAGAGGCTTTCCCAAATAATTCTGATAAATTCTAAAATATTTCTGATATCAATCAGTTTGAGTCTAATCAAGAGTTAGTTTTCCGATAAGATCCCAGTCTAATCTAAAATAATAAATTCTGGTAAAATTTATTATTATTTCCCATCCTAAAAACCTGTAAATTTTCATTTTCTTTAACATTAGAAGCCCAAATAAAAATGACAACTTATTCGGCCAGCCCTTCTCTCATAACCTCGAGGGTTTTGAGTCAAAGAGAGCCGGAGCCTGGAGCACGTGCCCGGGGTGGGCTTTTCTCCCTGGTGGGGCACCACAACAGGGTTTTTAACCCCATACCATATATAAGGGAACCAGAGTCCACGTGGCAACTCCCATCTGCTGAATACGAAGGGTAATGGGGACCGAAGGAGAATTCGGGGCGGTGCCCTATCTCTATCCTCGGATAGATCATGCCAACTGCTAGGAATTGTACCTGGGTGCATCTCCCCGAGAGATAGCGACATCACCGTTTTTAGGTGATGCCAAGAAAAGGGGGTAAGTGCAAACCGATACCTAGGAAAAAGAGTCTAAAATCGGCGAAGGCGGTGAAGGGCTGAAATATACCCCGAAGACTTATTCTCACTTAATCAATCTAATCTAATTAACATTAGAAGCAGAACCACTTGCACTTTTCAATAAATTTGCTTCAAATGCTATCCAATTTTTCCTTTGTCGAAGGATAGATAATTTTATTCTTGGTCAATAAATTGTCAGGAGATCGCAATAAGCCATTTCTGGCCAAAAAAGTGTCTTTTCGTCAATAGGATTTTTGAAGAAAAATATTAAGCTCACTCCTAATATTGCAAATTTTTTTACTCGTTATAGAGAGGAGAGTAAGACTCTTAGATACGTCGGCCATTTGATGATTTTAAAAATTAAACGATGAAAGAGATACTATTTATTTAAATTTAATAAATAATTAATGATAGCTAGAGATTACTCTAAATTAATTCTTCTAATATCAACCTAAGAGCATGCATCGAGATCAGCCTTCGCTCTAAACAACATACCTAAAACCCACGAAAGTTAGAACTTCTTCTCCTTGCATTCCAAGCAGGGCTCTCTATCAGCCTTCAAGCGCATGCCACAACCCCATTAAGTGTCTCTTTAGTTTAGAACCCTCAAGGATCCCTCCTGGATTGTTTTGGGTGCTCCTTAATGGATCTGCCATTATAAATTGTGAATAAATAATTAAATTAATTAAAAATAAGGATTTAGGAAGAAAAAATTAAGATATGGGGTTGTCCTATACTAGGTTGTTATTTTATCTTTAAAATAAAGCGAAACATTTTTTGTGTTTAGTCGAAAGTTTTTATTAATTACCAGAGTTACATAATTCTCCTAATTTATTGGAGACTCCAAGTGTTATATAGTGGAATATGATTCATCTTTATAGGGATTCATATATTTATCACAGCAATCACAGCAAGCACAGCATCTTTCTTTCAATGGATACCACCACAGAGAGCAGCAATCCTTGACTTTATTTTTGCAATAAACTACTCCGTTATAAGTATAGAAGTTTCCTATGTTTGGCGCTGTAAGGCCGATAAATTCTGATCGGAATTTATCGGTTGGTTGCACCAAATCAATGCCTTGGTCGGACCAAAAAGCGATTTGGTCCGACGAACTTGGAAAGCTCCTGGAAAATGTCTGCGCTTTCAGCGCTATATAGAGGAAACCTCTATATATTTGCAGCATATTGCAATGCCTTTGCAGAAAGCAGAGCAGCAAGCACCCATTTATTACATTATGCGTTATTTAATAAGAAAATTTGATAAATGATAGAAATCCTGATTTGGATTTTTTCCTTTCTGGCTGATTTTGCACCAAATGATATTAAAGCACCTAAAGAAAATAATGTAACTGTTATAATAATTAGTTCAGTTTAATCATCTTCTTATTGAGCAGAAAAATTCTGATCTATTAATTTTTCATTTAGGAGTCTAATGCTACGAAAATTAAAAATTATCTAGTAATAGAATAATTTAATACATAATTACGAAAGAAAACTCTTATAAAATTTCCTCAGTTCCCCAATTTCTTTAATGGATGAATGATCATCGTTCGATTAAAGATGGGTTTAAAAAATTCTGAAATAATTAAAAATTCATTTGTATAAAAAGTTTTAATAGCAATAAGAGATAGAGTTCTAGAAATATGATAGAAATCGCATTATATTTCATATGGTGATTATATTCTAATGCTATAATATTCACTATTAACAAAGATAGGTAGTGAGATTTGAGGTGGGAGGGGAGAGAATGGTTTCATGCCCTGATCATATGAAAATTGTTCGATCAAGGATCAGCTCAATTTTCCAAATTTTGAGAAATTTCAATAGAGAATTTTTCAATCAAGGATAAGGAGGAAAGTCAGAAATAATAAGATTTCACTAAATTGAAAATATAGCTAAATTTATCTTAATGCATAATTATGTCAAATTTGCTATTTCTTTTCCTAACTCAATTTATTAAAAAAACAATGTAAATTCCTCAATAAAATAAATCATTATCTAATATCTGTAAAGAATGGCAAGCAAGAAATATGTAAATCTTATCTAGGGAGCATTCTGACTGCCACAGTCAGCTGGCATAGCATCAGACCTACCTCCACCAAAGCATCTTTTCCCCTCCAATCTTCATCTCAAATCATGTGCCGTTGGAATTAAAAAAGGGATCTGCTTGGTAGAAGATGGAAAAGTTTACGAAAAAAGATTCACGAAAGAAGAAAACAAAGGCCACCTTAAAGAAATTTTCATCCAAAATACCATAAAAAATATATCATGCAATGATATGATGGGGATGATGATAAATATTCAAGGAGAAGTTTTCATCTGAGGCGAAGACTCCAATCAAAGTGGACTTTTTGTGGAGCCTGGTCTATTTTTATCGGAAAACCCTATTAAAGTTCCTCAACTTTCTGAAATAGTTCAAGGTTCCTTATTCTCTCTTCCTTTATAGGCGAGCAAAATTTATTTCCTTCAAAATTTTAATTTATAAAAGTGCAATTTAGGTGATAAACTTTGGTTTAGAAGGTGATCTATTTAATTATTATTGATTGCACATTATATAAAATATTATTTTAAAAAAAAATCAACTTTTGATTTTCCAATGGTTGTTTTTGGTCATTCAAAGCATAAGGGTGGCTAGGGAAAAACACATGCTGCTGTAATCGACTCTATGGGTCATCTTTTTACGTGGGGAACTGGTTCTCAAGGCGAGCTTGGGACTCTTGGCTTTACAATCAGCAATCAGCCACCGCAGATCGTTGAAAGCGCAAAAATTTTTAAAGCCAAACAAGTAATATGTGGGCCTTCTTTTACTTGCATATGTACAGACGGATGCTATGTGTACTTATACGGGATTATTGGAAGCGCTCACAATTACACTAATTCAAGACGATCATCAGTAGTAAGAAGACTCTCAACTCCTTCACCAAAAAAAGGAGCCGGGAATTATCCTTATACATTACCAGAATTAGAGAAATATTCGACGATTTTTGTATGCTGTGGGACTAATTATATTGCAACACTTACAGATTCTGGAGAAGTTTATGTTTTTGACGATTGCATGGACTTAGTAAAGCTTCCTGTCAATTATGGAAATGATATTAATTTTATAGCAAGCACGCTAGAGGTAGTGTATGGGTATTCAAGAAATTCAAATTGTATGTATGAATGAAGAGAAAAAGTCCAAAGCATGCTTTCAACTAACTCTGATTTGTGTGACTGTCAGCTTGCTTATTGGATAGGAAGGGTTTATAGTATTGACAGTGAGTACTCTACAAGGCTGAGCCTGATCTCTACTTCTTCACATATAGCTGGGCTTTTATATGAAGCTGAAGAGCCAGGATATAAAAATATTGCTACATTTATAGATGAACTTTCTCCTTATAAGAGATCAGAGTGCACAACTAAGCTGATCGGCTCGGTTTTTGACTCAATTGACTACAAAATGGAAAAAAATCTTTCTTTACGATCAAGTCTAACTCTCACTACCCTCTAAATTGGAGCAAAATATAGGCAAAATTTTTATTTTCACACCTTTAAATTGAAACAATTGTTTTTTATTAGGAAAAATTTTTTAGGTGAAAATACTAATTTTTTATAAAAAATTAGTTTTGATCTAATTTAATAAAAAAAATCCAATTATAGTATTATTTAAAATAGTTTAGAAACTGAATACATTAATTTTTTGAATTATTTCTTATAAAAAAATCATTTAAATTTAAAGTATGGTGCCCAATTTATATTCTTTTATTTTTATAAATTTTTTTAATTTAAAAAAAAATAAATCAAATTGGGGCAAGGTTTTTGTTCCAATTTAAAAGGGGGAGGAGAAGTAAGAAGTTCTTTAGATCTCACCAATATCGAGGGGCATGAAGATTTAGAAAGGCTTTATCCAAAAGGCAACAATGACAAAACAATAGTGAAAATAATTCAATATCGCAATGAATTCGAAAGAAAAGAAAAACTAGCAAAATTAATATCTCTTATAATCAGCCCAATAATAAAAAGCAGTTTTTTGAAAATAAAAGAATTTGTAAGTGTACAAAAAATGTGTGAAAAGACCCTATCAGCAGTCTTAATGTCTGGGGCAATTGGAAAATTCTATCATAAATATAGAATTGGAGGTGAAGCTTATGCATTTCAACTGATTAAAAGATTTTCTAATTTGAGCTGAAAGGATGACTCAATCTATGATCAACGAAAAATAGAAGGAATTAGAGAAATTTGGCATGAAATTTCAACTTTATGCTATAAACAGAAATTAATGGCTTTTACCTTAATAAAAGGAAGAGAGATTTTTTGCCTGCAAAGAAAAACAGCTTTTTTGACCCTAAAGCAGCTAATTAAAGACATGAACAGAAAAGCAATCAATATAGCATTTGATAAATGATCAAGTATTAGCTCATTTGACGAAAATAAATTTCACATCTACAAATTGGTTAGTTTACTTTCAAAAATAAGGACTCGAAATTTAAATCTTGGGCTTAAAAGTCTTACTATATCAGCAAAAGAAAAAGATAGTGACCAAAAAGCTACTGGGAGAATTTTGAAAAAATGCATTCTTTTATATGAAAGAACTTATTTTAAGCAATCCATAAAGATATGGAAAAAGAATACCGATTTTGTAAGAATTAATGAATTTAACCAAGATTATAAAAAAAGATTGATCGCAAAAATAATTTTTACAAGAATCAGTTTGAGCGTAAAGCGGGTTAAATCAAAAGTTTTCAAAATCATTCATGATTATTCTGTTGACGTTTATTATAAAAGCCAAGAAGAAACTTTAGCTGAATCTGCTTCAAGCACAAAACTTAGCCAAGACAACAACAGCGATTTTGAACGAATAAAGAATGATAAAGATTCAGCGCTTGAAGAAAAGTTTCAGACTCTTGAAAGGTACTTGCAAATTGTACAATTGAACGTTCTAAGCGAAGCATGGAGTAGCTTTATGGAAGATGGGAAAAAAAGGGTATATAGCATTATAAGCCTACCTAATACAACTGATGCTACTTCAAACAACACCCCAGAAATCTTGCGGCAGGATGAAGAAATGGTTCATATGCCTCCAATTGACATCTTTCCAGTTCGCCACACAGCAAATCCATTTCTGAGTTCAAGCTCGTTTAACTTCTTGTCTGTCTTTCCTAACTTGCATATGCAGCTATCAGAAAAAGATAAACAAAAATTAGAATTTATTTCACCAACTTATTCAGATAAATTTATCTTAGACTTGCCGAGCGAGCAGAGGTCTCATCCAATGGATCTTGAAGACTTTGATGCTTTAAGAACTCCAAGCTCAACCCCAACTAAACTCAGGCTTTTTAACATCTCCCAGCCTGCATTTAAAACCCCAGAAGTTAAGGACCAAAATGAAACGAGCAGGTCTAATCTATTTGCCGACCACTCACTACAAAGAAGTTTCGATAACTCAGATTACCAGAAAAAGCTGATCCAGAGCATGATTTCTAAGCCAAAAGTTCATAAAGAAAAAGAGCCAGAAAAAGAAAAAGCATTAGAAGTTGCCCTTAACTCCGGCAGACCTCCTTGGAAGCCGTCCAGCAAGAGCGCAGTAATAGAAGAAAAAAAGAAACCATTAATCAATCCTACCAAAATAATGCAGCAGTATGATTACGGACTAAAAGAAAGACTGAAATTTATTGCAAAACACAAAGCCAGGGTACAAACTCCAAACTCAGACAGGCCGCAAAACTATTCTCCTTACCCAAGCTTATTAACTTTACCTGACAGTGTTCCTTCAGAAACTGAACTTTTCATTCCATTTGACGAGAAAATTATTTTTAATAGTGACATGAGCTTTGGAAAGAAGCTTGGAGATGACAAAAGAAAAAGAATTAGCTATAAAAAATTGATAAAATATAGGAAAGGGATGCCTATCTTTGAAAAAGTTATGATGAAAATACTTTTAAAGGTGAAATCCGGAGCATTAATGAATATAAAGTTTAAGCCAAAAGATGTAGCAAAAATAAGAAGCAGCAGAGGAACAGAAAATAAAAAGAAGCAGATATCATGACAGAAACGCTTGTATATTCTAGCTTCAGATAGTTTAAAAAAGGCTATGAGAAAAATTTTTGCCAAAAGATTTGTTGCGAAATTAATGAAATACCGTTAATTAATAAACTGATAATATTTAAGAACTTTGGCTTGGCTTAGAATTTTCTTGATTTTTCTTAATTTTAAGAACTTGCACTTTCTCACCCAGCTCTTCTTGAATTTGGCCAAAAGTATCACTGAGTTTTGCATATGATTCAGCAAGAAGCGGAAATGTCTTTATTGCCCAAGAACTTCCTACGAAAAATTGCATCAAATATGAAAAACTCAAAAAATCAGCGACCCCAGGGTGCGTTCCACCTATAAAATCTCCTTTCAAATTTTGTTCTAAATTCCTAATTGCGGCTATAAGTTCTTTATTTGTTTTTATGGTATCTTTTTGTGTTTCTGTAACCATCTGCTTTAGCCTGTAAACAATCCGTTCTTCAAGATGCAAATCTGATGCCCCTCTAAATGGAGATTGTTCCATAATATATCTCAAAATGCTGAGCTCTCCCATTATCTCAATCAAATTTCCTACACGGTCTTGAGCTTCTATTTGAAGGGTGACAATAAACCCATCATCAACTCTTTTTAATGCATTAATTCCAGTCCATTTCAAAGCTAATAAGATCGCCTTAACCCCTTCGTCAGGTGTTTGATAGAGTAATCTCATTATGGAATTAATATTAAAAATAAATGATATTAAAAATTAAAACTAAGAGCATGGGCATTCCATACTTCCAATGTCTTTACAGCCTCGATCTGATGTGTAATTAAATAAAGAGTATCCAAATCTAAATCTTCCAGTACCTGGAGCATGGAGGGTGCCCCATGCTTCAATATCAGCTAATTTTTCTTGTGTTATATTTTCTGCTTTATTGATAAAATTTTCAGAACTAATCCAAGACTGCATTTCTAAGTCAAAAGCAGCATCAAGAAGCCAGATATAAGAATCATAATCTTTAATCACATCATAAACTGTCACATCATAACAAGTCTTGCTTTTGCATGAAGGGACATTTTCAAGATTCAACTTAATTGGTTTATCAAAACCAAGAAATCTTGATTTATCAGCTGGAAGCTCATGCTTCATTGGATCTTCATCAGGTTCTGGTTTCTCATATGTATCAATGCAATATCTAAGTTTTGTAAATACATTGGGAAGCTGATTATCAAAATTATCCCACCCATCTGCATTATAAAATTCTTTTTCTCTAAAATACCATATATCCTTCATATATTTTTCGTTAGCCTGACAGTCCCATAGACTTGTGTGTGAATTTAAATTTTCATCATAATTCGATTGGCTCCCTCTAAACTCAGGCAGCTTTGCTAGAGATCTTATAGTCCAATGGGTATCATAATGGCTCATTAATCTTTGTTTATTTTCAAGTAATCCTTGCTTTATATGGGGATATTTCTCTGTAAACCATTTCGGGAAAATCATAAAAATTTCAGGCATTTTGTGCTCAATTCTGCCAGCTTGAGAAAAAGTGTAATATAAAGACATGTGGGACCCATGGTCACTTGTTATGATGAGAACTGTGTTGTTGAGGTTTCCTGTTGAATAGAACCAATCTAGTAAAGAAGAGAGTCCTGGGTCAAGAGTAGCGATGACTTCCATGCTAGCTTCATGGGCTTCTTGAAGAGGCGAAAGAACCATTTTCCCATATTCTTTGTAGTTGTTTCAGAATTGCTTTAAATATCCGAATAAATGTTCATTTACTGGTTTTCCATCAATGCAGCGTCTTCTCATTGAGTTGACTCCGTTAAAATTGCTAAAAGTGGTATTTACAGGATGGTAAGCAGGATGGCACCAAGGCTTGAAGACTAGATGATCCATCCCATAAGGCTTTTTCTTTAGAAATCTCCAAGACCAGTCTTCACAGAAGCCATTTAAGTATAATACAGCATTGTCTTGTTTCTGAAAAATTTCCCAGATTGGTCTTCCACTTCGATTTTGCCTCAACTGAGAGCCTGTATATAGAGCTTTTGTGTTGAGCTCAGTATTAAATCCAATGGTCGAAAGTCTCACCATCTCAAACACATCATATTCATTAGTAGAATTCAAAAATTCCATTTTTTTCACTGTTTTCACCAATTTTCTCATAAAATGAGCTCTTGAAAGTGTATCTATTTGAAAAATCAATAAATTCATTCTGCTTATTTCTGAAGTTTTATTGTTCAGCCTTTGCTTTACATCATCAATAGGTGTATTCTGAACAAAATAATTCTCAGTGCTGCCACATTTTACTTGAAAATATTCACTTGTGATGTTCAAAGTTGATTTTCCTGTTACCTTGTATTTTTTTTCTAGTCCTTTTGAATCTGCAATCCAATTTTCAATTCCAGTTTCATCAATGATAAACGGGTCAGTATGAGCTGAAAGAAAATCTGGGTTTTCAATGATTTCAGCATATTTTTCGTCACAATCTATCTCTAGAACTCCATTGTTCAAATTGGCTATTTTTTTGACTTTTGGACAGTCATTACTTCCCATGAAGAAATTCATAGTTCTATCAGGTAAAATTGCCATCCAAGGAGTCCCTCTTAATTCAATATTGCAACGCGGCCACTTATACACTAAATGATCTCCTCCTAAAGTTTTATTTCAGTTTTTAATCGCAACTTCGCTTCTGCTTTCCCAAATATATACCCATAATAACGCTATGATAATTACACAAATTCAAAACTTTTTAGGTCCCACATTCCTTTTGGCATAAAAGCAGAATTTGATAGATAAAGTTATCATAAACAAAATAGTCCAAAACATAAAAAATGCAGTCAAATTATATTGCCCATGATGCAATAATGTTGTGCTCAAATCCGCAATTGCTGAGGCCATAAAAATGAGCCATCCTGTCGCTATTGCTGCAATTTTTACTGCAATATTTATTTGGCTAAAGTAGAAGATAGGCAAAATTGTAAGGCAAAGCGTCGATAAAACAGAAATCGCTAAACAAATTCCAAAATCGACTAAATGGCCTGTCACATATTTTACATCACCTCCTTGCAGTGTGTATACGTATAAAAGAGTGCTTATTTTAAAGCTCGCAAGATAAGCAAAGAAAAAATAGGCATCTTTAGGCTGAAGCTTGCCAACTGGCTGATCACTCAGGTTTGGATTGTTCATAATTATTAGTTTGAAATATGTTCTACTTTCTTATTGATTTTCATTTTGAGTGACGAATCAAATTAAACCAAATAGCAGAGCCTTAATAGCTGGAGACTCAATTTAATAAGAAATTGGTTTATGATAAGCAGGATCAATACTGCAACTGAAATATAAAAATCTATAAAATCCAGGCAAAGTGATAATTGTTTAGCGGATTATCTGAATAGTTATATGCAAAATAGCAATAACTCCTTTAAATTATTATATTTGATTTTTAGAGTTAATTAAATATATAACTTCTATGGGCATCCAAACTCCTTCTATCAAGATCTATTAAATTTTATAATCGCTTAACAAGTTTAATAATATCAGATTAATTGTTTACACACAAAGGATTTTTTGAATTTTACGTGGGGATTGCAAATTAAATCAAGTGAATCATTTTTAGTGTCTTATAACATTAGACAAAACTTAAAAAAATGCATAGTTAATAACTGACAGAAAAACGCAATTCCTATGAAGCGACTTCAATTTTAAATTCTCTCTGATAGGAGATAATTTTGTAAGAAAAGCAATTTAATTAAACTAAATTTAAGCTTATTGCTAAATTTTTGTCTTCTTGAGATGCAGAAATTGAGATTCTTAACTTCGCATTGCATTTATTACCTCCCCTTTTAATTTGGAATAAAATATCGTTAAATTTTACGCTCTTGGGGTAATTTAATCACCCTTTATTTAAATATAAACGAAGTTTTTAATTTTAGCTAACTCCCCCCCCCCCCCCTCCGTGAGCGAACAAAACCATTAGAAAAATCGCCATTTTTTGACCAAAAAACCCACCCTCCGTGAGTGAACAAAAATTTTTTTAATAGAAAAAATTTTAATGGAAAAAAATTTTGATATATAAGTGATAATTAGTATAATGAAATCTAGAGCTAATTCTGTTTTTAATTTTAAACAAATTGCGTTTTAAAACATAAATTTTTGCAAATTAAATTAATATTTGCTTCCCAATTTTTGCAAATTAGGATTTTTTTAAATTTCGAAAAAAAAATATTTTTTAGAAAATTTATATATAAATTTTTTTTAAAAAAAAAAATTAACCCCCCTCCGTGAGCGAACAAAATTTTTTTGTTCGCTCACGGAGGGGGGGGGGGGAGTAAAAAAAAAATTTTTACGTAAGCTACTTAGAGATCAAATTTAATGTCGTGTACGGTGCCGATCGCAAGCTTTACTCCAAATCCAAGTTTTTTTGCCTCAGAGGGAAATGAGTCTCCCATTAGAGCCAGTGATATCTTTTGTGGCCAGCCGGGGCTATTCCCCAGCATGAAATCAGGAATTACGCCCTGAGCTTCGGATTTTCATTTTTGGCCGAGAAATTCAATCATTTTGAATTTTCCATGGAGGACTCCCTATTGACATATGGCAGGGCGATGCGACTCATTCAATACCTAGGTTCTAGTGCAAGCCCTCAGCAGAAGCAACCTTTCTGAGATTGTGCTCGAATTTGCGAGCAGGTGAAGAGGGTGCAACGGTTGGAGACAGTCCTTGTAGAATTACAGCAAGCTTCTCGATAAGCATTAAAAATTAATAACTAACTGACATTAATATTTCTATTTTAAATGTGGGGGTAGAGCTCAAACATAATACTATTTAAATAAAGTTGCCTTTAAATCAATAATTTTTATAAAAACATGCTTTAAATTTGATTTTTTAATTCAATCCCCTTTAAACTGGAATCAAATTTTTTGATTCAATTTAAAGGTGGGAGTCAAGGTTAGGTTAGTTATTTAAAATCAGGCGTTAGCCATATTGGTGATGAAGTCACCAAAGACCTCCTTACTGAAGGTTCTACCGCTTTTCGACTCCAGCCCAGAGGGTCTATTTCCGAAAACGGGTTTATACTTCCGGTACCTTCTGTCTCCTCCAGCTTCAGTCTTGAGTTGGCAGCTTATGGATTTCTGCGGCCATACTACAGACGATTGAAATGGCTTGACTCCGATAATCAACTCCTTGGAGTCTATCAGGTGTTGAAGTGCCTTCCTTCACCAGCTACAGGAGAGACTGCTCCACTGTGGTCTGGCCGAAACCCGAATACCGATGGGTCCTTGGATCCAAAGGACATTATCGGGGACCCGGATGAACATTGCCTGATATTTTGCTTGATTCTCTACTCGGAGTCCGCTGTGGCCATAAGTCTGACCGTTGCCCCAAAAGGGTTGTTAAAAGGTCGCTATTTTAATGTATGTGTGAGTCAGGTAATCTCTAAACATTTGAATTGAAAAATATAATCTTAGCCTTATTTTGGCTCGGGCTATATATTCCAGCAAATATGACAGATTAGACCTTAATTTAATAAGCAGTGCTATTTGATATTACAGAATCATGGTATTTAAAAATCGAAAATTAAAATAAATTGATAAAAATACACTCTTTACCCTTTTCTCTTTTCTCTCATTTTGATTTTTAATATTTCCATTATGAAGTCCCTTTCACTAAAATCAATCTTAATGGCTTCTGAAAGTATATTGACAAAATCAAATCAAGGTGGTCAAGATATTTGTGAAACAAATAAGCTAAACAATATGGAAAATCTTGCAAGTCAAAGTGAAAATTACAATATAAAATTGCAAGCGCACAAAATCTTTGAAGCAGCCACAGAACCAGTTGAGATTTTGCATTTAAGTGATAACGGCAGTCATTCTTTTATTCAATCTCAGATAGAAAATCCTCAACAAATTATTGATTGAAAACAAAAGAATATTGAAGATTTCCATTCAACTAACCAAAATATGCTAAAACATCCTTCAGACACTATAAAAGAAGTTCAAAATATCGAAAATCAGACTAAGACAGACAGGAGTTTTCAATTAAATGAAATGAAATTACAAATTTCTAGCCTTCCTATCGAAAATCAGACTGCTTGTGATATAATCTTTACTCCCCTCCGTATCCGAAAAAAAATTTTTTGTTCGCTCACAGAGGGGTTAATTTTTTTTTAAAAAAATTTAAATATAAATATAAAAAATTATTTTTCGAAATTTAAAATATCATAATTCGCAAAAAATTGGAATCAAATATTAATTTAATTTGTGAAATTACAATTTAAAAAGCAAGCTGTTTAAAATTAAACAGAATCGGGTAGAGATCTCTTATAATTGTTATCACTTATATATCTTAGAGGACAGAAAATTATTGAAAACACAAATACCAATAACTCTGACTATGAATTTATATCAGATTTTGCATCTTTCCATCTACCTAAAATAAATAAGCCCAATCCGCTTCACAAGCCAACCCGAGCAATCAAAAAAGAAGCCCCAAAAACTGAGCAGCCGAAATCTTTTATGTCAAAAATCGCAGGCGTATTTTCAAAAGGAGCGCCTGAAGACAAGCCACCAGAAATGAAATTAGGAAACACTGGTGGGTTTTATTATGACAAAGCCAAGAAGAAATGGGTCATTGAAGGACAAGAAGAAGAAAAGCAAGAAGAATTGGAGCCTCCACCCGTAGGATTTATAACTACAGCTACAGGATCTCAAAAAAGAAGGCAAATGTATGTAGACACAATTGGCCAGTCCTCATTTAATGAATCTACCTATAAACCAGCAGACCATGAAGAGCCTGAAGTTTTTGATGAAGGATTTAAGTCAGACCCAAAACCAGAAGAAAACTATGAGACTTTAAGTGAAAAAATGGAAATCAGTCAAATAAATGAAGGGGCTAAAGAAGAAACTAAACAAGAAGAGAACACGCTTGCAGGCTTCAAAGAATATAGCGGCTCAGAAAGTCCACCAAGTGAATTAAAAGAAGACTCAAAGGCTGAAGAAATAAAACAAAATGAAAAACTTATTAATCAGCTTAAAGAGGAGCTATGGGAGTTAAACTGGAAATCAAGTGAAAAAATTGAAGAACTTTCTGCAATAAATGAAGAATTATACCAGCAAATTTCTTTTTTAAGTGATCTAGGGGTACAAAATGAATTAAAAATTCAAGAATTGAATTGGAGACTGCAAACAGAAGCAGACAGTAAATCAATATTCCAAGAAGACTTAGAAAATATGAGAGATACAATAAATTTATTAACAAAAGAAATTTCTAGCCTAAAATCGTCAGACCCAGTATTTTTGTCTGAAGACTCTGATCCTTATGAGCTTCAGCTGCAAATTGCTCAGTTAGAAAACGAAAAATTACAGTTTCAATCAAATATTGCTACCAAAGATTTGGAAATTGCTAATTTAAATGTCAAGCTAAATGAGACAGACACAAATGTTGGGCTGCTTTCTAAACAAATTGAGAGGCAAAAGCATGAATATGAGCTAAAAGAGCAATATTTTACTGAAGAAAGGCAAAGGGCTCAGCAAGCTGTGTCATCATTTAGATCGCAGCTCACACAAATAAAAGAGATGCATAGAGTTGATTTAGACGAGCTTGAGCATCTCAGAAACTTGGTTGAAGAAAATGATATAAAAATAGGCATTTTAAGCAAGTCTAAAAGTAAAGCTGATATTGAGCTGAAAAAAGCAATATTTGATCAGCAGCAAGCAGAAGATGAGCTTCTTGAAGCAACCAAAAAATTAAAAGAAATCGAAGTATTTCGGAGAAATTTGGAATTAGAAATACATCAGTTGAAAATGGAATTGTTATCAGAACAAAATGAAGATTTTATAAGGGAGCTGCAATCTCAGCTACAGTTAGCTGAAACTGAGAAGGTTAAATTGGAAACTTTAGTCATAGAAAGCAAAAAAGAGGCTCAAAATATAAAGCACCAACTTTCAGAAGCTGAAAAAAAGCTAAAGCTTGAAACTGAAGAAAATGCTGCGAAAATGCAAAGTCTGGAAGAGGAAATAAAAGAAAAAGATAAAGAAAATGAAATAAAAGGGAATGAAAATAGAAAAATGAAAGAAATTGAAAAAGAATTAGAAGATAAAATTAATATGTTGAGGGATGAAAATAGTGAGATTAATGAGAGTTTGAATGAAAAAAATATGATAATTGAGGAAAAAGAGAAAGAAATAGCTGAAATAGCTAAAAAAATAGATATAAAATTTATTATAAATAGTTTTTAGAATATATTGGTTTAGCATTTAACTTATTAAAAGACAATGGTATAGACTTGAAAAAGAAATAATTGAAAAGGAGAATAAAATTAACCAAGCTCAAGAAATTAATTTTAAGGTCCAGAATGAAAAAGAAGATCTTTGCAAAATTTTAGAAGATACACGTGAAAATTATGAAGAAAAGTTGTCTAATGAAATCTCGCAGAATTCTGAGTTAAGTTTACAAATAAATGAGTTAAAGGAAAATATTGCAAATCAAGCATTGGAAATTGATAGCCTTAAAGTAAATATAGAAGAAATTTTGAAAAAATCAGAAGAAGCAATCTCACAAGAAAAAGCAAATAATTTAGAGCTCACCAAACTCTTAGATGAAGCTAAAAAGGAACTTGATGAAAAAGAAAAAAACGAGAAAAAACTGTTGGAGCAAATATCAGAGCTTAAAGAGATCACTCAGAAATTAGAATTAGAACTGAAAAATCTTGAAGAAGATAAAAATTCAGCCTTTGAAAGCTCAGTTTCTTTACGTCAAGAACTTGCAAAAGTAGAAGAAGAGAAAAAACAAGCTATAGAAAGTTTGGAATCTTTAAAAAATGAATTGGATGAAAAATTATCAGAAAATGAAATAAAACTTGACGAATTGGACAAGCAAAATAAATTATTAATCGAAGACATCTCATCTAAAGATAGAAAAATACAAGAACTTGATAGCCAATATGAAGAATTATTAAAAGAAAATATAGAATTAAAAGATAGCCACGAAATCGAAGTAGAAGATCTAAATTCAGTTATTAATGACTATATTGGAGCTAATGGGCAACTAAGAAATGAAGTGGAAACCCTTAAAGACGAAAATTCAAAACTGTCTGAAGAGATTTTGGCTAATAAAGACTTGATCATAGAAAGCAACGAAACAATACAAGAACTAAACAGCAAAATCAAACAAATTTCAGGTGAATGCGAAAAATATAGCGAAGAAATCAATCTTCTAAGGTCACAAGAACAGACATATATTTCAACAACAAAAGATTTAAGTGACAAACTAGATAATTGGAGTGCCCAAAATCAAGAACTCCTAGAAAAAGCAGAAGAAGATAAAAACATCTTGATCTCAAAGAAAGATGAAGAACTTGAAATTTTGCAGAGCCAATTCAAACAAGCCGAAGAAGATTTAATTTCTGCTTCAAAAGAAAGAAATGAGCTACAACAAAATCTCACAATTACTCAAGAAGAATTAAAACTAAACCAAGACAAACTTTCTGAGCTGGAAAACACATTACTTGAAAAAAACAATTTAATCAAAGAGCTCAATCGAATAGTAGCTTACAAAGATTTAGAGCTCTGTGAAGAAAGAGAAAAATATGAAGAACAAATTTTACAAATTAAAGAGGAGCAGGGTGAAAATTTAAGTGGGGATATAGTATTATTAAAAAACGAGATAAATGATCTACAGGGAAAAAATCTTGAAATAAGCAAAGAATTGAAAGAAGTAAAGGAGATTGATTCAAAGAAAAGTGAAACTATATCATATTTACAAAGTTCAGCATCTAATCTTAAAGATCAGCTGAATAAAAAAGACCAAGAATTGAAAGTCCTAAAAGAAGAAATGAAGTCTATTAATGAAATAAATGCAGGACATGAAAAAGAGGTTAGATTGCTAAAAGCCAAAAGTAATACAAACACTGAGTTGGAAGATTATAAAAGAAAAAATGAAGAGCTATCTGAAGAAATAAAATCTATGAATAAAGACATTGAAGACTTATATGAGCGCAGATGGAAAGAGCAGCAAGATGCTACTGCAAATCTTGAAAAACAAAAGCTGAACTATGAAAAAATGATAGAAGAGCTAAAAGCTGACTTTGAAAAGCAAAAGCTGTATTATGAAAATCTCATAGAAGAAAATAAAAACCCAGAAAAAAAGAACGAGAGCGAAGAAAAGCAGCTATTTTCAGAGATAATTATTAATGAGCAAAAATTAAATAAAATGCCGCACGAAGATGCACTGATTCCAGTTCAAGAGCCAGCACAAATGCAAAAGTTAGTGACAGACACTGTTGAGGCAATAAAACATCAAGCAGAAAAGCAGCAAACTCCGCAAGTTCCTCAAGAGTCCGAAGGCTGGTTTACATCTCTGCTGGGATCAATCTTTTTGACAGATAGAGAAAGGGGGCAATAATAAATAATGTGAGAGCTTTATATTTTCATTTATTTTATGATCTTATTATAATTTTTAATATAATGCTCTATATATTGAAATATAAACATTTATTTTATTTTGAGTAATTATACAGGGAATAGGATCAGAATGAAGTGCACAGCTTGTATTAATATGGATCCGCTTGACGATAAACAATAGGAAGGTTGTTTGGATTGGGATTCATATTATAAACACCATTAATTTTTATAGTTACAATTATTCCAAATTCTTAATATTCACTCTGATAAAAACTACTGTTTATATGATAAGGACCTAGAAATAAAAAAACAATTAAAATTAAGCCTTCCTAGATTTCTCTTTTTTGCACTTATTTTAATTATATACTAAATTTATATGAATGAAAAAAGTTTGTGATAGTTTAGAATTTTAGACTATAACTGAGCTTACACAGGGCAATTTCTAAAATTCTCTCCCTATAATTTTGTAAATGTGCAACTAAATTGTTAGTTAAACACTTAATGCTTGCCTAAATAAAAGCATTTTTAAATAATCTCATTTTTCTTGAACTCAATAATAATAATTATTGGTTTCTAGATTAACCTCTATACCTATTACGTCCATCTTCTTTTTTGTTGTTAGATGATGGCAATGACATTTCGGTAATGATTGAAGGCTTTTAAGTCTCTAACTCCCCCCCATCCTTGATCGAACGACTCGCCTTTTATCGATCAAGGATGGGGGTTAAAAAAAATTGTTTTTGGAAAAATTTTTATATATAAAATAAAATATATATATATATATATATTTTATTTTTACTTTTAAATAAGAGGGTTAAGAGTATTTAATAATTATTTTTTACAGCAAAAAATTAAATTAATCTCATAAAAATACCAATTTTTAATATTTTGATTTATTAGTTACCCCTTTAAACTGTATAAATTTTAATTTGTTTCTTATTAAATTAAATTTTTTTTTTTAAAATTTTAAATAATCTCTATTTTATTAGATTATTGAGTTTTAAGCCCTGATTGATGACTAAATCACTTTGAATGGTTGATTCCGAAGCTTTCTGTCGTCTCAAAGTCTCTGAAAGCAACTTCATTAGGTACATCTTCCCAAGCTTTTGATAACTAATATATTTTTATATATAAAATTTTGCATGATATGAAAATCGTTCGATCAAAGATGGGGGTTTAATTTTCCCAATTTTTAGGAATTTTTACAGTCAATCGTTCGATCAAGGATCGGGGGGGGGAGTAAGTGCTTAAATCTGACATAAATTTTATTATGGACTCATTGCTTTTAATTTGAAACTATGAATCACCATAAAGTGAGTAAGCCATTAATAAAAATTAGATTTTCATTTAGATGTAGCTTCTTGATCCCTAACCTCATTACTAAATCAGACGAATCAGAGCAGAGATTACTGCAAACTGCATTGTGATAGCTAAATAAGCAATAGGAGGAGCTCAGTTGAAATATTTAATATTACACCATAGCCATGATTTTAAGTAATAAAATATATTTTAATGATAAAAAGGATTTATTTCTCAAAAGCTCATTTTGAATCTCTTTATCTATGTTTTTTGGATTTTACCTTCTTGAAATATCAGGAATAAATAGATTAGTTTTGCAAATTTTTGATCCCAAAGAAAAATCAATAAAATAATTTTTTAGTACAAAAAATTCCTTAAATATAAAACAATTGAAAATTCTTTAATTTTTGTAGCAGAAAACTTAAACATTTTTAAAAATCGGAATCATTAAAAATAAATCGAGCACGTGCTAGCACCCTATTGACGAAATCAAAAATTTTTAAAGATTAATAAATTACTCCTCTATGCTATCAGCTTTGAGTTAAAATCTATACACATATAAATTAAAATAATTTAAAATTTTTAATTAGCTGCTCTAGATATTATTCGCACAAAAAGCTCTCTCTTAAAAAATTTCAATTAATGATTATTTCTTAAACTTTAAGAATTTAAGCTTTATTTTGGTTCTTCAAATATAATTTTTTTGAGAATCAGACTATAAGTTTGGTACATACTAAAACAGAAAATTTCCAAAAATCCCTTCATTTACTTACTTCCCCCCTCCGTGTGTGAACGAAAAAATTTTTGTTCACCCCTATCAATTCATTATCATGAAATTCTAATGGTGAAATAATTGCATCCGGCCACGATAACGGAAGAATTTCTATATATAATTCTACCGAAATAAGCGGATCTTACGAACTATATCAAGAAAAAAAATATCTTATGAAAGATGTCAAAGTTCATTTTTGTCTGGGATAACTTGGTAACCTTTTCAATTCATGATAGTAATATTTATGGAAGATCTCATATTGATGGTACAATTATATGAACCATATCCAACCAAAAGAATATAAAACATTTATCTTCACCTCTTATATTTAATCGATTGCAACCATTGATATTGAAAATAAGATAGATTTTTACAAATTAAATTTTATTTCAATTATCAATTTTTTGGTAAATTGGTAAAGGAAAGAATCTTATTAATCTGTGATTTAATTAGGCAAATAATTTTTTCTAGTTTATATCATATACAGCTTGACTAATAAATTTAAGAATTATGGGATGCTCTGCTAAATCTCAAGCAATACTGCAAGTTCTGTAATTGTCAGATCTCAGCCAAAAAGTAAATCCTCAGACCAAGCCTTCAAACTCTGTCCCGCCTTGTGAATTCATATCTGTTGCAAATCTTCCAGACTCAACTCAGCAATCTCCATCTCCAAATCTTGATCTTAGAAAGTATTTCGCAATCCCAGCATCAATAACTTGTAATGGCTCTGTTATTTCAACCCCTTCTAATCATTCATCATGATCTACTTTAATTTTTATTTCTCCTTTACAGAAAAAACTTTCAATCGAGGTTCAAGTTGCAGGTGAAAATTCTGAATTTACAATAGTTGGCGGCATTATTTTAGCTGATAAAAAAACTCTTCCAAATGTGAAATTCGATTCCTCTTGCAACTTAAACGTTTGGACTTATGAAGGCACAGGGTTTACACATTCTCAATATGGTACATTTTCATATAACGCTGAACAATGGAAAATTAATTAGGACGACCTTGTCAAAATTGAATATGACCCTTCACAAAGTCAAATCAACTTTTTCAAAAACACGCGAAAAATTTACCAGCATGAAACTGACTCAGGGCCACTTTTCCCAATAATTCAGCTCGGAGCTCCGAATCAAAAACTCACCATCCTTACTGTTAAGGTATAATTAAATAATAAAATAATAGAAGCGATTTTAGGACCTGTCCTCTTGGGAAAAAATGGCAACCAGCCGATCTCCTGCCTTAGAGAGCAAAATATTTGCTACTTTATTTTTCTGCACATTGGTGTCCACCATGTAGAGGCTTCACTCCGAAGCTCGGCTTTTTTACGATTCTGTCAATTCAGCGCACAAGCAAGTCGAAATTGTGTATGTCAGCGGAGACCGTACCCCTGAGCAGTTTGCTGAATATTATGACGAAATGCCTTGGCTTGCTGTACCTTATTCGGAATCTGCAACAAGGAATGAATTAGCTCAAAGATTCAGAGAATCCCTTCATTAATGCTGATTAATCATGAAGGAGTTGTGAAAAAAGACGCATGCAGAATGGATGTTACTAATAAAGGACCTCTGTGCTTGGCCGACTGGGACGCAGCACTCAACTCTTAAAAATTGACTAAGTATATTATTTCTTTCTTATTAATTGGCTAGTTGTTTTCATCTTCAATTTCTGTTGCTAATTCTTATCAAAATTTCGACATAAGATTAAAAAAAACAATTTTTAAAAAATTATGCTTTTGAGAAAAAAGATCTCTATAGAAATTCTTACTTATTTTGATGCAACTTGCTTTTATAAATGGAGAGATTATTAGGATCTGTATTGATTGGAAAAAGCGGGAACGTTAGTACGTCAACACTGGGTAAGGCAAAGTATATTCTTTTGCACTTCTCTGCGCATTATTGTGCACCATGCAGAGGATTTACACCTAAGCTTTCAATGTTTTAGGAATCAGTCAATTTTGATGAAAGGAAGGTTGAAATAGTTTTCGTCAGCGAAGATCGTGCTATTGAGCAGTTCAACGAATATTATGACGAAATGCGATGGCTCGCAATTCCTTATGAAGCAGTTGAAATTAGAACCGCTTTGATCCAAAGATACAGAGGGCAAGGAATTCCTTCTCTGGTGCTCATAGATCTGCAAGGAAATATGAAAAAGAATACCTGTAGGATGGATGTCACAAATAAAGGACCTTTGTGTTTATCTAGGCTATTTATCGAATTTTTTTATCGCTTAGTCCATTAATGATTATGACTTAAGGATTGATATCATTGTAATTCCAAACTCTCCAAATGTCATTTTCATCTCTTTCACGATATCCAGTGACTTCTTGACCTCTAGGGTTATTATGCCCCCCATGAGAATGCAGAGCGCATTCAGACCTGACATGAATTAGTCTAGTACGATATGTTGTAATCCAAGGAGTTCCTGCATCGTGGTCAGTTTCGATTCTCCAATCATCATTATCGTCTCCATATCCATTGTTGCCATATGCGGATACTTCTTGTTGTCCAGATGATGGTGATGGAACTCCAGGCGAAGAGTGTAAATTTTTTCCAGTCTCTATATGCTCGAGCCTGATAATACTATTATTCATGACCTGAGTCCCTTTAAGCTGGCGCCATCCATCGCCCAAATAATTAGGCCCTTTTACAATAAACCACGAGTTCTTATCTTCAACTCTATTGGCTGTAACTTCTTGCTGGCCACTCCCTGTTGTATAGTTGATAGGATCAGAGCGGAGAATAGCATTGGTGCTTTCATGACGTAGCTGAAGACGAGCACCGTATGTGACGGGAGGAGTTCCGTGAGACATATTTAAATATTATAGCCACTATTTTAAATGGCGAAAATATGTTTAATAGTAAAATGGAATTTATTTCTCATTTTAGGTTGCTCTCTTTGTTTTTCTAAGATTTTGCTATTTCTTAGATATTTGATAAATAATTTAGACTTTGATTTGCAATTTCTCTAATCAAACAAAATTTAAAAAAAAAATATTTTTTTTGTGTATTTTATAATAAATGAAAAATCGAATCAAAATTATAAAAATTTTTGTAAAATATCCTTATGCTATATTTCCGCAATGTTTGCATAAATTTATCTAAAGTTTTTAAAACCGTCATTATTGGAAATAAATGGAACACGTGTTTTAAAACTGCTCCATGATAAATGATTGTGAACTCTTGAAAGTGCAACATTACCCAGAGAAATTTGGTCTAAATTTTTTTAGCGTTTGTTTAAAAAAAAACCTATTAAATTTCGATCAAAAGTGATATTTTGAATAAATTTTCTAAAATTGAATGCGCTTTTTCAAAATTATACTATCGACTTGCACCAATTAAAACCCTATTTAAAGAAAATTAAAATTTAAGATTAATAAAAATGCCCTTTTTATCATCCTTAAGCATAGGCAAGTCCTTTATACTTTTTAATACAACTTTATTGGCTAGCTGCTCCTCTTTCTTTAATCTAAATGAAAATTGAATAATTTATAAAAGAAAAATAGTGCATATGATAAGTTCGGGTTGCATCGTGATACAATTGAAGACGAGTACTGTACGTGATGAGAGGAGCTCTGTGAGACTGCTATATTATAGCTACAATTTTAATTTATCGAAATATGATTTAATTATAAAATGAATTTATTTCTTATATTCCCATTTTGAAATTGTTCCTCTATACTTTTAGATTTTACAAGTTATTAGATTGCTATTAATTAAATAGATTCAATTTTACGGATTCTCTATTTAGATTAGATTTAATTGTAGAGAGCGTTGGAGATTATTTCAACCCTCTAAATCTTGATTTGGTTAAGGCTTGAGTTGCCCTAAGTACCAATTAAAACTTATACCAATTTAAGCAGTCGTTACCAAAATTCTGAAATCAATATCTGTTGGGAAGCTTATTCAGCCACTTTCTTGCACAAACTCTAGCGTTGAAAACTCTACCCAAAATTCTTCTTTTAGGTTCCAATTACACTATTAATCTAAATTATGTAATTATTATAGCGAATTCTTATAGCCCTTGGATTGACTCATGAAAAAATGTATCGTGGCAGAACAAAAAACTACCCGGACATGATTCACATGCCTATAGATAAAAATAATTGTTTTGGTGTAACTGCCAAGACATTCATTAAAATTGAAATAAATCCTTATATTTTGCTTTCGTATATTTGCATAAATTATTTATAATCATTAGAATTGGAAATAAATGGAATACGTAAAACCCTATTAAATAGAATTAAAAATTTTTCGACTGGCAAAACTGCCCTCTTTTATCATGTCTTAAGCTTGCTCCTCCTCCGTGAACGAGTAAAGTAATTTGTTCGCTTGGGGGGCAGCTCAAGAGATGTGCACACGGGTAGGTTTTGCCTGCTTTCCTGTGGTTGAAAATTTTTTGCTGTAGTTGTCGAAGGAAGGCACTTCGGTACCCGACAGACTCTAAGGATCCTTTGAATCAAGCTACTCCAATCACCGGTAGCACAGCCGCAGAAATCTATAGGCTGCCCACTCAAGATTGAAGCAGCAATGATGAGACAGAAGGCAATAGAAGTGGCATCCGCCTTCGGGGGAAAGACCCTCTTGACTGGAGTCGAAAAGTGGATGAACTTCCCGTATAGGAGATCTTTGGTGGCTGCGTCATCAATATGGCGAATCCTGATTTTAATAGCCTAACTAAACACCTTTTAAAATTCCTTTTCCAATTTATGGATTAGCTTCTTTTTAAAGAAAAAATTTTATTAAATTTTTCTCTAGAATAAAATATTATAAAATTAAAAAATATAAATTGAATTCAATGTTTTGAATTTTAATTTATTTTTATAATGAATTAATTTAAAAAACTAATCGATTCAGTGTGAACTGTTTAAACAATATTCTACTTGCATTTTAATTTAACTTGTATTGAAAAAACTTATAAGATGGAGGTGAAATACTCGAAAAATGGAAATTTTGCATATATTTTGTTCCACTTTAAAAAGGGTGGGTAAATCTTATTTTGCTATAAGATATTTTAATAATATATCTTGATAGCCTCAGATTTAATATATAGTGTTTATTCGCCATTAATTGGATATATCCTGATTTTCTGAAAAATAAAAAATTATGAGGATAAATCTTTTCATTCTATAAAAAATTTTTTTGTTGGTTCTTGGAGATAGGCGCAAATAGGAATTTTTGAATACTCTGATCACTCACGAGAAGGGAGTTAGGGAAATTTATTAAAATCAAATTTTAATGGCTGCGTAATGAAAATTAAATAGTTTTATTTGTTCAAGCCCTTAATTCTTAGTTCTTACTCCCCCCTCCCTCAGCGAACAAACCATTAGAAAAATCCCTATTTTTGCCCAAAAACCACCCTCCCTTAGTGAACAAAAATTTTTATGAAAAAACAATTTTGATATATAAATGATAATTATTATAACGAAATCTCTAGCTAATTCTGATTAATTTTAAACACATTCTGCGTTTTAAAATATAAATTAAATTCTCAATTTTTACAAATTGAAGTTTTTTTTTAAATTTGGAAAACAAAAATTCCATATAAAAAAAATTAACCCCCTCACCTCAGTGAGCGAACAAAATTTTTTTTTCGGGAGTTAGTTAAAAATATTGAGAAGCTCCCTGTGATGCCAATGGGCATTTTTCTCCACTGTTGCTTATCTCAATGTCTATGTTTACTCTCACGAGCTTCTCACATTGGCTCACATGCTAACTTGAGTGTAGTGAGATAGGTCACCGTGCCATCGTTACCTGGGTTGTTCTTTCAAGAACTAAAAAATATTTTTGACGAGTAATGACCAAAATTGAACTCAAAATTCAAATAGTATCTCGCTGGGGAATACTCGATTGGCAAGTGCTAAACCCAGTCTTGATGAGTGACTTCTAAGAAGCATCTTACTCCGAGGTAAAACCTTTGCCTGGATGTGAGCTTGAGGGCATCTAAACCCTACATTTAGCTCCACCTAACCAAGTAGAATCTGACCGGATAAATATTGTTAAGCGATATCATCCCTTCCACAATTTCCACGCTGCAGGCGTTAAAAGTGCAGGCTGGCTTGCCAAGCCACTTTTAAAATATTATTTATTCAAAAAAAAAGTCAAAAATAGCTATATAATTATCTTATAGATGTCAGAAGCTTTCTCATTCTTCTTGGATTCTTAAACACTGCAAACTCAACATATGAATTTTCCAATTTTTCATCAAGAGGTGTATCTTCTACTGAATAAACTTTGAAAATATCTGCTTCCGGATTATCAGATTCTTGAATATCAGTCAATCTTGCCCAGGCTTCTAAAAAACTCTAACTCCCCCCCTCCGTGAGTGAACAAAACCATTAGAAAAATCCCTATTTTTTTGCCCAAAAACCCACCTTCCGTGAGTGAACAAAAATTATTTTTTAATAGAAAAATTTTATATGGAAAAAAATTTTATATATATAAATGATAATTAGTATAATGAAATCTAGAGCTAATTCTGTTTAATTTTAAACGAATTGCTTTTTAAAACATAAATTTTATAAATTAAATTAATATTTGCTTTCAAATTTTGCGAATTAGGATTTTTTTAAATTTCGAAAAAAAAAATTTTTTATAAATTTTTTAAAAAAAAAAAAAATTAACCCCCCTCTGTGAGTAAAAAAAATTTCTTTGTTCACTCTAAAAACGAAGCTTGCATATGGAGTTTTAAGTTAATTTCGTCAACTTGGGTCATCATTGCTAGATGATAACAAATGATTGCTTGCCTTGCATTGACTTTTTCATTTATATGGCCCACTTTTTGACAAAGTGCTAAAAACTCATCTAAGACCATAAATCTGCGATCTCCAGGCATAGAAAACTTTCCACTATTGGCTTCATATACAGCTTCTAGTAGATCTTTGTTATTTTGAATGATGGCATCACAATCTTCATTGAAATACCGCTCCCACCTTCATTTATTTGCATCAAAATTTCTGAAATATGGCCTAATATCTTCCATGAATCTTTTAATAGCAGTAATTTCATCTCCGCAAACTCCTGACCTCATATATTTATCAAGAGCTGATCTTACTATTATTTCCAAAAACTCATGCCTAATAGCCCCAAATGCTGGGTTTCCTTGTGCTGCTGCTTGATTTGTGAAATTTGCTGCCTTAATATGCAAATCCATATCAGAGATTTTAAACTGTTTATCAAAAACACTGCACTTTTGGAAAATCTCTGTTAATGTCATTGAATTCACAAGGAAAATATTATTTCTGTTCCCAATCGATGCATGATACTTATAAGTTTCATATCTCTATTTGACTATTACATTATCTTGTATTCTCTCCTAAGAAATTCTTTTACATGATTGAGCATTTCCCCATTTTTAATAATATTATGAATTTTGGTATTAGCCCAATCAAATTCAAAGCACCGATCAAGGAGTTCCTACATTAAAATTACAGATGTATCAGTTATGTATTTCGCAAATATTGAAGTTTCTAAAGACCAAACAGGAATATCAGGCTCAGGCTTATCCCCAGGAGGTGGCACATATTCTTCAAAAATAGGACGAGGAGCTACAGTTAGGCCATTATCCTCTACATCAATATAATTAACCACAACAACCAGCAAGGTTTTGGAATAATTTCCATAAAAATGAAAATTTCTTTCCAATCTTTCTCCTAAAGCTTCTACCTTAAATTGACTTGAAATCTGTGCAAATCCTCTATAGCTAAAGAAAAAGCGGACTTTCCCAGTTTTTACAGCTCGAAGTGCCTCATATGTCCCATCTTCTGTTTTAGTCAAAAGATGAGGCTGAAAATCATCAATTTCAAAATGTACAAAAACAGGCTCTGTCTGTGTGCTTAATTTATCCATAGCAAAATGTTTAAGCCTCCTATTCCATACAATGCAAGCTGGATTCCAGGTAATTTTCAAGTCAGTCCATCCTTCACAAATCCAGCAATTTCTATTGATTTTTCTGAAATTTGTCCTAGTCAGAATTCTCGATGCAAAATGGTCATATTTTTCTTTGAAAGTATTATTTTTTGGATGGATATACCCAAAAGCATCTAAAACACAATGATTCCCTTCAATATGAAATCCTATCAATGTATGATTTAAGCTCAATCCCTTGGCTATATCTTTGCTTTCTTCAAAAGTGATGTAATTATTCGACAGATCGAAATGCTTTAACCTTTCATTTTGAGCCAGAGCTTCTGAAAGCGCTATTGATGTTTTATGTATTTTATCGTTTCCCATTGAATTTCATGATAAATCTAGACCTTGCAAATTTGTGTTGTCTATTAGTCCTTTAAAAATTCCAATTGCGCCTTCTCCTCTGATGTAGTTTCAATGTAAATCTAAGCTTATGAGCGATCGATTATAAAAAATTAATTTTCCTAGATGAATTCCAGCTACTTCGTTAAGGTTGTTTTTAGCAAGGTTTAAATGCCTTAGGGTTGCATTATAATATAATGCTTCTGTCATCACTTTGATAGATTCACTTGATATTTTGGTGCTTTCTAATTTTAGTACCGGAAAAATGGCACTCATAAGAGGGATAAATCCTCTGAAAAGCGATAGAACCTCTGTATTGGAGGTCTTTGGTGACTGCGTCACCAATATGGCTAGTGCCTGACTTTACTAAGACTAAGACTAAGCACGGTGGCCCAGTTCGCCTACTTCCGGGATAGCATGACCAAGCCCCATGACCGGAAGGAGCTGAGTGGTAGCCTGTGGCACCTAGGTGCACACTTGGAGTAGGGCAAGGAAAGAAGCGAGGCGTCCAAAAGGCGGAAGAAAAGGACCTTCGGTCCTGGCCGGGAGCTACTCTATAAATTTAACTAAGACTAAGGCCTGACTTTAATAATCTAATCCTAATCCTAATTTTAGCACTTCTAAAGAGCAGTTGTTACTTTTAAGCACCCCTGCTAACGCAGAAATACTTTTAGAGCCTAACAAATTTCCAGAAAGGTCAAGGTATTTTAAATTCTGAGAGTTTATGTTGGAAATAATGCTAACTGCACCTTGATCTCTAAGTCTGTTATTTTTTAAGTTTAATTTCTCCAGTCTTGGGAGATCTTTTATAGCAGCTGAGAAAACAGTTGCAAATGCATCCCCTATCCCATATTCATTGATAGACAGAGACCTTACATTTTCTTCCTCATCATGAAACAGCCTAAGAGTTTCCGGCTTTTTATGAGATCGAGACAGTTCTTTTAGATAGCTGACTTGAGGAGACGAGTTCTCTAGTCTTGCATATGAATTTGTGTTAATCCGTTTATAGCCTTCGTAAAAGGCAAATTTTGTACTGTACTTTTCAGGAGAAAAAGGAGATACACTTCTCCTCAAATCTTCTAAACTTTGTCCAACTGTTTGTCTTGATGAAGAAATGTCTTGGGTGAGTTTAGTCGGGGTGATATATCGGATTTTTCGACTGGTGCGCCTTCTTATTAACGGTACGAGCTTTACTGGGGATTGATGTCCTTGGGTATTTAACATTTCATAATGGAAAAATGTTGAAAGTATTGATTAAATGTGTAGCAATAAAGAAATGCTGAATTGAAGCAAATTATGATGTTTAGATTCATAGCTAGATCAGGAAGAAATATCAGATATAGACGCTCCAAATAAATTTGGCATATTAAATCACAAGAGTATGGCTTAAAAATATTTAACTACGTTTTTGAAGCTAGAATAATATCAAAATATTAGCTTTATTTTTTATGAACATTAAGTTTAAGTTTAAACGAATTACTCTAACACGAAACATGCCTCTAGTCTTCTTTTCTTAAGGCCCAGTTAAATTAACAGGTCTGAGCAACGGTAGGTGGACCGGCCTAACCGTAAAAACCGTTAAAGTTAATTAGCCTTTCAGACTTCTCTAGCCAGTGCCAGCCCCAGCACTATTCTCTTCTTTTCAAGCCGAAAGCTTGGAATTCTCTCACTAAGCTCAGATTATAGGTCTATCCTGGCAGCAAGGTGCTAGGACTATCCTAATTGACATTTTTAAAAGTATTTTATGAGCTTTTATTAATCATTATTGCTCCATTTCCATATCTAAATTTATTATTAAAAGACTGTATAAATGCTCTTAATAATAAATTAATTAGCGACTGCAAATTTTCTTTTTGGGAAGTTTAATTTCTTCTTCAAAATCCTCAGTGGGAGTTTTTTGGCTTGCTCTTTTGTTAGTCTTAATCTGATCGCTCTTGTCAATTTATGTCTGATATCGTATGGTAAATACTTTTTGCCTTTACTGTCAGCTTTTATTTGATCTCTTTTCTTTTCATGGATAATGGTTAGGACTTTTGCCACATCTTTTCTGAATACTTTTATTTTAGACAGTTTGGATGGTGCACCACCAGCAACTTTTGCAACTTTTAAGTGTGAAAGCTCTGTTTTAAGTTCTTCAAGCTGTTTCTTTAGCGCTTCTTGGTCCTTCTTTCTAAGCTCGTATGCTTTAACTTTCACCATTTATGATCTTTTGGCATTATTTCTGATCGGCTCCCACGAGCCAAAAATGGGTTTCCACGTGGAATTTCTGGATTTTCACCTGTGAAATCCATCTTTGGCTCGTGGGAGCCTATCAGAAATTTAAGCAAATGATTATATTAAACTTTATCAAATCAGATAGCAAATGATTACGAAAATTATAACGCTTTAGTTATATATTGAAATTATTTCTTAAAAAGTAAAAACTGCATAATATTGAAATAATAAATGGGAGAAAGGCATCTTGGACTTCGTGGAGACTCAAACAAGCAGACATGGGAAGAAGCAGACTTTCCAATCGTATGCACAGCTTGCTTAGGACAAAACAAATACATAAGAATGATGAAAACCCACTTTGACCGCGCTTGCAGGGTATGTGAAAGACCATACACTGTATTCAGATGAAGACCAACAGCTCGTGAACGATTCAGAAGGACCGAAATCTGCCAAGTCTGTGCAAGAAGCAAGCACGTTTGCCAATGCTGTGTAAATGATATTGAAACTGGAGTTCCAGTTCATGAAAGAGATAAGCACATTGATCTCGATAACAAATTTGAAGCACCCAAAGACATTGTAAATCGAGATTTCTGGGCACAAATGAAAGCCATGGAAGTTTCCAAAGAAATCGAAAAAGAAAAAAAAATATCTGAAGACCAAGAAAAAGCCCAAAAAAATGTAAAATCATTAGAAGACAATAAATAAATGTGAAATTTATTATTCCTAGAATCTTAACACTTTATCTATAATTTTCCTCTCAGAATCAAATCTCCAAAGTGTTTGGTCAGTTCTTGTAAAAAAAGAATGATGCCCAGCTACAACAGGAGGGAACTGGCATCACCATTGGCTTTTTGGAATGTCACCGATTTTTTCGATTGTTTCTCCAACTGGATCTATTTGTCAACAAGAATTATCTTGAAATACAAATAAAAACCCAGCAATATAGACTGTTGTTGTATATGAGCTTGATTCAGGCATGTTTATAGGACTGCTACTAAATGTATTTGTTTCTGGGTCAAATATTTCTATTACTCTTGAATCACCTATTATATAGAATTTGTCATTTAGGATTGATATTGTAAATGCACTTCTCATAGACTGCATATCTGGCAAGTCCATCCAAGTTTTCTCAATTAAATCATATTTTTCGCATCTTTTTAGATTTCCATTATCATTTTCTCCTCCAAAAACGTAAACTGCATCTCTGTGGTAAACCACTCCAGGGAAAGATCTTGCATATCTCATGTCAGGAAGCTTTGAAAATTCAAGCGATGGGATTTGGATTAAAAATGCTTCAGAAATGTAAGTCGTACTGTTTTCCTTGCCGCCAGCATAAAAGATTTGCCCTGATGGAAGCTCACATCACCCTCCACTCATTCTTAAATTAAGATGATGAGGGACTTTTATTTTGATAGGCTTGTGGATGTCTGAGCCTACTTCATATAAAAATAAATTGAACTCTTTTTCAATTTTCTTGAAAAAATGGATTGTGGGGAGAAGTTTTGATGGGTCTTTTATGAAATTTATTTTGCCTATGTTATTAATGGCTTCTTGGGCTTGCTGTAAATTTATTTCGGGATGGACGATTTTTAATCTTTTTGACATTATGTGCAAATTGGAAAGCTTGCAGTATTTTATTATGTTGTCTGCTCAATCGCCGTCTTCGAGATCTTTTTTATAAGCGCGGGTTTCGATGTGCTTTATCAGGTTTTCTATGTGGTTTTCAGCTTCGTTGATTTCATTTAGTAGTTTTCCATAAGCCATTTCTATATGGTCAATTAATGTAATTTTTATCTCATCTAGCTTTGTTTTATATTTTTCTAACTTTCTTTCCCATTTATATGATTTTTTAACTCCCCCCCCCCCTCCGTGAGCGAACAAAAAAATTTTGTTCGCTCACGGAGGGGGGTTAATTTTTTTTTTTAAAAAAAATTTATATATAAATTTTATAAAAAATATATTTTTTTCGAAATTTAAAAAAATCCTAATTTGCAAAAATTGGGAAGCAAATATTAATTTAATTTGCAAAATTTATGTTTTAAAACGCAATTTGTTTAAAATTAAACAGAATTAGCTCTAGATTTCATTATACTAATTATCACTTATATATCAAAATTTTTTTCCATTAAAATTTTTTCTATTAAAAAAATTTTTGTTCACTCACGGAGGGTGGGTTTTTGGTCAAAAAATGGCGATTTTTCTAATGGTTTTGTTCGCTCACGGGAGGGGGGGGGGAGTAAGAGGTTTTAATTGGAGCAGGCTTAAACTTAGAAACACCTTGATTGCGGCACATTTTTGATATTATTTATGCTTTTTTAAGGGCATAGCTGAGACTTGAGAATTTACTTGAAAAATCTAGAAATAAGGGTCAAGCTCTGACAACTTTAAGTTGGCTTACCAATATCCAAGATAATCTTATAGAGAAAGCATAAGGGCATCCTAAGAGCGTGTCCGCATAATATAGGCTTTTTTATTAAATGGAGCAGAGTAAGTCCTTTATATTGGTTCTTGCCTCATTAATCAGATAATCCACGATAAGCTTCCTCTCCATGTAGTCTCTTACTCATTCTTAGCTACAAATTAAAAATTTTTGCTTGCTAGCAAAAGGATGATATTTTTTTTTGGGAATTTAATATTAAAAAATTCAAATTTTAATCAAAAAAAAAATTTAACCAATTTAGAACTCTAGCTATCAAAAATTCAATTAGATTCAATTATTGTATAAAATGCATTTTATCTAAATAATTATATTTAATAATCTACTCAATAGCATGGGTGATAATTTTCTAAAAAAATATTTTTTTTAATATTCTGTTTGCTAACCAAAGGATTTAGGCTTTCGCCTTGGGCAATAAAATCATCGGCTTCAATTGGTTCAATCGGATGGGAGATCCCAGGAGCTTGATTTATATGAAATGATATACAGCTGTGGCACAATCGCTGCTTTTTACCTTGGCAAACACAAATAACGCTTGGCTGTTTCCCATTGCAAACATCACACGTAATAAGCTGTTTAGTATAGTCCTCCAAAGTGATTTGTCCAGATTTATGAGCATATGGAAGGCATACATGCTTTGGAAAGCAATTTCTGCAGAAAAATTGAGTCCTTTCTAAACAAAAGCATTTTAAATAAGCTATTGTTTCTTTGCAATCATCGCAGAAAATACCTTCCATCTTGCAGCAAGAAATAAATTATCTGAAATTATTAGACAAATCTTTTTATCTATTTTCTATCAAAGATAAATAGCACCAAAATAATAATTAAAGTAATTTACCATTACAATAAATAAGATGCAGCATAGTGGTTGATTTAAATAATTTCTATTTTAGATTTATTTATTTGTTTAATGTAAAATTCATGTCCAATATGCACGCCATTCAAGTAAAATCTTTTACATTTGACGCACTAGATGAACCTAGAGTTAAAAAGGCTTCCCCTTTAAGAAAGAATTTTTCTAAAAAGACCTTGAATATTCCTCATTCTGCAAAATCATCCAGGCAACAGAATGAAAATCATAAAAAGCAACTAATTTATTGCTCGAGTGAGTTTATGCTAAATTTGCTTGAAAGAAAGCCATCAATCCCTGTAAGTGAAAGACTATCTAATCTAAATTATCGATATGTGAGCTTGCATGCAATAACACCTAAATTTTATATCCTTTATTGAACAATTATATAAAAATTTAAAAAATTAGCCCCATTTTGATTGAGCGATTATTAGTATTCATATTTTTATATAAAAAATTAAAAAAGTGCATTAAATTATCTTATTTTATATATTTTCCGAACCTTTTAGCCCTCATCATAATGCAACTTCGGTTGATCAATCAATGATAAGGAGTAAGCATTTTACGAACTCAAAACCATTGAAAGCAGATTTTCTTCTAAAATCCCCTGTTAATATAAGAGAGCAATTTACAACGTTTATAAGAGAAAGACCAAGTACAGCAAAACAAAGGCCAGCTACTTTCCAAGCACAGCAGAGACCTAAAACAGCTAAAGTTACAGTCAAGCCGCTAAATAATCCATTCTCTATAACAAAGGAAAAAGTTGAAGCTATAACAGTTGCGGAAACTAAAGAAAGAAAGTCAGATCCAAGTCCAATTAAAAGAAATCGGCATGAAATATTGAGAATTGACATAAAAGTTCCACAATTTGATAATTTTGATGATGATTCAGAAGGAGAAATTATTTCTGAATATTTGTCATCATTTAAATATCCAGAAGCTAACAACTAATATTTGTAATAAAGCTGTAAATAAATAAATAGATAATTTATAAAATTATTGCAAAATCAAGATCTATGCTATTTCTATTGGATAATTAAGAAAAGCATATAAGAAAAGCTCAATTTAAAGTAATTAAAAGGCAAAAATTATAGCTTTGCTATCTTAAAAACTATTATTCTAAAAAAATAATAATTAAAAATGAATCGATCTCAAAGCTACACGAAAGTATACAGCAGATTTGGCAAAACCCTTGATGAAAAATTCTCCAACGCCAAATCCCACCGCAAAGAAATCTTTTTCGGCCACAAAACCAAGCTTCCTTTGCGAAAAATAGAAAGCCCTCACCAAGAGCTAGCAAAACCTGAACAGATCATGGAACTTCTAAGCTCAATCGAAAGCTTCAAAAGCAAAAATAAATATAGATCGGTCAAGCGGCTCTCGCCTGCTTTTAAAGCTCGGTGCATACTTTTAATCAGAGAAAAATTTCGAAAATGCCATTTTATTATTATCCTCGAGAAACTGTCAGACTATCCAAATAATACTATCAAATCACTTGTAGCCTCAAAGCTCAAGGTAGAGAAGAATATTACCATTCCATTGTAAGCTTAACATAGAGTAACAAAGATAATGTTCCTCATGCAGGATACTATAATTTATGCTTTGATTTGACTAAACAAAGAACTTTAGAAGCATCAATGCCAGTAGAACCAACTTCTAAGTCTAGAGTCCAAAAAGAAAAAATTGATATTGATTTTAGGATTGTTGACAAACCACTACCTAAAACGGCTGGACCTATTGATTTTGGAAAACAGCTAAAAAGAGACAGAAAAAATCTTTTTGATGTAAATGAAAAAAGGTTTGAAATTTTCAATGACAAGCCATCTATTTTTTCAAAAACTAAAAGAATTGCAACACCAAACTTTAACTTGCAGATTGGGCATAACTATCCTATTAGAGAAGTGCTGAACTCCGCGATTTATTCGCCTAAGCATTCTATGGTGTGAACAGACACTTCTAAGCCAATTCTTAATTTCGCAAAATATCCTCAAAGAAAAACCCTTTCAAATCCGTGCCTGGTAGATTCTGCATACTATACAGTAAACTTTTCACAAATAGATAAAGATCAGCCAGTTGTAGACTTAACAAAAAGTTTGTCACGGCCAATAGATCCACATTTCCCATCTTTTATGATTAAAAGTACAGGCAGAAACGGTCTTAATATGATGACCGAAAAGTCATTGGAATCAAATTATTACTCAACTGGGCAGTTTTTTGATCGTGAATCTGATTTTAAGAGCTGCCCAAACTCTCCAAAAAGATTTTCTCCAATGAGATCACAGTCAAGTGCTTCTGCGGTTAGTCCTCAAAAGCAAAGATCATCTAGTATTCAAATGTAAATATTTCTAATTAACTTATGCAGGAATTTTTAGACTTTAATATTATTGAAGTCTTTTTTAAAGACTAAAGCTTCTTTTAGCTGTGGAATCGCTGTTTTAAGAATGGTAAGCAGCTGTGATATGGCGCCTCCAGAGTTCAGGTTATCATAAGTAGCCACAATTGATTCTATTGGTTCACAAACTTGATTTAGCACAGTACCAAGCTGCATTTTATTCTCATTAATTTTATCATTGCATGTATTTGCAATAGCTTCATAATGAGCCAAATCTTCTTGGTATTTTTTCAAATCTTTTGTAAGGAATTCAATTTCAGATTTAAACTGCTTTCTTTCTGAGCCAATTTTGCCCATCACTTCTTTCACGTAATTTTTGCCAGTTGGGATTGATTTCGACATTAATTTTTTGGTGATTTCTTGAAAATTGAGATGCTCTTCAGCAATTTCTTTGGAGGGCAGCTGGATCCCTAATTTCAACAGGCAGCTTCTGGCTTCTTTCAATTTTTCAGGAAGCTCAGGATGTTTAGGGTTTGAGATTATTTCTAATAAGCTGGTTAATTTTTCTTCTGTTTTAAATATATCATTTCCGTCTAATTTTATTACAGGAGACCAATTAGGCTCATTTGTTTCAGTTTTTATACTCCCAACTGTAACTCTATTTATATATTGGGCATATGCTGATTTACTATTGCACTCAGCATTTCTTTGCTTTTTTCTTGCAATTTTAATTAGAGTGTTAATAGACAGCAAAGTTTCATCAGGTCTTTCAGACTCTTTTATCATTATATAAATCTTTGACATCATTGACTCAATCTCGAAGTTCAGCGCTTTCTGAGATTTAAGTGCTAACTGAAGCAGCATAATCTATATACGCTTTACCAGTCTTTCTTGTTTTCTCAGTTTCGCTTTATATAATAAAAGTTTTCTTATATCGTAGTTTTCTTCAGAAACTGCATTTATTACACTTAAAAATTCTTCTTTGTAGTTAATTTCTTCTTGGGCAAGTTTTAGGCTTTCTGATAATGAGGAATTTTCTTTTTTAAGCCGCTGATTTTCTTTGTAGAGAGATAAAGTTTCTTTTCGAGGAGTAAAATGAGTTTCTGCGACGCTTTGCATTTTGGGTAAGCTTGGGGATTTTTCTGCGGATTTTGTAGGAGTTTTGTTTATGGATCGTAGGCTTAATTCGTCAAATGTTTTGAGAAACGGTGAACGCCTATTCATATTGCGAAAATATAACAAAGATTAAACTTGTAATTAATTATGGCGAGGATTAGGAATTAGTTTACTTACGGTCATTGGTTTTCTTATAAATTTATATTGGGATACAACTCTTATTTGGAAAATTTGAAACATATAAATAACGAATGAATAGTCACTTGCTATGTGGAATAAGAAAGTAGATGATATTAAAAGATCTAGGTAATAAGGAAATCTACAATAAAAAAGAAAAGAGTAGCTCTTTTTATCTGCAAGCTTATACTGGCTATATAGCTGATCCTCTAAATTTAGATTAAAAGTTCTTCAAATTTAACTTTATAAGTTACCTCGGCCTAAATATAACAATTATTAGTTTAAACTCTTTTAACCAAAGCTTCTTTAAAAAATTAAAATCGATTTACATCAAAATTCTCTCAAAAATTGAAACTTCTAATGATAATTTTTTATATTCCAGCATCTTATAGAAGAAAGAGAACTTGGGCTGTTAAAGTCTGCCCTCTCAATTATATTTTCAAGACTTGGATGATCTCTCTTATGAGCTGGAGTATCAAATTGAAAAGCACATCTAAGACAGCTTGTTTTCTCATCAAAAATATATCTATTTTGTTTCCTATCTGTTTTAAAATCATTATTGTTATCCAAGAAATCATAAACATCTTGGATCTTTATATGCCTGATATTTTTATTGGAATACGATTTTATGTGCTTTTGCGAAGGCGAAGATAATGATGAGCCAACTATTTTCTTCGCATTTGTTTTAAATAGTTTTCTATATGGGATCCCAGAATATAAATTTGATATTTCAGGCTTAATCTCTAGCTTGGAGTTAAACAGGGATTGCGATTTCTTTCCATACCGCTTTGTTCCAGGAATATCATCTTGAATGGTGTATTTAGAAAAGTAAGGGTGCAATTTCATTGAATTAAACTTTTTATTAAACAGCTTCTTTTTGTAAGGAGAAAAATACCCTTCATCCATAATGAATATACTTATTGTGTGAGTTATAAAAAGCTTCTGTAAGTCAAAGATTTTTATGCTTGAAAAAAATAGATCTCTATATTTAGAGCCATTTGGCCTTGTCAGAAGCTTTATGTAATAAATGCAATAGATATATATTTTGTTTGGCAAATTAAAACATGCTTGAGGAAATAACTTAACTAGATACAGCTATTAATAGTCAAAGTATATGCATTATAAAAATTGAGATCACGAAGAATGTCTGCAGCGCCTATTAATTAGGTATACAATTATTTATTTTTTTTTAAATATTCAATTGATTTGACAAAATTAACCATTTAATAAACGTAAATCAATAATTATACAATTGAACAAAATACGTTTATGTTTATAAATCCCTATTAAAACTTTTAAAACTAAAAATATCCAAGTTTTTAGTAAAAGTAGACTATAAATTTTAGCTTAGATTATCAGCTGACTTCAGTTCCATTTGATATAAATTTCTCTGTATATCACTTCTCTTGATTAAGAAACCTAAGAACACTAAATTCCTCTAACTGAGTTTAGGTTAAGGGAATTTCCTACAACTGTAGTTGCGAGCAAAATATATAAAATAAAATGCAAAATACAAAAAAAGAATATCTATAAATGAATAAAATCGAGTATAATAAAATAATTCAAGCTTTTTAAATTCTTTAAGATTATTATGCATTTCGTGCTACGTAAAAAATACTAAAATTTATATAAAATAGGCATTGCTAGCTCGCTTTATTATTATGCCTAATGAAATAGACACATTATTTATATAATTTATTCGATTTATTCTATTCTTTTTTTTATAATTTATAGCATTATTTTCGACTCCATGCCAAATGATCATGTGATTTTGATAGCGCGACATTACCGCGTCGAAATTTGTTCGAATTTTTTAAATGATAAAAACCTTTAAATTTCGACCAAATTTTCTTCAATTAAATTCACAATATCAAAAGGGCACGATTATTGGATATACACCCTTATTTTCATATAGAAATTTCACGTATCTATAAATTTTGGCATGAAAGTCTTAACCGATCAGGTCTTGACATGCAAATTTTATTTGGCACAGTGTGCCCTTATGTAAAAATTCTTTGCATTATAAGATTTAAATATAATCAAAAATTATTAAAGCTTTTTTATAGTCACGCATAAATTATGATCATAAATGTCTTGCTGAAGATGCTCATTTTACTCATAGCCCGTATAATTTAATTTTAATTAATATGAATAATCAAATTACCTATTGGAGGATTCCAATCTAGAAGTCTATATTCTGCTTATAAAAAAGAATTTTTATAATCATTAAATGTCATGAAATAAAATATCCCTACTTAAAAATTGCCAAAAATACCGAGGTGATAAAGAAATCGGCTGATTTTTAGCCATCAAGGCACATCTGATAACATTTTTATCAAAATCATTTAGAAGAAAATACAGTTCAAAATTCAATTTAACAAGCCAGCTTACATCTGAAATAATAGTTAACACTGTGATTACCTTTCAGATGATTTCGATTTTTTGATATCACAATATGCCAATTCATAACTGAAACACATGAATCGATAATAATAAATGGCTTGGGCTGAAGGGTAATTCGCTCGGTGAATTCTCTCTCCTTGCCTAAATTTTAATATTATAGTTAGAGTCATACACATAGACTTTTAATTGAAAAAAAACTGACGAGAATGGTTCTGTCCTCCTTAGATTGAGGCACAGGCAGAGTGATACAGCAGCACGCCAAGCCGCTAATATTTACCGTACTTCGGATTCCCAATGGCTAATCGAATGCAGAGGAGCGAGCTGTGCTGCGAAAGCCTGGCTTGCGCGCAAGAGAAGTGACATATTTGAGAAAATGGCCTCTTGAAGGTGCCTGTACATATAGAGTTAAATTAAGTAATATGATTAAACACATGAATCACTCCATGGAATTATTTGCGATTCGTAAATATAGACAACTTTTGTGCATATTTTGGCATTATTGATATCTGTTTGTATATGTATTAAAACTGTGTGATGAATCAACATTTAGAGCCATAAGAGACCTTGAGAAAGGGAGAAAAGCCTTCAGATGTTTATCTGACCTTAACTTAAAATTATAGTCTTGGCTTGCGTGCCTATTGACAGCACAGTCACCAAGGATCTCTATGACAGGGAGAATTTGCTTGAGTAAGATGACTCACCTGATGATTTGAAAACTTGGATACCACCTTTCTTCTACTTCACCGCCTTGCGCCAAGGCACTTGTGAGATAAAAATCTATGTCTTCGTCTCCTTCTTGCCTTGCCAGCTCAATTGTTGAGTGGGAAGGCTAAGGACTTCTACGGTATGCTGCTTGGATTGAAGGATCTGCCAAAAAAAAAACGGAATTATCGGTAAAAAAGGAAAAATTAAAGTCTTGGCGTAACTCCCAGTTTGACGCTAGAAAGTTGCCTAAATGATCTAGACTTTTGTCTGTATACTTCGCTGGGCTTCCCCTTTCCAATTCTAACCCTCTTTTTCCCTAGAGATAAAATCCAACTTGAAAGTGGATAAGGGTTAGGCACTATGCATTACCAGAATTGCTTACTCCTCCTCAGTAAGTGAACAAAATCATTAGAAAAAATCCCTATTTTTTGCCCAAAAAAATCACCCTCTGTGAACTAACAACAATTTTTTAATATAAAAATTTTTATGAAAAAAAAATATATAAATGGTAATTATTTAAACGAAATCTGATTAATTTTAAGCAGCTTGAATTTTAAAATATATGTTTCGCAAATTAAATTAATTTTTGCTTTTACAAATTTTTTAAATTTTAAGAAAAAAAAAATTTATATAAAATTTCTATATAAAATTTTTAAAAAAAAAAAATCAGTATAAGAATTAAAGGAGCTTTACTATGATCCAAGGATTAATTAATCTGCTTTGTAGGTTTTTCATCCATTATTGGTGTTTGCACTGCTGCCTTTATTTTTTGTGGCATCTTTTATTGGTATAGTAAAAAATCATTTAGTTTTATTACTAGAATTGCATTTAAAGTTGCAATTGTACTTTCAAATATAGGATTTATACCAATCCAAACTCTTTTTTGAACCATTTTTAAGTATTCGACTTTTAAAATTACCAAAGTCCAAGAATATACTGATTGTGATTATAATAGGCTTGATTTGGGCATACATGGATCATTATTAAGTATTCTGTTTTCAGTATTGCTCTTTGTGCTAGCAATAATTGTAGAGCTCTTTAGCGCTAATGTTAGCCACACATTTCTAAAAAGAAATATAATGTCAAGGGCAAACTCTAATATGGACTTGCTTATGGTTTTTCTATCAGAAGCTCAGGTCATTTGCTATGTATTTCTTAATGGAGAAGATGTAGCGAATTACCAATTGATATTTTGCCTTATAACATTGATATTATGCTATAAGTGAATAGAAGCAGTCCCATACTATAACCCTTACGAAAATATAATAAAAATATGCAGGGTCTCTTGCATATGGTTTGTCCTGACAATTTTCTTATTTGGATATATAATGGATAATGCTGCAATTATCACTGTTCTATCCATTGTTCTTTCTCCTTTGTTCATTATTATAGTTGGTATTAGAATTTATAATAACTGCGATCTTTTATCACCCAGGAAAATTTCTTTTAAGTCTCAAACAAAATTTGAACAGACAGTTAGACATTTATTGACTTCTGATAGCCATGAAAATAAAATTTTAGTCATTAATTTATTTTCAGATTGCTATAAAAAACCAATGCTTCAAAAAAATAAACTTTTAGTGATATGAGAAGTCAATTATTGTCTACATACTTTAAAAGATACAAGACTTGCAAGAATTAAGCTCACAAAAGCATTATTTATACATAATTGCATAGAAGGAGAAATCCAAGAATGCAAAGCGAACATAAAATTAGAGAAAAAAAGTTCTGAACTTCCAGATGTAGACTATCTAAAGTATTTAGCAGATATTGAGAATGCTAAAGTGAAAGATGAAGAAATGTGCAACGTTTTACTTAATTTATGAAATGAAGTCATTTCTGAATCACCGAAAATCAGCATTCTAACTGATATGTTTATTAAAGTCGATATATTCACACAAAGTTTGAAATCGCTATATGGGTCTCTATTTGCAAAAAATAAGCATTCTGAAGTTCTTGATTTATATGGCACATTTTTAGAGAATATCATGGGAGAGCATGAAGATGGAGCAATGATTTTAAAGAAAAAACTAAAAATGAGCTCGCTAGACTCAATGATTGGCTACCACAAAAAGCTAGAAGATTATGATGAAAGTATATCAATAATCCTCATCTCTGCAAGTCTTGACTCATTTGGATTGATTTCTTATATAAACTTGAATGCTGCCAGAATGCTAAAAATGCAAAAGGCTGATGCAATAGGTACTAATTTTACATCTTTAATTCCTAAGCCATTTAGCGATAATCATAACGAAATCATAAAGAATTTCTATTTGAACTGCTCAAACCCTACAATAGACGTGCCTCATAATTTTTTCTTACAAGATCACAAAGACCATCTATTTGAGTGCAATCTTTTATTAAAATTTACAACCTTCAATTGTGTTCCTTATGTTATTGCTAGCTTTAGACCGATCAATAAATTAAGACAGATAATCCTATTGACTGAAAAAGGAATTATTTTGAGTTTTTCTGCATTAATTCCTAATCTCTTTTGCATTGAAGAACAGCATTTAAAAGGAGCAGTTATTACAAAATTTTTCCCAGGCCTCTGCATGGACAATTTCCCTTTATTTGAGCCACGCTTTTTGAAATATAATGGAAAAGAAATAGGGATTGTCCGTTTAGTCAAAACTATAAAGACGACATCAATTCATTTATTATTAGTCATAAGTGAAAAAGAAGAGCTAAAAAAATGAAGAAAAGGCAAATCTGAAGAACAAATTGAACAATTAGGAAAAATTTATAGTGTTAAGCAGAAAGACACCAGTGGAGACTCGACTAATTCTTTTATAAATTTCGAAAAAATTAATTCAAGATTCGCCACAAGATTTTTGAGGTCAATTGAAAAGTCTCGTGGCGAAGAATCTTTTACTGCTTTATCAAATGAAAACAATGAAGAAGTTGATGAAAATCGGTTATCTTCTGTAGCAGCAATAAATAAGACAAGCCTAATTATTGCGATGAAGAGTAAGAAATATACAGAATCTGCGTCTGACCATCTCGAAAAAACTGGGAATTCAATTAAAGTGTTTATAGCTGTGCTATTACTTTCAGTAAATTTCATGTAGACTATAGCAATGATAGCTTTAAATGTGGGAATAGTAAGTGTGGTTTATCAGTTCATGTCTGACACAAATACTATGAACATCTTTAATCGTTTCAATGATCTTTTATATTTGGTCAGCCTATTGCCTGATATTTCAAATGATATATATTATGAAGTAAAATACCCTGGTTCATTAAACTTAGCAATAGACACACAATTTTTAAACGACACAATTAATGGGCTAGATTTGATTCAGGATACGTTAATCACAGATCTTGATAAGTGAAGCTATTGTGATGCGTCGTGAATTGTGTCTAAAGAAATCATTCCGTTGTGGACATTTGATGATCTCCCGATACTACAAAAACACAATCTTATTAGAGCTCTTGATTTATATAAAAAACATGTGATGATAATTTAGGGATATAGAATAGTAGACACTGGCAGTATGAAAGCCACCTCCCTTCAAAAGGAAACTGCCTTGTAGCCAGGGAAAATAATATCTCTTATATTTTGAATTATCAAGATTAGATAGTTTTCTTTAAGGTGGGGGCATGAGTTTCATGTTTGACCAGACACCCTCGCCCAATCTCAAACCTACAATCGTGATAGCATGAGATTTCTGTGGCTGAACAGTCTCACTTTTACTTATGATTATCTTAACAACACTTTGAGAGAGCTTTCTGCTTGCGAAAAGAGCAGGGTAAGGGAATCTGGTGAAAATGTTAGATATTTTATTTTGTTTGGTATGTGCATTTTTGGGCTTTGCTATGTTATTTTGAATTTTTTTACTTATCTTGTGAAAATTAAATATGAGTTGTTTTGGGGGAAAGTAAAAAAGGCAGTTTATTTGACCTATTTTACATTGCAGCAGAATGCTGCTGAAAGATTAATGCAAATTCATGGAACTGAAGTGCCAGAAGAAACCAAATTTATACGATAATATCTAAATTTTTAATTATTCCTTTAACTCCCCCCCTCCGTGAGTGAACAAAAAAATTTTTGTTCACTCACGGAGGGGGTTAATTTTTTTTTTTAAACAAAAATTTATATATAAATTTCATAGAAAAATTTTTTTTTCTTCAAAATTTCAAAAAAATCCTAATCAAAAATCGGGAAGCAAATTTTAATTTAATTTATAAAATTTATGTTTTAAAACGCAATTTGTTTAAAATTAAACAGAATTAGCTCGAGATTTCATTATACTAATTATCACTTATATATCAATTTTTTTTCATAATTTAATTTTTTTTTTCTATTAAAAAAATTTTTGTTCACTCACGGAGGGTGGTTTTTTTTGCAAAAAAAATAGGGATTTTTCCAATGGTTTTATTCACTCACGGAGGGGGGGAGTAAGAGAAAAATAACATTTTTGACTTTTTTATTTGACAAATAAAAGCATACCAAAATAAAAAATGGCAAGAAATACAAAGTGGACAGCAAAATATTCAGAAGATATGGGTGGAGGCTATTGTTTTTTGTAGCAATTTGTCTATTTTATTACTCCTTAGCTTTATTTTGATTATATAGCAGTTGTGAAGCATCTTTAATTGCAAGGCCTGAAATTTTAGAGAACTTTATTATAAGGAGAGCTCTCCTCGCAAAGCTTTGATATTTCTCTGCAAATTTCACAAGTGACTCTGCAAAGATATTATTTCCTGACTATTATGCTATTCCAAGTCCTCAAAAAGAGTTTCCTAAATTAATTTCAGAATTTAAGTACAGATATAAGCAGTTGTGAAGTCCAAGTCTTTTTGACTATTTATCAGACGAATTGAAAGCTAGACTATTTGAGTGGAATAATCATACTGTACCTTTTGGGAATTATGGGGATATTCCTGCAGTGAATTTGGTAATACTTGAATCCTATGGCATGTCTATTTTAAATAATCAAGACTTGTATAGCTTTTTTGTTATATTAGCTAATGGAGGGAAACAGTTTGCTGAGGATTATACACTTGCAAATCGTGACACAAAAGACATTATCAACGGCCAGCTGGCTTTGTTTATTTATTTTACAGTCTGATTTTCTATATCGCTTGCTCTGCTGTTTCTGTTATATTATCTGCCATTTTTATGAAAAGAGTTAAAAATCGTGAAAAGAGCTCAAATTTTGCCTTTATTGGTGCCTAAGTTTATTTCTTAACTGCTATAAGCGTAATATATCTGATAATTTAGTTTCATTAATAAATTTTATATATAAATGGAACAAATTCAGAGACTCGAAGTAGTCGAAGACAAAGCAATTGATTTTTTGCACAAAATGAGAGACATGGTCAACCTTTTATCAAAAGAACTCAAACAAGAAGACTGTAAATTCGAAATCATGCAGACTCTAGAATACGCATCTACAAATGTCCAAGAAATCGGAAAAGAATTGCATGAAATTATAGACGCTCTAGAATACAATGATAAATAAAATTTATACGCATTATTAGCTATTTCTTTATTCTTGCCTTTGCCATAGCTCTTGGGTCGTTATCAGGGCTCAAAACTCTAGTCGCTTTCTTTTCACCTTTATCTGGCTTTTTATCGCTCAGTTTATTCATTTCCTGCCTCATTGTTTCTATTTTCTGTACAAGGTTATCAAGACTAGCTTTAGCTATCCGTTTCCCATAATCCACTTTTTCGTTAGCTTCATTTAGTTGATCAACTAAAGACTGGAATTGGCTCCTCTTCAGCATAAATTCTTCTCTCAAAGCTTGTTTTCTCTTTTCTAATTTCTTAGTATCAGAAATCACTAGCGCAATTTGATCAGCGCATTCATTTATTTCTCTATCTCCTTCAATCCTCGCTCTATTTACATCCATAGCTAGTTCTTCTAATTCTTGGCTAAAAACCACATTTTGCCTCTTCAAATCTTCTCTCTCACTCTTTAATTTTCAAATTTTTTCTTCTTCCTCTTGTTTAATTTCTAAATACTTCTGATTAACTTTTTCTAATTTATTAGTAATATCTGAGTGTTCTTTTTTCTTAAATTCAATTCTTTCATGGACTCTATTAATCTCATCATCTCTCAGTTGGAGTCTTATGATTTCTTGTTTAAGTTTTGGGGTTTGTGCATGCTGGAAAATTGATCGGTTTCTTTTTAAATTTACGTTGATGTCTTTTATGAATTTCGTAGTAATTGGGTTTGAGTCTAGATTGAGATTTAAAAGGTTTGGCCTTAGTCTTAATACTTCAGTAAATAACTGGGCTGACTCGTCTTTTAGGTTGTTTTCTTTTAGATTTAGCTTTTCTAGTGTTTGGTTGTTTTTCAATGCATTTACGAGGAGAAGACTTCCATTTTTTTTGATGAGATTGTTGGAGAGATCAAGAGAAACCAATATATAGTTTCTGAATAATCCTTCAGCAATTGGCGCAACTCCTTCGTCTTCAATTTGGTTATTACTTAAAATAAGGGTTTTTAGGCCGTTATTTCGTGATAAGGCATCAGCGAATATATAAACCCCTTCATTCTTCAGTTGGCAAGAGCCTAAGTTGAGGAATTTAATTTCAGAATTGTTTAGAAGCAAATTTATCAAGCTTGGAGATATCAGATGTGTCAGAGGATTTCCTTCAAAACTCAAAGAGTTTATGTTTGGATTATTTCTTAAGGCAAGAAGCAGTTTACAAGCGCCTTTATGTGTGATGTCATTTTTCGATAAATCGATTTTTTTAATAGGACTTTGCCCATCATAGGCGCCTGCTATCATTTTTGAGATATAATCAGCCCCTTCGTTTCCAAATTTATTATCACTTAAGTTGATATCTTGAAGCTTGCTGCCCATTATAGCCCTACAAAGGGCTTCAATATTTTTAGCAGAAATGCTATTTTTGGCGAGATTCAAAGAAATAAGTGAGGTATTTCCTTGTAGACCGTCGATAATATAAATTATTCCTTCTCCTATGAAAGTTCCTGAAACATTTAAAAAATTTAAAAGCCGGCTCCTTTGCAATAAAATCTTCAGAGGAGCAGAGCCCTGGACTCCGAGCCTATTCCTGTGCAGCCCTTCATGTGATGATATATCTACACTTATGATTGATGGATGCTTACTCCCTAATGAGCGATCAAAATCATTGGAAAAATCCTTATTTTTTCCCAAAAAACCCCTCTTGAGCGGGAAACAAATTTTTTTAATAGAAAAATATTTTATGAAACAAATTTTGATATATAAGTGATAATTAGTATAATAAATCTCTAGCTACTTTTATTTAATTTTGAATAAATTCATTTTAAAACATAAATTTTACAAATTATATAGATATTTGCTTACAATTTTTGAGAATTTGATTGTTTTAAAAAAAAAATTAACTCCAAAATTTTTTGTTCGCTGACGGAGGGGGGAGTTAGTGACCATCAACAAGATCGGTTTAGCTCCTTCTGGTGTAATATCATTTGAGCTTAGATCTATATGCACCAGCGAGTTATTTTTCATCACATTACTAAACAGCGCTTTAATCCCTTCATCCCCAATAGCATTTTTGGCTAATTCCAGCCTACAAAAGTTCGAGTTATTCCTCAAAATTTCCCCAATTGTGTCAGCGGTTATCGGCCCAATTCCGCATTCCCTTAAATCAAATTTTCTATCCTTAAATGCTTTTTCACAAAAAGCAAAGAATTTTCTCATTTGGTCCGGGATTGGCAGAATTTTTAAATCTTTGCATTTGGCTTCATAGATCCTCGTCAATTGTTTTTCAGAAATCCCTTCAACTTTGAAACTAAATAGGAATTACATTTGTTGTGACTGCCGAGGAGAGAATAAGGAAGGAGCTTAGTTACTTAATATCTGGTGTTTAAGGTATCTAGTGCCGCACCCTTATAAAAAGGGTTATAGCTAGACTAGTGACGTCACCGAGCCATCTTGGATTCACGGTGGTCAGCCCACCGCCCAAGCCTTCTATCAAAGTTTCATCACCAGTCTTCGCCGCACCATTGCCTTGCCCTGACTCAGCTCCTACGCGTATTCCGCCTAAGGGCCATCTTCCCGTGGAGATGTGCTGAGAAGTAAAAACCCTGAGGAGCAGTTCCTCTGGCTATCCCCAGAGTTAAATCGCTATTGTGTGCAAAAGTTCTCGAGAGAAAACCTATAGAATTTTCCCATAGATGGCGCTGTTTGACCTTGATTTGCCCACTAGGAAAATTGACCAAACCATATGGTACTGGCCGAACCAAAAAATTTCCCCAGTGGGCAAATCAAGGGCAAACAGCGCCATCTATGGGAAAATTCTATAACCCTATAAATAAAATTCCATGAGGGAGAGAAAATTGGAGAAGCCCAATCTGGCTCTAACTAAATGCCATTTTATTTATGAATAAGGAAGGAGCAGTTAGAGGCCTCACAGGACTTAAAGGAGTAGGCAAGGATCGAGCTGAAGAATAGATTTGAGGAGATGTATTCATATGAGATAGTGAGCTCCCCATTAAGCTTCTTCTTAATCCGTAGCTTGATTTAGGCTTTGAGAAAGATCGCAGCTGGAATTTAGATGAAGAGAATTCAAGTTTGGATCAGCTTGATGATTTTTTATCAAGCATTTTCTTGTTTATTCTTAAATAAAGATGCTAATCAGTTGATGCATTTTTTAATATACAAGAAGGAGGCATTTTTGAATAAAATGCGAAAAATATAAGAAATAGACCGATCAGATGATTTTGAGGAAAAATAAGCGAAATTCTGATGGATAAATAAATATTGCATTCATTACTAATAATATTTAGCAATTAAGAATCTTAACTAAAAAGTAGAATTATTTAAATGGTGTTCTGATGTGTGGTTTCTATCTATCCGTAAGTTTACCCAAACCTAGAGGAGAAGAGCTACATCATGGTGGCTCTCCAGGGCTGGCTTTTTGATCCAGAGGCTGACCCTTGACCTATTTTCCTTGCTCCCAACGTGCATACCAGTGCAATATCCATTAGCGCTAATGCGAAACTGCAATAATCCCCACTAGAATTTTAATCTAATCTAATTACTAAAAAGTGTGGATAAATTAAAGAGTCATTACACATTATTTAAATTAATCCTATTATTGTGTTCCGTTTCAAAATGACCAGACATTTTACTTTACTAATTTTAAGATAAATAAAGTTCATTAAAGTAAATAAATTCAAAGAATGCTCGAAAAGTCTAATGTCAAATCATCACTTATTCCTTTCAAATTGGTTCGCTATAGTCCTGCTTACGAATCACAAATTTTGATCACCAAAAGGAAACTGACGACTCTCCATATTCCGCATTCACAAAGCAACTTGCAGGCAGTTCAAATTAAGAGGTCAAATAATGTTTCGCCAGAGTCAAAATTGGCGACATCTCAATCCCATACTATGATTCATTAAATAAATTCATTTTTTAACGATATCAGATACTATTTCGCATTAATCTTTTTAAAAGTTATATAATTTCGCCACAAAATGAAAAAAATTCCCCCTTGAGCTCTCCCGGCCCAAGTCCAAAAATACAGACAAACCTTGGCCTCCTTAAAACTTTAAGCTGGAGATCAAAACCACTATTACCCTCCCTAAAGTCTCCTACAAATACTAGCAAAACTAATATCTCTGAAAAGGATGAATTATCAAGCCCATTGCTAAAAAGCCCTAAATGGCTTCTTCCAGCCATCAACCCTGTGATTTCTACTCTTTTCACTAGCAAAGAATCTCCTATTTCTTCCCGCTCAGGTGAAAAAGTAGATCTTGACGAAAGCATGTTCCAAAAACGCAAAAAAACTCAAGACTCTACTTATGTATATTGATCGATCAGAGACACCTCAGGCCCAAAGCCAAATAGCAGAGAAAGTTCCCAACTTGTTATTTTAAATAACCGTGCCTATCTTTTCGGAGGACTCAGCCGAGTCAAACACAATGATGTCAGAGAACTTGACATCATGACCTGGACTTGAACTTATATAAACGCCCAATACCCTCCTCAAGGCAGAATGGGACACTCATTAATCGCTTACAAAAAAAAGCTCGTCATGTTTGGCGGCAGCACAAAACACAGTGAAAATTTGGGGATTCGAAGATGTACAAGCAAAGTCTATTTCTTTTCATTAGGAGAACAGAAGTGGCAGCAGTACCCAGGGTCAGGAGATGTACCAAGTTCAAGAAGAAATCACGCAGCTTCAAGCTTGGGGAAGTATATGGTTGTATATGGAGGTATGGACCCTGACGGACACTTATTAAATGACCTTTCTTTACTCGACATGAAAACAAAACAATGGTATCTCCCTGATGTAGCGGTCCAAGGAGACCCAGGCTTTCGATCCCATGCGACACTTACAGAAGTTTTTGATGAGGAAATCAAAAATAATTACAGTTATAATATATTTTCAATACCGACTCTTACAAAACAGACATCAAGGATTGCTAATAGTGGGTTTTATCTTTTTGGAGGGCTAAGTGATGACGGAAGACCTTGCAATAAACTTCATGGACTTTTTATAAGAAATGGAAAACTGATATGGACTGAAATTTCTGGGAATGGGAAACCTCCCATACCGAGATATAGTCATACTGCATGTGCAATAAGACAAAAAATTTATATATATGGGGGAAGAAATGACGATTTATTCCAAAGTCATGGGGACTCGTGCCTTGCTGATTTATCGGTGTTTAATGTTGATCTTTTGCTATGGGAAAATGTGGAAATTGAAGGACAAGTGCCTGATGGGAGATGGGGTCACTGTATGACGGCTTTTGGGTCACAAATTTTGATTTTAGGTGGACTTTCACATAAAAATTTTATGACTGCAGATTTGTCGTGCATTGAAACTAATAGAGAAATTGCGGAAGAATGGCATGAGCTTGACAAAAAAAGCGTAAGGAAACAAATAAATATTGGAGATGAGATTGAAAAAGTTGTAGATAGCTTCATAAAACTGAGAGAAGTGTAAAATACTGGATTATTTAATAATTCTTTATTATATTAATAGAGAATAAATGGTGGAGCTGATAGAAGTCGAGGTGTATGAAGCAGGCCCAATTCTATTCAATTGAGGATTCTTTTGTCTCTAATTCCAGAAGAATCTAATCTTTCCCGATTTCTTAAGAGCTCTTTGAAGGTAATCGTATCCATTCCGACTCTGCCAGCTTCTGATTAAATATTTAAATTCTCTCCATATAATCTTTTGAGGATCTAATGGCGTTTTCGCTCCAAAGTATGAAGAATTATTCTGTGAGTTTTTGCTTAATGTTGATGAGTGTTGAAAAATTATTCTTCTCACTCCCTCATTCTGAGCGAACAAATAAATTTTGTTAGCTCAAGGAGGTTAATTTTTTTTAAAAACAATTTAGATATAAGATTTTATAGTATTTTTTTTTTTCGAAATTTAAAAAAATCCCAATTCTCAAACATTGGAAAACAAATATTAATTTAATTTGTAAAATTTATGTTTTAAAGTGCAAGCTGTTCAAAATTAAACAGAATTAGCTAGAGATTTCATTATAACTATTATCACTTATATATTAAAAACTTTTCACAAAAAATTTTTGTTTGCTCAAGGAGGGGGGCAAAAATAGGGATTTTTCAAATAGTTTTACTCGCTCACGGAGGGATGGGGTTAGCAGAAATCTGTTTGGTGAGAAGAACAAAGCTGAAAATAGGATTATTAGAGCTGCAATTCGCATCGACATCATGGTGAAGGTTTACTTTAGAAGTTGAGAATCTGAACTCTTCTAAGAATTTTTTAAAATAAATTTCGAACATGTATTGAATTGATATTGATTGGCTCTAAAGAAAGCAGTTTGAGCCTTCAAAACACTTTATTTGCTTACAGAGGGAAGCTAGCTTATTATATTAATGATAATATTTCAATATTAATATAATAAACATATATGGCGGGAGTGACATACAAAGAAGAGATTATTTCTAAGCCCACTTATGACTTAGATGTCCTAGACTACTTCAAATCTTCATCCAGCCATCTCAATTCTGAAGGAGAGTCTTGAAGTCAAGTTTTCTACTTACTCCTTTGATTATTAACAAGCAAAAAATTTTCTTAATAAATTTTAATTATTATACTCAACCTATTTATATTAAAATTTAGACAGATTGCATCCTAAAATCATAAAACACACTCTTTTATAAAATAATAAATTCCTCTCCATTAGAGAGCAAAACAAATTTTCTCGCTAAGCCAAAATGAGTTAGAAGCCTCACTTTTACTTATAAAAGTCTCAGGATCTGAAGTTGAGCTTGAACAAATCTTTTGAGCTGTTAACGAAGACCTAGAATCTGTTTTCCAGCCTGACGAAATCAAGAACCTTGAAGAAAGCATGATGCTAAAAATTATCCTGCCATCCGCTTTACTCCGAAACATTGGCATTCACGTCAATTCAGACTTTTTTGCTCTTTACATGGCTACCGTTGAAGGAAAAGTTTACAAATTTTGCTTTAAGCAGAATTGGCCTTTTTTAAAATCAAGGAGGAATTTTCTAGGCATGGCTGGGTACTCTCTTGACAACATAGAGCCAGTCAGCTTCTGCTTAATTGCCTCAGGTGAAGAAGACGATGTTTGCTTTGGGCTTGCCAATGGCTCTTTATGCTTTGCATTATTGCCTCCACCTGTAGCAGACCATTATACCAAGCCCATCCAAATAACTGAAATTGGACCTCCTTCAAATTTGCTGAAAGCATTTTCCAATATGCTAAGGCAGCAAAAGAAATTAGAATTAATATGAAGGGTCGAAAAAATCCAAAAAAACCAATTGATATGCTTAAGCAGCATGGGATTTTTACGTCTTTATGATACACAAAGGCCAGCTTTATTGAGTGAAATTGATTTGGGAAGCAGCGAGCTGAGAGTGGGTGAGTACAAATTCTGCAGGCTGCCAGTGCCAAGCAACCCATGTATAGCAGTTGGGTATAAAGTGAATAACTATTGGCATGCTGCGCTATTTAGAGTAGAAAACTCTGAAATTAAATATGTGACTGATTTCAATGGAAAAGAAAACGAAGAACTTATAGACCTTTCTATAAGTGAAGTAGGACTTTGATCTGTATGGAGTGGGGAAAATTCTCCCAGGGTAGAGGTCTGAAGCTTTTCTAATAAATATGAACAAGTTTACATATGGGACACAGACTTTTTGTATGAGCACCTAAGGGATCAAGACACTATTGAAAATTCATTGGACCATTATAAAGCAGCGCTTGAAAGAATTTGCATACCTGGGAGGTTCACTAAAAATATATTAGAAAAAGTGCTATCAAAATATGTACACCCGAACTATAAGTTCAGTTCTCCAGCTATTTCAGATGAAATACAGCATGAAGTCCATGACCCAAATACTTTGCTTAAAATCCTTGATGAAGCCAAATTAATACAAATTTCTGATTATTCTATTACTAGTTTCTGTGCCTATTCTGAAGAAATAGGTGACTTTCTCCCTATTATTATTAGAGGAAATAGCACTATTGGGATATTAAGAAAAACTAAGCGCCATATTGAAGCGAAAAGTTTAAAAATCGAACAAATTGCTTGTAAATTCTCAAAAATAAACCAGAGATTTGACCAAAAAGAAATTAGCGAATTTAAATTTTATTGTGATGGAGAAGGGCTAGAAAACGCTATGTGTATAGCAAGAATATGAAGAAAAGGATTTCAGTCAATTTTCGATGAAGGCGCTTACAAGTCTTTTCCTGACGCTATCAAAAAAATCGTAAGTCAGCCTATTCCTTATCATATGCTTCAGCTACTTACCCGGTCCTTATCAAAAGTAACACCTATGGTTTTTTCATCAGAAGTCATAAAATTACAAAAATTATTTACACCTTTAGCAATGATGGAATTTCCTGACAGTGTTAATTATTGGCCACCATTTATGTCGATTTTTGCAGGAAAAGCTTGCAATTCTTTAGTAAGGTCTTACAATGAGTATATTTTAGATCTCATTGCAATAGGAGCATTAGCTACTACAACAATAAGAGAAGTTTTAAATGAAATGATCCATGAGAGGCTTCTTTTTGATTTAGCTCAGATATCGCATGCTGTCTTTTTGCTGTCAAAAACATTGAATACTCCAGTCAAAGAAATTTATACAGTAAGAACTTATTTTCCTGCTTTACTGTTTAAATATGAATTTCCTTTGAGTATCAGCAGTCTTTATATATTGGAAAATTCTCCACATATTTTGGGAGGACGTGAAGGTTTTAGTGTGGTACAATTAAGCATTTGGGTACGAAAAATAGTCAGCAGATCTCGTAGGAGACTTTTATTTTCATTACCATTACAGACAAACAGCTCATGTCCTAATATAGCAAAAACACTTGTAAATGCCAACCAAACTGAGACTGCTATATCAATGCTGAATTTATTGCAAGTCAAAAATGCAGCGACTGAGTACTTAAAAGGTCTGTCATATATGTACACAAATCCTAAAAAATCACAAGAAATTTTGCTAGGGATTGATGCTATTTTAGAATATGATATGGACGATAAAAGTAAAGAAGATTTCGACAAAGGGCCATGGATGAGACATATAGGGAATTCTGCTTTGGCTCATGTTGGAGGATTTCAGCTAAGATTCCACGATAGCTTGTATAGAGCAGTTGACAACCCAGACATAAAAAAAGAAATTGCCCTATCAACCCTTTCCACCTGTACAATTAAATGGGAAAATTCTGACGTAATTAAGCATTGCTTATCACAGCTTATTCCTCAAAAATCATATCATGCTGCCTTTTCATTGCTATTGACTATAGAGGATGAAATTATTTTGGCTGACTGTTTAGAAGCTTTGCTTAATAATGCTTGTGAATCCAATGAATTTTATCAAATTTTATCAATTCCTATGAGTCCAACAATAAAAGAAATTTGTATAAAAATCCTCAAGACTTTTGCATATGACGAACATTTTGACTTGAAATTTGAAAAATACCCTGCAGGCTTGTTCCCTGAGATAGAGCCACAGAAGTTAAATAAGATGAGATGGTACACAGCATTTTATACTTTTTGTATGTTCCATCTTCATTATAGCCCTGCTGCAGAGCTTTGCTATTTAAGATATAGTGAAATTAAATATTACAGCAAAACTAAAGAATTTGATGGGGGTGAAGAAGAATTTTTAAAAAAATTGCAAAAAGAAGCCCTTTTATTATGCAGCTTGGCTGTTCGAAGTATTTCGTCTAATGCGAAAGAATGCTGGTTTTTAGTAACAAAAGCAAACCAATCTAGTGACAAAAAAAGAAAAATCAATGGAGCTTTGCAAAAGGAAAATAAAATCATAAGAGAAATTATTAGGCTTGAAGATATTGAAGAAAATCTAAGACAATTGCTTTAAGGTAACTTTAAATTCTGTTTAATTTTTTTTAAAATAAATAATCCAAACATTTATTCAGCTAAGCTTCCAATAACTCTCTGCATGAACGTTTCTAATATCCTTTTCCCTAACGTCTGATGTGCTTTTTGCTTCAAAAAAGTATCACTAAAGGGAACTTCTTTATATACAGTCTTTTTAGGGAACGGCTGCCTAAATATAGAGCAATCTTTTGCCTTATAAACCTTTAGCACAAATTCATCTAAAAGAGAGTTAAAATAAACACTCACAATAATAGTGGGAACTGTTGAGTAAAGATGTTGGTATAATAATTCATCTTTTTCATAAATGGAAGACACTGAGTGTTGTTCCTTCATTTTATGGTCATCTTCAAACAGCTCGAAGCTTGATCCTTCTTCAGAAATCGCCATTTCAGGCAGAATTTTTTGTCGAAATTCATGCTGCTTGCTTTTCATTTTTACAATCCTGCACAGCATCCCTGCATATAGTTGGATTTCTGACTCCCCCATATGGTCAGTGAGCAAAAATCTTGCTATTTAGCTAAGGGTGTTATTTTTTTTAGTAAAATTCTATTTTAAAAATAATTTTTCCGAATTTTTAAAATTTAAAATATTTTATATCAAAAATACTTACTCCCCCCGCTTCGTGAGCGAACAAAAAAATCTTGTTCGCTCACGGAAGGGGGGTTACTTTTTTTTTCGAAATTTAAAAAAATCCTAATTTGCAAAAATTGGAAAACAAATATTAGTTTAATTTATAAAGTTTATGTTTTAAAACGCAATTTGTTTAAAATTAAACAGAATTAGCTAATGATTTCATTATACTAATTATCACTTATATATAAATTTTTTTTTAATAAAAAATTTTTCTATTAAAAAAATTTTTGTTCGCTCACGGAAGGTGGGTTTTTGGGCAAAAAATAGGGATTTTTCTAATGGTTTTGTTCACTCACGAAGGGGGGAGTTAGCAAGGACTTATTTTTTCAAAATAGGGAGATTCCTAATGTATTTGCCTGCTAGCCCAAGGGAGGAGTGAGTATTTTATATGTGTGCTTAAAAGTATCCCTTCATCCAAAAACCCTTCATTCATTAGCATAAATAAGCACTCGTCAAGTCTCAGCCCTGCTTTGACCCAGACTCTTTTTTCAAAAGAATAAGCTCTAAAGGTCAGCAGCAGATTTTCAGCTTCTTTTATACTTTTTATGGTCTGGAAGTTGCTTAAATATTGGTTTTCGCTTTTAATGAAAACTTCAAAATAATAAAGCTGCCCGAACTGCTTCATGTGCTGAAGGTAAATTACTTCTCTCATTGGGGCAACAATGTTGTCAAAGTGAAAAATCAAGTCTAAGTGTTCATGCGGCTCAAAACTGCACTCATTTAATATTATTTCCCACGCACGGTTGCTGACTGTTGCTTTATTTACAATATGTTCTTGATCTTGATAATCTTTTGACAATGCATCTTCAGATAAATTAAACATATCAGAGTCATATAATTTGCATACAAAAGTCCTTGAGGTCCTGAAAAAGTGCAAATAAATTCTCCATTCTTCTAAGGTGTAAAGCCTTGTTACAGAAATTAATGCCATTTGACCAGTCACATTTTTAGCCCTTTGTAAGACAACGTGTTCTTGTAGATTAGATTCCATTAAAGATGTAGGCTCTTCTTTTAGCGCGGATGAAATATATGCTTCTAATGTAGGTTTCGCCCTTAAAATAATGTAATTTTTGGTATTCTCAAAATCAGAAAATTTAAAAGCGTTTATTGTTCCTGTCGCTGGGCTTTGGTCAGTTTTTTCGACTGCTAAATTTCCTTTTCTCTGCTCTTCAATTTTCCAAGCTGAAATAATCCCAAGTTTTGTCCTGAATAAATCAATTTTTTCTACTAATGGAGAAAAAAAGTTTTTTTCTAATTCTATTGCTGTGCTAAAATCTAGCTGTAAATTTGGGAAATTTTTCCTTATATCATTTTCTGTAAAGGAAATATCAAACTGCTTGCCATCTTTTGTGGAATATAAAATAATCCTTGACTGTTTATCGTTATTCACAAGACTTATTAAATACCGCTCATTCCCTATAATTTTAACTGCTTTATAGCCACCTGTGTAACCTTTTATTTTGCTGCTTGAGTCTGCCAGGACTTTTCCAGTCAAAGTGCTAAATTCCCCACCCCATGAGTGAACAAAAATTATTTTAATATAAAACTTAATTAAGAAATTGATTATAAGTGATATAGACAGGGATAGTTTTCAGCTCATCCTGAGCTATAATTGTTATAATGAAATAATCTCTAGCTAATTCTGTTAAATTTTGTAAATTAATTATCGTTTTCCAATGCTGAATTTATAATAAAATTTAAATAAATTTTAAAAATTATTGAACAAAATTATTTTATTCACTTACGGAGCTGGATTAAGTATTTTTAAATCAGTTTGGAGCATACATTTGGCAAGGTCTTCTCCTTGTTCACAGACCCTGATTATTTTTTCTATCTTTGCGTCATCTTTGATTACATGGGTATAAATTTCGTCTGAATGGATTGGCTTGGCCTCAGCTAAAATTTTTTTACTGGGGAGAATGCTCATTTTGAAGTGTAAATCATCTTTTTCGCCAATTAATTTGGTTCGATCTATAAGCAGTAAAGGCTCTGTCATAGAAATACTGTCAAAGCTGGTTTCTCCTTTAGGAGATTGGGTTTGGAGGTTTTCAGGGAGCTGACTTTCAATTCAGTCTTTAGTTGTCGACTTCATTGGGGTAGCTTTTGATGACTCAATAAGGCATTCTATTGTTTTATTTATAGAAATATCAGGGTCTTCTGTAAGCTTTTCTGGCTTGTAGTCTAAATTTATCACAATTCTTGAATCTTGTATAGAAAGTGCATTGGGAAGTTCATTGTAAAGGACTTCTTTAGCCTCAATAGGCAGCATTTTCATATAAAATGTATAAGGGATGTGGAATGAAAATCCAACACTTGTGAAAAAATTATCAAGGTCTTCTCAAGTCAATGGAATTGAGTGATCTGGTAAGCATAGTTCTCAACCAGACACCCCCATCTCCCAATAAGGGAACTCCCACCCCCCACCCCCTTCAAAAAATAAAAAGGGTTTATCCTATAGAAGTAATTGATAGGAAACAAGCAGAATAATTTAAATATAATCCAATTAAAACACACTATATTGATAAATTAAGCCCATAAATTACTTTAATATTTATGATTAATTAATAAATTTAAATTAATTAACAATTAATAAGAAAATATATTAAATTTGTTTTTTTATATTTATAAATATAATGCCAAAGATATAGATAATGGCATTAATTATTAAATTAGCACAATACAATAACTTGCATTAAATTTATTGATTCATAAATTAAAAGTTAATCTGATGCCCATTGTAAAAGGATTGCAGGACTGAATTGGTAACATGATTCAATAGTGCTAATAAAAAATAGTATTTGCTATTGCCAATTTTATTTTGGATCTCTAATTCGACTCTTTAGCCATTGTTCCACAAAAGCTCATAAATATATGCAGGATATACTGCTAATTAAAACCAAAGATCATTATTATGCTTGTTAAAAAATTTCTTCAGATTTGGTGTCTTAGTAGTTATAGAAAATTCTCACTCCATTCCATCTACTCCTTAATTGATTGTGCTACGCTATGTGGATTTTGTATAAATCAGTAATTTTAAATATTTAAAATAATAATTTATTTAATCCACCTGCTCTAAATTAGCATTTGTCATATATCTATGCTATATTAAGGGGGTGGAGGTGCCATCTGTGAAAGGGGGGTGGGGGTGCCATTAAAAGGGGAGGCGAGGGTACCATTAAAAAGGGGGGTGGGGTGTCTGGTTGCGGCCTGTGCTTGACCAGTCATCCCAATTAGAATTAATTGCTTGTAATTTCAGCATTAAATAGCTATTGAAGCTTGTATTTCCCATGTCTTCATAGTCTTTTAAAATGGTTTCAAAATCAGTTGACACTGATAACACCATGAATAAAACACCAGTCCCTTCTAATGAAATTAGCCCTTTTTCTAGCACTTTTCCGTCCATTTGTGACTCCAGCCACTCTAGGTTTTTATTTCTGTCTAAAGAACTGTCATGAGACTGATGCTCTAGAAGCATAAATATATTTTTAATGACCCCGTCTTTGACTTTTAAATACTTTGAGTAATCAATTAAGGTCTCCTCAGTCTTAAACTGTACTTGAGCTTCTTTTACAAGTGAAAGCCTAGTCCCCGTATTAGAATTTACAACAGAAGCTTCGTCTAATAAGCTTTCAACCAGTGATTTTACGTTATCTATAGCAGCTTCATCAACAGAGTCTTGCTGCGTAATGTCAACTCCACTTTCACTCTTTATTCTTGACCCTGAAGCATCGCTGTCAGACCTCAAGCTGCTTTCCTGGAAGCTGGATTCTGCTTCTTGTTGTATGGCATTTCAGCTTTCCAGGGCAGATTGAACGACTGGCCATATAGTTTCGAACTCAAAGGGCACCATTACTCTATGATCTTGGTAGAGCTCTGGGTTAAAGGTAAAAGAAACATTATGGTATAGGTTATCAGTCCATGCTTCCCCTATTCCGATGATATCTATGAGTAACGACACATCTTGCTCTTGAGGAGTTATCCCAGCCACCCTTACAGTCCATTGAAAAGGCATTTTATTCATATGCTTGTAAAGGGTAATTTCTGGTCTTTCTAAGCTTAAATAGTCTTCTGGCTTAGCTCTGCGGCGGATTTTTGGAGTAAAAGCTTCAGGAGACCCAAGATTTATCATGACGCTGCCTTCAAAAGGAGATGAAAACTGATTTGGGTCAGTTTCAGCTTGCTTCACCTTTTTCAAAATAGCTCTGGCTGGTGACTCTCTTTCAGGGAATGTTTTAAAATGTGGCTCATGGTCCGTATCTAATGGATTTTCTTTTACATCAGACCTCGTCTCCAAAATTTCTTTACTAAATGAGTCTTTTGCTATTGACCTCAGTGCTCTATCCTCAAGCATTTTCTGGTACTTCGCCCTTGCTATGAATCCTCTGATATTTTTCTGCAGCCTTATAGCAGCCGCCCTTTCCAATGTCCTGAACTGAGAAACAGATTTAGTCGTCGGGACCATCGGCACATGGTCTTCTATAGAAAATTCAGGGATTGACAAATGGTCTGCAAACTCTTCATTCTCCAAACTTTTTACATCTAAATTAGCACGTGACGAAACTCTCGACGTTGGGTTATCTTCAGAAGCACTCCGAGAGTTAAAAGAAATCGATGGAAATGAATTTTTTTCTTCAAATGAAGATTTTGAGGTTTTCCTTAAAGTTTCCATATCAGGCTGCAAAAAAGTTTTTGCACTGGGCAGCCTCATCAATTTCCCGTCATTTTTGCCTTTTTTCTTCTTTTTTTTGGAATCCCCAAAAATTTCAGCCAAAAGTTTCTTTTCATCAGTTATTTTTGTAGGGAGCTGAGGTGCCTTAGGTAAAGCACTCCTTGATGAAGTTAGTTTACTTGATGACAAATTGGAATTTCCTGTATTTATCCTGTTTTGGGATGATACTTGAGGAGGATCTTGAAGTCTTGCTAAATCTCTTGCGATTATTTTTAGCAAATCTTTGTCTTTTAAAAATTTTCTGGCTAAGGAATAGGCATCGGTTAGTAAAGGGGCGGCTTTTCTAAACTGATTTCTGTGTAGTCTAATAGTCCCTAAATGATGATAAGCTAGACATAAGCTTTGCATTTGGAGCTTGAAATTGGCAACTGCTTTTGGAAGCTTCGAAGGGCATATATTTTGCTCGACAGGGATTGATTTATTTATATGCAGCTCTCTTTCTAAGTTCAGAATGGCTCGCTGGGCATATATTTCAGCTTCTTCAAACTGCCCTAGCTTGGTTAACGAGATTGCTAAAGCGAGTTCTGAGTTGTGCTTTTGTCGGAGCGCTGAGACGTCTTTTGGGAGTTTTTCTTCTATTTTGATTGAGCTCTGTCACATTTTTGCTTCGTTTGGTAGATCACCAATTCTCTACTTGAAAGATACCTTCTATAATGTTCGGCTAAGGTGGTGTAGATGCTGATTCTTACTTCCCTCTATGAATGAGGAATTTTTTTGCTTAATTTAATTGATATTAGACTGTCTAAAATAATTAAATAATAATTTCTGCTTATAGGCAAGTTAGAAGTTGCCAATCAATGCGCTCTTTTCATCGCTGAAGAGGGCTTGGATTAGTAATTTTTAACGCTTTTTGAAGCTGCTCAAATGCAGGAGCTACCAGTCCTGATTGGTCGAATAGTTCGGAATTGGTTAAGTACATCTCAGCAAGAAGTTTCGCAATTTCCCATGTTTCATAGTGAGAACTTCTAAATCGATTGAAAGCTTCTTCGAGGACTTCTAAGGCTTCGTCTTGCTGATTACGGCTTTTCAAATAATTAGCTTTAGAAATAACTTCCTTGATATTTTCCATTATAAGAGTTATAATGAAAAAATCATGTTTTTCAAAATTTTTGTTACTGGCTTATTTCTTAATAATATTGATAATAATCAGCATGATTCATAAAAAGCCTTCCATGACATCAAGAACCCACTCCACTCCACAAGGCGACCTTGCTGACATCTTCGATAAAAATCGCATCTTTCACACTCCAACTCTCCCAGACCTCACAAGTTCAAGATCCTTAAAACATTCAATCACCCCAATTGCTATAAAAACCAATATAATGTCTGAGTTTGCAAAAAATAAAATCAGCCATGAAAGGCAAAAATCAGATATTCCTGACGAAGAAAGGTCTCCTACATATAAAAAAAGCACAAACAGAGAAAAAATAAATGATTTGATGGAAACTTTGGGTGTTTTAAAAGGGTCTAAGACATTCAAACTGCCGACTTCAATTGATAAATTGAAAGAAGTGGTAAGCGATAATAGTAAAAGTAACGAGTCTGAAGAAGTGGAAAGGCTTGAACTAGGCATGCCTGTGAGGAGAAAAGATGTTCAAGCCTTAGCTGACTGACTGGACATGATGCTAAAACAGGTTTTGAGTGAACAAAATGAGGACATTGAAGCCCTTTTTGAAGGCGCATTATTAATTTATAATGTATGCTTTCACGAAATAGTAAGGCAGGTCAGTGTCCAGTGTGTAGAAAGAGGAGAACTTATTAATAGGGTGTGAAAAGCTTACTTAAGGATTCTCGAAAGGGCGTTAAGAATTGTAAACGTCAAACTTTTAGTCCAATCCCAACAATTTTTGCATGAAAAAGAAGAAATCCACGCCAATTTTGTAATAGAAAAGACAAGGATGGTAAAAGAAAAAGACAAATTTTTTATTGAAAATGAAAAACTACAGAGAATTATTAAGACAAAAGGGGACGAAATAGATAGGATGACGAGAAGAGAAGAAAGGCTCATTAAAAAGCTAGATATTTTACAAAAACAGTATGAGACTACTAAAAAAGAAGTTTTATATTTAAAAGAAGACAATAGGGTGCTACAAGCAAAGCTGAATAACTCTGATGTAGAATTTGTAGAGAGACCTGACGGAGTTATTGAGCTTAAACCTAAAAGGGTGCTAAAAATAAAAAGGAAAAAAGTAGATGACATTGACGAAATTTTGATGAAAGACCCACTTATTAATAAAGTAAGTCTAATGGAGTATGGAGAGCCTGAAAAAATTGTGGAAAGTATTAGAAAAAACAGTGAGTATGAAAAAGAATTATTTGCAAAACTTGATTATAAGGACGTAGGGATTGATGTAAGAGTTTTGGTTAATGAAGAAGGACAGCAAACTGAAGTGACTGAGCTATGTGGAGAGTCTTGTGGAGAAAAATATTTTAAGCCACCACCTATTCCTGTATTGGAGCTAAAGAAAAGTTCGAATTTTAAGCTGGTCGATATAATTGCTCAGAAAAGGAATGAGATATATGAGGAGGATGAAGAGGATGAAGAGGAGGAAGAAGAGAATGATGAGATAGATTTGGAAAAACAAGGAAAAATTTCTGAAGAGCAAAAAGTGTTTATTTTAAACTTCCAAGAAAAAATTGACCAGGTTAATGGCTTGATAGAGAAAATGAAAGAAAATTTTGCTGCAAGCGCTAATACTCATGACAATCCATTTGCCCAATCATTACTAAAATCAATTTCTAAAGCATTTGTCAAAGGCCGGGAAAAGCTACAAGAAAAAGAAGCCCCACTTGAGCTTGAAGCAGCTGCAGAATCTACAAGTGGCCGAAATCGATTATACAATAACATTCAGAAAGTTAAAATTCCTAAAAAAGTCGTCCAAAACAACATAGCAAAACAAATTACTTATAAAGTCTTGAATACTCCAACTTTCAAGCTAAAACACGTAATGATAAAAAAGATGCTGCTTAGGTTTATTACACAGTTTTATGATATTACTATCACAAAAAAAAATGATCCTGATCCCAGATCTATGCATATGCCAGATATCGTTATAGATACATTTAATCATAAATATGGGATGCCAAAAGTGGTAGAAACAAAATATAAGCAGCTTTTAGCATCTTGTATCAAATATAAGACTATCAAGAGAATTTATATTTTTGGACGGTTTTTAGGGCTTTATGACGAGCTGTCAAATGATGATTTAGTGGTATATGCTGACTGCTTAAATTTTATGAAGGCAGGATTTTATAGAGATACACAAGCTGATTACTCAGAAATTGTGACAGTTCCATTTGATAAAGCAATTGAGTACCACAAACAATTTTGGCAGGACAGGCTAAGTAAAGAAGAAAACGAAGACCTTAAAAGAGATTTAGAAAAATTAAAGAAAAACGACAAACAAATTTCGATTGATTTTGACAGTTACTTTGAACAAATCATAGCCAGAATCGAAAAAAAAAGAAAAAATCCGGCTAGGTGAATTTTTCCGAATTGTGAAGTAAGATCTTTTAAGGAATACGATACAAAAAACCTTTATAAGAAAGGCAAGAAGGATACTTAGCAAACTATCTGAGCAAATGCTGAAATTTTAATTTTCTGTTTGGCTTAATAGTAAAATTCAACCAAAAAAAGGTACTAAAATAAAAATTATCAAGCTAAATCACTAATATAGATTAGATAAAAAAGTCATTTTAAAAGAATTATACCATAGTCCATTGACGAATTATAAGATGGTTGACGTCAAGTAAATTTCAGTAGTGAGATAAGTGAATTTTAATAAAAGGTCAGATAGTTATTTATCCGAATTCCAATTTCGGAAGTTATCCAAAATAAAAGGGTGTATCCTTCAGTAATTTTTTTTTTTTTTTTTACGTCCAACCTTACCGTTTATTATAAAAAAAATTAAAAATCACGAATATCTTCTAAATATCCTTCCTTACACTCAAATAGTCCATAAATAAATGCATTAAACTTAGAGAAAATAAATAGAATTTTAACACAGATCTAGCTTAACTTAATATACTCTTTCACACAATTTGCGATGCTAAAAGTCCGCAAAGTAAATTTACTAAAGAGGCATCTTAAAAGCTGCATCACCTGAGTCTTTTGCGAACTATTAAAAAAATATCAGTAAAAAAATTTGACTGAAAAGTTCCTTCAAGAATTTTTTTAATGAAAATTCTTTTGAATCATTATTGAAGATTTACTGTATTTAGAGAGTTTAATTAAGACCAGAATAATTAATATTCCGCACATTATTTTGTGCATAAATTTAATCCAATTTTCGCGGCAATAAAATGGTCGACAGACATTGGCTGTATGGAAATTTCCATACAATTACTGCATCAGAATCGAACTCTATTGATTGATGCAGGGAAGTAGGCATTATGAAGGATCCTATATGCGACTTATTCCATAGGCCGACCTATATTTATCAGGGAGGTAATTCACATTTTTTAAGATGCAATTCATGCCAAAAAACACTCTCTTTGCGTCGGCTTTCAATATTTCAATATTCTAGGCTTCCGCTCTCCACTTGCATTAAAATAATCTTTTTCCACATGATAAGAGAACACTCAGTGCTTCAGATTGCTCAAGATCTTGGATATACCCATAAAGCAGTAAGAAAATTCATCAAAGCAGTCAGAAGGCACATTTCTAAACAAATTTTTAAGAGCTATTTCGAAGATGATCCTTTAGGATCAGAAAATGAGCCAGGTAGAAATCACCCAACAGTAGAGATGGATGAGACCAAACTCCTGCACTGAAAGAACGAAACCAGATGAGTGTGTTTGGAATTTATGATAGAGGCACTAAAAAATATCGGCTTTTTTACTGTTCTAACAATAGGTCCTATGAAGAACTTAAAAATTATATACTCTTATCAGTTGCTACTGATCCGAATAACCCTACGGAATGTTGGACTGATGGCTGAAGAGAGCATATAACTCTTAGTAAATGATGGATTTAGGCATAAAGTTGTGTTTCATAACAGGTCTTTCAGAGTCGGACGAGAAACTACGAACCACATTGAGAACTTATGGTTTCGTATGAAAAAGCTAAAAACATTTTCAAACGGATTTGGAGCAAATATGAGGAGGATCTCGAAGATTATAAACTATTTTCAGTTTCTACTTGCAAATAAAGGGTTAGATCGCATTGAAGCATTCATACAAGCATTGAAGGTAGATAATTTCTCATATTCTAACTAATAAATGGATATTCAACTCTCTAAAATACAGTAAATCTTCAATAATGATTCAAAAGAATTTTTCATTAAAAAAATTCTTGAAGGAACTTTTCAGTCAAATTTTTTTACTGATATTTTATTAATAGTTCGCAAAAGACTCAGGTGATGCAGCTTTTAAGATGCCTCTTTAGTAAAATTTACTTTGCGGACTTTTAACATCGCAAATTGTGTGAAGAGTATATTAAGTTAAGCTAGATCTGCGTTAAAATTCTATTTATTTTCTCTAACTTTAATGTATTTATTTATGGACTATTTGAGTGTAAGGAAGGATATTTAGAAGATATTCGTGATTTTTAAATTTTTTTATAATAAACGGTAAGGTTGGACGTAAAAAATAAAAAAAATTACTGAAGGATACACCCTTTTATTTTGGATAACTTCCGAAATTGGAATTCGGATAAATAACTATCTGACCTTTTATTAAAATTCACTTATCTCACTACTGAAATTTACTTGACGTCAACCATCTTATAATTCGTCAATGGACTATGGTATAATTCTTTTAAAATGACTTTTTATCTAATCTATATTAGTGATATAGCTTGATAATTTTTATTTTAGTACCTTTTTTTGGTTGAATTTTACTATTAAGCCAAACAGAAAATTAAAATTTCAGCATTTGCTCAGATAGTTTGCTAACTCCCCCCCCCCCTCCGTGAGCGAACAAAAAAATTTTGTTCACTCACGGAGGGGGGTTAAATTTTTTTTTTTTTTAAAAACAATTTATATATAAAAATTTATAAAAAATATTTTTTTTCGAAATTTAAAAAAAATCCTAATTTGCAAAAATTGGGAAGCAAATACTAATTTAATTTGCAAAATTTATGTTTTAAAACGCAATTTGTTTAAAATTAAACAGAATTAGCTCTAGATTTCATTATACTAATTATCACTTATATAGCAAAATTTTTTTCTATTAAAATTTTTTCTATTAAAAAATATTTTTTGTTCACTCACGGAGGGTGGGTTTTTGGTCAAAAAATGGCGATTTTTCTAATGGTTTTGTTCGCTCACGGAGGGGGGGGGGGAGTAAGTATCCTTCTTGCCTTTCTTATAAAGGTTTTCTGTATCGTATTCCTTAAAAGATCTTACTTCACAATTCGGAAAAATTCACCTAGCCGAAAAATCCGGATAAATTTCATTAAATGCATATATGATGCAGCTGATTTTAATGGTGACGGATTTTTAGAATTTGTGGAATTTAGTTTACTAGTGAAGCATATAGCTGCTACCAAAATAACTGAAAAATATGCATTAGAGCTATTTGACAAGTTTGCTGAAGTTTTTACAGGAGAGCACGATGAAGAAGTAAAAGCTTTGTCTTTTGAAAATTTTTCTCACCTGACTTTTCTCCATCAAATCTTTACTCCTGAAAGTCTTAACAAGTTTTCTCAAATTTCTCATGAGAAAGGCTCAATTGGGCATCTTCAAGGACTGGCTAACACTATTAATAAAAAAATCGAGGAGTTTAAATGGAGACTTACAAAGCTGAGTAATTGGAAAGAGTCTAAAGAAGAATATGAAAATTACCTTAGAGGGCTAATGCAAAAAGTAAAGAATCCTACAGTTCCTGATTCTGTGTGGGTCGGATATCGATTGATAGATGAAGAGTCTAAATGTATTTGCATAGAAAGCACACTTTTTTGGTTTCAGACTTTTTGGCATTTCTTCAGGAAATTTGGTCAAAATTTTTATATGAGAAATTTCAATCAATCCTCACTAGAAGAAAAAAATTTCGATCAAATGTGCCTTAGGAAATTGGGCAAAAATTTGGAAAGGAAAAAATTGCACACTATTTTCGCTTCTGCCTAAGTGCAGTCGATTCTTTTGTAAATAATAAATATTATGAACAGTATAGAAATCACTATTAATAGATGTGTCGACTGTGGAGGCTTAATCCGGCCTTCCCAAAACAGATGCCAAGCCTGTCTTGACAGGCTCCAGAAAGACCCAGAAACTGTGATTTTCATGACCGTAATGGAAATCGTCAAAGAAAAAGTAATTGTTTTTAACACCGTCATGCAGAATAGAATTTCAATGATAAAAGAAGACATTATCACTGCTGTGACTGAAGAGACCTTAAGATTCCAGCAGCTTTTAAACGAAAGTATCACAAAAATCGACTCCTTTGTTGAGCAATTGCAAAATATCGAAAATGAAGAATTGCCGCATGATATGATTGAGCAGATTACTTCTAGACAAGATATAATTAGCATGTTAGGGATCCCTGAACTCCATATAAGCATGGACTCTGACGAGGTCCAAGATGGGTTTAGAAAAGCTTTGAGTGGGGAGTTTATTTTTTTCAGAGAAATCATCAGACGAAATAGCAACAACGAGAATCTAGATTCTGAATAGAGCATTATGTTTACTCCCCCTCCATGAGCGAAATAAAACCATTAGAAAAATCCCTATTTTTTGCCAAAAAACCAACCCTCCGTGAGCGATAAAAAAATTTTTTTATAGAAAAATTTTTAATATATAAGTGATAATTAGTATCACAAAATCTATAGCTAATTCTTTTTAATTTTAAAAAAATTGCGTTTAAAAAATATAAAATTTATAAAAATTAAATTAATATTTGCTTTCCAATTTTTGCGAATTAGAATTTTTTGGGATATCGGAGAAAAATTTTTTCTATTAAATTTATATATAATTTTTTTTTAAAAATTAACCCCCTCCGTGAGCGAACAAGTTTTTTTGTTCACTCACACAGGAGGGGGGAGTTAGGCTTTTTAATCGATTCTTAAAATGGATAATTAAATGGAAGAAAAACAAAAACATAGAGATCATTACGTTTTCAATACAATTTCTGCTAAATTGCAGCCTAAGTTTGATAGCTATATTGTACAGATCCACCAATTTTCTCAAGAATTGACTTACCTGTTAACGATTGCTGAAAATGATAGAGTCTTTGCAGAAAACAATAAAGATGATATCGAACAAATAAAAGAAGCATTAGGCAAATCTGCTAATTGTGAAAATAAACTGAGCAGAAGCATAATGACACTTCATACCCTAGCTCAGGAAATAGATGAGCAGTTAAACTGAACTTGAAAAATTTTATTTTCTTGTCAAAATGAAATAAATAAAGTGTATTTTATATTAAATGATTTTATTTCAGAAGAAAAAGAAAAATTGACATCGAAGTCTCAAGAGATTGCAAATGAGTGCAGAATTCAATATTCACAATTAATATGAAAAGAAGAAGGAAATAATGAGGAAGTTATCGATAAAAATCTATTTAGGACTCCAAAAGTATTGTTTAACAATTCTATAAGTTCTCATGTATGCAAAGAGCAGGCTGAAATATCATTTAGCTGTACAAAATTACAATTGAGAGGAGCCCATGTGTGTAAAAAAAGTGTGCAGCATGTAATTGATGTATTTAATTATAATGCTCAGGTGCTTGCTAATTTTAATAATTTGCAAAAAGTGCTGCTTTATTTAAAGCTGACGTTGGAAAAGATTGATAAAATATTCAAGACTATTATGGGTGCAGGTCAAATGACTTTGCCTTTTTGATAGTGTCCATTTCACCCAAAATTGATCGAAAATTTTTGATAGTGAGACATTTGACCGAAAAAACCCGTTAATTTTTGGCCAAATGCCCGCACTATCAAAAATTTTCGACCAAATGGATTTCGATGAAATGTACACTGTCAAAAATCCACGGTCATTTGACATGGAGCCGACTATTATAGGTCAAGCTAATATCAAGATAAAAATTTTAGATCATATTGTTGGTGTAAATAAAACTTTGCTCTTTAATGATGACACTTTTGCAGGATTTATTGACAAAATTTCAAGGCAAGAAAATAAACTAAACGAAGAGCTGTCAAAACTCAACACTTATATAACCAAATTTCCAGCACAATTGCAAACATCTGACCAAAGCTGCTTACCAATTAGTAATATCCTTAGCCAAGTGTCCTTAAAAAGCACAAATTATGATAAACTAAAGCAAGCATATTCTTTAGGGAAGTCAGTTTCTGCGTTTCTACAGGTTTTATGTGAGCAAAAAAAAGAAAATAAGTTCGTAAATAATGTGAAAAAATCAAATAGAAGAGTAAGCAAAATTAGGATTAGCGAAAAAATTGATTCAATTGATTTTGTTGTTGAGGTTTCTCTAAGAAGACTTAGTCAGCTTAAAAACACAAGTGCAGAAGCAAATAAAGTTTTTTATCATCGACTAAATAACAATATCCTCTATAAGCTTATCCATATGAAATCTACAATTTTAAAAAAATTCCAACCACACAGCACAGCTATAAGTTTATCAAATGCCAGAAATAGGCTTACCGAATTAATGAGAGCACATATAGATGCCCGAAAAGAAGACCCGCTAAACTGAGACAAAAATATCCGAGTCCTTATGCTGAAGAAATTTGACTTCGCATCTATTGAAAATAAAGTTCACCATTCATATACTCTAAATGCAGTAGGAAGCCATTCTTATGAATCAAGCTGAGAGTTGCAATGCATAGGAGACGATAAATATTCATCTGAAAATTCTGAAGAAGACCAACCTTCTGTTGAATATTCTCCATCAAGCAGTTCTTCTTCAAGTACAGTCTCTGAAAGCGAATTATCAGAAATCTCAGAAATCAGCTATAAAAAGACTGAAATTTTTGATCATAACCGATACCGCAATAAAATTCGAGGCAATCAAGATTTTAATATATCGTCGTTACAAGACTTAACCAAAAGTTTGAACGCTGAAGTAAAAGATATTCATAAAAAAGGGCTAACAGGATGGAAAAAAGATTTAAAAAATTTGAGAAAAAGAGAAGAAAAATCTCTCATAAATAATGAAGTCAGAAAACGGTTTATTTTAGAAATGGAAAAAAGAAGAGAATTAAGGAATAGAACGCTAGAAAACTTGATGGAAAAAGAAAAGTCGTTTTCCCCTGAGAAAAACAGCAAAAATATGACAACAATATATGAATTACGATCACAAACCCCAGAGCCAAGCTTACTGACTCAACGAAGTGAGAGAAATAGAAGCTCACAAAATGATAGCCAATCTATGAAATATTCCAAAAGTATTGACATCATAAAGCAGGTCCAAAACACAGTTTACAAAAAATCCGTTCAAGACGTTATAACCAAGCTGGGGAGGCATAGTGGAGATACCACTTCTAATGGCTCTAGATTTGACCCTGCCACTCGACGTCTTGGAGAAAAACTAATCAATCAAATTTCTGAGCTTACTTATATAAACGGTATGGGGATGAGAAAAACAATATCTTTACTCACAAGAAAAAAGAAAGGATATTTACAGCAAAGAATAGCTTCGATTCAGCAGGACCGCTCATTGTCTCCATTCCTAAAAATTAAAAGCATACGAGATGAGTTTTCTCAGTACGGGAACTCCAAGCCTGTCATTCCACCTTCTACCACTTCGATAACGAAGGTGAAAGGGAAAAATGTTTATTTAATGTCACTTAGTTAAAATAATTAAATTATTTCACATTATTCTACACAGATTCTCCCATCCCTTCACTTTCACGAGAAATTGAGCTTCGTGAAGACTGATTTATAGAGACATTGGAGCTTCGTCTCGACGACCGATTTGAAACATTGCTTATATTTGAAAAAGACCCATGCGAGTCAATTCTCGATTGAATCATTTTCTTTACTGCTAGCTCCCCAAGCATTTTCATATGACGCCTAGGAGTGGCATCACCACTAGCATTTGCTGTGGAAGATTTTCTGTATCGAGAAATTGCGACAATGCGATTTTTATTGGCGGTTGGCTCTTTGTTTGTTAGTTTTTCAAGCTTGGTTTTGAAAGAAAGCAGCTTATTCAGCGTTGAATATTCGTTTGAAACAAAACGTCCTCCAATTTGCTGAAAGCTATTAGTTCCTTCTAAGTATTTTGTTATTGCGATTAGTTTTGTGCTTGAAATTTTGACTACATCTCTGATCTGTTCTTCTAGGGAAGAAGAAATTTTGCTGTGCCACAATGTTTTTTCATACCGAAACCTTTTCAATTCCACATGGAAGCCAATGGCTTCCTTAAGTCTGGGAACTCCCTTTTTCCTTAAAGCATCAAGCCTTCACCATTTTTGTATTAATCTTGCAGAGATAGGAGCTAAAAATCTTGCTATTTTATGTTTATATTTCATTCTTTTGTACAATAAAAGTTCTTTATCACTGAGTTTGACTTTCTCATTTACATTGATAATTATCAAGGAATACATAAACATTCCATAAATTGCACTTGAAACGCATATTATTCTACCAAGATGTGATAGTGGAACATATTCTCCATAGCCAACTGTAGCTTCTGTAATAGAAATATTTCAAAAAGAGTTTCAAAAATAAGAAAATTTCGTATCAGGGATTCCTTTTTCAAATGTCCTAACTCTTTTTTGTTTAATACAAAATAATAATATGGGGTCTATAGAATTATTTTATTTTCTATAATTATTTATAAATATTTTCTTGCTTTGGCACAAAAAAGAAGTACTAAATTTATTACAAATTTATTTTAAAAAAACTGCCGTAACGCTTTTATTAAAAATGCCATTTATGATCGAGTAAGAAGCATCCCACATAAAAGAGTTACACCTGCAGACACAACAAAAATGGATAAAAATTTCGCCGTCCTCATAATTCATTTTAAAGTAAAGCTGATTGATGATTTAGTATTTTGCAAAGAGCAATAAAATTTCGTTTTAGGGTTACTATTAATAGAAAACTCATACATAAATTTTACCACATGAGTGAATCTCAAAAACGAAAAAACTAAAAAAAAGTCATCAAGCGAAAGTTTTGCATAAGTATTTAACTGATAAAATTTGCCATGCCACTCAGCAAAAGGCGGTATAAAAGGGCATTGATACAAATATCTCATAATTAAAATATGAGTCGAGGCTGCATGGCCGGGAGGCCATGCCCAGACGAAGACGCCATATTTTAATTATATCCGGCAGGGTTTTGCATTTCAGAAATGGACAGCAATGCCAGGTAAGCAATTCTGGTTGTGTACAGAGCCTAGCCCAAGTCTAATTTCAGGGATGGTTTTCCTCGTGGGGAAGGGAGGCACGGAAGTCGGAAAGGGGAAGCTCAGCCAAGTCCGTTAGGACCTATTGGGCAACTCCCTAGCGTAAAATTGGGCGCTACGTCCCAGGCTACGTGTTTTTCCTTTTTGCCGATAGCCGACCAGAAAATCCATTTTTTATGGATTTTCGGAAAGGCAACCCATGTACTCAAGCAAGTAGCTCATTGATACAAATATCTCAAAAATAATTTGCTTTTTGATGTAAGGATCTTCAAAAAGTGTGGTATGTTCAGATATCTCTTTATATGCCTTTTTAATTCTCAGGTGATTTGAATAATAAAAAAAAATCAAAGCATCCTGTGTGAGGGACGATGCCATAATTATAAATCGGCAAGAAGTAATGAATGGGCTTAATGTGTAGTCTTGCAAATAGTATTCTTCAGCTGCTAAATAGCTAAAAATGATTATAATCAGTGATAATAAAGCTGATAATCCTGATATCAGCGTTTGCTTCTTTTTTAGAATTAATAGATTTTCATTAGGGAGAATTAAGCTGAGCTCGCTGGGAAGTGTCTCAATTTTTATTGATAGAGAAGCTGATTTCTGTGGAATTTGTTTTGAAATAAAATCCAAAGTCTTTTCATCTACGATCCCTCCTCTCCGTCTAACAGTTGTTATTTGTACATCTGGGCTATCTTCTGTGAGCACGTGAATTTGCATTTTTTATTGTTTAATTCATTATTCTTTTATTCTCATATGGAAAGCTCCATATTACCAAATGATTTAATCCAATTTCTTATTATTATTTGTATTAGATTCTGAATAATCATTATTAATTTTTAAAAAACCATAAGTTTTTGGCTTTATTTTTTTACAACAATTGTAATGTTAAATGACAACTATTAATAAAAATCTAATTGATAAAAATATAAATGACTATGGGAAATTGGCAGATTTAATTAATTAAAATATCCATATTTAACGATTTTTATAAATCTTTATCAATGCTCGAAAATTCAGATGAGTCTTTCTTTATGGATAGTATAAATCAGTTTGAGCTTAATGTAGATTTCGATTACAAAGATCGAACAGGACGTAAATTTTCTTTTGTAGACTTGCTAACAGCACCAATCGGTATCCCTGAAGTAAAACTTATTTAGCTTCCAAATTTTGATCTCAAGTTTTTTGACTCCGAAGACATAAATTTGCTTGAATTTAGCTCTCCAAAGAATGGTCTCGATGCAATTTTAACCCCTATTGAGTATGAAAATTTCCCTATGTGTTCTATTGAGTCTCATAAAAAGAAAAAAATTTCCAAACCCTCTAAAAATATTGTCAATGTCGAGAAGCCTTTAGAAGCAAACCCAAACACTATAATAGGCACTATAACTTTAGAGGAGCGTAGGAAAAAAATTTTGAGATATTTAGAAAAGAGAAATCATAGGACATGGAAAAAAAGAATTGCATATGACTGTAGGAAGAAAGTTGCAGATAATAGATTACGAATCAAAGGAAGGTTTGTAAAACTAGACGAGGCCATCGCAATATTAGGAGTAGATCATCAAGCAGTGCAAGCATTTTTAGCACAAGAGAAAAGACTGAGTAACGGTAACTAATTACTTTAAAAAGCTCTTTTAAGCTAAAAGACTGTTAAAAATAAATAGCTAGATGATATAAAATTATAAGTTTCTGTTTAATCTTGAAATTAGAAGCTTCATAAATTCTTATTTGAAAGAAATATTAGAATATAAATATTAAAACCTTTTCGTGCTTATTTTGAATAAAAAAGTCGAAGGTAATCTCCCCTTTGAAATCTTATTGATTTTTTCTTGAGTATCTTTATACTCATCAAATGCTTCTTGCTTTTCCTCTTTTGAAAATATTTCCTTTGCATTTTTATTGATCCTTTTCTTGATTTTAGAAGATAAATCAATAAGATTGCTGGCATTTTCTTTATCTTGTTCAAAATACTCGTGATACATTTTCAAGTGCTTTTTCGTTATCGAGTTTGAAAAATTGGATCTCATGGAATTTGAATCGTTTAAGCTCGAATTGCTGTCTTGTGAACTGCTTCTATTTGAAGATCTTGAGCTTGATCTTTGGCTATTACAGTAGCTGTTTATATTTCTTATACTATTAATATATAAATAATTTTTAATATTAAAATTTTTTAGCCCTTTTTTGCGAATTTTATTGCTTGTAAATGCATACTATAAATCCAGTGGCTTAGGAAAAAATATATAGTGAACTACACTGACTGGCACGGGGTGCTTTTGGCTCAGTTTCGAGCCAAAAGCACCCCGTGCTAGTCAGTGTAGTTAACTATATAAATTTCTTGCTAATTTTTGTAGGGTATAAAGGAGGTCGATCTGAAATTGGAGAAATCGCTAATTGATTACTCAAGGAAAATGGCTGCCGCTTTTTATAGAGGTAAAACACGTCTTCTTGGATTTGATTTGGGCTTTGTTTTATATTCAATAGTATATCATGATGTGAGGATAGCCTAGGTCTTTGTTTCATTTAGTTTTGAATTTCAATAATCCATTTGTGAATTGAAAATATTGGGATTGTTAGAATAAGTAAGCCTATAGATATAGAAAGCTTTAAAGAGTGGTTGGAAAATTATATCGACTAAAATAAAGGGAAAACTGTATTTTTTATATAAGAGTCTTCCAATAAATTAAATCATATATAATAATTCTCAGGAATAGGCTGGATTAAGTTTTCTAACTCCCTTAATGAGCAAGAAAAGTATTGGAAAAATCACTATTATTTTTGAGGAAAAGCTTTCCGTAATTGAAAAAAAATCAATATAGAATATGTCATCAATATTAATATATAAGTGATAATTATTATAATGAAATCTCAAGCTTTTGATATTGAATTTAAAAACAGATTAAATTTTTAAAACATAAATTTTAACAAATTAAATTAATTTTTCACTTCACTTTTGCGAATTGGGATTTTTTAATTTCGAAAAAATAAATTTCTAAAAATAATTTAGTAATCAAGGATATTTTTTTTCACTCACAAAGAGAGGAATTGAATAAATAATAATTAACTCTATAAAAGCTTGAAATAAATCCTTAAAATAAAGTTTTATATAATTATCAAAATGTCGAATTATTTAATTGGCTGATTTTAAGATCGACTTTCGATATATGTATAAATTAGGTTTTAGTGGTATAGGGAGTGTCAATGGCTAATCTAGTCAGCCAAGAGTCTAGCTCTGAGAAGACTTTTCTGCATAGGGGAGTGGCAAATGGAGCTAGATAGAATTCTCCTATGCAAAATTGCAAGCAAAGGGTGGAGCTTTAATGCAGAGAGTACAAGTTTTCTTAACCAAGCAATGAGCGTTTCTATAATCAAAAACGATAGCAATACATTTAGAAAAGTAAGTCTTCAATATATTTTCCCTCTTATTGGCTACTGTAAATTTATTGAAAATCTAACTCTTTTCTAAAATCTGTCAAAAAAATATTGCTTATGAAAAGCTGCTTACTTCCCCAATGTGTGTGAGCAAAAAATTATTTTTGCTTGTCTATATTTAAGGATAGAAATGCTTACTCCCCCTCCGTGAGCGAACAAAAAACCATTAGAAAAATCCCTGTTTTTGCCCAAAAATCCACCCTTCGTGAGAGAACAAAAATTTTTATAGAAAAAAAATTTGATATATAAATGATAATTATTATAATGAAATCTCGAGGTAATTCTGATTAATTTTAAACAAATTGCGTTTTAAAAGATAAATTTTACAAATTAAAATTAATATTTGCTTTTTAATTTCGAAAAAAAAAATTCTTATAAAATTTATATATAATTTTTTTTTAAACCCACTCCATGAGCGAACAAGATTTTTTTGTTCGCTCTCGGAGGAGGGGTAGTTAAGGTTCTTTTTTAAAATAAGTTACTTCATATACTCTTAATTTATTTAGCTTTGCTTATATAAATAGCCCTTGCTCATTTTAATAAGTAATTTTCTATCGGTGAAATTTTATAAACATTAAGAATTTTAAAGTATTAAATAATAAATATTTACTATTTTCCATTCTGCCCTATTCGAGTATTCATAGCAAGAACTTAAAATTTTAGGTCTATAGGTTATTATATAAATTTTATGGTTGATACCTATCTCGTGATTCCGGAGATTATTACTGTTTCAGCTTCTCCTGCCACAGACACCTGTCTAATTCCCGAGATCGTGCCGAATGGACGCATTTTCAGTTGCGAAATCTGTGGGAAAATATACACCAGGCAAAGAGCCTTAAAGGTCCACATGAGAAAGCACACTGGTGAAAAACCTTTTAAGTGTAAAATATGCGATAAGGCTTTCAGCGAGAATGGGAACTTAAAGACCCATATGCGCATCCATACCGGGGAAAAGCCATTTCAATGTGCCTCATGTGGAAGTAAATTCACCACCCGAGGTCATTTAACTGATCATACAAGAAAGCATACAAACGAGAGGCCTTTCGATTGCCCAATATGTGAGAAAAAATTTATGAGGCCGAGTACATTAAAAATCCATATAAGAACGCATACGGGGGAAAAGCCATATACCTGCATTAAATGTGGAAAATGTTTTACCGAATCAGGTATACAGTTCTGGTTTAATTTGCTATATTATTGTTAGGACAGGTAAAAAATCTATCTTTTAATAGTGAAAAATAAAGCAGGATAATAAATTTTATTTAAATAGAGTAGTATAACTTAAAAACTCATATGAGGACTCATACAGGCGAAAGACCGTATAAATGTCCAATCCCTAATTGTGGAAAATGCTTCAAGGCCAAAGGCCACTTGATCGACCATCTTAAGATTAAGATTCATCAAGGAAGCATCGACATCTTAAAACAAGAACCATAATTAATAATTCGTTTTAAAATCTAACTACTCACATAATAAAATTAGCATTTTATGGATATACTGCTATATAAAAATATTTTTGTCTAAGTTTTAAAGCTTACATATTTTTTTCGAACAAAATTAAACTATTAGAGATATGCAGGCACTATCTTTAATCCAAAACAAATACAAGACTATAATAAAAATTCAGCAAAAATAGGATTTTAATGTGAATCTGATATGAGAAATAAAATTTTAAGGACAAGCAGGATAAAAATTGTGAGTTTAAAATTTTGGTTTCCATCTCGTAATTTGAGGTAAATAATATTCTCAAAAAATTAAATACAAAATGACAATATTAAACGTTATTCTGACTCTCCATCCATTAAATAATAACAAAAATATCTATTCAAATTTACGATTATTTTATTGAAAAAAATACACCCACATATAGAAAACCTAAATATAGTAGCCAGTAGGATTTTTTTCATTCATTGTAAAAGGTATTTTTTTCAAATAAATCAAAAATTTAATCGTTTTAGTGTGCCAGCTATTTGAATAGCACTCTAATCACCCTATCCACTTAATTAGGACAGAGCTATTATTTATATAAAAATTAGTATTTTTACCAAAAAATTTAGCTGCTTTAAATGATTTACCGTCATAATAATAGATCCAATAAAAAACTAAAATTAATCAATTTATTTTATGAGAGTAAATTTTATTGTTATGAGTAAATATCAATCAAATATTATTCCTATTATTAGCCATTTTATTCATAAACTGCGTAAATTGATGATGATTATGATAAAAGATTTAGAGTAATAAATAATACTTAGAAACAATCACATTTAATATCATAATTATCTAATTATACCCTACTCAATCAGGCTATTATTTAAAATCCTAACTAAATAATGAATTATAGTTTAATTCCTTTCTTGGATTCTTCTGATTATGGAAAAATAAAATTTAGACCTTCTACCGTATTCAGTTGATAGACGGAATCATTAATGCTTCTATTCAATTATAGCTATTTTATTTAGATTAGCATCAAGACAAAAACTTCAAATTTAAATTGGTGGATATTCAGTCTTCTTTTTATTTGGCAACCCTATTATCAAAAGTCTTTTCCGTGTATAAGACTGCAAAATAACTTTCTGAATCAATAAATTTAAATAAATTTAATGGCTTGTGATTAAAGACTAGCCAACTTTCTTATTTAGATTATTTAAGGCACTAAAGATAAAATATAATAATTTGATATGTCAAATAAGTCCATTACTGGCTAAAGATAGACCTAAAATATGCAGTTATATAAATCTTATAGATACTTTAAGCAAGATTTTAAAATTTTTTTAACAAGAAATAATTTGAAGTTTGGAAAAGCTGCAAATTTTCCAAGACAATTTTGTCAGGTTTTGAGTAATTGTGAAATATACAGTAAAAAAGGCACCAATCATCCATTGCTTATAAAAATAAATGGAAATGAAAAAGTCAAGCATATACAGACTGATGACAGTAAAATATGAAAGCCAAGTCTGTACAACACGCCAACAAATGCTTATGAGAATTGCGCTGCGTAATCCTCTTTACAGCATTATGAACAGCAATCGTCTATTTGAGCTTTTAAATAGGGCAGCTAATTTGCTTCACCTATCGTACATAGAAATCTGTCAACTGGCAATTCTCTTAGAATCGTGCAAATTTTCATTCAGCTTTACATGTGAAGAGTTTCTTGTTTTTTTGTCATATATCGTGAAAGCCAATTTTACGACAAAAATTGGGGTCTATGAACAGAAACTCGCAAAAACGTTTAAATCATTCCATCTAAAATACTTAAACTTCATTAATCTAAATCCATCACTCAAAGCATCCAGCACTTACGATGTCATAAAGAAGTTCAAAGAACTTGCAGAAGGTCCGGTTGTTAGTAACTCCCACCCTCATTGAGCTATTAAAGCTTTTGCTTGATTATTTTTAAGGCGCAATTAAAAAATTTTCATATAATTAATTATATATCCAAGCCTCATAAATAGATTTTTAAATAATTTTTAGGGATTGAGTAAGCAAACTGCAGATGAGCTAGAGAATAATCTAGAAATCATAATGATTACTGGTTATAAAAGAAAGCACTCATCATTTGGTGAAGGAGACGAATATGCAATAAGTGAGCAGCTCAAAAAAGTCAAAAATGAATTCTTCATGGGCGAAGAACTGGAAGATTTAGATTGTGAATAAAAATATTAAATAACTAATTGTAGGAAAAATGTAAATATTGTTAATAAAAATATTACCAGAATTTAAAAATGAAGCAGAGAGAAGCTTACTTTAAAACTCAATAATTGAAAAGTAATAGAAATAGATAAGATTTTTATGATATTTATTATTAAATAATAATTATAATCTCAAAAAATGAATAAATAATTTCAAAAATTTTCAGAATTTATTTTGAAAATGCTCTAGCTATTATAATTAGGGTGGTAAGATCAGCTTGGTAAATGGTGTTTATGTGAAATATAATTATTAGAATTAGAATACAAATGATCGACACTATTGAATTTTTCAATTTTTAAAAAGGAGTTTAAAATATTCCTATAGTTCTTTATTAAAATATTTATCAAATTCAATAGGAATAAATAAAAAATTGTTTTTTATTTATTTTTTGCTTGCATGCATAATTATTTCTGTTAGAAATTAAAAATTAAATTTTAGATTTATTTTACTAGACAGCTAACATTTTCCCTTTAATAATAATATTTCCAACTTTTCATTAAAGCCTGCGCTTTCAATCTATTTCAAAAATAAAAATAAACCATAAACTGTTCAAGCTAACTTATTATTAAAATTTTCAAAATGGCCTAAATTTTTTATTAAAATTAAGAATTCTCTTGTGTTTAATTAAATTTTTTAATCTGAAATAAACTCATAACTGAGCTTTAAAACCTCAATAACTTCCTCTTTTGATCCATTTCTGTTCAAAATTTGCCACTTCAATACATCCTCCAACAGTTTTCCAATTTCCACTCCATTTACCCTAAAATATTTCTTTGCATCCGCTCCAGTCAATAAAGGTTTTTCTTTCCAAAATTCCCCAAGTCTATTATCATGAATCTGCTTATGCACCTTCTCTACAGCCTCCACTACTAAATCTTGATCTATACTCTTTGCTTTAATATGTGCAGCAATCTCAATTACCATTGTGCAGAACTCTTTATTCTCTTTAATCATATAAGCTGCCTCAATTACATCAAAATTCTCAAGAATTTCCAATGTTCTATCAATCCACGCTAAAACATTGCATATAATTTTTGTGTCTGCGTTCGAAAATTTTAATGACTCCAGCAATACATACTCATATAAAGGGATAAAATGGCCTTTTTTCCTTTCAACTTTGTAGTGATTAGCGTTTTTATATGGAGTTAGCATAGCTGTCGTATATGAATAATAGTTTAAATCGTCTTGATCTTGTTTAAGTGTTCTTGCTAGCTCATATCCTGCTTCATGCTGGCTTTCAAAAGGAGAAGGGACTTTAAAAATAATTGGCAGTAAGTTGTAGCTATGAAGAATTTCTAATGCTAAATGAGGGTTTTTTCCTCTTACCATCAATGTGTATTCTTTTGAAATTCTTTCTCTGCTGACTTTAGTATTCAGTGCTGTAATAATTGAATCGTCTCTTACCGATTGCTCGATTTCTGGATCAATTTCTAAGTTAAATCTAGCTGCAAACCTAACTGTTCTTAATATCCTCAAAGGGTCATCCAGAAAAGTCTGAAAATGTGGCAGCGGGGTCCTCGCAATTTTATTTTGAAGATCTTGCATTCCTCTCCTAGTATAATCTTCAATCACATTTTCATGCAGGTTATAAAACATCGAGTTTATCGTCAAATCACGTCTAAACGCGTCCTCTTCTGGGGTGCCTATTCTTATGCTCGGTATCCTTGATACTTCAGTGTAATCTTCTGATCTTAAATTTACGATATCGAGCTCAAGCCCCATAATTCTTACACAAGCTGTTTCCAGGTGTTTGCTGGCTTCTGAGTTTGCTTTGATTTTTCCAATAGATGAAGACTGGTGAATATGCTGTTTGATTAGATTTGCGAAGTCTTCTCCCATCATGTTGTCAAGAGCAATGTCGATATCGTCACTATGCAAGCCTAAGATCTTGTCTCTTACCCAGCCTCCTGCAACTCTTAGGACAGTGTTACAGTGGGTGACTTCGACTACTCTTAGGAGTTCGTCAAATAGCTGCCTTTCTATAGGTGTCAGATTTATTATTCCTTCCGCTGGAATTTTAACAGATACACTCGGTTCCATTTGCCTAAAATATCTTTTTAGATGTCTAAATAGCATTATAATAGCCTACTTAATAGTACAATTCTAGGTGTTAAAATATTGCCTACTAAATAAATTTATCTTAAAAATGCAAAGTACCCAGTTATTATTGAAGCAACCACCCCAATTACCACGTATTTTAAAGTATCGTTTTTCAATTTCCCAGGCTCATTGCCTTCTTTACTCGCTTCAAAGTTATCAATGTCGTCTGTAGCATCTTCTTCTGCGCTTACAAGTAGGGTTGGCTTTGATAGAGGTTGTTTATCAGATGATTGGCTTGAAAAGTCAATATTTAGCTTTTTGCTGTACAGCGGCTTGGTTTCTTTCCAAAACTCAATTAATTCTTTCTGCTGGGAATCACTTGTCGGAAGCAAGCTGGTAAAAGCCGCCTCAACAAGTAGTTTCTGCTTCTTTGCTGGCTGTTTATTTTCGTGGCGGATTGTTACTGATAGCTCCTTTTCCTCACCAATCTTCAAAACTCCTTGGTTCGGCCTCACAAAAAATCCTTCTTTTACAGTAGTTTTCACTTTGAAAGCCAAATTTTCATTTGTTATGTTTTTTATTCTAAGAAAACCAGTAGTGGTTGTGTTAGCTATAAATTCGAATCGAATTTCTTCGCTAGGATCGATAAGGACTAGAGGCCCGCTGTCCGACATTTATTATTTAAAAGTTTCATATTGAATCCCTGCAATGAAATTTGATCTAATAAATAGCCTTCAAAGACATATATTAATTTTATTTCTTTATTCGGCGTTTTGTAATTAATTATATTATAGCAAATCGTTTAATGCTGAGAAATAAATTCTATCATCATAATTTTTTTGAATATTTTAAAATTGGATATAAAGACTATTTTTCCAAGCTTATTAATTGAAAATTAAAAGAATAATAATAGCATTTTATTTAAAATTTTATTTGTCATATCAGAGTCATATTGAAATTTTATTTTTATATTTTGTATTTATTTTAGACAGAAAATGACATAAGAATATTCTTGCAGTTAACATTTTAACAAAATCAAATTCAGCTTTGCAGATTGGTAAGAATAGTTAGATTTTATACGAATTATATATTATGGTTCTTGTTTTAAGATATCGATGCTTCCTTGATGGATCTTAATCTTAAGATGGTCGATCAAGTGGCCTTTGGCCTTGAAGCATTTTCCACAATTAGGGATTGGACATTTATACGGTCTTTCGCCTGTATGAGTCCTCATATGAGTTTTTAAGTTACCTGATTCGGTAAAACTTTTCCCACATTTAATGCAGGTATATGGCTTTTCCCCCGTATGCGTTCTTATATGTATTTTTAATGTGCTCGGCCTCATAAATTTTTTTTCACATACTGGACAATCGAAAGGTCTCTCATTTGTATGCTTTCTTGTGTGATCAGTTAAGTGTCCTCGGGTGGTGAATTTGTTCCCACATAAGGCACATTGAAATGGCTTTTCCCCAGTATGGATGCGCATATGGGTCTTTAAGTTCCCATTCTCGCTGAAAGCCTTATCGCATATTTTACACTTAAAAGGTTTTTCACCAGTGTGCTTTCGCATGTGGACCTTTAAGGTGTTTTGCCTGGTGTATATTTTTCCACAGATTTCGCAACTGAAAATGCGTCCATTCGACACGATCTCGGGAATTAGACAGGTGTCTGTGGCAGGAGAAGCTGAAACAGTAATAATCTCCGGAATCACGAGATAAGTATCAACCATGAAATTTATATTATAATCTATAAGGTCAATTTGAAATTTTTGTTATGAATGCCCGGAACAGAAAATTATTTGGTCAAAAGGGCATAGGGCCATTAATTAAAGTAGTTGTGAGTTAAATTCTAAATAATGATTATTTGAAGTGATTTATTTCAAATATAAACTATAAGCATTTCTATCTTTAAATCTGATTTTTTTAAGATTTTTAAAGATATAAATAAAATTTGGAAGGTCAGTTTTTTAAACAAGACACTATTTTTCTGATTTAAGCTTAGTAAATTTATCTTTTATTTGATCTCAATAAGCCGGTGAAAATATTTGCTTATCTCTTGCACGCTTTCTTATCTTATATTTTAAAGTATTTGAATAATATTAGTTTATTCGTGGCCATTTTATCTTCGCTTAAAGTCGAAAATCGAACTTTTATTCTGATATTGGAATTTCAATTTATGTGCTCAATAAAAATTTTCATTGACTAAGTCTCGCTTATTATGGCTGAGAAAAATAAGAAAATAAATTCCAAAGCATTTAAAACTTAAATTTTTGAATTATTACTTATAGAGACTATTCGATTGCTATCTATCCGAAAATTCCGATAACTGATTTTTTTTTACAAAAAATAGCTTTATGAATTATAAAAATAAAATTATATTTTCAGAAATCGAGGAAAAGCAAATTTATTTATGATATTATACAATGGCAGGCATCTTTAGGTTCCTCCCTTTTTCCCTCAGCAATTGTTTCATTTCCTTGGTTTAATGCTTGGATACTTGCTTTAGCTGCTATGACACTTTCAATCAAACTATCTCTTCCTACCGCTTTAAGCCCGCTTATGATTTCATCTCTAAATACTCTTTTTATTTTCTTAACACAATCAGGGCAAGTTATAGATCTTAAACGACCATATGGAATAAATAATCTAGTTTGCTTATTCAATTGATCAATTTCTCTTAATGATTTAGCCTGCTCTTGATTGGTTTTTTCTTTCAATTCATTCTTTTTATTAATTTCCTCTTGGAAAACTGCTAACTTCTTCTTCCAAATCTCTTGAGACAGCTTTGAATTTTTTATTGTAACCCCAAGGCTATCAATTTCGCTCAGGACATAGCAGTTAATTTGCGTTTCTTGGCTTATTTTTTGTTCTAATTGTGCAATTTTTATTGCATGTTGATTTTCATTGTCTTTTATATTTTCTTCTAATTTTAAAATATTATTTGCTTTTGCTTTAAGATCTTCGCCTATTTTGAACTTTTCTCTTTTAATTTCATCTGCTAAATCCCTATATTCATTTATTTCTAAAGCTCTTCCTGCTTTTATATCAATTCTCATCAAGTCTTTGAAGCATTTATCACAAGTGTTCTCTTCAGACTGTTTGGATCGTCTTAAATGATATTTGCAAAAATAATGACTGCATGAAGAGCATTGCATTTTGGTGGGATTCTTTTTAATCTGGATGTAGCAGACGTCACAAAAGATGTATCCAGTGTTGTGCTTTGTTTTAGATCTTTGAGAATTAGACTCGCCATTGGTATCAAGCATTTTATTGATGTTAATGCTTCATATTTTTTGCTGATTGTTAATATAAGTCACTTATTTAGGATTTTATTTCTTTTCTATACTGAAAATCTAAATAATTGAATTTTATTATATTTTCGAAATAAAATAGACTTTTTATAGATCTTGTTCTGATGCCATTTTCTAAGTTTGACTATTTAAAATTCAGGAAATTTTTCTATGTGAAAATTCCTTAAGTTAGCAATAATATGGTAAATTCTAGATCAGAAATGCTTAATAATCTAAAATATGCATCACGCTATCAGAAAAAATCTCTTAGCTCACGAAGTCAGTCCATATTTACTTCAGCATCAATTTAACCCAGTAGACTGGTACCCATGGGGTGCCCAAGCCTTCACAAAAGCCCAACAAGAAAACAAGCCAATTTTATTATCAATTGGCTACTCAGCTTGCCACTGATGCCACGTAATGGCCCACGAAAGTTTCGAAAACGAAGAAGTTGCTGAAATCATGAACCAAAATTTCGTTAACATCAAAGTGGACCGTGAAGAAAGGCCAGATTTAGACTCCTATTACCAAAATGCTTTATCATTATTAGGAAGATCAGGCGGATGGCCACTTACCATGTTTCTCAATACTGAAGGGAAGCCATTTTGGGGCGGCACCTATTTCCCTCCTCACAGAAAATATAATCTTCCAGGCTTCAAAGAAGTCTTGACCACTATTTCTGATTCTTATAAGAAAAACAATCACTCGATTATTAACACTGCTAATCAAATCGACCATATAATAAAAAATGAAAAAATTCAATCTGAAGCAGGACAAGCAATGAGCCTGGACTCATTAAACGCAATTTCTGATAAGCTGTTATCATATATGGACCCTCGATATGGAGGCATTGCAGGGGCACCTAAATTCCCAAGTCCTAATTTATTAGCCTTTTTCTGGAGATCATATGAAAGGACTCAGTCAAGAAAATATAAAGATGCCTTCTTACTAGCTATGAGCCAAATGTCAAAAGGAGGGATTTATGACCACATAGGTGGGGGCTTTTCAAGGTACTCAACAGACCAATTTTGGCTTGTGCCACACTTTGAAAAAATGCTGTATGATAATGCTCAGTTAATAGAATTATTAACTCTTGCCTGGAAAGAGACCCAAGATCCTTTGTATTTGTTAAGAGTTGAAGAAACAATCAGATGGATTGAGAGAGATATGAAATTACCTGAAGGCGGATTTGCAAGCTCTTTAGATGCTGATTCAGAAGGCCATGAAGGGCTTTATTATGTATGGTATGAAGTTGAAATTGATAATTTATTAGGAGATGACGCTGAATATTTTAAAAAATCATATGATGTAACCAGCACTGGGAATTGGGAAGGGAAAAATATTTTAAATTTGTCAAATTTTAGAGGAAATTATGGAGATGAAAGATTGGCAAGGTGCAGACAAATTTTATTGGAGGAAAGAAATACGAGAACGCCTCCACATAAAGATGACAAGGTGCTGGCTGATTGAAATGGATTAATGATTTATGGACTTGTGCAGGCTAGTTTAGCTTTTGATAAGCCTGAGTGGCTTCAGTTAGCAAGAAATGCATTTTCTTTTATAGTAGAAAATATGGTCGCAAATGGCTCAATATACCATAGCTGAAGGGAAGGAAAAATTAACCCAGTTTCTTTTTTGTCAGATTACGCTTCTTTAAGCAGAGCTGCTTTATCTCTTTATCAAGCCACTTTTAATGAAGAATATTTAAGATATGCAGAAGATTGGACAAATGTTATCAATACAAAATATAAAGCAGAAGACGGTGGGTATAATTTTTTGCAAAAAGACGTCAATGAAATTTCGTCTTCATTGAAAGAATTAAATGATGATCCAATTCCATCTGGGAACTCATTAGCTCTCGAAGTAATGGTGAAGCTAAAGGTTTTGACTGAAACAAATAATTATGATGAAGACATAGAAAATCAAATTCAATATTTTTCATCATTGATGAAAGGACAGCCGATGATGCTTGCAACTATGCTGAATGCATATGAGTTATATCATAGATATATAACAGTGTCATTAAGAGGGCATCCAGGAGATATAAGGATTTTTGATTTTTTAAATGTTGCGTCCAAAGTTCCGTCTCTTTGTGTTATATCGAGAAGAGAAATTGTAAATGAAGAATCTAATGTAGTTCTATGTAAGAATTTTACTTGTAGCGACCCTCTTGTGGCACCTAATGAATTAGACGAAAAGCTTACTCTACCTATTTGTTAGCGAGCATAAAATTTATGTTCATTTAGCTGCATAAATTTTAATATAATTTACATGAGATTTCATTATTTTTTACTATTAATTATATATTATAATATATTTCATGCCCAAATTAGAATTTCTAATGGTTTTGCATATAAATGGAGGAGTTAGAAAAATGATTTTTGACTAATTATTTAATAAAAATTATTTATCATTATTTTTTATCATTTCCATTCGCGATAACAGAATTATCAGCATTTTGAGCAGATGTTCTCCTTGCCTTTGTTTTTTCATCCCAATACGCTAAATTCTTTTTTAATTGGTCCATGCAGTTTTTATTTATTTCGTCACTATTTAAATATGAGCATCAAACTTCATATAAAGGCATACAAATATTTCTTATAAACCCAGATTGTGATTTCGGAAGATCAGTTGTGTCCCTATCGCAGTACATAGAAACCTGCTGTTTTCTTTGTTTTTCTAGATCTCCCTGTCTGAAAAACTCTTCACAGACTAAAGAGGTCCATTTTTCATGCAGCTCAGGGATTTTGGCAGAGTGTCCTATATCTCCGCATTTTAATCCCATTGACAAAATAAGTAGCTTATCGTCTTGATTTTCTAAGGCAAGATCAGCTAGATTTACAGCTCTTGCTCTAAATCTTCCTAGTATTTCGAAATGTTTCATCATGTCAGTTTCAAGTATCATTTCAATAATTAATTTTCTGGATTTCGGCCAGTCTTCTGGGTCAAGATTTTCAAAAATATTACAGCCCTGTTTGTTCATAATGGAGTATGTTTTGGAAATGTGCATATGCAATTAATTAAGAATAAATAATTATTTTTAATATAACAGATTATTATTTTATAGGAAATTGTGCTAATTACTGCATAAAATCAATAAATATGCTTATGTGGCTATATTTTCTAGGACACTGTTATCATTATATTGATAAGCAAGCTCATCCCGATTATTTATCAGAAATCTGTTGGTAAGTGCTGGATGTCCAACATCATGGCCAAGGCAGGCTACAATTAAAGAGACAATATCAACAGGGTTTAAGTTTTTTATGACATCAGAAGTGGATAGAAAATAAAGCAAGCTGTGAAGGACATCAGCTGCATGGCATGCGTTATGATAAGGATTTTGATGGTAATTCTATATAAAAATTACTTTTTCCAAGGTCTGGAAAAATCGGTCAGTTGTATCTTCAGAAATGCTAAAAGTTGTATTTAAGCTCCACCTTTCAAATAAATATTTTGCAACTATAAAAATACTATGACCAGTTACTTGATATACAAACCATATATCAAAATTTCAGTTTTTCCCGACACTGAACAGCACAGAATCTAATTCTGCGACTCCATAAGTACTGAATGGAAAAGATGGGTTAATTTCTCGTACATCTCCCATAGTTTGGTGCCTACCTCTTGTGCCTAATTATATAAATATGTATTTAATTTCAAAAAATAGTCCTTTATAAAATGAAATAACTTTTATTTGCAAAAATATTTATTTTAACTAAAATCGCAGATACATTAAAATGGCGGAACGTGCCAGACTACAGTCTTGGCACAACAGCCCAGACCTTAAGGATACGTGAACATGAACGGACTCCAAGCCGAGAAGCAAGTGCAGTCTCAGCAGATGTGCATCCGGGTATGCTTGGCTGCTTTTCTGTGATTGGAAATGGAGGTGCGCAGTAATGTCCTTCGGACTCTTGGGCATCCTCTCCCTAGAAACCAGGAGCTTTGGTCCGGATCATAGGGAAACAGTCTTTTCCCTGTAAAGAACTCTGGCATTATATAGACTCCAAGGAGCTAATTCTGGCATTATATAGACTCCAAGGAGCTAATTCTGGAACCAATCTACTCATAATTGCCCGTCGCAGGCCGCAGAGATACATAAGCAGCTACTCAAGATTGAAGCTGCAAGGTAAGGAGCAGACAGCTCAACTGGTTATGGCTAAACCTGTTGGGCAGTTTGTCTCAAAGCGGATGAACCCCGCACGGAAGGTCTTTGGTGACTAAGTCATCAATATGGCTAGTGCCTGTCTTTAATAATCCTCATCCCTAAAATAGCATACTTTGTCACTAGATATTTTATCCATACAATATTCCGCTATAAACACTTTGTCATCTTCATCCAATTCTCCATTTCCTTCCAATTTCACATCATGCATAGCCAACCCATGCGCAATTCCTCTTTTTACCTTTTCAATTTCCGTTTGCGCAGCTTTCAGTTTAGTTTTTACATCCTTATACATAATAACTGCAGAGGCCTGCTTTATATTCTGCTTTATTTTATCACAAGCATGAAGTAAAAGCTCAACCTCAGTATGAATTTGTGCATAAGCTTTATCACCGTCTTCTCCTTGGCTTGCCATTGGGTCTAAAGCTTCTTCCTCTTGATCTCTTCTCCAAAACAACTGCCTTGCTCTATATTCAACCTGATGACAATCAATGGTTTGCAGCAATAAAAATACGAAAAGTACTAACTCTCCGCACTGTGAGTGAACAAAAAAATTTTTGTTGCGGGTTGATACAATTTTATAGTATATTATTCTTCAAAAACCCAATTCGAAATATTTAAAAGCAAATATTTTTTCAATTTTTAAAACTTATGTTTTAAAATGCAAGCTAATTAAAATTAAACAGAATAGAGGATTCATATACTAATTATCAAAATCTTTCCATAAAAATTTTAATATTAAGAAAAAAATTTCATAAATTGATTTTTTTTCTAATCGTTTTGTCCACACTGAGGGGAGTAAATAATCGCTTAAAATTGCAAATGGGGATAAAGATGATAATGAGAGAAGCAGCGCAATCGCAGAAATTAAAGTAATGGTGGTCAAAATTGTAATTAAAAAAAAGCTATCAAAAATAACTACTCGAATCATAATGAGAAAGCATGCTAAAATTAGCGTGTGATTTTGGCAGTTTTTTTCATAGTCTTTTGAAAATATTTCTGATAGGACTCTTTCATCGCATACTACTAGATAAGCTATAATAACAAATGAGAGGATCCCTAGGAGTTCTTTCGATTTTAATAGAAAATGAGGGGATTTGAAAAGCAGATAAGCAATTGTGTAGCTGAGTATTAAAATAAAGCCTAAAGCTATGAGACGGGTGATTAAGAGCTCTTCTTTTTGGTTTCCTTCGTTATAAAGAAGAAGGGAGGTTGTAACTGTAATTGCTATGTAGGAGGTTAAGAAAATATAGAAAACAAGCAAATTATTTTTGAATTCTTTTGATTTTTCTTGCTCGTTTCCTTTATGACACAAAAGAGCTAAATAGTATCGGTATTCAAGCATATCATCTTTAAATGATAAGATGTTGGGGTTTATAGGGATTCGTTGGTTTTCACAAGCTTCGTGCTCTAAAACACTGTAAATAATTGATTTGGATTGTTTTGATATATGTATGTCGGCTTCCCCTTCAACTTTACTTTTATTCATTTAAGTTATTTTATTAATAATAAAATTTAACCAAATATTTTATATGAAGTATTTTCAAAATATTTTCTAAGAAAGCTTCTCATTGCGGTAATTTCTTACTCCCACCTCGTGAGCGAACAAAAAAATCTTGTTCGCTCACGGAGGGGGGTTTATTTTGTTTAAAACATTTATTTATAAATTTTATAGAAAATTTGTTTTTTTTCGAAATTTAAAAAAATCCCACTTCGCAAAAATTGAAAAGCAAATATTAATTTAATTTGTTAAATTTTATGTTTTAAAACGCAATTGGTTAAAATTAAACAGAATTAGTTCGAGATTTCATTATAATAATTATCACTTATATATCAAAAATTTTTTCATAAAACATTTTTCAATTAAAACAATTTTTATTAGCTACGGAGGGGGGAGCTAGCATTTAAATATTGATTATTATTAATCTAAATTATAATAAATTAATAATAAGATACAAGAATAAATGAAAATTCATCATTTAATTTACAGATTAGTACAGTTTGTCTCTATTTTTTTTCAAACATTAATAAATATAGATAAAGATGCCAAATTTTCTGCTCTCAACACATAAGAAAAATTGGATTTTATCAAAAGAGCAGCTTGAATCCTTATACCAAGAAAAGCACTCATCGCTTGTTTCTCAATTAACTTCAAAGGGAGTCCCCAACGAAATATTAAATTTTCTTCTTACAAGAGAAGAAGAGGAAACCTTACTACTTGGCTTATGCAGAAACTTACTTATGTGTTGTAAGCATATAAACCTTCATTTAAAAGCTCAGACTACTGCTATTTCTTATTTTCGGCGATTTTTCTTACGAAATCCTGTATGTTTAAATGATCCCGGTAACTTGATGTTCACAGCTCTTTACGTCGCATGTAAAACTGAAGAAATCAACGTCAGAGACGCGAGCTCATTTTGCTCAAATTTTCAAGGAAGCAACCCTCAAAAAATTTTGCAAAGCGAAATTGTCCTGATTTCTGGAATAAATTTTCAATTATATGTGTATACACCTTATAAACCTTTAAAAGCCCTTATTGAATTTTTGAAAAATAAAGGATTTGGGGATGCTGATCTAGATGAAATAGAAAAAAAAGCAAAAGAATTCATTGAAATTGCTCATTTTGGGGATACATTTTTTACATACTCGCCGGCTGCTTTAGCTATTGCAGGGATTTATGCTGCGATTTTTGAGAGAATGGATAGAGATGATTTGATTGATGAAATTGCAGCGATGGGAAATAATTCGGGAAATGTTAGACAAGCTATTTCAGATATAACAAGAGAAGTTGAGAGCATTACACAAAAATTGAAGATGATAGATAATGCTTTTAAAGGGTTGCTGAAAAAAGCTGGGGCTATTAAACATAAAATAGGAAAAATATTATCGATGAGTGCCAAGCCTAATTTTAGATGGTATAGGAGTCCCCACTTCTCGCTAGAGACATTCTGTGCGGCGTTAGTATCCTGGCAGCACAGCGAATTGGGTGGCTTCTACCTCTGGTAACTCCAAGCCCAGGCCGAAACCCATGGTTTCTTGGTAGTTTTATTGTAATGCTTGGTTAAAAAACCTTTGGGTACCATCATTTCCAAATAGGTCCCTTCGACATCCTAGTTACTCCGCCCTGTCTATCAACCTTGCTGGTATCGCTCCTCTTTAGAGCCCTTGAACCTAAGTGACTGCTTTTTTCTCTATCCTGCCTCCTTTTTCTCAGATCATCCCTGAAGAAAAGATCAACCGCTTCCGCGATTTGGGGTGGATCACTGTAGCAGCTTTAGCAGGTAATTCACCCATCTCCATTTCAGGCACCCGCTGGCTTTGGTGCTGCTGACAAAAAAGAAGTCGTAAGTAACTGCCAATTGGATCAGGCGAAAAACAAGCGGATTTGTGCTTAAGTCCCTCGCTGCAGGACATCAGATGTTGTGGACCAACTCCTGATTCAAAAACCATGCCCTGATATACATTTATCGTCACGCGAAATGACAGGTCAGAAGCCATCGGCATTTTATGTATATGCCAAGCCTAAAGAAAATGCTTAAAAAATTATAAAATTATAAAATCTATGCTTATTTTAATGCATCATCTTATTAAACACGTAATTTATCCTAAATTACAAATAAAATGTATGGATTGATTCTATCAGTTTTAATTATTCTTCTAACTCCACTCTGTGATTGAACAAAAAAATTTTGCTTGCTCACGAAGTGGGCTTAATATTTTTTTTGAAAAAATTTATATATAAAATTTTATAGTAATTTTTTTCGAAATTTAAAAAAATCCTAATTCGGAAAAATTTGAAAAGCAAATATTTATTTAATTTATATTTTAAAATGCAGTTTGCTCATAATTAAACAGAATTAGCTTGATATTTCGATATAATAATTATCATTTATATATCAAATTTTTTGTCCTAAAAAATTGTTATATTAAAAAAATTTGTTGTTTGCTCACGGAGGGTGAGTTTTTGGGCAAAAAATAAGGATTTTCCAATGGTTTTGTTCGTTCACGGAGGGGAGTAAGTATTCTGTTTTTTCTAAAAAAGAAGAGAAAAGCTGATATAGAAAAGCCACAAAGACTTTGAAAAGATTACTCAATTGAAAACTTTGCATGGAATTCTTCAAAAATCCCTCCTCAGAAGTGAGCAGATATTTCATCAGCTATAAATTCCCTTTCCCCAGAATACCCAGCTATTTCTTCCAAACTGAAAGAGCTTGATCCTAGCATAATTCTTTTGGTAGACTCAGAAAAATTATTTTATGAATCTTTAGAGACTTTATCAAAACAAAAAATCATTGGCGTCGACATCGAGGAGCATAGGAAAAGGTCATATCTCGGCTTTATTTGCCTTATTCAAATATCCACAAAAGACGAAATTTACCTTATTGACGCCATCAAACTTAGGACTAGTATTCCTCAGCTATCCATAATCTTTGAAAATCCTGAAATATTAAAAATTTTCCATGGATCAATTAATGATACACAGTGGCTTCAAAGAGATTTTGGGATCTGTACAGTCAACATATTTGATACATATATAGCAGCTAAGTGGCTTGGCGAAACAAATTTGGGACTTAATCATTTATGAAAAAACTATTGTGATTTCCATATGAGCTCTCAAGAAAAGAAAGGGTTCCAAACTTCAGATTGAAGAATAAGACCTTTGAACCAAAAAATGATTACATATGCTGCTTTAGATGTACATTATTTGATTTATTTGATGAGCACGATGTCTCAGACACTTGATGAGGAGAAATTAAAATTTATAAGAGATGAAACAAATGAGATTTCTAATCTGATATATACAGTTAAACAAATAAATAAAGAAGACTGCATTAAAAAATTCAAAAAACATAGCATTCAAGCATTGGATACACAAAGTGAGTACATTTTTAAAGAAATTTTTGAATTTCGAGACAAAGTTGCAATGAAGCTTGATGAAAGCTGCACATATATTTGCCCAACCCAAGTTTTAGTAGAAATCTCAGTGGCAAAACCCCAGAATTTTTCTGAATTAAAATCATCAATATCTTCTTTTGGAAAAGATTTTCCTTTAATTCTAAAAAATTCAAAAGAAATACTAGAAATCATAAATGAAGGCAGAAAAATCCCTTTTAAGCTCATAGAAACTAATGATACCATAACTGAGTCTATAAAGCGAAAACTGCGAAAAGAAGAACGGCATAAGAAATTCATCGAAAAATACACAGTCAAAAAAAACGTCTACGAAAACTGTGAAATCCAAGCCCCTGATGGAGAAATCCTTTGCTTTGCTGACTTTAAAAAAGCAAGATGGTACACTGATAAAAATCTTGCAGAAATAGTACAAAATGACCCTCTTATAATAAGACTAAAATTTGAGCCAAATGGAAGAGGGTTTAGTGATGTAGAAGCTGATCAAAAATATTACTCAAAAGTTAAGAAAAATATGTGTGTAGTTTGTGGAGGGACTGGGTGCTATTTAAGATACCATGTGGTACCTTTAATATATAGACAAGCCTTTCCGGAAAATTATAAATCACACAGAAGTCATGATGTAGTTTTGTTGTGCCCGAAATGCCATGAAATTGCTAATAAAGAAAGCGATATTTTAAAGAGACAAATTGCGGAGGAGTTTGATATTCCTTTATATGAATTTGGAGATAAGCATAAAATCATCGAAAAAATTATCCATTTATGTGTAAATAAATCGAAATTATTATAAATTAATTAAATAAGATAAGATAAACAGTCTAGATTAAATATTCATGGATAGAGATATAAATCGATTCATAGACTTTGCATATCATTGAAAAAACACAGAAATATTATGCCAGAAGAACGAAAGGAAAATCTGGAAAGACAGTTAATGGAATTTTTTGAAAAAAATCCTGAATCCTCATTCATGATCGAGCGACACCATTGAAAATTCCTAAAATCTGGAAAATTAACTTCGGATTTTCATATAGTTAGCAATAAGACTCCTGCACCACGCTCAAATCTAGCTGCCTATGTTTTATTATAATTAATATTATAGATTAAGTTGTATAATCGCTACACAATTATAATGTATACTTGCTAATATACTGTATACTCTATAGCTCCCGAATTTTTAAAGATTTACCTGAGCCAATTTGTGCTTTGGGCCTCTAAGACGTCATCTTCAAAAGCATGTAATCATAAAATAATGGTTGACAAAAATCTTATCGGCCCCATTTGACTGTCATATTTTTTATGAAAATGCAAAGTTAACCTAAAATCCTAATAGCAACTACTATGCCAATTTATAAGGGTAAATAAGCTATATTTCTTATGGCTAGTTCATCCGAAATATAAAATTTCTCAAGTCAATAAATAACAATCGGTTCGATAAGTACAAGAGAGAGTGAGTATAAAAATTTCATAGAAAAAGAATTACAACAAAGCATTGAAGACGACATGATAATTGTAATTAATTATTTGGCAGATGATAAAAACTCAAGCAACCTTAAAAACGTCCATGGCGACATTAATTGAAAAAAAGAAACCCAAAATATGCATGGAGCCAAAGTTGTACAAAAGCTGACAAGTCTAAAAGAGTTTATAAGAAGATGGAGGATTCATTTCGTCAAAACAATGAGCCCTCAGCATCTACCTGAAGCTTGGAGTGTCGATCATCTCCTTAACTGCCAAAAATACCCTTATTAACTATTTTTATAATTAAAATAAAGCTATATATTCTCGTTTTTCAGCTAAAAGTTTATAATGATTGATTTGTTCAATTGATAATTCTTGGTTTAAAGCAGTGAGCTTCTTTTCTAGCATTTTTATATTTAGAGCAAGCTCATAGTCGTCCATATGAAATAGCTGCATTTTTTCAGAATAATTTTCTATACTGATGTTTTCTTTATTGTGCTTTATAGCTCTTTTGGAGTTTTTATTGAATTTTAATGCCCATTTTCTCAGGTTAATGAAGGAATTTTTTACTTGAATTTTGAATAAACATACATTTAGTATAGAGAGCCCTGCAGCTACAGTGTATCTTTTTTCCCATAATTTAAAAAATTTTCTTTTATATAAAGAATTTTTGAAATTGGCAGCTTTTTTCTTTAATTTTTCAGCTTTATCAATTCTCATCAGTCCTTTTATCCATGTGGTCAAGCATAGGTAGCAACCCCACACCCCCAACCCCCCCACCCCCCCTAAAAATGATACCCCCACCCCCCCCTTTCACAGATGGCACCCCCACCCCCTCTTGGGTTTATTATTCTATAGAAGTAATTGATAGGAAATAAGGAAAATAAATTAAATATAACCCAATTAAAACACTACATTGATAAATTAAGTCCACAAATTACTTTACATTTATGATTAATTAATAAATTTAAAATTAATTAGCAATTAATTAGAAAATATATTAAATTTGTTTTTTATATTTATAAATATAATGCCAAAGATATAGATAATGGCATTAATTATTAAATGAGCCAAGCACAACACAATACTTGCATTAAATTTATTGATTCATACATTAAAGCTAATCTAATGTCCATTGTACAAGGATTGCAGGACTGAATTGGTAACAGGATTCAATAGTGGTAATAAAAATAGTATTTGCTATTGTCAATTTTACTTTTGGATCTCTAATTCGACTTTAGCCATTGTTCCACAAAATTCATAAATATATGCAGGATTAACTGCTAACTAATACCAAAGATCATTATAATGCTTTTTAGCAAATTTCTTCATATGTGGTGTCTTAGTAGTTATAGGAAATTCTCACCTTATTCCACCTACTCCTTAATCAATTGTGCTACGCTATGTGGATATTGTATAAATCAGTAATTTTGAATATTTAAAATAATAATTTATTTTTATTACGTCTGCTCTAAATTGGCATTTGTCATATATTTATGCTATATTAAGGGGGGGTGGGGTGCCATCTGTGAAAGGGGGGTGGGGATGCCATTTTTAGGGGGGGTGGGGGTACCATTAAAAAGGGGGGGGGTGGGGGTGTGGGGTTGAGACCTATGCTTGACCATCCATGCTTCCAATGTTTTTTTCTTTAAAATTTTATTTCTATAATCTTTTGCCATTTTATCAAGCTCCACAATCATTTCTGTGCAAAAACTTGTTGATTCCAATATGCTAAAGGACCTAAAATGCGGCTTTTCATTAATTTGTCCTTCAACTAGACTTCTATCTTGTCTCCTTTTTAGCATGCTATATCCTTTTCTTGGGTTATACGAGTATGACCTATTATTTGCTCTATTATGATAGCATTCACTTAAATATCCTGCCCAGTTGGCTAAAACCAGCAGCATTTTTCTATGACTGTGATACTCAACTGCCCTCTGAATTTTTTGCTTCATAATTATTTTCTTTTTTGTGAGTCTCCTCCAAGAGATTATTGATTTTTTAAGCATTTTTGATCGTGAATATATGTTTGCTATATTGGATAAAGGATGGGATGTGCAGCTTTGCCAAGTTACAAAGGATTCAGCTATTTGAAATCGATAAGGAATAGTTAAAATGCAGTCTAAAGCTTTAACTCGCTCGTGGAAAATCTCTTGAAATATTCTTAGAGCAGTGATAACCTTATGCTTGAGTTTATTTTCATAGTAATAGGCTGCGCTTTCTTCATTCCAAACTTGTTCATCTCTACCTTCCCAGCTTATTTAATATGATTTTATTTTAAAATTTTTTATTATTAAATTTTAAAATAAAAATCAGTTTAAAAGGAATAAGAAATTTTTCAAATTTATTTAAAATCATTATTCGAAATATTTTTAATTAGCGCTAATCCTAGTTTAAATGCAAATTTAAATTTAATATTCTGGGACTCTTCTCTTGATTTTCTGCTCAATTATTGTTAAAAGCTTCTCAGAGTATCTCTCCAACATATTATTTTCTTGGCTTGCCTGGAGGCTCCCGCCAAGTTGTGCTGAAATTGTCCTCAAAAGGTCTTGAATTTCAATAATATCTTGTGAGGACTCTTCTAGTGACATTGAATACTCAGGATCTGCTGGATTTGTCTGCTCAAAAAACGTTTTCACATCTTGCAAGCTACTTTTCAAATCTTTAAACCCTTGGATATAATGCTGCTTGCTCAATTTGAATGATGTTTCGCTCATTGAGCATTGTGATAACTGGAAATCACATGAAGAAGCGATAATTGATTCTTGGTTTTGGGCTTCTTGGACATATGGAGAATTAAAGTGGTTTTGGGCTGAGCTTTCTAACAATGAGCTTTCTACCAATTCATTCTTTTTCTCTCTTTTTTTCTTGTGCTTTCCTCTATGTGATCTTTCTTTTTTAGATTTTTTCTCTTCAATTTCAATAGGGATTTCTTCTGGCTTTTCTATAGGATTTTCTATGATTTTTTCAGGTTCTTGTTGGATTTCTTCAGGAATTTGTTCAGCATCTTCAGGTTTAGCGTCAATTGATTTTTTCTTTCTGTTTCATTTTCCTTCTCCTAATATTCCCATATCTTGTAGTCTTTTTTTGACATCATCAATTTTTGGCTTTAAATCTTCTTGCTTTTCTTTATTTAAAACCCCAATTTTTGGCACATGCCATGGCTCAGTTTCAACAGGCTCATACTGGAAATATAAAGGCTGCTCCACCACTTTTTCTTGTTTCTGCTGCCAAAATGACGAGCTTAAGCTTTTTCTCAATGGATTGCCAGGTGCTTTGCTTTCAGGCTCAAAATCAGGGATTTCTTCAGGAGGCTGCAGCATTTCTTCAGCGTCATAATAAACTTCAGATTCTTCTTTAATTTCTTCTATATTTTCTTTAAATCCTCCAGGCAAAACTACAGATTTTGTGACTGTAAATTCTTCTTTTGCTTCTTCAACTGTGGTTACTACGACTTCAAGCTCTTCTTCTTTTTTGTCTTCTTTTTTCCCTTCGTCTTCGGAATCTACTTCTTGGAACTGGAATTTTATTAATTTTGGATCTTTTATTATAGGGTCTTCTCGGAGAGGGGCAACTTCTTCAAGCCCAAATTTGACAGGAGTTTTGCCCCATGCCCCTGGAATTGGTTTTTCTGAGTCTTTTGCGAGGTCAAATGGAGACTTGTTTCTGACTTCTGACTGCTTTGGGACATTAGATTTGGCCCAGTCTGGCATTAAACTTTCGTGGATTTTTAATGCTTTTGGCTCTTCTCTTGGCTTAATGACTTCTTTGGCTTCTTCTGGCTCATTTTTAAGTTCGCTTTCTATAAGGCCGCTTTCGTATACAATTTCAGGGTTTTTAATCATAGGGAAATTTGCACTTGACAGCCTTGCTCTAATAGAATTTGCGAGCTCAGTCGACAATTTTCATATAAAAATGCAGCCATCTGAAGTGGTGACTAATACTTTTCTTCCATTAGGAGTAAATGCTGCAGCTGTCGGCACCTCTCCTACGTTCATTTTTCCGAGTAACCTTCCTGAATAATAATCAATCAGCCGAATATATTTATCTTGATTGCAAGCGGCAATTATCATCCCTGACTTATCCATAGCAAGCTTTATATTACTGTCTGCTGGAGCTTTAACCCCTTTTTCTAAGTAATCTTCGAATTCTTTGAGGACTTTTCCATTGTCTAAGCTTCATATTTTTATTGCTTTGTCTTCACCTGTTACGACAGTTTTATGTATAGGGTGTGGCTTTATCGAGTAAAATTTTTTTTGCTTCTGGAGGTTTTGGTAGTCTCGACTTATATTTGCTGCTTGAACAGACCTGAAAATCAGGGCTTTATCTGCCCCACAAGAAACTAATTTATCACTGCCATCAGTTCTTATTAAGCATAAGTCAGAAATTGACGAACTATGGTCGTCAATTGTAGTGATAGGTTTATAGTCTTCATCAATATTGAATAAGTGAATTAATCGGTCTCTGCTTCCAGTTGCTAATAAATTTTTTCCTTTTGTGTCATTTTTGCCTTCAAATGGTTCAAAGCCGCTATAGTCGATTGCCATGATGTCGCTATCATGAGCTTGCATGCATAAAAGTTCACTTAAGTTATTAATGTCATAAATCCTTAGCATTCCAACTGTATCGCCTGCTGCTAGTGCTTTCATGTCTGGAGAGCATTTGATGCATTTTATGGATCCTTCATCATCTTGCTGCTGGGGTGCCACTTTAAAATGGTTTATATTTTTTGACACATATATAATTCGGCTCAAATCTTTGCTGTAAACGTTTTTTATAATAGACCCTTCCAGCTTTCGAGGATCTACATGGCATAAATGCCAAAAACGTATAGTCTTATCAGATGACCCCGTTATAAACTGCGTTAGTTCAAACGTAGAAGAAGGCATAATTTGTATATCATTAATACTCCCAGAATGATGCAAAAACGACCTAGTTACAGAAACACTATCTAATTTTGAAATATTCCATACAAAAACTGTACGATCTGAGTATAAAGAATATAAACTCGAATTATTGTCAAATAAAAGTAATGCAATAGTATCAGCAAAACGAGAATTTGCATCAGTCGAAATTACCTGTTTTTTCCTACCAGGAGATATATTAGCTTGTCCAAGTGGTGGAGGTCTTGGTAAAGTAATAATATGCTCCAAAGAGCTTGCATCAAAACACCTTATAATACCTTCAGCACACCCACAAGCTAACAAATTACCAGCTGTATGAAGCGCATAACCACCTCCTGTATGCAAATTTATCCATTTGTCCATAACCCTATCCATAGTAAAGACACATAAAATCCCATCTAAAGTCAATGCGAAAATATTTGCTCCACTTACAGCTACGCTTGCAAAGGACTTCTCTTTCATTTCAGCCAGGTCAAAGTTCCTACTCGTCATGCATTTTATTTCTGCGCTTTCACTAGCGGGTGTTGGAATTGGTTTTCCACTTCTGTCAAAACCCCAAAGTTTATATATTATTTTTTTAATAATTTAACTATAGATTAAATTAAAAATATTTAGATAGGAAATATAAGAAAAACGGCTCCATGTCAAATGACCGTGGATTTTTGACAGTGTATATTTCATCGAAAATTTTTGATAGTGCGACATTTGGCAGAAAAATCAACGGTTTTTTTCGGTCAAATGTCTCATATCAAAATTTTCGATCAAAAATTTTTCGTGAAATGGGCGCTATCAAAAAGGCAAAGTCATTTGACTTGCACCCAAGAAAAACAGTATACTTTTGACGCCTCCAGTCACAAAAAACTCTCCTGATGGGGCAAAGGCGACTGAGAGGATTCTTTTGGAGATTTTGTTAGAGGTCAATTTATATTCTTGTCTTCAGTCCCACACAAAAATTCCGGCATCATGCTCACTTCCGACTGAAACTAAAGAGCTGCCGTCTGGGGAAAAAGCTACTAATTCGATTCCGTATTTATGGCCTTTGAGAGTCTTTATTGGGGTGTATTGTTTCTGAGCAGAAAATTCCCATATGGTTATTTCTGGCTGCTTACAGATTCCTTCGCCGGCTCTATTTCAAATGATTGTACATTTTTGATAGTGCGGCATTTCCTAAGAGAATATTTATTCGAAACATTTTTATAGTGGGGCAGACATTCGGCTGAAAAAAACTGTTAAATTTCAGCCAAATACTATTTAAAAATTTTCGACAATTTTCTTCTGAAATCCAACACTATTAAAAGTACGTGATCATTGGATCTGTACACCCTTCGCCAATAGCGAGATAACGGCCGTTGGAGCCAAAAGCTAACTTTACTACTAGAAAAAAATAATTTTCTTTAATATAGTTTGATAACCAATTCAATTTCACTAGTCAAAATTTTATGTATAAAGTGTTTTTAAATAGAGAATGCAACTAAAATGCTAACTCCCCCCTCCGTTAGCAAACAAGCCATTATATTTTTAGGCAAAAACCCACGTGAAAATTTTTTTGTTAAATAATTTTTTGCTAAAAAAATATTCAGATATATAAGTAAAAATTATTATAATGATGAGATCTCTACCTAATTCTGTTGATTTTAATCAGCTTGCATTTTAAAAATAAATTTTACAAATTAATTAATTTTTACTTCTCAATTTTTGTGAATTGACTTTTTAATTTCGAAAATAAAAGTTTACTATAAAATTTAGAATAAATTTTTTTGTTCACTCACGGAAGGGGTGAGGAATAAATAAAAATTAAACCCATAATCGATAAATTTTATGAGTTAATTTTTTATAATGTTTATAAAATGTATTTAATGAGAATAATTCATATAATTTTTTCTTTATAAAAGCATTAACTCCCTATTTGAGCTCAATTTAAAGGGGAAGTAAAGCATGAAAAAACACGGGAATTTTGGTTAAAGATGTGGCTTGTCTGCTTGTTGGCTTGAACATTAAAAAAGACGACAACACCTGAAGCTATATATGCGATTTCTCCGGTTTGAGGATTAACAGCTATTGAGTTATTGCCTTTAGAGGTTATACCAATCACACGCTCTAGCTGAACGTTGCTGGCTGGCTTCTTCTTTTTGACAATGACTTTACGCTCTTTTGGCATCATTTTTCAAATGATATATTGAAACTATATCAATTGATTAATCTACAAAACTATTAAAAATTATGAAAATTGCCAATTATTTTCACTAGACCATTGAGAAATTTTAAATATTTGCTTTTGTGTTCAATAAGCCACAATCTTTAAAATTTTTTCAAGCTTTTCGATATTATTTTTTTATTCTATTTGATATTGAGCAAGGTTTATTGAATTGATAAATAATTAATTAGTGTTTTGCATTCAATTTTCTCCTTTTCATATCTTTTGGATCGGTTGATGGGAAGTATTACTTTATATTAGCATTGATTATATATTAGGGCTCTTCCTCAGTACCCGTAGACTCCGTTCTTGCTTTGTTTGGCTTCAGGCTTCCATAGAGTCCCAAAACTTGAAGCAAATCCCGGAGGTAACGGGTTGGTGATGCCGCTATTTTCTTTCTGTGGTTGATGGGAAATCACTGCATTTTCTTTTAAGACTAGACTCTTCATCTAATTGTCTTGGGGTTTCACTGCTAAGTATAGAAGAAGTTTCTGAGAGAACTACGGAATTAGACTGAGGTGTCACAAACTCAATTTTTGCAAGACTATTCTCCGTATTGATATCAGAAGATTTATGATCTGTATCTTGAGAAGTCACAATTATAATAAAATGGCCTCTGATAAGAAGAAAATTTTCTTCTATCTACCCAAAATTTATTATGGGTTAGTTTTTACACGTGTACTTCTGTCTGATAGGGAAGAAATGGCGAAGGTTTTCTACTTCGCATCCTACAGGCATCATGTTTGACCTCTTTCACTGCCAATAAAGGCAGAACCCTTAGGTCGAGCAGATGCTAGAGGAAATCCGGATAGAGTGAGGCAAAGCGCCAAGCAGCAGGTGATCCCGCACCTCTGGGCTTTTAATAGCTTTACGGATGGTAGAAATAGCCAACTTTGTCGACAGGCCTTACGCACAATCGGAGGGAGCGACAAAGCCGAGGAAAAATGGTCGCCTTGTCCTGCATACCTGAGGTCCAACTCGAGGTGAGTTAAATTAATTAATCTAAGTATCTTGAGAAGTCAAATGAGTAAAATTAAAAGGCGTCAACGATGCATCTTTAGTCCTATTAGTTCTTGAGCTCCCAGTTTTCAATATAGAACTTTCATACTCATACTCAGCATCATCATGAATTTCAGTGACTGATGTACAAATAGTAACCCTTTTTTCATGTGAATTTATTTTCTTTGCTACATTAGGCGTCTCTTCAAATTTCACTGATTTTTCTACCTCTAATTGATTTTCTTTATCCTTCTCAACATTTTCATCAATATTTTCATTAAAATTATCAACACGGTCATATTGCTCAGATAGAGATCTTCCCCTATTAGCGTTTTTATTAGAAGAAGGCGCATCAGTGTGGCATAAAAATTGATTTTTTGCGTTAAGTTTTGTAGCTTTTATTTTGTCCCTTGCATCCTGCAAACTTGTAAACGAGATATTTTTAAGTGAAATTTGTTTATTTGTTTGTGTTGATTTATCATACATCAGAGGTCTGTTTCCATAAATAAGTCTTGGTTTTCGCCTATGCAATACATGGATTTGTTTATTTTTGGGTCGAAAAGGGTTTGAGATGTTTGAGTTCATTTTATAAAAATTTGAATTTATTTATTATTTCTAATTATACCAATTTATTATAAATCCATTAATTTTCTATAATAATTTTAAATATTTATTATAAATTATATATCTAAAAATTCTTGTAACTGATTCATATCTAAGCTGAGGCTCAGATCTAAACTTTCATTTTGGGCGATTTGCTGCTTTCTTTTTTCTTGCAATTTGAAATTTTTCGAAGAAAATTGCTGCTTTAGCCCAATTTTTTCTAACTGTACAAGCTGCTTAAAAGACTCCCGCAAATTCGGATCTAAAAATGTAGGCTTATCCATAATACTTTCATAATTTTCAGAAATCTGGTTTGTGCTGTCTTCTGAAAGATCTTTACTCGCTGTTGATATTTTCGAAGTTTTTGCATTTTTCTTTGAAAAATCAGCGAAATTAAAAGGACTTGTATGATTTTTTGCAGTTTTTGCAAATAATTTTTCCTCACTCCTTTAAATTAGAAAAAAATCTAGGTAAAATTTCCATTTTTTGGGTACTTTTATCCCCTTTAAAATTGGAAAATTATATTTAATCCAATAGGAAAATTTTATAATTCATATAGAATTAATTTTGGCCTAATTTAATTGAAAATGTGCAAGCAGAATATTTAAACAGCTTTAAAAAATCAATTTTATGTATTAATTCTTGATAAAAAAACAAAAATATTGGGCTCATATTATATTTTTTATTTTAAAAAAAAAATTAATCCCCTTTTAAAATTGGAAAAGGTTTTTTTGTTCCAATTCAAAAGGGAAATCAGGATAATTAGATCTACCAATCGTAGGCCTGTTTGTAAAAGTCTGCGTTTTACTAAAATTTGTACAATTTTTCATAGAATTCGTTCCTTCATAATGAGGAGTTCCTTGGAAATTAAAGGCTCCTTGTATATGCTGAGTCGAGTAAAATTTTGGCGTATCACAAATTTCAATAAATTTTTCTGTAAAAGCTGAGCTAGTGTTGAACCCAAACCCTTGGGATTTTATTTGTTCAAAATCTTTTATTAAAGATGACTCTGAAAAAGTTGCATTTAATGTGTCTTCTTTTAAATTAGAATTCTTCTCATATGCTGCTTTTTTTGTAATTGAGGGACTGTCGTTTAAAGTGTTGTCACTGAAGGAAGAAGGTTCCTCAATATCTTTGGTGTCCCCTTTTAGCTTTTTAGGCCGAACCATAAGAATTCGGCTTTCGTTGGTGGATTTATTGAATGGAGCACCCGGCTTAAACATTTTTTCAGCAAAGTCAATAAAACTTGGCATATCAGAAGTGCTATCTGTTTGAATTCCGACACTTACAAGGGTATAGCTTCTCCCACAAGTTTTGCATTGGCAGATATGACCAGCGAGTTTTGGCATTATTTTTATAGGCAAACAATAATTGATTTTTAATTTTTAAAATTGATAGAGTTAATAAGCAATTAAAAAGAAAAAGACTGAAATAGACATCTAAAAAGTTACTTTTATAACTGAAAGAATTATGTTTTATTAATTAAAAGTATCAAAATAAACAGAGAAAGATAAACGAAAACGGTTTTTATTTTAGATATTAGATACAAAACTAAAGATGAATTTCCTAAATTTAAGAATTTCATCAGTTCGTTATTTTAAATAAAGCCTAATATAAGAGATTTGGTTAGGAATAAAATTGAAAATCATTCAAGACTCATAAAAGTTATTATAATGCGTTGGAAAAATTTCTTAACGGTGTTGATCGGATCGGATGATGCCATAGATTTTAAAATGAAATGTTAATTGTTTTAGCTCAGTATCTCATAATTCATATAAAATAAAGGCTTGCTTTATCATGGTTCCCGATAGCCTGAAATAGAGTAATCTATTTTATGCTTACCTTTGATAGCTCATATTTTAATTAATAGAAAATATTCACACATAGCCATTATTTTAGCATGCCAAAATTATAATATGACTTAAATTCTGATATCGATACAAAAATATTTGACTTTTAAATTTTTAAATAAATATGGAAAAATAAAATTGCGAAATTTTTTTTAAAAATGGCACTTCTTGTTTAAGTTGTGCTCAAATCCAATGTGCGGAAAATGAAGAGTTATAACTTAAGTTTAAGTTTAAATTTTAAAAAAAAAGTATGATTAGGCAAAAAGTTCTTCAAGTTTTAAATTTTTAAAGAAAAAGAAATTAATGATAAGCTCAAATCGGTACTTAGATTTTTTATAATTTAAAATAAATTAAAATAGCGATTATAATTTTGGCATGCTAAAATAATGGCTATGTGTGAATATTTTCTACTAATTAAAATATGAACAATCAAAAGGTAAGCATAAAATAGATTACTCTATTTCAAGCTATCGGGAACCATGATAAAACGAGTTTTTATTTTATATGAGTTATGAGATACTGAGCTAAAACAATTAACGTTTCTTTTTAAAATCTATGGCATCATCCGATCCGATCAATGCCGTTAAGAAATTTTTCCAACGCATAATACCAAATATTGTATTACGAACATAGCAAGACTTTTATAAATTAATATCAGCTTTAACACTAGTTTATCACAAAATAAAATAAATCCTATAATTATTTTAGAAAACCAGCATAATATTGCAGAAATCTTTCATTTATCAATTAATCAAAAATATGCATTTTAATTTTTAATTTTAAGTATTTATGAATTCCTCAAACAACGAAGAAAGCTATTTGATGCAATCAGATCAAAACCTCAAACTAAGCTTCTTACGAGAAGAACTTATAGAAATGAACTACGATGTTAGATTATTCACAAAATTCGTTGAAGATCTAAAGCGGACAAACATTGATGAGTGGACTTTTGATGAGCTTTCAGACTGTATATGGGCATTTAAAAACAAATACAAACCTGGGCAAACACTCGAAGAAGTTTTAAAGCTTGAAAAAGCTGAAAAAGATATAGAAAGAGAATTATATGAAATAATCAACCAAAAGAAAATTCAAACTAAAGAAAATAATGCAAAAAATAAAGAAACTCCACCGAAACCTCCAAGAAAAACAGAAAAACCTGAATTTCAAGCCTTTGAATCTTCTCCAAAGTCTAATATAAATCTTGAAGAGAATTTTATTGATCAGCCAGACATTAAATCCTCGCCTGAAAAATCTAAAGAAAATAAAAAGAAAGGAGAAAAAATAAACACTGAACCTGCTGATTTATATATACAAATTGATGAAATACTTCATGAAGTAGTTCCTAATACACCACAGTTTTCATTATCTGACACAGGATGCAAGTTTAATACACTAATGTCTGATGAAGATGATATTATAGCAGAAATTTATGGAAAAACTGACATTCCTGCAGAAATCATTGAAGAGGAATTTCCTGATAAGTCCTTAACGTCAATATCTGCATTTAATGATTCACCACGAAATTTACATTCTGAACAAATAATAATTGAAAATATTACCCCGAATCCACACCCAACTCCTATCACTATGACTAAATATGAAAATAATGAAAATATCAGAAAAGAAGATGAAGGGATTTTACGTTATTTTCAAAGTTTTACATTAACATTGGAGAATTTCGAAGAAAAATTAGAAAAACTATCGAATAAAATGATTGAAATTGAAAATAAAATTGATAAAAATAATAGTGATAGCTCTGAAAAGAGCAGCGGCTTGATAGAAACTGTAGAGGTATTATCAAAAGAAATTGAAAAACTAAAGAAAAATCAAGAGGCATCTTTTGTAAGCCAAGTAAGTTCTGCTAACGAAATTTTTGAAAAAATAAGCTTATTAGAAAATAAAGATAAAAACCGATCGAAATTATTAGAAGAAATAGGAAATGAAAATACATCTCTCCGTGAAAATTCAAAAGATTTAGAACTAAAAATTGATAAAATCGAAATTGATATCAAAAATCAGCTAAAATCTTTTAAAAACTGCACAATGAGCCAGAATGAAATTAATGATATCAGAGAATCCCAATCATCAATTAACACAAATATTGAAAATATATCAAGTGACCTTTATCATCTTAATGAAGAAATTATAAAACTCCGAAACCAAATAGACGCTCATTCAAAATCATCAGTAAAAATCTCAAAATTGAGAGCTGATCAAGAAAAATTTTATAATGAAATTATGCAGAGAATTGAAAGTATTGAAGAAAAAGAAGCAGAAGTCAAAAAAATCAAGACTTTTACTGAAGCAATTAAAAACGATTTTCATGAAAAATTGAAGAATTTAGAAGAGAAATTAAGGAGAGAGCATGAAAATGACCCTACAAAAGAAGCTACTTTATATTCTATCAGCACATTAGAAAAGAGAATGTACGCCCTTGATGAAAAATTAGCAAGAGAGCTTGCTAGTGTTAGAGATTTTTCTATCTCAAAAATGAAAGAATCCCAAATCCTTGAAGAAAGCAAGGTTATATCAGAAAAAGAAGACACAATAAATATCTCTTTTTCTGAAAATAAAACCAAAAAGCAAATATTTTTAGAAAAAAGTGACACGATTTCTCCATTAACTATATCTCAGCTTGAAAAAGATCACCTTTCAAAGCCTCCCAAATTTTTGAATAATCGAAAAATTAAAAATGAAAAGGCCTTTAGTATAAGCCCTCAAACTCTAAAAGTTAAAAAAATTGAAGAAGAAAAGGGATTTAACGAAGAAAATGAGCTAGAACCTACAAGAGATTTGCCAGTTCCTATAAAGAAAAATCCAGAAGAATCTTTGAATGAAAGAATAGCTAGGCTTGAAAATTTAAATAAAAGGACTAATACTTCAGAAAAAGCTAGCCAGTCTGTAGAGAAGTCAGATATGTCAATTTCTGAGGATTTAGGGAAATTTGTGCCTGGAGAAACTGAGAGCATACTTGTTAATACTATTTTGGAGAAAGCTAACAAAACAAGGGCTACAGAAAATTTTAAACAAGCTTTTAGGCCTACAAGAGGAATTAGCCCTGTTTCTAACTCTTTTAAGTCGTTTTCACAATATAGCAATAAGCCTTCTGGTGATAGCAGTGAGTCTTTGCCAAGCCAAGAACTGCAAGAACATTTAAAAATGAGAGGATTCAAGCTTCAGGAAAATCGACCTTTTGTAGCACAACGTCAGAAAGATTAATAACAACAATGATAATTTCATAAAAATTCTTATCATATCTTACTTCTCCTTTTATTATTTAATAAATTTAGAGAATTACGTTAAATTACTTCTGCCTTCTAAGAGGCAGTCCAAATTTTTTAGAATAAATTTAATGTTTTTTAAAATTAAAAATTCTTGCTTAATTTTCTAAATTTCCTTCTCTTATGATTTTCTTCATAGAAAAATCCCTTCTAAGTTCAATAATTTCTTCCCTATAATAATCTTCTTACTCCCCCCCTTCGTGAGCGAACAAAAAAATCTTAATTTTTTTTTCAAAAAAAAATTTATATATAATTTTATAGAAATTTTTTTTTCTTCAGAATTTAAAAATATTCTAGTTTGTAAAAATTGAGAAGCAAATATTAATTTAATTTGTAAAATTTATGTTTTAAAAGTGATTTGTTTAAAATTAAACAGAATTAGCTCGAAATTTCATTATACTAATTATCACTTATATATCAAACTTTTTTACCAAAAAAATTTTTTCTTTTAAAAACATTTTTGTTCGCTCACAGAGGGTAGGGATTTTTCTAATGGTATTTTGTTCGCTCACGGAGGGGGAGTTAATAAATTTAATATTTAATGATAAATATTCTATATAAAATTTGCCATATTCAATCATCTATTATTAATTCATAACGTGAATGATCAAAGGTCAATAAATAATCACAAAAACTGCATTCATATCTGAATTTATAAATTGCTTATTATGACCATTTATAAGTTAACATAATGTAACTGCTGCACATAAAAATTGTACTCTTATAATAAAATTAATATAAATCCTTAATTAAAAAAATCATTAATCCTTATTCTAGCATCCCCCAATTTTTTATTATGGTTTATAAATCAATAAAAATGGCACTCACTCTTCCTCATCCTATTAGCCTCCCAACAAGTTATAATAAATTAAAATCAATGTCCCAAAAAACTCGTCAACGCTCAAGAAGCCGCTCTCCTGTCCAAGGTGTAAAGCTTCACGTAAAAAATCTTCCAGTCCAATACACTGAAGAAGCCCTACAACAAGTTTTCGAGTCCTATGGCGAAATCAAAGATGTAAAAATCATTCGAAAAGGTAGCAATGGTCAGCCTCTACGTGAAAGTGTCTATGGTTTTATCGTGCTTCCCTCTCCTGAAATCGCTGAAAAAGCTATGAAAGAGCTGAATTCCAAAGGCTGGAGCGTAAACTACAGCCGAGAAGCCTTGCAAAACCCTCAAGTGCAGCCACATCCTCAGCTGCCTCCTGAAATTCCTAAAGACTATTATTCAATCCCGAGTATCCCTCAAATGCTCCCTCCACGGCTCTGTGACATAATGCCAAGTGACCAAGCTTTCCAGCACAACGCCCAAGCTACCAACATAATGCTCCTGAACAACGCCAACCCTAAGCCAGGCCAGCCCATGGACCGTGGCCTTCTCGAGCGTCTTCTCAGCGAGCACCAGCCTTCCGCTTTCAACATTTCGGGCGTCCCTGAACACTTCAAAGGTTTTTTCCTCGTCCGCGAGGTCTGAATCGGCAACATTTCTCCAGCAACGGACAAACAGCTCTTATACGACGCATTTAAAGCTTATGGCGACATTGAAGGCATTGAAATGTTTTCTTCTAAAGGTTTTGCATTTATTAAATATCGTAAAGTTGTAGCTGCCACTCGGGCTTATGAACGAGCAGACGGCACCATGGTCGATAATCGTCCTGTAAAAGTTGCATTTGCGGACCCAACACGTCGAATTGACATAGTTGGCGATTCTTTAATTCCTGAAAACCCTAATTTTAACCCAATAGATGATGAACATTTTAAAAATTTGTTTTTGGGTTATCCACCTGGTGCCACAGTCCCACCAGAACATATACTCCGTGACGTGTTTTCTCGATATGGCAAAGTAAAAAGGATTTCTATAAGGCAAGCTACAGCAAATTCAAGGCCTTATGCTTTTGTGGACTTCGAAAGAGGTGACCAAGCTTCAGAAGCAAGGAAAAAATTATATATTGAGGATAGTGATGGATCTAGAAGAAGAGAATTAGGCGATTCTGCAGTAGAAATTTCTTTTAAAAATACAAATAACATCGTATCTAAAAATGGAACGAAAAATGGTGTTAGGTTTCAAGATAAGTCGGGGAAGGAAGAAGTCTCGGAAATCGCGAAAAAGCTCATGGAGCAGCCTGAAGCCTTGCAAAATCTGCTGAGATTCCAGACCATGTTTATGGGAGGACCACAGATGTTCCCAGGGATGCCGTATCCTAATATGAATATACAGCAGTTTCCAAATATGAGCCCTGCACCAAGCTCATCAGGAAGTCCTGCGTCTAAAATATCAAGCAAAGAAGTCCCGGAGCCTGATGACCCACATTTAGGCTCTGTGATATGGTCAGGGTTTATGACCAGAAGCAAAAATTATAGGGTAGGGATTGACGCGACATTGGTTAAAGGCAAATCTGAGTGTTTTCCATCGACACTTTATCATATAAATATTTCACATAGAGTCGCGTTTCAAGAAATTTTTAAATTTTATCAGCTGGCGCTTGTTACTTTTGAAGCGTCCAATGAGACCCAGCAAGAGGTGTTTAAGGAGTATGTTAATTATTTTTCTGAAAAACAAAGGGCGGGGTATATACAAATGAAAAATTCGGTACTTTATATATGTCCGCCTGTAGAAGAAATTGTGAAAATTTATCCAAAGCTGGAAAATGGACAGCTGCTAGGGGTGTTTGTGGATCCGACGAAGAAAGCGGAAAAACCGAAAGAGGCAAATAAGATACAGGAGCTGCTGGAGTTGTTGAAAAATCCTGATGTGATGAAACATTTTAATAAGAGCTCGGGGCCTTCTCCGAGCGACCCTAGGCTTGCATTAAAACAGCAAAGATAAATGGTTTAGAGTAGTTTATTGATAATTAATATGTTAGTGTAAAATAGGGATAATATCAGTTAATGAGAATGTAAGTATAAGTCAATCTTGATGCTTTTATGTCTCAATCTAAAGATAATTTGTTTTCTTTTCTTAAAATATAGATATTAATCACTATGGGAAAAGGTTGACAATTTTGAGTACATCATCTGTAAACTTTTTATTAGATCATCGTAATTGGGATCTCAGTAGATAGAGTTCTGTAAAGGTTGTACATACGCTATGAATAAGGCGTAAAAAAAGGCGAACAGCAATGCAATATTGGGAAAACAGTAGTCCATGCTCTAGTATTTCACTTGGCAGATGTGAATGACATGCAGAAATTTGGGAAATTAGTTTGGAAAAATGGTGGAAAATATTAATGAATTTTCGATGCAAATTAAGATTTATTATGTTGAGAATAATTTAACAGTTTTCTTTTAAATAAGGATTTGTTATGCTATCTTGAATCTATTTTTAAATGTCAAAATCATGAAGCGAAATAGTAAAGGTCACAAGTTTTTTACTCTCCATCAATAAAAATCAAGCATGCTAGATTTTTAATCTATATTTATCATTTCATTCAATATCCCAAAACTTCTATTTTTAATATTTTGCTAGTTGAGATTATCAGAACTTATACAGGCCTTATCAAACTATTGCTGGTATTTCTGATCTTGTCAAAACGACAAGCAAGTTATTTATAAACAAAATTAACCCAAAATCAATAATAAGCCTAAATTTCCAATAAAATCCTGGAATTTTTCATCTTATTTTCTATTATGTATAGCATAATTTTGGGATGTCTTCATACAGAGGACATTTTCTTACGTGTGGAACCCAAATTCCACATGTAGAGTTTCCACACTTGAGTGGTCCACATGTAGAAAAATATTCCGATATGCTAACTCCCCCCCCTCCGTGAGTGAACAAAACCATTAGAAAAATCGCTATTTTTTGCCCAAAAACCTACCCTCCGTGAGTGAACAAAAATTTTTTTAATAGAAACAATTTTTATTGAAAAAAAATTAGATATATAAAATGATAATTAGTATAATGAAATCTAGAGCTATTTTCTGTTTAATTTTAAACTAATTGCTTTTTAAAACATAAATTTATAAATTAAATTAATATTTGCTTTCCAATTTTTGTGAATTAGGATGTTTTTAAATTTCGAAAAAAATATTTTTTATAAAATTTATATATAAATTTTTTTAAAAAAAAAAATTAACCCCCCTCCGTGATTGAACAAAATTTTTTTGTTCACTCACGGAGGGGGGGGAGTAAGACCTTCCCAAAATTATTCAAAGCACAATATTAACTTTAGTTGCATTAAAACATGGATTATTCAAGTGATGAAGAAGATTATTTAGAAGTAGCAGAACGTAACGCGAAACGTAATTTCCTTAGAGAAGAAATCATTGAGATGAACTACGATCCACAGCTGTTCACCCAATACCTTGAAAACATGAAAGCTGCTGACATTGATGCATGGACATTTGATGAACTTTCCGACTGTGTAAGAGAGTTCAAAAATAAATACAGAGCAGGACAGACACTTGAAGAAATCGAAGAACAAGAAAGACAAGAAAAAGAAAAAGAGAAAAGACTCTATGAAATCCCAATAGCAAAAAAACCTCAACTTTCAGAAGAAACTCACTCCTCTTCGAAAACGGATGCAATTTTTGTCTTATTCTTAATGATAATAAAAAAAATAATTTTTTTATAGAAAAATTCATTTATTTATTAATTTTATATCAAGATATAGTATTTGCTACTGATTATATTCTAAATAATTATTCTAAAAAATAGGGGTTTTTTGCAACTTTATTTTCAGAAGAGATAGCAGACAAGTTCTAAAAAAGCAGAGAGTCCTCCCCCAAAAAAAGAAAAGAAGAAAAAAGAAAAGCCCAAAGTCTCAGAGCCAACTCCTCCTCCCCCTCCTCCACCACAGCCAGCACCTTCCACACTTTCAGTCCCCACAAATGAGAGAGATCGAGCTCCAAGCGCAGTCAATACTCTTAAAGGCCAATTATTAGACTCATCAGTTCACGATATCGCCAAAGAAGATAAAAATAAGCCAAAATATTACACTGAGACCCCAATTCATAATATAGCAAGGAAAACTGCTCAAGCTCCTCAAAAACTCTCAGACTACCCTGCAGAAGAAAAAAAGAAATACGAATATCAGCCAAAACTTCAAGCAAGCCCAGATTCTCCATTAATAGCTACAAAGCCAATAGAAAAAACCAAAGTTTCTGAGCCAGCAAGATTTGAGCCTTTACTGCGTGAAGAAGAACCTCGTTATAAGAGAAAAGAGACCCCTCCAGCACAACCAAGCTCAGATTATATAGAGCCTTCTATAGGCGGAGAAGCTTATGAGCTCCCAGCTCAGCTCGTAAAAGAAACTGAGCTTTCAAGAAACCAAAATCCAACTGTTGAAATCCCTACCTTTGAAACTGTGGAAGCAGGATTTTTTGGATCTAGCTTCTCCCTCTGAGAGCAAACAAAATTGCTCTACTCTTTAGTCAAAAATTTGTGGAAAAGCAAAATTTTTTATAAGATTATTTTGAGCATGCTATTATAATGAAATATGCATATCTATTTCTTTTTAATATTAAAATATTTTGCATTCTGAACATAAAAATTGAGAGAATTAAATTGTATTTCGCTTTTAAATTTTAAAAAAAATTCATTAAAACAATTTTGTTCTTATAGAACTGGAGAAGTAATTACGTTGTGTATAAAATCACGACTAATCCTTTTGGATGGGAAGTAAAAAGACGCTACAGTGAGTTTGCTTTGCTCAGGGAAGTCCTTGCAAATAGTTTCCCTGGCTATTATATACCCCCACTTCCAGAAAAAAAGGCGACTGGTAAGACTGGCCAAATGATGGCAATTAAAAGGCAAAAATTCTTGCAGAGATATATGAATTCTATATTAGCGAACAGAATGCTTAGGACTTCTACATTTTTGGTGTCTTTTTTAAAGGAGTTCAGCGCAAAAGAATGAAATGCAGCTAAAGAGCAAAACAAAAAGGTGAGAAAACTAGACGGGCTAAAAACATATCCTAGCTTTGACGGCTATTTACATTGTAATACAGGCGATCAGCCTTCAACAATTTCAAAAATGAATGACCATTTATCATATTCAGAAACGATTAAGAAAAAATTAAAAAGACATTTTGAGTCAGTTGTTGATGATTTTTCAAAAATTTCTGCATCTCTGGCAGCTTCTGTAGATTTAATTAAACAATTAGCAGATGTGCAGTCAATATTGAATTTTAATACAGATCAGCAGTATGTATATGATAGCTTAAAAGAAGCTATATATCAGTGGTCAGAGCATGAAAAAGAGCAGTCACAGTTTATATCTGATTATTTTTATTCTTATAATAAAAGACCTAAGCCTTATTATTAATTTTCCTCTCTTTATTTTTATATAAAAAATAATTTAATCTGCAATTAAATGGCCCTTTATCACCCTTCAACAATATACATGTTCTTTAAATATGGCTACATGGAGTCAGGAGCATTAAAAGAATTGCTCAGAGAAAGGGAAAATTTAATGGGGAGTTATAAAAAGTCAAGTAATGTCAAAGCAGGCACTGATAAAATTAAAGATTTATTTGGCTACCATAATACTCTTAGTCTAGGCGAAGTTGAAAGAGTTATCAAAGAAACCAAATCAGTTGCCTGTGAACACTTTGGAGAGTTTGCAAGAAGTGAATCAAATCACGCAATTAAGCTGCGAGCGATTTGGGATACTTTATTCAGCAAAATGTTGGAAACAAGTGAAAGAATTAATATTCTGCGAAATATTGTTTCGGATTATTTAAGTATAATAATACCTTAATAACTTAAAGCACTCAATTTAATATAATACAGAATAGATCAAGATAATAACTTAAGAATTCATTAAAGAATATCCTTATTTATAAAAACTGAATACTTTTATAGAAAAAAAAATTTCTCTTATTAATGCCAAGTTTTCAGTCTCTCTTAAATAGCATAAAAATCATCATATGTAATTACTGAATCAAGATCTTCATCAACAATTTCAAAAAATTGATTAACATCATCATTCGTCACAAACTCTCCAGATTTTTCTAGAGTACTCAATAAGTCTTCTGGCGTTAAATACCCTGCCTTATTACTGTCTAAAATCTTGAAAATTAATTTTGATTCCTCATCTGTTAAATCTTGCCTATCTATTGTATGATATTTCGGCTTTTGGTAATGCTGAAAAGAGTATTTTCGAGGGTGAGCTGTATCATTAGGAGAACCTGCATTATCTGAGTTTTTGTGAGGGAAAAGGACAGCTAGAGAATGAGATTTCGAAAGATATAAGCGCCTATCCATTTATAAAACTCTGCAAAGAAACGTCTCATTTTTACATAAATTAATATTTTTTACTGTTCTTGGCAATTAATTTCCATTTTATATGTGTAAAAAGCTTTGTGTAGAGTTTTTCCATTGCGCTCATCTTTTTTTCAAGAGCTTTCACTCTTCTTTTAGCCTCGACTAGCATCTGCTGCTTCTTCATAATTAGCTCTGTTAATTCTAGCTTATTCTTTTTAAACCTATTAATAGCATCTTCTAAAGCTTTGTAAGCTCTTTTTGAGAAATAGCTGGTACTCCCATGTTTCTTTTTACAAGTATAATATTTTATGGCCATTTGTACAACCTTAGCTGCTGATTTTGATAAAAAAATTAAACTAAATGCCTCACTCTGCCCTTTTGAAAACTGGCCTCTTTTTTCAGCGTTTAGCAAAACTAATGATACCGCAATAGCTCCTGTGATTCAGCAAAATGCAACTGTAACTCTCCCAAAAATAGAAGATGGAAAATAATCGCCATATCCAATCATCGCCAATGATGAAAAAACCAATCACATGCTATTTGTTGGATCTGTAAAGTCTTTTCCTGTTAAATCATAAAGCGGCCTTTCAAAAATCCTCAGCATTAAACCAAAAATAATGATTGACGGGATTAAAAGTAAAAATAAAACAACTTTTGTAGGATGCTGAAAAATCATGCATCGGAATGCAAATCTTGCATTTGCACTTGTGTTTTGCCTTAAACAAAAGCTTCGTGCGATATAGTTTTGGTAAGGAGTAAAGCTCATAATCGCTTTATACAATCGTATAATTCGAAAAAACATTATGTAATATAGAATTTCGTTCAAATTATAACAAGTATCAATAGTTCTAAAATTATACCTATAAGGGATGTCTATTTTAATATTCATATGTGGGTATGTGAATATACACAGGAGAAAAATATCAAGAAACCTATGAAAATTCCAGCACTTCTTCTGAATTTTTGCAATTTTCACCGGGAAATTCCCCAGCTTAATTATGATATGTGGCTCAATCTTGATAAGATACCTTTCTCAAAGAGATTTGCTATGATCTCGCATTAATAAAAAAACCATTGAAGCGATTGTAGAAAACAGCGTAAAAGTTTTTCAAAAATCGGACACTGAGCTTTCTTCTTCACAATTATCATGAGTTCGGTACGGAGAATACCTCATCTCATAATCAATTGATGACGATATAATTCCTAAGCATGAAAAAATTGCGGAAGCCATCTCAAACGCTCTTCATTGATTAAAAAGCTGATTAGAAATCCTCATATTCGGCTTATTCTCATATAAGCCTTCTGTATAAGCTGGTTTTCAATTTGGCTGATTGCTTCATCTTGTTTGCAAATCATGTCATGTTGTAATAGTGGATTTATTCAAAGTCCTTCACAGTGGAGTCATAACTGCTGATAGTCGATTGATTCTGCTTTTACGTCTGGGGAAAATATCCTTCAAAGTAAACAAAATGTTCATGATGTAATAATTTTTCTGAAAAGCTTTTCCGTAAAAAATTCACTGGAAATCTATAATTTCTTTATAAAGCTAATTATTCAAGCTCTATTGAGTATATAGTTTTAAAATAAATCTTGAAATTATGCTAGAATTATAGAAAAAGCCTCATCAAAATTGAAACACCCAGTACATTTAATTAACTCAACAAAAATAAATAAGTAATTCATAGCCAAATAATAGATTTTAATTTTTTTAACAATTAAATTCATTATTTACGCAACCCTCTAGGTGATATTACAGTCGGAGAAACTTCTGCGCTTGTCTCATACTCGCTAAAATTCGTTTGTGATTTTTTCTTTTTAGCTGGTTTTTTGCTTTTTTCTATTTGCTGCTTGGCTTTGCCTTTCTCAACACAAGCGACACGTGACCCGAATGATAAAGATGAGGTGGTTTCAGAAACGTCGTCTTGGGAAGGATTTACACAAATAATCATAACTCTCCCCCCCCCCCTCCGTGAGCGAACAAAACCATTAGAAAAATCGCCATTTTTTGACCAAAAACCCACCCTCCGTGAGTGAACAAAAATTTTTTTAATAGAAAAAATTTTAATGGAAAAAAATTTTGATATATAAGTGATAATTAGTATAATGAAATCTAGAGCTAATTCTGTTTAATTTTAAACAAATTGCGTTTTAAAACATAAATTTTGCAAATTAAATTAATATTTGCTTCCCAATTTTTTTGCAAATTAGGATTTTTTTAAATTTCGAAAAAAAATATTTTTTATAAAATTTATATATAAATTTTGTTTAAAAAAAAAAATTAACCCCCCTCCGTGAGCGAACAAAATTTTTTTGTTCGCTCACGGAGGGGGGGGGGGAGTAAGAGTTTTAGCATCTCCTGATAAAGAGTCTTTTAATAAATGGGTAAGCTTGGAGTCTCTATAAGGAATATGAGCTTGCTTTGCGGCTAAAGAATAAAGGACTTTTCCTAATGACGTTAAGCTTTGATTTATATTGCAAGCTTCTACCATTCTTAGTCCTTCTGCTTCAGATTTCCAGACCCTTTCACTGCCAGCTAAATCAATTAAATTTATATCATTTTGCCTTTATCATATTTTTTTTAATTTTTTTTAAAAAATAATTATATTTATGCTAAAAAGGATAATTTTGAGCTGAAATTCCCTTCTTCGCTTACACAATTTATATAAATTGTCACAATAGAATGGGACCTTGAGCTATATTCATTTACATTTGTGCAGCCTACACTTCTATTCGATTTTCCACATTCTATAGCAGATATAATATCTGCATAAGAATTCACAGGCATAGGATCGACCCCTTGTACATGAGAATTTCCTTTTGAATCCTCCCTAATCTCAATCTTCCTAGGTGTAATATCTAATAAATCCTTAATTTGGTCATTATAAATTTCTAAAATTGTCATAGAAATCGTATAGTTATGCGTCTCTTTCCTGCATTCCGCAAGCTCAAAAATTTCTCTGACAGCCCTATAATTGATCCCTAAGCACTTTTTGTTCCCTTCCATAGTAAAAGTTTTCCCGCTCCCAGTTTGTCCATAAGCCATTACACAAGCATTATACCCATTCATAACAGACATAACTAAATCGCTGATTTCATAATAAATGACCTCTTGAGGGTCAGTAGGTGGGAAAACTCTGTCAAATTCAAAGCTGTTTTCTCTCCTAGTTGAGGTGTTAATTACTTTTACTTGGCAAGTGTCCATAATTTGGACTGATTCTACGTTATTTCTTTCTGCGTGTAGCATTGGACGGACTCTACACATAACTCTGATGTTCCCACGGATTTCTTGAAGAAGCTGGTTAAGTCTTCGGCGTTCTGCCATTTCTTTGCGGTACTTTTCAGTCATTTCTTGGAGGAGCATGTTTGTTTTGGCTAAAGCTTCATTGGATTGGAGGTCACAGACGATATTTTCTTTATTTAAAATTTCTTTCATTCGGGATATGACGTTTTCTACGTATTCAGCTTGTTCTGGGTCATAGCCTGTTAGACGTTCTGGGGCGACGCCTAGAAGGGCTCTAAACATGTCTTCAATTCGAGGTCTTTCGAGGAGTCTATAAGTGGATATGTCTAGGAGCCCAGCTTTTCATAGCTCAACTTCACTGTGTGCACGCTTTGTGGTAGTTTCATAACTTATATAGTCTGAGCGGACTCGTTTTAGGTCGTTTTCAAGCTTTGACTTGTCTCTTTCTAAGGATTGGATTTGTTCTTCATATAGAAGTTTAGAGTCCTCAACTGATTTGTGGAGTTTTATTATTATGATTTAGACTGAAATGAGCTTTATAATATCAACAGAACCATAATTTATGTTATAAAATTAATAAATATATAGCATAAATTGGCATAAAATTTCTTCTTCATGGTATTGCTCATTCTTTTTAGAAGAATTTTGCAAGGTTCTTAATTGGATTTCGGACTGCTCCAGCTTATAAATAAGGTTCTGATATCTTTCTGAAAGCTGAGAAAAATTAGACTCCATTTGTATGTATTGCTTTTTAGCTTCCTCATCTCTTTTACCTTTAGCTGTAAGCTCAGTGATTTTTAAGTTATTTTTTGAGTTTTCAGCGACCATTTCTTCTACCATTTTTAGTTTTTCTTGATATTTTTCTTTATATTCATTAACTTGTTCTGTTAATAAACTATTTTGAGATTCAAGCTCTTTTATATATTTTTCTCTTTTTTCACTGATATCTCTTAGTTTTTGTTCTTTAGCTGAAAGATCTTCTTGGAATTTTTCTAACTCTTCACTGATTCTTTGCTTTTCCATATTTTCTTTTAAATTTTTCTTTTTTGTTTCTTCTAAATCTTTTTCTAAAATTTCGCATTTTTTCTTTAAGCACTCAATGTCTTTTTTTAAATTCCAATTGTCTTCTTCAATACCAATTCTTATTCCTATTTAATTTAATTAGTATCCTATTATCTAATATATGCTTTTAAGGACTTAAATTCTTTTTTATTATGAAAAACCATATTTTTTCAGACTCTTTATAAGCTTTTTTTGCTTCATCCAGCTTACCCCTTAATTCGCTATCTGCTTGTTTTCGATCATCATGAAGTGATTTTCACTTTTTTTCTTTTTCTTCTCACTTCTTTTGGATTTCATCAAACTTTTCTTTCATTCTTTGCGATTTTTTTACTTCAAGCTCCATAATCCTCTGTGCTTCTTCAATGGCGTTTTCTTTTTCGTCTAATTGCACCCTCATATTTGTCGTCCTTTCTTTTCAAGTCTGGGCTTCTTCATCAAGGACTTTTATAGCTTCATGCAATTTTTCGACAGTTTTCTTGTATTTTGAGCTTTCTTTTTCTAAACTTACCACTTTTTCATGCTCCTGCAAATAATTTGGATGTGAAGAACCAAACCGCCATAGCTGACACTCTACAGGTGTGTGAAAACTTTGAGGAAGTGAGGATGCCGTTCAGGTATATGCATTTGGACAGATGCTTTTTAGTTTGGAAAAAAACATATATTGGGTTAGTTAGCCGCACACTTTACTCCAATGTCAAAGTTTTTGCTTCAAGGGGAATGAAGCTGAGATTTGGGTAGAGATCTCCCAGCAGTGCCAGTGGTGGTCATCTTGGCCAATCTGAACTGTTTTCCAGCATGAAATTAGTATTTACACCTTGGATTCTATTTTCCATTTTGGCCGAGAGTTGACCAGAAAATTCAGCACTTTAAATTTCCATTGTGGGTAAATTTTGCTGACGTAAGGCACGGATAGCAAATGCAGGTCCTTGTCCGGTAGAGGAATCCTTATAAGATCGTGCATAGTCTGGTGAGCATGCAAAGGGGATGTTACAGGTAAAGTTAGTCCTTCAAGAATTACAGTGAACTTTTCTATAAGTATAATAAACACAAACTCAAATAATTTTGGTGTATTTTTGTTAATTCATCATCTTGCTCTCTAACACCTATTTATTTTTTACGTTGTCTTTCACATTCAAGCTCTTCTTCAAGCTTCAAAAGTTTTTTCCCGCATTCTTGAGATTTTTGTAATTTTAGTGAATAAGTATGGGTTAAATGGATTTCTTTATTTGCATAAAGCGCTTTCATAAACTGATGGCGCTGATACAAAACTTCATGCTCTGCTCTAAGCGCCGATTCTCTTTCTAATACAAATTTCAAGCTTTCTTTTAACTCAATTAAATTTTCATTGCTTTTTTGAAGACACTCGTCGAGCTGTTTTAAAGCTGATGGCAAATCTTCAATATTTTGTGGGAAAATGCCTGAATTTTTAAACTGGCTCATGCTGCTCTGCAGAATGAAAAGAGATTCTTCTAATTTGTTATGTGTTGAGTCTTCCATTAAGTTTAAATTTATATGAATTTTTTACTTTATTTATAATATTTTTGTAATTTTACAGCTGAAAATTTAGGAATTTCTCGAGATTGGTACGCTTGAGGGGTGTAGCTTAATTTTGGAAATTCTGTGGAAGTGCTGTTTAAGCTTTTATTTTGAATAATCGAAAGATTCCCTGAGCTTTGGCTTCTTATATTCCTAGTAAATCTTTTGCGTTTTAAGTCATTTTTCATTTGCCTGACTTTTTCGTCTAAAGTTTTTAATTGATTTAAAGTGGTTTCTGAAAAAATATTTTCTGTGCTAAAAAGGTCTTTTACATATTTTTCATCTTGAATGCTACTGGATTTCTTATCAGAAAGGATGTCTCTTAAGTTTACCTTGTGATGAGAAATCGCGTCTAATTTTTGGCCTAAATCTTCATAGTGCTCTCATATATAGCGTCTCCACACTTTTAGCCTCCTCTTGTATCAATGTCTCCCGGGGGTTGCTTCGCCAGCTATGTTGGTAAAATCAACCTTAAAAGTAGCAAATCCTCAAGATAGCTGCCACTTTGAGGGCTGGTTTCACCAATATAAATTGATGAAGCAACCCCTCAATTATCTCAGGAGGCATCGGGACAAGAGAAGACTAAAAGCATAGAGACGCTATACCAGATTGAAAGGTATTTATATTTCGACGCCCTACAGGAGTATTATCGCTACTTGCAACAACTGTAGTCGAGTGAAATTTTCTGCGGAAATTTGGATTTGAGCCGAAATTTATTATGCTTCTTCTGGGCATTGGAGTATTTTCTGCTGTTAAGACTCCGGGACGATTTTTTTTTGAAATTCTTTTTGTTGTCGATAAATCGAGGAGACTATTTTCTATGAGGGTTGCAGCTTTTAAAGCTTGAGGTAAAGGATCTGGCTTCTGAAGGGTAGATAGAGATTGAGTTCAAGTGTATTGAAACCCCCGAGTATTTTTGATCGATGAGTTCAAAATTGAGACTTTCTGTAGGTCATATAAGTAGCTTTCTTCTATTTTTGAAAGTTGATCCATTAATTTAAAGAAAACTTATTATATTCAATATTAGGATGCATTTAATATTATTTTTCTTTTTTTTATTACAAAAATTTATATTTGGCTAGTATTAAAAGTCTTATCTATGTAAATAGACTTCAATAATCAATTTAACAATAATTTTCTCTTACCTCGGCATTTCTTATATAATATTTTTATAACCGTTGACAAGAAAATTCTTATATTTTTTATTCAACAGTTATCACCCGACTTTCTGGACCAATTTTTTCTCAAAAATAATTAATTAAACTCTACGCATTTATTTAATTTTATTAATTATTTTCACTATAGCGAAAGTTAGAAAATGGTGATTTAAATTATGTCTCTTTATTTTTCAAGCTTCAATACTTTTACTATTTTTGTTCAAAATTGAACTATAATCTTTTTTTTTTATTAATTTATTAAGTTTAAAATTAATTATCCTTTTTTGCTTCTAGAAAATATTTTTTTCAATTTTGAAGTCTTTTCCATAGTTCCTTTAGCTCTATTTCTCCTTTCTTCAATCTGGGCAATCTCCTCTTTCGTCATGCCTAAAATTGTCAAAATTTCTTTTAGGCAAGCCTCAATTTCCAACCTCTGAGGACCAATCATATCTGCCAAGCTTATTACAAGCATTTTCAATTCTAAAAGTGACCCTTGGCCTCCTTCATGTCCTCCAATAATTGTCTGTTCAGTTTGCCTTAGTTTTTCTTTCAAATACATATTTTCTTGTTCTTGCTCTCTTCTTGCTTCCACAATTTCTTGATTTTCCTCTTCTATTTTTCTTAAAGTTGCATATAGGTGTTGTGCTTCTTCTACTGATAAATGCATATCTCCTATCTCGCTAGGGTTCAGCTCAATATTAAATGTTTCTGATGCAGAATCTGGCGATATCATATTAAATTCAGCCCCTAAAGTTTTTGAGTGTGGGGCAGGCGACGAGCATTGCTGAGATTTTATTTCAGAATTTTCATATTGATCAATTAGAGCTCTTACAGCATCTAAAATTCCAAGTTTTCTGAAATTGACTGGCAGTTCATCATTGATTTTTGCTATAAGTTCTGTATATCTTGCTAAATCATTATTTTTTATCATTATTTCATTTTCCATAGTCCTTATTGCATCAGGGATACTCGGGACCCTAAACTGCTCTGGTACTGCATTTCCTATTTCTTCAATTTTCTTATTCCAATTCTCTTCCACACCATTCAGCTCTTTTAATAATTTTTCTTTTTCTTGATGTAAAAGTGAAATCTGGTTCTCTGCGTCTTCAATTTCTGCAGTCAAATTCTCATTTTGGTTTCCCAGTGCAATTAATTTTCGCTTCAATTCTGCGACTTCATTTCTTAGATTTTCTTTTTCATTGTCAATGCTGGAGCTAAATGCATCACTGACCATTGAGGTCCTTTGAGAAATTGACATTGACATAGGGCTTAAATCAAAATCAACCTCTTGGTTTCCTTTAGAATCTTCACTGTCTTTTTGTGTTTTTAATAAATTATTTTCTTCTTCAAGAGTCTCAATTCTGGCTACTAATGAGGATTTTTCTCTTGCTAAAGCGTCTATGAACTTTTTCATGCTGGAAACACGGGTATGCAGTGTGCCATTTTCTTGCTCAAAATTGTTTATACGGGTGGATAATGACTCGTTTTTAGTCATTTTGTCGTTAAGCTGAGACTTTAGAAGGGAGTTTATACGGGTAAGTTTAGCTTTTTCTTTTTCTAAAATGCTTAGCTGGGTTTTTAGAATGTCAAGCTCTTTAGTGACTTGGCTGGCGATTTCACTGTGTTCCTTTACTAATTTTTCTCTGTCTTCTATAAGATTTTTCACTTGATTTTTTAAATTTTCTATATGGCTATTCAGTTCATTTTCTATTGATTTATAATGAGAAACCTTGTCTTCTAACGATTTATTTCTTATCAGAACATCTTCTAAAGAGTGCTTTAAATATTCACAATCCTCAGCACTTTCTTGTCGGGACAACAAACTTGTATCTAGCGAAACTCTTTGACTTGAGCTTGCCATTCTGTTTTCCAGCTCTTCATTTCTCAATTGGACATTTGACTTTTCTTTAGTCAGTGCGTCAATAAACTTTTTCATAGTAGAAATCCTGTTTCTCATATTTTCATTTTCTTCTGTAAGTCTTTTTACTTGGGAGCTTAATGCTTCATTTTTTGAAATTTTGCTTTTTAACTGTGTGGAGACGATGTTATTTGAGTGAATTAATTTTTCATTTTTTATTTCAAGAATTTGGTTTTTTGACTCAATTTTTTCGAGCTCTGATTGAGCACTGGAGAGTTTTTCAGATTTTTGGTGTAATAAGGACGATAATTCTTCATTTTGCTGCTTTTCAGCTGATAAACTTTCAGATAAAGCTTCGATTTCTTCATTCAACTTTTGGATTTCATACTGGCCTATTTTTGATTCTTCTTCTATTTTACAAGGATTTTTTTCTTTTAGAAGCGAATTTTCTTTTTCAGCAGCCTCATAATTTGTTTGTAAAATCGAGTTTTCCTTGACCAGGGCATCTACATATTTTTTCATATTAATCGCCCTAGTTTCTTGTTTTCTCAAATTTTCTTCACTTTCTCTTAATTCATGGCTTAAATTTTCAATTTTTGCCATTTTTTCTTTCAGCTGTGAAGTGACTAACAAGTTTATTTGGCTTAATTTAATTTTTTCTTTTTCCAAGACAGAAATTCTTTCTTCATCTGTTTTGTATCTTAGCTCTGATAAAGCTTCAACACTAACAGACTCTTCTTTGCTGATTGATAATGTATTAGATACATCACTTGTAAACGTCCCTGATCCTCTTGACTGATAAATATTTTCTGATGATCTATTTTGAAGATTATTTTCAGTAGCCTGAAACATGACTTCTGAGCAATCAAAAGAAGGCGTCTGTTGATGTTTTTGTTTTATTCAGTTCCATAATAAATTTAACATAAAAATAATTTAAATAATTTTTTAAAAAAATTAATTTAATTAAGTTTACTTGTTTAATGCTTGACTCTTCAAGCTGCTTTTCCAAGCTTTGGTTTTGATTTGCCAATGAATCCAGCGAATATCTCAGATTATTAATTTCTTCCAAATATTTTTCTGACTCATTTTCCAACGAAACTCTATGGCTTAATGACATATTTTCTTGTTCAAGTGAGTCAATTTTTGACTGCAAACTTTGTTTTTCTTTTGTTAAAGCATCTACAAATTTTTTTAAGCTATGAGACCGAGACCCAAGTTTTTCATTTTCATCTCTAAATGACGTATTTTGTGAATTTAGGCTTTGGATTTGTTTAAGTTTGTCTTTTAGCTGTGTGGAGATGACCATATTTGTGGATGAAAGACGGATTTTGTCTTTTTCAAGGTTGGAATTTCGGCTTTCTAGATGAGAAATTTGAGCTAAAAGATGTTCAATTTCAGCGTCACTGTATCTGTTTATGTTTGCGTCTGAAATATTGCTGAGGGATTCTTGGATATTAGAAATAGCTTCAATGCCAAAGGTTTGGATTTCCATTGAAAAACTCTGCCGATGTTTCATTTCTGAGTCCCTGATTTGGCCTTGGAAAATTTCTATTGAGTTTCTGCTTGGCTCGTTTTGGCCTTCTGACGATCTCATGCTCAGGCTGATTCTTTCTTCTAATTCTGAAGCTTTTTCATTTAAAATTGTTTTTTCCTTGGAAATTGCATTAGAAAGCTTCTTTAAACTGTCACATCTTGCTATTAAAGCTTTATTTTCCTTGGCCAATATTTTCATCTGTGAACTTAAAGCGTCAATTTTCATAGTTTTTTCTTTAACCTGGCTAATTAAAATAGAATTCTGCTGAGCCAGTTTATTTTTTTGTATCTCAAGCGAAGTCACTGTATTTTCAAGCTCATTTACCTTACTCCTCCCCCCCCTCCGTGAGTGAACAAAAAAATTTTGTTTCACTCACGGAGGGGGGTTAATTTTTTTTTTTTAAAACATTTATATATAAATTTTATAAAAAATATTTTTTTTTCGAAATTTAAAAAAATCCTAATTCACAAAAATTTGAAAGCAAATATTAATTTAATTTATAAAATTTATGTTTTAAAAAAGCAGTTCGTTAAAAATTAAACAGAATTAGCTCTAGATTTCATTATACTAATTATCATTTATATATCAAAATTTTTTTTCCATAAACAATTTTTCTATTAAAACAATTTTTGTTCACTCACGGAGGGCGATTTTTTTGGGCAAAAAATAGCGATTTTTCTAATGGTTTTGTTCACTCACGGAGGGGGGGGAGTTAGCTATTTCTAAGCCATATTTTTTAGATAATTCTTCATTTTTGTCTTCAAATTCTGCTATTTCATTCTCTAGCTCACTTATATGCTTCCTTAAATTATTTTGATTCTCATTAGCGTCCTCTAAATCCTTCTCCAGCTTTTTTATATCTTTATTTAACAAATTCACTGTTTCTTGCAATGATTTAATTTGGTGCTCATATTGTCTTTCTACTTGGTTTTTAGTGTCCAAATCCAAAGAGCTTCTTTGTCTAAAAATATTAATTTCTTGTTCCAAAGACCCAGTTTTAGCTTCAAGTGACGCTTTTTGTTTCGCTAACGCATCAGCGAATTTTTTAAGCGCTGAGCTTCTGGATTCCAGCTTATTTTTATCGTCTTCATATTCATTTATTTTTAATGTTAAAGCATCATTTTTTGCGATTTTTTCTTTAAGCTGCTGTGATAATAAATTATAAGAATTTTCTCTATATGGCCCGATACGGGCCGTGGGTTCTCTGAGGAATCCCTTTGCTTGTTGAACCAACAAGTGAATTGGCCACTGAGTTGGTTTGACCAACAGATGGATTCCACGGAAAACCCACGGCCCTTATCGGGCCATATAAGGAAAACTCCTATATTTATCTGAGAAAGTTTGATATTTTCTCTTTCCAATGCACACATACATTGCTCTAATTTTTCATAGTCCCCTGTTAGCTCTTCTAGCTCGTTTTCTTTAGAAATCAATCTAAATAAAAATTACTCTTGTGTTTTTAAGTCTATTTCTTTTTCCAGATCTTCTATTTGTGGCCAAACTACACTTACACTTCTATCTTGACATTTTGGGTCTTCTTCTGTATATTGGAATGGAATTTCTACACTTTTTGAAATGGTGAATTCTGACTCTTGCTGGAATTTTGAACGGGATAAAGAGACTTCAAATAAAATTTCACTTGGCTCTTCATTGTCTTTGGAGATGCGGCTTTTTTCAGAATCATTTATTTGAGATTTTAAGCAAGCTAAAGAGTCTTCTAAACTTGTAATTATTTTGTGTTTTGAATCTATTTCTGACTCCCCCCCCTTTAAATTGGAACAAAATATCGGTAAAATTTCCACTTTTTTGGTAATTTAACCCCCCTTTAAATTGGAACAAAATTTAAATTTTATAATAAAAAATTATATATAATTTTTATCTAACTCCCCCCCCCCCCCCTCCGTGAGCGAACAAAACCATTAGAAAAATCGCCATTTTTTGACCAAAAACCCACCCTCCGTGAGTGAACAAAAATTGTTTTAATAGAAAAAATTTTAATGGAAAAAAATTTTGATATATAAGTGATAATTAGTATAATGAAATCTAGAGCTAATTCTGTTTAATTTTAAACAAATTGCGTTTTAAAACATAAATTTTGCAAATTAAATTAATATTTGCTTCCCAATTTTTGCAAATTAGGATTTTTTTAAATTTTCGAAAAAAATATTTTTTTATAAAATTTATATATAAATTTTTTTTAAAAAAAAAAAATTAACCCCCCTCCGTGAGCGAACAAAATTTTTTTGTTCGCTCACGGAGGGGGGGGGGGGGGAGTAAAAAGTTTTGATATAAGTTAAATGTTTCTTCTTAACTAAAACTAAAAATTTATCTATATCTTGCTCTTTTTAAAGAAAAAAGTATAAAGAGCATCTTATTTAAATAAATTTATTATCCTTAATTGGTAAATTTTAACAAAAAATTAATTTTTTTTTTTTAAAAATTTAAAAAACTTTGTGTTTTTTTGATAAAAATGATATTTTTTATTTGGATAGTTTTGATATAAATTCAATAGGAATTCTTTATAAAATTTCAAAATTTACTTATTTCTTGCTTTATTTTAAAGAATAGAGTATAAATAACATCTTATTTAAACAAAAATAGCACTTTGATCGATAAATTTTCCAAAATTTTTTTTTATCAATAAAAATAATAATTTTTGTGTAAATAATTTTGATACCAATTAATAGTGGCGTATTAACTAATAATGAAAATTTAGTTATATCTTGCTTTGTTTTAAAGGATAAAGAGTAAATAGCGTTTTATTAAACAAATTTATTGATCTAATTCGATAAGTTTTTGAAATATTTTTTTTTTTAAATTTTTATATTTTTTATAAAAATTTTATATTGATATTTTTTTTTTACAAAAAAAAAAATTAACCCCCCTTTAAATTGGAACAAAAATTTTTAGTTCCAATTTAAAGGGGGGGCGGAGTGAGATTTTTTCAGAAAGACTGTCTTTTAGGTCAGAAATTTGTTTTGAAAGTGATGAATTTTCGCTTATTAATTTTTGGAATTCTGCCTGTTTTAATTGCAAAGAATTTTCAATTGAATTAATTTTTTCATTTTGCTTGTCAATTATTCCAAAAAGTTTATTGCGGCCGTCGTTAAATTCTTTTGTATGGGTATCAAGCTCAGTTTTTAGATTTTGGATTTCGATTTCTTTTTCTTTTAATAGAGATTCAGACTTTTTGAAATTTTCGAGAAATTCTTGGTTTTCTTTTGCAAGGGATTCAGATTTTTGTTTTTCTAGTTCTAGATCATTGGATTTTGAGTCTAATTCTGAGGTTACTTTGTTGCAAGAATTTTGGAGAGTATCAAATTTGTGCTGGATATCAAGCAGATATGATTTTTGACTATTGTAGACTTCTTGGATACTTTCAAATTTAATTTCAATGTTTTCGAGCTCAGAGCTTAATCTTTGATTTTCTGCAAGCAAAAGTGCTTCTTTATCAGATTCAGATCCAGCTGATAAAAATTCGTTTAATGATTTAATTTCGTTTTCTTGCAGTAAAATCTCATTTTGTTTAGCTGAAATTTGATTTTTTAGCTCTACAATTTGACTTTCTAATCCTTCAATTAAGGCGGTTTTTTGATATATCTCTTCTTTCCCTTCATTGAGATTTCCATTTAAAATTTCGATATTTTTTAGGTTTTCGTAAATAGCAGCTGATAATAAAGCTATTTCATTTTCCAAATTTTGAATAGTCCTATTTGAGTTTTCTCTATTTTTTTCATGGTCTTTAATGGCTAATTCCATGTTTTCTATCTGACTGGTCAAAGAATTTATTTGGCTACTATAATCCGCAGCATTTTTCTGGAGAATTTCTCTTTCAACTAAATGTTTTCTATTTTCTGAAGATAATTCGTCAATTTCTTTACTCTTATTTTCTAGCATTTTCCCAAATTGTTCTGCTTGTTCTTGTGATTTAAGGAGCGATTCTTCTTTATATTTTTCGAATTCTTCTAAAAGGTGATTATTTTCTTGAGTCTTTTGTGAAATTAATGCTTGTAAATCTGTATCAGCCTGCTTTGATTTTTTTATGTTTTCTTTCATTCCCTCAATTAAATCTGATTTTTCTTTTATTTCCTTATTTAATTTCTCTATCTCCAATGAAAATTCTATAGGTTTTTCATTGAAATTCTCAATAGTTTTATGCAAGTTTTCATTTTCCACAGTAATTTTATTTAATTCTTCTTTCGTTTTTTTAAGCTCTTTTTCCACTTCTTCGTATTTTTCAATGATTTCTTGCTCAGAATTAATTTCTTCTTGAAGATCTTCTCTTGCGATATCAAGTCTAAATAAAAATTACTCTTCCTCTAAGCTTTTTATTCGTAATTCTTTAATTTCAAATGCGCTTAAGAGCTCATCTGAGCCTTCTTTTAATTTTTTAAATTCTTCTTGGTATTTTTCTTTGTCTTCTTTAACTATATTTTTTAATTGATTTAATTCTTCTTGGGCATTCCTGTTTCGTATTCTTTCTGTTTCAAGCTGCCTTTTTCCAAGCTCTAAAATGGATGTTAGCTCATCCAGCTGCTGGCTTTGCCTTTCACTTACCCATTTCCGTGAGCAAACATAACCATTATTTTTTGATCAAAAACCCTTCCCTCCTTGAACAGACAAATATAAAAGTATTTATGAAAAAATTATGATAATTTTTATGATGAAATCTTGAGCAAATTCTGTTGAATTTTTAACAAATTAAATTAATATTGACAATGAAAGATAAAATTATTTTTTTTGCTTACGAAGGGAAAATTAATAATTGCAATTTATTTTTTTCTGCTTTTAGAGCCTCTATTTCATTTTGAAAAGCTTCAGATGTTCGTTTATTTGTATCTTCTAAAGTTTCAGAATTTTTTTGATGACTATCAATAATCTCATTCAGTTCTTTATTTATTTTTTTCCTTTTCATTAGCTTTTCCACTAGTATGTCAATTTTCTGTTGATAATTGGCTACTATTTGGGTTAGCTCTAATTGTGACTGTTTGTATATGGAGTCTTCAGCTTCTTTAGATTTTAAAGTATTTTCAAGCTGAATGATTTTGGCATTTTTTGATTCAATTTCTTCATCTTTATCTTTACAGATATTTTTGAATTTTTCTAAATCTTTTATCTTTGTCTTAAATATTAATCTATAAATTCTTAACTCCTAATCAAGCTTTTTGCCTCCATTTTTGACGATATTTGCATTCGATTCGCTCTTTGTAGTTGCCAGAAAGCTATTTTGGGAATCCAGAAGTACAGTAAACACTAAAGATTCTCTAAATCTTTTATCAGTTCATTAATATATTGATTGGATTTTATAGTCTCATTTTCAAAACTTGTTAGCAAGTCTTGTTTTTCTTTTAAGTATTGATCTGATTTAATGGCTCATGCTATTTGCTTTGCACTTTTTGACGGCGAGGCATTTTCTGAGAGAAATTTCCTTTAAAAAACCCGAAAAATTCCAGATAAAAAAACTTCAACAAAGTTTCTGTGTAATGGCAGGCAATCAAAAAGTCCATAGCAAAAAAACATGACCAGATTTAATTTGGCTGTCTTCATTGATTTTTTCATATTTTTTCAGTAAATTTATTTGGAATTCCAGATTTTTAATATTTTCTTTATGCTTATTTTCTTTATTTGAGAGTTCTTCTTTTAGACTAAAATTTTCATTTTTGAGAATACTTATTTCTTCTTCAAGACTTAATGATAATTCATCTTTAGCAGCTAATTCTGAATAATTGCTTACTAAATGTGCCATCTTATTTCGCAGACCGTATAATTATAGCGCCATTTACTGAGATCACGAACCGTTACCTTCACCCTTTATAAGATACCATGAACAATTAAACTAGACTTCACCTTGTCTGTGACCAGACTTCGCAGAATGTGCCACCTTGCGCGATGATCTATCTAAGAATTTCCTCCTCGTAGCAAAGCCTTATGCCTTATAAAATCCATCTTCTCTCCTATAGGCAACCACCACTTCCGTAGGTAATCATTTTATTATTATCATAATTCTGAATACAGTTTTGTAGATGTTTTTTCCAAATCTTCATAAGAGTTCTTTGATTCTGATAATTCAGCTTTTAGCATGCTATTTTCTTTACCTAATTCTTCAATTTTCTTTTCTTTATTATCAAGAACAGCTGAATTATCAATTTCGCTCTTTTTCGAAAAATCTCGTTTGGCTATATCATCTATAGGAATTTCGCCTATATTGCCGATATGGACCGAAAGTTGGCCAACTGAGATTGGCCAAACCAACAGGAGAGGGAAACTCCCTAACTCTCTGGTTGGTTTGGCCAACCTAAGTTGGTCAAACCAACTTGAGAGGAAGTGCTCTCAACTTTCGGCCCATATCGGGCAATATAGGCGAAATGCCTATATTTTAGTTTGCATTTCGTTTATTTTTGCTTCTAGTTCTACTTTTTCTTCCAAACTCAACTTCAATTTTTGTTTAAATTCAATTATTTTAGTTTCTCTTTGTTTCCATGCGTCTTTAGCAATTTTCAGCTCATCTTTATAGCTTTCAATATCCTGGGTTAAATTTTCGCATTTTTCTTTTTCTTCAGCATATTTATTAAATAATTCTTCTTCTCTTTTTTCAACTTTTTTAAAAGATGGCAAGATGAGTATAGATCAAGGGATTGATCCCAGCCCCCAGATAAGTGGATTCGATCTTTTTTAGGAAGTCTGGGAGGGTTCTGCTTGGCAGAACTCTATGGCAGGCTTTTTTCCTTATCCCACAGAGCGTGGTAGGATTTGGATATGATAAAATCATACTCTGAGCACTACCAGGAGTTTAGAGAGTGTTTGACTGTGTAGGCATAACCCAACCAAGCTCGTGTGAGTCTCCACGAGAGACTAATGACGTCAACAGGAAAAGGGCGCTATGTGTGACCACCGGTACCTATGAGCAACCTTAGTCCAGCCGGCTAAGGAAGGGCAAGGCTTAAAATCATCCTTTATAGCCTACTAAAATTTAATCTAATCTCTTTTTTCAAATTCTCTTAGTGCTTTTCGTTTATTCTCTATTTCCTTTAATAAATTTTCATTTTCAATCGTAAATTCATTTTCACTATTTCTCCGTGACAACTGCTCTAATAATTCATTTTTTTCATTTTCCAAACTTTTAAGGTCTTTATAAAGATTTTCTAATAAATTTCGGATTTCTTCATCTTCTTTTTGCAATTCAAGCAGTCTTTCACTATCAGCCTTAGTAGTTTGGTGAAGCATTCTATTTTCTTTATGCTGCAACTCTCTTTCTCTTTTTAAGCAAGCCAATTGTTTTGTTAGTCTATCAATTTCTTGCTGCTTTTCTTCAATTATAAGACCATATTCTGCTTTTTGGCTCTCCTCTTGCATAGGTTTTGATGTCTGCAATTTTCTCGCTCTAGAGTCTTTAGCTATTGCTGTATTTCTCCCTTTCTGCATTTGATTTATATCATAAATTTCTTCTCTCTGCTTATTTAATTCTTCCACCTCTTTGCATTTATTTTGATACCTTTCCTCAAGCATTTCATTTAGATTAAATTCAGTTTTTAAGGTGTCTGTGCCACTCCCAAAGATAGGGACTTAGCCTGACTAGTGACGTCACGGCCAGTCTGTCACTTAAAATGGTGTACCATATGGGCAGACTTTCAAAACAATGCAGACGCCAGCACTGTACACCCGGCGCGATGCCATTGCTCCTGTTCAGATCAAACTTATAGAAATTGCCCGAGGATGGCGCTATTTTGCGCCATCCTCGGGCAATTTCTATAGCTCCAGCACGTGCTTCGCCTAAGAGTCATCCTCCTCGGATGTGCTAAGTGGTAAAAGCACAAGTCTCTTGATGCACTGAGGAGCAGTTCCTCTGATTATCTCCAATGTTAATAATAATTTCCCGGACAAAATGGTGCCTGGCGCCAAAGCAGGAAGTTGTTGTCCTGAGTTCCTTTTGAAAAAAATGAAACAGTATGAGCGAGGAATTGGATCAGCACAGTTCCTTGCAGCGCTGGATCTGTGCAGATGGAGGTGAAGTGGAGATGGCATTGGAGTGTGTAGGGCATGGAGTCAGTGCACATGGAAAAACTCTAAATGGCCTGCATTGGAGGCGCAAGCAGGTATGCATTCGAGTTTTTACTTTTTACTTTTTACCTTTTACTTTTTATTACTTTTTTACTTTTTATTACTTTTTTACTTTTTATTACTTTTTTACTTTTTACTTTTTTACTTTTTTACTTTTTACTTTTTTACTTTTTACTTTTGGTATTTTACTTTTTAGAAAATTTTTGGGAATTTTTACAAATTTCTGGAAACTTTTTTGAAGATCTTTTAATTGGTCCACTTAGTTGGGCGATAACCATTAATTCTATTCTATTCTATCTCCAATGTTAAACCGCTGTTGCTGTGCAGAAATTTCTCAAGGTAAAACCAAATCTCATAAATAAAATCCACAAGGGAGAGAAAATTAGCAGAGCTAATTTCCCAGACCGAATGCATTTTATTTATGATACCTTTCCTTAACTCCCCCCCCATCCTTGATCGAACGATTGACTGTAAAAAATTCCTAAAAATTGGGAAAATTAACCCCCATCCTTGATCGAACGATTTTCATATCATGTAAATTTTTATATATATAAAAATATATTATTTATCAAAAGCTTGGGAAGATGTACATAATGGAGTTGTTTTCAGAAGCTTTGAGACGACAGAAAGCTACGAAATCAACTATCCGAAGTGATTTAGTCATCAACTTGAGCTTAAAAACTCAATAATCTAATAAAATAGAGATTCTTTAAAATTTTTTAAAAAAAAATTTAATTCAATAAGGAACAAATTAAAATTTATACAGTTTAAAGGTGTACATAATAAACAAAATATTAAAAATTGGTATTTTATGAAATTAATTCAATTTTTTTGCTGTAAAAACTAATTATTAAATACTCTTAACCCTTTTATTTAAAAGTAAATAAAAAAAATATATATATATATTTTTTTATTTATATATATAAATTTTTTTTAACCCCCATCCTTGATCGAACGATGGCAAGTCGTTCGATCAAGGATGGGGGGGGGAGTAAGCAAATTCACATTTTTTTGATTTTCTGATTTTATTTTTTCAATTTCATCAGTCTGTTCTCTATATAAATTGCAAACTTTTAGATATTCCTCATTAAGCTCTTTAAGTGTCGAGCTTAGCTCAGCAATGTCTCTATCTTTTCTATCCCCTTCTCCTCTTCTTTGTTCTGAATATTTTTTCGAATATTTACTAGGTGACGTCGTTTTTTCAATTAATTCTTGGAATTTCAATCTTTCAGCCTGCTTATAGAAGTTTCCTATGTTTGGCGCTGTAAGGCCGATAAATTCTGATCGGAATTTATCGGTAGGTTGCACCAAATCAATGCCTTGGTCGGACCAAAAAGCGATTTGGTCCGACGAACTTGGAAAGCTCCTGGGAAAATGTCTGCGCTTTTAGCGCTATATAGAGGAAACCTCTATATCTTCTTTTAGCTTTTTAATTTGTTTTTCATAGATTCCAGGATATTGAGAAAATTTTGCAATTTTTTCTTTTAGCTCGTCCCTTTCTTTGGTAACTTCGGCTAGCTTATCTTTTCTGCTGTATTCATCTAAAATAGGAGATCTTTCTTCTCTGATTAATCTTGATTTATAATTAAAATATGGCGTCACTCGAATTTTCTGGCGCCCGACTAAAATTTTTCTTAATTATAAGACTTGGTTTCCCTTGTAAATTTATCCCAGCTATCTTAAGGATAGTTTTTCCTACTGGACTCCTGACCTTAGGGAATGGAATTTTCCAGGAGGGCACCACTTACCCAAGGCGGTGGAGACTGGGGCCTTTAGTGTGCAGATCGGACCCAAATAAGCGCCTGAGCTCAAAGAAGAGTTGTAAGCCCAAATTTCAAGACTGGTGTTCTCTTTTGGTGATCAAAGCCCGAGGTGGCCAATCTTTTGCAGACCCAAGGAAAATGGCACGAAATTCGCCCCAGAGCGGTGTTGGAGGTAGCTGTGGTCGAGAGCCTAGTAGTAGACGTTAAACTTGCTATAGATAATAAAGATAAGATTAATCTTGATTTATTAGGTGACAAAATTTTTTTTTCTAAATCAAAAATCCTTTGTTTTAAAGCATCACTTTCAGTCCTAATAGACCTGAGCTTGAATTCCTGGTCTTGTATATATCGTGATTTTTCATTTATGTCTTCTCTTAATGATTTTATCAACTCATTTGCTTTGTGGATATCTCTTTGTGATAAGCCTTCTTCACTGTTTCTGGCTTGTTCTTGCAAAGACAGTTTCAGCTTGCTCACATAATCTTCCATTCGCCTTGATTTTTCCCTTACTCCTGCCTCTTTAAATTAGGACCAAATATGGGGTTAATTTATCCAAAAATGAAATTTTACCTATAAAATTGCAAAAATATATCACGTTTTTAAGGTGAAATCATAATGGGGAGGATCAATTTAATATTATTTTAACAAAATTATTTTATAAATATATTTTTTAAAATAACTCTCAAAAAAACAGATTTTTTAGTTCCAATTAAATTAAAGAGCTAATTCCTTATTTTCTTGCTGCACATCAGTAAGCAAATCTCTTGTAGGCGAACGATCAATTTTATTGCTGCTTAGCCTGCTTTCGACATTATTAAGCAGCTTTGAGAAAATTTCTTGAATTCTTAGCCTTAAATTGGCCTCGTTAATATATTTTGAATCTCTCAGGACATGCAAAGTTTTGGCTTGTGCTTCAGTAACAATTTCAAACACTTTAGAATGCTCTTTTGGGGGTAGTTTTGACGATTTTGGAGACTGAACAGCTTCTTGGGTCAGTCTTTTTTCTTCTTCTTGCAAGTCTTTGACGAGCCCATTTCATTCGTGAGACTCAACCAGACTAGGATTATTTTGTTCACTAAGAGTTGCTAGTGCTGCGTAAGAGTTACATATAACTTTTTTAACAACATTTTGGATCTGGGATTTCACATTAGCTGATGCTGGCTCTTTTCGTTCAGGAGAGGATGAGACGTGTGGGTTTAGACGACTGTAATGGAGAAATCGCTTTGGATCAGAAGGCGTTCGGTCTTTTGAATGAGAACGGGTTGGAGGCGATGATTTCATAAATAAACTATTATTATCTATTTATGAGAAATTGTTAGGAAAAATTAAGAATTGGAAAAAAAAGATAATGAGAGAAAGGAAAGGTAACTTTTAGGAGCAGACTGAAATGATAGAGGGAATTTAATAGGAGCCAGTTTTCAGTAGTTAATAAGGGAATTTATAATTGAAAACGCTTTGAATTTCTATAAATATTAGAGTAAGTTAACTTATCTTCTGTCTTTTGCGAATGCTTTTATTAGTCAATTTCATATCTTCATCAGCATTTCGAGTACTATATCTTACAAACTTTAACCTTCTGCAGATTAGAGGTGAAAGACTTTTATCTACTGTAAAAGTTTTAGATGAGCTTTCTGTTTCAGAAGCGACAGTTTCTTGTGTTTCACAAATTTTTGTATGATTTGGCTTGAGTTTCGTGCTATCTTTCATATTCAAATTTTCAATTGAATCCATATTCGAATTTTTAATTTTATAAATTTTTAACGAACACTAAAATATTTATCAATTATGGATTTCCTATAAAGAAAACTCTGCTTTGATATGAGAGATTTCCCATGGATACCACTATTTGGCCTTGATTTTCCCCACTGGAAAAATTTTTGGTTTTGGCCAAACCATATGGTACTGGTTGAACCAAAATATTTTCCCAGTGGGGAAATCAACGCCAAAGCATCGCCATCCATAGGAAATTGCAATAGCATATTTTTACAATCCAAAGAGAAAAATATTTATTTAATTTTTATTATTAATAAATCAAAGTTTATTAGTGAAGATGCTGCTGATAAAGTAAAATAAAATGTCAGGCTGGATGACTGGAATCAGAAAACTTGCTGATAACCTTGGGGTTTCAGAATCACATCAAAATCAAGAAATTGATGATTTGAGGAGGCAGCTTTCTCACTCTGAAGAAAAATACATGAAATTAAAAGAAGAATATAGTCAGCTGCTTTTTAAGCTGCAAAATTCTGGGCAAGGCAATGCTTTAGAATCATTAGAATTGGCCTATAAAAGACTCCAAAAACAAATTAACGAGCTAAATGTTTTAGTATCTTTTGAAAGAAGCTCTATGTATAAAGAATTCGAGAAAAAAGAGCTGGAAATTCTAAAGAAGCATGAAGAATGCGAAATTAGGCAAAGGCAGCTTGATATGGAAAATGAAAAGATTAAAGAAAAATATATGATGCTTGGACTAAGTGAAGAGAACTTACTCCAACCCCCTTCGTGAGTGAACAAAAAAATTGTGTTCACTCATTATAAAAATTTTTGTTTTCGAATTTAAAAAAAATCCTAATTCGCAAAAATTGGAAAGCAAATATTAATTTAATTTATAGCATTTATGTTTTAAAAAGCAATTCGTTTAAAATTAAACAGAATTAGCTCTAGATTTCATTATAATAATTATCATTTATATCAAATTTTTTTCCATAAAAAATTTTTCTATTAAAAAATTTTTGTTCACTCACGGAGGGTGGTTTTTTGGGCAAAAATTAGGGGATTTTTCTAATGGTTTGTTCACTCACGGAGGGGGAGTTAGAGTAAAAATTATATAGAAACTCAGAACTGATTAAGAGAAATATTGAGCTGCAGCTGCAATTAGATGAAGCAAATGAAAAAATTAGGAAAATTTCTAATGAAAATACAAATTTGAAGGTAAAAATAACACAGATTTCAGTCTCGAATATGAAAAATAAAATAATTGATGAAGTGAAGCCGAATTTAATAAGAATTTCTGTGGATGTAAAAAATTTAAGAAGAGAGGCAAGTGAAGAATTGAGGATTTTTGGGGAGTATTTTACCTCTCAGATGAATAGAGTCGCAACGGAAGCTAAGTTTCTTCAAGACTCTCTGCAAGAAGCAGAAAATTCAAAAAAGCAAAACCAATACTTGTCAAGATCACTTACAAAGCCTGAAGAAAGAACTTTAGAAAACCAACCAAAGCGATTTTTCAATCAATTTCCAAAGAAAAAAACTCCAGTTGCACAGAAGACAGAAGATATTGATTTAGAAGAGATATTAGGAAGCTCAATACCAAAATCCATGTTTTTAAGTTTAAGTTTAATAGAATTACTCTGGCTAAATGTCTGAAAGTCCCCTTCACTTGAAGTTCAGCTAAATTAATAACTCTGAACAACGGTAGTTGAACCGGCCTAACCGTCGAACTGTTAAAGTTAATAAGCCGATTAAGACTTCTCTAGTCGGTGCCAGCCTCAGCACCAACCTTTCTCTTCAAGCCGGGACTCTCAAGAAGTTTGACTTCTCTCACTAAGCTCGGTTTATAGGTCCATCCTGTTTGTGTCAGGAGCTAGGACCTATCCCTAACTGACATTTTTAATATTGTGTTCCATCCATGTCTTAACTAGTAGTCCATCAGCATTTAAAATAAGTTTACAATCACTATTTAATTCTCAAATACATATGATTTAACGCACCATTTAAAAACTTAAAATCGTAATCCCCTTAAATCAAATTTAAATAATCAAGACCAGAAAAATGTCCGCGTTCTCAGAACAAATATTTGAAATCGAAGACAAACCTTTAAAATGCTGCGATAAGTGTGGAAAACCTGGTCTAGGTCCTATAGCTGTTGGTAAAAAGCTAAGTATATACGGAAAATGAATAAAATCAAAATTTCATATTCCTTGTTATACCCCTTTATCCTTATCCCCACTCAAAATTTCTTCAGAGTCTCCTCAAGAAGCAATAGAATTCGCTGAAAAATGGAACAAACAGTTCCAAATTTTAAATTTAAGCACGATCGCCCCAATAAAAAAGCTTGAAGCTCCAGAGCCCAAAACTTATCCTATTTGTCTAAAAATAGCATTTATATCAATTAAAATAAAAAATATTAATTTTTATATAAAATAAAATATTTTAAACGAGCTTGAATTGAAATTTTTAAATTTTTGACCCCAGAAGAAGCAGCTATAATTTCATGTGTCTCCAAAGAATTTTATTATTACTCCTGGAACTCAGAAGTCTGAAATAAATGAATTCCTGATAAAACTCAAAATAACCCAGCTGATGGAAAATTAGCTTATTTGGAAAAGAAACATAATACTTGTATATCCTGTGGATTGTCAATAAAAAGTGACTTAGTTAGGTGCCCAATACTCAAAAGGGCGCTATGTAAAACCTGCAAATCTGCGTATAATAGCAAGTATCATATGAAAAAAATTGATTGAATTATGAGAAGATATAGAGTTGATAGGAATTTTTTTGAAAGAAATAACATACCTGTAGTCTTTGACTCTTTTCTGAATGCAAAAGCGTACACTTTTATGGTGGAGCAATGCTTAGATAAGATAGAAAAGAACAATCCTACGTTAGCACATATAATGGTCACCAGAAAGAAGAGAAGGAGAGGCGAAGGATAGAAAAGATATAATAAATAATAAAATATGCCTTTTAAGCAGAATACATGTTTTATAATAAAAATATATACAATGATTCTATAAAAAAGGAAAATTATTTTAATAAAAATAAATTTCTGTTTTGAAAATTGATAATAAATTCAGCTGATCTCTCGGACCATTTATAAAAGGATTTTGAAATGTTTAGGAATATTTTAAGTCTAGGTAGCTCTTTCAGAACTGCTCCTTATGTTTGAAATGACTCAAAAAGAATGATTGAAGCTCTAAAACTTAACTCGCCTCAGTATATTGAACATCTTTTAAAGAAAAGAGCTCATACTTATGGAAGATGAAAATATCCCAAATCACTGGAAGTAAAGAAGGCTTAGAATTTAACTAAATATAATGATAAGGACATTGATTTTACAAATAATAGTTGAAACTTAGATTGCAAAAGTAAAGGAAAATAACTAATTAAAGTAATATTTTAATTTAGTCATTTCAGATGAGTAAAGATCTAATTAGGTCTGATTGATCCTGCTGCCTCACATATAATTATAAGTGAGATCTTCTTTAATAAAATTTACTATGATGCAGCAATATCTATTTTATTCTTGGTAATGCTATAGTTATCGATTTTCTTACTCCCTCCTCCGTGAGTGAACAAAACCATTAGAAAAATCCCTATTTTTTGCCCAAAAACCCCACCCTCTGTGAGCGAACAAAAATTTTTTTAATAGAAAAATATTTTATGAAAAAAAAATTTGATATATAGTGATAATTAGTATAATGAAATATAGAGCTAATTCTGTTTAATTTTAAACAAATTGCTTTTTAAAACATAAATTTAGCAAATTAAATTAAATATTTGCTTCCCAATTTTTTCGAATTAGGATTTTTTTAAATTTCGAAAAAAAATATTTTCTAAAAAAAAAATTAACCCCAGTCCAGCGAGTGAACAAAATTTTTTTGTTCACTCATGGAAGGGGGAGTTAGGATTAATAATGTTTCTATTAATCAATTGTTAATTAATATTCCATTCATATTTTTAGTAGTTTTTTGACTTTCATTAAATACAAATTTACAATAAATTTTTCGATTGTTTTAGATTTCTGAAAGAGTAATTTGAAAAACAAAATTTTTCTTGGTAAAATCTATGGTTTGCTGACTATTCTTTTAGCAAAGTTTTTATTATATCAAAACCCCTCCATATAATTCAAATTCTCCATTTAGTACTTGTTTATTTGTAATAATTTAAATTCTTAAAACTTTTTGCATACCAGATAAATAAATGGAAACAAGTTACGATATAATTAGATCTGGTACAAAGAAGACTTTGGCTGAAATTGATACTCAAAACTCAGTGCCAAGTTTTGACGAAAACGTGCGTTTTGATACAAATCGATTAAATACAATTTTGAGTGCTGAATACTTGGTATCTGAAGAAAAATCAGCAGAGGAAATAAAAAAGCAAAAAGATATTTTTGAGCTTAAATCGGTATTGGATGAATTGATTGATGATAACTATCATAAAGAAGAAATCCTTGATCAACTTATTTCAGTTTGCCAATCGTTAACTGGCTTAGCATCTCCAATAAAACCAAAATCATCATCTTCTAGACGCTCACCTGAGCTATTTCAAAACTCAAATGTATTTGCTCTGCTTTCTCCAAAAAGCTCGACACGTCTTTTAGAAAAATTGGCAATGCTATTTTCTATAAATAATAAGCTTTCTATGGCTTTTATTTCTAAAAATACATTTCGGGCATTTATTCGAAATAAATCTTAAATTTAATAGTAAATTAATTTTTTTTTCTATAAAAAAAACCCTTACCCCTTAGAAAATGAAATTATTGACCTAAAATCTAGGCTAGAAGAAGCTGAATTAAGTACATCTGATGAAGCATTTAATTCAAAAGGGCTGATAGAAATGAAAGCCAAAGAGTGGAAAAATTTACAAATATGAAAAGAACGAGTAAAAGAAGCTATGAATCTGCAGAAAGAAATTGATCCAAAACATGATGAAGTAAACAGCACAAAAATTGTGGCCAAAAATAACTTTATATTAGCTCAAAATCAAAATATGAACTATATTTATATCACTAAAAATATTAAACTTGAGCAAGAAAGAAAATACGAAGCCCAATTAAAAATCAGGGACGATTTAAGAAGCGAAATTGTAGGAATTATTGAAAATATAGGCCAACAGTCATTGATTTCTGAGAGGAGAAAAGAAAACTATAACTCAATGATGGCTGCCCTTAAAGTAGAAATCGAAAAATACGAAGGCAGCTCCGTAAAAGAAAAAGAGAATAATCAGAAACTTGTATATTATAGAGAAAGACTAGAAATAATAAAAAAAATAATCGCAAATTACGATGATACCCTTCAAATTACAGAGCCATTAGATGAGAAATCAATAAGAAATATCATACAGGTGTATAACGAAATGTCATTCAAAGAGTCGTCTTTAAGTGACAGATTCCAAGAACTGACTCATGAGGAAATAAAGAAAAAACAAGCCTGCTTAGAAATTTCTCAGCAGCTTGAATTATTAAAAGCCGATCAAATTAGTCCAAACCCATCAAGTTTTTCGTCAACTTTTAATCAGAAAAAAATGATTTTAGATGATAAAGGCCTAATAAATTTCAAATTAGACCATTTACATGACATGGAAAAATGCTTACTCAAAATGTTTTTCCAAGTCCTAAATTTTGGGTCTTTTTTATGCAGCTCAGTTGTCAAAATCACAAAATATTGCGAAAACAATGAATTCGATGCTTACACAATCCAAAAAGCCCAAAGAGTAATAAATGATCTCCAAAAAGGGTTCGGAAATCCTGAAGTAAGTGATGTAAATAAAAGGAATTTTATGAGAAAAAGATATACGTTAGTGCCTAATAAGCAACCTCATAGCATTTTTAAAACTGATGTAGAGCTTTCGCCTAGAGCAAACAGTGACACTACGATTTATTCTTTATTGTCTGCAGGAGATATTTACAAGCTTTACCGTCAATATTGATCTGATCGTATTTATGATAAAAAATTAGTCGCAATTTTAACAGATAATCCTATAATAGGGTATTTTCTTACATTAAAACAAATAGAAGCTTATTTTCAAGACCAGTCCACCACTAATGATTTATTTGAAAATCTTTGACAATTAAACCTACAAGCCCATTTAAAGCTCCAAGAACAATTTATGAATTTAAGCCACGTCACAAGAGATTTAATATGGCAAACCAGCAAAAATATCGCAGCTAAGACTGAAGAAATCCAAGAAAAATCACCTTTATTAGAAATTCAAAAAAAAGAAAAAACCAGAGGACTTCAAAGAAGGGACACAAAGGCATTTTTAATTTCCCAAAAAGCGAAAAAAAATGATCCTTTGTCAAGGGACGAGTCTAATGAAGGGTCACAAAATACCTTTAAAAGCAGCGAAACACAAAAAATTGACAAAAAAGAAGACGAGTTTGACTTGACGAGCATTAAAAGTCCGAATCGAGAAACTGATGGAAACAGCAAAGAAGATGATGATAGCTTATGCACTGATTTAGAAAGTGTTATATACTGGCTTATATAAACCAAAATTTTTTTTTTTAAATTTAAATTTTAGTATTAATCTCTCTAAATAGATATAAAATTCAGAAATCCACCACAGAAAAAAATTGAAATTGGCGGGCTTAGTAACCATGCTGTGCTGCAAGAAATGAAAGATATAAAAAGCAAGCTGAAAGGAATTAAAAGTCAAGAAAGAAAAGCTAATGCGACTAATGTAGAAAATACAAAATTTTTCTGGTCTCCGAAATCAATGATGTTTGGGCTTCATAAAAGGAACGAAGAAGGTGCTACCCAGCCAACCAGGCCTTCAACATATTCAATATCGACAAGAAAACACAGAAAAATAATGTAATAAATAATAATAGCAGGAAGAAATTTTTAACCAAAAAGAGTTTCTAATGCAATTTAATAAGTGATTTTGGATTTTTTGTAAATAAATACTGGAAGACTTAATACATCTAAAGGTTTAGTATAAGTCTAGTATAAAATAGATGGCGCTTATTATCAGCAGCCAAATCTTCTTACTCCCCCCCCCCTCCGTGAGCGAACAAAAAAAAATTTTGTTCGCTCACGGAGGGGGGTTAATTTTTTTTTTTAAAAAAAAATTTATATATAAATTTTATAAAAATATATTTTTTTCGAAATTTAAAAAAATCCTAATTTGCAAAAATTGGGAAGCAAATATTAATTTAATTTGCAAAATTTATGTTTTAAAAAACAATTTGTTTAAAATTAAACAGAATTAGCTCTAGATTTCATTATACTAATTATCACTTATATATCAAAATTTTTTTTTCCATTAAAATTTTTTCTATTAAAACAATTTTTGTTCACTCACGGAGGGTGGGTTTTTGGTCAAAAAATGGCGATTTTTCTAATGGTTTTGTTCGCTCACGGAGGGGGGGGGGGGGAGTTAGAGCTATTCCTAAATTTATTTAAAATTATTTTTGATGCCTTGATCTTCTGATTTTTGGTAAAAATAATTGATCTGTTAGTAAAATTTTATTACTTTTATTAATCACAATATATAATTTTCTGATGAAAAATAACAACAATATGCCTGCATTTGGCTACCTTAAAAAGCTGAGGAGCCAAGCTCCATATTATCAAGCATCTAATAGTGAAATTCTTGAAGATCTTGAATTATTAAACTGTTCCATTGATAGAAATACACATGAAAATAATCTTACTGCTGACATATCCTTGAATTTTCCAAAGAAAAGAACTAGAAATATTCGAAAATTTGAAGTATCTGATGAAGATGAGGCTGTTGAAGGCTTAGCTAGTCTTATGGCTAAAATAAAATCTATGCCTAAGCAGGCTAAATCGCCTCAGAACCTACCTCAAAAACAGCAAGAAAATATTCAACCTCAGCCTTTAATACAAAACTATGCGTCTTTTCGCAATTTTAATTTCCAATCACTTCCATATGCTTTTCCACAGGCATTCGGATGGAGAAATTATATGTATCCTTATCCGTATCCTAAACAATTTCAAACGCAGTTTATCAGTGATTATGAAAAAAAAATTATTTAATTTGTTTTTTAAAAAAAAAAAAAATTTAATTTATTTCAGATATCAGTCAACCTGCTCAAACTAGATCTTCTCTCAATTTAAATAGGCGCAGTATGATGCACTTAGCTATTGCTCATATGATAGCGCAAAATCAGCAAAAAGTAAGAAACGAAGGGATTGCTGTTAACTAATTAAAATTTAAAAAATTTGCAATATAATAGAATTAATTGATATTTTTTTGTATAAAAATAAGATCATTTTGCTATCATATTTCGGCGAATCCAATTTTTGATAAGACAATTTTTTGTATATTAAAATTCACTTAACGTCTTATTTAAATTGAATTTGTTATTATTGTAATTGGATAAGAAAATTTTTTGAATATTAAAATTCACTCAACGTCTTATTTTAAATTGAATTTATTATTATTGGGATTGGATTTTTGCCATATCTTGGATATATAAAATTTTAAAGCGCTAGAGAAATTTTGATTATAAGAAAACTCAATTGGATCCCCCTAATAATGAAAATCCACGAATTATTTGCTGAAGATCCTTTGCTATTTGAAAAGATATGCGAGCTGCTTAAAACAAAAGAAAAAGAATTAATTCGAAGTATAATCAGCATAATGACTGGAGATTTCGCTATAAAGCTTTTAGAGCAAACTTTAGAAATTGAAGATAATGGTGGTTTATTTAAAGATAACTGAGAAAAAAGATCTTTGAGAGGAGTTTTCTTTTATTTATTAAAGCAAAACACAACACCAGCCCAGCAAAAATTAATCTTTAATCCAGAGACACAAGAAAAAAAGAAAAGATATAAAGAAAGAAAAAGATTAATTATGAAACTAAAAAGCCTCTCTAGACAAGATGAAGCAGAAGAAGGCGGTAAACCCCTTCATTCTTTGTGGGATAGATTAAGCAAAGCTTCAGAAGAGCTACCAACTTTTAAATTGTCACCTGGTATTTTATCAATTAATCAACTAATAAAATAATTGATATAATAAAATACCTTTAATAGCTATGAATAATCTAACATCAGCCTATTTATATGAATTTCTAAAAAATTATTAATGATTGTATAGTAGGGCAAGCCAAAAGTGTCCATGCTATATAATTTATTTCATTTTATACTTAATAGCTAATCTGCCGCGAAATAATCTACCTAAAGACTATAATAAAATGGAAGGCGTAGGAGAACCAGAAGTGCAAGAAGTCTTCCGCATTCTAAGTGGTGCTTTATCTCCAGACAATACACTTCGAAGACAATGTGAAAGCGAGTATAATTCTGTACCATTTTATAAGATTATTAATTATCTTTCAGCTTTATATATTTTTTAAAATAAAAAATCTTATAAATTGTCAAAGCCTAGCCAATCACAATAAATGAAAATATTTTTATTTTTAATAAAAAAATAAAATTTATTCATAATAAATAAAATTTGGACGGCCCTCTTAGAAGGCGAAAGTAATTTAACGAATATGTAATTCTAATTCATTATAAATAGAATATTATTATCTCAGTTCCCAGATCGTCTTATCTTATGCCTTCTATTGAATCTTCAAGGCTCAGACCTTTCAGTCAGAACCTTAGCTGCTCTTTTGCTCAAAAAAATCGTCGACCCTCAAGCCAAACAAGAAATATGGGCTAAACTAGCCCCAGAAACACATTCTGCCTGCAAAAAGATCCTTCTAGAGCGCATCACTGCTGAAGAAAACAAAAAAATCAAAGAACATATATGCGAAGTGGTCGGTCTCTTAGGCTCCAGCATATTAACAACCAATATAAGAGGCACCTGGGATGAGCTTATTCCTTATCTTTACCATTCTTTATCAGCTGGTGGTGCTCAAAGCTGGGCAGCTCTCGATGTTTTAACAGTTTTATTCCCATATCTTCATGAAGAATTCATTAAAAATTCCAGTCAACTATTGCAGTTCTTTAAACACTGCTTAGGGATTGGCGATATTTCTACACGTTTTAGCTGCTTAAAGGCAATTAATGCACTGCTGTCTGTGGTAGAAACTGGTGATGCTCTTTATTTCAAAGATTTAGTATAATATTGGAGAATTTTTTTCTTTTTGAAAAATATTTTTAGATAGTGAAAGCCTTTTAAATGCTAAATAATAAGAAAAATAATAAATACTCTATAAAAGATGTGCTTATTTCAGTTGACTATATCCTTACTAATGACTTATACACAGGCAACAAAGCCTTGGAAACCCTCAGAGAGCTCGCTGAAAGCGAGCCAAAGCTCTTCAAACCTTCATTTAACTACTGTTTCGAACTTATCCAGCAGATTTATACTAAGCCACAAATAGATATCAGCACTAAAAACTTAGTATTAGACTTTGTAGTCACTGTTGTCGAAAGAATGCCTAAACAACTTCAAGCCCAGCTAGCCCTCGGCGAACAATTACTTACAAGAATCATGGAAATGATGGTCAGCATTGATTTAGAAGTCGACGAAAGCTGGGCCAGGCCTGATGAAGGCTTCCAAGACAAAGAAGACGAAGACGGCAGCCTTGACCTTGACTATGCCAAAGTTGGCAGAAAATTGATCACCAGACTTCTCGAATCCGTCGGGGACAAGTTTTTGCTTCAGCCAGTCCTTAGCTTAATACAAAAAGCTTTATCGACTGAAGGAGACTGGAGACTTACATATGCCGCCCTTATGACTCTCAGTGAAATTATTCAATTTGTGCAGGAACCTGAAAAAATTGCAGAAATCGTCCCGATTATTGGAATTAAAGCAAATTCTGACCACCCGAAAATTAGGTATGCGACTTTTCATTTGATAGGACAGGTATGTGAAGATTATGAAAATGAGTTCCAGGCTTCCCATCATGAAACGATTTATCCAATGCTTATGAAAGGACTTAGTGACCCAGTACCAAGAGTGGTTTCACATTGTTTGGCAGCAATAACTAATTTCTTTGAAGGAGCAGGCGAAACTTTGGCAAATCAATATATATTCTAAGGAAATTAAAAAAAAAAATTTTTAATAGAAATTAATTTTACTCCCCCCCCCTCCGTGAGTGAACAAAACCATTAGAAAAATCGCCATTTTTTGCCCAAAAACCCACCCCTCCGTGAGTGAACAAAAATTTTTTTAATAGAAAAATTTTTTATGGAAAAAAGTTTTAATATATAAGTGATAATTAGTATAATGAAATCTAGAGCTAATTATGTTTAATTTTAGACGAATTGGTTTTTAAAACATAAATTTTATAAATTAAATTAATATTTGCTTTCCAATTTTCGCGAATTAGGATTTTTTTAAATTTCGAAAACAAATATTTTTTATAAAATTTAATAAATTTTTTTAAAAAAACAAATTAACCCCCCTCCATGAGTGAACAAAATTTTTTTGTTCACTCACGGAGGGGGGGGAGTTAGGATTATTTATTATGATAGAGAATAGGCCAACTTATGCCAAAACTCATTGAATTTCTAACTACCCCGCAGCATTCTATAGTAATTGAGCACGCTTGTACCACAATTGCGTCAGCAGCTACAGTTTGCAAAGACTTTTTCAAAGAAAACTTTGTAAGCGTGGTTTCCTATTTAATTTCACTTCTTGATAAGTACCAAAAAGATTGCTACAAAACTCTTCGTGGCAGAGTAATTGAATGCATCACTCTTATGAGCGTAAACGTCGGAAAAAACATTTTTGCCCCTCACGCTACCAAAATATTCTTTTTAAAGCAGATGAATTTTTTTATTTTTTTTTAAAAAATAAAATAATTATTCTTTTTTATAAGAAATAATCCACATAATGAGAACTCTACAAGAAGGAGACTTAGAAAATAGTGATGAGCTTGTAGGATATTTGCTTAATGGCTGGCAACGAATCTGTGAAGTCTTAGGCTCCGATTTCTGCGAATTTTTAGATGCTGTCGTCCCTGGACTTCTAAGAATGGTCGAAAAACAAATGGAAATCAGTGTCAGCTCTACCCCTGACTTATTTATCGACGTCCAAAAAGCTTTTGCTGACTTCCCACCCTTTAAACTGGTAAAAAAATCCTATTACAATTTAAAGAATGAAAATTTTTAAGAATGAAAATATTTTTAAAAATTAAAAATATATAAACGAGCCCAATACTTTTGAATTTTAATTTATTTTATGAAGATCTATTCAAAAAATTAAATAATTCAGTGCGAAACTGTTTAATATTCTGTAAGTCAAAAATAATTTTATAAAAATGTGTTCCAATATAAAAGAGTTAAATTACCCCCAAAAATGGAAATTTTAATTATGTTTTGTTCCAATTTAAAAGGGGGAGTGAGGAAAAAAAGAAAAGCATCAGCACAACTATAACAGAAAACAAAGAGCTTGCAATGCATACTTTGTTATCTTTTGTAGACACACTTAAAGGAGGCTTTGCTAAATATATTGAGCCAGCTGTCCGTGTAGCCTTGCCAATGGTCAATTTTAAGCTAAATGAAGACGTCAGAGGTGCCGCAGCTGGATTATTAGCAGGAATTGTAGAAGTCCAAAAAAATTCCGGAGAGCCAGATGCGATCCAAAAATCATGTGAAATGGCCAAAGCATTTATAGCAACTCTATGGGAAGCACTTGAGGACGAATTTGTGACTGAAACACAAGTGGATCAGCTCAATGCTTTGAAATCAATTATAGAAATACCTGGAATCCCATATTTGAGTCAAGAAGAAGTTAACCAAATTGGAGAAAAATCATTGAAATTGCTAGATTATGATTATGCCGTTCGCCTGGCAGGGCGGGGATTTCCACCTCTCCACGCTCGAGGAAGCTCGCCGGACACCATCCTTGTTGCCGCAAACAAGGGATTCGCACACCGATCCAGACTTTCATGGCTTCTAGAGCTAAGGGCCAGCTACCTGGGTCGAAACTCCAAGTTTCTCGTTAGGTAAATACCTTCTTCAATGCCTAAAGGGTCATCGCCCTACAGGCATTGGCCGACCTTGTTCTTTCCAATGACTGTTCCGGAGGAAAAATCTTAAGTCCCATGGATTAATCCTTGGGGACCAAGGAAAACCTATAAAGGATTACTGACCCCTTTTCCACCTAAATCCCCATCACTGGGCCGTTGCCTCTGGTGTTGAGGAAATAGGATCGAGAGGTCGGGTCTATCGTCACCATTTTTATGTATATGAAATTATTAGATAATTCGATAAAAAGCAGGGACATTCCTAATGAAGACAGCGACGAAGAAGATGATGAAGAATTCACAAAATTCAAAAAATCAGAAGAAGATAGCTTGCATACTGCTATTTCTGAAGTAATTGGGGCAATATTCAAAACTCACAAAGATTTGAGTCTTTCTATTGTCCAGTTTTTAATTTTGCATGTATATTTTGATATATTAATTCTTATAAACCATTTCCCTTATTTTTCTAATTTTTTATTAAGCCAACATTAATTTAATTTAAAAATATTTCCTAAGTTTTTGACCAATGAGTCCTCAGACGAAGACCACAAATTCGTGATTTTTGTCATTGATGACGTTATAGAATTCCTTGGCCAAGGACTTGTAGAAAACTCCTGGAATGCTTTAGGAGAAGCTTTAATCAAATTTGCCGCAGATCCTAACGACGCAGTCCGACAAGCTGCTTGCTATGGATTAGGCATATATGCTGTTAATTCAAATGTCTCCACATTCCAACAATGGACTGGGCACATTCTTACAGTTCTTGAGCAAGCTATCAGAATTCCAGTCGGAAAAAGGGTAAAATCTCATGGGCACGCTAAAGATAATGCAATAGCTTCTATTGGGAGATTAATTAAATACCAGCATGCGAACTTAAATTTAGAAGCTGTAATTCCAGCTTGGATTGAATTATTGCCACTTAAATGGGACAAGGCAGAAGCTGTCCAAGTTAATGAGCTTTTAGCTGATTTAGCTTTATCGTCAAGCCATCAAGGGTTAACGTTTGGGTCGAATTATGAAAGATTGCCAAAGATTGTCCATCATTTTGCTGATATTTTAGAAACTAAGTATATCAACAAAGACACGACGGAAAAAGTTAAACTGCTATTTACAAATCTGAGAAATTCACAAATTCCTGATCTTGCTTCGATATGGGGATCACTAAAAGAGGTGCAGCAGGCTAAGGTGAACAGGCTATTAAGCTCTTAATTAAGAATGAATTAAACAAATTATTTTAATTTATATCAAAAATTATTAGGTATTTATTGAAAATATTTGTAAGTTACAAAAAAATATTTTAAAATTCCTTGACTTTTATTTTATTTGTGTTTCTAAAACTCGATAATCATTTACAGAAAAATGTTGCTGCGATGATTATGTTGAATATGAAAAAAAATATCATATAGAATTTCAATGACCCTAAGCTCAATTCTTTTTCTTTATTCTTGCCTTCAATTTTTTTGATTGTTTTCCTTACCCCCTTTAAACAAAATATCGTCAAATTTTCATTTTTGGTTAAATTAGCCCTTTTTGGCTCTAGCTATAGGTAAAAATTTTAATTTCTATATTAATATTTTGATAAATTTAATGGAGAGAGCAAAACAGAATCTATTTAAACATTTCCCACTTTAATCGAATAATTTTATGAGTCATTTCTTCATAAAGATAAATTAAAATTTATTTTTATTTTATAAAAATTTTTCAATAATCTTTTTCAAAATAAAAATTAATCACTTTAAATTAATTTTTTTTTTCCTATTTAAAGAGGTAATTTTTCTATTTCAAATTGAAATAGTTTCAAAAAATATTCTCGATCTTTGACCTCATATATATTATCTAATTTGAATAGCTGCCCAAGCTTTATAATCAGATAATATCACGGATAAGAATTTTTCATTAAAATTTGTCGATTATATTCATAAGATAATAACAAATCTAAAATGATATGATCGTAATCATTTTTTAGCACATCTAAATTTTTATCAATTTTTTCAAATGCATTTTGGTTTTCATCTGCTAGCTCTGCAAATAATTCTTTAAATAGTTCAAGCTCTTGAAGCCTTATTTCGACCCCCACCATATTTTTTGTTATAAAATTTAAGCCAAAATTGCTCGGATTTTGTAATGAACTATTCAAACTATAATCAAAATTCTTATTTGAAAAATTCCAATTAGTATCATAAATACAATAGTCTTCACTGCTGTTCCAATCATAAAAATTGTCATCTCCATAGCTCTTTGCTATAATTTTATTCTTTTTTTCCTTTAGTTTCTTTATTTTTTCAATTGTTTTCATATAAGGGGAAATGTGCTCAAAAATTTTTTCATTATTTTGTGTTTCTTCAATTTTTGCTTTAAAATCATCATTAAAAGTCCTCAGCATATTAGTGCCATATCGTCAACCATGAAAACTCTCCCTTCCCACACCCCTTTTAAAAACAAAAACTTGCTAGTCTTGGTAATAACAAATATAAAAAATATTCACTCTTACCCAGAAATTAATGTATTTTGGCAGAGATTTAACCTGCTAAAATAATTTATTTCTAGAGGAGGGGGTTTTATGCTTGGCCAGCCGTATACTGAAAACTGCGTAATTGAGCAATAGTACTCGTCTCCATAATAGTCAATAAAATAAACCTTCAAAAATCTCACTCATTTTGGGTTTACTTTAAATCTTTGTATAGGTTTACTTTCTTCAAGTATAAAATTTCCGATAAGCATTCATTCGTGGGAAGGATATTCAATTGACCCTCATAACTGTATTTCTTTAAATGATGATGAATAAATTTCTCCCTGCTTTATTTGAAATTCTTCTATATTTATATCTTCATTTAAGCTGATTTCTATTCATTTCTCAGGAATATAACAAGGAACAACCATATATTTATCTTGATCGCTATAAAGAATCCCTTTTGCTCTCTCTATTTAATGTGGAAAAAAATTATATTTTTCTTGAATTATAGTTTAAAATGCTAATTTTAATAAAATAGTATTCTTTTTAGATTTTTCCATTTAAAATAAAACAAGATATAGGTAAATTTTTGATTTAACAGCATCAAATTATGCATCAAATCTATTTAGATATAAATTATTATTTTTACCTATAAAAAATTAAATATTCGTTTCAATTTAAAGGTGGCTAATTTAGCTGAAAATTGAAATTTTACCTATAATTACTTTCAATTTAAAAGGTGGAGTTAGCGTTGTTGATCATTGATGATTTATCAAGAATTTTCCCACCTGAGTCAATTGCTGCATAATCGTATCTTGGATTATCTTTATGATAAGGAACTTCTGAAAGAGATAAAAATATTCTAGGCATCGGAATAATAAACCGCAAAATAACTAGTAAAAATAAAGGAATTAGGAGACTTGGCAGCAAAAAGTGGGTATTAGCGATTTTTCTCATTTCTATTACACCATTTTCAAATAATTGGAAAATTAATAATTTGAACTAATATTCCTTTTATCTAATGCAAATATGTTAATTTTTTTATTATTTTATGCTTTTTTATTAGACTTTTGCTGTTAATTGTCTATCATATTCCATCCATTTTCAATTTTCCTATTAATTTCTATATGTTGGCTACATTATAATGAATCGATACCCAACTGATAGCAGAAAATCCCATTTATAAACAATCCTTTGCTAGCCAGTAAAGAGCAACCTTATGAGCTAACCCAACACTGCTAACAGCTTTTTATAAACAGAAAAAAAAACCTGATGTCTTTGTGAGAAATATAAAATATTTGTCAAATAAATATTCCCAAGGCTGATATAAAAAGCTCAAAAATAAAAATCGATAGTTAAAGTCTTTTAAAAATGATATAATCTTTTGGTGTCTTATTTATATAATGATTTGAAAATTGTTAGAAATAAGGCAACAACTTGATTAGTAGAAGGTATAATTAAATTAAATCTATAGTTAAGAATGCTAATTTAAACTTGGATTATTAGATGATATAATTAAACTTAGGCTCATATAAAAATCTGCTGGTAAATAGTAAAATTCTTTTAATCTTAAGAATTTATTTATGTTCTGTTCCGAAATACCTATCTCCAAAGTCTCCTAGACCTGGAACAATGTAGCGATTTTCATTTAGTATTGGATCTACTTGAGCTGTAACCATACTGATTTTAGGGAACTTTGCGAAAAGTGCATTGATTCCTGGTTCGCAAGAAATCAAATTGATAAAGACGATATTTTCTTCTTTTACTCCTGCTTTAACCAGTTCTTCTATTGCAAGAGTAGCGCTACCTCCAGTAGCTAGCATAGGATCAACAAGTAATACCCTTTTATTTTCGATTCCAGGTGGGAGTTTTGAATAGTAAAAAACTGGTGTTTTTTCTTCAGATTGTTCATCTCTTTGTATAAGGATAAATCCAGAGGTTATATGAGGCATAATGTTTTGTGTCTCCCCAAGCATGCTTACGCCAGATCGTAAAATGACGACTACAGCGTAATTGCTATCATGGAGAAGTTGGTAATCGTCATAGGTTCCTCCTGTAGGTGCTCTTTCTTTGGTTACAATTTTGGGTTCAAGGCCTATGGTATATTCAAGGAGGAGGTGAAGAAGACGATTTGAGTAATGGACAAAATCTTCTTTGTTGGTGCTTTGGTTTCTAATTCTTGACATCAGTAAATCTTTTGCTGGGTGCTCCATAACGCTAACTTTGTAATTGCGGTCGTAACAAGTAGCATAGCAAGCTGAACTTACAAAAAAAGCCGATGCAAGTCTAAACATATTTATTTTTTAATAAGATATTAGCCATAGTTGTGCTATAAGGATATGAGAAAAAATGATAGGAAAGCCTTAGGAAATCCAAAAAATTTTTAGAAAAATTGATTACAAGTAGAAAATTCTGTAAATTGCCTTTTTGGTCTATATAGCCCGTTCCCGAATATAGATCGGGCTATGCCCGATCTTTGCCGGGAAACTCGGGGGGTTGTCCGCGTCACTTCGAGGTGACGAGTCAACTCCCCGAGTTGGCAAATCACTATATGGTGGCTATTTGCGAACTCGGGGAGTTGACTCGTCACCCAAAATGGCGCAGACAACTCCTCGAGTGTCCCGGCAAAGATTGGGCATAGCCAGATCTATAGCTGGGAACGGGCTATATTAGTATTGTTATTTAGTAAATATAAATTGGTAATTATAAATTAGCTCACTTTACATCTATTTATGCACTTTATATCATCTTTTCACATCTAATAATCCAGAATTACAATTCTAAATAATGAATCACAAAGAAACAATATTTAATTGTTTCGCTATTAAAATGGTGTAATTAATTGACTGAAAAGTTCTTTTATAAAATTATTAAATTGATCCTCAATTACCTTTCTACTAAAAAATTGGGTCTTTTCAATACTCTTAATATTTTAATAAATAAACATGATATTAGAACTAGGACTTTCTCTAATCGGCATAGGTCTAACAATTCCTGCACTTGTTGATGATTTTATGGACACTTTTGACCTTACAAATTGGCGAACGTGGGTTAAAATTATACCTCAAATTATTCTACTTTTTGCATGCGGATTTCGCTTTGTAAAAAAACTTCAAACCCAAACTCTGATAACTTCAATCATGGCCATGCTAGGGTCATATTTTTTACTTTTATTCAATACCCGTGAAAGCTCAGACCTTATATGTGACTATTATGGAGATTTGTGTGCGGAAACAGTTAATGTGCTTTGTACAGGTGAAGTTTTGCATGTTTCCACAGCTTTGCCTTATCTGATTGGTATAGCGTTTTTGATTGTTGGCAGCACATTACTGGCAAGAGAAGCTTATTTCGCTTTAGAAAACGAGAAAGTGGAACCTAACGATTTTATAATAGTTCATGCATCATGTGAGAGCTATTTTTTATATAATAATCCTATTTTTATGAGAAGAATATTTTTTAATATTTTTATTTTAGTCTTCAAAAGTCTTATAAATGTATAAATAATTTTTTTGTTAAATTTTAATCATTTATAAAACTGGGCTGTCCCGTATTCGCCATAAGTCTCCACCACATCATATTTTCATCAATATCAACCCTCCTCTGCCCTTCTTTTGCATCTTTTCCTTCTTTAATAGAAATCAACAAATCAATAGGGATAAACACCGCCTGCCCAGTCACATTTCCAACAGAAAACCCAGTAAATCCTGCAAAAGTCCCATGTACCGCTGCTTGGGCCAATTCAGAGCACAAAATTTTATCTGAAGAATTCGCTGGGACTGTTCTTATCATATAAGTTGGGTCAATATATTTTAGTGTCGCATTAATATTATGTTTCTTGCAGCATTTGACCAATTCCTCTTTCAAATGTTTGCCAATATCATATAATATAGGGTTCCCAGAGGGATCAGTCCCTTCTGCAGCCAATTTTTCATCTAAACAAGATGCAGCTGCCCCTTCTGCTACCACAATGACAGCGTGCTTTTTCACTTTCAGCCGTTCTGATATATAAGAATAAACCCCATTAGGTCCTGTAAGCTCATAGCCAGATTCTGGAATTAAGCATAAATTTACGTTTCTATTGGCATTTGAAGCTTGCATAGCTATAAAACCACTGTTTCTGCCCATAAGTTTTACGAGTCCTATACCGTATTCGACGCTATTGGCTTCTGTATTGGCTGATTCTATAGCTTTTTGAGCTTCTTCGACAGCTGTGTCGAATCCAAAGCTTTTGTCAATTATGGGGATATCATTATCAATGGTTTTCGGAATTCCAACTACATAAATGGGTAAGTGCTTTCTTTCGATTTCGTCAACCAAGTTTTTGATTCCTCTATGAGTGCCATCTCCTCCTATAATGTAAACTTGGTTGAAGCCATTTTTTATAATTGAATCCATGATTTTTTCTAAGTTTCAGCCACCGCGTGAAGTTTTGAGAATAGTCCCGCCCGATAAATGAATGTCAGCTACGATGCTAGGAGTAAGGGTTTTTAAGCAGCCTTGGGTATAAAAGCCTGGATATCCGCCAATGATGCCTGATATATGTTTTACTCCATAGTTGTACCATAAAGTCATTACGAGTTCTCTTATGACAACATTTAGCCCAGGGCAGAGACCTCCACAAGTCACAATTGCAGCTTTGACGTCATTTGGGTTTATGAGGATTTCTTTTCTAGGAGATCCTTTTAAAAATAATATAGAGCCTTCATCTACATAATGCTTTGGAAATGCAGAATCGGCAATGACATATCCCCCTAATTTATAAAATAAAGTTTCTGGCATAAATGATCTCCCAGAGCCTACATCATTTTTCTTCCCAGTTCCAAGCATTGGATTTAATAATATTTCTTCATCAGTCCTATGGCTTATCATTATAGGAACCTGGACTGATCTGTCTTTTACATTTAATAAATTTCGATGCTCTTGACATACATTTCCAGCGACTCTTACAAGCTGTTGAAAAGACCCAGAATGTCTTTGTAGACTGTAGTTCTTGCACTGATCGAATCTTTTTTTGTAATAAAACAAGGATAAAATTGCTAAGATGGTTGATCCTAAACTAAAGATCAGAAGCCATTTTTCTATGTCCATTATTTATTGATATGCTATATGAATGATACTATGGTAAAAGATATTATGATATTTTAAAAGAAGCCATGATAGTAATATTAAATCTAGAATAAGGAGTATATGATAAATATAAAATCGATAGAATTCGTATATTAAATATTAAAGAAATTTATAAACTATATTGAAAAGTAATTAATTTAATTATAATGATTTCTTAATACTTTTTTTCAGGAAATTTTTACTCAACCTCGAGTTTATTCTTCTTATAGGATATTTAAGTAAAATGGGTATTAATGGTATCTTTTTAAAATGCTCATTTATATCATTTACATAAAAAACAAAAATTAAGAATAAGCTACCTCAATAGAAGCAAAGCTTTTGATATAATATCCGCAAACTAATATGAATTCAATCTTATCATAATACCTAAAAAAGAGTTTTATTTAAAATGTTAATTACACCCTTCCTTGATCCACAAATCTTCAGTAACTACTTTAAAACCCCAAAAAGAATTGTCTATCTTACAATGCACATATCTCTTATGTCTTTAAACTCTATAATCCCTTGCATAAATTTCATTTTGCTTATTTATGGTAAATTGATTTTAAAATGCCCAAAAAATTTTAGCATACCATAGACTCAGTTTTATATATAATGACATGTCAAAACTTTTTTGGCATTTTAAAATCAATTTACCATAAATAAGCAAATAAAATATTACCAATACATTATATCATTTTCTGGTCATTTGTTTTTTGACCATATGCAATTTTTTATTAATTTACTAATGGAAGTCAATGATATTTTTCTAAACAAATACAAAATAGAAAGCGTTCTCGGCAGTGGTGGATTTGGGAAAGTTTATAAAGCAACAAACATTAAAACAAATAAGCAAGTCGCTTTAAAAACTGATATAAAAACTCGAGGTGTTGTAATATCGGAATCTCGATTATTAAGAAAATTACAAAGTATTGAAGGAATCCCTAAAGTATATGAGTCAGGAAAGGCCGATAAAACAACATATATGGTTTTTGAGCTCCTAGGATTAAGCTTACTCCCCCCCTTTAAATTGGAACAGAATATTGGTAAAATTGCAACTTTAACCCCCTTTAATTTTTTTTCAGATAGGAAAATTTTAATAATGGAAATACTAATTGTTATAAAACCTAATTTAATAGATATTTAAACAGTTTCCACACTATCGATTATTTTTTTATTTAATTCTTTATTATTTTTAAAAATTTTAAAAAAATTAATTTTGAATATATTTTATCAAAAAAGTGCAAGTAGAATGCTATCTAAACCACAATGAATTAATTAATTTTTTTAATTATTTCTTCAGAAAAATAAATTAATATTCAAAATATTGTGCTCAATTTATTTTAAAAATTTTATAGTAAACCCCAAAATAAAACAAATTAATTCTTTAAATTGGAACAAGATTTTTTGTTCCAATTTAAAGGGGAGTTAGGAAATGCTATGAAGAAAAACGGTGGGAAACTCCCAGCTATAGCGTCAGTATTAGCTGGTTTACAGCTATTAACGAGACTTGAGCATATTCATGGATTTGGGGTGGTTCATCGAGATATAAAGCCTCATAATTGTTTATTTGACTTGAACTGCGAAGTTATATATTTAATTGATTTTGGGCTTGCAAAAGAATTTATGATTGGCCAACTACATCAGTCAGAGCAATCTGGGTGTTCCTGTAATGTTATTACACAAACATTATTATTATTTTAATAAAAATAATTCAAAAATTTAGAGCCATTCCTGTGTAGGAAATTCAAGCTTTGCTTCTTTGGGCAATCATATGGGCTTCAGGCAATCTCGAAGAGATGACTTAGAAAGCCTGGGCTATTTGATGATCTACTTAATCAAAGGGAGGCTGCCATGGCAGAAATCTGCCCATAAAAAGTGTATGGGAAAATGACAAAAGGTGTTCACCATAAAAGCAGCAGTCCCTGTGCATGAATTGTGCATTGGCTGCCCCGGAGAATTTATGGAATTTTTAAATTATGCACGAAGTTTAAAATTTGATGAAAAACCAAAATATGACTATTTAAGAAATCTATTATAATTTATAATTAATATTATTTAAATTGAAATAATAATTAAATTAATTAAATACATTCTATAAGAATATATTAGAAAAAGTCAAGCGAAGCTTAGATTACTCAGAATATTCTTTTCTTTGGCTTAAAGACTTTTCGTCTGCATTAGACTCTTCTCCAAGAATTAGAGGAAGAAGCAATTATAGGAGAGACTCTATTAAAACTAAAAGCAGAAAAGCAAAAAGAAGTTCAACAAACACAGACTGAAATTTTGAAGAAGACCGTGAAATTACTGAAAATTGCAAACGCAGTTCTAAAAGAGCTGAAAATTTATTAAAAAAATTATTTTTATAAAATACTTTATTTTTTAACATTTTTTTTTCTAACTCCCCCCCCCCTCCGTGAGTGAACAAAACCATTAGAAAAATCGCCATTTTTTGCCCAAAAACCCACCCTCCAAGAGTGAACAAAAATTTTTTAATACAAAAATTTTTTATGGAAAAAAATTTTGATATATAAATGATAATTAGTATAATGAAATCTAGAGCTAATTCTGTGTAATTTTAAACAAATTCCTTTTAAAACATAAATTTTATAAATTAAATTAATATTTGCTTTTCAATTTTTGCGAATTAGGATTTTTTTAAATTTCGAAAAAAAAAATTTTTTATAAAATTTATATATAAAAATTTTTTTAAAAAAAAAATTAACCCCCCTCCGTGAGTGAACAAAATTTTTTTGTTCACTCACGGAGGGGGGGGGAGTAAAAAGAATAAACATCGTCGGTCCAAAGCCCATGCAGAAAAAAATACCATAATAGAGGTTGATCCTCTACCTAAATTAGTCACATCTATATCAGTAATGCTTCCAGACACATCAGTAGATAATGATATTTTTGACAAAAGTTTTCCAGATCAAGATTCTTCTTTTGACATAGATATTCATAATAAATCTTCCCCAGAGGAAGATTATTCATCTCAGCTTACAGAACGAAACGAACCTCCCGAAATAATAAACCGGTCTATTATAACAAAACATAAAAATCCTCCTTCAGAAGTCACAAATGAAAGGCATTTAAAAGGAAAAAATTGTTGTATAATCTAATATATCTTCCAATATAAATTCTCATTGTCTATATGAATTTATATTTAAATTGATAAAATTTTATTATAAATTCTAAAATGAGGATGATGGGTAATTTTGGTGGGTCTTTTTGGGCCACTTTTAGAGGTTTCCAGAGCCCTTCACGCATAGACGAAATCTTAGAAAGTGAAGAGACTACACTCACTCAAGTCCTTGATGAAGAAGAAGTGCTGCAAGAGATGAGAAACCAAAACCAGAAATTAATTGACTTGTAATCATAATTTAGCTTGAACCGAGACAGGATTTTAGAGTTAATTGAATATATTACGATTTTCCCACCAGAAGGCTGTGACAACAGACGAGGACATAAATTCCCATTTCTTGCCTCAGAACTTTTTGCATGTGAGACCGCAAGTTTATTGGATAAATTCTTTGCTGACCAAGAATTACTGGAAAAATTATTTAATTTCTTTACTACAGAAAGCTTAAACCTCACATTAGCTGGATATGCAAGCAAGCTTATAATCAGTCTTTTTATTAGAAATCCTTCAGAAATGCTTAAATTTATTATAGAAAACTCCTGAAACACCTGACTTTTAGACCATTCAGAATACAAAGCTATAGCAGACATCATAAACAGAATAGTTTTAGTAGAAAATTTAGGTGACCCTTTTTATATCCCACAAAGGAAAGAAATAATTCAAAAATTAATCAATAATTTAGCCTCAGAAAACCCAAATGCAGCTTTTCATTCCAGCCAGATTTTATGTGACTTAACCAATAAACCTACTGAAGTGAATTCCTGGGCTGAGCTAGCTGGGGTTATCATGCAGAAAGAGTCATTAAATAAGCTTATAGAAGGGCTGACAGCTGATAGCACTCATAATATAAACGCTGTAGTAACTGTTCTTAGAAGCATTATGACGAGCAGCTCTAGAAGCGATTTATTGACTTTGAATAAAAAGCCAGACGAAGATTCAGCCACGATACTTGAAGACGAGGAATCTCCTGAATTTATGCTATTTTTATTAATAATTTAATAATTTTCCTATAGTTTACAAACCTCTATATTTATCGTAAAATAGAATATTGAATCTTTTATTCAAGTTTTGCCAAAATTAAAAGAAATCTTAGAAAATGTCCACAATACACAAATACTGACTGTTTTTAATGAAGATATTGAAAGTCTTGGAGAAGGAAAAATCAAAATTATTGAAGTCCTTTATGCAGCGATTAAGATGGAAATTAAAGAAATTCAAGCTAAAATTGAAGAAATCGAGGTGGTCAGAGTTATCGTGGGGCTTTTCTTTAATTATGAGTGAAATTCAATACTGCATGCGACTTTTGAGCAGTTTGCAAATGCAGTTTTGGCATCTTCTTCACAAGCATTAAAAGAGCAGCTGCTCAAAACGTCAGGATTTTTAAACAAAATGATAGAAAAAGGCTTAAACCCAACAAGGCCAGGTACAAGAAACCCATCATTAAGGCCAGGCTACATGGGCTATATAACCAAAATTTCGAATTCTCTTATAAAGCTCTCAGAAACACACTCAGAAATTGCAGAGATTTTACTAGCTACTGAAAAATGGGCAGAATACAAGTCTTCGTACCTAGAAGACAGAAATTTCATAGAAAACCGGCACCTTGGAGGCTACAAACCTTTATCATTCGGCGACCATTTCGCAGACGAAGACTCCAAAGCTGAAGAAAATTCAAAAAATCCATTTTCTTCCTATACAAATAACGAAAATGCCAATGAAGATTTAGAAATTCCTGAAGAAGAAATAGAAACAACTGATAAACCATTGACAAACGAAGACTTAATGTTCGATTTAACTGAAAATGAGGACAAAAAAGGAGAAAATAATGAGCCAGAGTCTGAAAGAGAACAAGTAAGGACTGAAACTCATGAAGAAAACCAAATGGAGCCTGATATTTATTCAGACGTCAATTATTGGGCACCACCAGTGAACGTTGAGGATTTAGAGGAATTATAATTAGAATAATAATTTATATCCTGGAAAATTAATTTATATGCTGATAAGTGCTAGAATTTTTTAGAAAAATATTTTTTATTAATTAGTTTAATTAAGTATAGTCATCTCCTATTTTTTGGGCTGCTTTTTAGGGACAGGAATTGAAATCATCGCTATTTCTGCTTTAGCGAGATTTATATCTTCGTTCCCTAAAAGGTTTTCTTCATGATTTATCATAGAAATGTCTCCAATATATGATTGATCATGAGTCATATTTGTAGTTTCATTATACATGGATTCTGTGTCTTGCAGAGTGGTAGTTTCAGCAATACAAATTTCTGGTTTTTCTTTATGAAAAACTACCAATTTCCATCTTTGTAACAGTCTGTCAGGAATCCTATAAAGCGCTTCTTTAAGTCTCAAAGCTAATTGTTTTTTAATTTTATGCGATCTTGTATTCTGATGTACTAAAATTTCATTTTGTTCGTTTTCACCTTTTTCTTTGATTTCTTGGATAATTTTTTCTTTTATCATGATCTTGCTATTCATTTTTTCAGTGATTTCATTGATAAGTTGCTGAATATTTTTATTTTTTTCTTGGAGTATTTTTATTTGATTTTTTTTGTTATTATTTTCTAACTTTATGTCTTCTATTCTTTCCTTAATGCTTGGCAAGGTTTCATTAATTTTTATCATTTTTTCTTTCTCTTCATTGAGTTCTTGGATTTTTTTTAATATTTTTTGAATATTTTTTTCTTGTTCTCTAATATTGGCATTTACAGTATCGATTTGGTCTTTTACCTCATTTATCCCATTTTTTACTTTTTGAAGTTTTTCGATTTCTGCTTTCATTTCTTGGATTTTATCAACTTTTTCATTTAAAATCGTTTCTAGTCCTTTTACCAGCTCAGGATCAGCTTCAAAATTGGTTTTTACGAGTTCCCAGGCTCTTTCAATTTCACTCATTTCATTTTTGATAGCTGAAATTTTTTCTTTAAGTTTTTCAACATCTTCATCTTTTTCTTGCCTTAGTTGTAAATATTGTTGGCCTTCTAGTTTTGTCTGTAAGATTTCGAGCTCTTTTTCAAGCTCACCTCTGTTATAAACTCTTTCGATCATTTGCAGAATAGTCCCACCTCTTGCAGAGCTATATTTCATTTCACGATTTTTTATACCATTATTTATAATTTTCAATTTTTTAATAAATTGGGTATATATAAATGCTATTTATAGTAAATAAATTTATCTCATTTAGCATAGGGGTTAGCATGCTGTACTTTTCTTTTATCAAATATTCCACGCTCTGTGCTTTGGATTTAATATGCTGAGCTTTTTTATTGTCGATTTCTTTGACAAAAGTTGCTATTTCAGTGAGAGAGTTACACAATTAAAATATGGCGTCTTCGCCTAGGTATGGCCTCACGGCCATACAGCCTCCGACCCACACATTTTAATTATATCCGGCAAGGTTTTTCTAGCCTTGAAATGGACAGCAATGCTAGGCAACTAATTCTGCAGGAGCCCAGAACCTAGTCCAAGTCCAACTTCGAAGCTGGTTTTTACCTCGAAGAAAAGGAGGGTACAGATTTGGAAAGGGCAAGCCCAGCAAAGTCTACAGCTAATACCTAGATCAATCGGACAACTGCCTAGCGTGAAACTGGGCGTTACGTCCCAGGATCTGGACTTCACCCTTTTGCGGATAGGCTACTAGAAATTCCATTTTTTGGAACTTCGGAATGCCAACTTCGTCAACCACAGCCTCAGGAGGTCGCACAAACCCATAGTCTGCCCACTCAACACTGGAGCCTTTTACAAGAGGCAAGGAGGAGGCCTCAGTACTCTCATTATATGTGAGAAGGAGGTCGCAAAGCGGATGAATCCCACAAGGGATCCTCGGTGATTGCGTTAAAATTAAGGGCACGAGCCGTCTGTTTAAGTTAAGTTAAGAGAGAGTTACACAAATTTGTCTGCCAATTTGATTCAAAAAGTCTTATTCATATATAGTCAGCCGATTTTTCGTCGGAATTTATGATGAGGTTTAGCTTATTTTGGACTTCGCTGAAGTTTGGGTCTGAAGTGCCTATCAAATTCATAAGCTGCTTAAAGGATTTGGATGCCCAGAGCTGTTCTTCAATAGCAGAATTGTATACATCTTGTGGGAGATCTTGGATAGTTTTCGTTGGAGATTTAAACAAGATTTCGTTATAAGCAGCCTTTTTTTGTCTGAGAGATAATAGCTCTTCTTCAAGTGTAGTAATTTCATTTGAATTAGAGTGAAGGCAGCCCATCTTTAAATAATAATTGTTTCATTTATATCTTAATTAATTTTTTTCTGAGATGGCTTATTTTTTTAATTCATATTCAGAAATCTTGCTAAAGCGTAATAAAAAGTATTTTGTTTGCTTGAGAATAATGATTATAAGGAGAAGTTGCTATTATCTTTTTATAGGACTGAAGATATTGAAATTAGTTCTAATCTTAAACTATTGGCCTTGCTGAATTTTGATTTTGGCAGAAAATTATGCCAAGGAATGTTTTAGCTTTTATTTCTGTATCAAAATAACTTCTCCCAGCTAAAGTGAGTCCATAATTTTGAGATTTTCAAGGATTATTTTCAATAAGTGCCGCTTTAATTAATAGAATTTCGTTTTTGTTTATTTTTAACGTGCATGACACATATAAACTTCAAATTTAGAATTTTATATATTTTTAGACCATATTTTAATAATTAATATTGGAAAAATATATGATAGAAATAAATCTCATATTTGTTTATCTAGCAATATTTATTTTCTCTACAATAACAGAAATATCAAATAATTTATCAAAAAATGAGATATAAAAATCAAAAAAATCCATATAGAAAATAACATGCATTTGGCCTCACTTAATTAGCTCACTCAATATATATAATAAAATATGAGCCTAAAAAGGGATTTCCTTTTCATGGTTTTGTTGGTAGGAAGCGAAGGATCCGGCAAGTCCTATTTACAGAAGCGTTTTGTGGTAAGCTATAATTAGAGAAATTTTTTTTCCTTACTTTTCTGCTATTATTAATGAATAAATTATAATTAAAAATCGCATGAATTATAATATAAAGCAAAAAAATACCCACTTACTGTAAATTCTGAATATTTGCATTTTATTTCTTATTTATGAGATAAAGACTAGGTACTAGAAAGTATGCAATCACTGAAAATAATTATTATTTAAATTAATTTTTAGTAAAAATATATTTTTAGATAATGAGGAGTTAGAGCTTCACCCTACGACCGGTATGCATCATGCTATAAAAAATATCGAAGTTTATGAGAAAAATGTACAAATCCAGATTTGAGATCCTCCAGGCCGTGAAGAGTTTAAGCCAGCGCTGGCTTCTTATATCCAAAGGTTTCAGTCAATTCTTCTAGTTTACGATATAACGGACAAGTCCTCATTTGAGGAAATTTCTAATTGGTACTCCTTTGTAGCGTCGAACCGAAATTTATACCTTTTAATAAGACTTATCCACATAATTTTAAAAAAATTTATTCAAATGCTAGTCTAAAAGGTATTTTAGAAGAAGACATCGAAAATTGTGAAAATTTTTTAAAAAATATGATGGGCGGAAGTAAAATTTTTTGTCCAAAGGAAAAGCCTCTACAAATGGAATAGAAAATCTCAGTTTTTTCCTTATTGGCACAAAAAGTGACCTAAAATCAAGCCGTAAAGTCAGTTTTGATGAGGGTCAAGAATTAGCTAATAAGCTTGGTATGTATTTCATGGAAATTTCTGGAAATAATCGGCACAATTTAGACACACTATTTAAGTTTATGTGTGGAATTTTGGTGTCTCAAAAAATTGAAAATATCAGTGCAAAAATTCAAATGAAGCTTCTAAAGCGTCAAAAAAGAAAAAACACCTCATGGTTTTAAATGAAAATTATTTATTTATTTTTTTATTTTTTTTAAAATTAATAATTTTAAAAATTTTGTATACTTTTAAATGAGATTTTGCTCGAAATTTTTAAAAGTGATAAATATGGGATTTAATTTGTTTTAATTTCAATTAGATTTGTCGAGATTATTAAGCTAAAAATAATAATCACAGCTTTTTATGACGCTAGATTCGACTGATTTAGCTCTTTACACCTCCCTAGGAATGCTCAATATTTTGTTTTCATCACTAGTAGCGTTGACATTTTTGAGTTCGAGAGAATTACGACAACATCCATCTGGATTGATATTTTCCCTTAGCATTTGTGAATTAATTATGTCATATCACAGCATTATTTTTGTTTGAGATGATATGTCTTTTATTCAAAGATTTAGACTGGAGCCATCAATACTCATCATCTCAGGCTATAGTATAGATCAAGATTACGCAAAGAAGGTTCTATGTGGAATGAATCAAGTTTTACTCACAATCGGAATAGTAGCTTGCTTATGCTATAATATTGCTATATGCTTAGATTTAGTTGTTACTCTATATAACCCTTTTATATCAGGGCACAAAAGGAAAAAGTTTTATCACTCAGTTACTTTTTTAATTGTTTTTTATTACACGGTTTATGTCAACACAGAAAATAAATTCTTATCTCAATGCACAGCAAAGCCTCGATTTCGTTTAGAAATTGCAAACTCAGGAGCAATTGGAATTTTATTGATTGTGTTTTTTACTATAGGTGTATTTTCAGCTATTTACGCTGCCTGAAGATTTGCAAGAGGGCTCAGAATTGTCACAGAGCACAACACACAGTATCTGATAAGGCATATTTTATATGTAGTTGGTTTTGTTGTTTTATGGGTATGACCAACTATCAGCTATGTCATGAAAATATATGACAGACAAAGCGAAACTATAGACACAATCGCAATCGCTACTTATTGTTCATCAGGCTTTTTTCTAGGCATGATCCGTACCTCAGACCCGATTTTTTGAAAAAAAGCTAAAGAATGCTCATTTTTTCGTACCCAAGAAATAGAATCCGCAACCTCAGACGACGCCTGAAACCTTCCTATCTCTGTAATAGTATTCGGGAAATTAAACGTAGAACTAGCTCATTGTATTATTGCAAGTCTCCATGGGGTATTTTTAACCAAAAAAATTAATTCAAACAGCTATCAGTCTTTTGATGCGAAAAATTTTACAGAAATAAAAATTCACAGACTAAACCATTATGTAAGGGAGTCTGCAAATATATGAGGAATTACTGATTCGAAGTTTCCACATGTAGAAGTAGAAGAAGTAGCTCCAGCTATTTTTGAGGATATAAGAAATATGTGTGGAATGGAATTGCATGACTTATTATATTTTATATATATGAATTTTCATTTTAATATAAAAAATAATTTTTTGATAATATTTATATATTATAGATATAAGTTCTTTAGAACCTTCAGAAAATAAAGAAAGCATGTTTAAAATTGATGAAAGTGCAGGAAAGTCAGGCAGTTTTTTCTTATTTACTAGTGATAATAGAATCGCTATAAAAACTATCAAAAGCAGAGAAAGAAAAGTAATGAAAAAAATTTTAAAAAATTATCACACCCATTTAATGAAATATCAAGATTCTATGTTATGCAGGATTTTAGGTTTATTTACTTTAAGAGTACCAGGTGTTTCTACTTTAGAAATAATTCTGATGGAAAATATCCTTTATAAAGTCAACCCTTCAAGGGTTTTCGACATAAAGGGCTCAACTGTAGGAAGAACTGCTTATAAAAATGGTAGAGTAAGCGGGCCATATAAAGATTTGGATTTTATTAAAATGAGCCAAAGTTTAGATTTATCACAAGATGATAAAGATAGAATGAAAGCAGCAATATTAGTTGATGTAAATTTTTTATATCTTCATAAACTGATGGACTATTCTTTATTGCTTTCTATTAGTAAATACACTGAAGGAAAGTCATATAAGCATTTACACTTAGCTAGATTATAGAAAAGCTCCCTGTTGGAATCCTAAGATTCACCCTATTATAACGCTTCACTTGCCTGTTTTACCGACAATCGTTTCACGACCTTCAAAGTCTTGCTCTACCAGACATGGGCCTGTGCATGCTCCATGGTAGTTGGAAAGTTTGGCTCACCGTGCCATATGCCAACGGAGTTTGACTTCGAGAAATTAGAAAACAAATTTTCTTGCAACCTGTCGCAAGGTGAAAATTCGTAGTCCAGACGTAACGCCAGTATCGCACTGGGAACGTCGATTGGCCAGGAGGAACCCTCCTGCTAATGCTGGGACACCCCTTTCCAACTCCGAACTCCGAGATACTTTGACCTGGATGTGAGGCTATGATCTGCCAACTCGGATATTGACTCACCAAAGCAGGTAAAACCTGATCGGATACACAAACCGAACGCAAAAACTCCCTTCCACAAGATCCTGAGTCTCCCCAGCTGCAGGTGCTAGGAGGTTGGGCTAGTTTGCCACGCCATTTTTATGTATATGGAAAGTCATATAAGCAATACTCATCTATCGACCTAAAATACACCTATACCATGGGTATCATTGACTTTTTAACTGTTTATAGCTATTGGAAATCTATGGAGCACACTTTTAATCATATAGCACTTGGACATAAGGTAAAGCATGTGTCAGTGGCGAACCCTAAAAACTATGCGAATAGGTTTGTTAATTTTATTTTCAGCATTATTGTCCCTATAATGAGAAGACATTCTTCGTTTAGTATAGATTGGAATTATGTAAGCACGCTTTAATATATTTTTAAATAATTATCACGATATAGTACTTTGGCTATTTTTCTTTCAATGATTGAAATAAATTATAGGTGATTATTTTAGTGCATGACAGTTTGAATATTGTTAGTCATGGATTTAAGAAATAATTTATATTTAAGCAGAAGAAAGCTAATTTTATTTATTATAAGCAATAAACATTTATTTTTTTAATCCAAAATCCTTTATTAATTAGCATTTTTATTAATGAAAGGGGAAAAAATTGTAATTGTTATATGTGTTTAATTCTCATAAAAAATAATTTTTTGATAATAAACTTTTTATTAAGTTTAAAAGAAAACGACAAAAATTTCAAATTAGGGATAAATGCATTTTGCTTGACAAAAAATTTCTCCATATTTTAAATCAATCGTTCACCTAATATAAACAATATGGGACTTCTGATTGATGGGAAATGGGTTAAACAAGGCTATGACACCTTAAAAACTGGAGGACGATTCATTAGAACAGAATCTCAGTTTAGGAAATTTGTTACTAAAGATGGTAGCAGCGGATTTAGAGGCGACTCAGGCCGCTATCATCTCTATGTATCACTAGCCTGCCCATGGGCGAGTCGGACACTTATTGTTAGGAATTTAAAAGGTCTCCAAAATGATATATCAGTCTCTGTTGTAAATCCTATTTCTTCAGAAAATGGCTGAACCTTTGAGGAATATGAAGGAAGTACTCCAGATACTTTGAGTAACAGCAGATTCTTATATGAAGTATACCTTAAAGCCAACCCTGAATACACAGGAAGAGTTACTGTGCCTGTTCTCTGAGACAAAGAAACCAATGCAATCGTATCCAATGAATCCTCTGAAATCATACTAATGATGAACAGCGGATTCAGCTGTGGAAACGACCTCAATTTTAACCCAGAAGAGAAAAAAGCAGAAATTGACGAAATTAACGCATTTGTCTATGATAAAATTAATAACGGAGTATATAAAGCAGGCCATGCTACAACTCAGCAAGCTTATGAAGAAGCGTTCACTGACCTTTTTGATGCTTTAGAAGTTATAGACCAAAGACTTGAAAATCAGAGATATTTGGTAGGAAACACCTTGACATTAGCTGATGTTAGGCTATTTGTGACATTGGTGAGATTTGATGTCGCTTATGTAGGAATTTTTAAATGCAATTTGAAGAGGATTGAAGATTTCAAGAACTTGCCTGAGTATTTAAGGGATTTATATCAGACTCCAGGGTTTGGAGACACTGTGAATTTTGATCATATTAAAAATGGTTATTATAGAGGCTTTGGGAATATTAATCCAACTGGAATAGTTCCTCTAGGACCAATTGTGGATTATACAAGACCTCATAATAGAGATAGAGCATATGGGATTTAAGTAATTAGATAAAAATTATATTATTTTGGCATTTTAATTATATTTAAAAATTGATTTCATACTTTGCAAACTGCCTTTATATTAAAATTTTAATGCAATTTTGGCTTTTTAATATTGTTCAACAATTTTCATAGTAAAATTTCTATAAATGTAGATCATTGGTTTTATAAATAAAAAATCAAGGATGCGTTATCAATATGGAAATAAATAAGAATTAGAAGCTATATTGATATGGAGAATTTTTATAATTTTAAAATGGGACTTTTAGTTGGTGGAAAATGGGTTGACCAAGGCTATGACACCTCAAAGACGGGCGGAAGGTTCATTGGAACTCAGTCTCAGTTTAGGAGTTTTGTTACCAGAGATGGCAGCAGTGGATTTAGAGGTGACTCAGGCCGATATCATCTCTACATTTCTTATGCCTGCCCTTGGGCCCATCGTACACTTATCATGAGAAGTCTTAAAAATCTAGAAAATGATATATCAATTTCTATAGTAAACCCTCAATTACTCGAAAATGGTTGGACCTTTGAGGAATTTGAAGGAAGCACTCCTGACACTGTAAACAACACCAAATTCTTATATGAGGTTTATCTAAAAGCCAACCCTGAATACGAAGGAAGAGTTACTGTGCCTGTTCTCTGGGATAAAGAGACCAATACGATCGTATCCAATGAGTCTTCAGAAATCATACTAATGATGAACAGCGGATTCAATTGTGGAAACGATCGCGATTTTTACCCTGAAGAGAAAAAAGCAGAAATTGACGAAATTAATGCGCTTGTTTTTGATAAAATTAATTACGGAGTATATAAAGCTGGCTTTGCTACTACTCAAGCAGCTTATGAAGAAGCAGTCATAGACCTTTTTAATGCTTTAGAAGCAGTTGACCAAAGGCTTGAAAACCATAGATATTTAGTTGGAAATACCTTGACTATTGCAGATGTCAGACTTTTTACTACTCTTATTAGGTTCGATGTAGCCTATGTAGGCAATTTTAAATGCAATTTAAAGAGAATTGAAGATTTTAGAAACTTGCCTGAGTATTTAAGGGATTTATATCAGACTCCAGGGTTTGGAGAGACTGTGAATTTCAATCACATAAAAACTGGGTATTATAAAAACAACAACATGAAGAATATCAATCCAACTGGAATTATTCCTCTAGGACCAATTGTGGATTATGCAAGACCTCATAATAGAGATAGAGTATATGAAGCTGCTGGGCATTAAAAACCAGAAAAAAGTAAATTTAAGTTTTATCTTTTTTACTTATTGTCAATAATGCGAAGAATTAATTACTATTAGCTTTATAATTATATAATTTCTTATTATTATTATTAGATTGATCAAAATTATAATTTATTAAAAGATAATTGAGGATTTTAAAACCTGCCTGAATATTTGAGAGATTTATATCTGACTCCAGGGTTCTGAGAGACTGTGAATCTTGATCATATTTAAACTGGGTATTATAAAAGCATAGATCTAAGAATCCTATTAGAATTGTACTATTAGGACTATCGTGGATTATAGCAGGTTCATAATAAAAATAAAGTGTATTAAGCTTCTGAGTAATAATCTAAAATTATTTTATTTCTTTTTTCATATATAAATTTAGAATCCATACATTTATTTGAAAGTCATCTATATGTTTGATAAACTCTACTGAAATCTATCTAGTTTGCTCATTCATCTGAGATATATATTTTGTATTTTAATATTATTTAGCAGCTTTCTTTATAAAAATTGAAAAATATGGATCATTTGTTTTACAAATAAAATTTATAGAAGTGACGTCAATATGGAAATAAATAAGGACAAAAAGCTATAATAAGGAATTCTTTTTAAAAAGTTAGACAAGAAAATTAATAAATAGCTTCATCTGCAAAAATGCAAACATATTAAAATAAATAGATCTATCAAATCTTAAAATATTGAGAAAAACTGATAAAAATGCCAAGTTTACTAGCCTTATATAATTATAAATCGAGAAATAAAGAGAAACAACCTCTTTCACTTTGAAAATATTACTATTCTTATCAAAATCATTCATTATTTAGCATAAGTTTAGAACCTGGTGAATTTTTATAATTTTAAAAATGGGACTTTTAGTTGGTGGAAAATGGGTTGATCAAGGCTATGACACCTCAAAGACTGGAGGAAGATTCATTAGAAGTGATTCTCAGTTCAGGAATTTTGTTACAAAAGACGGCAGCAGTGGATTTAGAGGTGACTCAGGCCGATATCATCTCTATATTGCCCACATTTGTCCTTGGGCCCATCGTACACTTATTATGAGAAGTCTTAAAAATCTAGAAAATGATATATCAATTTCAATATAGCCCGTTTTTAGCTATAGATCGGGCTATGCCCGATCTTTGCCGGGAAACTCGGGGGGTTGTCTGCGTCACTTCGAGGTGACGAGTCAACTCCCCAAGTTGGTAATCACTATATGGTGGTATTTTCCAAACCCGGGGAGTTGACTCGTCACCGAAAATTGACGCAGACAACTCCTAAAGTGTCCCGGCAAAGATTGGGCATAGCCCGATCTATAGCCGGGAACGGGCTATAGTAAATCCTCATATGCTCGAAAATGGCTGGACTTTTGAGGAATATGAAGGAAGCACTCCTGACACTGTAAACAACACCAAATTCTTATATGAGGTTTATCTAAAAGCCAACCCTGAATACGAAGGAAGAGTCACTGTACCTGCTCTCTGGGATAAAGAGACCAATACAATCGTTAACAATGAGTCCTCAGAAATCATACTAATGATGAACAGCGGATTCAATTGTGGAAACGATCACGATTTTTATCCAGAAGAGAAAAAAGCTGAAATTGACGAAATTAACGCATTTGTCTATGATAAAATTAATAACGGAGTCTATAAGGCAGGCTTTGCGACTACCCAAGTAGCTTATGAAGAAGCTGTTAGAGAGCTGTTTAGCGCTTTAGAAATAGTAGACCAAAGACTTGAAAATCATAGATATTTAGTTGGGAACACCTTAACTATAGCTGATGTCAGGCTTTTTGTAACCCTTATTAGATTTGATGTAGCTTATGTAGGCAATTTTAAATGCAATTTGAAGAGAATTGAAGACTTCAGGAATCTTCCTGAGTATTTAAGGGATTTATATCAGACTCCAGGGTTTGGAGAGACTGTGAATTTCGATCATATTAAAAGTGGGTATTATAAAAGCTTGAGATCTAATAATCCAACTGGAATAGTTCCTCTAGGACCAATTGTGGATTATACAAGACCTCATAATAGAGATAGAGTCTATGAAGCTTAAGAGAAGTAAATTTAAGCCTAATTATTTTACTTATTCTAATTATGCTTCATTTTTTCATTTTCTAAACACATTTCTTGAGTTTAAAGCTGGTTTTGTATAGGAATAAGCATAATAAATATAAAATAGCTTTTATTTTAGCATTAAGTTTTTAAATCATAAGCCTATTAAATACTGTTAATGACTTATTTATTTTATTTCGACAACCCTAATAACCCATTCGCTAATTCTTCAATGCTGAGTCTACCGTCACCATTAGTATCGAAATCATGCAAAATTTCATCAATGTGGTGACTATCCAAAGGTTCGCCTCTTGAACTTAAAATATTTCTGAGCTCGTCTGCATCAATAAACCCGTTCCTATCTCTATCAAATTTAGAAATTTCCCTTATCAGCTGCTCCTTAGAGATACTGCATTCAGGCTTTGCTAGTCCAAATAATTTGGCAAACTCATCGACGTTTATCTGATTTCGATGATGCAAATCCACTGACTGCAATAGTTTCTCCACTTGTCCTAGTGATGGATTTAATCCTAGGGCACGAAAAGCATTGCTTAGCTCTTGGGTGTTTAAATACCCATTATGGTTAGAATCAAACAATTGGAAACAATCTTCAAGGTCTTCAAAATTTTCAAAAATCATTTATATTTAATAAGAAAAATATGAATTGCTGATTAATATGAAAGCAAGAAAAAGCAAATTCTGTGAGAAATTTAAGAAGCAGGTTTGGCTTGATAAAAATTTAAATGAATTTTATTTATGGCAGCTTTAATTATATGCTGTTTTGATAATAATTCTAATTAATAAATATTATTTATTTTTATAAATATAGCCTGAGCCTAGTTTTGGCTTGGGTTCTACCGACGTCTATCAGGGATTTGATCAAACATAAGCCAAAATCAGGCTGGGGATATACCATAAATTGATTTACATGCATTTAATTATTTTTCGTTTATTTCTTTTCTCCACAAAATGAGCAAAATTTTGCATTTGGGAAATACCTTTCCCCACAGTTGTGACAATATACCTTTTCATTGTTAACTCTAAGAGGTTTCTTGATTTTCCCTATATCAGGGCTTCTTGCAGGCGAATTAGAGCTTACTGAAGGCACAATTTTTTCTTTATTTGTAATTACGTTTTGGCTTAAACTTCTTGTATTTTTTGGAGGATTTGGCCTATTTAAAGTATTTTTACATATAGGAATATGATTTTCTGCCACTTTTTGATCAAAATTCCTTAAGCAATACGAGCATTCCACACTTTCTTCCACTATTTTCGCATTGGTATTTCCTAACTTATATATTTTAGACACTTTTTTGTTGTCTTCCTTTACTTTTCCTCAGTTTTGATTATCCCCTTTACAGATTTCTTCATGCTTTCCCACCCGATCTGCATTGAATTTTCTCCCACATTTGCTACAAGGAATTCTATTATCTTCAGTTTCTGGCGAAGAGTTAAAATTTTCCATTGTATTAAGGCTGATTTTGGGCTCTTCTTGATTTCTTTGGCTTGTTAAAGGCCTTATAATTTCATTAATATCTTTGCTTTGGAATGCTGAGGATGATCGTAGGATTTCTGTGGATTCTTTGGATTTTATTTCTGGAGATGGAGGGGTTTCTGTGTCTTGGAGCTTAGACTGGGCTTCTGAAAGATATTTATCAATAAGTGATTGCTTCTTCGGATTTTTTATTAATGCTGAGCTTGATGAATTCACCTGAGGAGGTTTTGCTTGCGAAGTCATCGGCAATGAGTTCGCCTGATATTTTTGAGGCGATTCTAAAATTGCTGAAGTTATTGATCGAACTGGCTTGCATGGATTTTCAGATGTGCAGCTACGTAAATGTATAACAAGTCGATCTTCAAGAAATTTTCTTGCACAGTTTGGGCACTGTGCCATTGATTTGCTTGTAAAAGCATTAAATGCAATATCATTGAATTGGTCAATGTTATCTTTTCCACTAGACGCGATTGCGATTTCTTTTGGTGGCTCTGGAAGTGGCCTTCTTTCTCTTTTTGGTTTTAAATTTTCTCTCTCCTCTCACAGTCTTGCGCAGTTTTTTTGGTGGATCCCTAAAGAAGTTGTCCCAAACTCTCTTCCACAGATATAGCAAATAAGTGCTTTGGGCTTTAATCACGGTTTTCCGCCTCCTCCAACAGCATCCATTTTGGTTTTACATTAAAGAAAAATCACAAGTAAAAGCAAACTTGAATGATTGAGATAAAAAATCAGGTTATAAAAGTTTATTGAGTATTTAAATATAATAAAATTATATATAAATTTTAATAATAACTTTATTTTTCTATTATTATTAATATAAAAAATTATTCTTAAGAATGGGTATATATAGCCCGAGTATCCTTTTGGATTGGGCTATCCTGATGTCTTCTGACGTCAATCGGAGAGCTGGTTAAACCAATATTTTGTTTGTAAAACCAACAATGACAAGTCCTGTTCTTATTGGAGATTTTTCATCTGGGGATAGGGTTTACCAACAAATGTTGTTTAGCAACTCCCCGGTTGACATCAGGAGAGGGTAAACTGACTCCTCCCCCCCCTTTAAATTGGAACTAAAAATTTTGTTCCAATTTAAAGGGGGGTTAAGAAAATTTTTTTTAAAAAAAAAAAAATTCAAAAATTTATCAAATTAGATTAATAAATTTGTTTAATAAAATGCTATTTACTCTTTATCCCTTAAAACAAAGCAAGATATAACTAAAATTTTATTATTTTTTAATACGCCACTATTAATTGGTATCAAAACTATTTACAAAAAAATTATTATTTTTATTGATAAAAAAAATTTTAGAAAATTTATCGATCAAAGTGCTAATTTTGTTTAAATAAGATGTTATTTATACTCTATTCTTTAAGATAAAGCAAGAGATAAGTAAATTTTGAATTTTTGTAAAGAATTCGTATTGGATTTATATCAAAGGTATTTATATAAAAAATATCATTTTTATCAAAAAAATAAAATTTTTTTTGAAAATTGTTTTAAAAATTTACAATTAAGGATAATCAATTTATTTAAATAAGATGCTCTTTATACTCTATTCTTTAAACAAGAGCAGAATATAACTAAATTTTTAATTTTAGTTAAGAAGAAACATTTAAATTATATCAAAACTTTTTACATAAAAATTATGATTTATATATATAAAAAATTTTTTATTATAAAATTAAATTTTGTTCCAATTTAAAGGGGGTTAATTTACCAAAAAAGTGGAAATTTTACCTATATCTTGTTTCAATTTAAGGGGGGGGAGTGAGTTAAATGGAGGCTCAGGCTATAGAAAATAGGTAAAATAATTAATTTTAATTTTTCGAAAAATACTTAATTTTGATGACTCTACTTATGAATTTCGACTATAAATACCCTCCTATCAATCTATACGCAGCTTATTTTTCTTAATTTTTAAAAAATCTTTCTTAAATTCAAATAAATAAAATCCTGCAATTATGAAGATACGAAAGATACTTTTTTGAATTATAATTTAAACATGTTTACCAACGAACTCCCAGCTCATCAAGACTATTTACAGCATTTTAGAGTTTCTCCCTGTACTGGGCCATGCATCGAAGGCTGTATGCACTATCACGAAGGTGAGTTACCTCGTCGTCTCCCCACAAAAGATGCAAATGGCGAATGGAGCTACAAGCCTTACCTCTGCAAATTCCCTAAGCCATGCCGATATCAAAATTCCTGCACCTTTGCCCATACAAAAGAAGAAGTCTACTATCACCCTCTCGTCTATAAAACCAAAAAATGCTCTTACATGCTAAACAATGGGATTTGTACAAGATATGGGATCCATTGCCCATACTCCCACGATGACTATTTAAGGACTCCTAATGGTGAAAACAAGCCAAGCGTAGAAGTTGCGTTTGATTTAGCCACCTTTAAGACCCTCCCTTGTTCAAGCCAAGCTATTCATGATAAAAAAACCTGCCATTTTTATCATCACTATGGTGACATGAGAAGAAATCCTTATTTATTTAGATACGCCCCAGTAAAATGCCCTAACGTGATAGAAGTTGACAAAACTGGGCCAAGAAAAGAATGTCACATAGGACAAATCTGTAATAAAGCCCATAATAAAGTAGAAATTTATTATCATCCAGCTACTTATAAGCAAGCTAGGTGTAAATATCAAGACTGCAACGTAAAAGGAGTCTGCTCATTTTTACATGAAGGAGAAGAAAAAAATATAGAAAAAAAGCCGCTCCAAGAAAAAAATATTTTTGAGGATACAGCATACCTCTCGTGATTGCTCCCATTAAGTATGCCCTCCTCATGTCACCCAACCCCTGACCTTTGTGAAAATTTTAAATGTTAAAATATTATTTGGCAAGTCCTCAAATATTTTAACTTGTCAAATTAATATTTAACATGATAAAATATTTGGGGGCCGTTAGGGGGTAGGGGGTGCTCAAAGCCTATCCAAAACGGGGTGTAAGCTATACAGGAAATATTGACTGGGAAAAAGAGGCAAAAATGCTTGCAATGAAAAGCAAAATTTTGACAAATCTGTTGGAGCAGGCACAGAAAAAAAATAAAGAATATTTGACTTTTAATTGCCATTATTGTAGTGAAAATGTCGGAATTGTGGTATAGGGATTTTATATAAATGGGATGGAGGAATTGAAAGGGATTTTAAGAGGGAAATAAAGGAAAAATGGTATATATCAGTGTGGACATTTAGGATGCAGCAGCTGCGCAACTGAAAGGTTTTGCATTATTTGTGGGATTTCTGCGAATAAGATTACCAGTATAAGAAAGCCTTTAATATCATATATTTAAAAATATTTTAAAATTTGCCATGTTTATTGTTATTATAATGCATATCAATTTTTTCACTAATTTTTATTGCTTCTTCTTGTTCTTGATTCAGTCTAATCTGTAGCTCTAAAAGTTTCTTTTTAAACTCAATTTCTTTTTCTTCAAAATCTTTTTGCAAAGCAGACTTTCTTTCTTCTAAAGCTAAAAATTGCGGTCTTATTGATCTGTTGTATCTTATAAACTCTTCAGAGTGACTGTCTTGTAGTTGTTTAAGCTTTATCTTGAGCTCTTGTTTCTTATTTTCAAGCTCTTTGGTCTTTTCTTGAATTCTTTTTTCTTCTTGCTGTTTTTTTAATAGGCTTTTTATTTTTAAAAAAAAATTTCCGTATTTTTTGAAGAAATTTATTTAATTTATAATCTTTAATAGAATATTTTGAAGCTTTTCTTTCCAAGCTTCTTCTTCAGTTATCCAAAAGCTGATTTTATTTGAATAAATTTGGCTTGCAGTTTCTTCTTCTTGCAGTAAAGCTGAATACATCATTTCCAGCTCGCTTTCAGGGAATTTTAAGTTTTCTTCATAATTAATCATTTCTAATGTCTCATCTAATTCTTGGAGATCTTGTTCTAATTGTTTCTTTTTATGCTTGATTTGTAAATATCAGTTTATTTTTTCAGCTTTTTCTTTAAGCAGGTCAATATAATCTTTAGTCAATTCTTCAATCACATTTTCCAAAAACGATATATTATTCTCAAGTATCGTTAGCTCGTTTAGCTTGGTTTCATCCATTTTTATCTTTTAAATTAAACTTATAATGCTAAATTATCGCATTTTACATGGCTATAAGGTTTTATTTATTAGCATTTTTTGTTAATTTATAAGATCTTTAGAATCACTAATAATATTTTATTAATTCTTTTATCAATGCACAATTTCTATGATTTTTAATTTCATATAAAAAATTAAATTCTTCTACCAGATTTACTTTTATTTTAATGGAAGATTCGGAAAGTAATGTTTCCTATTCTTCTTCCTTTTGTGAAGAAAACGGAGCTTTACAGGATGAATTTTTCGAACTTTTACTATTAAATGAACTTATTGATACAGGATTACTTGATAATTCTGAATCAGAGTATGAATGAAATGATAGTGATGCAGAAAATGTTGATACAGATGACAAAATATTGGAGTTTTTTAAGTCGTTTAGATGGAAAAATACTAGATGAAATAGATCCTATTCAGGAAACCTTCAAATATAGGAAGACTGAGGTGATCATTGATGATAAGAAGACAATCGATAAGAAAATCCTGAACACCAGAAAAAATAAAAATTAGATCAGATTCAAATTTTATCAGAAAAATAAAATTGATATCAGAATCAAACATTATCAGGAAAATAAAATTTAGATCAGATTCAAATTTCATCAGATATAGAAAATTCATATCAGACTCAGAAATCGAAAAAATCGCGGATTACGTGGGTTCAGAAAATTTTACTAAAATTTTATCCAAAGATTTTAGGAAAAGAAGAAAGTTAAAAAATTTTTAATCGGGACATGGCCCTGAAATAAAGGCCTTTAAGTAATAAAGATTTCTCTCTCTCTCTACCAGATTTATCATAATTTAATTCTCATCTATGATTAAAAATCATTATTTAGGCCATTGTAAAAGTCACTGCCCAGCAGTTTAAAGGGTTTCCTGCAGTGTTAATCAGCTTGGTATCCACTTGATACTTCCCATTTGGTATGATACTTGGGAAATAAGCCTTAAAGTTCAATGCATAATACTGTCCGGCGTTATAATTCCCGTCTTCTGGAATTGTTTCTTGATATAAATTAGCTCCATTTAGTTGAACATAAATCCCAAGTCCTTTAAGCGACACATTTTGAGTCATGGTCCCATTCATTCCTAAGCTTACCCATTCATTTTTCACAGGAGGCCATGGACTTGTCACAAATTTAGTGACATTGTAAATATAATATAATTAAAATATGGCGTCTTCGTCTGGGCATGGCCTCCCGGCCATGCAGCCTCGACTCATATTTTAATTATATCCGGCAAGGTTTTACCATTTCAGAGATGGACAGCAATGCTAGGTAAGCAATTCTGGTAGCTTTCAGAGCCTAGCCCTAGTCTATTCTCAGGGGTGGATTTTTCCTCGTGGGGAAGGAGGGTGCAAGGTTGGAAAGGGGAAGCCCAGCAAAGTCCTTTGGACCATTCGGGCAACTCCCTAGCGTGAAACTGGGCGTTACGTCCCAGGCTTTGCATTTTTCCTTTTTGCCGATAGCCGACCAGAAAAATCCATTTTTTGGGTTTTTCGGAAAAGCAACCCATGTACAAGCAAGTAGCTCATCCATGAGCCGTCGAAGACGTGGACATTTGCCCTGGAAGCACCCTGGTGATCAAAGCGAGTTTGTCTCCAGCAGACTGGTGGGCCCGATGCGACGAAAGGCGAGTGATAAACCTGGAGTTGTAACCCCGTAGTGGACGTTAAGCGATATAAATTCCATAAGATAAGATAAGACATTGTAAATATAAAGACTAGGGTTGCAGTTAAATCCAGTGTTGCCTCCTACAAGCTTTTCTTGGAGAACGCTTCCTGCTGAAACGAGTGAGATAATTAAAGCGACAAGCTTCATATTAAATTATGGCTGCCATTTTTCCAACAGCTCATCTTTGTTTGTAAAAATTTTTAGAAAACTAAGCCAGTTAAATTGAGCTTTAAAGATTTTTGATAAGAATAATAAGATAATTTTTAATAAAAATATTAAAAGGCTTATAAATATCCTATATTTCTTATAAGATAAAATTAAAAATTTTTGTTTATATTTTATGTAAGGAAAATGAAGGCAATAATAGGAGAAATTTTTATTTTATGCGATGTATACAGAAGGTCGGATAAGCTTGACTAAATCTCCACGGATGAATAGAATATCATGATTATGGCTGTTTTCTTGTGCATTTGTAAGCAATATGTTGAGATGTTCGTCAAAACTTTTTAATTTCCCATAAATAACGTCAGAATCCCTTAAAGTGACCTCGACGTTGGCTTCAAGTGCTAGCTTTAAGATACCTAAAGGTCCGTCATTAGCTTCCATTTTTATTAAAATTAATTTTTATATGTCATCCTAGGTGTTAAAATAGCACCCTGAGAGAAATCTAAGAGAGTGCTGTTAAATAATCTATCAATTATATTTGTTTTTCCTCTTCCTCAATAATTGGCCTATTTACAGGACTATAAGCATTTCTCTCTCGCTTATTTTTACAATAAATGTAACATCCAATCGTATTAATTGATACTATAACTATTGATCCAATAATAATTATAAGCAGCAGTCACTCATAATGCTGAGATGAGGCTGTTTTTATAGATGAAGGCTTTGCTTTGGCAAGACCAATTTTTGATTTTTCCATATCAAATAAAATATATCAATTTCTGATAAAAACGTCACCTAGAATCCAGGATGTTGAATTTGTAGGCTGAATTAAAATTTGGCATGTTCCATTTGAGTGTAGTAAATAACTGCTGTATGGGACCTTGAAGGGGTGATTTTCAAAGAAAAAATATGCTTTGGTGAATTATTTTAAATTTTAAAAAAAATAAATTGATATATGACTAAATAAGATCAATCAGTATATAAATCAGGGAAAATTGGTAAAGATTTATGATGGCATGGACACTCCAAAAACCCATAAAATCCATCAATGCAAGAAAATCCAGACTGAAGAGTTCTAAAAATAGCAGTAACATCAGCTTTGGGTCCAAGCAAAAAACTTTGGCCTGTAGCAATAATCGCCGTCCCTAGCAGTGATACTTGATTTTTTCCAAACGCAACCTTTGTCAGCTCCACTTCTCAATAATCTCCTTCCACTAAATTTACATAAGTAAAGCTGCTCTCTATTGAGTATTTTTCTAAATCATACCCATCAATCATCATATTCGAAGATGGGCTTGCTTCATATTCATCAAATTTATCATCATTTAAATAAATCGCAAACTTCGCATTGCGGATCTTTCCTTGCTGCTTTAAAGTCTGGAGTAATGGAGAAGTCCCTTCACTTAACCCTGAAAATCCTAGTCCTAATATCCCATCTGCTTGAAGGTTATCAAAATCCATATCAAAAATCCCAAGCAAAAAATATTGGTTTGTAGCCTGCAATGATGAATTTTTATTTTTTTTAATTTTAAAATATTTATATTATATAAATTTTAATTTTTTTTGGAAATAATGATGTATCATCCCCAATTTTAATAGTCTCAGTGCTGACTAGACCATAAACAGTGCTTTTACCATAGTCAAGTGATATATAAGTGCCATTAGAAAAATAGCTCGACGAAGCTTCAAAATTAAACTGTTTACTTTCATGGCAAAATTGGCAGCCTTTGCTTGGGACTCATAGCCAAGAACTGGCTGTGTCAAAAAGGAGTTTAAAAGAGGTTGAAGGAGTCCCAATACGAATTTTCCCATAATATTGAGTCTAAGTATGTAATACATTGTAGTAGTTAGTTAGAAAACTTGTGGGAGACGTTAAAAGATCATGATGTAATCTTGATTTTAGTTTTTCGTTGTAGTCTTTATAGTCTAATAATAACATATCAAGGGGTTTGGACACCTTTTCAATATCAACTGATATTAAAGCGACTGCAGACTGCAAGAGAATGCTCCATAACATAATCGATGAAAAGTTTGGAAAATTTTTAATTATTTTTTAAGATTATTAGAAATAGCTTTTTATTATAAAAGGCTTTAAAATATTTTTACCACGTAAAAATTTGCTCTATAGTTTGTCTCTTTTCTGCGTTTTTCAGTATTTCTGCAAAAAATTATTCTTTTCAATTTCGAAGTGATAAGTATGTGTTTCGAAATCATATCTATCGCGATCACATTCTTCTTTAGAATATATAATTTTTTTAATAAATACACAATTTTTTTTTTATAAAATAAATATATATCATAAGTATTAAATTTATTTTAATTATAATAAATAGCGTAAAATATCATAATGACCACCTCTTCTCACTATAGAGATGGGTGGGATACCATTTTCATCACTTTTATACTCTTCAGGGTACAAAGTAACGCTCAGTGCATCGTTAAAAAATCCATATATTTTTACCTGGATATTCAAACCTATTGGTAAGGCCAATAAATCTAGATCTTCTGCTCATTCTCCGATTGTTAAAATTTTTTCTATAAAGATATTGATATCATTATATAAAAAAGGCTGAAAAAGTGGGTCATTTTGCTTTTCTCATAGAGCTTTTGCAGCAATTAATCTTCCTATGCAAAAGGCTAAATTATCAAATTCTTCATCTTGGGTAAATTTATTAAATTCCACAAAAGCTTGTATTGGATTTCTTGCCTTAATTCTACGCAAATAGTTAATTATTACCATGAATTTTGCTTTCTTTTCTTCAAAACCTTTACTCACCATTCCATGAGCGAACAAGATTTTTTTGTTCGCTCACGGAGGGGATTAATTTTTATTTTTTAAAAAAATTATATATAAATTTTATAGAAAACAAATTTTTTTTAGAAATTTTAAAAAATCTAATTCGCAAAAATTGGGAAAGTAAATATTAATTTAATTTATGAAATTTATGTTTAAAACGTAATTTGTTTAAAATAAAACAGAATTAACTCAAAATTTTTATTTTTCTAATTATCAATTATATATCAAAATTTTTTTCCATAAAAAATTTTATATTACTAAAATTTTTGTTCGCTCACAGAGGGTGGTTTTTTTAGGCAAAAAATAGAGATTTCTAATGGTTTTGTTCACTCACGGAGGGGGGGAGTTAGGTAAAAAATTTATTTGCTCAATAAAATTAAGCAGGGATGTAGAGCATTGTAAATTTGTGGAGACATTAAAAATATTTCAAAGGTAGCAATGCATGACTGCACGATAATAGCAATTACCATCTCCTAGGCACTTTTTTCATCCAACAAAGTTATAGCGCGTACCCTTTTATAGATCTTTAAGGATAATGATTTTTTTAAAAAGAATTTCTAAAAACATCAACCTTATATCTCCTATTTATCAGTTTTAAATTTGCAATTCAGAATATTTTAAAATAAAAACAATTTTCTTCCTTCGAAATCAATAAGGACTGAGGTGCTATATATTCTATAAGAGCGTTTACATTTCTCACAAAAATTTCACTAAAAGATAAGATTTTTTTCATATCTTCTATAAGCAGTCAATAAGGATTTACAGTTTCAGGTAATTCTAGGAAATTTAAAGAAAAATCGCATGGATCGATTTTTATCCAAAATTTTATATTTGGATTTTCAGATTTTTCTGAATTTTTTAGAGTCTTAAAAACTTCATCATTTGGCTCATCAATTGCAGTATCTCCAGCATGTGCTTTTGCTCTAGATTTTTTCTGATCTTTAATTTTAACTTCTGATTGTGAAATTTCTTTATTTTGTGTTTTAAGCTGTTTTTTTATATTACTTGACCGAGTTAAGCTTCGTTTTTTGGCATGCATAATTTCCATTGACACTTTTGAAGTGGATCTACCTCTATTATTTCCTGAGCGTTTTGGGTTTGAAAGAGTGCAGCTTACACTCATAAAATTTATAAATATTATAATTTTATCTTTTTCAATCAAAATACTTCATTTATTTTTTGTCTAAAATCTCTTATATTTTTTATATATTTATTATTCTAATTATCATTTTCTCTATTTTCCTTAAAAACTCGATTAAATTAAATTTTAAATGAAAAGAAAAATATGAGTGGAACAGTGACTGAAACTTTGGTTCCCGGGAAATTCTTGTGTGTAATGGTTCATTTGCTACTTATCATAGTGATTTATTATCTGAGAGACAATAATATTTACGCGGGCGTGAAATCAACAGTAGCATCTGATGACGATGACTACAAATCTGCTGAAGCTGTTCTTTTAGTTTCTCTCGCATTTACAACTATTTGTTTGGCATTTGAATTGATAATTATTGTAATTGGGCTGACTATTTATTTTGACACTTTGAGCGCGACGTCAATATTTCTTCATGCCCTTGGGATTTTATTTTCTATTTGGTTTGTTCTCTTGTATTGGCCTTATTGGATATATTGATACATTTGGCTTTTTACCTCTTTTATTCCTTTTTTCTTTGAATTCATGACGGTTCTTACTGCAAGAATTTTCTTCTTATATGCCAAAATATATTAATTTTCATATATTTTGATAAGTAAAAATACTAATTTTTATATAAAAATCAGTATTTTATAGTAAAATTCTGCTTAGCCTAGTATACAAATATTAATCAATTAAAAAAATAACACCTATACAGTCTTCGTAAATAATTAATTTAAATTTTTTCAATGAAATTCAAGTGCTTTTATAGTAATCAAAATATGTCAAGCATAAGGTATTCTTTATATAGCGTTGAACTTCAAGTCTCTACCTGAAATAGAGATTCACACGGCCTCTTTGATTATGAAGCCAAAAACTTAGCCAAAAAATCCTCTAAAATTGTAAGTCCTTGCTGAGTGATCCGTAGTCAAGACACAATTACCACACCTCCTATTGAAGATGAATTGAAATTGCCTGAGGAAAACTCAAAAGTCCTTGCTATGGTTACCCAAATAGGGCCGAATTTTGTATATTTTTCATCTAGAAAGGCAAATTCTCAATTATTTTATATTGAAAATTAAAATTTATTATAAAAAGGATATTAAATAGACCAAATCAAGGCCAAAAACAGAATGATCAGATTTTTGAAAAAATGTGACTAGTTGTGAGCTCTATCAAAGGAAATAAAGGACAAAAAGGCTACAAACTGTCTGAAGGAGATATAATACGTATTGGAAGAATTATGCTGAGAGTAAATGAAATTAATGGGTCAAGGGATACAAGCACCAACACTCTTAATCTTCTTAATCTTAATTAGAGATCGACGGCTGCTAAGCCCCTATTGTTAACGCAGTCACCCAGACCCGAAGGTTCCTCCGTTTTGCGACTTCCGCCTACAGGACTCTGATTTTACAGCTAGCCTGTTCTGTTGGTCATCTCCTCCTTGCAGGTTGAACCCTGCTCCAGTGTTGAGTGGGCAGATTTTAGGAATTCTGCGGCCTTGCTTGAGGCTGTGAGAACGAGGTCGCCCATTCCGAAAATTTGAAAAGCAAATTTTCTGGTAGGGCTATCGGCCAGAAGGGAAATCCAAGCCCAGGACGCAACGCCCGGTATCGCGCTAGGGAGTTGCCCGAATGATCAGGAGAGAACTCCTGATGCTGCTGAGCTTCCCCTTTCCAACTTGGAATACCCTTCTTCCCCGAGGTAAAAACCCTTGGTTACAAAATGAGCTGCGGTCGACCAAATTCGACATTGCGCTCCATTGTGCCAAGGTAAAACCTTGCCGGATACACACTCCGAGCGCCTTTTCCCCTTCCACAAGGTCCCCGGTTGACCCGGCTACAGGTGTTGAGAAAAAGGGCTGGCTTTCCAGTCGCCATTTTTATGTATATCAAGCACCAACACTCATGGAGAACTGAGGTGTAATCAAATATATAATGGAGGGCTTGGCAGTCATAAAAGAACAACTATAACTGAAGAACCATTAAATGTGGAAATTGCGTCTGAAGGGGCTAATCAGACTTCAGAAAACGCAGAAGAAAAAGCCCAGTGCCGTATTTGCCTTATGGAGACTGCGTCTGAAGAAGACCCTCTGATAGCTCCTTGCAAGTGTTCTGGAACAATGGGGCAAATTCATTTAAATTGCTTGCAGCATTGGCTGACAAGTAAAATTACAATAAGAGAGGTAAGTACACTATTTTTCTCTTATAATTAAAATTTTTTAAATGAAAATTTATATGAAAAATAGTTTATTTATTAATTTAAAATTAAAAAAAAATAATTTACTGTAATTCAAAATCTTATTCCTGGAAAACACTAGAATGCGAGCTCTGCAAAATGAAATACCCCGACAAGCTCTGTGTAAAGGGAGTCAATTACGACCTTTTAGGCTTCGAAAAGCCAGACTCCAACTACATAATTCTTGAAAACCTAAATAAAGACAGAAGCAACCTGCGAACAATCCATGTGATCACTATGCAAAATAAAAACAATATTCGTCTAGGCCGAGGCCATGACTCTGATATCAGAATAACTGACATTTCAGTCTCAAGAAACCACGCAACTATCAGAAATTCCAAAATTGGGCTGATTTTAGAAGATAACGAAAGCAAGTTTGGGACGCTTGTACAGATAAAAAAGCCAATTTTTCTTGATATTGGCTCAAGCATAGCAGTCCAGTGTGGTAGAAGTGTAATGGCAGTTACATTAAAAAAAAATTGGAGCTTATTTTCTTGCTTTGGATCATGCAGCAAAGCTGAAGAAGCAGAAATACCTGAAATAGAGCATTCTGTGAGGGAAATAACTGATGAGTCTGAACCTAGAGATTCCTCATCATAATAATTACTTACTCCTCCTCAATTAAAACAAAAATTTCATTTTTATAGAAACAACAATTGTAAATTTAATTTTAGAAAAAATCATAGCTAGCTTTATTTTTAAGTGCCAATAGAATGATATTTTAACAAAGCTAGTACTTTAGATCAATAAATTTTATGAAAATTTTTAAATTTTTTAAAAATCTAATATAAATACCTTTAAATTTGAACAGATTTTTGCCCCAATTAAAGGGGAATTAATATTTTGGAGGTATGTATTATTTAATATTTTTTCCTAAATAATTACTTATTCTCTTTTTTTGGTTTTATTATTGGAATCTGTAGGTTTTGGCTCTTCTTTTTGAGAGTTTCCTGTAGCAGAGTAATAAGCATACCCTATAATAATCACAATAGCCCCTACTACAATAATCCAAATATTAGATAAATGTCCTTCCTCATACGGAATTTCATGATTTTCTAAATTTTCCATCTGCTGTTCTTGATAATATTTTTCAGCTTCCTTTTTCGACTCCATAACTTCGTCAAATAGCATAAAATGTTTTTGTGTGAACTTTATTTCTTGATCTTTTTTAAATTGAGTGCTATCCCACACCAATAAATTTTTATGCTCAGGCTTTAAATCGCTAAATGATTGAGTTTTCATTAATTCTGCGACTATCTCATCTGTAATTTTATCCATACAACCAATAAGAATATCCCCGACAATTTTATTCATAATTTTTTCTTCAAGGTCGCTTGGCATGTTTTGTAAAATTTGTTTAATTATTGGGTCATCTTCTGAGATTTTATATCTTGCAAGAGATAAGCAGCCAGCTAATTTTTGTTTTCTGCCTAAATCAGCTTCTTCAGAAAGCTCAGGGTGTTCTTGGTAATATGATTCTTCTGATTGTTTTGTGGCTTCTTCCATTATTTCAATTTGTTCAGGTGTGAGGTGGATATCACCTAGTAAATCATTTTTATCATATGACAATATACCTAAATCTCCCTGTGAGCGAAGAAAGCCATTGGAAAAATCCCCAAAAGCCCATCCTCAGTGAGCAAATAAAAATTTTTGATGAAAAAGTTTTTTATATATAAGTGATAATTAATATAATGAAATCTCTAGCTAATTCTGTTTAATTTTGAACAAATTGCATTTTAAAATAAATTAAAATAATATTTGCTTTCCAATTTTCGTGAATTGGGATTTTGTAAAATTTGAAAAAAATTATTATAAAATTACATATAAATATTTAAGAAAAAATATTAACTCCTCTCTGAGCAAAAGTTTTTTGTTCGCATACAGAGGAGTAAGTAATAAATTTTTAGAATTTACATAGGAGATATTTTTATTTTCTCCAAAAAATATAATAAATTCTCGTAGACTATATGTATTAAAATTAATTAAAAAAGAATAATTTATCATAGTCACTCTTGTAAGCCAATTCTCTGAAATTTGTTTGAATTTCTTCGACAGTGTCCTTATCAATATTCTCAACACAATTTAGCACCATTTCACCAATTACTTTATTTGAGGCTCTTTCTAAATCTTCATTTTCCAGCCCGTCAAAAATAGCTCTAAATGACTCTGCATCTGAATTGATTCTGATGTGGACCAGATACAAGCATGCTGAAACTTTAGTTTTCTGCATTTCCTCTAAAGATTCTGCTAGAAAAATCATTGGTAAAACAATGAGAAATCTCAGCATTTTTATATATTTAATTATAAATGAATTGATTTTTGTTTAAAATTAGCTAAAAGGCTTGAATATTTATTGGGAAAGGCTTATCAATTAGCCCTTCATGATAAAATATTACTGACAATTAATTTAATTAATTTATTGCGAAAAACAGTTATTGCCGCAATGCTCTGCATACAAATCGCTTGCAATTGCTTTTAAGCTTTGCAGTTCTTTTAGAATCGAGCTGATAGAGTCTTCAATATCTAGCCCAGAATCATTTATTTCTCGCTCACATATTAAATTGATTAAATTTATCGGCTGCCTATTCTGATAACACTGTACAAGGTGCTTGATTTTTTTCAATTCATTTCAAATTTTGTATAGTTCCTCTTTATTTTTTATCATAATATTAGAATCTTCCACAATTTTTGCTTTTAAGCCTTCTTCATGCTCAATTTCTTCTTTTAATTGGGAATTTTGCGAAATTATACTCTTTTATAATAAATTTAATGGTTTTTATTCTAACACCCTAACACCCTGAAAGCAAAGGATTTTTTTAATTTTATACCAATCTCAGTCCTTTTCAGTATAATTCGTTTTGTATTTCTTCTAATTCCATTGTTTGGTCCTGAAGCACCAAAAATTCTTCTTTTTTAATTCCATGCTTTTTATAATCATCTATCTGTTTCGTAACCATCATATTATTTCGAAAAATTTCATCATTTTCTTTAGCTATTTGAAACAGCTCTTTATTCTTTTTTTTATTTTGTGTTAAAATTTTGCTTCTTATCCTCAGCTCATATCTTTGCTTCTCTAAATTTTGCATTATCTTGTCATTTTCTTGGATTTCTTGGGTTAATTCTCGGCTTTTAGCATAAGTTTTGCCTTGAATTTCTAGTTCTTTTGCTTTAATTAAATCAGATAATTGTTTATTTTCTGTTCATTTTTCATCGATTTGTTGGTCTATCCCTTCAGAATAATTATCGAATTTTTGTAAATCTTTGTTGAATTTTTCGATTTTTAAGGACTGTTCATCAAGGTCTTTTATAAGTTTTTCTATTTTCAAATCTCTTTCTTCTTTAGTTTCCTCATTAATTCTTCTAGGAGAACTCCCTGGCATTCGTCTTATCCTATCTTTATTTGTAGGAGTTCTATAAATACCTTTGGTTTGAGATAATTTACTGCTTGAATTAGGCGTAAAATTTGGAGAAGCTTCCACACTTCGAATCCGCTGTTGAAATAGAGGTGGCTTTTGAGGCGTTTTTTCAGCGCTTTTTTTAAAATTTGGTGACAAATAGTAATCTTGTATTGGATGTGACATTAAAGTAAAATTTATCCCTTTTCCTATGGATTTATAATAATTATTCTAATTTTTATTTTTTTTATAGTTAATATATAATAATATACATTTTTATGGAATAATAAACAAACCATGATTCCACAAATAAACCAAGAACGGTATTTTCATAATAAAGACCGCATTTTATTTGAAAAATACATGCAAGCTGAAGATGTCAGGCAATTTAAACCAATTGGACACTCCCTTATTAAACAAATGCAGATAGAGCCGGCTGTAAATTTAATAAAAAATACAAGAAAAATAGAAATCTTAGAAAGCAAACTGCTTGAGGAGTGGAAATTTAAAGAAGAACAAAGGCTGAGGAGAATGAAAAAAATTGATCAAGAAAAAGACCATGATTATGGACTTTTATATCAAAGAGTTATAAGAGATTCTGCAAGACAAGAAGCAAAATTAATCAGAAAAAGCTTGCCAATGGGCCCAAAAGTGGACCCTTTGCCTTATTTAAAAAAGACAAGAGAAGCTTTATGCAACAGTCTGAGTTTAGAAAGTGAAGAAGAGATTATTAATGAAAAGTCGACTCCTGACCCTGGATTTGTGTATTTATATCCTCACGAACAAATTAAAAAAGGAATTGGCTTTAAAATCGGAAACAAAACCAAAATAAAGTCAAAAAGTAAGTCACCTTCCCCCGTTTCTTCTAAAACCCCTAGCAAGCTTATTAAGGCAAGTATATACCACAAAGCAAACACCTCAATCGACTCACCTTTTAATTTCAAGCTTCTATTGAAATAAATTATAATGTTAAATTAATAGATCAATTTTATAGATTTTTATAAATATCATGAACCCAGATCGTGATTACTTTTGCTCCTTTGAAGAAGTAAATAATCTTGATGATGATAATCGCAGATCCCTTCTAATAAGTGTAATGTTTACACAATATAGACCAGGCTCAGCTTACCCTCAATTTGCTGCAGCTAAAATATTTATAAAGCGAAATGAGAGAAATGAAGCAGAAGTCAATTTTTTAAGACAAGCTGGAAATTGTCACCCAAATGTAGTTAAGTTTTACTATGACGTAGATTTACCTGATCAAAAATATGTTATTTTTATGGAATTATGCAATAAAGGAAGCCTGGCTGATATTCTTTATGCTAAGCGCCATGATCCCACTACTTGGACCAAAGACGAGACATTAAGCATGTTTATCATTATCACAGAAGCACTTACAAGTTTGCATAGTGCGGGCATAGCTCACAGGGACGTTAAGCCTCATAATATTTTTGTTAACCAAGAAAACGAAATCCGCATTGGCGATTGGTTAAGCATAATATTAAATCCGACACACCTATACCCTAACTAACTCAACACCCCCATACCCTTTATTTTTATATATTTTTTTAATTCTATAGTTAACTACACTGACTGGCACGGGGTGCTTTTGGCTCGAAACTGAGCCAAAAGCACCCCGTGCCAGTCAGTGTAGTTCACTATAATAATGAATTGATATGCTATGCCTCTAACGATATTTCTTCATATAAAATAATCTAGAATAGGTAATTATATTTATAAGCGCATCTTTAATTTAAATTAAAATTAAAATTCCTAGTGCATTCTTAGTCAAGAATTACACTGTATTTTAGTTTATTATTGCTTATTAAGCATGAATCAAGTTGAAGTCTGTTTGAAAACAGAAAGACTCAAATAAGCCATTAAAGTTTAATTATGTATATAGGCACATACCTATCTAGCATCCATTGCGTCAAATTAATGCGTATTTAAAGATGAATCTACTTAAATAGCTTATTTCGTATATAAATACTATATATCTCATAATATAAAAATAATAGCCATTTAATGTACTAGAGATATGAAATAAAACACTTAATATGTGTGCAAACTTATTATAATTTGTGCTTTAAAAGAGTAGGAATAAAAATAGTGCAATATTTCTTATTATCAAGATTGAGGAGAGCAGGACGTTCGGATTTCATGCCAGACATTTATGCACACATAATAAAACTCTGCTCCATTTTAAAGAGGGTTAGTCCACCAAAAAATGAAATTTACCAATATTTATTCCAATTAAAAAAAAGTTGTTAGGTAGAATTAATCCTTCTTTGTTACAAGGCAAACTTGTTTTTAGTATAAATGCTTGCATATAATGTTTTGCATATAATTAATAGTTTTAATAGCGAAATTCTTTTAAAGTTTAAATAGATTGCATTTTAATGTCTAAATTTATTAATATATTAAAAATGTTTGAAAATTTAGATTAAAAGAAAAAAAAAATATCTAATTAATTTTTAGTTTACCAATTTTATATGAGAGCTTTATTTGCATAATAAACATATTATAAATATATTTTTTGGCTTATATTTATTTCAAATTATGCAGAGCTAAAAGATTATGCAATTATCTAAGGCATGGCATATAGTTAAATTAAGTTTTTCTTTGAATGACATTTTTATAGGGGAGCACTCGCTATATAAATTCGCTATTAGGGGGTAGAGGTGCGAGATTGGGGAATGGCGGATGAGGTGTTGGGTTTCAATTTATGCTTGTCCAGGCAATTTCGGAGAATCTAAAGAAGTCAGGGTCGGTACTAAAAATACTGCACTTGGGACACATGGGTACATGTCCCCATTTTTGGAAAGAATGCTAGAAAATGGCGAAATAAGAAGCCCACACATTGATCCTTATAAGGAAGATGTTTGGTCAACAGGAAAAACACTCTATGAGATAGCCACTATGAATTTGGGAGCAGAAATAGGAAGAGATAACACAAAAATCCGCAAAAAGGTGCTGAAAAATATGAGATTTTTTTGGTATCATGATGATGCAATAGAAATTATTTTAAGCATGCTGACATGCGATAAAAATCTGAGACCAAGTATGGCTGAAGTCTGTGCAAGATTAAAAAGCTTACTCCCCCCTCCGTGAGTGAGAAAAAAAATTGGAAAAATCACTATTTTTTGCCCAAAAGCCCACCCTCGTGAATGAATGAACAAAAATTTTTTGTAATAGAAAAATTTTTTATGGAAAAAAAATTTATATATAAGTGTTAATTAGTATAATGAAATCTCGAGCTAATTCTGTATAATTTTAAATAAATTGTGTTTTAAAACATAAATTTTAATAAATTGAATTAATATTTTTTCCAATTTTTATAGAAGTGAGATTTTTAAAATTTCGAAAACAAATTTTCTATAAAATTTATATATAAATTTTTTAAAAAAAAATTAACCCCCTCTGCAAGTGAACAAAATTTTTGTTAACTCACGGAGGGGGGAGTTAGATATTAATAATTTTGGCATTCCTGGCTTTAACCCATACTTGATTAAGCCAAATAAATCGTCTGCAAGTACTCCTACTGTAGCAATTTCTGGACTTGGATGGCGGACTACAGGAACTGGAGGGCCAAGTGTTACAGTAAGTTATGAGCAGCCTGAAACAATTTCTCGAATTAAATGGCGGACTACAGGAACTGTCCCAGAAACTTATGAGCCGCCCACAGTTTTATATCAACCGATTGATGAAATTGAGACAGAAGGCTGCGAGCTTTGCCGGTGTAATGAAAAATTTGTACACAGCTGCGGTCTAAAAACAGACATTAACCAATTTATTTCCTATATAAATGAAATGGTGGCGATAAATGAACAATATAATTATGTCACATGCGAAGAATGCAGAGGATTGTTTTCAATTGAGATTTTTCAATGCAGGAATAATCATTTTGATAGATTGCCTGGTGGATTTTTTACGTAATTATTTTATTAAACAATAATTTTTAATCAATATGAACTGAATTTGATTTAAAATAAAAATAATCATAGAATTTCAGAAATGATTATTATTTTATAAGCAAAATAATGAAATCTGCATTGGAGAATTTAGAGAATTAAAGAAATCAGCGAATAATCCTGCACTTTAAAAATTGCTAGAAAATAAAATATGTAATCTAAAGCCAGTAAAATGAAAAAAGGCAAGCTTCTACCAATTTGAGAGTTCTAAATTTGATTTATTTATTATTAAGCCTAGCAAACGTTTAATTTCAATTTCAAACTGTAAGTTTAATTAATACCACATTTATCATTATATCATAAATATTTATAAGAGATTCTGCCGGACAAGAAGCAAAATTAATCAGAAAAAGCTTGTGCAGTAGTCTGAACTTAGAGAGTGAAAAAGAAATTATTAATGAAAAGCTGACTACTGAACCCGGATTTGTGTATTTATACCCGCACGAACAAATTAAGAAAGGAATTGACTTTAAATTCAGAGAAAAAACCAAAATAAAGTCAAAAAGTAATTCACCTTCCCCCTTTCTTCTAAAACCCTAGCAAGCTTATTAAAACAAGTATATACTACAAACAAACACTTCATTTGGCTCACCTTTTAATTTCAAGCTTCATTAAATTAATAGATTAATTTTTATAGATTTTTATAAATTTATGAACCCAGATCGTGATTACTTTTGCTCCTATGAAAAAGTAGACAATCTTGATGATAATAATCGCAGATCCCTTCTAGTAAGTGTAATGTTTACACAATATAGACCAGGCTCAGCTTACCCTCAATTTGCTGCAGCTAAAATATTTACAAGGCGAAATGAGAGTAATGAAGCAGAAGTCAATTTTTTAAGACAAGCTGGAAATTGTCACCCAAATGTAGTTAAGTTTTACTATGACGTAGATTTATCTGATCAAAGCTATGCAATTTTTATGGAATTATGCAATAAAGGAAGTCTAGCTGGCATTATTTATAATAATCGCCATGATCCCACTACTTGGACCAAAGACGAAACGTTGAGCATGTTTATCATTATCACAGAAGCATTTACAAGTTTGCATAGTGCGAGCATAGCTCATAGAGACGTTAAGCCTCATAATATTTTTGTTAACCAACACAACGAAATTCGTATTGGCGATTTCGGAGAATCTAAAGTCAGAATCGAAAACAAATTACTCCACTTGGGACGCCTGAATACATGTCCCCATTTTTGGAAAGAATGCTAGAAAATGGCGAAAAAAAAAGCCCACACATTGACCCTTATAAGGAAGATGTTTGGTCAACAGGAAAAACACTTTATGAGATAGCCACTATGAATTTGGGTGCAAAAATAGGAAAAGCTGACAGAGAAATTCGCCAAAAGGTGCAGAAAAAAATGAGAATTTTTGGGTATCACGATGATGCAATAAAAATTATTTTAAGCATGCTGGTATACTATAAAAATCTGAGACCAAGTATGGCTGAAGTTTGTGCAAGATGAAAAAGCTTAGATATTGATAATTTTGGCATTCCTGGCTTTGACCCATACTTGATAAAGCCAAATAAATCGTCTTCAAGTACTCCTGCTATTACAATTTCTGGACTTAAATGGCCGACTACAGGAACTGGAGGACCAAGTGTCACAGTAAGTTATGAGCAGCCTGAAATAATTTCTCGAATTGAATGGCGGACTACAGGAACTGGAGGGCCAAGTGTCCCAGAAACTTATGAGCAGCCCACAGTTTTGTATCAACCCATTGATGAAATTGAGACAGAAGGCTGTGAGCTTTGCCGGTGTAATGAAAAATTTGTACACAGCTGTGGTCTAATAAGAGACATTAACGAATTTATTTCCTTTATAAATGAAATGGTGGTGATAAAAGAGCAATATAATTATGTCACATGCGAAGAATGCTGAAGACTTTTTTCAATTGAGATTTTTCAATGCAGGAATAATCATTTTGATATACTACCTGAAAATTTTTTTGTGTAATTATTTTATAAGACTTTATTTGTAATATATATGAACTGAATTTTCATTGAAAAGAAAATAGCTTTTAGAATTTTAAAAATGATTAATATTTTATAGACAAAATAGTGAAAGCGGATTGAGAATTGAGAGAAATCAAATAATAATCCTTCATTCTGGAAAATAAAATATGTAGTATAGAGTCAATAAAATGATAAAAGGCTAGCTCTTATCACTTTGAGATTTCTAAATTTGATTTATTTATTATTAAGCTGAGCAAACGCTTTAATTTCAATTATGACAAACTAAGCAAATGAATTATCGATAATTCTAACTGAGCCCCAGAGAATATTGAACAAATAAGAGTTCTGGATAATCAACATTTCTAAATAATGGAGCAGATTAAAGGATGCTGGCCAATTATTTAAAAAATGCCTGTGATAAATAAGAAATATTGTGATATCACTTGTATGGAATATTTATTTATTATTTCCATTATAAATTTTTCAAATGCAGCTTATTATTTTCCCTCATAATGATATTCTATAGTGTTTTTCTAAAACATAAATTTATAAGATGCAGCATCAACAATTAAATTTATCTTTCATTATTAAATTAATACTTTTTTTCTCTGAACTCATTTTTTACTATATCCGATTCATTTATTCTCTTCCATACAGTTCTTCAATCTTATTGACAAACCCTTCAAGCCCAATCATAACGACCGTCACATTATCTGTCGTTTTTTTATTTAATGCAGTATTCATTACGTTTTCTACCGCAATTCCACATAACTGGTGAATATTTTTCGTTTTTGCTTCATAAATGCAGGATCATACACTTTGAATCACTTCTTTATTGCTCATTTTATCATAAATTCCGTCAGTTGCGAGGATGATAAAATCAAAATCCTGATGGATTCTGAATGCTTTAATTTCTGGTGTTGATATTAAAACATTAGGGTTTCCGTTATAAGCTGGCAATTTAGCTTCGATATCACCAATAGTTCGACTTACTGAAAGTCGGCCTGGGAAAATACGATATGGTCCTGTGATTTGGCTTCCCTGGATTTGTGCAGTTGATTGATAAATTTTTAAAAAAATTATTTTAATTTTTTTATGTTTTTTAAAAATAATTTAATTTGTCAATATATAAGAAAGCTACAGTTTTTAAATAGATAATAGCCTGAATAACAAATAGTTAAGTAAAATATAGCTTTAAATAGTATATAATAAATAATCTATAATAAAAAATTTGCCTAATTGATAAACTTTTCCGCCATTATTGATGATTCTTTGCCTTTCTTTTTCTTCACAAGGTTTATGATCTTTTGACAAAGGATAAATCTTTGTTCCACCTTCGCCGCTCATCACAGCCCTAGAATCTCCTACATTTGCAACATAGCAATTATCACCAACAATTAAAACTACATTAGCACAGCTCCCTGACCTTTCTATTGGCTGATTCCTTTCTGCAAATTCAATAAAGGCTCTTTCTGCAGCTTCAAAACCATTCCTAATTGCTTCTTTAGGATTATGAGGGAAATATTGATTTCTTATCACATATTGGTGCAAATTATCTCGCAGAAAGTCAGCGCATGCTGCACCTCCGTGGCCATCATAAACTCCAAAAAAAGAACAACGGGGTCATGGTTCTCCACTTCGATGAGGAGGTTTCATGATATTTAAAATGATGCTGACTCTATCTTCATTATAATTTCTAACTAAAATTAATATTTTTATTAAAATTCAATTTTTTTATTCTTTTTAAAATAAATGCCTTTTACTATCAAATAAAAGCGTAAATTTATATTAAAAATACCTTAGGTATACAATTTTTAATTATTTTTTTCTGTACCATAACTAATCCTTGATTTGTGCTTGCAGCATACGCTTTAACTGACCCATTTTCTTTTAGTGAGCATTTCGTTTGGTCTGAAGGAGTTTCTGTATTCCCAAAAAACCTCCTATCAGTGCTCCTCGCAGTTAAAGCTCTACCCTCAATTGCTGAAGATCTTCCAGGTAAATTCTGTGTTGGGCTTTGCAGTGATTTCGACGACCTCGAAGTCTGCGCACTTAAAAGCCGTGGGGAAGACAAAAAATCCATTGATAAAGGTATTAAAGAAGGCACTGAATTTTTCCATTGTGGATGTGAGGTATTTTCCTTAAGTCTTTCATAGCTTCGTGTATTTGGGTTTGAAATTGACATTTCTAATAGGAAATATCATAATACCTAAATAATTTTTTTTAATTTATTTCCATCTGGGGTTATATTCTAAATACCTCCACAAAAAAATTAAAAATTCTTCTTCTCTTTCTATTTGTGGCGCATGCCCACAGTCTTTTATTACGATTTCTTGGTAACTTCCGCCATTTTCGCTATATAAATCTAGGACTCTTCGGATTTGTCTGAGCATTGGTTGAGGGCGGTATAGCTCTTTTCCAGGGTAGCCTTTGATTTTTCCTAGCATTCCAAGAACAGCAGGGTCACTGGTACTGCAGTCTGAGATATAAGTGTCTTTATCCCCTCTCAGCCATAATATTGGCGGTTTAGGGTATGTGTGGATTATTCGTGATAAATTGTGATACTTTGCTGAGCATGCATTAAAATATCCTTTATTTCCAGGCCGCCAGCCAGGCCAGTTGATTGAAGTTTGGTAGTTTCCAGGCAAAAAATCGTCCCCTGTTTTTGATAAAAAGAATTCACTGACATATTCTCTTTCTAATTCCTCAGTCATTTGTTTTCCTCTTGTATACCAGGTTTTTCTTATCTCTTTTTTATTGAATAATTACTAATTTTTCTAATAAAAATATTTTTTTAACTAAAAAATCGAAAGGGGATAAACAGCCAAGTAAATGAGAATACGCATTTTTATCAGAAATCCCTTTTTCAATTGAAGATTTCATATATAAAGCTATAGAAGTCACCCCAGATCCAGCATAATCTGGAAACGTTGGAGTGCCTAGTTCGTCTTCAGTCCCAAACAGTCCATAAGGAGATCCTGGTGACTCTAAAATTAAAGATAAAATTTTGTCACTGTGGTCTATTGCATATTGCATTGCAATATTCCCACCTCTGCACCAACCCATTATATGGGTCTTTTTAATATTCAAAGCTTCTATAACTCCGTGTAAATCGTCTGAAAAATTCTTTAAACCCTGGGTAGCGTCAATTGGGACTGCTGATGAATGGCCATGACATCGTAAATCATAAGCAATACATCGGTATCTTGGAGGCATTTTTTGGATTATTCGCCTGTGGAATAGAGAGGTTGCGAGATAGCCGTGGATAAAGATGATAGGAATTCCGGATTCTGGGCCGCATTCCATGACGTTTACGTTCATTCAGGGCAGTGGGAGAGTATAAGACCTAACTAATTTGTTCATATATGAAAATTTTTCATATATTTTTTATGAAGAATTATAAATTGATTAGTGATGAAGCTTTTAAATAATGTTTTTAAGGCTTATTTAGTAGATATTAACTCTGAAATAAGAATTATTTGTTACTCTTTTGGGATATTATCATGAATTTTCTCCTGGCTGCATAATATATTTATTAATTTTTAAAAAAATTATAAAGGGAAGATAGTTTTTTATATCAATTTTACTTTTAATAAGAAAATTTATATAATCACATTTAATTTGGATTATTTCGTAAAACCAAGTGATATTTATATAAAATAAACTTAAATTTGTAATAGAATAGTGTTTTTATAACCCATTTACTTGCTAGTCTTCTTTATCTGCCTAAAACCATATTTTCCGTAATTATAAAAATGCCCATAATAATAAAATGCAAGGTGGAGAATACGATAAGACCCGTTGGTTCGATCTAATCAAGCATGGAAGAGTCGAAGATGTAGCTTCAGAATTAGAGCGCTTCCCAAAAAATTTTCTCCTGGCGTTAACTGATAATTCTCAATCTCGTCACACATGTCTTTTCCATGCTATCCAATCAGAAAATGCTGAGCGCGGGAATCAATTAGTTGAGCTTTTATTAAGAGAAGGCGCGGACTGCAATTACAAAGTGTCCTAGGATTTTTTTAAAAATTATTTATTTTTTTATTAAATCGGTCCTTTTGCCAATAATACCTTTTATAAATTAATTTTTAAATAAGCCTTACAAAGACATGCTCCAACAAACAGCTTTATTTTATGCATCTCGTTATGGCCGAGATCGACAAGTAGAAATGCTCCTAAACGCAGGCTCAGATCCAAACCAGAGAGACGCTTATGGACAAACTGCTCTTTATTATGCATCTCGTGAAGGCCACTGCTCCACAATAAATATTTTGATCTCAAGAGGCTCAGAAGTAAACTCAGTCGACAACCAAGGCCAAACTGCAATTTTTTATTCAAGCCGCGAAGGAAAATTCGAAGCATCTCGAACACTTGCAGAAAATGGGGCAAATGTAAATTATACCTAAAAAATTATTATAATTATTCCCTCAATTTTTCTTTTATTAATTATTATAAAATCATAGAAAAAAGGCATATTTAGATAAAACAAAAAATACTCCTTTGACCTGGGCACGAAGATCAAATAACCAGCAGCTCGTAGAATATTTGATATCTAAAGGGGCAATAGATAGGTCATCAAAGGCAAAAAAAGAGGATGGAGGGAAAAAGAAAGAAGAAAAAAGGAAAAGCGAAAAGAAATTAAAATGCCAATTGATGATTGTGAATGATAAAGGAGAAGAAAGACCAGCTACACAAGAAGAATTGGCTGAGTTTGAAAATAATTTTCCTGATATAGCGAAATATTGGAAAAACCCAGAAACTTTGAAGGATTTGGAAACGATGGACCCAGACATTGTTGATAAATTGAAACCATGGGAAAAGCCAGGGAAAAAACTCATAAATGTATTGTGGAGGACTAATCACTCATGGATTTTTCATGAACCTGTAGACCCAATGAAGCTGAATTTGCCTGATTATTTTGATGTGGTGAAAAATCCGATGGATTTTGGGACTATTAAGAAAAAACTGAATAACAATGTACAGTAAATAGGCCAAATAGCACAAAAAATAATAATAATAAATTTTAAAAAATAAAATAATATTTTTTTTATGTATATATACATCAGGCGAAGAGTTTATTAAAGACCTCGAATTAGTCTTCTATAACTGCAGGCTTTTTAATCCTCCAGAGTCTGATGTGATTAAGATGTGTAATCAAGTTCAAAGCGTATATCAAACCCAGCTGCAACAGTTAGGACTTGAGAAATACAAACAGCAATAAAAATATTTAAGTAATTTGCTTCCCTTTAAATAATTTTTACTATTTAATTTTAATGTTTATCATATAGCCTAGTTAATGGCTTATTTTTATATGAATTATAGATAATTAAAAGATTTTTATCAAGCAGCTTGAATGGATCAGAAATCTTATGCATTATGTGGCTTTAGTTTCATAAAAATTAAATAGGAAATCCAAGATGAGAAGAATCATTTAAAGCTACAATTTTCTTTGATTTCTGAAGTTTAAATAGAATAATAATATTATAGCAAAAATCTCTTCTCGGCTTGGCCTTTTTTGATTATTTTTAAACGAACATATAGGCATATAAAGATGTCAAGGGCTATAAAAGACAAAAATTGCGAAAATAAATAGATGAAAGTACCAAAGACAAATATATGCTAAAAAGGTAAAAAAAGCATGACTTTACAATATAAAATAGATAGCCTAGGAAAATCTCTTCATATAGACTTAAAAAAGTTATTATAAAATTACATTAATTTTAAAAGATTTGCTTTTGAGTGCTAGCACTCAACAAGTTATATAGTTTAATTTGAATTTTTTACTATAATTTAAGCTACCTTTATTAATAATGTCTTAAATAATTAATATGATTTTTTTTAATTTTCTGTTCTAACATTTAGCTTATATTTTTTACAAATTAAGTATATTCAGTTTATTTAATGAGACAGCAAGCTTTATATATATATCTATAATAAATGAGTCTAAATTCAATGCATTAATTTATATCTAAAACTTGGAATTATTATAAAGCAATAATCAGTCAGTCAAGAAATTGCTTTCTCAAGCATAATTTTAATATTAGACATTAAATTACAATACCTAAATACTGGATAAATTTTAAGTTTCCCAATCCAATTTATCAAGATCTATATTATACATCCTTTCGCTCACAAACTTGCTCAAATCGTTCTCCTCTTCTTCGTCTTCGTCAAATGTTTTTGATCTTTTGATTATTTTATTAATTTTCTGCTCATTTAATTTTCACTTTTTTTTTGACTTGTCTTCTAAAGCATAAGCTAAAATTTCGAAGATATTTTGGAAAAAGGCGAGGTCGACTTCATATTTATGCTTCATCAGATTGAAAAACTCACCGTCCATGTCGAAAATTTCCTCTGATGAAAGATCAGTGAAACAGTCTTCAAATTCCAAGTTACAGAGGTGGATGGAGTTGCAGACTTTTTGGGCGGTTATTGTAGCAGTGAACACAAATTGACGTCAATTTGCATTAAATATTTTATCCTATTTAAAGGAAAAAATTATTATCTGATAACTAGCAGTCGAGTTTTTTATAAAGAAAGGGTAATGTGAATATTATTGTATGTTTTTATTTTCTTATAATGAATAATTCCTGATGACTTTGATACTCTTAGCATGTACATTAAAGTTAGTATTAAACATTCTCCACTAACACTCCATGCGTGAGCAAACATTCTTTTAAAAGTTTATACTTAAATTTTTTTTTGAAATAAAAAATAGAATTCGAAAAATAAAATTTACTTTATATGTAAATCCGAGCTTATTAAAATTTAATAATTTTTCAATATAATAATCATTATACATAAATTCATTATATAAAAAGACTTTGCAAGCTCACGAAATAGGTCGATTTCTCAAAATTATAGAATTTTCTTAGTATTGATTGTTCATGGAGAGGGAAATAAGCCTCTTTAAGCTGTATAGCTGATAAGTGAATGAAAAAATTTCATCAATCGAAGGAGCATCTTTGGAATTTGCTCTTAAATACTCCATCAGATGAAATTTATTGAAAAATACATCACTTTTTGGAGTAGAAGTATTTTCCTTTGTTTCCAGATCCTCAATTATTTTGGCTTGGAGACATGCTGAAAATCCAACTGTTAAATCCTTCAGAGATGGATAAGCATCAATAGGATCAGTTTGGCATTGAGAGTGAGGAATTTCAGAATTATGGTGGTGCGATGTCATTTTTTTATTATAATCTCGAATAAATATGGAAATACTGTTCAAAAAATAATATCAATCATAATTAACTGTGAGGAAAATAGCAGCACATTTAAAATGGCACGGCGATCAGCCTGCTCTCTTAGCACCTGTAGAAAGAGGAGGATCTGAGACCTTGTGAAGGGAAAGGGCAACCAAGCTGACGTAAGGTATGGCGGCTTAGTGTCTTTAACTTGGGTTGTGAGTGCTAGCCCTTATTCAGGGAACAACTCCAAGCTGTGCAATCAGACTGGTAAGTAAGAGGGAAGCAAGTGACGTGAAAAGCCGATATTGCTAATCTAAGCTAATTAAGTGGGGAAATAAAATTTTTTAAAAAAATGCTTGGCTGTATATATTTTAGTGAATTATTATTCCTATTATTACTTAATAATTGCTGCCTAGATTTAATTTACGGAGTATTTATATGCTTTCTTAGATTATAAATTTAATATATTTTGAAATATAATTAGCTTGCTTTTTCGTTTTATAAAAATATGGATGAATAGATAGTGTAAATGGCAAATATAATGCCTTATTTTTGCCTTGAATGATTTTGATAATATTTATCAGGCCTTTAAATTAAATTTAAAATGTTTTTTTTTGCAAATTTTTAAAAGGAAAAATTGAACTAATTTTCTTTTATGCGCATTCAATAAAAATTTTATGCTTTAATAGGCCATTTTCTTTAAATGACATATTGACTTAAAGTAAAATTCTAATAGATAAGAGCTAATTTTAGCTCTGAAACTCACTTTAGAAAAACCCTAAAAAAACCATATCTTTGAGCCTAATGAAGCTATAGAAATACAAAATGCTAAGATTCCTTGCCCCATTAAATTGAATAAAATCCTCATTTAAATTTAAAGGGGTTTAAATTTTATTTTCTATATTATTGATTGTTGCTTTAAAAATAGAATCTCTTTCAATTTAGCAGATTATTATTTTGTTCTGATTTAAAATGAAGAGTTAAACGGCATAATTTTATAAATTTAATAATTAGGATCAATTTTTTCAATGCTGTTGTGATAAGCAGTCAAATTTCAATTTAAATGTTAATTTCCTCATGCATTTTGATATGAATACATTAAACCTCCAAAATTCTCAGGTCCAGCATACTTTAAAAGTTCTGTCTAATATATCAACAATTCTATTAAAATACTAGTATGTTAAATTGATGATTTTGTTTGTTCATGAAGTTCTGTTTGGGAGTTCATCCAGGATATATGAAATTCTATTTCCTATAAGTAAGAATGATGAATAATTGGATCAAAATTTGTGGATTAATAAAATTTATTTGAAGAATACATTAATCGTTAATCTAAAAACTTTCATTTAATTAAATAATCTAAACTAATTTTAAAATATTATAAATTCTATAAAATTTTGCGTTATTATTTACTAAACGATTTTTAATCAATTATAAATACTCATTCCTCTTATTTTAAGTCGAATTTACCTAATTGAAAATCATATTAAATCAATTTTATAAAATAGAAATTATATTTCTATAATTAAAATGGTAGATTTTGTTTGCTCTGAGCCCTATTGCGAAGACCTACCAGAATTTGTGTGCATTTGCTCAGGTCTTAAAACATTTTGATGTGGAGTTCATCTTCCAGCTCATCTAGTTACCTCAAAGAAGCAGCATAATGTTGAATTGATTTCTAAATCACCTTCTATGGCAAATCAAAGTCTCCCAGTTTCTTCAAAACCTCAGCATAAATCTGAATTAATTACTAACTCGCTTTCTATAGCAAATCAAAGTCTTCCAGTTTCTTAAAAACCTCAGTATAAATCTGAATTATTAACTAACTCACCTTCTATGACAAATCAAAGTCTTCCATCAAAAACTCAGCATAAATCTGAATTAATTACTACATCACCTTCTATGGTACATAAAAATCCTCCAGCTAATTTAGCTTTCTCAAAGACTCAGCATAATGTTGAGTTGATTCCTAAGCTGAAATCTGAATTTAATGCAAAAATGAAGGAATTAGAATGCTGATATATAGCCAATAGCAATAATTTAAATACTATAGAAAATAAAAAAGTTGAGACAATAGCAAATAAATTGAAGCTAATTTCTGAAATATTTAATAAAGATTTTGAAGCAAAACATTTTTTTGAAATAAAAGACAATCTGCTTCGAATATATGGTACAGAGGTGTGAAAATGGTCTTATTTGAGCATACCCATTTCTAAAAATTATCTTTATTACTCAGACCTACCCGTATCTGAAAATTATCTTTATGGCTTAGATCTCAATGATACTTGGGTAGTAGAGCTTCCTAATTCTGAAATTTTTTGCCTCAAACAAAACAATTTCGCATGTAAAATTGATCTAAAAACTTGAAGAATAAGCAAACTATTTACTGCTTTCAGCGGATTTGGCAGCTATTCATCACCGATATATTATAAAAATTGCATTTATTTATTTAGTAATGAATTTAGAGTCCCTTCTGGATCTCGTTTAGAAAAATATGATTTAATTAAAGACAAGAAAGACATTTTTATTTGTCCATTTATATCACATTCGAATTATTTCATGTACTGTTTATATCAAGATTCTATTTTAATTTGAACTATGAGAAGTACGAGATTATGCAAGTTTGATTTTTTAATTGAAAGCTACTCAGAAAATCAGTTTTATGCGTTTTACGGAATCTGTTCAGGATATATAAAAATGCTATTCAGTGTAAATAAGAGAGTCTATATAGTGGACGAAAGAAATCTATTTTTCGAAAGCGAGATTGATAATCACTATATTTGGAGTAAAATTTGTGAATTTAATGAATTTCCTTATGATGAATCTATCAATCGTGAAGCTGCAAAATGCTTTTATTTTGCCAATACGGAGCAATATTCAATGGAAATATATCAATTTGATTTAGACAATAAGAAAATCTATAGGACAAAAAACAATTGGTATGGTAATATGGATATTAAATGGTCAAATTGATAATAAATAATCTATTTAATATATACGCCTAATTTAGACGAAATAATTATACGCAGAAAACAAATTAATGCTAAAAAAGCACTGGTCCGGATGGAATTAGCTTGAGCATATCTCAGAAGATGCTAATGACATTTTAGTTGAACTATTTAATAATTGATGCATAGAGAAAAACATATTGGTAAACAGAATAGATGTCTTATCGTACCTATTCATAAAAGTGGTAAAACTGATAATCCTGAAAATTTAGACTAATATCGTTTTTAGTAAAGATTTATGAAAACCTGTATGTTAATAAATACAAAGCCTTGATTGATTCAAAATTAGTTTTATGCCAATTCGGTTTTAGAAATAAAAAATCAGCGAAATTTCAATATGAAATTCTAAACGAACGATTAGATGAAAAGTTTAGAATAAATTCCAGGAGTAAGATCTATCTCTTTATTAGATTTTAAAAAAGCTTATGATTACGTTGATAGGATATTGCTATTTAAGAAACTTGAAGAATTAAACTCATTGGAGTCAGATCAAAATCAAACTTTAGGGTTATTGGTACTAAAATTCCTTGAATAAAAATGAATAGAGGTGTTAGAGAAGGTTCACCTTAAGTCCAATCCTTTTAAAATCTATTTAATGATTTATTGGAATTATTATGCAAAGATCAAAATTTATTTGTTAGAGCTGATGCTGATGATATTTTAATCAGGAGTTTAAATCTAGAAGCAACTAAGAGGAGTATGATGGCAACTGAGGATCGATGTGATAGGAATAAAATTGTATTGAATAAAGGAATTAATAAAGCAGCTATTATTAAATTATAAAGAGGGAAAAAGTAAATCTGGTTGAAAAAGAAATTGATTGCAAAGTCTTACAAATATCTTGGAAATATGATTAAACTGAGAAAGGAGGGAAGATTTTATATTAATAGTTACAACAATGATCAAAGTAAAATAAGATTGGGAAAATTTAAAAAATGCTTGACGAATATCAGTAGTTTTTCATATCAGTTCATATTTCAAAACATAAATTTTACAAATTTTTGCTTTAGTAATGAATTTACCGGCTCTTCTAAAATTCGTCTAGAAAAATATGATTTAATTAAAGAAACGAGAGGTATTTTTATTTGTCCATTTATAACTCGTTCGAGTGATTTCTTGTGCTGTTTATATCAAGATTCTATTTTAATTTGTCCTAAGAGAGGTGCGAAATTATGCAGGTTTGATTTTTTAATAGAAAGCTACTCAGAAAATTATGAAATCTGCCCAGGAAGTATAAAGATGCTATTTACTGTAAATAATAGAGTCTATATAGTGGACGTAAAAAATTGATTTTTCGAAAGTGAGATTGATAATCACTATGCTTTGAGTAAAATTTGTGAATTTAATAAATTTCCTTGTGAGGAAACTATTAATCCTGAAGCTGCAAAATGCTTTTATTTCGCCAATACGGAGCAATATTCAATGGAAATATATAATTTGATTTAGACAATAAGAAAATCTATAAGACAAAAAGCAATTGGTATGGTAATATGGATATTAAATGGTCAAATTGATAATAAATAATCTATTTAATATTTTTAATGCAAAGCTCTGATAGTGAGGAATCTATTCCTTTATTTAAAGGAGATAGGACTTATATGAGGAAATTTTCGAAATATTTTAAAGATGCCATCATAATGATTATCTGCTTAATTATTGTTTGACGATAGTGACTTAGAAATTTTTACTGGCAGTAAAGAATGAGATGAAGTAGTTTAAGATAGCGAAGCAATAAATAAGGTAGAAGGTGGTATCTTGAACTCTAACGAAGTGATCCAAGTTCTTGATTGTGCAAATGCAAGGTTGCTGAGTAATTTTGCTTTTTAAATAATTTATTAAATGATTTAAATTAAATTACGATTCTACATTTTTATTTAGAAGTTTTATTGCTGGTATTACTATAAAAATTTTTTATCACATACCTTTATGTTTTTTCAGGAGAGCAAAAAAAGCAACGCAATTGAAACGACACCTGATCATCCTATTGAACATCCACAAGGGCATACATATGAAAATCCTATTGAGAACCCTATTGAGCATCCTCTTAGACGTTCTTATGAAATATCTCTTAAAAAGCCAAATCCAGCTATTGAGTCAACTCTTAGTCTGATTTATGAACAAATATCATCGATTACAGAAATTAAAAATAAATTCTCAAATGACTTTTTAAAATGAAGTTGCTGTTCAAAATTGCTTAAAAGTAGTTTAAATTCAATTGAGCAATATAACCACACTCTTGATCAAATTAAAACTGCGGTAGAAAATGCTCAATCGATTGATGATTTTCCTTTATCATTATTGGAAATTATGAATATTGCAGATAATATTAAAATCCAAATAGAATGCATAGAAAAATTAAATGAAATTTTATTATTGGAAAATCAAGTTAAGATGTATTGGCTTGCAAAGTTTTCAGAAAACCCAGAAAAGATTGATAAGCTAAAATCTGAATTGAGTAGCACAATAGAGGATATAGAAAATTGGTGCTCCCATCTTAGAAAAATTAAAAATCAATTAAAATTTATAGATGATGCAAAAATATATAACGATGACCACCCCTCAATCTTCATGTCTATTGCAACAAAAATTTTTCGAAAAAATTTTCATGCCTACTGCAACACAACATTTTTATAAAACAAATTAATGCATTTTTCTCTAGATGAGTTTCTCAAAAAAAACATAAAAACGGCGCTGCTGTAGGCGTTTCAATGACCTTCTCATCAAGATTTAGACGGCTATTGTTATCGCTCGCCATTTTATTAAACTTATCTAGCTAAAAAGCACGGAAAATTTAAGATGCGCATCGAAAATTTGCCGCAAGAGGATTAGGATTAGGATTATTACAGACAGGCGCTAGCCATATTGGTGACGCAGCCACCAAAGACCTCCAGTACGGAAGGTTCTACCGCTTTTCGACTCCAGCCCAGAGGGTCTATCCCTCTTACGAGTTCTTTCCGGTACCTTCTATCTCCTCCTTGCCTTGCGGCTTCAGTCTTGAGTGAGCGGCTTATGGATTTCTGCGGTCCTGCTACGGGCGATAGGAGTAGCTTGATTCCAAGGATCCTTGGAGTCTATCGAGTGTCAAAGTGCCTTCCTTCGACAGCTACAGGAAAAAGACTGTTCCCCTGTGGCCTGGGCTGAATCCCCAGTTTTCTCCGGAGAGGAATGCCTTGGGTCCTCGGATCCAAAGGACGTTGCTGAGCGCATCTATTTCCAACCACAGAAATGCAGCCAAAACCTTCCCGGATACACACTTCTTGAGCCTGCATCTGATTCTTGGCTCGGAGTCCGTCCCAGTTCGTCGTAGCCATAAGGTCTGGACTGCTGCGCCAAGAGGGCAGGTTGTCACGTGTCGCCATTTTATGTATATAATTTGTTGCAAGAGACATGAAAATTAATATTTTTTTTATATAAAATTTTATATTAAAAAATTGCATTTTTGTTGCAATAGGGGGGTCATCGTTAATATCATCAATGCACTAAAGCCAATTTCTGAATTAATAAATAACAATTTTAAAGTCAAGCACTTTTTTTATATCAAAGATAGTCAGCTTTGAATATATGGTACAGAAGCTTGAAGATGGTCTTATATTTCTTTGCCTTTTGATCAGTATGATTCTTATTCATATGATGGAAAAGTCATAGAGCTTCCAAATTCTGAAATTTTTTGTTTAACAGATGATAATGATATATTTACATTTGACCTAAAAACATGACGCATCAACAAAAAATATCCTGATTCGAGTGGGTATAGATATTCGCTGTTACTTTCTTATGAAAATTGTGTTTATTTATTTTGTTTTAAGCCTAACAGCCTTGCTTGCTTAGAAAAATTTAATATATCTAGCACCATAAAAACAAGCTTGCCTAGTCCTCCTATCGATTGTAAATCATCTTTATCAGGCTGTGTATATAAAAATTCCTTTTTATTTTGTGCTAAAGCAAGTTCTAGATTATTCAAATTTGACCTCTTAATAGAAAGCTACTCACAACTTCCAATTTCAGTAAATTCAAAGTTTGTAAAAATGCTATTTACTGGAAACATGAGAGTTTATATCGCAAATCAAAATTATGGGATTTTTGAAAGTGAGGTTGACAATGAATATCATTGGAATCAAATTGGCCAATATCAGATTGATTCAATTGAAAAATGCATTGACTTTAGCCACTTAAATTTTACTTATTTTTCTATTGTGAAACATGGACTAATGAAAGTCTATCTATTTGATTTGGGAAATAAGAAAATTTATAAGACTAATAAAGATTACTATGGTAGGGTGGATATTTAAGTAACAATTAATAATAGATAATTGTTTAGATAATTATAATCCTATAAAATTGAAATGGCCGAAGCAAGTTTGTTTTTAATCTTTTTGTGGTAAGTCAGCAGAATTACAGTGCAAATGCTTACGCCTTATGGCTCATCTGATTTCATCCAAAATATTAAACATAAATATTGAAGTATTCTTTTATAGTTACCCATAAGAAATCAAACTCCAATATTGGTAAAACCTTCCCAGAATACGTAGATAAATATTTGTAATAAAGAGGCCAAAAAACTTAATGAGTTGTTGAAAAATGGCTTTTAATAAATTGAGCCCTAGATAAGAAGAAAACAGCTAAATTTATTAATAATCAGCCTTGTCTCAAATAGAAATAGAAAAATCGAAATTATTAAAATTAATTGAAATTTTATTATTGAAAACGAAGTAAAAAGCCGCTGGATGGCAAAAATTACTGAAGGCTACGACAATGAGAGCTTAAAGTTGGTAAAATAAAAGATTTTTTAAATTGATGCCTTTAGAATAAAAGCAACAGCATCTTAACCATGCTTAATTGAAACTAATTAATAACAATTTTGAAGGCAATGCATTTTTATATTGATTGGCAGAGAGACCTGAAGACAATACAAGAGAATAATTCTTGATGAAGATAATATTTGTCCTATGGGTATCCTGTTGGGCTTCAAATAGTGAAGTCTTTTTGTGGAAAACCGCTTGGGTACAAAATTAGTCCCAAAACGTGAATTATTTTCGAAATCTTGATGTAATAATCATTTCCTACTTGCATGCTATAATTGTGTTTGCAGATTTGCCTGCCTGATAAGTTTTAATTCTTTAGCTTTGATTAAAAACGAAAGCAGGATTATCTAATGTTCTTTTCAAAGCTGTATCTGATTTCTCCTGCTGTTTATACATAAAAATTTAGTTTTATATAATACTCAATATGGATTATATACAGCTTATATATTTGGACAAGAATGCATATGATACTATAAGTATAATTTTTAAAAGCTATATGATAATGAGTATATCTAAAATACTGGAAAGTCCCACTCTATGAGGAATTAATTGAAATATATATATAAAAACAATTAGAGTGAGTAAAAACTTATACATAGTTTTTTTATCCATGCATATACTTTAAACGTATAAATAATTTAATTAAATTATTCGGAGTGAGATAAGAATCGTCATCTTCAAAAATTCAGAAGCCAAACTCATTTTTGTAGAAACTCGATTATTATTTTTAAATATTTTATCTTTTAAAATTAATTTGAAAACAATTCTATATTATTTATTGGAAATTTTACTTCTAAAGTTTTCATATCACAAAAAGAAGAAAAATAGTATAGCAAATATTTTACTCTTTAAAGCTGAAAACAGTTAAACAGCAATAGACAATAAATTAATATGACAGATTTAATTTGCGTTCAGTCCGCTTGTGGGAAGCCAGCAGAATTCGAGTGCAATTGTTTAGTCATAAAAACATTTTGATGTAATTCTCATCTTGTGACTCACCTATGCTCATCAAGTATTGGGCATACTCTCAAGATGATTACTATCTCCCTCCATAATTAATCAAAAACTATCTTAAATCTCTTCCGCCTTTAGGATGCTGCCTCAATAATTTCTGATATAATCTAATTTATTCTGTCTTATTAATGAGAATAGTTCGAAGTCTCTCCAATGTTAAAAACTCTATTTGAATTAGTAATTTTAGAATAATAAACTTGATCATATCTTGCCTTGCAATTGGTAAGGAGTAAAAATCCAAACATCAGTACTGAAACAACCTCTGATCATCCTAATGAGCATGATTTGTCCTATCCTTTTGATTGCCCTAATATGAATCCTCATATCCCGTCTAATCTAAATTCTTGTAAGCCTCTTTTTGAGACTTATTTCAAGCGTCCTTCTGAGCCCCTTGTTGTTGATTATACTGAGTATATTGACCAATTCTATAAATATCCTTTCAAAGAAGATCATAAAGAGCCAAATCCAACTGTTGAATTAACTCTTGATCTGATCTACGAACATATATCTGCAATTATAAATATCAAAAACAAATTTCCAAAAATATACTTATCTCTTTATATTGGAAATTATTCAAATTTTTAATAAAATTTCTTTATATAATTAATAGTTGCTACTTGAGAAAATGATTAAATTTAGACAGCTTGCATTTTTTAACATAAAATTGTAGAAATTCGAAATGATTTTTAAAATCAAAAAAACCCTTTAAGATGAACAAAACATTGTAGCTTAAAGAGGGTTAGAATCAAGCTACTGCTCAATTGTGCTGAAAGATAGCCTAAAATCAATAGAGCAATATTATGAAATTCTTGACGAAGTTAAGGATGATGTAGAATCTGCTGTATGAAATAGTGATTCTCCATAAATAAAGTGGCATTCGGTTCGAGCGAAATTGACTCTGCCAATTTTCTCTCCCTCAAGCAATTTTATTTATGGGGTTGGGTTTTTTTCTCGAGAACTTTTGCACAGCAATAACTGTTTAACTTTGAGGATGCCATAGAAACAGCTCCTCAGTGCATTTAAGAGGCTCAGAGTTTTATCTCTCAGCACATCCCCACGGGAGTATGACCATTAGGCAAAACACGCGCAGGAGCTGAGCCAACGGAAGGTAACAACAACGCGCCGGATGAGATGTGCGGTTACTGGAGGCGAAGGTCGATAGAAAGCTTGGCCGGTGGGCAGGCCACCGCGATTCCAAGATGACTCCGTGACGTCACTAGTTTAGCTAAATCCCTTTTATTTAGGGCACTAGACACCTTAAACACCGACTGATAAGATAAGATAAAATAAAATAAAATAAGAAGAAATAGCGATTCTCCTTTTTCATTAATAGATATCATAAATATTGCAGAACATATACAAATTGAAATAGAATTTCTGGAAAAAGTAAATGAAATTTTACTATTGGAAAACCATGTTAAGAGCTACTGGCTTGCGAATATTTTAGAAATTCCAGAAAAGATTGATAAGCTTAAATCTGAATTCATTGGTAAGGCAGAGAATATAAAACAATGATGCTATCAGTACAAAAATAAAAAGCAGTCATCTAAATCTATAGATGATAAAAAAATTAACAGTGTTATCGATATACTGAACTTAATTTTTGAATTAATCAATCACAGATTCGAATTCAAGTATTTATTCCAAATAAAATCGAACAAACTGTTAACATATGGCATAGAAGCTAGAAAATGGGTAAATATTCCTTTGCCTTTTGATCAATATAATATTATAATTAAATATGTGTTCGAAGGAAGTCGGCGGAGCCGACTGCGAAGTGCTTTGACGCCATATTTAATTATATCCGGCAAGGTTTTACCAACCCAAAATGGACGGTAATGCTAGGTAAGCAACTCTGGTATTGTGTAAAAGCCTAGCCCTCAGTCTATTTTCAGGATTGGGTTTTACTTTGAAGGGAAGGTGAAGTACAGGTTTGGAAAGGGCAAGCCCAGCAAGGTCTACAGGTATAATCTAAAACAATCGGGATACTGTCTAGCGTGAAATTGGGAGTTATGCCCCAAGATCTGGACTTTTCCTTTTTGCCGAGAGGACACAAGAAATTCCATTTTTTGGGATTTTTATTTAGCCAACCTTCGTGCGCATGCCGCAGCCTGCAGAAGTCCATAGCCAGCCCACTCAACGCTCGCCTGAAAGGATAGGATTAAAAATTTTTGGGGAAATCTCATTTCTGATTTCCAAGGTGACCGGGACGGCACAAGACTGGTAAACCCTTTTAGGGTCCTTGGTGACTGTGTAACTAATACGCCAGACGCCCTTTAGTAATAACGATAACGATCAATATAATATTTATTCATCTAAAGCATACGTAGCCGAGCTTCCCAATTACGAAATTTTTTGCTTACTCCTCCACTTTAAATTCGAAAAAAAACTTTCTTTTTTACAATTTAAAGATTTTTTTAAATTAAAATTTTTAAAGGGGATTTAGAAAAAAACAAATACCCATTCATATTTGACTTAAAAACTTGGAAAATCAGCAAAATATTTCCTAAATTTTGTGAGTGCATTCTTTCATTGCCCATGTATTATGAAAATTGTGTTTATGTATTCAGCTTGAGAGAGAGACCCTGCTTGGAAAAATTTGATTTAATAAACAATAAGAAAACAACATTGCCCAGCCCTTTTATAAACTATCTGTATACTATATCATGCTGCTTATATAAAAAATCAATTTTAATTTGTTCAGAAAAAAGCATGAAATTATGCAAGTTTGACCTATTAATAGAAAGCTACTCAGAAATACAATTTATTGATCTTTATCCAGTATCAAAAAAAATGCTATTTACTGGAAATAGCAGATGTTATATTGCAGATAGCAAAAATGGAATCTTTGAAAGTGAGATCCATAATGAATATACTTGGAATAAAATCGGATCATTTCAAATAGATTTTATTAGAAATTGCACTAACCGTAGCCACTTAAATTTAGTTTCTTTTTTTATGATGGAATATGAAGATATCATAACATGCCAATTTGACTTGTGCCATAAAAATATTTATACATCAGAAAGCCCTTACGATTATTTTTCAAAATTAAATCAAAATAAAAATAATTAAAAATATATAATTTTATAAAAATGAAAATGGCATATCAGAAAATTAATGAAATTTTATGGCTATAAAATAAAGAATTGCTATTTGTAAATGTTTACTTGTTTTTATAACTTTTTAAATGATTTATAATTTAGATTTCTATTTCTTTGCTACTCCTTTCACAAGTAAGCATAATAAAAATTATATTATATAGAAAGTATTTTTCTATTTAAACTAAGGCTGCGAAAAAGCAACAAAAAATAAAGAATAAAGCAGAATATTAGTGCATCTACTCATTCCTCAAGAATTTTGATTCAGATTTCACCTAGAAACTTATTTAGTTTCCCCCAAATAGCGAGCATCCTGTAGGAATCATTACTATATCCCTCGATGATTAGAGATTCTTTTCTTTATATGCTTAATGGCTTTTTGTTTCAAACTGTGGTTGCTCAAATATTTATAATCCTATAAAATTGAATGGCCGGAGCAAGTTTGCTTTTTAATCTTTTTGTGGTAAGTCAGCAGATATATAGTGCAATGGCTTACGCCTTATGGCTCTTCCAAAATATTAAACATAAATATTGAAGAATTCTTTTATAGTTATCAATAAGAAATTAGACTCCACTATTGGTACAAACTTGCCAGAATACATAAATAAATATTTGCAATAAAGAGAACAAAAAACTTAATGTGTTGTTGAAAAATGGCTTCTAATAAATTGAGCCCTAGATAAGAAGAAAACACTAAATTTATTGATAATTCGCCTTATCTCAAATAGAAAATAGAAAATAAATCGAAATTATTAAAATTAATTGAAATTTTATTATTGAAAACGAAGTAAAAAGCCGCTGGATGGCAAAAATTACTGAAGGCTACGACAATGAAGAGCTTAAAGTCGAATTTAGTGGTAAAATAAAAGATTTTTTAAATTGATGTCTTTAGAATAAAAGCAACGGCATCTTAACCATGTTTAATTGAAGATAGTTAATAAAAATTTTAACAGCACTGTATATTTATATTGTATGGCAGAGAGACCTGAAAAAAATACAAGAGAATAATTCTTGATAAAGATAATATTGATCCTAAGGGTATTCCGTCGAGGCTTCAAATAATAAAGTTTTTTATGGAAAAACCGTTTGGGTCCAAAATTAGTCAAAGTGTGAATTATTTTCGAAATCTTGATGTAATAATCAGAAACTTGATATCTATACTTATTATATTTAAATATTTTATATTTTAAAATTAATTTGAAACAATTCTGTATTATTTATTGGAAATTTTGCTTCTAAAGTTTTCATGCCACAAAAAGAAGAAAAATAATATAGCAAACATTTTACTCTTTAAAGCTGAAAATAGTTATACTGATTGCTCGATGATGGCACATTGATCGCCATCATCGGGCAATTTCTATAAACAACAATAGACAATAAATTAATATGACAGATTTAATTTGCGTTGAGTCCGCTTGTGGGAAGCCAGCAGAATTCGAGTGCAATTGTTTAGTCATAAAAACATTTTGATGTTGTTCTCACCTTGTGACTCATCTAAGTTCATCAAATGGTGAGCATAATCTCAAGCCGATTACTATCTCCTCCATAATTAATCAAAAATTATTTTAAATCTCTTCCACCTTTAGGATGCTGCCCAATAATTTCTGATTTATTCTCTCATATTAGTGAGAATATTCGAAGTCAATTTTAAAATAATAAACTTGATCATATCTTGTCTTGCAATTCGGACGGGAGTAAAAATCCAAACATCAGTACTGAAACAACCTCTGATCATCCTAATGAGCATGATTTGTCCTATCCTTGTGATTACCCTAATATGCGTCCTCATATGCCGTCAAATCTAAATTCTTGTAAGCCTCTTTTCGAGACTTATTTTGAGCGACCTCCTGAGCCTTTTATCGCTGACTATACTGGCTATAATGGCCAATTTTATAAATATCCTTTCATTGAGGACCATAAAGAGTCTAATCCAAATATTGAATTAACTCTTGTTCTGATCAACGAACAGATATCAGCAATTAAAAATATAAAAAATAAATTCCCAAAAATATACTTATCCTCATTACTATTGGAAATTATCAAAATTTTTAAATATTGGGATTTTTTAATAGAATTTTTTTATATAATTAATAGTTGCTACAGGAGAATTCTATTAAATTTAGACAGCTTTTATGTTTTTTAACATAAATTGTAAAATAATTCTTAAAATCCAAAAAACCCTTAAGATTGAACAAAAAATTTAGCTTAAAGAGGTTAGAATCAAGCTACTGCTCAATTGTGCTGAAAAATAGCCTAAAGTCAATAGAACAATATTATGAAATTCTTGACGAAGTTAAGAATGATGTAGAATCTTCTGTATGAAATAGTGATTCTCCCTTTTCATTAATAGATATCATAAATATTGCAGAACATATACAAATTGAAATAGAATTTCTGGAAAAATTAAATGAAATTTATTATTAGAAAACCATGTTAAGGGTTGCTGGCTCGCGAATATTTTAGAAAGCCCAGAAAAGATTGATAAGCTTAAATCTGAATTCATTGATAAGGCAGATGATATAAAAAAATGATGCTATCAGTATAAAAATAAAAAGAAGTCGTCTAAATCTATAGATGATAAAAAAATTAACAGTGCTATCGATATACTGAAATTTATTTTTGAATTAATCAATCACAAATTCGAATTCAAGTATTTTTTCATAATAAAATCGAATAAACTGTTAATATATGGAACAGAAGCTAAAAAATGGATAAATATTCCTTTGCCTCTTAATCAATATAATATTGATTCATCCAGAGCATATGTAGCCGAGATTCCTAATTACGAAATTTTTTGTTTACTCCTCCACTTTAAATTGGAACCAAAATTTATTTTAGAATTTAAAGGGTTTTTTTTAAATTAAAATTTTTAAAGGGGATTTAGAAAAAAACAAATACCCATTCATATTTGACTTAAAAACTTGGAAAATCAGCAAAATATTTCCTCAATTTTGTGAATGCAGTCTTTCATTGCCCATGTATTATGAAAATTGCGTTTATGCATTTATCTTGAGAGAGAAGAAAACAAGATTACCCAGCCCTTTTATAAACTATCTGTTTGCTATATCATGCTGCTTATATAAAAAAGCAATGCTAATTTGTTCAGAAAACAGCATGAAATTATGCAAGTTTGACCTATTAATAGAAAGCTACTCAGAAATACAATTTATTGATCTTTATCCAGCATATGCATAAAAATGGGCGTGTTTAACCAAACCCAAACTCTTAGCACCTGTAGCGGGGAGACTCAGGGAAATTATGGGAAGGAGCTTTGGTGTTCATATGTGCATCGGGCCATGCTTTATTTGCTTTAATGGAGAGCAATGTCTAAGTTAGCGAATCGCAGTCTCGCATTTAGATCAAGTTTTATCTCTAAGGAAGATAGAATTCGGAGTTGAAAAGAGGTGACTAGCCAACGAGGTCCTCATAGTAGCTCAGGAACGTTTTTCAGCGGGATACTACGTTGGGTCCTGGACTACGAATTTTCATTTTGACTTAGAAAATTTGTTTGAGAATTTTTCTTTTGCATACGTTACGGTGATCCAAACTTTCCTACTACAAGGAGCATACTCAGGCCTATGTCTGGAAGGAGCGAACACTTTGAAGACCGTGGTACGATTGCTGGTGAAGTCAGTGAGCTTTTCTAATATTTTTATCCAGTATCAGAAAAAATGCTATTTACTGGAAATAAGAGGGCTTATATTGCAGATAGCATTACTTTAGCGTTATCATTAATTATTGATTAGGGCGCTTCCTCTGTTTGCGTCTCACTCAAGGCGAGTCTTCTTAGAAGCTATCAGCGAGCCTCCCTTGGCATGTCAGCATTTCCACCAGAGATAGCTCTCCTCTGACTTTCGGCCTGGCTCTTTAATGCTGTTTCGTGACCTTAAAGTATGCAGGTTTGAGATTTGACAATTTCTGCTTGAGTGACTAGGATAAATTCCCTAGCTAGTATCTATTCAAACTATGCCTTCGTTGTCGGCACTAGTGACCTCTAGGGTAAAACGCCTTTTTTCGCAATTGTCCATCGGAAAGATCTTATCTTATCTTATTAAACGTTAGCGTTAGCTACATTGGCGACGCAGTTCTGTACGGAGGTTTTTTTTTTTTTGGCTCCAGTCTAGAGAGTCTTTCCCCTATAGATGGATGCCACTTCTGGCACCTTCTGTCTCCTCTTGCCTTGAGGCTTCAGGCTCGAGTGGGCGTTTATGGATTTCTGCAACCCTGCTAAGGGTAAATAGAGTAACTTGATTTCAAAGATCCTTGGATTCGAAGTGCTTTTCTTCAACAGCTACAGGAAAAAGACTACTTCCCTGTGACCAAGGCCGAAAACCCCAGTTTCTCGGCAGATAAATGCCTATGGGTCCTTAAGTCAAAAGGACTTTGATGAGTACCTCCATTTCCAGCCACAGGAAAGCAGCCAAATCCTACCCAGATGCACAACTCTTGAGCCTGCACTTGATTTTCAGCTAGCAGTCCGTCCAATCTTCGTAACCATAAGGTCCAGACTGTTGATCTAAGAGGGCAGGTGACACGTGTCGTCATTTTAATGCAGTATCCATCTGGAAGACACAAAATATTCATTGCTTACTAGGGAGGCAAAACCTAACTATATTGCAGACAGCGAAAATGGATTTTTTGAAAGCGGGATTCATAATGAATATATTTGGAATAAAATCGGATCATTTCAAACAAATTCTATTAGAAATTACATTAACCGTACCCACTTAAATTTATTTTCTTTTTTTTTTATGGAGCATGAAGATATCATAATATACCAATTTGACTTGCGCAATAAAACTATTTATACAGCAGAAAGCCCTTACAATTATTTTTCGAAATTGAAATCTAAATCAAAATAAAAATAATTATCTTCGTTAAAATATATAATTTTAAAGAAATGAAAAAGGCAGGCCAAATTTATCTATTGAGGCAATCCATCAGCGTATTGTTTGAATATTTCGCAAATCAGAAAATTAATGAAATCTTATGGTTATAAAATAAAGAATTCTATTTGCTAATGCTTACTTGTTTGTATAATTTTTTAAATGATTTAGAATTTAGATTTCTATTTCATTTGCTAAAATTTTATTAGCACTGCTTTCATATAAAAAGTATTTTTATATTTTTTCTAAGGCTGCAAAACAGCAACAAAAACTAAAGAAGAAAGCAAAATATCAGTACAGCTGCTCAGTCCTCAATAATTTTGATGCAGATTTCACCTAGAAACTCATATAGTTTACTCTCCTCCCCATTTAAACTAGAACAAAACATTGGTAAATTTTCATTTTTAAGGTAACATTTGAGGAAAGATTAATAACCTCTTTAGATTGGAGCAGGATTTTTTGTTCCAATTTAAAGTGGGGGAGAGTAAAATCAAATTTAAAGTCTATTAAGACACTTAATAAAAATTATTTTAAGATTCTATATCATTTGTTTCAATATTTATTTATCAATACTTTCACGTCCTAAAAAATATTAAAATAAATTACCTTATCCTAAAAGAATTTTTTATTTTTAACTTAAAGCAAAAAAAAACAGCTACATGAATAAAAATTAAGATGGGAGATTTGATTTGCTTTGAACCTTTTTGTGAGGAGCAAGCAGAATTTCAGTGCTATTGCTTAGTCCCTCAATCATTGTGATGCATCTCTCACTTGACAGCTCATTTGTGCTCATCAAACTGTCAGCATCCTGTTGAAAAAATTACTATCTCCCCTCGATAATTAATCAATGGTTTTTATTTAAAGCATAATGACTATACAGCTTTCCTGGTGATGGCGCATTGCGCGCCATCACCAGGAAAGCTGTATATATTTTTTAAGTGATAATTTTCTTGGCATCTGCACCTTTCTCATGCCAATAGAATATTCTTCTTTAAGATATTAAAATTCTTCCTTTATATACAAAGTAATTATTATTTTTTGCTTTAAAGTAATTTCACAAGAGAGTATGCTTGATAGGGAGGACAAGGTTACGCAAGAAAATTGCAAAGCCACCAATGAATGCTCTCTGAAGTCTGCTCCTGAAATACACAAGAATATAGTTGTGGATATTCTTGTAGAAGTCGATGAAAAAATATCCAAAATCGAAAAATTAAAAATAGAATTGCAAAAAAATAACTCGTTAAGCTATTTTTGAAATTTTCTTGAAAAATGCTTAAAGTCAATTCAAGAATTCGAAGAAATACTTGATTTTATTAAAATTTGTAGAAAAGATACTCCAATTGATGAGCTACCTTTGCCACTATGTGAAATAATGACAGTTCTAGAGAACGTTGAAAAAGAAATAGAATTACTTGAAAAAGCAAACGAAGCATTATTGTTTGAGATTCAAGTCAAAAATCTTTTTTATATAAAAATTTCAGAAAATCAAGATGACTTTAAATCTCAATTTATTAGTAAATTAAAAGAATTAGAATTTTGAGGGAAAAGGCAGACAGCCAATAGAAGTCTATTGCTGCCTATAGAAAATGCAAAACTTGATAGCTTTAACTATGGAATAAAGCTAACTTATCAGTTAATTTCTAGGAATATTAAAGAAAATTTTTATTATCGCAATATAGATTTAGATGTGAAGTGGGAAAATTGAGTTACTGAAAAAGAATTAGAAAAATTGAATTTGCATCATGACTGTAAAAGTGAAAATTCTGAGATTTTTTGTATATGGAATAGCAGTAGTGTATACAAAATGGACCTAAAATCTATGAAAATCACCAAAATATTACCTCATTCTAAAGGAGTAAAACATTCAGCACTCATTTATTATAAAGATTATGTTTACATATTCAGTGCAAACTCTTCTTCCTATTATTTGGAAAAATATGATTTAAAATGCGACAAAAAATCAATTATGCCTACTCCTCCTGTAAATGCCTTATCTAATTATTCCTGCACTATATATCAAGACTCAATTTTATTTTGTGCAAAAGAGTGTCGAGCATTATATAAATTTGATCCCTTAATAGAAGATTATTCGGAAATTCCATTAGCTAAAATGGATAAGCTTAGTTCCAAAATGCTATTTACTGGGAATATGAAGGCTTATATAGCTGATTCTAAAATTGGAATTTTTGAAAGTGGGGAAAATAATGAGTATGTTTGAAATAAAATTGGCGAATATAATAGATCTTCTTTTACTGATAAATATTTGATATATTTGTCCTCATTAGAATGTGATTCGGTGCAGATATATAGATTTAGTCTGCTCAAGAAGGAAATTCATCAGATAGTTCTTGATTATTTTCGTAGCTTTGACAGGCTGGAATATCCAATCTGTATTTTATCTGAATAAGCTAATATTGGAATATCATTAAGGGATAAAAGATCTTATATACTTATTAGTTTAGTTTTTATCGAACTAATAAAATTATCTTATATTTATAAGAAATGGCTAAGCCAGTAATAATTATAATTTATAGAATTGTAAATGGCGGACCAATTTGGCTTTCAACCGCTTTGCAATAAACCAGCAGAGTCCCAGTGCAATTACTACATTTCTCATGACTTACACCTTGGAGCTCACGTGACTTCATCAAATAATGAGCGCCCAGTTGAGAAAATCCTTGAGAACTTAAATATTGAAGTAGCTCTGGGAGATAGTTTTGAAGAAGTCCATAAAATATCAAACCCTATTATGGATGCTACTCTTGACAAAATATATGAGCAAATATCTATAATCAATATATTAAAAACTGAATTATCAAATAGGAATTTAGAGAATAGCTATTGTGGTAAGTTGCTTAAAAAATGGCTGAATTCAATTCAGGAATACAATGAAGTTTTTGATATAATTAAAACTGGCATAGAAAATGCTATGTCAATTGACGAACTTCCTTTATCCTTAATGGAAATTATGCTACTTATAGAAAATGCTGAAAATGAAATAGAATTTTTATGAAAATTAAATGAAATTTCGTTATTAGAAAATGATTTTAGGAACGAATGGCTCAAAAAATTTAGAAAAAATACTGAAATTGAAAATTTAAAATCTAACTTTAAGGGAAAAATAAAAGATTTTAAAAAATGATGTTTAAATCGCAAAAACAACAAAAACACTTTTAAGTCCTCAGAAAATGAAAAAATCGTAAGTCTTCTTAATAAGCTGAGCTTAATTTCTGAACTAACTAAAACCAATTTCGAGGCAAAATATTTTTTCCAAATCAAAAATAATAATCTTCTTATATATTCTCCAGAGACCCAAAGAGAATGTATAATTTATTTTACATTGTATAGAAATAATTTCGTAAAAGAAGCTCAGGTAGTCGCGCTCCCTAATAATGAAATTTTTTGTCTATGGAATTACAATCTTGCATGCAAAATTAATCTAAAAACTTTAAAAGTTATAAGAATGTTTCCTCGTTACAGAGGCTCCCGCTATTACCCACTAATATATTATGATAATTGTGTTTACGCTTTTGGAACAACGAAAATTTTCGAAAAATATGATTTAATTAAAAATCTAAAAACAACACTGCCAAAGCATTGTATCCAAGAATCCTCTGATTTTTCCTGCTGTGTGTATAAAAATTCAATTTTATTTTGCGCTGAGTTAAGCTTGAGATTATTTAAATTTGATTTTTTAATTCAAAGTTATTCAGAAATTTTATTTAACGGAATGGATTCATTATCTCGAAAAAGAATTTTTACTGGAAATATGAGGGCTTATATATATGACGATAGGAAAGGAATTTTCGAAAGTGGAATTGATAATGAGTATGTCTGGAATAGAATTAGTGAAAATATCAATATATTTTATATAGAAGAAATTGATCAAAGTATTGCTAATTCGGTATATTTTTATTTAATAGATAATGAAGACTCGATGGATATATATAAATTTGATCTTTGCAATAAGCAGCTTTATAGGGAAAGTACTAAAAATTATATACAAGATTTTCATTATAGAAGGTTGGCAATTTACTAAATATAAGTTAATATATGATCTTTTGGGCTTCTAAACATAATTAAAGTAAGAAAATATATAAAAGCAATACTTATTAAGCAATCACAACTTGAGTTACGATATTTTTAATCCTAAATTATTAATTAATGATAGATATTCTACCACTTTTCTGAATCCCAAAATTCAAAAAGTAAGAGCTGCGAAATATGAAGTCAACATGGTCTCTGTAAATTTAAAAAATTTCACATTTAATAAAATTATTAAAAAGCACTTTTTTGGTAGTATAAATGCCATTTTATTACTAGAATTCACAATACAGACGTTTTTTGCTTGATTTTATCTATTTTTAGCTGCAAGATCTATATTGAGAAAAATATTATCTATTTAAATATAGATTAAAATCAATTTTATGAGCCTTCTATAATTTTAAAATGATTAATGAATTTTGCTTTCGACCTTTTTGCAGCAAACCAGCCAAAAATAAGTGCAAATGCATATGGAGTCAAGGATTTTGCGAAGATCATGATGCAAAGCATATGCATTTCCCAGATAATGAGTATTCTATTGAAGAAATCCCTGACCCTAACAATCCAATTGAAGGCAATAAATTTCCTGAGGATACTTTAGAAGTTTTCAATAATAAACCAAATCCAGTAGTTGAAGCAATTCTTTCTCAAGTCCACACAAATATATTGGCTCTCCAAAATATAAAAATAAATTTCTTCTCAGCAGACCATCGTTCAAGCTATTTTGCAGGATTGATAAAATATGGGCTATCTAAAATTGCCGAGCTCAACACAGTTTTGAATCAGCTTAAAACTAATGTAAAATATTCTGCTTCAATAGATAATTTTTCTTTATCACTATTAGAGATCATGATCATTACAGACAACGCTGAAATGGAAATTAAATTCCTTGAAAAATTAAAAGAAGTTTTACTATTAGAAAGCGAAGTTAAGAGTCATTGGCTTGAAAAGTTATTCGCAAGCCCAGAAACAATTTTAAAGAATTAAAAACTGAATTTGATAGAAAAATAGAGGATGCGAAAAATTGGATTTTTCATTATGAAAACAAAGGAGACGCAAAAATTGTAAACCTCAGAAATGGACTGAGTCAAGTTTCTGAATTAATTCGAAGCGATTTTGAATCCAAACATTTTTTCAGAGTCAGGCCAATTTCTAATTATTTATTATCAGATAGAGGTTATTCTTGAATCGATAATTATATCCTTGAGATCTTTGGCGCAGAGAGTTGAAAAAAATCAGAGTTTGATCTACCTGATACTGTACGATTTGAAGTATATGAGCATGCAATTGAGATTCCCAATTGCAAATTATTTTGCTTACTCCGGGATAATCATGCATGCATAATTGATCTAAAAACTATGAGTATAAGTAAAACATTACCAATATGTAGCGGAGGCAATAAATTCTCATTATTATACTATGAAAATTGTGTTTATATGTTCAGCTCGACAACTTCTACATTTCCTTCGATCTTTTTGTAAAATATGATCTAATTTCATATAGGATTGTGAAGTTTTCCAAACCTCCTATATATGCATCATACAATTTTTGCAGCACTATATATCACAATTCAATTTTATTTTGTGCAAAAAATGGTCCTGGATTATATAAATTTGATATTACAATAGAAAGTTACTCAGAGCTTCTATTAAATGAAACATGTCATTTTTCTCTTAAAATGCTGTGTATCGGCGATAGAAAAGCTTATCTAATTGATAATGAGTATGGAATTTTCGAAAGCGGGGCTGATAATGAGTATATTTGAAATAAAATTAGCATGTATCAAACAGATTATTTCTCAAAAGGAGTTAATGCTAATTGTGAAAATTCAGTATATTATTCTACTATGGAAGATCACACAATGAGCATATATAAGTTTTATTTAGATGAAAAGAGGCTCTATGAAATTAAGAATGTTTAGTTATTAATAATTTAAATTCATATTTTAAAATATTATTACGATTAAATTTCTCGCTATGCCAAAGTTCAGTGTAAATATTTAAAATATTGATCATTTATTTATTTAATTAATTAATTGGCTACAGATATTTTTGGTGTTTTTTCTGCTATATCTTTTCTGTTTCCAAAAGTAATTTCATTAAGAGTTGGAGAGTTCTCAAGCTTTAAAATTCGTAACTGATGCTTAATCTTTTTGGCATCCATAATACTACTATTCTTAAAGGCAAATTTAAATAAGTTTGTATTTTTTCCAAATCCACTATTAAAAGGCCAATACAGTTTTTTTGATTTTTGATAAGCCAGTCCTCCGCAGCATACACAACTCCACCCAACTGCAACTAAAGATAGCCATAGAGCTATATTTTCTTCAGCCATAATATAATAAAGTATTCCTATAAAATTCAGCCAACAAAGAGCCATCATACTTAGCATATACCAAAGATTTAAAATTTTCAAATTATAAGGCTTTTCATATATAATTATCACAAGGTAGCAGATACATATAAATAGAAAAAATGCTAGATAAAGCTCAGGTATATCAGTATTCACCATTTTTTTAACCACAATTAGCAATGTAAACACCAGTGATTTTACCGTCAAAAAGCTTGGAAGCAGCTGGACATTTTGTTCATTTGAATTTGAAGTCTGCCATCTTGGCCTTTCTATAACTGCTAATAACACATAAATGACCGAAATAGTAAAGGCAATAACTGCATAAACTAAATGTTTCCCTCCCCAACAAGTTGTATAGCAGTCAAAATAAAGATAAGTTTCGTCTAGTTCTTTGCCTATTCCATTTTTGCATACAAAAATATTCATAAGTGTTGATAAAATAGCAACGTAAAATAAATCCCATATAATTGACATAATAACTTTTAAAAAAGGCACATGTATTTTTACTATGTAGGCTATTCTTATTACAAACGCCATCCCAATTGCTGCAAAAACTGCCTGTATAGAAATCCAAAAATACGTCCTATCTATCCTATACATTTTGTCTAAATTGAGAGAAAGAGCATTTCCTACAAATTTTATCACATGAAAAATCGCAGGAATTTCAGGGGCAATTCCTACTAATTGGAAAAATTCTATTAAAATCCTACTTATAGCCATCATGTCATAAAACGTCATTTCTGTTCTTTTATCAATTTCTGAGTATATTACGCTTTTCCAGTATTTCCATGTAAACAAGCTAGAAAGCACCGCTACAAGTAAAATGATTGTTCCTATAAGGCAAACCATTATATGTCCGGTTATTGAAGATTTTACCTGAGAATTATCAAATGGGCAGCTTCTAGGCTTGGGACTGTCTGGTGGAGTGTTTATTGTCCCATCTGGCCATATGATGCTTTCGTAATAGGTGAAAACTTGTGAGCCCGTTGGGGAATAAACGCCAACAATTTTTATTTCTCAGGAATCTGGGGAGATTTCTTGGCAGTTGTAGATGGAATGGTCCATTGTTGCCCTGTCATTGGTATTTTGCTCAATTTTTACCAGCCCTGTAGCTCCAGTGAACCGAATATTTCTTATAGCGCTCATTAAAATGGAGGGGTTGTTATAGTCTTTTCCTTGAGCAATTACCTGCTCTATAGCATAAGCAGAGGCAAGAATAAGCCATTTAAAATAAAATAGCCAAGCTAATAGTGTATTATTTTCTATATATTTTAAGCTAACTTTAATGCAAAAAGTATAGAATCAAATGCAAAACCTGTATATCCAATTGGATCACTTTTATAATTATACAAATAATCATTATAAACTTTCTGCCCAAATGCACCAGCATAGGAAACTGGGAAAAACATTAACGCTCCTCTCAATGACTCTCTCAATATATGCAATTGTGTCTCATTATAAGACGCTGATGATTTATCTTGCATGACCATACTGCTTGCAAGTCACCCAACTGCTATATAAACTCTATTATCCCCATGATACCCCAGTTCCCACATTCTTGTCAATATGCTTGTAGCGTCTTGTGTATAACAAATCATCAAAATAATCCTTGCATCACTTTTCCCAAGATATGACAAAACTGGGTCAATTTCTTCATATGTCCAGGATGGAGAATTGTCAGGCAACATTTCATTGCCTTCATTAGTGATTTGGAGATTGACCTGCTCGCATTGAGTTTTAAAAGCACTGAAAACGTTTTGGGCAAATACGTTATTTAAGTATAAAACACCGACTTTGGACCAGCCGAAATATTTTAAAATAATTCCTAATACGTATCCTATATAGCCTGAAGCCATATTAACTCGAGAAAACATAGGAAAAGTAATAGGTGAAGATAATTTATCTACTGTAGTGGAATACCCAATCATTGGCAAAATAAGTGAATTATCTTGCATAGTCTGATATAAATGTATAGCGACATCCGACAAAGCTGGAGCAATCATAAGAGTTTTTAATTGAGATTTAGACCTCTCGAATTCTGCATCCATGAATGTTTTATTGTAATATAAGCTGCCAAAGTTATAGGAATTTCGCTTTAGCTTGAACCCCTTCAAGATTGTGGAATTGTTATTGACATAGTTTACACCTAGCTCATTTCCATTATAAGATGGTACTAAAAATGATAAATAGGCACCTGCTGCTGAATAAAGCCCTGCGTCTTGAGAAATTGTAATTGTTTTTTCGAGTTTTGAGCCATGTGACCACTTTAAGGCATCAGTTATTGTGCAAGAGTTTATTGTGGCGCTCCCTACATTTATATATGTAGAATTTTGTGTATTTAAAATATCATAATTTGCTAATAAATCGTGATTTTCATCGAAATCAAGCGATTCTTCAAAACATTTGATTAAACCAATGCTTCTTTCAGAGCAGATATTTAAAATTTCATAAAAAAGGCTTAGCTTAGATTCTAGAGAAGTTAATGATGAATACATAAGTATTGGGCCATTATCTTCAAGAGAAGTAGATTCTGAGTATTGTAAATAGTCTGCAATAGGCATTAAAATCCAAACAAAGCCTAAGTCTTCAAAATCAGTACCTGCCACTTGTAAAATTTGAGCTGATAGTTTTCCTGGTAAAAGAAGAATTATTGTATTTACTGATGAGTATCTTATATATCTGTTTAACAGGATTTTTAAATAATCATCTGAATATTTGTGGGGTAGAATCAGTGCGACAGTTGCAGAATCTATAAGGTCTACATATTGGTCATTATATTCTTGCAAATAAATTATCCCATAGTAGTATAAATTTAAGCTCTTTAAAAGCTGATAAGTTGATAAGATTTCATTTTGTATTGGAATAGCTAAATTCCTTCTTACAATATTGAGCTTTTTTCTCAAGAAGCAGTTTTTAAATATTTTATTTAAAAAAATTTTATTTTTTATTCAAAATCTATGAAAACCAACAGAATATATTTTTATTTAAAATAATTATTTAATTTTATATTAAATGCTCTATTCTATATCTATCTTGCTAACAGAAGTTGTAGTAAAGAAAATGAGTTTTTCGCTGATAACGAATAAAAAGCATTTAGTTCGACATGCAGTAGATTTTGCTTTTCTGAAAAATAAGAAATAATTTCAGAAAAAATCAACGAGTTTGTGAAGTCTAAAATTGCCTGATCTTGTAAAAAGCTTAAATATTCAGCCAAGTCTGATGAAGAGCTTACATTGTAACAATTTAAGCTGACTGAATTATAGGGGCTTATAAACGTATATGACTGTAAAAAGGGTAGAGTAAATTGGGAAGTAATAATGGTGACGTCGATAGCTAACACAAAGTTCATAACTATTGAGCATATCAAGAATTTCTTCATATGAAGATTATTAGCTTAATTAGTAAACTGAGAGAGACTGAATTAGAATTTTAAAATATTTTAATAGTCTATTATTGGTATTTGCAATTGCATTCAAGTTAGGAAAAAGCAATTTATAATAGAATATCTCAAAAATTTGCGTATCAGAAAATGGATGCATGAAACGAATCCTTTTTAAAACCCCAATTTAAAATAATTCAATTTTTATTTAGAATTTACACTTAAAAATTGATTGGAAATTAAGCCATAAAATTTTTCAGCGGACTTTATTCATTTTTATTTTAAAAAAGATTATGCAATTGTTAAACAAAACTTTATCTACATTTAGGCAACCCAACATTTTTTTATTTATAAATTTAAGATTCTAAAAATTAATCTTAGGCGCATAAGGAATTTTAAATATATAGAAATTAAGCTTCTATTAAAGGATAAAGAAAAGTTTATATTATTAATATTTGCTAAAAATTTAAATGCTTAAATAATGATACATTTGGTGTATTTATTATAAACAGCTTAATTTATTTATCTTTATACTCTAGCAGTTATTGCTCTTAAAATTTTATTGTCATTTTTGTTTAAGTTTTTGATATAAAAATCAATAAATTAAAAGGAACTTTTGATTCGACCAAAATAATTTTTAAATGATCTGATATCACAACCTTTATATTGGTAACTTATTGAAAATAAATTTTTATTGCAATACTTTTTTTCCTTAATTTATTTTAATTTTTAACTTAAACCAATAAATAAAATTCAGTCAGACTCAAAAAGCCTTATTCTAGAGAAATTATGTAAATTTATTTCTTTATTTCTGATTTGATATTTTCAGTTTGCTGTTTAGTTTAACCTTTCTTTTATGTAAATTATGAATAAGAATTTTAATATTATAAGCTTTTATAAATTTTAATGGATTAAATCATAATATAAAAATTAAGCTAGAGAAAGGTGATTAAATGTTCAAGAATCAAATACGACGCAGTGGGACTTGGTCAGCCTCTACAAGTGAAAGCGAAAATGATAAACGCAACTGCTTCTTTAATTCAAAATGGTTGCAGTCCCCAGACCCTTCAGCTCTTCCTTTGCCTAGCTTTTACGAAAGCGAAACAAGCACCAAAAAAGAAATAATACGATAAGTATGTTGTTTTAATTTCTATCAGCTTAGTGTGAAAAAATCTTGTGTCAGATTTCTAATAAATATATATGGAAAGCTAATTTTCACAAATTGTCTTTATTTTCTACAAGGAAAGTATCGGAAATGTATATAAGCAAAAAATTTTTATAAAATTCGCAAGAAATTAGCTTTATGCAGTTGGCATTTATGAAAAGCGAAAAATTATAAAAATTAGGGTATTTATTAGGCTCATGCGAAGGAGTTTCAAGTCTTTTGATAAGAGTAATTAAAGCTTTTAGCATATGGTTGAGGATATATATGTGCATCAAGAGAAAATCGAGCTTAAACTCTCAACTAAGTTTGCGTATTATCAGAAATAAAATTTTGGGGCGAGTGGCTTTAAATAAGTTAAATACAAGCAATTCGATAATAATCTTAGGCTATTTCTATTAAGAAGCAGAAAATATGCATTGAATATATATTAATATATGAAAAAATCTGACAGATTATCTCCTTTTGATTAACTACTTACTCCCTCCTCCGTAAGTGAACTAAAAAAATTTTGTTAATTTTTTTTATTAAAAAATCTTATAGTAATTTGTTTTTCGAAATTTTAAAAAAAAATCCATATTCGAAATAATTTTAAAGCAAATATTAATTTAATTTGTAAAATTTATGTTTTAAAAATTCATGCTGTTTAAAATTGGACAGAATTAGCTTGAGATTTCATATACTAATTATCACTTATATATCAAAATTTTTTTCTTTAAAAATTTTTCGTTCGCTAACAGAGGGTGGATTTTTGCAATGATTTTGTTCGCTCATGAGGGAGTTAGCGAATAGGCTATCAACTAATAATTTTTCTCACTATAACCTTATAACCTGCACAAAGATTAAGTCCTTAACTCTTCAATCCTATACGATTTCATAGCATGACACTTTTTATGAAAGCTATTTCCCAGCTTTTTCTCTTCAAAAAATTCACAAATCTTATCCAAAACCACTTAAAGCCACACATTTTCGATAAATCCTAATTCCCCGCCTCAATTCCTCCAAATCTTCAAATCCCTTTCAAATATCCCATAATCTCTTCCTAAACCCTTTTTTTATTCCTATAATTCCATTTTCCCATTCAATCTTACCAGCATATCCAAAGTATCCCTTTTTCTTCATATCTGGAGGGAAATTCATAAATTTCACATTTAAAGAAAAATGAGTCTCGCTGAACTTGATGTAAACATCGATTTGAGCCTACCTCGCAAAAGAGTCCATCTTGATTTATATTGTTCAGAAACGATTGATATTCAAGATTCTGTCACCGGATTTAAGCCTTCTGATACAGACACTCTTAAATTACTGCAAGAAAGAGAAGCATCTTTTGGAATTAATCCTTTTTATTTTGAAACTATTCAAACAGAGATAACACCGTCAATGCGCCTTATGCTGGCTGATTGAATGATAAAAGCTGCTCATGATTTTTCATTGAACCGGGAAACTTTTCAGATTGCTCTTACTCCTTTAATAGAAATTAATTTTTTAATAGGGATTTTATATAAATAAAAAAAAACCCCTCAACTTATAATGAGTTAGCATTGTCGATAAAACCCTTTCTAATTTCAAAGTTTCCAAAGGCACATTCCAGCTACTCGGAATCGCATCGTTAATAATTTCTTCTAAACTAGAAGAACTCCATCCTCCCACAATCAGCGATTTTGTATTATACGTCGGCGCTTTTTCACAAAAAGAAATTTACTCAATGGAAAAAAGGATCCTCAAAAACCTTGGCTGGCGAATCCTTCCAGCCACATTAAACCATTGGTGCAACTGACTAATGGCCCAATGGGACGATTTTGTAGTTCACACAATTAAGGAATTCGATATAAGATTCAAAAGGGCTGACAAAAAATCATATAGACTGTATAGAGAGGTTATCGGGATTTTAGACGGCGCCATCCTTGATTCTTCACATTTAAACCATTCACAGCCAAAGCTAGTCGCGGCGTGTATTTATTTAGTATTACAAAGGGAAATCTGTACAGGCGAGCATTCAGCGAGTTTTGAAAAACATTTCGAATATTGATTAGGGGCTACTCTAGAAGTAGCGTCGACCGTGTCGCTTCTGAAAGCAAAAGAGTATCTTCAGCAGTTTTTGGGACTACCTATAGGGTATGACTTACCAAAAATTTATGAAGATTTCCCGAGAGATTCAATAGCAAAGAGCTATGAAGATTTCTTGGGTTTTCAGATCCATAACTCTGAAATAATGCCTTTTATTAAGGCAATAATAAGAAATAATAGATAGTTTTGTGCATAGAAGGGTATAAATAGCTGTAAGTGGCAGAGAGTAAAGGGAGAGAGATGCAGTTAGCTTGATAAAAAGGAAAATTTTTCAAATTGATGAGGGCTAACAGCTGTACCAGTTGAATGCTCTTTGTCGTATTTTCTATGAATTCATGTTTTCGAGATTGGAAAATTGGGAAATTCTCAGTCAACCGTCTTTAAAGTGGTTGGATTTTAATTTAAAAAGTTAATATGAAGCAGAGTACACCACTCAGACGTGCTTGAAAGTGAAGGCATTATGATATATTAGTAATTAATGAAATAAAATTGTTGAGATGCAGGTCATGTAGGTAAAGCAATATTCTGGATCATCCTTATTGGCACTTTAACTGATACTTTCAATCTCATGTAAAAGGCTCTTGTCTACGGTAAAGCCGATCTAGGACTATTTGCATTTGATATTGATTAAATAAAGAAATTGCTCTTTTCTTCATGCCTTTTATTTATTCAAAAAATAAAGATGCAGTTTCGACTTTATAAATCTACTGAATTGATATAAAAGCGTTCTATTCCTAAGCTAAATAATTTTAAAATTAAATGATTAATTAAAAAATGTTTTGGCTATTCCTCGGACCATTATTTTAGAAGATAATGATATTGAATATGCTTCTAATTGGCCTTGCTTGAGAGAAATCTGATATCTATTTATTCCAGACTCAAGGGGAATTGATGACAAAACGTCAGTGCTATATTTTGCAGTCCATTTTCCAGTCAACAAAGTCATGTGTGGGTGTTTATTCGCTATTTTTATGTAAGGATTAAATTTGTCAGCTGAAGCACATATGATATGTCCTGGAACATATACTATATGTGTTAGAACAAAGTTTATTTCTTTGTTTTCTGCGAATTCTCTATATTCTTCTGACATCTCAAGCTCATTATTCCCGCCTAAGAAAAAAGTAGTTACATGCAAACCACCCACAATTGTCCAAACTTCTGAAAAATACTCAAGGACGGCAGCATTTTGAATTTCTTGCAAGTCTTTTACAATGTCCTCATGCTCATAAGCATCAGCAAATTCTCGTAAGCAAGAAATCACAATTGGAATTAATAAAGGCCTAAACCATGCATCAGCATCAATTCCAATATAAATTGGAAGCTTATAGTTTTTAAGATCTGGTCTACCCTTTTTGCAGTTTTGCTGGATTTCTTCTTCGCTCTCAATGCTTTTTCCTTCAAAGCTAATAATTTCATCTTTTCTTCTTATAGGCTCTTTGGTTTCTTCTTCAAGCCCTGAGTTTCCACTTATTCCGAGATCAAAAAGTTTAGATAATTCTGAAGAGATTTTAGGTGTTGGGTCGATATTTGGTAAAATTTCAGCATATTGATCAATTAATTCTACTAGATCTCTTATTGTATGTTCATTTGGCAATCCTCCAGGTCTGAAAGCTGTCAAAGTTTTTGATACATGTTTACTTAATTGCTTTTGAGGAGTTCTTGCAGGTCTGAATACTGCTTTCTAATGTATTGCTCCTTGCAGGCAAAGGCTTACACTCACTACTTGAAAGTCAGAGATGCCAGGCCACCACCATGTCGCGCGCCAATGAAGTTATTTTTCAATGAATGAACTAATTGATTTGGAGGTCGTAGGCCATTTATGGCAGAGCCAAAGCTCATCGCGCTAGAATTAAGGCCGATCCACTGTTAGCGATGAAAAGATGGCTTATCTTCACATTTCTCGCCCGTTTGTCTTCGTAAGAACACCCAGCTTCAATGTGATTACGCCCAATTAAATTGCATCGCCTCCAGTGAGTCCGATGAGCTGCGGACTTGCTTCCATCTTGCTCAAGATGATCCATCTCTATCGACTTAGAATCATGCAGAGACTTGCGCGGCCTAAACTGCCCAATCTTCGTCCCCCACACTTTGATGCCGGTCCATGTGACCATCCTAACTTAGGAGTCCAAGGTCCGTTGGTCTAGTGGCAGAGTTTGGCTTGAGGAAAAGCTCTTTACCAACTGGGTAAAAACCTCACTTTGATAGAAAAGTTAACTTAAAATGGGCAGCTCTTGGCCTGTCGAGGCGCTATTTTTGTGTAAGAAGCTACTTTACAAAAATGAACTTCTTCGTTGGTTTGTCAGTCAAAATAGAAATGTCAAGTCCAGGTACCACACTAGGATTTGCCCAACTGATCTAGTGGGTGTCTAGACACTGCGGGGCTACCCTTTTCTAATTCCAACTTCCACCTTCCATCAAGGTCAAACGTGAATGATATTTGCACAGAGCGTCATCCTCTCTCCTCACATAGCCTGATTCATACTAGCAGGCTACTAGCTGAAGTTATAGAAACCTCCTTGGAGTGGCGCTGCAAGCGCAGGCCACTCCATGCGGAATTCATGGGAAAGTCGAACCAACGCACAGTTTTGGTTCGACCAACTCCTATGTTGGTTAAACCAACACAGGAATTCCGCATGGAGTGGCCTGCGCTTGCAGCGCCACTCCAAGAAAGAAGTATAGAATCAATTGAACATATTTAAAGTTTTTGACACGACAAGCCTCATATTATCATCCACTTCAAAGGCATTTTCTTCAGTAAATGGCAGTCTCATAATATAATCAAACCCATTAGTCAAAAAATCATCAAACCTAACATTTCTATACATGTTATACATCATCAAAACTATAGCAACTTTTTTTGTAAGACTCCCAGTTAAAGTTTCATGGTCGACTCTATTTCTCGCCCTTACTAAACATTGTAACAATGACCCCCCCTCAATCTTCGTGTCTATTGCAACAAAAATGCAATTTTTTTAATATAAAAATTTTATATAAAAAAAATTTTTCATGTCTCTTGCAACAAATTTTTGATGTGCATCTTAAATTTTTTCCGTAATTTGCAGAATTTGACTATTTCACCTAAAGAAAATGTAATAAATTTTTTTAAAAAAATATTGTGTTGCAGTAGGCATGAAGATTTTTCGAAAAATTTTTGTTGCAATAGACATGAAGATTGAGGAGGGGGTTATCGTTATAAGAAATGGTAAAGAGAGTTCATATGTAAAACTTCTGTGCCTTTTGTCATCATTTATTACAAATGGGGTCCCACATTCAGGAACAAGGGCAATGATTCGAATTTGGGATGTTTTAAGTGCATTTTTAGTTATTTCAGCAAAGGTTCCCGGAATAGAGTTAGGCGGGAAGTTTTTGTCAAGAAATAGCACGTGGCATTTGGATTTTGTTTTCATTTCTCTTGATAGACTTTTGGCGAAATTTACTCTTGAGATTCAATTGGTTTGCTGGTAAGCGTAATCTCAATCTCGAATTTTTGAGCTTTCCATATACTCTTGGATGCATTTTTCTCTTATTTTGCCTGATGATATAGTAGAAAAAGTAACTCCTTCATGGCTTTCTATGGCTGCTTGGAATAAAGCTCTTATAAAGGATTTCCCCATTGCTGGGATGCCCATCGGAACAATAACAAAAATTTCATTGGATTTGATTTGTGTGATTTCTTCTGGGACTTTCATTCTCAGCGAATCAACTTTTGTTTTTAAGGTCAAAATGAACTGAGATAGATCAGTATCAAACCCTTCTAAAACAAAATCTCTCTGTTTTTCTTCAATAAGCAGCCGTAAAGTTGTAACTTTGTTTTGAAAAGTTTCAATCGTTTGATGAGGGTCACCTTTTAAACACCCAGTCATACTGTAAGGAATTATATTGCTTTTTATCCTTTGGCGCATTCTAATGATATTTTCAGATTTTTTAAATCCCTCATCTGTGGTCCTATAAAATACAAAAAGGGTATTTCTGGGACACGATCTTTAATTTCCATAAATTCTAGAGGAAAACAAACCGTTAAGCCTTCTTTTACTCTTATTTTCTTGTTTCATGTTTTCTCGATTTTTGTGGATTTTAAAGCATCACATATTGCGTTCTTTTCGGATTTATCCAGAATAAAAGGTGGAGTGACAATAGTGACGATAAGGGGATTTAGCTCTTCGATACATTTTTCAGAATTAATTTCCTTGTCACAGATTTCTGAAGGTTTGGCAGAATTAATTCTTAAAATTATCGTATCAAGAAAATAAATAAATCCTTCATTGAATCTACTTTCTGATGGATATTGACTTATAGAAGCAAAAGCGACTTCAGCAATTTTAAAATAATAATCTAAAGGCTTCGGGGGCTCAATATATCTTGAAAAATCCTGGGTCTTATGCATAAATTTTTTTAATCTCACTTTTGAAGAGGGTATTCTCATCCCTCTATCTGAAATCACTTTTTTAATCTTTTCTCTTAGCATTCTGAAAATTTTGTACTCAAGAGTTTTTATTTTTATCGCAGATAGAGCAAATTGGCTTAAAATTGCTTGCGAGAGCTCTTGCTCTGTAAAATTTTCGGGCTGATTACCAAAAATTGTAGTGTTTGCCGCATATAATATAGGGTTATCAGGATTTTGGTTTTCCAGCAGATAAATAACGCTTCCTTCTCCTTCAGTTAAGGCCTCAGATGAGATTTTATTATATAAATCGCCTAAATTTCTATATAATTCTTCAAGAGTCCTCATGTTTCCAATGTATTCTACTTCTACTCGATTTAAATTATATTTTTTGAATAATGAAAATGCTTTTAATGGTGGCATAAAGGAGTGTGGAGAATTATTATCGACATAGGCAAAAAACAATATGGTGTTTTCATTGTATTTTACTAAATGCTGGTATTTTTGATTACCTACGTATTCACCTATAAAGGTAAATCCATCTAAGTCATTCTTTAAATTTTCTACTAGGTTTCTGTTTAAAGAATTGACGTAATCAAACCACTTGAATCCAATTAGCTTTGCAAACATATATTTGCTTTCAATATATTTTTCTTCATATGATTCAAACATATATTTGTTTTCAATATATTTTTCTTCATGCAATTGATACAAATCTTCTTCCCTTCTTGCAGCTATGCTGACATTTTTTGATGAAATTATCCAGGCATCAAGTTGCCTTGAATATGATATCTGAGCACTTTCTCCATTTGCTTGAGTTGTCCTGTATACGTCAACTGATAATCCTTTTCTTATAATAGTCTCTTCAACATCATAAAATATTAATTTCCTCATAAGCTCTCTTTGGGGATCTTGGCTGTAGATTAATGGATAATTTCCAGCAAAACTTCCGATTGTGTTGAGATCTTTTGTGTTGCATTGGAAGGTAAACTCTGGGTACAACTCAAAAATCTTCTGCATGCCTCTTCTTACAAATCAGGCATTTGAGTACGAATAGCGCATTATTCTTGATGGCTTATCAGCACCACTGCTATTTTTTGTTTCTTTCAGTTGAATCATAATAGAGTTTCCACTTCTAACCCCAAATGGATTTTTAATTTTTTGGGTAAAAACCCAGAAAATAATTTTAAAATTTCATAGGGAAACTATAATCTCTATATAAATACTATTAAACTCATTAATAGATGATGCTCAATTAGAATTTTATTTAAACAGTTGATGCAAATTTATATAATTTTTTTCTCAAAAAATAACCTCTATTTAATTTGGAACAGAATTTTTCAATTTAAAGGGGGAGTAATGTTCTTTTTCAAAAATAGTTCTTCTGAGTACAGCGCATCTTCTTTGAAGCTACGGTCATGCAAACAAAATGGTATGTCAAAAAGTGCAAATTTTGAACGAAATGGGATTGAGCTTTCAACTGCTCTAGGAAGATTTATTGGTTTGCCTGTGGTGCATCATTCAAGGATCTCTGATGGACTATAAATTGTATTTGGTTCAATAAAAGCTTGGCTTTGCTCTTCAGACATATTATTATTACGATAGACTGGAGAAACATCGAATAATCTTATTATGCTCAATATAATAAGCAAGTTTATTCTCCCAACAATCTTTTCTGAAATTGAAAGTAGATGGATGAATTCATGTTTCTACAAGCCCTCCTAAATCCAGTTGATAAATTGCTGCATTTTTTGACTCCAGAAAGTGCAGAGATACGAAATAGTGAAATTAAAAGGCTATAGTCTATCAACTTTGCTAAAATTCTATATGAAATTCAAGAGTTTTTATAAAAAAGAAAGTTGTCGAGACATTTACAGCAGAGATATTCTGCTACTTGCAATGATGCAGCTTTCTTATGATATATAAAGATAAAGCTAAGAGTTTATTGTATATAATCCAAATAGCAGATGAATGGGGTTGAATAAGTATTTAACGCCTTGTAGAATCCCAATTGTGAAGTATTGGAAGATGACTTTATGTTTCAAATTTTGAATGAGTATCACTAGTTTGGCTAAAGGATATAAGTATGATATCTATATTTCTGTCTTCGTCATTGATGGTATTGCTAATGTTTGAGACAATGGCTCATATATATATAAGCTTATAAGATATAGCTTTTCCCCATAAATAGCCCCATAGAGCCAATTTTTTTCATGAGTTTAATTTTTGAGAGGACCAAAAATTAAGCCCAGTAGGCAGATCATAGCCTTATTGGGTATTTATGGGAAAAACCCAAGGCAGCTCATAATCACTACTATTTGATTTTAACTCTTGTGATATCCTCCAATTATTCCTATCCCGCACTCTTCAAAAGAGGTTTTAACGCGGCAATCAATACATACAGAGACAGCCATTACCAGGCTTATCAACTGCTTAAATTTTAGAATCCCAGATCATAATCCATATCTAGATCTAAAATTTCATGCAAGGCTTTTAAAAATGAATATTAAAAGGTTTTTCCACTTTCACCTCACTTAAAATTCTTACCCTTGAAATAAGAGAAACTCCAAGTTTTGTTCTAATAGCATTGCATAATTTTAGGCTCATGATCTCATAATCCTCCCATATAATTTCAATTTGAGCGCATATAAGAACTTGGCTTAAGGCTTCAATTTATTTTCTAATCTCTTTACACCCTCCCCCTCGGTGAGCAAGCAAAATAATTATGCTTTTACGGAGGGAGTTTAATTATTTTTTAAAAAAAATTTATATCGTATTTTAGATCAAATTTTTATTGCAAGTTTAAAAAAATTCATTTTCACAAAATTGATAAATAAAAATTAATTTAATATCAAAATTTATATTTTAAAATACAAGCTGTTTAAAGTTAGGGATTTTCCAATAGTTTGTTCGTCACAGAGGGTGGAATTAGGGTTTTGATCCCAGATTTGAGAGTATAGAGGCAAAACTGTCTCTCGGTCTATCACCTTCATGAATTTTTTTTATAATTTTAATTTTTGAAATTGTTAGATAGTAGGATTGATATTAAGAAAATATATAACTGCTTCGCTCTACACACCTATAGATGCTTTAAATGACTTGCAACAATAGTAGGAAATTTAGAATAAGAGAATTGAAATATTTAGTGAAAGCTGCTTCATCTTGCTTAAGTTAAGAATATATTAAGTTCAATACAAAAAATGTTTTAAAATAATTCCCTTTAAGAATCAGAAGTATTGCAGCAATTCAAAATTATCAAAGCCGCATATATGTCTATTAGCTAAGTCTATCTATAGCAAAGAAAAATGAATTAATAAAGTTTTATTTTTGCTATAAGCAATTCAATAATTAATTTATACTTATTTTGTTATTTCAAATTTAATACAAATCAAAACCTTGAGTCCTATAAATTTAACCCAAAAATATCAAAAGTCCATACTTATGCCAAATTCTTATTTAATTCTATTAAAATTAAGCTAACCGCCATGAGTGAAGTCCATTGGTATGTTCCAGGAGTAAGCCATCACAATCCTAAATCTCTGCCAAAAGCAAAAAATATTTCACGAGATTTTGAGCACATTTCAGGCACTTCTAAAAGAGACCATCTAGCAATTGCATATAATACAGTCAAAGATTTATATTTTCGACGATCTTCAACAAGCTTAAAGAACTATATGATAATCCATACTCAAAGGATTGTCAATGAAAAACTTGATGCAGCTGGATTTATTACCTGAATTTCGCCATATTGGCTGTATACCTCTAAAAAGGTCTTAAAAATTCTGCATATAAGTGCACGCTGGCTAAAAATTAATTAATTAAGATTAAAGCTGGATTTCATAACTTTCATCGTCTAAGCGACAATGAAAGAATCGATCTCGCATTGACTCAAAATCTCTTGACAATCAGCACAGTGACACATCTCCATCAGCTGCAAACCGAATCCAACCCCCGAGCCTTGGTCTCAATTTTTATCAACTTTCTCCGCGAAATTCAACCATCTCCTCTATATTTTGAGCCCCTGATAACTTTATTGTCAAGTGATTCAAAAATCTTCCCTGAAGATGAAGAAATAAGAAAAATCAATAGAAACGTAGTTAGGCGTATCTAAACATACCTTAAAATTATTACTATACCCTTTATTATTTTTTTGAAATATTAAGTTATTATATTATTTTTTGATCCCTAGTGTCTTATAGTCAACCATCACTTGTGCCTTTGCTTTAAAAGAGTCAAAATCAAGCCCTGATCTATATCCAATAGTCCTATTAAAAGGTGTCAAACTCTGCCCCATATTTCTCGGACTTGACAACCAACTCGCTCTTGAATTTTCCGATTTTTCATAAATTTTCGAATTTTGGCATGAAAAATTCCTTTGCAGCCTAAAGCTGTTCTGGGCGCTGCTCGATTTATATTGCTTTTTCGTCACGTTGAGCACAGTATAGCTTTGGCTTTGCTGTGATTTGCATCTATATTTTAACGCTGGATTTTTTTTGAAAAATAATTCACGTCTCGGACTAAACTGAGGGCTAAATGTGCAATTAGAAAGCTCATTTTCGTATTCAATTTGTTTATTTCTGCGGACTTTTTTTTCTCTTTTGTGAAGCCAGTATTCGCTTCTTTGTATGACACTCATGGCCAGGAAAGGCTCACTTGGCTTTTCTTCTTCTTCCTCTTTATATATTGGCCTGCTTTTTACTACTTTTTTTAAGTCTTCAAGAGGAATCACAGCGTTTTTGAAATCCTCGACTTCTTTGGCTTGGATTTTTTCATGGGAAGAAATGTAGCTGGATTTTGATTTTATTAAGGACCGAGCTTTTGGCTTATTTTTGGCGTCTTTTTCTTGGAATTTTAGATGGAGGTCTACTTTTGGCTTGGAGGAGTCCTCTTTTAAAGCTTGCTCTGAAGCTTTGATTTCCTCTTCCAGCTGCTTTAGCGAAATTTCTGTCAATTTTGGTGTAGAAATCCCTTGAAGTATTTCGCTGCTTTTTATTTCTTCTTGATTTGGCTGTTTTCTATAATATCTTGACCCTAGCAAGATTTCTTGTATGCTTTTCCTGGTATCTACCTTAGGTGGGTTGTTTTTTTCGTCATTTATTTCTCTTAATTTGGCAAGCTCTTTCGATACAGGATTTATGTCAGGGGCTGGCTTAAGTTCTTTCAACTCATCAGATTTTGCCTTCAGCATTTGTTGATGGATTTTTATTTGGTGTTGTTTGTATTTTTGTAGTAGTAGATCTTCAACTTTCATGTCAGTTTTTCGTGATGACTTTTTTGGTTTATTCGCATTTGAATAGGAGAGGATGTCGTGGTTTTTTTGGCGAATAGAGGAATCTTGGTATAATCTATAAGGAAAATAGTGATTTTTATAGAGGGGGCAGAGAGGGAAATGATAATTTTTATAGGAAATTAATATAATAAGGGAGGAATGAGGATTAGATTGTAAGAGAAAGGATTAAAAAAAGACCGAACTGTCTGATGAATCTGTAGGGTTGAATGGGAAATTTGAAGAATGGCCAACTATCAAATTTTTCATTTTATTTAGACTAAATAATGATTAGATTAAGCTGATTCTGCGTATGGCGCTTCTTCTTTCTTTAGTTTGAAGAATAAAAATCCAAATGCTCCTACACTGCCAATGAAGCCAACTAGCATAATCCATGCTAAGCTAGATGCAATTCCAGACGAATGAGAAATTTTAGCTTCATTTCCTGAGGAATCTAAAAGTGCGATATAAGGGTCGTTTTCTCCTCTAACCTCAATATCCACGCTAGCAAAATGATAAGTTTCCCCTGGTTTCCCAGTCTCGTATTTCCCTGGTTGATTATCTTGATAGCAGCCACCTGCATAAGCCCAATGGGATTTTCCAAAAATATCGACGTTATTTTTCATCTTTAAACAGATTGATTCTAAGATGTCATAAGTAAAGCAAACGCCGCTTCCTTCGTCATTTTTCCAAACCCATACTCCATTCTTTTTCTTGCAGGTTTCTTGGCATCCTTTTCCTGAGCAGCTGAGCTCAATTTCATTTTGCCACCAATTTGATACGTCAATGCCAACTTTTGGATCATTGTCATTCCACATCCCTCCTTTGCCGGCATGAGAACAGTTTGGCATGTTTTCAAGTGGCTTGAATGCAATGATTTTTAAATTTTTTAAAAAAATTTTAATTTTTAGGAAAAAAATCTTTTTAATTAAAAATAAAAATAGCCCAACGATTTTATTTTTATCGAAAGATGGAGCCCACTCAACATAGACGCATTTAGACTGGGCATCTCCTACTGGGACTACATCTTCGTTAAAAGCAAGTGTAGAAAACTTTAGTGAGGTGTCAGCTGTATATTCGTGATAAGAGACGTCGTATTTGGTTATGGACTTACCTTATATACATTAATATGGCGTGGTGAGTTAACCCACTCTCTTATCACCTATAGCGGGGGAGATCAGAGATCTTGAGGAAGGGAGGATAGCGTAAGAAATGTGGTTCGGTCAGGCTTAATGTCGGATTTTGCCAACAGCAGCTCATTATAGGTCGAGGTTCTACACAGAGAAAAATGGAATTCGAAGTTTGAAAAGGGAAACTCAGCAAATTCAGGGTTGAAAGGCCATAGGATCTAGTCTCCAGTCACCAATGGGCACATCTCTAGCGCGATGCCAGGATTGCATCCTGGGCTAAGAAATTAAATCTTGATCGAAAACTCACCAGAAAGGCAGCTCTGTTAGCGTGAGGCAGATGGCCCATCCCGCTACACTCTACATTTCTGGAGGAGTATAGCCGATAGGCAGACGCCAGGAAGTCGCAAATTATTGGAGATAAATACTCTTTAGGCATCACAGAGAGCTTCTCGTATATTTATAGCTAATATTAATATAGTAATTATGGACTTACCTATTTCTTTTTGGTAAGACTCCTCTTCGGTATTTGTCCAATTCATGAACTCAACGACTCCGTGGCCTTGGCTTGGAATAACTTTAAGCTTTAGTGTAATATTATGCAAAGGTAAAGTCTAATTTATATAAAGTTTGACAAAAAACCTAATTTTCAATGAAGATAAAAAAAAAAAAAGTTAATTTTTGCAAGAAAAATGCATGAACCTTATTCAAAGCCTCTGCATAGCTCTGTTTATTCCAGTTCTATATGATGCTTACAGATATTTCTCTGTTAGCTGAGCCTTGCGCGCTGCCTGATACTGAGGAAATAATTAAAAACACAATCGCTAAAGCAAGAAAACCGACTGCAGCTGCTGCTAAGCCCATCAGAGTCTTGTAGTTTTTATCCCCGAATCTCTTCAATTTAAGTGGGTCAAAGTCCATTTATGAATTAGACATGATCTATAATGCTCAGCTGTTATTTAAAATTTTGGGATTTTAGTTATAGGTGAAATAGGGTGGTGATGAACGTTTTAATTCAAAAAATTAGAAGATTATAATAAATCAATTTTAATGCAAAAATTGCATTAAGGATGAAAATAGATGATAAAAATTGAGTGAATTTTATGAAATACTCACTCCCCCCCTCCGTGAGTGAACAAAACCATTAGAAAAATCCCTATTTTTTTGCCCAAAAACCCACCCTCAGTGAGTGAACAAAAATATTTTTAATAGAAAAATTTTTTATGGAAAAAAAATTTTATATATAAATGATAATTAGTATAATGAAATCTAGAGCTAATTTTGTTTAATTTTAAACGAATTGCGTTTTAAAACATAAATTTTTATAAATTAAATAAATATTTGCTTTCCAATTTTTGCGAATTAGGATTTTTTTTAAATTTTCGAAAAAAAAATAATTTTTATAAAATTTATATATAAATTTTTTTTAAAAAAAAAAATTAACCCATGAGTGAACAAAATTTTTTTGTTCACTCACGGAGGGGGGGGGAGTCAATATTATTTTATCAAAATTGTTATAGGAAATTAATTATTTTGGTAAATGGATTTATATAAAGTTTTAAACTGTTTGATTGCAGATATCATTATTGGGGAGTATTTAATCTCTAGATGATGGCAATGTTCAACAGCAATCGTAGTGTAGTGGTTATCACATCTGCCTAACACGCAGAAGGTCGTGGGTTCAATTCCCACCGATTGTACTTTTTAATAAAATGACATTTTATTAATAAACCGCTAAATATCTATTGAATTGCTAACATTTCTTAATTTTTCGGATTTGATTTTAATCAATACTAAATTTATTATAAGCTTCTCTAGTAATTAAATTATTTAATAATCGAAATTTTTATAGACAGTAAATATTAATTATAAAATCTGGAAAATATATTATTTAAAATAGTATTGAATGCTTCTTTTACATAAAAGCTCTACCATAGCTCACTATGTCTTTATTCACAAGTTAATTAACAATAATAAAGATAGAAAATAAAAATGGTTGCAAAGTGTTTCCAAAAATCTGCTGTTTTATCTCCTTTATCTTCTTTTAAACTCAGTAGTACTCATGGGTTTATCAACCCAAACCCTCCACCAAGCATCCCAAAATATCCAGAATTATTTCCCCACTATGAGCTTGCAAAATCACTTGCGTCAGAAACCTCCACTATACCCAGCAGAATTAAAAATCTGCCTCAAATAGAGGCTTCTATCCTTTTTGATGACCCTGAGCAACTAGAACTTACTACCCCACTCCGTGAGAGAACAAAATTTTTTAAATATAAAAATGTTTCATGAAAAAAAATTTGATATATAAGTGATAATTCGTATAATGAACTGTTTCGTTTTAACAGATTGCACTCTAAAACACAAATTTTACAAATTAAATAAATATTTGTTTCAATTTTATGAATTGGGATTTTTAAATTCCGAAAATAAATTAAATCTCCCTCCATGGGTGAACAAAATTGTGTTTAAGCACGGAAGGGGGAGTTACTGCTTTAATCTACGGAATGCTTGTTTCTTCCTACTACTGACTCCCCTCCGTGAGTGAACAAGATCAATGGAAAAATCCTTTTTTTGGTAAAAGCCCGCCCCTCTAAGCGAAAAAAAAAATTGATATAGAAATGACAATATTATAATGATATCTTTAGTTAATTCTGTTTAATTTTAAATAGCTAGCATTTTAAAACATAAATTTTAAAATTAATTAATTTTTACTTCTCAATTTTTTAAATTTTGACAATATAATTTTTAAAAAAATAAATAACACTCTCGCTAGGAACAAAATGTTTTTACTCGGGAGGGGGAGTGAGCGTCTCCTATTCCTTCAGTTAATATTCCTTCCAATATAGGTGTCCCTTTTTGAAAAATCTGTCAGTATCTAAATCGCCCTCCTATCTTAAACATCACTTCCTTATTCCTCATTTGAGAACGCCTATAGGTTTCTGGTTATAATAAGGATTAAATTTTATTCTAAAGTTTTGAGTATTTTTAAAATAATATTTAGCAGGAAATTAGTGTCTATTTTTTCTAACAGTGAGCACAGCTGATTGGAGTTTAATTATTAAAGCAGTACATATTTAAAATTAAAAAATATCTATTGTAGGTAATTATTTTATTAATAGATATTACCTAAATGTGCTCATTAGCAGGGACGAAGTTAGAATTCCACAATTTTTCTTATAAAAGTCTTGCCCAGGATTTTCATCCTGATAACCTAGACTGCTTATTTACTTTTTCGGGAACCTCAGATGAAAAATATTTTTACTTACTTCCCTGCTAGTGAACAAAAATAAATTTTTGCTCACGAAGAAAAGTTAAATTTATATATAAATTTTATAGTAAATTTTTTTTTCGAAGTACCAAAGCTTTTATTTAATTTTTTTAAAAATTTAAAAAATTTTTTAATATCCAAGCTGTTTAAAACTAACAATAGATAATTAGCTAGAGATTTCATTATACAATTAATTTATCACTCTTATATCAAAATATTTTTTTCACAAAAATTTTTGTTCACTACGAAGTAGGTTTTTTACCCAAAAATAAGATTTTTCCAGTGGTTTTGTTCTCTCGGGAGGGAAGCTAATTCCTTTATATGTAGAATACCTAGGAGCCCCACTTTTAGAAGCAGCATTTGATCTTTTTTCATCGATTGAACAAAGAAATAAAGAAGAAATAATAAAAGCATTAAAGATATTCAAAAAAACTATTCAGAAAATGACAGGTGCTTTAAATCTTATGTATGAAAAATGCGATCCAGGAATTTTTTATTTCGGATTCAGAAATAAGTTAAAATCTTATGAAAAAGGAGCTATTTTTGAAGGAATTTCAGAAGATTGTGAAATCTATTCTGGGGCTTCAGCAGCACAAAGTCCAATAGTAAGACTTATTGATATCATTTTTAATTTAAATCAAGAGCACAAATTTATATCAAAAACATATCAATATTTAAAAAAAGAACACAGAAATTTTATTTTTTTTATGAACGAAAAACGGCCATCATTTTTGAGAGAAAATATCGAAGATTTAGGAGCAAAAAACGAATGAAATGAGGTAATTGATGAAATTTGCAAATTTAGAGAAACTCATTTGAAGCTTGCATATAATTATATTATTGCTCCTAGTCAAGGACGAGACAATAAAGGCACAGGGGGCTCTTCTCTTGAACAATTTTTGAATACTTTAATTACGTCTACCAGAAGATCTGCATTATAATGCAAAATCCTGCAATAAAAAAATTAAATTAGAAATTTGATAAATATCGTTTTACTTTTGAATTAATAATAAATTTAAATATACAATATAAGAAATTGCGATAAATAGTTTATATTTTCAGTTTTCCTGTAGAATCTCTATAAATAAAATGAAATTATTTAGAGGGCTATCATACAAATCTTGTAGTTCTTTTGGGCTAAGCGAAACACATGGATTTACAATTGGTCAAGAACCTCCAGGCATTCCCTCTCTTCAAAACCTTTACCCCCACTACGAATTAGTTCAATCTCTTCAAAATTCTCCGCAAAATATCCTTCAACAGATCGCATCCCTTCCTACAGTTGACCCAACCCCTTTATACCAAGAAACTCTTCAGCTCGAGCTTGCAGCCTTATTATATGGTATGATTGTTTCTTCTTATTACTGAAATACAGAAACCCCTTCAACCAAAATTCCAGCAAATATTTCAATCCCCTTTTTACAAATTTCCCAAAAATTAAGACGTCCACCTATATTAACTGCAGCATCTTTGCATTATCACAATTGGAAATTTATAGAAAATAGTGGAAATTTTCACGTCAATAATTTTCAGGCATTATTTACGTTTTCAGGCACTAAAGATGAAGAAAATTTTTATTTGACTCCTATGTATATTGATAATTAAATATGGCGTCTTGACCTGAGCATGGCCACATAGCCACAATAATGCTAGGTAAGAAATTCCAGTAGTTCGTGGAGTATAGTCCTGGCCCGCTTTCAGGTTTTGATTTTTACTCCAAGAAAGGAGGGATCGGAGTTGGAAAAGGGAAGCCCATCAAGGCTGCAGGCAATGTCCAGATCAATTGGGTAAACTCCTAGCTTGAGATCAGGAGTTACGCCCCTCCGGGCTTCTAATTTTTCTCCTTTGCCGAGAGTCAACTGAAATTCCATTTTTAGGGATTTCTGTTTGGACAGCTTTCCTTTACTCAAGAAGTCCATAGTCCACCTACTCAACACTGGAGCAGGTGCAGGAGAAAGAGTGAGGACTTCGGATGTCCCATGACATCAGTGGTCGATGAAGGAGGTGTTACCAATAGATGGAAGCCAACCTATAATTAAGTTTAGTTTAAAGACCCCAATGTATATTGAGTATCTTGGAACTCCACTTATAGATGCATGCTATAAGCTTTATTCAGGGCTAGAAAATAGCAATAAATTTCAGGTTATTGAAGCTTTAGATGCATTTAAGGACACAATAGAAATAATGACAAAAACATTTAAGCTATGCTATGTTAAATTAAATAATTTTTATTATAAAATAATAAAATATAAGTTCCTTTTATCAAAAAAAAGAGTAATTTATCAAAAGGTTGACCCAAAAATATTTTATTTTGGATTTCGGAAAAAGTTGAAATCATTTGAAACAGGAGTCATTTTTGAAGGGGTTAGTGAGAATTCAGAAATTTATGCAGGGGCTTCAGCTGCTCAAATTCCTATAGTGAAATATATAGATGAAGTATTTAATTTAAATAAAAATGATGAATTTATTCAGAAAATGTGAAATTATATGAAAACTGAGCATAGGAATTTTATAAGCTATATTGGAACGATAAGGCCTAGGGATATGAAAGAAAAAATAATAGAGCTTGGAGCAGTAGAAGAATGGAATAATGCAATAGAAAAAATATGTAAACTTAGAGAGGCTCATTTAAAGCTTGCTTATCATTATGTTTTAGCACCTGGGCAAGGGAAAGATCAAAAAGGAACGGGAGGGTCTTCAATTGAACAATTTTTGTCATCTTTAATTGCATCAACAAAGTTAGGATTAATTTAATGAGATTATATAAGGTAGAATTTTATAGAAAATATTAATTGGTATTTCATATAAATTTATTATTAATTTTATGATATAATTTAGAGTATAAATAATTATAATCCCATTTTATTATCTATACGTGGAAACTTAAAAGGAGATTAATGGTCTAAATTAATTTTTGACGCGGATATTTATTTTAAAATTTTTCAAGGGCATTTTGCCAAAATACACATTCTTTTTCATAAAATTCTCTTTGCTTTTTAGTAATCCCAATAACAGTTTTCATAATTTCTTCACTCCTTGTTGCTTCAAATCTCATGTTTTCTTGAATTAAATTGCTTTCTATTTTACTCAATGACTTACATCATTTATCTTGATGCCAAAATTTATAATAAAAATTAAAATTTAAATTATTTTCTAAAGTATTTATAAATAAATTATTCTTTGGTTATTTTTTAATTTATACTAGAGAAATTAGTTAATTTTTCCAAATCTATTTCAGCAGATTCCAGTTCTTGTAAATATCTTGACGCTGTTTCTTCGTCATATGAATTCTTATGCTTTGCATATTTTCTTGAAATTAAAGCTTCTTGCTCATGATATTTACTAATTGATCCTTTATATGAATTTATCGCTTGTTTTAACCCTTCCAATCGTAAATGTTCATTAGAAAAATCTGAATGAAATTGGTCAAGCTCTTCGAAATTCTGTTGGCAGTTCTTTGAATGCTGCTGAAAAATATCAGAAATATCTGGCTCTTCTGGGATTTCGAATTCGCGAAATGCATCTATCGTCAATTTCTGCTGATTTGTCCAATTTTGAAAAGAATTAATACAAGACTGTGTAGGAGAATCCAGCTTTATTATATTTTCTACTATATTTTCAATGTCTTCTTTTATAGGAATATCAGTAAATAATTTTTGATAATTTGTTTGGAATTTTGCATAAACGCTGTCAATTATATCTTCAAAACTTTTAGCTTGAAGATTTTCTTGACGATCTTCTGCTGATTTTTTTTCAATTTCGAAGTTTTCATCACGGGCTTGTGTAAAAACTTTAAATGGGAGTGACATGCCTAATACTGGGTTATTTAAAATAATGTTTAAGTATATATTTTTTTAAAATAATTATAAAGTTGTAGTTAAGAATAAAGCTATATTTTTAATAGATTTTAAGGCATATTATTGATATAAATGCAGTAACTTATATGAAAAATAATATTTTTCAATCTGCAATCTTCGCTCTTCAATAAACTTGTCATTGTTATTGTTAATAATTCTTTTATCCGGTCGTGGAGGTATAAGGAATCCGCAATAATTTTTGACTAATAAGTTATGCATTCAATCTAAGTCGCTGAATCTTCTAGTTACTCTATAAATTTGGTCATTTATTTGTGTGATGATCGGATAAGTGTGATATGATGAACTCCCAAACCACCCACTGATCACCTGTGTTGGAGTTTCTACTGAGATTTCTCGCTTGTTAAATGCTGAAGGCTCTGGAACATTGATTAGGTTTAAAGGTGCCTGGAATATCGATTTTTCAGTTAAAGCAGGAGTTGGGGTTTTTTCTTCAAAGTTTTTTAATGGTGACTTATTCCCAGTATAAATATTTTCAATTGGTTTTTCAAACGCAGGAAATTTCTTATCATCAGGCAATGCTGGCATCTTGGGTAAAATATTTTGAGCAGTTTCTTGCATAGCTGGTATGTCACTCAGCCTATCATTAGTGTTTTTACCCTTCCCATTCTCAGTCTTTTTATTTGGCATTCCTCCTGGCTTTGAATCTTCAGTATTTTTTGTATCTTTATCTTTAGATTTTCTTGCTAAAACGCTTTGTTCCTTAATTAAATTTTCCTTTCCAACTCGTAATCCTTGCTTCAAAACACTACACAATCTCATAGCTGCCATAAAATTTGGCAATTTTAATACATTTTGGTTTTCATTTATACCTTCTGATGGTAATTTTAGATTTTTTTATATTATAAATACGATTAAGAAACTCTTTCTAAAAAATTTATACTAAATTTCAGATATCATCGCAATCTGTTCTTGAAATTTTCAATCTTTTCAAGAAATTCATGTATTCTTCCCTTGATAAAGTTCTGTCAATTATAGAATTTTCTTGCTTTTCTGTCAATCTATCGAATTCAGCCACATAGTATTTCCTTTCTAATGCAGAAAAACTTAGTGATGAAATCGAAGCATTCATATTTATTAATGTTAGGAATATATGAAACTATAAAAGATAAAATAAAATAGAATTAGGTTTTAGAAGACAGAGCCCTATAGTTATATACTACAAAATTACTATTGAATTCGTTTAAACTAATCAATTGAATTTTATTTGTTTTGAATACACAAAAATTATTTATCATCTTCATTAGCTTGCAATTTTATTAAGCATTTAAATGCATTTTATCCAAAATTATTTATATTTTTATTACAATTAATATAAAATCTGATGTCTTCTATTTCATTTTCCCATATTTATAATATTCTATACTCTCTCGAAATTTATTAGAAATAAAATGTAATTATAGGCATTGATGTAAAATAGCATATATAGTGAACTACACTGACTGGCATGGGGTGCTTCTGGCTCAGTTTCGAGCCAAAAGCACCCCGTGCCAGTCAGTGTAGTTAACTATAAATTTAATTTCAAAATGAATTGGCCAGCTTTGGAAAGTGATCCTACAATTTTTACAAATTATTTACGAACAATAGGGCTAGCTGAATTTTGGGAATTTTCTGAAATTTATAGCATGGATTTTGAAATGCCTGCTGCTGCGATTGTTTTGGCTTTTAGAACACATCTGCCTGGGCCTATTTTTACTGGCACTGAAGTTTCTGCTCCTTATTTTATAAAGCAGATCAGTGAACTAGACGCTGCCTGTGGAATTTTGGCAGCAATTCATGCAATTTTTAATGCAGAGGCTGATTTAATAGAAGGAAGCCTTATTCAGCAATTAAAAGCTAACATTTTTAATAAATCCCCATTAGAGACAGCTAATATAATGGCTGGAAGCCAAGAAATAAAGCAGTCACACCAAGCATTTGCAGCTGAGGGCCAAACAAACCCAACAACTACTCCAATTACACACCATTTTGTTGCTGTTCTTCCTGGGTTTATCCTTTTTGATGGGGGAAATCAAAGTCCAGTCCAGCTCGATATTCAAGGAGAATTTTGTGTAGGATTTTTTGAGTTAGTAAAATCAAAAATTGCTGAAGGGCTAATATCGGAGGATATGAATTTAATGGTGCTTAAAATGGTTGATTAATGCTTTTTATGATTTTCTCTCTAAGAATGATATGTTCCTTAGCTAGGCAAGAGCCAATTTAAAGTTCTAATGCTTTAATTTATGCATTTTTACCAAAATAATTTCTAATTATTTATAAAAAACAGAAATGGAATCTTATAAGCAGAAATAGCTCGTTTTAGCATTCAAAAAGTATACAAAATCCAAAATTAAAAAATAAGGAGCTTACACAATGATAGAATAAAATTATCTATATCAGGATACTCATAAAGATAACTTTCTTATAAGAAAATAGCAAAACAATTGTAGATTGATATAAGCTAGTAGAAGTTAGAGATATAAAGAAATGGCATTTCCCAAGATTTTTATGATTTCATGAGCTTGATGATAATTTGTTTAAAAATAAATGATTTTTAATATTTAGCCTTCAGAAATTCCAAATAGTATAATAACCTTGATCTATAGTTAATCCGAAAATTGGCATTAAGTTTCCTTTGCTTGACTAATATGCTATTAATTAATATGATTAGCGCTCTAATCTTGGATCATTATATCAGAGTTCGCAGTCGGAATTTTCAAAAAAACTAGATATAAAGCCTCTAGGCCAAAAGAGATTAATTTATGGCCTTAAGCTAAAGTAAATCTAAATTTGTGATCTTTTCATTTCTATATTATCTAATCCAATATTATAGCAATAGCATCAAGTCGGGTTTTCGTCTCGGTATACTTCGGTGTAAGCTTATAAAAGGCAAAACCATTTTATCAAATTAGAGCTTACAAGAATTAATATAAGGCTTTCCCTTGAATAGCCCGATAACGGGATGAAGCCAGCCTGTTATCGGGCTATTCAAGGGAAAGCCCTATATAATTTTTACCGCTGTTACAGCATATCTTCTTTTACTACTTGCTCCTCCCTCCGTTAACTGGCCACCATTGAAAATTCCATTTTTTAAAAAAGCCTAATTAGCAAAAAAATTTACTAACTCTCCCCCCCTCCGTGAGTGAACAAAACCATTAGAAAATCGCCATTTTTTGCCCAAAAACCCACCCTCCGTGAGTGAACAAAAATTTTTTATGGAAAAAAGTTTTGATATATAAGTGATAATTAGTATAATGAAATCTAGAGCTAATTCTGTTTAATTTTAAACGAATTGCTTTTTAAAACATAATTTTATAAATTAAATTAATATTTGCTTTAAAAAATATAAAAAGAAAAATCAAAAACTTTTGACTTGAAGCAACCAAAATCTCTACTTATCACCAGATTTCGGAAGCTACAAAGATGAACTCAGAATCAGCCTACTACATGCTATGATTCACAGCGACCCAAAATTACTATTGAAATAAGCCAAAATCACTACTCAACATCCGATTTTGGAAACTTTGAACTCAATACATCAGTTTACTCAAGAAGAAATTTGGTTTATTTTTGATCAGTTTGATAGCGAAAAGAAAGGATTTAAGCTCAAAATCCCTCAACAGAAATGTTTTAATTTGATCAGAAAAATCATTTTATTTTATTTTATCAGAAAATATGAATTAAGATCAGACTGAGGTCTTTTATCAGAAAATTAATTTAAGATCAGACTCAGACTATTTTTATCAGAAAAATAATCATAGATCAGATTCAGATCAAAATTGGAAGATTCAAAATAATTTACAAGTTCGGAAAATTGAAGAAAAGAAATAGAGAAATATGCGTTTTTGCACGTTTTAACTTTATATAATAATAATAATAATAATATTTGCTTTCCAATTTTTGCAAATTAGGATTTTTTTTAAATTTCGAAAAAAATAAAATTAACCCCCTCCGTGAGTGAACAAATTTTTTTTTGTTCACTCACGGAGGGGGGGGAGTAATGAATAATATTTTCTTATATAAATATGATAATTAAATATCTATTAAATTCTATTAGATTTTAAACTAAACATTTCAATTTCAAAAATAAATTTAAGTCCTCCGTGAGCAAGAAGGATTAGAAGAATTAGACTTTGATATTAGCTAAATCAAGTATGCAGGCCTAGATATTTATTTTATTAAATTATCCATATTCATTGATTGAATAGGATATATATATGAACAACAAAGGGGTTAACCAAGAATTGATTGACGACGTGACTCAGAGGATTTGCAAGATCCAAGAATACTCCAAAGTGACAGGAGAAGATGTAACTCACCTGCTGTTTCAAAATCTCACAAACCTTGAGCTCTCTCACCATAAAGAAGAAAACGATCAGTTCGGATCAATCATAGAGTCACCAGTTGTAGCTCCAGTACAAGAAATAGGAGACGCTAAGTCTCCGATCGATGACAGCTTGCTGTCAGTGAGCTTAGATTCGACTGATTTTCATCAGTCACCTGTAGATATGGCTAAGTCAATTAAAAAGCAAACCAAAGAGATGTACAAAGCAATTAATGAAAAATTACTATGAAAATGCCTAAATAGGTTATCTTTATATGCTTATAGCATATAGTTTATAAGGGAAAATAAATATTAAATATTTTTTAAAGTGTAGTAATTGAGGAAGAAAAATATATCAGCTTTTCGAACAGCTTCTCAAAGCTTAGCTGATTTTGCGAACGTGGATTCTGCTAAAATTTCAATCCTTTTTTCTGAACTTGACAACATGAAAAAGACGATTTTCGAATTAATCGAAGATTCATCAGTTTCCAAAAAATACCATTCAAGGATTTCTTATCCTGAATTCGACGAAAGCCCAATCTCAGAGCTTTTATTTTCTCAAAAAATAATTTTTAATATTTATTTTTAAAAAATCATAATCCAAATGGCCAATCCCAGACTGCCACAGAGAAAATTACGATTTGGCGCACATCATCGACAGAATTAATGATTTACAAAAAGAAATGCATGAAATTTCTGCTCAGCTTGTAAGTAGTGAAAAGGAAATAGAATACAAAGAGGAAGAAAACCTGATGTTGAAAACACAGCTGAAGTCCTTGGAAAATGTTGCACAGAGCTACATTAAGCTGGAAGATGCCAGGCCGACCCTCAAAAAAACCAATTGTGTATGCGTTGTAATTTAAGAATTATTAAGGATTAATGATTATAAATTGTTTTAATCAAGCAATAAGAATGAAGAAGACTCAATGAGATGCAACCGCTTTAGAGAGACAAGGCTGGATGAAATCCTTATTCAGGCTCCAAGCTTGGATTAGGTAGGGGACAAGGCTAGTTACCAGACTAAAGTTAATTAAGATTAAGATTATAAATTAGTAATAGAGTGTCAAGTCCTTTGAGCAGATCTATTTTGAGATAGCAATATCAGACTGCTAGTTCTGGTTGCCTTATTATAGGATATAAAGAAGATCTGTTAGGTTTCTAAAAAATTTCGGCATATTAAAATAGCCATTAAATAGCCAGTTTCAATAGCATTAAAGAATCATGAGGTATTTGAATATTAAATTGTATAATTTCAAAGAAATTTAGTGTCTTCTATTGTAAGCTGTTTCATATTACTATTTTTCAATTAACGAAAATCTATCTCATAATTCTTTTATTCCTCAAAATATTTAAACTCTGTATAAAGGATTTTTGTATTTAATAAAATTATTTTTCAACTATTAAGCACCCAGCTTGCAAATTCATTAAAATTCCAACATTTCCAGCTCTTTAAATTTTTCCTCAAACTCCACTAATAAATGGGATTTTCAAAAATCTCATATTTAAAAGTTTATAGCCAATCATACAACTTGCAACAAACACCACAAACAATAACCCTTTTCTCCACTTTAATCCAAATTAAGCTAATTAAGGCCTTTAAATAACCAAAGTGCTTGTAAAAAAAGACTTCTTATAATAAATTCTTATTATGTTTGATCCCAATTCATTTGCAGGCGATCGTGACACTTTTGAAACAGATGGACAAGAACCCCCGTTTGTGCCTCCAGAAATGGCCCAATTGTTTTTTCCTAGCGTCTTTTTTGACCCTGAAAACCCTGAAATGCCGAAACGCGAAGACATGGCTGACAACTTCATGATGCCAATGCCGGAGATGGAAGGATGGGACCCGAATTTTCTTTTTTTGCTAGATCCAAACTTTATGCCAAAAGATTCACAAGAAATGAGACGCCTGATGTCTCAGCCGTTTGATTATTACCCGATGATGAACCCAGAAAATATCGACCAGCAGTATCGAAATCAGAAGGAAAAAGTCGAGAGCGAAAATCAGTTTTTATTCTATTTTCGAGGTTTTTGCAAAAATATTTAAAAATAATTTGTATTTTTTTACTAAAAACAGGAAACTATTTTTTATTAGAATTATTCTTTATATGATAAAATATACCAAAACCGCAAATTATATATGATAACACCAAAAAGATTGGAACCTTAACACTAGAAGAAAGAAAAATAAAAATCGAAAGGTACTTATTCCCCCACTCCGAAAGCGAACAAAACCATTGGAAAATCCCCATTTTTTGGTAAAACCCACCCTCTTTGAGTGAACAAAAAATTTTTTTAAAAAAGATTTAATGTATAAGTGATATTATTATGATGAAATCTCTGCAAATTCTGTTTAATTTTAGCAGCTTGCATTTTAAAATATAAATTTTATATTTTAAATTAATATTGCTTCAAATTTGGATTTTTTAAATTTCAAAAAAAATTAAATATATAATTTATATATAGCCCGTTCCCGGCTATATAAATTTTTTAAACAAAAAGAATTGGCCCTTCATGAGTGAACAAAACTTTTTGGTCAACTCTCGAGGGTGAATTAGAAAAAAGAAAGAGGAGAACTTTTTCAAAGAGAATTGCGTATGCATGCAGAAAAAGGGTAGCTGATAGCAGAATCAGAATTAAGGGAAGATTTGTTACCAAAGTGCAAGCGGATGCACTTAAAGGCCTTGAAAACGACAAAAATAATGTTTCTTTGCCTCTCAACTATGAGAAGCGAAATTAAATATATATTAAGATTATAAGAAAAATAGATTAAAATATGGTTGAGTGGGAAGAGTTTATGTCAGATCAAAAACTGGAGGAAATCAAGAAATTTGTGGAAGATAATGAAAAAGCAATAGTAAAAATTAAATCGAAAAAACTTGAAGAAATTATAATTTTTTGCATTAATAGCCACTGGATTTTTATAAAATTCAAGGATTATAATATTTTTTCGTAAATTTAAGCTAAAAGTAAATGGTATATTTTTGACTGTGATTATTTTGAAGATAAAATTAAAAGCGAATATAAGGAAAATTTAACTGAAGAAGAAAGAAACCAACTTGACCTTGAAGCCAGCATAAAATATAATGACAGCATATACGAAGGAAGCATTTTTAATGGTAAAAGGCATGGACTAGGAAGAATGCTCTACCATTCTGGAAGATGGTATTTCGGAGAATGGAGAAATGATAGACGCCAAGGCAATGGAATCGAGTATTATTTAAATGGAAATAAATACGTAGGAGAATTTTTCGACGGGAAAGCTAATGGAAAAGGAAAATTATTTTGAAGCACTGGAGAAACTTATGAAGGAGATTGGGTAGAAGGCCAGCAAGAAGGCAAAGGAATGTGGTTTGGATTTAATAATGAAAGCTATATTGGCGATTGGGTAAATTCAAAAGCAAATGGATGGGGAAAACATGTTTATTCCAATGGAAACTCATATGAAGGAGAATGGAAAGATTTTATCCCAAATGGTAAAGGTATGGCTCATTATGCTGAAACTGGAGGAAAATATATAGGAAATTTCGTGGACGGTAAACCAAATGGGTATGGAAAATACATTTACAGCAAAAACACCTTTTATCAAGGAAATTTTGTTGACGGCCAAAAGGATGGAATTAGATTAGATTAGTAGCATATTTTAAGTCCGCTTTTAGTAGGCATACGCATTCCGCAGTGAAGTTCTATGGGGCAGCAGAGCGTACCATCTAGAGTCTAGGCTGAAATTCCCATTTTCTCGGTAGAGGTAAAGGTCTTGGGCCATTCACTGACTTTGCTGACAGTCTCCATTTCCCAACTCTTCGCCAATCCTGTGGTCGCTCCTAGTCAGATCGTTGCCTGATGTAACCATTTTCAACTGGACGGGCCTCTGCTTATTTGTCTAGCTTACCTCCCCTCTTATCGAATTCCTGAGAAAGAACTTAACAGCTTTCACCATTCGGGATAGCCACAGTAGATTCTTAGGCAGGTATGTCGCCCTGCCTAATATGGGTCCACTGGGCTAGGAGCTGCTGGTCAAAAAAGTTGCATTTAACTGTCTATAGAGTCAGAATCAAAAGCAGCGGCTTCCAGCTTCACGTCCCTTGCTTTGGGGGTCCATTATACATTAGGTCACATGTCACTGAGGAATAGATAGCTCGTCCCGGACATTTTATGTATTAAAGGATGGAATTGGAATAATTTTTTTAAAAGAAGGCCATAAATATATAGGAAATTTCAAAAATGACAAAAAATCTGGAATAGGATGCTTTGTTTGGGCATCAAGGAATGAGTATCGTGGGGAGTTTTTAAATGATTTAAGACATGGAAAAGGAATGATGAAATGGAATGATGGGACTGTTTATGAAGGACAATGGGCAGAAGGGGTCCAACAGGGAATGGGAAAAATTTCATTCCCTGACAAAAGAGGTGTTAAAGAAGGAAAATTCGAGAAAAACGTGCTAATTGAATAAGAGATTAATTATAAGAATTTATAGCATTCGATTATGGATGATTTCTTCAAATCTTTCTAAATGGTTATTTCGGTCAAGAAATACTCTGAAAAGCTGCTTTCGTCTTTGTGTACCATTTAGAGGAATTATTTGGCATAGTTTTTCCATTAAATTGCTGCACTCAAATTTTCCAGCTTTCATTAAATCAATCAACACAAAGCACAAGTCAAAATAAGTATCATATGCAAGCGGGGTGCTGAAAACTACTTCAGGATTTAGTGTTGCAAGCTTGCTAGAAATTAATTGCAGATCTTTGGTCGCCAGCAGCTCAATTATGCCTCTTTCGTAATTTTTTTTCTCAAATTCTTCCTCATACTTTGGAATATTTTTGATTATTTTTTTTTCTTTAAAATTTTTTTCTCTTTTTTTGTATTCTTCATAGAGATGCTTTTCTATGGATTGCAGCTTCATTTCATGGGTCCTTTGCTCTTCGATTATGTGATTTAGTTAATTTGCTGTTGGGTCTTTAAACCCATATTCTCTTCAATCATAAGGGCTTGCATTTACTCGCTTGAAAATGGTGACGACAGACCAGAACCTTTTTCTTTCAACAACAGCAGGCAACAGCCCAGTGTGAATGGAAAGGACAGAAAGAGAAAAGTGATCCTTGCATATGTCGTGTTAGGCTTTTCTCGGGCCCTAGGCAGCTAATCCTGGTACTTTGAGTTTTTGCCCTCAAGGCCATCATTGGAAAGGGCAGAACCAGCAAAACCCCGAGTGGACGATAAATCCCTCGAGCAGGGCTCAAGAGGTGACGTCTGCCTAAAGAGAAACCGGGAGTTTCAACCCAGGTGGTGGCCTCATAGGCTTCAGGAATCATGGAACTCAAGATCGGTCGTGCGAATCGAGGAAGGGTACCTGCGGGGACCCTCAGGAACGATGAGTATATAGGGATGGAAATCCCAGCCCTGTCAAGGACAAAAGCTAAACTTAATCTTAATATTAATTCTTCTATTATTTCAATAAAAGAGTTTTCCGCATATTGCCGAATTGCTGCCATTTCTTGTTTGATTAGCTCTGTTGCAAGTGGGGTAATTTCTTCCATAACTTTGGTAACAACTCTCATTATGTAATTTTCTATAAGTTTAGGGATACTTGCATCGACTGCAGAAGAAATTATGCTTTTTATGCGGCTTTCTGAGACTAATTCATGCATATTTTTAAGCATTGACTGATAGTTTTTTTCTAGGCTTTCTGAAAGCTGCTGAGAATTGATTTCTGTCATAACCCCAGAGCTTTTTACTTCTCAACAGAAATTTTCTATAGGTTTTGAAGGAAGTATATCAAAACTTATTACCTGGCAGATTTCAAGTTTTTTCTTATTGTCAATCTTAGCCTTACTTTCGTCATTTTTATTAGCTTTTTCTATAAATTTTACTTCATATTGATTTTCCAGCATCTGTTTTCTTGCCCATTTAATTTCTTCACTTTTTACATATTTCACAGGGGTATGAAAATTTTGATCTTCTTTATTTTCCTCAATATTGTCTGAAAATAGAATGTATTTTTCCCCAATTTTTTTTGACTGTTCTGACCAAATTATATAGCTAGTAACTTTATCATCCCCTAAAGTAATAATTTCTATTCGACTGTTTCCTTTAGCTGGAGGCTGGCCTGCAATTGTATTATAGTGGAAGACAATATTGATGTCTTGGAAAGAATTTTGCAGTCTAATTTGGAGGCTGGATACTATATTATCTTCTTCGTCAAAAGTAAAAATAATCAATTTTTGCCGTTTTTGGCTGAATGCGAATATTTGGTCAGAATCCTCACAGTGCTTGAGAATTGGGTCTGATAGTGTGCAGTGTGCTGAGCAGAGTTCTCTTTGCTGTGAAATATTCCAGATATGAAGCTTATTTTCTTGAAGACAATAAATAGCCAAGCTCTCAGTTTTTAATATATATACATATTTTAGAGGAATAGTCATTAAGAAGCTATTTTTGGTGGCTAAATCAAGGTTTTATTTGCAAAATAATTTGGCAAGGTAGCTGGAGCCTGACTAACCAAAAATAATCCTGGTTAATTCATCGTATACTACTATAGCAGATTTCATCAATATTTTCATATGGAATTTCTGTATAGCCATCAAAAGACACTAAAATTGCTTTTTTCGAAGAAAGGAGAGCTGTGTAATTCCTACCACTTGGATTTATATGAAATCCAGCAATTTCTTCCTCTGTAGAATACAAAACCTTTATTTCTCCTGACAGAGTCTCAAAAGTATAGATATTTCTTTCTGAAATAAGGTACAGCATATTATCATCTAGAGGATCCCAGATTATCCTCTTAGGCTGATATTCAAGACCTTCAAAACTCTGTAAAAAAGAATACTCACCATCTGAAACTACTCCTATAAACAGTTCGAAAGTACTGCTTAATGATGCAAGCTTATTGGAGATTGATAAAGACATTGAGATAATTGTTGATGAATGGGTCTTACAAGGGGATTCCTCTTTTTCTTTATTTCTGTCTTTTAATAAAAATAATTGATTATCCCTTGTAAAAGCTGTAAGCTGAGAATTAGACTGAATAGCCCCAACAGCATTTTCTATTATGTTTTCGCCTTGAAGCTTGTGCAGATTTTGGGACAAAATTTCGTGGAATGGTGTTTCTTCGTCAACTTTGTGGACTTTTGTGTCGATTGACTCGTGATTTTGGGAAATTCCAAGCATTTCTTTAATTACCTGAGTGCGCTCCATTTATTTATTCCCTCTATGGATTTCTAAAATTATACTGAGATAAGTTAAGCTTAATTTTCTAATTAGAATATAAAAATTTACGCTTTAAATTTGATGATTTCGTTATGTTATCTTGTAAGTAGAAGTAGATATTAATTATTAAAATCTATCGATGCACTTAGATTAATTATTAGTAACACTTAAATAAGACTCCGAGTCAAGGTCAAGTTCTTTTATCTTCGAATTTCCTACTGCAAGCGCAGCTTCTTGTATATCATCTGCTATCACCAACGGAAGCTTAAAATAGAACGATTTATCTACATCATACACAATAATTGATCTCTGTACTGAATCTTTGCCAATTTTTCGTATATTTTCTAAAAACACTTTATCAATCATCCCAAAATCTTTTTTTAATATATAAATACCTTTGTTTGTCAATAAAAAATATTCTTTCTTGCATTAATTAAAAACTTATTATACATAATAAAAAAATCAATTTTTATATCAATAGGTCAATGTCTTATAATAAAACTACAATAAATTTAGCTAAAAGCCTTATTTGTCAAATTCAAATGATTCAGATGACGTCGAGCACAGCTGAAGTTTTAGCTTTTTCTCTCCAATTTCTCCATATCTCACAAAAACTTTTGTCAAATTTTTATCCTCGCTTGTGAATTCTTTATTAATTGGCTTATTCAAAAACGTGAATAAATCATTTTTTGATTCAGCTACATTCCATTGTACATAATCTCCTGTACATTCATAATAAAGCTGTTCTGTAGCTTTAATGATATCATTATACCTCTCGCTACTTATCAAAATATCATTATATTTCCCGTCCTCTGGCTCTATATGAAAGAGCACAGAAAGTCCTTTAGCCGCAAGACTCATAGCTTTTATTGATTCAAATGGCACTCTTCTAGTAACACTTGACCATTCCTCAGAATTTAGTATATATATAGCATGTGTTGTAAACATCATTGTAATTAATACGCCATTCATATTGGCATCTTCAATCAGCCCGTCCAATTCTTCTATATCTCCATCTTCTAACTCTTCTTGATAATTGTCTAAAATTTGGATTATTTTTCTCTGATCGCTTTTTGTATAGTTTGTGGCTTCTTCTAGGTCATAGTCAATTATATCGTTTTATATTGATTTTTTTTAATAGCAGAAATAATAGAAATTAATAGAAAATTCATTATAAAAAGCGTAAAAATCCTTGTGTCTCATATAAGTCGCTTTTGTAGTTATCCTCAATTGATTTTCTTTCTTCTTCAATTTTTTCTAATTTGCTTGCAAGAATCGGCTTCTGGATTTTTGCAGTATTTTCTTCTGATTTTTTGTTTTCTGAATGCTGGCTAAATAAATTTTGCCACTGCACAGCAGGTTTTGAGTTTTTTGGGGATGAAATCCGTTTGGATTCTCTACGGGAGTCGCTTTGTTCGAATGATCTGCGATGGTCGCTCTTCTTTTTGTTATGAAATTCACTATCCTTTATCATGCTGTTTTCATTATTTTGCGGTGTGTGGCCTGTTCTTCCCATGCAGCATACATTTCCCATTTAAAAATTAACAATTGAAGCGATTTTAAATTAAATTATACAACATCTGTTTGATAATAATGGATAAGGAAATTTATAAATATTTTTTATTTAAATATTTATAAATAAATTACCAAAAAAATTATTTAGAGCACATAATAATTCAGAGCTTTCTCAATGTCACCATTAAATTTTGTTAAAATGCCTAACACTTCACTTTTAGATAAATTTTCATTGACTATTGACTTGCATTTGCTGTAAAATTCCTCAAACTCTTCAGTAATATTTATTTCTTTGGATTTTTTCTCAATGTCTTTTAAATCATATACACTTCTTTCAGAGGAATTGACTGCTATAACGAGATGCCTTGGAGAATTGTTAAAAGCTGGCTGGATATTTTGCTTTTTCGTGGGATTTTGATTTAAGATGGATATTTGTAAGCAGGTTGCTATGGAGTTTTGAGATAAATCTTCTAACTCTCCTTTCCTTGTTCAGCGACCAAAAAAACCTGGCCATCAAATGAGGGTTAATTTTTCTAAATTTTATATTAATATAAAAACAAATTTTTTTCAGATTTTAAAAAATTTGTAAAGATTGGAAACCAAAATTTATACTAATTATACAATTTATATAAAATTAGGTTTTTAAAAGACGAGCTGTCTAAATTTAATTATATTTGCTGAAGATTTCATCAAATCATTAATTGTATATTAAAATGTAGATTTCCAAACAATTTATATTAAATATATTTTGCTCACTAACTTCCAAAAAATGAGATTTTCTAATGGTTTTGCTCGCTAACTAATATAGGGAATAAGCAGCGTCTTTTTCTGCCAATATAATAAACGTCAGCATCTTCGTTTCTTTCTGAACTTGTTGATTCGTCGTTAGTCGCATATGTCTCTAAATTCAAAGCTATGTTAGAGCAGTAGTACTCATATAAAACTTCAGAGCTATAAGGAACATCAAGCCCATTATATAGCGCTACAAATCAATAGCTATCAGAATCTGGGTTGCCTGTGTTTAGCCTTAATCCCTTCACACAATTTTATAAATATATTCAAATTCATTTCTTTATGATTAACAACTATATTTCTTTTTTTATATAAAATAGTATCAGTATTTAATCAAAATTCTGCGATAAAAGATAAATAATATTTACCCATGTGAGTTATATAATTATTGATATTTTGAATATCTTGCTGTGAAAATTTAAAATCCTTAAAGTGAAAATCTTTTGACGCTTCAACCACAATTTGATAGTCACTTAACTGCTGGCGGCTTGCTTGCTTTACTGAATCATAAATAAAGCTCGCCGAAAACACGTTAAACCCAAGAGCTTTGGTAACCTTAATTATATGGGTTTTTCTGCAGGTCACAAGGACAATGGAGTCTTTATTTACAGTTGACGACATTTGACCTCCATAAGCTATGATAATCTTCGAAGTTGCTTCTATTTCTGGGCCTTGGAGCATAAAGAATTTCATTTCATTGAATAATTTAGACATTTTATAACACCCCCAAAATTTGTTTCCTCTTCAACTTAATTAAGATTAAAATGGTTAAAATTCCTAATCTAAAGGAATGATATTGTTATTAATAGTGAATTTATATAAAAAAAATTATTGTATGCTGAATTGAATTCCTCTGCTTTATTTTCAGGGTAAGCAATAATTTTATATTCTGTTTGTAATGATAACCAACATATATTGAACATAAGCAATCTATTTTCTTTAAAATATTATAAATGTTGTATGATAATGGTGAATGCATTTTGCTAGTACAGATATAAAATAAAGAGTCATTTAGAAAATATACTAGTATAGGAATCAGCAAAATGGCATAATTAAATTTCTGTTTGAGAAAAATCAAGGCTGGCTATTAAGGTATAAACTAATATGGGGTTCTGGCTTTTTTCAATCTATATGGTCATTTCAGTGTCATTCTTATTTGTCCTTCTCTGTGTAAACCCTCATGGAACTGGCCCTCTCTCATACTTAAGCAGATTTTTTTACGTCAAGCTTCCTGCATTTTTTGACAGAATCTCTCTTAAAATTTTAGGACCTATGGGGAAATCAAAAATTTCCTATTATGCTCTTTACATATTTAATCGTCCAAATCCCTTTTTCCAGCTAACTTATTTATCATTAAGCTTAGGCGGCTATTACATTTTCTACGCTCAAGCTTTCCCTTTTATCCCAAATCCTCTAGTTCCAGCTATTCACATGTATCTTGGCTCTATAATGTACTTATACCATTACCTAATAGCTATTTATAAATAAATTTTCTATTAATCCTATTTTATAAAATAGTATACTGGCTTTATGCACCTTTTTTGCAGCCTGTTGGAAATCTCCAGGAAAAGTCACCCAAAATAACTACAAAAAATATTTAAGCTTATTCCCATATGACAACATTTTATTTAAAGAGAACTCTTGCACTACCTGCAAACTCCAAAAGCCGGCCAGATCTAAACATTGCTCAGTGTGCGAAGGCTGCGTTCCAAAAATGGATCATCATTGTGTCTGGATAAACCAATGTGTAGGCTACGGCAATTACAAATTTTTCCTGGCTTTTCTATTGTCACACAGTGTTATCTGCTTATATGCGTCTATGATCGGATTTATGATATTTGCATATATAACTCTTTCAGAAAGACTTTTTACCACAGTTTTTACAGATAGAGAAGGAAATAGGGTATCAGGCAGCTGGATTGTGGTTTTTCAATATTTGATACAAGAGCACCAAAAGTTATTTTTCGCTGAAAGCTTGTGCCTTGTTGTAGGAATTTTACTGGGAGGCTTTTTCCTATACCACTTGCTGCTGGTGAAAAATAATACGACATCAAATGAAAGGATGAAAAGGCTGGACTTGCAGATTGACGACAAAAAAGCACATTTATTGAATCAGCCGAATATTTATAATCGTGGTTTTTTGAAGAATTTAGAAGAAGTTATTGATGCTGAGCCATTTTAAGCCTAGAGGATAAAAATAATTGCTAGGAAATTAATGTATTAATAGGGTTAAAAATGAATCATACAAGGTACAATAAATAAGATATTAAATAAATGCTAGCAGGGATAAAATATAAGAAAAAGACAAAAGAAGAGGAAAAAACAAAAGAAGAGGAAAAGAAAAGCCAAATCGGACTAAACGAAATCAGAAAAAATGAGAAAATAGCTACAAGCGAAGATTATAATGAACACCTAATAAGAAACATAAGGAAAAACAAAGACGAAGAATACGAAATCACAGAATCTCAAATTAAAGCAGAAAAACTTGACACCTATAAGCGTCTAACAAAAAAGACTAACCAAAATTGTGACCACTGCATAGACAGCCAAAATTTCAATAGTAAATTGCTTGTTTCTATAAGAGGCTCTTTTCATATCGAAATCCCTTCATCAGGCTATTTATCAAAAGGCCACTGTTTACTAGTCCCAAACGCCCATACTTTATCTATTACTGAGATGGAATCTAATGAGTACCAAGAGCTTCAAGATCTCCAAAAAGATATATCAAAAATGTACAGAGATGAGCTCGGCAAAACTGCAATTTTTGTGGAAAATGTGATTGACCTCAGAAGGTGCCTTCATACCTACATTGAATGCTTCCCACTTGACCCTCAAGCTCGAGAAGACGCAGAAATGATTATTTATAGAGAATTAAGTGAAGGTGACGAAGAATGGACACAAAATAAAAAAATCATCCCAACTAGTGTAAAAGGGATCAGAAAGTCAATACCCAAAGGATTCCCTTATATTCATATTGATTTTGACGGAAATGGAGGGTTTGCCCATGTGGTTGAAGATTCTAATTATTTTCGGGGAAATTTTTCAAGACAAATTATTGGTGAAATATTAAGGGTCGACCCAATGTTTAGGAATAGAAAACATAATGATGAAGAATTAATAAGGATAAGTGAAGAATTCAAAAAATTGTGGAGAGAATATGAAGAAATCCCTGAAGAAGCTCAATAAATTTGGTAGTATTTTTAAGTGTATAAGTTATAAATGGAAGAAGAGAATTCTCCCCAGTTTAATGTTGAAAATTTTCTGGTAGGCTATATTTAGCTATTACTCTGTCCAGAAGCTATTGAAGAGTTCACAATTGAAGCAGAACTTGATTTGCCTAATCAGCGTATAATTAAAACTGACTCAGAAAGAACCAGATCAAAGATTTTGACAAATGAAGAAAAAACGAATCTAGAAATCCTGCTAACGAAGTTCTGCAAAGAAGAAAAAACATCATATAAGCAAGGGATGAATGAAATTATGGCGCCGTTCTTGATTTTGCATAGACAGGGGATACCTTTGTATATGGTTTATACTTATTTCAAAAAATTCGTCAATTGATTTCTACCTACGATGTTTGTAGATAAAGTAAAGCTTATATAGAGTTTTCGGCCTCTGCAAGGATTTTTTGTGATATTTAAGCTGCTTTTAAGGTATCATGAGCCTTGGATCAGCAATTTTTTTCAGACTAATTCAATTTCGCCTGAGTTTTTTGCGACGTCTTGATTTCTGACGGCTTTTGCAGGCAAGATTTCGAATTTCGAGATTATTTATAAAGTCTGGGAGGAGATGATTGTTGAGAATGATAGGCTTTTCCCTTGCTATGTAGGGATAGCGTTCTTGATTCACTTTAAAGCACAGATAATGGTTAACAAGGACAATATCATACAGCAAAGCATTTCCCAAATTATGCTAGAGAATAACGAAGACTATGAAAAAATAATTCAAATTGCGAAAAAACTCAAAAATAATATGCCGTTTTCCATAAGGCAGAAATTAGCGTCAATTGATATTTTTAACTTGGAAACAATTAATAGCACCCTTGATGTGCTGTCAAATCAATATTGCCTTACTGCTACCCCTAGAGATGTACTAGAAGTAATTTTTCCAGAAAAAAAGACTTGCAGCTGTGCTGAATTTCAATGTGTTTGCAAAGAAGAAACATATAAAACACCTATTCTTTTATTAGATTGCCGACCAAAAGCTCAGCAAAAACATGGGATTTTCCCGAATTCTGCCTCAATTGATACAAAAATATATGAGGATGAAGAAATTTTAAATGAAATCCCTGACAACTATGTGGAACTTAGAGGAATTTATCATATTTTTTTATTAGGAGATAAGGAATTCCAAGGCTCAGGCTTTGAAATGGAGCATGGAGCTTCAATATCTAATGACCAGTGTCAGATAATGATGGAAAACCTATTAGAAATCTTTATATCCAAAGGCTTCCCTCACGTAAGCATTATAGAGGGAGGCTTCAAAGAATGCCATAATCTTTGTATGAAATATAGCCTAAAGATCGATAACCATAAGAATTCTAATTGTCCTTATTGTATCTATACAAGATCTCCATCAAAAATTAGAGAAAAAATCAAAAAAATCAAAAAAGCAGTCAGAAATAAAGCCCACTTTTTGTCAACAGCAGTAAAAACTATCAAGAATTCCTTTGCCGCCAGCGGTGACGACACAAATAAACGGCGAACAATCGCCATAGAGCAAAACTCACAAAAATGAGACGAAATTCGGTACTTTTCCTGCAAAAATTATGATAAGTCTACCAAGTCTTTTTCTGAAGAAATTTTTTCATTCCTCGTCGCTAGAGACGAGCTTATTTTATTTAAAAATTCTGAAAGGAAATCAGAAAGAAACGTCCAAACACGCATAAAAATTACAGACTTAATCAGAGTGACCTCAAAAACGAAGCAGAAAAATAGGGTGACATTTTTCTTCGTAAAAGACAAGCAGCCTTTGCGTTTAGTAATTTCCAATGAAAATACCCCAAATGAGTGTGTTGAATTAATTATGAAGTATATTAGCCTTATTGGGAATGACGCTAGATGTAATAATTAAGGTTCATATTATAACAGCTAAATGTATCTATCATAAAGCCAATCTAAAATTGGGTTGTCTAGTTCTTTTGGCAACACTTCTGAGGTTTGCTTCCAAAATTTTCTTTTGTTTTTGAGGATGTTGGCTTGGAGTTTTGTGTTTTCTTGGTTGACTTTTTCCCAGAATTCGTTATCGTAAATGATTCGGTTGTTGGCATTTTTTACTTTTCTCTGGAAGCTTCTATATTCTTTTACACTATATTAATCTTACTTTTCTTCGCTAGGATCTCCTTTGCAGCTGTCAATAGCATCAACTATATGTTTAAGCTTCATCAAAGGCTTATTATAAAAATCTTTTATCATAGGAAGCATCCTTTCTGTAGATTTTTTCTCATTTACCAAGCTATCGCATCCAGATATCACTTCGTCTATAGGTTTCAATTTGGGTGATAAAGGCGCGATTTCTATTGGAGAGACTGAACGTTTTGTGGGGGTTTTTGAGAGAAAAGTATGATTTTCCCTTCCAAACCGTTTTATCCTATTAATATGCTGTATAGTTATTGGTGGCCTTTCTAATTCCCCATTTGTACTGAACTCTTGTGGAGACTCAGAGAAACTAAATAGTTTTTGCTCACCTAGTGGACTTGTGACACAAATATCTGGCTTCGTTTCAACCCCTGTGAAGCTTTTATCAAGTTTTCGTTTCTTGAATTCATTTTTATTTTGGTTTTTATGGTCTGGAGTTAAAGAAGGAAGGGTGAATTTTGCGTTTAATTTAGAAAGTATTTTTTCCCTTTGGTCATTATACATCCTTTGGGTTTCTAAGATCTCATTTTGTGCCTTATCGTAATCTCTGCTAGAAGCAAATATTCTTCTTTGTGCAGCACCGATAGGCTCTAATTTAGACAATTGACGCATGATTTTGTCAGGTGTAATTTGTTTAAAATATCGATATCTTGGCTTGGCAGGCTCCATTTTAAAATTAATAGGTGATATGTGAATTCTTTATACAAAATTTGTAAATTGGTTGTTCGCAAAATACAATTATTTTTTTATTTAAGAAAAATAATTGGAATAAAATATTATACAAAGGCTTTTGAGCTATTTTGCATATTAATTTCCATATTATTCATCCCAATGTAGTTCTCTGACTGATTTTACTTCAATTTCTCATATAATTTTTAATTATAAAGACTCTGGTAACAATATATTTATTTTCTCTCAATAAGAGGAGAAAAATGAGAAATAAACTGAGTTGCATTTATCTTATGTTTAATTTCATTATTTATTCTCCCTATTATGTCAAAGTCTCAATCCCAGCCCAGATTAAGTTCTCAGCAAGTTGTTAGGAACCTCTTTTCTCTCTCTGACGAAGAAGATGTCCTCGACGATTTCAGCTGTGGTTTACGTAAGAAGATTTTCATCCACGGCCGTTTGTTCTGTACCGACAACTTTTTGTGTTTCTATGCCAACATCCTTGGCTTCAAAACCAAACAAGTCATTCCTTTCCGAGACATTGTCGCTATCAAAAGGGTAAAAGGCACAATAACAAGCTCAATAGAAATTGCCTGTGCTAATAAAAAATCATACTTTTTCGGTTCCTTTTTGCGTAGAAATGAGGCATTTCAGTTTATCTACAGCTTGTGGAGGAACTCTGGATACTGCGATGAGAGCCAAGATAAAGGGTATTGGAGTGATGGTGAAGATCCGCCACCACTTGAAGAAGAACAAAATGAAGGGTTGATGGATATCCCGCAGGAAGAGTATTCAGAAGGATTTGAGACACTCAAGGTGATTGTGCCTTGCACTCCTCAGAAGTTTTTTGAGCTCTTCTTTTCTGATAATGCAGCATTCTCTTATGGAGATTATTTTAAGGAGCGTGGAGATACAGAAATAGAAATTATTCTTTATTAGAAAGGTCTTAATTTCCTTTTTGAAGATAATAAATTGGGAAATTCAACAAGCAAAAGCATACCCCATGGGGCGATAACGAAGAAATTGGGGCCTGCTCCAGGGAACTGAAGTTCCGCACAAAGATCAACGGACCTTCAGTCGGGCCGAAAACAACCCGCATCCAGTCTGCTCAGATCTATAAGTACCAAGAGGGTGCTTTAGTTATAAAAATATCCACGAAAGCTCTTGATGTCCCTTTTTCAAGCTATTTTGTGATTGAGCAAGATTGGGTTGTGACACCAGTTTCTGCAGAAAAATCAAGGTTGAGGTGCACTTTGGCTCTGAATTTCTTGAAGTCTACGATGTTTAGAGGGACTATTGAAAGCAGAACCAAAGCAGATTCAACGAAAGATGTAGAAGCCTGGTGGAAGAGGGCTAAAGAAAAGTGCTTTTCAGATATGCAGAGCCCAGCTGAAAAGCCAACAGTGGAGAGGCAAATACACCAAATCGCGAAATATGAAGAAGTGGACTTGAAAGAGTATAGAAAAAAGAGCAAATTGATGAAAGGGTCGCCTGATTCTGTCAATAGTCTGCTGCTGCTCAATGCGATTTGTTTGGTTTTGCTGTTCTTTTATTTAAGACACCTCAATATGAGAATTAACAGTTTGGAAGAAATTAACTATACCTTTGAGAATAAATTTAATGAAAAATCAGCTTTTATTTTTTATCAAAATACTAGTACTAATTATCTGTTTAATTGCTTTATTATGCATAGATATAATAAATTTAATGAGTTTCTATATAGCCTGAGTCCTCATGTAGCTGAAGTTATGCTCCATAATGAACGAGCTGAAATATCTGGCCAATCTGGCAGGCATTATTGGAATAGCCCAATCATACAAGAGCTCATGCTATAAACTTTTTAATAAACACTTCCCTTTATATTTCGAATCCTCAATTAATAATTATAATATCCTTCTCTTATCACAATTTATAATAATCCTCTATAAAACTTATATAGACATGCTGATAGTATAATCTAAGCCCCATCAAATTCCTTAATTTTCCCATGACGGTTATGCACATTCTCGACTTCTCACGCAAATGAATGGCAGTTAATAATAATAAATGTCCAACCCTCTGCATCAGCGTCACCAATGGATGATTCAATGCCTGGCTGATTGCTTTGAGATGAGCGACCTCATTATGGAAGACTGGTTCCGAGACCGAGAAAGATACCAAGTCATCAACAACTTCCTTAAAGGGGCCGGCCCTCCGAAGCTACTATTCTACCGTCAGACCAACGACATCCCTACAGGCCAAGACGAATACGTAGAGTCCTCAGAAGAGCTGCACCTTTTCCTCACTTATGGCGACACAGTCAGGATTAAGTCAAAAGGCGCCTTTTTCTACCGCACTCTTCCAGAAGGCAAAGCAGTCAACACCAACGCTTATAATGATACTGAAGTCATGTTCGGTGAAATTGGTGCCAATCCGATCTCTTCTCTTGATACCATCATATCAGGAGCGTTTGTGCCCATGGTCAATGCCATGGATGAGGCAGACTGGGGAGATTGTGATAAGGAACAAAGGCTAGAGCTGACCTCAGGATTAGCCAAATTTGCCAGTGAGCTTGGTTGTTAAAAAAAAACTGGTAGGCTTTTTCATACAGCTTTTTCCTATTAATAGTGAAATAACTATTTTTCAAAAATCCCTATAATAAATTTAGTTTTTTTAAAAAATCATGCACAAAAAACCAATAGGATGCTTTTTCTGTAAAAACTACACTTTTTAGTCATTTTTGGCAACAAAAAAGCTAGGAAAAAAACCTATTAATTTCTTTTAAGGTCAACTCCAGTGAGCTAGGAGAAGCCATAAAAAGCATGTCAGGAGGAGTAAGGCTGAGAAAACCAGACAAAGAATATGAGGTTGAAAATATCAGTGAAAAATTGAGGGAAGCTGCTGATAATGAAGTCCTAGTGTCTTATTATGAAAAACTATTGGACGAATGGATTCAACAGATAGAAGCATATGTAGAAGAAAGCACTGAAAGCAGGTGGGAAAGCAATGAAGCAGGGCCACATACAGAATTAGAATACTGGAGAAGCAGAAACCAGAAATTGACCAGCATCAATGAACAGACCAGGACCAAAGAAGTGAAAAATGTACAGTCAGTGCTACATATGGCTAATAAGACTTCTGGAGAGCACCAAAGCAGGTCTAAAGAAAATATCCCAATGCTGCTTACTCCCCTCCCCTTTGGCTATTGTTTTTCAAAATAATTTATATTGAATTATAAAAACATATTAAATTAATATAGCTCATACCCCTTTATAGATTTCTTTATCGAGCAAAATGTACTGGATTATTGAACGACCAAGAGAGACTCTATTAAAGGAACGGGCTGGGATATCTATATCAGGAAGTGCTAAAAAGTGACATGTCAAAAAATGGTGACAAGTCAGAAAAAGTTGACAAGTAAACGCGCCAATTTTTAAAATGGATTTATTATTAAAATAATTTAAAACTTAAGATACTCAATTAGACAGAAGATATAATTACACATTATATATTGGCTTTAAATATTTTGATTTATATATATTTAAATTTAATAATAGCTGTGAAAATCAAAAACTTGCAACTCAATGTGCATTTTTCCGCTCGATAGAATTTCTTTATTTTATGCTAATTTATTTATGAAGACTAGAGCTATAATTTGCAAAGTGCGTGGCTTGTGTATCTCAATATATAAGAAGTTCTTATCGACTAAGATGAGAAGTACTTACTCCCCCCCCCCCCCTCCGTGAGCGAACAAAAAAATTTTGTTCGCTCACGGAGGGGGGTTAATTTTTTTTTTTTAAAAAAAATTTATATATATAAATTTTATAAAAAATATTTTTTTTTCGAAATTTAAAAAAATCCTAATTTGCAAAAATTGGGAAGCAAATATTAATTTAATTTGCAAAATTTATGTTTTAAAACGCAATTTGTTTAAAATTAAACAGAATTAGCTCTAGATTTCATTATACTAATTATCACTTATATATCCAAATTTTTTTCCATTAAAATTTTTTCTATTAAAAAAATTTTTGTTCACTCACGGAGGGTGGGTTTTTGGTCAAAAAATGGCGATTTTTCTAATGGTTTTGTTCGCTCACGGAGGGGGGGGGGGGAGTTAGCAAAAATTTAATATGGCTTGTAAGTGAAAATCAAAAACTTGCAACTCAATGTGCATTTTTCCGGCTCGATAGAATTTTTTTATTTTATGCTAATTTATTTATGAAGACTAGAGCTACAATTTGCAAAGTGCGTGTCTTGTGATTTTAAATATATGCAAAGTTCTTATCGACTCATATGGGAAGTACTTAGCATAATTAAATATTGATTAAAATTAAAATATCTTAAGTTTTAAATTATTTTAATAATAAATCCATTTTAAAAATTGGCGCGTTTACTTGTCAACTTTTTTCAGACTTGTCACCATTTTTTGGCATGTCACTTTTTAGCACTTCCTGATATAGATATCCAGCCCGTTCCTTAATAGAGTCTCTCTTGGTCGTTCAATAATCCAGTACATTTTGCTCGATAAAGAAATCTATAAAGGGGTATGAGCTATATCCATATAAAATATATTTTTCGGATTTTAAAACTAAATTTACAATATTTAAATTGAGTTATCTCATTTAATTTATTACTATACAAGCAATTTTGCAAGTTGGAGATCTCATTGCTATAATCATTAATTATATATCAGAATATTTTATACAAAAATGTTTATATTAAATTTGTTTGTTTCTAACCAGGGGAAGCTAGTAGATGGAAAAACGTAGATATAAAGATCACTGAAGCTTTAAATGAAGCCAAAGATAATGTGAAATATTTGACGACACTTGAGAAATTCATAGAGCCACTCTACACAGGGACTCCACAGACTATCATTGACAGCTTGCCAGCACTCATGAACTCAGTCAAAATGATCCACACCATTGCAAGATATTACAACACCACTGAAAAAATGACCCAACTTTTCATGAAAATTACAAACCAAATGATAAATACTTGCAAGAAAACTATTTTACAAGGAAAACCAGTCGACAAACTTTGGCTGAGAGACCCTGACGAACTGATCGAAACCATGCAAAACTGCATCAAGCTGAAAGAAGCTTACCAAGCTCAATACGAGCTTACTAAAGAAAAACTCCAGGCGATGCCGAAAGGAAAACAATTTGATTTCAGCAAAAACCAAATTTTTGGAAAATTCGACTTGTTCTGCAGAAGACTTTCCAAACTTATTGACCTTTTCACCATTGTGCGCCAGTTCAGGTCTTTAGCAAAACATAAGTTTGAAGACATGGACAAGCTACTTCAAGACTTCAATAACTTGATTGAAGAGTTTAAAAACCACAGATATGACTTACTGGATTACTCACATAACCATTTTGATAGAAGATTCGTTGAATTCAACGTAGGAGTTAGCAAACTAGAGCAAGACTTGCAAGGCTATATTAATAAAAGCTTTGAAAAAATCGCTAGCATTGATCATGCACTTAATTTGTTGAAAAAGTTTGAGACGATTCTGAAAAGAGGAAGTCTGCAGACTGAGCTTAATAATAAGTACAACATCATTTTCCACAACTACGGAATGGAAATGAATGAAATCAAGACCCAATACAACCAGTTCAAATCCGCCCCTCCACTTGTCAGAAACATGCCCACAGTTGCTGGGAACATTCTCTGGGCCAGACATCTTTTCCACAGAATCCAAGCCCCAATGGAGAAATTCCCCAATATGATCAAGACCGGAAAAGAACACAGGTCATATATAACTCTTTACAACAGAATTGGACAAACCTTAACCCTATTCGAGTATATGTACTTGCGAGCCTGGTGTGACGAAATCGAAAGAAGCAAAACAGGCCTCCACGCTCTGTTACTTTGGCCAAGCGAAGACAAAAAGCTCTATGTAAACCTTGACGACGAAATTTTCCAACTTATCAGAGAAGCTAAATGCTTACTCCCCCCATCCTTGATCGAACGATTCACTGTAAAAATTTTTAAAAATTGGGAAAATTAACCCCCCATGCTTGATCGAATGATTTTCATAACATGCAAATTTTTATATTAGTTATCAAAAGCTTGGGAAGATGTGCCTAATGAAGTTGCTGTCAGAAGCTTTGAGACGACAGGAAGCTACGGAATCAACTATCCGAAGTGCTTAGTCATCAATCTGGGTTTAAAAACTCAATAATCTAAAAATAGAGATTCTTTAAAATTTTTAATTCAATAAAGGAACAAATTAAAATTTATACAGTTTAAAGGGGTAACCAAAAAATCAAAATATTAAAAATTTGTATTTTTATGAAATTAATTCAATTTTTTTGCTGTAAAAATAATTATTAAATACTCTTAACCCTCTTATTTAAAAATATATAAGAAAAAAATAAATTTTTATTTTCTATTTAATTTTTTTTTAAACCCATCCTTGACCGAACGATGGCGAGCCGTTCGATCAAGGATGGGTGGGAGTTAGATAGGATGGGCGTCGAAATCCCTGAAAGTGCCAGAATTGTACTACTCCAAGAAGAAAAAATCAAGCATTACTATAGCGAGCTTGACTATTTGCTTAAAGAATATGAAAGAGTGCTAGGCAAAATCAGGCCGATCACTAAAACACTGCTAGGCCCTCATTTGGAAGATTTAGAGTATAAGCTCAGGCCTGGGATCGTCACTTTGACCTGGACCTCTATGAATATTGACGGATACCTTCACCACGTCCACTCCGGCCTTCAAAAATTAGAACAGTTGATTATCAGCATTAACGACATCATAGAAAACAGAGTAGAAAACAACCTAAAAGCGATCAGCAAAGTTATACTAGTCGAAATGCCAGAAAACAGCAAAACTTTTACCCAGGACGAATTCGTAGAACTCCAAGGAAACTCAGCGAAAACCCAAACTGAGTTTTTAATGAGCAAAAATATAGAAGTGGAAAGAGCGGTCGACGACTTGCTGCAGACTATTAAGTCTTACCCACTTGACCAGCATGTAGAGCCTATAAACCAAGATGAAGTCGTAAAGCTCAAGAAATACTATAACTGGACTATGTACCAAGCACTGCTACATTGCACCAAAAACTCTCTAAATGCGATGAAGGAAAGAGTTTGTGGGAAAAAAGCTAGGGGAGCTGCAATCCCAGCACAGTTGTCGCCGTTCTTTGAAGTCACTGTGCATCTGGAGTCGAGGTCTGATGACGTTAAGGTAAAAATTACGCCTTCTATTGAAGATGTCCAGGAACATATTAACAGAGCTGCCATTGCAGTATTGAAATGCTCAAAAAGTGTAGTTAACTGGTTCCAACAGGACAAGGCAGAAAATGAGAAAAAGGACAGCTTTTATGATATGATTGCTCAGGATAAAGAAATCGTCAAAGTCATTTTGCTCCTGACTGGGTCTATTCATGGGACGAAAAATACAGTCACACAGTATTTAGAATCTTTCCAGAGGTTTTCGTGGCTGTGGACACAAGATCCAGAGAAAAAACTGTCAGAGTTTAATAAAAAAGACCCTACATTGGACGATTTTGAAGAAAAACTTAAATATTTCACCTCAGTAGAGCACGATATTGAAACTGTCGAAGATGTTTTCCAGATCGGTGCCATGGCTCTCAAAACGAAAGCAATTGCAGACGGCCTCAAAGAGTACGTCCACCACTGGAAAGCTGTGTTTTCCAAAGACCTTCACAAGCGTGCTAAAAGTAGACTGGAAAACATCCTACTCCAGCCCCTCCGTGAGCGATCAAAACCATTGGAAAAATCCCCTCTATGAGTGAATAATTTTTATTTAAAAATTTATATAAAAAAATATTTTGATATATTAGCGATAGTTATAACGAAATATCTAGCTAATTCTACTAAATTCAAACGAATTGCATTTTAAAGCATTAATATTACAAATTAAATTAATTTTTGTTTTCCAATTTTTGCAATTTAATATTTTTTAAATTTCGAAAAAAAAATTACTACAAATTTCTATATAATACCCTGTGCGAACGAACAAAATTTGCTTTGGGTTGCAGAGAGGATTTAGAGTATATCAACCAAACTAAAGCAAAACTCCAAAAAGACGTGACTGGGATTGACACTTTACGTTATGTCATGCACACCTTAAAAGAAGTCAGGCAAAAAGAAGGTGAAATTGAGTTGGAATTTAAGCCAATCATAGAAATGTACAACATTTTAGACATGTATCTTGCCACTGGCATGGAAAAAGATGAACAAGATCATAGACATATACTAAAATCTAAATGGAAATCATTAGTAGAACTAGGTGAACAGAGGCAAAACCAGCTACAAGAAACCCAAAACAGCTTTAAGAAAGAACTCATAAGAAATGTCAGCGCTTTGGTCTCTGATGTAAGGGATTTCCGAAAAGACTACGAGAGAAATGGACCAATGGTCAAAGGAATTAACCCAGGAGATGCAGTCGAAAGACTTAGAAGATTTAAGGAAGAATACTCAGTCAGAGAAAGAAACTACGAAATCTACTACGCAGGAGAAGAGCTCTTTGGCCTGCCACATCAGCCGTACCCAGAACTAGAGCAAACCAAAAAAGAGCTGGGACTACTTACTCAGCTATATGACTTATACGTTCAAGTTATCAATACTGTCAACTCTTGGAAAGAAATGATATGGAGCGATGCCGTTGACAAGCTAACAGACATGACAGACCAAGTCACTAACTTCGACAATATGTGCAAGAAGCTTCCTAGACAGCTAAAGGAATGGGACGCTTACAATGAACTCAGGACTGAAATTGACACCTTTATCCAAGTTTTACCTTTGCTAGAAGATTTAAGTAAGCCGTCAATTAAGCCAAGACATTGGGATCAGCTGTCACAGGTAACTGGGCACGATTTAACACAGAAAAATGACGAAGTTTTCTATTTATCAAAACTCCTCGAAGTAGACCTGCTGAAATCTAAAGAAGAAATTGAAGAAATCATAGAATCAGCTGACAAACAGCTGAAAATTGAAATTAAACTAGGAGAAATCAAAGCGAAATGGACTGTAGAGACCTTTGATTTTGACACCTTCAGAGGAAGAGACTATCTTTGTAGACTAGGCGGAAAAGTATCAGAAATCATGGAAGCTCTAGATGAAGCCCAAGCTGACTTAACGACCATGAACGCTATGAAGCATGTAGCACCGTTCAAGACTGAAGTCGTCAGCTGTCTCAACCTGTATTCTGATGTAAGCGAAACCATTGATCTCTGGCAAAGAGTCCAAATTATGTGGCAAAGCTTAGAGCCTGTCTTCATGGGAGGTGATATTTCTCGACAAATGCCTACTGAAGCCAGACTGTTCCAGAACACTGACAAAATGTGGGTAAAAATCATGGAAAAAGCAGTAGAAACACAAGTGGTCATCCCAGCTTGTCAGAATGATATGCTTAAAAACCTGCTGCCAAGCTTAAAAGAGAAACTGGAAACGTGTCAGAAATCCTTACTCCCCCCCCCCTCCGTGAGCGAACAAAACCATTAGAAAAATCGCCATTTTTTGACCAAAAACCCACCCTCCGTGAGTGAACAAAAATTTTTTTAATAGAAAAAATTTTAATGGAAAAAAATTTTGATATATAAGTGATAATTAGTATAATGAAATCTAGAGCTAATTCTGTTTAATTTTAAACAAATTGCGTTTTAAAACATAAATTTTTGCAAATTAAATTAATATTTGCTTTCCAATTTTTGCAAATTAGGATTGTTTTAAATTTCGAAAAAAATATTTTTTTATAAAATTTATATATAAATTTTTTTTAAAAAAAAAAAATTAACCCCCCTCCGTGAGCGAACAAAATTTTTTTGTTCGCTCACGGAGGGGGGGGGGGGGAGTTAGATAACTACTTAGAAGCCAAACGAAACAAGTTCGCCAGGTTCTTCTTCGTGTCTGACCCTGTCCTTTTGAGTATCCTAAGTCAAGGATCAGAACCTACCTCAATCCAGACTTTCTTAGAAAACCTGTTTGACGCTATCACAAGAGTCCAATTTGACGCCAAAGACCGAAAATTAATTACCCATATGATGAGCTCAATCGGCAAAAACTACGAATTAATCGAGCTGTCAGACCCAGTCAAAGCAGAAGGCAACATAGAAGACTGGCTGAAGAAACTTGAAGACGAAATGAGAAAGACTGTAAAAGATATACTGAGAAACGCCTCACGCGACTGTATGCAGATGCAGTACAAAGACTTCGCCCAGAGATACTGTGCCCAAGCTTCACTTGTAGGACTGCAGCTGCTGTGGACATATCACGTAGAAGACTGCTTGTCAAAAGCTAAGGACAGAAAAGTGGCAGACTCTAAAAGAGACAAAATGACTGAAATTTGGGACCAAATCAGAGATATGATTTTGGGAGACTTGCCAAATGACATGATAAGGACTAAAATTACGACCATCGTCACTGTGCATGTGTATCAAAGAGATGTCCTTGATGAGCTAATTAGCAACTTGGGTAAAGACGCAAGCTCGAAAGGAAACTCTCAAAATAACTTTGAGTGGCTTAAGAGGACAAGGCAAACCTGGAGAAATGACACATTAACTGTTTCAATTACTGACCAAGACTTTGAGTACCTTTACGAATATTTAGGGACTAAGGAAAGGCTGTGCATTACACCGCTTACGGATAGGTGCTATATTACATTGGCTCAAGCATTGGGTATGAATTATGGAGGGGCGCCAGCTGGACCTGCAGGAACAGGCAAAACAGAGACTGTCAAAGATATGGGAAGGACACTCGGTGTATTTGTTGTCGTCACTAACTGCTCCAATCAGCACAAATACAAAGACATGGCCACTATCTTTAAAGGACTTTGCCAATCTGGGCTATGGGGCTGCTTTGACGAGTTCAACAGAATCTATCTAGAAGTCCTGTCTGTCGTCGCAATGCAAGTGGCTGCTATCAATAAAGCTAAAAAATACAGAGAAAAGACCTGTCTTTTCCCTGGAGAAAGCTTGCCAATCAGTTTAATCCCTTCTGTAGCTTACTTTATCACTATGAACCCTGGCTATGCCGGCCGTCAAGAACTTCCTGAAAACATGAAAGTCTTATTTAGAGGCGTGGCTATGATGGTTCCTAACAGAAGAGTCATCATTAGAGTCAAACTCGCCGCCCAAGGTTACGATAAATACGACCCTCTCTCCAAGAAATTCACAGTCCTTTATGCTTTGTGCGAAGAACAGCTTTCTAAACAAAAACATTACGATTTCGGACTTAGAAACATTAACTCAGTACTAAGAAGTGCAGGTAACATTAAGCGTAACGAAATGACTGCAGACGAAGAAATGTTGCTGATGAGAACTCTCAGAGATATGAACTTATCCAAACTTGTAGCTGATGATGTGCCGCTTTTCTTACAGCTACTAAGAGATATCTTCCCAGACCAACCAGAGCCACCTAAGCTTCACCATGGAAATGTCGAACAAGGCTTAATCAAAACAATTCAAGAATGCGAAATCATCAAAAATGAAGACTGGTTCTTAAAGATCATCCAGGTCTATGAAACTTCACTAGTCAGGCATGGCTTCATGATCGTCGGGCCAACAGGATCTGGCAAAAGTACCATCATCAATGTTTTAACAACCGTGCTCACCAATGAAGGGACCTCACATCGTCTACAAAAATTGAACCCGAAAGCTATGACTGCTGAAGAATTGTATGGCAGAAAAATTGAAGTCACTGACGAATGGGTGCCTGGGGTCTTCAGCAAGCTTTGGCAAAGGTATAACAACAGAGCTAACAAATATAACACTTGGATTGTCTGTGATGGACCTGTTGATACCTTGTGGATCGAGTCACTGAATAGTGTCCTTGACGACTCCAAGATTTTGACCCTTGCAAACAATGATAGAATTCCTATGACTGATAACGTAAAACTTGTGTTTGAGGTGGAAAACTTGAAAAACGCCTCCCCAGCTACTGTGTCCCGCTGCGGCATCATTTATCTGTCTGAGTCTGACTTAGGCTGGGAACCTATAGTCACAGCTTGGTGCAACAACAGAGAATCTTCCCAAAAAGCCACCACAACTGGCAGAGTCCAAGAAATGTCGCACATTAAAAGACTTGTCGGGAAATATCTCAAGGATGAAAATATCATGGTAAACCTTTACAAGACAGGCAATAAACTGGTTCCAGTCATGCCTCAGAACTATGCAGTACAGGTTTCAAACTTAATTACATTGCTGACTGTTTTACTAAACCAGTTTTCTGATGGTGAATTGCAGCCAGTCCAGTACGAAAGGCTTTTCTTATACGCAATGACATGGACTATTGGCGCTATGTTTGAGCCAGAAGACAGGCACAAATTCCATCATTACCTGCTAGGTATGGGTGCTCCGCTACCTAATGTAGAAGCTGGCGAAACCTTATATGAGTACAAGTTTGATTCAAACACCAAGAATTGGGTTAAATGGGTTGCAGACTCTTGGGAACGACAGCCAGGCCAAGCCTTTGCCCAATTGCTAATCCCAACCATGGACTCTACCAGAGCTGAATACCTGATCAAGCTTATCATGTCTCTCCCTAAGACCCACGAGCAGAGAAAAGAAGTCTTGCTAGTCGGAGGCGCAGGTACAGCCAAAACTTCGACGATCTTTATGTACACCCAAAAACTCCCAGAAAACACCGTCATGAAGAAGATGAACTTTTCCTCAGCGACTCTCCCTAAGATGTTCCAAGACTCCATTGACTCTGATTTAGAAAAGAAAACAGGCAGAAACTACTGTCCACCTAACAATAAAACTTTGCTTGTGTTTATTGATGATATCAGCATGCCGTTTGTCAATGAATGGGGCGACCAGATTACACTAGAAATTGTAAGACAGCTGATTGAACAGGGCGGGTACTATTTCTTAGAAAAAGACAAGATCGGAGAGCTTAAAAAGATCGAGAACTTGATCTTTATAGCTGCCATGAACCATCCTGGAGGAGGCAGAAATGATATCCCAAGCAGGCTTAAACGGCACTTCTTCAGCTTCAATATGGTCCTACCATCTAAAGAATCAGTCGATAACATCTATGGTACTATCATCAGAAGTGCTTTTACTACCAAAAACTTTGGAGAAGATGTCGTCACAATTGCAAATAAACTTACTGGAAGCACAATTACCCTATGGGAAAGAGTCAAAAAGCGGTTCTTGCCGACTCCTTCGCAGTTCCATTACTTGTTCAACATGAGAGAACTTTCAAGAGTCTTCCAAGGGGTCTTTGAATGCATCAAAACTAGAGAAGGTAGAGAAGTCATCAAAAATGCCAAAAACATTGGGACCATTAAGCCGGGCGTTTTCCTTGTAGGACTCTGGAAGCATGAGTGTCAAAGAGTTTTTGAAGACAAGCTGACGACCTTTGACAATAAAGAAGAACTCAAAGCCATGCTTAAAGATGTCACTGAACAGCACTTTGGAGCTGAAACTGAAGATCAACTCGGAGAAGGACTCCTTTTCTGTGATTTCCAAAGGAAAGACAAGTATAATGAAGATGGAGAATTAGAAGAAGAAGCACCAAAAGTATACGAAGCCATTAAGAGTATACCTGTGATTGAGAAAAAGATCACGCAGTTCTTGGATGCTTATAATGAAAACTCCAGAGGCAAAACTATGAACTTGGTTCTTTTCGAAGACGCTATAAGACACTTGCTGAGGATTTCCCGCACCATACAGATGGATAGAGGAAATATGCTTCTCGTTGGTGTAGGTGGATCTGGAAAACAGTCTTTGACCAGATTGGCTGCGTTTATAGGCAAACATATAACCCATCAGATCCAGCTGACCAAGACTTATAACCAAAACGCGCTTTTCGCTGATTTATTGCAGCTTTATAAATGGTCAGGCCACGAAGGAAAGAGAACCACTTTTATTATGACTGACTCTGAAATCAAGCAGGAAACTTTCTTGGAGTTCATCAACTCAATTCTGTCAACTGGAGAAGTTGCTGGTCTTTTGCCTAAAGAAGACAGAGAAATTATTCTTGCTGACATGAGAACATATTATGGCAAAGAAAAGCCACAAGCTCCTGACCCTACCAACCTTGACCTTTACAATTACTTTATAGACAGAGTCAGAGCCAATTTGCACATTGTCCTGTGCTTCAGTCCAGTCGGTGACAAGTTCAGAGAAAGGTTCAGAAAATTCCCAGCCATCTTCAACGGCTCCACCATCAATTGGTTCTTGCCATGGCCTAAAGAAGCCCTTATTAGTGTCTCTAAAAGTTTTATATCTGACTTCACTATCCACGCCACCCCAGAAGTCAAAGGCAATCTAGAAGCCCACATGGGAAAAGTCCACAACATGGTTACTGATGTCTGCACCCTCTATTATAACAAGATGAGAAGGTACGTCTACGTGACACCAAAGTCCTATCTGTCCTTCATTTCCTCTTACAAAACCGTCTACCAAATGAAAGTCGAGGTCCTTGAAGGCCAAGAACGAAGAGTCGCCTTAGGCTTAAACAAGCTAAAACAAGCAGAAGCTGACGTTAAAGAAATGCAGACCAAGCTAGAACTTGAAAAAGTAAAAATCCACGAGGCTGAACAAAAGACAGACCAGCTCGTCAAAACGCTTGATGTCGAAAAATCCAAAGCACAAAAACAAAGTGACCAAGTCGCCGAAAGAAAAGACCAATGTGAGCAACAAGCTGCTGAAATCCGTGTGCAGAGAGAAGAAGCTGACAGAGAGCTCCAAGAAGCCTTGCCTTTCTTGCACAGCGCCATGAGAGCTGTTGACTCTATTACCTCTAAAGATATCAATGAAGTCAAAACTAACAAGTCGCCAGTCGATATGATTCGACTTATTTTTGATGGTGTGTTGGTCATTTTAAGTCTTCCAATTGTCCCAGTCGCATTTAAACAGATCAAAGTAAAGAACGTTCTTTATGACTTCATACAAGACTCCTTTGATGAGTCAGCCAAAAGTATGATCACTGATCCGAGGTTCTTGCAGAAACTTATTGATTTCTCAGAAAAAGAAAAGGATAATATTAATGATGAAACTTGTGAACTGCTGGAACCATATTTGAACTTACTCCCCCCCCTCTGTGAGTGAACAAAAAAATTTTGTTCATTCACGGATGGGGGTTAATTTTTTATTATTAAAAAAATTTATATATAAATTTTATAGAATTTTTTTTTCGAAATTTAAAAAAATCTCACTTCTATAAAAATTGAAAGCAAATATTAATCTAATTTGTAAAAATTTATGTTTTAAAACGCAATTTGTTTAAAATTAAGCAGAATTAGCTCGAGATTTTATCATACTAATAATCTTATCTTATAGAATTTATATCGCTTAACGTCCACTACGGGGTTACAACTCCAGGTTTATCACTCGCCTTTCGTCGCATCGGGCCCACCAGCCTGCTGGAGACAAACTCGCTTCGATCACCAAGGTGCTTCTAGGGCAAATGTCCACGTCTTCGACGGCTCATGGATGAGCTACTTGCTTGTACATGGGTTGCTTTTCCGAAAAACCCAAAAAATGGATTTTTCTGGTCGGCTATCGGCAAAAAGGAAAAATGCAAAACCTGGGACGTAACGCCCAGTTTCACGCTAGGGAGTTGCCCGAATGGTCCAGAGGACTTTGCTGGGCTTCCCCTTTCCAACCCTGCACCTTCCTTCCCCACGAGGAAAAATCCACCCCTGAGAATAGACTAGGGCTAGGCTCTGAAAGCTACCAGAATTGCTTACCTAGCATTTGCTGTCCATCTCTGAAATGGTAAAACCTTGCCGGATATAATTAAAATATGAGTCGAGGCTGCATGGCCGGGAGGCCATGCCTAGACGAAGACGCCATATTTTAATTATATCATACTAATAATCACTTATATATCAAAAATGTTTTCCATAAAAAATTTTTCTACTCAAGAGGTGGGTTTTTGGGCAAAAAATAAGGATTTTTTCTAATGTTTTTGTTCACTCATTGAGGGGGGGAGTTAGAAGTCTTTAATGCAGCTGCGGCCAAATCAGCTAGTGCAGCTGCTGAAGGGCTGTGCATTTGGGTCAGGGCTATGACTCAGTATCATGAAGCTTCTAAAATTGTGAAACCAAAGATGGACTATTTGACTGTGCAGAACCAAAGATTAGAAGCGGCTATGACTGAACTGGCAGCTGCAGAAGCAGAGCTGAAAGAAGCCCAAGACAAGCTGGCTAAGCTGCAGGACAACTATAATACAGAACTCGGCAAAAAGAAAGCTCTCGAGGAAAATATGAATAAGCTGAAGAGAAAAACTGACCAAGCTAATAAGCTTATTTCAGGACTTACTGATGAAAAAGCTAGGTGGACTGAAGACTCAAAAGGATTCGCAGACTTGAAGAAAAGGCTAGTTGGAGATGTCGCAGTCTCTACCGCATTCATGTCTTACTGTGGACCTTTTAACTCTGAGTTTAGGACAATGATGATGAAGGACTATTTCATTCAGGATCTCAACTCTAGCCAAATCCCAGTCTCCAACAATCTCGATTTAACTTCTTTCTTACTCATTCCTTTTAATAAGTAAAATGCACAAATTTTTTTTAATTAAAAATAATTAAAGCAATTTTTTTAAATATATTAAAGCAATTTTTTTTGAATATATTTAAATATGCTATACTTATTTTGACTCTTCCTATTTCTGCATAATTTAAAGATATATAAAATGGAAGAAGTTAGTAGAAAAAACTACAGTCTCAGAATGAAACTTGCAAGGTCTTCCAAAAGATGATCTAAGCACGCAAAATGGCATCATGGTTACCAGAGCTAGCAGATTCCCATTGATGATTGACCCTCAAGGCCAAGCTTACAAATGGATCCTCAGCAAAGAAGGCGTAAACCTTTCAATCTGCACACAAACTGGCAAATTTATGGATCAGGTCCGCAACTGCTTGGAAAATGGTAGGTCTTTACTAATCGAAAATATTGAAAACGAAGTTGACCCAGAGCTTGACCCACTTCTTGAAAAACAAATCATTGTAAAAAATAAGAAAAAATACGTCACTTTATCAGGACAAAGCATCGAGTGGGACGATGAGTTCAAACTTTTCATGACTTCTAGGCTTGGAAATCCTCACTTCTCGCCTGAGCTTGCTGCTAAAACTACCATCATTGATTTCACTGTCACTATTAGTGGGCTTGAGCAACAACTTCTAGGAAGAGTCCTCAGCAAAGAACAGAGGTCACTAGAAGAATCATTGCAGCAGCTGCTTGAAGAAGTCACCGCAAACGCTAAATCCCTTGAACAATATAACAAAAACCTGTTAGAAAGGCTGACCAATACCGAAGGAAACCTTATTGACGATACTGAGCTTATAGAGGTCTTAAACAACACCAAAGCCAAAGCTAAAGAAGTCCAGGTGAAACTTGACGAGGCCCAAGAAAAGCAGATCGATATCAACGAGAAAAGAGAAATTTACAGGCCAGTGGCCACCAGAGGCTCCTTATTGTACTTCAGCATTGTCGAAATGAGTACAGTCAACTGGATGTACAACACCTCCCTCAACCAATTTTTGCAGAAATTCGACGAAAGTATCGACATCGCTGAAAAAGCCAGCACAAACCAGGACAGAGTCAAAAATATCACCAATAAGCTCACCTATGTCGCCTACCGATACGTTAACAGAGGTCTCTTTGAAAAGGACAAGCTGACCTTCCTACTTATGATTTGTCTGAAAATCTTAGTCATCGGTGGCAAACTCACACAGACTGATGTAGATTTGCTGCTGAAAGGTGGTAAAGCTCTTGATAAAAACGCAATTCCTCCTAATAAGAGCTCTGATTTATTCGATATTGATGTGTGGAAAAACGTCATTGCGCTGTCTAAACATTACTATGGAAAAGAGCACTTGTGCATTTTCAGCGATCTGCCTCAGGATATTGAAGAAAGGAAAAATGAGTGGAAAGCTTGGTTTGACGATAACACTCCTGAAAAACGACCAGTGCCGAAATATAGAGAAACAATAGAGTCTGAACAAGGCATAGGCAAATTCATACACTTTACTTTGGTAAGGTCTTTAAGAGAAGACAGAACCGGCATGTGTGCTATTGACTTTATTGAAAGCATGCTAGGGAGAGACTTTGTGGTGCCTGTAGCTGATAGCATTGAAGAGATCTTAGAAGAAAGTACTTGCAGAGTACCCATCTTGTACTTGCTGTCCCCGGGTGCAGATCCTACCAACAAAATAGAAGATCTAGCCAAAAAGAAGCGCAAGCATAACATTGAAAAAGTGTCTATGGGTGAAGGACAAGACGTGATTGCATTAGAAGCTATGAAAGCAAGCTTTTTCAATGGAAGCTGGGTCATCTTATACAACTGTCACTTGGGCTTAGAATTCATGGCAAGAATGGAAACTTTACTAGGCAAAGGAGAAGAAATTGACCCCGACTTCAGACTTTGGCTTACTTGTGAGCCTAGAGCTAATTTCCCTATAGGACTGCTGCAAATGGCTATCAAAGCTACTGATGAGCCTCCTAAAGGTCTTAAAGCTGGCCTTACCAGGACTTTTTCAACCACCATTGATGGAGACTTCTTAGAACGCCACGACACTGACAAATGGAGAAAAATAACCTACGCCATTTGCTTCCTGCATTCTGTCATCATTGAAAGAAGAAAATTCGGTCCATTAGGTTGGTGCATCCCTTACGAGTTCAACACTTCTGATCTTGAAGCCTCTCTAACTTTCTTAGACCGCCACGTCAATCAAAAAGAGGCCCAAAACAGCCAGCCAGACTGGGACATTGTCAGATTTATGGTCTGCGACATCCAATTTGGAGGTAGAATCACTGATGAAAAAGACTTTGAGCTAATCCAAGCATTTGGCGCTGAGTGGATTGATGAGCGTATTATGAGCACCAGTTTCTCCTTTAATTCAGGCCCCAGCACTGGTGATAACTCTTACAAAGTGATTGACTCCACTGAAATTTCTAGATACAGAGATCAAATCAGCATGCTTCCAGCCTTTGAAAGCCCATCCCTGTTCTTTTTGAACCAAAACGCAGATATCACATTTAGGAGAAGAGAAGGCAACGAGGTCTTAGCCACAATCCAGATGACGCAGCCTAAAGAAAGTGACGCTTCAAGTGGCAAATCTAGAGATGATATTGTGCATGAGTATGTATTGGAGTATCTTTCTAAACTGCCTGCAGACTATATAGAAGCTGACGTCAGAGATATGGTCAGAAGACTTACAGGGCCAAAAGGGCTTGATAAAGAGAAAAACGGATTCAAGATCCCACTTAACATTTTCTTGTTCCAAGAAATTATGAGGCTTCAAAACGTCATCGGAATCGTAAGGAGGACTCTTAATGACTTAATTGAAGTCAGAGCTGGTAATATTATCTTGACCCCTGAACTCCAAGAAGCAGCTGACGCCATCTATGACTCCAGAGTGCCAAAGCAGTGGCAGTACGACGCCAACGCAAGTGAAATTTCATGGCTCGACTCCACTTTAGGCTCTTGGGTCAGTGGCCTCCAAGACAGAAACTCCCAACTTGGAAACTGGTTGAAAGACGGCAGACCTCCAATTTACAACCTTGGTTTCTTCTTCAACCCTCAAGGCTTCTTAACAGCAGTCAAACAAGAAGTCACCCGACAAATGAAGAGCGAAAACTGGGCTCTCGACGACGTCGAAGAAAGGACAGAAGTCAGAGATAAATCAGAAAGGCCTAAAGATATCCCTGAAAAAGGAGTCCTGATTAAAGGGCTCTTCTTGGAAGGAGCTAGGTGGAATAACAACAAGGATGGAGGAAGACTAGAAGAATTGACTGGAAAAGACACTTATGTGGATATGCCAAATATTTATGTGGGAGCTAGAGTTAAGGATAAACAGACTAAGGGAGGAAAAGACTATGAAGATTTCGGTATGTACAGCTGTCCTTGTTATAAGTATAAGCAACGAACGGATAAATATTTCATTTTCAATGTCAAGCTGAGATGCGATAGTCCACAGCAAAACTTGTGGAAACTGAGAGGTGTTGCACTGCTGTGCCAGAAGCCAGTTTGGTAATATACTGTATGCAGACTTTTTGCTTGTAGTAAATATATCATTTGCTGTTTTAATTATTCATTGCTAATAATTATAAATAACTCACTTTATTTAATTTCGTGCTTTAATAAGAATTGTATATTCCTTCTAAAATAGAATAGAAGTTCGATTTATTTCTAATGTTCTTATATAAACATTTGAATAACTATAGTATAAAGAATTTAAATTTTAAATAATTTTCATTAAAAAATAATGGCCAAACTGTTTTAATTTTATAAATAAATAATTATTAAAGTCGGGGGCTTATAAAAAATATTACAATGTCAAGACATGAAAAGAATGCCGCAGTTCTAGACGCTTTCCAGCGCTTTCTCCAAATTCAAGAATCAACTCAGTCAAGATTTAACGGCTTTGTCCAAAACTTCAACTCACAAATGACTACATTCTTCAAAGAGCAACTTCTTCCTCTCACAATTACTAAAATAGCTTCTCCAAAACTCAAACCTTGTAAGATCCCTGAAAAGAAATCTGACCCAGTTCTTCCCATGAAAAGACCAAAAGAAGCCTTAAATCCTGTAAAAACACCTATAAAAAATGCTGAAGTTCAGCTAAGCAATCATGTCGAAACTATGAAGGCCCATATCCGTGAACTTTACGCCAAAAACATTAACCCTGCCCTGATTTCCAAACTCTTCAACCTCAAGCTTGACCTTATCCACTCGATTGGCGACTATAGCCAATGCCCTGAAGACGAAAAAACCCAAAAGCTTGAATTAAAATCTGAATGCTTAAAACTCCGCGATAGCGGCACGCCTGTAAAATACATAAGCAAATCTTTAAAGCTCCCTAAAAAGAAAATCATGACTATTCTAGGCGAAATTTCTCCTTGCGATTTATTAAAATCTTCTGAGTCTAAAAAAGTAATTGTCAGCAAAATTAAAGAAGGCGTCCCAAAAGTAGCTCTCGCCAAAGATCTGGGCATGCCTATTTATAAGCTTCAGAATTGGATCGACAAGGTAGAGAAAGGAGAAGAGCCAAGCGATAATGATGCAATACATTCTGAAGGGGATTATGGCAGGGATACTATTAGAAACTCACTGTTTAGTTATTATCAAACTGACAACTTCGACGTTTCAGCTGAAATGTGCAATGTTTATGCCCGGGATATTGAAAATTGGATTGAAAAGTTTGAAGAAAATACTGAAGGGCCTAGAAAAAGGCACAAAAAGACTGTAAAATCGTCAGCAGAGCTGATAGACAATCACCAGTCACTTTTAGCTGAGTTTTTGAAAAAGGCAAGCACATCTTCTATACAAAGCAATAGCACAGAGGATCAGGAAGAAGAAAATTGTGAAGCTGAGCAGGAATCCGAAAAACCAGTAAGTTTGATCACTCAAAGCATTTTAGAATCAGAAAAATCAGCTCAGAATGAATGCATAGATATAGAGCCAAACGATGAAGAAGGCAGTGAAAGAACGGAATCAGAAAGCTCTGAATAATATGTTAATATATTAGAAAATTAATAATAAACGGCCTAATATTTATTGAGTTTTGGATTTTGGAGTCTCGGAGATCTTCTAGCCCGTATCTTCGTAACTCTGTGAGGAAGAACCAAAGATCTAGCCCTTATGCCAGAGCTTCACCAGAATTTCCTTACAGTACTCAGAATCTATAATTATTAAATTTTATGTCCTATGCTGTTCACATGCGAATATATTTTCATAAATGTGGAAAGCTCTAATAAGAAAATATCACATCATTGACATCATCGTGGAGCCTTCAGGAATCAAATGTGTCTGGGAATTTGGAAAACCAACTCTTTTTACCTATGACTGACTGAGAAGATCAAGCACTCTTCACAAAAAAAATATTTTTTGGCCAAATTTCAGAGTAGATGGCATTTTATTTGACAGAGAAAAACAAATCATAAAAATTATATGGGAAGATGCTGCTGCCTTCGATTTTCCATCAAAGTACCTCTACCACCTTTCGCACGGGAAGAGCTTTTTCCCACCTCTAGAAAGATTGCCATTCCAAGGAGTCTCCCATTTTGATGAACAATTTCTAAAAAAAGGCTCAGGCAGTACCTTTGATAAACAAAAAATTGATACAATTTTGGTTGAAATACAAAGAAAAGGAGGCGCAATTATCCAATTTGAAGGCCCTAAAATTGAAGAAAAGCAAGTGGAAGAAGTCGCTAAAGAATTATTTGTGCAGGTTTATTCTGGTTGTTTTGTTCGTGATGAGTTTTTCCACAACGAAGGATGCTTTATGGAGCAAGTGCCTTCTGTTTTAGCTATTACACAAGCAAACACTGGAGTAGGTGTAATAGATGGCGTTAGAGTGCATTCGCAGCTAAAAGGCTCAGAAACCTACGAGTACTTAAAAAACACAAAAGTCCCTTATAGACTGAAAACTGACAATTTCATGTTTTACGGCGAGCACCCACATTTAGGAGAAAACGGAGAAATTAATTATTCTAGGGAGTCAAGAGAAGTAATGCTCTGTGGAAATGAGTACTTTGCGCATATAGATAGGCTTGAGCAAGCTATGGACATGAGCAGGTTTTGGATTCCTCTTGATATGACACAGCTGCTACTCCTGGATAACAAAAGAATGCTTCACCAGGGAGGAGGCTGTATCTTTGGAGTCCCATCTTATGTATATTCAGCAAGACTTAACAATGCAAGGTTTAAAGAAGTTAAGCAAGATGAATATTTAAAGGATCGCGATGAAAAAATAATATTGAATTAAAATATATTAATAGCATCTATTTTATAACAAACCTATAGTGATTTTTAAATTAATAACGGGTGAATTAGTGTAAAAAATTAAAGATATGGGGTTAACCCATATTTTAGTATCCCGCACGTCCCGCCTTTGCTTTCATTAGCACTATTAACTTCAATCAGCACATATCCTTCCATACCCCAGTTTGGACCCCAAGAATTTTTGAATTTTATAAATTCCCCTTCACTATACCCAACAGCAAGCATAGCATGGTTCAGTGGAGAAGCCTGACACAGATCTTCACCATAAACTCCTGCCTCATATGAGAAAAAGTCTTCAGATCCAATATTCATAAAGACCACATTAGCATTACTTAGAGTATTTAACGTGTTTCTCCAGCTCTGCAGCGTGATTTAACAAGGTCACAAGGGTTCACCCCAATAGACACCAATTGGTGACGTCACCCTTTTTATCGGGTTGACGGACCATCCAAAGCAAGTGACAGCCAATTAGCTACCAAATCTCACGGCTGCGCTACCTCGCTCAAACTTGACTTCTGCGCAGTGTGCTGCCTGTGGATCTCCCTCCTCGGGAGTGTCAAGCAATAAAACTTTGTGCCCACCAAACATCCAAGGATCAGGCCAGGAGCTGTGCACCCCTTCCCGTTGTTTGCCTGATATTGCTGGATAAGGTCTCACTGGGAAAAACTGAACCCTATAATAATAAAATTGCTTCACTCCCCCTCTCCGTAAGCCTAAAAAGCCATTAGAAAAATTCTTATTTTTTGCCAAAAACCCCCACCCTCCTGAAAGAACAAGAATTTTTTATGGGAAAAAATTTTAATATATAAGTGATATAGAAATTGCCCCGAGGATGGCGCAAAATAGCGCCATCCTCGGGCAATTTCTATAACTTGTATCATGAAATCTCGATCTAATTCTGTTTAATTTTAAACAAATTATATTTTTAAAACATAAAATAAAATTAATATTTGCCTTCCAATTTTCGAGAAGTGGGATTTTTTCTTTAAAATGTATATATAAAATTTTAAAAAAAAAAAATTAACTCCCTCAGTGAGCTAACAAGATTTTTTTGTTCGCTCACGTGGGGAGTAAAGGAAAGAAAATTCCTCAAAGAGAAATTCTCTTCGACGCCATTTTATTATTATAATATTCATAAAGACCACAACCGGATTTATTGTAATTGCTTCGTATAGTGCAGTGTAATTATTTGGCTGAATTTGCCTATATCCAGAAATATTAAATAAAAGGTCAGGCGGCATCAAGTCAAATTGGCACCGGTAGCTGTTTCCTTCGTATGGGTAAAAAGCTTCAATTACAGTTCCCATGCTCTGCATGAAGTCAAGCGGGACTGCGATATCTTCTCCTTTGCAAGTTGCCTTTTTGTCACAGTCAAGAATCACTTGTTCAGACATCTCATAAAGAGTTCCATTAGTTTTCCCTTGGAGATAAAGCAGTGACTCTACAGCTCCTACAGCTGCAAAAATATAGGAACTGTTGCAGCCTCTTTCATTTTTCACTTCTGTGACTGCTTCCATCAAAGTCCAGTCCCATTCTGGTGGATAGCTTGCGACTCTTTCTTCAGATACCTTCTTTTCTTTTCTACTGCCAACTTCTGTATCCGAAAACCAATTTATAATTCCTTCATCATTCTCCCCATTATTTATATTTTTTATATATTTCACGTTTTCTTCGTATATTCTCTTCCTCAACATATATTCTTCCGTACTCTCATAGTGCTTTTCATATTTCTGCAAAAAATCATCAAAGCTTGGCACCCGGTAGCTTTTTCCCAGGATTAAGTTTACTATTGTTAATAATACCCAAATCATTATTTATAAACATGATCCAAATATAAAAGAGCTAAAAAATGGGAGTGTGCTGCGTCTCTGACCATCATCTAAGAGTGCCTAAACTCGGCCAACCAATCGAAAACTCAGACATTTCTGCATGCACTCGTCTAGAAAGTAATCTTCCAAACAGGTATTAGGAAATATTATGAGTTCGTAAAAATAATAGGCTATGGACAGTTTGGAACTGTAAGGGAGGCTGTTAAAATAATTAAAAATAACAACCGCTCTATCTTCGACCGAAGCGAAATGCTCAAAGGGAAGCATTATGCAATTAAATCAATCAGTAAAGAAAAAATAAAAAAAGGTTTGTGGATGCTCAAAAGAGAACTAGAAATCCTTCAGCTAGTGGACCATCCCAATATAGTAAAACTTTATGAAATTTTTGAGGATAGTAAATATATACATATGGTCATGGAACTCTGCACAGGAGGGGATTTACTTGACTATTTAATTAGTAAAGGGACGCTTCTGGAAACAGAAGTAGCCCAAATAATGAAAAGCTTATTAGGGGCAGTCAACCACCTGCATAGCCTAAAAATATCACATAGAGATATAAAACCTGAAAACTGCTTGCTGGTGAACTCAGAGCCCAACGCAGAAATAAAGCTGGTAGATTTTGGGATGTCCATTAAATTTGGAGATGACGCAATGACTACTATGGTGGGAACTCCATATTATCTTGCCCCCGAAGTCCTCAAATCAAAATATGGGAAAGAATGTGACGTGTGGTCATTTGGAGTGCTCATGTATTTACTATTGTCAGGAAAGCAGCCTTTTAAAGGACTGGACATAAACGATTTATTCCGAAAAATCATGATTGCGGACTATAATTTTGACGACTCAGTATGGCAAAATATATCAGAGTCTGCCAAAGATCTGATCGCCAAAATGTTTGTATTGAACCCAGAGCTTAGAATTACAATCAGCCAAGCATTGAAGCATGAGTGGCTTAACTCTTTTTCAGCAGATATGAGTGCCCGGATAAACCTTGAAGTATTTAACTCAATTAAAAGCTTTAAAACTCCAAGCAAGCTGTGAAGAGAAGCTATGAAAGTGCTAGTCAGAAATCTCTCAGAAGACCAGCTAGGGGATCTGCACGCAGCTTTTGATGAAATTGATATATCAAAGACAGGCTTTGTGACACCTCAAGATATTGTGCAGGCAATGAAGAGAAACGGGTATGATGTAGCTGCGGATGAGTTTGATTTAATTATTAGGGGCATGAGCTACCTAGGGAAGGGAAAATTAAACTATACACAGTTCTTGATCGCTGCAATGGATAGGAGGAGGTTTTTGGATGAGGAAAGCTTGTGAGCAATTTTCCAGCATTTTGATATTGAAAATAAGGGACGTATTACTGTTAAAAATTTAAAATATGCGCTGCAAAAAGCAGGGTGTTTTATATCAGATGATGATTTTAATGATATTATAGAGGAATTCAAACTGCAGGTTAACGAGTATATGGATTTCAGCCAATTCAAAGAAATTATGACTTGTAAAAATTATTTAGGCTTTTCTGAACAGATTACTGTTAATAATACGGAAGATGATGAAAGTGCAGTTTTCGAAAGACCACCCGCTAAGAGGTTGTCTCAAAGAAGGCTTACAATTAGAAGAAATAGCCAAGTCCTTGAAGAAATGTCAGGTATAACTCATACTCAAAGCTAGAACAAGCTTCCTTATCCTACTCAAAGTCTAGCTTATTGTATACTATTAAGCTTATATTAAAAATTTAAAAAAAAAAAAAAAATTTTGCCAAGGAGTCAGAAAAGATCCTTGCCACTTATACTTAGTTAAGAAAAATTAGCTTAAAAATTGAAAATCTCGTTAAATAGTTATCTTACACTATTAGTTCCATCTTCAAATCTAAATGGAGAGGTATTACTGTTTAGGCTTCCGAAAGTCGGAGTTGGGAGTACAGGCTTTTGGCTGTTCGGAGTTTTGAGTCTGAAAATTTGTTTCCCTTCTGATTTCTTCAAGTAAACTTGGCTGGCTGAGAGATTATCGACGCCATCGTCTCTTGCATCGTTTCCTGATTGATTTGGAGATGAACCCATGAAAAAATCATGATCAATACTTGTATTGTGACAACAGCCCATGATTGAAATATGCTTTGGCTAATGAATAATTTATCTATATTGGCAAGATTAGTGTCTATTCTAAATAAATTAGGGCATTAATATTTTTAAAGGCATTCTTAGCAGAGCCTAATTTAGTGCAATATATTAATATATGAATTATATTCCATTTTGAATTAGATTAATATAAATGTTAACTATTTTATTTTTAAATTTTAAGCTTGGCATTTTTTGTTAACATTTATTGTAAAACCTTCTTCATCTTTTATGAAACCATTTTTCTCAGTTGGTGGTGAATGGGAAACTTCTGGCTCACTTTCTTGGATTTCTGTGCTTTGGGAAATTGAAGGAGAATTTTGACTTTTAATTTCTTCAATTTCTTTTTCCTTCTCTTCAACAAGCCTAAGCAGTTCAGCTATGGCTTTTTTAAGCATTGGGTGCTCACTGATTATTTCTATGGGATTTTATTAAATTTACGCATCATATATTTATTTTATTGGCAAATTCATCCCCATATTGTTTTAAAATAAACAATTATTTATGTCAAATTCATAAATTATTTACTTTTCAAAGTCAAACTTGTAAGAATTTGAATAAAACCAACTATTGAATAAAGAGCCATTATTTCATCGTAAAGCAAGAATATTTTTTGCAAACTTTGCCTTGAACTTTTGCTCATAAATTATATCCCCCAGCTTTGGAAGCAATAATTAAAAGAAATATTGTCATTTGTTTAGAAGATACTATGAATAAACAATAAGTAGATAAATGCTATGAATCAGGGTTCCAAATTAAAGCTTATGACTAATCTACTCCTCTATTTCAAAAACTGTTAAAGTTTGATATAATATAGCATTATAAATTATATTAAATTATTAAACAAATGCATATTCCCAAAAATATATTGAAATAACTCCCAGAAGAGTATCTAAATGGGTAAATCACGTCATCTGGCATCACTTTGATAGGGTCAAGTGGAGGACTTCCATAGGGATCATATTTTTCGGTATACTCAATGAAGCTAAACACAACTGTATTTAAAAATATTTGTGTATCTCCTGACTGCTGCTTTTTGAATTCCCATGGATTGTTTTTTACTGATTTTTTCACATAAACAATTTTTGGCTGTGGGTTAGTCAAGTCTCCTGTTTCTGTATAAAAAATGTCATAACTGACCAAGTTTGGCAATTTGCAGGTTTTCGATGTAGAATTGAATTCAGCAGTTGGGTTTGCCATCGCATCTGTGTTAACTGCAACCCAGTCTGAAAGAGTATTTGCATCGGCGTCCCCAAATATTCCTATATAAGCAATATCTTGATATGAAAAAATGCTCATTTGCAAGTTACTAGTAGTGCAGGCAGTCTCAAGCTGGCTTAAAGTGTACTCTAAATAGCAAGAATACACAGCATCCTGCCCAAAATTCAGGCTTTGTATGCCGCCCATTACTGGAGTTGATGATGACGAAATGCAAGCCCCTTTTGAGCTGGCTCCATAAAGCTGAATTCCATCATCAAACTGACTAATCACTTTATCAGACAAAGTCCCAGCTAAAACAGGCTTGCCTTTTACATACCCAGGATTCCCAGATCTCTTCTGCTCAAGCCCAGATGTGGTTAAAAATTTCACAGAAAATTGCTGAGTAACGTTCCCAATAGCAGTTGAAGTGCACGAGCTTAAGCTTAAATCTGCAATAACCACAGTTGCATAAATCTGATCAGTCGCATTTTGCTTATTGTTAGTCCATACTGTATAATGAGCTTCCAAAAAGGCATTCTTGCAAATACAATTGGTCGAATCAAATGTTGTTGTCAGTGTAGTGATGGGAATCAGGGTCTGGGTATTGGTGGAGGTGTCCCTCTTGTATATTTGGTAGTAGTTTATAGAAGTTGTGGTCTCATTGGTGGCTCCTGGGACAATTTGTAGATAATCCATATAGGTGGCAATGCTTAGACTTGATACACAAATTGATTGGAAAGTGCTCCCTGTATAAGCCCTTGTGCATGGCCCAGGATTTGCCTTATAAAGCCACTGAATTGTGTTCATATCATTGCAAAGCCCATAGCTGTCAGGGCCAGGGATCGTCCATCTATTATGATAATGAGCCCATCCTGAATATTCTGACCCCATCACAACCCCAGGAGTTAAGTATACAAATGTTTGGGTCTGAGTGATTGTTTTTACCCCTGTCGTCGTTTCATTGCTCGTGACATTTACTTCTACTTGATAATCTCTATATCACGAATAAGTTGGCTTTGGTGCGTAGATTACATCAGAGTAGCCAACTGTTAAGTCTATCCTATCAGTAGCCTTACTTGTAGATGCCTCACTTACTAGTGTATGAAAGCTGCCAAATGGCTGAGCATTATCAACAGTGACACAAATTAAATCATTGCTGGAATCATCAGTCTTTTTCAAGCCTCTTCTCGAGTTGATCTTGTAGACTTCCGAGTCATCAATACAAGAAAACCGATCACTATTGCCAAACCTTGACCTTACACACATATTTGAGTCTGAATCAGTTCCTTCCCACATCTGGATTACAGCAGATGTGCAATCGTCGTCACAGCAGCAAAAGGCATCACAGGAGTTTTTCGTTAAATCGCACACACAGGTACCAGGGTCCTCGTCTGAAGAAATATCATTGCTTTCGGAAGCTTTGGAAAAGTAGAGCGCCAAGATGAAAACCCAAAACTTCATTTTTAAATAATTAGTCTGAGTATTACCTTAAAATTAATTATGAAATTCCTTGTTAAAGTATAAGAATAACTGATTCGTCCTCTTCATTGTACATGACTTTTTCAGCGCTGTTTAGCTCTTTGACCACTTCCACCAATTCTCTTTTGCTTGCAATCTTGCTGTTAGGGATTTCTTTGACTAGATTCCACAGGTCGGAGACCTTCATGGATGGTAAGTCTAGATTTCTTACGTTTTCTGTGAGACATCTGAAGACCAATATTTGGCTCTCTTCTAGAGCAACTCGGGACGAGCCTGCTTTTGACTTTGACACTAGTGAGCTTACTTTCCCTGACTCATCTTCTCTTTTCCTCTGCCTTTTCTTGGATTTGCTTCCAAGTGATGTCAAAACATCAGCCATTTCTACGTCTTCTTCAGCCTGTGGGATAACTCGTTTTTCTTCTTCTTGGAAAATATTCCGCCCTTTATGATTTAGGGGACTTTGCTTAGCTGTCTTATGTGAATGCATATTTATTATATTGTTTTGGATTGAATAAAAGAAGGAGCTTTGCGATTTTATTTATTATAATCTTATAAACCAGGATTCAGATTCTAGAGATCTAAAAAAATTATTTTAATTTAATTTAGAATGGTGTATAAATAGCTTACTGTCCCTCATTAATAGCATACAGACTGCAGATTGTCTTTATGATTCTTTTAATAAGAAAATTAGATTTTTGCTTAAAATTAAATCGAATTTATTAATTTTTTCGGCCCAAATGTAAAATTAATAGAAAAATTACATTTATTAATATAATATATATATTAAAAATGTTCATTATTAGTTAGGCTTGTTAGCAAATTTCAATAAATTAAAAGCTTCCTCACAGTGAGCAAGTTTAACAGTTTGTGAAAGATGAGCCTTAGCAATCGCAGTTGAAAGCCTGATAAGTGTTTCAAGTGTTCTCACAGTGATAGGAACGATTCTATGCCTCCCTCCTTCCTCTTCTTTTGACCTCAAAGTCGCCCACGACTGAGCAATATAGTTGCTAGACTCATTGGTGAGCTTCGGCTCCACTGTTTTTTTAGCATAATAAATGAATTTTTTCAAGAAATTCCTATGAAGGACATCTTTTCCTTCATAATTGATATAAACAGGGGTGTCTTCTTCATCATGCACTCCTTCTTCGGGCAGTGGCTCTATTACTGGGTTATCCAAGTCCATATCATCAATATTGCCATTTCCTGAGTAGCAGTGATTTTGGATGACTCTGCTTGCAATCAGTCGATCAATTTCTGGCATTTTTTGGTCGAGAACCACAAATAATAAATCAAATCTAGACAATAAAGAGTCTGGCAGTGCAATATTCCAAGCTGGTGATTTATCTCTCATATAGCTTCCATATATTGGGTTTGCGGCAGCCACAACACTGCATCTTGCATTTAGTGAGGTGTGGATTCCTGCTTTTGCAATGGTGACTGTTTGCTGCTCCATGACTTCGTGAATGGCGACACGATCAACTTCGTTCATTTTATCGAATTCGTCAATGCATATAACACCTCTGTCAGCCAAAACCATAGCGCCAGCTTCTAGAATCCTCTCACCAGTTTCTCTGTCTTTAGAGACTGCAGCAGTTAGACCTACACCTGAGGCACCTCTTCCTGTGGTGCTTGTGGCAAGTGGGGCGATATTCATTATGCTTCGTAGAAGTTGCGATTTTGCAGTTGATGGGTCACCGATAAACATGATGTTAATGTCTCCTCTCAAGTGGGTGCCATTTTCTGAATCACCCATTTGTAGAACGTGCAAAATTTGTTGGTTGAATTTAAAATTTTTTAAAATCTAAATTATATATACTATTTATTTATTATCTATTTTATTGCAGCATTAACCTCTTTGAGATATTATAGATGTAAAATGGCTGATGATGAGCGACGAGCCCTCTCAGTGGCAGGTGTCCTTATGCATATTTGGACGTGGCTTTTGGTGTAAGGAGCTGCTCAAGGTTTGGGTTATCCTTGAAGCGAGAGGCCCAGAACTATTCTGCTGATTAGTGGTCTGGCTCGAGCAGCACTTTTTGAATCTTTTTTGTCGTGTCCGATAGAGGCACTGCGACTTATCTGCTTAGGCTGCTTGATGGCTTTGCAAATATAGTGTAAGTAATGAGTTTTTTCTTTGGGACTGATCAGGGGCAAGGGGAAGGTGGGCTATACGAAGACTCATAGTGCTTGCAAAAGTTCCTGGAAAAAGGTTTGGGTTATGCTGGTGCTTGAGCTGGATATGGAGACTCCCGAAAAATTCGTATTGCTCGAGCCATGGAGGAAAAATGCCTCTATCATGAAACTGAGGTTTGGCTCAGTCTCAATTTACCTTAAGGCCACCTACTCCAAGGCTGACACTGTGGAACGCATGGCTATCAGGAATTGGGGACTATAAATGCAGATCCTTAATCTAATTAAAAATTTATATTAATTATATATAGACAATCATTTTAATTTTTTAAAATATTTTGTAGAATTTGGAAAGAAATTTGAATTTAATCAATAAAATTTACTTTAAGAATGCAAGTTGCCCTAAATCAATATAATGAGCTAGAAATCTCGTTATAATAGCTATTAAAAATTAAAAAATATTTTAATAAAAACAAATTATATCAAAAATTTTTTTTCCCAATCTTTAAAGGGGATTAATTGCTCCAATACTTTGCTCGCTCTTTTTGTGTGAGAGTAAGTTTTTCTCTATTCCTCCAAGCAGTAATAAAACAAGTGCTTTTTTGATTTGGTCGTGACCAAAAATTGAAGGCGCAAAAGAAGTACCAAGAATTTCTAACAAATTGGTCTTTTTGCTGAGTTCTTTGATATTTCTGATGTCTGTACCTGTCATATTAGGCATACTAAGCTCAAGGCCTCTTGTAACCACGTTGCTAGCAATAATGATTGTTTTGAAAATTCCGACACTCCCAGATGAGGCTGTGCTGATGGTTTTATAAACACCGACCACATCCACTCTGTCGCCAGGCTTCACCTTATCAACTAGATCGTCTTCTAATATAACTTCTATTGACCTTGGCAGCTGGCCTACTGGTGAGCGTTCAGGCAATTCTTGAATCGTTAAAGTTTGATGATTTTTGTATTTGCTCAAACCATACTCAAAGCTGTAAGGGTGACCATCAGGGTCGTGCGTAGGTATCGCATTGCTTCTGGAGCTGTCTCTAACTCCCGTCCCTCTGTGAGGGATAAAACCATTGGAAAAATACTATTTTTGGGTAATATCACCCCCCGTGAGCGAAAACATTTTATATATAGTGGTAATTGTTATAACGTAATCTTTTGCTAATTCTGATTAATTTTAAACAACTTACATTTTTAAAAATAAATTTTTGCAAATTAAATTAAATAAATATTTGCTTTCCAATTTTTGTGAATTGGGTTTTTTTTTCAATTTCGAAAAAAAAAATTACTATAGAATTATATATAAAAAAATTTTGAAAAAAAATTTAACCCCTTTATGATTTTTTGTTTGGGGGGAGTAAGAGTCTCCAAGTCGTATTGGTCACTGTACTCTCTATCAACAAATTTTTTGGTGGCATCACAGTAATGAGAAGAAGACATCAGTTTAGGCCGCACCAAGCTCATTCTGGTGACTATCCCCTGGACTCTTACGAGTTTATTTGTATAGGTCGACTTCAGCCCTCTTGGAGTTATGTAAAATACCCCAAAATTGCCTTCAAAAGTAATGCGGTAGGATTGAGTCACTTTCTTCCCAGCTTCGACTTCGTTCATGACAGCATTTTTTAATGCAGTCTCCAGCTCGCGGATTGCACCAATAGGCTCATTAAAAATCATATCTGGCAGATTTGGGTCTTTTTGGCGAATGTCGTCAAGTGAGACTGCTAGTCTGGTTGAGTCATTTGCAATCATATCGCGAATTCGCTCTTGATAAAGGTCTTCTTGGAAAAGGTCATTTGCAACGACTCCAAGCCTGGTCCAGTCCTTCGTAGGGTTCTCTACTTCCATTTCCCGCTAAATTATTTATTAATATGGCTTTGCCACCAAATCACGAGTTGCGTCTGGTTTCGCCTTCTCCTTAATCTCTCATCTGGAGAGAGCTCACTAGGGACATTTTTATAACAATAAAATATAAAATTTTTTTATCTGATTTATAAAACATTAAATTAACAAATTTATTTTATAAAAAATTAGATTTTAGAATGCTATCGCCTAAATTTATAAATATCCTAAATAAAGATAATTATCCCAAAATATAGCATTTCAATATTTTTGTTCGTTTATGAGGAAGAGTTAAGAAACTTTCAAATTCAAAAAAGATGGAATGGTTTAATAGGAATAATTGCTTAATTTTAATAAAATGAAATCGAAAATTGCTTTTTTAAACAAAAATTGCATATCGCTACATTAAGATTTTTTCATTTAATATAGGTTACTAGCTAATAGACATAGATTTATTTCTTAATTTTAGAGAAAACTGATAGTTGCTTCTTACTTATGCATAAGATATTGAGTCAGAGTAAAGAAAATATAAAATAAGTTAGAAGTTTAAAGAATCATGATAAAAAAATAAAGAATCAATAAGATGATAACTCATAAAATTACTTTTATATGAAATTCAAAAATAAAATTGACGATATATTAATTCAAAAGCTGTTATCTGTGCTACAATTTAGCTGCTAATTGATTAGCATCAATATATAATTAAATATTAAAAAATTATATTTTCAATTAAGTCAATTAGACGTTATTGTCATCACTAGAAAATATCAATAATTAGTCATTTCAATATTCAAACTATAATTAATATTGCATCTTATATAGATAAGAAGATTCTCTAACTTACTATTAGCATAAACAAAAATTTATACAGTCTTTAATAGTCGGTAAACCCCCCCTTTTTGTGAGGAAACCCTTTAAAAAGGGCACTTACCGACTGTCAAAGTATTCAAATTTTTTAGGTAAACTATACTTGATAAACTATTGCCACTTAGATAATATTAAAATATCAACTTTATAATGGAGTAAGAAAGATGAAAATAAGAGTAGTTGCAATTAAAAACTTCTATTATAATATCAGCTGCATATCCCAATAATTAATTTCATTAAAATGTCAACAATTTCTGAAGAAATCATAAAAGAATTAAATGAAAAAATAGCAGGCACGTGCACATTAATAGCAACCGCCAGCGCAAAACTCTACGCAAATGATGGAAAAAACCAGTCATGAAGAGATTCGGGGCTTTACGGGGCTATTTGTTTGATAATCGACAGAATTTTACAGACGACATTAATGAGAATGTATGATCTGAACACATTTGACCTCATTTTTGAGACAGAGCTTTATTACGATTTTTTTAACTTCTATGACCAGCTTTCTCAGTCATTTTTCTGCTTTCCTATACCCGGCGGCCAGATAAAAAATAGTAAAATTAAGTGTCTTAAGATAGACCACTAGCCTTCCTATCTAGGAATTGGCTCCGTAGGCTAGAGTCACATCTTCCAGATGCTCAGTTGTCCCAATAAGCAAAGACTAAGTGAGAGAAGTAAAACCTGTCTAACCAACCTGCAAAGGAGAGGGAAAAATCTTCAGGGAGAAATAAAACTTTCTTGTTTGGTAGGCATCCCAGGCCCAAGACCTACTTCAAAAAGTGGCAGAGGCGCTATCTTTGGCTTCATCAGTGTGGGCCCTATCTGCTCCATATGGAGTGTGCTTGGGATTCCATCTTCTACTAGCATTGCCATTTTATTTCTCTGAGGCTAGATAGGAATTTATTTTTGCAGTCCAAACGAAGCAGAAAGTTTTAAACAAAAAATCCGGTCCTTTTCTCCCAAGCCTGAAAACCAAAAGTTTGAGGACTCAAAATCAAAAAACACAAAAAAATCCAAAAAGCAGCAAAATGAAGAAGAAAACTTCGAAATCAGCCAGCCCTATGCAGTCCAACTAATGGGTAGAGTTATATGAGACTCAACCAATAAATGCTTCAATCTGGATCAACTGTCTCAAGATCTAAAAAGAATCTTTAAAAATGCAGGAATCAGGAAAAGTGAGCTTAGAGATAGTAGAACAGCTGCAGTGATCATGGAAGAAATCGTGAGATCTCGAAGTGCCACAAGGACTTTATCATTATCCAAAGAGCCTCAGCCAGAAATCAAAATAATCCCTGATGAAGAAGACAAGCAGTTTGAAGAAATCATAAGAAAGCAGACTTTGTATGAAGCACAGATGGAGCTGATCAGGCATATGTCAAACGCCAGAAAAGCTACCCTGCAGAAAGAAATGCCTGAAAGAAGCGAAGACGAAGTTGTGTTCACTAACTACCTAGCTGCAAAAATCGCTGAAAGAAGGGCAGAACTCACAAAGTACGACTTAGAAGAAGAGAGCTCAGATTGGAGTGACAGTGATTAATGACACATTTATTACGCTGAAGCAAGTCTGTTCGCGCTATGGTGCTCAAGTGAATTTTTAGCTTCTGTTAAACATTTCTTCTCAAATTTCATACTTTCTTCAAAATTTGCTTCAGACTGAGAGTCAAACGAGAGGTTTTGTTTGTGATGTGCCTGGCTATTTTCTACCATTGTTTGGTCTTTTGAATACTCAGGGTTTTCTTCATAAGGCTCGTACATCTCATTTAGTGAGTATCCTTTGACTGCGTTTTCGCTTGAGACGCTTGCTTTGGCTTTCCTCTTTTTTAATATATACTCGTAAGTAGACATCCCCTTATAGTTGAGCCAAATGTGCAGTAAGATGAGCTGGGCGTTAGCTATAGTAATAATCCCGCATATAATTACAGTAATACAAATAATTGCAATGTAGATCTTGATTAGTAGCTCACTGAAATTAAAATTTTGAATCAAATTCTGCTTGATATCTTTATCTTCGAGTACTCCAGCTAATATACCGCTGCCTGTGCCGACAATCATTATTAAAATGATTTCAAGGACACTGATAAGTTTTGCGAAAGTTGAGTAATTTTTTTTGCCTATATACCTTGAGCACAGTAATAGATGGGCATTTAATTTCTCTCCAGCAATTTTGGTAATATTTAAAAGATTTCAAAAATCAAAGGTTGATATTGAATATATAAAATTTGAAAAGACAGCTGGGACGGAGGGAAAAAGCGAGCTCAAGCTCGAGCCATTACTGCTGCTATTCTATACAATTATTCAGCCACTTGCAATGGTGGTCAAATCCATTTACACAGCGATTGCAAAATCTGCAATGTTTGCTGCCAGCACTTACATGGGTCCTGCACAGTTTACAAATTTTTGGATACTTTTTAGCATCGACTGAAATCCTGAATAGAACTATACGATTTTATTCTTGCTTGTAAGCCTTGGATGACTGCAGGATCTGTTGGGTCAGAATATGTACATAAAAATCCTAGCATTAAAAATAAGGTTAAAAACATGCTAAAAGCAGCGCCGATAAGAACTGCCTGATCTACTTGGAACGCAGGGAGCATCAATATATAAAAGATTGCTGTGAAGAGAAATGTGAAGACTCAGCTAGATACTTGATAAGGGTTGATAGGGCGTCGAAACCCATTTTTCCTCATGATTTTTTCTCATAATTTAATTAACCTTACAATTGAATTTGAAATATTACAATCTGAAACTACATAAAATTTATTTAATTACTTCTATTATCTGTCGCAATGCTAAATTATAGAATATTTTGTTAAAATCATCTATAAATTTTGAATTAAAAGTTATATAACTTTAGCTTACTTGAAAACGAAATGCTAAATACTTACATGATCTTGCTGAAGGAAATTTTTAATTTTTCTTGTAATTATTCCCATAGCTCCACTTCCAATAGGCTCTCCGTCAAATTCAGTTATCCCAACAATATTATCGCCTCCAACAATTAGCATTTCTTCACTATGCTTTGCTTCTTCTAATGATATATTTCCTCTGGATGCACTTTGAAGCTCACCATTTTTCACAAGTTCTTCACAAAAAAGAAGGACTCGCTTAATTGTTGTTCCTTCAAGAATTTTATCAGGGAAAGGAGTCCTGAAATGCCCTCCAGGCAGAATAACAGCAACATTGGCCATTGCAGATTCAGCTAGGTACCCATTTTCGTCAAGCATAACTCCCATATATCCTCCTTTCTCTTTAGCTTCCAAAGAGCAAAGTGTGTTGCATAAGTAGTTATTGGTCTTTATCACTGCTAATTCTCTCGGCTTTAAAGGAATTGATACACTTCTCTCCTTTACTGTCTCTGGCTTGACTTGATTTGGGTCTGTATATAATAAGGCATAAAATATCCCTTGAGCTTCTGAAGACTCACCAACTAAGCCTTTGGAGAGAAATACTCTAACCCTTAAATTATTGCAGTCAAATAGAGATATTAACTGCAGCACTTTTTCTTTCATTTGTCCAAGAGTGAGAGGAACAGGGATTTTTGCACCTGCTGCTGAAAACATTATTCTTTCTAAGTGCTTTTCAAGCTGATAAACATTGCCTTGATACACATTTGCAGTATCAAAGACTCCCCAGCCTTCATTAATTTGATCAATAATGGGAATCCGAATGAAAAGATTGTCTGTGACTATTGCATCGATACGAGAATCATACATCGCACGCAGTGTCAAAGATGTCTGCTGGTAAGATGTCCTGATTGCATTGATAATTTCTAATCTTGACTTGAAAACTGGTAAAGCCATATCAAAAAATCTAAATTAAGCCTAACTTTTCCTATTAAAAAATGCAAATGTTTTTTTCCCTAAAGGGGCGAATAAAACTTTTATATTAAAAATTATTTAAAAGTCTAATTTACAAATATTTGAAAAAAGATCTAATTTAATTTAAGACTCATTTTTTTTAACGCAGACTGTCAAAATAAAAAAAAAAATAACTATTGGTTTAATAATTATTAATAAAAATACTTTGTACAGAATATTTATAAATAAAATTTACTGATTTATCCATGGTTTTGCCAGATCTTGAACTGGGAATAAATAAGATATTTCAGATATAAATAATTTAATAGAAATTAAGAATAAGAAAGGAATTTTTATCTTTATAGAGATAATATAAGGTTTACTAATATAAAGCCAAATGGCGAATCAGAATTCATGAATTTTCAATTTCCAGTTACAAAAATATGCGAAATCTTAAAAATATTGACTTATTACTAGTTAAGCATGTAGGAATACCTAATTATTAACCTTCGCTATAATATAAAAATCATTATTTAAAGTAGAGTATCTATAAATTCCACTTTCAGCATATTTGGAGGTCAAGTCCAGAATATGCTCCCAATATGGGCTAATTAACAGTTATTTAAATATGTTGTCTTCAGTAGTGTCTCAAAGCGGCACAGTAATCAAGAAAACCCCCTCAAAACTGATTGAGGACCAGCTTTCAGGGCGCTCCCTCTCAGACATTCACAGAAACCCAGAAATCATCCAATTCTTGAACATCGCAGACTGTTCAAACTATCCAAATACCAATGTCCCTCTCGAGGAGCCTCTATTTCAGCCCGAACCCACCGTCATTCAATTCGCCAACTACGAGCCTCTGGATACCAAAGAAGTCATCCTCCACCTTCGCAATAAAGACCAGGTTTCCCGCAGGGTGAAGCTCATCCCTCCCGATTCTCGGCTTTTTACCATTGTGCGATCCAAGGCTGACGCTCAGTCGAACAAAGGCACCAAGGTCGCTCCAGGAATGGTCACTGATTTCATTATTCAGTTTACGCCAGAGGCCAAAGTTGACTATTCCTATGACCTTGTGGTCGTCACTGAGAGAGAAAAATTCGTCGTCCCTATTAGGTGCTTACTATCCCCCTCCGTGAGAGAACAAAAATTTTGTTAGCTCATATAATTTATAAAAATGCAAACTAGAGATTTCATTATAAAAATTATCACTTATATCAAATTATTTATTTCATAAACATTTTTTGTTCGTCACAGAGGAAGGGTTTTTGGGCAAAAAATAGGGATTCTTCCAATGGTTATGTTCGCTCACGGAGGGAGAAAGTAGGACAAAGGGCGATGATTTCTTTCCCTGATGTCGTCAATTTTGGGGTTTGCCCAGTTAAGCATGTAACAGAAAGGCCGGTGGTTATTAGAAATGTTGGAGAAAAGGCTAGCAAGTGGGTGCTGAAAATGCAGCCACCTTTTAATGCAGAAAAAACTGAAGGCTTTTTGGAGGTGGGGCAAGTAGACCAAGTGATCATGAAGTTTTTCGCCCAAGAAAGCAGAGCTTATGAAGAAGAAATGGTTTTGTCCTATGACACCTTAGAAGCCTATGTAAAGATAATTGCAGAAGCCCAGAATGACCCCAACGTCTACCTCAGCAAGACTTTTATTGACTTAAAAAAAGCCTACATCACCCTGAGTTCTCAAGACTCCCTAAAAATCATTAATAAAAGTGATGTCCCAGTCGAGTTTGAATGGAGAGCTTTTGCAAACGACAGAGAAGAGTACGACAAAAAGACCAAGCTAATCCTGCAACTGTCCCAAGAAGAAGCTGAAGAAAGGATGATGATTGAAGAAAACTTAGAAATCGAAGAAGAAGTGGAAAGCCTCGATAGCGATGACTCATATGACGACTTAGAAAACAAAAATCTAAAAGAAAGAAAGCTACAAATTGCTTTGGCTACCTTAGAAAGGAAATATATGAATATTAGGAAAGCAGTGGAAGACGACCTTATGCTATTTCAAGACGATATTTTCAAAATTGAGCCTCAAAAAGGAAAAATTTGGCCAAATGGGGAGCTGGAAATTACTGTGATGTTCTGTCCTCAAAGCGCTCTGCATTATACCTGCACAGCATACTGCAATGTGACGTGCTCTGAAGAAAGACTCCCGCTGACGCTTGAAGCTATTGGAATTGGTCCAGAAGCCTTGCTGAGCACAAGTGAATACGATATTGGCGACGTCTTTGTGAACGACATGAAAGACATCCCACACATTTTTATCGAAAACCAAGGCGCAATTGAAGCAAAATACACAATTCTGCAGTCTGACACCCCATTTGGGTCGAAATTCAAATTTGAACAGTACGAAGGCACACTGGGAACTTCAGAATACAACAGAAAGCAACCCTTGAAAATTAAATTTTGCAGTGACTTGATGGGCGAGTTTTCAGAAACTTTTAGAATCCAACTTGTAGGGTCGTCTGAAGAGCTGTCACTAACACTTAAAGGACACGTAATGCCGCCTTCATTTAAATTTGATAAAGATGAAATTAACTTTGGTGAAGTTTCCTACCAGTTCCCATATAGTGATATTATAAGGATCCAGAACACTTCAAGAGTAGCCTTCACTTACCACATCAGAGTTCCAGGGGACGCTTCCGCACTTAAAAAAGAATTCGACATAATCCCTAACTCTGGGTATTTAAAGCCTAGAGAAATCCATAATATCCAGATTGACTTTATGCCGATGACGGTTAAAAAGTATGACTTAGTACTTGTAGTAGATATTGAAGGGGTCGGCCCAGATATGCACACACTCCCTATCAAGGCTGAATGCTTTGTGCCAAAAGTCGAACTGATTCCTTCAGATACAATTGATTTTAAGAGCGTCTTTTTGAGGCACCCATATGAAGACAAGCTTGAGCTAAAGAACAGAAGCAAACTGCAAGCCAAATTTGAGATGATCCCACAGGACGAGCAAAGCACACTTATTGCAGCTTTTACTCCTGACAGAGAAGAAGGGTTCATTGACCCAAAATCAAGCACCATTGTAAAAATCACGCTGTTTCCACAAAAGGCAGGACTTATAAGGATCCCAATGCATGTAAAAGTTTTAGGAGATAACCAGCAGCCTCACATGATCACGCTTGTAGCTAATTGCACAGGGCCTATAGTAGAAGTTTTAACCCCAGAGCTGGACTTCGGGAAGGTAAAAGTCCTTGAAAAGTATCCTTTGCAGGCAACTCTTCACAATAAGTCTGATATTGAAGCTGAGTACCACGCCTTCACCAAAAACAAAGGCTCAGTTTTTTCTGTCGTTGAAAAAGAAGGGAACTTGAAGCCAGGCGAGGTCAGGGATTTGACAGTAATGTGCTGTGCTGACGAATGCATTTCTTTTAATGAAATTTTGTATATTGTAGTCAAGGAAGGAGAAGACGTAGAAATCGTACTAAAGGCCAAAGGCACAGGAACCACTGCTTATTGTGACGATGATATTAAAATTATTGACTTTGGAACTGTTTTCTCTTGCAGAAACCATGTAAAGAGGTACACAATACAGAATAAGGGCAGAAAACCCCAGAGGCTGAAATGGAACAGGGAAAACCAAAGAGGGGTACTTGTGCCTGTTGTTGAAAACCAAAACAAGCAGACTTACAGAGGAACAACCGCAAACAACACTACCGGAGTTTCAGTGACGAAAGAAAAAGATGCCAAAGATGCTTATATCTTCAATGTAAGCCCTGTTTCAATTCTGCTGCAGCCCAAAACCCAAATTTCTTTTGAATTTACTGCAAATAGTGCTACAGCAGGGGACCTGAGTGAAAAGTTAATATGTACATCCTTGGTTGGGAATGAAAGGAAAGACAGGGTCATCTACGAGTGCGAGCTTAAAGGGAAATTCATTGAGCCATTTCTGCAGTTTTCTGAGCCAGTGCTTCACTTTAGATATGTCTGGGAAAAAGGTGTCCAAATAGAGCCTCTCTCGAAAATGCTTGAAATCACTTGTGCCTCGCTACTGCCTGCTAATTTCTTATTAAAATGCAGCCCACCTTTCAATATTAGTAAAGAAAGGTTTTCCCTTGAGCCAGGCCAAACTGAGTCCTTAAGAGTAGACTTCGACCCTGGCCACAAGTATGATAGGATCTCTGGAAAGGCTATACAGAAGTTGCAAATAATCCACCAAGACCACCCACAAAAGGACAATATTGAGCTGATTGGAGAAGTCTGCTTCCCTAATGTAAAACTTGAAGCAATGTCTGTTGACTTCGGCTGCATCCTTAATGATACATCTAAAAAGGTATACATGAAAATGACAAATGATAGCATTCTACCTGTAAATTATGACTGGGCCTTCGTTGAAGAAATTCCTATGGAGGAAAACAAATTTATTTTAGAAGAGCCAAATGCAGATGCAAGCACAGAAAGTTCAGTTAACCAATATTTTGATATTCTTCCTGTTATGGGACACTTAGAGCCAGGAGAGTCAGAAACTGTGGAGTTTGCATATCACTCTCAGCTTGGCAAGAAGCATGTCGCAACTGCCATGTGCACTGTAGAAGGCGGGCCTGAGTACTATCTGACACTAATGGGAGAGTCTTCTAATGTTGGGTATCAGCTCTCAAGGTACTCTATTGATTTCGGCAATGTCCCATTTAACGAGTCTTCCCCACAAGAATTCTTTATTGAAAACCCTGGAAAGGTATCTTTTGAGTACTCAATCAGCCTAGAAAAACTCACAAGACCTGGAGTTGTTGAAGTAATGCCATCTCAAGGAAAAGTTGCAGCTGGAGAAAAAGCCAAAATAACTGTAAAAGTGACCCCTGGGATCCCAGATACAGTTGAAGAGCTGCTTCAAATAGAAGTCGCTCACTTTGAGCCTTTGCTTTTCAAGATCTCAGCTTTAGGAATTTACCCAGCCTTGCTTTTCCACTTACCAAGACCTGAAAATGCTCTTCACGATGAATTAATAGAGCAGGTGAAGTCCAGAAGGAACATCACCAACATGAGCTTCGACTCAGTCCTCCAGACCTCGAAAAATGAAAGTAAAGCTGGCAAGGCTGTCAAATTCGACCAAATTGTAATAGACGTGGAAGCTGAAGCAGACAGGATATTTGTGTGTCAAAAGTTGACAAAAATTATTGATGAATATTACTCTAAAACGCTTAAAAGAAAAACCACGAGTATGACTGATGAAGGCAAAAGCTTATGCACAGCACTGGCAGAAGTCCATGATAAGGTAACTGGAGCTGTGTGGGAGTGCAACTTCGGCAATATGGTACTTGGGAAAGACAAAACTAAATGGATAAGGATGACTAATATTGGACAGCTACCAGTAAGCTTCAATTTTGATGTGAAGTTCTTGAAGTTCAATGGTCTAGCAATTGAGCCTGCAAAAGTGAACAGACTGGAAGCTGGAGAAAGTGTCAACTTTAAAATAACTTTCCAAAGCAATAAGAAAACAATGCAATTTGGACCAATAAAGACAGTTACCACACTTCAATTGAAAAATGGGCTTAGTTACCAACTATGCTTTAAAGCAAATTTGACTATCCCAGATTTCAACATGTCAAGTGATAGCATTGACTTCGGAAGGGTTATAATAGGCACTTTATCTATCGCCAAAATTAGATTCGAAAATATCCGAGAAGTCCCTTGTGAGTGGGCCTACGCACCGAAACACCCATCAGCAGCTGCTGGGTCTCCTCCTGACTGGGAACGATTCCAGATAAATCCTCCTTCAGGTATGCTTCAGCCTAACCAAAAATGCACAATTGACGTCACCTTTACACCTACCCAAGAAAAAGCAATAAACCAAAAACTTGAATTTAAGATCAGCAATAACCAAGTCAATAAAATATTGACACTAAAAGGAAATGGAGTAGCCCAAACCTTAGAGTTTATTCCTAATAAAGTAGTTCTTGGGCCTGTGCTCACTTATAGCAAAGATGCTTGGAGTTTAGTAGAAATGAAAAACCCTACAGACTATCCTATTGAGGTATTTTCTCTGGACTTTGATGGGCAGTACAAAGATGAAGAAGAAATTATGAGAAACTTTGAAGGCTTTGAGCAGGGAACTGAAGAGATGACTTCTTCTTTAACTGTTGCATCAGAAGTAGGGCCAAGGAAAGATGCAAAGCCTCTGTATTTAGTTCCAAGAAAGCCTGGCATGCCAGTATGGCGAGACATGGCCCTTTCTTATGAGAGAAAACAAAAAAAGCTGCAGCAAGCTCAAAAAGACAAAGAAATGGAAGAAAAGCTGAAGTCAGAAAAAGATGAAGACAAAAAGCTAGCTGAGGACTATTTCAAAAAAAGGAGTGAAGAAGCCGAAGAGACAAAAATCGAAGAAAAATTCCCAGGTTATATCCCTGAAAAAGACAGACATAATGTGATCGTGTGGGGAAGACCAGGGAAAGGCAAAAGCTTCTTAGCCCAGCATTTAGCTCAAAAGCATGGTAGAGTCTTGATTTCTCCGAATTCAATTATTGAGTGGCATTTAATGCAAGGCGGAAGCTTAGCAGAAGAAATCCAAAAATTCCTTGATGAGATGAAGCTCAAAAAAGAAAAGGACATCGCGGACAGAGAAAAAGCAAGAAAAGGCCGCAGAAAGGTAGAAGAAGTGCCATTTGATGAAAAAATCTACAACCATCTGCCTCTAGAAATGTTGGAAAAGTTAGTTGATGAAAGACTTAAATATGGAGACTGCAATGCTGGAGTTGTAATAGACGATCTTAAATGCGACTATTATCCAAATGCATTATTCGGAGCTCATTTGTTTGCTAAAGCTTTCCGAGAACAAAACATCCAGCTTATCATTATAGACACAGACTCGGAACACCGTGTAGAGCCTCAGTCAATTGTAATTGAAGACCCAGAGACTGACGTCTTCCACTTCAGAGAGCCAGATCCCAAAGAAACTGAACTTTTTAATAAAGAAAAAGAAGAGGTAAGGGCTGCTTTTCATGGCTACATGGTTGCCAAAGATACTGAGGAAAACCCAGAAGAGCCAGGAAGAATTGGAAATATTTTCGTAAATGAAATAGGAGCCAGCCAAAGCAAAGCTAGAGTTCTTGCAACTGCTTTTGAAATTGTCCCATTCCCAGTCTTTCCTGACCCAGAAAGCTTGCCTCTTCCTCCTCCACAAATTTTGCAGATTGTTTATAAGCCAAGACAACGGCATAAGAGGGCAGTTGTTAACGGCTTCAGCATTTATACTCCTATTAATCAGACTCTACTCCCTCAAGAAGTGAAAGAAGGAGAAGAGTCAGCAGTCAAGTTGGATGTGAGGGATGAAAATCTTGACAAAAGCAAAGCCAGATGGATTGTTGATGCTCATTGCTCCACTTATTTATTGATAAAATTCTTCTCAAAAGAGGTGGGAAACTATGAAAATACTCTACAGTTTGAAATTATGGGAGGCTCTAAGCACTTCAATCTTCCTTGCTCTTGCTCTTGCCAATTCCCAGTCATAAACTCAGACCCTCGAAACGTCTTCCTAAAGCGAAAAAAATCAAGACCAATCGCAATTCCTGACTGCTACATCTCGAAATGCTATATCATGAGTGAAAGCAGATTTGACTTCGGACCACTGCTTATCGGCAAAAACCCTGACAGAAAAGACGAAGAAGGAATCAAGAAAACCAATTGCGAATCTTTTAGGATCACAAACAATGGGCTTTATCAAGTTAAAGTCGACTATGCCTTAGCAAGCTCAATAGGAGACACAAAATCAGTATTTGTTTTTGACCCAGAAAGCATGACTTTAGAATGTGACGAAACGAAAGACTTGAATGTCTGGGCATTCCCAGGAGCTATCGGCGAATTTACAGACTCCTTGGTAGCTTTAATCCAAGGAAACCCTACACCAGTCATTTTCCCACTAGTCTGTCAAGGTGAAAAACCAACTGCTGAAGTTGACCCAGAGCTGATTTCTTTTGAAAGAATTCTTCTGACTCAAAACATCACCAAGTCTTTAACCGTCAAAAACATCTGCAAAATTTCACTTAAATGGAGCTTAGCAGGAATTGATGCTCTACCTGCAGAGTTTAAGGTTGACAAGAAGGAAGGAATTTTGAAGCCTCAAGAAACAGCAACTGTCTCAATCACGTTTACAGCTATAAAGCAGCAAAAATTCCAGCAGAAAGTGACACTTGAAGTTACAGACGTAGAGAAAATAGGAGTCAAGCAAGACCCAAAGCCTATTTCAATTGAAGCTGAAGCTTTTGATGTGAAAGCAAAAGTGGACTTTGGCGCTGGAAGCAATATAATTAACTTCGGAGATGTTAGAGTTTTCGAAGAAGCCCAGCGTGGGTTTAACTTAGTCAATGAAGGGATATATGAAATCAAATACAATTTTATTATGAAGAAAAAACAAACCCGAGAAATGTTTGCTTGCTCTCCAACAGAAGGCTCGATTCTACCTAACCAAACTCAGCCATTCGTGGTGAAGTTTAAGACTGATAAAGAAAAAAAAATTGAGCCTGCAAAAGAAGAATCTGGCATAAAACTTGCAATTTTGGAAGGAGGAAGTGGCCAAAAATATGAAGAATTCCCTATAAATGTCGCGTGCAATGCAGTCTTCAGTAAGTATAGTATCCATCCGCTAAGAAATATAAACTTCGGCCCTCTTAGGTATGGAGAAAATCGAAGCAGGACTTTCGAAGTGAAAAATGAAGGGATATTTGACTTTGAGTTCTCGATAACTGAGCTTATTGATGAAAGACAGCGAGCACAAGAAAGGGCAGCTCGGAAGTCAACGCCTAAAGAAGAGGTCAAAGGAAAAGGAAAAGAAGAAGCCAAGAAAAAACAAGCTGAAAAGAAACCTGCAAAAGGAAAAGAAGTTGTCATTTCAGCTGACATTGGCCCATTCAATATTTCTCCTAGCCAAGGGACTGTTCCAAGAAACAGCTCTGTGCTCATTAATGTGACTTTTAACGCTGATGGCTCTCGGCTCTATGAAAAAACTCTTGCAATTAATATTTCAAACAGAGACCCGACTGATAACCCTCAAGGAATTCCATATGTCCTAGCTGGTGAAAGCTGTATCCCTGGAGTAAATACATGGGACTTCGATGCCATTTTTGAAGAGCAAACTGTGGTCCAGTCACTAGAGCTCGCGAAGGGTGCAAACCCAGGCACACTTATGCCTTCAAAAATTTTCTCTATTGAAGAAAATGTATTCCTATACGGGACTTATACTTCTGCGAAAACCCATGAAGGCATTATAGAAAAATTCAAAATAATGAATGCAGCAAAAGTGCCAGCAAATATCATTACATTACATTAGGATTTATACGTTTAACGTCCACTACGGGGTAGACTTTCTCCCAGGTCTGCCGCTTACCTTTCGCCGCATCGGGCCCACAAGTTGCTGGAGCAATCCGCTTCGATCACTAAGGTGCGCCTAGGGCAAACGTCACAGACTTCGACGGCTCATAAGTGAGCTACTTGCTTGTGGACATGGGTTGCTTTTTAGAAAACCCAAAAAAATGGATTTTCTGGCCAGCTCTCGGCAAAAAGGAAAAACACGTAGCCCGGGACGTAACGCCCGGTTTCACGCTAGGGAGTTGCCCGATTGGTCCTAAGGACTTTGCTGAGCTTCCCCTTTCCACTTCCGTGCTCTCCTTCCCCATGAGGAAAAAACCATTCCTGAAAGTAGACTTGGGCTAGGCTCTGAACACAAACAGAATGCCAGCAAATATCACCTTTTCAGTAAAGCCAAGGACAACCAGCAAGTCTGAAGGATTTGCGTTTGAAGTAGTTCCACTCAAAGTTCATATCCCACCACACTCCCACGAATATGTGAAAGTTACTTTTAAGCCTACTGACATGCTGTCATATGGAGGAATCTTTGAAGGAGTTGTAGAATTTGGAGAACCTAATCCTAAAACACATAAACTTACCTTTGAGCTCAGAGGTGAAGGGTTAGGTTAGGCTATTATAGACAGGGCGTTAGTCATATTGGTGACGCAGTCTCCAAAGACCATCCCATAAAGGTAGGTTCGACTGCTTTTCGACTTCAGTCCCAGAGGGTCGATCCCTCTTATGGCTGCCCTTCCGGTACCTTCTGTCTCCTTCATGCCTTGCGGCTTCAGTCCTGAATGGGCGGCTTATGAATTTTGCGGCCCTACAACGGACGATTGGAGTACTTGTAGCCCGGGCAGAAACCCCCAATTTTTGGGGAAGAGGAATGGCCATAGGTCCTCGGATTCAAACGATGTTGTTGAGCACCTCTATTTCCAACCACAGGAAAGCAGCCAGCATTTACCCGAATACACATTTCTTGGGCCTGCACTTGATTCTTGGCTCGTAATCCGTCCCAGTTCGCAGTAGCTATAAGACCCAGACTGCTGCACAAAGGAGGCAGATTGACACGTATCGCCATCATAATGTATAATTTTATTCAGGGTGAAGGGACGTTGCCAACAGTCACTCAAATAAACCCTTTATTAGCTGAAGATGGGAAGTCACTAGTCAAGTTTGCTAAAACAAGGGTTGGAAAGACTTCGAAAGCCCTGATTAACCTTATGAATGGAGGAGTTATCCCAGCTACTGTAAAAGTCGAAATGGAGTATCATAAGAATTTCAAGTTCCAGGATACCATGAGTGCAACTCTTCAGCCAAAAACCAGCATGAGTTTCGAAGTCTTTTACACTCCAGACGTCGTACAAAAAGCAACACACGAGCTGAGGATAACCACTTTAAGCAATCCTTATGAGTCTCAGCTCTACTCCTTAATCGGAGAAGGCTACCAAGAAGATGTCATGTTCACCCACCTCCCAGACGACAAAGAAGACGAGTGCAACTTTGGAGACTGCATCGTTGGGCAAGAAAAATATCTCACTTTCCACCTTCATAACTTCACAGACAAAATCATCAAGTTCGAATGGCCTGAAAGACCTCACTTCTTTTTCAGCCCTTCAGTCGGACATCTAGCACCTAAATCTAGCAAAAAAATCACCTTGACTTTTAAAGCAGATGAAACTCAAGAGTACAAAAACCTGGACCTAATCTGCCAGACTATACAAATTAATCAAGCCTCAGCGCATTTCGAAGACTGGGACAATTCTATGTTTGACACTCGCATGGTGACTCAGAAACAATATGAGAAAATCATGAAGAGGAAAGAAGAAGAGGAAAAAAGGAAAAAAGAAGAGTATGAAGCCTCATTGAAAAAAGGAGCCAAAAAGGCAGCGCCAGCAGCGAAGAAAAAAGAAGAGAAAAAAGCAGAAGTTGTGGAAGAAGAAGTTGATGATGGAGAAGCGAATATTGAGATTAATGAAGTAAGAAAAGAGCCAACTTTCACAGAAATTGATAAGACACAGAAACAAGTACCTTTAAAGGTCAGTGCTGTCGCTGATTATATAAGGTACAATTGCGAATTTCAAGAAATCAGGTTTGCGTCAACCCTTATGTTTGCATCAAGAAGCTATAAGTTGCCTTTGAAAAATATAGCTAAAATCGCTATGCCTTATAGATTCAAAAAATAAATGGTGACGTCGACGGAAATTGGACTCCGAGGCGACACCTCCTAATGGAGCAGTGGACCGGCCAGAGAGGTGGCGAAATGTACCTTCAGAGAGTAGACTATCTGATTGGGAAGCTTGCCTAAACATGGTGTTTTGTTTCTCCTCGAAGGTTTTCCCTGTCCCTGCCAGATGGGCTAGACAGGTTTTGCCTACCACAAGGTCTTTCCTCATCGGGACCATCGGGGCGCTAGCAAGAAGTGGCCCTTCGCAGGATGAGCTAATCTCCTGGACAGGTGGTTCAGGTCGGAAATCCAAAATGGCGTCATCCCATTTTGGATACGAGACGGGGCGTATAGTCAGCGCCTGCGGAGGAGATTATGGTAGGATACTTAATAATCTAAATAATCTTATAGATTTAAGATTTGTTCATCCACCACTGGGAAACTAGATGCAGGCCCGTATAGTGTTTCTCCAAGAGAAGGAGTAATTGCCCCTGGCTGTGTCGAATTCATCAATATCAAATTTTCGCCTTCTGAAGTAGAGTCGATTAATGAGCGCCTCTTAATCTGCTCCTTGAACAACCTCGCCCCTGAATTAAAGCCACTTGTTATAGAGCTCAGAGGTAAAAGTATACGGCCTATCTGCCACTTTGAGCTGCCTCCAAGCACTTATAGAGAGAAAAAAGCTCAAGACATGGCCCCAGTTGACAGCAGTTACCAGATTCTTGATTTTGAAAGCATGGGGACGAAAGTGAAAAACACCAAACGATTCTACGTCGTCAACCCCACAAGCCAAGGCTACGAGTTTGTCTGGGAGCCTGAAGAAGTTGAAGGCAGCGAGTTTTCGCTTAAGCAGTTTAGCTGTGTAACTCCTAAAGGCGTAATTCTGTCAGGCAAGAAATTTGAAATGGCTTTTGAATATACCCCTGAAACTGTAGGAACTCACGAAAGCTATTGGAAATTCCGAATTCCAGGTGAAAAAATCACTCAAAAATTCCTAATCGTTGGGACTGTTCTCGAGCCTCATGTTTCCCTTGAAAAAGGAATGATAGACTTCAATCAGCTTTTAATAGGTGGAAAAGCCAAAGAAACTATTCAACTAATTAACGAAGAAATTATCCCCTTCATATTCTCTTTTGACCGTGATTCTATTAAAGGAGAAGAATCGTATGGAGACTCATTGGTTGTTTCTCCAATAAGTGGAGAAATCCCTCCTCAAGGCTCAATTCCAATAGAGATCACTTTTAGGCCTAAGCGTGAAACAAGGTTTAACTATAACTTGGTCTGTAATGTAAAAAGAAAGGCTAGACAACTGGTGCTAAACGTTAAAGGTGTAGGCTATGTGATTTCACATTCAGTCCACTATGAAAATTCACGTGCTTTGTTAGTGGATGAGCCTTGTGAGGTGAATTTTGGTGACATTTTTATTAATGAATGCCAAAGTAGATCAGTTAAAATCACGAATTCAGGCAAATTTAACTTTGATTTTTCCTGGAAAATGCCAAACTCTTCTCGCTATGTTGCAATTTCTCCTGAGCAAGGGACTGTTAAATCTGGAGAAAGTGTAAGTATTTATCTCAAATACTCCCCGCTTACGGAGCACAAGCTTTCTAAAGCTAAATTCCAGCTTAGCATCGTCAGTGGACCTATTTATTCGTTTATCTGCAAAGGAAGCGCAAGGAAGCCTGGCGTCCAATTCAGCTTTATAGAAAAAGATTTTGGGCCTTGCTTTGTGCTAAGAACTCTTCTCACAAAAACAGCAAACCTAGAGATCGTCAACTACGACAATACTGCTATTTCTGTTGAAACTAATTTCGAAAGGCTCCCTCACATTGATGTTCAGCTTGCTCCTGGGCAAGTTTTGCTTCCAACTTCACCTACTGATCCTGAGCTTGAGAAGAAAAAGCTTATAGTTCCAATTCTCTTTACCCCTAGAGATCACGTCGTATATCAAGAAACCATTGAATTCGATATCAACAATATCCATAAAATCCAGGTAAAAGTCAAAGGTGAAGGCTGCCCAGTTAAGCTTGAGCTTGGGAGCCGAGATCAAGAAATTGTCGATTTTGGTGTGTCCAGGGCAGGAGTTGAAAAAACTAAAACAGTTCAGCTGCTCAATAAATCCAAACGGTCTGTGAATTTCTCTCTTATTGATGGTAGTGGGTTAGATACTCTTAAAAAGCATTCTGTGACTTATACCCCTGATAAAGAAGTTATCTTAAAGCCAAAGCAAACATTGCCGATTGAAATAGGATTTAAGCCAAAAGAAAGACTTCATCCGTTTACTGACGATCTATTAGTGAAGTTTGATAATGGAGAAACAAGGAAGCTGTTATGCTTTTTTGCCTTGAGTGGCGCGGTACGGGCGCCACTTTCGGCAAGCTCCTTCTTCCAGTTGGCCGAGCCAACTCAGGTTGGTTCGGCCAACTAGAATTGACAAGTCTCCCCAAAAGGCCTCACTTGTCAATTCTCCAGTTGGTCGAACCAACCTGAGTTGGCTCGGCCAACTGGAAGAAGGAGCTTGCCGAAGTGGCGCCCATACCGCACCACTCAAGACAAAAAGCTATAACTATTAGTGGAGCTTGTCATGGGATTGAGCTAAAGCTTATGGAAGAAGTAGTCAGCTTTGGAGTTGTCATACAAGGGAGCCACCAAAGTAAAGCAATCCAGCTCTTAAATATTGGAGACATTCCTTGCCGTTTTCGAGAAATAAGATGGTGTCACTAACAGAAATAGGACTCTGGGGTGACACCTCCTTATGAAGTGGTAGATCAGCGCGATGGGCAGCCAAAGACACTCTTCGGAGTTAAGTAGAACATTTCAATAGAAAGTCTGTTGAAACAGGGTGTTTTGTTTCTCCCCAAAGGTTTTCCTGCCGGATAAGCTAGACAGGTTTGCCTACCACATGATCCTACCTTGTCAGAAAGAGCGGAGCACTCTAATCCCTTGGAGGGTTTCAGGTCAATGATTCAAAATGGTTGCCTTCCATTTTCTAATTTGAACTTGGAGGTCTATGGAACCTACTATTATGGAGCCTTGAAGAGACAAGGAAGTGGGTTGCCCGCTTATGTCCAGATTAACCGTTTAATTTTTTGATTTGCCATTTCCAATGGGATTCTTCTAAATATAGTGAGCACTTCACCATTTCTCCAGATCAAGGAATTATTCAAGCCAATGCCGAGCTTTATTTTGATATCACTTTCCATCCTGCATTTATCTCCCCTGATATTCGCATTAATATAAATAAAATGGCATTTGGTTCGAGAGAAATTGGCTCTGCCAATTTTCTCTCTCTCATGGAATTTTATTTATGGGGTTGGGTTTTCTCTTGAGAACTTCTGCACAGCAACAGCCGTCTAACTTTGGGGATAACCAAAGACACGGCTCCTCAGTGCATTCAAGACACTCAGAGTTTTACCTCTGAGCACATCCCCACGGGAGGATGACCCTTAGGCGGAACACGCGCAGGAGCTGAGTCGGAGCGAGCGATGGCAACGCGCCGGGTGAGATGTGCGGCGATTTATCTGGCGACTAGCCTTATAGAAGGCTTGGGTGTGGGCTGACCACATATTCCAAGATGGCTTGGTGACGTCACTAGTTGTCGCTTTGACCCCTTTTTTATTGCACTAGACACATTAAAGACTATGTAACTAAGTAAGTAAGATATTCGCATTAATAAAATCCCTTGCAATATCCAAGGTTCTGACCCTATTTTCCTTACCCTTCATGGCTCTTGTATACCTCCAACACCTGAGTCCACAAAAGACCTGCGATTTGAAGCTATAGTGAGAGAATCTCAGATACAAAAAGTTCAAGTCAAAAACCCTACAGCGGCCAAATGGCGAATTCAGCCCAGCATAAGCACGAATTCAGACTTTACCAAGAAATACTGGACTTGTGCAAGCGCCTTGGAAATCAACCCGAACTCAATTGCTGATTTTGAGGTTTCTTACAAACCAATCACGATGACAACTCCAGAGCTCCTTCACCAAGCCACACTTTTCTTCCCTCTTCCTGACGGCACTGCTCTGCTTTTCAATCTAATTGGAGCTTCTAAGCCTCCTAGACCAGTCGATACAGTAATCCAAGAAATTAAAGCAAAGGTAGCGAAAATTTTGATTTTGCCTGTCAAAAATTGGCTTGAAGTAGTCCAACGATTTGAGGTGAAATGGGACATTGAAGGAGAAGCTGACCCTGCTGTGCTTATTCGAGGAGCTAGCACTTTTGATGTACCAGCTTACAGCACTAAAGAATATAAGCTGAATTTCCTTACATATAAAACTGGAGTCACAAAATTCAAAATTACCTTTACAAATCCTGCAAATAAAGAATACATATTTTTCAATATAGAAATGAGGGCTCTGCAGCAAGAACAGCAAGGAGTTGTTGAGCTAGTGAGCCCTGTAAGGGAAGTCACTCAAAAAGTTATAATGATTGCAAATCCTCTTGAAACGCCTATAGAAATTACAAGAGCTATGATTGTATGTGATAATGAATATGTGTCAATAGAGCCTGAATGGCTTGAAATCCCTCCAAAATCAGAATCGGGAATCGAAGTAATATACAGGCCACTCATTGTTGCTGAATTGCAGTCAAAATTGTCTGTGAAATCGGCCCAGCTTGGGGAATTTAATTATGTTTTGCAGCTTAAAGGCATTCCTAACACAACTCATAGAAATCTGCACTTTGCGACTTCGCTTGGCACTGAGCTTGTGCAAGCATTCAGGTTCCAGCATTTCTTGAAGAAGCAAGTCCAATACCAAATCAAACTAGAAAAAATAAATGGCACAGGCCCAGCTGACTTCCTTGTAGATAAGCCTGTCATTGATGCACCTATTTGTTCGAATTGGGATGGTATAGAGATTTCGCTACCAGTCAGATATGAGCCAAGCACACTTGGAGAAAGTCGAGCAATGATGACCGTTGTCCATCCTGAAGGAGGGGAGTATACTTGCTTATTGTTTGGACACTCATCGTCTCCTATGCCACAAGGGCCTTTCAAATGCATTCCTGCAAAAGGGACTGGTATTGACTTTAGAAATCCGTTCTATGAGCCTATGGAGTACACAATCAGAATTGATAACCCTGCTTTTACAATTTCAACGAAATCTCCTGTGAGATTGGACTCAAAGAAATCGATTTCAATACAAGTTGTGTATAAGCCGCAAGAAGGAAAACCACCTACTGGTAGAATGATCATCACTGCAGGCGACTTGCCTCCGTGGATCTATTACCTTTCTGGAGAATAATATTTCAATAGCTTTAATAAGGATCCCCCCTCATTTGTCCAATTTGCTAGTCTTTTATCATTTGTCCATTTTTCTAGTTTTTTTATAGGAAAAAACAAATTTTTTAGGACCTCATTTGTCCAATTTCTAGTCAAATTTTGATAGAAAAAAATAATTTTTCAGGACCTCAATTGTCTCATTTTCTAGTTTTTTTAAAGTAAAAAACTAAAATTTAGGACATTCGAAAAATCCAAAAAAGACTGGAAAAGGGACAAATCATTTTTGACTAGATTTTGTGACAAATGAGGTCCTGAAAAATTTTTTTGTCTTTAAAAAAAAAGACTAGAAAATTGGAAAAGTGAGGGGGGATCCTTATAATTTTAAAATAATTATTAGAAATCGAATAGCAGGACTAATATGCAAGATTATTCTCTGATTAAAATGTATCCAATCTAATCCTATAATTTTTATCCTAAAGTATTTTAAACAATAGCGCCTCAGAGAATTAGCTATACTCAAGGAAATCGAGTCCAATGCAAGCTGTGTATAAATTTCAAGAAGGGAGACTATCTGCTGGAAATAAATCATTACTGCAGCTGAATTGCCCAGTTGGGTCTAATACTTTATAATAATTAATAACTTTAATATAAGTTTAAAATGTTTATTAGAATTCTAGTTATTGAATTCTATGCAAAACATTATACATGATAAAATCACATTCTAAGTATCTGCTTAAGTTTCTGAGATCTTCAGGCAATTTAATTTGGCTGCCGAGCCAAGTTAACAGTTCCATTCCACACAGATTAATGATCAATACTTTAATTATTAATCCTAATTTGACAAATTTCACAACAACTGCGGCCTTTCTTGTTGTGTCCGGTACTCCTAAGATAGAGTCTTTATTGGGAGCGACTCAAAGGAATTCTGAAGTTTTATCCCTAGCTTATATATACACTTAATGCAATTAAGGGTTAGGAAAGATGTATCGGGCTAATATATCGGAATTTCCAATGTATATGAATAGACCACATTCTTGGTTTTTTATATTCTGTAACAATTATTATTCAATATGCATATAGCACTTAAATGGAAACTTCGCAAAACTCTTTTCTAATAAATCAACTACAACTTCAACCAACAGATGTTTACTCCTTATCTTCAGAAGAGATAAAAATTAAGCTGAAAAGATTATTTTTATATTATTCCTGTATTGGAACAAGAAACAAAACAAGTACCATTTCGCATCAAAAGCTCAGCTTACTTTTTGTTGATGCTGGTATCCAAGGAAAACTTTTACATAAAAACACAATTGATATTATTGTATCTGGTGAACTTAAAAGAAATAGATCTATACTATTTCAAAATTTCTGTGAAATTTTAACAAAAATTGCAAAGGCAATATTTTCAAATGAAAACCAAAATATTCAGTCTGGAGAGGCTCTATACATTTTATTAGACAAGCAAATTTTCCCTCTATATGACTCTTTAAGAAGCTCAAATCATATTGAATATTTTGAACAAATTGATTTCAGTTTAGATATACGTAAAATTAATAGTGAATATACTAGGATGTGGCTTTTGGGTGTGGAGAGCTGCCTAAGAGTTAGGCTAGTCTCGAGGTGGGAGGCCAAGCACAACTTCCGCTGATTTGCGGCCTGGTCTGAGCAGCAGCTTTTCACATCTTTTTTGTCAGATGTCCTGAAGCCCAGGTTCGCTGCTCGAAAGCGCCAAGGTGAACTGCCTACCTAGGCCGCTAGTGACTTCGCCTCAAATACCGTAAGGTGTTGAGTTCCTTTTCGGAGATGACCCGGGGAAGGCGAAGCTTGACGAAGAATTAAAGGGCGTAAGTATCTATAGTTTAAAATTGTCCGGATCACAAGCGGCGATCAGACCAGACTAAGCAGAGTTGGGTAATGCTGGCTGAAAATGAAGGTTCTTGGCAAATTCGAACTATCCGGATCGGGAAATAAATTCCTCTACCGAGAATCGGGATTTCGGCACTGACTCAAGCTGACTTGAGAGAGTCCACCCCACAGCGCTCGCTTTGGAATCCTAGTGTCCAGAAAGTGGGGGCTATAAAGACATCACTAATTTAATCTAATCTGAGTTCAGTTTAGATAACGATTCTTTAGCAATAATTTTCAATTCAAAAACGGTTTTACTTGATATTTATCAATCTTACTTTCCTTGGGAAATTAAATCATCTGAATCATTCGATATTTTATGCAAAAAATCTGAAAGAGCTCTATATAAATTTTCAAATGAATATAATGTAACACCGTTAGTTATTAACAGAGCACAATTTTTAAAAATATGGCAAGACCTTGTATAGCCCGTTCCCGGCTATAGATCGGGCTATGCCCGATCTTTGCCAGGAAACTCGGGGGGTTGTTGTCGTCACTTTAAGGTGATGAGTCAACTCTCCGAGTTGGCAAATCACTTAAATGGTGGCTATTTGCCAACTCGGGGAGCTGACTCGTCACCTCAAAGTGAAGCAGACAACCCCCCGGGTTTCCCGGCAAAGATCGGGCATAGCCCGATCTATAGCCGAGAACGGGCTATAGAAATCCAAGAAGTGATACCATCATTGTCACTTTTTATGTGTGAGGAAATGGGGACAGCTTTTACGTTTAAAAGGTTTTTGCTCTTTTTGTGCAGATGTGCAGTGATTGGAAAATTTCATGATATTCACGTAAAGCTGACTGAAAAAATTATTATGCTGCTCGAAAGAATGGAATTATCACCTGGGTTTCATACTTTGCAGATGAAAACCAATAGACCTTTTAATGGAAAAACTACATTTTTATCAAGCCAAAGAATAGCTGATTGTTTATCCACTATAGAAATAGCCGATCCTTTATCAAAGTCCCAAACAATAACTCTTTCACCAAAAAAAATAGGATCGAATCATACAGAAAAGCTGGAAAAGTTATATGATCAATACAACAGAGGAGAATATTTTGGAATGGTTGGAATCACATCAAATAAGTTTGTAAAATTCATTGAGGTATTAGGAATAATTCAAAGTGATCAAGGAAGTAAAATTAATAAAGAAGATATTGAAATTATTTATACTTTAGCGACCAGAAAAATTTCAAAAAATAATACACCTTCATCCGCTATAAATAGAAAAATATCATACGATGAAGGCTCGAAAATGAGCTACGAGCAATTTGAAATAGCATTGGAGCTAGTTGCAAGAAAACATTTTTCTGATTTGAAACCAGACCAAGCTTTCGACTTATTTATGGAAAATTATATTAAAAAATTTGATCAAGTCAGTGAGAATCAGAAAACGTATGATAGGATCATTAATTTGCGGGCTTCTCTTGAAGGGGAAGAGCTAAATAAAATTTATAACATATGGAAACAAGCAATCGCAGTATTTGTTTGCAACTATTCTGATAAAGCAAATCTATATGATTTTAATGCATTTTTTAAATTTACTTCAGATTTTGGTATTTTTCCAGAATTAATATCAAAGCAGAAAATAACTCATATTTTTAATGCTTTATTAAGTTTTGAGTTGCAAACAGATACAATCAAATTTGAAGGTTTTATAACTTTAAATCATGCTAATACTTTTACGATTGGCAGAAAAGTTTTTATTGATGGATTGGCTTTATGCGCATTAGAATCAAAATTTTCTAATCAAACCCCATTTTTAAGACTCCAAGCAACCTTAGAAAAAATTTTGAATAGCAATGGACCTGCGCTTTCTGTAGCAAAATCTGGGAGAACAAGAACAAATAAATTTAAAATTCCTAGCAATCTATTACAACTGAGAGCTAAAGAAGAAGATGATCGCAAAGCCAAAACTCTTTCAATTAGCTTTGACTCAGCAATCAGCAGCAAACCTTCCAGGAGATATGAATAATAATAAATTTATAGATGACTTTGAATATGGTAAGCAATTCTTTATTTATATTTAATTGATATAAATTAAATTTCTGTATTTTTGTTATTAAATAATAGTCAACTAATATTAATTAAATTTCTTGTTTTTCAATTAATTTGCGGCTAATACAAATAGGGTGTTAGGGTGTTAGGGTGTTAGGGTGTTAGGGTGTTAGGGTGTTAGGGTGTTAGGGTGTGTTAGGGTGTTAGGGTGTTAGGGTGTTAGGGTGTTAGGGTGTTAGGGTGTTAGGGTGTTAGGGTGTTAGGGTGTTAGGGTGTTAGGGTGTTAGGGTGTTAGGGTGTTAGGGTGTTAGGGTGTTAGGGTGTTAGGGTGTTAGGGTGTTAGGGTGTTAGGGTGTTAGGGTGTTAGGGTGTTAGGGTGTTAGGGTGTTAGGGTGTTAGGGTGTTAGGGTGTTAGGGTGTTAGGGTGTTAGGGTGTTAGGGTGTTAGGGTGTTAGGGTGTTAGGGTGTTAGGGTGTTAGGGTGTTAGGGTGTTAGGGTGTTAGGGTGTTAGGGTGTTAGGGTGTTAGGGTGTTAGGGTGTTAGGGTGTTAGGGTGTTAGGGTGTTAGGGTGTTAGGGTGTTAGGGTGTTTAGGGTGTTAGGTGTTAGGGTGTTAGGGTGTTAGGGTGTTAGGGTGTTAGGGTGTTAGGGTGTTAGGGTGTTAGGGTGTTAGGGTGTTAGGGTGTTAGGGTGTTAGGGTGTTAGGGTGTTAGGGTGTTAGGGTGTTAGGGTGTTAGGGTGTTAGGGTGTTAGGGTGTTAGGGTGTTAGGGTGTTAGGGTGTTAGGGTGTTAGGGTGTTAGGGTGTTAGGGTGTTAGGGTGTTAGGGTGTTAGGGTGTTAGGGTGTTAGGGTGTTTAGGGTGTTAGGGTGTTAGGGTGTTAGGGTGTTAGGGTGTTAGGGTGTTAGGGTGTTAGGGTTAGGTTTAGGGTGTTAGGGTGTTAGGGTGTTAGGGTGTTAGGGTGTTAGGGTGTTAGGGTGTTAGGGTGTTAGGGTGTTAGGGTGTTAGGGTGTTAGGGTGTTAGGGTGTTAGGGTGTTAGGGTGTTAGGGTGTTAGGGTGTTAGGGTTGTTAGGGTGTTAGGGTGTTAGG